CCCCCCCGCGGTGTCAAGTGAAAGGCGTGAAAGTATGAAAGATAACTTTGGAATACCATGTATGGCTTTTGTTTATAAAGATCTCCAATTTAGTCAAATACTTACACTCTGATAATATGCATGAAAGATACATTGGTCTGTTGTAATATACTTGTATTCGGCGAGTGAGTCATGTGCCGCGGACCCGATAACACGAGATAGAGACCGGTCCGCTTTCGCCGTGAAGCTTTCGCCGCTCCGAATTCCTGTTGCACTCGGGCCTCTCTTTGTTTAAGTAAATATATCTTCAATCGCTGCAGCCCTGGAGCTTTCCCACGGACTTGTATTTCGTGCACAAATATTCCCTCCAGCCAACGTTGCCCGCGCACAATCCCGCACTCAATAACTCCGATCTCGCATTTACACCGCTACCGCTCCGATCATAATGAGTCCCCCTGCCGCCCTCGATGTCAACCTTGTAGGAGTGACCGATACTTCGACTGTCCCTATCCCGGACCCTCTGGCTGTCAATGGCGTCTCCGCGTGGAGAGCTAAGACAGCCAACATTCCGACTGGCATCGCGGCTGCATGCAACAGTGATATGTTCAAGAGTCCGGTATGGTCCATGTGCAATATGCCTGAAATTGGAGGAATATCAGAACAATTCCGAATTGGCATTGCCAGCAGGTGCTAATTATAATATGGATTTGTGTAGGTCTGCTATACTAAGCCCAAGGCCAAACGTTTTGATCGTAAGTCGACCTACCATTGTTCCTTTGGCCAAGTATAGGAATCTTGATCTGATACTAATTACTCTGTTCCACCGCTCAGACCGATTCTCCGTTGAAGCCAAGTCTCGCAAGGTGAGCACCCAATTGCGCAATGGTATATCCGCAACAGCTCATCTAATTCCCCACCCAGGCGTCCACTTTGAAGACAGCAGCTCGTTTCCTTAAGAACCCAGGTCAGTTTGAACAACGTATTTATTTGAATTCAAAGGCTAAGTTTTCAAAAGGCCTCATCTCTCTCGGTGGTGGATTGCCCTCCGCTGAATACTTCCCATTCGAGCACCTCGATATCAAGGTTCCCACCGCTCCAGGATTCACACCCGAAGAGACCAAGAAGTCCGGTACCGTGCTGCGTGCTGGAAAGCACGATATCCAAGAAGGAACCAGCACATATGGTTAGTACTTCGGTCGATAAGTTGGGTTTCGCCTCTACTAACAATTCCCCAGACTTGGAGATTGCACTCAACTATGGACAAGCTACAGGAGCTGCGCCTTTGCTGCGTTTCGTGACCGAACACACTGAGGTCAGTGGAATTAAAATGTGGAAGCCATGCATAGCTGACAAGTAGCAGATCATCCACACCCCTCCTTACTCCGATTGGCAATGTACTTTGACTGCCGGCAGCACTTATGCCTGGGACACTGCGCTCCGCTTGCTGTGCGAGCGAGGTGACTATATTCTTATGGAGGAGTATACCTTCGCCAGTGCAGCTGAGACTGCTTTCCCCCTAGGCCTGAAGGCTGTTGGTATCGCCATGGACGAGCAGGGTTTGCTTCCCGAGTCAATGGACGAGATCCTCAGCAACTGGGATGTCAATGCCCGTGGTGCCCGCAAGCCCCACGTTCTGTACACTATCCCGACAGGTCAGAACCCCACTGGTGCCACCCAGTCCGGTGATCGCCGCCGCGCTGTCTACAAGGTTGCTCAGAAGCACGATGTGATCATCGTCGAGGATGAGCCCTACTACTTCCTGCAAATGCAGCCATACGTGGGCGAGGACGCCAAGCCCGTTCCTCCTCCCGCCACCCACGAAGATTTCATTAAGTCTTTGGTTCCTTCATTCCTGAGCATGGATGTCGACGGCCGTGTCGTTCGCTTGGAGTCTTTCTCCAAGGTTGTCTCCCCCGGCTCTCGTGTCGGTTGGATTGTCGCCTCGGAACAGATTATCGAGCGCTTTGTTCGTAACTTCGAGGTCTCTTCGCAGAACCCCAGTGGTATTGCTCAACTCGCACTCTTCAAGCTTCTCGACGAGCACTGGGGTCACTCTGGATACCTCGATTGGTTGATTAACCTGCGCATGTCCTACACTACCCGTCGTGACTCGCTTGTTCATGCATGTGAGAAGCATCTGCCTCGCGAGATCGCTCACTGGGAGGCACCTGCAGCAGGCATGTTCGTAAGTAGCTTACATATCCCTTAATGTCCGCTCTTCTTTCAGCATTTATATACTAACGTTTTGCAGCACTGGATCAAGGTTGACTGGCGCAAGCACCCTGGCGTTGCTGCCGGCAAGAGCCACGCTGAGATTGAAGAAGAGATCTTCCTGTCTGCCGTCGATTCTGGTGTCCTGCTCTCCCGTGGTAGCTGGTTCAAGCCCGACCACGACACTGCCGAGGAAAACATGTTCTTCCGTGCCACTTTCGCAGCTGCTTCCTCCGAGAAGATTGACGAAGCTATCTCGCGCTTCGCTGGCTCTTTGCGCACCCAGTTCGGGCTTTAAGATAGCAATGTCGGCACGTTGCTTTCGACTGATGCTAATCGGGTTTTTTTATACCTGGTCTATGATTTCCACGACGAATTTTCTTCTCCCTGGTGAAAGCATTGGGCTTCAAGATTGTTTCTACAAATTAGATGATAGAGTAAGATTGTAAATGACGGAACCTTGAATTACTCTATGATCACTCCGTACAGGACTCGACGTAAAGCAGGCGGCTCATCAAAAGCAAAAAGTTACGTGTATTGTGTACAGACGAAGAAAAAGTAAAGGAAAACAATGGTATCATGTAAAAGTACAATAACAACACACAGGTGAATCTAAAGATCTCTGGAGGGGAGGAATGGCGGGACATGTAGAGTGTCTTAGGACCCCAGAATCTTGCCATACGCATCCTCAACTTCCTTCGCAATCTCTAACAGAGTGACGATGATGATCTGGTGCGTCACATTGGGCAACTTATCTCGTTGCAGACCAATCCACTCCAACGGCGGCGTAGCCTCACCCATATCCCGCAGCTGTGGCGTCTCGATGATAGGAGGCTCGAGCGCAGTGTAGGTATACTTTGACTGTGGGACATTGACAACCGCAGTGATCTTTTCCTGCTTCTCAGAGCTGTCGCCACTGCCTTCGGGACTGCTGCCTGGTCCACCAGTGATGCGCACTGCAGAAGGCGGCAAGGGCTTTCCGAGCCGCGAGGCAAGCGCTCGTGAATGCGTCTCCCACATGTCGCGGATAAAGCTGATGCGCGAGTAATTCCAGCCAACATCCACTTTACCCTCGAATGTACTACGGAAGGTGTAATCGATCTGATGGGTTCCTGGGGCCTGCCAGGTTTCCATTGCTGCCACCAGGCGGGGGACCTTGAGAATCGTCCCGCCTCGGGATGCAGCGGCTCGCTCGGCGATTTCGTCCACTGAGAGTTCGTCCAGTTGGGCTGTAGTTGGACGAGTGATGCCGGATAGAGCGACGCGCAACTGTCCCAAAGTCAAGCCCAGTGCGCTGTGAATCTTTTGGTTTTCGAGTGATACGCCGAATCGAGCTTGAGCATCGTATGCTTCTACCTTGAAGATCTGGTTGTCGAAGAATGAGCTGGGGAACGCTCCTAAGTTGACGTGACGGATGTTGACAACCACTCCGGTATGTAAAGAAATAGGTGCCTTTTCGGGCTGATCCGTGTGTTCTTTTGACAGGTGCTTGGCACCGACTTGGGGCCGCTCCGGGAAGACTGATGATTTGCGACGCAGATAACGCTCCACTTCGTGCAGTGAGGATGTGTAGGCCGCTTGTACATCTTGGACCAGACGTTGCCACGCTTGGAACAGAGCCAGGCCTTGAGATCCCGTCAGAGATGTACAGAAAAGTTGCACCTTGTCTCCGTCCAAAATACTGAACAGCCGCTGGCTCTGGTCACCCGACTTCCCTCGGACATTGTACATCAAAAAGTTGAACATGGTGATCCGAGCAACCAGGAATGGTTGATAGTCGAAGGAGACCTTGGCTTGGAGGTGATGGAAAGCGACCGAAGCTTGAATCAATGGCGTATGGCCAGTTTCGCGGGAATCCTCGGGCCATTCAATGGATGTGTGAACCTTGAGCTTGCCGAGTTCGACAATTCCACTCATACGGCCTTTGCTTTCGATTGCAACAGAGCCGAGGTTGATGCACATGTTCTGCTCACTAACGGACGTCTTGCTGGTAGCAACCCACAAGTCAACAATCGAGAATTGCGCCCTGCCTAGAGTTGTGCCAAGATCAAGTTGAATCTCCAGCTTTTCGACTGCAATGGTTGTGTTCCATGGGAACGCTGAGGCAGAAGCAACTTGCTGGTATCGCTGTACGATGTAGGTTTGGGTCTCGGACGGCTCCGGTGGAACACTTTCACTCGAACTGGGCGCATTGTCTGCCGGGAGCCAAATTTCCTTGAAGAGCAAGGAATCTTGAACCTGTTTGGCATTGACCGCAACCTTCATTGGGCTCACCCGCAAAATTGCAGACATTCCATTTTTCCGACCAAGATGCTTGCTGTTCATCAACGATAGCACCATGGATTTCACTTCAAAGCTTGCCGTTGACTCATTGGAATAAACATGCTTTACAGATGCTTCCAAGCCATTAAAGGCCAACGAGAGTGCAAGGAAACGGCCCTGTTCTTCGGACAAAACCGTGTTGACGGTCACGTAGACACTCTCAAACCTTGCGGTAGCTGCCACTCTTGCAATTGGCTGGCAACTTAGACTGAACTCCTGTTTGCAGAACAATAGTCCCAAGTTTACTTTGCACCGGCCGAGAATGCTGGTGGGATCATCGGCCCCAAACGGTTTCTCTTGCATGAGCTTCTGTGGCTGCAATCTCGCCGTCGTAGACGGTCTGCGTTGCTGGCTCTGCGGACTTTGCTGATTTTGCTGATTGCCCATGATTTCTTTGACCGTAGCTGTCATCTGCTTGACAAGAGGTACAAGTGTTGGATGCAATGTGTTTGTTGAAGGATCAACCTTGAGCTCCGCATTGAGTGCAGGGTCGTCAGTTCCGTTGTCCTCGAATTGAACCTTCAGAGCCACACCAGGTGCTCGGAGAGTTGCTGTGGTCGCTGCATCTCCTTGCAGATACTGGCCATATCTTTGATCGTTGACCTTGCGGCCTTGCCATGTGGCTGCCAGTAATGTTTGATGATCATGACTGAGCTTCCCTTGAAGTGTCACTGTAGCACCAGCAAAGTCAACATCAATCAAGAGAGAGCGTAATCGTCTGTTGCCGAAAAGACTTCGATCTTTGTTCGTATTCGTCTCATCGGGCGATTCTTCTCTAGTAGCCCAGACAGCCTTTCCATCCCGAAGCGCTTCACTTGCAGTAGCGATGGAATCTCGAATCATGCTTGCTGGGATGATGAACTCGGAAGTAGCTCGTATATCCAGGGATTTGCCAGCTGCTTGGAAAGCGAGCCAAACTTCCTTTCCTTTCGATGCGTATGCCACGTTGAACACCAGCTCGGGCATGAGTGCTGAATTAAGCGACCGCTTCTCTCGGTCGGTGCCATAGGGAACCATTTGGAGCTGCATATTCTCAATCCGAAGTTTGGCTGCGTTCTTTTTCTTGTTGGACAACTCAACCTGTTGGATCGAAAACACCAGGTCTTCGGGGTGCCGGTCAGATTGTGGTTGAATCTCAGCCATATTCCAAGCAACTTGGATGGTTTGGAACCGCAAAGAATAAAGAGCGTCAAGGAATGTTTCCGGGGGTGCATCATCATTGACATGGATCTCGGGAGCATCGGCGGCCACATCTTTCGTAATGTTGTGACCACGGCGCCTCAGCTTCTTGAGACGCTTGACCTCATGAGAAAAGTCCAGCGTCTTGATGCGCTCTTGCGTATAGACAGCAATGTCGACCACCAGAGCTGCCGTTTCTGCAAAGAGTTCAATGTCAAATCTTTCGCTAGTGAAATGGTATGCTCTGGTCACCTCCCCGTTCTCCCGGATCGCAGAGGTTCCTTCCAACTTTACCCCGGCAGTGAAACCACCGTATGAGTGACTCTGGAACTTCTCTTGTCTCCTGAGCTCAAAGCTGATTTGAGGGGCATCAATGTTGAATTCGGGGTGCTCCATCGCATAGCCTCTGTCAAGGCCGTTTTGAAGTCGCATTCGCATCATCCCAAGACTGAATATCATCTCTGCAGAGTAATCTTTGCTTTTGAGACCAGGCGCAACAGCGTGGATCTCGAATCCAGCCATTGTGAAGCGAGATTTGTAAAGGATTTCTTGGTTATCGGCAGTTTTGGGCTTGGTTGATGTCTTCTGCAATGCCAGCACATCTTCCAAATGAGCTTTGAGTATTTCCACGGTTTGCTTCAGGTCTGTAACCAAGTGAGAGACATCCGGTCCTGTAAGAACAGCCAATAGGCTGCGCACAGAACTGGCTTCCAGGCTAATAAGTTCGATCGTGACATCAATGTCTACCTCCTTGCGACCGTCAAGGAAGTTCGCGAGGACTCGACCGTTCACGGGGGGTATCTCCAATATTGAAAGCACATGGAATCGTTCGTTCTCGCCCGAAACAAACATGTGCGAATTCTTCTTGATGTCGAAGTCAATCTCAAGCTTGGAGCCTTGCGCCGGCATCACTGACATACGAGCAACCTCACCCGATACAAGATACTTCAATGACGGCAACAAACTGAAAGTCAGTCTGTAGTCTTCCAAAAACATGGCAACATGGAAGGTATGTCTAGTGGGCTTTGTTGGAGGCTTTGTTGGAGGCTGAGCCTGCTTGGGCTGCGACTTTGGAAGTTTGACACTTTTCACAAGCTGCTGGATATACCGAACTTCGTCTGCGATCAGTCTGTCCGCTGTATGTGCCAGACTGAGAGGGTCCTCTTTCATATCATAACGAAGTTTCCTGCAAGAGCTGGCAAGCTTCCAATCGCGCTTGGATTCCTTCACACCGTTTTCAGATGTGACAGATATGTTCAAATAAGGATCAGCTATCCTTGACAGCATGAGAGTGGTGGATTGACTCTGTATTTCCGATGAACAGCCCTCTGCACTAAATAGCAAAGAAAGGTCTTCGTCTGTAGACTCTACCGAGCCGAGAGACTTTTGGACGATGGAGCCTCGAAGAGCTTTCGTTACCAGAGCAAGTTTGACATTGATGCCATCGAGAGTAATGGAGCCAAAGTCAGTCCCGACCATAACTTGCAACTCGGTAGGAATTTTCTCCTCGACTGTGTCGCTCGGGGCATGGCCTGGCGAGGACTCGAGTGTGATATTCGACATGACCTTGACTACTCCCTCTGCAAGATCCAAGATCTCCCAGCGCAGTCTCAACGCCGCAGAGCCGCAATAAGACTGCAGAGTTATGAGCTTTCTGCGGTGTTCTTCTTCTCCACGACCCAGCCAGTTCGGGTTTAAAGACGCGGCGATTGACAGATTCTCTATAATCAAATCACTCTCTCTGGGGCCGGGATCCAAAGAGAAACGGAATGTTTGGATGGTGGATGATGCAAACATGGAAGGTTGTGGGTTGTCCCTTTGGGGCTCAGTAGGGGGCCAAACACGACGCATGACATAGCTTTTGTCAACGTGGGCTAGATCCCAGGCTCTCCAGCTATCAAGCCCAGAAATGACCGTCTTCTTGGAGTTTGCTGGTAGAGGCGGTTTTCTACTCAAGCATTTCCGCTCCAAATCACGCTGCCGATGATCAGGTAATGTTTTGTAGATGCCGCGAATTCGAGATATGATTTTCCACGAGTCGTGTTGCCTGAGATGGGTTTGGGCGACTCTGAGAACAAAAGAAATGCGAGCAAGGAATATCGGATCTGGAACATCGGCGGACGATTGCGTGAGCGAGTACATGAGGTACTTGAGACGTTTCTCACTAGAGGTTGACAATTGTTGGAAAGAAGACGCGACGGAATCCAACATAGTCGTTGCTCGACGGACAAGGAACGCAAGACGCTCCACTGACTTTGCACATGTCATCGTATTGAATGTTCGTACTTGAAGACTAGCACGAACACTTGGCGAAGTGACTAGCCAGAGATCAAAGTCCTCCAAATGTGAATTGAAAACAGCTTTCTCATGGAAGTTGTCGGTTTGACTTCCTTCGACTGCAAATGATAGATGATCTGCTGCCACGTGAACTGTGGTATCTTGTTTGAGGCCTTGGAGCAGGTCATCCTTTTGGCGCTCGACTTTCTTGCGAAACTCGGTTCGGAGATGACGAATTTCGATGCTATAGTCATCCCGGAACTCGATATGTTGATCATTGGGAGCTTCAGAAAAATCGACCAGTCTGAGTTGAATGGATGGAACACGAAGAGCAACGGCTGTGGAGATCTTTGGCTTACTCATAGCCTTATCATAGCCAACAATGCTTGATATCACATCCTTTTGAAGTGAATCAATGACTTGTGTTGGGTGCTTGGGTTCTAATCCATCTAACAGAGATGCGAGGCTCAAAAGGAATTTTGGAGTGCAAAATCCTCGAATGCCAAGGGGTAGATCAATGGCCAAATTTGTGTATGTCATCTGATCATCGTCGAATGTCAGAAACACAGATTTAGGACCATTCGGCGAGGCATCATCATAGAGCCCGTCATCGTCATCTGCGGGAGGTAGCGGAAGCTCAGAGGTGTCAAATCGCAGCTTGTAGTACGAAAATCGAGGCATTATCCATGGGTTTGCATCTCTTACCGCAGAGGACGAGAAGCCTCCCACCCGAGACCCGGGGTGGGTCCCATCTCTCGATCGGTTGCTTTGAGACACAGACCAACTTGACCCTCGGTTGGGAAGATCGGGGCGTGATTGAGATGGTGAATCGGAAGCGACTCTGAAGTTGGATTTGGCGTTTGCTCGGACACTCTTGAGGCTCGAGGCCTCGGATTGAACCAAGAAGCTCCTGGTACTTTCATTTGGACGAGACCCCGACTGCTTCCGGTATGATTTTGTAAAGCTTGAGCCGACTTCGCGGTGTATGGGCTCTGGCATTGACGGTATTGGCATGGTGGGAGGGAAGACATCATCTTCTGGATGGATAGTTGAGGCGGGGCCGGTTTCCTCCCAATCGAGGAGCAACCATTGGGCCCGATGAGTCCGCCGATCATGGATTTTGATATGTTCTTGCTGTAGCCTTCGGTTTTGCACAATGTCAGATTTGCGCAGAGCCATCTTGAGCCCCACAGTGAGCTGAAACAGTCCAATTGGGGATACTGCTTCCCCGGACGCAGAGCCAGATTGGTTCACAGCTTTCCGATCAACTGCAGCGATCGAGATATCAGGCACAAGCAGGTTCATGCGCTTGGAAAATGTGGCGTTAGCCCAGTCGTTGAAGTTCACATTCAGAGACTGGGTGCTCAGAACTACAGCAACCTGTTCCAGCAACACGGAGATGTGAATGGTGTCAATCTTGGCCCTCAAGAAAGTCACATCATGCAAAATCTCCGGGAACAATGAAGGTAATGCATTTTCCTCGTTGTCAAAGGAGAAGTCGAAACTCTTCACAGACGAGATCAAGCAAGACAAGAATTCAGCAGAACATTCGCCGATAATCTTTCCAACTTCGAAATCCCAATTACACACATATGTTGGCTCAAGAGGGGGCAGACCGAAGAGACGGTGCCCGTAAACCGAGATACCATCGACGAAGAGCTGGGTGCCGGAAATTGCAGATGGTCCATCAGGGTCAATTGACTCCAAATCTAGTTTTAGCGGAGTCAGAGAAAACTGCAAGTCCATATAGTAATTCGTGAACCGCAAGTCTACTTCGAGCGATGCTGCACTGAGACCCATGCATTTTGAGGTATCGTAGATGTTCACGGGAAGCAGGGCGCGAGGACTGTCAACTGTGACACGAACGAGGACATCCATGTCATTTGACTTTCGGTTTGGATTGATCCCGGTAGGATTTGTTGGCGGTTCGTCCGCGTAGACAAGCTCCTGGTATTCCTCCAGGGTCTTGAAGTGCATCTCCTCTCCGAAATAATTTTCTCTGATGGTCATGAAGCTCTTGATCAAGAAACCAAAGAGGAAGAGTCTGGGCGAAACACCGTCGATATTGAGAACCAAGGTGTCTGTCAATTCAGGGGAGGTTGACTGGAAGTAGTTGTAGGATCCATCGATGAACAGACTCTGAAGAGTGGCCATTGAAGTCTGTGGCAGGAACTCATGCAGTGTATCCCATAGGGGAGTTACATAGTCCACACCGCCGTCTTCCAAGCCTACTCTAAATTCGATCGCATTCTGCTCAGGAAGATACTTGTTCAGTGGGATCATGACGTTGGACGTCAAACGCTGGCCTTTGATAACAATGAAACGGTTATCTTCCAAATCGGAAGGATTGCTGATGATGTTTCTGTCGTTGACATTGATGTAGAGTTCCAAGTCGGTGAAATTGAGGTCAAGGTTATAGATGAAAGGCACGAATGTGTGATAATCAGAGGGTGGCCCTGATGCCCAATCACTCACAAGATCAGTGAGAAGAAAGATGTGATCACGCAAAAGAAACAGTCGCAATTTCTGGCTTTCAGCGGTAAATTTCCAGGAGCGGAGGTTATTCCACGAAAGAGGGTTGGACAGGTCACAAGTCACTTGCTGCCGGGGGCATTGCCAAAGCAAGCCATGGTTAATACTGGAGGATAACTTTGACTCGCGCAAATCAAGCGAAAGCTCATTGTGGAATCCTGCACTCGATGCTACCATGTCCATGTTGTAATTGATGGTAGAGTCGGCAGCCACGCACAGCGAGAGCCACCCAAAGGGACGGATTTCGGGACCAAGGTGTCCTTTCTCTCCATCTTTGGCTCGATTGTTCTTCTTCTCAACTGGCTTTTTGGTCCTTGATGCACCCCCAACAGCATCGGCTCGGCCCTTCCATTGCCAATCTTTGGAGGGCTCTCTTGTCGGTATGCGCAAGACGAGTTCATCGTTGATTTCAACACGCAACCTAAAAGAAGTGCTCTGCCGCAGGACACCAGGTGCTAGCTGCTCAGTAGGCTCGGCGCTGCGATAGAAATTGGGGAAGAACACATTCTGTAGGCCAACTCGCTCGCGGTCAGCCCACGGCCCGTAGTTGATCGTTCCTCCCTCGATTTTGACATCAATGCCCCATTCTGGCGGAGAGGCACAATTTATATTCATCCCCGCCGGATGAGATCCGGGATCTGACGAGGGCTGGACCAGAACTCGCCCAGGAATATCCCAAAAGTATGCGATGTCTATGCCTGGGCTATCCACAATGGTGGAATACCTAGCATATTCAACTGTGTTCCACTTCTCATGCTCATCTTCGCCACCCTCGTCCAGATACCGAGAAAGGCCGGTCCAGCGCACTTCAGGGAACTCTGCCTGGCTTCTTGGCATGTTATTGGTGTGCCTGCTGTTTGCATGGAAAGACTCGACAGAAGTCTGAAAATAAGGGACTAGGTCACGGATGCTGTGCCAGACCTTGCGCTTTTGGAATTGATAGTTAAAGACATTTGGTCTTTTCTTCTTCAATCCTTTATCTTTCTCCTGTGCGGCACTCAAAGCTTTAGCGGTTGCAGGCTGGCTTTGTTTGAAATCAGGATTAGGTCTCATCTGAATGACAGGATTGTTGAGGTGAAATGAGAATGTTTGGCGATACAAATCGAAAGGACCCGCGTTTGAAGCATCCACGGTGCCTGATCCTGAATCGAATGTGGTTGTCAAGACAGATCGAGTGTGTTCATTTCCCATGACGATGGCTCCTTTCTTGCAATCCAACCTGACTGGTAAAAGCTGCAGCATGTTTGAGACGGGATCTGACAGTTCGGATTCTCTACAAGCAGATGATCTGCCTCTGTCACTCATGCTTCGCTCCGACAATGTTTCCAGAGTAGGCCGATGACCTGGTGGACCCTGGAAATTGAACTCATGCCCAGCACCATCGTCTCCGGTGTTTGGGCGAGACTCGGAAATGTTGGAGTTGTCGCCGTCCATATCAACATTCTTAGGCGAATACCCAAACCCAGCCAGGATGCTTTCGTATGCCGGGGTTCGATTATAGATGAACCATTCAAGACCATATGTCTTGATTGTGATGCGACAAGGTAATTCCGTAGTCTTTCCAACACCGGCCTGCTCCCCGAGGTTGTCGTCCCCCTCATGCGGGTGACGTGCATGTCCTTGCTCAGATGCATGATCGGGCAACCCAGTTTTGCGCCGAATTCCTGTGAGGTCGTTTCGCTCGACTGTGCGCGTCCAATACCGCCATGTTATGAATCCTCCATGAATGAATATTGTCTCGTTCACGCCATGGTAACGGATGCCCTTGAAGAAGATTCTCCCGCCAAGTAAGGAGACTTGGAGGGCATTGATGTCGACATATGCGCGGTAGTAGTGCCAGGTGTATGCTCGGATCGCGTAGGAGAGGAGTGTCGCGAAGAGTCGATTGAAGTAGAGCAGGAAGAACAGAGCACTTTCAACAATTAGCGCGATCCAAGCGGTCCATCCAACGCGGGGACTTACAGGATGCAAGAAACAATCAGCTCAAGGAGAAAGAACCTGTGTGAATCAGTATACAAGCCATCTTTTGCGCGAACTCTACCCACCAGTTGAAACTTGGATCGGGCGTCAAGAAAGTCGACGTCAAGCTGGTGCTAGCCATCTCCGAGCGGCATGGACAACGTCAGCGCGCAGAACGCGAACGACGAGCCTAGCAAGCCAGTGTCGAGCTTCCAATCATCGAAGCCCAAACTGCTAGCTCAGATAATTCAGAAAAATCGCAAGTTGCCAAAAAAGTCCATGAAGCAGTCCGGGCGGTGTCACGAGAAGATCGTCATCGGGCAACACGCCTCCTCATTCCGCAACTTTGCTCCACAAGCTCGACCACCCCACACCTTTCGCCCTTGAGCACCATGTCTTGTCTTATCGACTCCACGGCATGAGCTGGAATATCTCCGCAGGCAAAAAGCGGTCTTGGAACCGCGCTTGTCCCTAATCTTCAGTCATGACAACCGCTACAGGAGGAACAGGCTCCAGCCTAGCACGCGCGATCACCATTGTTGCAGGTGTCTCGGCTTTGGTCGCCTCTTTCTTATCATTAGTGTGAGTGTCCCGGTCTGAAAGAGTATTTGATTATAGCTACAATCTTCGAGTTTCTAAATCTAACTTTGCGTCTCAACCCCAGGTCAATATGGTTACAAACGTTCGAGCTTCTGCAACTCCAAGTCCCAGGTCATCGCTCACCAATCATATAGCAAAAATTACCGGAAACCACTTCTCCAACGCTATGTGGTGCGCATTCTGTTGATGTCAGTACCGCTTCGAGGACCTGGCTCAGGGGCCAGAACAAATGAGGATGTACTAACATAGCTCAGGGTTCCGATTTACGCGGTATCTTCATGGACGAGCATCGTATCTCTCACTGCAGCTCAGTTTTTGGACCCCGTTCGCGATATTTATGAGGTACTTGATCTTGTTCCAGGGGAATTGCCACTACTGGCATTAACAACTAACTTTGACAGGCGTTCACTATCTACACTTTCTTTCAACTCCTCATCAACTTCCTTGGGGGCGAACGAGCTGTCATTATCATGGCCCACGGCCGTCCGCCCATCTCACATGCTTGGCCGCTTAATCACTTTCTCCCTAAAATTGACGTCTCCGATCCTCACACCTTCCTCGCGGTCAAACGGGGTATATTACAATATGCATGGTTGAAGCCCATTCTGGCGCTTGTCTCTGTCATCTTGAAGGCAACGAACACATACCAGGAGGGATATCTTGGATTAGGATCGGGGTATCTCTGGACAGGAATTGTGTACAATCTTAGTGTCACAATCAGTCTCTACTCTCTGGCCATGTTTTGGGTGTGTCTGCACGACGACCTTGCACCATTTCGGCCAGTCCCTAAATTCCTATGCGTCAAGCTCATTATCTTTGCCTCGTATTGGCAAGGATTCTTCTTGTCAATCTTGCAGTGGCTGGGGGCGCTCGGTAGCGTGGCAGGATACACGCCCAACAACCTTGCTGCTGCCATCCAAGACAGTCTGATCTGTTTCGAGATGCCATTTTTCGCAATGGCCCACTGGTATGCATTCTCGTGGCATGACTATGCAGACCCATCCATTTCGTCCGCGCGTCTGCCCGTGAAATATGCACTGCGAGATGCATTTGGTGTTCGAGACTTGTGGGAAGACACCTTGCTCACCATCCGCGGCGACAATTATGAATACCGGCTCTTTGATTCGGGCGACAACATCGTACCGCATGAGGAGTCCGGATCTCGTGTGAAGCGAGTAATGGATGGAATGAGATACGAGCGGGGCGGGAAAGCCAAATACTGGATCCCTAAGCCTGGTGAAATCAATAGCCGCACGCCTCTCTTAGGTGGGGAACCCAGTGATCGTGGCAGTAGGAGTGAACGGGCCAGTCAGACGTCGCGAGAAAGGTTCCGGTCCTACAGTGATATCGATGAAATCGCCATGGACGATGAAGATGAGCGACTCTTCCTCAATGCCCGTGCCCTGGAATTTGGGGACTGGAACGTGAGTTTATGAGGAAGCGCTATGGCTTCAATTGCTAATTGTGCGTAGTATCCAGTAATTACCGCCAACGAGGTGCCAAGGGATCAACGGATATCGCCCGCGATGCGACGTCAAGATTCAAACCGAGGGGCGGATATCAAAAAGGCCCGCCGGCATAAAAAGGGCCGGGCGTCAGAAGGAGGAAACGCCAAAGCCAAGCCAAGCTCCAATCAATCCGGTGACCGAGCTGGCCCAAGCTCGCCGACACCCGGTTCCTTGCAGCGAAACCCTAGTTCCACGAGCTCCGGCGGCACACGACGCAGCCAGCTGGTTGACCTCGTGGTGGAGAACACAGAGGCTGAAGAAGAAGACCGGGCTCAAACGCAAAGAACGTATGGTTCTGCGCATGCAGAGCCCGAACCCCGGCGATTTTCGTACGTGCAGCACCAATCATTAACAGAGAGAAGATCTTCAGAGTCGCTGACGCTAATTCCAATTTCCAGGAGACCTTCAGGAGAGCCAATTGAAGAGGAGGGGGCCGAGTCTGCGACACCTCCAGAGTCTAATTCAGAAGCTAATCCAAGGTCCAAATGGAGCTATGGTGACCTAGAACAGGACAATGTTTGGGGCTAGTGTGTACGGAGTACGAATGAGATAACTTGATTTCCTGTTATTTCCGTAAGTATATTCATAGAAATACAAATTTTAAAAAGGAGCATCAAACAGGACCGATAATTTCGTTAAGCGCCCAATTCTCACCCAAGTTCAAGTGATAAGCACAGATGTGACGACTCCACAGGGCGCTAACGAATAGCGTTGCTTCAATCCACTCCGATGTTGACGATCGTAGTGCTAAATGCGTTGGCGTGAGGATGTACTGCTCTGCTGGGCATAGCTCCTTATTTTTAGTTGAAGTCAGTGGACGAACTCGGTCAGATGTTCATTTTGGGTCTGACAGGCCTAAATTCCCATAGGTGGGGTTGCTTCTTTGTTCTGCTCTTCCCTTTTTTTCTTCCGACTATCTCTCGTTATATCGCCTTGAAGGTGATGGATTGACTCTAAACACGCGCTGGTCGCAAATATGCTAGCTTTGGAGAAAGCAGGGTCGTTGTTCACTGGTTGGATGCGATCTTGCTTAACATGCCTCACCCCAGGCGAAGATAGCTGCCAGCCCCGAGCTCAGAACGGTATGCATACTAAATAAACATAGCAACTTGATATACTAAACTCAAGATCTAGGTATCGAGCGAGAGATGAAAATATGTCATACTCAGCCACATCTAGTTCCGCCCATGAAGCTGGTGGTCTATGATGACCTCCCCTAGCAGCCCAAGCATCCATCAGCATCGCAACTCACTGTCGTCATGGCTGAACGGAAGCCGACATCTGGCCTCGCGAGCTTCCACTCGGGCGAGTATGTCCATGAAAAGATCCTCGACTATGCCATTGAAGATCAGCGCACCTTCAGATTTTCGCAGAGTACAATCATTCCAGTCACCAGGATTCCATGGGTCAGAGACCCTGCAGACCCCTGCCTCGATTAAATATCAACCACTGGATCTCCGTATACATCGATCAGGTAATCGACTATCGGAATTACCTTCCTTCGACTCTTTCCAGCTGAACGAAAGCCCCCAGCGCATGACGCTGCCGGCCCCACCTCGTGCCCTAACCACCTCCACCAGCGTTCGAGATCGCCGCTGTCAAACGACAGTCGTGGTTTCCCGCAAACCAGTCGGATCGCAAAAGCGCCGCTCGCTAGGGAATTCCCTGTCCATGGAAAACCCCGTTCGAATCACCAGCAGCTTGGTTCCGCATTTCTCTACGGTCACCCCTGTCGAGATTCCAATCCAACTGGCTCCAGCAACTTCTCCAATTCATCGCGAGTCGAAGCTAAGAAGCAGTGAGCTGACCTTGAGCACACCATTGTCAAATCAGGTAGACTATAGTCAACCCTGGGCAAGAGTTCCTGAAACACCACCTGCATCGAAGAGTCTAGTCACAGACTCGGCGAGCACCTCGCCCTCGAACTACTCACCAGTGTCCAAGGACACACCTTCGTCCGCCAGCTCTCGAACGATGCCATCGAGACTATCTTCACTCCGCCATCCCTCCATCCCCAACTATGATAGCCGACCCGCAATCCCTTCAACTCCACCCTCTTTATCCAACCGCGTCACCCAGTGGATGTTCCCTACAGACATGTCCACAAAGCAGATCTCCCCGCCCGAAGACAATTTCAACTGGGAGCGAACTCGCACGCTTAGTGGCACGACCGTCGCATCGGCTTCGACTGTCACTGGTGCCAGAGCTCGGAACAACAGTTCCATCTCGAGTCTCTTTTCAAGTGCCATCACACCGCGCACATCGTTCTCATTTCATCATTCACCTGCAACAGAGAAAGATCTGGAGTCTGGTCTTTGTCACCCAACTATATTTGAGGGACAGCAGCAAGATCTTCCTCTGTGTGCATACCCGACCAATGATCACACGCGCTTCCGTGAGTCTGATATCGGCTTGGCGTTTTGAGCCTGCAAAATCTCTGTCCGCATTACTTTCGGGCTATCTTTTGATTCCGTTACTGCCTATACTCTCAGTCTCTCTTTAATACTCGACGGCCGAAATTTCCGGTCTCTTGCTTGCTTGTTCTTGTTTTGGTTGGAAATATTGCCCGGTCTTTGCGTTGGAACTTTTCAGAATACCCCATTTTAGGTTATGGTTGGGTCTTTGCTTGATACATGGGATAATGTGTGGTAACTAATATTTATCTTGCGATCAATTAGTCCTACCTCAAGGTTTTGCTAGAAGTTTCTAATCCACTTTTATTGCTGAAAGGCTGCACACAACGTAGGGAGAGAACTGGAAATCTCATGTTTTTGCATACCCAAGAAAGGACGAAACAATCCATACCAGTGGCGTGTTGCGATATACAAGTCACCAACAACGCAGTCTGGTAGACATATCAGGGTGGATCAACGGCACCCTCCAGGGTTGTCCCTTTTCCTATATGCAACCTTGGAACCTTGGAAGGTTTGTTTGCTGAAATTGGTGGTTATCCAACCATACTACAACTATCATCGCGGCACCCAGCCCTGGAGGCCCGTGGGTGCATTTCACGAGGTCCCAGGGTTCCAATTGAAGGGTCAAGATCTCCCGAGCTCGAACCTTGAAAACCCTTCAACCACGCAATGATTCGATTCCAAGGTCGAAGTGTAACAGGCTGTCTACCTAGGTAAGTCCCGAGGTCAATAGTTGAAACAAACACCAGTGCAAACCTTGCTGGGTAGTACAGCGCAGGACTTCGAGGTTAGAATGCATTCATCATGAAAGTCACATCACTTGTATGAAACAGAAGTTAATTGTACACAAGGTCCAAAGCTAGCTATCTCTGAAGGGTATCTCAAAAAGAACAATATAGCTGCTGGGAAGACAAATATGGCACAATAACGATGGATGGGAAAGAACTACAAAATATGTACCGCCACAATCGACCCAGCTGGCTTGAGGATACGGTCGATCGAATGGAATGAAACAGTCAACTCAGTCCGTAGACACGATCTCAACACCATCTGGCGCGGGTGCGATCAAAGAGCCAGTTTTACGGTGCTTCTGCATGCCCAGGATCTGCCAGGCACGGCCCATCATGCCGTGGCCTAGGCCTTGGGGGAATTCAACCGAGCCTTTGTGAGCATGTCTAGACACACGATCCCGCATCGCACGCTCCTGCTTGGCAGCGACTAGACGGTCCTGTTCACGTTCGTGGTTGACAATATCGTCACGCCACTCAGCCCAGTGCTCAAAGTTCTCACGCTGTTGAAGAACCTGGTAGCGTAGGCGAGTCTTGGATGGGCGCCAGGTGGCGCGGTTGATCTGGTCACCCTCACCGCCGGATGGGGCAGCCATTGTGGATTTGAGATCGGTGACATGAGAATCGCGGGTCAGCTTGAGCAAGTGAGTCATCACATCTCGGCTTTCGAGAGCAGTACGCTGGACCTTCTCTTGCTCAGCAGTAGGCTTGGCACGTGTGAGCGGTGCGTCGAGCCATGCGTGCATTTCCGTAGATCGCTGGATCGAGTACGGGTCGAGGATGTTCGAGCGGCGATTCTCTTCGCGAAGGAAACGCACTGCTGCCTGCAAGCTGGCAACCTCGGCGCGAAGACTTTCGTTCTCGTGCATGGCAGCCAGGGAGGCCTCGCTGTCGATAACAACGCCATTGCCTGAGGTGGTCAAGCCCGCTGACCCTGACATCCGCTTCATTCGTTCGAGACGAGCCATGACTTCATCTCGCTCGGTTTCGGCGGCCGCGAGATCTTTCCTATGCTGATCAAGCGTGGACTCAAGCTCGCCTGTCACAACCTGGATTTCCTCGATCTTAGTTTCGAGATCCTTGACCATGGCAGCCTTCTTGCTTGCTTCTCTCATCCGGGCCTCTAGGTGTTCGATCTTGAGACCTTGTTCCTCAAGAGTGTTGTCTTTTACCCCGAGGGCGGCAGAGGCTTCGTGGATTTCATTCTTCAGCTGGCGGATTTCTTCGTCGGCATCGGGAGAAGTCATTTTGTTGGACTTCAATTCCACGGAGCGCGCAATCCAAGGAAACGCGCCTCTCTCAAACTCTGTTGTGCGAGATAGATCTGATGCGATGGCAGCGAGTTCTTCAAACTGCTCGCCAATTTCCCGCAACTTTGTAAAAAGCAACAAGACAGGGTCATTGCTGTCTTCTGGGCTTTCGGACGAGGCGAAAGGCACGGCCGCCTGTGACATGGTGTCCAAAATTTCCTGTGGGCTGTATGGCTCTATACGGCCCTCGTCACTAGTGAGAATAACTAAGCTTTCGCCAACCTTTCGAGCAAAGTCCAGAAGATGTCGAGTATCCTGCTCGACCTTTTTGAAGGGTTCATCGGACTCCTTTGATAGCGCCAGTGATCTCGAGCGCAGGTCGTCAAGTGCTCGGCTAATCTTGCCCATGGACACCTTGTACCCACGCGCCTGGGGGTCGAAAGCGCTCAGTTTCTTCAGAGCAACCAATGGCTCTTCATCTCCCTCCTCCGCTGCAGCCATCTTTGAGCTGATGATGGCATTTACGCGCGTGATAGCAGTAGCGGCGTGGTCGAGGTAAGACTGGGATAATTTGGCTCGTAAACATAGTTCGTCGGCAAACTTCTCCATGCTCGAGGGAAGAAGAGTCTCCGCAAGGTGTGCAAGAAGAGCGATAGAACGCTGCAACTCGACTGCAAACTTGGCAAGATTGACCTCGTTCTTCTTCACAGTCTCGATCCAAAAGTTCAAGGTACGTTCAACTGGCTCCATTTCAAACAAGGCAACCTTGATGTTCACAAATTGCTCAGGCGAACAAGCCGTGACATAGTTCACAAACTGAGTGCACACATTTGAGATCCACATCAGACATCCTAAAACCTCTTGGGCCTGGAAAACTTCTTCATGCGGGACGGTGGAGTGTTCAGAGCCCTTGTCTTGTAGAGTGGTGTGCATGACATTCGCCTTGAATCCAACACGCTTGAATCGGAGTAGGGCTTGAATAGAGTTATCTTCACCATCAAAGTATTCAGGAAGATACAGCTTGACCATAGAAAGTTGCTGTGCGGCCTCCTCGGCCTCCATGCGGTTCAATTCGACATCAATGAAGCTGGCCTGAGACTTTGTCGTATTGGCCTGTAGTTTAGTAGCCAAATCCTGCATTGTGCGTTGACGCGCTTCGTTTTCGATGGTCTCCGCCTCTGAGAGTTGTTTCGTAGCGCGCATGTCTTCCAAGTCTGTCTGGAGGTTGGAAACCAGTTCTCTGAACCGATTAAGCGTATATTCAAGGTCAACAATGACCTCGTCTTGTTGGGTTATCTTTCGGCATTGGTCGCTGAAGACACCCTCTCGATAGTCAATCTCTTCTTGGAGTTGCTTTTCGGTCTCGATATGGGTGTATTCCATCTCGTCACTGATCTCCCTCAAAGACTCCAAATCTTCGATAGCGGCCTTAAGCTCGTTGATTTCATCTTGGTAGCGCATGTTCTTGTCTGCCAATTCTTCAATCATTTCTTCGGCGCCTAGTGCACTCTCCAGTTGCTGCTTGAGATCGTCGACGTTCGTTTCGGCGGCCAGCAGTTTTTCTTTGGTTGCCTCGTACTCGGATTTCACGGTCGAATACTCTTCAAGGTCATCCTCCATCTCTTTGATCTGGGCTTTGAGATCTGATTCTTGTTGCTGTGTCATATCGCGCAAGCGAATGAGCGCTTCGCGCAAACGCTCGTTGGTCTTCTCCATCTGGAGCCATCCATGGCTGGACCGTTCTTCAGGACTTGTGACTTGGCTGAATTCTTCATTCTCCTCGCGGAGAACCTCCACCTCCAGGTTCAACTCATCCATCTTGGAACGTAGCGCTGCGCATTCATGCTTGAATGCCTCGGCGGTTTCTTCTGCCATCTCACGGTCCAGTGCAGCCATTTCCATGAGTGATTCATGCTCAGCTTGCATCCGCTCTACATCATCGTAACGAGCCTCGGTATCCTTCAGCTTTTTGCGCAGTTCTGTGATCTCCATTTGTTGTGGTTGGTATTTAGCCTGGAGTTTCTGGATGATTGTTTCAAACTTGTCACGTTCAGACTGGAGCTGCTCAAGTGTCTTCAGCTTTTCTCGATCGTCGGATCGTTTCTTTTCCATGACCTTGAGCTTGGCATTCAGTTCCTCTAGCTCGCGGTTTAAGGCGCCAGCCTGCGATTGTCGCGAAGGGGCAGGAGCCGGGGCCCCGGGTCGCGAACCTGTGGGGCGCGTGGCGGTCATCGATTGTCGAGGGCCTTTTTGTGCAGGAGCAGCATCCTGTGCACCCTCCCCTTCAGTGTCGGGCGATTCGGTGTCGGTTGGATCTCCGGACTGTCCACTCATCCCAGTTTCCCTTCCATCTGATGCTTTTGTAGTACCAATCTGTCGTAATGACGGGCGCTTCGATAAGCCCCCCGTTGATGAGGCCACTGTACTTTGGGAGCCTGGTCGCGACGTCCGGGAAGCTGGTCCAGATACCGAAGGTCGTGCAGCCCTGGTCGCCACTGGTTGATTTGCGGAAGGTCCCAAGGAGCTTCTGGCACCGGGGGCCAGTCGGGGTCGATTGGGTGCCACTGTGGAAGTGCGAGAGGTAGCTCCAACTGATGGGCGTGTTGCATGGCCTGCTGTGCTCACGAGCTGTTTGGTTGGAGATTTGGTGGGTGACTAAGTTTGCAAATTTCTGTTAGCAGGATACTCAGTCCTATGGATCACAAGAGGCCGGGACGTACTCGGAGCGACGATCGAGCGGCTGCACCCCTGGGCGCTGGAGTCGGCGTAGAAGCTGCATTGACGCTCTGCCGCCTCGTATTGACGGGCGGAGCTCCGGTCTGTTTCCTCAGACCAGCAGCAAGGCCAGATTGGGGCTGCGCTTTGCTGCCTGCAGCGGTGGTTGCGGGTTTGGTGGTTTGTTTACTCTCCCGGAGAGGGTTTGGGATGACTTTGCCAACGACTGTTGGGCGAACGAACATGCCATAGCCTGGCTCACAATCGAAGTATCGCTCTCCTTGAACTGATCCATCGTTCTTTCCGGTTGCTTCATTCAACTCGAGGCCTATCCATTCTCCGGTCGCAAAGTGAGTGGCACCTATGAAGCGCACAGTTGCCTGCCGTCCATCGGTCAATTCTATCACTGAGCCGGCAGATATGTCACCGGACATTGTGCAGAGGGTTCAAGAGCCAGGATCAGCCCTTGAACAACACTTGATGACACTTGGATGTTGAAAAGGCGGAGACTCGGAGGCTCAGGAGTTGACGCGCTCCGCTGATCGCCCAATGCCTGAGGCAGAAACGAAGACGCTTCAAAGTTACAGAGTAATAGAATTAAATTAAGGAAGATGGAAGATAGATATTACTATCATAAGGCCAATATCTTACTCTAAGTAACTAATCTTATATCCCCAATCCCTAATTCTCTGTTGACGACTAAGGAAGGACAGTCAAAGAGACAGTCAAAAAGACACCTAAAAAGACACTTAAAAAGACAATCAAAAAGAGGTCCCGAAGTTGATGATAGCTATCTTCCGTTGCCGATCGAAATACTCCGTACAAGATTCCAAGGTTAAGCTAATACATAACTCCAGGGCTTCTCCCGCTTATAGGCAACTATTATCGTCTTCTTGACCGCGACACTAAGGCTTGTAATATATATATTTGCTTTTTATAAAATAGATACCATCAGACCTTTTTTTTTTAAGAATAACTTATAGTTTAACAGTTATTGATAATAGCCGGGGTAATAAGACTGATGAATAGGTAAATATCCCATTTGAATACAAATACAGACGGAAAGAACGACCTCGGGAATAGATAGACACAATCATATACTCATAGTCATGAACCAAAGAATCTAGGAACAGTAAAGGGTATCAGGGCGATTCTAATCTATGCATCGCTGTTTGATGTTTGCTTGAAGGCAAGTGGGAAATGAATACGGAGTTCCTCAAGACTTGAGATCACGTATTTCGATGCTGGCTTGGAGGGTATGGGGACCCCCGGCTCGACGAGGTGAGCTGTTGTCCAGCCTCGAGCAGTTGCATGAACACAATTCAAATGCGAGTCATCTGTGTTGTCACATAGTTAGTATGATACGTTTAGTCTTTGCGCAGAGCTGTGCAGTTCACATACCGACGAAGTAGCATGACTCTGTGCTGGGCGCACCGGCTTCCTTCTCCGCTTTGGCGTACATGTCCTGACTCGGTTTGCAAACCAACGGCAGTTTCCCATAGTCACAGTAAGTGATGCCCTCGAAGAGATCTTCAATCCCGAGCAACTTCACGACCCGCTTTCCGTGATTCACGTAGGCGTTCGTGAGCAACCAAGGCTTCACCTTCGTGGTATCCAAGTCCTCAAGCAGCTCGCGCAGCTTGGGATCAGGCTTGAGAATTGTATTCAGCGGGAGGGCATCATCAACTTCGTAGTTGAAAGCGAGGGGGTCGATCTTGTGGTGACGAGTGAGGCCCTCGATGGCGAGACCGTACTCTTTGTAGTACTTCTGGTGCAGCATGTGGGCATCTGAGGAATTGAGGTCAAGATGTTTAACAAAGAACTTATCTAGTAAGAGAGTTGAGTCAGTTTCGGATCTCAAACGGGTTCTCCAGCAATACTCACTGATCAATGTCTGCATCTCATCATGGATGTTGCAAGCTGCGCGCAAGTCAATGGTTAGTAGTAACTCATTGAGGCCTGCAATTGCGCCAACTAACCTTTGGAGTAAAGCTAGAGAAGCATATTAGAATTGACAGAGCTCGACACACCATATGCAAGCGATCTTCACTTACACAATTGTCAATATCAAAAAAGAAGACTGGCCGTGAGTCACTGACCCTCGCGCTGCCGTTGGTCGCCATGGGTCTGGTATTGCAGAATCGGAAGGATGAATGTATACAAGAAGGTTTAGCGAGGTTCACAAGAGGCTTTGAAAACCGAGGTAGAAATGCCGATGGCTGATACATGGGAGAGTAGGGGCGCTTGAACCCATTCGCCCGCTGTTCTTCCCCCCCGGGCCCCGTGCCACGTTCCCCGTGACCTTACCTAATCCTGCGCGCGGCCCGTTGAGCTGTTTTCTCGTGGACTTTTTGCGCATCCCGACTTTTTTGCATTCATTTGTTCAAACTTCTCTGGATATCAGAGTGGTCTGAGTGATATTTTGCATCAGACCTGCTGGCTATCAGATCTGAGCTCAGTGTCGACTAAATCCTATTTCCCCCAAATAGCTTCACCGGTCCCTCTCTCCCTAGCTTCCATTTGGACCATGGCTGCAACTCATGGTACAGCAACTCACCTACCAGCAGGTTCGATGGCTACTTCAGCGCTGTTGCCGGGAGATGAGCTTCTAGAATATCAAAAAATATTGGCCATCAAGGACCAAATATTCTCTGGGACTCATCCCCGACTCAGTGTGCCTCAGCATCTTGTACGGAAATCGGGGTCCGGAAATGGCAAGGATGCTTCTGCACAGGCGCAGCAACCTCAGCCAACAAATGCAAAGGCCAAGCCTGCTCTGGAACCCCCATCCGTACCAGATTCTGTCAAAATCCCCCACCAAAGCTCGGATAGTACCGTGAATACGAACGCGCCCTCCGCACCAAAGTCTGATCGCGTGGTTCCGAAGCCCACATCAGAGATTAATCCGATCTTCTTGACGAAGTCGGACGACTTGCTCAGGGCAGAGCAACAGCTACAAAGACAGAGATTGGAGAGAGCGCTACGCGATCAAGTGGAACTCCAGAAGAAGGAGTCCAGGCAGAGACCTGCAGTCCAGGACACAAAACCCGAGTTTGACGTTTCGGAGGTTTTCAAGCAAGCTCTAGAGGTGGTGAAGCCAGTCTCGCTGAGCGATCCATCTGAGTCCAGTGGCCCTGGTGATGATTCGTTTGACGACAATTCATTTTACTCCAGTAGAGCTCCTGATTCGCCTCCTATGCCGCAGCGAAAGCCGTCCCCTGTGGCCATTGCAACGCCCACAAGCCCTGCTGTCCGTGCCCCAGTAGCTTACGGGGATGAGTTGCAGCGCCTTGAAGCTCTTAACCCCGGATCTGATCTGGAAATGCAAGATGCTTACCTTGTTGCTGACCAGCGTCCCTCCTTTTCTCAGAAACAGGCTACTCGTCAAAAAGCAGAGTCTTCCGCTAGCCGATTGCATCATTCACAACAGATGGATGTCGAAGATGAACCTGATTACTCTCCACCTGCTCCAGCGGCGCCACCCACTGATCACCGCGATTACCCCCATGGGATTGAAAGTGCTACGGAACGACAGCCCCGAGCGGATACCAGATATGCCGACAAAACGCAAGCTTTCCGCGAACCCCCGTCGCCTGCGAATGTCAGGGTAGTGCGGAATCACATCACGTCGCCGGCAGCACCCAGACCCTCTCGCGTCTCTCCGTTGGCTGTGGCCAAGGCTCCCTCCGTTCAGCAGACTCGAGCTGAGCGACCTGAGAATTCCTCTATCCAACTTTACTCAGATCCAGACTCTGCTCGTGGCAGCCCCAATGCCCCAGTTCCTAACTTGATGTCCCGCAAAAGAAGACGGTTGCGAGAAGGTGACAGTGGAATGCGACAACCATCAAACAGAAGACAAAATGTAGAGCCTACGGAGACATTGATCAAGGAAGAGCCCGTCTCGCCGCCACCATTTGCCGATGATCCCTGCACGGCACGCAACAGACACCCTCAAGAGCGTCCTGTCTATATTGACATAGCGTCTCCACAGTACGCTCCAATGTACGAAAGTCGGGTGCCCCCAATGCGAGAGGCAGTCTATGATGTTGACCCGTATCATGAATATGCACCTGAGGCAGGGCCCCAGCGCACGATCTCTCGACTCAGTGTCAGGCGGCCTGAGGCAGCTGATCTTCGCCGTGTTGCTAGTGTGCAATATGCCCGCCAACCAGACTATTCTCGTGAGTACATTGAGGCACCGCCACGCCCTATGCGAGCTGCATCGCACGTTGTGGAACGCCCGGTTCAGGAGCGTCTGAGGTACTATGAAGAAGCACCGACTTACCCACAACCTCGTTATGTCCCTGTGGACGACATGCCACCCCCAGGCTACCGGGAAGCTTATTACGAAGAAGCACCGCCCGTCCGAGTCATGGCACCCCCTCAGCGTCGCATTGTGGTCGATGAGCACGGAAATCAGTACTACGAACTGTTGCAGGCTCCGAGACTTCAGCCAATGGCACCACCACCTCCACCTCGTCCAGTATCGCAAATGCCGAAAGATGTCTATGATGAACGTCCAGCTCAACATCACAACCCCACTGTTCGCGCACCTTCAGTCGTCCAAGAGCCGTACAGTGAGCGACGCTACGTGCAGGAAATGCCCCCGCCTCAGCCAATCTACCGCCGTGTCGCATCAGACTATGCTCGCCCTGCGCCAGCCCATGAGCGACAGACCTATGCCGCCCCCTATGAAGGTTACGAGCCTTATCCACGCAGCGGCAGCGTACAAGTAGCCGAGTATCTTCCACCTCGTCACACAGTCTATGTTGATGAGCGTGGGGTGCCCCAAGAGAGAGTGGTTCGCACAGCGAGCGTTCATCCCCAACAGCCTCGGTACGAAGAGCCACACGATGTTGTTCAGCGAGTAGGAAGCGTTCGACCAATCGCTCCTGGCCGTGAGCCGAGTGTCTTCATGGAGGAAAGACCTTTGGGAGAATACGTTGAGAGACCTTATTACATCAGAGAGAGACGCTACTATGACAGTGAGGTGGAAGGAGGCGAGCACGTTGCCTATGATGGCGCGAACGATTCGGCCCAACGAGCCCCCCAGCGTTATCAGTAGCATGTCAGGTTTGATTGACTTTTTGGGTGCATTGAACTTGTGCGAACTGCGCATTACCTCGTGACTTTGTATCTAAACAAATTTCAGCGACTTGAGCAATATCACATGCATCGTCCTGGATTCTTTCTATGTACTAGCTTTGGTCTAATAGTCCGACCTAGAACAACATTCATAAGGCCATCTTGGTGGACAATAAAAAGACCTCTTAGGATGAAACAACACCCATCTGTTAATTCGAACAAAAATACTGAAATGACAGGTTTAAACAACACCAAGATGTATATGCCCGTTCAAGGAACAACCTTGTCAGCTAGAATTCAGATCTCACCATCGCATAACTCTCCCGGTGGGGTGTCTTCCCTCAACGACCCTGCTTCCTTGATAGGGCTGAATTCGGGGCTTTGCCGAACTTAAGAGAGAAGGGAACAACGCTATTTTCCTCCGAGCTGTGGCTTATGTTTACTCTTTCAGTATAACCCTTGCTCCTATCTATGTAATTCGATCTTCAAAGACCGATTCACTCTTGTGCTTACTCTCCCAAATTGCAATCCCAAAGCCTCGCACGAGGATATCATTTCACATTGAGTTCCCACTTCTAAATTTAGATCTGGTTCTAACAAGATTGGAAAGCAAATAAGGAGCCCAGAAAATTACAACCCGGTACTCCGTACGGTGTACTTGAGATTGATCTCGAAAGGGTTGCGAGGCTAGCGTGCCCCTTTCCAATGATGACCTGCCAAATCAAGAAATGGCTGCCATAATTGGTAGATTAGCACTTCAAATCTCTCGCTTGCAATTTGTGTAAGTCTGAGGTCTTAGGTTTGGGCCACTCGAGTGTATTAGTGAAGATGTCTTCAAGTGTACATAGAATCATGCTCTGCTTCCTATTGGCCTTAGATCCATGGATACTGGGATCCAAGGTCATAGGTGAGTGACTTAAGCGGGGAAAACAGGGATTTGAGACCACCGCACCAAACGGGCGATAGCTTTGGAGCCTGGTGGTTGGGACAGCCCTCGTTACGATCTTGGAATGGGAATATGAGTTGAGAATGTAAGGAAAAGGTTCCCATCGTCATCTGATCTTTTCTTGGCTTCGATGAGAACATTTCACTTGAGATCTTCCCTGAGAAATGGATCAAATCTGACCAGTCGTAGCTTATGGCATCTACAGGAGTGGTCCCCAATGCTCGCCTAGGCAGGTGAACGGAACTGGGGTGATGGTGAGACATCGCAAATCGAATGAGATCCTTGGACCTTGACCAAGTGTTTGATGAAAGATGCCCAGGTGGCATATCAGGCAGACATCGGGACCTGCGGGTGATACAAAATCTAGTAACTGAGCCCCCACGAATCAACTTTCTTCGACACGTATGGCAACATGCACCTTTAGGTGTTGTGTTTTTTTCAATCCTTGCAAACCTGGAAGCGCTACTATGAAGTCAACAATATCCCAGATATAACCTCAGCATTGTTGAGGCGAGGTGTCACAAGATCTTGTGTAGTGAAGATTCCAACATTCCCGACGAATATATAAACGTGGAGAAATCTCACCTACGGCGACATGATTTATATCTGCAAATCTCTGACCCAACTCGTCTACATTTTACATATTCAAGTGCCTACCTATTGACTTGAAGACATTCCAGTCTATCAATATGAAGTGTCCGACTATCTCTGCCATCTGCGTCCTCGCGCTTGCGGTTCTCGCCTTCGCTGACGACAAAAAGACGCGCGAAGACCTGCGATCATGCGTGACTCAACAACTTCGTGATGACAATCAAGTTGCAATTAAGGACAACAAACTCAGCAAAAGCGAGCTTTCCAAGCTTGAATCTCTGATCAATCACGAGGTTGACCAGATTCCTCTGCGGAAATACGACGATCAGAAGCAGCAAAACTCTATCAACAACATCAAAGAAGCCGCAGTAGACTCTCTGCCAAGTGTTTCAACTGAAACGCTGCATGAAGTTTTGTTTAAACTGAAAGCAACAGCTGGGTATTGTGTGACCGACTTGAAAATAAACACAAAGTAGTCGCTTTGTGCAAGGGACTGGACGAAGCAAGGAATGATGGTGGTGCAACTTCGTAGTCATATTGCAATGCTCGTTTCCCGTTTCCATCGTTCGGCTTGCATATTTGTGATAGGCACTTGCTCAAGAAGAGCCTAAAGCAGACATCAATTGGTGACATTGAAGCAAGTCATGACTTCCGTGACGCGTGTACGGAGTAGCTAGTGTCAAGATTAAATAGGCAAGCTCGTTTCAGACATCCGTGTATGGTCTGATCTTTTGCTCTACTGTTCTGCTCAATTGGCACTGCCATGTGTGTAGCTATTATAGAAGTAGGGCGAGTACCATATCGAATCTTGGAAACCCGGCGAAAGCAATGCCGAGGCTTTACCTAACGTCATGTTGGTACTAGCTGCATGACAAGAGGTTTCTAAGGCTACGCTAGCCTGGGCTACTTGTAACTATTGTCCCAACCCGAAGAAGGGAAGTTCTAGAAGATACACCAGCCGCAGTGTGATCGCGGTGGGTTTACACTATCTGAAGCTATCGCCAAGTTCACGACTTGCAGATCCAAGGCCAACGAAAACCCACAGGCCGCAATCAAGGTCAGGCCCCCAAAGCACTTTGTGCCTAAGCGAAGGATCGAATCGCGATGGTTCTGGACCCCACACGTACCGCAAGTACAGAGAAAAGCGCATGCTACCAAACACACGGGTTCTGGTACTCCGTACACTCGTGCGGAGTACGTAGTTCAAGGAACTTGGGATAGGGTGGAAGCTTTCCTCTTGTTGAGGTACTGCGGCTGGATTGTCACGATTGTGCCAGCCCGTATTGACATATGCGTATGCAAGAGCCGGTATAGTATTCTGTCGACAGGCCACTTTCTGCTGAGGGTGGCGTCGACCTTCCCCAGGACGCAGCTGATCATGTCGCAGCAGAAGAGATACTGTACAGCATATTCTGTAGTGCACCGGTAATTTTCGAGAGGTTTCTATAATTCGCCAGGGCACTACGGAGTAATTAAGAGCAAAACAAGGATTTCCAGCACCAAGTCTCAATGCGAAACCGGGGAACGGGGCCCCTGCAGTCATTTGAAAACCAGTCCGGTCCACCCAGTCGGAATTGATTACGATGCTTCGATGCTGTCGACTCTGAAGACCCCACTGGCCTATACGAGCAAATGACGTCGTCCATTTCGGCTTGCAGCTTCCAACAGGTGAGGCACCTCAGGCCTTGTACTTCATACAGAGAGAACGGTTTTTTTTTGCAGATCAATGCGTATTGGGTGAGTATCAGTACTCGGATGCACAGCATGTTTCCCCCGATAACAGACTCATACATAGTGTGTATGAGTACTCCTTAGGCAGCATTATGATCAGTGTAAAGAAGGCCCACATGTCCAACCCCTCAGTGTGCTCCCGGCTCAGCCGGGTCCCAGGAGTCTCAGGCCCGCAAGCCTTGTGGATCGGAGACTTTGTACACGGTGTACGGAGTATACAGGGCTCTCCTTCCCGGGGCCTATAAGATGATCTACCCGTGTATAGAGACGGAATGACTCGGATTGTCGGGGATCGTACCACTAGACAGAAAGAGAGACACTCTCTGCACAGCCTTGAGAGACGCGCATACCTCACGTGACTGTACTAGAAAATGTATTGTATGTGTCTAGTACATATATGACTAGCAGTGTTGTCAAGTACTCTGTATGGTGTATTTAATTATGCAGTACGGAGTACGGTGTACGAAGAGTCTGGAGCAGGGGAATAAATACCTGGCAAAGCAATATTGGATACATTCACCTTGCCAAGAAAGACCCTTGCGACGGCCATTTGCATCCTTACCAAGAAGAACCCTTTCTCTATTATGGAGACTAGGAAATTTAGCCAGCGCTAGAGCTAAGCTAGAAATCTAGTTTAGTGGAATATCGTTCAATTTGAATAAAGTCTACTTCGTACAGGAAGTGCTCCATTTTAACGTGAAGACCCTAATTTGATGGCCTGAAAGCCTGAAGATACCCTTCCAACGCTGGAAAAACAACCAACTATTTATGGAGTACTTCGTACTGATAATGATAGGTTTCTAGTAAACAATAGTATTCAAGGTCGCTAGCTTGCTATAGATCACTAGGAAAACCCTTCTATTCCCAATCGTGTTTAGTTGTTCTGGTTGGCCCCATCGATCATCGTTTCCACCATTCCGGATCGAAAACGCCCACACTTGGTCATTCCCATCCCTGTCGAGAACGGTCTTTCTTCCTCACCCTCTCCCTCCCTCTCTCCCTCTCCCTCTCTCTCTCTATCCCCTCGACTCGCTCAAGGGGTTAGAGATCTCTCTCACTTGGACATGCACAAGATATCCAACTTTACGGGCCAGGCCCGTCATGGTTGGGAACGAATGACGCCGACTTTCGGGATGTCCAGACCTCACACCGACATGGCCTTTCGCCGACCACACGGTGCGCCGCCGATGACGCCGCCGACGAGCATCGACCCTACCGTCAACCTGTCCTTCAACGTCCCATTTTCATCGACCCTAGCCGGTCCCGATGTCGAGGACGTGCTCCACGCTAGCCCCGGCGCCCTCCAGCGCTGGACCTTCCCAGAAGGGACCCCAGAAGGAACCTCTGTGCATCAACTACCCGTACACACGAATAATGTCGAGGGCCTTCAACGATTATGCCGGAAGATCACGGAGGAAAAAGGTGGACGGGTGGAAGCCACGCTCACGACCTCGGAGGCCAAGGCTGTGCCCTCGCTACAACGCCGCCCAAATGGTTTGGTGACGAATGTTTGTGTTACTGGAGATGGAGAAATGGCGCGCAAGATGCGGGCGAAAATCTTGAACGAGACACCGATCATGCTGGTACGTGGATGAAATTTTTCGATGTCGGCACCGACAGGATTTTCACGCCCTCCGGCAGCCCTTGCTAATACTCGGCCCTCTAGCGATGTGCGACCGTCGATGTTGACATGCACCTTATCATGGATGCCTCGCCAAAGGGCATCAGAGCCAGCGTGCTGGACCACCTCGATACCTTGGCTGCCTACACCGGAGCCGATATCTTCCTGCTAACCCCCAAGCTCCACGATGCGGATAGTGCGGTTGTGTCATCCTACGGTTACGCCTCAGACAACGGTCTGGACCAGCGATTCCGAGTGGCCATTTACGGTGACTTGGAGAGCTCGGAGCATGCCAAAACGAGAGTATTGATCATGATTGACCAAATCGTAAGTCTCGCTACATGCGCGGGATTCTTCACCAGCTGACCAGAACCTAGCTCAAACGCCACGTGGACGCTATCAAACTCGACTCGACGATGCACACCTTGGTCTGTGGCCGCACTCGCAAGAACATCAAGCTTATCGAGGCCGCTACCGGCACCGCGATCTACTTCCCCCTCCATTCCCCCAAATCTTCGGCTATATTCCGCCCGGTGCGAATCGCCGGAGCGAGGACGAGGTGTACATCACTGGTGAGACACCTGAGCAGATTGCTCGTGCTAAGCAGAAGCTGCGCGAACTGGTGATGGGCGTGAAGATCTTTGTGAAGGATGTGGTTGTCAGCTCTAGCAAGATCGACAACATCTTGCTCGACCGTCTGGATAAGGTGCGAAAGGTGATGGAGATGAACGGATCCTACGTGCTGTTCCCCCAGCTGGGAAGCCAGCGAGGCCTCGTTCGAATCCAAGGCACTGAGGTGCTGCACGTTGAGCGCACCGTCAGGGAAATCATGGCACTTGTACGTTGTATATCATTATCTTGGCTGGGCCTCGCTAATCATTTGCAAACTAGGCTGGGCAATTCTACAGTGCTTCTTGGTGGATTATTATGACCGATCCCGCCCAAGGGGGCCTTCGAGCTCCCTCGACTGCCGACATTCGCTCCATGCTATCGGATATCTGCACTAACTCCGAAGCCGAGGTTAGCTTTGACAATCTGACTTTCACGATCAACGGCTCCGATGATGCCGTAAAGGCCGCTATGACAGTCATCAATCAGATTCCCTTCGTCATGCGCAGCCAATACCAGATGCGTGTGAAGATCGAGCTTGCCAACGAGCACAAGGAGTTCGTGAGCGGCAAGAAGAACGGCAAGATCAACAAGATCATGGGCCAGAGTGAGTTTTGACCAGAAATCTGGCTGCGGAATTGAAAGCTAACTATTCACAGGCAATGTCCAGATCATCTTCGACGGCTTCAACGAGTACAACTTCTACATCGACGTGTGCGGCAACCAGTACGAATCGACCAAGAACGGTCTCGACCTTGTTGAGCAGGAAATGCCCGCTTCTATCTCATTCCACGTGCCCGATCAATACCACAAGCGGATCATTGGAATTGGTGGTCAGCACATTCAACGCATCATGAAGAAGTACTCTGTCTTCGTGAAGTTTTCCAACGCTATGGACCGTGGTGGTATGGGCAAGGAAGATGACGACATCAAGGTTGACAACGTTATCTGCCGGACCCCTGCTCGCAACGCCCAGAGCTTGGACCTCGTCAAGCAGGAGATTATGGACATGGTTGAGAAAGTGGTAAGTTTCATTTTGCAAGCAGCGTTGACAAGCAAGCTGACGGACACTCTTAGGACGCCGAATACGTCTCCGAGCGGGTCGTTATCAACCGCTTGTATCACCGTGAGCTCCTAGCCCGTATGACTGAGATCGATGAGCTGGAGAAAAAGTGGAACTGCAAGATTGAGTTCCCTAGTACGGAACTTGCCAGCGATGTTGTCACCATTTCTGGCCCTGAGTACCAGGTTCCTCAGGCGGTCGACGCTTTGCTTGGAATGGTCCCAGAAAGCCACGAGCTTCACTTCCAGAGCTCGGTGGAGCTTCAGGACTACTTCAAATGCCCCGATTTCCTTGCAGATGTTCGAACCAAGCTCAAGGAGCAGTATGAGGTTGATATCAACGTTGACGTTGGCACCGACCTCCCCACTACTGCAGAGGAAGGCTCCGGATCTTCCTCTCCCGTCCCCGGTCCCGAAGACCGTGTGGTTCTTGGTTACACCCGCAACAACGCCGGTGGACTGAAGGACGCGATCGATTTCCTGATTTCCCGCCTCGTTGCGCACGGTCTCGACGCCAACACCGTCAAGGGAGCAATCCCCCGTCCCAAATCTGACTCGTTCGAAGAGTCTCTACCATTCTTCGACTCAAAGTTGTTGCAGCACGCTCCTGCGCCCCTCTCCACCGACTCGCCCACTCGGCCCAACTTCTCCGACGAAACCAGTGAGCGGGGATCGATCTTCGAGCGCCTCCGCAAGCCCGGCAGCATCTCGTCTTTCTCCTCGTTCATTGGCCGCAAGAACCACTCCGCCTCGCCGGGTTCGTTCTTCAAGCACGCATCGAGCAACGCCTCCAAGGCCTCGCTCGTCTCCATGGAGTCGCGTGACAGCGGCTACCGCAACCCATGGAATGACTCTGGCGTGAACCTCCCCGAGGACGACGTGCCAGTCCTCGGCAGTTCACACAGCCACAAGAGCAGCAACAGCAATGGCTGGCCCACGCGTTTCGACGCCAAGTTTCCCTTCGGCACTGCGCCCGGTGACATGACGCCTAAGCATGACCCGCGCACCTCTTTTGACAGTGGTCGTCCTAGCACTTCCAATTCTACTTCTGGATACCCGGCCCCAATTGGGCCACCGCGTTAAACCCAAAATATCCATTTGCAGCAGTATACCCTTTTTTTGGTTTGATCTTTGATGTTTTTCTGTTTTTTCATTCCCAGCGTGTGCTTTTTTTCGGTCTTTTTGTTGGTCTCCTTGTTGATTGATACCACGGAACGCAAGCAATGAAGGCGTCAGAAAAGAAAACGAGATATCCAAGATCTTTCGATGGAGTGCCATTGTCCTTACAGGACTTCGCCTCCTGATGTTTTGTCTTTTTTGTGCGCATTGGAGGATAAGGGTTGGATGGTCTGAATTCACTGTGATACCAGGTTTGGGATCGAGTTCAGATGGAGTTCCGACTGCTGGGTTTTTTTATTTGTGATGTTTTAGTCTTTTGATATCCCCAATCATCAATGAGATTTTGCCATTAGAACCAAATCACCAAGTAGCCATAGCTTGAAATGCCCGATCATCCTAAGGTTAATGATCTACATACTCCGCTGTGACGTGACGTTAACGTGGGGTCGAGGTACACGTACAGCTGCTCTCCCCTCATTTCACATAGCTTCAGCTCTTTCAACCACTTCTTTTAATCTGAACAGGCTGAGAAATTTCTCGACTACGCTCTACTACACTTCAACTCATAATGGTATCATCATACCCCCGCCCTGACTTCCAACGCACCTCTCTGAACTGGAGTACCCTAGACGGGCCCTGGTCGTTCACCTTCGACGACAAAGACGAAGGCCTAAGCTCCCAATGGCATAAAACCAGCCTTTCAGAAACCTCACCACGAGAGATAACCGTGCCATACGCATTCCAAACCCCAGCATCAGGGATCAATCTCATCGAGGCCCACGAGGTACTATGGTACGAGCGACGAATCAGCGACATTCGCACACCAGACGAAAAAGCAAAGGGAAATAAACTTCTTCTCCGCTTCGGCGCAGTAGACTATGAATGCTCCATCTGGGTCGATGGCGTCCTGGTCGGCGGCCATCGCGGCGGCCATGTTCCTTTTGATATCGATGTCTCTGATGCGGTGAATGGCGCCGATGCTCGTCTCACCATCCGTGTCAGAGATTCACCCTATGACATGACCCAGCCCCGTGGAAAGCAGTTCTGGGGCCCGGTGCCTGAAAGCATCTTCTACACCCCTAGTGGTGGAATTTGGCTCTCTGTTTGGATGGAGAGTGTTCCTGCTGCGCGAATTTTGTGCGGGAGCGGAGGCACCGTGTTGCGAGCTGATGATATTGATGGCGGGAAGCTGCGGGCGAAAATCGCTGTCGCTGGGAGACGGGTTGGAAGCGTTGCGAAGGTTGAGATCGAGGCTGGACTTGGTGGCTTGAGTGTTGGTAAGGTGGAGGGAGAGCTGCCCAAAGATAAAGAGTTTGTCTCACTTGATCTGGGGATGAAGGTGTCTGAGGCCGCGCGGAGTGAGTTGAAGGGTAAGCATGGGGATTTGTTCGGCGTTGATGGCGTCTGGCACGGAGACGTTGCGGTTTGGGCGCCGGAGCATCCTGTCTTATACGATGTCACTATTCGATTGTTCGATGGGTCTGGAAAATTGCTCGATGAAGTCCAAACAACAGCTGGAATGCGTAGTCTGTCCTGGCAGACTGGAGATGGGACTTTCAGACTGAATGGAAAGCCATATTTCCAAATGCTGTTCCTGGACCAAGGGTACTGGCCCGATACAGGCATCACGCCTCCCTCTTCAGAGTCTCTCAAAACGGACATCGAGCTGGCCAAAAAGATTGGTTTCAATGGCTGTCGCAAACACCAGAAAGTCGAGGATCCGCGCTTCTTCTACTGGGCGGACCGACTGGGTTTCCTAGTCTGGGGCGAGATGGCGAACGCCTATGAATTCGGCGATCAATACATCGAGCGATTCACCGCTGAATGGACCGAAGCCGTGAAGAGAGATATCAACCACGCATCTATTGTAACATGGACTCCGATCAATGAGTCTTGGGCAGTGTCTGCCTTGAAGGACAACATCGAGCAGCGCAATCACATCCGTGCGCTTTACTACTTGACCAAGTATGAGAACAGCATAGCAAACATGGTGCCATGCAGATCAAAAGGCTAACACAGAATCAGGAACCTCGACCCAAGCAGACCAATCAACGACAACTGTGGTTGGGAGCATGTCAAAACAGACCTCACAACCTTCCATGACTACAGTGATTCAGCGGAGCTTGCAGATACATGCGCTAGCATGCCCGGGATCCTGGGACCGAAGGGCGGACACGACATGTTCAGCAAACCGATCTACTCCGGCTACTCAGGAACGGTGAGGCTAGACGAGGGCGCGCAGCACACGCCCGGAGCACCGGTGATCTGCAGTGAATTCGGAGGCGTCAACATCGCGCCTCCGAAAGACTCTGCTGCTGCCGGTGAGCGGGACTGGGGATATACGACAGCGAGTGATCCCGCAGACTTCCTAGTGCGGTTCGAAAAGCTCGTTATGGCTGTTGTGAAGCCTGGACATATTTGTGGGCTTGTGTGGACACAGTTGTGAGTATTGCCCTTGGAATGTGCGATACGCAAAGATATGTTCCGCTGACAATACTTTTTTCATATTTAGGTGCGATATCGAACAGGAGGTGAATGGCTTGTATACCTATGATCGCAAGGAGAAGGTTCCTACCGATAAGGTGAAGGCCATTATGGATGCTGCAAAGGACCATTACTATCAGCATTTAACGGCTCACCATTCCAAGGGATTCAAGAAGCTTTTGGATCAATATAAGCATATGGTGCATCGGGGTCTGCCAATTTGAGACTGGGTTCCACTCCACCCGTGGACGAACTCCAGATTGCTGCTCATCCATGGATCTTCCAAGGCTCCAAGGTGGGATGTTAATCCCAGGTTTACTTGTCATGGCTTCCCATGGGTAGGGCCGAAGGGATACCAGCAACCTTAGATGGCAGAATATATTTTAGATCAAGATCGAAACCCAACGTCGAAAATACATTCAAAATACGCTAAAGTATAGATCTCATTAAGTGCAGAGTAAAGAGCCGATATTTCCAAGATTGCGACGCTGAATGCTGTGCTCAAAACCCAAACCACAAAACGCCAGAGATGCCGAGACCCCGAATTTTGCAAAGTCAAACAAAAAATAAAGTGCTAGATGCGGTGAAATGCTGAGTGCATATTACAAAAGATATCCATGGATGTTGTTCACATGTTAGCCAATTCCTGATCGATCTGGCGATCGAGGAAGGCTCGTTTTTCGCCCACGAGTGTGGTTTGCAGGCGCTGTTCAACAAGAACGCGGACTGTTGATTATGTTAGCTTGGTTTCATAAATCAGATGTGAGATAGCGACTTACCCTGCTTCTTGGTGACAGTATCCAAGTCAACCTCGGCCAGACAACCACGGATAGCCTCAGTGATTGTCATCTCGTCAGGCCCACCACCGACACGGAAGTCGAGGGCTGTGCTTGCTGGGCGAGGCGGGTATTGGGCCAAAGGACTGCGAGAGCGGTTGTTGGCGAGGAGGTTCTCGTTACTGGCCATCAAGCCGATGCTGTGTCTGCTCGCGTGGCCTGGGTGGTCCTGGTACGCGCTCAGACCACCCATAGACATGTGTCGAGAAGCATTGGCCGAGTGACCCATCTGAGGACCTGGGCCCATCTGTGGCAGATCCGTGTATCGGGAGAAGCTGGACATGTGGGAGTTGCGGTTACCGGCAACATTTCCACCGACGAATGGTGCGGGAGACTGGGGAGGCATGTACGGGTGGTGGCGACCGTGGCCGGGGAAGCCGGTGAGGATGGTGGAAGCTGGCTTGACGGATGAGTATTGAGAGTGCATATCGTCCATCTCCATGGCCGCGTCATCGTAGTGTCCGGTAGCGTAGGCCTTCTCCTGGCTTCCGCCGAGATCTCCACGACGACCGGGAAGGTTGTTGGCCAGGGCGTAGTCATCCCAGCGCTGGAGAGGGATACTGCGCGGGTCGAAAGGCTCATCTTCCACGGCAATGACACGCTTATCACCCTTCTCACCAATGACGACACGGGTGTTACCCCATGTGAAATCATCCTGCTTCCAGAACGCGTAGAGTGGGAGGATAAAGTTGTAGATCGGGTAGGCAAGCAGATAGATGATCATCCATCCAATGTGCTGCCACTGGCGCTTGACGATGAAGATGATCGCCTGTAGACCATAGACACCAGCTAACATGATGATTGAGATCATGGGGAAGGGTCCAGTGTGACTGGCGACTCGGTAGATCAGGTAGGTAAGGTAGACACAAGTCGCGGGAAGGATGATTGTACCCAACAGATCGACGAGAACGACGAAACGCATACTGAAACAACAGAAGCCACAGAGATCTTCCAGAGCAGCCAATTCAACCAGGTTGTGGATTGTCGAGTTAATCCAGCGACGTCTCTGGGACAGCAGCACGCTCCACGCCTCGGGTGCAGCTGTGCTTGCGTAGGCATCAGGGATGAACTTGTAAGACATGGCTGGGAAGTGCTTGGTCATGATGGTGGTCAGGTATCGATCCTCACCAAGGGAGAGAAGATTCTTTTTGTGGAGCGTGTCGACATCGTTATCGGCATAGTCATGAATGACCTTGTCCGAGATGATGAGAGGACGTCCTTTGTCCGCGGTCCGCAGTCGATACATAGTGAAACATCCAGGAAGACAGGTAACACTGCCGAAGAGCGATTCGAATGCCTTTGCCAGGTGATGAGAAATGTAGTACTCGTAGACTTGAATCATTGTCCACCAACTGCCTTCCTCGTTCTGAAGACTGGTTTCACCACAGATACCGGCGATCTTAGCATCTGCTGCACACGCAGCGACCAAGCGATTGAGCGAATCCTCTCTGACAGTAGTATCTGCATCGACCATGAGACAATATTCGTACAGCTCCGGATCCACTCCAATAACGTTGTTGATCTGGTGGAACATCTCCAGTTCAAGGGGCGACATTGGCGAGCGGTGGTGAACGCGGTTCAGGAATTGCATGAGAAGGACCTGTGTATCACGCTTTCCACGGTTTCCTGGCTTGGATTTACGTTGCTCAGATTCCTTACCGACCTTGACAACGACAATGTAGGGAACGACATTGCCTTCATACTCATAGAGACCAGAGAAGACCTTGCCGTAATTGAGCTGTTCACTTCCTTGTCCGAGGGACTTGCATGGCAAAGCGGGAGGATCCATCTTGGGATCAACTCCGAGAATGTCCAAAACAATCTTGGGAGTGGGGCGATCGTTTCCACCACCGACAATCATGCCATCACAAATAACGAAGATGAGCTTGCGCTTGTTATCATACTGCAAGGCAGTGAGGGAGTCGAGACCCTTGCGGAGATCGTTCTCACCCTCAGTGTAGGCGGGAACCATACAAATGACAAATTTGTCCTGGGGAGTGGGTCGACGCTTTGAGCCAAGTTGCAGAGCAGCCAGGAACTTCACCAGAACGACGGCACAAATCAAGATGGTGAAAGAGAGTAGAATCCAGTTATTGACGGTGCATCGTGGACTGTCGCGGAAATCAACTTTGCCCACGTAAAAGACATAGTCGAGACAGGTTTGAGCATTTTTGAAATCATCTGTGTCCTGCCATTTCGAAGTGACATCCTCGCCCATGTTGTCCTTGAATAGAGTCGTCAAAGACGAGGGCAGCCAATTGTAAGAGTCGAGATTGTTCATCCTCTTGACCGTGTAGAAGTAATTTGTCAAATCATACACCTTCTGGTCCTTAATGACCCAGTATCGTGAATCCTCATTGGCTTGTTTCTTGATGGTAGCCTTGGTCCAAACCAGGTCACCCTTGTAGTATGTCTTGATCTTCGGCAAAAAGGTATTCTCGTACCAAGTTTGCTTACCAAGGACAGAGGTGGAAACCTGGGCGTTGGAGCCGGAGCTGTGATCGGCCGTAGGGTACAAAATGGCGTTGGTGTCGTTATTGTACAATTTCATGGTCTTGTCACTGCTTGCGACGAACGGTGTGCAATACCTGTTCAGGGGAGGAGGGAAGTAGGCGTCCAGATTTGTACCAGCGAAAGGTTCCATATTGGAGGAGCTGGTATCCTCTCCAGTGATGTCACTGTGCTGCGTGCGCCAAAACTTGCTGATATCGTATACACGACCATGGATGCTGACGAAGAAATCATCGTCCCCTGTGTGCCAGCCGACTTCTTTGGAGTTCCAAACTTTGTCCTTGTTGGGACAAAGCAAGTCTCCAAAAGCAATGATGTAGAAACAGACAAGTCCGTTGAAGAAGAGAATCAAGAAAACAAGGACAAGCTTCTCTCGCCAGGCGAGACGAACGTCAGGACGCTTCATGCGGCCAATATACCGAAGCACGAAAGAAGGAATCCAGAACGTCATAGCCCAGACGAAACCAGCCCAGATACGACGGCCGGCAGTGATAGTCTTCTTCTCGATGTGCTTGGGGTCACCGAACTCAGGATCAAACTCGCCAACGTAGCGGCCGTACTCGTCGTAGTAGGCGATGTCGCCCTTTTTGTCGTCACCTTTGCGACCCAGACCATAATCACCGACGTTGTTAGCATTCGTGAACGGCGCACTTGGGGCAATAGACTTCGCACCACCCATCACGCTGGGAGCCATGGGACCTGTGGGTGGCATGCCGAGGAGGTTGGTAGATTCGTGAATCGGGGTTCCATCAGGGGTATAGCCGGTTTCATACATGGCCGGCCCGTACATGAAGGGGTTGATGTGAGTCTCTTCAGGCTTGAGATCCAACATACTCTCCGCTTCCCACCAAGCGCCTTCGCGCATCCAAACTCGCTGGTCTCCAACGACAGCGTCGCCGTTACTCCAGCCACGCTCGATGATCCAGTTCTCAACACCGTCCTGGCCTTCAGCACAGCCAAGACGTGCGTACCGAGCAACGAACTCCTCGACGTCGAAATCGGCAGTGAAATCGAGTTGCTTCAGGCGGCGGTTGGCCCACTCCGGAAGACGCCAGTCTCGCAATTGGCGTGAGACTGCACCTGCCGACCAAGCTGAAGATCCCACAGCTGCCAGCTGCTCCGGCATGTCATCGGTCGGGTGAATGGACAAGTGATACCAGACACGGCTGCTATTGAGGGTCGTTGGTAGATCGAATCGGCCTCGCTTGCCGACAGTGATGCCTTCTGTGTCAACAGGGAACAGAACACGTCGAAGGAAGGCATCGATTTCAAGCTCAACGCCCACCTTCTCCAAAACACCCTGGCGTTTGTCGAGATCGTGTTCACGTTCTCGCCCAGCAGGACCGGTTGTAATACCGAGATCGGGTTCGACCTGCGATACAGCAGAATTCATTTCGCTGATGATGGAACCGCCAATGGCAGGAAGAGGGATTCCGTCGTCTTTCATTTCGGCGTTGAGTCCGAGACTGTCATCGAAAATTCCTCTCATTGCGATAGCCTTGGCCAAAGCTGGCCGAGGAACATCGACAATGGTCAAGCTGACAGTGTCGTCGTTTGACCACTGTGCCCCTCCATTGCTAGAGTCGTTTTCCATCATGACCTGGACATCAGCTGCGATCGCTTCGTTCGCCTTGGAAATGACCCAATCAACAAGGGCTTCATAGATCCCGGAGATCAGCACCTCCCGCTCATCGGTGGAGCATCTGTGCAAGAGAATCTCAGGATCAACGCCGAGAAGTCCACCAGCATCGTCGCAGACTTCCTCAAGCTCGTCCTGATCCGCCTCGAACCCGGCAGCATTACCCAACTTGAGCAGACCTGCCAAGACCGAGAGCAGTCCACGCTGGGAAGCTCCCTTGATGCCAATGGCCTTCAAGGAGGCACGGAAATCCTCTGCGGCGGCAGCATCGTCGGCAGTTGGGAGGTAATGCGGAGGATCATATGTGTTTGAGCGACTGAGCAGTGAATAGGAGGATGCCGCTTTCAAATCCAGGAATTCCCGCTCCGCGGCCGTTGAAGCGGAGGTAAGAAGATAGTAGAATGCATCGAATGCACGGAACCCAGTCTCAGGCTGGATGTCCAGGAGACCTTTGCGTACGTTGATGCCAGAAGTTGACAAGGCGAATGAGAGACCGACGACGGATCCCTGCAGCGACAGGGTATAAGTTGCGGCCAATGCTGAGTGGAGGGAGTAGGAAGGGTTGAAGGAGGTGATTGCGGTCAAGAAAGGTCGCAGAGCAGAGAGCGCACTCAGGGCTACCGCGGGAGTTTCAACCGGGATAGCAGTCATGAATGGCTCGAGAAGCGACGGAGTTGACTGATGCAATGCACTGTGCGATGTTAGTCCATCCGATCACGATTGAGAGTCCTGGGTACCACCTACCCAAGGAAGATACAGCCATCCTCTGCTCGGCGGCGGGCATGTTCCCAAGCCCGCACCGCCAAGTCACGGTCGACCGTCACGCCATTCCGACCATCGGGTAAGGTGGTTGACGCCGTGACCCATGTGTTCACCACAAGACTTGTCGCAGAGTCGAGTTGATACGGTTGACCGGCGGTGTAAAACGAGTGGAGGGCGTTCAATAACGTTGTTGTTGAGACCTGGGCACCATGTTGTGGTCGAGGCCCGCCCGCGAGGCCAGCGGACTGGGTTGAGAACACCGAGTAACGATTTGACATTGTGAGATTATAAACAAACTATCGGAAAGGTGAAAGGCGAGATGCGATGTCCAGCCGACTCGTTATCACAACCACATGAGGGCACTTTAGTGTTGATCCGTAAATCTCGCGTAAATTTGGAGGGATGCTGAAAATGTAACGGAGTTTGGTTGCGGGGGACTGTGTTAGCTTCGGATTGAGCGAGTGACTGGAGATAGCACTCCTGGAAGATGAGAGAGAACAGAAGAAACAAAAACAGCTTGGAGAGGCGGAGAAAGAAATCAATGGAGTTGAAAAATACAGCTTGTACAACCGGTTTGTAGTGATAAAATACCGCTGATCCTGGCGATCGGTCCCCAGCGACCCGTTTACGAACAGTATGCACTCCAGTCTGCTAAGCTTTTTATTCTGTAATGCGATACGGGACGTTGTAAGTTTCAAACTGAGTCATGCCATATTTGCGACAATACCGAGTATACGAAGTAGTCAAGATCAAAGTGAGCAAAACGTCGAGATATACAGGACCATGAAAATTCATTTGTTTGTTGCTCTTTCACCCTGATCGGCCTGTGATGAAAAGATTTGACCAATAAGCGATGTGCATTAGGGAGACGACCTTGGAAGAGCCGAACCCTGTCAGATCGGGTAAACATACGGTAACAGTACCATGGTATGGTCAGGCCTATTTATGGGATGTGTCTCACACGGGTTTTTCCTCTTTTTTTCCTTGACAGATGATCTCGCCACAGGCCAAGGGGGGTGTTATCGAGACTTGATCCACTATGCCGCTTTACCTCCATTCTCACTGGACCATTCATGTAGAGAATGTCGAGCCACTGTATGATGCTTAGGCCGTAACCCCCTAGTTTCAGGCCTAGCTTTTTAGCTTCGAGATCCACCTGTTGCAAAGACAATAGAATGGATCGATTTGGTCAGCTCACATTTTCTTTATAGTTAAATATAGTTTATGCAGGTTAGTAAGGGGGCCTGATATTGAAGAGCTACTGAAGTGACATGTTCTAAGACCCTGTTGTATGTACGATGTAATGCACCCTAAACATCACCCACAGAAGTACACTCCGTACTTGGACTTCGGCTCAGAGTGGAGATTCTCGCTCAACTTGAGACCCTGGATATTAAGCCTGTAACGAATACAGAGTCATCCTGGAACCCGTTTCTTGGTCTTCTCTTTGCTTTTGTCATATGCTTATATTATGTGCATCTTGTGTTCGTTTCTTCCCCCTAATTGAAGCGTATTGTTCGATCTAGTGCCTGGCTATAGATAGTCGCTGTTACGAAATTCCATAGCTCCGACCGAGAGTGGACCCCAAACCTCTCATGCTTCGGTGGATTCTACCCGAGACACATCCAATTATACGCTCCAACCATACCCAATCAATCAGGGCAGAGAATGGTCTCTTACTGCTCTTACTGCGCTAGGTATGGCCGAGGTTCACCTATTCTTAGCGGAGTAACGCTAGTATTTTTCACGTAATTCCAATACGCCTCCACCCCCGACCTCTTATCGATTTGTTGCTTTTTTTCCCTTTGTGAGACTTCTGCTTCTCGCTTCAGCCACTCGTTCACCTTGTAACATCAACCTCAATCTCAACCTCCATCCCCTCATGCGTGCCATCTCGATTCGTTACTAGGGATCTTCATTCCTATCTGAACATTCCCGACTCCACGACCATTCTCACAGTGCCTGTGAGGCCGACCCTCGACCCGGGGACATTGAATATACTGTCGCTTCAGTCATCAGCTTAGCGGAGGGAATCTCGATATGGTCAACACTTTTGGTGGGAGTGGCCCGGCACATGCCCAAGCCTCGCTCCCCTCGCTCCCCGCACACTTGCAATCTGATACACATCTCACAGCCCATCTGGCGAGCCGGTATGAGACGGGCGTAATCGCAATCTATTGGATAATGTAGCTAATCTGTGCCAGTTTCCATGTTGGCTTACCAACGGCTCGTCTGTCGTCCCAGGCGCTGATTGCCCTGAACACATACTCGTCAGCCACCAAGGGCCCTGACGGTGGGAAAGAAGGTAGCGCTGCTGGCGAAGCCGAGGATCTCGCGCGGCGCGCCTTCACTCGCCTGGGTGCGCGTGCAGAGAACCAGGCCGTTGTCTTTTTGTGAGTCGATCCGAATATATCAAATCTCATGATCAATGCTGACAAGCCACCGCAGAGGAGAGAGCGGTTCCGGTAAAACCACCCTTCGTTCACATTTGCTCTCATCGTTCTTGTCCTTCTCCTCAACCCCGCTTTCCTCCAAATTATCATATGCTGCTTTTGTGTTCGACACCCTCACAACCACCAAGTCCGTGACCACACCTACGGCGTCCAAGGCTGGTCTCTTCCTCGAGCTGCAATATGACGGCTCATCCTCCGTGAACCCGACCTTGATCGGTGGAAAGATCATCGACTACCGATTGGAACGAAGCCGAATTTCTTCTGTGCCTACCGGAGAGCGAAGTTTCCATGTCCTATACTACTTGCTAGCTGGAACCAGCGGGGCCGAGAAGTCGCATCTGGGCTTCGGGGATAGTATTCACGTTCAGACTAGCAACAAGCTCTCCGGAGGAACTGTCAGTCACAAACGCTGGCGCTACCTTGGCCATCCCACACAATTGAAGGTTGGAATCAATGATACCGAAGGGTTCCAACATTTCAAGACTGCTCTGCGAAAGTTGGAGTTCTCTCGCGGAGAGATCGCTGAAATATGTCAAATCTTGGCCAGTATTCTTCACATTGGACAGTTAGAGTTCGCGATGGGTCAATCCACCACGACCGGCGCGGAGGAGAGTGGTGGATACTCACACGAGGGTGGCGAGACTGTCACAGGTGTGAAGAACAAGGATGTCCTCGAGAACATTGCTGCTTTCTTGGGTCTTAGCGTCGATGCTTTGGAAGTCAGCCTGGGCTACCGCACCAAGACCATTCACCGCGAGCGAGTCACGGTCATGCTCGATCCTCAGGGCGCCCGCGAGAATGCCGATGCATTCGCCCGTACCATCTATTCCCTTTTGGTTACATATGTGATTGAAACAGTGAACCAGCGTATCTGCGCTGCTGAGGACAGTGTCGCCAACACCATCTCTATTGTTGACTTCCCTGGCTTCGCTCAAGCTCCATCCACTGGATCTACTTTGGATCAGCTGCTGAGCAATGCTGCGACCGAATCGCTTTACAACTACTGCCTGCAGTCTTTCTTCGATCACAAGGCTGATATTTTGGATCGCGAGGAAATCACAGTAGCTGCCACCAGCTACTTCGATAATACCGACACTGTGCGTGGCTTGCTGAAGCATGGTAATGGTTTGTTGAGCATCCTTGATGACCAGACCAAGCGTGGAAGATCCGATGCCCAGTTCCTGGAGAGCGTGCGCAGACGTTTCGAAAACAAGAACCCTGCCATCTCTGTTGGCGAAACTACCGGATCAACTAGCTACATGTCACAAACTCGAAGTGCTTTCACTGTAAAACACTTTGCCGGTGAGGTGGACTACTCTACCACCGGGCTGATCGAGGAGAACGGCGAAGTCGTTTCAGGAGACCTGATGAACCTCATGCGTTCCACTCGCAGTGACTTTGTCCGTGAATTGTTCCACCAGGAGGCCCTTCAGACCATCTCCCACCCCCAGGAGAAGACTGCCATCATGCAGGCCCAGGTTAGCTCCAAGCCAGTCCGCATGCCAAGTATGGCTAAGCGTAGGGCTGGACCTCCTTCTCGTTTTGCCGCTCCTAGCGCTCACCCCGAGGAAGAAGAAGGGGACGAGAACGAAGGCCAGGTTGAGGGCACTAAGAAGGCCAGCGCTCGGAAAAGTGGAATGCCTACAGGTCCGGCTCAGGGTGCCGCAGGGCAATTCCTTTCTGGCTTGGAAATCATCAACAAATGCCTCAGCTCGTCGAACCTGAACCCGTATTTTGTGATTTGTCTCAAGCCAAACGACCGTCGCATCGCCAATCAATTCGACAGCAAATGTGTGCGCATGCAAGTCCAAACGTTCGGTATCGCAGAAATAAGCTCCCGGCTTCGCAACGCCGATTACAGTGTCTTCCTTCCCTTTGGAGAGTTCCTGGGACTAGCTGACATTGGAAATGTTGTTGTCGGAAGCGATAAGGAGAAGTCCGAAGTCGTTCTCGATGAAAAGCGATGGCCTGGAAACGAGGCCCGCGTCGGCAGTACTGGTGTTTTCCTCAGTGAGCAATGCTGGGCTGACATTGCCAAAGTTGGCGACCGCGTGGTCCCTGTGTACGGAGGCTCTGGGGGCGACGGTGGTGATGGTTTCCAAAGCCCCGGTGGAGAGCCTGACGCTAAGCACCGTCTACTCGGCCCCAACGACCAATCCCCGGGCGCCTTCATCTACGGAGACGAAGCCAAGCAAGGATACTTCGGTAGTCGCGAAATGGATGGACGCTCTGATGCCGGGGGCTCGGCCTTCAACTCAGGTGATATGTTCAAAAACATGGAGACCAAAGAGCAAATGCTCGAGAAGGGCAACGAGAAGCAAATGGAAGAGGTCGACGAAGCTAAGGTTTCTGGCAGCCGTAAACGCTGGATGTTCCTCGTCTATCTGCTCACCTTCTTCATCCCTGACTTCGTCATTCGTTTCGTTGGCCGCATGAAGCGCAAGGATGTTCGTGTTGCCTGGCGTGAGAAGCTCGCCATCAACATGATCATTTGGTTTGCATGTGGTGTTGCTGTTTTCATGATTGTCGGCTTCCCTGGAGTGGTTTGTCCCACACAGGATGTGTACAACACCGCTGAACTTAGCGGCAAGAATGGAAAAGGCGACGCGGATTCGTATGTTGCTATTCGTGGTGTGGTATTCAATCTTGGAAACTTCATGCCTTCTCACTACCCGTCCATTGTCCCGCAGAAGTCATTGAAGAACTATGCCGGAACTGACGCTACCAACCTGTTCCCCGTCCAAGTATCTGCTTTGTGCCAAGGTACCACTGGTTCCGTTGACCCTAGTGTCCCGCTGGATTACCGATCCAACTTGAATGACTCCGCGACCACCACCTCTTCCACTAGTTTCGATATCAACGCCAAGTATCATGATTTCCGCTCTTGGACCAACGATTCTCGAGCCGATTGGTTCTACGAGCAAATGCTCATGATGCGATCAAACTACAAGAAAGGCTATATTGGTTATACCATGAAGGCGATGAAGAAGCTTGCAACGGATGATTCGAAGAAGGTCGTCAGTATCAATGGCAAAATTTACGATATGACTTATTACATCGCCGGACCCCGAGTCCCTCGCTGGCCGGCTGGAAAGAACGGCACCAGTAACGTCAACACTGACTACATGGATTCCAAGGTTGTTGATATCTTCCAAGCAAAGTCCGGATATGATGTGACCAAGTATTGGGATGACTTGAGCTTGACTTCTGCAGAGAGATCTCGTATGCAGCTTTGTCTCGACAACTTGTTCTTTATCGGCAAGGTTGATACTCGAGACTCGGTGCGTTGTCAATTCGCACGATACTTCATTCTTGCGATTTCCATCATGCTCTGTGCTATCATCACCTTCAAGTTCTTGGCTGCCCTGCAGTTTGGAAAGAAGAGTCTCCCCGAAAATCTTGACAAGTTCATCATTTGTCAGGTTCCGGTGTATACCGAAGATGAGGAGTCTTTGCGTCGTGCTATGGACTCTATGGCTCGTATGCGCTACGATGACAAGCGCAAGCTGCTGCTCGTTATCTGTGACGGTATGATTATCGGTCAAGGTAACGACCGCCCTACTCCTCGCATCGTCCTCGATATCTTGGGTGTTCCAGAATCCGTCGATCCCGAGCCCCTGAGCTTCGAGAGTCTTGGTGAGGGTATGAAGCAGCACAACATGGCTAAACTCTACTCCGGTCTGTACGAGGTCCAGGGTCACATTGTACCTTTCTTGGTCGTTGTGAAGGTTGGAAAGCCTTCCGAGGTCTCTCGCCCAGGTAACCGTGGTAAGCGTGATTCTCAGATGGTTCTCATGCGCTTCCTCAATCGCGTCCACTACAACCTACCCATGAGTCCAATGGAGCTTGAAATGCACCATCATATCAGGAATATCATTGGTGTCAATCCGCAATTCTACGAGTACATCTTGCAGGTCGATGCCGACACAATGGTGGCACCTGACTCTGCCACGCGCTTCGTTTCCGCATTCCTCTCTGACACACGCCTCATTGGTGCTTGTGGAGAGACGTCTTTGTCCAACGCCAAGACTTCCATCGTCACCATGATCCAGGTTTACGAATACTACATCTCCCACAACTTGACGAAAGCCTTCGAGAGTTTGTTCGGGTCTGTGACTTGTTTGCCAGGTTGTTTCACTATGTACCGCATCCGCACCGCAGAGAATGGAACTCCTCTCTTCGTCAGCAAAGCCGTGGTTGATGCCTACTCCGAAATTCGTGTCGACACCCTCCACATGAAGAACCTGCTGCATCTTGGTGAGGATCGTTATTTGACGACCCTGCTTATCAAATTCCACCCCAAGTTCAAGACCAAGTACATCTTCCGATGCCATGCATGGACAGTTGCCCCTGAGAGTTTCGCAGTCTTCCTTTCTCAGCGTCGCCGATGGATCAATTCTACTGTCCATAATTTGATGGAGTTGATTCCTCTCGAACAGCTGTGTGGTTTCTGTTGTTTCAGTATGCGATTCATTGTTCTCATTGATCTTCTCATGACCGTCATCCAACCTGTCACCGTCGCCTACATCGTCTACCTGATCTATTGGTGTGTGAGTGAACCAGATGTGCTTCCGATCACATCATTCATTCTGCTCGGTGTCATCTACGGTCTGCAAGCATTCATCTTCATCATCAGACGCAAATGGGAAATGATTGGATGGATGTTGATTTACCTCTTGGCCATCCCCGTTTTCTCTCTTGCTCTGCCACTGTACTCTTTCTGGCACATGGATGACTTCTCCTGGGGTAACACTCGTGTCATCACCGGAGAGAAGGGACGCAAGGTTGTCATTTCCGACGAAGGCAAATTCGACCCCAACTCTATCCCCAAGAAGATATGGGAAGATTACCAAGCAGAGCTTTGGGAGTCTCAGACATCTCGCGACGATCGCTCCGAGTTCTCTTCGCACTCGTACGGCACCAGATTGCCTCCTTTCCCCCAGTCCGAGTACGGATACCACACTGGCTCTCGTCCGGTCTCCCAGATGGACCTTCCCCTGGGTGGTGGCGGTGGCGGTGCTCGTTATTCGGTGGCCGCTTCTGAGATGATGAGCAACTTCGATATGCAGGACCTCAGCCATCTTCCTCGTGATGATGAGATCCTTCATGAGATTCGCACCATTCTCGCAACCGCAGACCTGATGAGGGTCTCTAAAAAGACAATCAAGAATGACCTTGAACAGCACTTCCAAGTCAACCTGGATGCTAAGCGGTCTTATATCAATTCTGGTAAGTCAATCTTAACTGCAATCAAACGAAACCCGCTAACCAAGTACTATAGCCACCGAAGCCATTCTCTCCGGTGTTTTGTGATTTAATTGAACACATTGTGCTTTGCCTTTGTCCTCGTGGAGTGACATGGAGTTCCTTTTTTGACATGTGTTACTAATATTTTCTGACCATTTCCTTTTTTTGTAAGCGACCTTATGCATGGATGAGAGCTTTTGCGCAGCGATTCGTTTCGGTCTTTGATTTGAACAACTGGATTTTACCATAAAACTCTGCATTCTGAAATTGATAATTCCCAGAATTCTGGTGTTTGATTCACTACGTCCATTTTAGGAAAATGTAGATACATCGATGGCCGCCCCACTGGCAATTAATCTATTTTGAAACACCCTTGGCTGAAGAGACCTCATTTTATTTGATCCCGCCATGGCGCTAGGCAACTGCAGACAAACTGACATACTACAAAGGCGTTCGTGTCTGGGCAAGTCTCGTCCGACCCTTGGCCTGACCCTGGCGCCTGCGGAAAGCACAAAGCGTCTAATAAGGGCCTTTTGATAGAATGTGGAGTCCTTGGCTCAGTCCCTGATTCTGCTACATCAACAATCAAAGAAAGAAACTTCCCACCGAGTTTCAGGTGTGATTGTCATTCATTGAGGATGAGTCCCTTTGTGGTATATAACAATGGCCTGCTGCCCTATTTTCGTCGAACTCAATATCCTATCTCATTCTTTTGTTTCGAGTCTGGCACTCGAAAGGCCATTCATTCTTTTCCATCAGGATATATCCTTGCTGCATCCTTAGCCAGCAATTTGTTTTTGACATCTTGACACTTGCCACAGTATTGCAAAATGCATTTCAAAGGCTCGCTCACCATCTTAGCCTCCGCGAGCTTCCTAGCGTCCGCGTTTGCAAAGGACTCTCGCACCTTTGCTGTCAACCACTTCTACGGCAATGGTGCCCTAACTATGGGTCGCATGGATCCAATCATGGACCCAGGGAGGCCAGCTACACACTCCCACGCCATCCAAGGAGGAAGCAACTTCAACCTCACCATGACAGACGACGCTCTCATGGACTCCAACTGCACATCCTCAATCGTTGACGCCGACAAAAGCAACTACTGGACCCCGTCTCTCTACTTCCAAGCCGAGAACGGAAGCTTCCTCTCCGTCCCAATGTTCTACATGGACGTCTACTACTTCTTCGAAGCAACCGACGACGAGATCCAGCCTTTCCCCGTCGGCCTCCGCATGTTCGTCGGTAACAGCTCCCTCCGTACTCCTCCCCCGGGCGGTGCCGCCAACGTTCTCGATACAAACCAAGGTCCTATTCAGCCTATCCAGTTCACGTGCCCACGCTCTAGCTACGATATCCCTTCGTACCCGGAAGGCTCAGATGGACTTCACGGTGTCGGCATTCAGGATCCCACTAATGCCGGCGCTGGCGCTGGGTTCCCGCATATGAATTGTGATGGCTATGCGTCGCCTCTGCGTGCCGATATTCATTTCCCCTCGTGCTATAACCCCGAGGTTGGACTGCATGATTATGCGAACAACATGGTATTCCCAAGTAGCGAGGGTACTACTGGAGGCAAGGTCAATTGCCCGGATGGATGGGTTCATGTTCCCCATATCTTCTACGAGGTGTATTGGAACACGCCATTGTTCGCTGATATGTGGACGGAAGGAACTGGTTCTCAGCCTTTTATTCTCAGCAATGGCGATCGGACGGGCTACTCGCTTCACGGCGACTTTGTGAGTACTGATTTTGACACAAATCTTTCGAACACGACTAACGTAAAAATAGATCTCTGGCTGGGATGAAGACGTGCTGAAGAAGATCATTGATAACTGCGATGCTGGAAGTTTGGGCATGGATAAGTGTGCTGATGCTGGCTTCCTCAATGATGTCTCGACTTCATGCAAAATTCCCAACCTCGTTCCTGAACAGATAGATGGTGTTCTTGACAAGCTGCCTGGAAACAACCCCCCCAACTGGTTGGGGGCAAGAGGTGGAAGATTTGGCCGCAAAGCAGAAAATCAAGCGACACATTCGCGGGCACTCTCGCGGAAAACATTTTTAGATTCGGCGTTTGCAAATTGGGAGATCTGCAACATCTTCGGAGTTTCACCTCTAGGTGGACGCCTGGAGATATTCTCAATAAGCATGATACCTACCTGTCTAAGAGTCGGTAGCCTGACTCCAAATTGTATACTCAAGGTGACGGGGCGGCGGTGCACCAAGTGAAAAAGAATCATTATTCCATAGCTGGCAACCTTGGAACGATGCAGGTATACAATATTTTTAGACCTTGGAATGACCTCGGGAATTGACTAAGTGGGAACACAAAATGCTCTATATCTAGATTTGTAAGCAGGCTAAACTCCTGATCTTATACTTCGACGTGAATAGCTTCCGCGATAGGTTTCTCAATCCTCTCCTCGTTCATAGCCCGGTGATGCCCTGGGTGGACAGGGTATCCCCTTGATGCCCAAACACCTCCAGTTATCCCACCCGCTTCAAACAGGTGATCAACATCTTCAAGCTCCAAACCTTTAGTCTCGGGGAAGAAGAAAAACACAATGGGGATCTGAAATTTCGTCAGTATTTTAGAACATCATGTAGAGATGCATTTTGGTGACATACCCATGCAAAGCAGAAGCAGGCGAAGATGATGAACGTCCTCCATCCAATGTTGTCAATAGCCGTCGGCGTTATCTGGACAACGATAACTGGGAAAGTTAGCAAAGTTGACCCGACCGTTGATATATTTCAACATACAAACACAGATCCAATTGACAAAACCACCGAAGGCTTGAGCTCGGGCCCGGATACGGGTGGTTGAAATCTCAGAAGGATAGAACCTGTTAGAATGTGAGTAATCCGAAACAATAGCAGGATATGGCAAGATCGAAGGGAGGCTAGAGGACTGACCATGGGACTGGTAGATAGCCGATACCAAGGAACAGCTGGAAAATGAAGACAAATACAGTGGCCGCGTAGGCACACTTGGCGGTGCCGATTGAAAGAAGAATTGAAGTCATCACAAAGCAGAAGCAAAGGCCAGCTGCGGACACCATGAGCGATACTCGTCGGCCAAATTTATCCATGCTCCATAACGGTATCACAGATCCGACGAGGTATGCGAGGGAGGTACAGCCACCTAGGACCAAGGAGAGGTTGCGAGAAAGATGCATGGCGTTCTAGTTTCAAATGAATTAGTGGGGTTGTCGGAGCAATTTTAGGAAGTTGCATACCTGGTAGACAACGGGTGCATAGTAATTAATCATATTGGAGCCTGAAAAGAGTTAGCAACAGACTCCCATGTGAGCACTCCACATTCTTACCGGTAAACTGCTGCTGGATGTTGACCACAGCAGCCAGAATCATGCGACGAAGATTGCCCATTGAGCCACCCGACCAAAGCTCCTTATACTTGAATGGTCCGCCAGCAGACTCAATCTCAATGGAAGTTTCAATTTGACGACGGAGATGCACAACATCAGGGCTCGACTCATTGGCAGGTTGCTGCAACTGGAGGTGCGCTAGGACTGACGCTGCCTCGTCACTTCGATCTTGCTCGCAGAGCCATCGAGGCGAATCGGGCAAGGGAATCATCTGCAAGACCAAACACAGAGCGAAGAAAGCCTGGAAACTGATTGGGAACCGCCATTGAACAGGAGTGTCCACGAAGCTCAGTCCATAATCTAACCAGTATGCGATACATAGGCCGAGGATGGTGACAGTGCCCTGTGCGGAGAGCAACCTGCCTCGTGCTTCTGGTCGTGCCAATTCCGACTGGTAGGCTGGAACGGTGCTGCTGTTGATGCCGTTGCCTATGCCGGTGACGATACGACCGACGAGAAACTGGGCCACCGAATATGAGCTGCCCAGGATGATTGTGCCGATGATCATGATCGAGCCGCCCGCAATAATCATCTTGCGACGACCGAACCGGTGGCCAATGACAAGACTGAGCAAACAGCCAACTGCACAGCCAATATCATAGATCGAAGTCAATAGTCCTTGCATCGTACTGTCGGGATTATTAAATGTCTGTCCGAACTGATTGTTAGCACCAATCAGGCCGCTCATCACTCCTTGGTCATAGCCCAGGAGAAGGAAGGCCTGACAGCTAGCAGCCGTCACAGCCCAGTGTAGGTATTTTCCACGCAAAAACATGTTGTTGGCGAAGACATCGAAATCCGGGGCCCCATGGGCTTTTCAAAAACTGGGGTCAACATCTCTCGCTGCAATTTGGACCGAGAGCAGATGGACGTTCGGTACAAAGTACGCCGTGGCCAGTAAGCTTCCAGCCACGGGACGAGATAGGCTTAGCGTGAAGTTTGTCCCCGCCGGGTGTTGGCGCCCGAGGCGGGTTCTGCAAATGCTGACCAATACGACACCTGCCCGTCCCCGGTGGCGGCGCCTCAGATTATCCATGGCGTTGTACTTTTTGCTTGTTTATTTACCCCTTTTCTTGCGTCAAGGCATTCCAGAACGAGGTTTATTGATAAACAGCCGACTAGTCTCATCATCGCCCAAACAAACCGTTTGTCACAAGGTGGATTATAAACGTGAATACCGATATGATCAGGTGCCAGGGCGCCTACAGCGTGATCCTATTGAGTGCATGAGGGATTTCGAGAAGCAGAGTGATTTCCAGCAAGGATATACAAAAACCCGAGAACAGAATCACCGAACCCAGGTTGAAACATTGGATAACCCAAAGTCATTCAGTCGGTAACGCAAATCATGTGCAACAGCTACGCTCTCGCACCGCAGAAACACGGCAGTAGCATGAGGCTTTCACGGGTACATCAGCAGATGCTAGAGCAATGTCATGTGCAGGCTGGATGAAAGCCGCTTCAGCAGTCTTGCCAAGTCTATTGAAACATTCAAGCAAGCCGTGCAGACCCCAAACGTTGTTGAGCTTTGCTCGTCGCCGAGGGTAGTCCAAGGCGAATCCCAGGTCTTCTTTGAACAGTGACTCTGCCTCCTCAACGCGGCCCTGCTCCAGGAGCAGACCACCGAGAGCGTGGCGGACTGGCTGCATCCAAGGAGGTGGATCAGAATAAGCAAGTCCGTCTTCACGTCTGATGGCCTCTCGAAGGAGCGAGAATGACTGCTCTATGTTTCCTCTCCGGTACTCTAACTCCCCTGCAAGCATGGCCGATGCGACTCGAAGAACATCCTCTTCCTTGCATGGGATACTGTTGAGTCTGGTACTGGGAACTGCAACGCGTGCCTGCTCAAACTCCAACTGAGCTCTCTCTGCTTCTTCAACACGTCCAAGTGCGGCAAAGGCCAAACCGCGAGTATAAAGAATAATCGCCGTAGTTGCTGAGTATGTTTGACGATCAATGGGAATCTTGAGCTTTAGAATCTCTTCCCAGCGACCAAAGCGAACCAAAACGTGTGCCTTGCTCGCTACAAAGCTTTCAATTGAGTCTGCCATCGGAGGACTTTTGATTGACAGGAGTCTATGATCAATGACTTGCTCAAGCTTCTCCGCAGCGGACATCGCATCCACGAACCGACCGGACATCATGGCAGAATACAATTTCGCACATATGTAATGCACCCGGTACGCGGTGTAAGTAACGGTGCCTGGTTCATTCGCAAAGTAGATATCATCGGCAAGAATTGCCTCGTGATTGGAGTCGACACCGCGGCGATAGTCACCCACTGCAGCATCAATATGCGTTGGCATGTGGAGCATGTGTGAAGCATGCGGAACCATACCACGCAATCGATCTGCCGCCGGCAGAGCCAGCTCAGGAAACGGCGACATCTCCATCTCGTGAATGTATAAATGACACAGGGCAGGGTGATCGCGACCTGACGGCTGCTCCAGCCCCAGCTCAATCACTTCGCGGGCCTCAACTGTGTGATCGCCAGTAGGCTTGCCGGTGTCCAAGTCCCATAGACCGCGCGGGGTGATACACATAAGTGCTTCCGCAAACAGGGCAGCCACGTCCATGTCATTGCCGAATTTTTGATATACGCCACGCATGGCATTCGCATATGCACGATCATAAGGGCTCAAGTCATCGGGGATGTTGTCGACTGGCGGAAACCGAGAGCCGATTGCTTGAATCAATGCTCGCTCAACTGGTGTGGCCTCATTTGCCAACTCATGCGCCTTTGCTAGTACATCGTGAACCTTTTGGATTGAAGCTTTGCGGTCTTGTGGGTCAAAAAACTTCCAAGCCTTGTTGTAGTTTGGCCCGGTTGCGTAGGCAATTCCCCACAGAGCCGCAGCACAAGCAGAGTCACTCCTAGCCGCCCGTTCGAAGCATCGCGCTGCCTCGTCATGGTTGAAAGAGTATGCCCATACCAGACCGCGATTGAACCACAGTTGGGCATTCGGCGAGGATGTAGTCACCACCCGAGAGTGGGAGCCAAGGTCATAATAATTTTTTTCGTCCACCAAGATCGGTTGATTTTGCTGAGTTCTGGATGAATGGTTAGAGAAGAACAAGACTTCCGGTGGGCCAAGCACTCACTTCATGTTGTGTTATATTAGCGAATTCAGAGCAAGAAGCCAAGACCAGACCAGAAGACAGAATGTGGCTTTTATGCTGAATCAAACTGGAAGATTTTTCATCATTACTTTCCGACCTCATCAAAGCCATTCTAAATCAATGAGATGATAAATGAGTTACATTTAATCCCCGAGCGGGAGGCCTGGGCGGGATGCCGGCCAACAATGGTATCCACACCAATCGCCGAAACCCGTTCTTAGCCCCCGAAAGCTCGGAGACTTCAAATGCCGCCACCCCACGCGACTATGAATTGATCAGACATGAAAACATTTTTCGCCATGATTGTCTGTGTCTAAATGAGCAGGAAAGCCTGCTAAACAATTCAAACTTAACCTCAGCGTACAGGTCCACTCAATATCTACAGGAATTAGTGGCCAAAGAATTGAAACAAAACTTGGAAGATTTAAGTTAAACAGATGGAAGCGCTTCTTCTCCAACTCAAGTCAATTTTATGATTTGACAGCTAAACTGACAAGCTGGTCCCGAGACCCAGCATGAAAAACCCTGCTGTTCACTACACAAGGTATCGAGCAAGGTACGTAGTGAAGTGGGAAGAGCGCACTGGCGGTCTGACATCGCAGACAAGACGACGGGGGTGCTCAGTGCTTCGACGGGGATTATGGGAGCTGAACAGGCACCCAGAAGGCCAGAATAGAAAATAGATGCTATTCTTCAGGGAGATGTAGAATGCTTAGATTGCTAAACTATGGGATCGCGAGAAAAAAGAGCCAGAAATAGCCACAGTGACGCACATGAGATGTGGCGCGGTTTCCCCATTACAGTAGATAATGATAGTAGCATTGATAGGGACTTCTAACAACGGTTGACCAAATTGGCATATCTCGTCTATAAACTTTCAAGCTCATAAGAGCCAATGCACCACGTTTGCTCTAGACTCACTGATCAAATCTAGTATACAATCTTGGGAACTCCCGGTGCGGGCCAGCAAATTTTGTGCATGATACCTGCTTCTTCAAAGATTTTGGCGAGATCCGTGCCATGCTCCTTGAAATGTTCCCAATCCTCAAAGTGCATAGGCACCATGAAGTCAGCGCCGATGTCTTGAACTAACTGCACTGCCTGCTTTCCATCCATAGTGATTTGAATGGGTCCGATGGGAAATTCGAAAGTAGCGTTGCCCAAGTTGAGAACAGCAGCCATGACGTGGACGCGGTCCTTGATCTTCTTCAGCTCATCGATATACACAGTGTCGCCGGAGAAGTAAATGGCATTCGGCTTTCCGGTTTCTTCGTGTGTGCCAAACGAGTCGCATTCAATGAGAAACCCGGTGACTTCGCCAATTGGGAAATGCTTGCAAGGAGTTCCTGTGATGCGGAATTCCTTGCCGCCGATCACAGAGGTCACCATCTCCCAGGGTTTCAGGCCGACAACAGCCGGGCGTGGCTGCAAGTTCTTTGCTCCGTCCATGGTAGTGAAGACTCGGCGTCCATCAAGAAGCTTCCTTCCCTCAGGATCGAGGTTGTCGTAGTGGTCTTCATGGCTGAGGAGAACAGCGTCGATGGGAGGTAGGTCGTGAAGCTGCATGACCGGGGGCTTGGAAAGGGAGAGCGCGGTGGCGGGAGGGACTTCATCCAACCCGAAATCCTCCTTCAGCCGTGCTCGCGACCAGTCGAGATCGGCAACAAAGCTGCCAGCATCACCGAAGTAAGGATCAGTGAGAAAATTGACCCCATCGATATTCAGGATGGCTGTAGCCGTTGTGATGTGGGTGAAGGTGAGGCTGGTCTTGGAAGGCGAGACCATGACTGCGGCAGAGTAAAGAGAATTGGAGACTTCGAAACCTATGTAGTGTACCGAGCAATTGGATTTTCTCAGGAGAAATAGAAATTGATATTGATTTACTTGAGTCCTTCGGCCTCTTAAGCATGCGCAGGTGCATACTATCTGTGGACATTCTTCGACGTTCTTCTTTTTTTTAATCCATTGTAAGCTGCTTATTGAAAAGCTTACTCGCTTACGCTAATTGATTAACTAGTCCGAAATGGTATCATAATCTGCTTACTAGTAATTTGTAGGCTCTTCCTCCGGGTAAGCTTTTGTGATTCAATTTGTGGGTCAGGCCGGCATCCCACTCGGCATCCCACTCGGTATCCCGCTCGACATCCCGCTCGTTGTCAATTCCGGCATCCCGCCCCTTTGATGGGAAGACGCCAGGCCCGAATGGATAAGCACTCCAACAAAAACATGTGGAAACGAGCCAGAGATGTTGCCGCTCGAACCGACATGCTATTGAATAAGTACGCATACTCGAATATTCCAGGTAAATTCCTCATTTGCTGACAGTAAAGAAACGCAGCGCATTATTTCCAATCTGAGCCAGAATGGTTGGCCGCCGCAGAGCCTCCTTCATCGACCTTCAGTCAGACTCCGCCGATGCTACACACCCCAAAACATGGAGTGCGAGTGAAGAGAGACCTTCCACTTCGACCATAAAAGCAAATCCCAGACTTCTCAGCAACGAGCGCCAATTACCCGAGTATGAATTGAACTGGAATGAAGGTGATCATGAAAATCCTCGAAACTGGTCTCTGGCATACAAGTCTTTCGTTGTGGCTACAATGGGATTCGGTGCCACGGTCATTAGCCTGGCGAGTACCTGTTATTCTGTCACGATCCCGGGACTACAAGACGAACTCGGCATCACAAAGATGGTCGGGCTCCTCGGTATCACAACTTATCTCTTGGGAATGGCCGTGGGAAGTCTGTTCCTGGCTCCGCTAAGCGAGATGTACGGCCGCCGTCCAGTTTACGTCGTCTCCATGGGCCTTTTCGCAGCCTTGACGGTGCCTGTTGCTTTGGCCCGCAATATAGAGACTATTCTCGTCTTTCGATTTCTGAGTGCTTTATTTGGCAGTGCCATGATGTCAAACTCTCCAGGATCTGTCAACGACGTGGTTTCGGACCATCACCGGCCCATGGCCTTCGGCTTCTGGGCGATTGGACCATCCAACGGGCCTGTTCTTGGATCAATAATTGGAGGGTTCGTTTACCAATACCTTGGATGGCGATGGTCTAATTGGATTATTGTGATTATTGGAGGAGTCACTTTTGCTTTGATGATTCTGGTCAAAGAGACATACGCCCCGATACTTCTTCGAAAACGAGCCCAGAAAAGAAGACAACATACAAAGAACCCGAAATGGTGGAGCTCTCATGATAATCATCTGCCTTTCATAACATTCTGCCGAATCAACATCAGCCGACAGATCGTTATGATAGTCACAGAACCTATTTGGTGAGTCTAATTACTCTCTATCAATTTTTCTGTTCCACGAGTCGCGGCTTACAAACATTTCCACCCAGCATATTTTGGAACTCATATGTGGCAATTTCGTACGGGATCCTTTACCTCTGCTTTGTGTCGTATCCTATTGCATTTCAAACCAATCGAGGATGGTCACCAGGGATTGGTGGTCTTTCATATCTCGGAATAGGTTGTGGTACATTGACCACGATTTTCCTCGAGCCTGTGTTACGGGCTTGGATTCAGTCGCATCCAAAAGACCCCAACACAGGGAAAGTACCCCAGAAGCCACAGTTAAGCCTATAACGATAGGTGCGGTTCTTCTAGCCATGGGACAGATTTGGTTTGCCTGGACTTCCACGCCTAATGTGCATTGGGTTGTTCCAATTCTGGCCGGAATCCCATTTGGAGCGGGAAATGCCGCTTTGTTCATCTATGCCAGCAACTACCTAGCTCATTCCTATGGGGAGTTTGCTGCGTCGGCGTTGGCTGGAAATACAGTTGTGAGAAGCATTCTGGGTGCTGTGTTACCACTTGCAGGCCCTTCTATGTATGCGTCACTAGGTCTGAACTGGGCTGGCTTCGTTTTGGGGATGGCTGAGGTAGCTTGTATCTTGATACCTTTCGTGTTTCTTTATAATGGCCACAGAATCCGGCGCTCGAGTCCCTTGATCCAAGAAATGAAGAAGAAAGGTGAGGCCAACTTAACTGCCTCACAAGGATTGGGGCATGGTGGGAATTCCGACATACCCTAGTTCCTGCTCAGGTGTATACGAATGATCATTACCAATGTACACCTAATGCTTCACTATAAAACTTGATTTAAGGTTCCAAGATTCTTCAGTCAGAGTATGCCTAGGAATTCTGGATTTTCATGCCGACGTTTTTAATTATGGATGTCTTCAGTATCAGGCATTGAGACATTCCAAGGCAATTGCTCCTGACAAGCATTTGCTCAAATAAGACTATATCCATTTGAAATTTACTCGATCATCATGTAGTGTCGTAGAAGAGGTACTGATCCACTCCTTATCATCCGTGTTCTCGTCCCGTCTGGTTTCTGCGATAGCTCGAACAAGAGCTCGAGTATCACTACCTCTCGGGATGTTCCAGACTTCGTCGCAATATGGCATGCTGAACGAGAGGTCAGCGATAGTCAATAGCTTCTCGCAGGGACTTTTGTTCCTGTCTCCTGTGGTACTGATGTGGGCCACCTTATACAAAGCCAATGCGAATCGCTTCATCTCTTCTACGCCTACCCAGATCATTGTGATCGGGGTCGCGGTAGGGTATTGGGCAAGCATCTTCGGATATGAGAACATGCCCAAGTTGCGACAGCTTCGTACTAACGCATCGAAAAGATCGTATTCGTCTGCGGGTATACGGTGCCGTAGGCCGAGGTCAATGTCCCCGGTCTCCTTGGTGATGAGAATGGAAAGAATCACGTGGAGGAGCAAACTCTGGTATGTTGTGATTGGCCATGAAATGTCGATGATCTGGTCCGAGGTCACGGTTGAAAAGTCCCATTGGCTCTGAGATAAGGTGTTAGCGTAAGAGAAGACTCAATCGAAAGCCACTGAATATTGACCCGCTGATTTTGCATGGCCGACCCTAGCCGGCAATGAAGGTCGATCGCGGCGTTTTTTGAGTCTTTGCTGCCGTACGCCCACATTCCGATCATGACAACAGATTGAACCAAAACGCGCGGCTCTGTTGCAGGATCAAAAGTGGATCGATGCAGGAACGGCCATTCTGGATGGAAGTGCTGGAAATAACTTTCGACATATTCATCGGTTGACGGGCTTTCCTGGACTGTCAAATTTGGCTCATCGGCATTGCGGAGATGCCTTTCAGGGGAAGCTTGGCCAGCGAGAGAGCAGTTGAGTCCTCGTCGCTGACAAGCCTTGCAAGGCACCCCTCCTTCGCAGGTCTCCTTTCGTTGACGACATGCGGTGCATGCTTTCAAGGATCGAGATCCGGGGAGCTGGGCTTGTGGATGGTATTTTCGGATGTGGCGACGTAAGAGATCACTGTGTAGTGTTAGTATGGTGTGGCACAATGAAGGAATCCAGAGAGATTGAAAGATATTTGAACATCCTTTCTCGTTAATTTCTGGTCACAGTGTGGACACGCAACAGCAGCATATGTCTCGTGGTTGACTTGATGTCTTTTGAGATGCTCTTTTCGTCGATATCGCGAATTGCATTCTGGAAAATCACACTCAAAAAATATATCGCGGCTGTCTGGGGCTATTGTGGTAGACATTGCTTTTGTCTGCCGTTTTGTGAAGGTCAATCTTTAAGGTTGGGCTAAAAGACCCCGGGACAAGAAAGTACCGGATGATAAATGATGGAAAGTAGTGAAGGTTGGTTCCGGGGCAGACGGAGCTAACGAGGCCTGAATTCCGGGGCACCGAAACCCACGCATTTGCTGGAGAAGCGTCTTGCGAATTTTACTGGTAATGTTTATATATAGACATGATAACTTCTGACAAGTTTTGGGTTTCTGTCAAGAAAGCAGTATGATACCATAATGTAAGTTTCCTTCGAGACGAGGAGAAGAAGAAAGAGGGAGAGAGAAGCTCTCCAATGTATAATTGTAGGTCTATCAAACGGGGCCCTGCAAACAAGGCAAACAACGGCGCCGACACTTTCCCGTTCCGTTTTAGTGCCCACCCCTTGCCCATTTGCTGCTTTTTGCTGAGTAAAACTGAGCACGTCCTCAGTATCACCTGATCGTTATGTAATCCGGATGCCGCGCTCACTGAGCAATCTCCAATGATCAGTCGGGAGCCTAGACTAGACCTCTTCACCGGGCCCATAGCCCATAGCCCAGCCCAGCCCAACTCGCAAATGGGCTGGGGTTTGGGCTTGTAGTCCGGGCCCAACCCAGCCCATTGAAGAGGTCTAGCCTAGACCATTACACGACGCTTGCATAACTGAGGCGAGATGCCATAGGATACTTGGCACATTTTATCAATGGCCCGTTCGCAATGATCCAGAGCAATCTGGGGCCAAGTTCAAAGACCACAGAAGATATTTATGATAAAAAGCAGGGATTAATGCACATTTACTCCGTAATTACTGAAAAGATGTCCTAAAACGGTTGTCGGATACTGGGCATGTAGAAACACTGGCTCTCAACAGATGGTACGGAGTATGTTACACGAACACACATGCGCTCACTACTTCATTTTGTTCATTCAAAGCTATTAACGACCACCCTGGGCCGTGATTAACGATGACTACATATATTGCTACAATTGCCTCATCCAACTGCCAGCCATACCTCAGATATCCTTGATCTCTTCGCCATGACCGATCCAAATATGGCGCCCGACTACGAGGTCAGCCTCTTGCTCGACTCAAACAAGGTCCTCACCGCTGCACACGAGCTAACGGACTGCATCCGATCGGCTTTTGATGTGGAACCGCCCGTCACCATGATAAATGTGCAGTTCCTTGACACGAATGATAAAGATGTTGATTCCTCTCACTGGAGTGCTCGGATCCGCAAGTTTGAAAATGAGCGTAAACTCGAGTTAACGTATAAGAGGCGGTATACCATCACAAACAGCAACATTAACGCCGCTCTTGATGTGGCTAACAAGGATGGTTTCAATGCTACCAACAAGGATTACGAGGCACAGATCGAATGGGATTTCCAGACGAAGACACTTTCTATTAGCTGCAAGAAAAAAGGACCGGATGTTGGGATTGGCCATACGGACCTGCCGGTGGAAAGTGACTCGCGTCAGATGCTAATCGGCAAAGCGCCGGACAAGTTCAAGGAATGGAAGCCGTACAAATCGCAGCCAAACAAATGGCCTCCTAAAACCTGGGGCACCAGCGCCTTGAAGGAATCGCGCATTTACGGCCCGGTCCTCATGAGTCGCTTTACCGGTTCATGGAATGGGCTAAAGCTTTACCTAGAGGTCTGGCCGCTACGGAACTCCACGGGTACAGGCATTGAACACTTCGTTGAGGCTTCTTTCAAGACAGACTCTGAAACAACCGCTTCAGTTGAGCAGAGCAACCTAGTAGCCTTCTTGAAGAGTAAGGATTGGTTACTTGAACAGGACTCATCAATGACAAAGCTCATTATGGCCCGTTATTGATGGGCAAAGTCAGTAGGCCCTCGGTTCACTGAGCTGGTCCCTGGTGTGTTGGTTCTCCGTTTGCTATCCTGTATATTACGCCGAAATTGCCGTTTCTTATTACTAAAGTCTTGTAATGGTCTTATAATATTTGGCTACTCTGTAGGACGTAAGCTAATAACTTTTTGTCCAGTAGAGTAAATCGCTTTAACTATGACGAGAGAGAATGTTTTAATACCTTCTAATTATATGCTTTGGATCCCCAGACTTCGGACCAGTGACAGAGTCTTTGTGATGGAGATGGAAACAAGATTTGTTCCATCGACAACGAAAAAATTAAAGATGAAGGAAAGAAGAAAAAGCAAAAAGCTATGGAGCAGCAAGCATAAATAACAAAGGGAAGCAAGTAAACGCAGCAAACGAAGCAAAGCAAGCAAATGAGATGGCGCGAGATAGCAAGCAAGAAGGATGATAATAATGATGGTCGGCTCGATGTCGATTCATGCACTGAACTCGTTTCATCAGAGGCAGGAGGCGAAAAACTTAAGGTCCTTGTTGGTAATGATATTGGTTCTGGATAAATTGGAACTGTACTGCTTGTCGTGGATCATCCACTAAATCACAAGTCATGGCGAAAGAGTTGGCGAAGCGTCCCATAGGCGAAAATAATTAGAGCTAGCTTGAGGACAGCCAATCTCTACTTGTTATGTCGCTCATCTTGTCCTTGATGAGCAGACTGCCACGAACGGTAGTCAGTCCCGCGTCCGTCAATCGACTAAATTTTGAACTCCCACGCCACCCCCGGATCCCCACGGATCCATGGGAATGGTTCCGAGAACCGAAAACTCTCTGGACACGAAGCCTTTGGTGCCACTGGATATAACACGAAACTCCGCTCTGGGCTGTGATAATCTACTGCAAAACGAGAGTCTGGTGATCTATACTAATCTGCCCATCTTGATGATCTCATGCTCGAAAGGCTTGTCACCAGTAGATAGACGTGAGATCATTGTTTAGGTGTACCACATTCTAGAGTTCGGGTGTGCCATGCTTTGCAACTTTGGTTAAGACTTTGAGTCAGATCTAGAGCCCGTTCTCACTCATGCGCGATGAGGTACTGTTATGGAAGGCGCGAAAGGCCTCCTTCAGTCCGACAGCCTCCAGAAGCAACTTTGAACTCTATTCGCTCAGTAGGCTTCTCGTTAATAACATCCTGGTGATCCTCAACCGTGTCGATAGTGGGTATCTTGTTGAAGGCGATCAATTTCTATATCCGTTTGTCTCTTTTCAGCACCGCAAGATAGAAGCATATCATGGGTTACCGTGCCCATGGAATCCCTAAACACTGTTCGCCATGGGGAATGCTCCGCAATCGAGCGCTCCAGGCTTCGAGTTATGATGCGTTGGCAATGGTCATGAGATTCAAGCAGTGAATTAGCTCAGTCCTTGCATCTCGTGCTGGACAGGGATATAAAATACCGGTTGAACTCCGGCATGAAGATCACTCCTCGCTCTACTGAATAGCTTTATAGTACCAACTGACCACTCAGTTCTACCTTTAGCGTCCTATTGTGAGAAGCAAAATGGGAGTTCGTGACTACGGAATTTGGAAGGGAACTCCAGTTCTTTACGAGTTTGAAGATCGCTATGAGGACGATACTTCGCCTCATCTGTCGCTGTACTACCATGACGAGGAGGGCGACCCGCCAGATTTTGACCTTGGCTTTCGGCGCAACAACAGGGGCCACCCACCAAACCCCAATCGCCCAAAGGACATTCCGGGGCTCCTCCGTGCAGCAATCAATATCAAATCCACGGATGATGAGACTCGACTTGCCTATTGGGTGAACAATAACATGGAGGATCATCCTATTGTCCAGAAACTGACCGGGCTGGACTTTGGCTTTAATCCAATCAATAGCGTGCCTGAATCCAATGTCCAAAGCCTCGACTATATCCGGGGTAACCTCTTCAATCCAAGGAGCGGCCGTGTGCTAGCGCATGACATTCCGGGCACCAACAACGATATGATCGATGTCCTGGAGCCCGAAATCACTAAAGCAATTGAAAAAAAGGCGACCATCTATTTGTTCGGTTCTGAGTTCAATACGAAGAATGGAATTCACAACGTTCATATGAATCAGGGTAACATCAAGAAGTTTGCCCGTGATGATGGAGTCTTTCAGGATGGTGGTCTTCTCATCCAGTACGAGAATCACTGGACTGGCATTTTTATTGCATTTGCCTCCCAGGCAATCCACACCGATGATCAAACTGGCCATAAAATCCCTGGCAACACTCTGACGTGGGGGGACTTCCTACCCATGGACATTGAGGAGAATTCTGTGACCATTACGAAAGCGCTCGTCAACCCACGTGGACAGGATGATGGCTCTGCAAGAAACAAAGAGTCAGTGACGCTTGGAGACTTTACAAATCACCGAGTATCCTTGTCATCATGGACGTTGCGTAACTCCGCTGGCGATGTCCAAGAGCTTCCTCAAAATGCAATCTTGGCCGCCGGGGAATCCAAGCTCTTTGACGTACCCAACTGTCCCCTTAATAATAATGGTGATACAATTACTTTATGCAACAAAGAGGGACTGAGGGTCGATGGGGTGAGCTACCAGCGCCGCCAGGGACAGAAAGAAGGCCGTCCAATTGTCTTTGCCCACTGATTTGAGCCAAACTTGTAACTACCTCAGTGTCATGCTTTGCAAGCATCACATGATCTCTCTCTTTCTCGCGCATGTGCTTGCTTACTTCTCTCGTCAGCCATCATCCGTCTTGTTTGCTTGCTACCCTGCGCCATTTGATCCTTTGCTCAGTTTGCTTTGTTTGCTCGCTTTCCTTTGCTATCTATGCTTGCTGCTCCATAGCTTCTTGCTTCTTCTTCTATCCTTCTTCATCTTTAGTTTTTGTTGCCAATGGAACAAACCTTCTTTCCATCTCTATCAAATAACTCACTGATCCTGAACCTGAGCGCCCTCATAAAGCGGTGGCAGCCCGGATAGGAAAGGCCCCACCCGGCAGACATTATCCTGTCTATATGGATAACTACATATGTCATCGCCAATCTTCGCGGCTTAGCCAAGACTTCCTTTACTCGACAAATCATGATTACTCAACGATCAGTGGAAGGACAGCTAAAAAGACAGCTAAAAAGAGGTCCCGAAGTCGATGATAGCTGCAGACCTACAATTAATGGAAGTAGCCCTGAATTCTAATACACGTTGGAACCCATCTATTTCTCAAAAATATTTTTCTTTTGGAACCCCATCCATGCAAATATTACAGATCACTCCTTGTGCTATGAATATTGGCGCAGGGAGGTTGAGTTTTGGATACAATGGAACAATTTCACCTCCGCTCTTGATCAGGCAATGCCCATTTGACCATCCACTCTGACAATAGCACCTCTTCGGCAGTCGGCCGCTCTTCTGGTCGGAATGACAGCATCCAGCGCATCAAATCTAGAAACGCTGATTTCTCGCTTTCCTCAATCCCACCTCCCACCTTCCTTCTCCATTTCTGCACACCAGTCTCAAATGACTCCTCCAGTGGAGGCCATCGGTTCGCACTGGGGGATTTGGTTGGATACCCGTACTCATCGAAGAATCGGGGTCGGCCTTCCCAGCGCTGCCACCAGCTCGAAGGCATAGACCCCATTACATCGATATGTTGAGACACTGTCTCGTCTTCATCCACAAAGTCGGTGCTGAAAATGTCCTTCATTCAAATGATCTCCCAGATTGCTGTAGCCAGACTCCATATATCTGAGGGATATGAGAGCGGGACCTGCGGTTCGAATTTGGCTTCTGGGGCTCGGAATGCGCGGGGCGTATGGCAGTCATGCCCAAGACGAGCTTCCAAAGCAGGGGCAAATGCTTCACCAAAGTCACTGAGAAGCGGATGCGCGTCAGACAACGAAAAATTCTGTGCAAACTTCCCTAGGAAAAGCGGCACAACAGCTCTGGCTGGGGCATTGGGAGATAGTGGTTTTCCATCACATCGCGTGATGGGAATCGTCTCGGGCTCGCCGAATTTTTCATAGAATTGCTGGATAGAAAGCTCGTCGAAATTTAACAGAAGCTTGACTAGAACGTTACTTAAATGAATATCTAAGTAGCAAAGAAAGACACGAATAATTAGCTTTCGAGTACCCAGGATAGATCTCATTGCGTCATAACAAACCTCCATGAACATAGCCTTTTGAATGTGTATAAGCAACAGCCTATATAAGTCGATATGCTAGTGCTCGAGCAATTTCGAGAGAAAAAAGACGGCTGAATGATATTTCTCGGAGATTGCATTGTACAAGGGCTACAGTATAGTATGTATGTTTACCATTGTGGCCTTGTAATTTGAAACTATCTTGGAATACAGGGACTAAGCCACGCCCTGGATATACGGGCAAAGACATCGAAGGCAATGAAGATAGAGCCTAAAGAACTTTCGACTCACGCGAATTTAAGTCGGCAATGTTGACCTTGACGGCAACATACCGGTTCAGATAAGCATCTCGAGCAAGCCAAACTATCGAATAGCCCCCAAAGCCAAGTTTGTCTACAATATGATAACGGTCATACAACACGTCACCAACCATATTGGGATGGTAACCCCTAGCCTGGTATTCTCCTAGTTTTTCAACACCTTTAATCCAATTGTACTCGATACGATGGTTTTCGGCCATGGTGGTGCTCAACCGGGTGCAAAGACCTAAGTTGAGCTTTCGGGGACGGAGAAAGGATTGGTGCACTAGAAGTGAAGAACGAGCGGAGACAAGTAATATTGAAGCATGATCAAGACTGCTGAGTAGTTTCAAGGAGCGTGTCATACTTAGCTATCTTGCTTGGTCGAGGAAATTGGCAAGGAGATGACTTCGGAAGGGGCCGTGGAAGCGGGATGGGTTCCGCGGGATAACGTGAGAGCATAGGTAAGCTGGACGCCAAGCCCTGGGGAGGAAAATGGATTGTGGAGTCTGGTCTGTTAGTGATTGTTAAATCTGCGTGCGCATTTCATCACCCTTTTTACATCTACAGATTACATCAGATACATCACCCAGTGATTCTCAACTGAAATTGATTGATTGGTTAGTATGTCTGGCTATTGGTCCGGAATTCTCACTGGGTCTGATTTGCTCAGCTCTGGAAATCATTTGAAGAAGGGCACGTTGGCGCCACTCACCGCTAGCGCCGATTCATCCTAGGCTTGCTACCGCTGGCCTGGTTACCGCCGGCCTGGTTTCCGAGCATGGGCGGCCTGTCACGCTTCTGTTCTTTGTGATCTCTATGAGGATTTCCGTCAAAGATCGCGTAAGACATTTCACCCAGTCTGTTCACCATCTGATCTACATCCATTCCACGTCCCTTGCCCTTACCAAATGTCTGTCCATTTTTCTGGATGGTCTTTCCCAGGGTATGGATTTCATTTCGCAGGGCTTGAGTCAGTTTCAAGAAGATGGAGTTTTTACCGTAGAACCCCATCTTTTTAGCGATAGTTCCACAGTTTGGCGTTCTCTTGACCATGTCCAGATTTGCCTTTTCAATCTCAGTGACTTGGTTGGCAAGTTTGTCGAGCTTCTCAGCGACTGCCTTGTGATGGGGCTGCTGATCTTGGCCCAGGCTTCCGACCATCCGCAAATTTTCCTCCAGCGTGGACTTGAAGCGTTCAACAAGCCGCAGATACTTGGCTTCAGGGGACTTTGCGTCAACCTGACCGCCCATGAACGTGTTGAACATGATGAAATAGTGTAGTTGTTTGGGTCAGTGCTTTCAGAGGTATGTCGAGTTCGTCGTACTTGAACGATGGAAACCCCCCTTCCCTCGGAGTGCTCAAGGGTACTTATACTTTCTGGTACTTCCTTTTGCACATACGACACAAACGAAATACCTAGACCTTTGATGGCGGCGCAACAAAGCAAGACAAAGACCCTTGCCCGCATAACCCTCTTACCAAGATTGGCCTTTCTTCCTAATGTGCATTGAACAAAGAATCTGCCGAGATGATTTCATACAGGTCAATTTCATTTATAACATTGCGCATCAATCAGCATACAAAGATCATGAAAACAACTTTGATGCATATTTCAACAAATCGATCTTTGAAGGAGCAGAGATAGCCTTGATTGCGGCTGTGAAGTAAGGAATGTCCACCCCATTGTAAGAGCAATTGTGCCCGTGGATGCCAATTGTCACGGTACCGAAGTCATCATCACCTGTAATAGCTTCGTGAATCAACATAGCTTTATCAATTGACCCGAGGACTACCGAATCTCGTGGTTCTTGTTCCAGAAATAGATGAGGCAGAACGACGTATCCTAAATCCTTGTCACCTAATGTAAGGTTGAACGATGCGCGGCCCTATATAGATATGTTAGCTCAAACTTGATAGATTCCAAAAAGGGATTTGTTCGTACCAGCTCAACACTAAATACGCCCGGGTTGCGCACGGCGATAGTGGCATTAAAATTGTATCCATCGACCGGAGGATCCAATAGCTCTATGCTGCTTATGTTGAATCCACCATCGGCATTGAGATATTCTTTATCAAATGGTCAGTAATGCCGTGCAGTGACATATGAGTGGAGAGTCAGGTCTCACCTGTAACATTATAGCCTGGTGGAGTTGGTCAGCACGTCTCGTGGGTACGGTCGATTCATGATAACTTACTACCAACATGCATGGTTTTTTGAATATTGACGTGCGCGGTTGGAATTCCCCCGAGGTGCAAATCCGAAGCACCTTCCAGCAAGAGAGATGAGCTCTTATTTGATGCAGCGTTGGTGGCAATCTTAGACATGCAGTCGACACAGGATACTTCCACATCTTGACTGATGTCTAGATATGCGCCATTGCCGAATGAGATCTGAGGCACCGAGAGAGACCCGAAGGCCTCGTTTGTCTCTTCAACCCGGCATGTCGCATTGAATGCGTCCAAGTGACCACTTCCACTTACTGCACCCCCTGTCGGCAGGGATTTTCTTTGCTTAACATGGAAGGCTGTTGGTCTGGGATTGGTGATCTCGAGGCCATTATATCCATACGCGGAGTTGTTGATATAGTTCTCTGCGAAATGAGGGACTCCAACATAAAGGCTGCAATAATGAGCAGTTGATCACTCAGGGGCCCTGAGGGGAATACTTACATGGGGAGGACGGTGACCAGAACAATGACGCACAGTGCGATCAGATAAGCCCACCAGAATCTCTTCATATGTGACTTAAAGCGGTTCCATAATGTCTGCTTTGCGGGCGTAGGAAGAGCCTCGTTCACATCAGAGGTAGCTGAGATTTCGGATTTTGACATGGTGTAGAATGCCAGCAGGTTCACCTAGGTCGTGAAGGTTGTAGAACGCCAGTGCGACAAACGCCTCTCATATTATACACAATAAGTATCTCAGCGGTCGCAAAAGTCAGAGAAAAGAGTTGAAACAAGGTCTCCCATAAATCAGGTGTTTGGGGGTTTGCGATTCTCGTGTCGATCGACCCACTTTTCACATGGAATACAGTGAACAAAAATCGAGCTGGAAGTCGCATAAATTCATCCGTAAGGAATACTCCGTATGGATCTCTTCGTACGGTAAATGAGTTGGAAGCTCCACTTTGATCTGAGACCTCACAATGCTTGTGTGACTAGTCTCCGGTCCAACAATTGAACGACATCGAATATTGCTGTGAGCCATCCGTAGTATGGATATCGCAAGCTGAAGCTTGAATCAGACATTTGGGGACGTTTTCAAAAAAAGAAGCCGACCATGTGGCCAATTAAAAGACTCGCTGGCTAGACTCGGTGGGCGCTTAGCCCAAAAAAGGTGCAGGGTCGCGTACATTCTGGACCCGACATGCTGTGGATGCAGATCATGCACAAAAAAGGGGGATCGGCCGACCAAAGGAACCTCGGTTGTGGGTATCTTGCCCTAGAACTGGGGGCCCGCTACGGAGTACTTCGTCCTCCGTCCTCCGAACGGCGTACTTAGTGGTGAGACCTGCACAGAGTTCTTCCTGGAGACTGAAGTCTTGAAGAACCGTTTTGCTGTGTAGAATGACTTTGGGATGTACTCCGTATCCCCACTGTGGAGTGATCCCAGTGGATAATGACATCACACCTTGGTAGTGAAATCATGTGATATGATTTACCGTGACAGATTCAACAACAAGCAGACGATCGTTTCTTATTTCAACATACTCCGTGCTACAAGTGTTCATGATATGGCATGTTGTTCAACGAGCCGTGTTGAGCAAGGCATAGAAATGATACCTTGACGATGTAAGTACGGGGTACGAATCCGTACTCCGTACTTACATTGAGCGTTCTCATCTCGACGATCATGGTGAGTGCGATTGGCACCCTCCAAGGGCCCGCCTGCTCTGTAGGATCAAGTTGAAACATGGTAAGCCAACCTGAATTTGGCGTGATGAAGCTAAAGGCCCTGAGGACACCAACGTCACTCGGTAATCTTAAAATAGGATTCCACATTGCGGTGTATCCAGGTCGAACATGGGGCAAACATGTTGAGCGGGTCGCTAGGTAATGGGGCAACTTCATTGCTCTTGATTGACTTCAGTCTCTCTCGAGGGTGTTAATTTTGAGCGCAGCAGCCTGGATATCGTTATCGCGAGCTTGACGCTTCTTTCATCGACTCTTGTTTGCGGCCTTGGGGGGATTTGGCGACGAGTTGGCTTAATCTTCGGTGCCAAAACGGGGCCACCACGTCAGGATTTGCGTATTGCGCAGGCTTAACGACCGTACATGATTCTCCCAACCAGGTCGACCGTCGACTTCGGGGGAGTTGAGGTGAGGGAATTGAATTGCAGATGTTGAAGTGTCTCTGCGCCAGAGTTCTCAAGCAAGCAAAATCAACGGGCAAGTCGACACACTGATCTTTTGGTTGATCTAGGACCTTCACCCGCAGCATGCTGTTTGTGGATCTATGCTGCTCTTTGAACGCATATTTTCTGGAGAGCTTCAAAGGTCTCATGGCGGAGGCAAGCCTTGCGCCAGTCCAAATCGACAAGATAATGTTCGAACATGGCCGGCCCCCACCACGCTCTCCGTGCCTGGTTAGCAGTTTTCCAAAATTCGGCAGGGATACTATATGATGTTTCTGTTTTGGCATGCGTCTATCGGTTCCCGAGGAATTCCACTGCAGAGAGAGTGCTGGCTCCACAGTTGTTTCTCAAAGCTGTGTCAACCTCTGGCTTTGAACCAATTCGTCTGTGTGTTGTCTCAAGTCGTGAAATATGTATATCATTTGAGGTAGTCTGTAGATCGCTTGTATCGACGAGGGGCGGAGGATCGTATCGAAGTAAAGGTGGGTACAGTAGGTAGGCTTTGTTCCTGGGACTTGTAGCGTCCCGCGGAAAGCATTGGATTCACTTGGGATCTCAATAAATGCACAGTTTCATCTCTGATGCTTCCGACTGGTGGGGATGGAAGGACTCTGAACTGATATATCATTCAGTAGTTTAAGATGGATGATGTAGGTTACCAACTGAAACTTTGATAACAGACGTAGTTTGAAGACAACTCGACCCCAGGTTAGAGAGTTGAGAGAAGTGTTGTCCTAAAACTGTGCAGCGGACGCGTACCAAGAATATCTTGGTTAGTATTTTCTCTCTGATTGGCCTGACTGTGACTTGTGTCTATCCCCTTTGGGCCTAGTTCCGGGAGAGGCGCCTGTCAGATCTATGAACTTGCCCTACCTTCCCGATTCGGATGCCAGGTGTCTCTCTAGGACTGCCTATAAATACCTCCTCCCTGTCTCAATTTCTCTTCTCTTCTTCATCTCTCTTCATCCCTTTTCACATCTCTTCTCTTTTCTTCTTCACATCTCTCTCACTCGCCAACTTCTTCCTCTTCCTTTTGTTTTCACTGCGCGCTTTTCATTTGGTTTTACCCTCAAGTTCAAATCTTTTTTTCGCCCCCCTACCTTCCTCCATCGTGTTTTCAAATTTCTTTCTTCTTCTTTTGCTCCCCACCTGTTCACATTTCTTTTTGTCACCCCCGAGCCTTGAACTTGTTCAGTTGTGCGTATTTCCACCACCTTGGTTTGTGTTCCACAGCTTGGCCTGGTACTGACATATCTCTTCCATCTACAGGCTACACTGGAAGGTCTCTTTCAATTGTCTGAGAACACCCGGGGGACACTCTCAGGCGTCCACCCTACAAAACTGGGGAAGGGTAGGGCCAAAAACGTTTACGAAGGTCCGTGGACGGACATGAGTTTTTCGCCTTTGTGCACCTTTGGGAGTTGTTGGAGGGCTCATGCGGGACAACGATCAAAATTGACCTGCTGGTACCTGTCTCAAAACTTCCATCTTTGAGTTCAGTACATACAGCGGATCAGACATTCATCCTTTTGGGATTGCCTTGCAACTGATCTGATCTTGGGAACGGGAACTCTTCCAACCCCCTCGGTAGGATTCAAACGCAAGACAAACAGTTATTTATCCAATACATGAGACATTACTTACACTTTCAAATGTACTTTAAAAGAAACATTTTCTGCAGTCTTGATCACTACACTCGTTATCCTAGCGTGTAATACGGACCTGAAGTACGGATGTGAAGTCATTTCTCAGTCGTGCTCTACCAATGAGGATGTTCACTTTGCGCTTACTGTGAATCTTCGTCCATCGAGGTCGGTATCATCAGATGTGCGTATGTCGCCGGCGTTTCAACAGCATCTCGAGTGACTTAACATCGTGATTCTGATTGCAACCTTGGAAGCCATGGTGTCCGGTTGAATACGACCATGTAGACCATTTGTACTTTGCAGGTCGTGTTTAAAAATCCCATTGAAAATGTCATGCATATCCAGCTAATTTGATACAACGAGGCATTTTGGAAATCTACTTCATCTCTGCAAGACCTTTATAGATATCCGCCTCGACCTCTTGGTATAGCTTGAACACCTTGGCATCGCCGAACGGAAGAATCTGCGCGCATATCATGCCCGCCACGCCATTTTCACGATCACACCACCAGAAAAGATTAGGGAGCCCTGACCACTGTGCAGTTCCTAGAGATCGGCCGGTGTTGCCACCGCTAAGCAAGAACGTCAGTCCCCAGCCTTGGCGATCTCCTTCAACCGTCGGATGGAATCCAGTTCCTGCGTTGATCAAATCAGGCTTTGGGTTGGGAATGTATTTTTCCGCCAAGGGTGGCAGATTTCCGATCTGGTCACTGAACATCTCGTCAACGGTAGACTTCTTCAGAAGCTGTTTTCCGGTGCTTGGGGACGTTCCGTCGTTGAGAAGTACCGCTAGGATCTCTGGACAGATGTTAGGCAATAAATCAGGGGACACTAAAAGGCGATGGGAACCCACGGCAGTAATCTTCCGGTGTTGAGAAACACCCTGCTCCACCGCTGTTGAACAAGGACTTCACATCGGACTCATTGTCCACGATCAGCGGTCGTCGTAGCAAATGATCCCGGGTGTGGATTTGACCAGTAGAATCTCTTTGGTGCATGTAGGCTAGCTGGTCCTTCATCTCTGCGGTGGGGAACATTGTGATATGAGTGAGACCCAGCGGCTCAAAGATGTGTTGGTGGAAGTAATCGTTCAAGGACTTTCTGGATACACGTTCGATCACAATGCCGACCCAATCGATGTTAATCTGTCCATGTCGGGTTAGCAGCTGCGACCTTGGCACGAATCCTTGTTCATGGGCTCATACCCCATATTCCCAGGCCTCTCCTGGCTGGTTTATCAGTGGCTGCTTGAAGTCGCTCAGATGTCCCGAGAACTCATCATAGCCAGCTGGCAGGTTGTGGTCTCGTAATTTTGGGTTCATGAAAGCATATCCAAAGCCAGCTAAAAGACATGAATCAGAAGAGGGCCCAGAGATTACATGCCTGCTCGCAATAACTCACATGTGTGACTCAATAGCATTCTCAGTGTAATGCCTCGTTTCTTCTCCACCAAATCGCCATTCTCTTGCAGGACTTTGATGTCCTTAAACTCGGGGCAGATTCCCTCAAGCTCCTTGGGGTCATCCAAAGAGAGTAGACCCTGCTCCACCAGCTGCATACATGCGATGCCGGTGATCAATTTGGTACACGACGCGATCCAAAACACACTGTCAGTGGTCAAGGGCTCGGGGCTCCCGTGCCCTCTCCGTCCTCCTGCGTGGGAGAACAACAGATTTCCATTCTTGCCGACAACCGCAACTGCAGCCCCCGGGAGTACTTTGTCCGGATTGCGGCAAGCTGAATCAATCCGGTCCTTGAGTGTCTCGATGGTGGTAGTCGGGAGGGAACCCATGCTGGAATGTCGCTCAACCAGTCGGTTTGCTTGGTGAATGGGTGATCGGAGAGAAGGATTGAAGGTTTGCGATGGGATAGTTCGAGGATTAACACTTGCGAGAGTGGTGACAGAGCCAAGTATGTGCAGCTGCTCCAGAACGTGGACTCCGTACCTGATTAGTCATATTTCCAATGCGGGGGAGGGGTATTTCCGCTGCTGATACCCGAGAGTTTGTTGGAGCCAATTGGCACGCGTTCCTCCATGTTGACCACAAGATAAAACATCAGCATGCTTATCGTATCTTCTGCTAGCGGTTCAGTCATCCTTGCAAACCCATGCCCAGTGCTGCATTCTCATACCTAGCTTCTCATCCCTCTCATCGACGTGGATTCCGAATCTTGTGATCCCGGTGGTGGCTGTAACAGTCTTACTAGGGGCCTCGGTTGGCTACCCAGAGGTAAGGTCTCAATCGCCATGGCCATGCAGTTTGCGAATCAGGGTGGCAAATATCCGGTCATCTTCGTTGGGCGGCTCCCATCAGCTTGCTGTGACGGTCGTGAGCAGACGAGAGGTCTCGAGGGGCGGGTTATGGCCTAGTCAAGTAAACAAGACGGGATCAGAGAGTAGCTGTACGGACAACTTGCCTAAGTTGAGATCCTTTTGTGGCTCACCGTTATCATCACGGCGTCACCGAATGCCGTTTGTGCAAACGCGGTGTTTTCGGAGCCGTAAACACCAATCAACACCCAATCAACACAATCCAGTGGCATCTCATACAACGGTGTAGTGATCTTCACCAAGTTTTGACCATTGAAAACCAACCAGCGACGGTGAGTAGTTCTCAAGTATGCGAGTAGAGTTCTGGTGACGAGAGACATGGTGGTATCGGTAGTGATGGGCATGAGTGCCTGCAGTTCACCTGTTGCTGTTTGGGAGAACATCGCGGCTAGCCTTGGGCGACCCAAAAGGGAGATAAGCTTCGAGACCTCCGTAATGAGTTGTTGGCTTGGAGTGGAAGATAGACTTTTAAGGTTACCTGTTGTCATGGCGAAGATGTCACCGAAGGTGGAGGGTTAGGAAGGAACATGGACACGCCGGTGACAAGATCAATAAGGTGAACAGTGTACGAGACTTTTACAATTGCCATTTCAGCTACACTCAACTTTTTTGCCTGATAGCTATGGAGGTTCGGCTTTGGTGGAACCTAGTTATATTGTGTCTCGCGCATGGAGTATGGTTGGTCACTACCTGGGTGGCATCACGTCTTATTTCTAGCATCGTTGGTAAAACGGAGAGTGATAGGTAGTGGAATTGGCTAGCAGCACTAAAAGTGACTCGAATGGCCAACTAGTCGAGTGGCCGGAGCTGTTAGCTAGCAGCCTTCGGGACCGTGTGTGGACTGTGAATGGAAAGGTCCTTTCGCGGAGCAGGGGCCCAGTTCAATTCGCAGGTCTGACAGGTTTGCCCTTTTGGCTTAATTTTGTCCCGATTTGGGAGAAAAGAGAGGGATATATGCCCGTGAGACTATATACTGTTATAATCACCGCTCAGGTGGCTCAGTGGTTTCGATCATTGTGAGCCATGCCTCTCCAGCTTTGGCTGGTTTAAGTGCACTCAGGACCCTGCTTTGCTGAGAAGTATTCCGCGCACATGTCCCTGGTTCGATTCCGGGGGCAGGCTTGACTAGTCGGGATTTGGTAACGGGTCCCCAAAGTAGCTCAGTGGTCACTCAGCACCTGACCATTGTGAGTTATGCCTCTCCAAGTTGGCCGACCAACTGGTTTAAGTGTAGGGCTACCCTCGGTACTATCTGTGGTCACCGGGACCACAGTCCGTAGCACCGCTACCCCCGGAGGGGCGGTGCCGCGTCTAGCCCGGTAAGCTGAGTTGCCAGCGACACACAGTGTTTAGCGAGTCCTATCAAAGAGGTCAGCAATCTTCGGCGAGAACGGGCTACCTGTGTACCGAATGGGGAGCTTGCCAGCTAAACACGCATAGCGATGTTTAGCGAGTCCTATCAAAGAGGTCAGCAAGTTCCTCCCGGTAGCGGGGCCGAGGAATGCCCACACATGTCCCGGGCATCGATTCCGGGGGCAGGCTTGATCGGCAGTTACCCTCTTTTTTGCTCCTTTGCGGTTGGGTTTTACCACAACATTGAGACCTTGAAACGAAGCTATTGTTCCCTTCTTTTTCTGACCTGACTTTTTTTCATTCTCTTTTTGCTCAACCTTCTTGAAGGCTTACACCCCAACAATCTTCATAAATGTGGGGCATGCGGCTCTGTTGATCCACACCAGTCACATGACTCACCTTATTCAAATCTATGGATATGACGCATTTCATTTGATGATGAGGTTACAAATAACTAAGTCAGAATAAATCTAGCTATCTATTTGCCATTTCGATCGGAACCTGGGGACAATCATCCCATGTTCCACTTATGGCTTTTTGTGGAAACCTTATGCAGTCAACCGTGACACTTGAAAGCGATGAAACATGTATTTATAACTTTGCCGTATGAACGAAATACAATTGGCATGCTAGTCAAACACCATCGCAGCTTTGATCACGGACTTATCCTTCATTGTGTCAAGATAGGCCTGCCATTCCTCCAACTTGAATGTCTTGTTAACAATTCCACCCACATTTACTCTTCCTCTATCTGCTCAATATTAGTCACCAAGTCATGCAGTGATAGCGAAATACCTACCAAGGTAGTTGATGGCAGCTGGAAACTTGCAGGTCTGACTGAATGATCCTATCACATTGATTTCCTCTTTGAAAATCTTGTTCGGTGGTATGGCAACGCGGTCATGGTCACCATAAACTCCATATACCACCAACTTACCGCCTTTGGTCACAAAATTTATGGAGTTTTCCAGAATCTCTGCGTTGCCTGTAGCTTCAACGACAATGTCGAAGCCATACGGGTTTTTCGCTCGGAGTTCCTCCATTTGAGCAGCCGCTTCCTGTGCATCGCGCGGGAGCTCGACATATTCATCAGCCGCGCTAATAGACTTGGCAAGCTCAAGCTTCAAACCCGCCAGTGCAGCAATTACAGTCCGACACCCACCGTTTTGACGAAGGAGCTGGGCGAGAATGAGTCCTGTCGGGCCTGCGCCAAACAAAAGCACACTCGAGCCCATCTGAGGAGCGATCTTATCCAGTCCATGAGCCGCGCAAGCTGCAGGCTCCAACAGTGTCGCATCAACATCGGAGAGTGTTTCAAATTTAAAAACACGGTTCGCCGGGTACTTGGCATATTCCGCAAATCCGCCATCAACCATCACACCATGCGCGATAAAGTTCTCACAGAAAAGCTCTTTTCCTCGGCGACAGTAATGACAATGTCCACACAATTCTGAGTTGTCTGCGACTACGCGATCTCCAATATTGAAGCCAGTAACGCCGCTGCCAAATGCTGCAACCACGCCGACAGTCTCATGACCGGGGACAAGGGGAAACTGCATTCACTCATTAGTAATATCAATGGGAAGCCTATAAGTCCACTTGCCTGGGCTCCGAATTCACCCTCGTGGATGTGAAGGTCGGTACCACATATTCCAGAAGCCTTTACTTTGATCTTCCAACATGTTAGATATTGAAACCTCCAAAATTTTGCTTCCTGCATACCAAAATGTCGTCCTCACGAATGGTTGGAAGATTCTTCTTGACGATGCTGAACTTTCGAGCTTCACTGTATTCTAGAAATTTACTTTGCATCAGCATGGTGTACGCCTAAAGATGTTGAGCTAAGCCAGATACAAACCCAAAGCTCGCATCGAAGGGGGAAGATCAAAATGACATGGTCTATTCATCGTAGATTCACTAAAGAAATACCCCGAATTAGGATTTTGGGTATTGATGAATCACTCGATTGAAAGTCTTGGAGGGGTGTCAAGATATAAAGATGTTATATCGAGAATGGCTTAAGTCACTCGATGATATTATTTTGAAATTGGGTAACTGAGTTGAATACGGCATCTCAGTTATTTCGAGGGGGTGAGTTAGATCTAAATAGGAAATGATGAGCGAATGTTCCACCGAGACGAGGGCACCGAGACGGGGCGTCCTGATCGGAGTCTGGTGGGTGCATCATGTAGACTTTTGCCTGATACCAATAAGGAGTCAATATACGTGATCTGCATTACAAAAGTGAACTCTCTTTTCTCCGCAGATGAAGACCCGCGGACACTCCGGTAAAATGAATTTGTGGGGAAGGGCTTGGCTGACGGTTTATCGTTGAGATTGAGAGCCTCGGGCAATTGATGCTGTTTTCTCATTTTTGCTCTCTTGATGAATCTATATGCTTGTTATTGTGGTCATTTACCTGGAGCCATCATCCCTTCCTAGCTCGGAGTTTTTGTCAGTTTTCTCCTGGTCTTGATAACATCTCTTTTCCTGCTACTTCTCCGATCACTTGCCGACGACATGCAAAACTCGACAAACTATCATCACTGGGTGGTTGGAGCAACCTGCACTTGGAAGCTTGGGATTACATAGATCATCGGTGCGAGCGGTATTAACGACTTGGAAATATAATATTTATCACAAAACGAGTAAAGTTAAAGATATCGCACTGGTCCTTGGATGTTGCCATTTTGGCAAGTATTCTAACAAAAAGCGGCAATTCGAAAACTGTAAACTCAAGGTTCAACCTTCTCAGCAACCTCCAAATGCATCGCTGGTTCTTCCTTTTCCCGGATGATATGTTCATCTCGGGCTTCATATTTCTTGGGTCGTTTGCTGGAGGTCGCCTCCTTGTCAAGACATGCAAAAAGAGGCGGGTTGCCACGATAGTAGTCGTCCATATCCTCCAATGTGCGACCGGCTGTCTCCGGATAAAAGACATAGATCACAGGTATCATAGCCGCGTTCAAGGCAACCCAAACAATATAAAAGCGCCAGCCCAAATTTTCAATCCCGATTGGAGTAATTTCAACAACCATAAAATTGAAAATCCAGTTAGTAGCAGCTCCTAGTGCAGCACCTTTAGTCCGCATGGTGAGTGAGTTAATTTCAGTCGGATACACTATATCAATAATTAGTAGAGAGTACAAACAGATTGAATTTTCTTGAGAAAATGGAACCTACACCATGGTACTCCTTGCATGCCAATCCCGAAAAACACATAGTATAAGAAGAAAAAGGCAACAGATGCAGAAGCCACCTCTTGTCGATGGGGATATTCGGGCATCTCATTGTACCTTATAAGAGCCGTGATGAAGATATAGCAGAAACACATTCCTGCCGCACCAAACATCAACAATATTCGACGTCCCCATCGCTCCACGTTGGGAATGCCGATCAAGGAAAAGAGAAGATATTGAACGCTGTTGCAGGCTGTGAGAAGCCTCGCTAGAGATTCGTCCAGTCCCACGGACTTTGTCAATACTGTTGGTAAATAATAAGAAGTGACGTTAATTCCCGAGAATTGCTGCATTGCCTGTGCACCCATTCCAAGTATAAGTCGACGGACTGTTTTTGTGCCTGCCTTCTCATGGCCTCGTCTGCGCAAAATGTCGCCAAAGCTTATACTGTTTGCTTGCTCGTACTCCACACTGTAGAGAATCTGACTCAACTGAAGCTGAACAAAAGGATCGGTGATTTCCTTTGCTTCGAGATCAGCAATTATTTGCAGAGCTTCGTCCGAGCGTCCATGGGCAACGAGCCATCTGTTGTAAAATTAGTGCTGGGGCGCCGAAGGAGGGCATTCGCATTTTGATACCTAGGGGACTCGGGGAGCCATGGCACTGTGCAAAATAAGATTATGTTGAATATGAGTTGAAATGAAAGAGGGAACCGCCAAGATACTGGTCCATTTGCGAACGAAAAACCGTAGTTGAGCCAATTCGCAAGCGAGAATCCCACAAGTACCAAGACATTCTCTAGGATGACCAATTTACCTCGTAGCTCAACCTTGGAAGTTTCAACCTGCCAGATGGGTGCAGTCGATGTATTTAGCCCTGTGAAGAGAAAATTCTCGTTAATTCCAATGATCCGAGGGGGTCATCTGTCATTTTGCGTACCGTTACCAATGCCTGCAATGATACGACCAGCCATCATATGACCCAGGCTATAGGACGAGGCTTGTAAAACAGCCCCGATTGTCATGACACTGGTGCCTACCAGCACCGTATTTCTACGGCCTAGGCGTTCTCCAAGCCAGTAAGCAGACAAAGATCCCAGAAAGCAACCGACATCATAAATGGCAGCGACTGTTCCCAGTAATGACGCTTTTGATGACGCTGCAAGGCCATGTAGCTGAAGAAAGTCTTGTGAGATCACGACTCCACTGAAGACTCCCTAGAGTATTGTATAAGCCCAGCACAACTTAAGGCATCACCTATTGCGTACTTGATCATATCCATAGAGCGTCATGTCAGCACCGCAGGCCAACGTGATCCAGAAGGTTAGCCATCCACCTCGAAGGCCGAAATAAGGTTTTGAAGATTTGAACATCCTTCAACGCTGCGGCAGAGTGAAAATGTAATTGAACTTTCGAAGTTTCCAAGGTTTTTGGTTTCTCGTGGTGTGGCGCCGAATGGGGATTGTCGTTCATTTATATATTTCCGCGTTTTCCGTCATGCTACGAAAACATCCTGGAAACCTGGGAAGTGTGGGATAAGGATACCACGGCAAAATTATGTGCGCCACGAGACGCGCCTACTTCCAATTTTATGCAAGTCTTCGTGATAGGGTGGTGGTAAACAGCCATGAAACTTTTCTTCCCCGGTTTACCCCAGAGTTCCCCTGTTACGGCCCCGGGGCCCCGGGGCCCCGGGGGATATTCCGGATTAGGTAAGCTCCCCTCTTCCCCGGGGCCCGATACCCCGGGCCCTCTTCTTTCCCCTGCTCCCGTCACGACGTGACGACCCTCGAGACGAAGAAACGCGGGGGATGCTGCAACAAGGATGAGCTCTCCTTTTGACCCGTACGATGTCGATTATGCAGACCTCGAGGATACCGCCTTGATGCATTCGCGATCAGCCTACCGACGACCACGCATCCGAAAGTCACGCGGTCGCGGCCTACGGACAAGGAACGGGTGGTGAGTAGATCCCCATCCGAATTCATTGTGCTTAATTGACTGACGCAGTTGATGCAGTGTACAGTGCAGAAAGCGACACCTGAAATGTGATGAAGTTAAGCCCATATGCGGGGCTTGTTCCAGAAAGGACAATGCCTGCGAGTTCGTTAGCTCGGGCCGCCCCAGCACCAGCTTTTCGGTCTCCGATAGGGACTTCACAAAGACTGGTCCCGACTTATGCGCGGAGCAGATACCATCACCTGTGGAAAACACCGAGCATGTATCGAGTACGACTCAAACTGATCAGGTACTTTCTGGGCCAACTGAACCCGTCGCCCCAGCCGGGTCTGGCTCGGCACTCGATACCAACCCCTCCCCCCACCCTTGAGTTTGATCAATCGACGACAAACCAACTCAATTCAGACGAAAGCCCATTCGCTATTCCAGAAAATTATCTGTCCCCGTCAAACGCATCGTTTGCGGCTGTACGATGGTTCGGGTTACTTGCAAATGATGCGGCTCGGGATAGTTCAACAGTGTGGTCCATCCAGAATTCCTGGGCGAATCAAAGTCTCTCGCTGGACAATACCAGCTCTGACGATCAAACTCAACTAACCTCGCTCCAACATGCAACCCAAGTGCTCGACGCCCCTGCTGCCATATACAGGAGTCATGACCTGACACATGTCGGGGCACCGGGGGAGAATGCGCTCGAAGAAGCGCATATCTGGCAGTCGCGGGAGCCAATAGAGCTTTTATCAGCTGAGCAGACCTTGTTTGGACATTTTGTAGATCGAGTGAGCCCCTGGGTATGTTTGCATTGCCATGTGAATGACTTGGAAAAACTGATGTTGCTATGAAACTGAACAGATAGATCTTTTCGACCCTATGGCCCGATTTTCCACGACCGTTGCGCATCTAGCTGTGAGAAAACGTTTTCCTTCCGGAGAAGTACATCGTTACTAGGTTGCTGACATTATGACTGCAGATACACAATGCTGGCCTGATGAACGCTATACTCGCTCTTGCGTATCGGCATTTAGCTTTGAACCCACACCTTGATGATCATAACGCCCCAAATAAAGAGGACTCGGCTCTTCAGTATTATTATCAGACTCTCCACTATGTCCAAAAGGCCATGCAATACTCCGCTTACAAAAGAAGTCTGGAGCTACTCGCAACAACATTGATAATATCCGCTTACGAAATGCTTGACAACTCCACGAAAGATTGGGAGAGACATCTCGAGGGAGTCTTCCTTATACAAAGATCACAGACCATCCATGGGGAATCTGGGGGGCTGCATTCGGCTGTTTGGTGGGCGTGGCTTTGTCAAGACATCTGGGCGGCTTTCCGCGAGAAACGCAAGACCCTTACATTTTGGGTCCCACAGAAACCACTGGCTGTCTTGTCGCCATATGAGCTCGCCGCACGCTCAATATACAATACTGCCAAGGTTATCAGCTACTCCTCGGAGACCGCGACTGAGGCAGATATTGGACCCAGAGCGGAAGAGGCAACCCGCCTCCGCAAAATGCTAGGTGAATGGAAACAGCATTTGACCATCGAGTTTAATCCACTGCCACTCGGCTCACGACAGCATTCGTCGCACTTTCAGCCAATCTGGATTCATCCGCCTATATTTGGTACGAAGAAAACATCAAGTCAACATTGAAACGTCACTAATTCGACATCACAGCCGTGGCGCTTCAATTCTTCAGTATATCAAATATTCTATTGCTTGCTCATGAGCCTAGCTTAGGAGGTATGGAGCAGTATCTCGAGCGACAAAGTGTGATCAAGCGCTGCGTAGAGAATGTGTGTGGCATTGCCGCTGCGCTCAAAGATGCCCCGTCTAGTCTGATGTCATCCCAAGCCGTGTATATCGGTAAGTCTTTGCCCGTCTTCTTTAACCTTGGAAGTAGCCAGGACTGATGTGAAATAGCGGGGAAATTTACCCAAGACCGCCATGCCCGGCAAGCTATCCTCGAGCTCCTCGAATCCAGTCGTGGGCGGAGCGGTTGGCCGAGTCGACCTCTGGGCGAGGAGCTGCAGAGCTTCTGGGAAGATCATGATCGCACAAAAACCGCAAATTCCGCCATGTTGGACATGAGCTTGATTTTTTAACCAGTCGAATGATTTGCAACGGAATCTGGTGACATTTGTTCTCCTGCATTCCATTGAAATTTTATAATCCGAGCAGTGCCCCCCTCACAGCCCCGCCTAGCCGAACTCTCCAAAGCCGGTGTTCGTTCAAAGCAAACATCTCTCCACTTCTTCCGAAGCAAAAGTTTGCAACGCCACCTTCAATAAGGATCCTTCCTAGAAGAACGCCACCGGTAGACCATACGTTGATACCATCCCCGCAACCACTGTACACATTGCCTTCAAGGTCGCATTTGATACCGTCTGGGATGCCTTGGTCCGCCATAGCAAAAATGCGTCGATTTGTGAGAAACACTTCTCCTTCGTAATCAGACATATCGAAGGCATAACTATCGTGAGATTGGTATCAGTCATGCTGCGCTCTTGACAAAAAGGACGCTCAGTTGATTCATCTTCTTACATTGAAGATACTCGTTGATCATCGATGGTCCCGTCACCGTGGACCCGATCAGTATCGGTGATGTAAACGATCTTCTCATCTGGCGAGAAACAGATACCATTTGGTCTTCCAAATCCATCGGCAATGACTCGGATACTACCACTATTTGGGCACCATCGATAGACTTGATTTGGCAACTGTGGGGGTGGCCGATATCCCTGCTCAAACCCATAAATGGGATCCGTGAACCAGACTGAGCCATCTGTGTGTACGACCACATCATTGACTGAATTAAACTGCCGACCGAAGAAGTCGCTCTTCAAAATCTCTGATTCGTGTGACAGTGTTGACATACGATACAAACCGCTCGGCTGCCTCATGGAGCCTTGCGGGCAGAAGAGAATATCGTTTTGACCGTAGTTTATGCCTCCATTGGCCATAGGAATATCTGTCACAATTCGTTCATATGTCGAAGGTGAATGATTCAAGTCCACTCGAGTGATATAGACCTTTTGTTCATTGTTGGGCCCAGTACATCGGTTGCTTGTGATATAGAGACTGTTGCTCTCGGGGCAGAAGACTCCAGCCTCGTGGGCGAAAGGGTAAGCTTCATGCTCTACCAGAAGCTGAATTGTCGGTGTCGGTCCAACGATGGCCGAGAAGCGCCTATCATGGTACTGAAAACAAGCCGCAGAGTCCATAAGCATGATGAAGCTTTAGCAAGACTGGAGGCTTTTACAAGGGTTATCGCCTGGGCAAAAGTCGCTAAAGAGAACGAGTGCGGATGAAAAAAAAACAGAACAAAAAAAACAAAAACCGTGATACCTAGCGAAACATAAAGGCAAGCTCAAGGATCTTTTGATAGCCCTCCCACTACATCAGAGGAACTCAGGAATAGAGGCCATGCTGAAACTTCGCGAGGGTGATGGTGGGGTTGGCCGTGCCCCGTCTCGGGGTCATCTCATCGATTTCGAGAGCCACATTTCTCGCAGCTAAGCGTTTTCTTAAATGAGATGATCTGACACAACAAATGTACAAAGAGACTTGGTATACGGATTTTACACTCTCTGCCATCCCAAAATGTCCTGGAAAGAAGCCAACTGCCACAGGCGCATTCTTCGCGACGCCGAAAATGGTCACTACGGAGTCATTGCCGCCATCGCATACAACATCGAACAAATTTTAGGCTTGGTCAAAGCCGCAGAATTGGCGAGATCACCGCTCATAATCCAATTTTTTCCTTGGGCCATTGAATCTACTGATGGCTTGCTGGTGCGCGCTGCCGCCGACGCCGCCAAACGTGCGAGCGTGCCCATCAGTATCCACCTCGACCATGCTCAGTCTCCAGACATTATGAAACGAGCAGCAGAGCTTCCATTTGATAGCATAATGGTTGATATGTCTCATTACGAAAAAGAGGAAAATTTGCAGAAGACTCGAGAGCTGGTTCAATATTGCAACGAACGGGAAAAGGCCACCGAAGCTGAGCCCGGTCGCATTGAAGGAGGAGAAGATGGTGTCATGGACACAGCGGGGCTTCAAGCCTGCATGACAACCTCTGAGGAGGTAGATGAGTTTATCGAAACGGGTGTTGATGTCCTAGCCCCATCTTTTGGCAATGTCCATGGTGAATACGGCCCGCGTAGCCCCCAGCTGGATTTCGACAGGTGAGTCTGACTGGTCATATTTGGATACAAACAACACTAATATCAATTGATCAGATTTGAGAAAGTCAAAGCTCAAGCAAATGGCAGAATCAATTTGGCTCTGCACGGCACCAACGGATTTGCTCCGGAGCTGATGAAACGCTGCGTGGCCGCGGGTGTTACCAAAATCAACGTGAACCGACTAGTCCTGGATGACTATTATGACCATCTTCATGCCAACGTCGGAAAGATGCCGCATACACAGCTTATCGACGAGGGTATACAGAAGGTGACGGATCTCACGATTAAATGGATGGAAATCTGTGGATCAGCGGGCAAGGCATGACCGTATGTCGGGCTAGCAGAATATCAAGATTAGACTAGGAGCACAGCAGTTTTCTTTGCATGCACTCCTGATAATGTTCCGTCTTATCCAAACTGAAGGACACACAGATGTCGTAGTTCCTTGAGTTAGCCTATAATGCGAAAGGAGGCAGGATGAGGGGAAAAGACTCGTCCTAGGTATCATTAGTAACTGAATTTCAGAATTCCCACAGAGAGAAGTGAGGGACTGGGGCCAAAGGACTCCCTTGCGTATGTTGGGATGGAATGGATACTTGGTAGCTTGGGCTCGACTTGAAACTGTGGCAGATATTTCCTCCAATGAGGCTCTGAGGCTCTGGATCGACAATGAGGCTCTAGATCATATTCTCTTTGAGGGATATTTGATAACTTCAATACTGAAATTGATGGATTGTCTGTCTGCTTTTGTATTGAAGAGAGAAAGCATTTTTTCACGGGTGATTCAAACGAACAAGGACCTTGGAAGGCAGGAAACGATCTTTTATACTCATGTGTGGCATTTATTGAAGTTTCATTATGAAGCCAGTCAATGAACCATACTTATTGCAGGTTACTGTACATTCCACCATCCGCCAATAATCCAGTAGCGTTCACATAACGGCTCATTTCTTCACAGGCTAGGAAAACCGCAGGCCCTGCCATATCTTCTGGGTCGCCGATGCGGCCAAGGGGAATGCGTGCCTCCAGAGCGGCTACTTTAGTTGGGTTTTTCATGTCATGGTCGGCCAGCTGGGTTGCAATGGTGCCAGGCATCAATGCGTTGCACCGGATCTGATCCTTTCCGAGGGATATAGCCATAGACTGCATCATTGAGAGAATAGCAGCCTTTGTTGGTGTATAATGGGTCTGTAAGCCACCACCCAGCAGGGCGCTGACAGAAGAAATTCCAATGATCGAACCACCATGCCCTTGCTTCACCATCTGGCGGGCGGCGGCTTGACAAGAATAGAAGCAACCTTTTACGTTGACATCAACGCTGTGATCAAGGAGAGCTGGCTCGATTCTGTGCAATTATATTAGCCCAATCCCATTTCAACAACAAGACAGCCGGTGCGACTCTTTGATGTCGGTATTTCAATTTGACTTACTTGAGAAATTCTGCTTGTTTGAAAACACCCGCATTGGCAACGAAAATATCCAACTTGCCCCATTTGGACACAGCCTCCTTGACAAGATTAGACCCAGTCCCTGGGTTTGTGACGTCGCCGGACAGCTCCAAAATTTCACCTGCTTTGATGCCCTTGTTTTTGATCGCTTTGACTTCCTCAAGAAGACTGTGTCGATGTTTTTCATCCTGGGGTAGTCCCAGGTGGTTGACTGCGACATTGCAGCCTTGCGTGATATATGCCAAAACAATTGCGCGACCAATTCCAGTGGTGCCGCCAGTGATTGCTGCGGTCTTACCCTTGAGAAGATTCCAAGCAGGAAGCGCAGCCATTGTGAAATGGGCTATTTTGAGGAGATTGGTGGGTGTGGAAGCGGAAAAAGTCGATAGGATGAAGATCGAAGAAGATTGGCGATGTTATTGAAACAAAAAACCTTGGAAGCAAACATCGTGAAGACCTGGGACATCCCCCACATTTGTCCCTCAAATCCAACTGGGGCTGACTTCTCTCCCACCATCTTTCTCTCCGCACTGGAAATGACCCGTGGACCCCGGGGCCTCGTCCTGTCTTGTTGTCCAATGATCGTGGAGTTAGTGGGTTTGTCTTGCCGTCTCGGGGCACAAGGTCGACCCACCTGGTGTCGTCTCGGGATTGCCACGACGCGCTCGTCTCGGACAAACCTCGACTCGGGAGGTGCGGAGTAGGAACACTATGAGAAATGGGAGATCGTGGAGATATTCTTGATGGGGAAGCTGATGTGACTGTTCTTCTTATGATTTATAAGAAGGCATTGGGGGCTTTGCTCCCAATTCTCTCAACCTTGTCTTTGTGAATGCTTCAATCATCAATCTTTCTTCACTTCATCTCACAATGACTCCTTCTCTGGCAACCGATCAAGTGGCCGCGCCCCAGGCGGAAAATGCCCCTCAGACCCAAGTTACTCTTGGCGGAAAGGTTATTGCCAGTATGTTTTCCCGCTCAAGATGGTGGCGTGTGAGATAACATCAACTAATGGCGCCTCAAACTAGTCACCGGCGCCAACCGCGGTATCGGTCTCGGTATTGCCGAGTGTTGCCTCTCGAATGGCGCAGCGAAAGTCTATTCCATTGATATAGGAGAGACTGGCGATGATTTCAATGCTGTCTCCAAGCGCTATCCAGACCGGCTCTTTGCTGTCACCGCTAATGTGACTGAGGAATCGACTATTACGGCTGCGATCGACAAGATTATTGAGGAAGCTGGTGCTATCCATGGAATGGTGGTCAACGCTGGTCGTACACACCACAAGGCCGCTCTTGACTTCACCAAGGAAGACATTGAGACCCTGTTCAATGTCAACCTCTTCGGTGCTTTCTATACCGCACGCGCTGCTGCTCGCGCATTTATCAAACTCGGAATCAAGGGATCTGTTGTCTTCACAGCATCAATGGCCTCCTACCGTCCCAATAAGGTCAGTCGTTTTCAAAATCCAGTTATTTGCAGCACTCCTAACAATAGATCCCAGCGCGTTCCTTCTACCCCCTACGGTGCCTCAAAGGCTGGCGTGCGGAACATGACCCACACTTTGGCAATGGAATGGGCACAATACGGAATCCGTGTCAACAGCGTATCTCCCGGACTAGTGAAGACCGCCATGACATATTGGGTTCCTCAACAGCCAGATTGGGAACAGCAACTCAAGTATTATGGTGGGTTCCCTCGGTTGGCCGAGGTGCAGGAGCTTGGTGGTGCCTATGTGTATCTCCTCAGTGAGGCCGCTAGCTACACTACTTCCATTGATATCCCAGTGAATGGTGTGATAGGAAGTGAGTATTCCCACTCTCTCCTAAAATCAACCCACCGTGCTAATGAATCCAGTTTGTTAAACCTGCCATTGGGTTTCCCTGAAGAAAATGAGATTGGAAGGAAATATGACATGTAGCTGTGAGATCAATTGCTGCTTCTCGTCTCGATAGAGCCATATTTGACACTATCATATGATTTTTACTCAGGATTAATATAAAATAATAATAAAGTCGTAAGCAAGTGTAGGTACAACTCCTATTCGGCTTATTCGACATACGCGGCTCACGCGGCACATTCGCTGATCTCGGAGTCTGTCGTGACAGCTTGATTCGTCAGGTTTCCAACGCATGGGGCTGGTTAGATCCATAGGTAGATTCATAGATATAGAGAGCTTCCTCTCTCTCTCTTTCCCTGCCACTCCTTATAATTCTCTTTTTCTGGCAAACCTATGGAACACTTCATCATATATCTATGCTTCGCTACATTCCCTCGCGCCGTCACAATTTTTATACGCCAGCCAGAGTATGTAGATACGGTGAGCTTTAACGGTCTCGGCACAGTCCGGGACTGATTTAAGTTTGCTCCATGTTACTGATTCGACAAATCTGATATTCCGCAGCTAGTTTAAGCGGGTAATTGCAAGTATCTCATTGCCTCATGCACAACTTTTGCCTTGGTCACATCTCTTAATGGCAAGATACATTCTCATCGTGCTCGGACTTAGCATCATAGGCCTTCTCGGTATCCTCCACAATACTGTTTCTCGTACGCGCGGCACCAAAGTTTGGATTTTCGGCCATGAATGTCGAGAAACTCGATTCTGCGTCCCAGACAAATGGCGATTTGGAAGCGAAGAGCAAATCAATCTCCTCGAGTGTACGTTGACTTGACTCGGGATAGAAAGCCCATACTGAGAACGATCAGTCCATATCACTCGCCATCGGAATTTTGGGTAGGTCATCATACCAATTGGGATACTGATAATATTAACGGCACCAAATACATACAGTGTCCCCTCTCCAATGGCATCAAATATGTATGGAAGAGCCAAGGTCAATGATCTAATTGATGTTAGAGTTGTCTTAACGAGAAGCAGACCGACGCAAATCGAACTTACCCATTTCCCAGACTCCAGCCAACGACACCCCAGGCATTTCCCATGGCTCGGACTTTAAGAGGAAATATCTCTGCTGGATATAGCCATGGCACAGTGAGCCAAGTGGCACCGAAGACGAAAGTATACAGGTAGACCATTGAGGTTGCGGCGATACCCCATGGTGCCTGATTCTCTAGATTGTTAATTCCACCACGAGCCATGCCGCCTGCAAGGAACATGGCAATTGCTTGTCCCGCTGCTCCCCACCATAATGTCCAGCGACGTCCGATGCGATCCAGAGTAAACACACAAATCAATGTAGCAAATGCGTAAAATATGTTGTTGAGCCCTGATATCCACATTGTCTTTTGCGAATCGAAGCCGGCGATCTTGAAGATAGCTGGAAGCATGGTCAGCGTTCTGGAAGAATAGAAAAGGGTAAAAGTGAAGTGTAATCAAGCGGCAACTTACTTGGGGCGTACATTGTGACCCCGGCAATGCCTGACCAGCATTGAAGAATTTGCAACCAAATGACAAGTTGGACGCGTCTGGCAATGTGCAAATCTCCTTGGCCAACCCCGAACAGCATGTGGTAATAAGTAATCTTTTCCTCCGATTCCGCTTCTAATTCGACGGCGGTCTGGATTTCTCTCATCTCCAGCTCGGCTGCACGTTCGTTTTCACTTCCACGAAGACGCTTTAGGACGTACATGGCCTCATCCCGTCGACCCACCATGCAAAGCCAACGAGGTGACTCAGGGAAGAACCAGCAGCCGGTGATGAGGAGAAACAGCATGACTATCTGGAATGCGATAGGGAACCGCCATTGGAAGTCAGAAGTGCCGTTGTCAATGTAACTGAGTCCGAATCCCAGCCAGTAAGCTACCACGACCCCAACAATATTGAGTGTGAATTCCATAGCGATGAACATGCCACGAGAATCCTAGTCAGCAAGCTCAGAGCCATAGACTGGAACGGTGGCATTGAGAATTCCAGTGCCGATGCCGTTGATAAGACGAGATACGATCATCCACGTCGGGTTCATTGCCGTGCATTGGAGCACAGCGCCGAGTATTCCCCATGCAGCGCCGGATGCGAGTGAATTGATGCGGCCAAATCGGTCACTCGTATAGCCACCCATGAAGCATCCGACTAGGGTTCCCAAATAATACACCGAGACGATGCCTCCTTGTAAAAGCGTGTTTGTGATGGTGATTGATCCGTCCTCTTCATAACCCAACCCCATTCGGGCTACGTACGCCTGCGAGTCGTTGACACCGCCCATCATAGCTTGATCATATCCTTTTCCTTGTGTCAGAATAACTATGCCATTATTCCCAATGGGGAGACTCACCGAAGAAAAAGATGGCAAGGCCAGCAAGGCAGTTCGCAGCTATCAAGAGCGACTTTTTTTCTAATCTCGAGGCGATCTTCCATTTTGCTCGCTCATCACTCAAGGTAGCAAACATGATCGACCTCGGAAAGAAATATTCTAATGATTGTGAGATAAGCAAAGAGAAGTGAGAAAATGAGCTTGGTGACTTTGACAACGTGCCCGAAGCGCGAATTTCCTTTAGTTATACCACATCTGCGAAGTCCCCTAAGCCACGAAATGATGTACAATAAGCACCCCGGATCTGGGACGTCATCCAATAGGAAAGTCCGGGGGCGGGATGCCCCAGATCCGAAAATGGGGGATAATAATGCGGAGCTCGACCGAGGGAGCTCGACTCGGGGACAGTGGCACGAAACGGTGAGCCACCCAGAGCATTTGCTTCGTACTGAGCTTTGTCGCCGAGGTATCTATGAATGGATCAAAACAGGTATGCGGGCTTTATTGATTATCGTCTGGATCGACACATGGATGATGATGCAATCACACGTTCTAAGCTATTAAAAGTTCTCTCCGGTTTTAACTCCACGTTTTTGAGAGATTTATAATGTATACATCGCTATAAGAGCTCAAAAAGAATGATGACGTTGATTGATGCTTCAACGTATGATCTTCTCTGTCGCGCCACTGAGTCTGTTGTCCACAAGCTCCTTGTATTCCCGTTGCCTGGAACACATATCCAAAAATACCTCAAATTTGGCCTGGAGAAGACCTTGCTCCTTGGCATCGTTAGTAGGATCAACTCGTCGGCCTGGCTTGCTCATTTGATCCGTAATCTCCCACAGGCTCTTCGGATCTTTTCCGGGGCTTGTGCTGGCCGCCATAGCCGCTAGCATAGCAGCACCGTGACACATAGCAGCATGAATGTACTCTGGTAGCACGACTGGCATGTTGCAGGCGGAGGCGATCAAATGAACCAATAAGCTGTTTTGGGTCTGGGAGCCCGACATGAAGATTGTCGATATCTGATGCCCACATTGATTCATAGTATCGACAATCTGGCGGGTTTGCAGTGCAATGAACTCAAGTGCACCATAATAGTGCAAAGCTAGATTTTTGATAGATTGGTCGCTTTTCAAACCAACGACGGCTCCACTCATCTGAGGATCAGCAATTGGAGACCGATTGCCCCACAAGTCACCGTAAAAAAGAAGTGTTTGGCCAGTTGAGCGACGTGGGCCACCTGTGACTCCTTGGCTTGTTTCTGAAGATAGTCGTTCATGAAATCATAGATATGGGTGCCAGATTTCTCTGCTGCTTCTTTTGCTTCTCGGTATGCTGGATGACTCTCAACAACCTGTCGTATGAGCTCGCCGGTAGCCGACTGGCCTCCTTCGGCAAGATATGCGCCGGGAAAGAGAACATCACGGTAGGGTCCCCAGATTCCATTCACAAACAACTCGTCCTTCGACATGGCCAAATGACATGTCGAGGTGCCGGCCACCACCGCCAGTCGATGTGAGACGTGCTCTTTCATGTCTACTGCACTGTCGAGTCCCAGATCGACCTTTGCTCCAACTGTGCCAATCCACCCTGCTTAGGCATCAATCACTCCACTACCGACAGCGATTCCCGGCAAAAGCCCAAGATCAGCGGCGGCCTCTTTGGTCAAAGGACCAACGCATTCGCCAGCACTAAGAAACCGGCCGTTCTGTGAAAGCAACATGTCAGACTTTTTACAAAATTGTGGGGATTCATCTGTTAGGAACTTACCTTAGTGTCTGTTCCTCCGAGTCGCTCAAATTCATTTTGCGCGAGATCTTCGAGTCCGATCGAGGTCAAAAAGTCCGTCTGCCAGCCTTCCTCCCCATCGGTTCCCGATGCAAGGTATCCCTGCTTGCAAATCACACTACAGTAGCTGCGGGCTTCTTCTCCAGTAGCCAGGTATGTGAGTGCATCTGCAAGGTCATAGAATTTGCAATCAAGAAATGTGCTTGAATTCATATGCTTCTTCAGCCAAAGGATCTTGGGCATCTCCATCTCCGGTGACATGCCGCCTCCGACATACTGCAATATTTGGTGTTTGGTCAAATTTATCGTTTTTGTTTCATCCACTGCACGATGATCTAGCCAGAGAATGACATTGCGGGCATCACCGACTGCTGTGCCGCTGACAGGAACCGGTCGGTCAGTCTGGGTGCTGAAGACAGCAAGAGAGCAAGTGGCATCAAACGCGAGACCCCGAATATTTGCTTTTGGAATCTCAGATTTATCAACCACTTCCCTGACTGCAGTGCAGATGCTGTTCCAGATATCGGTGGTTGACTGCTCGTAATGATCCGCATGTGGTTGCCATGTCTTGATGCTTTGCGAGGCGAGACCGATTATGTTGCCATTTTTATCAACAACACAAGCACGGGCGCTGCCAGTGCCTACGTCGATTCCGATATAGTATTCTTCGTACTCATCGTGAGACATGATGAAAAAACTGGATTAATGAGTGATGGGATGTGCAGGATCGATACCCCAACCACGCAGGCAGGCTCCTGGCTACCTTAAAACCCAATTCCATTTGCTTGTTACTTTTGGAAATATCAATCATTCTGCTTCATATCGTCTGATAACACGAATATTTTCTCCGTTGTGGTACCAAGGCCGAGATGTGGAAGTCCCCGAGACGGCAAGCGGCCACGACACGGGGCCAACCCCACAACCCACCGCGATGAGAACGTGATGTATGCGCGACATTTGAATTTAGAAATTATCTTGGATAAGAGTCATATAAACGGCTTCACTATGGATGATGTTCGAGTATAAGTAGACACGTCCACAGAAGCGCTTCTTTTCGAGGAATCCATCACTACAGTCCTGGGTACCAAATATTCAAACATGGTCCTCTCGAAGCCTGAAGATGCACCCGTGCAAAAGCTCTTTGATCTAACGGGAAAAGTAGTTGCCATCACCGGTAAGTGAATTGGTCTCACGCCTTGCTTCCATTCTTAACGTGTTTACCTAGGCGGTGCTCGCGGAATTGGACTAGCGGTGGCTGCCGCATATGCCGAGGCCGGTGCCAAAGTATGTCCAGCACTATCGCTGCTTCCAATCTTCTTTGTATCTGAGGCCCCGGGGTTCTCACCCTCTTTCTAGATCGCAATTCTCTATCGCACCACTGCAACCGCACCAAAGGTTGCAGAAGAACTTTCTTCTAGGTACCAAACTGAATCTCGCGCTTACAAGGCCGATGTCACCGATTCAAAAGAAATCTCCGAAGCGATTAATCAGATCGCTCAGGACTTTGGCAGATTGGATGTGATTCTGGCCAACGCCGGCATTTGCTCCGAGCATGCCGCCGAAGAGTACACCCCGGAGGAATTCCAGGAGATCATGAACGTCAACGTCAACGGAGCATTCTACACTGCGCAGGCTGCGGCGAGAATTTTCAAGAAGCAAGGATTCGGGAACGTTGTTTTCACGGCATCCGTCAGTGCAACACTTGTGAATACACCTCAACGTCAGGCCGCGGTACGTATCCTCTGTATTCCAAAGTTTGGATATTCCGCTTGCTGACGTTTTCAATGTGACCATAGTACAATGCTTCCAAGGCTGCCGTCTTGCAACTTACCAAATCGCTTGCAGTGGAGTGGGTAGATTTCTGTCGGGTCAACTGTATTTCACCCGGCTACACACAGACTCAGATTATGGAATATGCTTCCCAGGAGATGCTCACCAAATGGCTTGCTCAAATTCCCGCCCGCCGATTTGCTTCACCCTACGAACTGAAAGGAGTAAAGACACCCTATGATTTTAACTCGATGACCTGGGATTTACGCTAACTTGTTTTGTTCCAGGCCTACCTTTTCTGTGCTACTGATGCTTCTAGCTATATGACAGGGTCTAATCTGGTGATTGATGGAGGGTTCACTCTGCCATGATAGTCAATGTAGCTAGATTTCATGGACGAATTGAGAAATTTTTGCTATACAACGAAATGTTTTCCTTCTCATTGCTCTTCTTTTTGGCAGAATAACTCGGGATTTTAATGCAATCACAGGACCTTGAGGAATATTCTGCAAGATCAGGAATCGCCTTTGATGTTGAAGCCTAGGGCAGGAAAGTTTTCTGCTGCGGTAGCCTTATAGAATCTCTTGCAATTCGACTTCCCTGCCCATCTCGTGTACATCGATAAACATGCCATGTGTCTGGATGCCACCTGGGCATACATTTCCTTCTTCTGAAAACGGGCCATCATACCGGCAGTACTCCTGTGCCCCGGGCCTCTCTTAATCTCGGGTTACTTGTAGCTGAGTATAATAGTATTTTCTACACTTCAAGGTTCTGGCTTTATTATCGAAGTTCCAAAGTACCGAGAATTTTATCGAGAATTATTTCTGGCTATATACAGTGGATAGCATGTTTAGTGGGTTTTACCGCTCATTGTACCATCAATCCCTTCCAAATCACTATACAAGCGCCATTCGTAGTCCAAGCTGGGATCATTGAATCGAGCCTTTGCATCCAAAGTCGCGATCTGAGCCATGTCCTCAGGCTGCAACTCAAAATCGGCCTCTAGGTTTTGCTCGACCTGCCAGTCGACCACACTCTTGGGGATAACGGACCGGCCGCTGTTGATACCCCACGCAAGAACTACTTGAACGGGGCTTTTTCCGTACTTCTCGCCAATCTCCTTCAGAATTGGCTGATCAATAACCCGCATCATGTGTGAGATTTCCTTTGACCATCCGGTCTGTCGGTAAAAGTCGTTCATATTGCCGAGGGGACTGAATTGGACCACGTGAATGCCCTTTGTCTGGAGCCACTCGTTGAGGCCTTTCTGTTGGAGATAGGGGTGAACCTCCATTTGGTGGACAGCTGGAATCTAGAGGAAAATGTTAGGGTCTTTAGGATTTCGCGGATCTCCTGAGGATATTTGGCTCGCGGGGGTACTCACGGTAGAGGATTCATTGATCAAAGTGCTGATTTCGCCACGACTGAAATTTGATACACCGATGGCTTTGACCTTTCCGGTCTTGATCACTTTCTCCATTGTTTTCCACGTGTCCACAAACGTTGTCTCGCCTGCGACCATTTTGCCATCGGCATCTCGTGGGAACCGGTCAGGGCCTCGTTTGAATGTGCAAGGGTAATGCATCAGCAGCAAGTCGACATATGGTGTGTCTAGATCTCGGAGTGAATCATCCACGGCGCGCTCCACATCGTTCGGATGATAATCATTGCACCATAGCTTGGTGCCGAGGAAAATATCCTCGCGCGGAATTCCACTTTTCTTGATTCCCCTTCCAACTTGCTCTTCAACGTTGTAAACCCGAGCTGTATCAATTAGGCGCATGCCTTTTTGCAAAGCCAAGCTAACGGTGTTTTCCTGGGAGTCGGGATCTTGGAAAGTGCCGAACCCAAGCGCTGGAATTTTTGCACCGGTGTTGAGTTTGTAAGATGTTGTTTTGGTACTCAGAGCACGAAAAGTGGCTGAGGTTGGCGAAATTAACCTCTTCCCCATCACTGTCACCCGGGCCGCTCTGGTCGCCAGAGAAGCCACTGTATCAGAAGTGGCGTGGAATTAGATGATTGTAGAAAGAAATAGGTCGATGGCAGCTTTTTCCTGTTACTAGGAGCTGGTCCTAGGCTTAAATGTTCAAATGCAATCAAAGCTGTAGATTTCCAGAGTCGTGAAGAGAAGACCGTTGGGGCATGCTCCCCGTGCCGGCGTTGTGGACGCGAGACGAGAGGGACGGACGCCAAGAATGACCCCCGACGCGGGGCCACCGCGGGGAAACCCCCCACACTACCCGCCTCCAGGGCTGCCCGCCACCATCACGAGATGTGGATTTTATCAGTATCCGTAAGACACTTCCCGGCTACTCCTGGTAATCATCGTAGCAAGATGCTAGTCTCGTCAGACGCGTTTGATCCCATAGCATCATGAAACTTTTCACCCTATGGCATCTGCGTGGGGTGACGATACTTCTCGAAAGCTTGTGCCATCTCATTTGCTTTGTCAGTTCGGTTAGGGAAGACATGCAAGCTCGTAAACAGATTGCAAAGACCCATGATCAATATTGGGTGCTTTATGATGGGCCGAAGAGCAGAATGGAAACCCGTAGCCCTGGAGGTACCTACGGTTCGGTCCGCTGCGGGGCCCAGCATCATGATTGCGAGGAATCCATGGATCCGCAGGTAGGATCCAGCTTCATTGTAGAATCTCCGAGTTCGACTGTCCACGGGTATCACGAAAGAACAGTGCTTATCGAAACTGACTTGAGGAACTGAGACCCGCGTTGGAGACTTCCTCACATTTCATGATGTCATCTCCTACGAGTAGATTCTGGGCCTCGAGTTAACCTAGCGGGTCGTCTCCACCGCGATCTTGTAGCTTAATTTGGGCCCTCAACTGGCACGTTTTATAAGTGCTGATTGTAACAGAGACGCTGCAAGCGCTATTAGGCACGTAGAATACATGATCGTATAAAACAGTGGTCGGGGGCAAGCGCGCGGCGCATAACGCGTAATATGATCTGATAGAAGCCTATCACATCAAGTCAACCCCAACATGCAAGTATGAAATAAGATTACGCGTTGCCAAAAAGCCGGTGCGAACAGACCGCAAGGCGGGGAAGGCCAACGCATCTGCCACAGGTGGGGTCAAACCGTTCATAAGGACCAACGTCGGAATTCCCACACGAGCGCCCAACGAAATATATACAACCAAATCATGAGCGACCAGCCCAACTCCACAGAAGACCAACAGAAAGAAGCGCTGGCAGCCTTCACAGCAACGCTCCACTCTGTGGGCACGAATCTCGAGGCGCCACTTCGCGACCGCGCAGCAAATATCCAATCCAATGCCGCAGCGCTAGAGAGACAAGAAGCCGACTTGGCGGAGAACACGGCGCGTTTGGCGCGGCAGAATGAGCAGTGGGCTGGGTTTGCCGATGAGACGCGCGATGGTTTGAAGGAGATTGGAGATGTGCAGAACTGGGCGGAAATCCTTGAGCGGGATTTGTTGGCTTTGGAGGATATGATGGATGATGTTGAGAAGAAGAGCAGGGAGGAGGATGACCTTGAGGGTGCGAACAGGCATGGAAATGAAATTGAAATTGTGGGTCAGAATGGGCATGTTGATGATGAAATTGACCATGGAAAGAAGCCCCAGTCGAGAGGCTGGTTTCGATGGTGGTGATGGCGCCAGATTTTTGTTGACTTCCTCTTATACGGTTATATCACATTGGGTATCTTTTATCGACTATTCATCTTCATCACAACCCAAGTAGTTTCTCCAGGGGTCCAATCCCTCATTCTCGTACTCATCGTACTCATCCCAATGGCCCAGGCTCATTAGATGGCGCATTGTCGGCCGCCCATGGGGACAATTCCATGGTTTGTCGATGGTCCCCATGTTCTGGACAACGCGTTGCATCTGACGGGTCGTCAGGGTCTTGCCAATCATGATACTGGAGCGACAAGCCCGCATCGCAAACATTTTGCGTACTTTGCCAGGCCGTGGCACCGACTGCTCATTCATTGAGACAGATTCGGATAAAAGCACAATCAACTCCTCCAGGTCGCGCACACCGAACACAACTTCTTTGCTCAGTGGCAACGAAACTAGTTGGCATCGACGACCGATAGGCTCATCGCCACTTTCGTCGATAGTAATGAGGAAGCCGTTCTTCTCAAGCGCCTCGCGATTCTCGAGGACAACCTCTTCTTCAACTGCAGTGAGATCGAGGCGCTGCGGACGGACGAGACGCTGGTTTTGCACGACGGTCTCAGCCTGCAGTCGCTCAAAATTATATTTTTCATCGGAGGCGTGCTGGTCGATAATGAAGAGCTCATCATGACCTTCTCCCGGGCGGACTGCGATGATGAATCCCAAATTGAACTGGCCGATGATGCGCATTTGGGCGAAATCGTTCTTCGTCACTGTGAGTGACAGTTTGTCTTCTGCGGTTCTCTCGCCGTCTTCAGATATCTCCGCTACCGTGTGAGTAGTGCGCTCCCGCAGGGTTCTTTGCAGTAGTGCGTGCTGAGATTGCAACCGCGAGATGGACCCGTCGGCTGTGCTGACGAGTTGCACGGTGGCGTCGCGATGGGCAGCGCCCTTGTTCATTTTGTTGGCACGTTTCGCGTTGTTCTCTTCGGGAAGCAAGGCCGTCTCCTCGGCTTCGTGAATGAGACGTCGAACAGTGGCTTCTTCTTGTGCTTTCTTCTTCGATTCGTCAAGATTGTCATCTTGGTGGTCGTCTTCCAAGCCAGCATCACTCTCAAATCCTTGAGTCCCCTGCTGAGGGCCTTCCTTCTCGAGAGAGGGGTCAATGTCTTTGGATGCATGAGAGCCATCAGATCCATGATATTCTTCATCTTCCAGTTCATCTACCTCTTCCTCCGCCCCTTCGGCTTCTTCTTCATCTTCATGTTCTTCCTCTTCCTGTTCTTCCTCCGCCTCTGCCTCCTCCTCCTCCTCCATCGCAACGCGTTGATCCTCCTCTGGAGCCTCTTCGGCGTCGCTGGATGAGCTGCCACCCTCCGCCTCTGCATCTACCTGTGACCCGGGAGCAGCAAACGCCTTCATTTGATCCCCGAACATGTTGGGTCGTGACGGTGTGTGGATTCGCCTCTTTCGCCGGGGTGGCTCTTTCATAAAGGGAGGATCCTCCTGTGCCCGTTTCCGGGGAAGCCCACTGCCGACCATGGAGGTTATAGTTCGGTCCCCTATAGTGATTGTAGCCAACTCCGCCGGTTCCCGCCGGGGGCGCATTCTATCGAACGCATTTTGGACAACATTGGGTGTCTCTTCAGAGGCTTGACGGGCGCGGGATGGTGTGTCTGCCAATGCTGATAGCTGTGATGATGGCTCGTACAAGGCAGGTGTCGAATCAGCATCTTCATTGACTGAGCTTTGTGGGGGGATATCATCGTCTGGAATGCCGACTGAAGGTGTTTCTACTTGGCTGGCAGTCGGTGTAGACACAGCATTGTTCGCAGAAGCACGAGGGGTTCGAAGAGATCGAGTTGGAGAGGGCGTTGCCTGCACAGGACTTCCCATCGTTTCTTGTGACTTTCTGAACCTAGAAATTGCGCTCTGTTGACTCGCTTCGGACGGCTCCGCAGAGCTTTCTCTGGTCCGATCTCGAGCAGGGCTTCCATTTTCGCTATTTTGGCTAAGCTCTCGGGCAATGACAAATCCCGGAAGCGATGAAAGCGCCTGCTGCTTTGCCATAGGCTTATTTTTGACTGATGATTGTGGCACAGTTTGCTCCGCATCTTCAAAAAGCTGTGTCAGTGAAGTTTTGAGTGATTCAATCATAGCTCCTGCGTCATGCAATAGAATTTGACGCTTATCGGGGGAAACGTTGACATCGTAGGCATTCGTATCCATCTGGAAATCCGCAAAGATGAATGGTGATTGCGATACGTTGAATGACTTGTAGACTTCGTTGAATGCCTTGCCGATCTGAGGCAGACCACAAGGCCGCGAATTGACGAAGAACATCTGACGATCTGGCGTCTGGCGACCCTCGCCGAAAACTGGGCGAGAGATGTGGCCGCGGACCTGAATCTTGTTCATCTTGTCATCACCAGCCCGTTTCGTGGCCGCCGCAGGCTCGAATTCGAGCTCTAAGTCAAGTGATATCAGCGCGGACAGTGTTTTTGCACCGTATACGTTTGCGATATTCTCCTTCGTCGTCTTATTTCCATTGGTAGAGAAGACCACCACGTTCTTCGTCTTGCCGACTGTGTTTCTCACGCTGAATTTGACTCCAGTGCTGATACTCGCATAGGCATGCAGGAGATTCAAGACCTTTCCGTACTCTCGCTTGATGTTCTTTTCAAGCTCACGCCGACGGACCGGTAGTCGCTTGAAGATCCCGTCCACAGACGCAGTCGTTCCCTTCTGCCCAGCAACTATCTGCGTTTTCTTCAGTTTCCCCGATTGTTCGAACTCGAGGCGATTCGCGCGCGGGACTTGGTTCGCTTGCGCTGTGACAATTTGAAAGTCGGCCAGAGCACAGAGCGATGATATCGCTTCGCCGCGGAAGCCGAAGGTATGGAGGCTCGTAAGATCATCGTACGTAGACAATTTGGAAGTGTAGTGTTTCAGCGCTAGAGAACACCCATATATTAGACTCGCAACGAGTATCTGGAGAAGCAAGAACATACCAACATTTTCATAATTCTCGGGCGATATACCGCTGCCATTGTCTTGCACTTCGATCAAATCCAGCCCATTATTCTTGAACCGGACCTCTGCAACCTCGGTTTGCGTTAAATATCATTCGAAAAAAAGTCGTCGATGGATTTTACTGACCGATCGTGGATGCTCCGGCATCTAGACTGTTCTCAACCAGCTCTTTCGCGACAGAGCACAAGTCAACGATGACTTGACCGGATTGGATTTGATGTACCTGGAACAAACAGGTTAGTCTGAATTTGTTAGGTTCAGATTTCGATTTACATACCGAGCGAGCCTCTATGGCTTGGATCGTTGCCATCTTATCCCATGGCGTCTTCGAGGAGGCAAGCTGGCGTCGGCACGCGTAGAGTGCTACGCGTGGAACGCCAAGACATGCGGGAGCGTCCCACTGTCCCAGCTGCATCCACGCATACCCCGTACTAGATCAAGTCTTCTCATTTGTTCTATTTCACTAGTTTACTATTTTTTGTACTGAAATGTTTTATACGGAGAAAGCATTTGCGAAATTGACAGCATTGCTATTACAGCTATAGACAGGGATAAAACTAGATGAACTTATCGCTTGAAACGCCCGAATTCAATATCAAGAAATCAATAAGCCCCAAAGCGCTCGGGCAGAACCACAGGTGCAACCAAGGTCCAGAGGTAAATGGCATAGCAGACCCAGGAGCTGATGATCTTCACCCAGCTGGCCCAGTAGGTGCGGCCGACTGGCGCAAAGTCCGCCGTGGTCTCGAGTGTCAAGCCCTGGACCAGCAACGTAGCAACCCACGTTGTAGCGAGGAAGAAGATGATATGGAATAGCGAGTAGTTATACTGGGTCGAGGCCCGCTCGTCATCTTTGACGGCTTCGAACTCATCTTCGTCGTCACTGTCGTCCAGCGCACTAGCAGGCAAACTGCCACTATCAACTGCAGCCCGGAGGGCCTCGGCTCTCATCTCGCGACGGCTGTTGGGCTGTTGAGTAATCAAGCCGTGCTCGTTGTCATCGGTGCCAAGTTGAATGTAGCTGTGGCCACCCTTGGAGCCCAGGGCAATTCCTTGCGTAGCGGCGCGCGTGGTGGTGTATGCAATAGTCAGCATAGTGACAATTGCACCGAGAACAATGGTGGCTGTGCGTGTGCCGCGAGATCGGATCAATGGGTTGCAGTTGTTGTCATCGGGTTCCATCGAAACGGCAGACATGGTGAGATAGGTACAGTACACAGTGACCATGGCAGCCTGTGCCAAGCCTGCGCGGGAGTTTGACTCTTGCACCGCTGGTTGAACAGAGACAAAAGAGATAATCAAGAACACGACCAAGTTTACCGTGATTGCAGCTTGGTTCATGGAACACCCACTGTTGGCGAAGAAGATGTACATCAAGATAGTCATGACGAAAGAGGCCAAGTACATGCCCACAGTCGAACCAATGAGCAAACCGCGCCACAGGCGAGAGTCGCTGTCCTCGATCTTCTGCAGACACAGCTCCGCCCACGAATGCGCAAGATCGACCAGCAGGATCAATCCGAGGAGAAGGAAGAGCATGGCGCAGAAGAAGGCAATGTAGTTGCCGTACACGAAGAAGAAGGGCTCGGGGATAAAGAAGGACATGACGATAAAGGCCAACCAAAGGATGACCTTTGGGCCCCAATAGCCATTCTGTATGGCAGCACGGGTATCTTTAGAGCTCTTAACTCCGAGCAGCAGAAGGGCGAATATCAAGTGGAAGAGACCGAGAGCGAAGTTGATTCGATGCACCGCAACCCAGCCATGACATTCCTTCCCGTCGCAACGGATCTCCATATAGTCGAGGGTCAAGTTTTGCAGTTTCTTCAAAGCCCATGGCGTGAGCATAATCCATGATAAAATCGAGTTGATAAGAAGGATAAAGGCGTATGCGATTCTCGTTGCCATACTGATCTCGTTAGTCCGGGGTTCTCCGCACTAGGCATGGGATAGGGTACCTGTTTTGGAACTTTCCGCAGGCACTGCAAACTGCAGAGCATGTCGCAGCACCACAGCATGATCCTGCGACGGTGACAAGCTGCTCAGAGAAACAATGTTAGTCAACTGCGCGGTTTCCCTTGGGGGGAAGGTTGCGATGTTAGGCGCCAACGTACAGTGCCAACACTCGGCACGGCCAAGAGTGGAATAGAAAGAAGAGCACCCATCTTGGGGTATCAGTCAAGGAGCCCGTCTGTGTCTGACAGTACAGGTTCAGGTGAGTCCAGTCCAGTTGTAAGGGCGATGAAGATCGAGTGCCGCCTTCGGCTGGGCTGGGCAGGGCGTCATTTCTGGTTACGTAATACGAACTAATCCGAACTACAAGCCGGAAAACCGTTTGAATGTCAATATTGGCCTTTGCACAAGAGTAAAATGGTGATCATTATTATGGGATGACGCAGGAATTAATTCAAGCACAGCGATACCTCATGCGCGGTAATAGCAAGCTCATAGCTATAAGGTACCTGCGCTAAGGGTCGGAGTTTTGATCGTCAATGGCTATTCCGCAGGTGACGTGGAGTGAGGATAGTCGTGCTCTGACCACGCGGCCGGGATTACGTGACTGATAAGCGGACACTTCTCGCCCTTCCCCGTCCTGCGATTCTACTTCACAATTCATTCGCTCGTTGTGCTTTTTTCTTTCTTTTTCTCCCCCGAGTCGTTCGTTAGGGACTCGATGTTTCACCCCGGCACACGTGTCGGCTTAATCAATCAGTAGAACTCCACGCCTATATCGCGTGACTTGAGATAACAACTGTCTTGAACTCGACTATCTACACGATGACCAGCCTACACAAGACTGCTCGGACTGTATCCGTGATAGCAGGGACGCTGGTCGCCCTGTCATGCGGCACCAATGTTGGTGTCTCCAACAATATCCCGGTCCACTTTCAAAGTTAATTCCTCGATAGTATGCATACTCCGCATGGGCGCCGCAGTTCGCCCAGCAAATGAAGCTTTCGTCGACTGAGAGCAACCTCATAGTAAGTTATTTCCAGGCTCGGGACAAGAAATTATGATCTGATCAAGCTCTAGGGCGTTGCGGGGAACCTCGGGATGTATGCGACGGGTATCCCGATGGGGTTATTGACTGATGCCCGCGGTCCACAGCTCATCACCCTGATCGGATCAATTTGCCTGGGCTTGGGATATTTCCCGATCTATCAAGGTAGGTCATAACCAATCCCCAAGTCAAGCATATCTAATTTTCACAGCATATAAAAATGGCGAAGGGTCAATGCCCATTGTATTCCTCTGTTTCTTCACCTTCCTCACTGGTATGGGCGGCTGCTCTGCCTTTGGAGGAGCTATCAAAACAGGTGCGTTAAATCCAAATCTCTACTAGGACTAGACTGACTCAATTTATTTAGCGGCATCCAATTTTCCCGACCACCGCGGGACTGCAACTGCTTTCCCGCTTGCTGCATTTGGACTGAGTGCACTGTTCTGGTCCAACATCTCAACACTCCTTTTCAAGGACGATACTGGTCGTTTCCTCTTGCTCTTGGCGCTTGGGACTTCTGTCTTGTCCTTTTGCTCAATTCCTTTCCTCCGAATCCTGGCCAGTGAGCCGTACTCGTCCATTCCTCATAGTGCAACCGAATCCGGAAGGCTGCATAACCCCACTGATCTTGAGCCCGTGCTGGAAGACACCGAAGACTCTGGCCTGCATGGATCAACAGCGTTTGAGCATGGGCAATATCCGCCGCATGCACGATCTCATTCCAATGTATCGAATCCCCGGTCTTTCGTCGACGACGAGAGATCATCCTTGGTATCGAGGACCGAGCGTCCGCGTCCATCTTTCGACACATTGGATGATGACTTCCTAAAGGAAGTGGACAACGAGTCTCATCACCTTGATATCAGAGGACTAGCTATGCTACGCAGAGTAGAGTTCTGGCAACTTTTCCTGACGATGGCACTGCTGTCTGGTATCGGATTGATGACCATCAATAACATTGGCAACAGCGTCAAGGCCTTATGGCTCTACTACGATGACAGCGCCACCGACGTCTTTATTCAGCACCGACAAGTCATGCACGTTTCCATTCTTTCTTTCGGTAACTTCATTGGCCGTCTATCCAGCGGTATCGGCTCTGACATGCTTGTCAAGAAGCTTGGCATGTCTCGCTTCTGGTGCCTCTTCATCTCAGCGGTGGTCTTCACTCTGACTCAACTTGCCGGAACAACAATCTCCAACCCCAACAGCCTTGTCATCGTTTCCGGTCTTACTGGAATCGCGTACGGCTTCCTATTCGGTGTTTTCCCTTCCTTGGTGGCACACACCTTCGGTATCAAGGGTCTATCCCAGAACTGGGGCGTGATGACCCTGGCCCCAGTATTCAGCGGCAACGTGTTCAACTTGCTGTACGGTAATATCTACGATGGACACTCCGTCGTCGGCAAAGACGGCGATCGCGAGTGTCCTGATGGACTGGGCTGTTACCGTTCCGCCTACTTTTTGACTTTCATTTCAGGCCTGCTCGGTATTGGAGTTTGTTTGTGGAGCATCCTCCGCGAGAAGAATGTCCACAACGCTATGAGCAGGAAGCTGGATCACCGACTGGCATGAGGTCGGCTTCTGATGCAGGACTGAACCCTCACTCTCTTTTGAAACACTCTTACTCAAATTTTCTTTTCTTTTCGGTTTGTTATGACTTCGTATAGATCGCGTTTCATGGCGGATGTTAGTTGGCTGGCACCCATTCGGTATACCCACGATGCATTGCTTTCTCCATAGACTTTCAAGGTTATCACTTTGCGTTTGACCGTACAGGGGTGTCGGTCTTTGAATGATCATGCCTCGGCATTACGTCTTTCCCACTTTCTACAATACAAGTATCGTATGTCTCTAGCTACGCGCTGTAAGGCATCATGTAACGGCGGTATCAGTCTTGAAATGGGCAGCACTCGAGCCAGGGACCTCGGGAACTTTTGCACACCAGCCCAGAAAATATACAAGTTGGCGTCTACCCGTGGACGGGTGCTAGGGTTACAACGGCCCTCGAGGATGGGCGAGGGAGACTCTCGAACGTAAAGCGCAACCTTGGAAGAAGTACAGTAGTACAACACCTCTGTATGGCATGCCAAATATCCTACCTAATGATACATCTATCTTCAGGGTCTTATGGTGTGAAAGAAGAGAATGATAGGGATCAATATAGTATTAGAAGCATAGTTGAAGAGTTCGTACAACACACGGCAAGAAAAGCAAATTAAAAGACGTTTCACAAAACATCCAGACATAAGGAAAGAAAAGAATTGAAACCGTTCAAGATTCAGCTTTTTGGGGGTAAAGATCCAGCCAGTTATGACGGAGCCGTGAAGGGTATCAAGAAGATCAGACAAGGCGAGCAAGCTCGGAAGAGCATGCAGGCTGATGGAACCGATGAAAAGGCAGAAGCAGAGGGGTCGACATTGGCAGCAGGGAGCACCACCTAAACGCTCTTCGGGGATTTAACCGGTGCTTCGTCAGTTTCCACAACATCAGAAAGCCGGATCTTTTTGGCAAGCGGCTCGCCTGAGTCTGCGTCACCACTACTGGAACCAACCTGGCGCTCGAGGTCACTGACGCGACGCTTGAGCTCTTCCTCGCGACGCTGGGACTCCTCGAGAGACCGTCGCAGACGTACCTCAGAGTCGCGGACGATCATCTCCGACCGGCGGGCGCTGGCGTCACTCTGCTCGAGCTCTGTCACGCGACCGCGGAAGAGCTCGTTGACGAATTCCAGTTCGCTCACACGGGTCTTCAGAGAGGTGTTGAGGGCCAGCAGACTTTCAAATGTGTGGGGGGAGTCGAGTTGGCGATCGACCGCAGAAGGAGAAGGTTGGCGCATCTGGCGAGAGGGCAGGCCAGTAGAAGAGCTCATACCGTCTCCCAGAGTGACGCTGTCGAACATATGCTGTGGCGCGATGTTCGAGTTGTGCGCATGCATCGAGCCGAAGCCAGGTGTTTCGGTGCGAGAGACCGGGGAGTTGGAGCGATCCGAATGACCCGGGGACATTTTGCGCGACGCGCGACGGTATCCATGCGACCCTAGGGGAGGGGTCCCGGCTTCGGATCGCGAGGGGAGGCCATTGGTGTCTACAGGGCCACCGGACTAAGGTAGCACGATCTCGGTCAGCATATGTCTTATCTAGGACGAGCAGATCCCAGGACACGAAAGAAGGGAAAAAATTCGATTGCTCACTCACCTTGCGCTTAGGGCCCTGGCCGGTCTTGACGCGATTGCGACTCTTAATCACATCTGTTTTCAAGCTTATCGGACGTGGTCGGCCGTGCAGCTTCAGAAACAGGCCACAGGCGTTGCAGAGGACAGAACCGAGTTCGTCCCTGCGCCACAGGGGGTGGTGGAGGTGCCGCAATTTTGACAGACAGGCTGTAATTGAGTTCGCTTGTCGTCAGCCAAAGTTGTCGCCATTGTGAGTGAAGATCAAAGGTTGAGAGGAACAGAGATGGGAGAGATGATAAGATTGTGAGAGATTTGAGTCGATAAGGAAATGGGAAAAAGCGGGTGCACGGTTCGAGTGGTGCCAAGACTCTCGATAACTCTTTCCCCCAAGATAAGGCCGATAACGACTCGGACATTGACAACTTACAGGTCCATTCCCTTGTCCTCCTGTCGTAGCTGCTGGTGATGCTGTAGCGTATGTCATATTGGCCATGCTCATACTGGCATCACTGGATGATCTGGAGTGGTGGGAAGAGAAATTAGTCAAGTGTACCATTATCGGATTTTCCACTTTGCAGCCTCTAATGCAGCAGAGAGGGGGCCGAATTACTGCTCCAAATCTCTCCTCTCATCCGAGGTTTACGGAAGCAATATAAATCATCCCTCTCAGGCTCCAAATTGACTGTCACGGGGTCTCGACGAACCGAAGATTAGAGGTTGGTGCTGAAGCAACTGAGGCAAGAGCGGCCAATCCTGGAAGCGATGTGCTCACAGAAGAGCCTGGGTACCCGTCACTATCTATCGAACCAAACTTGGTCACACTCTTGATATCGGGTAGGTTGGTGGAAAACGGCGCGGATCCACTGGATGGTTGGCGTGTAGAAGTTTCGACCGACAAGTCGTAAGGAAAGTCACCTTCTTCTGGGGAGGAGCCGGGTTTGAGAGCCGGGTCGATGGGCGACGCCCTGTAGAGGGTGGAAGCCACTGTGGAGGGGAGAGGACTGGTGACGATTGAAATCCGGCCCTGGACCGAATTGGAAGGGGAAAAGCGTGTAAAGCTTCACTCGCGCGACTGTTGCGATTGGGGGCAGTTGCCAGAGAGGTACTGGGTAGCAGTTGATCTGTATCGTAACAAATCCTCGCGATACTCGATTCGAGGAGAGGTTTCGCGAAAGGGTGTCTGGATACAAACGAAAGAACGCAGACCTCAGAGAATATTATGGTTCAACAAAATTTGACCAGAAAATAATGAACGTCATTCAAATTAAAGACATAATGGCGGAACGGCGATGGTAGGGGTAGAAGGAAGATGCAGAATTGAGGTGGACGATAAGATGATAATAACAATCCGGATAACGATTGCCCCATAGGGAAGCCAGTGGTGGAATGTTATATTGCACTAATTCCATTTTCAATGTACTCCGTATAAACATTGCTCCTATCGCGAAACATGCGCGACCCTCGCAGTATGTCATTTTCGATATGTTCAGATGTGCATATAGATTGCCTGCATTGGGTCGGATATTGAACAGCGTGGCGTTTTTACCGACACATATCTGGGCAACGATGATTATATGTGTAGAACAGTCCAATTGATCCCATTTTCAAGTTTGAGTGCCCACTTGCCATGTCAAAAAGTAATTGCCGTGTCTACACTGTAAACGATGTAGATGATGCATCGCAGGACCCCTTTCGATTAGGGGGTGGAGCCCGTTTGTGGCGGTGCGTCAAGGTATGACGGTAATTTACACGGTGAATATGCCAGCCGCATGCGTTTTAGCGCATTCTGCCCCAGTTTGGATCTACCGCCTGTGTAAATTAATCGTATTCGTACAGACCCCCGAAACGCCCCTTGCCCTTGGGTTGTTGGACATAGGTGACATTATTTCACTGCCTTGACTCCGTCGATTCTCCATTACACCTGCGTTCTTTTCTCTCCTTCGTTTCTCTGTAATGGATTAATATCCTTTAGTGTCCTTTCATTTGCCAGCCTTGCTTTCCTTTGCACTGCCATTTGGCGTCGCCCATAGATCTCACCACCCTCACAATGCCGAAGAACCGCCCTGCCACCTCGGGCTACGCTCGTCTCGCTCAAGCGGACGAAGAACGAGCTTATCTCCACGATGATTCAGAAGATGACGAAATTGCCGCGGTTTCAACGGCGTCCACCTCCGCTCCTCGATACGCTCCCATCGCTTCCCGAGCCCAGATGCAGGCGTCCGGTCTCCACACACCCCCAGGCCATCAACGCAGGCATAGTGGCTTCCAATACCCTCGAGGCCGGCGAAACTCCGGTGTGGATATCAAAGCGATCAATGCGCGTCTCGAAAAATGGGCGGAGGAGATTGCCTCTAAGTTCAAGATCAACCGCGTCAAGGGCAAGAGCTACGAGGAGGAAAAGCTGGAGATTTATCATTCTGTCTTCCAAGCACCCCCTGGAGTGGAACCCATCACCGCCGAAGCCCTCGAATCCGATGAGTTTGAAGGCCAGCAAAGACAAGCCCGCGCCGAGTACGAGGAAATCATCGAAAGCGTTCGCGTCGCCATTGAAATGGGCGTACATCCCCGGATGATCTCACAGGGTAGCTCCGGTAGTTACTTTGCTCGAAACACAGAAGGGAAGGTAGTGGGCGTGTTCAAACCAAAGGACGAGGAGCCCTACGCCTCACGAAACCCCAAATGGACCAAGTGGATTCATCGCAACTTGTTCCCTTGCTTCTTCGGCCGCGCCTGTCTCATTCCCAATCTATCATACGTCTCTGAGGCTGCCGCTTATGTCCTTGACGCTCGGTTGCGGACAAACCTCGTCCCATACACTGGAATTGTACGGCTGTCTTCAAAGTCGTTCTTCTACGATTTCTGGGATCGCAGAAAGGCATGGAAAGGGAAGAAGTCCCTACCCCACAAGGCAGGCAGTTTCCAAGTGTTTTTGAAGGGCTTCAAGGATGCCAACATTTTCTTGCGCGAACATCCTTGGCCTGACCAGACGAATACTGGATTCCGTGCCGAAGATGCACCGAAGCGAAAGAAGCGGCCATGGAACGAGGCCTGCCGCCCATCGGGGGCCCAGTCGGATGATGAAGATGATGAAGATCCTGGCTACGTACCGTCACCACCGGGCTCGCGCGATGAAAGCTCCGAACGTCGATTTTATTGGACCGAGAATCTCAAGCAATCGTTCCGCGAGGAACTGGAGAAGCTTGTGATTTTGGATTACATCATGCGGAATACTGATCGAGGTTTGGACAACTGGATGGTCAAGATTGACTGGGGGACGGAACAAGTTTCGATCGTGGCAGAGCCCCCCAAAGCCACCGAGCCGCAACCTAAACACGATGAGGATGAGCTCATGCCTCCGGCCCGTCCAGTGTCCGTGAACTCAAATGGAACACCCACTACCTCCCCTCATCCTTACAAGCGGCACGAGACGATGATGGCTATCAGCCGTACGGGCACTCCACTGGCCTCATCAGAACAGTCGGCCTCTGTTCAGCTTGGTGCCATTGATAACAGTTTGTCTTGGCCATGGAAGCATCCAGACGCTGTAAGCTTATCTCTCCTTTGTTTACATCTTGTCCTTGAGATCTTGTACTGATTCATTCTACAGTGGCGCAGCTTCCCCTTCGGCTGGCTTTTCCTTCCAGTCTCTCTGATCGGACAACCTTTCTCGCAGAAAACTCGTGACCACTTCCTTCCACTTCTCACCTCCACTGCCTGGTGGAGCGGGACTCAGATGGCTCTTCGTGGGATATTTTCACAGGACGACGATTTCAAGGAAAGCATGTTCGCGCGACAAATTGCCGTAATGAAAGGTCAAGCTTGGAACGTTGTGGAAACTTTGAAGCATTCAGACCACGGTCCGCTCGAGCTAACTCGTCGAACAAGAGTCTGCGTTTGGGATGACTTAGTCGATGTACCTGTTGCCATTCCCATGCGTGCCCCTTCTACAGACCGATCAAGAAACCGATATATGAATTACGACCCTGATGAAGAAGAGATGGATATCGGCGCGTCCGCCTCCTCTCAACCACTCCCCGAGCACGATCTACTTGGGTTGAACTCGTCGCCAAGCGATCTTCCCAACCCAAACCGGTTCGAACTCACCCGTGGTCGAGCTGATGTTGATAGCGTTGCTGATGCTTCGATTGGTAGCCCAGCAACTCTGAATGATCCTGACTTCGGTCGTCGCCACACGGATGGTGCCGGGGGCTCTCTTGATGGGTGGCCCTCGCTTCCTCCCCGTCAGCAAAAGCACCGCAAGAATGGGGGCTCTTTGTCTTACCGTGCTCCCCGGGTCAATACGTTCGGTAGCGATGACCTCGAAGGTGATCTTGGGTATGCAGTTGCCGAGGGTATGGAGGGTAACCAGCGCAAGGTGATTGTCGAGCGATTGGAAGCCGTCAAAAGCAAGAACCCAGTCTTCACATGGTGCTGAGGCGGCGCCGTCCTTTGTACCGGCCTTCCTTTTTCTCTGCCTTCTACATCACTTCTCTTTCTTCTCATTTAATCTGCGACCTAGAGCGCTATTATGGCTATGTTGATTGTCCCGCACCCTGGTTGACTGTCCCCAACATTTGCTCAATACTCTCGCCCTTCCTCTTCGCCGCTTTATTTCTGTGATATTTACCACGAGTCCTTTTCTGGACATGCTCATGATTCGGGAGATCCCCATGTTGTATATAGACCTTCTTTGGCTGTTGGATTGCCTTGGTTTCGAGGCGCATTGATTGAGCGATCTGCCTCATGTAGCATATTGATGAGAATTAATTCTATGATACCTTCATCTACTTGATTTCCTGTTGCGCCAGCATGTGACTCTTGGGGTCACAAGATATGTGCTGCTTGAGTGTAATATGATTCAGATTCAAAGGTTCAGGCTTGGGTAGTTGGAATTATTGAGCCGACTTCGGTGTAGCAACCTTGAATTAATGGTCTGAACTCGATCCTTACAATCTGGGCATGGCTCTATCACATCATGTGAGACAATTATTGCTTGGCCATATCCAGTACACCCTCGTTATCATTCAAGTTGTCCGACTGGTAGGTTTGGGGTGTTTGGTTTCTGATCTATCTATGGTCCCTGGAGCGAAATGGCTGGCCACCCAATTTAAATTGCGAGAATGTCTAGAAAATTAGGGCGGTATGCTCCCAAGTGATCTCCACTGTGGGTGATCTATCTAGATGGCGACTAAGCGCAGCGGGGGTATATGTCACGCGTCTCGAGATACAGGTTTGCCCGGCTTTATGGCTATCTCCTAATCTTCCTCTGCTGAAACATTTCCCCTCCACACTCGTCACCCATCAACCTTGGAAACATATATACTCTCTGCCAAGTACTTCCAGCAGTGTTCGCGGTGCGATCGAAGATTGATTGATACGCGGTCCGATAAGGTCTTATCGGCGAGATCCTCCGAGGTGCCCGACTTCAGATCATCGCAACTCCCTCGACTGCACCGCTTCCCAGACATAGTTTGGTCCCAGCCTGCCGAAGACAAGAAAGTCCACATCCGAAGCCTGCTTGCTCGCAGCCGACACAAAACCTGGTCGCGATCGTAACCTCCGCCTATTCTCCATCATCCCTCGACAAGGCAAATCACCAGGCGCGGACTGGATCGCGAGCAGAATAAGACGTGATAATTCTTCCCATATATGACTAAACAGTGAGACGAGGGAAGAAGTATCCTTTCACGCGCTCCCATTTGAACCTCTCACTTTCAATGCCGCTGGAGACTTCGCGACTCTCGCGTCTGGAAGACGCCCGCCTCGTTGATTCAACCATCAGCACTACTCACTCAGTTCACCATTCACTCATCCGACCTGATCTGCATCATAAATAGAATTTTTACCGATCGATCTGGAAGCACAAGCCAAACCTTCAACAAGTCAGGCGGGAAAACTCTCCAACTTCGAACACCTGCTTCTCATTTACAACCACCTGACACCATCGCGAGTGCCTCTTATACTCTGATCTCTGATCCTCAATCCGCAGGCCGTCAATCTTCGAATATAAACGGTCTCTCGCAAACACACCCGTGAGTGAAACAAGCAATCGCTTTTCTTGCATACCTCGTCAACTGACTTGCGATCACTTGATCTTCAGTGACGCCATCCGCAAAAGTTATACAAACTTGATCACACATTTCGAATAGCGACTCAGACACCATGGAATCACATCCTGCAATGCTACTGGACCCCAAAGGGGCCAGAAGACAAACACAGCGCAATGGTAATCATCCCGATTCTCACTCCCCTTCGCATGACCTTCCTCCCATGGATCCTATCATTATGGCCGGCGAGCCACCAAAAGACCCGCCCGACAATTCGACAAGTCTTCCTGATCTCCTTTTGCCTGAACTACCTGGACTTCGTTCGCCTGCTTCTCCGCAATCTTCAATGGATCCCTCAGTATCGACCGGAAAACTTCCAGCCGAGTCCTGTGAAATGGCCACTTCTCAGCTTCCTTTGCCACTCGGGTCTGCCAATACACCTGCCCTGGCTAGTGAACATGTGCTGCGCTCTCATCTGATGGATCCTGGAGCCTTGGATACACAGGTCCCTGTTGCTACTGGTTCTGCGGCCAAGGATGATGATCCAAGTGCCATTGAAACCTCATCGCCCGAGACTTTTGATCCTCATTTGACCTTTTTACCTTCTACGCCGCTGGCTGATACCATGGCCATGTCAGCGGAGTCAACCGAGCCAGTACCGGATTATACCCCCCAAGACTCGATTGACCCAAGTCCTTTGCTTTCGACGGCCAAAACATTTGCAGAAGATTCAGAGTCCCCAGGCTTACTTTTGGAATATACAGGAAAGCAGCCAATGGCACCTGCAGGTACCGCAACTGTCACGCCAATTCGTGAACCAAAACCTCGGACACCGATCGCTGGCGGCTCTGGGGCTTCAAGTTCGGTCCCAAAGCCAATCCAAAACATGGAATTCCAGTTTACCACCGCCAATGATGATGAGAGCGAGAGTGATGCTAAGCGCAGCTACCACGAAATTAGTGATGACGAAGGCAGTCCCGGCCGACGCAATATGATTGCAGACGTATATGGGGCCGAGGAACGCAAGCGACAACTTGTCAAACGAATCAAAACGAAGAATGAACAGCCATCCTCAGCCAGTACGCCAGTCTCAATTTCCAGTTCTAACGGCATGGGAAAGTGGATGAAAGAGGGCGAGCAGAAGCCCAGTACAAGCTCTGCCATATCTGATATGGTCGATCTGACAAAAGGTGAGACGCATTGTCTATTACATTGCATGAGTTTCTGACATGTGCTCATATATGAGTAGAGAATACCAACACGCCCAAGGACGACGACGACGACGAGCTCGTGTGCACGGGCTCGGCTGATCTCAGCGCCCAGCGTGTCTGCTATGGTAAGATCGACGGTGCCATGGTACAGTCATTTTCCGTCCCAAAGCCGGCAGACACGTCATTCGTTATTGATGAAAACACCTGGCCGTCGATCAAAGTGGAACTCCAACGGCCGGCCAACGCACCTCGAGGGAGCACTCAGATCGACGTAATTGATCCCCACGGCCACAAATTCGGCAAAATTGATGCCAAGACGGCACAGGGGCTTTGTCCGCTCCTTGACGATGCTGTGGTGAGCACTGTTGAAGTCACGGCTCGGTTGAATATCCGGAGGAAATTACCACATGAGGTCGTTGGGAGTCCTACTTCTGGCTTCTGGCATGCAACTATCAATGTCTATGGACAACGACAAAGAGCAGACGCTATTGGAAAGTTTCTTTCCCTCCGCAATGTCTGGTTGGGTACACCGAACTCTGTTGAAAATGGAACCCCGACTTTCAACCCCCACGCGGAGGTCAGACGCCAACAAGCTGCCGCTGCCGCTGCCGCTAGCATAAACCGTGAAAGGATCGCCCCAACCATCAGGTACGAATCTCGGACTGCCGAAGAGGTGAATGACGCGGTCACGAAAATGTTCGACCAGCTCATAAAAGCGGACATTCCAACCATGGAACAGCCTGACGGTGTACTCACACCACTGCTTCATCACCAGAAGCAAGCACTCTGGTTCATGACAGACAAGGAGCAGCCACGCAAGTTTGGACCCAGAGAAGAAGACAACAACTCCCTATGGCGAGAGGTGATTCGTTCGGATGGCCGAAGGCAATACAAGGAGATTATCAGCGGTATCACCATGGATCAAAAGCCCAAGGAAGCTCTGGGTGGCCTGTTGGCTGATATGATGGGGTTGGGAAAGACACTCAGTATTCTTTCCTTGATCACATCATCACTTGACCAGGCCAATGAGTGGACGGAAATGGCCCCATCTCCGCAGCTTGTTCGTGATGTCCCGGGAATCCGAAACACGCGAACAACCCTTCTTGTGGCCCCTCTGAGTGCGGTGAGCAATTGGGTCACCCAAATTCGTGACCATCTCAAAGAGCGTACTCTTTCCCTCTGTGTCTTCCATGGCCCGACTCGCACCACTGATTTGGATGAGCTTTCCGAATACGACATTGTGATCACCACATACAGCACCATTCTCAGCGAGATTTCTGGGCGAGGTGCTAAGGCTGGAAGAGTCAGTCCTTTGAACCGGATGAACATGTTCCGCATTGTTCTTGATGAAGCACACACAATCCGCGAAAGAAATGCAGCACAAACAAGAGCAATAATCAGCCTTAATGCCAATCGTCGTTGGTCGGTTACGGGAACGCCCATACAAAACCGTATGGACGACCTATTCTCCGTGACTAATTTCCTCCAGATATATCCATATAGTGAGCGAGGCTCGTTTGCTCAACATATCTCAGGGCCTGTGAAGAGTGGCAACCCATCTTTGACTAACCTTCGTGTGATTGTTGACTCATTCACCCTGCGTCGTGTCAAGGACCGAATTAACTTGCCTCCCCGTGACGAACAATTCGTGATATTGCCCTTCAGCGACAAAGAGAAGCAATTGCATGATTTCTTCCGCAATGAATCACAGGGAATGATGAACGTCATTGCTGGCCAAAACAAGGTCAAGATGGGGGGCAAGATGTACCATCACGTCCTGAAAGCAATGATGATTCTCCGACAAGTTAGTGCTCATGGAAAAGAGCTGCTTGATACCTCGGATAGGGAAAGAGCTAAGGGACACTCGGCAAATGATGCGATCGATTTGGAAGATGGGGAGTCAGATGATACTACTTCGGCTACAGAAAAGCAAGCATACAGCATGTTTGACTTGATGCAACAAGCCCCAGCTCCTCCTCAATGCCACCAGTGCAGTGAACAACTACAAGAACCACTGACATCATCAGGAGAGGTGCGCCCAAAGGATCCAATTGCTTTCCTCCTACCTTGTTGGTGTGTGTTCTGCCCAAACTGCTTTTCTGGCTACAAGGATGCGTTCGATTCAGCATTCGAGTCTGGGACCATATCTGAGATTCGGTGCCCGAGCTGCGATGGCTGGACTACAATGAACTATTCTGCCATAACACCTGAAGGTGTGGCAAGTCATGAGGCCGGAAAGGAGCGTGAGCGTGAAGCCCGCAAAGTAGGCAAACATTTCGGCGACTATGAGGGTCCGCACACCAAGACCATGGCATTGATCAATTACCTTCAAGAGACGGTTGAGAAAAGCAAAGAGCTGGTTGGGGAGCCACCAATCAAGAGCGTCGTTTTTTCGGCCTGGACATCCCATTTGGACCTGATTGAAGTGGCTTTGACCAACAACAACCTCAGTGGGTTCACTCGGCTTGATGGAAGTATGACTCTCCCAGCGCGCACCCGGGCGCTCGAAGAGTTTGCGAAGAACGACTCCATCACTATCCTGCTGGCAACTATTGGTGCTGGTGGTGTAGGCTTGAATTTGACTTCTGCGTCACAAGTCTTCATCATGGAGCCACAGTACAACCCTGCTGCTGTTGCTCAGGCAGTTGATCGGGTTCACCGTCTCGGTCAGACTCGACCTGTTCGGATCATCCAGCTGATCATGAAAGACAGCATCGAGGTAAAGATCCTGGAACTTGCTCGAAAGAAGCAACAAGAAGCGGACATGACCATGGACCGCAAAAAATTGGACAAGAGAGAAGCTCAAGAGGCTCGCATGCGCGAATATCGACAACTCTTCAAGGGTTAATCTTTCAATGCTTTTTCCTTTTCTGCTCTTTGCATTCCCTTCCCCCACCCCCCTGCTATATTCGATTCTGCCCCCAGTTCATCCCCTAATTTCTATTTGATATCCAGACTCTTCAATACTTTCGTCTCATGATACCCGGAAAAAAGATGGCGTTTATTTAATCTATTCTTACCCATTTCGTTATTATTTTCAGAAGCTACACCGGGCAATTATTCTTATTTCTTTGCTTTTCCAGACCAGTTTGCCAGAACATCTCATCTGCATTGATCATACATGCTTTTCTAGATCTCCAGGTCACCGCTCTTCACGTTACTTAACTGTCTAGTGCGCAATTTGCATTATAGAGACTAAGCTTATCTACACCGCTATTAGGACTGGCTGATATTGTTCTATCACAAAGTCAATTACTATCATGCGATCATGTACGGAGTACTGTACGGGTGGATCTACCCACGGTGCATGTTTAACTTAGATCCCGCCGCCTTTCCCAGGTTCTGACCATTGGGATGTCTTCTACAAGGTAAGTTAAAGTATTCTGTCCCTTCCGCGAACTTACAATGCATGAACCTCCCGGGCCCCTTGCACACGTGAGGCACATCAGGGCATGAGATTCAGCCCTGAACCTTATGAAGTAATTATATACCGGACAATATTGTAACCGGACGTCTAGACTTGGCTCTTCCTTTGAAATTGTCTTCCATCTATCCGCATTTGTTCACAAAGCCCGTGCTGCATTGATGATCTGTGATACATTTCGGCAACCCTAAGTCTACCGAGGATGTCTGAATGACAACGGTATGATCGATTTGAACATCTCCGTCCCCACCCTTGCAGTCACAGGAACACAATCATCCTCGAAATAGGTGAAGGACTCAAAATTCACTGGACGATGTCCTTTTGTGATCCCCCGCTCGCCTTGGTCTCTTGTTCGCCCGTGGGGGTGGTTACAACGGAAGATATCAACAAAGTCTATTGCAACGGTGTTCAATATGGATCAAGAGAAGATACATAAAGCCATTAGTTGTACCTGAATGGTGTCCATTGCCCATCAAACAATATCCACACAACTGGAATTCAACACCATTACTCTCTTCATCGAGTTCTCTTGACCTTCTCCTATCAAAAATGCGGCTTGCGCTTTTCACCATCACTAGCGCCCTAGTTGGAGACGCATGGGGATGCACCTTCTTCAACGTTGCAGGTGCTTGTACCTGGCATGGAGTCGGCCCTACCTGCGGTGTTGTCGACGATGACATTCGCAACCACACAGAGGTCGCCCTCCATGATCACCATCCAAAAATGGGATACTTGATGTGGTGGTCTGTAGGAGACAACGTCTGCAAACGTCTGTGTAATCTTGAAAGGGCTGCGTTCCCTTACATGGGAAGCTGTTGTCCAGAATTTGGCAGTGGCTGCGTTACTGGGTACAAGCGTTTGTGGTGCCAGACGTGGCCTGGAGCTCCTCCTACACCTTCGCCTTCTCCTCCATCTTTGCCAAGATGTCACAACACGGGCGATCAGGACCAACAACCTTGGAACCAGACCGAGACCGATGATCCACAGTCTGAACTTGACTGAGACTTCGAGATAGCACACAATGCTTGCTTTGCTGAGTAGGTCGTGCCAAACATCTCCATGACTTTGGAAATATACTTCTACAGACTCGGCTGACATACAATGTGACAAAACATAGATTGTGAAATTCCCATGCGCAAGATTTCATTCCGAGGTCTGTCATCCAAATGGCTCCAGGACCCAGCGACAATTTTCTTTCTTTTTGATTGAGAAGTGCAAAGCAATTGGGCTTCCAAGGTTGTTGGCCAGTGCGTAAGCCTCAGAGGGCCTTTTGAATATATCTAGTCAATACAATCCCAACTTAGGGCCAAATCTCTAGGCCGTGAAATAACGAACTTTGAAATGGAGTTCTCATCGACAAGTCTGCTGTAGACGATACTGGGATTTCCTGCAAGCACAGTTTCCTGATCTTGAAAGCCGCCAACCACAAAATTTATGCAGCCATCGAGCCCTCGACCTGTGATGTCCTATAGACTTCAGTGGTTGGGGACGTGGCGAAAGTGCCGAAAGGATGCGAACTTTATTGGGTTCAATCGAGTGATACAAGTTGAAAAGAAAATGGTATCATGTAGCACCTGAGGGTTATATACCGTAAAAAGAAACCCTCAATCACAACGCCTAGATGTCATGAAAGTAAGACAGAAAGAAATAGCGCGCCAGACCCAACCACAAAAGCACATGCGATTTTATTTTTGCGAGTGTCCATCTCCATGGATGCCCATAGAGACTGCACCGAGAACATTTTCCAGTCTGGCCCTCAACTTCTTCAGCTCACGTACCTTCTCCGCACGCTCGGTCTCCACACCCCGAAGCTCAGTCTCCAGTTCCCTTATCCTGCTCTCCTGCTCAGCTTCAGATGTACTGATCCCAGGAAGCACAGAGATGAGGTATTCAATCTGCTGCTCCTTGATGATCAAATCGCGTGCGAGCTCCCGCTGTCGGCTTGCAAATGTACGAGGCGAGTCCGGTGCAGGCGGAAGGTTGGGATCATCACCCTCGCCTGCTGCTGCCACCGGTGCTGCGCCAGGCTGCTGTGGAGGGGCCAGTGGAGGTGATGCGTTACCTGCGATGGCCGCGGCGCCTCCGGCCTTGTTTGCGATAGCTGCTGGAACTGGTGGGGCGGATGAGTTCTTTGTTATCTTGGCTAGTGCCGGTGCAGAATTGGGGACATTCGATGGCGGTGTCGTGGGTGCATTGTCGTGGTATGTTGTGAGGTAGCCGAGTGTTGCGTAGAATTGGGTTGCAAGCTGCTTCGCATGAGCGGATTTTCAAATGTCTTGAGAGGGGGGGCTGTACTTGATCCAGGCATGTTTGGAGCTGCGTAAGGATATCGGCCATGATGGCGACCCGAGATTTAGAGACGTAATTCTGGAATCGCAAGGTTCGCTGGTGATGTCCCTGCGAAGTTGAAAGAAAGCGGAGCAAATGCGGAGAGCTCCAATGCGGTGAAACTGTGCTTTTCTCCTACACAACCACTCAATGCGCTTGTTGCATCTACGCCATGGCCTTGTTGCCGGACATTCTCTGAAATATCACGGCCGCTATTTCTCAAGTTCTCGTATCTATAATGATTTGACACCCTTCACTCGACGCCTTTTCAAGCTTCCCTCACCTCCGTATCCGCCCTCGCAAAACCACAATGATCTGACAACATTCCTTTCTTATGCGGAGCAGATCTCACTCTCAAAAGAAAGCACAGTATACGTCGGTACACACTACGAATACACCGTCCTCAAGACCCTCCGGCGCTATGCGCTGAGTCTCAATCGCATTGGCGGACGCGACGATGCGGGCATCGATCTCGTCGGCACTTGGCATCTACCAGAGCGCGAGCGCGAGCGCGCTCTGCGCGTGCTAGTACAATGCAAATCTCTCAAGACCAAAATCGGACCCAACATCGTCCGCGAGCTCGAAGGTACCCTGCGACAAGCTCCTGTCGGATGGCGCACGGACCAGACGGTTGGCGTGTTGGTTAGTCCGCGCGAGGCAACTAAAGGTGTTCGTGATGCGTTAGCGCGGAGTGCGTACCCAGTCTTTTGGATGATGATTGAGAGGGATGGAAGTTTAAAACAGGCGCTGTGGAACTCGCGTGCGGAGGAGCTCGGAATCAGACCACTAGGCGTGGAAACACGATATGAGACTGCGGCCGAGGGCGCCGAGTCTGACTCGGTTACCAAGCAGATCGCTCTGACCTGGGATGGTCATGATATTCCTGATATGGATCAAGTGGAGCAAGGTCTCGCCGAATCTGAGGCGCAATGGGTCGCATCTTGGGGTATAGGCTCACCCCAGCCTGATAAAGACCGATTGTTAGACGCTGCGGAGAGAGTGCTCGCACAGAATGTCTCGTCCGAGCTATTACGTGGTTCACTTTCGGATGCAGATCGCACCAGGGTCATCCAAGCTCTACAAGAACGGCAACAGCAGCCTTGAATCGGACGAACATGATATCCTAGTGGCAAAGAAGTGATGGCCACACACTTTTCAGGTTGATGTGTATGGAGAAAAGCGGCACAAATAACAAACAAGAATAATCCAAGGGTATAGAAAAACCAACAAATACTCAAAACACACATTTTGGCTCCCAGAAACGCCAGAGAGCAAACTCCCATACAATCGTCCATCATTATGATCATCCCTGCATCGTTGACCAGAAGTAATTTGCATAGAAGAAACGCGAGAACTTGGGATCGATGTTCACAACGTGAACGTCACCCTTCCGACTGTTTCGAATGACAGCTCGGTTGAAATTGCCCGCGTCATCGGGCTCGATGTCAACACCCAAAGAGCGGAAGATTTTGAGCCGCAGACTATGTAAATGTCAGCCAGAAAAAGGGTGCCATAGGAAAACAGTGACATACATTGTCGCGTCATCCGCCTCGCGCTCGCGCCGGGTTGTCTCATCGCCCTCGAGGCCCTGGGACTCGAGATCGGCTAGCCTCTCTTTGAGCATTTCGAGCTCACTCTCCAATCTTTCGCTTTCAATCTCCAGTTCTGAGGCAGCCTTGGCAATGCGGAACTTTTTGGTGTCCAACTCGACAATCTCCGCCGCGTGTTTACCGGAATCGTGCACTGCCACAGCTTCCTCGTGTTGGGTCGATAAAGAGTTCAAGTTTCGCGAGAGCTTGCGCATGGCCGATTCAGCCTCGCGAATGCGCAGATCGCGCGACTGCTGGAGGGTGGAGAGAGAGTCATTGATGCGTGTAACCGCTTGTTTATCCGGGTGGATGTTGAAATTGCCGATTGTGTGGTGGATAAGCTGGGGATGTTAGTGAATTATTCGAATACCAGAGCAATAAAGTTGCGGTCTGAAGCACATACAGTTCCGGGATCTTCGTCGAGCAACATGGTGTTGGTTGGGTTGAATGTATTGGAAGGTTGGATGTTTTTTGGGGTTGCGGCAGCAACAGCCACATGCACCGCCACATGTGTTGCTCCTCCGCAAAGTGACGTTGCCGAGTGATTTCTCCGTCCTCGATTCTGCCTTCACCTCAACACAGCCCCTCACGCTTTTCGAACAACCATTTCCAACCGAAGCGCTGAACTTGACGCCCAGGTCTATAATTTACCTGGCTAAGACCATCAATATCATTTCGCACCATGTCCAATCTTCCTTGTAGGTGGCTTGTCTCGAGTGGTGCCTGGTACCCGAAGACTGACTCGCTTTACTTTTGCAGATGCCGCTGATGCGGAGAGGTCGGTCTCCAGCTTTTTCTCTCGACATATACCCCACGCTACAGTTGCTGACATGGTTGCCAACGCAGTCCCTTGAAACCCGCCGAGCTACAGGTTCTGAGATCGCAATACGAGAAGGAGGGTGACTATGTAGGGATCCAGACAAAGTTCAACTACGCATGGGTATGACTCCTTGTCTTTTGCTTTTTCCTTGGTTTTTTCCAGCTTTGCTCCAGGGTGCCCACGCTAACCGGTACTCTCCGCTTATGCGGAGGATGTTCGATTGCAGGGACTCATCAAATCCAATCTCCGACCCGAGCAACAAGAAGGCGTCCGTTTACTTTCGGAAATTTTCCGCGATGCACCAGAGCGACGACGTGAATGCCTTTATTACCTGGGCCTTGGCAACTTCAAGCTAGGGAACTACGGTGAGGCCCGGCGATACAATGATCTACTCCTCGAGAAAGAGCCTGCCAACCTTCAGGCAGCGAGCCTCGGGTCTCTCATCGATGATAAGGTCGCTAAGGAAGGCTTGATGGGTGTCGCAATTGTGGGCGGTTTGGCCGTAGCCGCGGGCTTGATTGGTAGCCTGGTTCTCAAGGGAACCAGAAAACGGTAAATACGGAGTACTCCGTACACGTTCAGCATTTGGCGCCTGCAAGGGCTGTGCGCCTGGAGTATATCCAACTGTTGTATAATGTGTGGGATGTGTTATTGGCCATTGGCGATTCCTTTCTTCCTTTTAGCATCCTAGGGCGTTTTCTTTGTCTACCTCTCTCCCTCTTGCTGCTGCTATGGTGTTGCCATTTTCGTACATATATTATGCATATTAAGCACTCGAGTGTATCATATTAAGTGAGCTGTCAACCTGGCAAGAAAGCCTCCTTTTTCCCTCCGCACCTCCTTACCTGACATTCAAACCAAATTCTCCGAACTGAGACTAGTAAATTAGCGTTGCCTAACGCATGGACAAGGCAGTTTTTTATTTTGGTCATGGCAAACGTGGAGGTTATTCGGTCTCCAGTGACAGCGCCTTAAGGCGAAAGAGGTGATAGCCGACTCACGTCATAAGAGTTGGAATTCCCTTTCCCTCACATTTGACGATCACTCACATTCTTCTTTCTTTTTCTTTCATCTCTCCGGGTCTCTCTTCACTTCGCTCTTGCTTCGTCGGGCGTGAAGCTATTTGACTCTCCCCGCAGATAAGGCCGCTCGTGACTGCTCTGGCGCTTATCGGCTTGACCAGCCTCTATCTCAACATTCGCCTTGTACTACATCTGCTGCACATTCAAAAGACGCCCCGTCATGGACGGCGACTGCATACACTGCTATGTCTGCGACAAGGTCTGGCCCAAAGGTGACGGCCTGGAATGTCCAGTCTGTCACTCCGACTTCACGGAAATAGTATGAGTGTTCCCTCCCCACCCGTGACGTGACCACTTATCTGACTATATCTTTCTTTGCACAGGTCGAGATTCCCCCGAGTCCCCTGAGCCTCGCCCATCACGACTGGCAGATTCGCCACGCCCCAACCCGTGGGGATATAACAGTGCCTGGGAAGAAGAGGACAATGGGGCAGCCTCCGGGCTCTTCGGGCCCCCTCCTCAGTCCAGTTCCTTCAGAACGTACTCATCTCCCGATGGAAGGTTCCAATTCAGCAGTGCAACACTGAACACTCGATCATCTGGTCAACAGCATGCGAATGGCAACCCTATGATGCCGCTCCTAATGTCAAACATCAACTCCATATTCCAAAATCTATCGGAGCCTTCGGGGCGACCACACCGAGGGCCGCCGGGGCTTGGGGAGAATCCTTTCCTCTCTTCTACTGATCCAGACTGGCTCAACGATGACCACCTAACTGGGCATCACCCAGGCAACATGTCTCCCCATACCGGATCTCCCCGCTCAAGAAACAACCCCAGGCCACTGGACGAGTAAGTCTATTGTGTGCTATGTTACTCACTTGGAAGCTAATCTCCTGCTAGTGTATTGAGAGCTGCCCAGGCGGAATTGGGAACTATGCATCCTACACGCGGACCTCCAACCCCACTTTCAATGCTGTCAGTCATATTGAACTTGTCTCATCCCCGAAGCGCAGATGCTGCATATTCCCAAGAAGAGTTTGACCATCTCATAACAAGATTAATGGAGAACAATGGAGATACTGGAACTGCAGCGCCACCAGCAACCGAAACTGCCATTCGATCTTTGCCACGAAAGAAAGTTGATAAGGAGATGATGGGCACCGAAGGTAATGCGGAATGCTCGATCTGCATGGATAATGTAGAACTTGGCACGGAGGTTACCGTCCTGCCCTGTACACACTGGTTTCATTACGACTGCATCGAGGCATGGCTCAAACAGCATAACACTTGCCCACACTGTCGGCGCAGCATTCATGCGAATGTTGGGTGAGTACATAGACCAATTTTGCATCATTACCCAATGCTGGATGGTCCACTAATATCTTCAAAAGATCAGGAGACGGTTCCTGTGAGAATCCACTTGTGATCCAGGATAGTCCCGAGCAGCCATCTCGCCGTCGCCTCAGTTCAGCCCGAACCTCACGCAGTGGTCGGTCTTCTTCCTCTGTACAGAACCAAACTTCACCCCACCTCGCCCCACATCGATCTCCAGACCAAGAGGCTAGAGAATCTGGCCAACGACGAACCAGTCGGGGTGAAGGTTCAAGGGTCCCCAGTTGGTTTGCGAACCGATTCAGCAGCAGCTCTTAAACCCGGCCATAACATGCTTTCACGATATGCACGCAGCGAATCCTCTATCATTTCCTTTCAAGGCAAGCCTCTTGCGTTTTTTGAACCTCTCTGGTTTAGCGGCGAGGGGAGACTACTGCCTATCCTCTTGTGAATTCTGTCCTTTTTTTCCCTTTCCCCCCATACCCCCTATGCAAGTAACTAGTGTCCCCAGCTTGCGTTGTTAGTGATTGGACAACAATTCTGTCTAATCAAAATTATCCAAGTTGGCTTTTTACACATTTTGTTTATAATTGTACCGCTGCTTAGCTTACTCCCCAGTGTGACACTTGCCCTAGAACTGATACGATTATGTTCGTTTGATGTACACACAAAAACAGACTCTTCTTCATTCCACAACCTTGGAAGTAATATTGATCCATGTATCTCTTCGTTACTTTGTTATCATAAGATCATGTCATTTCAGCAACACAAGTTCCCTGTTACTGGCTATCAATCTTGACAATCTTGCCAGTCTCAACTTCATAAATATAACCAGTAACAGGAACGTCCAGGACAAGAGGACTTTCCTTGAGGAGCTTGACGTCCTCTTGAACACTTTTCTCAAGATCGTTGAATGGCAAGAACGCGATATGGTCGACATTCTGGTGCAACTCGTCCCGGACTTTGTTGCGCAGCACATCGTCGGTGAATGTGAGCATGCCACAGTTTGTCTAGAAAAGGTTATTAATTATTAACATGAGCATTCTAACTAACATGGGATCAAATATACTCACGTGGTGTACAATGACTATCTCACGGGTGCCAAGAAGCTGCTGCGAAATAATAATGCTACGCAGAGCATCAGATACTCTGCCACCAGCGTTGCGAATCACATGGGCGTCGCCTTCTTCGAGGCCGAGGGCGCGAGCGGGATCTATACCAATGAGCACTCGTAGTAAGACAAGCAAAGCCATAATTACGCACCAAGGCGAGCATCCATGCAAGCAACGACTGCTACTTTTCTGATCAAACATTGTTAGATACACACTATAGAGCATGTGTGATGTGTGACTTGAGTGACAACCAACGTACCGCTGTGGGGGGAGCTGCAGGTCGCCTTTAGTGAACGACGCGACATAGTTGGCATTGGCTGCTTCGAATTCCTTTGCAACCGACATGATGGGTATGTTTCGAATAGATTAAAAGGACCTTGGGGATAAGCTCATATAATATATGGTCATTCCCCGCTTCTACCCAGCTGATGTGCTATGGAGTTACCGCAAGCCTTGATGGCGTGATAGAGTATATTCGGCTATAACTGGAGCTTTCTTTTCTTTTTCACTGCATGGACTCTGTATCAGAGGGCAGACTTCCGATTGAATTGCCTTTCTTGAGTATTTTCGTATCTCATAGGTCTATTCTATATGGCGCAGATCAGGCTTTGAACTCTTTCTTCGCAACCTTCTCACAAAGATCACGCAAGATAACGCCAACAGCTTCAAAGTCGCTTTTCTCCAAGTATGTCTGACCACTCAGACGGGTCCAAAGCCACGGACCGTGACGGAACACTGGCAGGAATGTGCTGTATTCGTCAGTAAGAGTTTTCTGGATCCATGAAAACGCATTAGGGGCCTCTTCCTGAGATAAGACAACCAAAGGAGTATGTTCGAAAGAGTCAGCCCCTTGACCAGCAGTGGCAACAGCAATAGGCAATCGCACGTTGGTCATAGCGCACTTGCGCATGTTGCTCGATTGGCCAGGCTTCAAATCGGGCTCTTGCATGACCTCGGTGCCAAGAATAGCGGCAACGGCATCTGCGCCTTCGTTTGCGACGCGCTGGCAATATGACATGATGGCTTCCTCGCCGCCACAGACTTTCTCGCGGAATTCAAGCGCCGCCGGTACGCAGATGTAGGCAGAGTCGTCGCTGGTAGCAACGAATTCGAATAGGGTCTCATAGGGTGTTTTTGTTGTCGCGGCATTGGGGTCCGAAAGAACGGAGGCAATGGTCTCTGGAGACTCTGGGTTTGGAATGAATCCCCATGATGTTGGCAACGTTGTGCGCAGTATATGCTGGTTGCGTTGAGGGGTGTAAAGAATTGCGCAGCTGCGGGGTGTGTAAAGCCATCTTGACGAAATCAGTACTTCAATTATACAAAATAGTTGTTTTGGAAAATAGTAACGAGGAAGGTAATGTAGGGGAGTAATCCTTACTTGTGGCAGTTTGAGACGAAGAAGTCAGGCTGTAGCTTCTGCATGTCAAGAGGAATTTGTCCGATACCGTGGGCAGCATCAATGACGCTCAAAATTCCTTCTTCGCGACAAACAGCAGTGATTCGCTCAAAGGGGAATCGAACACCAGGATTGCTGACGATGCCATCGAAAACGCTAGCTCGGACCTTAAGGCCCTCTTCGCGGGTCTGGCGAATGACCTCGCGGAATCGGCGCTCCATTTCATCTTCGCTAATGGGGAATTGGAATGAGACCTTACGCCCTTGCAGAGAACTGTGCTCCTGCAATGAAACAAGACCCTTCTCCACGGCGCCATATACAGGCTCAAAGTAGATGAGTGCTTCCCCAGGTTGGAAATTCAGGTTGTAGAGCACCGTCGCTACACCTGTGGTTGCATTCTTGACGAATACACACTCGCTCCGCTGCGCATTGATCAGCTTTGCGACAGCATCGCGGGCTTTGATCAAGTGCTCTGAGTGATACCAGCGGATATAGGGATCCGGTCGCTGGTCAGCGAGATCCATATAGGCGCGCTGTGCATTCTTGACAGGAATCGGATGGGCACCGAAGGAACCATGATTGAGGTTCTTGTAGCTTGGATCGAACATCCAATGCTTGAGCATTGGCTTGCCGAAAGGTGTTGTTTGATCTGTCGCGCTCATGATGACGAGGAAATGTGATATTCAAGCCTTGAACAAATGGCTGAAACGATTCAATTTAAGCTGCGAGAATAGCACTCTAATGACTCAAAAAGACACCTCGGATATCAACATGAGGGGGTCTGCAGGAAGTGGTGAGTCACGGCCGAGCCAATGATGGTTCTTGCGATGCTATCCGAAGATCCACATGCCGTTCGAAGGGCGTGGAGGTCTCGGGACTATTAACTTCTTCAAGAATTGATAATTGACAGCTCGTATGTAAATTAACTTGTATGCAATAAAATTGTGGAGAAAGTCAATCTATATGTTAGGGCGAATTTGGCTTCCACGGTGCTAGGGCATGTCATGAAAACTGAAGTTGAAGGAACAAACCTCCAAACATCATGTTCCAATTCAGAATCTAGAAATGCCCAATCTCAGGGATTGGTAAAAGTGGACAGCCATCATTGTCACAGCCGATGTACGGCACATTGTTTCCCCACCAGTCAATGTTGACAGCCTTGAATTGTACCGCAAAGAAAATGACAAGCCCTGCGATACCAATACCACAAGAGAATGACGAGGTCAGAACATACGCATACTTCTGCCACCATGCTTCGTAGTGGCGCCTCACGTAGAAGTTGACACCGAATCCAACAACAAGGGCTGGCCAAGCATAGGTGAAGTTATACGGGGCCCATGAAAGAGCACCGTTCAGCACGATTGGGATGTGGATATAACGAATCCAGGAATTGGGATAGCGCTTGGCCAGGAAATAGAAGGGAATAGGAAGTAAAGCTCCCACCAAGAAGCCCCATTCTAGAGGATGGTAGATTCCACTATCACCATAGATGCGCGCTGGGCCGATGACTCCCCAGATAACAGAGGCCGTGAAAAAGGTGTGCGAGCCTGGGATGATGTTAGAATTGAAAGATTACAATGATGCACTGGGGCAGGTTAGATATACCAGGACATGTAAAGCTTGCAGATTGATGAGCAGAGCAGACATCATCGATGTTAGAAAGCTGCCAAGCATTGACCCCGATCGCAACAAAGCCGGCGAGGATAGTGGCGATTGTCTGCGCAACGAACATGGTACGCGGGGGGATCTTCATGTAATGACCCAATTTGAGATCAGCCACAAATTGTATCGATTGAGCCGTCGCGATGTAGCCATAGGACTTGAATATCATATTTCCAACAGGGTTATTTGGCACAGCGTAGCCGCCAATGAATTCAGCGATGACATTGTTGGTGACCTCAACGTTTGTGACGCCCATGATTATGCCAATGGGGATCTGTAAGAAAAGACAAAGCAGCAAGCCAATGACGATTCCCCATATAGGCATACCAGTGTCGTAGACTTTGCAACAGATACAGCCCATAGCGAAGGCAATAGCAAGAATGGATAGATACCACCACTCCGGTGCTTCTTTGTATTGGCGCATGAGACGGTTGTGAACATCATTGTACTCATCCCTGGCATTTGTCCACTTGATAACAGCACGGAAGCCGCTAATGATCTCCCTTCGATGATAGAGTGCTGCATACACAATTGTTGCCAGGTAGATCGCAAAGAAGGCCGAGTAGAGGACTGCATTGGCAGCTCCGAGGTACGCTGGGCTGTAAGCTTCATAAGCTTCGACATCGAGAGTGAACTCTGGCGTGAGAATTCGACTAACGTTGTAGTCATTTCCAGTGTTGTCGAAGATGTCGTTGCTGTTGATTGGCAGATAGGCAGTGTTCCACGCATTGAGGAAGTAAACTGGCAAAATGATTACTATGCCAATAAACGCCATTCCGAGGATGTTATTCAACAAAGAGAAGAACGGGGTGACAATAGGGTCGAACAGGTAGGACACAATATTCCAATCAAAGGTTGGAAGAGGATTGAAGCCCATTCCTCCAATCGATCCGGTTATGATGGCAAGCTTGACATTTTGCGGTGCAATCCAAGTCATCCAGTTGAAATACGACATGGCTTGGAAGATGTAGTCTGGAAACCAGAAGTAGAAGAACATTCCACCAAAGCAATAGAGAAAGAACCGGTAGCGAGAGATTGACCACCCGTTCGCCGAGCCTGAGTTGCCTTCGTTGTGTAAAGCTCGGTTCAAAGCAATCTGGGCGAGGTTTTGCGGCCACATCATGACAGGAGGGTACACCAGAAACCGGCGGGCGATGCCGGCACATCCATACCCTATCAATTGGGTTGAGAGTGTGAGTAGGATTTGGAACCCTGCACTGTCGGCGAGCTCCTTCATTCCATAGAACATATCCAGTTTCAAAACTTGGAAGATGTAAGTCACATAGGCAGTTCCATTGAGACCGCCGTATGCAACATTTGACATGATAGAGATAAGCATATGTTCCTTCTGGTTGAAAGGGCCTGGATTGAAGCTGCAGTTCTTCCCAAAAATGGTGAAAGTAGTGGTGGGTAAAACTCGGGCAAGGAATAGACCACATGGGTATGAGAGCAGTTGTGCAACAACGGTATAGAGATAGATTCCAGGGTAGCGCAAAGAGAAGAATTGATCGATTCCGGTTCCCAAGATTGTGAACAGAATACCAAGGAACCAAGCTCGGAAAGTATTGACTGGCGTGGAGGGATCGTCTGTATTGTCGACGACGGCGCGAACTTCGGCATAAGGCGAGTCATTCAGCAAGAGATCACGCTCGACTTGTATCTGTGCCACGATAGAGTGAAGATCATCTGCCTGGAGTTTTTCCGGCGATTGTCGTAGAGCGGCACGTGCCGAGTTGAGAATCTCAGGCGGGAAATTGGGATCCAACTCGTGCTCTTTGATGGTTTCGCGAAGGGTCTCCATCAAATCTGGTAGATTCTCTTCGTTTAGCGTGACAATAGGTTGCCGCTTTTCAACGTCAACGGGATCCAAACTTCGATCCTCATAAGAAAGATCATCTCTCTCTGAGAGTGCCATATTGGATATAGGGGATGTAAGAATAGCCGAAAGAGAAGGCTCAGTTCTCTCTTGATTCACCGATGAAATCGAATGAATTCATGATCCACAGCTTGAAGGAGGAGCTGCCTTATATGTGCTGCGCGAGTCTCCGATATCCATCGCAAATGGAGTGCTTGACACAATCCGACGGCGGCCTTGGACTCCGGGCTGCTTGTCCAGAGGTAGATAAGACGCGACATGAGCTATTGCCAATGAAAGGCGGTTTTGATATCGTCTTCCGAGGGCGGTTCAGAGTGATAAACAGGTGAAATGGCATATTCCAAGCCATTGGCGCTTCCATGTAAGCACCCTATCCCATATAGGCCGCTACTGCAGCAACTAGCGTAGTTCGCGATAGCATGGAGCACGCCACAAATGTGCAGATTGAACCCAAAATAGAGTGTGGGCTTAACGGTATCGCTATGGCAATCTGGACTCGTGGACCTTCAGAGGGCCGATCGGCCCGTGTAATGATGGTCTGCATTGGTTTTTGTTGGCCACGCGTTCTCTCCATCCCGTTACTCTCCAGTGGCATCGCGTACCCGATTCGCGTTGGTGGGCATGTCGGCTGTCATCGCATCAACGAAAGAGCAAGTGTAGACACAACGATCCAACATCGGAGGCCGTCGGAGAGACCAGTTTGCTGTACGCATTCTCTGATATCTCTGCTAGCCTGTTGGCTTCTAGCAGGGGTATTGCAGTGGAGGCAAAGAGGGGGCGCTTGGGCGCTTTTTATCTGTGCTGGACCATCGAATCGTAGCCTGCGTTCCGGACGACTCGATCGCGGCGGCCGCAACGTCGAAAAACAGTGGTGTATGAGGTGAAGATTCTCCGGCGAGACGCAAGCGGTCAGCCCTTTGTTCCCCTTGCGAGACTCACAGCTGAGGCCGTCGGGGCTCCGGGATTGATCGTGTAGCTATCTGGATCTGGCGAGGAGGGTGGTGCACGTAATGCGCTAGTGGCTAGTGTGATCGTAGTGCCTTCCGAGTTGTTTGGGTTTCTTTGATAAAGATCAAGCATCATTGATGGTCGCGATCAGACCTTCCAGGAAACATCCGAAAGCATGTCCAGAAAACAGAACTTCTAGGGCAGTAGAAGCCTCGGAAGCGGGCTGAGAACGAAGTCTTGTACTTAATTCCATACCCAGACTTCATGTTGCAAGGTTTGACGTGGGAGCCACGAAAAACATATTCTGACTTGAATATCTACACGATGCCATGGCGCTAGAAATTCAATCATCTTCTATTTTGTTTTCATTATATTATGGTTATACATATTCCAAGGTTTATCATAATTCATACACATCGTTCAAGTCCCAAGGGGTATTAATGGTTGACATCCGAATGGCCTTCTCAACGCTTTGCCGCCGGAATGCTGGACCATTGCCAATACATATGGCCTCGTTGGAAATCACTGGAGATGATTAGCAAATGAGGACAAGTGTATCAATGAGAAACTCACGTTTGATAAATTTAGATATATCAAGTATTGATGAGACATCGGGAAGCAAACCACCAGCCGAATCACTGAAGTTTTCAACTATGATTTGCTTGTTGTACAAATATGTCCGAACGCTATTGGCGTCCATCCAGTCGCCCGAGGCTGATTCAAGCGCGATCTGCCAGATTCTAGGCGAAATTTGAGGTTGGTCTATCGTGAGTTCGCCCAGCTTCATCCGGAGAGCAGTCAGCACGTTTGCTTTGGAATCAATCAAATTGCCAGTTCTATCTTGGCAAACGGCATGAAATACCGATATCAGATTATTGCGTTCTGATAGACTCAACATAGACCCGAAGATCTGCTGTTCTTTGGGGTGGCTTGGAGATTCCACCAGTAGCTGGTAACCATGTCGACAGCAAGTTTTGACTATACGCTGGGCGATGTTCCAGTGTTGTTGTTCGCCTATATCGCTTGGTAGAAGGCCTTGTTCCCGTGGAGAGCTCGATAGTGGCGGTGTCAAGTAGGGAAACTGTACAGTTGGTGATGTCATAACAAGTCCGAAGGGAAGGGATGAGAGATCTTGAATTGGTGGTGATTCGGACCATCTGGTGACATGAGGTCGAGCCACATCTTCGACGTCTGTGGAGCTGTCTGAAAGGGCCAGATCCGGCACAGCGCTTGGGGGTGGGTTGTCGAGGGTGGCAACAATTTTGACGGGGGAGTTGACACGGGCGAGATCCCCACTTGACTCCTCACTTGCAGTCTTCGCAAGCGAGACACATTGTTGGGTTATGTCTTGTAATGCCGATGCGACGTGCGGGTTTTGTGTAAGGAGCTGTTGATCCAACAGAAGATTACTGAAAGATAGGAAAGCATCGCTGAGATTCTCGACGCCAGTTTCCAACTGTTGTACGCGGCTTTGAAGGTTGCCGATCGTGGTCTCCTTGCGTTTGCGATAAGCTTGCTGGGCGAGGCGAAGCTGTTGGCGACGTCTCTGTATTCCGGTAGATCACTTGTGAGCTTAGGCCCTTAGGGGCGTTGCTGCTTGACCCACCTCAGGGACTTCTTCGTCGATTGTCGCCGTCCGAGGACGGCCCCGTTTGCGAGTCGGTTTCTGAGCTGCGCTTGCCATACTTGCCGAGGTCTGGAACCTTGGAATTGTTTTTTTGATTATCCAAGCAAGTCAAATATATGTAAAAAGCACGTTAAGCAGATCAACTTGAAGGCGGATACCGAGTTTCTTTAATCGGCCGGGGATGTTGAATAATCGAAAAATCGTCCACGGGTGGGGCGAACACCATTTCCCCGATTCCGTCGTATTCTAGACCAGAGCAACGTTTAAATGAGCCCCAAGATCTCTAAATCTACAGCCAAAATTCAACTACAGAATCAGTAAATACAGAATTAGTAAGAACAGCCTTAGACACAAATCCCAAAATAACCCAACCCCTACCCAAAAAAAAAAAAAAAAAACAAAACAAAACAAAACAAAAAAACAAAGGATGCAGATGGAAATTGGCCACAAATCGTGCAATGCCCGCCGATTACAAAGCACAATGGTGTAACATGTTATCTTAGAGGGAATACTCCTTATACTTGTCCAATGGATGTTCGATTTGTGTTCTATGTGCATGTAGTCTCATTGGGAGTGTTATGTGAGGTTGAACAGGGTCGTGACGTGCTTCGCAATACTCCGTACGCGTAAAATATATGACTCTGCTTTTCTCAACACTTGGCACTTGCGCTATGGACCATGAATATGTACATGTGCACATCAGCCCTGAAGCTCACATTGAACGACCTACACATCCAACTTGGCTTAGACTGTTGAGCGATCCTTTACAAGTGTTGTGTCCAGGGCCTCAGAGAGACATGGGGCTTGGTGGCTGAGGGGCACGCTGACAACATCCAAAGCCCACACCTGGGCGAACTTGCAGTCCAATTGGCGAGTGTTCAATGGGGCTCATCCATATGGCACCCTGTTTCAGATATGATCTACCATTCGATCTAGCACATGCTCAAACTCTTGCTCCGTGATTCTAGATCCAGTGGCCAAATTCGAAAGCCCTTGCTTCCTCGACAACACCGCTATGTCTTGGTACGGAGTACGTCCATCTGTATCCGGTCTAAAATAGCTCAACCCGATCCTTGTTTCATCTTCCAGAAACAGGCTCAACGATGTTTAGACTCTTTATAGCTTTGAGGCTTAGGATAAAGGTTGTCTCCATGAGAATCAGCTGGGAGAAAGAGAGAGAGAGAGAGAGAGCGAGGATTCTTGTGCTGTCAAATTAGAATCAAACTGACTTCGCCATCAATATTCAACTTTTAATAGCCCCAATTTTTCGCCATCTCACCGTATCAGTCATCCAAGGTCCTTAGGCACAGAACTTGACAGTCAGTTCTCCCAAAAGGCTGCTCGTGTGCGATTTAGGAAATAGGTTAGGCCAATTATCTTATTGCAATTTATCATTACCTCGACCATATTGATGCATACACACACTTGGATTCCACCAACGATTTCACAGTCCTGTACCTGTCGCACAAGGCCATGTATGATTTTATTCAATCGAAGATGGCAACTTTCCACTAAATGATGAGAGGGTTGCACGATTGTGATGGGTGGACGCACGATGATAGATTTTAGGATAAAGATCGCCGTATCTAGAGGTTCACGGGTACTTTCGTCATACGGATAGCTGCTGTTGATAGAACACAAAGCATCAAGATGCAGGTCCAGATCCCGAAAGGGGGTGCAGACGGTGAGATTCTTTCTCCTGGAAATCTGCATATATAAACTTCCTAACATGCGCCATCTATGGATCGTCTGTCACAATCAAATATCTTGGAACAATATCAAAGTGCAACACGAGTATCCCACCTACCATTTAGTGATTGGCTTTTGGGATAACTCACGATGATATATGGAATCCCTGAGTTTGGTCTTGATTTCGACGTGAAATCACACATTGCAACAAAACGAAAACCGATATTTGTCATCTGTGTCATCCTTTCTATTGCCATCTATCATACACGGCATCAAATCTTGGGTTACCACCGCAAGTTTCATAAACAACGGGCTTATCTTTTTATTCACGTTTTCACCGGCCTGACAGAGGTATTCCGGTATCGACTACGCGAACTTCTTTCTCAAGGCCCCATCGATATCTTACCCGATGCCTTCGATGTACTTTCTTGCTTTGTTTGGGGTTGGACTAGCTTGGAGCTTGTGAAGACCCTTCAGCGCGGAGACCCTCAGACTACTCGACCCCCATATCAAACTGGCGCTTGCCTCCGCCCGGTGATATCGTTAGCTTCTTATGTCTTCAGTATACCATGCCTACATAAGGTATCCATATGCGCTCTGGATAGCTTCATTTGGGCTCGCGTGGGCATTTTTTTTTTCAGCTATTCGCCATATCTGCGATCTCCCTCACCCAAGACTGCTTATGCTATTGCAATTCCACTATCTGCCATCATAGCCATCCACGAAAGTCAGGTTCCTGGGGCCTCCTTGACCTTTATAATTGCCATGGCTTGTGTCGCAGGAGTTAACAGATGGGTGACACAGAAGTCTCGCTCTATGAGAGAGTACGCAAATCCCAGTACCGCTCATCACGTTTGGAACGATAGGCTGACAGCTCCTCATAGTCCACATGAATCATCCGAAGTTCCTGTTCATATCAAGCGGTTGGTTCCTATGTTGATCAACCTCGGCTTTGTTGAATTGGAAGAGTTACGAGCTGTCAAAAAGCTCAATGAATTGGAGAAACCAGTTCAGGATGAATACATCTAATGGGAATCGGAGGAAGACGTTAGAATTGACTCGGAGTTCCGACTTTGTAGACTTTGATTAGAAAAGGAGGATGAATGCAAGACAACCCAACGGCGAAAAATAGTAGAAGAAGAAGCGCATTTATCGACAAACTTATCTATCTACTCCGTACAGCTCCTTCTATTATAATAAGTTGATGTTGATCAATCGGAGTGAGAGCGTAGGTTTATTCATCACACCCAGGCGGGCGATGAAATAATCAAACAGTGTAATCCCCTTTTTGAAGCCGAGGCATGACGATAAATCATCAATTGTACTACGTAGATTTGATACTTAAGGCGAAGAATATCCCCAGTTAATCACATCTAACAACGCCAGCAACTCAACCTCACTCTGTTTAGCGGACCAGAATCCCATTCTCCACTTTCAAAATTCTCCAGCACAATGCCACTTTGGCAGATCTACCACCCAGCAGGCTTATACGAGGACCAAGAGTCTAAATCCTCGTTTGCCAAAGATATCACGAAGATTTATACCAAGATCGGCCTTCCACCATTCTACGTTGTGGTCAACTTCATCCCTCTGCCAAAAGAAGATATACTGGTAGGAGGTGAGCCCAGTAACGGAACTCCCTTCATCCGGATCGTCATCACGAATATCGCGGTCAAAATGCCAGAAACCAACGAGACTTACACCCGATTCACTTCTTCGGTTGATGCGGTGTTGAAGCCCCACATTGCCGACAAGGGATATGACTGGGAATACCACGTCGCAGAAACCGAACGCCGACTGTGGAAAATCAATGGCCTTATTCCGCCGCCTTGGAAGAGTGAAGAGGAGGCTCGATGGGCTGAGCAGAACCGGCCTGTTCCCTATGAGGGCGCGTTTGCGCCGCTTTGATGTTCTCAAGTCCGATTGACGCAAATGTACTCCGTACTGAATATTTAAGTGCTCTTTGGGGCATTCTTCGGCTCATCTGTGCTTTTCGTGGTAGCTCCAATTGATCGAAATAGGAGACGCTGGGTTTAGAGCATCCAGGTGCCTTCGGTCCTGAATACTTTCTGCATTTTCTCTGGGGGTGGCATACTTTTAATCTGTATAAACTCTAGGAGAAAGAAGGATCAGGCCGTTCGGCTCACCTGAAATCAATGTTCAATAATGATGAGCCGTGGATCGTACGGAGTGCCCTATGGACACCGAATAGTTCCCAATTTATGGTAGAAGATAGTGTTTTTCTTTTTTTATTCTTGAGGCTATGGCAGTCGTAGCACGGGACGCATGATTGTGAGTAGGAGTAGTCCATCATAGACAACGGGAAGCGTGATTTCCAGGAAATCGTTTGTTTCAATGTACAAAACCGCAAGTATAGTGGAACCGGGGAGGAATAAAAATAAAAAGTGTCTCTAAACGCCCAAATGCCGGCGGTCGGTGAGCCGCAAAAATTCATCGCTCGTATGTCATGTCCAAAAAAGAAATCAACGCCGGGTTCAATGGAGTCATCAATAATAATACAGACGCATTATGTTCAAAGCAAGGCCGGATCACCAAAGAATGAGTCACACAGAGCAGATGTCATACCAAGGAGGTAGTTCTCTGTGTTGCCGAAATGAGGTAGTATCGTAGAAGCGGCGTCTATGTTTTCCGCTCGGCTGCTGGGTGGTATAAAGGGTGAAGTGGAATTCGAGGTGCTTCGAGTTCATTTCACCCGCTCAATCTATGCTTCCGTGAAAGCTTATCGCCACATCGGGAAAAGACAGCCGAACATGAAGGCGAAACTACTGATGTAGAGCGGAAGGTAGACTGGACAGATGGGTTAGTCGATGATTGAAAGGAAACGAAGGGGAGAGATATTCGTACTCGCTGATGCTCCGCTAGGGGGCTTGTTGTGACCAGAGCTAGACTCCCAGTCATAGCTAGTAGCCCCAGCCGTAGGGGAGCCAGAAGCCACCCAAGGCCAGACGTTGGGAGTGACCCAGCTTGAGGTCTCTCTGTGGGTGCCGCTCCAAGGCACTGGGGCATTGTCGGCGGTCGAGGTAATTGCGGGGGCAGACTCGGTCGAGGTGGGCTCGGCACCGCTGTTTCCATTGACCTTGCCTCCCTCAGCAGTAATGGATTCCCATGTGCCGCTAGTGTCGCCGTATTTGTATGCGGTTCCAGTTGAGTAGTCAGTCACAGTCAACGACTTCAAGTACATTTTGAATGGTCCTTGGCTGTAATCTGTGGTACCACCAGCCCAGTCTACAGAACACAAGAGTCAGCAATCTTCTCTCCTGGTCGGTAGAAAGTTTCCACTTACCAATAGTGCCTTGAGCATTGTTGGAGTCTCCACCGGCCCACACTCCCACCTTGATCATCATGGGGGTCTGCGGATATTGACCGGCATTGGCGGATTCCGGGGTAAGCACACGAACAGTTTCTCCGTTGATGGCCCACACGATTTGGGTGCTCGTCCAATCAATCGAGTAAGTGTGGAAGGTATCCTGGTTCCCAGGATTGTCGTGGAAAGCGCCACGGTTATTTGTGCTCGTATCACCCTTTCCAAAGTAGTTGCTCTGGGCCTGGTCGCTTCTTCCACCCAACCACTCCCAGTCCAGCTCGTCGAGATCATCGGACTGCAGCACCGCGCTACTAACAATTCCAGTTCCTGGTGCTGCCCTTAGAGTATATTCCACTCGGCCAAACATGATGTACCAGCCCGACTGGATCAGGGGGCCATCGCCCTGCTTCGAGATGGTGAATGTTGCGCCGTTCGTTGAATCATATGTCACGGATCCAGTCGACTTGAAGGCATCCGATGCACTCGAGAACTCGAAGGTTTTATCCGACTGCCCAAATGCAGGATCGGCGGGACATGCTGGTAAGGTATTAGGGACTGGCCATTGACACTGGGTGGCTTACTCACATTGTTGTGTTGGATTGCAGTCAGTATAGGTTTGGGCGGCAGCCGAGGCGATCAGACCCAAAAGCGCTAGATTCAGACGCATGGTGAAAGTAAGCGAGAAGTACCAAGTGCGGAAGGAATGTGAAAAGAAGAAGTTTTGCAAGGTTAAAGATTAAAGAATTGAGGGAAGGTGCCAGCCTCCTCTGTTTCACTGTTTCCTGTTCTGTCGATCCGTGGGTCCCAGACGCTGTCATTGGTCCAATCACAGCCTCGGATCGGTTGTGGTTTATCACTCCGTGCGCCACGTTTTAGTCTGCAACTTCGTCTGTTCTTCGGTTGAAATGGGAATGTGTGACATTTATATAACTCATACAGCGCACTCCGTATGTCGAGTGCCAATCTACACTTGAAAACCACTTTTTGAATGCCCAAAATCAACAAGTCAGACCAAGAAAAGGCGGCAAGGCCCAAACGGATAATTGGGTGGGCATACAGATTGAGACCCACATTGAATTTTCCCCCAGCCTCTTCCTTTTTACACCTTTATTCTTGGAAATATGATCTCATCTCAATTTATAGAACTTAAATGTGTCATCATACGGAGTACGGAGTACGGAGTACAATAAGCTAAACGTCCTGATGCTATTTATGTTCTAGCCTCCCGATTTGGAAAAGGTGCAACCTCAGTGCTCAGGCTCTATTTTGGGTCGCCAAGATACCCGGGCAGAACTAGTAGCCGACAGCTTACTCCGTACTCCGTACTGCTTCGTATATGTTCCAAATGCGGGAACAAATTACTACCATTCGAGAGAACTTCCAATGTCTTTCCGCTGTCTCACGCCCTTGGTCTAGGCCCTTGTTGGGACGATTTCATAGCGATTCCACCGATCTACACATTGTGGTCGATCTATGCATAAGTGGGTCGCAAACAAAAACCCTAACTCCGTGGAAAACAACCCGAGCACTTTGTGAATGATCATGTCTCTGGTAACGATGTATCTATCACGGCAAACTGACGAGCAAGAGGAGACATGAGGACCATCTCAATCGAGACGTAATAGCACAAGCTTGTAAGTACACGGCCTCGGCAACTTTACAATTGGCAGACGGGCTATCGGCAGCCCTGGAGTACCATTGACAAAGTAGAGCGAAACCTTGAAAGTCCGACTTTCTTGTTATTGCCTCTTCCCAGTCCTGTCCTGAGGAGCGGCCTATTCTGTAAATATTCCTATGTATTCCCCAAACTAGAAAAGGAAAAAGAACAGAAATTACCCGACGGAAGGATTTGAGAGGACTTCACCTTGAAATGACTCTCTTCAACCTTGACAGGTCGGTGATTCAGACACGGTGCCTACCTCATCGCCCAAGAGTTAGATCCTGGGGTCACCCAGGGCTTCGCTAGAAAGCGCACGCACTCAGCACACCTAAAGCTGTCACTCTTCCATAAAAGCTAATGCAGCCCTGGAGGTGTTCACAAGGTCCTTCATGCCCTTGAAGGCTTCTGATATTTCTCTTCTCCTCCTCTCCCCACGCCTTTCTCACACTTAAACTAAGTTCACTGATCACCAGTTTCAACCATTTGTCCTCCCTGAGCTTCCTACGTTGTTCATTATGGGCGATCTCAACCCCACTCCGCCAGTGGCCACTGATCTCAGCGGAAAGACTGCCTTAGTGACCGGCTGCAACAAGGGCCTCGGGTTCGAAGTTGCTCGTCAACTGATTCTGCTGAAAGTCTCGCGCTTGATAATCACTACTCGTGACAAGCCCAAAGGCGAAGCTGCGATTGCAGCACTTCGAGCTGATCCAGAAGTTGCGAAATTAGATACCCGCCAGACACCCATCCGCATTGAATGGTTCCAGGTCGAGCTTGATGACTACGGATCCGCAATTTCATTCGTCCAGGAAGTTCGAAGGAATGTCCCGGAGCTTGATATCCTGATACTTTCTGCGGGCATGTATCAACTGGAGTTTGAGATGGCCAAAACTTGCCATGAGATGATAATGCAAGGTATGTTCATAGGGCGTTCGTGGGGAATGAGCTCTGACGTGGTCAAAGTGAACTGCTACACCAACTGCCTGATCCTCCTCAATTTGCTGCCTCTCTTGCGTGCCACCTCCCAAAAGCGAAATTCTCCCTCCCGCGTGACAGTTGTCGGCTCATTTACTATGAGATCCACTTTCGTGAAAAGCTCACGAATCCCTGGGAACCAGAGCCTCATCGAATATCTCGACACCAGGGAGAGCCATCAACGGCTCCTGCGCTACCCGGATAGCAAGTTTTTGATGCACATCTTTGTCCAACACCTGGCCACCGTCGCTAATCCAACCGAGGTCATTATCAATACAGTCTGTCCTGGAGTAGTCATGACTGACATCCTCGCGTCTGGGTCAATCTTGGCGCGGGCATTGATGTGGGCCCAATGGCTTTCCATGGGCCGTTCAGTGGAAAAGGGGGGTGGTTTGATCATTCATGCTGCTACGGCTCTTGGTGAAGATAGCCATGGCCAGTTCATTCAGAACGGTCAAGTTGATAGGTTTGAGTGCCGCTGCTGACATCAGGCTGGCTATACTAACGTGATCCCAGTGGTGCCACAGAGCTTGTTCATTCCCTTGGTCCAACCCTCGCTACTGGGTTTTGGCATGCAATTCAAGACGAAATCAGCACTGTCTGCGCCGAATCAGCAGATACAACCCTTGAACCCAACCCCGCCGGCGAGCCCCGATAGAAGTTCGGTCAGCTCGAACCTGTAAGCATCAAGGCCCATGTTCTGCTGTTTCAAGCAGTCTGCGGTATTTTGAACTGAGAATTGGGGATGCTTATCAGTTTGCTTGGATTGAATCTACGGAGTAAATTCAGACAAGATACCTCGTGTCCTGAGATGAACGTAATGTCAAAGTGACCCATGTCCCTGAACAAGTCAAAAGGAAGAGTGAAGCCTCTCAAAGTACGCAGTAAATTCAGACAAGGGCGTGCCGAGACTCGGGTAGTGCAAGGCTGCATAGCAAAGGGAAGTGTGAAGCCGAAGTTGTACAGGGATGGACCAGGGCGGGAAGCTCCACAAGGAGCACGGACAGCATCACGGACCATATTGAATTTCAATGAGCTCCTTTTGCTGGTGACATCTACTTCCTGCATACACTTTGTTCAATGCTGTTTCAAGATCACAAACCCCGGATGATACGTAATTTGGTTATATTTCTCCTTTTGTTTCAAAGAAAGACTAATGTTTCATCCTGTACCGAGAGTCCTGGAGATTTTCAAGGACGGTGTGTGTATGAAGTAGGTAGAGAATAGAGAGAGAAAGGTACCAAAGAATTCTCAAATACTCCAAAAGTAGATAGACTGTAAGGCCCGATACCAGGGTCTCCTAGGATGAGTTTGAAAGTCAAACCTCTTGGCCTGGGGGGATTGAGAGCCTCAAAGTGTGTGAGTTGCCAGCCGACTAGCTTTGTTCTCGTCATTCCGTTGATCCGCCTTTGTCACGGGTCATCCCCACTCTCTTTCTTCCCCCAATGACCCTGGACAACTCAAACACCTGTGCGCCCTCGACCCTCCATGAAGTAACGCCCTTTTGATATTTCAGTACGCCTGCGACTCTTTGATTTACCCGTCGCAACTCTCGCAACCCCTCCTTCGCGTTCACCCCGTCGATTAGCCTCATCTCGCGAACCCATCAACTCCATCCAAATTCTCTGAGATCTCTTCAAACCCCTTGCATCATTACCGTGTCACTGGGTCGACCTCTGTACCGGGGCGCTAGCACCCGAGACAGCAGCATCGACGCACGTTGCAGCTTCCCCCCCCCGGTCGCCCACACCCGCCTCTGTCACCACAATTGTCATTAATGCTCAGCTGCTTCGAGAGACCACCCCACCCCAAGATACAGCTGGCTGCAACTTGATCAGGATCCCCCTGGTGGGTTTCCATTGAATTTGAGCGCAGCGATGCCGGTGCGGGATAATCAACCTGACAACCGTCAAGGCTCGGGGAGCTCTGGCAACAGTTGGATTTCGCAGGATACCGTACGGAATCCCGGCCAGTCTCAAGACGAATCGAATGCCCTGCCCGGGGGTCGCAACGTCGCCCCATTTCCCGGATCATTAAACATGGATCAAAAAGTAAGCCTCTGACTACCAACTTCCCGCTGACTTTGAGCGCGTCGTTTTTCAGCCATCAGAGATAGCAGTACTAAAGCGTCCATCAGGCCGGATCCCTCGAAGCCCCCAAGAATCGATTGGGGAAACTCCGCGTGGTCATGGGATTCGCCCAATGTCTCCCCCCCGAACAGCGCAAAGCCTCCGGATTTAGCAACCACCGTGAAGCACTAATTATTCCAAATAACAGAGATAGCCCGCCTCAGTCCTCCGCTTCTAATCCCCGACCTGCGCCTCTTTATCCGACCCGTTTAAACCCCGAAGAGATCGAATCGATTGCCCCATGGTCCACACCGCTGAGCAGTGGACATCAAGAAGGTGGCGGCACGTTTTATCACGATTATTCCGAACACGAAGCTTCTCCTGCGTCACTCTCATTCCGCCCCACAACGGGACGGACAATAGCGAGTGAACCCGCCGAGTATGAATATCACGGGGAACACCGGCGCCCATCCGCTGCCAGCGCAACAACCGTGAGCAGCCAGGGATCAAGATCTAGCATTAGCCAGAAGTTCCGAAAGAAGCACCTGAAGGGTCTGCTTGGAGATGACTACAATGCGCCCGGGGAGCTGCAAAACGATGATGATGGATCTCAGCAGTCGTCAAATAGGCGCGGAGGGCCAGTTGATCAACTGAAAGCGCGAGAGAGAGCAAACTCGGATGGCTCACGCAACACCCCCGATGGCTCTGGGTCACCACACCGTTTACAAAGGCCACGAGGGGTACCAAACCCTGTAATGTCGTCAAAGGACATCACCCCTTGGGATTACCAAAATTACAACGATGTTTCACAGTTTGGAGCAGCACCGATACATCCCACGCCCATTGGTCCCAATGGGCAACGTCTTGCAACACCAGAACACGGCGGGACAGGACCAAGGGATCCCGTGCGACGGGGACCTGCCAGGCATCGCTCTTCAAGAAGCAAAGAGGAAAAACCGACTCTTGCTGGTGATCTAGCGGGTTATCAAGCTCGACCAGCCACCGGTAGAGATGACGGTGGGCTGCGGCCGTTCAACGAGAATTACCTCCATTCAACAACCGACATGAGCGACTCTACTGGGGCCGGAGGCCGGTCATCTAGCCCTACCCCAAGTACCCGCAGTGCATACCGGGATCCCGATCAAAGCTCACAACACACCAAATTCGGCTTCATCAAAAAGTTAATCGGGCACGGAACCAAGTCGCATGACCGATCAAGGAATTCTTCTCCGCCACGCCGTGATCGGCAAGGTAGTCTCGAAGGAAACCACTCCTCGAGGCACCTCGAATCTGCCGACTCTGACAAAAGAAAGGATGGAAAGGGCATTGGAAAAAGGGCTCGGTCCGCGTCGTGGGTTCACCAATCAAGGTGGGGACCTATATAACCCCAACAAAGATGACAAGTCTCATGAGGAGAACAAGCACTTCTTCCCTCTTGACGTCAACATGAAAGATATCCATGATTTCGTGCGACCTTCTTCCCCGGGGCACGCGCAGCGCATCAAGGACGGAACTGTCACACCGGGTGACGATTCCAAAATCGAGAAGCCATGGAACGCTCCTGACAGTTGGGCAGTTAGGGGACCCAATGACCCTAAGTTGGATGAGGAACCGGTCCCTACCGGTCCACGTGAACGTGAAGCCTCCTTCTTCATACGTATCTTCCGCATTGATTCCACCTTTGCTACGCTCTCGGCTGGTGTGAATGCGACAGTCTCCGAGATTCTGCAAATGCTTGGTAAAAAGTCGTTTTTGCAAGATCATCTCAACAACTACGAGATCGTCCTTCGTAAGAATGACCTTTCACGGCAACTCGATCACAATGAGAAGCCAATCCAAATGCAAAAGAAGCTACTTGAACAAGTGGGCTACGCGCCGAACGACAGGATCGAAGACATTGGCCGTGAGGATCACAGTTATTTGTGTCGCTTCATCTTTTTACCGACTAAGCTCAGTGGTTATAGCAGCCTTGAGACCGACCCTGGTTTCAACAAGGTGCAGAAATTCAGCCACGTGGATCTTCAAGGTCGCAGCCTTGTCACGATTCCGATCACGCTGTACGCGAAGTCATCGGAAATTATCTCACTGAATTTGTCGAGGAACTTGTCATTGGATGTTCCCAAGGACTTCATCCAAAGCTGCATCAATTTGCGGGAAATCAAATTCATTGGGAATGAGGCCTCATTCCTCCCCCTAAGCTTCAGTCTAGCTTCTCGGTTGACATATCTGGATATTTCCAACAACTGCCTCGAGGACTTGGATCATGCTCAACTCGATCGGTTGACAGGCCTTGTCAGCATCAAGATGGCTAACAACCAGTTGACTAAGTTGCCCAGCTACTTTGGCAACTTCGCCTCCCTACGAAGTCTCAACATGTCGTCAAATGGGTTCAAGGTTTTCCCTGAGTTTATTTGCAACTTGAAAAGTCTAGTTGATCTAGATATCAGTTTCAACGGCATCGAGGAACTCCCCGGCATCGGCCGCATGGTCACCCTTGAGCGTCTTTGGATGACGAACAACAACGTTAGCGGAGCGCTAGATGAATCATTCCGTGAATTGGTGAATCTCAAAGAGTTCGACGCACGTTTCAACTCTATCACCAATATCGATACTCTCTCTAGCCTTCCACGGCTGGAACAGATTTACCTCGGTCACAATTTCATCTCACGATTCAAGGGCTCCTTCCCGAAGTTACGAAGTTTACATTTGGACCATTGTCCTCTGACGCAGTTTGATGTTGATGCCCCCATGCCAACATTGAGTTCTCTCAACCTTGCTTCGGGCAAACTTTCTCAGTTCCGGGACACCATTTTCGAGAATTGCCCGAACGTGACAAAGCTTGTTCTCGACAAAAACCACCTCTCTTCGGTCTCGCCCCAGATTGGCAAGCTGCGTCGATTGGAGCACTTCAGCATGATCAAGAACCCATTATCATCATTACCTCCGACCATTGGCTGCCTTGTGGAGCTCAAGCATCTCAATCTGCGAGAGTGCAACCTAACCTCGCTTCCATCTGAGATATGGCATTGTGCCAAACTTGAAATCCTCAACATTTCCTCAAATATCCTATCATCCTTCCCCAAATACGGTGCTCCTGTTCCACTGGTTCCTGGTGAGCCTACCCACACGCCTGCCACTACGCCGGGCGTGACAGGAAACCCAAGTTACGAAGACATCGGCCCACTGGATGAGCCGGCTCTCCGTCGACCCAGTCAGACCTCAAATGGGGTCAACAACTCTGTTTCGCCAAATGGGTCTTACCGCAACCCTTCGAACGCTCAATCCGTTTCTCAGCAAGGTGGTAGAAAGGTGTCGGCCACGGGTCGATCGTTCACCGATCCAAATGCGGTGATTCGTAAGGATTCAAACTTCTCTCAGCAGATGGCAATGAGCTTTGCGGCATCTCTCCGCACCCTTTCCCTTTGCCGATAACAGGCTTGAGGATGATGTGTTTCGAGAACTGTCCTTGCTTCCAGAGCTTCGCATTGTCAATCTCTCTTACAATGACCTGACGGAGCTACCACAAGGAATCCTCAAGAGATGGCCTTTGATCTCTGAATTGTACCTCTCTGGCAATGAACTGACTTCTTTGCCGTCTGATGATCTGGAAGAGGGGAGCAACCTCAAGATTCTTCACATCAATGCAAACCGATTCCAGGTGCTGCCTGCAGAACTTTGCAAGGTCAGCAAGCTCTCTATTCTGGATGTGGGAAGCAATCACCTGAAGTACAACGTATCCAACTGGCCATACGATTGGAACTGGAATTGGAACCGCAATCTCAAGTTCCTCAACTTCTCCGGCAACAAACGTCTGGAGATCAAGCCTAATATTGCGTCTCTGGGTCCCCCAGCCGCTAACGGTGCGGATCTGACCGATTTCAACTCTCTGACCCACCTCCGAGTGTTGGGATTGATGGATGTCACCCTCACTATCCCTATCATTCCTGAAGAAACCGAAGATCGCCGTGTCAGAACTTCTGCCTCCCTGGCCGGTACCCTTGCCTACGGAATGGCCGACACCCTTGGAAAGAGTGAGCATCTTTCAATCATCGATATGATTGTTCCACGGTTGAAGCAAGACAATGTGGAAACGTTGGTTGGCATGTTTGATGGTCAGACGCTCGGAACTGGAGGATCTAGGGTTGCAAAGTATTTGCACGAAAATTTCACTCCCACCTTCTCCTTTGAGCTTAAGAAGCTTCATCGCGATCAGGGTGAAACCCCGCTTGATGCACTCAGACGGGCGTTCCTAGCTTTGAACAAGAACATGGCCGGCTCTGCTTACAGATCAATCGATGACCGTGAAGTTCGACAATACCACAGAGGTTCAAACGCCGCCAAGCTTCTCAACCAGGATGACATCCTGTCCGGAGGTGTGGCTACCGTTTTATACCTGAACAACATGGACTTGTACGCCGCCAACGTCGGAGACGCGCAAGCTATCCTCATCAGATCCGATGGTTCGATGCGCACTCTGACGCAAAACCATGACCCCGCGGAACCCAACGAGCGCGCCCGCATTCGAGCTGCCGGAGGTTTCGTGTCTCGTAATGGCCGACTGAATGATACGCTTCAGGTATCAAGATGCTTCGGTCATTTCCCAATGATGCCTGCTGTCATTGCGGCCCCTTACACCATGCATGTCGCTCTCACGGAGCAAGATGAGATGATTGTCTTGGCATCAAAGGAGCTTTGGGACTTTGTTACTCCCGAGGTTGTGGTTGATATCACAAGAAGAGAGCAAACGGACTTGATGTTCGCAGCTCAGAAGTTGCGTGATTTGGCCATCTCGTTCGGTGCCACCAACAAACTGATGGTGATGATTCTCGGCATTGGTGAACTTCAGAAACGTCGTCCCAAACCACGTCCTTCTCTCAACACTGGATCTTCTACCTTTGCCGAGGAGCAGATTATTCCAACCGCCAAGCGCCCCAAGAAGCGTGATGGACCTGGAGATTCGCGGCTGGCCCGCTTTGACTTCGTGGATGCCCCGGTTGGTGAACTCGCCATCATGTTTACGGATATCAAGAAGTCAACTAGTCTCTGGGAGATCTGCCCCGACGCGATGCGCTCTGCTATTCAAATCCACAACGACATCCTGCGTCGTCAACTTGGAATCTTTGGTGGCTACGAAGTCAAGACTGAAGGTGATGCTTTTATGGTGGCTTTCTCCACGACCACTGCTGCTCTACTTTGGTGCTTCAACTGCCAAAATCAGCTTCTGGAGGCGGAGTGGCCTACAGAAATCCTTGACCAGCCTCAGTGTCGAACTGTGGTTGACATGGACAACAACGTCATTTTCCGTGGTCTTTCTGTTCGCATGGGTGGCCATTGGGGTGAGCCTGTCTGCGAAAAAGACCCAGTCACCAACCGAATGGACTATTTCGGTCCCATGGTAAATCGAGCATCGCGTATTTCTGCAGTTGCCGATGGAGGGCAGATTTTCGTTTCGTCTGACTTTATGACCGATATCCATCGTAATCTTGAGACCTTTGCAGACGCTGAGCGCTCCGCGTCAACAAGCTCCACCGACAGCCATCCCCGCGGTGAAAGTCTTGGTCACAACATCCGCCGTGAGCTGCAACAACTCAACAGTCAAGGCTTTGTTATCAAGGATCAAGGCGAGCGAAAACTGAAGGGTTTGGAGAACCCCGAGCCTCTCTACCTTGTTTACCCCTCCGCTCTCTCTGGTCGCATGACATCTTCGGATGAAACCCACGACGCAGATAGCAACACCGCGACCATGAATCCAAACAACCAGCTTGATATCCAGACAAACGTCATTTGGCGTCTCTGGGAGGTCACACTTCGTCTGGAGCGACTCTGCGGTGCTCTGGAGAATCCCAACGAGCCAAGTCTCAGCGAGCCCAATGTCACTCTCTTCAACATGATCAAGAGACATGGTGGGGAGCTGAATGACTCCACTGTCCTAAGCCTTGTCGATCAGCAAGTCACTCGCATTGAGGTTCGTATCATAACTCCCTCCTTCTTCTTCTTCTTCTTCTTCTTCTTCTTACTGACACATGACCTAGGTAACGATCAACACGCTTTCCATTCGCCACATGATGCGACCCTTCAGGCCAGGCGACAGCCTGAAAGACCACGCCACTCCTATCAAAGACGTTCTCCAGCAGCTATCCACCCAGCTTGCCGAATTCCAAGCCCTCAAGGCACAACTCGCCGGCGCTTCTTCCCACAATTACGGCGGCTCTTTACCTCACTATGGTAATGATACCTCGGAAACCATCGATAGCGGCATCACCTCTGCGGCCTCATCCTTCCTCCACCTGCCCGGCGATGCTAATCGCTCCTTCGACTCCGGCCGCGGCCATCATTGAAAACTGCCTGCGTCCTGCGCTCAAATCCTCTTTCTCGGTTTTTTTGGGCGATTCTCTTCTTGTATCTCTCTATCTTTTACTTAGTGAGCGGCGTCTCACTGGACGGAGGGAGTTTGTAGTTTGTTCTTTTTACAAAGCATCACGGTATGGAGCCACGGGGGTTGTTTCGGTTTCTTTTCTTGTTGCTTATTCTCTTTTCTTTAAGGCTTGCTTGGCTGTAATCGGCTTGAGTAGTAAATACATTCCAAGTCGGAAAGATTTTTCACCATTCGCCTTTTCCTAGTATTCTTGGTCGGTAGCGATGTCTTTTTTCGATCTAACGTATGTATCATTCATGGATTTTCGGTGTGATTCTTGTCTTGGGCATCATCATCTTAGAGTACCTACTCGTGTAGGAAATACCCGTACATGAGTACATCACCGCCCATTAGCCTCAGGCACTTGAGTGCTTTGACTCAGCTTTCGGGGGTCTAACCAATGGCATTCTTTGGTATTACTCACGATATCCTTGAAGGCATGTTTATTCATGTGGATTGTAGCAAAAATAAGCATACTTAGTTGTAGCTCCCAAGAGGTGATGATCACGTGCTTGTGCTTCTTTGTACGTCATCGGTGTTTGTTTTCTTTCCATGCTTTGTCCGTTGACCCGTTTGCATTCTGCTTCTCACCTCGAACTGGTTGATTAACTTTGAGAGAGGCTCACTCGTCCTTCATTCATTCTAACTTTTTACTTTACTTGAGCGTTAGGGCACTATTTTCGCCCCCCGCCTGTTGCCCCGACTACGACCTCAGCGAACTGGGTCTGGCGTAATTTCACAGCTCACGCAAAACAACACCCCTGCTACCCCAGGTCACATTCGAAAAAGGGAGCGATCGGTGGTATTTTGCTCGACTCTCGCAATTTCAGCCTCATCTTGCTGAAGACTCAGTCCATATCGCCCAAAGTCGCCGTCGCGAAATTACATCTCGGTCGGTTTGTGTCGACAGATTAATAAGGCCACGATAGCCAACATATCGCACGTCTCCCAAAATGGCGGACGAACTGGACTATCTTTATCCAGACTTTGATCTCAATTCTCTCACCGTACCTCGCCTCCGTTCTATTCTCGTCAACCACGATGTCCCATACCCTGCGTCGGCGAAAAAATCTCAGTTGATCGGTATCCTTCAAGATGAAGTACTCCCACGGGCGCGAAAGCTCTTGCGTGACCGCGAGAGGGTACGCAGAACCAGCGCGGGAATAACAGACATGGGCAGTCGTTCAAATTCAGTGGCCAGCGACGATGAGAGAGACTCGATGCCTCCTCCACCTACACCCTCGACAGTCGGTTCCACAAGCAGAGGGCAGCGAGGAACTTCACGGCGCAGTACTCGTCACTCAACTGCGGATACGGAGGATGGCCTTGCTCCTGCTACACCTGCCAGGGCCCCAAAGCGCACAAGCGTGGCCCGATCGGTGGGCAAGCACGTCCGCGCATCAGACACGGAAACTGGCGATGATACACTCGCCACTCCCGTGGCTGCTACGCGTCCTACACCTCGCAAATCTACCGCCAAGAAGTTGCGTCGCAGCGAGGTTCTCCCTTCAACGGAGACAGACGAACTTACGCCCGGAATCAAGTCGGAGCCTCGCGAAGATGGCATGTTCACGGACGACAACCCTTTCCAGAGTGGAAGTCCGGAAGCACCCAAGAGTACAAGGAAGAGCTACGATGCCAAGCGCAAGAGTGGCTCGCGCCTTTCCACCGAGAGCCCGGCTAGGGGTCGCCCATCCAGGTCGCGACTATCAGCAACACCATCAAGCCTGCATCAGGACGATGGGTATCAGGCGCCTCATCGCGAATCATTCGACTTCAAATCTCGACTGTTGCCAACCCGGGAAGAGTCCGTCGAAACCGAACAGTCGGAAGAGTCGGAAGAGGAAGATGATGAAAGTGAAGTGGGAGCAGGCGAAGAGTTCACACCGGATGAACAGCTCGCTATGTCTATGGAGCAAGATCAGTACCCGACGCAGATTCAGAGACGACGTCCTCACAAGCAGGGGACTCTCAGCCGTCTGGCACCTTGGGTGGTCATTCTTTCACTCGCTGGCAGCTTTGGTACTTGGTGGCGCAAAGAAAAGCTCGAGATTGGATACTGCGGTCTTGGGAAGCCCACATGGTCTTTGGCTGACACCAAGGTTCCTGAATGGGCCAATGTCCTGGAGCCTCGATGCGAGCCGTGCCCCAGCCATGCCTTCTGCTACCCGGACTTCGAAGTACGCTGCGAGAACGATTTCCTTCTGAAGCCTCACCCCCTTGCCCTCGGTGGACTAATTCCCTTGCCTCCCACATGTGAGCCTGATAGTGAAAAGGCGCGCCGCGTGAAGGCCGTCGCCGACAAGGCTGTTGAAGAGCTTCGCGAACGTCGCGCGAAGTGGGAGTGCGGGCAGTTGAAAGAGGATGGCAAAGACGTTCGCTCTCCTGATATCAGCGAGCCCGACCTGAGAGAGGAGGTAGCAAAGAAGCGCCGCAAGGGACTGAGTGACAGTGAATTTGATGACCTTTGGAAGGGTGCAATCGGTGAAGTTGTTGGCAAGGATGAAGTTGTTAGCAAACCTAAGCAGTAAGTCTTCCTCCAGTTGTGGGGAATTTCCGTGTCTCCTTGGCTACTCATCGCTCTGGATGTCAATATCCAGCGGCATTTCTCAAAGATCTGGTCTGACATTGTGTACCGGAACTGACAGAGACGCTTTCGCAATTACAGACCTTCCGGCGTCCTCGTCTTATCTTCCACCTCCATCGCACGGCTCCCCGTCACATGCGCCATCCGCCGTCACTTCCGACTCGCTCTCGTCGCGTATCGACTCCCTATTTTCCTTCTAATCTCAGTCCTTGGTCTGCTTGGGTATGCCCGCGCGCGTGTACTTGCCCGCCGCTCCGACATTGCTCGGGTGCCCGAGCTCGTCGCGACAACCCTCGATCGTCTGTCCACACAGGCCGCACTTTACGCTCGCAGCGAAGCCAAGGAGGCTTACATCTCCATTGGACAACTTCGTGACGATGTCCTCCGATTCGAGCTTCAAGGGAAGCGCCGCGAGGAGCTCTGGCGACGGGTCTCGCGCTTCGTCGAAGGCAATGCGAACGTTCGTGCCGCTGTCCGCGAAGGTCGAAGCGGCGATGTTTCACGGGTCTGGGAGTGGATTGGTGGAATCAACGCCATCAGTGAATCTGACCACGCTCGCCGCCGTGAGAGTGCTAGGTTCTCTCTTCCTTCTCCGTCTGGGGACATTGCTACAAGTCCTCACACTCCTGTGGACGAGAGCAAGCACGAGCCACTGTCAAGTCCAAGAGAGTCCCGTCGATGGGATGAGGGCCGTCCAATCTATTGATGTTTCTATTCCCTAGGGTGCAGAGGTGCCCAAGAAAGATTTGCGGTTCTTGCTTTTTAGATATCCCCGAGTTTGTATGTGTTGTTTTTTTTTTTAAATTTCGGTCTATGAGATATGGCTTTCAACTTTATGTTGTGTTTCTCTTGTATGATTGATCCCTTTGCTTCGCCTATTATATTGTTCCATACTACTTTCTGTGAATACTTTGTATCTTGTCAATCGACCTTTCGCTTAATCAAAAGATTATTATTTTCCAAGGTTGGCTTCAGTGGCTCTACTAGCTGGGCACTTACAAACTCCTATCTGCATTCTGCAATCTCTGTCGTTGCATTGCTACTACCCACATGGACATCCATTTCAATTGGTTGGAGAATACGTTCGAGCAAATACATGCCGATCCTCGTGACCTTTGCACAGGCACTGCAGGTGGAGTCTAGAAGCACGACCGTAGTCGTAGGGCAGGCATCGATTGGCGTTTAACATCCATATTTCCAGGAATCCCTGCTGCGCTCCCTCTAGTCTCCTCGAAACTTTTGTAGTCCCGTGGAGCAAGTTGTTTCACATTGGACTGTTCTCAACAAAGATCCTCTCTGTGCCTTTTCATGTGCAACAATTTGACACAAAACCCTTTGTAATGACAAACCCACGGTATTTGCAAGTTGTGGTACCTATTCACGTTAGGGCAAGGTGGTCTACTCCGCCAAAAAGGCCTCTCTCTCTCTCTCTCTCTCTTTCTCTCTCTCTCGCTCTTGGTGGTATACGTCTTTGATGCCCAACGCCCTCGGTTGATCCATATCTCCGCGTTTGCATAAAGTTTGGGATACGACCATGGCGCACGGGTATTCTAGGAGGTATTCTAAGGATCACCATTGCAAGCAATTTAGGTGAGGGGACAGGTGTGGGGGCTGTCAAGACATCCTGTTGCCCGATGTAGACCAATACCGAAACTAGGGCCAAGGGACGTAAATTACTAGGTGGACTTACATTCCTGTTCAAGGACCGGTTACAGATAGGATTCGACACTAGTACGCTTGGTATAGGGACTTCATGTATCCTTGTCCAATGTGATCAGAAGAAAATAGGTCCTGCGCTATCAAAGATACGCTTATTTAAAATGCCGTTGGCCCATCACCAGGACAAAGCAATGGCAGCTTGCAGCATTGCTAGCTCGGTGGCACCAGAGCCCCTCTCCCGTACGGAGTACTTGTATTCGTACTCCGTACTCACATATGGATTACTGTGGCTCAAGGGACTGTGTGCATACGCACGGCAGTGGAATTAGAGAAGCCCTAATGGCAGATAACACGGCAAAAACCAATGAGATTGAGGGGTCGAACACACCAGCCCTGGTGAGAAAAAGGAACAATCTCTGCCAACCAACCAGCTGTTTGGTGGACTCTGGGGAAAAGGTTTCCGCGAGCGACGCGGGTCCTTTTGTGCGGGTTGCGCAATAGGATGCTGTATTTGCCCAGGCTTGGACTTTGGCCCTAGACTAGGCACACACGGCAACTTGCATTTTGACCGCTTATTGAGAGCCACGAAACGAAGGGCATCCTATCAAATAGCGTCAGAAGCGACGGGTGTGGATACAGACGATGCGTAGGCTGCGTAGTGTGGCCGTGGGCTGCATGTCCGCTTTTGTAACAAAATTGCGAGATCATTCCTTGCCCCGCTGGTGTCTAGAAACGAAGCCAGTTCATGTGATGATCACTTACATAGTACAAGTGTACAAGTAGGAACGCGTGCTCAAAGTCCGCAGGTAGACCCCGAGAAGCTTTTTGTCCTTGCATCAGCCCAAGCTCGTACTTGGAGTCCGTAGATCGGCCATGTTTGGTTAGACGAGTCTTGGAGGGGAGATTGATGAGAGACCCTCCAGCCACGTAGCGTTGTGGCGAAGAACAAGGGTTAGTGACGGGGGTATTTTGAGCAACGGGAACCGCTCAAGGTCGGGATTGTGGAGATCCTTGAACATGGAAAGGCATCAATTGTGCCACATTTACTCCGTAATGGGGCGCAATTCGTCAGGGATCTAGGATGCGTCTAGAATGATCCGGCCTTCCTACTCGTATCGGGGAAGTTGACTTTTGAGTCGCCGAGTCTCCATCTGGGCGGGATGAGCAGCACATGGACCAGTGAGGAGGTCATGACGGTGGAGCAAGGCTTCGACGGTTCTTCCACTTTGTTGTTGCGGATGTAGTCGGCCGATCAACAGTCCCTGGACCGGCCAGCTGGGTCCTGGTTCCATTGACGACAAGTCCAAATGATAAATTGAATATACTTCTTGTTCCGAAGGCTTGAGGGTTGAGACCTCGAGGAAGGCATCGTATTGGATCCGGAAGTAGTTTCCGTAGGATCAGCAATTGTCTGAATACCTCAACCAAGTTTGGTAGATTCCAGTGACGAGCTTAAGCTTTTTAAAAGTTATGTAATTTTGACGATGTTAGGGTTCCAGGTGAGGTCGACGCGGTGAGCCATGAAGGATAATGGACGTCGACGCCCAAGTGCGTGCATCCGAAACGGGTCAAGGAACTGTTCGCCGGCACCAATCAGAGCTTCTAGGCTTCGATATCCGAACCCTTTCATTGTTCCTGACTGTTTTGGTTTGGTCAGATCTTTCAAATTCGGGGTTGTTGGAAGCTTGGAATGTGCCTTTGAAAGGGATGGCGCTATACAATTTAACTGCTAATTAAGTATCCAGACACTTCTGGCAAAAGCGAGACAATCTCCATACGTTGTTGTGCAAAAATTATTCATATTTGTACTCACAAGAGTAGATTCCTGGAATGGCATAAGTAAACACGGGATTGGAACGTGCACTCGGGCAGAGCTGATCCAAACGAATCGTGTGTAGTCACAGAACCTAAATTGCAGTTAATTAAATTTGCTCGAAGTCGAGTGAACCTACGGAGTACTCCGCACTGTAAGCTCAACGAATGCTCTAGTTACCCAGTGCTCTTAGGCACAGGATTTGGGTACTCTGCAGTGTATCATGTCAGTGGTGGCGACATCTTTCCCGGGGCGTTGATCATCATTTGATGGGAAACAATCTCCCTCTAAAATGCAGCAGAATAGGGCAGACACGAAGCTGCTCCTACGTCGAAGACGTTGATCCCAAAGTGTTGCGATACGTAGCATGCGAACGACTCGAACAGTCGGAAAGGCTACTTCGTCAAAAACTGGTGACCAATGCCATCGCATGCATCCCTGGTCAAATGACCTGCCACTCAAGCGCACTCGCTTCACTTCAATGTGGCAAAAACCAACAAGCCACAGTGGAGACCGACAGCACGATTAGTGGGGGCAGCACTGGCCTGCATTATCCAGTACGTACAATCCAAAAAAGTTGGGTGGATATGCTAGCGCACCATTTTAAGGGCGGTTAACTAAAAGAACAAAAATTGACTCTATACCAAAGTGTGCATTGTGTCGCATGCATCGTGAGCGTTGTTGTTGGATCGAGATGAAATCTCCGGAACCTTGCGCATGGAGCTATGCAGGTGTAGCTTTTTTTCTTCAGGAAAATCCAGGGCGTTGACAGATCTCCCGACCCACGGAATGGGTTCAAACCCCCAAGAGATACCCAGGGATCGCTCGGAGATCTAAGACCCAAATGGTAGGGATAGACCATCTAGAATACGAGTGTATCAAAGGGGCTAAGAATGTCGACAGAATACTCAGTAACAGCAGAACTCCAGATATACCAATAGGAACAAGCAAAATCACTATCGATCAGAACCAGATTTCTTACACAGTGGTGATTTCATGTTAAGTTGTGTTGTATTCTGTTGGTCAAGGTGGTGTGGAAACTAACTCCGGGTCCAATTAGGGCTGTTAATGACAGCTTGTTGTATGCCCCGTGTACAGCGGAAGAAACCATTCCTTTTCTAGATAAGTTACTCCCTACTCGAGTCAGTTTCTTGGGGGAAAAAAGAAAGGTGGAAAAACGAAAGATGGAAAGAAGAGTTGATAAGAATGAGGATTAAAGTCCCAACTTGCCCTCCTATTCTCTACGATTCTAGCAGTACAAGTCGGAAATGTAGCCGAGTTTGTCCTAAATTACCAAATCCTCAAGTCATAATCACCCTTGGATAACCACCTGGGCACTTTCCATGTTCCTGGCGATAGCTCCCTAGCTTTTTTTTGCTTATATGCGTATTTTGGCGGGAATGTCAGCTTCAAAAGGCCCACATCCACCACGCAGCTCTCGATCCTCTCTTTCTTTTCTCTCCCTTTTTATTTTTTTTTATTTCTTTTTCATATATTTATATTTTTTTCACTTTCCCCTTTTTCCCGTTAATCCCATTTCTCACACCCCCCACTTTGGTCCTTGCGGTCTCTTAATACCTAGCCCACAGTGCAGAATATTTACTGCATCGACCTAGCGCGGCCCCAGCGGCCCCTCCTCTCTTCTCCATTGTATAATTTTCTCCATGCGCCATTCCTGTCTGATGTGATTTGTTTGATTATGCTTTCAAATGGTGTCTCGTCCGAAAGAGGGTTTGGCTTCTGATTTGTTTGTCTTGTATTGCTTTTCTATCCCGGCAGTTGATCGATGAGTGAACCAATCCCTCGGGGCTATCGGCCTCTCGCGCCTCGAACCCAGCTCTTAGGCGGAGGAGATGGAGGTGCAAGCCCTGGTGGTGGGAGTGCACCAGAAGAGAAGCGCATGAGACGGGCTTCGACGGCTTGTACCGAGTGTCAGAGACGCCGAACTAGGGTACACAGCCCGTTCCCTCCCTTTCTCTTCACATTCCACTCGCTCATTTTTACCATGACTGACTCTGTTTGCTACTAGTGTACCGGCCCTCCATACTGCACCGAATGTTCAACCCACGCCCGTGATTGTGTCTTCGACGAAGCCGCCGACAGACGGCGGAAAGCCTCGGCCAAAAGAACCCAAGACCAATTGGATCATTTCCGGTCGTTCTTGGACGATCTGATCAATCTGATCCGAGAAAGTGATGGTCAGACAGTGCAATTGATCGTGGACACCATTCGGTCTGGAGCAGATCCAAGGCAGATTCGCGACACCCTCTCTCAAATCTTGGAAAATGACGTCGGTCAGCCGGGCTCCCTCAGCAATCAAGGCCCCCACGACCCAAACCTCACTCTCAACTTCAACCCGAATAACAACAATAACACCAATAACATGGGCAGCTACTACGGCAACTCACCTCGTTGAGTTGATCCTACGCTCCATGCGATCACACGCACCGCGTGCGTAACCCTACCAATCTCCGGCGATCATATCTCACCTGCAATTCCGACTTAGATTGGGTGCTTAATAGCGTGTCTTTTAGAGCTGTCATTCTTGCGTTACTCTTGCGTTGGGATTTGAGCAAGTCATCCGGACAGTTGTCACATTGGCCAGGGCTGTGTGACCGACTCTAATTTTGTGTTTATTGCGAGACATATGGAAATGCTGCAATTTGACCAAAATTCCTACCATTTTGCTGGGGGCCTAGCATTGTATTTCCTTGCATATATTCATCAAATTGGCCGTCTTGGAAATTCCACAGCAGAGCCTGAATCCAGCCGAGGCCCTCAAAATCCCACACTGGATTGCGCCTAATAATGACTTGCACCTGATTGAGATCTTAAACATGCCTGGAGACACGAAAAAAGGGCTTTTCCAGCCGTCTACCAGTTAGGATCTTCTGGCTGGTTTCAGCGTCGCACATGCAGCCAAAGCCATATGATGCTGTACTACAACAGCCAACGAGATTCGATACTTCCCGCTCACCGTCACGCAGGCTCTTTGGATAAGCTTTGTGCATAGTTTGGTCACCTTCAATCACCGTGACGAAGTCTCCAATACTTGATCCAGCAACTCCACGTTTATCGCCACGTTCATCTTGACATCACAAGGCCCGCAAGCTGAATACTCGGCTCTTCTCACGTTGAAATTGGATGCTATGACCTTTCACATAATCTCGCTACTCATCAATATTCTACCAGATGCACCGCCGTCTGCCTTGACATCACAGGGGCGGAGCTTGTTCATGGTGTGTTACATTGGGCGTGGCTCCATTTCATGGGCACGGTCAAGTTGTAGCATTTTCCTGCCTCGTTGGCTTAGCATATACATCAATCTATCTGGTATCCCTGCAGATCCACCAAGGTTTTATGCAAACCTATCTAATGTGGCGGTAAAGTACGCGAGACAGTGCCGTGGGGCAATCTCGGAAATCGAAACGAGGTGGACTGATTAATCCGTATTCTGAAGGCACGCTCTGTATGTAGAAAATCATATTTGCTTATTACAGGTGGTTGTGAAGCTTCCGAACCTTGGAAGTTGCTGTCCTGGGAGGTTAAAATCTGGGGGGTGGAGGTATCCCCGCGCCGACCGGAGACTTGCCGAGATCGCGTTTTCCCAAATCCCGGATACTTCTCCTCTCCATCAGCCCTGGATTTTGAAGCTTTTCTGCAAACCATACCTAATTTGGTCTGCTAGGGTAATATTTCTCAGACGGGATATGGAACCCACCAGAGTTCCCGTGCCTCAGCCGATCTCAGGTGGAAATGCTTCAGCAGAATCTCGCAAAAGAAAAGCATCTGATGTATCGAATAAACATACCGAGGTCCCCCGGCAAAAGATCACTAGGGCCTGTGATTCGTGCAAAGTAAAGAAAACACGCTGCACGGGTACCCTCCCATGTACAAGGTGCACGCGATTGTCGCTACCGTGCAAGTACAATGCAGCCTATTCTCGGGGGTTACCCCCGAACCTCTACCGGCCTCGCCCAGCCCGCATGCAGCAGACGAGCGAGGTGCATTTGATGCCGAGTGCAGGCGCACTTCCAGCAGCCCTCATTCGCGCAGTGCTCGGGATTTGAAGAACAGCGGTCTACCTACAAAACCAAACCATCACATTCCATCATCGCGGCACTCGCCCGAGCCTGGATCAACTGACCTTGAGGGTAATTATCTTGGTCCCTCTTCTGGCGTATCGTTCATCAATCGTGTCTGGAGTCGTCTGCACCAGGACGAAACGCGTTATCCGGGTGAGCATCAATATGAATCGTCACAAAATACGGCGGTGTTCATGTTTGGCGATAAACCTTACGTTCACTCACCGGAAGCTGAATTTACCCTCCCGTCTTTGGAGAAGGCTTTAGAGCTAGTGGGCATTTATTTCGATTTCTCGATGGTGACTTATCGCTTCATTCATCGGGGTAATGTCGAAGAATGGACCAGGCAGGTCTACCAACACAATATCAGTCTCGCCAACCTTCCTATAGGCAATATGGTGGCTAGAACTGCTATAGTTCTCATGATCTTTGCTGTGAGCAATCTATACATGGAACTGAGGCCTGGTGGAGTGCCAGGAGGACGAAGTGAAAGGTCAGCGCGGTCAAGATCAAGCTCTTCCCCAAGCAGGAGTGGAATTTCCTACTAAATGTCTATAGTGAGCTTTGGTTCGCAGCCTCCAAGTATATGTCTTCTCTTGAAGTTGGGCCACCGCGATTGGAAACGATACAGGCTCGACTATGTCAATGTCTCTACCTGCTGTCCTCCTCGCGCGCCAACGAATGCTGGTACTCATTCGGCACGACCACACAGCTTGTCACTGCGCTTGGTTTGCACAGGAGGCTGTCAGGCAAGCTGTCTAAAAACGGAGGGTCGTGTTTGGAGCTGGAGCTTCGAAGGCGCATCTTTTGGAGCGTGTATACTTTAGACAAATATCTAAGTATAATGTTTGGAAGACCTCGATTGTTACACGATGAGGATATCGACCAAGACCTTCCCGACGAGATGAATGATGATGATTTATTGGAAGAAGATCCGACCCGTCGTACAGGATCTACAGATAGCATGATGATCGCTTCTGTTCTTCATTATCGGTTAGTCCAACTTGCCTTCCACCTCTTCATGGCGTCAAATCCTAAGTTGAATCATCATCATCATCATAGACTCGGACGAATACTCGGCGACATATCACGACAACTGTACAGCATCTATCCCATATCTCGAGACTCTCCCCTCGAAACCGCCGTCAGACTAACCTCGGAGCTTGAAAAATGGAAAGAAACAGTTCCGCCTTTGTTCAACAGCGTCCGCCCATCCAGCCTGATCCCGCCCCTTTGCCGCCAAAGTCAAGTTCTTCAACTTGCATATTCACACGCCATGATCCACGTCACGCGTTCATTCCTTCTCAGCGACTTTACGGACCTCAGCCGTAGACCCAAAGTTCCACATCCAATGGTCAGCTCTCATGTTCACAAATGCATACAGGCTGCTGAGGACATCATGACCATAATCGATGATCTCGCGCAGCAAAACGTGCTCATCCATTCATTCTGGTTTACACACTATGTATGCTTTTGTGCTATCCTAGTCGTTTATATCCATACAATTCAACAATATCGAACGTCGATGGGGGCATCAAGTTCAGTTTCCGTTTCCTCAGCCGCAAGTCCCGGGGATCCTGATAAGCTGCGTGTGCTTTTTTCACTGGCTGAAACTTGCCAAAAGCATCTTGCCGAAGCCACACGGAAGAATTGCCCCAGTCGACGTTACGGGATCATTCTTGAAGAGCTGAGACAGGAGGTCCATCGGCAGGTTGGCTCAAATGAGTTCTGGATTGACATGGGTCATCCCGCTGAACATTATCAGCCCCGTTTGTCAGAGTCCGCCGATCATGCGGCTGTCCGTCCAGATGCATTAGACACTCCGACGGAGGGGTTCCCCGCCATGCAGCCAGCCGAATTGGGATTTAATACAGGAGACGATGTGGGATTTCTTGAAAGTCTGGAAGGGTCGGTTTGGTGGGCTCAGCTTGATTCATGGGTGAGTTCCGGAAGCAATATTCTAGCTGGTCATTGTGCTTCGCTGACATTTTCCAAGGCTTTGTCTAATTTTCCCAACGATCTTTCGACTTTTAACTTTTGAAAAAGACAGGGATATATGGGATATATGCGGCTTGCAACTCACACTTGTAAAGTCAAACTTTAATGACTCGATTTTGACCAGCGTGTGACATGTGTGCGCCGAGTTTCAGCGGCAGCGGCGCGTACTTGATTGCCTCGACCTCGGGAGTTTCTTCCGTTTTTTTGTGACGCACTTGCCATAGAATAACAATCTAATACCCAATAAATTATCTATGGACATACCCTGTGGATATGACTCGATATGACTCGACTCCTTAAACTATAATTAAAGTGACCGTGGGAGAAACCTTAATTAACTTTAAAAAGATATACGTACCAGAATGGAACTTCGGCGTATACCAGGTGAGTCAGAGGATTATATATCAAAAAGTCGTCCTACTTTAGTGAAATCGCAAACTGAACACATCATCTTTGGTACTCGGCACCCATCCGACTCTAGTCAAAATCAGAATTGCCTCCAAGTCCCATGCTCCACCGCATGCAGGGGTGCGGATACTACTCGTGCAACTTCCGATCGTGCAGATCGCACTATTATTACTTTGTCGAGCAAATTTTCGCAGCCCCACAGCTTATCTACTCGTTCCTTTGTAAAGGCAGTATTCGCACCTGGGCAAGAGAGTGTAATGAATTGGGCTTACTCCGTACTATCTCTCTATCGCCGCAGTCGGATCGGAAGAGGGCCGATCGGCTATTTTAGCCGCACTTACCTTACTGCAGTGATCCTCACACCGTCTGGATCAATCTCTGTACCATGCCCCATTTCGCGCTAGACTACTCCGTACTCCGTATTTTCGGCCGAAATTCGGGCTTTTGGCAAATGTCTCAATCGCGCGGGTTCAGGGCTATCTCGAGTCGTCTTGGATCCACATCATGGCGACACTACGATCCGCAGAGATCAGTCCACTGTTTCTCTAAAAGAAAAAATGGCATCATTCTCCATACGGATTACAAGCACTCCGTAGTTGTAATTGTAGAAAGAGTCAGGATATGGTGGCCCGGCCGGTCGCAAGGCTCTTGCCGATACTTTTGTGGGGCATGACCTCGGACTAGCGTGGCCATAATCGCTTTGTCGTATGTATGTGAGATAGTTCCATGGTCGATCTGATGCTATGGGCTATCGCAGCCTTGGTGAATTTCTTACGATTGATAACTCGGAGTTGACTTTCGAAGCTTTCTCCAGCACGGAGTAGCTTCATCTTTGTTATGCATGAAGATTATGAAAGCTTGTCCAGCGTCAAGATACAACCCCAGATAAGGCAAAACTAGTATTTATCTGACTGTGGATGCTGATCCCTGGTTCAATGACCAGTCATCTGTGTTACGACGATATAGAAGCATACACTGAATTCACGTCGTTCATCAAGCACTCAAACTTCAAAGACGAAATCCAGTCTCTGGAATGGGATCATTATTGTCCACAATAAGGCCACTACAAGTTGTATCATGCTATTTATGAGTTTGGTGAGCTGGGTTTCAAATTGCTGAAGCCTGCCCAGGTGGGATGGTAGCTCATCATGAAATGGGAGGATATTTACATGCTCTGGAGAAGCCCACCACCGAATCATTCACGTCAAGGGTTGGAGAAATCTAAGTACAACATAAGCTCTATGGAAACTGGACTGTCTGGCTTTTGAGGAAACCAATTTGGGTACAATCCTGATGCTTCCAGTTGTGCTTGCCCCAGGACGTGGCTGCCCTCCCAACGACGGTTGTCGTCTGATTACCATCAATTGCTCTGCCACACACTACCCATATCGTTAAGCAGTCTGCTCACAATTCATTCCTTGATCAATATGACCGCCCGTACGGAGACCCGACGAAGTCGTTTCAATCTCTGGATTCCGACCAAAGTCGCTTCCGAGAAGCAGGATGCTTCTCCGCCCAATTCTGGCTCGTCCGAAAGCCCGACCTCGGATTCCGGTGGCTCACGACAGCGAAGAAAACGAATCCGAGTCCGTATCTCGAGGAGTGGCTCCCGAATCCTCTCACTTCTAGGATTGCGTGGCTCAAAGGGTGAGTGGCTGTGTACTTACTTGGGATCCAACTCACTAAGCATGCATCACAGCCAACAAGGAGTCAATTACGGACACCGACTGCTCTAATTATATGCAAGCAGATGCGGAGAATGCACATCCGACTGTTATCTCTTCTCCGGGTGGCGATGGTAACGACAGTCCACAATACCTGACTGAGGCCGAGTCCCCGCGGAGTGAGCCGCTGCCTGTCACTCCTTCTTGCAATACTCCCATGGAGACAGTAGAGACACTATCCGAACAGCTGTTTGTCTTACAGACGTCACCTGAACCACGGAACGAGCCAGGAGCTGAGGATATCTTGCAACGTAATGTCGCAACCGAAAGCCAAACACCAACTATGGCTGAGCAACCGACCCCAACTAATCCCAAGTTTGTCAATCGTTTCTCGCACAAGATCTCATTGGCGTTGGGTCAGCCCACTGTCATTCGCCGTACGGGTCTCCGCGCTCGACCAAGTATTCTTCGAGTCGATCAACCAGGACTAGAAGATATGAGCAAGCAAGGCGACGGGGCCAACGACGTTTCCGAGCCTTCCACTTCACCCAGCAGCACTGGATCTCCTTTCAGTAAACAGTCAACTACATTCACTCCTCAGACAACTTGCGCATCGTCTCCCTCGTCGGATAAGGTCAAGTTATACGACGAACATGAACAATCAAACCCAGTGAATCAATGGCCTTTGATTGCAGTGACTGAAAACGATTCGGAGCATTTGAGTGACGCAAAAGAGGATTCTATATTACCCTCAATCAAGACGGTAGAGAACACTGCAGTGGCTAAAGTATGCCTCGAACTGCACTTCAGCTCTATCTTTCACAGTGAAAACTCGCGAGAGCACCGTCAACTGGAGCTAGAGCGACAGATATACGCGTTCGAGCTTACTCCAGAGGAACAATTGATGACGATGCACAACTGGATCTTGGGCGAAAATGATTATCTTCGTCAGTGTCGTGTCCTTAAATCGAACAAACATGGCACGGAAGACGATGGGAGAATCTCTCTTGCCGGATATAAGGCTATCAAGGTTCTTGGGAAAGGAAGTTTCGGTGTCGTGCGTCTGGTTCGAAAACTCGACTCTGATCTCAAGGTGGCTCATAACGACAAAACCCTACCCGTCAATGACACGAGTACCAGCAGTAGGTCAAAGCCTCTTGGTCTTCTGATGTCTGCTGTAGAGGGAGCCAAGCAGACCCGTCGGAGGTATATGACTGGTGAAACAAAAGAGTTTTACGCCATGAAAGTCATCAAAAAGACGGAGATGATCCGCAACTGTCAGGAGGGTCATATCCGAGCAGAAAGAGACTTTCTAGTTGCCTCTGCAAGCTCTCGCTGGGTTGTTCCACTGATTTCCAGCTTTCAAGACACTCACAATCTATATCTTGTGATGGACTATATGATCGGTGGAGATTTCCTGAGCCTGCTGATCCGCAGGGATACTCTCCGAGAAGACTGGGCACGGTTCTACGTCGCCGAGATGATCTTGTGTATCGAGGAGGCACATCGACTCTTCTGGATTCATCGGGACGTCAAACCTGACAACTTTCTCATCTCAGCCTCGGGTCATTTGAAAATCTCCGATTTTGGACTGGCATTCAACGGCCATTGGTCTCATGATCAAGATTACTACAACAGTCAGCGGTACACTTTGATAGAAAAGCTCGGCATTGAGGTGAAAGGTGATGCCGAAGATCAGAAACCGGGTGCCGAACACAATGAGCTCGCTCCTGGAACCAACTTACCGAGTGCGGGTGATTATGCTTCTCACCAACCCCCTTGTGAAGATCTGTTAGCCTGGCGAGAAGAGAACGGGAGGCGCAGGTTTGCTAGAAGTGTTGTTGGAACCAGTCAATACATGGCCCCTGAGGTCATTCGAGGTGAGATGTATGATGGCCGTTGTGACTGGTGGAGCTTGGGCATCATTCTATATGAGGTCAGTTCCTTCAGCACCATGAACAGCAGCGAGCACACTCTGATGATAATCTAGTGTCTGTATGGATTTACTCCTTTTGCTTGCGAGAACCGCTATGATACCAAGGTTAAGATTCTTGTGAGTACGTCATCCGATCGATTCACCTTCGAAACTGACATTCATGCAGCAACATAGCCAGACATTGCAATTTCCCCGGGAAAAGCCGTCAGACAGACTTGTCTCTGCGGAAGCTCTCGACCTCATGACCAGAATACTCCAAGAACGTGAATATCGCCTGTGTTCCCCGAAGTATCGGTCGAATGACGTTCTCATCGGACGTCCTGTCTCAAAGCAGATACTGTACTCGATGAACACACGGTACAGAAATATTTCGAGCTACTACGTGTACCCCAATGATGCCACAGACATCAAGATTCATCCCTTCTTCAGAGGCATTCGCTGGCAGGACCTGCATCTGTGCCAGCCACCTATGGTACCTAGGGTGAGGAACTGGGAAGACACCCGGTATTTCGAGAATGCTGTTAGTGAATTAGAAAAAAATGCGCAACTTCCGGAGCAACAGTCTGAAGATACCTGCCCTGGTGCTGAAGCAGGGGCTCCAACAGAGAAGCCCGTCGTTGGAGATCAATCTGCTGGAGCTGCGACGACTCCCGCCCCGAATAAGGCGAATGTGATCGACAAGAAAAAAGAGAAGAAGCGGCCTCGTGACAAAATTCTTCGTGATAAGCAGTTGAACAAGGCTGCTTTGGATATCCGCAAAAACGGCGCTTTCTTAGGATATACATACCGGCGCCCTAATGAGGTTGCTTTGGCTTTCAGCTCGGAACGAGGCCGTTCACGTTCTTCACGGGGCGAGTTGGCCAGTCTCTTTTCCTCATGAACAACGACATGACCTCTCGTTAGCGTCCCCGCTTGTCTGTGTATTGGAATCAGCCACAGTTTGGTGGATTGTACTTGGTTCGAAGATCACTCTGTTTTGAGGTTGAATGTATCCATAGAGCCCTCTCATCATCCTGGTTTGATGCCCTCGGGGATCACCACTCACCTTCCTTGGGCCTTTATTTCTACACCACCCTCCTTCTAATGTATCATCAAAATAAAGTCTAATCAAGGATTACCTTCCGAACAAATTTTCTCCGGGATGGGGTAGGATCGTTTCAGCGCCCGGCGTAGATCTACGAGTCTCTCCAGAGCTCCAGAGCTCCAGGGCTGTGCTAATTAGGGATTAGGACAGTCAGACAACTTGGAAGAAGCGTAAGTCTCATCATGAATTGAATTGTGCTATGCTTAACTTCATCGAAGTTGAATGAACACTAAAAATAAGTGGTATCGGGGGCTCCACGGAAACAGCATGGAAATTCACCTCATCTGTTATTAACGCACACCCAGCAGGCATATACACCGGGTATTGAACAAAGTATGTTGTTCTTGAAAGGACAAGGAAGATTTCGGAAGGGGTATCAAGTTCTGAGTAAATTGAGGAATGAAAGGTTGGGAACAAGAACGGTTGGCATAGACGGCACAGATCACAAAACCGGGGCGCTCATGGAGAAGGCTGAATCTGTGACTCGGTCCTCTGGCTTCATGGTACCATTGAGCAAGGGGCAGAGCTTCTTGTTTGTCTTTATATGTCCAACTTGACCGCAGTTGGCGCACTTGCGCTGGGTACCGGCGGGCTTGCCATCCGGATCACCGGCACGAGGAATACCCTTCTGCTTCTCTCGGGCGAAGCGGCGCTCCTTGTTGCGGTTGAGACGGCTGAGTTCGGCCTCGATGAGCTTTCTGTTGCGGGCATCAACCTCGGCGTCGCCGGTAGGCTTGAGTGATTCCAGCTTTGTGTTCATGGCCTCGTGGGTGTGGCGATGTTGAATGTAGTGTCTGATGACCCGAGGATCCCAGATGAGCTGTTCCTTCTCCACAATCTCGCCGTTCTCTGCTGCAACTTGGCGAGTGATGCGAAGGACTTTGCCGCGCTGGCTGTTGAAACTCATTTTACTGAATTGACTGGTGGTCTCGTCATCGCGGCGATATGGACCAGGGGTCGGTGCTTCGGAACGTGGAGTCGGTTTGTTGAACTGCTCTTGATAGTCGTCCTCTTGGTCGATGTCACTCTCCTGGTCGGAATGCTCGATGGTGGAGGAGAGGCTTTCCTTTTGAGCATCCCAGATGCGGCGGATGGATGTTTCGTAGGATTTTTGCTGACGGGCAACGTTGTAGCTGTGACCACCGAGCTCCTTCAATCGCTGTGCGTCAAGCTTATCCTCCACACTCTCGCCAATGGCCTTGAAACCACCCTTCATGCTTGTCTTGATGAAGTTGTATCCCTCGCCACGGCCAGTAGGATCTCCCTCACCGTGAAGTTTCAACATGGCTTTACCTTGGGATGCTAGCAAGAAGTTGCGGGTCGCCTTCCATGGGGCCATTTGTTGCTCGAAACTCTCAAACTCTTCGTCTTCCTCGTTATCGCCACCGGTCTCGGCATCATTGCCATATCCAGTGTCGTGAAGATGTTGCTGGCCGACCTGCATGGACTCTAGAAGACAAACATCTTCGGGCTGAACCCAGGAACGGATGGTATCTTGATCAGGAAGGGTCGGGTCCAGTGGCTTCCAGTATTTGGTGTCTTTGTCGTGCTGCAGGAAATCCTTGACCTTCTGTCGGTTTTGCATATCCGTGGTGTTCGGAATATGGGCTGTGACATCACTGATTGCAAGTCGCTCGTCTGGGCTCTTCTTCAATAAGCGATACACCAGCATCTTCATACGGTTCTTTGCGACAGTGGTCACTTTACGTGAGTGTGGACCAGGAATGTCAACTGATGGGAACTGCTGACCGGCAACGTAGAAGTTCTCGATGTTGCGCAAGTAGTAGGTACTGCCGCCGACGCCGGTGGTACTGCGAACCACAAGGAAGTCCGTAGGCTTGCTTTGGTGCGGAAAGAGCGGTGCTCGGTACATGGAATTTGAAATTGCTGGGGAAATCTCGCCGGGGTCAACATGACCGAAGATGGAATAGGGACTCTTGTCTTGAGGCAGAAGAACGGCAGTTTCACCGATCTCTGCTCGTGGGCGAGTCGGATCATCGATATTCTTGCGTCTGTAGTAATTGATGAAACGATTGCACATTCCGAAGTTAGCCAGTGACATGGGAACTTCTTCGGAATATTCCACGAGCAAGACGTTGGAGTTATCACCCATGGACAGCGATTGGGTAGAGTCGTAGATGCTCTTTGCATCCCGGCCACGCAGTTGCTTGCGTTTGATGTAGACAGGGTTTTTAAACCATGAAGTTTGTCCTGGGCGGAATGACATGGCGGGTCGGTGGAAGGATCTGGCTTCGGCTTTGCCCAGCTCAGTCTTATAGTAAGGCCACTGGAGGCGCAGAGCTGGTAGACCGTGCTCGAGTGTCACATTGCCGAGGGTACTGCGGATCTTGTTCTGGTGGTTCTGCTTGAGCATGTCGTACGCTTGATCGTTCGAGATGTTGTATCGCTGGGTGAGACGACGGGTCAAGTTCAGATCCACCTCGTCTCTGGTACGGGGAGCAGCGTGCTTGGGCTTGTTGCCGATTGCATCCGCTCTCGATTCATCCACAAGGATGTTTGGGTCGTTGAGGTCAATCGTCACTCTCTTGGCGATTTTCATTGTCGCCTGTTCGGGGTCATCCAACAGTGGAATATCGATGTGCGACAAGGCAATGACATCCATGGGAGTCGGGCCCGTTTTGCGCTTCTTGCTTGGAGCCTCGGTTTCCATGAGCCAGTCATCATCGTCTCCATCAATAAAGTCATTCTTGTTCTGTTGCAGGGGCTGATCATCGACATCCGTGACAGAGAGATCGTCTTTGACATCCCAATCGACACAGATTGTTCGAAGATCTTGCATGGTGAAACCACCGGGTAATGTCTCGTCGTCGTCCATATCACCATCTCCCATTTCAGCGTCCTCGTTTGTGTCCTCGTCCTCGTCCTCGCGAGGTGATTGTGAGATCGTCACAATCCCAAGGGATTCATGGTCCAGGCCTCGCTTGAGGGGCTGACCGGTTCTGAATGTACGCTCTTGGTCAGGTGCAAGTTCGATGTTGACTTTCGTGGGCAAGACGGGCTTGGGCGGTTTGTTGGGCTGTTTTCCAATGAAGATAGCCCTTTTGTGGGGGATCAACTCCAGCCATCGCGGAAGAGTGTTGCGGTCAAACGAAGGAAACAGGGAATGCAACAGTTCTTCGTGGTTCTCCGCTGGCGCAGGCGGATTTTCTGGGCCAGACATGGCGAACAAGGCCTGTTGGAGTTTCCAAGCGCGAAGTTCGTTGGGGTTCATGCTGTCGGACATGATGCTGTCGTCGTCCGGGAAATCATCCTCCTCTGCGGGCACTGGCTCGGGCTGCGGTTCAGGGGCCGTCGGAAGAGGCGGGAGTTCAACGGGATCTGCTGTCAACGGCATCTCTTCGTCCTCGAAAAGGCCCTTGGTAGGATCCTCCTGTCCAGCAGGAGGGGGCGAGAATGAGTCTTCGCCAAAGAGATCATCAAGGTTATCATCCTGAGCCTGAGCGCCCTCACCCTGGTCGCCGAATAAATCATCACCATTCCCGAAAAGCGCGGCATCGTCCGAGCCAAGGTTTGCGAAAGGGTCTTGACCACCGTCGTCAACATCAGGCAGGGCTGGGGCCGCTGATCCCAAGACCTCCTCCTCCGGGAGGTCATCATCCTCAAAATCCTCATAGTCGATTGCATCGTCCGCCTTCTCTCCAACATCCAGGTCTCGGTCCAAGAAGTCCATGTTGGCATTACTTTCGAAGTTGTTCAGCTGGCGCATCACATCGTCAAATTCGGTGTCCTCCCCGGCCTCACCGGCCTTGGAGGTTGCGTGAGGCATGGTGGGCGGTGGTGGAGGAGCCAGGATGTCGGTTCGCGGTGTCAGAGTGCGTTGAATCGTCGGGAAGAGCGGGTTGCGTGTGATGCGTGCGGTGGGTTAGAAGGCGAGAGAAGTCTCAGAGGAGAAAGGCTGAGACGCGGGCCGGAAGGGCGGCGCGAGTTACCACAGGCGCATCGGTGTGTTGGAGTCGAAAGGGCGTCGCAAAAGATCACGGAATGTTGGCACAGATGAGAAAACGGGTTCCCAAGGATAATGCGCGAGGGACGTATCGCGCTAACCGCAAATGGCAATCAGCTGCCTGATCATTCAAATAGATCAGATCAGATCCAGTCCAGACATTTTAGATGTATGATCAATTCATGAATGAGATATTAGAGATTATAAGTACAATCAAGTGCAACAGAGAACAATGGAAGTGAATTGAGAGATTATTATTGAGAGAGTCGTGCCACGTCAAAGTCCCCATAGAAAATACACAATGCCTTGCTCGCTCCCTCCATACAATAGTGCATCACCATCCCTTTTTTCCCATCGGGAACCAGCTTGGCTATTTGTTTCAAGTCAGAGGTTCTGGGAATAAAGAGAACCATATGTTGACTAAAGGTTGAGTATTCATCATAAAGCCGTTGGAGTGAATATGGCTCCATGGTCTTCAGGTTGAACACTTGATCCGAGCGATATCCAGGACCTAGAAACATCAGCTACAGCCCTCGAGTACATGAGGAAGGAATCAGGTAAGCTTACCTCCCCAGGGCGGGCTGGCAAAGACCACACTGTAGGGTGCTAGGTCTTTCAGCTCTTTTTTGAGTATATCAAAGCAATCGCCTTCAAACCAAGTGATCTTGTCTGAGACACCGTAGATTCGGGCGTTGTGCTTAGCGCACTTAAGAACGGCAGGGTTCTTTTCAATTGCGTAGATGCGCTTCCATTTGCCAGTCAGGGCAAATGCGATTGTGTTCCCTCCTGCGCCAGCGAATGCATCTACCAGAATCATGCGTCCAGCGGGTGCCGAGTCGGCAATTTGGGAGGCGATTTTGCTAAAGATCTATAAGCCAAAGGAACACTATCAAGACACAGTGTTCAAGGGGACGTACTTGGCAACCGGTTCAGGTGTGACACCGAACCAAGCATCATCGGTCAACCATACGCCTTCATCATACTTAGAAAAGATCTGATAGCGTTGGGCCCAGTAGCTGTCGAGGTTAGCCCTGGTCAACCTTGTGGCTCGGGAAACTTACTTTTGAATGTCCCAAGGAACTTCTTGGAGACTACTGTAGTGATGCACCTCAGGAGGCGCTTCTTCGTCTGCCATGATGCAGTGTCGCGATAAGTCAAGACAATTGATTCTCGATAACTGATAAAGATGTGGGTGTTTGCATGGTTTGCACCGCAGTCAGGCCAGCTCATGCCCGTCACAACACAGCTTCTACTTGAGCAGCCTCATTCATTCATTTTACTCCAATTTGTGATCATATTCGTGTGTCATGTTCGGCGCATTAAATCGCTTCATAGGCCGGCTGGATGGTGAGCCTGGCCAGCAGCCTCGATCTGGTCCCAGCGACAACGCGTTCGGCTTCCAAGTCCTCCGCAATAAAGACCCCGAGTTGCCTTTGGAGCCGTGGTTCGACTTTATCGTAGGAATCAACGGGCATACGATTGTTGGTCTTCTCTCCTTATTCTACTATTGATCTCGGCACATCAACTGACAACACTCTACAGGAAGACCCGGACCCCAACTTGTTTGCGACAGAATGCCGGAATTGCGCTGGAGGAAGCTTGACACTTGAAGTTTGGAGTGCAAAGGTAATGCGCTTCCCATACCCCATTGCTCTGCCGTTTGCAATGCCAACATAAGCTTAGGGTCAACGAACACACACTGTCACTCATCCCGTACCACCAAGCAACCCCTCCCTTGGCCTCGCATTACAGCTTGCTCCCCTCGCCTCTACGCAGAACATCTGGCATGTCATTGCAGTACCGTCGCCCCTTAGTCCCGCATACCGAGCTGGTCTTCTGCCTTACTCGGACTATATCGTCGGAACCCCAAGTGGGACATTAAGAGGGGAGGCGGCACTAGGAGAGCTTGTTGAAGATCACCTTAACCGCACGCTCGTGCTGTGGGTTTACAACAGTGAATTCGATGTCGTTCGTGAGGTTGAGCTTATTCCTACCCGAGGCTGGGGTGGCGAGGGAGCCCTTGGTGCAGAGCTTGGATTTGGTGCTTTGCACCGACTGCCGCTGGGACTCGGAGAAGAGGTTGAGGGTCCTGGGGAGGTTGTCTTTGAGACACGCGAGAATGACAACGCTGCCCCAGTGAGCGATCCTGCAAGCTATGTGTCTGGTACGGCAGTCCCGTCCAATAACTATTTGGTTCCGGCCAACATAACGGCACCGTCTCCTTTGGCCGCCAATCAAGCACGCGATGCCTCGCCCTCACAGAGCCGGTCCCCGGCAGGCCGTCGTTCAGCCAAGTCACGACCGGGAGCGTCCCCCAACAGAGCCTTTGATGACTACTTTGCCGAGGGTGAAGAAAAGAGTCGGGCGCAGGACTATGCTCCCTCACGACATGGCACACCTCTGCCTCCCCCACCGAAAGCTGGAGACACGCAACATCACTCAGACAGCCCTGCACCTACGCCTGTTGCACCAGAAGGGTCTCCTGGGCCTACACAGGAAGAATGATCAAGGTTTCCTTGGGATGAAATTAATGTAGAGTATGACGAATACCAACCATATCACACAATGTGAAATACGCTGTTTACGCTGGGCCTCGTTCGAAGAGGCTAGCCAGGTAACTTCTGGAGTCGCCGCATATCTGTAACAAAAGAAATCAAGTAAATTGTAGAGTACCACGAACTCAAACTGATGTCGATCATATAAACCAAGCCCATGGACAAGCATACGCTCATAGGGCTTCGTACCGAACATATAATGACCAAACAATGGAAACAAAAGGAACCAATCCGGTTATGTCTTCGGATATAAGAGTTCTAGGCGTACATATGCAACAAATCAAATCCGCTCTATAGCCCCAAAACCGGGTCGTATCTAGTGGCCCTTGCTGACCAGCTCCTCCAACTTCTTGCGGGTGTCACCGATCTTCTCCTCCATCATCTGGCGCGCCATTCCGCTGTGCGCGAGTCCAGTGAGCCAGATGTGCTCCGCACGTTCACGGACAGCCAAGTGCTGGTCCGCAACGGCGGGAACCTTCTTCTCGTACTCCCAAACCAGATCACCGACGTTGCGCATCGTCACGGGAAGGAGGCTGTAGGCGGCAGCGGTACCGAACGCGAGGGAGACGCAGCTCGAAGGAAGATACCGCGGTTGCGCGACACGATAGAGCCGGCCATGGCGGCCACAACAACGTAGACACCACCGGGGAGAAGGCGCTCACCGGACTCGGGCGATGGGGCAAGGGACGCAACGGTGTTGGTGAAGCAGTTTTCGATGTTGAGAGCCTTGGACAGGAACTTGTTGAAGCCCTGTTCGGCAGAAAGGGAGTGTGAGTAAAGGAAAAGGCGAGCTTGTCGGACCTGAGCGGTCAGGATGTCTGTCGGAGTGGGCGAAGAGGGGGCCTGTTGCGCGGCCGGTGCGGAGATCAGCTTAGGAGCTTCGATGGCCGCAGGAGCGGCAGGGACGGCAGCAGCGACGGGGGCAGCTGGCTTGGAGGGTTCGGGGAGATCGGCAGGGAAGTCATCGTAGATAGGTTTGCGCTATATGTGAGAAACACTCGTGTGTCAGATCGGGCCATTCGAGGCTGTAGCATAGATGTGTTCGAGTTTTTTCATACGTTGTCTCGGGGCACTTCAGCAAATGCCGTCTGCTTGGGGTACAAAGCAATGCCTCCTGCGAGGAGAGTGGCTGCGATCGGAGCCACAGCCCGCTAGGAACGAGTCAGCGTGGAACGGGTGTTTTGGAATCAATTGTATCCAACTCAAATGGAATCAATTTACGGGCGGCATCCGTACCTGTTGCAACATCGGCCGGAAGGACATCCTGAGGGTGTGGGGGGAAGGAGTGGGTGAGCTGGTAGAGAGGATGAAGCAAAGTCGTGTTGGAGCAGGACGGGAATTCTTCGGCTCGGCGGAACCTCCAAAAAACTCCGTCATTGCCCGTTCTCCTTGAACAACTGTAGACTTCTTCAAGGATTTAATGTGATCTTTTCTCATGGTTTTGGTCTGGATTTAATACGGTCTCTACAATGCTTCGCCCTTTGCGACGAACGTTGACATGTCGCAAATACCTCCACCCGCGACCCCAGAGACGGGCCTTCGAGAGTGCCGCATCGCCTTTGCCCTCGACGCCGTTCGACTATAATGCCGCAGAACTCAGTGCACCAAGAAAGAACAGTGATGACCAGACCCTACGACGGGTCTTCGACTCCCAGCCGTTTTGGTATGAGTTCTCTCAGCAGCGCTCCGCGGCCCCTAGGCAAGCTGGGCTAGTACAGAACCAGTACTTGACAAGCCCCGAAGGCTTCATGTCATTCGCAAACGTTTCCCTACAAAGATGTCAAGCGATTGTCGCCAAGGTGCTGGCCGCTTCAACGGTGGAAGAATACAGAGCTCTAGCACGAGACCTTGACCGACTGAGTGATCTTCTGTGTCGCGTCATCGACCTATCGGACTTTATTCGAACCATTCATCCCGAGCCTCGGATACAGGAAGCAGCCACGCAGGCGTGGGCTCTCATGTTCGAATACATGAACGTTTTGAATACGACGACAGGGCTGCATGAACAACTCAACAAGGCCTTGAACAACCCCGATGTGACATCACACTGGACCGAGGGCGAGACAATTGTGGCTCAAATTCTCAACAAGGATTTCTCGAACTCCGCAATTCATATGCCTCCCAATGTGCGACAACGTTTTGTAAATTTGTCTAACGATGTCAGTCAGTTGGGTTCCGATTTCATGAACGGCGCGGAACCCGCGCGGTCCCAGGTGACATTCGGTGCGAACGCTCTCCAGGGTTTGGACCCCATAGTCGTCTCTAAGATCAAGAGATGGAATAAGAAGGCGCCAGTTCCTACCATGGGAATTGTCCCTCGGCTTGCTCTGCGTTCAGTGCGTGATGAAGACGTCCGCAAGGAAATATACCTCGCCACTCGCACCTCCAGCAAGCGTCAAATACACAGATTAGAAGAGCTTTTGACCAAAAGAGCTGAGCTGGCACAGCTTACCGGCTACAACAGTTTTGCGCACATGACTCTAGGTGACAAGATGGCGAAGACACCCGAAGCAGTGTCGAACTTCCTAACTTCCCTTGTCTCCAGCAACCGGGGACCAGTACGGGACGAATTGGCGAAGTTACAACAACTGAAGGGAAATGCTACCCTTCAACCTTGGGATCATGCGTATTACGTCCACAAACGCGTTCTAGAGTATACGCAAGCCCGTCGCTCTCGTCACGCAGGTGTGATCAATGAATACTTCTCTCTGGGAACAGTGATGCAAGGTCTCTCTCGACTCTTCGACCGTCTCTACGGCGTCCGCTTGGTTCCACACGAAGCATCCCCCGGCGAAACCTGGCATCCAGATGTCCGTCGATTGGATGTGGTAGACGAATCGGAAAGACATATTGCAGTCGTCTACTGTGACTTGTTTACTCGACCTAGCAAGCATCCCAACCCGGCTCACTTCACTTTGCGCTGCTCCCGCGAGATCTCGGCGGAAGAGGTAGCCGAGTGCGCCTCGATGAACCAATCCGCACACCCCAATGACGGCATGGCGACCGGTGTCGACCCACAAACCAAAACCTTGCGCCAGCTGCCCACAATCGCTCTCGTGTGTGACTTCCAGGAGCCGCAGGCCAATGGAAGTGGTCAGCCAACCCTTCTCAGCGAGCAGAGCGTTCGCACTCTATTCCACGAGATGGGCCATGCTGTCCACTCGATCCTCGGCCAAACGCCTCTCCAGTCGATCTCGGGAACTCGTTGTGCCACGGACTTTGCCGAACTTCCTTCCGTGTTGATGGAGAGTTTCGCGACTGCGCCAGAGGTGCTTTCTTTGTACGCGCGTCACTGGCGAACCGATGAACCTCTATCTGAGAGCATGATGCGAAGCATGGAGCTTGATCGCACTGCGCACGGTTCTATTTACGGCGCTGTAGAGAATGAGGCGCAGATTCTCATGGCACTCGTCGACCAGGCATACCACTCCATTCCAGCTGAGATCAGCTCGGCTGGCATTGACTCCACCGAAATCTATCACCGGGTGTTCTCTCAGCACTCTAGTCTCCCCGACCCGGATAACATCCAGCCCCGTACTTCATGGCAAGGCTTTTTTGGGCACTTGTATGGCTACGGCGCCACTTACTACAGCTATATTCTCGACCGCGCAATCGCCAATAAACTCTGGCAGGACGTCTTCCAGTCCGGTCAGGCGGCGACTGATCGCGCCGCCGGCGAGCGATACAAGAATGAAGTACTTCGCTGGGGCGGTGGCCGCAATGGCTGGCAATGTGTAGCTGGTGTTCTGGGCAGCAGCAATCCCTCCAACGCCGATGGGCGTCTGGCTGAAGGCGGCGACGAAGCCATGCGTGAGGTTGGTCGCTGGGGCCTCGGGCGTGAGGGCATGTCTGGATAATGTGACCCTATATTATAATTCGATGGGCTATGCCTTACGAGGTGTTGTAAATAAACAAATCTTCACAATCTGATTTGATCCTCCTGTGATCAATTTAATTAAACTTGGGTGGCTTGAGCCGGACTCACCGCAGACAAACGAGTCTCAGTCCTCAATGTGTCCGAGTGCAGGGATCTATGACCACATGCTATTCCACAGTATCAAAAGAGCCAATAGGACTTTGCCTAGGCAAGTCCAGTGATCTCCGGTGTGCATTGAATGCAATGTCTGAGACTAGGCGACTGCTAAGCGGCGCCACCAGTCGATGGCGGGGTGACTGGAATGTCTCACTGCCCCTTTGTCAGTGTTGGAGCTCTAGACTTGCCAACCCGATCATTATACATGTCAAAATAAAAAAAAAAGAATGACATTCATCTTAGACTTCTACCATGACTAGGCAGCCAAAGTATACAGGAGACACCGGGGCACTTTCGGCTTCTTAACTCAACCTTATCATACATCCACCACACGAGTTGCCTCTGACGTCCCTCCCAAAACACCGTGCATGGTGGCTTGCTTAGCGGTACCCCGTTACCCTCCGATGATACAAACAGGAATGGCGCGAACTGGTCTTGGAGCTTGCGACAAATTGCCCAGACAGGGCACATGCTCATTCTTTGTGCTAGGTGTAGCGTAGTATGCCGAAATGATAAATAGGTTTATAGAAGAACAGTCTGTCCTGTCGATCTCCAGGGCCCTCAAATGTCATGGTCTGAGGCGTCTAGGCCCTTATCTTTGCTGAACGGTACGTGCTACGTGCGATACTTGTTTTGAGCACCACCCTGTACTATATGTACCTGGGTAATTTCATCGTGCATCTTTACTTACTGATGCAGATTCCATTTCCAACCGTGAACCTGCCTTTGTTTGCGAGATCTCTGTTGAGAAACTATTTATTGCCAATCGGCCCCCTCGACGATCTCTAGTCTATCATTCTGAGCTCGATCTACACTCGACCTGTGTGACATCATCTCTGCTTCGTCAAAATGCCCGACGTTCACATCGTCAACGACGATGCTTCCTTCGCCTCAAGTGACACTTTCTCCACAAAAGATTCAACGGAGCCAGTCCGTCAGCTTTCTCGGCGAAACACAGTTTCCCACCTCACAAGAAAAGTGTCCAAAAGGATATCCCAGTCAATTCTGGGTGGGGCTCAGCCTCACGAGTTGAGTGAAAGAAACCTCAAAGCCCTGGATGACGCAAGCGTCTCAGATCCATACACTCGGCGCTCATCAGATCATCAACTCCCCGATGCCAAGGTATACGAGCCTATCCACGAAGACGAGGAGGAATGTGCCAGTGTCGATGTGGAAGCGCAAAAAGAAGCACGCCTTCATGCGTCCTACGCCACCTTCTGTCAAAACTTCACCATGTCAGGGTCTACAAGGATGAGCAGGCAATTCGACCTCACGATGGAGACAGAGGCGGCCAATGACAGTGATCAGTCCCCTGCATACCATACATTTGAGTCTCTGCATTCACCCACATCAAAGTGGCCCGGGTATATAACGGTCTACTCAAAGTCTGGACCTACCGCAGACGCATTTCCAATCTCCTCCCTCGGCAATGTCGACCCGCCTGTTTCTCAATTCACAGATCAAAAGAAGAATTCACACGACTGCTCTCGTCCAGATACTCCAATCTACGAAGACAATCTCAGCAAAGAGCATCCAAGCTTCGAGATGTCCCGCCAATCCGACTATCCTCAGCCGCCTCCTCAGATCATGACACCGGATGTTTACATGGACATGCAACGCGAAGAACGGGAGCGCAAGGCAGCCCGGCGGCAAAGACTCCTCAACCCGTTTCGATCGTGGTTCATGAGTAGTCAATCATCATGGACGCGGAGGTATGAAGTTGCGGAATAACGGGCCCCGCTGTCAGGCGAAGATCAAAGCAGGTCTGAAACGGTTGGATTTCGAACTTTCCGGCGCTAGTTTAAATTCTTGGACATGATCTTAATACACAAATTTCCAGTTTTTGATGCTTGTTGCTTTTTCCGTTGAAACATAGTCGACATGCTTAAATTTGCCCGTCTGGACCCCGCATGATCATGCATGCTGTCTTTGATGCCCGCATCAATGCCGAGTTTGATCGCAATTATTCTTTTGCGTGTGACTCCACTATCTTTACTTGAATGTACGATTTAATTGCATGTACGAGAAGGCTTCCCGGTTTGCTGCCCGTATTGTGGAAAATGTGATAGGGTCGCATGCTGCAAATACGAGATCCCCAGCACACTTGCAGTTTCATTGGATGGGGGAGCAACTACGAATTCAATGGTTATCGACTCATTGGGATTCTCCAAAATGTCCTATTATCAGTACCCCGTACACTGAACACATAAAGAGGGTTTTGCATTACGAGTCCTTGGCATGTTTCATTGGGGGCCAAAACACGCCACCGTAGCGCAAGGCTGTGCCTCCAACTATTTGCTTTGTTGCTGACGCTGCTTTTCATTTCCATTCTCTCAACACTCGAAGCAAAGAATTGGTCTCAATATGTCGGAAGCTGCAGTCGATCCAGCCAGCATGGTATCATATGACGGTGGTTGTCACTGTGGCAACGTCAGCTACACGGCGAAGCTTCCATCGCCTATACAAGATCAAGTCGTGAACACATGCAACTGTACAATATTTTCCCTCGGGGAGAGTGGTGATGAATCTTGGCGGAATATTACTGATTGCTTGATTACTTTGTTCATGCAGGTTCCATCTGTAGTATCAACGGATATATTCTGGTCTATATCAAGAAGCCTGACCTGACATTCCACAATCGCGATGATGCTGCCAAGGTCCGATTCCTTCTACTTCTCGTTCAAAAACTTCGATTGAGCATCGATTTTTTGACAATTTTGAGCAGGAATATCGTTTCGGATCCAAGAGATTTCCCCATTACTTCTGTCCCAATTGCGGTACCAGCGTGTACGCTAGCGCCGACGACATTGAAGGCGAATACGCTGGTATTACTGCTATTAACGTAAGTTCAGATATTATTGTCGACATCCAGTGAGCTTATATGGCACCAGGGCCGAACCTTGAAGGGTGTCGACATCAATTCATTGAAGATTGAGCAGCTGGATGGAAAGAAAATATAACGTGGGCTAAGTCGCCGCAAATTTCAAATCCAACATTGGAAGTTTGGTGAATGGACGTTCACTCGAAAAGTCGATCACTATTAGTCGATGCTTTGGGATGATCCACGACCTCAAATTCATTCAATGATAAGTTTAATGCTTAAATGAAAGAAAGATCACAACATTGGGTCTCGGTCTAGAAGCCTTGACCGTAGCTTCCGTCGAAGTCAGTCTCTATCAACTTCACTCCTTCTCCCAGAGCTCCCTCAATCTTCGCATTTGTCTCAACGTTGTAGAGCGTAATCGAGATGTGGCGATTCTTCACACTCCCTTTTACCAATCCACCCGTGGTCAGTTTCTCGAGGTTGGTGAATGTGATATTCACATCAACAACAGGAACCCCGCCGGAATATACCAATTGTGGGGACTCGATTTCAATGTTAGGCATAGAGTCAGAGTCTTGGAACCGAAATACTGTCTGCGTGCCTTGGTTTGCGCCAAATAGCAGTTGTCCTGTCAATGGTTTTAGTGAGTCAAAGATGTAGCAGGAAACTTGATAGACTGAGCAATCACCTGCGACGTGGCTTTCCCATTCGAGTAGTTTGATCTCATGACCCCCGGTAGGTAAATTCAGTTGAGCAATGACACTATTCCCTTCGCTCTTGACGAAAAACTTTCCATGGGCGCCCAGTACAGTAATATCTTCACCACTTCCGTCATGGAGAGAGTCAGCGAATGGATGGATGGACTGGTATCCTACACCGGGAAGGTTCCAAGGTTGACTCCAAACTCTGCTGTTATTCTGCCAGTCTTCTTATCGGCGCTGCCCTTGATCCGTGAGTCTTGATCAGTATCGAAAACAAAGGGGTTCCACAGGTGTTTGTTTGTTTGTTGGAGGGGAATAATCTTGGGGAGTGTTTCCAAGGTTAACCTACCACACACACGGCCCGATGGTCTTCTCAAAAGCTGCCATAGTGTGTTAGCCCATGATTCCAAGGTTACAGGAAAGCAATTGTTCTCCCAAGGTGCCTACTTTGAACCTGGCTAGTCATTGTGCTGGTAAAGTTTGTAGATGTAGGTTGCAAATTTTTGTCTGATATGTCGATGTAATCCAGGGTGATTGTGGGAAGACAAGACACTTTATATATTCGCTACTGTAGTAAAAACCTGCCCAGGTGATACAGTGTATAGTCAACATAGGTCATTGGCAATATTTGTTTTGTTAGTTCACTGTGGATTTGACTTGACGTGGCGACCTGAACTGTATGCAGCTTCCAAGTAAAGCAAAAAGCAAACGATGGCAAGGCCGATCTTCCCCGATGATTCGTGCCGATCTACTCCGTAATAGGATTTGAAATGGGATGCTTCAGCTATTATGAAATGCTTGTATGTCATCAGGTTGGTCCTCCAGGGCTATGTACGGAGTACTCGGTAACTACAGGTCGTACAGAGTACGTGGTCGCCGGAACCAATCAAAACGTCTACCCAGGTGTCCACGACATGTATGGGCTGCATTTATTGATCGGAGCTGGCACTCTGAGCTCATCCTGCAGATAGCTAATGTATGAACGGGTCCTCCGTAGAGAACGTGTACTCCGTGCTCCGTACTCCGCAATGATGTGGACTTTGGGGGTCAGTCGGTATCCCACTTGATGAATGCTAGTAAATACACCCAACCTTTTTTGTCTGACCACGCTGGGTTGAGGCGGCCGATTTGTACTCAATATGGAATAAAAATTCTACCTTAACTCATGCGTATGATTTATCCTACCTGTTAGAAACTTGGCCCAATCATACGAGAAAAAGTCGATTGATGATAGAACGTTTCTTTGACTGAGCCTAACATCAAAATTCAGTCGAAACCAAGTGAGGAGAAAAAATCGACCTTATTGGGAGAAAGGCGTACTAGTTGAAGTGCGACATGGTTTTACAACCCTCCAACCAATTGATATGTTTCCTCCTTTTAGAGGAGGCCGGGCTGATCTGATGACAAGCTTCAGCCGCGGAGCCGGGTTTTTGAAGGGGTAAAAGTTTTTGAAGGGGTAAAAGTTTTTGAAGGGGTAAAAAGAAAAAAAGAATGGACTCGCGGGGAATCGAACCCCGGACCACTCCCATGCTAAGGGAGTATTATACCACTAAACCACAAGCCCAGTTCGATGGAAGAGGCAAGCAAACAATGCTTCATGAGCAAAAGCCAGTCCAATCGCCGATACAATCTAGTTTCAACGTTGTTCCAATATGGCAGACCCGCAGATGAGATGCACGATCTCTAGTCATTAAGCCTGCGTATTGATTGATCAGGTGGTCAATGCTTTTCTTTAATATTTTTCAATCATCGGTTTATTACGCCTCTTTTTGTTTTCCGCCTGGCTGAAAATTGTTTACCGGATCCAGTCTCGAGGTTGATGAGTACATATATATTCGAAGCCATGGTTCGGACGGACCTCGAGAGAGGGTTTGGATGATCCATCCATGGATGACTCGAGTTATAGCTACTCACTGACCAACGAGCGTTTATACAGCCCTGGAGGGTGTGGTATTCAAGGGGAAACCCGATCAGGGCAGTTAATAGTCTGCCTGCGCATGAAGTGAGTTGTAGCCTTGGAACCCTCAGAGCATCTCGATATCTAAAGTTGGATCGGGAGTTACTAGAGCAGACCCCAACATCAGAAGATTCGAGCGCTGGAGTTTTAATTTGCTATGCAATGGATGGAATTTGGACAATTCTAGGTTTGGATGGGCCCCGGGGGCTCGAAGGAATTTTTTGTTCAAAACCTCTGGAAAGGTCTACGTGAGTAGGTACACCTGGGCACCCCTGGACTGTTACAAGGTTGTTAAGACGGGATGACAGATTCAACATCATATGATGGATTCAATAATAAAGTAATACACAGTACAAAACATATAGCAATAAACAGTCACTTTTTCCATGCAGGGATACAAATTCCTCGCGATCATCTCATCCATGCCACATGCAGTGGGGAGTGAGCAGAAAAAAGACAGCAATGGATATCACGGGAATCATGCAATTAAACCGGTATCCTCAAACACCCCGGTGAAAAGACGTACGGTAGTTATCAAACAGTTCACTTGATCTCAAGGAGCTTGACATCGAAGATGAGCTTGGAGTTACCGGGGATGCCGGGGAGAGCCTTCTTGCCGTAGGCGAGGGCGGGAGGGATGGAGATGCGACGCTCGCCACCAACGGACATACCGGCGACACCGATGTCCCAGCCCTTGATGACCTCACCCTTGCCGAGCTTGAAGGTGAAAGGCTTGCCCTTCTTGTTGGAGTCGAAGACCTTGCCGTCCTCGAGCTTACCAATGTAGCGCATGGCAACAGTGTTACCGCTCTTAGCGGCGACACCCTTACCGAGCTTCTTGTCGTCAAGCTTGACACCGCGGACCTCCTTCACGCCGAGGGTGCCGGTGGTGGGCTTGTCGCCGGAGGGAGTAGGGCCCTGCTCGAGGTTCTTGGCGAACTGGACGGTCTTCTTATCGGCCTTGGCCTCCTTCTTGGCCTCCTTGGGCTCGACAGCGGCGGCATCACCGTTGTTCTTCTTGAGCTTCTTCTGCTGGGCCTTGGTAAGAGCGGGCTCCTCGGCCTTAGTGGCCTTAGCCTTGCTGGCCTTGGCCATCTGCTCGTCGAGGCTGGCTTCCTCCTCAGCAGCGCGCTTGTTCTTGCCCTTCTTGGACTCAACAAGCTTGGGGGCCTCCTCCTCGCTCTCGACCTCGGTGATTCTGGGGTCCTCCATATCATCAAGATCGTCGCTGTCGTCATCCTCCTGCATGGCCATGAGCTCATCCATGTCGAGCTCATCCTCATCGGGGGAGAGGTCGTAGTCATCCTCATCGTCCTCGTCATCCTCATCATCGTGGTCGTGGTCGTGGTCGTGACCCTCGTCGAGACCAATGACGTAGTTACCGGTCAGGAAGACAGTGTGGTTTCCGGTGACCTTGAAGAAAACGGGCTCACCCTCGCAGACGGTGATGTCAAGAGGCTGCTGGAAGTTCTATCGGGGAATTAGCCACATATATCCCCATGAATGCGAGAGAGAGAAAGCAGAAGTAATCTTACCTGGCTGGGGCTGAGAGTACAGATAACGTTCTCATCGAGCTCGAGACCCTCGTCGGACTCGGAGTCCTCGTCGTCGAGAGCGGGACCCTTGCCCTTGATAAGCTTGGAGATGGCGGCCTTCAAGTCGAAGTCCTCATCGTCCTCATCCTCATCGTCCTCCTCCATAGCATCCTCGAGGTCCTTGCGGGCAGCGGCCTCCTTCAGCTTGCGGGCCTTCTCCTTGTCACTGGGACCACCGTTGACATCCTCATCATCAGAGTCCTCCTCATCCTCCTCATCGCTGTAGTCCTCGTCATCCTCGTCAGAGTCCTCGAGATCAAGACCGGGAGGAGCGCGAACGATCTTCAGAGTGGCGCGGGCGGGCTTGCTGGTGTCCTCATCGTCCTCATACTCGGGAGCCTCATCGGGATCGATGGCAGCCATGCTGATGCGGAACTGGATACGATATTAGTCAAAGATTGAGCGTAATTTTAGCTGGTATCACTAACAGAAGCAGCAGCATTGGGGACTGCGGCAACCATGGCACCGGGAGGAACCCGGAGCGCATAGACTGCGACTGGCTGAACGGCAGACATTGTGAATAGATAAGATCAAAGGGACCTTGTAGATAGCAGAAAAGATTGAATAAAGAAGGAATGAACCACAAGAAAATAATTGAGTGGATGGGAGGAAAGAAAAGGGAAGAAAAGAAAAGATGCTACAAGATGTATGCGGCAAAAAATCAGAGAAAAAAAAAATCGATCAATGATATCAACGGTAGCCTCACCGCTAAAGTTTTGCTGGGATTGACCGCTGTCTGGACAGCTTGGCCCCACGTGATGCGCGCCGAGCTTCGAAAGCTGAACCTTGTTTCTTTGATATCACTGCGAAAGTCGGTCATGGTGGTCACTGCAGCCCAAAATGGGCTCCCGTCATGAGATAAACTCCAGCGCTGTGCGTAAACGCATAGAGAATCGTATGTGTTGATCGTCGTGTCTCCACTTCTTATCTGACCGCGTCTAGATGACTTCAGCAATGAAGCGGGCGACGAGTATGAGGCTTCCAGCTTTGGAGGCTTCGGAGATTACATGCGACGAAAAAAGATGAAGCTGCAGAATCTCGATGCAGAAATTCGAGCTGCAGCTGGTGACTCTCCACCAATCTTTCGTGGAGTAGTTGCTCATGTTAATGGGTATACCCAGCCTTCCCTGTCAGACCTTCATCGAATGATTGTCAGTCATGGGGGTGGGTTTCTTCAATACCTAGATGGCAAAACTACAGCGACTCATATCATTGCCAGTGCTCTGACACCCAAGAAGCGAGAGGAATTTCGCCGGTATCGCATAGTGAAACCTGCGTGGGTAACGGACAGTGTCAAAGCAGGACGCTTGCTACCATGGGACGAATATAGAATTGTAGACGAGGGACACGCACAAAGGGTGCTGAAGTTTGACGATGGCCAGTTCACGAGCCAGACAAACACTCCCCGTTTGGGCTACAAGGACCAATCAAGAACCAGCTGGTATAACACCCAACTGCGAGAGATGAGCACCGCTCAAACTGGCCTTGACACTGGTTCCGCTCCCGTGACACCATCTGTACATTCGAAACCTTCACAAATGCAGGTGGTCACCCCGGCTGTGCCAAGCCAGCAGTCCCAATCCGATTATGGCGATTTCCCTAGCTCCATAATCAAGGAGACAGAAGCTGAAGTCACACCTCGAACAAGGACGGATCACGCCAGTGATGACGTGGAGCCCGCTCAGATCCCAGAGAAAGCACTGGATTTCGACCCAGACCCTGGATCGACCGATTTGCCCGCTCCAGCTACACTCACCCGAACTGCAAATTCTACCAAAGCTGATCTCACATCCGAAGAGTACAATGCACAGCTCCTCTTGGATCCCCGGATGCAGAAATCGAGCGTGGTAAATCCGGACTTTCTGCAGCAATATTACAAAGAGTCGAGGCTTCACCATCTATCCACATGGAAGGCGGAGTTGAAAGCCCAACTACAGGCAGCAACCAACGAGAAAACACAATCCCATGCGTCAAAAAGGAAGCCTTTATCTGGCGTGAGACGGTATATCCTCCACGTGGACTTCGACTCGTTCTTCGCGGCCGTTTCACTTCTCAAGCACCCTGAACTCAAAGACAAACCGGTGGCTATCGCCCATGGCTCCGGTTCGGGGTCAGAAATTGCTAGCTGCAACTATCCTGCTCGTGCACAAGGTGTGAAGAATGGGACGTGGATGAAAGGCGCTTTGGAATTATGCCCTGATCTCAAAGTTCTTCCTTACGATTTTCCCGCCTATGAAGATGCAAGTCGCAAATTCTATAGCGCGATACTTGCTATAGACGGGACTGTGCAGAGTGTCAGTATCGACGAAGCTTTGATTGATGTTACAAGCATGTGCTTGGATGCTGGTGGTTCCGACGGGAGGAATGTATCAGAAGGCTCAGTTGATCGCGAGCAAGCCAAAGCAGATGATATTGCACTGGAATTGCGGAATTCGATCAAAGAAAAGACTGGATGTGCGGTATCTGTTGGAATTGGTAGCAACATTCTGCTCGCTAAAGTTTCGCTCAGGAAAGCAAAGCCTGCTGGGCAGTTTCAATTGAAACCAGATGCTGTTTTGGATTTCATTGGAGAGCTCACAGTCCGTGATTTACCAGGAGTGGGCCACAGCATGGCGGCGAAGCTTGAAGAAATGAATGTGAAGTTCGTTAAAGATATCAGAGCTCTACCGAAAGAGAGACTGATATCTGGCCTGGGACCCAAGACCGGGATCAAGATGTGGGAATACGCTCGTGGGATTGACCGGACAGAAGTCGGTGACCAAGTCATCAGAAAGTCTGTTTCAGCCGAGGTCAATTGGGGCATTCGATTTGTCAATCAGGATCAAGCTGACGATTTTGTACGGTCGTTGTGCGCGGAGCTGAACCGAAGGTTGATGGAAAATTTGGTCAAGGGAAAGCAACTCACACTCAAGGTCATGAGACGATCTATGGATGCTCCTCTCGAGGCAGTCAAACATCTCGGCCATGGCAAATGCGATACCTTCAACAAAAGTGTTGCTCTCGGGGTTGCAACAAATTCACCAGATGTCGTTGCAAAAGAAGCGATCTCAATGTTGAGAAGCTTTAACTTCTCCCCGGGGGACCTGAGAGGTCTAGGTGTACAGATGACCAAGCTTGAACCATTCAAAACTGGCTCCTCGGGAATGGAAAGCAGCCAGCGACAGCTCAACTTCAATATGTCCCCGCCTCGCAAGAAAGAAATCCCACCTGCTGATCCTGACGAACTGGAGAGTCCAAACAAAGACGAATCCAAGCGGATCCAAGCGGACCCAGTCCTCAGCGACAGTGCACATAAACCGCTAAATATCTCGGGATCTCAGTTCATCATGCCTACACAGGCAGATCCAAAGGTGATTGCCGAGTTACCGTCAGATATCAGGTCAAAACTTGTTGCGCAATCAAAGCCGCGACACAATCCGCGCGCAGGTTCTCCATGCCCTCCTCCGCGCGAGGCTCGATCAGTGGAGCAAGTAGACCTGCCTCCCCAGTCCCAACTCGACCCTGAAACATTGGCCGCATTACCTGAAGATGTTCGTAAAGAAGTGCTGGGGTATTACCAACAATCTGCCTCTGTGGCCGAGACCTCACCCGAACCAATCATGCCCGAATCGCAGCCACCCCTCCCTCTTCCTGGCCCTTTGAAACCTAGGAGGCCAGTGTCTCCACCAAAAAAGAGACGGGGGCGCCCACCCAAGTCGGTCACGCTTGCTAAGAATGCAAAAACTCAAACACTGAACCAGTCAGGCTTCGGATTTGTTTGCCCACGACCAGTGGCCGCGCCTATCAGTGTTGAGCAGGCGACGTCCAGACAGCCTTCACCAAACATTGAAGAGCCGGCTGAAGTGTCGGCCGATTTTCTTGCAGCACTACCCGAGGATATAAAGCAGGAAATTCTCGAAGAGCAAAAGCGGAATCGCATGCAGCAGCGCCCACGGGCCACGACACCCGCCCAAAGACCACCATCTCGACAACAGGAAGCTCCTTCCACCTCGGCGGTGGTTGAGAAACGTCTTCCTCTTCCGGCTCTCCCGCAACGACCGGTGTTTACATCACAGCGTCTTTCAGAGTTACCAGATCTTCGAGATGCTGTCGGCGCATGGCACGAAGCATTTGCAGCTGGTGGTCCCTATGACGAAGACGTCACCTCGCTGTGTACATACCTGACTAATGTGACGGTGAACGAAAAGGACATAGACAAAGCGGTTTCAGTCATACGCTGGCTGATGTGGTTGATCGAAGAACACCTGCAACAAGAGCCCGAGAATGCCCAAGGGTCGCGACCCGATGGAACTATCTCATGGGATGTGGCTATACGACTTATGCAGGATAGTGTACAGGCAGCCATGGAAAAGAGAGGACTACCCGAGGTAGACTTCTCCTGATAATGTACATAAATATACCCAGACACACATTGAACAGAAGAGTCTTAGATCATGGGATCATCTTGTGTACGGAGTAGGCCACAAGCAATAGATCTGGTCTGCACGGACAGCATCCATGGGACTGCACATGGGAGCTACCCATTTTGGGCTTGGCCTTGTTTGTATCGTTTGTACCCTCAAACGACAGTTGAAGTGCTGGAGGTTGACGATTTATCTCTCAAACTCTTTCTTCCCATCTCTTTATCAATCAGACCATGAATCCTGCTACAGAGGGCCAATTCTCTTTCAATGTTGACACTTTCTACGTCGCCGCATCTGGTGGACAGATTCACCGGCGTGCGGCGCCCCCTGAGATCAAAGCTCTGTACGACACAGGCATAGACAGTACACCAGATCATCCAGGTCATTGGTATGAAGCACAGCTCCTTCATTATGGTCTTCCACCGTCGAAGGTCAAAGCGACCGCCAAGATGAGGTTGTTGAAAGCCTTACAAGATGGTGGCATCAGTGTACCCAAAGATATCCTGCAGATCGAAAAGAACCTGAAGAAGGCTTGGAAGAACCAGGAAGCAGAGATTTCAGTTGCTGGAGGACAAGGAAAGTCAAGCACCAAGACTGTCATAACAAAAACCGTCACAAAACAGTCTGTCACAACAAAATCCGTGATCACTAAGACAACCTCCACTTCAAAGCCCGTGGAGTCCAAAGCTACATCAACCAAAAAAGCGGTGGCCAAAAAGGCTACTCCGACGAAGCCCCCTGCTGCGGTGAAAGCTACCCCTAAGGCTGCTGCTCCCAAGGCTGCTGCTCCCAAACAAGCTGCCACAAAGACCGCCGCAGCCCCGAAAACAACAGGTAAAGCAGCTCTTGTAAAGACCACGACGGCGAAAGCTCCGGCTGCCCCGAAACCTACCGTTAAAAAGGCTACTGCGGCCAAAGCCCCTGCCCCAAAGAAGGCGACGGCCCCCAAAGCCTCCGCGGCCAAAATCACTGCTGCGAAAGCCGCAACACCCAAGACTACAACCGCCAATAAGAAAAGGGCAATCGGCGATGTTGAGACAACGCATCAGCCACAAATTGCCAAGCGTCCTGCATATGGTGGGATACAGGCGCAGAACAATATCAATCTCCCAGTCAACAACTACTATCAATCACGCGAATGGGGCGAGCCTGACAACGGGGATGAGTTCGAATCTGGGGAGAATCGAAGGTACGGGTATGACTCTGAATACGATGATGCGCCTCCCCCATACGACTCGCTTTACGAAGAAATGGTAAGATTGTATCTTCGTCATCCAGATGTGAATACAGAGTCCATACTGACTGGGCCAGGACTGGGAATAGTCTTACAGTGCGGGGGGAAGATGATTCCCCGATCACTACTGGATCACGGCCGCTTGCCACAAGCCGACTGGCTATTGAGGATGTGAAAGCGCATTGACTTTGCTAAGCCTGACCTTGTGACTTCGATATTGTGACACTTTTTCTAGCCCCCAAACAGACGTCTGGATGCGTAGATGCCTTGAACCTTTTGTGGCATTGGCCATGTTGATTTTGCTGAGGCTGCGTTGACAAACCACTGTCTTCACACCCAGGCTGATGGCTATTCTACTCAATCTTTATTAAGCTGTCATTCCACTAGAAAGTCTGACTACAATATCTAACACGAGGGGTTAATGTTCTCTTGATGCCAGTCCATCGTACGGAGTATCTACTGCAACTTGCGGAATTGTCCAATCTCTTCCCAAGACAAGTCGAGATAAGTCGAGACTGACCGAGACGCAGATTGACCATCCCCACCTCGGGAGATTCGAAAAAGGTAAAAGACCTAGGACAGATTGTTTATGGGGCCGAAACTGTATCTTGAATATCATCATAATGCAAAAGTTTTCTTGTTACTATCTATCTCGTTCGGTACCCCAAGGAGACCGAAACATGTGCACCAAAGCACCATCAACCGCCGCCTTGTTCTATCTATACCACCTGCATCTATACCATTCACACAATTCACACCAGGGATCACCAAACCTGCAGCATTGAGCCTCCCCGAACTGATTTTCGCTTTGGGAGGGAACCCACGTGCGATTCGCTCATTGCATGGGCCACGATCTTGTTCACCCAAAGCCCATGTATGGCCAAGCTCCATAATGTTCAAGCCCAAGCTCCAACAATACTCATGCAGAAGGCTCCCATGAATACTAGGATGCAAGCATACACCCTCCTCTTACCACGAAGAATACGCCAGCTTTCATCACTGAGGAAGTCCTCCGACATGAGTTCAACGAGGGATGCAAAAATCAACAGTCCTGCGGAAATTGCATTCATGATACCAACGACTAACAGACCAACCTCGGAATCTGGACTGTAAAGGGTGTGGGTTGCGAGACCGATGGCCTGTCCAATCGGGGTCCTAGAGGCTGGTTAGAATGTCTGAGCTCGGCTAAGGAAGATGTGTCAACATACGTGCAGCCATAGGCGAGTGACATGATCCAAGGCTGGATCTGTTTGTCCGACCAGGGCAAAGCGGAGATACGAGATCCTAACGCAAGGCCCTCGAAGGTTTCTTTGGACGAGGTTATTAGAATGCATTATGGGTGATGGGTGATGGGGGACTCACGATGGAATACGATGGCAATCAACAAGATCACAAACTCGTTACCAACCGAGACGCTGAGTGACATGCCGATGAACACACTATGGAACAGAATTCCCATTTCGAGAAGGTATACTTGCATGGTCTCTTTCTTTTGTTTCTGTTCCGGGGTCAGATCGAATGTGTCGTCGTGACGTTCTACATCAGACTGAATGGTGCCGTTTTCTTTCTCATGATGAGTTTGAACATCGGGAGCAGAGGAGACTCGAACAATTTCATCAGTACCATCTCCCATACGATGAATGGTTCTACTGATACTAGCCGATCTCCCAATCAGTGGGCCCATGTCCCGAAGATGGGGTCGGCCCTCCATGCCAGCAGCACGGGGGCTGCGCTCTATGCAGGTTTCAGGACATCCGAGTTCTTCACATGTCGGGGCTGTGGCACCTGCAGTAGCCGAAGATGAAGATGAAGAAGTCGGTCTCCGACTTGTGGGTTGCTTTCCTCCACGACAAATGCTTTGCGCGGGACTGAAGACCATTTCGATGATCGTGACTAGAAAGATACCAGCCAATGCAATGGCACCTGGCATGGCGGGGTAGTCTTTTGTCCAAAAGTTGGAAAGACATGGGTCTCCAAGCGAGGTGAAAGCAGTCGGAAGAAGATGCACAAATGCGGTCGCAATCAGCACGCCAGTTCCAAAGTGACTGACAAAGAATAAGAAAGATGGCGGGATGCGCATGCGAGGAAACCGAGTTGCAAGAATAGGGAATGCACACGCAATTGAAGAAGTACCCAAGATGATGAACAAGGCTGCGACGTGAAGAGGGAGATCGTACGCATCACCGCGAACACCTCCTTGAGCACAGCTTGATCGCTTTGCAGCCACAGGGTACTGTTCAAGCGGTAACTCCAGCACAACTGCCTCTTTGGAGGCAAAGCGCTCTTTCAATGAGTTGAATGAGATGAGACCCGAAACGAAGAGTACGGAAAGAAGCCACAAGGCCCAGTCCTTAACACTCTGGTATGACGGGAGTACATCGTCGGTTGAGCCTAGTCTTGCGTGAACAAGCCCAGATTTGGCGTTGTGGGAAGCGAGACGTCCTATAATTTCGGTGAGCCATGGTAACGTATGTGATATTCACCCAAGTGTTGATACCTGACAAAGTCAGGGACGCCTCGCGTCCCAAGGTGAGGTCATCACCGGCATCCTTTTCTTCTATCGGAGGCGTGCCCATCCAATTGGAACTTCCTTGTAATACACTTGTACCATTGCCGTCGACCTCAATCTCACGGGCATTTGCAATACCATTGAGATCTTGACGAGTGGTCAATTCAGGAGGGAAGAACCGTGGGCTCTGGTTCCACCCAGCATGCTTCATAGTATCGTCTGTTCGAGAGGGACAATTCATGATGCCAAGGCTTTAGACTAATGTTTAGAATCTGACAATCTGAACAAATGACCGGGGTAAAGAAAAGAGCGATGGGAACCCAAATCATGAGGCGATATCGATCCTCAGGGCTTGGCATATGGTGGACTCCGGCCCGATATCTTGGCAGCGGACCCTCATCTTCCGCCGTGATTCGCCCAGCTGTCTTCCTCGGTCCGATATTCGTCGAATCTTGATGCCTGCTGCTTTGTGGATCATCAAATTATCGATCCTACTTGTTCCGACGCTTGAGTTTGACCAGGATGGGGGGATTTTGTTTCCTCACCGGACTATAAGAAAGACCCGACAACCCTCCAGGGCTGTTTGTGGAAGAATATCTGATCACCCACTAATAGACCAAGTAGCTCGAGTGATCAACATAGAATCAGGGTGGAACCTTGGAAGACTGCACTTAGGAAATTTGATACTGAACTGTCTTACTACCTTATATCTCACCGCAAGGACTTGTTACCACATTGTACCTATCATCACAGTTGCAGCTTTGGCATTAACCTGATTCAAGAAATGTTGAAAGCTAGTAGGGGCCGTGAATTATCATAAGCCCAAGATGAACATTCTTATGAGCTATGAGCAAGTGACCCGTGATATTTTGATTTATTTCATGGCTGTGTCATTTCGCCCAGGGCGCCTTGGTATGGACTTCATCGTTACTTCGCGTAGAGGGCTGAGTAGGCTGAGCAGATGCCCAGGGTGCTCTCGTAGGAGCCATAGCACCCGGAGACATCCTCGAAGTATCCGGGATGATCGGTAGTGCTCTTGTAGAGGTATCAGTCGATGAGAACGGAGCACCCTCTCTCCGGGTTCCAGCCCACGGAGCTGCTGTTGCGCCCGTGGGAGGAGGCTGTGCAGCTGACCCAGATTTAGCCCAGGGAGCCTGGGTACCAGCCCCAGGCATAGGGCGCGCAGCGGCAACGGAAGGCATGCCCTGATCTGGTGCAACGGGACGCGCCTGCGGACCAGAAGTAGTATGCACTGTGGAAGGGGGTGGGATGGCATTTGGATCACGATCCCAACTGAACAAAGAGCCGAACGGGAAGTGCTGTACCACGGGGAATTTTGAAAGAACCTCGGCGTTGTACATTTTGACCATTCCCTGCGGTCTGTTAGCTCAGCCACTATCATCAAGATTCAAAATACATACTTTATTGATCTTGCCCCAGCCGGCTCGTATACCGGAGATATCGAAGAGCATGGGGCTGTGCTCCCAGAACGGGCCTCTTTTCACGTCGTAAATGAACCCGATAGCAGCGAAGTATAAGTTAGTTTGACGTTCTCTTTCCACAATATTTGCTTTGGCGACGCCGCCTGGGTCTGGTGCATTGAGTAGTGAGCCTTCTTCGGGTGTAAGGTCGCTTTCGCTGATCGCAGGTGAAAATTGGGCAGACCCAAAGATATAGGGAGCAAAGGAGTGATCATCAAGTCCCCAGACACCGTGAGAGCCAGCAGGTTCTAGGTTGTAAGTCTTTATCAGTTTTCGAATGAGGTCCAAGTAGCTAAAAAAAGACGTCAGCAATGGAGATACAGATGTTATGGAGAGATATAGTTGACGCACGGGTGAACCACTCCGATAACAATGGCTCTTTCCTCCACGCCTGGCTCAGCTTGGGGGAAGCCGTTCAACTTCCATATTCCACCAAGGAATGCGAGAAAGCTCAGTTCATGGCCTGTGCCATAGTCTAAGCGCTGCCCGCTTCCCCAGCTGCCCATCAAGTATGCTTTTAACTCAGTCTCGGCTGTCGGACCGCCTTCTTCGGACGATCCTTGTTGCAAGAGCTCCGCCGGAAGACATTCTTTCAATAGGTCGGAGGCTCGACTGTCAACAACCTCACACCACCTCCGAAAGCTTATATTTCCAAATCTGCGGGGACCAGTATCCGGGGGAACTTCTTGTATGATATCTTCGAGTTTGAGGAGGAGTCGCTGCAGCTGGCGGACGGGAGCGGAATACTGGATCGCATCACTGTTGATAGTCCAAGCTTGAGTAGTATTGTCGGGCAGTTTCAATGGGAACATGGATCGATTCAATTGTAAGATCCAGGTCATGATGTCAGTGTAAGCTTTGGAGGTCAAAAAGGTCGAAACATCTTGCGACTCATGGATTTTCTTAGTAGGCTGAGCAAAGGGGTGCACCGTAGGTGAGTCCAGTTTGGACAGCACACGAATAGATAGACCATTCGCCATGATCGCTTTAGTCGAAAGAGTTGACGGAAAGAGAACGTGGAGGGGAAGGCGGGATCTTTGTTGGTGCGGCCCCACTCCAGCTCTCCGTACCGCGTCAAGCTTTCTTCCACCTCCCCGCGCCTTCAAAATGCCACCAAGGAGAATCAGAAAGCTGGGTGGATCCACAGATGAAAGTGTCAACTGGTTGAACAATCCTACTCAAGGAGCAAGGAGCCTACCCGATCCAAAAAAGCGCCGTGTCACGAATGAGACTGCCGAGTACGACCTCCCCGTCTCCCCAGAACAGCTTCAAAGACAAGCCCAGAACGAGAGAAATCTGAGAAGTCGTCGCAGAACCGCGCGACGCGAGCCATCCCAGGACATATCTACCAGCGAGGATCAAGAGGAGGAGGAAGACCCTAGCGATGCCGAATCAGAGTCAGACATCGAACTGCCCGATGCAAATGACGCGCCTACCCCAACTGTGGTTATCCGCAACGTCAGGCAGGAAGAGGTGAACCCAGATGATGGTCAGCAAGTTTTGGAAAACGAGAATGAAGCAGATCCATTACCGGGGCCAATTGAATTGTTTACAACGGAGGACGAAGACACTGCCATCGATGATGCTGTGAACGGTGACGGAAACCAAGTCGATGATCTAGCTAGCGCCACCGAGGTTCAAATCAATACTGGGTCTCCAGGTCTTGGGTATGACGCTGGATCTGATGCTAGACCCAACACAGGATCATTGGAAAAAGACGAAGATATGACAATCAATGATCTCGCAACTGGCACCGAAACTCATTACAGAAACGAGTCCCCAGGCGCCGATGCACTCGACCCTGAATTTGAAGCTGATTCGGACAACGAGTCATCCGCTGAACCCCAAACCTCCGCCGATTCTACGTCAAAACCTCGCTCTGCTGGCGAAATACAGATTCCAGAGAGCTCGGTGCAAACACGACTCGAGCACCCACAACCAATCCACAAGCCGAGCAACACTTCTCAGTCTTCACAGATCCATTCAGCACAACCCTCAAGGATAGCAGAATCGCTAGGCCCAACAACACAGCCGTCCTCAAATGGAGGACATACGCGCCCTTCCCATGAGATCTTCACATGGCTGGCCAGCACCATCGAGGAATCTGGCTTCAAGCGTACTTGGGACGTCCTCCACGAGACAAGAAGAACCTCAAAACAAAAAGCCGATCCGCCCATGAGAGAACGATTTGCGCATATCAGACGGATGAACACGCGGATGCAAGGCCTCTATGAGGAATTGACCCAGAGTAACACCCCGACTACTGCGATGAGAGATCTTCGGGGGAGCAGTGTACGCTTATCGCCAACAACATATTCAACGAACTCCAGTGGATCATTTTCCAAGAGGCCCGAGACGAGCCATCAAAGGGTGGCGCCTTGGTGAATCAAGTGGAGGCTCACGTCATACCCTGGTTGATCGAACTGGTGTACTTCGGCTTCCAGGCCTGGAAGACCTGGAACGAAAAAGGCAAAGTAAATTGGCTGAGGCGGCATTTCCGCATAAGTCTCGACCTGCTTTGGGGAAGTAGCTACAAGATCGCGAGTTATTCTGATGTGACCTACGGGGAACGCAACGTTCCCACCCCGCTCAGGGGTTTGATGTCAGCCGTGAAGGCCATCAAAGATGCACTCAACAATGGCCGATTGCGTGAGCTCGGTGGAATACGTTCCAAACCACCATACCGGCACTTTGAGCTCACAGAGGTGACGGATAACATCTCCCTTGAGCCATGGAGTCGAGACGAGAAAGATGCTCTCCGAAAAGCATTCGAGAGTGCGGTTGTCAATGGCTTCAAGGGTGAGAACCCTCTCTGCACCACATATATGAACATCACTAATAAGAATACAGGTGATTATGTTTACATTGATATCAAATGTGGCCTTCCGTATGGGGATACTCTCTCCGATCGCCTCTTCCGACAAGTCAAAGAGCAAGCTGTGAAACTGGGACTGGTTGAGGAGTAATGGTTCCCAGATGATTGTATGATGTATTAGATACCCCGTAGCGTTGTTTCAAATCCAAGCCCATATGCGAACTAACATGAGTATACAATCCATACGTTGAAGATATTTAGGTTGTAGCATGCACAGGAGGCGAGCCAAGGAATCTTATAACTCTACCTAGGTAGATTATACGTGATATAGTGGCTACGTAGTTTGACTCGGGATTTCCAAAGTTGAATCAGTTATAGGTCAAGGAGTACGAGGAGTACGTTCGGAGTGGTTCGCACGTACGGAGTATATAGTTCCAAGGTTATGCAAAAGTCCATCCGACGCGGAAAACACGGTAGAGTGGACCCGAACCTCGGAACGGTTGCCATTGTTTTGTTTGCTTTGGACACGCGTTGGCCTGACTTGCATACTTTCAACGTTGCATCTCTGCCGATGAATATTTCTGGATGCTTTTCTAGAGACTCACCTCGGTCGAGGTATAGTTCCTCGAACCAATTAGCCGCGAAGGTTCACGGAAAATTATATCAACACTACATCGCCAAGTTTATATGCCCCAGCTCCATGTCCTATCATCCATACTCCGTACAATTTAGATAGATACAAGTGCAGATACAATTGAGTTAAAGCTCGGAAGCCAGTTAAAGGACATGAACTCGTGCAAGGGGATACCCCGGATGGCCCAGGGGAAGGTCGATCCCCCTCCTGAAGAGACACCGCTTTCTCTTTTTCCCGCTTTCCCCTTTTCCTACCTTTGTTCTGTTTATTTGCTTTTTGGTCAATTGCGGTCCGTTGGACTTCTTTAGCATCTGAATTCGAATAAGCCGTTGCCCCTGAAGTTGTCCAAGTCCGTTTGGCGCGTGAGTACTCTCTTTTTCCCTGCTTGGCTCTTTGTTTGGGGAGCTCCGGTCCGTCGCAAGCTACCATCGCAATGGAACGCCCATGCGCGACTGACTCCACTGGCAAGATTCTCGGGTTGGCCTTGGGATCTGTGATCAGATCATCTCTCGAGGCTGATTCCAGTTGCGAAGCGTGAGCTAAGCTCTGAGCCGAGACAGTCAACAAGCTACGGGGCCGCAGATTGCATTGAAAGAAACAAAAGCTGACTGGAATTCTCACAAACAGTTCAATTGTACAACATATCGAGTCGCCGAAACTCCATTCTATTCCGGCAAAATCGTATAATACAATAATCTCAAACAATCCTCCGAAATGTCGTCTATCGACGAACCGGTCGTCGCGCCTGCTCCTGCCGAAGTCCCCGTGGAGGTAGATGAGAATGAACCCCCGGCTACTCCAGTAGAGCCTGTGGTCTCTGGGGGCGAGGAGGCAGTCAAATCTAGCCCCGAGGTAGTAAAGTCTAGCCCCGAGGCAGTCAAAGAAGCACCCAAGGCCTCTCCGACCAAGGCCAGCTCTGGCGCAACCGCCACAGCCAAGCGTCCTGTGTCGGGAACTGCTGCCACTAAGCGGCCCACCTCGTCGTCCGCATCGAAGCCCACCACGGGAACTTCTCGCCCAAGCACTAGCAGCAGCAGCACCTTGAACAAGCCGCCCACTCGCCCCACGACTACTACCGCGACCCGCAAGCCGCTGAGTACCTCTACCACTTCGTCCCACCGGTCTCGGATGTCTGTCAGCAGCTCTGCCGACGAAAAGCCTCGCTCCGTGGCCAGCTCTGGGGATGAAAAGCGCGGTATCTCTGGCACGGCAAAGCGTATGTCCATGGCTGGTACCGCTTCCACTCGCGCTCCTTTAAGACCTTCCCCTTCTGTCGACCGCCGATCAAGTGTGGCTAGCACCACCGCGGAACGAAAGCCTCCTGTTACAGCCTCACGCACTGCGACCTCGACAAGCAAGCCCGTGGGCCGATTGACCTCCGCGACTGCTGCTCCTTCTCGAACCGCTACTTCTACATCGGCTACACGACCGACTACCACTCGGCCTACTTCAACCACAAGCACAGTTCGCTCCTCTACTGCCGCGGACCCCAAGAAGCGACTGAGTACGGTTTCTGGCACCACTGCCCGTGGAGGTGAGTCCGAGAAGCTGCAGGCCCTTCAGACAAAGTTGTCTGAGAGCGAGGAGACTGTGGCCAGCTTGAAGACTGAGCTCGAGGGTGTCAACGAGAAGCTCACCCAGCTGTCCCTTTCAGCCGAGGAGCCCTCAGGCAACACTGGTGCCACTGAAGCTAGCAACGCGGAACACGTCGCAGAGATCGAAAGATTGACTTCAGCTCACGCCGAGGAGCTTCAGGCTCTGACTGTACGACTGGAAGAGGCTGAGACCCAGCGCAAAGAGCTGGAAGAGAGTTCCCAGAAGGACCTTGAGGAGGCTAGACGATCTGCTTCAGCCCAGGGCGATGATAAAACAGTTGCTCTGCTCGACGAGCTTAAGGCAACCCACCAAACTCAGCTGGAGGCAATCGAAAAGGAGTTGGCGGAACACAAATCTTCCGCTGCCCACTTTGAGGAGCAAATCACCGCGCTCAAGAATGAACTTGAGGCCCAGAAGGCCGCTCTCGCGGAAGAGAAGGCCCGTGAACTCGAACATTTCGAACGCGAACTTAAGGGTCGGGATCAGGTTATGGAGAACCTGAACCAGGAGATCGTGAAACTGAACACCATCAAGGACCAGGAGGTTCGCGCTGCCGGGGAGAGTGCTAAGCAGAGTGTCGCCAGCCTTCAGGAGCATGTAGCATCCCTCGAGACGAAACTTGTTGAAGCCGAGTCTGCTACCAAGGAGAACCCTGAGCAGACATCTTCGCTCGCCGAGAAGGACCAAGAGATCACCGACCTCAAGCAGGCTATTGAGGCAGCCCACAAGGAGATCAAGGAAGCTAACGAGGCTGCAGCCTCTCAATTAAACTTTGAGGTCGAGCAGCTTGGATCTGCTCATGATGCCGCAATTGCTCAGCTCAAGGCTGAACACGATGCCGCAATCAGCTCTCTCTCTACAAAGCACGCCGAAGAACTTGACGGCGCCTCCAAGGTGGCTGAATCGAGCGGTACCGAGCACACCGAGCAACTTCAAGCCCTCCGCGATGCCCTTGAGGCCTCAAAAATTACTGCCCATCAGTCCCAACAAGACGCCATCGCCGAGCTGAAGACTGCGCACGAGGCGGAGCTGAAGTCCTTGCAAGATAAGCTCGACGCCTCGGAGAACACTGCCCAGCAGGGACAAGAGCATGTCGTTGCGGAGCTGAAGATTGCCCACGAGGCCGAGTTGAAATCGCTACAAGATAAGCTTGATGTCTCAGAAGCCGCTCTGGCCGAGAGCCGCCGCGCGTTGGAGGAGGGCAATGCTTCTGCCCAAGATCTCGCCGTGCAGGAAATTGACGCTCTTCGCAGCAAGTGCGAGTCGCTGGAGGCGCAATTGACCTCAGGCACTGGCAAGATTAACGCGCTCCTTGAAGAAATGCAAAGCAAACAGGCTGAGGCTGAAGCCATTCACCGCACTCTCCGTGATGTCGAAGACCATTCTAAGCAAGAGAGTGCCCAAAAGGACAACAAGATGAGGGCTCTTGAGGAGAAGGCCGCAGAAGCTACATTCCTTCTTGATCAGCACACCGCGCAGGCCGCCGGTGTATCCGAGGCGCACGCAAAGGAGCTTGAAGAGTTGAAGGCCCAACATGCTACCCAGCTTGCATCCGAGCTCCAGCAGGCTAAGGAAGCCTCAGGCTCACATGATACTGCTTTGAGTGACCTCCAGGCTCAGTACGATGAGCTGCTTGCCTCTAGCAAGGGGTTGGAATCCGAGCACGCCACTCGAGCCCAATCGATGGAGGCCGAGTTGAAGGCCGCGCTCGAAAGCCATGCGAGTGAGATCGCCACCCACACCGAGGGTCACACTGAGCTGCAGAAGCAGTTTGAGGAGACCCAGACCAAGTTGCAAGCTGAGCTTGCTACTTTGCAGAGCTCCAACAAGGCGGATGCTGAACTTCACGCCAAGCAAATCGCTGAACTGCAGACTGGCTTCGAGGAAACCAAGGCCAAGCTTCAGGCTGAACTTGAAGCTACTCAAAGCTCTAAGGCTGCTGACTCCGATGCCGAACACAGCAAAGCGATCGAGGAGCTTCTCACCATGTACGAGTCCAAGCTTTCTGGCCTCCGGGAGGAACTCGAGGCATCTTCCAAGTCTAAGATTGAAGAGCTCCAGAAGGCCCACGATGCGGCCCTGGCCAGTGCCAACGAGCAACTGTCTCTCGCCCATGCCGCTGCCCAAGATACTTCTGCTCTGGAGAAATTGCAGGCCACCGTCGCGGATCTCGAGAGTAAGCTCGCTGATTCCGAAAAGGCCCACATCGCGGTCCAGGAATCTGCTACATCTGCTTCAAGAGATATCGAGGAGCGGTATGCAACTGAGCTTGCCACTATTCAGACTGAGCATGCTGCTCTGACTGAGAAATATCAAGCCACCGTCACACAGCTTGGCGAGCTACAGAAGTCTGCTGTTGATTCTGACAGCCAAAAATCGCACCTTGAGTCTATCATGAAGCAGCTCTCTGAGTCTCGCGATCAGCTTTTGAAGACAAAGGCGGATAACGCTTCCCTCGCCGACTCTCTGGTTGATTGCAAGAGCCAGAACAAGACACTCGCAGAGAAGCAAGAGGCCGGCGAACGGGATCTCAACGATCAAATTGACAAGAACATGGGTCTCCTTGAGCAGCTTGGTCAATTTGACTCTGACATCTCCACCAGCCGACGACGAGTTCGTGAGCTTGAGACGGAGCTTGCAGTGCTGAAGGCAGACAGTGCAGACAAGAGCAGCACTTCAGGACTAGGAGCCAGCAGGTGGGCTACAGCCGATGAGGGTAGCGAGAACGCTGAAGATGGGGGTCCAGCCACAACGGAAGGTGAGGACCTAGGCCCATCCATTGAGGGAACGGTGGGAGATCCCCGATTGAAGAAGTCTTCCTACTCATCAGATCTTCCCGCATTCCACCCGTTTATATGAGATTGAAGACTACATACATGTTTACGGAGACTAATTCATATCATAGATGGCAAGCATACAGGAACAGCTTAAGCACGTCCGAACGGCCCACGATGATTGGCACAGCGAGCATGGCAGGTCAGACCCACCTACCCCATTCGTGTCGAGAACAAAGAGAACAAAAATATTAACCAACCCATTCAGACTCCTTGGCCAGCTTGCCAACATTTCACAGCAAGCGTCTCCCGCCCGTAGCCTCTCCACAACCCCCCTTTCGGCTATTTCCGAGGTGCCACCATCAGCCAGAGAGCCAGAACCAGCCCGGACCCGCGCAGCAACAGTCTCATTCTTCGGTAAAGGCTAAGTAGTGTGTGGATTTGTGACGTCTGAGCTCTAAGTCGTGATGCAGCATGACTTTCCTTTGTTCAGTCGGTTTGATCTTGTGATTCTACTGTATGTAATAGCTTGCAGGATGCCCTATCTTATAGGCCTGGGTTATCCCGCTATTCTTGTTTCAATATTTTTACTTCATATATACTCACTTGAGATGACACTGGATTTCAAATATCAAGTAGTAACGTAAAACTAAGTGGGTATCTCATTAAAGACAGAAGTTCAAATAACGCCTTGCCCTGTCTGAACCTCATAAGAGCATGTCCAAACCCCTCAACCGCACCAGAAAAGTAGCATTCTAACGCCACCATGAAACTCGGTGGACACCTGTCCAACCTCGAGCCTTGCAAAAACCCCGGAGACTTGGTCTTCAATCCGAATCGGAAGGATAGTCGACGAGTTGTGTCTTGTGAGCGACTGCCGGTGCCTCGGAAGCTTTATCGGGCTTCGCTGTTGCGGCGGTTTTCACTGCAACCGATTTGGCAGGAGGCTTCCCACGGGAGAGTGGCGTCGAAGCTTTGGTAGTTTTAGGCCTCTTGACGCTCCAGTAGTCCGGGTCATCCGAATCACCATCGGGGCCTTTGAAGGGATTCCTATCAGCACGGGCTTTGGCAAGGACATCTTTCTTCCACGCAGCCTTCTGGGCAGCTGCGGCATCCGCCTTGCGGAGTGGGCGCTTGTTGCCAGTTACTGGTTTGCGCGGGGCATCGGTGGATGGAAACATGGGTTCGAGGCGACGAGCCCGCTCTGCCTTGGCGATTGGGTCTCCGCCGAACTCAATCTTGCTAGCTAGCTGGCGGTCTTCCTCGGTGAGATCCGGAAGCTCAAGATCAGTGCTCAGACTGGCCCGTTCTTTAAGAGCTTCTTTGGCAGCATCTTTCTTCTCGAGGCTCTTGCGCTCCTGTCGGAAGTGTCGGCGTAGATTCTGATTCTTGGTGTACGGATCTTCCCAGTCTTTGTCGCGAGCTTCCTTGAGTTCGAGGATACGGCTGGCTTCAGTCTTAGCGCGAATCTTGTCTTCCATCTTGTCTTCCAGCTTCGAGAAAGGGTCTTTCCCTACTGCATCCTGGGTTGCAGCATAGGGCTTGATGGTGATTTCGCCGGGCTGGAGGGGTTTGTCTTCTCCAAGATCTCGCTTGCGTCCGCCTTCAGTCACGATGTAAGCGGTGTTTTGGGGATCGGTCTTGATCTCGATTGTGCCGCCGCAGACAGTGTGCTTCATGCGGAAGGTGTAGATGGGGGTGGAGTAGTAATTCCCGACTTTGGTTTTCTCTGCGTTAAAGCGCACGCCTTGCCCAATTATGACCGGATGGGGTTTGCAGTGGTCGCACCATACTGCGAAAGGCATCTCAAATCGTACGACCAGTGCGCCCGTGGTGTGGAGCTTTCTTGCGCGCGCGCCGAGAGGGTGCTTTCCTGCCAATTTGTTTCCCGATGTGACGCCTTCTTCGTCCGGGGGGACATATCTACAGAGAAGATCAGTTCGAGTGCCGTTAGATTGAAGTTGAAAAGTGCTGACCGTCCCATATCTAGCAGGTAACATGTTAGCAAAAATTGTTTTGCGCATTGTCTCGTGGACACACTCACTGAAGCCCTGCATCTTGGATGATTCGTGGATAACTATCCAGCAGCGATGATTAGAGAGCACGCCCAGTTAGCGATGCAGCACCATCCACGCGGCTGGGCGTCCGGTCTTTGAATCAGGGTGAAGTGCACAAGTCTACGATGTCTCCGCGCAACAATTGAAGTGGAACGATAAGGGCGATAACGAGCTCGGGGATATCGGAGTTAAAAGAAAACACGCTAGTCTTCTTCGAGCCTTTACGTAACATTGATTATGTCAGGCTAATTGCTCGACAATTGGATGTGAGGATCACTGTGCCCTCACTTTCCAAGGTTCAAGGCTTTCTTTCATGCAGACGCTGACTGGAAGGCATCCGTGGATTCTTGTCTGGCTTCATTTTTGCCTATACATCTAGCAGATTAGTCCATCTAGACTGTTGGTGTTCTGTCCGCTCTTCTGCCTGAATCAGTATGCAAGTGTAATCGAATTCATCGATCTGGTTCCCTTGATCCTCACCACTTGGGCATAGATCAGCCTGATAAGTCTAGATGGACTACACAGACCAGGGAACAATGTTTTATATGAATATCCCAGAAACAAAATGTATGAACGCTCTAAAAGACTTTCTCTTGTTTCTAATCACCGGAGTTGGTCTTTGGAAAGATTGGGCAAAGCTTACTCCAGTCTGTCCACAAAGCTTGAATGCGACTTACAGCAAAGTGCATCATTCTGACACCATGATAATTGGTTTGTTCGTGCCTCATAGAAGCATTGCGTAACAAGCTCTGCAATCTTTTAACATGTTGACATCGTGTGTCCCCATTTGGATATCCCCATTCTCGTGAACACAGCGCAAATAAACCCAAATCTAGCTGGGGGCTAGTACGGGAATCTTATGTGATAGGATATACCTACGGTGTAACCGTGGAAGAAGGGCAAGCACACATTTTTGTCACAATCGTGCCTTCTTGCAAAGTCATTCTTCGCTGGGATTCATCATTCGCCGGCGCTTTCTGGGGGTGATAAAGTTCGACAGTCAGACATTTGATCTATACGATATCTTGAAGCGTGGGTCATATGAAGAGGCAGACTTTGCAGCAAAGAAATACCCTCACCATCTTAAATGGGTACAGCCATGTCACTGGAGTTGGATGCTGGCATGGAAGAAGCGCTTGACCGCTACGAGAAGGACATCCTCTTCCAAATTTCCACTCTTTCCATTACCGCTAAAGAGGAGGAAGAAGACCCAGCCACCGACTCCGACTTTGAGCAGTCCCCCAAGTGTGTCTGCTGTCAAGACCGATATCCACGAAGCGAGACAATTCAAGCCCGATGCCGTCATTTTTATTGCAGCACTTGCGTGACTGCGTTATTTGAAGGAGCTCTACGGGACGAGTCTTTATGCCCTCCTCAATGCTGCACCACGCCAATAACACTGGAAGATGCCGAAGAGTTCATAGACCACAAGCTGGCTACGAAGTATAGAAAACGTGTGGTTGAACTACTTGATCCGGACAGGACCTATTGTTCAGAGCCGACCTGTTCTCGATATATCCCCCAAAAGAGCACAAGATCACACCGCGTGGTCTGCCAATGCAAATGTGGGGTTCAAACATGCAGAAAATGCAAACAGAAGGCCCACGGCGAGTTAGGTGATTGTGTCCGCCACTTTGACAGCTTGTTGGAAAATCTAGCGAAAGTCAAAGGGTGGAAAAGATGTCCAAACTGCTCTCGTTTGACTGAGCTTTCTTTGGGCTGCTTTCACATCAGGTAATGAAGCTACTACATGACTCTTTCGACTTACTCTCCCATGATTTTTTTCATTGGTACTAATCATTACTAGGTGTATCTGTGACTTCGAATGGTGCTACTCCTGTGGCAAAGAGTGGGGATCTTGCGAATGCGTGCTCTGGGAAGAATACTACCTGTTAGACCACGAGTAATGATTGACAGAGAAGTCAAAGCTACTCAGAATCTCGCTATATGATTGGAGCAGGCGAGGGTCGCAGAGTTTGCTGGATCTACAAATTCTGTTCACGATTTGGGATGATTGTTTGATGAGCGATGAATGCTTCTGCGTTTTTGGCAAGATGGTTGATTGCCTTTACATTGAATGCCAATGGAAACAAATCGCTAGATATTGCTACTATGGGCGACTAAAAATCTTCAAATATCAAAGTCCTGGAAGATAGCAGCATCTAATCTGGTACTTCAGGACTTGAGGAGTACACGACTTATCTTGTGATGAGAATCGATAATCCATAAAATGGCCTCCGCCCAGACACCTGGGCAACAACTATATTCCAAGATTTTGGGCAGTGCCGCTGCAATAATGACGAAGTTTTCTAGTTGGTTGCTCATTGCCGAGGTGTATTACATGTCTTGAAGTTTCAGAAAGACAGGAACTCAAATTTGGTATAGATGGTTGCACTTCTCATTCTTCAATCCACTTAACCTGTCATTCATGTCTCCCAGCGACGAGACATTCTTGCTTGATTCTCAACGTGACCGATCTTTGAGCTCATTCTACTAGCTAAGATCTATTTCTTCGGCGAATCAGCGTCTCGACAAAGACAAAAGCCATGGACAGCAAGAATGAAAGAATGGAAAATCCCAAAGGATATCGCCACGACACACACGACCAAGTGGCTGATCAAACCCCGAAATGTTTGAAGATGTTGAGATCTGTCAAAGACCGTGTCTCAAAATTCTCTGGGTATAGCTACAAGACCTTTTAGAGTTTGTATTCACTGCGAAACAAGATTAGAGAAGATGGGAGAGCCCAGGAACCAGAACGACTGAACGACAGTCAAGGGGATAAAAAGCAAGCTGAAACCAAGGAACAAATTGAGTGCGTATCTTGCGTGGACAAGTTTAAATTTTCGGAGGTAACTCGCATCTTCTGTTCCCACACATACTGCCGGGGCTGTGTCACAAAAATGTTTGAATTATTCGCCAAGGGAGAAGTCTTGGTGCCACCACGATGTTGCGGAAAGCCGATAGCAGGACACTATGCCAGCTACATATTGCAACTTGAAATGTCCAAAGATTACCAAGATCGAATCCTCGAATTCAACGACGACAACAAACTCTACTGTTCCAACACGAGCTGCTATCGATACATATCATCCAGTAACAGAAACCGTCGAGTCGGAGTGTGCGAGCACTGCATGACCCGAACATGTAAAATGTGCCGGGCTAGGGGACGCTTTGGACCTTGCCAGGAGGACAGCATCGATAGCACTCGCAAGATCAAGAGACCGACAACAGCAAGATCACAGCAAGCCAATGGTTTATCGAAAGTACCGAGGGCCGGACTAAGAAGTCGAAATTCTCGAAATCCATGAGCAATGCTTTGCTGAAGAGAATGGGGAGAAAAAGAAGTGGGAACGGTGCCCAGGTTGTAAGAGAATGATACAGTGGATATCTGGATGCTCTTAAATCACGTAAATTTTTCCTGAGTATGTATGCTTGATCTTGAACTGACAAATATCGCTTTTTAGATGCTCCTACAGGCGCCGTTTCTAACATCGCAAATAGTGCTCGAAGCACTTGAAACCCCCCCTTATGCAAGCAGGAAGAAAATGGAGACATGCCGCTGTAATAGTGCGTATTGGCGTATGGCAGGCTAAAGGTCGACCTAGGTGATGGATTGTGAAGAGATTTGGATAGATTCTCCTAGGCTCATGAGTCTGGTTCAAGTTGCTATAATTTCGCGGAGTCAGGTCGTTGCTATTACTAGAGTTTAACTCCAACTATACGAGGTGTTGGATATTGACAAAAGTGCTGAGATCAACTCACAAATTTGAGTCTTTAGTATGATCTAAGAAGTCTTTTGCTTCTTCGCTGGTCTATCTTCGGAATGACTAAATTCAGCCTTCCAAGACCCATCTCTGACTTTGGCATCGTTGCCATGAAAACCAACATCATAAGCATGCTTCATGCCATCCATGCATTTTTGCCGCTGCTCGTCGAAATCAAACATCGGCTTTGGATATGTATCTTCAGTGTCATCGGAGCGAGAAGATGGACTGCCATCTCCGGTGACTCTACAGCCCCATTTCTTTTGGTCAGCTATGGGAGCCTTCCATGGCTCGTAAATGTGCTTCTTGTCAAAGTTGGCAAGCTCAGGGCAATACCGTTTGATGAAATTTCCTTCCGGATCCCACTTTTTGCCAAAGGCTACAGGCGAGTAGCAGCGGTAAAACATCGCGTAAAACGCCGTGCAGGATAGCCACTGCCAATTACCGATGTTGCAAGCGGTTTCGTCTACAATCTTTGTGAGTTGACGAAGGGAGAGCCCAAGCGGAAAAACTTACGATCAATCAGCAGCTCTTCGAAGACTTCTGCTCCCCTCTCCCAGGAGACATAGCAGCCACCTCGAGTCAGGAAACAAGCAACGCTGTGTCTGCCGAGATGATGAATCCATCCTTCTTGCTTGAGTTGACGCATCAACGCATCGATCCAAGGGAAACCCGTTCGTCCCTCCTTCCACCGCTGAAACCACTCCTCCGCCTCCTCCGAGTCCACTTCATAAGACCCGTCGACTGACCCGTCCTTATCCGGAGGGTTCGATTGCAGATGCCAGTCAATGAACCTCACAGCCTCATTTCCATACGAGCGAGCAAACCGATGACCGAGAGGTGCTTGTGCTGCGAAATACATGTCTCTAAACAGGAGCTGGCCGTGAAGATTAGTTGGCACTGATGCGACCGGCTTCTTGGCTTTTCTTTGTTTATTGAAGACATCTTGAACATCCCACCAGAATTTTCTCACTGACAACGACCCAAAATGGAGATGTGGAGACAACAGCGTGGTGGACTGGGGCTCGAAAGCTGCTGGGGACGTCTTAGGCTTCTCGAATTGTGCGATATATTCCTCATTTTCGATACACTCTCCAAGGATTCGCAGTGCCTCGTCCTCACCACCTCGGTGTGGGGTGGCTGCCTGGGACAAATCGATACCGGTGTCATCCCACGGAACGGCAAAGTCGCCTTTGGGGCCCATGAGGTTTGAGTACTGCTCATCCTTTTTGGTGCGATGTTCCGCATTCACATCTGGTTTGTTATCAATCGAATCATGATCAAGGCTGCTGAGATCCATTTTCTTCTCATCCCATGGATCTGGGACGCTCTTAGGAGAATCGAGTGGCTTGTCGGGGTTGCCATTGTTGATCTTCACGGCGGCTTTTTCCACTTGAGTGATGCTCATTGTCGGTTTTCCGTTGTTCTTCTGCACCAGTTCATCGGGATCGAAAAGAGTCCTACCCATTCTCCAAACCACTTCAACACCGGCCTTTTCGGCCATCGCCACTATGGCAGTATCTCGGTCTTTCGCGTAAGCATCTGTGTCTTTTTCAAACACTAGATGCGTAACGCCCCAGTGTTTCCACAGCTTGGGCAGAATGGTTTGAGGCCCTTCTCTCACTACCCAGAGCTTTTGCTTGGGATTGAGCTTCTCATACCCCTTGGAGAGCTGACTTTGACATTCAAGGAGGAATTTCCAGCGATTGGGACCCACGCGTGCTTTGTACACATAATGAGGATCCCACGTCCAGACTGGGATGAAGACGGAGGGCTTCAACGCCAGAGCAGCATGTAATGCTGGCGAGTCATGAAGTCGCAGATCCGTCCTGTGATTATGATTCAGCAATTATGTATCTGGATGGACTGGGTTTACTGACCGATGCCAATACAGGACGACAGAGTTTGATGAAGAGCCGGCCTTCATAATTTCAAATCACGCTGAAAACCAATGTACATGGACTCAATGATGACGCTGATAAGAGATGAAGAAGTCTGGGAGTTTTCCACCCAGGGTTAGATCGAGGCTCCGCGATTATTATACAGTGACGTCACCAATTTTAGGCGATCGATCTGACTTTGGATACGTTCGAAACTCAGCCGTTCCCGGAATTAGACAATCAAATCGCCATGGAGTATAATGAGTACATGGGCGCATCTTGAGAGCTTCTTTGGCATCGTGGTGAGTTTGGAGACCGAATGAGCTGTTCCAACCTCATTGAAAGAGGACCAAAAGCTAAGCAAATACGTGAACGCAGGGGAACAACCAATCAGATAAAGATGGAGATAAAGTGATAATAAGACTTCATTGTTTAATTCTGGAAAACGTGATAATATTCATATATTTTGTTGACGCGTTCTTCGCTTTTCTAACAACGCGCTTTGATCCAGATTCAGCTCAGACTGCTTGGTGTGTTTGTTCCGCGAATTTTGCTCCGGAGAAGTAGGCTCAACCATGAATGAGAGTCGATTGACACCCTTGGGACCCGACAGACTGAGCTGTGACATCTGTTTGTCGGCACTGTTTGTGCTTGAGAGCTTGCCCATAATCCTCTCTTGTCGTCTCCGCTCATCTTCTATCTGATGTACTGAAAAAGCAACATCGAAAATCTCCGCTACATTCATGACATCGGGAGTTCGACATTCCACTTGGCCTCTGATGGCCAAGCTCGCAGGGCTTGGAAGGGGGTTTGGTTCGCTTCCATCCGAACCAGCGGATGGTTGCTGTTTTAATTGAGAGGGAACCTCCAGACTCGATGATTGTTGAGTAGGTTCCTGTTTGGAATGATCGGGTTGCGAAGCTTCTCGAATCCATGGATGAGCCATGAAGTCGTCAATGGTGTACCTCTTTGCAGGATCCACTGTCAAGAGATTCCTAACGAGATCTTTGGCTGTGTCGGAAATATTATCCCACCAGGGAGAGTCGAAATGGAACTGCCCCTTGATTACTCTTTTCATGAGTATTTTGATGTTGGGGTCGTAAAACGGCGGATATCCTGCTAAGAGTGCGAAGAGAACACAGCCCAAGGCCCACATATCCACTCCGGTGGAGTACTTTTGATCATCGACGATCTCGGGTGCGGCATATCCCATTGTGCCACACGGAGTGGCGGTTAGGTTGCCGAGGATCTTCTTGGAAAACCCAAAGTCTCCAAGCTTCACTGTGCCGATACCGCCAGAGCCCACACCGTGCGCAAAGTCACCTTCGTCCATTTTTTTCTCCTCACCCGGTTGTGGCTTTTTAGGAACTTTGCTCGGCAGCAACGGTATGGAATGAAACAAGATGTTTTCGGGTTTGATATCACTGTTCCCACTTAGTGTTTCCACCGAGGATGAATTCCAGCACATATGAGCAACGTACCGATGCACTATTCCTAGTGTCTGATGTAGATACTGAACAGCCCGAGCAACCTGGAGTATGACATGCCGGCTGAGATCTTCACTGAGATAAGTCAATTTGACCACCTGGTTGAATAGTTCTCCTCCAGTGCAGAGCTCCATGATTATATAGCAGTATTCATCTGTGTCGATTGTGTCTATTAGTTGGATCAAGTTTGGATGATCCATTTGACGCATTATTTCGATTTCTTTGCACATGCTGATGTTCTGTGCGTTGGTTAGATGATCCAGTCTGTATGAATAGACAGGAAGAGAAGGCAAATCGTACCTGCTGTGAGTTCATCTCGCGCTTTCGCATGATCTTGATTGCGACCTCATCATGTGAGGCTTGAGTGTCCTGGGCCCGAAACACCTCGCTGAAGGCACCTTTGCCTATACGGCATAGGAGATGCCAGCGATCTAGGCCAGGGAACGTTGGCATATCTTCGGCCATGTTGAAGATGGCAGTGATTGTGATAGTGGGTCGTTCTGCAAGAGATTTCGATTATGGCTAGGGATTGATGAAAGGACCGGTATTGCGGTTGCGGGATCTTCGCCTGATCAATGGTCGTCGGACTGGTCAGAGTATATAAGTATGTCAAAACTAAGATAAACCATCGTCGTACACCCAAGATTGTCAGTTATAAGCTTGGGGTAGGGGAAGGAAGCCCGATTGGCGGCTTTAAAAGAATGTGTTATCGCCAGAGAAACTGGTTCTGAGCTTAACGTCATGACGGATTGGAACAGGTGAGCTGATCAATGGAGGCAATGGAGGCTTGAAATATTTGACATCATCCCGAAAGTGAATCCGGATGCACAAAGACCAACGATTCGTGATTTCCCGCCAGCGATAGGTTGACGGATGAGTTCCCGCCAATCAGAAGCGTCAATTCCCCGGGACATCCATCGGGTACCCACTGGGTCTTTCAGCTGTACTTTTTAATTTGCGATTAATGCGAAGAAAAAGACATGTCTTTTTGAATATATCAATATCTTGATCTGAATATACAAAATTTAACGTAGAATCGTCAAAAATAGAATTAAGCTGGCAATTATGACGCTTATAGCCCGGGAAGTACAGTAGATCCCCCTGACGACCCCCCAATTCCCACTTTCCGAGGCAACGTGTTTGAGCGTTCGGATTCGTGGAACCTAGCCCAGTAGCTTGGCAAGTGAGAATCCATACTGGATCGTGGCAAGCAACCCGCCAATGTTGATGCAGATCGAGGTGCCATGAATGTACATAAACTGCCGATCCAGAAGTTTCTTTTCCTGAGAGACAAAAGCGGATGAGTCGCGCCGATCTTTCATATCTTGGAGGTGTTAGCTTCGTGTCTCAGCCAAGAATCAAATTCACATGTAAGGCATACCCTGGTACTTTCGCGCCTTCACTACTCTCTGTGTCAAGGGCCGGAAAATGATCAGATTGATCAACCCAGCGATAGACACGACGGTCATGTACCAGTACAATTCTTCAAGAATTGATGACACATTCAAGTCAGTCTTCCGAGTCCCCGTCAGAGCTACAAAGACAGGGAGGAATGATTGTAACGAAAAATAGACCGGAAAGATCGCGGCCTGGTGTATCCCAAAGGACGGTCTATCTAGCGACCGGAAAGCTAAGATGCCATTGAAAAATGTCTGTGAATTGATCAATCAGATAACGGTTCGGGACAGTACAAAGTACAGTATGTAACTGAAAAATCACCTGAAAAAATTGGCTTCCGAGCAGGATTCCGTAACTACACGAGGTAAGAATGATTCATAGCCGTGGAGTAAGGGGAAAGGTAGTAGTTACCTGACTAAATGAAAGAATTGGAGCAACATCACCATTCCCACCGCAGCTATGCGAAATACAGTTGCATAATGCGCGATTATCAAAGAAGGGAAAAATCTGGATCGCAACCCAGCTCGATGGGAATAATAGTCCCTACTGAGTGGAGCCGGAAATACCCACCCGGCCTTGCGTTCGTATCCACACTAACGCGCCAAAAAACAAGGCCTGGCCAACTTTTGAACCCTGGGTTTGACAGCAATGCCCATGCGCGTACGGAGTAGACTAATACTTAATGCTTGACCCGCGCCCCATTCAGCGACCCGGGTCGCTCTCTTTTCATGTACACTTAAACCTTGACCTCCAGGACTTATATATTCACCATGTTAGATGTCGATCTTGTCAAGCATAATGTCGGCGGGTGTACTTTCGATACCCCTAGTCGGTGTGTGTGCCTCGCACGATACCATTCATGGCTTGAAAGCTGATTCAAAAAGATACTCCAATATACAACTTCAAGGCTTTGGAGCCTATGGCATTGTTTGGTATGCGGATCTCGTTACGAGCAGATGGCTCAACAGACCATAATCCAGCATTGTAACTAACCGAAAGCCTGCAGCTCTCTAAAGGATAACCTCACGTCCGAGGTTGTTGCGATCAAGAAAATCCCAGACCCATTTCGGTCAGAAGAAGCAGCCAAGCGAACTTTTCGTGAGGTCAAACTACTTCGGCATCTCGAGCATGATAACGTCCGTGCGCCCCTTAGTGCCGAGCCTGGGCCCAAACTGACCTCGCGACTAGGTGATCTCTTTGCGGGACATATTCGTCTCCCCTCGCGATGACATGTAATAAAAGTACTCTCTTGGTTTTCGTTCAATGCTAACATGCCCAGATATTTAGTTACAGACCTCATGGCTACTGATCTCGCGCACATCATCGCTTCGAAGCCTATAGATGATGAATTCGTCAAGTATATCTGCTACCAAATTATGGTATGTTCACACGCCAACCGAGCTTTCCACCAGTCTAACATTCTGCATCATTCAGCGAGGCCTGAAATACATTCATTCAGCAGGCGTTGTGCACCGGGATCTCAAGCCAAGCAATGTGCTGGTAGATGAGAACTGTGATATCAAACTATGCGATTTTGGCCTCGCCAGAACAGTCGATACTACCATGACGGGCTACGTCACTATGCGACATTATCGAGCCCCCGAAACTATGCTAACATGGCAGAAATACACCGTCAAAGTTGATATGTGGAGTGCAGGTTGCATACTTGCTGAATTGATCGCAGGGACACCACTTTTCCCTGGCCAAAGCCACGCCGATCAGTTTTCCGTCATCTTAAATTTGCTGGGATCTGTTCCACAGAGCGTTCTACAGACAATTCCTTCTCAAAACGTATGTTTGATCACGATCCAACGTTCATGGAGGGACCTGTGAGGTGACTAACCTCGACATTCAGACATCAAAATACATCTCCAGCCTTCCCCCTCGGACCAAACAGTCATTGGCGGGCGTACTGAAAAACGCCAGCCCAGATTGTATGTTCTGAAAAGAAGAACAACCTTGGAAGTCGAGAGATCAATGCTTACTTACATGAACCACGAAATAGCCATTGAGTTGCTCGAAAAGCTGCTGGTTTGGGACCCGAATGAGCGCCTTGGCGCCGCAGCTGCTCTTGAACACCCATATCTTCAACTCTATCATGATGCTACCGACGAGCCTGTGGCAAAAGAAAAGTTTGACTGGTCTTCAGTCTCCAAAGATCGCTCCTTGGATCATTGGAAAATTCTTACGTGAGTTCCCCTCGAGCCTGATGAGAGTCATTGAACTATTTGGTATTGACTGTGGAAAGATACTCGGAGATAATGAATCACCACAACTCCCAAATCTCGGAAGATTTGATTGATTTCCAGTCCCTGTTGAACGAGTAACATTCAGCTATGCCATTATGAGTTCTTCTGCGTTTAGCGAGAGCGCCTTGAGCGCCTGAATTTGTGAGATATGCATGCTATGACAATCCTAATTTCAATTTGAGCGACTCTTCCAGCCCAGTAAATGGAAAGATCATAACACACAAGGGTCAATATTCACGCTATGGGCTCATCTCAATCATGACCTGCTTCCTGCAGTATTTTCAGACAGAGTTCGAGTTATCGGCGCACGACCACGGCGAGGATCCCCCATCTTTGAGGAAAGAGTCCCTGATCCCCACAGCAGAGCCGTACGAGCCTCCTATCATCAGAAAAGTACCAAGAAAGAGGATGACCATGGACCAAATCACGCCAAATCGCCATTTCCAAGTGCGAGTGCTTTTCCAGTTGTCGAGTAACCACATACCGGCATACGGCTGGAAAGTCAGGAATGTACCCAGAAGCGCACCTATCAGCGACACAAGCTCTGAGAATACAGGAATAGCACTCGCAATGATATATGCGACGATGGTGATACCTAACGTCGAAGAAAGCCATGTAACCCAATGTGTGACACTGTTGGCCGTGAGGTGGTCTGATCCACGCAAAATTCGGACAAAGACGTGCTTAGCGGACAGCTATAAAACATGTTAGTTTGATCAGTTCCACAGAGCATCGGGTAGGGCTCAAACATGGATGAAGAGAACACAGGACACAACCAAGCCAGGTAGCGCGATACCATATGACACCTTTTTCACGGTATCACCGGCTGATCCAAGTGCGGGCGAGGCCACATATGATCCACAAAAGTAATAGACGATAGTGCCGACAATGATGTAGACCAAAGTGACAGTAGTCTGACATATAGCGAGTGACCTGTTGTACATGAGAGGTTGGCGCATCTCGGCAACGATGTTGAAGAAAGCCGGCGTTCCAGCATATGTGAAAACCAATGTGGAGACAGCGGATATAGCTTCAGTGAAACTAGGATTGTTGAAAAGCTTATAGTCCGACTTCCAGTGACCGGTTTGAGGTGCCGCCGAAGGGCGGTCTTGAAGGCCCACGGCGATTGTGACAGCGAAGACTGTGCGATATATGTCAGAGTTGGGGTAAGAGCAATGGAGGAGGTTATCGAGACTTGCCGGCAATAATGATGGAAGTTGCCCCGATCCAAGCTAAAAAGCCAATTCGGTCGAGTGTTCTTAAGCTTCCAAACATAAAGCCGATGACAGCAGCACATGCCACGAATCCAGCTGTGCATATAGCGTGTGTTGAAAGAGCATTCAACGAGATTGAAATGCTCAACATGGCTGATCCTGCGACGAAAGTGAAGTCTGACAAATGTGAGTAGATATGCCCCCTCCACCCCAAGCCCCCGTATGTAAAGACTCACAAGTCGCATAAGCAGCTCCAAAAACCTCAAACCCAATCCGACCAAATAGCATCCTGCCTACATCGTCGATGCCATACACCTGTGGATGACGAAGCTTGATGACACCGACCATATAGTTTGACCAGGTTGTGATGCAGCCCATGGCCACAAGAAGAATATTGCCTGGCACCAAACCCACGGTGGCAAAGACGAGTGGCATCGAAAGCACACCAAGGCCGATCTGTGTCTTCATCATCAACGCGGTAGTACCTAGCCAACCGACCTTGAAAAAAGACAAACTGAGTGTAAGTTCTCGCTGCAGTCCGTGATCAGCTTACATTGTGGTAATTTGGACCATCTTCGGGAATTTCCCCAAACACATCGTGGTGATCAGTGATAGTTCCCAATCCTTCGTGCGTTGTTCGATCATCGTTCCCGCTCCCAAAATCGACATCAGCTTTCGAGTCTTTTGACATGGTGATAGAGGGTTCAAAATCTTTGAGTATACAATGGATTTAATATGACCAGACTACAGGAATACTGTTTATTTAAGTGCACACAGCTATAGCGATTGACCGATATCCCTCCCCGCGCATTGAAAGCATCAGGGGTTGGTGGAAAGGTTATCTTCGCCACTCAGCTTTCTTATCTCTCTTGTCTCAAGACTGGCGAGTCTATAAAGCCTCACTATTACCAAATTTGACACAAAACGGCGCGATTTCCCCGCTTCACCAAGATCTAGGCACGTAATCTACATTGCCGAGATAGGAGACAATGAGAAGGTGGAAGCGAATACCGGCTATGCTTACCTCCTCTTTCGAAGATGGTAGGTTATATCCCGGAATGACTTTCCAATATTGAAAGAAGGGCAAACTTAAAATGGCTACGTCCTTGACAACAACATGGAAAGAAAGGCAAATTAATTTGAAATTCTGCTATCATCCTATCATTGCTAGGGCAATAAATCCAGATCCCCTCACCTTCCACCACCACCACCTGCAATCGAAATATCTCGGTCTCAAAGCAGGTTGCGCTTTCCTGTTTGGAAACTTGGCAGTGAGAGAGTGACGGATTCATTATCAGTGGTTGAGGAGAACGTCTATTTGGTCACAAGACCACGGAGCTCTTCCTCAGAGAGATGCTTCAGGCCGAACAAATCATTCGAAAGCTTTGAAGTATCAAAGAGAGAACCGAAGCCTTCGCCAAAGATAGCTCGTCGGATGAAGCTAGTTGCGAGGATTGCTGGGTTGGGCGATGGCTTTTGAAGCTCTTCATATGCTGCCTTTTCCAGATCGGCGGTCGCGACAATCTCGGTATCAAGGGTCTTGCCAGACAACCGAAGAAGTTCTTTCTGTGACACCCGAGCTTCTTCAACATACACAGCAGTGTTCTTGGTAGCATCAAGATTGTTGACGATACCAACGATGCCCTTGCCCACGCCCTTGAGAGTGGTGGTTGAGAACGCCCTATCGCCTCCGTCGTAGAGAGTCGCAACAGGACCAGACAAATTAAGAATGAAGTTGTGCGCAAGACCCCAGTCAAGGAATGGACCAGTAATGAGCAATGAGTAGCTGAGACTGGAATCCTGGGATAATTTCTTGAGGTGGTCCTGAACGCTGACCTTATCTCCAAAGACAGGAAGCTTAGCTGTCTGAGGGTTGACGGTCTCGCAGCCATACTCGGAGGGAACGAATCGCTTAACTCCCACAGCAGCTGCGGCATCAATCAGACGGAGGTGAACGGCAAGTGGTATGACGCCAACATTCAGAGTGCTGACAACCACCTCCTGGCCCGTCAACGCATGCTTGAGGGAATCTATAGACTCATAATCCACATTTGCAACATGGACTCTGGGGTCAAAGGTCTTGTCACTACCCTGTCTAGTGAGGACGGTGACATCAAAACCGGCGATGAGAAGCTGCTCGAGGATTGCTGGGCCCAAGTTACCGGTGGCCTAAGTGAATGTTAGTACAGTAGAATCTAGGATGGCAGGTAGGCAGACATACCCCGGCAAGTGCAACTTTGATCGACATTCTTAAGATGGATGTAGAAAAAAGGAATTTGGAATAGACTTGGTTGATAGGAAGGGAAGTGTAGAGAGGCAGATGCGTTTGGATTGTGTGAGAGATGTTTGATGCGTCCCCGGGAGCCTTTTATATCTACTGAGTACATGATGAAGCTCGATGTCCCCCCAATCGCACGCAATGTTGCCATAGATTGATTAGATATCAGAAGACTGATTTCAAAGAACGGCTCAATTCTCCCATACATGACGTGCCCGACTTCCAGAATTATGTGAGCGTAGGGCAAAATCGAGAGTAGTGCCTTATAAATCGGGAACCCAAGATTACGAAGGCGGGCAAATTCCGCGGGCAAATTCCGCCATTTATTTGTCAACTGGCCGCAATTTTTCTTCGTAATGAATCCACGCCCCAAAGTTGTGTCCACTGGTTTCTACACCGTACCTGGGACCTCGCCTCCCTTCCGAGTGGATGTTTTTTTTTGTGGAAGCTGGAGCATATGTACAAAGCTTTGTGATCTACGGAGTACATACTTCAACACCCTTTTAGCCTGTCACCCCAATTTCCTCGCCCGTTCTTCCTCCCCTTCTACCCTCCCGATTCCATATACGCCGAGATGGTTGCTCACCTCTCCTCTTCATACCCAATTCCTAAAGCAAGATTTTTGCGAAGACTGACGTGGCCTCTAGATTTTGTTATGCTCAATAGTCTTACCTTGAGACCGATTGGACTAGCCGGATGTTCGATATGGCAAGGACATGTAGTTTTCATTATCTTATGTCGCCTAGTAAGAGAAGTATAAAGCCACTGTCGGAGATACAATTACCGCAAGAGTACCATGATATTAGAGCAACCACGCTCTCTAATATTCCCTGATGTGCTCAAATGATTCTTGCTATTCTTATCGTATGTTGATGATTGCCTTACGGTATGAAACTGCCTACCAAATCCGCCTGCCTGCCTCAGTACAAGGCTTTCAAGCCTTTCATGTTCTTTACCTATTTAGGTAAACAGCAGGGTGAATTTGGCCAGCGGACTGATGAGCACTGAGGTCACGCCCGCCCTTCTGCCCAGGTGTGGATAAATAGCTCTTTCTAGGCCATCCTCTTCTTTCCTTCTTCATCCTCTCCACCCTGAGAACTACGATTTAATCTGACATGCTAATCTCCAACGTTATCCTTACATACCAAACTGAGATCCCACACAACGATTCTCACCAAAACCTCTTGCCCCGAAGCTCAGGTTTTTCTTCTAAAATCTGCCAATCAACGCACGACTCAGAGGGGATTCCCCATTCAGAAGCAAAAGAACTTCACACGCCAGACTAACAAACCACCCACCGAAGGGATGGCGGAACCATTTGACGGCAGGGCCGAGACATTGGCCTTGCAATTCCAACTTCAGGAGATTGATACGGATTTGCGGGAACTGCGTGACATGATAACCACCCACACATCTCAAGACACAAGAGACCAGATATTTGCCTTGGAATTGCTGAGAATGGATATGCAACAGAGCATCGCAGCAGTACGAAACCCTCAAAGTTTAACCCCCGACCACCCCAAAGGACGTTTGAGTGTTGTGCCTGCAATGAAAGCCATCCTGCCAGTGGAATGATTACTTGCAGTTGCAACCACCGATACTGCCATGACTGCGCCATTGAATTGGTCAGATCGTCCTTGACCGACGTGAACCTGTTCCCTCCTCGATGCTGCGGTGTACCCTTGCCGCTTGAAAACAGATGGTCTTTTATGAGCGTGGATTTATGGGCACGAGTTCGGCTCAGGAAAATAGAGATGAACGAAGTGGCTCCAACATATTGCTCGGACGCAAGATGCTCTAAATTGCTCCTGTCAGCTGACATCCACAACTCAATCGGAACATGCCCAGATTGCAACCGAAGAACCTGCTTGAAGTGCAAGGAAAGGATGCACCAAGGAGAGTGCCTTGGAAGTCTATTTGGCAATGCAAAAGTCACGAATTTGATGACAGATAAGGGATGGCAACGCTGCCCACGCTGCGGCCATGGCATTGAAAGAAGGGACGGATGTCCCCACATGACGTGAGTTACTTTGCCAGGCTCTGCCGATATTGCTTCTGATAAACAATTGTTATAGATGCAGATGCGGTCAAGAATTTTGTTACTTGTGTGGTGGTGATTGGGCGCCTTGCGGAGGAAATTGCCCCCGTCCCAGTGCGAACGTCGCCCGGCCGCCAGCCAGACCATTAGCTCAGGCAGGAACCGCATTGAATCGATTGACGGAAAACTTGGCCAGACAAACTAACCCGATCTTGGGGGCCCCACAGAGGGCTCCTCAGCCCATACCTCCCCTCAGACCATTACCTGAGGCCGTAATGGATCGATTGACGGAAAATTTGGCCAGACAAACTAACCTGCTCATGGGGGCCCAACCGGGGGTTCATCAGCCCATACCTCCCCTCATACCTCCCCCCAGACCATTACCTCAGGCCGCACTCGATCGATTGACGGAAAATTTGGCCAGACAAACTAACCCAATCTTGGAGGCCCCACAGAGAGCTCCTCGGTTCATACCTCAGCCCACGCCTCTCGACCCTGGGTGTACGCACAACAGACCTTGGGAGAAGCTTGATCTCTATGGTGGGTGCAACATATGCCGAAGAGCTCGAATGTATCTTTACGAGTGCCGTATGTGTGAGATGAGAGCATGTATGCCATGCAGAAAGAATTTCTATTGAATTGTGCTGCAGCAGGTGCAAAAGCAGCAGCTATCGAAATGGGTTGGCGCCGAGGGTGGCAGAAAGAGAGAAAAATGAAAGACAAAAGTATTTTCCAGGGAGACTGCATGATATAGGGAGGTGAGGTGGATAGGCAAGAAGAAATATGACAATTTCGAACTTGATTGAGTTGCCATTTCCTACTTTGGTAATCAGGAAACACAGTCTGTATTTCTATGAGGGTTATTGCCTGCATTATGTATGGGCTAGTGCTTCGATGTTGGATATCTTTAATAATCCAATGTCTGTTTGATACCATCAAATATTCCTGAGAACACGAGATCTTGGATTAGTAGGCCATATAAATGATAGGAAGAGAGTGTACTTACTTGCAACGTCAGGAAGAATAAACTGCTCGTAGCTCAAACCTGTGTGAGTACTCCATCCTGCAACTCGCTTCACGGGGGCTTCCAAGCGCAAAAACGCGCTCTCCTGCAGCGTTGCAGCCACTTCTGCACCAACGCCGTAATTGACCATACTTTCGTGAACTACCACGGCTCGTCCTGTCTTCTTCACGCTCTCAATGACCGTCTGTCTGTCCCAAGGATAGATCGTCCGCAAATCAATGAGTTCCACATTGACACCAGGCATGGCCTTTTCGATGGCGGAGATTGCAGAAGAGCACATGTAAAGAGGCTGGCCATATGAAATGACAGTCAGGTCCTTTCCAGGCTTGATCACTTCGGCCTTGCTGAGTGGTATTGTGTAGTATTCGTTCGGGACATGCTCCACAGCCGCACGGTACAGAATCTTAGGCTCCATGAATATCACCGGGTCGTTGTGCTCGAAAATCGACGACAAAAGAAGACCCTTGGCTTGTGCTGGGGACCGCGGCATCACCACCCGCACGCCGGGGACGTGTGCGAAGAGGGACTCGGGAGATTGAGAATGATATCTGTACAGCCATCGAATGAGTATTTCTGATCAGTATCAGAGTCACGGCATGTAACTTACAGAGCGCCGTGTCCAACCGCACCACATGGCATGCGAATCACAAGACCACCAGCATTGATCCCTGTGCCACCCTCACGATACCGGAACTTGGCTGCCTCGTTGATAATCTGATCGAATGCGGGGAAAACATAATCTGCAAATTGAATCTCCGCAACCTGATCCGAGACTCACATTAGCAGAGTAAACTGACCAATGCAGATCTAACTTACCGGTTTCATTCCCTCCACCGCACATCCTATTGCAAATCCCGCAATGCCTTGCTCTGTTAGTGGAGTGTTGAATACCCGATCTGAGCCAAACTCTGTCTGTAGATCCATTGAGCACCGAAAGACACCACCGAAGGCGACATCTTCGCCGAAGAGGAGGACCTTCTCGGATTTTGATAAGGCTGTTTTGAGGGCGGAATTGATCGCTTGAAAGAAGTTGAGTCGTTTACTCGTGGCACCTGCGGGGAAGTCTGTTGTATTTGCCAGAGAAGAAGAGGTGTGATGTAAAATTGGGGTTGTCTTGTAGTCAATGGGTAGATTGAGCTTTGCGGAAGGGGTAGGAGCTCCGGAGTAGAAGCGTCGAGGGACGTGGGTAAAAGACCGCAATGGAGCTCGTAGAGGAGCCATATTTGGCTTTGATTCTGAGGTTATGAACGAAGTGTCAATACATGAAAGGGTTTTCTACGCAGGGGCTTTTCCCTTTAAATTGCTATGCTTCAAGATCCGGGGCATAGCGCGGGGAAGCCGCCGCGTCTAGCCGAAGTGATGCAAATTAGACAAACAAGACAAACAAGACAAACATATTGAGCTGCCTATGACGTAACCTTGATAAACTATGGCCGTCGCAAAAAGAAGGCACCAAATATCTCTTTCCATTCTAGATTTTATGTACTTTTGGCAGTGAGAACTGAGCCAGGTGATGAGAAAGAGGCTGTCAGCCCTGGAGCTATTAAATTTGCTCTATGTGGGTGTATGAGGGTAGTAACACCTTTGTTAAGTTGGTTTCTATTTCGCCAATTCCCTCAATGCCATATTTCAATACTCAATTGAGATCTGAGTTCTTTACTTCTAGGAGCACCTCGAATCACTGTAAGTAGTACGTGTATTGATCATATAAGGTGGCCTATGTCAGTTTCCTAAAAGACAAAAGTTTCCAAGGTTGTTAGCCACATTGCGGTGACAGAGGTACGTACTACCAATAACCAACGGAGCGATGCAAATTTTATCCAGTCTGAGATTTTAGCCTTTGGTAACCTACGAAGACACGAGACCTGACAGATTGGTCAATTGCAGAGGAGATTTACCCATGCGAGTAAACTGTTGCTGTGAAGTTCTGCGATAGTCCATTCATGTTTCCTCCAACTATATTTCTTTATCTACGACTCCAAATCTTACAAGGTTCTCATTTTCGATATCCCAGTGTTTTGAACAGTCTTCCAACTTAGCTGGTTTTGATTTTGCATCAAGAATTGTAATTGCAAAATGAAACAAAATACAACAGATAAGTCTGCATAAGCCCAGACTGACTAACAAATTGAACGGGAAACTTCGGGATGCTCTTTTGAACGCCTTAGAGAGTGTGGTACCTCTTCCCCAAACACTGGGGATACACACACGACCGAGACCTATCTGCTGCATGAGACCGTTAGCTAAACGAATCTTTTTATTGGATAAGCACTCCTGCAAGTTGGAACAAAATGTATAGATCTCACGGTGTCGGACTTGGAGGGGCAATGATCGGCCTTATCAGCTATCAGCCGGTCTCGGACCCCCCGTGACTTGCCCACAATTTTTCTCAATGACTCAGTCCCTCTTCTTTTATATTCCACTGTTCTTGACTTTTGACTATCCATCAATTCATTCACAATGGCTCAAGGAAAGGTATGACCTCCACAATTGGGCATCAGACATTCAATTCAATTGAACGTCAATTGTCCCATACCCACACACTACACGCACACACCGCCACCTTCTTCTCCGCAATCCTGCCCGCCATGTTGACGTGCGACTAACAATTTCGCGCAGGTTTGCCTCGCCTACTCTGGCGGTCTCGACACCAGCTGTATCTGTATGCATATGATCTCTTGAGGTTCAGCCAATTGCAATTGCTAATACCCATTTGCAGTGAAGTACCTCATCGAGGAGGGCTATGAGGTCGTCTGTTTCAGTAAGTCATCAATTCCACTACTTGGATCAAGAAAAATACTAACGCAACAAATAGTGGCCGATGTTGGCCAGGAAGGTAATGCGCAATCCAATGTCATTCGCAAATCCACACCCGTCTAATCAGCATCCATTACAGAGGACTTCGAGGCTGCCCGCGAGAAGGCCCTGAAGATCGGTGCCCTCAAGTGCGAGATCATTGACATCCGCCGCGAGTTCATCGAGGAGCTTTGCTTCCCCGCCATTGCTTGCAACGCCGTCTACGAGAACGTCTACCTTCTCGGTACCTCCCTGGCTCGCCCCGTCATTGCCCGCGCCCAGATCGATGTCGCCCAGGTACGGTTCCGCCCCCACACAAGCCTAACCACGATGAATGGGATACTAACCTAAAACTTAGCGCGAGGGCTGCTTCGCCGTCTCTCACGGTTGCACCGGTAAGGGTAACGACCAGGTTCGCTTCGAGCTTGCCTTCTACGCCCTTCAGCCCAGCATCAAGGTCATCGCCCCGTGGCGCGACCCCGTCTTCTACGAGCGCTTCAAGGGCCGTCAGGACCTGCTCGACTACGCCGAGGAGAAGGGCATCCCTGTCACCTCCACCAAGTCCAAGCCCTGGTCCATGGATGAGAACCTGGCCCACTGCTCTTACGAGGCCGGCATCCTGGAGGACCCCGACACCACTCCTCCCACTGACATGTGGAAGCTGACCGTCGACCCTCTGTCCGCCCCCGACCAGCCCGAGGACTTCACCCTCTTCTTCGAGAAGGGTGTCCCCGTCAAGCTCCAGTACACTGAGGGTGGCAAGCAGAAGTCCGTCACCGACTCCGTTGAGCTCTTCCTGACCGCCAACGCCATTGCCCGCCGTCACGGTGTTGGCCGTATCGATATCGTTGAGAACCGTTTCATCGGTATCAAGTCCCGTGGCTGCTACGAGACCCCCGGTCTCACTGCCCTGCGCTCCGCTCACATGTGAGTATCTGTGATCGCATACTGAAAAACAAATATGAATAGTTTGCTAACCCCGCTTCCAGTGATCTCGAGGGTCTTGTCATGGACCGTGAGGTTCGTGCTCTGCGTGACTCCTTCATCACCTTCAACTACTCCAAGCTCCTGTACAACGGCATGTACTTCTCCCCCGAGCGCGAGTTCCTCGAGTCCTCCATCACCGCTTCCCAGAAGTCCGTCAACGGCCAGGTCCGCTGCCGCGCCTACAAGGGTCTCGTTTCCGTTCTCGGTCGTTCCTCCGAGACCGAGAAGCTGTACGACATGAGCGAGTCCTCCATGGACGAGATCGGTGACTTCTCCCCCGCTGAGACCACTGGCTTCATCAACGTGTCTGCCATCCGTCTCAAGAAGTACGGCCAGATGAAGGCCGCCGCTGGCGAGAAGCTGTAAATTTTGTCCCATTAAAAAAAAAATTAAAGACGACTTCTCTTCGACTTGGAATCATTGGGATGCCAAATGTTGACCGTCCCTGGCATTCCCTAGCCAACGTGTCGAGTCTTTCTGCTCCAATTTCCACCCGATGATGATGGATGACTTTGGATTTGAATGACTGTATAATGAACCAGAGAAAAATAGCGACACAGCTGAATTTGGATTTCTATAACAAAATGCAACGTGGATGATTCGAATGATAGCACTTCACATGAACTTTTCACAGTAATGATGTATTGACAGATCTCGAAAAATGTGCATCGAGTTTGCTAGATGGCAGCAAATAATTAAGTGACAATTGCGTATAAACAACAACCTCGAGAGGTCACAGATTTGCGTTGAGTTTGGAATGGCCAGACACTTCTGTAGTTAGGCAGATTAGCAAAAAGACCACGCACCAGCACAACGCAACTTACCATTCCAGACATCCAAAGCAGCCTTTTCTGCATCCCAACCCCAAAGGAACTCCTGTGTCCTCCGATCAGACCATTTATCCGGGTTATTACCACTAGCCGATTCCAGGAACTGTGCATCACGAGCGATTTGCTCAGGGCCATCGGGCAAGTGTAACGTGATACGATTATCAGATCCAGACTGCTGCACCGTCTCCGCACGTTCCTTTCGGGACTTTTCATAAGCACCCAAAGCAAGAGGGATCTCCTCGCGCGATGAAATGGCCGACAGCACAACGCCAATCGCCGCCGCATCCTCGACAGCCTGCGCAGCGCCTTGGGCAACATATGGACTACATTGATTATTAGCGATGAAACAGACACTTCAACTCGCGTGTCAACAACTCACAGCATGGGGTGACAGGCATCGCCAAGAAGAGCCACCGATCCACGGATCCAGGTCCTGAGCGGATGGTGAAGACACAATTTCCATTCCAGGACATCGTTGTCATCGACCAGATCAATCAGCTTCCGCACCTTGCTATCCCATCCATGGTAATTATCAACAACCTCCTGTTTCGAGCCCTTGGTAGTCCATGATTCCTCGACATCATGGTTATCAGGGTGAAGCAGAACGACATTGTAAAGCTCATGCTTGCGTACCGGGTACGCGATAATGTGGCGCGCAGGACCAAGCCAACGAGTCGCCTGCGGCTCGTCGATGAGAAGTTTCAGCTCGGGGTCCTTCTCCATGACCTCACGAGTAAGCATCATACGGTATGCAGCATCGCCCGTGGGAATTGCTTTGATGCTCGTATCCTCGAGCAGCTGGCCGCGAATGCAAGATTTGATGCCATCGGCACCGATGACCACGTCGCCGCGGACGATCTCACCGCTGGCAAGAGTTACGCTTGCGGGACTGAAAGAGATGTCTGTCACGGGTGAGTTCTCGCGCAGCTGAACGTTTGGCAGAGCGAGGGCTCGCTCGATGATGGCGTTGTGCAGATCTGCGCGGTGAATGACTACTTGCTGACCGAAGGTCTTGTTCACTGGCATTGTGCCGAGTAGCTTGCCGTCATCCCATCTTCGGACGTGGATGTGCTCTAATGCTACATCGCGGGCGTGAATCAGATCCGAAACGCCCCATCCTGGGAGGAATTAGCCACTGAATGCCCGTGAAATTGGCTGGACTTACGATCGAACAGACGCAGCATATTCGGAGAGACTTGAATACCGGCTCCAACTTCCAGAATCTACCGAGGATCAATCTTCATGTTCGCACTTCCATGATTAAATGGTACCTTTGCTGCTGATTCGAGGACAGTGACATTATGCCCTCGCAATCCCAATGTGAGGGCTGCAGCCATGCCGCCGATGCCTTTGAAGAGTGTTAGTCCACCTCTTTCGCCCATCTACCATTGATGACCTACCAGCACTGCAAACCGTTAGTACAACTCTTGACTACGCGAAAAGAAGACTTACCCGACGACAACAACCTCCAAAGGTATACTTGCTTGCGGTATCTCCATGATGAAAATGTACAACGAAACCAATGCAAGAACTAGATGCAAGAAAGATAAAAGAGAAGGACCACCGATAACGGAAAACCACTTGAAGTAGTCCGGAAATATTTGATACTTAGCTACCCGGAGTCTTGCCGTCCCCCCCGGTCCCAGACTTCCACATTGGGAAAGCGAAGACGAATGCCCCAATCTTAGACTCGAATATCCAGTTTCCCCTCAACTGCACATCTCCAGAGAGAACCGGCGCCCGGCTTCCCCCAAGGTTGCAAACTATCCTCTCTGCAATATTCGCCAACTCCAATTGGATCCGGAACGAACTGATGTGCGATCCGAAGGAGTCGCGGGAAAAAAAAGAGACCAGCGAGGCGCCTCATTGGTCGGTTCTACTCGACTGGAGAAGCACCCCGGCTGTTTCGGGAGCCTCCATCTGCCGATAGACCCGCCCTTCGCCTCCTTCTCTTGCGTCCACTGTATCACAATCGCTGTGCGAGATGTGCAAATCTGACCCTTGCTGGGCTTGGTCTGGTGATGCTGGGGGCCGGAATTCGACATGCCTCACCGGCATATTTTGCTGGGGACTTTTGCCGATAGCTCATCTCGCTTTCGCGATATTGCAACTTGGCTGGGCCACAAAGTAACCCCAAAGACTGAGTGATCTTTTTATACTTGAATTGGCCCTGGAGGTCCTGTCAATTACCAAAGGATAAATGCCTGTCTCCTACAGAGTAGCAATGATGTGCTTCGTCGCGCAACCTCCGTTGTTCATGTTATCTCTACAGCTCACCCCTTTATAACGCCACACATTCGATACCATCACAGTCTACAATATAACGAGCGGGCTTACACCCAAGATATTGAAAACCCAAAAGTTTCTCATTACTATCACGCTATGACATGCACCGTTAGGCCGTGCGTCTGCAGTCCCACAACGGAATTTGCGGAGGCCGATCATCGGCTTTCTCAGATTACATTCTTTGCCGCGGACAGTCCCAGAAATGTGACCTCACCAAGCATCGTTTCCATTTTTCCAAGCATTTGTCTTCTAAGCCACAACTGCGGACTTCCGACAGCACAATGTAACCTGTTCCAGGGAAAACATGTCCACCAACACGCCGAGAGCTTCTCACAGGAAAAACCATCCCAAACCCGCAAAATCCGCAGATCACCTTCGAAACGCGGCAAGAAAATCCTCCAAACCGCTCAACCCACTCAACAAGACTCCTTCCCGGCTACAAGTAGCTACCCATATCCCTTCCGCACGCGACGGGACTCAACCCCCGACGTCAGCACACTAACCGCCCCCAATCTAGCAAGATAACCAACGATGAAACACACCGGCCAGCTCACGTCAAAATACAAGTCTCCACCACGACGATGCGCCTTTGGCGCCTCAGGCTCAGAGCCCGGCTGGCGCGCATAAACATAAAGAACATTGCCCCAGCATCGATGACCTCACATAAGTGCTAACGCCACTTTCCGATCAACACGTCAGGCCGCAAACTCCGCAGCTCGCGAGATGTGGGTCCCATGCGTGGCATTGGGGGTCTGGAGATGGAGAATTATCTTATCAGTTCATCTTGGAATGAGTCTTTCGTCTTTTCGGGGGATTGTAGACTTTTGAGGATCTGCAGGGACGGGAAATGGAGTGCGAAGTAGCGGGTTTGATCGTCGTATGCTGGCGCTGGTGCTGGCGCTGGTGTACTGTCTGAGAAGCCCGCGCTATCGAAGCTTGGTTTCAGGGTGGGGCAGTGCTGTCTTGCTGCTTTTCATGCAGTGCTAAAATTTTGATGTCCCTGTACGTTGGGTCGTTGGTCTAAGGTAGAACGAAGTACGCGATGTGGAGTTGCAGGATTCTGTCTCATATTTTGAGACAACTGCAGGTAGGTAAGGGCGTGTCAATGCTCCAAAATGCTCCAGTGCTTTAAGGCGCAGACGCTCATTCCAAGATCATTGCGAGGACATGGGTCTGGGTCTTGTTTTTGTTCTCTGCCACGTCGGTGTTGATATTTGCGGTGTGAGGTCTAGCGCCTGATCTCATTTGCATACTTAGTGCAATGGCCTACGAACGTCAATGATGGGTCAATTCATCAGTGAAAGACTTGAGTCAAATTGAACTCCCTCGCTCATAACCTTGGAAGTTACACTTGGACAGGCTCAGGAGGTGTATGTTCTTAAAGAACTATGTTGTACTCTGGACCCTGAGGTTCCGTGGTCACACGGCGGAAACTTAAGTCGAACTTTGTACAGCATCCGTGGACCCTTGGAAAGCGACTATTCAAGGTTGATTTAGTAGACTGAGGAAATCGAGCTTACATCCATGGATCTATGAGCTATGTGTTCAAACGACTCCCGAGGTCACAAGTAAAGTTTTGCATTTGTTCAGTAGAATTTTGTGTCTATCAGACGAGTTTAACCACGCTGATATATTGCCAAGACGCCGACATATGTATGCTTGAATGTTCCCTTGGGGGAATAAGTGTATGAATAGAATATAGAAATGAAAGAACGCAGACACGGCTAACATATTTGCAACTCAAGTAGAAATGATGACAAGAAAATAAAAGAAAAGACATGAAAGAGGCGTGTGGGCGTGGAGATATTCGATCTTCGATCGTCGTGAGTTCAGTATCTGTCATAAGACATGCCAGCGTAAGAGATCGTATGCCATCTGTAAGGCATGGAAGAGAAAGAGTATATATACATGAAGCGGTTCTGTCGAGGGTGGGGTTAAGAGGTAAACATGAGTCGTAAACGGCTGGGACCCTTCTTCTTCTCCTTGGGTCGTTTTTCGGTTTCGGAGATCCATGTCCCAGCCTTGGATGGAGCTCGACTGTGAGCTTTGCTGTGTGCACGACTAGGTGCACGACTTGGGCCGCGACTTGGTGCCCGGCTAGGAGCCTTGCTTGACATACTTGGTGCCCTGCTTGGGGCGCGTGATGGAGCTCTGGAGCGGGAGGAGCTTCGACCGAAGAATCCACTGGGGGCCTCGGAGGCGGGGGCTCTGGATCTCCGTTCGTGTCTTTCTGATGGGGCGCGTGAAGGAGCATGTGAAGGGGCATGTGTGGGGGCCCGGGTTGATCGTGAGCGACGAGAGCGACGAGATGAGGCGACGGAGAGATCATCGTCGAATTTGAATCGAGGATCGCGTCGGGCTCGTGCGGTGGTTACGTCGATGCCGGACATGGCTGCCGCGGTGGGTGTGATGAACTCTCCGTCGACGGAGGTTCCGAGGCTGTCGGCTTGCTCATCGGCGACACCGCGTCTCCACATCTCAACGGAGCTGAGTGCTTCTGTGTTGAACTCGATCATCTCCTCCATTTCGGTTTCTTGCTGTGGCGGGGCGGGTTGTCCGTCCTCTCCGACTGCGCCGGCCTTCAGTCGTTGAATGATCTTGTATCCTCCAAACATGACGACGGTAGCACCTAGTCCTACACCAGCGGCGATGAGGAACTGTGGGCTTGACAGGAGAGCGAAGATGGCAGGCGCAGCCGCCTTCATACTGGTCAGTGCGGTGGGCGCCATTTTGCGCGCAACATTACTGATCTCCGCCAGAGTCAGAGCGACGGCGGCCATGGCATCTGGGTTCTTTTGCAGGTGAGCGATGGTGGCAGTCGCACCATGCTGCACACAGTGTGCTTCTTCTAGAAGCCACTGAGCCCGGGTGACTAGACCATCCAGCTTTTTCTGCTCCTCCTCGGGTTCGGGTGGGGTGTATCGCGATAGGGCTGCATGGGAGGCGTCTCCATATGCAAGGTCCATATCAATCTGAGCCTCCGAATTGGATCGACCCGTTGTCGGTCGAGGGGCATCACGCAGCGTGACATCATGGTGGGTATGGCGGCGAACGATGGTACGGGCATCTCCGTCACCATAATGCGAACTCCGTCGCGACACCACCGTCCTTCCATCATCGTCATACTGAGACGGGGCGCGATGACTGCGGCCTCCATGGCGCGACCTGGCGCGGCTGCGTCCTGAGACTTCTGTTGGCGCATCCTCAATCTGATAGTTGGCGAGTCCCTCTAGGGCCTGCTGCTCGGCGAGTTTGGCATTTCGCTCTGACTGATAGCCGGCCTTGCGTTCGCGATAGGCACTTTTGGCATGGCTGAAAACACCGAAGAGTTGCTTACTCTGATAGCTGTCAGAATGCGGGGTCGACTGGGGCGGCGCGAATCAAACTTACAGTGCTCACCACTTTGCCAGACTTATCGATCACAGCGATCGTCTGGCCGAAAGGCATGGCGAATAAGTCGTTCGGACGACTTTACCGGTAACCAGTCATCAGATAGCCAAGATCGACGGTGAGGAAGCGGTGTAGGGAGCAAAAATCGAGGTAATACCGGGTATAGTTCACAGAGTAAAGTATCGAAAGGGGTGATCACCAGGGTATAAAAGAAGGAAACAAGGCACACAGGTGCTTAAGAAGGCAGTTGGGTTTCGAACCCCAGGGATTCGCGCGTCAAAGGTCCGATCGGAGGCGTTCCAATGAGGTATAAAGTGATGCGGGCAGCTGGGAGGCTGGGAGTCCCGATCGCATAGGTTGGGCAGAGCAACGAACGAGCGTAGCTGCAGGATCTATAGGGCCGAATAATTGGGTGCCACTCACGAAGGCAGACACGTATCAAAAAATAAAAATAAAAAAAGCTCGATGAGCTCACATCACATACATCGGAAGGTGTTGGGCGCAAAGGCTGTGATCGACCAAGATACCAAGGTTTTCATGCACGATGACAGTGTCGAAAAAATGAATGACTCAATATATTTAGAACAAACGAAGTACGGAGTAACTTGAATCCAGATGACCATTTCTTTAGGTACTTTTTTTTTTATCTCTCGTCTTTTTTTTTTTTTTGGCGAACAGCAGGGCTGGAAGGCCGCTGACAGGAGAGTTCCCAAAGAGCGGTGACATCTCGTCGCTGATTGGTCCGCGGGGTGACCGCCACTGTGGCTGGTGTAGAGCCCGTGACCGTGACCGTGATTGTGATTGTGGCTGAGTGTGGCTGAGGCTGAGGCTTGCAAAAAGAGGCTTTCGTCGGAGACTTATTTATCTGCCAACGGCTTCTCGTATACGGAGTACGGAGTAACGGCAGCGGAGTACGCGATTTCTGTTTCAAAACTTGTAGAGATGGCGCAATAACTGTTGTATCACTTTGTTCCGAATCCCCCTGGCCCGGGGAGCCACGGAGCATACGTAGTAATTAGGCCTCTTCACACCGTTCATTGATAGGCACATGCAGGCCAATGTTTCTAGCCCAGACTCTGAGGCGGTTTCTCAACAATCAGAGAACGTCCTCCGTATCGACGTGCAAAGACCTGGGCACCTCTTAACTGGAACTTGAGCTTTGCAGATCATTACCGGTGTACTCCGTGCTCTTACTACTTCAACTCAGTTACTTAGACTACGTGAACCCTTCTACCGGAATTTGACATATACTATGGTTTTTCTCCGTCGATCCAGTACCCCTTTAGCTCGACTATTGTGGGAGCCCAGGTGTGTTCCATATTTCCCCAGAGTAGAACTATAGAAAACGCGACCGAGAGAAACTAATGAAAAAGCATAGACTTGAAAGGGATGCCAGGGGGGGTGAGTCGAATATTTTGTCGATGATGCAATATCCATGGGTTTAAGAAGTGGATTTCCCCTATTGAATTTTGTTTCATTCCATGTAAACGTTGAGATGTTGTTCATGTTATCTTGAAGTTGAAGTTGTGAAGTTCAAATTCAAGTTCCAGTTGGAAGAGCGGGCATGAATCACTAGGCAAAATCTCCGTTTGATTTGGTCATCTAATTCCCGAACACCCACACCTCTTCCTCCCATATCAATTGACTAATATGGATTTAGTCGAGTCAGGGAGTATCTCTGATCTCGATGATCAGAAATGGAATTCTGATTCCCCCGATGATGCTGGCAGTGCCCATCCCACCAGTGACTGCGGCATCGGCCACCGCGTCTTGGCCAGTCGCTCCGTCCTCGCACTCGCAGTCGACGAACACTGCGTGTTTGCTGGTCTCCAAGGAGGTGATATTTTTGTAAGCCTCCCCCTGCCTATCCGCACGGCCATGTCTTTGACATGGTGATTGCCAAGACTCGTGGCTGATCCTCCCAGGCGTGGTCCCTTGAGACATATGACCTCGTGCTCTCTGTCCACGCACACAAAGAGAGCGTGCTAGGCCTCTACCTCTCGGATGATGGCAGTTTATTATTTTCCAGTGGTGGCGACTCCGTCGTCAATGTATGTTTTCCCACGCTGGCCGCGATGACTCAACGTTAACCACCGCAGGTGTGGTCAACGAGAACTTTTGAACGACTCTACTCAATCTACTCCCACCATGATGTGGGTGATATTTTCACAGTTGTGTACTCGTCAGCCAATCAAACTATCTACTGTGGTGCGCAGAACACAAGTATCCAGGTATGACGCTCTGTTTTGCCCCCCTCTAAGCACCAGATCCTGACCCAGACAGTGGTGTGATTTCTCCGAGGAAGGGTCAACCTTAAACCAAAATTCATCAGCCCATCCCTCAAAGCGGACGCATCGCTTCTTTGATTCTCGGGGACCGGACGGTACCCGCGCTCAAGGATCGTCCGACGGTGCTGTCTCCGACGGTGGTCGCGTGTTGAGCTTCAAGCGAGATCATCACAAACTCTTCGCGCACCATGGATACGTTTACTCTATGCTCCTGGTCAAAGGATTGGTTGAATCCGCACCCTCCGAAGAGGTCCTACTAACTGGCGCTGGCGATGGAGTGGTGAAGCTGTGGCGTGTTGGCCAGTCACCGGGCGGAACTCCGACTCAGATTGCGAAGCTGCAAAATGGAGATCCTGTGCTATCCATTGCCGTTGAAGGATCATTGCTGTACTGTGGTCTTGCAGGCGGTGCTCTCAATATCTGGAATTTGGACTCGCAGCAACTTGTGAAACGGATCACCAGACACACTGGTGATTTGTGGGCCGTGCACGTTATTCAGGGTGTTGCTATCTGTGGTGATTCTAGTGGAGTAGTAAAGGTATGTTTTTGGAAGATGCTGTATCATGCGTATGTTGTACTGATCCCATTAGAAATTCAACTCACGATTTGAAGAAGTCGGTGGGTGGGTTGCCCATGAAGGAACCATGCTGGCTTCTGCAGCTGGCCGGTTCAAGGACCGTCAGATTTATGCCACTGGTGGGAACGACAACTCAGTGGGTATCTGGGACTTGACCGAGTTCTTCATGACACAGGAAGAGTTGCCTCCTATCAGTAACGGTACGTCTGATGAAACATGTGATTGATAAGTGCTGACTCGTCGCAGACGAGATGGTCAACAGTCTGGCCAAGTTTGTTTCTTTCAAAACGGTCTCAGCAAGCCCTAAATTCTCTGGTGAATGCAACCAGGGTGCGGCTTTCCTTCGACGACACTGCAACTACCTTGGTGCCAAGACAAAGCTTCTGACAACTGGACAAGACACCAACCCAATTGTTTTCGCGCGATTCAATGCCACCGCAGCCGACAAGATTGACAAGACAATTCTTTTCTATGGCCACTATGATGTTGTTGGTGCCGAGACCAACAGAGCCAAGTGGAGAACCGACCCTTATCAACTCACCTCCATCAATGGATTTTTGTATGGCCGTGGTGTCTCCGACAATAAGGGGCCAATCCTGGCCTCTCTATACGCTGCTGCCGATCTCGCTAGGACGAAGACACTGCGCTGCAATGTCGTGTTCCTCATTGAGGGCGAAGAAGAGTCTGGGTCGCAAGGATTCCACCAGACAGTGCGGGAACACAAGGAGCAAATTGGAACCGTGGACTGGGTGTTGTTGGCAAACAGTTACTGGCTCGATGACTACAACCCATGTCTCACTTACGGACTCCGCGGTGTCGTGCACGCCAATCTGGTCGTCTCAAGCGAGCATCCTGATCTTCACAGTGGTATTGACGGCAGTACTTTGTTGGATGAACCTGTTAAAGATATCACCATGCTGCTCTCTACCATTGTTGGGCGCAAGGGTAAAATCAATCTGCCTGGCTTCCACGACGCTGTCAGGCCCCTGACAGACGCCGAACAAAAGCGATTTGAGGCCATTGCAGATGCAATGATCCTTCAACACCCAAAAATTTCAGACACTGAGGCCCTAATCAAATCACTCATGCACCGTTGGCGTGAGCCTGCTTTGACGGTCCACTCCGTCGAAGTTCCCAGCAGCAAGAGTGCCACTACTATCGCCCGACGAGCCAAAGCAAGCTTGTCAATCCGTATCGTTCCAGACCAGCAAGCCGATGAAGTGGCAGCAGATCTGACAGCCTACGCCCAAGAACAATTCGCGCTATTAGATTCACAAAACGATCTGACCGTCGAGATTACCGGCAAGTCGGACGCATGGCTCGGAGACCCCGATAACGACCTCTTTGCCACCCTATCCGAGGCGATCACAGCGGCCTGGAGCTCCGCCCCAGAGGACGCGAAACTCCAATTCCCTCCCATCCCCCAACCCACAAACACCCGTTCCATTAAGCCGAAACCCGGCCCAATCCCCGACCTCCGCCGCCAAGACTCCTCCGACAGTCTCGCTTCTCATGTGGAGCGGGTGATCACGTCAACGACGACTTCATCCGCCGGCAAAGAAGCCGCCCGCAAACGCTCCTCGCAAACAGCTGCGGCAGTGCCGACCTCGTCGACCCTCACCGCCACACCGACAGAGGAACCGGCCGCATTGCCAATCCGAACAAAGTCCGAAGCGGACGAAAAGTCGAAATTGGGACCGTCCCGCCTGGTGAAACCAATGTTTATTCGTGAAGGCGGGTCTATCCCAACCATCCGGTTCTTGGAAAAGGAGTTCTCGGCCCCGGCGGCTAACCTGCCATGTGGACAAGCCAGTGATAACGCTCACTTGGACAACGAGCGTATGCGCGTTGAAAATCTGTACAAGAGTCGGGAAATCTTCCGATACGTCTTTGCTAACCTGGTAAAATCTTGAGAGGGGGCGGTACTTTTTGGATGATCATTTTGTGCCCGAGGGTTTCTGGAGTCATTTTGCATCTGTGTAAACTATAAAATCAACATTGACATCGTGATGTGTCTATTGGACTGTGGCTTTTTCTCACATGGACTATATCTTGTTCTAGACCAATTCCATCGTTCCATGAACCCTCTCAAGTAGAGCGTATGTATAGTAGACTATCGATTTAAACGGGGCCTTCGTTCTAAATTGGTTTGGATCAAGATATCGAAACATCAGTGGATCCAACGTCTAACGGTCAGGGGGAATGAGGCATCCTCACTGGCACACAGCGGAGATCATTTTGCTTCACTTTTTACCCCTGACTCTAACGGTCATCGATGTCTCAGTTTAACCCGTCCCGGTACCCCGCATGAAGATCAGAACGTTCAAAGAAAAGCTAGTCTATCAACGTTATCCCGTACTTTTGTCAGATCGCCCCAAAACCGTTTACTTTCCTCGCACATCATCCCCCACCCTCTCCCCATGACTTCATGGCTCCATGTAGCGGTGGGCTCTTCTAGCCGTCCAGTTCCGGTGAAAAGCTCAGGCTCTATACTGGATAGGGGCTTCCGTGCATAATCTTTTCTTTGTTCGAGAGAGGGATACGTGGTGGTTGATGTGGTTGATATCGTGCTCGTAGTCCCGGTTGGAGAGCCGCCACGCTGGGCTGGAAACCACTTCCTGGATTGGATGGGGAATGTAGGTTGATGCAAGTGAGTGGGTGTCGGATTTCGGATGTAGGATGGCAGACAGGGAAGTAAACGGCGATGTGGGGGTGCTTCTTTTCCGTTTCTTTGTGCGTTGGCTATTGCGTTCGATACCGATGTACGGAGTATGGCGTTGGGTATAGTGTAATCTGGATGGTTTGGATCCGCAAAGTAATTCCCATATAGTTCTGTTATGGAGAAGACGAAGATAAAGTCTGCGGATTGCCCACTGAAAAAAATCAAACTCAACTGAATTCAGTGAAGTGTACACCATGCCTGCCATCATGCCTACCACCATGCCCGCTTTGCTCGGCTCCTTTCCCCTCCCCTTCCAGAAGTTCCTCTGGAAGGTTAGGGATTTGATTAAGTCAGTGGTAAAACTGAGTGTTCAGGACAAGATTTACCTCCTCGGCCGAGACGGCGAGGAGACTCGACGGTATGTACTACACCAGCTATGCTTCACATCATCAGATCTTCATGTCTACCCAATATACCCCCTTTTTTTCCCAATTCCCGATTCAGTTAATTTCCGAATGTCCCACTTCATACTTTGGTTCTGTTCTCACACGGACCAACTGCTGTCACCTGTTGATCGATAGTCTCGGCCCCGTTTTTCATGAGCTAACGATTTACAGCCTCAATGATCAGCATCGCTTCCTTGTAGCTGTCTCAGGCCACACGATTCATCCTTCTATTCCCAAAGACAACATCACTGCTATCGCCGACCTAGGTACCGGCACTGGGTAAGTTCAATTCCAACAGCAAGACCCTTCAAGCTGACCCGTTTCAGTGTCTGGCTCGAAGACGTCGCCAAAACCCTACCTCAATCAGTCTATCTGCATGGCTTTGACATTTCCGCGGCCCAATTCCCGATCCGAGAGGGACCAATTGCACTGAGCGTGCACGATGTGCTCTATCCTTTCCCCGAGGAGCATCAATCCCGCTACGATCTCGTCCACATTCGACTTTTGACCGCAGGTCTAAAGAAGAAAGATTATGCTGTTGTTTTGGCCAATGCACGAGCCCTACTGAGTATGTTTCCTGCTTATCTTCTTCTCCACGACCAACCGCTAATCCTCCCAGAACCTAATGGATACATACAATGGGAAGAGCTGGACCACTCTGCGTTCTGCACAGACGCGGTCCCCGAAGCAGCCGTCGTCAACCAGATGCGCCAGTCTGTCACCAATGCCATGCTGAGCCTAGATCTGTGTCCTACTGCGCCGCAGCGAGTACACGAAGACATCTTGGCTGGTGGGTTTGCGGATGTTATAACCGAAACTCACACTACTAAGGGCAAGGATCATCTGCGAGATATCTCACAGAGATGGGTTGCCGGCGTTATGAGGGCTTTGGTGACGCCTTCGATGCTTGTCACTGGCGAGGCAAAGACGGAGTTCCAGGCGAGGGAGAAGGTCAATGCCTTGGTTGCGAAGTTTGATGATCACTGCCAGCATGCAAAGGCCATGGTTAACCTGGGTGTCACTGTTGGCCGAAGGGTCTGATGGGACTCAGCGATATCCAGGAGGTTCATGCTAAATTCTTGCTTTGGTGTTCATACGGAGTATTTGAAAGCGTTTTGGGGTTCTTGGAGTGTTCGATTTGGTTTTGACGGAATTAATGAATTGTTTTGACATATTGGAGTTACTTTGCTTTTAATTTAGAAATAAAGACTACCAGTCTCAGTATCCAAACACCAGTGAACTACCAACTCGTACTCTGTACTCTGTACTCATCGTAAAAAGAAAAGAAACGTCCCAGCACGTGGCAACCGTGGAATATTGCTCCATCGGAATAATTCAGCCAATCACGATCGACATCTCATACTATCGCGACTGTCTTACTTGTAGGCTCAACTAGCGTCGGCCCCACTTGCGGGGAAGAAGAGAAAAAAAGTCGGATATCAAGATCGAACAGATCCTCTGTCCTTCACCCTAACACCGACCTCAAGATGGAAATCGAAGAGCCTACCGACAGGCGCGGCAAAGTCCGCGTCGCCGCCATCATGTTGGCACTATCGGTACGACAGCCTCTCCAAGCACACGGACTTTACTAAATCCCGATCTAGCTGTCCATGTTCATTGCAGCATTGGATCAAACCATCATGGCCACGGCCATTCCCTCCATCGCCGCGTACTTCCATTCCGCGGCTGGATATACGTGGATTGGAGGTGCATACCTGCTTGCGAACGCGGCCAGCGCTTGTATTTGGGCCAAGCTTTCCGATATCTGGGGCCGCAAGCCGATTCTGCTCTTGGCGGTCGCGTGGTTCTTTCTCAGTTCCATTGTGTGTGCCACTGCTACGAGCATGGAGGCTTTGATTATTGGTCGCTCGTTCCAGGGTGTTGCTGGTGGTGGCTTGCTGCAGCTTGTGACGATTATCATTTCCGACTTGTTCAGTGTTAGGTGAGTCATATGTGGGGTGACCAGATTGCGAAGCCGCTCTGACTAACTGAATGACAGACATCGTAGCCTCTACCTCGGTCTCATGGAGGTGATGTGGGCTTTTGCTGGTGGTGTGGGTCCGCTTCTGGGAGGTGCGTTCTCGCAGTACGTGACTTGGAGATGGACCTTCTGGATCAATTTGCCAATTTCTGGAATCACATTCGTGCTCCTGGTCTTCTTTTTGGATGTGCACAACCCGAAGACGAAGATCATGGATGGATTCCGCGCCATCGATTGGTTTGGAAGTGCCTCTGTGCTGGGTCTCACTCTCATGTTGCTCCTTGGGTTGGACTTTGGAGGTGAGACATTCGCCTGGAAGTCTCCCCAGGTCATTTGTCTCATTGTCTTCGGTGCACTTTGTTCGCTGCTGTTCGTGTACAGCGAGAAGAAGCTGGCAAAATACCCGCTGATGCCCCTGGATATCTTTGCTCGATTCTCCAACATCGCAACTTTGCTCGTGGCATTTGCGCATGGATTTGTAAGTGAAAACATCGTCCTTGACCCTTTTCACTGCTGACAATTTGACAGGTTTTCATCGCCGGTGAGTACTACATGCCGCTCTACCTGCAATCAGTCAAAGGCTCCTCCCCGATGCGCTCGGGTGTCTTGATCCTGCCACTCGTCGTGATGGAAGCGTTCTCCGGAATGTTGACCGGAGCAATCATCCACCGCACAGGTCGCTACCTCGAGCTTATCTGGGGAGGTCTCATCCTGATGACCATTGGCAATGGCCTATATATCAACCTTGACGTGGACTCTTCAATCGGTGAAATTGTCGGCTACCAGATCCTCAGCGGTCTAGGTGCCGGGTTCCTCTTCCAGACACCGATCATCGCCATCCAGGCAACAGTTTCACAGCAAGACACTGCTACTGCTACTGCCACACTCGGCTTCATCCGAAATATGGCAACTGCATTCTCGATCGTTATTGGTGGAGTCGTGTTCCAGAACAGCATGGGCGAAAAGCAAGGCAGTCTGTTGGCGTCGGGGATGTCGGCAAGTCTGGCCGCTCAGATGTCTGGGGACTCGGCTGCTGCAAGCATTGAGTCTATCAAGGATATCACTGACCCTGCACAACTGGCTGCTGTGCGAGAGGCATTTGCTTGGAGTTTGAGGAACATGTGGATTCTTTACACTTGCATGTCTGCTGTTGGGATTCTGTTCTCGGCATTCATCTTGAAGTCCAAGCTCAACAAGGAGCACGTGGAGACAAAGACAGGGCTGAACCATGAGAAGACGCCTGTTTCGGAGGAATTGCGAACCCTATAAATAGCGCCTTTATCTCTGCATTGTGTACATTGCAGATTTTGTCTAAATCTCTGATCTAGCTCAAAATTATATTTCCAGGGAGGTCTCTACCAAATATGCACTTCACGTGTTTTTCTGCTTCGTCGATTTCAGCTTGATAGGAATAGGTAGGCACATCTGATAAATTAACCATTTCCAATGTTGAAAACCTTGGAAAGTGACTGCTTCCAAAGAATAGATTGGGGGCGTTTCTGTATATTCTGTATACCTAAATTAAATTAAAACATGTTAGCTGATCATGGACATGGACATCGAAATAAATACGTGATCAAAACAAATACATAAACGGGCAGTGAGTAAGAGAAATGATTGTATCAACAAAGAACATTGATTATCCAACGATGGAAGACTTATTACGCAGAGCATTGCCCACCAACGACACACAGAACAGGGAGATCAGCAACGCTGTTACCAATCCATATCTTGATTCCCTGTCCATTGACAGGAGCCTTCCAGTCCTGCACGACAACATCCCAAATACTCACATCCTTCCGAGTGATATCAAGTGTAACAGTCTGACTCTCACCCGGCGCAAGTTCCTTCGTCTTCTCGAACTGGCGAAGCTGCAGCTCCGGCACATCACCAAGACGAGCAGGCAGCTCAACGTAGAGCTGAGGTACAGCCTTGCCAGTTCGCTTGCCGGTATTCTGGACCTGCAGTTGTACAGAGAAAACAGTCTCGAAGAGAGCTGGGTTTCCGCCCTCGCCCCCTCCTGCAGGTGGAGCTTCGTGTGGGTCGGTGGTATAGCCATCTGGGTAAGGATACTTCTCTGTCGAGGTGATAGATTGCGGATTGTCGAGGTAGGGGTAAAGGTAGCGCCAGATGCGAGTGAAGGTGAATGAAGACCAGGCAACTTCTGAGGCGGCGGGGATGGCGGTGTCGTAGGTTGGGGTCGATGGCTTCGCTGCTCTTGAGCGTGGGTAAGCTGTGTCGAGTGGCGCCACGGTCGACAGTGAGGGCTGGGAGAAGTTGAATGTGGTGTACGATAATCCGTGGCCGAATGGGTATCGGGGCGTGATGTTGGCCTTGAGGAAGTGCCGATAGTCGATGTACAGACCCTCGGTAAAGGTATCCTGGATCTGACCAAAGGGTTGGCTGATCAAGCTCACGCTATCGGGGTAGTCGTCTTCGCTGCGGGGGATCGTGTAAGGCATGTGACCACTTGGACTGTAGTCACCGAAGAGAACATCGGTCAGGGAGTTGCCGGCCTCTTGGCCTGGGAGATGAGCGACCAGTACGGCTTTGACTGATTTCAGTTCGATCCATTCCTCCATGAGGATTGGACCGACGGTATGCACAATTACCACAACGTTAGAAAATTTCTCTGCCGCTGCTTTGACAAGGTCGTCGCCGTTGTGCCAAGCGTTGAGTCCGGCCTGTGTTCTGTCTCCGGGATTGCCTTCGACCGTGATGTAGTTCTCGCCTGAGTCAGCGTTGATAAAGACAAGAGCAATGTCATTGGAGCTGGCAGTCACACTGGAGGGGAACGAATCAGTGATATGGAACTCGACGTTGTTGGTGATGTTTGCGATCGCCTCCTGGGGCGTGTTAAGGTAAGGCAGCCTCGCGGTGCCACTACCCCAACCCATGGTCAGCACACCCTTATCACATCCTTGATCGGTGCAAGAATTAAGCCCATCGGGGTTGCCACCAGCGTCAGTTCCGAAGACTTTGAGGGAGTCGTTGCGGCGCAAGGGGAGGATGTTCATGTCGTTCTTCAGCAAGGTTATTGCCTCACGAGCCACCTTGCGAACGGTAGCTTTGTGATTCCCTTGGACATCAACGAATTGGTTTACAACACCACTGGGGGAGAAGAGAGCTCCGGGGTAAAGCGGACCCTCCTTGTTTTGGGTGTTGGTGGAGAAGTTTGGCAGTGGATAGTCTTTGTCTTGACCGGACTTGTACCATGTGGCAACAATACGGGTGACCTGTTCTGTGTCAGATCGGATAGCTCAATAGAGCAGGGTGAACTTACCATGTCGTTCAGACGGCTTACGGGAACACTCCCGTTTAGCACAGACCGCGAGAGCTCGGGTCCCCAGTAGCTGTCTCCAAACAATGGCACAGCTCCATCGCCGGGCATAGCCATGTCCAAGCCAGCCAATGCCGAGGGAACCCCCGAATAATGACCAAGCCAATCGGTCATTACAAATCCTTGGAAGCCGAGCTCATCTTTGAGAACGTCATTGAGCAACTTGCTGTTTTGACTACAGCTTGAGCTGTTTACCTGTGCGAAGTCAGCAACAACAATCTCCAGGGCTAGAATGTATGAGGCGGCACTTACATCGCTGTAAGCAGTCATCACAGAGCCCACGCCAGCACGAACACCTTCAGCAAATGGCCAGAGATAAAGCTCGTGCAGTGTGCGATCGTCAATATTAGATGAATATCCCCGGGTCACAATACTACTCATGCGATGCATTTCCTGCTCATTGCCAATGAAATGCTTGAGAGCTGCAATGGCTCCAGTGCTTTGCATTCCCTTGATAGTCTCAGATCCTCCATAGGCCTGCAAGACGGGATCGGCACCAAAGCCTTCCCAGTTTCGTCCGCCGCGAGGCTTTCGACCAAGGGATCCAACAGATGGACCCAATTGAATGTTCACGCCCTTTCCGCGAGCCTCTTCACCGATTCCAACTCCACGTTCGTACATGAGGCCCTTGTTGAACGTTGCTCCTACCGTGATACCAGGCGGGAAGGCAGTATTGTGGTCCGAATTCCGAATTCCAAGCGGGCTGTCTTGCAGACAGATGTTTGGGATTCCAAACCGGGGAACGCTCCCTGTCTGACCCACGCATGGTCCCATGAAGAAGCCTGTCCCGGTTGTGAGGTTGACTTTCTCGGCAAGCGTCATGTTGCCGACGATATGCTGCGCCTTTGAGTAGGCTTCGCTCCAATCGGCGATCCATCCGCCTGGAGGGGTGGGATAGTAGGGAGGCGATTCATAGCCTTCTGCTGCTCGTTGATGTAAGTTGGTGGTGTCTTCACCTGGGACCGGTGAGGCCAGGAGGGGAGTAAAAAGAGTGACTAGAGCTAGATATGCCCAGGGAGCCATGGCGTGGGAGGCCGGATTCCGAGCGATGTAAAGAGAGAAACAAGTAAAGAAATGATCGTATTAGGGCGAGTGATTAGAAAGAATGCATAGTTTTCCCCGGATTTGAGATTCGAATCTGCAGATTTCAGATTGACAGTTGTGTTCCATTTTTAAAAAATACTTCCAGGGCTCGGCATATGACCAGGAACAGGAAGGAGCGACGCCCGCGCATCTCGGAGGAATAAATCTTTACACCATGGCGGAGGGACGATCGCTCTCTAAATCAGAGAAGATCGTCATACGATCCTGTTGACATCCAGCTTGGCGCGGACAATTGTGAGGATGGTTCGTTGTTAGCGACTTCGCTTGGAGTAGCCGAGCGTTGATAATCCTCAAGTGATCGTCCTGATAGGCCGTTGCTGAAGGAGCTCACATTGCATACCGTGATTTATGGGGCGTCTTCTGCAGTCTCCCCGGATAATCTTTGCCCTAAGGAGATGCCAGGGGTTCATTCTGGTTAGAATCGTGCGCTAACTCGCAAGCTCCCCCTTTCTCGGACGGGCTCCCCACCGAAGTTCCTCCGACGGCTTCTATCGGTGGAGATATTACTCTAATTAGAACACGCGACTGTGGTTCGCGTCGATCAGCTGGACTTGCGTGTTTACTTGTTGTCTGCTGGAGTTCTGGTAGCACTACCATATCTACGGAGTAGACTTGCTGAATCACACTACTTATAGGGTAGCGCAGGCAGACGCTTCATATCACCAATCTGACAGGATTCAGGTACAATGACATTGTCGCCCGCCTTCCGGTGTAAAAGCAGCATTGTTGTCGTGTTGTCGCGCGTGATTGGCACCCAAGCCCCCCCCCCGGGCGGGGGTTCGCGGGGGTTCGGCCCGTGGTGGCTTGTCAACAGGTCATGCGGGTGATGTCGCTCAGTCCATGATTGTGATGGATGCGAAGGTGGCGTTTGAGGTAGCTTTCTAGGGTCGATGTTATCCAAACCATGCGACTCAGTGGTATCCCGAGAAAACGCGACTTGGCAGTCAGCACCATGCTCATTGATTTTCAAGGATGCCCTTGGGAATTGCAGACCCGTGATATTGAGGTCAGGTCAGCTGAGATGCCATAGCGACCGTCAAGGGTATACGGAGTATAGAGCTCGACAATCAAACCATCATCGCAATTTGAAGTGTTTGCTTCAACGCAGACGCAGTTGCGGCGCCTTGGGTACGCCAAAACAACGAGGCCAAGAGCACCGAGGGGAGGCATACCGTGCTGTACAGGGAGCGGCGTTGAAGGAAACCTCAGTAATGCGCGAGATAATCCAGGCTATTGCTGCGTGTTGTAAAGCTACTTGCTCACTCCAAGCTATGCCATGTCCACCTGGGCAGGGACATTCAGAAATGTCATCCGGAGCTCATTCTGACTAATCAAGTCATTGGCCGCAATCAATTTTGATTGAGATGCTAAACGAATCAACTTATGATTTGACAGGGCATTTGTAGTTCAAGCTTTGTGTATCATGAAGTACGGAGTACGGAGTACCTGAATCTCACTTGCATTCAAAATGTGCTGCATATATTGTACAAGCCCAGTGCCAAATGCGGAAATTGATGTGCGGCCACCTGGACTGAATCGCCTCCGATGATGACCTGAGCCCATAAATAATGAGAGCCTACTCCGAACAGAGCATTGTGTTTTTATTTGTGATCTAGCTGCAAATTAGTGTTTATTACTAAACTGATACATAACTTGGAATCGTTCAACTCCTTCGTGCGAGGGTAGCATTGGATTGTTCCTGCAATGACTTAGCTGGGTAAGCAACAGTGAGCCACAATTGTACGCGAAGTAAAATTGGAACACTTTGCAACTCAACTGCAGAGCGTGGGCTGTGTAAATTGATTGATTGGACCCTGCAGCACAAATCCATTGATTTTAAAAGGCTCGATCTGAGACCCTTAATCTCGACCCTTGGTATCTCTCCGCCGATGCCGTTCTCGGCCTGATTCGCCCTGGTCACGGATATAGTGGCCCCACATTCTTCGAGGGCTATACCAATGCAAACGATCTTATTCCCCTGACGGTTGCTAGAATATGCCGTGCAATGGGTAGTTTATATGCAATTTCTACGCATGTAGTACTCGCAAACAGCCATATCCGCGTGCATGGCTTGTGAGCCCTAAGAGCATGCCTGATTGCTAAAAAAACAGTCTAAGACTTTTGTGGACCCCAGTGGATCCTGTCCGAAGTTGATGACCTCGAAAGACCTTCCCCCAAGCGCTCTGGTCTTTCTGACTTTCATGTTTACCTCACTCATCCTCTGAGAGGTTCCGCCGCCTCCAACATGGGAAGATATCATTACCTTTTAGGGCTACTGCTCCTATTCGTGTCTTCATTCCTCTGGTTCACCTCAACTCTTGGCGGAGAGCCAGAGCCATCGACCATTGCCCTCACCTATGGCTCTTGCGATTGCCCAGGCGATGGTGCAAACGGCACCGCTTCAAAAACCGACGTCAATCCTTCTCAATCCTCAGACATCGCAACTGAAACCGAGACCTCGCCACCGCCTCGGCCATCGAGTTACCTCCCAATCACCAATACTTATGACAATGCGCAAGCTACATTCCCGTTGAAGCTGTGGCAAAAGTCCGGTTCAAGAGGCATTGACCCAGACCGCTGGGGCAACGTGCAAAGCTGGCTCATACAAAACCCTACACTTCGACATGAAATTCTCAGCGACGGAAGCGCCGATGAGTACGTCCGCGACAACTTCGCCGATTTCCCCGAAATCCGAGACCTCTATCTTTCATTACCGGTGCCGATTCTGAAAGCCGACCTGCTACGGCAACTCATTCTCTACAACGATGGCGGTATCTGGAGCGATCTAGACGTGACGTGCCACAAGCCAATCGACACATGGATTCCGGAGGAATACCGGGGCCGAACAAACGTGGTGGTGGGCTTGGAATTCGACGGATCACAATTCGCCAGCTGGACAGTGATGAGCAAGCCCAAAACAAGCCACGGAGTTGCCGTGGTCAAATACGTTGTGGAGAAACTGCAAGCCTCTGCCGCAGAGCACGGACACACCACTGCCGAACTCAACATGACCATGATTTCAGATGTCGTGGATGTGACGGGCCCCCAAGCAATGACTGTGGCCCTGCTGCGCAACTTGGAGCAGGAAATGGGTGTGCCGGTAGGACGTGCGAATATCACCAATATAATGAAGCCGACACTGCTACATGATGTGCTCGTGCTGCCCAATGCGGCGTTTGCTTCTTTGCAGGCCGGACATCCTGAAGATCGAGGCCCATATCTCGTTGAGCATCATTACGCCGGTTCTTGGAAGAATGCCCACGGGGGTGAGAGGCAATGACATGCAAATTGTACACAGGGATAGAATATACAATGCACAATGCACTAAACACATAATCAAATAGGAAATTCAATTCTGCAGGCACTGGGGAGCCAAGGTTCCCCACACGGGCCGAAAAGCTTAATCAACATTGAGTCTATCAATCCATTGTGCCGGTACCAATGTAAGTCATTCACTCCTTGTAGGTTAATAGCTGGTAGTAAGTAAGGCCAATTGTTTTGGTGTTCTCCAGAATGGTGTGGGAGGGTCGCTCCTTCCTTTCGTGGTGGCTCTCAACGAGGAAGGCCCGCGTGTCTGTCTTGTTTATCTTCACTCTCGTCTCACTTCTTCTTCTTCTCTCTCCCCAAGTTACCCACAAAGCTTTTTTTTTCTTCTTCGTCTTCACTATCGTCTTCTTTTTTTTTTCTCAAAAAACAATAATGAAGAACCTTGTTGTAATCGCCACTCTCGTGGCAGTGACCCTCGCTGCTCTCTTCCGGGAGGTAGCTGGGCACCTCGCGGCGGTCCTGTGTTGTGCCGTTCTCGCGATGAAGATTCTCAAGTAAGTCTCACTAATCAGTGATGCCTCTCATCTTGCCCTCTCTCATCGTATGCTCACTCGCGGGGTCATCTCTGATCATGCACTCTCTCACCTTGCCCTCTCTCATCATTCCCTTCCCCACCCAATGAGAGTTGGCATGAAGAGAGTATCAGGCGATTTGGACCTGATATCTCTCTCACTGACTTTCCCATCCTGCCCCTCCTCCCCTACCCACGCCATGTCCTCGAGGACGTGTCAGGTGACTTTCCTTGAGACCCCAGCACATATCAAACGCGCCAAGATGAAACTCAACTAACCATTAACAGCACCACCGGAGAGGACGCCGCGTGGAAAGATGTGAAGGATGAGGTTGAACGACTCCGCGGGGAGAACGCCCAGCTTCGGAACGGCGAAGCATCTCGCGTGAAAGCCTTCGATCGCTTCAAGGAGGAGCAATACCTCTTGCGGTCGAAGGAACTGTCAGCGTACCAGCACCAGGTCCAGACATTCCGCGAGATGGCCAATTGCTACCGAGAGGATGAACGTCGCCTGATCACCGACGCCTCGAAGTGGCGCCGCCTGTACGATGAACTGCGTGCCAAAAACCCCGGAGAGGAGACATTTGATGTTCGACTAACCGAGTTGACGACTGCCAACCGGGCACTGACGGACGAGAATGCCGGGATGAAGCAAGACATTTGCCGCCTCCAGTCCCAGCTCGAGGCCGCACTTCTCCCGAAGCACCCGTCAGTTGCCACCGACAACTCGACCATTGCCGACCGCGACCAGCTCCAGGAGCACACAAACGCCCAGCTTCAGGCCGCTTGCCAGGAAAATGTGAACCTGCACCAGGAAGTCCAGAACCTGCGCGCGGAGAATCAGGACCTGTGTCAACGCAACTCCGTCATGCTCGCTGAGGGAATCTCGCTCTTCAACAGCCAAGAAACATTGAAGGGCGAGTATCAGGGATTGACCCGCCGTCTCGAGACCTTGTCCCAGCAGGGTCAAGAGAACCAATCCCTGAGGGTGGAATGTGCCGACTTGTCTTCCAAACTCGCGACTCTGTCCCAGCAGAGTGCGTTGAGTCAGCAAGTCGCTGCCACCTCCCGAAACGAACATGACGCGCTGAAGCGAGAGGTCGCGCGCCTACAGGCATTGGAGGTCAAACATGAGGGGGAGACGACGGAGATGAAGAAGGCAAGCGAGGCGGAAATGGTGGCTCTGCGTCGTCAAGCATTCGACTGGTCACGGACCAAGCTTGAGGAGCAAGAGAAGGCTCTGCGGGCAGAATTCGCCGCACAGCTGACTCAAACTTCTCAAGCCCGTGGTCCAGTCGGTGCCCAGGCCACCGTTGAAGCTGAGCTTGAGCAGCAAGTCAAGAACCTGCTGGAAGAGAAGGAGGCCCTTAAGCAGCAACTGACCGCGGCGGAGTTTTCGTCCAAGACTCAAGCCGAACTCGCCAAATTTCACCACCAAGGTCAGGTGCGAGCTGAGGGAGATGCCCAGGACAGCGTCAAGAAGTTCTGGATGCTGGATGAGAAGCTGAAGACGGTCAACGACCAACACAAGCATCTCCAGACAATGCACGACGACTTGTCACAGCTCTACCTATCCACCAAGCGCGAGCGAGATGCGATGCGGACGGAGATTAGCCAACTCCAGAAGCTGGTGCCCCAATGATGACGGAGTAGCTGCGGGTGTGACCTTGGCGTTTCGGGTGCTGACTGATGCAACCCGCCCTGGTCCCCAGCTTCCCTTCGATTTCAATTCAATTCATCTTGGGGCTTCATCGACGCTCCTTGGCGTGATAGCGTTCTTTACTCTCTTCTTCCTTCTTCCCTCCCGACCCCTTTCTACCAGTTCCCCTTCCTTCACATCTTGTTTGCCCAGCTACCTGCCCACCCCCTCTCCCCACCTCTCCCCTCACTGCAGCCAGCGGTTAGATCGCAGCATGTCCCGATAATCACTTTGCGCCCATGACTTCCCCACGATTTCGTTTGCTTGCTGCTCGGCCTGTGATGCTGAGTCTGGCCAAGCTTTTTTTCATTGCCATTGCGCAAATTCCATTCGCTGCGGCTGCGCCCGTCCTCTCGCCACTATTTCTTTCCGCCGACGCAGAACCACCAAAAGAACCGAGCGATCCAAACCTATGGCTTTATTTGGGTATTTCAGCTGCTCTTGTCCTCAGTGGAGGTGCATTTGCTGGACTTACCATTGCTCTGATGGGACAGGTAAGCTTTCAATCCCAATCGGCGAACTTCTCCGACCATTCCAACTGACTGTTGTTGCTTTGTGATTTAGGATGAAGTCTACCTCCAAGTTATCCAGACGTCAGGCGAAGGGCCCGAACGCAAAAACGCAGCCAGTGTTCTCAACCTCCTAAAGCACGGAAAACACTGGGTTCTTGTCACCCTCCTTCTCAGTAACGTCATCACAAATGAGACCTTACCCATCGTCCTCGACCGCACACTTGGTGGCGGCTGGCCTGCAGTACTAGGAAGCACGGCCCTGATCGTCATATTCGGCGAGGTCGTCCCACAATCGATATGCGTTCGTTATGGTCTTCCCATCGGGGCCTGGATGGCTCCATGTGTCTTGGGTTTGATGTACCTCATGTCTCCGGTCGCTTGGCCAATCGCAAAACTCCTCGACCGACTCCTCGGTGAAGATCACGGCACCATCTACAAAAAAGCCGGCTTGAAAACGCTCGTCACCCTCCACAAAACCTTGGGCGAAGCCGGAGAACAACTTAACTCCGATGAAGTCACCATCATCAGCGCCGTGCTTGACCTCAAGGAGAAGTCAGTCGGCAGCATCATGACACCCATGGAGGATGTCTTCACCATGTCCGCAGACACTGTTCTGGATGAACGCACCATGGACCTCATTCTATCCCAAGGCTACTCTCGCATCCCTATCCACGCACCCGATAACGCAATGAACTTCGTTGGCATGCTCTTGGTCAAAATGCTGATCACATACGACCCTGAGGATTGCAAGCGAGTTCGCGAATTTGCTCTCGCCACACTTCCCGAAACACGCCCAGAGACAAGTTGTCTCGACATTGTCAATTTCTTCCAAGAGGGCAAGTCACACATGGTACTTGTCTCCGAATACCCCAGCGAGGATCGCGGCGCTCTCGGAGTTGTCACACTTGAAGACGTGATTGAAGAATTGATCGGAGAAGAAATCATTGATGAATCTGATGTGTTTATCGATGTTCACAAAGCCATCAGGCGCATGGCCCCTGCGCCGAAATCCCGTGTTCCCAAAGGCAAAATTGTCGAGGAACCCCCATTGAATGCCTCTGTCATTTCCGACGGCAACTTGATTGATGCGGACGCTGTCCAACCTTCGTCTCTCCCCAAACCTTCCGACTTGATCCGACGCCGCAGCTCCGTGGAAGCACCCCTCCCCCGCTTCCAACTCCGCAAGACGAATGCCGATATCAGTTCCACTGCAACGGACGGGTGGGTCACACAGATGGGCACGACTGATGCAATTCGAGAACACCTCAAGCATCTTGGCCCCTCAAACCTGGCCAGTCGGCCCAGACAAACTCGCTATCATGCCGTCAAAATCAAACGCAATGGCACTTCTCCTTCTCGCTCCGCTCAAACCGAAAACGACTCTGCGCAGAGTATCTCCGACTCTCAAAAACTTCTCCAATCGTCCACAGCCTACCAAGGCGGCATCGGCGCAGGCCTGCTCAGCTCAGCTGGTCCTGACGCTAAAGACGGTGCACATGCCCTGAAAATCGGCTATGGAACGATTTCTTCATCCGACAATGTGAGCAAAGGAACCAGCGCCCAACAATTCAAGGATCTCCCTCATGTCTCCATTCCCGAGGCTGTCCGCGAGGAACATGAAGACCAAACGCGTTCTGGGTTGACGCGCGAGGCTAGTAGTGTTCTTCAAGGACCCGATGACTACGAACCCCCCGAATACCACGAAAACCAACCGCGTTCTGAGTTGACGCGAGAGGCTAGTAGGGTCACTGCGCAAGAATACGAAGACCCGACGCGTTCTGGGTTGACGCCGAAGGCTAGTAGTACAGAAGGCAGCATCAAATCTTCCGACTCGCCGACAGGCTTCCCCTACCATCACCGTGGACCGGCACGCAGTGGCAGCATCACTGAACAGGTTGTGGATGTGAACGGCATTCGCAAAGTTGTTCTCCACGCCAACTGCTCCAGCTCCTCAGAAGGTGAATCTCATCAATCCGGCCATCACCACAGTCTCAAGCATTCGTCCTCGGGCCAAAGTCACACAGACGGCACGGCCCTCGAGACCGACGATGCAAAACCTCAAAGCCAGGATGGCATGTTGTCGAAGATCAAAAAACGCCGCCGTCGCAAGAAGCACGGTAAGGCTTCCAAATCTGCAGATGGTCCCTCGGAGGATCAACCATTATTGTATTGAGAATTTCTTGTTCGGGGACTCGTGCGATTGCATGAGTATTCCCTTTGATTTGTTATGATTAGGAGCAGATGTTACTAAATATCATTTTTTCATGATTGCTTCCCATCTTCTGTCTTTCCAGTAGGCCTTTCTTTCAGTGTGTAGTCTTCCAAAAATTTGGACGGTCTTTCGAACAGTCTTCCTTGCCTTCCAGGCTGTACTGAAACACTATACTCTTATCTATCATCTATTTACGTGGATTGGATAATTACGAGGGCGAAGATGGTTGTGCAAATGCATCTTTTGGTCCTAAGATACTAAGCTTGTCCCAATGGGCTCTAGATAACGCATGAAAATGACGGTGCAAGGATGGCACCGATACACAGGTGTATGCAACAAACAATCGCTATCCATGAAAATGTCCTTCGTAATTTTGTTGAGCGGTCAATGAGGCCTCGCTAAAACCAGCCGGGTTGAGAGACTCAATCGAAATTGAGAAAAACCTCCAGCTTGGAAAGAGTACCTCATGTGATATTTTGGTTGATCAGTCGAAAGGCTCTCGCAAGCCCATGATTTGCCGAGATCCAAGCAGTCTTGAGACACGCGAGTAACAGGCGTGCAACTGGAAGAACTGCGGACATTGGTGGTGGAGATTCTGGCGAGAGTTGTGTGGATGGCGTCGAGGAGACGATGCCGAGAATGAGAGCCGATCGATCGTTGTGCCTTCCCATTGGCGGTGTAACGAGGTGATCATTGCAGAAGGGGGTCCTGAGAATAGGTTAGTGTTGTGTGCAATGCTTTAAGAATCCAGGTTAGACTTACGCGGTAGTGCTTCTGGTGGTTGTTGGCTCTTTGGACGCGCGCATGCATGCGGTTCTCTGCGCGATGGGCACGGGTTGTCTCGCGGCGCTCTTTGGTGAGAGCAGTCTGTTTTTGCTCGTCGGTAGCCTTGATCATGCCCAGACCACCGTTGGCGCGGGTGGTGATAGCACGGTGATGGTTGTTACGGACGCGGGCCTTGTCCTCCTCGATTTCACCATTTTCAATAGCAAGCTGGCGGGCAGCTCGTTCTGAAGGTGTCATGTAGTTGTGCATGTTCTGACGGTAGTACTTGGCCAGCGAGCGATGACCGACACTCTTGCCAGAAGCAAGGTGAAGCTCAAAGTCTTCCTCGTAGGCGCCTGCTGGGCCACGGTAGTTCTCAAGATCATCCTCGTCGTCAGATCCGGAACTCTCAGTCTCCCACCCTTGGTCTTCTCCATCCCCGTTGACCTTGACACCACCGCTTGCGGGCGATGAGTCGTCTTCATCATCATCGTATGTGCTGCGGAAATCGTAGTACTGTCCAATCTCGACCTGCTCATCTTCGGTCTCGAAGGCAATTCTGCAGTGGCTCTTATCACGCATGTGAGTTCGAATGGCTTCCGCGGTGTTGCGCATAGTGTGGCAAAGGAGACATTCAAAGTTTTCGGTAATCTTGCGCCAGAGGTAGTGGATGAGGCCATCGATATCAGCGAGGTACTTCTGCTCAGGAATGAACATTCCGTGATCTTTGCGCATGTGTTCCACGTTGGTGTGAATGTCGCTGGAGTCGGTCTTGCAGAACAGGCAGAGAGATGGGGAGAATTCAATCTTGTTGCCATCCTCCTCAGCGTCAACATCAACATCCTCATCGCCCTCATCAATGGTGGCCGACTTGAGGTTTTCGGTGACCTTGGACACGTCGTTGTCGCTAGCCTTGTTGACGGGCTCTCCGAGAGAAAAGGCGGAGCTTTGGACAGAAGCGTTATCACCGTCCTTGCGAAGGTGGGCTTCGCGTTGCTTGTGCTTGGAGCTGTTGATGTGGTTCTTGTAAGAGTTCTCGCTGTAGAACGCCTTGTTGCATGTGTGGCAAGTCTTCTCGTAAGAGGCCTTAGCAGCGGCTTCGTTGGACACGGCCTTGGCGGCAAGGACCTTTTCGTTAAAGGTTTCGAGGGTAACGGGGGGCAAAGAAGCCATGCGACGCTTCATGTTGTAGTGACTGACAGTAACAGATCAGCCTTTATGATTTTTTATTTTTTTTTGTTAGCAAAAAAAAAACTTACTGCCAATCTTTCCGCATGTGATCCCTTTGCGCATCGCTGCGGTGGAAGCCAACGAGACAGGTGTTGCAAGTGTATTGCAGGGCTGCTGCAGAGTCTTCAGGAGTCGCAGACATTTTGCTGGTTTGGTGGTTGTCTATGGTTGAAAGGGTGGGTTTTTCCTGTGTGGGATGAATATTTGATGTAGGCGGGGTACAGATGAAGGCTCTGTCTAGGCCTATTTCGAGCGAAATTTGGAAAACGCAAGTTGGAAGTGGTGGAGCAAGTGAGTGGATGGTGCGCGACCACAGTGGAAGTCAAAAGAAAGAGCAAACAGCTTCAATAATCAGTCTTTATGGCCCAAATCGACTGTTGTCTGCGGTTGACTACCGGCGCCGAATATGTTTCTTATCGGCTCTGAGCGCGGGCTAAGCCTATCTGGGTAAGTGTGGCATCATATCAGTATTACTCATCACGAAAGAGGCTGAGTCATTTCCGGATAAACTCGGCCCGGTGGATTTTGGCGCCGAGGTGGGTCTCAACGCCTAAGGCGTCCTACGATGATATCAGGTGAGCTGGAGCCTGTCGCGAACTCCGACACGGAATCGGTCCACGATCATCATAATCTTTCTTGCATATCTTCTTTTGTGCTTTCTTGCCTTATGGACATGCTACTATCTATTTGAAAATGACGAGGCTCCGCGGAGGTTCCATGGATTCCCCAGATATCGCGCGGTCCTCCGGCCACAGACGATCGCACAGTTATCGGTCGAAGCTCCCACCGAACGCACCCGAGATTTTGACACAGAATACCATTGAAGTCTCAGACTCTTCGCGGGTACTTCCACGATATCGAGATGACCGAAGGCGCAAGTTCAACGGGTTGGTGCGAAGGTGAGCAAAGCACAGAGGCATTGATCCGAATCCCCTATTCCCGCATCATACTGATCAGATTCGCGGCAAAGGTACAAAGCGCAACTCCTACACGGCTGCGAGAACCCCGGATGTCAGAACCCAACATGTGCTAGTTGTCGCCGAAGAACCAGCGAAGGCCCATATCGTCGATATACGGAACTAAGCGCGCGGACTCTGGCTTGCTACCTGGCAAGCTTAGATGATGCAGAGGCTGGCCTTTGCTTGAATGCTCCGAAATCCCCACCTCAGTTTCAGCCGTTGGATTTACATCGCGTTTCCATGCGCCGAGCCCGGTTCTTCCAGATGGAAGAGGCCGGGGAATTGACGACCCCGGTCCCGAAGCCAGAACATGGAAATCAGTTGACAAATGACGCGAGCTCCGCTCAGAAGGATTTGTCTAAGTCAAGTGGGCCAGAACTGGCGTCGCCTCAAACCACAGGCACCAACCAACAAGAGCTCGACCGCATCCAATGCCAACAAATCGACCACATGCCGGGACTGGAACCCAAAGATCCCAAATCCTTCACACAAAACTTGTTTGATACATTATCTCTCAGGATGGTTGAATGGCTGCCCTTGCGTCGCGGAACAGTGTCCTCTGAACCAAAGCTTGAGCCTCAACCTCCCAAAGCCACCGCCCAAAGCCCACCTGCTGCCGGAAAGGGCTCGCACGGGGACAAACCATCAAGTAGGCCGAAGAAAGAGGCACAGAGATCCAAAAGTCCAAAGAACCCCGGTTCTCAGCCTCGTACCCCTTCGTCTCGAACATCGGGGTCTCAGCCGCCTGCAGTAGAGCTCAAGCTTCAGAACCAACACGTCAAGCGAGTATCTATACCCGATGTCGAGAATTGGCATCAGAGCCCACGATCCAGTCTTGATGAGAAGAAGAGACCAGAGTTCAACAAGAAGGTTCCAGTGGCTACAGATGAATTCCATCCTATGTCTCCTCCAGCATTAAAGCATCGCCCACAGAAGCATCGTGGAAGGATTGACGAGGTTGAGTCCGTTCCTCTAAAAGAAAGACGCAAAACCCAACGGCGTGTCTCCTGGGATAGCGATAAACTTTTAAATGAAGTCTCCCCTGTGAAGAATCCAGCAGGCACAGATGTCATTACTCCTTTACCACCTCCTCATTACTCCCCTCGTCCTCCCAGTGAACACAATACTGAACATTCTCCCGTTGAGGAGCTTCCAGACACCATTCCGCTGGCCCAAACCATTACCCACTTTACTCCAGAGATCATCAACGCCCTCTCCCAGGTTATTATAGAAACTGAAGAAGATGCCGAATCCTGGAGGGAAGAGGTTGACCATATTCAATCCACTGGCAGCTTTGAACAACCAGAGTGGCGCTTTGCGACTCTGCGCCAGCGAGAGGTCTTTCCTTATATCGCCCAAAGCACATTTTTCGTGTTGAGCAGCCCCCGGCAACTCTTGCTTTCGTTTGGTACCGACCCTGAAAATATACACGGAGTCAACTCCAATGGCCTTGACGTTTTGCATTTGCGTGTGTCACTGCAACGTCTGATACAAATTTGTCCATGGGACATTGCGTTGCATAGTCTATGGGGCTCTCTCGACCGACTGTTCATTCCTCCTAGTGAATTTACATCTTCTGGAAGGCCATCCCGTCGGTCTTCTCGAAGCTCTACCATGACTGGGCCTACAGCTTCGGTCGTTCCACGGCGAATTTCAGGGTCCAACAACGAAGAGTATCTGTCTGACCAAGAAGCAGCGTACATCTCAACGATTGCACTATTCACATTGGTGAGCTCCATGCCGGAAATGAACATGGCGACATGGCGGGCGGTTGTGCAAATGCGTGCTAAGGGATCTGTTGCGTCATTTTCGGACATGCGCAAGCTTCCCTCTCATAACTCCAAGCAAGCCGTTGAAGTCACAGACAGGCTTGAACATGAGTTAGGCTTGCGCTTGATTACCCGGCTTGTGCGTGCTATCACCGCACGACTGGCATATTTTGAGATTTCAAAGGCTCGTCGGGCGTATGAAGTTGACCAGCCCAAACAGCGCAGGGTGAGTGTACTCGACCGCGTGGTCGATCATTTGAGTGATTATCATAATTCGCATGCTGCTGGCAGCAATGAATCCATCAACCCGGCGTCGCTTCTCGTTGAATGGCTACGGACTCTTTTCTTGCGCGAATGGGATGGCAATCCCGAAATGGCCCGCAGTGGCCCTGCTGGAGGTGCCATTCAGATCCTGTCGTCGCTGTACAAAGCACGAAATAGGCTTGGTCTTTCTCCCGAAGAATTCCATACACCCCTTCTCACAGAGCGGCTGGACCCTCTGGACATGCCCGTGGCATGGGTTGGGAGAATCGCAAACAACCGAACGATGTATCTACTATCATACCCTTTCCTCTTCCCTCCATCCTCTCTTGTCATATATTTCCGCGCCTTGAATTACTCTGCCATGACCAAGTCATACGAGGCTGCCATGACCACCACCAGGCACGTCACTCAGACTGCTTTCGGTGCTATTCAAATCGCAGATGATTCTCGGCTCCTCACTCGCATGAAAACATCCATGTCAACATATCTCGTTATCGCTGTTCGTCGTGACAACATTCTTTCCGATGCCCTTAGTCAATTGTGGCGGCGCGAAAAGCGAGAACTGATGCGACCCTTGAAAGTACAAATGGGTATGGACGAGGGCGAAGAAGGCCTCGACCATGGTGGTGTTCAGCAGGAGTTCTTCCGTGTTCTAATTGGCCAAGCGTTCGATCCGTGCTATGGCATGTTCACGATCGATACTCGGCATCGAGTGTCTTGGTTCCAGCCCTGTTCACTTGAGCCACTTTATAAATTCGAGCTGATCGGGTTGCTGATGTCGATCGCAATTTTCAATGGCCTAACACTTCCTTTGAACCTCCCCATTGCGTTCTACCGCAAGGTATTAGGGTTGAAGGTGAAGACCTTGGAGCACATTCGGGATGGATGGCCAGAACTCAGCTCGGGCCTGGACACATTGCTGACGTGGAAGGACGGCGATGTCGGTGACATCTTTACTCGCACCTACGAGTTCAGCTTCGAAGCCTTTGGCAAGATTGAGACGGTAGATATGCAAAAGGTTGGCCGTGATTCCCCTTGGCCGTCGTCTAGCAAACCAGACCCTATCGCAGGGTCGAGTGCGTGGATAGACATTCCCAACTACGAAAATAATGCAGCTACCACTCCGCCATCCCCCATGACAACTGTATCCATCGATGCTGGAACCTCTTCAGACTCGGTCCAGGCTACCAAGTCAGTCACCGGGGTCTTCTCTTCGCAGCCCCTCACCCCTCTAGCTGAGGAAGAAGCTGCTCTTGTCACAAACGATACCCGACACCAGTTTGTGAAAGATTATATCTTCTGGCTCACAGACAAGTCCATCCGACCCCAATTTGAGGCTTTCCAGAGAGGGTTCAGCACATGCCTGGACCGGTCGGCTCTGTCTATCTTCTCCCCGGAGGCACTTAAAATGGTCGTGGAAGGTATCCAGAGTATCGATGTGGACGAGCTGGAGAACCACGTCCGGTATGATGGCGGCTTTGGGCCGAATCATCGTGTCATTCGTGATTTCTGGAGTGTTGTCCGGGAGTATCCCAATGAAAAGAAGGCTCAACTGCTGGAGTTCGTCACTGCTAGTGACCGAGTTCCTGTGAATGGAATTTCGAGCATCATGTTCGTGATCCAGAAAAATGGCGTGGGCGACCTGGTATGTGTTTTCTTTTTACCTCTATCATTACATATAACTAACTATCTCTCCAGCGTCTCCCTACCAGTTTGACATGCTTTGGGCGGTTGCTTCTACCGGAATATTCATCTCGAGAGGCATTGGCGGAGAAACTGGACAAGGCTCTTGACAATGCTCAAGGGTTCGGGGTTGCATGAAAAGTCTATACATATTTGTACATTGTAGCTCTCTAGCGTGTTAGCGTCGCAAATAGATCATTGGCCCAACGGGCAAATTCCTCACAAATCAGAGTTTCCTGCGGTCCATCCGCTCCCGTGCGGAGCTTTGGTTCGCCCTGACGTGGCGGAAAATATGAATCGGACTGCTGAGGTCCGATTTCTATGACTCTTTTCTCTTTCATCTACTCCGTACTACTTTTCGAGGCATATAGAGTCCCTTCTACCTCCCCGCCCCCACCTCCCGCGATAAGATTCGTAAGGGTCTTCTTCAACCTCGAGCTCCAATCCCTCCAGGCACGCTGAACACCATCCTCGAATTCGGTCCTTGCTACTTCATAACCATGGCACCTATCATTCATTGCGTCCGCCACGCTCAGGTATGTTCGCACATACCGTGCATTGATCGGCGTGCAGCGCAACTCGCAATTCCCGGAAGCCCAACCGGCACTTGATCCCGCGCCACGACCATTTGTTCAGTCTAACAATCGCAGGGTCTGCACAACCTCTGCACTGAGAACCATGTCATTCAGGATCCCCTCCTCACAGACCTCGGCCACGAGCAATGCCGCAAGCTGCGCGAGAGCTTCCCCCGCCACGCCAACATCGACCTGGTGACTGCCTCACCGCTTCGCCGTACCCTCTATACCGCACTTGAAAGCTTCACGCCCGTTTTCGAGGCAAAGCCTGATCTGAAAATTATCGCCCTTCCCGATATCCAGGAGACTTCGGACGTTGCGTGCGATACTGGAAGCGACCCTTCTGTTCTGAAGGAGGAGTTCACATCGGGTGTTGATTTGGATCTCGTGCGGGATGGGTGGAATAACAAGGTACTACTCTTTCTATACCGCGGGATAGCATCTTTTCTGCGGCGAGCTCCTTGAGAGACATGTCTAACAAGTTTGTACAGCAAACCGGTCCTTACGTACCAACCAACAAGGCGCTCAAGGAGCGCGCTCGCGCAGCCCGCCGGTGGCTGAAAGCCCGCCCGGAGAAGGAAATTGTCATGGTTACCCACGGTGGCTTTTTGCACTACTTCACCGAAGATTGGGAGGACAGCAGCCAGTTCCAAGGTATCTTGTGCATTGTGATGTTATTGCGGAACCTCACTAACGCTATACAGGCACCGGCTGGATCAACACCGAATACCGCACATACAAGTTCTCCGATGAGACACACACAGACGATCTAGAGGGATACACTTTGGATGGTGAAAATGCTTCCCTTGAGGAAACTGTTGACTCGCGGGAGCGCCGGGGCAAAAGCGGACCGATGGCGAGCCGTGAGGAACAAAAGCTCCTCTATAAGAAGGGTACTCAAGGCTGGGATGACCAAGGTTTGCAGATGAGTACTGCAGACCGGGAGGCTGCCAAGGTATCCGAAGGCAAGGAAGTCAACGGTGTCCGAGTATAGTCGAGTAAAAGTTGTTTTGCATTTGCGGTTTTCGGATGGACATTGGCATTGTGACGATTTTACCTCAGATCTGAACATTTAGACAAAGCCCAAGATTTGTACAGAAAGACTCTTTATTCCTGTACACTTATTCTCCTGCTTTGGTGCCATGGTTCGTGAACTCGGGGTCTTTTGTACTCGAGCATAGTGTTTCATCAACAATAGAATCTAATAAAGTCACTATAACACTCAACTTCTTCTGTTTCTTTATCCTTCTTTGTCTGCTGCCGAGTACAATGTCGTTCTTCTGTCTCGAATAACAGATGAAAAAGAACTACAATGGTCTCGGGCAGATACGAAACAAAGATCCCATTACATACGGCTATCCTGGAGGCACCCTTTGTTTGGGTTGCAATTGTCTATATAATACTCTTGATGCCCCTCCCTTTTGACTATCATCAACATCCTATGAGGCACAGGACAATAGTCCACTCCATCCTCCGCTGAGTACTTCTCTTTCCCGCTTGAAGACATGTGCTAACACTTCTACCTAGGAGACCTAACACCACGGCCCTCCTGTCGAAACACCCGTATAGATGTGAGCCCCCATTTTATCTTCGCTAACATAGAGTCTAGGGTAGATCACCTCGCCAAGCCGTCTATTAGTACAGGTTCTTTCGCAACCCATACTCGGCTAAGTCCATAACTATCCACGTCCTCCGTTTATTCAGGATACCATATCTGCGATTAAAGACCTACTGTCCGGCATTTGACATTCTTATATCATATCCAGTAGGTCGTTCCGAGTAGACAGAAGAATGCTGACTCGTTGCTCTAGGGTGTGTACGAAACAATGTTAGAAATCAGATTGGATTCGAATCTACGGCTGAGTGTTCATTGTCCTTCCATTGATTATTTCAGTACTAATGACGCCTAGGCCGATTATATCCCCTCACAAGTATTCAATCATATCGTCGTTTCTCCGTCAGCTAGGTCACCACCCTTGTCGTTATGCTAACTTGATTTATGTAGGTCAAGGATAGCCCTAAATGAATGACCAATTGATTACCGTTAAGTTTATAACCTGAATCCATCCCCCGGTTTATAGTCTCATTGCTGACATATTAAGTCTAGTCTTATTGTCATCATCTCTTGCCTGAATTGCTTTCGCCGTCTTTGAATCTTATTCCTGAGCAGCTAAGTCTTCCTCACATCCTCTTAATCTAATTGGTTTTTATAGATACTTCTCAGTCCACTGCTAAGACCCGCTGGATATATCCATAGCATATGGTCGAGTGGCATTTCCCTTTGTCCTTGGATTAGATGTGTGACACTGACTTTATGTATAGGTCCCCTCAAAGAACTGCCCATTTTGTCTCTTGTGGACTGTTTAGTACGTCTTTGCCTCTCATGGTCCCAATGGGGTGCTCCCAAAACAGCACATTTGGGTAGAATCTATGGTTACTGCGTAGAAAAACGAGCATTCTGTTGGTAAGTAATCTCACTGTGTTGTATTGCGTATGCTCTCTGACAAGATACTCCAGGACTATGAAACACACCGACTTATACCCGGAGCTTTGGAGGGACCATACCTAGGCACTCATCACCCTACACAGCTTGTTCGCTGGTTGAACCTTGCTCTTTTCCTTTCTTTGTCGCTTTATGACAAATTCAAGCACCATTGGTAAACTCTACAAGAAAAGCATGGCCTTATCAAACATCATCATGCATGCATACGCGGTTATAACCGGCGGAATGAAACCATTTTCGTGTTATATAATCATAACAACGTTTCCTAGTTATAAGAACCTTGGAACATTTCCAAGGTTACTCTGCTCCTCGTTCCATTCATGCATTCGTTCACACCAAGTATACATAGGCATTTACATATAATATATTCTGAACCTTGGAAACTATATTCAAACTTCATTCACCTACCTTCTTTTCTATATTGGCCATGGGGGATCGTGCCTTGATCATCGGGCAGATTCATGAGACTGTGAGAAACTTTCTCGGTAAACATGACTCTTCGACCCCAATTACACCACTACGAATCGTTGGCGACACGCCGAATAGCATTCTTGATCATTCTGAATTTCTAAAATCAATCAACACGATTATCCAGGAGGTTGAAAATGCCGTTTCAACATGTCGTCCGGATGCTGGAACTCGCTGGGTTGCTGTGAGCAAGTTTGAAGGACGCCACTCCTTTTTCGTACTAGACATCAACAATGTTGAGTACGATTATGATTCTGCTCATATGTGTCTTGCCAAAATCCCTGTCTATGTTCTTCGGTTATCCAGAGCACCCAAAAATTTCAGACACGAGCCCCAGGATGAAAAGCTGGCCAACAAACTTGCACGAATGCACAATCTGCATGGAAGGGATCCACTACCTTTGTTCGACGACCATACCCGACCTCTTGTATACGACTCTCCCCGTGATCTATGGTCCAGATATCTCTAATGTGTTCGTTATTCCTATCTGCTTAATATCTTTCTACTATGCTTGGAGAAGCCGATCATACCTCTAAAAGTTGACCATGGCTCGATAATTACAGCGGTCATGACGGTCACGATAACATTGTGGATAATGCTTTGGTATTCGATTTTACTCTGAGAGCAGAAACCGGCAAGAGATGAGCACTACAATAGAAGGGCAAAGGTCTCGATTGCCAGGCATTATCCGGTATGCATCAAGTCTAACGAGGGGTGCATAGTACTGTCGGACGCCCAAACAATAGTACACATGGACATGATACTGCTTTGAACTTCAAGTCTTCAAGTCAAGCAAAGAGCAATAATCTGCGATCGTCTCCAACTAATCAACAATTGAATTATATCAACTGCGTCATCACTTGGGGCATTGTTTGAGTTATGAAGCTAAGGATAGTGGCTGTGGGGTTTTCGAGTCCAGTCCGGGCGCCGATCTGACATGCTTACGGAGTAGAAGAACCCAGTTACCTAGTCTTGCTAGTGTGGAATATCCGCGGGAGAAAAGTTGCAGGATTGTTTGTTGTGACGATCCGGAGTATCGCATTGAATGCCTGTTTCAGACATAATCTGTAGCAAACAGTCGTGGAGACACTAGGCTGTACTACCGTATTGCATGCAGAGGTAGGCAACTCAATTCAAGTATCCTGCAAGGCATAATCATGCAGATTGATATGGAGTACGGAGTACGATTATGTTTGAACAAAGTGCTGTAAATGCTGGTGCCTCGATGGTGAAAGGCATCGGGTTCTATTTTTAGGCGCCGATCACCGCGTCCCGTGGCGCAGACCTTTCGACTTCCGCCAATATAACATCTCCGACAACCGCTCGACTTACTGCATGAGCCCGTGAGCTACTCCGTGGATGGATATTAGTGGGCAGCATGATCGATGAAAACCTACCTAGTAAGCAACCTCCCGCCTCCCCCCTTCCCTCAATACTAACCCAGACCAGCGTTCTTCTTTAAGAAGGACTCGAAACAGCCCCAGCTCAGCACGGTATACCACCGTCAACATGGAAACGACCCCGAACCTGCATACACTCTCCGCGCCCTTGACCCCGCTGCCCCGACTTCCCAGAACCGCTATGGAGTCGCCCTCTACGACCCCTACGTGACGGACGTCGTCTACGGCGAGGTCGCCGTCATTCCAGAATGGACTCAGCCAAGTCTATCAGCGGAAACCATTCGAGCAAATGGTGGCGCTGCACCAGCCCCGGAACCGATTCTTCCAACGGAGTTTACCGTCCAGCTCTACAACCCAGACCAAACGATCACTGTGAAATACCACACCAAGACGTGGAACAAGCCCGCCCGGTGGGAGTTTGAGATGCCGCAGAATACATTCCGTGTTCCGTCGGGTTCAACGCTAGACCAGGGCCAGATCGATCCTTCTATCGCAGATATTACCCCGAAGCTGCGGTTTAGCTGGCGCAAGGACGGAAAACTGTCGAAGGATCTGACTTGTTTGCTGCATGGGAAAACTTCTACCATAAGCGATACTCGCACGAAAAGTCGTGAACCAGATATCACAGTTGCTCTCTTTCAAGGACTGAAAGAGCTTACACTCTACCAACCAAATCTGTACCGAGTGGAGATGGAGGATTTCAAGGGGTTAGAGGTGGTCTTGCTCTTGATCACCATCGCGATTCGTGACATATTCTTCGGGCCCGCAAAGGAAGCATTCCATATCTCCAATAACCCAGCGCCAATCACGCGCAAACAAACTGCGCCTGCTGCGGCCATGGCTGCCGCAGCAACACCGGCACCCATGGTGAAGTCCGACCGAAGACATTCACAGGTCGGGCCTTCCGGATCGGCAGTGAATGGAAGGCCATCGCCTCGTGTCCATACCCCAAATCCGACCTCTCCAGGCCCACAGGAGCGCAGACGACAAGACGAACTCGCCCTGCAGGAAGAAGAGCGACGAAACCAGGAGATTCGGGCAGCGGAGCAAAATCGGCGCCGACGAGATGCCGATGTGGATAAGGAAACCAAGCGTCTGCAGAAGCTGTATGGCAGGGAAGAAGAACAAGCCCGCATGCAACGCAGCTCGACCCCATCTGCACGCCCATACCTCCCGCCCCGACACTCGGGCCCCCCGCAGCCCTATTCTCACCAATACTCGCAATCCTCCATGCAACTCTCCCAAGCCCGCCCCTCTCATCCCCACCAACATCCCCCAAATGCCGTCCAATTCGCCCATCCCTACCATACAGGCCGGATGGACCCGCGCGCTCAGTCTTCCGCTCAACTCCAGCCCCGTCCACAGCCTAGGCCGCAGGCTCGGCCGCAGTCGGTGGCTTTCTACCAGCAACCTACCAGCAGTGGTGCGCTTCCTGCGCCCTCTAAGCCAGCCCAGCTGCAGACGAAAAAGAGTAGTTTCTTTGGCTTCCGTCGCAATAAAGAGGAGACGGCTACAAAGCTGGCAAAAAAGAGGAGTTCGATGTTTTGATTTCTTTATACCCTGGCGTTGTTCTTTTCGGGCGCATTTTGTTATGATACCATCTCGCATAGTCCTACACATTTAACGCATGCCAATTTGGTCAAATATTTATCTTCCTAGCTGTCTTAGCAAATCGAGAAGCACGAAGAAACCGGGGAGAAAAGGTGGAGCTAAGAGTTCCCGCACAAACCAACGGCTCCAGAATTCGTATAGAACCACAAGATTAGATCAAAGATCAAGCCCTGAACGTGCCCCTGAAACGGCTTATCCGCCACCGTTCGACGCCTTATGACTTGGCAGACCTGCATAAAATCCCGAATCCCCTCTTCTTTCAAGTTCCCCAACTTTTCTTGACCCTTCAGATATTCCGGTCTTCCGAACTGTCATCCGAAAAATGGGCACATAGTCAATCGGAGCAGTTCCGAGCCTTTTAACCGCCCCCAAACCCCAAACAGACCTTCGTTTTCGACCAACATGGTGGGTGTGCCACACAGCAAAGGCTGCTCTCTGTGTCGCGAGCGACGGATCAAGGTCAGTTCACCCCCGCAACACCCGAATACGAGGATTCTAAGACCAGTCTAGTGCGACGAGGCCGTTCCAGAATGCGGCCAATGTCGAAAATACGGCCGCGCCTGTCCAGGCTATCGTCGCGTATTTCGCTTTCAGGATGAAGGGCCTAATCTAACAAAGCGCCACAAATCTGGCCGCCAAGTTGCACCGTTCGCTAAACCGGCCCGTCCGAAGCACTATAGGTTTGTTCACGATGACTCCCGCCGTAGCCGCGGATGTTGTGCGTGATAATGCGATTGCACTCATGCGCCAGCAGTCGGCGTATGGGGGTTGGGATGAGAAGGTCACACCGTCGCTCGTTCGCAAAACTTTTCGCGCCGCTCAGCCACAATTATTCCTCGACTTTATCAGCGCGGCGTTTCCAACGCTATACTACCACAATAGGTTCCGTTCTGGCGATGGGGCCGGCTTTGCGGAATTTATTATCATGAATTATGGCCAGGATTCCTTTATGGATTCCGCCATCTGCTGCTTGACTTCTGTCTACCTGGCGCAGTTGACTAAAGATCCGGCCCTGGTCAGATCGAGTCGGCAGATGTATTCGAAGTCGTTAGGCGAGGTCATCAGGGCTATTTCGAACCCTGAGCAGGCCAAGTCAGATAACATGTTGTGCACGTCGATTATTCTCAGCGTTTTCGAAATGTATGCGAAAACCACACCGGACGCCTGGGTGGTGCATTCAGATGGCGCGAAGAGGTTGATGATCAACCGAGGACCTGAAGCACACGAGTCTGGCCTCGGCAGGTTTTGCTGGTATGCGTTTCGCGGGTAGGTAAAAGGCACCTAATCAACAGGCACTCCCACACCAAAAAAAAGTCCAACGGCATCCTAACCCAGTTTCTAGATTTTTCATCGCTACCGCGGTCCACGAGGGCAAAGCCTGCTTTTTAGATCAAGAAGAATGGCAATCGTACGCGGCCAAAGTCAGAGCGGAAGACTGTCAAAAGCCCGGCGAATGGTCCGCGTATGCCGAGATCTCCGATCTGGCATACATGGAAATCGCAAAGTGTCCACGATACATCAAAGAGACCCGTGACTTGCTCGCCAGTCCAACAGACCCAGATCCAAATGCCATATCAGATATCCTCCGTCGTATTCGAGATACGTCTACTCTGCTGCACACACTCATTGCCGAGCTGCGGTCATGTATCACCGCGCATAACGAGCGACAACAAGGCATCGTCCAACGACCTGGATCCTTCGTCGGTCCCGTCCCAGCAGCCTTCCCAGATACAGGCCCCTCGCTCCTTCTCAGCGGTGCTGCAAACATGCAAGAAACACTGCAACAGCTATCCGACCGACTGAATGATCGACTGCGTTTCACTTTGATTGAGGAACAATCACCAGGCTCGGTCGACTCGCCAAGTGATAGCAGTACATACTCAACATCATCATCTCAAACGAGCTCAAGGAGTCTCCCGCTTCCGTTCCGAATCCATTCAGAGCTTGAGCATGGTCCGGAAAAGGGCTCTGATACACATGACCCGCGTGCGGGCATTTGGCTGGATCGCGTTGCATCTTCCATGGGCGTGCTGAATGCGAGGGTGCTTCCGAGTGAACCAGCTGAGAATAGCTCCAGCTAGTCATCGCAAACTCAACTACATTTGGATGACTTGAGCTGTTTGATATACTACACGTGACACGAACTGATACCTGTTATTTTAGCATTGTGCTTTTGCCTACGCCGCATATTGCGTTTATCGTACTTATTACCTTCATTCAATTTGTTTCTCAATTGTCTATAAGGACACTGTTTTCGAGGCCAGCAGTCGCCCAGTGCTCTACCTCTCGCGGTACCTGGCTAAGTATACACCAGCCATCATAATTCGCATCCATGGATGTTTTGAGGATCCGCCATATTGATATTTCAATTTCGACGCATGATTTCAACAGATATGAGTATATAAATTCAATATATTGTATCCGCGCTCAAAACTCAAAACTTCCACAGTCCTAATAATCCAACGACTGCTCAAGCAATTTCCTCAACTCCCCCTCTCAGTCTCCAACTCCGTGCTCAAATTCGGTGCCAACATAAGCACACGCTGCTGTGGAATAGTCCCATCAACCAAACCCTCCACATCAGACCCCTTGAATCCCAGATCCTTCAATCCCCTAGGCTGGCCACCGAGCTTGGCCAAGAACTCCGCAATCGCAGCCCCAAGAACCTCACCCGCGCTCTCACGCTTGACATTCGAAATATCCACACCGAACGCCTCAGCGGCTGCAAGATGGCGGTCAGGATTCGAAGCGGCGGTGAATCGGAACACAGCCGGTGCCGTCACAGCCACAGAGACACCGTGGGGAATAATCGGGTGATCGACCTCATAGCCATGGTGCTTGTATCCCGGGTTCTGGCTAGAGATCGGATAACTCATACCGTGGCACAAGTGAACACCAGCATTACCGAAACCAACACCGGCAAGGGTTGCAGCGAGTAGCATTTCGGACTGGGCTTCGTGGTCATCTGGATCGCGGACTGCGCGCGGGAGATACTTCACTGTGCTGCGGAGGGCTGCGAGGGAGAAAATGTCGGAGATGGGGTTCGCGCCCTGGTAGGCCGGACGGTTAATTGGGTTTGTGGGGCGCGGGGTGCGCTCGTTATAAGGGATTGCGGTCCACGATTCGAGTGAGTGGCAGAGGACATCGAGGCCTGAGGCGGCGTGGACAGCTGAGGGCATGGTGCGGGTGTTGAGGGGGTCGCAGATACCAAGCGTGGGCTTGAGATTGCGGTGGGCAATTCCCGTTTTGGCCTTTTTGGAGACCAGGTCGAAGATTGCGGTACCGGTGGTCTCTGAGCCGGTTCCGGCTGTTGTTGGGACTGCCACGAGGGGGAGGAGTGGCTTGTCGACTGGTCGACCTTTGCCCAGTGGGGCGTTGACAAAGTCGAGGAAGTCGGCTTCAGGGTATGCGGTGTATAGATTCATCAATTTGGCAGTGTCAATGACAGAGCCGCCGCCTTGTTTGTCGTTAGCTTTGCACTAGTGATGCTGGCCAAGAGAGGGAGATTTACCAACTGCCAGGAAGGCGTCAGGCTTATAGGGCTTGCAGAAATCAATTGCTTCTCGGATACTGTTCGTGAATGACAAATGTGAGCCATGCGATCACCATTGTCTACACTTGCGCAGGGAACTTACGAGCTGTCCTTTGGCTCCGTACGGACTTTGTCAAAGATTGTGAACTGGATTCCTTCGCGCGTTAAGCCCTCAACAGCCTGCTTCATAGCATCAAGCTTAGCAACATTGGAATCGGTAACAATGCACACCCGCTTGGCACCCAAATTCGTGAAATCCATTCCGACCTCTTTGGTGGCACCCGGACCGAAGCGGATGCTCGACGCAGCCATCTCGAAGGCATACTCTTTCTCACGCGAGCGATCCACAGGCGTGGCAAGGTGGCGCTTCACCTGGTTGAGAAGTGAAGGGGTCTGCTTGTGGTGATGGTGATGGTTGGGGTTCCCATGGCAGGGGCAGTTAGGCGGGTGTGTGTATTGTACAGTGCGCAATAGGTTGAGTGCGCGATTGGCTGCTGAGGGTGCCACCCTGATTGCTGGAGATACCATTGTAAGAAAGGAGAGTAAAGGAGAGTATCGCGGTATTAGAACAAAGTCGAGGGGAAACTGGGGTTGAAGTAAGGGAGAAGGTCAAAAAGTGTGGGACAAGTTGGAGAAATGCGGGGGGAACGAGCCTCGGACTTCTGGCCGAGGCTCACCTCGTCCTCCTATTAGCTCTCGCTCATTTATTTCCTGTCGGTTGAGCTTATCGTTCGCAGACCGTTTACTCCATCTGTTTGGATCTATTTTCTCCATTTTGGAGATTCCTTAGACATACCCATCTGCCTACGGAGTACACTGCACTGTGTCTCCGTACAGCCGAGGTCCAATCGTGCCGATCATGACATCAACATGGCACGCCCTCGTTTTTCAATCTCAACGCTGCCTATCTTTTGGTAACAATCATTTAGTGCAGTATATGCGCACATGAATGGTGAATGGTCCAAATTAACCTTTTAGTCAGATTTGCTAGAAGTATCAATTAATTACTCGATTTGCTGCAACACATGAACAATTCCATTAGTACAAGTGCATCAACTTCCCAAAAACCATCCATTTAACACAGGGACAAGACCAGTGTCGTCGATGAAGCAATCACTCGGACTTGGCTCCCAGCAGGCGGCACGCCGTCTTCCCACGAGATCGCGGGTTCAGCCGGCGCAAGCGTGACTGGATATCCCTGGAATGGATCCCCAAAGACGTCAGAGAGGTCATACCAGACCTTCTCACCATTGTCTCCTCGCTTTTTGAAATAGGAGAGATTGTATGCGAACACCATCTGCGGGGCACTGGTATACAATCCGTCAACATCGGTGCTGAGCTTGATCGCAATGCCGCCAGTATTGGGGTCTTCGCGGAACGTCTCGTCGTATGAGTCCCCGGAGTCCAGTATCTGTACTGGCTTTACATCTGTACCAACAGACCAAAGATAAACGGTGAAGTCACAATTGTTGTTCACAACTGCGTGGCCCAGCTTCCGGGGCTTGGGAGGTGGGGGTGGTGGTGTATAAGATGGGTTTGCCGATCCTGTACTCGAGGGCGTTGGAAATGCACCATATGGCAAGTCGTCTCTTGCATGGACATTGTTGGAGTGGACTGATGGGTGGCCCAGCGCGAGACTGGCAAGCGATAGAGCTAGCATGCTAGAGATGTACATTCTGTGAAAGTGCTTGGCTTTGGAGTTTTTGGTTTTGATTTTTGGGCTGTGTCTGGCTGGATACTAAAAAGGCATTGCGTTTATATAGACGTCCTTGATGTTGTGGTCATTTTAGGGTTTTCCAAGGTTGTTTTCCTCGGCGTACCTGGACCAGACCTCTTCACCCTCGGTAGGCTGCATCTGGACGGTTGCTATGGACTCTTCAAGGATAGATGCGCAAAATAGGCGATGTGGCGCACGGTTTTGTGAGATGCAAGGGCCTCAAAAGTGCTACAATGTCGTAGTCAAGCGAGTATCTTTGGTCTGTCAAACCGGAGCAGCCGAGCAATTTTACCATTTCCCTATTCGATACATTTGTAAAAAAGTAAAGGTTGTAATGTTGGACTCAACCCATGGCCTAGATTCTGAAACGCCGCTGCGAAGAATGTGTGCACTTTTTCCCCAGGTATACTCGACTTGGCCATCGGTTATTCTACCACTTTTCCGTGGAGAATGCGCCCACAAAAGGAGATCAGTACAAATTAATCAATCGTCTTTGGGTACCGGGCTCGATCAGGTCCGACTGAAAGGGATATGATCATGTCCTCGATACCCTGGCAGATTAGTTGTACAAATTTCGGATGGGAATGAGGTAGCAAAGCCCGTCACTCATGAGTAGCCCGGACCTAATCAAAACACTCGTGACAAGGAACTTCGTCATGCTGTAATAAGAGTGGCGCATCTCGGCAGTCGTATGTTGTGTCCGAGAAATGTAAGCCTCCGAGAGGGAAGCCTTATCAAGAATTTTGCATGTTCCAAGGTGGAACCCCTTCGGAATGCCAGCGCAGGAGACCTTCGAGTCGACACTTCGTCAGGCATCGATATTTTCTCTTTGTTTCTTTCAAAAAGGTGAAATGCATGGTCATGTGGTCGGTAGCTAGGGAGTAGACCGTCGCTATATCCATGTTCTTACAGCATAAATTTTCGCTCCCCTGGTGGCCCTGTCGGGAGCTGGCGTGGTGCACAAAATTAGATCAAGGTGGCCCAAGTACCTAAGATTTCAATCATAGCTACGCACTTGTTTGCGGCATCTCCAATCTTAATCCTTGTGGGATGTAGCACTTGTGGAACACAATCCCAACGGTGTTGTGTAACTCGAGTAGCGGGAAGACGTGACACAGTTGTGGCTGATAATATTTTGAGAGGAAAGGAGGCTATATGTACCCAACACGGACAGTATAGCTCATGAGTGATTGAGGATTCGGAATTTTGTTTCCCCCGTCTCAAGTAAGACACGGAACTATATATTTCATATATCTAGCCCTCATGCTACACAGACAAACCTTGGAATGACAGTGGTAACTATATCCTGAGATAATTTCGAACTGCCGAAGTCACAAAGATCCGAACATTTTTGGGGTATGAGGCAAGTTAGACAAGCACTAATTGATTTCCGAGATAGACAAGGAAAAAAAAGGACCCGGGGGGGGAGTATGTGTGGATTTGTGTAAGAGAGCGAGAGAGATAGGGAAAGTAAGGCCAAAGAACTCTTCAACTCCGCGATCTCCTTGGCGATAACGTAGTTTACTGCAAAACACAGGTACGTCGCTTTCCGACTCATGGTCGCCATGCCGTGACCATTTTGCAGTTCGAAAGCGACAATATTGTAGCCGGTAGCGAGGTCATTTTACGCAAAGGCTGTGCCACGAAGGCGATATAAGGGGACTCGAATGTCCCAGGAATATTGTGATGACTGGGAGACAGATCCCACAGCCATGAGAATTATGAACGGATCGATAAACACAAACAACCATGGAAAGTAAATAATAACAGCAAGTTCAACGAATGAAGCCAAGACTCCTATTGCGAGCCAGGTATAGCAACATAAACGGCAAATGAAAAGTAGCCCTTGGGTAAGTAGGGCAGGTTGGAAGATAAATATGAGCATTGTGATCACACAGGTCACGAGGTATATAATGTGCAAAGTCAAAAGGCGATGGTCACTCCGCTTGCCCTGGTGGATTGGCCGGAAGCTCATTTCGGGCCGGAGAATGAATGGAACTTCCTTGCAATCTAGGATCGGTTGCATCAAGCTCGCTAGATCTGTGCTTGGAGCTAGACTCGGCGAAATTTCCATGCCCCGAGAAAGGTCCCTGGGGCGTGGAGAGGTCTTTTGACCGGTAATGGCGGCGTGCCAAAAACCACACCAGGGCCACAATCAGGATCAGACCGGCGACAGAACCAACAACAGCACCCGCGATAACCCCTCCACTTGGTGATGAGCCTGATGAGCCTGATGCCTCCGAAGTTGCTGAAGATATGGATGGGAGGGACGACGGTGTCGAAATGGAAGTACTCGAGTTAGAATCGGTTGAGTTGCCTGATCGCGTGAATCAGTTTCATATGCTACCAGAAATTGGAAAAGAGATCATACTTGGAATTATCCCCAGCTGCTCCACATTCTTCATAGTTCTGTTCTCGATACCAGCAGAGACTTCATCGACATCTGCACAGCCAACCGACTTCCAGTAATTCTCGAAGCCTATCAGGCCAGGCTCGCAGCAAAAGTAATCTCTGTTTTTCCACAGAACTAGCGTGGGATCTGCGCATTGTGTCGGTACTTCCTCCTTCGTGTCCTCAATCACACATTGCGTGGTGTTGCCGATGGGCGCCCACTTGGTTTGCGATGGACAACACACCACCCAATCAGCCCAAGTAGGACGGCTATTCTCAGTGCTTTTGCACTGGTGCTTTCGACGAACAGCCCAGCCAGGCTGGACTTTTGAAGTCATTCTAAGCGCTTGGTTGATGGCAACTAAGCTGCTAGAATAGCATAAGAAGTTGCATATCAAGAATGAGAGCCCGACAACAGTAGGATTTCGAAACACAGAACAGAATCAGGAGCGATCTACTCTGTACTCCGTCTTCCGTAATAACCTCCAAATACGGCAGATCCGGCTCAGCCCCATATATTACCCTGCATGATACTATACTTGATGTAGAAACTGTGGACGTCGATCCTGTTCGATGCAGTTGAATTGCGGTGTCTCATGCTTTCAGCGAACGGAGTACGGAGCGTAGGCTCTTAAAATGCTCACTTCAAACTCGGCCGCACTGTTCTCATATCCTACGCTCGAATCGAGATTCATTCGATGGGGCTTAGAACATTTTCCAAATACTAGTACAGCCCAGATTCAAAGTTGGTATGTTAGTCCTTGGAAACTGCCAAAGGGAATACGCACCATCCAATAGGGGAAAGTCGGCTACAGCCACAAAGCTGCATGATTTCCCTAGGTGAAATGCCAATCCTTGGCGGGTGGACAGGAGGTTGCATTGGTGGTTGTTTTTCCAATGATGACATTTACGACACTCAGACGGATCACAGTTGAGAGAGGTGGGTGCCATTGCATAGAGGTACGATGGCTTGTTAAAAACGACAAGAAGGCAGAAAATCCAGTGGACCTTACGGAGTATATCAGAAGCAACATTTAAAAAATAGGGGAAATGAGGAAAGCATTATGAAGAAACTTGACACGTCACAAGCAGGGTTGATTGAGATACCCCGTACGGAGTAGTGGGAATGGAGACATACACTCTCATCGATTTTCGAGTGCGGCTCAAACAAATAAAACCTTGGAATAATGGCCCAATCTTTCCAAGGTTGCTGATTTTCACTTGAGAAAATTTACGCCGTAGAGGCAATTATAACGTATTGTATTGTGAGACGAGGCGAGGAAGGAGGGGCGCAGAGAGCGAGAGAGAGAGCTCTCAATCCACGACAGTTATTTACCTGCGGAGAGCCCCACGAGCGTACGATACCTAAACCTCTTCAATGGGCCGGGTTGGGCCCGGACTTCAAGCCCAAAGCCCAGCCCATTCGCGGGTTGGGTTAGGCTGGGCTATGGGCTTCGTGGGCTGTGGGCTGGTGAAGAGGTCTAGGCGCACCACGGGCCCCGGCAAAATGTAACCAAGAAATGAACGCCAGAGAACTATGGCTTAGCTTTGCCAACTTTGAAAGGCAGCTTATCCAAGCTCTCTGCTCACTCATCATTTTGATGTCTCGAACTTCAATTTTCTTGATCAATCACTGCTTCTTCGTGCAACGTTGCTCATTACTCGTTTGCGCCGTCGCGATGGTTTCTCGTTTGCGCGCCCCAGAGACCCTTTCTTCTAGGACTCATCGTTTCCAAACTTTTGCTTCCTCGTAGTCTGCGTTCTGTATCTTCAGGTCATGAAGCCCTGCTTTCTACGTCTCCAGAATCGATACAATCTTCTTTTTCGACCAAGCGTTCATCATCGCACGTCATTTTACCCTTTTTATACTCATTCCGAGAGTGTTTTGATTTCATTTGAGACATCTTCATCATGGCTGATAATGGTGATGTTTTCGGGCCTAACGGAACCGAGACGAGAGGCTTTAGAGAGTTTCTCCATGCTACCTGTGCCGCCGGTCAAGCAGGGGCAACTCAGGCTCACAATCTGGCCGATATTACCAAAATGCAATCCTTTGGTATAACGCCCTTTCTCTCTCCCGGAGACCAATGGGAGAGCTGGCATGCGACAATAACTACGATGCTGGCTAGCAATCGTCTCCACAACGTCATTGACTGGTCAAAACCCAAGCCAGAACCGAGAGATGTCAACGCCCAGCGTTGGTTTGATGCCTCTTTGAAAGTCAAAGCTTGGCTGTTGAACTGCGTCGATTGGGAGCTCATTCGGGAGGTTGAAGCACGCGGAAAGCCGATTGATTTCGCGCACGAGTTCATGAGAGAGTTATGCGCGGTGGTAAACGGCGAGGGCAATGCTGCTATGCAAAAGGCGTACTTTGCCGTCGAGCGCTGTCGACGAAATCACTTCAAAACAGTCACCAAATATCTGACAGAGATGAGGCGACGTCTGCGCACGGCGCTGGACCTTGGCGTTCCCATCACCCCGTGGATGGTTTGGATAAAGATCCTGGATGAACTGTCAAAGATCCCCTCGCTTGACAGCGATCTGGCGTTCTATCGCCATGACATGAATGTGCGAGAAATCCCGACTGATTTGACATTGATGGAGGTCTCTGGGTATATGACCACGTTGAATACAGTGGTCGTCAATCGAGGGCTTGACAAAGTAAAAGTCGTCAACAAACGGCGCTCAAACCCTGAATTTTGGAAAGAGGATGCCTTGGAAAAATACTGAACATGAGGATTCTCGACCAAAACAATTTTTCAAACTGTTCAAAACAACATAAAGGGGCTCATTTTGGAACGCGTAATGCATGAGCTGTGTGGCTATCGAAGAAAATTCGATATTGATCGAGTCAAATCTACTCCGTACTGGTCAAACCATTGATTTAGAATTCACTAGCGGCCCGAAAAGCTTGTTTGAAATTTGCATAAGACGTTTTAGATTTTATGTGAATAAAATTGTTGAGCTCCCTATTGATCTGAGATCCACGCATACGTAAACAATCTTCGAAGAATGTCGCGAAACTTGACTAGTGTAGGGTGAACAACCGTCAAGAACAGACTCGCTAGTAAATTGTAAGGGATGCCTCCTAGGGTTGTAGGGTGCAAGCAGATCATTGGCCTCTCTAGTTAGGGTTCGTGGGCGGTGACAGGCCTGTGGGGGGTGCCTATACGGAGCATACCCCCGCCCGATTCCCAGCCTATGATCTGGATCTATCCCGGGGCCGCGAGTCCTTCCCTTTCGGCCCCCCTCCTCCCCCACCTCCCCACCGGCCATTGTGAGCAATCAGTTTCTGATATGAGCCCACTGCAGCAAGGGCGATCACCTTCACTGACACCTGCGCATGTGATTATATGCCGCAGAACCATTGGTCCATCTCGGCGGGGCGATTGTGCCAATGTATCTCCACAGAGATGAAACAATTCGATTGCATCGCAAATCAATCTATACTTGGAAACGAACTGGCGAAATTCAAAGCTATTGGGGGTAGTTCATTATGGTCTCTAATGATCCCTCCCTCCCCTTGAAATATCCTTAACTAACGCCCGCAAAGTGGATCCTGGACGTTGAACCGGCTTACGGTGATTGATCAGACCTCGGCGTCAAACAAACCTTAGAAGATTTGTATAGATGTATCCATGCACTAGCTCAGAGAAGACATATTTGACGGTCATTATGTTGAGAGCAAATTGTACTTATGACTTCAATGGTGTAGCGTTCATCAGTAAAAGAGTGTATATCACCTCGTAAGATGTATCGGGGGGCGTGAGCATCAAACCTTGAAATCGTCTCCGGCAACTACTCCCGAGTTCCTTGAGCTGAATCTTGACGATCCTAGTTCGATGCACGCAGGACGTACCTCGCTCCGACCCGATACGGCTCGTGTAGATCAAGTTTCTTCACTAGTAAATATTGCGTCTTAGGTAAACCTTCCTAGAAGCACGTAATGTGCCCCTGGCTCGCTGCGTGGCAGACATGAATTTTGCTAGGTATCAGAATCAAATCCACGCGTCAGCTCCATTGATGCATTGACATCTGCCTACAATGGCAGGCTTGATCGTCGCATTCTACGGGTTTTAAGATGAGACAAGCAAGGGAGGCAGGATCTTCGAAGACCTCATTCCAAGGTGACATCACAGCTTGTCGCAAGCCTGCAGGAACACGAATTATTGTGTGGAGTGTCGATATCCCTGTTTTTATCCTTTTGGAGAATCGTGTTGGAGTAGGTTCATTGAAATTTTAAGATTTAAGAAGCGGCCTGGGCAGGAGCTTGTTATTTTTTCCAAAGCCTCATAGCTCAACATGGATAAGATGTCCGACCTCGATCTCGCTCTGCGGGAGTCGCACTTGGAATTGGACCCAAAAACGGGATATATTCGTTGGGCTTCTACAAATCCCAAGCATCCCAGAAATTGGTCGTTGGCAAGAAAGACGTGGGATATTGGTTTGATTACTCTATTAGAACTCTATACGTGCGTGAAACTGTTTTCCCCAATCAAGTTTGTTTTAGATTTGCTGACAGTATCTTTCATAGAACCGCAATCAGTACTTCTGGGGTATGTCTCTTGATGTCCAAATTGGTCCGTTTATACTTACTGACATGTTCTGATTAGTCCGCGGCTGCCAGATCAGCTCAAGAAAGACTTGGCATTAGCATCACTTTATCTCAATTTCTTTTTGTTTCGACGTGAGATTTTATGGAATCCCCGTGCTTGACCACTGCTAATGAAAACAGCTATCTCTTGGCCCAAGCACTGGGAGGCCTTGTCTTCCCACCATATGCGGAGGCTTTTGGGCGCAAGAAGCTGTATGTGGTCACTACAGTTGTGTACAGCGGGTTCTGTGCAATCATCGGGGGGATTGACTCCCCCGTTGCTGCCGTGATTGGACGACTTGTCACTGGATTCTTGTCCGCAGTGCCCACATGTTCCATAAGTGGAAGCATCGAGGATATGTTTAACTCAAAGGATCGCATCTGGATGATGTTAACATACATTGGTTCCGCCAACATCGGAGTGGCACTGGGCCCAGTAATGAGTGCATACATTACCTTTGCATTCGGATGGTAAGGACAACCCCCGCTAAGTCAAGATCGCTCACTCATACCAAAGTATAGGCATTGGATTTTCTATATCGCTTCAATGATCACAGGGGGAATTGCACTGTTGCTACTGACGATCAAAGAGTCCCGTCCATCTTCGATTCTGGCACGAGAAGTGAAAAAGCTGCGAAAGCGAACTGGGATAGAGACCTTGGAGCCACTCAACCACGACACCGTTCCGGACTGGCAAACCTTTGTCACGGTAGATCTGGGCCGACCTTTGAAACTCCTTTTCACAGAGCCCATCGTTTTCTCTGCATCTTTGATGGGCGGAACTGCCATGGCAATCATCTATCTCTTGACGGAAGCTTTGCCTCATATCTACGAGGCCAAGGGCTTCAATCACCAACAGTCAAGTCTTCCCTTTCTTGCGATCGGTCTTGGCTTCATACTCAACATTCCGGGGCGCCTGGTTGATGTCCGGGCTGTCAATGAACTCCGGAGAAATGATTGCTTCATTGCTCCAGAGTACAAGCTGTCAGGCTTGAAATTCGCGGCGCCGGTGCTGGCAGGAGCACTGTGGTGGTTTGCCTGGACGATTCCTCCCAGCATTCAAGGCGTGCATTGGATTGTCTCAGTCCTGGCCTTGCTCGGCATCGGCTATGGGCGAAGTGAAATCATGATCATTTTGACCGGCTATCTGGCGGACAGCTACTCTGCATACACCGGAAGCGCATTTGCAGCTTGGGGACTGGTGCGATCTGTCCTATCAGCCATCTTTCCCTTGTTCGCTCCTGCAATGTTTGATAACCTCGGGGCCAATGTGGGAGTCTCCGTTTTAGCGGCCACGATGACTGTGTTCATCATCGTCCCAATTCTATTCCGAATCTACGGAAAACGACTTCGGGAGCGCAGTAAGTTTGCTCAATACAGTATGCAGAGATACAAAGAAACTACTGTTGAGCAAGATGGCACCTAGCGAAGTGGCACCTATGCCAATCTGGCCATCTGGTGACGATCACTGGTTTCAGGGGCAAGACTAGTGATCACGATGTTTTTAAGATTTCATGTTAATAATTGCTCACTGCACTTAGACTTTGTATTTGAAACCTATCGACCCCGTGCTTCATGATCATCCGTTTAATACTTGTACTTCGTCCATGTATGGAGTAGTAACGGCCAATCATGATAACTCGACAACTAGTTGAAATCTTGGAAGGCAGCCAAAAAGACAGTTCAAAAGACAGTTCAAAAGAGGTTCCGAAGATGATAAATAGCTCTCTTCCTTTAAAAATCGAAATGTGAGATTAAGCCAATACATGACTACTCCTGTTTGTAGGCAACTATCATCGTCTTTTTGGCAGCGCCTGAGCGTGGCCCTGAGGCTTGTAGTAACGTTAACCTTTGTCAACGGCTACGGGAACGAGCCTTAAAATTTACTTCATGCTTAAAGGTAAACCTTCAACATCGGACTAAAAAATGAAGATAGTACTAAATTTATGGCACTGCCACCTTGGAAGCAGTGAGTTCATCCCACAGGTACATGTTGCCCTATGGGCATTGAACGCGTCATCCAAACGACCTATTTACAATAGGGATCTTGCAAAGACCTTGCTTGACATATCATTCAAACTGTTTCAGGGTCATAATCCCCATGAATGATCGCCACGCTAACCTTGTTGATCCACGCAAGGGGCTGCATCCACTGAGAGTTTAATTCGGCGCCACACACATTCTCCTGTGGGCCTTTGAATTGCTGTAGTTGTGACGAATCACAATCTTATCAATATTGAGCAGTGAAGCTCATCGGTTAACACTCCGTAGAATGCGACGCAATAGCTTCAATGCGTTCTGTCACTGGGTATTCTTCTGCTTGGATTTGTTTGGTCGAGCCCTCTCGCCGGATACCTAAACCATCAAGTCCGAGGGGAAAGTTCTAACGTACACTGTACGGAGTAGACTACTAACAATCGCCAATCTTGGAACGAGCCAGAGACAATAGTCTTCATCGAAAAACGTGGATGTTCTGTTAACATCGGGTTGAATGAAGTGAGTCGGTTTCCCGAGTCAAATCACCTGCGCCTCCCGGAAACTAACGGGACATTCATTCCTGAACTACATAGTTTTCGGAGGTTTGACTCAAATGCGAGATACGTGTTCATTCCAGCTTCCAAGCTTTTTTTACAAACATTTTCAAGTGGGTCGCGTGGTTGATCTGCAACCCTTACTGCAATTAGATCCCATGTGTGCGCGCCCAGTAAATGATGCCGTCCGGCCCGTCAGCCGTCACGGTTGGCTAACCAAACATGATTAGCTTTTGCATACGCGGCGCTCGGATATCGTGAGGGGTTGAGCGAGAGCGAAGAGTTCAAAGTGTCAGAAGTTATCCTGTTATGTGAAATTTGAAGTCCAAGTATATACAAGCGAAAATGATATAGACACAGAAAAATTTGGGTCAAACAATGATTCAACCAACCCATGAGCTGGAAAAGCTTTGATTCTCCAGAGACCTCAACGAGTTGCTTAGAAATATACGATTTCGGAGGTGCCCAGGACATCAGTGCCCCTGCGAGCGACGACCTGAACAGAGCTGGTTGGCGGGTTCTTCAGATCGACCTTTGTTTCGAATCCAGTGCGCTTAGCGGAAGCGATCTTGGTGTTGTTGGTCGACGTGTTCGACGAAGCAGCATAGACAACCCAGTTGTCATACTCAGTGGCGCCATTCCAGCTCATATACACCGTCGCACCGGAGGTGGTGTTTGTGACAGACGCAGAAGGATTCCAGAATGGTGTAGCAGCCCACTGGCAGCGGTAGCCACGGTACGAAGCCACAGCATTATCCTCGCCGAACTGGGCGCTGAAGACAACGTTGCCGTCGCCGTCAAATTCCTTGACCTTTGCAATGGATCCATACTGCATGAAGACATGGCTGTCTGTCTCACTGAGGAGCTGGTAACTGCCTTGGCTGACGGAGTGGACAGGGTCGTTGGGGTCAGTCAGAGAACGGAGGCCGGTGACCGTCTTCTTGGACAGGTCGATGGCCAGGCTGACTCCTGTGGTCTCGGACTGCTCGTCTGTTGGGGTGTTGGCGTTGTTGAAGAGGTTCAGCACGAGACCGGAGTCGGTCTCGTTGTAGACGCGCATGTCGTGTTGCCAGGAGAAGTCGGCGTCACCAACCTGCTTGAAGTCGGCGCCGTCATCACCACTCACTTGCCACATGACGCTGCCGTTCTGCGCAAGGTAGTAGCCCGACCACATGTGGCGCAGGGAGACGAGGTAGCCGTGGTTGGTGGTTGTAATGGCGTTCATGTGGTAGGCGTCGTAGGGGTTGTCTTGGGTGCTGCCGACGTCTTTGCCGAGGCCCTGGTAGGAGCTGGTGATTGGGATGTCTGCCTCGTGGTCGAGAGCACTCCAGGAGTTGATGACATCGTTTGTGCGGATGTCGATCTCGTAGAACTGGCTGTCCAGCATCCAGTCGGAGGAGGTTCCGTTGATGGAGGTCAGGTCGTGCTGGGTGACATTGTAGGCGGTGCAAATGAGGGTGTTGCGAGGAGTGATGTGGCTCTCGTGCAGGTCGCAGTATGAGTCCTTGGTCGAGCCGTCGGGCGTGACGAAGTTGCCGGTCAGGCGGACCGTGTAGATCTCCTTGTAGGTGTTGTCGAGGATGTGAACCGTTCCGTAGCCGTAACCGATGTCCATCATGTCTCCGGCCCAGAAGGTGATGACATCCTCGCCAAAGAGGTTCTGCACCATGAAATTGGCCGATATCTCCTCGGGGCCTTCGTACACCAAGTCACCAGCGTCATCATAGATCAGAGCGGCCGTACCAGCGGTCTGCACTCCTCCACGGGGTCCGATGAAGATATAGCCGGGATCGGTGGTGCCAGTCTTGTTGACGTCCAGCTTCGGTGGCTGGAAGTCCATAGAGCTGTACGTCGAGTAGTCCCAGGCGGCGGCCTGCAGGGCCAGCAGCAGAGCGCTGCCTGCCGTGTACAACCAAGGAGCCATGTTCACGATCTATAAACGACTATAAATAGAAGCCCACCCAACTCTAAAAGAATGACGGAGGATGAGAAGGAGTTCGATAGGTTCAGTAAGACGTGCTTTTCGATCAGGATGTGCGATCCCTTTTAATGCAGAAAAGCCCTGAAGATCATTGCCCCAGGGTCGAGTGGATAGTATCAACCTTGGAAATGCCGTGGCCAAGCACGAAGCAATCGTGAATCCACAGCGGGCTACACGTGGGACTATCGACACACTCCGTCATTGTACACCAAGCTCCACTCAGGGGATTTTTAGTTCACGATACTAGTACAGGTTGCACTTCAACTACTGGGCTCTGTACTCCGTACGACTAAGTTGATTGCACTACACCAAATAACGAAGCAGGTCAAGGGAACAGGAATCGGGAACTTGATCAAAGTGACGCTTGATCGTCATGCCGATCACGGACTTGGGAGATTAAATACCCACGAATACCCTCGATAACCGTTTTACACTGGTCCAAAGGACATGAGAGAGTTTTTGTGCCCTGAGATCTGCACCCATCTTCGGATTCATATATCCTCTGGGGTTTCGGCTTGGGTTTCAGCTTGCCGATTGCCGTTTCAATTTCATCTCATGTCGTGCCTGAGGCAGAGAAAGGAAATGCGGCCTATTCAACCAATATAAGAGAAGAGGAATATGGAATTAAAATAGAGGAAAAGCAGTGGGCAGATTTTCAAATCAATTCTGCCCAGGGAAAGTCGTGGATTGGTGGAAATGGTTAGGCCATCCCACGGATCTCATCGGATAACTTTCCATCGTTCCTAGGCCCTTCGATCGCACGGAGAACTCAACAAGGTCACCATTCGTGACTCAAGTCGGACAAGGACAATGTGGTATTGTCATGAAAACACGGAAAAGGGGGTGTTGGATCGTCCAGCTCAGATCTCGCCCAGACTCCGTGTCCGGGTGAATTAGACCTCAAATCTCTTTTCCCCATACTGCGTAACGACAAGTTTATTAACCTTTCCAAGACAATCCCGTTGGGATGTGTTCAAAGAACAGACAATCCAGCCGACCGCGGCCCACTTCCCCAGACCTGCACCGCGTCTGTGGAGACTAGCGCGAGCACTGAAATTGAGGTCGGATCCCTGCTTCGGCTCGAGTGTTTGGATTTCTTTGATCCTGTAATAGCATCATGTCCGTTTGCTTTTTCCTACCAAAGAGACATGTTGAAAAGAATAAAGAAAATAAAGAGACACCCCAAACCGACCCAGAGCAGCGCCACCTCCGTGTCCCCAAAGGCACGGACATCCATCTCGTGGGATCTATAACGGCGCGATAGATCGACTCGGGACCCTAGACCTCAGGAAAACACGAGATACCTGGCCAGAGCATGTATTCTCGTGCTAGATGTTATAAAGCAGCACTCCGGTCCTCTCCACGCGTCGCGTTCTCTCGAAACTCCCCTTCCCCCACTTGGACCCCTGTAGGGCCTCGTACCAAGACCTCGCCGAGCCAACGACGTTAGGCGACTACTTAGTGGCGTCCGACTCGGTAAATTGCTTTTTTTATTATTTTTTTTGGCACTGACCTGACTAAATAAAACTGCTGTTTGTTTTGTTCATTCCCTATATCCATCCTACGTTCGCTGAGATTCAACTCGATGGCCGGGTAGTGTCCAGTGTCCAACCCTAATAATGTCGCGTGTGTGCGACAAGATAGCAATGAGACCACGGCTCTTTTTGTGATTCCTGGGCCTGCGAAGCGCCTTTCGTTTTCTTTCTCGACTTGCTCTCTGCTACTGCGATCTCTTCTGCCTTTTGCTGCTTTCAACCTTTCCACCTCTCTCCCTCTCTGTTTCTCTCCAATTGCTTTCTCTCATTGTGTTGCTTTCGTATGGATATTGCCCACGATGTCTTCTTCTCACGTTGGAAAACCTACCGAGCCCAATGCGTTGATTCTTGAGGCCTGGGGTCAGGGCTTCATGGTCGGCAGCTTGCTCATAATGGCTGCTATGGCCATTGCCAATATGAGAAAAAGGATCTTGCTTCACAAGGTCATTGTACTTGAGGTACGCCAAAGCTCACATCCACCTGCATCCTGCGGCCTGCAGCATGCAGCCTAGAGCTGCATGAGCTCGGAAGATTTTATACTGACCGGTTGCAGCTGGTCCTGGCTATGGCTCACGGTACTTTCATATTCCCCAACCCGCCTGCTTATGGTTGGTATCTCAGTGTCACTGCTATCGGTCTCAACATCAGCTGGGCTCTCCACAACGTCGTCGCCTGGATGAAGAATCGCCCTTTTCTGTCTCGCAGAGTCTCGCGCATCTACATCATCACTGTCATGCTCTGTTGGCCCTACTGGGTACTGGAGATTTATGCCAACTTCACCTACTTTAACAACATCAACACGATCTTCTTGAAAACTCGGCCTCTGGAGCCACTGTTTCGGTAAGTTTGTTCCATCGGTCTTCCTCGCACAATCGTTTGATCCGACACCAAAGAGGGCAGTTCCTAACATCTTCGACAGTGACCCGTGGTGGATTTTTACCACAATCAGCTTGTTCTGGGCCATCAAGCGTGATTACAATTTTGGCCTGTGGGAGATCATCCATATCAGTCCTCGCTTCGGCATTATGCTCGCTTCAATGATCCTCTCAATCGTCTTCATCATTATCGACACCTGCAGCGTTCTGAACGCCTTCCCCAGCATCCTTCCAACAGGCGTCGAGCCCTTCTGGAAGGTAAATCGAAGCCACATCCCCCGTTTCACTCCCTTTAAACTAATCCTTATTCAGCTTTCTTTCGTCTTTAAATGTCTCTGCGACGCAATCGTTCTAGATGATTTCAAGACCGCCCTCGACACCATGCGCAGGCACTGGATGCAAAAGAAAGGCAACGGAATCTTCGGCACTCCCAACACAACACCAGCCAATAGCCCTCGTCGATACCGAATCCGCGGAGATATCGAATCGGCAGGATCACCAGGATTCGCTTATTCCTGCACCGCCACTCCCACCACCCCGACCAAGCCCGGAACGACAATGCACGTCGACCATATCCGAATCGACGAGGAGATCCATGTTGCTTCCGAGACACCCAAGCCTCGAGATGAAGCTAATGCTTCCACGGAAGGCTTGAAGAGAATCAGTGATCCACGCAACGACCCTAGCCCTGTTTCGAGCCTCGAGCAAATTCAGCCGATAAATGAGCAAATTCCTAATATCCCTCTGCGGAAGATTTATATCGAAGCTAACACCTGAGCCGTCCTGGCGTGGTGTTAAACAAAAATGGCGTTTCCAGTGATGGGGATGGAACTTTTGTGTTATTGAATGGATCTTCCACCGGGGAATGGGTGGGCTGGATTTACGACGCTTGATATCTATTTGCCAGGAACTTGAAAAAGGCTCAGGAGGTGAGAAGCAAAATTCAAAAGCACAAAAATACACATAGTTTTGATAGGCTTCTCAATAAACGAGCTACGACAAAATGCTTTCCGCGCCGAATGGCTGTATACTCCGTAGATGATCTGCAGTCAATGCACCATCGCGGAGAATTGGCTCGGAGAATTGGCATATCGACCGTGCGACGGCCACTATCTAGCCTGCTGAGCTAGAGATCATTTGCTATATGCTGATCTTATTCTGAGTCTGGACCTATTAGCATCCGCATCTGCAGTTGGACGCTTGGATCTACGTCTGTCCTCTGTGTTGACTCTGTGCATCAACGAATCAAAGCACACATACCGTGTCAGAACCAGGGAATCCCACGTTCTATGGGATGAGCTCGGAGAATTGACCTGAGAGATACTATGCATGTCGTAGCATGTCTTCCGACGAGTACGACAGCCCATGATTTGGATATAAATTCAGCTATTCCGACATCTTTTCAAATCCATCCTCTGCAACTGGGCATCGATACTCAGTTTCCCAGCACCTCCCTCTCCCAACCAGAATTATATCGAAAATGGGCTCAATCTACATCCCAACAACCCAAACAGTCGCCCTAGTCCGCGACCTCGGCGGCGAAGTCGAGTTCAAAACAGACTATCCAGTCCCAACACCAGGCCGCAACGAAGTCCTCGCACAGGTTCTCTACACGGGAGTCTGCCAAAGCGGTGCGTCAATTTTCCCTGAAGAAAGTATCCAATCTAACGATGTCCCAGATCTGCACACTAAATCCGGCACCGCAGCCGGACCAGACGGCAATCCTATAACAAAGATCAAGTTACCTCACGTCGGTGGCCACGAAGGAATCGGTCGGATCATCGCTCTGGGCCCGGATATCGAGCATGGGGCTGGTCTGAAGGTTGGCGGACTTGTCGGAATTCGATTCTCGAGTCGTATTTGTCGACGGTGCGAGTTTTGTCTTGCTGGTACGGAGCAGTATTGCGTGGCGAGCACGAACCACCTGCATCATGAAGATGGGAGCTTTCAGCAGTATATTGCGCTTGATGCGGACTATTTGACGCTTTTGCCGGATGATGTTGATCCGAAGGTTATGGGACCTGTGCTTTGTGCGGGATTGACGGCTTATAAGGTGAGTTTGGACTTGGTGGTGATGGCTTCGTTCTTGTATTGACATTTGATCAGGCTGTGTTGAATGCGAATGTTCGCCCTGGGAGCTGGTTAGTGGTGGTTGGAGCGGGAGGTGGTCTTGGACATCTGGCTGGTATGTTTCCACGAGGAAGGACTTGCAGTCTACTAACATTCTGAAGTGCAATATGCAAGGGCACAGGGGGCTCTCGTTATTTGTGTTGATACTGGCCCGGGCAAAGGAGATTTTGTGAAAGGCCTGGGCGCACAGGAATACATTGACTTTGCTATGGAGGATCCAGTCAAAAGAGTCCAAGAAATTACAGGACTGGGTGCGCATGCAGCCATTGTGACAGCAGGCAATGCGAAGGCATTTGCCCATGCCTGTGACATGCTGCGGGTTGGTGGCACTCTCAGCTGTGTTGGGATTCCCCCGGCCGACCTTGTCTCGAGACCCCAATCTGCACTATTGTGATCAAGGGTCTTCGAATCACGGGAAACCTGGTTGGATCATTGAAGGAATGCATGGAGGCCGTCGATCTCGTTCGACGCGGAATAGTGAAACCTGTCATCAAAGTCCGCCCGTTCAAGGATCTACCGCAGGTGTACAAGGAGATGGAGAGAGGTGATATTGCTGGCCGCATCGTTCTCCAGCTCACAAAATGATGTGTCAGTAGGGTCCTCGCGAGGCTGACATGCAGGATTCCTGCTGATCTGGTAGTGGTAGCCAATCAAAGTTGTCTAGCAATTCATCTTGTCCTCGCAGGTCTTCACATTCTGTAGTGCCTTCAGGCTCGGTGGTTACGAGCGCGTTTCCAGCTGAGCCTGTCTCCAAGCCAAGCGCTTCTACTGACAGCATTCTAGCAGGAGCGGTGATGAGAGCCTCTGCGGTTTTTGCGCGGAGCATTGACTTCATCACGTTGTCCTGGTTGAGGAACGGATCAATCTTCTGATAAAGGGCATGCAAGAAGTCCTGCGGTCCAAGTTCAAGTCGCGAATTCGTCCGCGACAAGTTCAATAGAACCGTATCTGCCAGCGAATTGGCGACCTCAAAACATTTCAACAACTAGATTGTTAGCTCACTTGATCTTTGCCCGCTAGATTTCACCAACCTGATCTCTTCCGAGAGGGAGCAAATCTGCCTCGCAAAAACATCTCAGCGATGCCAATAGGTCACGGCCAACTCGCGCCGGGAACAAAAACGTCAGAATGGTGCCACGAGCGGAAGATGACAGCAGTCCCATCGACAGCGCCTCTTGCCAGATAATAGTTCTCATCCACTGCCGTGTGATGTGATAATCAGCGGTTCTGGCTGAGACGTGACCCGCCATTCCAAAACACAAAGAAGATAGCTCCTCTTCCGTATCTGTCAGATCAAGCACGCTCGTGATTTTGGTTGACGATCTGCGGCGCACTGAGATGCGATCAAATGCAACGAAAAGCTTTGCAAGTTCGAGCAGGCCTCGAGCTTCAATGTCGGCATGATTGTTGGTCTCTAGGCTGGCGATTGAAAGAGGCTTATTATATGAAGGCGAAAGACCCAGGTGTAAAGCATACCCTCTACAGCCGGTTACCAGCAATTCTGCAAGGCGAGCGTTTGAACCTACCTCTCTGACACCCAAAGCAAAGGGAAGACCAAGGTCGTGTTGGGGATTATATCATCATGTATTGGACAAGCCAGTTCATCTAGTCGCAGAACTCGGGCCCCGGACAATGCCTCTTGGATATACATCATTGCCGAGTTCCGCTGGTTGATCTTCGCATGATATACATGCAAGAAGAAAGAGGCCAAAATGCTACGGATATCCATGTGTTCTCCGTGGTCATGGCATTTGGTGCGCATTCGGAGGCAGGCCTGTACCATCTGTGTGCTATCCAGTGTGCAGGATCCGGTTACCTGGGGACCGAGTTGCAATTGAGCCATTGTCGCAGCACAGAGAGCAGTGGCGAGACAGGAAGTATTCTGTGCATCGTGATCGACTCTTTCAGGATCTATATCCTTGATTTTGGAGACTAGAGCTTCTGCATCGATTACAGGCCAGACACTGTATGAGTATCTTTGGTAAAGCTGAATGACTGATGCCAGGATCGCCTTCGGAATGCGTAGTGTGCTGGGTGCACCATTTGATTCAATGGGTGCATTACCTGCCGATGTCAAGGGCTCACATTCCGAGACATGTTGACTGTCGTCGGCTCGCGGCACTGGAGCTTCTGCATCTTCTTGGCTTTTTCGCCGAGACTTCGGGCCCCGCCTACGCGCGGGTCTCAAGTACGTGCATTGTACCTTTCTGATTGCCCCACGGCAGGTGTCGCAAGGCAAGTTGCCATTGCACTTCACTTTGCGGGAGATGCAGAGATCACAGGCTCGTTTTGGGGGCATGGGTTAGAGTGATGACTCTGATGAGGGGGTTCACGAAGTGCTTGCATGTACCGCACTTAATGCGGAGACGTCGGAGTTTGGGGCAGAGGATCGGGGATCTGCCGATCTCTGCATGTCAGCGAGTCCATTGTCATCCAGCTCTCATGCTTGTATAGTTTGAGATGAGTCGGGACTCAGCTTCCGATATTGCTTCCGATATTAATGACCAACGACAAGTGGACAAGCGGAGCATGACTGCCGACGTCAGCGGTTGAAGGTAGGGAAGGTCCACCCCCTCCTTCTATAAGCTGTCCCCACTTGTATATGAACCCGTCGACATCCCCTCCCAATTCTGTCCAATTCTTCCCCAATTCACAATTCCCAAATTCCCTCGATAAATCATGTCTCTCGCCAACCCTAGCACAGACGTAAGTCCTGCCAATCGCTCAGCAGAATAAGCTCACACATCCCAGGCCGCCGTCCTCGCCGCGCAAGAAACCAGCGCCGAGCAGACCTTCCGCACCTTCACAGCAGACACCGCCTGGACTCTCGGTAATGCCCTGCGAGAGCGAATTCTCTCTCTCCCCGACGGACAGCGCAAGCCCGCTCTGATCAACATTGCGCTCGCCACCGCGACATCCGGCGGCCTCCCACCACACGTGTTATTCCAATCTGCCACAGAGAGCGGCACGATTTCCGATAACGAGAACTGGGTGCGTCGTAAGCGGAACACTGTGCTCCGCTGGGGACTGTCCAGTTGGGCGATGAGACAGAAGACCGTGGGCGGATTGAGTGCTGGCGCTTCGGCGGACCAGATTGAGGCTGCGTTCGTGAAGAAGTACGCTGTTGCTAGTGCTAATGGTGGTGCTGTTGCGGATGAGTATGCTATCCACGGTGGTGGGTATCCGATTCGCGTGACTGGCGTTGAGGGTATCGTTGCTGTTGTTGTTGTCAGTGGCCTGAAGCAGGAGGATGATCATCAGGTTGTGGCGGAGACTATTAAGGAGATCGTTGCCAAGCAGAACTAGATTTTTATGCACAGGTAGCATATGAAGTATAGACAATTAAAATTAGAATGCATCTATTGAACGCCAAGAAAAGACTTAGCCCTGGAGGTCACATAGAGGTTACCAGAACCTGGAGGATCAACATGAGTCTACTAAGTTCATCGACTTGCATACGGAGTGTATACAAACGCTATGTGCTGAATTGGACCAAGTGCAAGGTATCATTGTATTGTATTCAGAGCTGGTGTGTACCACCAAGCCTAAAGTAAAGAGACAGGAATAAAGCCTAGTGTAGATTCAAGACAAGTGACTCAAGCAGGGAAAAAAAGTGGAACTCCATGAATAATGCCTCAAAAGTAATTTTACAATTCGTCGTGGTCGAGGGGCTCGTCATCATCCTCGGGGGAGTGGCGGAGCCGTAGAGCTTGCTGGTGATGGGGTAGGCAACTCCAGAGAGCTGCTCCTTCTGCTCCTCGAAGTCCTCGAGGGAGGCAGTGGCAGCGTTGTCCTCGAGCCAGTCGGTGACCTCCTTGACGGCATCGACGATGGCCTGCTTGTCATCCTCGTCGATCTGGCCACCAAGACCGTTCTCGTCGTTGACCTGGTTCTTCAGGCTGAAGGCGTAGTTCTCAAGACCGTTACGGGCCTCGATCTTGCCCTTGAGGGCCTTGTCCTCCTCGGCGTACTCCTCGGCCTCCTGGACCATGCGGGCAATTTCTTCCTCAGAAAGGCGGCCCTTGTCGTTGGTGATGGTGATGGACTCGGCCTTACCGGTACCCTTGTCGGAGGCGCTGACCTTGAGAATACCATTGGCATCGAGGTCGAAAGCGACCTCAATCTGGGGAACACCACGGGGCGCGGGAGGAATGTTGGTCAACTCGAACTTGCCGAGCATGTTGTTGTCCTTGGTCATGGTGCGCTCACCCTCGAACACCTGGATCAAGACGGTGGGCTGGTTGTCGGCCGCAGTGGAGAAGATCTGGGACTTGCGGGTAGGGATGACAGTGTTACGGGGAATGAGCTTGGTCATCACACCGCCAGTGGTCTCGATACCGAGAGTGAGGGGGTTAACATCCATGAGAACAACGTCGACCATGGAGTCATCGCCGGAAAGAACACCACCCTGAACGGCGGCACCGAAGGCAACAGCCTCATCGGGGTTGATACCCTTGCTAGCCTTCTTGCCAGCAAAGAACTCCTCGAGAAGAGCCTGGACCTTGGGAATGCGGGTAGAACCACCAACAAGAACGATGTCATCAACCTCGGACTTCTTGACCTTGGCGTCCTTCAGAACCTGCTCAACAGGCTTGAGGGTCTTCTTGAACAGATCGACGTTCAGCTCTTCGAACTTGGCGCGGGTAAGGGTCTCGGAGAAGTCCTCGCCGTTGTGGAAGGCTTCGATTTCAATGCGGGTGGACATCTGGGAAGACAGAGTGCGCTTGGCCTTCTCAACCTCACGCTTGAGCTTACCCATAGCCTTGAGATCCTTCTTGATATCGGTGTTGTTCTTCTTGTTGTACTGCTTAACGAAGTACTCCATGACACGGTGGTCGAAGTCCTCGCCACCAAGGTGAGTGTCACCAGCGGTAGCCAGAACCTCGAAGACGCCGTTGTCAATAGACAGAAGGGAGACATCGAAAGTACCACCACCAAGATCGTAGACAATGACCTGGCGCTCGTCACCGGTCTTGTCAAGACCGTAGGCGATAGCGGCGGCGGTGGGCTCGTTGACAACACGGAGAACATTCAATCCGGCGATGGTACCGGCGTCCTTGGTGGCCTGACGCTGAGCGTCGCTGAAGTAGGCGGGAACGGTGACAACGGCGTGGGTGACGGTGTTACCAAGGTAGCCCTCGGCAATGTCCTTCATCTTACCGAGAATCATGGCGGACACCTCCTCCGGAGTGAAGGTCTTGGGGGACTGGTTGACGTCAACCTGGACAAGGGGCTTGCCATCCTTCTTGACAACCTTGAAGGGGTAGTTCTTGATGTCCTTCTGGATGTCCTTGTCCTCGTACTTGCGACCGATCATACGCCTAAAAAAAACAGTTGATTAGTGGCGATCCCTGGACACCGGGGGGAGTAAATCTTACTTAACGTCGAAGACGGTGCGCTCGGGGTTGGCGGCGTATTGGTTCTTGGCGGCGTCACCGACGAGGCGCTCCTCATCGGTGAAGGCAACGTAGGAGGGAGTGATACGGTTTCCTTGGTCGTTGACGAGAATCTCAACCTTTCCGTTCTGCATCACACCGACACAACTGCAATTGAGGTTAGCCAGTTGTCCATCGAGTTCTTCTCAAGCACCGGAATCCAAAGACATACGAGTAGGTGGTTCCCAAATCGATACCAATAACGTTGCCATAGCTCTCAGGGGAGGTCTCCTCCTGGGCGTGGGCAGTGTTTCCAAAGAAGGCCAGAGGGGCCACGAGAACGAAGAGCAAGTAGAAGATGGTGGTCCAGGCGAAAGGCTTGGACGCGCCATCGCGTGCGGATACGCGAGCCATTGTGAAGTGTGTGTATATGTCGAATCAAATCAAATCAATGCGTAGACAAAGAAGCTTAGCTTTGTCGCACTTTATTAGAGGAACACGAGGTGTGTCTCTAATAACCCTTCTATTAGTCGATGTACGGGAGAGGGGCCCGGGGCGAAGTGAGTGAGAGAATGGTTGAAGAAGAATTGAAGAGAGAGAGACTACTTGTACGCGAACCGGGGCCAGCGGCCATGCTGGCCTCTTCCACACAGATCAGGTCACTTATCGCGCTCTGATTGGTCGGCCTAATTTCTGCAGTGGATCCACCACCAGTGACCCACACCGCCTCTCAGTAAGGACTAGCGGCAGGGGTCTTCCACAGAATGTCCACCAATCAGCGTGCGCCAAATTTGTCGAACTTGCTGGAAGGGGCCAAGTCGCTGGACTGCGTGCTTCAGGACCCGACTGCTCTCTGACTCAATATTGTATTATTGAAGATCTGTCCTGATTCCACGGTAAATGGCGTTAGATGATTCCTTTTTGGACCAATTGGTGTGACATTTCCTTTCCGCATATGTGGCATGTATTTGACGCCGTAGTTGATCTACATCGTACTGCAACGGCATCCTCGTAGGGAGGCTCAAGAACACCCGGAGATCGCCCGGGCAGGGGCACAGGGTCCCCGGATGGGTCCCCTCCCCTAACGTCACTACTCATATGGAATGCACTTTGAGTTTATATTCCGTACTCTGTACTCGACACTTCATCGATAATGCCAGAATTGACCTAGGTTTCAATAATTGGTGGAATGGGTACGGAGTACGGAGTACTCGCAATATCGTGGTCTTGCAGATCATCCCAAATCGGGACACGGAGAAGTAGACCTTCTTACTGTAGTACGGAGTACTCCGTAGTGATGTATGCGATGCAGCTCCATTGAGCGTGCTGAGATCTTATTTTTCTTTTTTACCACTCAACTTTACTCCTTACACTCGAGCACATGACGAGAGATGACCCGCTGTCTATAGAACAAAGGATTGCATGGTTCATTCACCCTCTCACTCCAGTAAGCCGGCAGCCACGGTTGAGCCTCCCGCACGCAAAACAATTCTCGTCGGCGCTTCCAGAGGCACGGCTTGATCCATTTCGACCACAATGCGCGCCACTGTACCCGGACCAACGATTTTGGGTCGCTTCTTCAGGGCCTCTCCGGTGGCCTTGTCGAGAGAAGCTACCAGCTTGCTGATACGACCGGGAACATGAAGACGTCCACGGTGCACATCCACCTGCATGGGCATGAGGTGTTCAAATGCCAAGACCTTGGTGGTGAAGGTGGTGATAGTGGGGATAGGAGACGAGGGGCGGCAGACAACGTCGCCAGAGCGAAGATGGATCGGGTCGATGTTGGCGATGTGGAGGACCACGTTTTGGCCTGCAACCGCCCAATCACTTGGCTGGTTGTCGACTTCGATGTTGCGAACCAGTGCTGTTTCGCCACTGGGCATGGTGAGGATTTGATCACCAACTTGTACACTGCCCGCATCGAGACGACCAGAGATTGAGAGTGGGTTCTGGACGCCGCCGCGGAAGACATCACCAATCGTCATGCGCAAGGGTTTCTCGAGCGCATGAGTATATGGCTCTGATGTCTCCAGCTCTTCAATCAGAGTGCGGCCGGTGTACCAAGAGGCGTGGGGATCTTCACTACGCCGAGAGATGTTGTCTCCCAGGACTCCAGAGCATGGCACAAAAGTGATATTGCTCTCTTGGAAGCCGGCAGTCGTCAGGAAAGAGGAAATCTGTTGTTCAATCTCCTCAAAACGTTCATGATCCCACTGCACTGCGTCCATCTTGTTCACAGCCACAACGACCTTCTGGACACCCATACTGCGCACCAGCAGAGCATGTTCCTTGGTTTGCCCCTTCAACCCTGACTCAAATTTGCCCACACTAGAGTCGATGACCAGGACGGCAAAGTCTGCCTGACTGGCACCCGCGATCATGTTTGGAACAAAGTCACGGTGGCCTGGCGCATCGACAATAGTAAAGGCAGTCTTTTCAGTCTCAAACTGATTCGTAGCGATGTCTATCGTGACACCTCGCTCTCTCTCCTCTGTCCCTTGGTCCAGGACCCAAGCCAAAGCGAAGGATCCTTTCCCGATCTTATCCGCATCACGCCGGTACTTTTCTAGCGTTCGTTGGTCGATGGCACCTTGATCCGCCAACAACCGTCCCATCAGAGTACTCTTTCCGGCATCCACATGTCCTGAATTACAATCAGTTTGAGCTCGTTTGTTTCTCGCAGACAAGCATAGACTGACCAATAACCACAAAGTTCGCGGACTTCTTGCGCGTCGACTTCTTGTACTCTGCAAGAACATCAAGGTTCTTGCTTTTGACCGTTACTTTATCTTCGACTGAAAGGTCTTTCATTCCACTGGCCACATCAGATTGACCTTTCTTGTCAGTAGCTGACTTTGATGCAGCTGATTTCGACTTGAGCCCTAAATAGCATTAGGCGGGTGCCTTTAAGCTTTCCTGCGGATAGCCAAACCTTTCGCTGTGTTCTGTGCATTGAGAACGACATCGTCGGGGCTTGGTGCTGCAAAGTCAAAGGGTTCAGCGTTATCCTGTCCATATATCTTCAAAATATCTGTTCCACTTGAGTGTAAATGGCTGGGCTCGGCGATTGTAGGCCCAGAAGTGCCAACAATCGCACTAGCAAATGTGGAGGGCGAGGCACGAATACTCGGCACTGGCTGCTGGCAATCTGCTTCTTGGGGCTCATTGGCAGATGGCGAGGTTGGTGTCGATACTTCAGGCACAAAGGGTTTCCTGGCTTCGGAGTTGGGTGCCTTTTGGGTTGATGGAGGGGACGGGGCTGGAGCCGGTTTGGCTGGACGGCCAGAAGATCCAGAGTCTTCGGAGGGCTTTGGTGTTGACCTTCCACTGGCTGCAAGTCTCTCGCGGAGGGACTGCGGTGTTCCTCGGGGGTCAGCTGACGCTGCCTCAGACCGTCCGGATTGGGGAGTCGGAGGGTTTGAGGCCTCAGGCGTGCCACTCTCTTTCTTCTTCCGAGCTGCAGCTAAAGCCGCCAGCTTCGAGAGCTTTCCGCCACCCTCGGGTGCACCTCCAAGAAGACCAAGACGAGGATATAGAGGCTCAATGAGAATTTCCGCCTTTCGGTGAGCGGGGACATTGAGCCAGGGACAGTCGCGGAAGAAATCAGCAGCCGAGAAATGTGCTGCTGTGGAAGGTGGAGCAGGGAACGCTGGTACTGGAAGGCCTGTTAGAACATTGTTCAAACTTTGCAGATGCCGTCAGTTTCTAGTCTCGCGATGCATAAAAAGGATCGGAACGCTTCTCACAAAGCTACACATTTACACACCTTTTTGATTCGCGACTTCTCCCACAGCGAGTGGTTTGATTGCTCGGGCCAAAGCCCAGCCATAACACCTCATAATTTTGAAATTTCAAAGAACGCATCTTACCTGCTTGAGCCTTCGGCTTTTGCTTTGTAACCTCCTTCTGCTTCTTGCCTATAGGTAGCACCTTGCGTTAGCGGGACATTCTACCAAGAACAAACGGTATGCCCAGGTGATTGAAAGTGTGTAGGAAATATATACCTCGCAAGTAATTGGTCGATTTTTCGATATCGTTGTAGTAATGCCACAATGCTTCTTGAACCTCCTCTTTCGTAGCAGTCACCGAGGGTTGCCCCGCACTAAGCTGTTGCAAAACAGCTGTAGTACACTGCTGCAAGAATTCCTGTTCTTCGGGATCAGGTGATGCGTACCCATCATCGGAATAGTAGTCTTCGTCGTCGTAGCCAACATCCTTCACGCGGTGTCGTGACATGATGGCGTTGTCACAAAGCAGGCGGGGGGGAGGGGGGTATTTGGCGTAGAGGACAGGGAGCGGACAATTGAGCAAGATCGTTTCTGTACAATCTATGTAGAAATGGGGGATGAGAGGAGATGTTAATTATCTTGCTGAGCCTCAAGGAGCTTTGGCTTTCCAATTGACGTTGGGCCGGGAAGACGAGATATGAAAGTGGGATTGTTGTGGTCTATGGATCTAGCTAGCGGCCATGAAGACGAAGCTCCAAATTGTCCGAATTGCTATTCACCGCCCTGGTCACCGCCATATCGTTCACACGTGATTAGCTGCACGGGGCAGTCAAGGAATGCCACCTGCCGGCAGTAATCAATACATCTTTCTGGCCGCTGTAGTTGTCCCTGGACCGTCAAACCCACACGTCATACCCCACTCTGAATTGGGATTCCAAGGCTTCGCATGTTGGAGCATACACGATATTCAATTTTTTTTTTTTTGCTGTTAACACTGTTTGCATGACTGTGTACACGTTGATTTCGATGCTAATTCTATAACTGTGTTCAAAAACGAATGCATCATGTTCCAAAGAACCCAAAAAAAAGTCAAGTGCTTGAGGATTCATCTATCGAAGGGGACTTCCGCCAAAGAAGTCACCAGCACCGGGCCCAGAGAAGCTGCCGTTGCTTGGGGTGAGGGCGATTGAGCGCCGGAAAGCCTGACGTGGGGTAGTGGGGGCACTGGGAGGTCCAGTGTTGGGGGGATTCGAGGTGGTAGGCACAGGGCCCACTGAGCGTGCGTCAGGAGTGCTAGGAGTATTGCGACCACTGTCATTCTGCATTGTGACGGCAGTGCCAGGACGGGAAAGGACCGCAGCTGTTCCGCCATTCTTAGGAGGCGGGCGGAACCCAAGTTTCGAGCCTTCGCGGAAGATCTCTTCGAGCATTTGCGCAACAATGCCTGCATCTTCGTATTCCTGGAACTTTTTCCAGAGACGCAAGGCCATGCGAGCATCTTCAATAGAATCATGCCCTTGAAGCGTTTCAGGTGCAGGTTCTTCTTGGATGAACTCTTTGAAAACAGCCCAGGCAAGATACTTGAGACTGAGGCGCCGGCTCTTACCTGGGTGGAAGAAAAGGTACTGCGTGTCCACGGTTTGTGTCTTTGGCACTTGTATATTGATTTTGCGGAAATCAGATGCCAGACCATGACCCACAAACACACAGCCAAGATTGAGTAGCAGCCACAGCTTTTTGTATGCCGCCTTGAGTGGGACAAGATTGTGTTCGCTGGTTCGTGGATCCAGATCACCAGGCTTGATGCCAGAATACTGAGTGACGTAGTCCACAATCGGCTCACGTATAGTGATATAATCATCAATAAAAGGAACTCCCTCTTGGACACCCAAACCACGGAGCACAGAGACACGAGCCAGACCGCTCTTGTTGGGGCGGACCATTTCTTGCGAGCCGTCTGCCTTGACATCGATCTCAGCCTTTTCGAGGTCAACAAACTCCGTGTCTAGGGCGACGGGTGTCCCGGGCTGCGGCTGTTCCTCTTCTGTGAGGGTACGACAAGACTCGACCTGGCGGCCACCATTCAGGGACCACTCGCGGAATAGGAGAGTTTTATCAAGGTGCTTCTTCCAAGAGTCATCAACAACATGCCGAGGATCTCTCACTTGGAAAGCCAAGACGCAAGGTTGCTTCCATGGCTGAGTAAACCGAAGTGCTTCATCTCTGTCAACTTCAGTGACCAGGAAATCATTGAACAGATGCCATTTGCTTTGATCTTGACTTTCGCGGCCCGAAAGCGAGACGTTGATGAAAGAGACCAAGTGTGCCTTCTGGTGTTCTTGAATGTCGATCTCCGCAACCAAGCCAACTAGGTCATAAACCACGAGTCCGGGGGTCTGGCTTTGAATGCGGAGCTGCAGCTCATCGCCTTCGAAGCACATCACCTGGCCACTGGGGTCTACGATGATGCCAACGGCATCGGGGAGCCACCCGGGAACTGCCCATAAGCGACGACACAACGGATTGGTCAGCGCGGCGTTGAGCACAAGAATCAAGGGCATGCGGTGAATGGTTTTGCGGATCGTCACTTGTTGGTAGCGACGGCAGTAGTTACACCAGCCGCGATTCTGTGTCTCTCGCTCGATGCTCGCACGGAGGATGTTCGAGAATCGGAATATGGGATTGCGCCGCGCGTGTTTGATGTCAATGTTCGGGTAAATCAGCTCATTGGCGAGCGAGTTACCGGGTCGCACGATCTCATTTTGGCAGTACATGCACCGAATGGACTCAGATGCGATAGTAGCGAGACGCTGGTCAAGATCTTCCGAGCTTGGTTGGATCATGCGGAAATCATGGGCTATCTGGGTCAAGAAGAAACGATTGACCGCTTGAATGGCGGTTGAGAGAGATTTGTTGGTGAGGTTTTCCTCCAAGAGACCCAGGTTGGAAGCTTCTCGGAAGCTACTGAATGTCTTGAGAAGATTGGTGGCTTGACAATTCTGGCCACTAGCTTTCTCGAGCATGTCAAACAGGTATCCAAGTTCACAAAGAAGACAGTGTTCGAAAATACATGATCCGGCAGCATGATTGAGGGCCAGATTTCGGAAAAGAGGGATGAATTTGAAGAGTTGAAGAAGGGAGTTGGTGAAGGAGTTGGCAATGTGAGTTTCGAGGCCAGAGAATGAGGTATTGTTGTAGAAGCTAGAGTGTGTAAGCAAATGCTGGAAAATAGGGGGAGACGCAACCCATACCGGAAATCGAAATCATCAACTCCGAATCGACTATACTTAATTTCAACGTTGCTGTATTTTAGCAGAGGATCGTCATCACTTTCTCCGTTGATCTTGGCACCCGCCAGTGCTTCTGCTGTATCGCCAACCAACCCATCTAATTTACTATATTCCCGGGCCTTTTCGCTCAGGAACTTAGGAGCAATGAGGGCTGGCTCTGCGGTGGTCATAGCACGAGTATTCTCAGCTTGATAACGACGAGTCTTTCGCGGGTTCGGGGCATGATGTCCCATTTCTGCAGGTCGAAGATAAGGCAAGATGGATTGGTCTAACGGAGCAGGCGGATCACCGACTTCGAAAACTAGGTGGCTTGGCCATGCTGAATGGAGACGCTCATGGTAGTACGGCATCCCAGCCATGCTGAGCGGAGTGTCCGCTGACCATTCTACCTGAGGGGGCCGTGTAGGCACATCTGCGAACTCTGTCTCTTTGCTCATTTCATTGAAATGAATCTTGGATGGAGAGCCCCACAAGTGAATGGCGGCCTCGGCATCAATGATAGCCAGGGCTTCTCCCGAGGGTGACAGATCTATGCCGAGCATCAAGGTGACATTTGCTTGTCTCAAATTCACAGAGTTAGGGTTCATCAAATCTATGACCTGGAGTTGACCCGTTTGCGATGCCACAAAGCTGGTTGTGTGGAGTTTGGGATGCATGCGCACATACGCTGCGCCTGCGTGGAACGGAATAGGGGGTAGTGGTGTCAGGGTTTTCAAGTCATACACATTGGCTAACGGGTCCACGATTGGAGCTCCAAGGTGACGGGCAGAGAACCCACAGGTGACTAGCAAATCATTTCGCGCGTCCATGTCATTGACAGCTGTTCCGTGGGCTTTCCATGATTTGACGACACTGAAATCTCCAAGGCTAAGTGCGTTGACTGAGCCCGTATCTGTTGCCGCGCATAGATATCGACTCTTCTTCATCATTGTGTAACCGTGCTCAGTGGGTAGCTTGTCGATAATTATACCCTTGTCAATGTCCACCGTGAACATGACTCGCTGGCAGCCTGCAATGATGATTCGATTGGTTTGAGCTGTAAAACTCATGCAGCGGAGATCAACCATTTCTTCGTGGTCGAGGTGCCACTGCGTCAATCCCCGCCGCGTTATCATGTGCACGCTCTTGGATGATAACGAGATCACTCCTCGCTCGTGAAATATGATTTGTCGTACCGCGCCCTCGGATGGCGGATGGGCTCGAACAGACGTATATCGCTGCAGCTCTGGTCCGTAGAATGAAGATATTCTGCCCTGAAGACAAACAAAAACACTGGTCAGTATTCGGCTTCCGTGACTTTCTGCTCGGTACTCACATATTCATTGCCTGTCCACAATAGTTCCATCATGTCATCGAACGCAGTGGCCGTAGCCACAGTAGGCAGGCCATGCGGCGTTGGTGGTGGCACCGGGATACGCGACAGCTCATCCCAGTCGGCCTCCATGTTTGCGGTGGCCGCTTCGGCCCGGATTCAACCCGATGGTTCGTCTGTTTATGTTCGTTTTTGTGAGACGAACTAAGAATTGGAATCGCTGGCTTCACCCACGTGGGAACACGGCGAGTGTGGGCATAGTTCGCCGCGAGGGACGCGATTGCGGGGAAGCTATCCGGTCGAATTGGCGATACAAAGAGAGGACAGAGGGGCAAGGTCCAAAATGCCACCAGAAGTGGAGGTCAAGTCCAAAGCTTGGCTGAAGGTGCCCGCGACGGAAGAAGGAACGGTCGGTCTCCGGCTTGCTTCATCGTTGCCCGCCAGGGACGGTGAGGTTATTGGTAGCGTCACGTGATTTGAAACACACATCTCAGACCCAGGAACATCCCCTGCCACGGTTCTGTGCACAATCATGCCGCCGACAATCTTGGAGATTCATGGTTTGTTTCCAAAGAATGATGAACTTAAAGAATAAGTTGTATGTATCCACGGACCTGACAAGTATCATCCCTAGGAGAAGGAAACTGCCCTTTTGGCTCCAAAATCGATACATTTCATGGTTTCAGGAGCTTGGAGAGGAGCTGCATCGCGCAGACATACTATCTTTTCTTCGTACTGGAATCCTCGAGTTACCTAGGTAGTCTCTCAAACTCCTTATGGCCGCCTAAAGATGAATACATAGTGACTTTGACTTTGCAATCTCGACAACATATATCCGACCACCCGTACCCAGGTGGAACCGTGCACAGATTCAATAAATTAAGTATCCTACATCCATCGATAGAGACTCCAAATATCCCTCCTATGGTGCACCGATGAATTTTTCAATCTCCAACCAGTCAATATAATCAACACCAGTCAGAGGTAATGTCGGATTGTTGAAACTTGAATAGACCCCTTCTGCCTCACCAGAAAGATCCAAGTCCCACTCTCCCTGCATGTCAAACATCGTCTCTGGGATATTGACATGAGCCAAAGGCTCAAGCAACCGTGCCTCGTCTTGATGACTGTTCCAGCCAGTGTTCATAGCCGCATCGGAAGGGCCCGAGGATGATAACACCGAATCTCGTGTATCTGGTCGGGATGCCAACTCTTGTCGCAGAGCAGATTGTGCTGGCGAGGAGCCAAATTTCAAAATATCATCTGGCCAAACGTGTAGACACGATTGCGTGATATCATGCAAGCGGCGTTCGGCCGCCAGATTGCCAGATTGGGCTAGAAATTGGAGTACTTTGAATGCTTGGTAGAGAGCAGGGGGCGGTTGAGTTTGTGACTTGTCAGAAAAGCCCACCACGACCAAAACAAATGCTGCAGAGAATGTTGCATCTAGATCGAAGAAGCCATAACGGGCTTAATGAGTGTGTCAGCTCTAATAAACACCCCAAAAATATAGATAAAATTGGGACAGAGAGGCGGAGATAGACTAAAATAGAACTCACGAATTGTCTGTTGCCGCCGAAGCGTGGCTATAATGGCAAGACTCCTTGTAGCTGCCTCATTGCATGTATCGCAAAGACGGTTGAGCACCTCTGGCATTCGGTCGAGAGGCTGTGTTTCTTGATGTTCGGCTACCGATCGTGCTCTTTGCAGCAAGATGGGTCGTGTGCAAAGAATAATTGCCTGTGTTCAAATTAGCTAGTGATAGCAACACCCATCATTTGTGAGCACCAACCTGGAACAGCATCAAATACAGTGATGCACCGGTGCGAGTAGCCCATTGTAATGGTCGGCTAAAATCCAATACTAAAGGCGTAGGGAATGACCTCGCTGTGTCATGTAATTCTTGCAGACTGTGTTGAATCTTTTCAACTAGCTCTAGCTGCGTGATGGACTTGTTTCCATAGAGAGCTTTTACGAAGTCATAAGCGATGTGATTTGTGTTAGAAACCAGGTTGACTTACTGGACATAATATCGTCTGTAACACGGGCAATGCGGACATTGATTGCAAGAGCCACGGGAGATTGAAATCCAGCTGCATGTCGCGGAAGCTCTATGCAGAGTTGGCGTTCATCTGCACCTGCGGCTAAACCAAGACCAGAGGAAAGGCGTCTGTGTGGGCGGATCAGCAAAAAGCGCATTCCAAACGTATTTCCAAATATCTGACCTATCAAGCATATATACTGTCCACCAAAGCCGTAATCTGTGGGCACTTTGAGAGGGAAGGCAACGTTGATCTGTTTCGCGCAGATTGCACCCTAGAGCGATGGCAAGACGTAGTGCGACACCGATCTGCTTCGAGTTAACGAAATTATGTAAAATGTATTGGTCTCCAGTGCACTCACGTAAAGGTAGGCATCATGTTTGTGGTCAGACCATTGCAGATACGTAGTGATGAGAGTAAGTATTTCGACCATGATAACGCCCTCTCCACCCATTTGATGCAAAGGAGGCAACCTTTTTAGTGCCTCAGCAAACAAGTCTGATCCTGGCGGTTGAGAAGTCGGATGCTTGACGTTGATCAGCTTCGCCATTGCCATAACTAAAAGGTATTCAGAGAACCAAGGTGAGCGCATTTGCTCTTTCCTGCTCTCCGCGCTTTGAAAAAGCAACATGAGATCATCCGAAAAAGATCTCGGATCAAAAAAGTGCTGGCTCACGCCGAGATAGAAAAGAAATTGCTCCAGTAGATGTTGCGACTCTTCCAATGATGGAAAAGTAACATCTGCACTCTCGCCGACCAGCTCATGCACCGAGGCCCACTGAGGTGGCCTGTCAGATCTTCCTTGGATGGTTGGGTCTATACCATAAAAAGCATCATTTGGGTGGGACTTGTGAAGCAGGGATCTGACTTGAGATTCGAAAGCAGGTCCCGAGGTCAAGTCAGTTGCTGACGCAGAGTTAGCTTGTGTCCATTTAATCACACGTAGAAGTAAACAGGATTGATACCGGGGCTTATTGCAGCATCATTGCCTGCATATGACATTTCCTCCTGCATCTGTTGGTGGACTTCTTTATCCGTGGCTTCCGCAGAAGCACGCGGCGATGAACGCGCACCTGGCGTCTCATGCTGTGCAGCCGGGGAAGCCAAAACAGAAGACGAACCACCCGAGGCTGGAAGTTTCAATTGCTCCTCGTATCTTCGGACTTTGTCCAATAGATGCTTGACTTGGCTAGAAATCGATCAGCAAGATTGGCCCGAGACGCAAGGGGTGCATTGACCGACGCTTCAGAAAATCTCCTGCGACCAGAATGTCCAAAAGTACATTCCCAATTGTGCTTTGTACAAGCGCGACAGGGCTTGTCTCCGGAACACTTCACTTTGCGCCTCCGGCATGTCTCGCATCTGCTCGATGTTACCATACATCCCAACGTCGACACGATATACCCAAAACATTGCAGACTTACGCATTAGCAGACCGAGGATTCGGCCCTGTCATGTTGCTTTCGAGCCTTGTACAGCTCTTCCAATCGATGACCCTATCCTGCGATGTGTAAAGGTTGACGATGTCGCTCGGATGGTGATCCGAGGTGCGGGGACTACGGCTCGGGCACCCGAGGGCCCGCAATCGGCAGCCGCAGAGAATTTCCAGGGACCTCGGGAATTGTGCATTGAAGCAAAAAAACAAAAAAAAAAGTTGGTTGAGTCTATGCATCCACTCTAACATCCTCTCCGGCGAAAAACAACAGCACTGCCTCTGCAGCTACCTTCGAATCGTCCTCATCCTCTCTGCCTGGCCTCACTGAGCGCCTGATAGATTCCAAATGGGCGTCCAGTACTTCCTGGGACCAGCCAAATTGGCTAGCAAATTTGTAGCACAGCTCGGCAGTAGCAAACGCGTCAAACTCGAAATGTCCCTGTAGTGTCAGGACACGATCTGGCTGATATAGACCCTGAATCGGGCACTTGAGGCTGCTACCCACGTTAAGCCACGGCTCTGGTAGCATGGCACCTGTAACTCCTGCTGATTCTGTGCCATCGGAAGAAGACATCACAGCATCGTGTATGAGCTAAAGATTGAAACGTTCGCGGGAGAACCGAGCCAAAGGCGGAAAATGCGAGACAAAGGAGGGGTTCAAAGTGATAGGCAGCATGCCGATTTCATGGCCTTGAGATGTAGCTCCGACCGTGATCTTGAAAGATGCCTTTTCGTTTGTGAAACTTTTGTCACTTGCAAGGAGTACTTCGCCTATAAGTTGATGCCCAAAGCACGATCCGAATATCTTGACGAGAGGATAGTCGGCGTACACGGCTCGAATGAAAGACCGAAGCTTTGGGGCCCAGTGAAGCTCGTCATATACTACTGCTGCCGCACCAGTGACTAGGATAGCATCTATGGGGCCGTGGAATCCAGGTGGGCTCTTCTCTGAGGAGGACCGCTGGCTAGCCCGCAGCGTCGCGGGGTGCGGGTATGAACCACCGACAACATCAAACGCGGTGACATGGACACTGAGAGGGGCTTTCGAAGAGTTCCGGTAGGCCTCATTGATCCGACTCGCGGCAGCAGTAAGTAGGGAGTTGAACTGCGAACTGTACAGCCCTCGTTTGGCGTAAACGTGATAGCACGGAATATCCGTGTCCAGGACTGCAATATGGACCTCTCGAGAACCCATCTTGAGTTCTGCTGGCTAATCGATGCTAAAGATTCAGGAGCCAGTTGAGGTATTCTTGTGGTGAGAAGAGGGGTGCTAAGGTGCCCACATTGCTGGCTGTCAATGCGTCGGGTGTTAACCGAAGGTCATCGGTGTGGCCTGCCGACATCTACACATCGTGTCCCCACGCCCTTGAAATTATGACAATAAGAACTCCGTTATGCCAATCAGAATTCGTTCCTTTTTGGAAGAAAATCGTTGTTCACTCGGCTCGCTTTGTCTAGCTTTACATTCAAGTTTCCGTGGCTTTATTCATCCCCCAGAAGTTCACGTACCCTAGCGCTTTTTTTCAACGCAAAGATCGAGTGTATGCATGCCGAAGATGAGTTTAAACTACTCAACAGTTTCTCTCAATATAATTGAAAGGCTGTAATCACATGTTGTCCTTGAGCCCACTGGTCAGCGTGGGCCTCACTGAAGCCGCGGCCGATTAAGAAATCGCAAGGGAGAACATTTGTGTACCTCATCCGTAGATTCTTTAACTAACCACCAATAGCGTAAGAGACTCCTGCAGTAGACGCTGCTTTAGAGTTGGCTATTCTTCTTCGGCTGTTGTCTTCGTCCAAGTACTCCTCTAACTTCTTTTCGTACTTGGCATACGCTTTCTGGTACTTCTCTTCGGATTTGTATTTGTCTCGAAGAGGTGGAAGCGGCTTGATACCGTCAAAGAAGCCAAAACACATCCTGATTTGATTGATTTCGTGGAAAGGTGATATGGGTGTCTTGAGTCTTCGAGTTCAGCGTTTGGCTTGAAAGACACAGGAGGGGATGGAAAGAAATGACATGAGCCCTTTCGAGTGACACTGGGATGATTGATTCATATAGTGTTGACCAGCACAGCCTTGCTGTGTCCATCATTGGTTTCGTCATAGGGGGCCAAAAAGGTGGCTTTGATACCTGGGGTTCAATGCGGGGCGCCTCAGTGCTGCCACCCACCCATTGATTGATGTCTTACCCAATAAACTTAGGTTAGGGCTGATCATTCTCGGCAGAACGAAAGTTATTCCAATTGGCCAGATTGCTCATTTAGATCAGTGAGTTCCCTGAGATGGTTGACACTACGACGCAATACGGTTATGCTCAATCCCATCCCACTGGTTACTTCCGATTTAAATTTATATCGTCCAGAATATCTGGAATTATAGAATGTAGGATTTAGATGGCATGTAGCAGGGAAGGAAAAGGAAGCAACTCCGGATTTGAAGCCCGACTGCACGTCCAATTAGCAAGATATGGCAGTCGCTACACATAGGATAAACTTGTGGCCCTCGGTAGGTATTTGCTTGATCAAGCTTTCTCTCCAATAATAAAAAGAAAAGAAGCAAGTGTGGAACGTCAGAGTCGAATTTCCTGGAGATTTGTGGAACGAAGGAGTCGAGTATCAACCTAGACGTGTTTGGAGCGTAGATCCAATCCATATTCATAGGTCATTTGGGACGAAGGGGAAATGACTACCACCATTCTTGATCGTTGCCGCTAAGCTCGTGGCCGGTCGACCAAGAATTTGGCCGACAGTGTCTGTATGTCGATCATAGCGCCCTGCAGCATGGAGACTTGCCATAGTCTGAATGTGCCGGTAAACATGTTCAGGAATCTCACTCTTCTTAAGCGTTTCCTCTTCCCAAGTCTCAAATGAGATGTTCACGTAGTGAACGGAGCGTCCCAAAGCAGCAGAATACTCCTCTGCAAGGCTGTTCAAGTCAACGGAACGGGGGCCAGTGATCTCCAAGATTCGTCCCACATATGGAAGCGGGTCGAGTAACACTTTAACGGCTACTTCCGCAACATCCTGGGCGGCTACTGGAGACGTGCGGCTTTCTCCGAAAGGCAGACGAATTGCTCCAGAGTTCTCAATAGACCGGGCCGCAAATACCCAGAAAAGAGGATTTTCGTGAAAAGCTGTCGGTCGCAGATGAGCCACAGGCACTCCTGACCAATTGAGGACCTGTTCACTCAGCCACTGCAGTCTGTGTTGAGGCGATTCGGTGACATGCGTAAGGTCCATCTCGGAGAGGGTCATCTGGGACATGTTGACCAGTAGTCGGATCCCGGAGCTGGCTCGCGCAGCCGCGGCCATTACCGTGGATGCCTCCAGGTACTGTGAAGATACACTCATGCTGAAAAAAATGCATTTACACCCCTGGACAGCCGGAAATATTTCTTCCGATTTGGTGAGATCAGCGACCACAATTTCTGCGCCAAGTTCCTGAAGTCGCGCAGCCCGTTCGTCATGGCGACGAACCAGCGCACGAACGGGTATACCAGAGGATCTCAGTAGTTCGACAACACGGCCTGCCACTCCTCCAACTTGGCCTGCGGCGCCAGTCACCAGCACAGGCGCTCTATGGTCTGGCATGATAGCAGGTCGTAGAATGAATAAGCAAAAACCCACACACCTTGTGAAGCTTTTCGTGTCGAAAGAAACAGAAAAAGGTGAGCAGCAAGTTCTCCAAATTCGACTCTAAGCTCATCAGGGGACGTTACATCTTAGCGCAGCCATTACTTGGAGAAAGTGTATTTGTATGTTTATTCATCAGGCCGACTGGTTGATTATTCAACCTTCTCCGGTGAAGAGACATTGGAGAGAATAAAATTTACACCACTTTCGATTATTCAAGCTTGTTGAGGATCATCGTATGTCCCTTGCGTGAAATGACGATCAGAAATAGTTGGGGAGTTGACTAAAACCACTAGTATTATGATGCCCTTCCGGCACTGGGTCGAGTCGCGTAAATATGAATGTAGATCACGCGAACCAAAATTAACTATTTGTTGCCGATGTTTCCACGATATTTCATATCATTTGAGCGAAATGTTACCACTTCATTGCGTCTCGGCTTCTAACGTTTCGAAAATCTACCAATGGATCAAAAGTTGAACGCATTGGACCTGGGTATTTCCCGGTTTCTGGAACACAATTTCGTTCTCGTGTGGAGGATTAGAATCGACCTAGAACAATTCCAAGCAGCTGCGGAAGCTCTAATTCTCCAATGGCCTGCTTTAGGCGCCAGGTTGGACTTTCTGGTGCGGATGGCCCCTTGTGGTTTGGCTATACTTTTGGGTCTATGTTAACGAGTCCTCAGCGCACATCACTACTACCTACTGACTGTAAAGTCCCCTCACGTGATGTATGGAAAGGCAAGACAAGCGACCAACGGATAGATGAAATGGCAAAACTTCCACAGCAGTATGAAGATGTCCAGCTCTTTGATTCTACCTCCCTGGAGCGTTTGGTCGATTTCGGATACGGGCTCGGTTGGCACTTGCGTCAGGACATCCTCGCTATCAGAACGGTTGTCTTGCGCGATGCATGTATCATAGGATTCAAGCTTCAGCATTCTTTTGGGGATGCAAATGGTATCGTTCTCTGTGATGGGATATTTTCCGAGCCATGCTAATCCATGTCGCTTTACACCTAGCAATGATGAAAATAGCCAAGGCTTACTGTACCTTAGTGGACAAGGCATTTGTTGGTCCGGTGTCATTCGGTCGGCCGCCGTTAAAGGTGAAACCAGGGTTTCCACTTGAGGGGGGAGGGCCAGGGCGAGGCCACCTCTGTGCATCCAATCGCAAAGTTGCACGCTGAATCAAGCGCTGCAGGCTGGGCCTCATTTTTGAAAAGCTCTTGGAGACAAAAATCTCGAGATTTCATGAATAGCTCATCTCGCCGAATTGCAAAGACGCTTTTCATTCCCCGAAGACAAATCAACAAATGGACCAACGAAGCCCAGAGACGCAATGACCATGTTACCGAGCACGATCTGATCTTATCCTTTTTGTACCGACACTTTGCAAAAGACGATACCCGCCCGCCGAACTTTGGTATTACCATGAATGTCCAGCGTCAGCTCCAGAGTGATGCAGGGTTTGGTAATCCATGGATCCTTATGCCAGTGCCGCGTTATTCTGATCCCATTGAAGCAGTGAACACTAGAGACTCGCTGAGCAGTGTGGCTAGTCATATTCGTCATACAATCAATTCGGCCAGGGATCCAGTGTGTGTCAGCCAAATCATTAGCCAACATACCCTTCTGAATGGCAAGCCTATGATCCCTAGGCATTTCGCGGCGAGGGATGCTCATTTTGTAGTCACGTCTTGGGCAGGTCATCCCGTTTATGAATACGAGCTGGGCACGAAAACACCGGTCGCCGTGCACGGGAGCGTGGCGTTCTGTGGCTACTTGAGAAAGACAGGCATGGTCATGGATGACTTGCTGGTTGTGTGGAGAAGCAAAGATGGATACTGGATTCATGGATGCCTCGAAAATGGCTTGTGGGAGCAAATAGCGCAGAGTTTAAAGTAACAGGGGCGTTAGTGTTCGTATTGATGAGCTACTTAGTTCACAGGTCAACTGGACGCTCAATCATCGTCTAGAGGCTGTGTTGGCTAGAGAAATATCACAGTCTGTAGATAGCTTACTCAATTAAGAGCAGCTCCCGGCTGTCACAATACGGTGAGCTCTAGTTGGGCCATTCTGGTATCTGACGCAATCTACACCGGAAGACCTCCGCAAAGAAATCCGGAGATGTCGCGCCATGACTAATTATCCTTTTGGAGTAAAGTTGACTCTTCTCCCTGCCATGGTCCCCCCAGACTACGGAGCCTATGCCCAAGTCATCGTTGATGAGGGCGTGAAAATTGTCGAGACCGCTGGCAATAACCCTGGCCCTATCATTGCGCAGTTGAAGAAGGCAGGTATAACTGTCCTGCACAAGTGCACAACCATCCGACACGCCAAGTCCGCCGTGAAGCTAGGTGTGGACTTCCTGTCCATTGATGGATTTGAATGTGCCGGTCATGTCGGTGAGCATATAACCAACTTCGTCCTCTTGAGTCGTGCGCGCCAGGAACTAGGCGTTCCGTTCATTGCCTCCGGTGGATTCGCCGATGGACATGATCTAGCCGCAGCGTTGGCTCTTGGTGCGGAGGGAATCAACATGGGCACCCGGTTCATGAGCACCATGGAAGCTCCAATTCATCAAAATGTGAAGGAGGCCATCATCAATGCACAACAGATCGACACCGCCCTAGTTCTCCCCCGATGGGGTAATACCTCTCGTCTCTTCCCTAACAAGGTCCCTCAGGAGGCATTGGAAGTCAAAAAGAACATCAAGTCTGGTGACTTCAGCGAAATCGCTCCGTACGTCAGCGGCAAGCGTGGGCGCCAGGTCTTCCTGAACGGCGACGTTGAATTTGGTGTAAGTTACCACGATACTCCTGGAAGCTTAGTGTGTTCTGGTCCTAAAACATGTAGGTATGGTATGCTGGTCAAGTGATTGGAATGATCCATGATATTCCGACCTGTGCCGAGCTGCTTAGTCGTATAGAGAATGAGGCGCTCGAGGCCATGAAACGGACCCAGTCCCTGTATCTTGTCACCCCCGCTAGCAGGCTTTGATAACCCTTTTTCTATTTTGGTACTATACCATCCTGGCATCATCCCAAATGATTGATATAGAGTTGTCGTGGGTGAGTTTGATGTTCGTGTATTCAACTATCTATCTCAAGACTTACGTTTTCTTCAGACCGGTCTTCTAGAATATTATGTTGTGATCAGAGGAATCACACCAATTGAGCCATGGTTCCGCCAAGGTTCCATGGGTGAAGCTACAGATTACTAAAGTGAATGCACCATGCAATAGACCCTCATCTCATGCAGTGGGATGCGATGCATTGAATGAATAGACTTAAGCGAAGTCGGAGCATTTGAGATGACAATTCAAAAGTTTCCTACTGCTCATGAATTTTACTATCATAAATGTAAAGATGTACGATTGGACTAGCTAAGTTGCTGCTAACAAGCATCAGATTCACGAGATTGATTAAGTCTGAACCCCAGGATCACGTACTTCTCCACCTATTTATAGTGCCCAGGTGATAAGATACATTAACCGAGGGCTCGAAGTACGCAATTGTTAATGATGATGAAAGGTCCACCATGGCCCTAGCTGGCACTTGCCTATGAATCCTGAATGCTGATATCACAACAAGTTTGGTTGGTTGGTTGGTTGGTTGGTTGGTTGTTTTTTTTTTTTTTTTTTTTTTTCTTTTTTCCAGAAGGAATAAGTGAGGCTACATATCACAACGGATTGAAATTCCCCGAGCCAAGCTGGGGAGTTTTATTTTCTGGCTGCTCCCTTCGCTCAGGAGCTAAGAGACCATGCTCTTTCATATTCACAAAGGAAGTCATCTGATGTATTTCAGAGATTAAATAGAAGCATAGTAAAAAGTTTCTACAATTGACAAGTTTTCGGGTCTGCTAGCTGTCGTGAAATGCGCGGAACCGACCTCGGGATGCCTTGAGAAACACTTATGATTTTCAATTTGTAAGCCTCCACATTCGTCGTACTTTTTACAGCCTCTTGATATTGGCTGTTTTGCGGTGTTAAATCGTTAAGCATTGCAGCACTCAGAGACGAAATTATGAAGCGGACCGGCGGCAAATTGGATATACTGTTCAACAATACTAGCACAAGTACGTCCAACTTATTGATTCCCTATGGTCTTTTGACTTTCTGGCACTTGTCTATATAGTTTTTAGCTTCTGACTGGATTCTTTACTTTAACAGTGTATAAAGCGCCGGCAATTAAAGCTGATCCTACCTGTACTCATGCGATATTTAATGCTAATATCTTCGGCTTGTTTGAAATGGTTTCAACCTTTACTCCTCTTCTTCTAGCCTCTACTTTGAATACGTAAACACCGTCTATTATCATCAATATCTCGTTAAAACTATTATGTATTTCGTTCGTCTTTTCGGTGGTATATAACGCCTCTAAAGTAGCTGTGGCTTTCTATAGCGACACTTTTAGAATCAAGCTTGATCCACTTAGTATTAAAGTGGTCATAGTGTTTATAAACGAAGTCGCCACAAACTTTATATCATCTAAAAATATCTCGTTTAGCTCCAAGAGCATATACATCGATACTAAAAAGAGAGCCAAAAAAAGAAGTCGAAAACATTCCAAAAATAGTCTACAACCAGAAGTTTTTACTAAACAAATTATCGAGGAAGTGGTGATAAAGAACCCTAGATACAGACAAGATGAGTATTTATAGAAAGGTAGCAATGCTACATTGATTTGATTCTTGAATACCGTTGGATAGAGAAAGGTATTCAACAGCTCCGTGAAAAAGATGGTCGGGCTTGACCAAGAGAAAATCCGGATGTCTATCTTTAACAAGGGCCAAGCATCCGTGAAATTAGAATAACAGTTTGGCTTTAGAAAAGGATGAAATTTTAGTGTTAAATAATATTACAGACTAATTGGCTAATTCACATTCATACCAATATCTTAGTAATGGCAAGCATCTTCACATTCTTATCCAGTAAAACCAAATATTTGCTTGCTATATATCGTAACGTAATTTTGCTTGTGGTATTGAGTAAGGAACACTAATCATTAGTTGTACTGCTGAGGTCTTCTACGGAGCGCTGCTATAACAAGATACATCTAGGTCTTGTACAGGGTACTAACAATCCAATGATTTATATTACATTTAGTTATTTCAGGGCAAGGAAACAAAGTACTACTCCATTTAAGTGTTACCACAGGTCTGAATCTCCGAATATTCATTCACACAGTTGCCCCGGAAGGCGAATTTCCTTCGCTTCTAATATCCGCCCTACAAAATCACATATGTTGTATATTCAGCGATCTATAAGAATTGCTATAATTAAGACTAGATGACGGCACGGACTGATAGGAGTACCAAAATTGATGCCTGCAACATAAGGCGAAATTTGGCCGGTATTGATATAGTCTTTGAAAATGTATCCCGACGCTTTCAGCTGCTTGTCGTCTCTTCATCGCCGCGCTAATAGCATTTTAGGAAGGCAAAATGCGGCATAGAGAAACTCCTTTTCGATTTTATCATTTCCACGAGTGCCCAGGCAGTGGCCCAGCTGATATGGGATTTCCTATGTTATTTTCTCTAGTCCATCCTTTAAGAACTTACCTCAACTATGCTTTCTTGATAAGGAAGATGATCCTCCCATAATTAGCATAAGTACAGGACAGATCGAGCTTCTCATCATATATTGTCAAAAGATCGATAAACCATATTAATGCAGCAAGGAATTACATGACCAATGAAATGTCTATTGAAGGGTTATCCCCGTAAACGATATTATTCAAACCTCTCAATTTCTTTTATCGATGAAACACTAAAAAGGCTATCTTTTTAACTTGGTTCTAGAAACCCGAAATTAAAGTCTCTCTATCAGTTTTTTCCATACTTTTTTTTAATAAGGATCACATGTCATACTTCGTACTACAATCTCGTAATTGACGCTGTGTCCGCAGAAATACATATCATATCTTTGAATTTCTTCTGTCGAAGACGCTATGGATTTCAACCCTAGTTACCCCGAATCCCAAGTTCAAAGGCAACTTCAAGGTCCCTTGTTGATAACAAGGCCTTGCTGCCGAAACCACTCCCTGAGTACTTCATTCACTACTCCCGGCTCTTCCCACAAGATCCAGTGGTTGGCATTGATTTCTTTGAAGGTCAGGTTTATAACGGACTTTTTGATATGCTCGGTCATCTCCGGGGTGACGCAAATATCCTCCGTCGCACACAAGAATAGAGTGGGGCATTTGATAGTTGCAGCGTCACTGTTCTCCTGCTGGGTAAAATAACTTTCATCCAAAAAGTTCTGGCGATGAGTCCGATAGTAATTGCCTGTAGATATTATTAGGAAATAACCTGTAAGAGATGAGCTGAGGTCACATACATGCCGCACCGAGTCCATTCCTGGCAAATTCATTAACGTAGTACTCAAGTTCCTCTTCACTTAAAACTGCTGCTCTTTCTAGCTGAGCAGCCAGATCAAAATTCAACCCCTTGTTAGGATCCATGGCGGACTGATTGTGCGATGTCCTTCCGTCATACATTGCATTCAGGAATTTGTGGATTCCTTCCTTGGTCCGAGTCTCCTGCTCAATAAGTCCGCTTCCGAACTGCAACTGATAACCAAGTGTTGGGTATATCTTAGTTAAACTCTCAAGTTCAACCCACTCTGCATTCGGTAGGATGTATGGAACACAGGCTGTAAATATATGCGTCACGAATTCAGGATGCCATATGGCCATTCTATAAGCAATCATGGCTCCCCTAATAAGACAATCGTGGTCAGATGTATAAGCCCGCAGATAGAAAGTGATTATATTTGCTGCCTTACCAATCGTGTCCACCGACAATGGTATTAACACAACCAAGTTGTTTTGCAAGACTGACGAAATCATCTGCGAGGCTCTTAAAAGTGTACGGTATGATCGAATCAGTGGGTGCATCCTATCCAACGTGCATATGTAAGCTAGCCGTCATGGTTCCTGCTTCAGCATTTCTTTTGCCATGAAACTCACAGATTGTCCGTATCCAATACAGTCTGGACAAATCACCCGATAGCCCAAGTCGAGGAATAGCGGGATTTGGTATCTCCACCCGAACGATAGATCAGGGAATCCGTGGATCTGACGTATTAAAGAATATGTTAATCAAGCCCCCACCAGGTGCCATTCCATCGTGCAGATACAGAAAAGGCGTTGAGGATTTGAGGGGAAGGGGCCAATAGAATTAAATTACCAAGACAATTGTTCTTTCAAAACCACCTTCCGGGATAGCACAAAGAAATCCTGCAATTTATGTCAGTTATTATAATATTCAGTCAAATCATCACAGCAGGCCAGAGAGTGAGCCTATGCGGTTTGGAGAGGTATACCATATGTCTTGCCGTTAATCTCTGCTGAGGAGCGAGCAATACGAGGGTCTGTGGAGCTGATTTTATCCAAGGCTGCCATGGCGTTTGCGTTTGCGTTTGCGTTGCGTCTGATTGTTCAAAAGGTCCTTGTTGCCGACTGAATTGCAGAAGACACGGCATAAATACTTATCTTATTGACCTACCGGTCAACTTACTCGAGATTACAAATCGTAAACAATAACTAAGTTAAATTATTGCGACCCGTAGCTTTCGGAAACTTTTATTAATCCAAAAGAAACTTTTCATCATGATCCATTCTTGAGTTTATTCACAGAAAAACTTGATAAGTTGATCCGGGATGTTGAATAATCATTATGGGTTGACATCGACTTCTCGGAGACATGTCTCGACGATTCCCCGGCCGCATGAAACGGTTAGATTACTAAACTTTGGTCAGAATTTACTCGCTCTGCCCTTGAAGGATAATGCCCATGAGTTTACACTGCATGAAAATACTTATTCGCCATTTGCTACCACCGCTAGTTTCCGCTAACAAATCAAGTGCGGAATTAATTTACTTAGTTAACTTCAATTACCAAACGCGAATTTGTCAGCCTCCCCTCGTCCCAGGATTGATTCATATAATCATGAGTAATCTATTTTGGCGTGGGAATTAGCAAGCGTCCATAATGACGCGATAGAAGGCGGAGCAAAGAAATGATGTATCTTGAATTAACTATTGTAGTGGGGAAACCGCACCGCTCCCACCTGTAGACCTGGCAGTGACCCTCCGGGTGGTCCATTACCTTGGACCCTCCACCCGCCCCTCCGAGGGTCAGGGTCGCTCACGAGCGACCCTGACCCTGACCCTAGTTCTATGAGGGTCGTATGTGGGTGACCCTCCGCGACCCGCAGCGACCCTCAAATGCATAAATATATAGCACTAAGCCTAATTAGGATATATAAATAAGCTTATATAATCATATATATGCATAAATATTTACATAAAGTTTATTTTTATCGTAAAATTTGCTTGTTTGTCTTGTTTGTAGACCCGCGGGTGACCCTGAGGGTCACCCTCCGAGGGTCCAACCCCTAGGTGGACTACCCTCAGGGTCGGGAAGTTGGACCCTCGAACCGCCCCAATAGCGGGGCGGTCCGAGGGTCATGAGGGTCACCCGCGGGTCACTGCCAGGTCTAGTGACCCATAAACCCGTTTCTTAGCGGGTTTTGGGTAACCCGTAACGGGTAACCCGCGGGTTGTGTCGAGGTCTATATAGAGTTTGAAATCTTAGTCTTAGATGTAGCTAAACTATGACCCAAGATCTGGATTGTTGGTTCATTCTTCTATTGTGGATCAATTTGATCAGAAATAAGGGTACTATTAAATAGTTAAAATCTAGTATCTTTAAATAAAGACTTAATTGTTGTAGCTTTAAAGGTCTCTTTATATACGTTTTTGATTAATTGCAAGAATTCTTGTTTATCACTTAGATCTCCATCTTAATGTTCATATTTATTATTCGCTAATAAATATGATTTGCAGTATCACTAATCTCAATTACAATAGAGGGTGTATAAACCGAAATAAAGAGCTCAATCCAATAAATAAGGGATTTTTCTTACAATAGATTTGATACACTATTGGTTGAATTACACCCATTTTGAGAAAGGGTACCGTTTTTGCGATTGCGAAGCTTGTGTTTTGACACCCCAAAATGGGCAGCTGCAGCGTTGATTCCGGAGAATTTTTTGGCATAGTAGGCATTTAGAGCCTAAGAGATTAATTCCTCTTCTTTTTGGGCAGAATAAGGCATTTTTGGTAGGTAAAAATGGGGGTTGAAATCGAGGCAATGGAAATTTTAGGTTTTGGCATTGGTTTGGGTTTTGGCTTTGGCTCACCGATGGGAGGGTACGACTATCGGTGTTGCTTAGTCACAATTATGTACCTAAAGATTTTGGTCTGTTTGTCTTGTTTGTAACCCCATTTGGGGCCCCAAAACCCATTGGGGTCAGACCTGGCCGACCCAAAACCCAACCCAATTGGGGTTGGGTCCGGGTTGGGTCCGGGTCCATTGGGGTTTTGCGGAAGTCTACGCCTCACTGCGGCTCCGTGGGCAGATGATCGTTCAGCCCTGCTGAGAGATTTCAAGACTTGACCTGTGACCTAAAGCACCGACCTGGTGCACCCTCTAGGAGAAGCCAAGGGGGACCTCGTAGCTTGTGTGTCCCACTGATGTGTCAACCATCAAAAGACCCGTGGACAAGATAGCGGGTCAGGTTGGAAAAAGCCCAACACCAATGGACCCAACCAATACCACGTCTCCAGCATTGCCATCCCCGCAAACCCAATGCCCATAGGTACGCAGTTATTCTGGGATGATCAAGACACAGCCTTGCCAAGCGAGTTGCCAAGACTCCCAAGAGTGCCAAGTGCCTTAAGTAACTCTAACCAAAGCGAGCTGTTTTTGCTTAGAATAGACGAGATTGAGCTTCTGTCGGCCTAACGCAGTTTCATTGGCAGATTTTAAACAGCAAACAAAGCCTTGACTATAGGAACCAAAGCTATGGTGCTTGTTCCACAAGCGTAGACACTCACATCTCGAAGCTTGGTTCTCAGTTTTTTGCCTTTTTTTACAACCAAGGATCTTATAACTTATAAGTAAAGCTAGATACCTAGTTTTTACTTGTACTTCGTTTCAAACGATCAGTGGGTATCTAACTCATAGTAGCTTTTGCTTCCAGCTTGTGTGTTGCAGACATCTACCTGCTACGGAGCGTGGTCTATCCAAATAGGCCAGTTCTGTGCATATCGTTATGATTGTCTGTGTTTGCATTGTCCAGCATCTTGCGTAACCATATCTACAAAGTTAGTAGGAAATATCCTCCTTCATTTGCTCGCCCGATCTTTATAAGACACACCATAGATCTTTGTTTCTCACTCATTCCCATATCCTTTCTTGTAAGCCTACTGGAGTCGAATGCTTTCGTTTGACACCTAAAGCAACGCAGTCGACTCACATTCTCCCTTATTCAATCTGTCTTGAAAGCAACTCTTCTTTGAGCTTTTCCTCAAGCAGGGCACTCCACTGGCCTTTATCATGCCTTCTTCATCTACTTCAAAGCTCCCCTCGGGAATTGCACCGTCTCTCATCGGGAAATTCAGCGGATTCACAATTTCCCTTTCTGGGAACTTCCCTTCCGGAGTCACGCATGGTAAATAGCCTACCCACTTTGCTCTCTCTTTGGTGGATGAACTCAGGTTCCTTCTCGCTGGGGTGATACACAGAATGTGTTGACATGTATTCTAGATGAAGTGAGGCGCCTGATCATTGCCCTTGGAGGTAAATTCGAGACAACAGATATCACCAAATGCACACATGTGATTGCTTCTTCCAAGAAACTGAAAACTGTCAAAGGTATGAAATGCCAGCAGCCTTGAAAATCTACTTGGTTATACCCGCTTTAACTGATGTTACTAGTTCGATCCGCTCGCGCTAGTGACGACTGCCAGCTTGTCACATATGATTGGCTGTTAGGGATCATCTCCGAGGAGTCGTCTGACATCAAGCAGCTATTGGGCAAGCTTACCACTCTCAATATTTCCGAAAAGCCACCAAACAACAAGCGCAAACTAGAAGCGGACCCTGGGGATGACATTAGCAAGAAACTAACAAAGACGGCGGAGGACACAGAAGTCAGTATTCCGGTAGAAGTACTCGAAGACGGCACAAGAATCCCCTTGAACTCAACCAAGCTCAACGAAGCAGTCAACAGTCTGCTGAGTCTTATGTCAAGCAACGAGTTTGAGCAATACACTCAAAATTGGATCAAGGGTCTGCCAACCGGCCCGAAAACACGCCCGCCATTCAGTCCTAATCCGGACGCAAGGAAGCAGGAATACATACATGCTTTACAGAAATTCGAAGCCTCTTTGAATCATGACACCACCGATGTGCTGTATCGAGGTCTGCTGTCTCTCCAGTTGACGGAGCTCACTGCTTGTATGCCCATCATCTTCAGAATATCTGATCTCGCTCATTGCTGCATTCTGACTGATTTGAATGCGCAAAGTGAACAAGCAGGGTGAAGAATTCAAGATCATCGCAGAGTACCACAGCAAGTCAGCGCCAACATATCCCAATCAGGTAAGCTTAGAGTTAGCTTGGTTGGCTAAAAGCAACCCCTTGTCTCACCCATTTAGATTGTCGACATTTTCCGCATCGAGCGCTACGGCGAGAAGGATAAATTCGAGGCGTGGCGCAGAAAGCAGGCCGAGACGATTGGTGATAGACGACTTGTCTGGCATGGCTCAGCAAAATCAAGTTTTGTTGGGATCCTGAGTCAGGGCCTTCATGTCAATAACGGGGGAGTTTGGTTTGCAGAGATGGCGGATGTTTCGATCGCGTACTGTGATCGCAGAGTTGTGAATCTTACGCCTGCATTCAGTCAAGACCGTTTGATGCTACTATGTGAGTTAGAATGCGGCAAAAAAATGGTGAGTCTTCTCAATATGAAATTCGACAGCTCGAGATGCTAATTGGTACTCAAGCGACGACTCCGAACCCCTATTGGCGTATCCAATCATGCAAAATGGCGTGATGCTGGCTGTATTCACCCTGATCTCAAGGGAGCCAAATTACCAGACCTCCGCGGATCCGAATATTCAGCGATGAGACACTACGTTGAATACATTGCTCAAGATTCAGCTCAAATTCGTCAGCGATACCTAATTCATTTCAAACACAATTAGGGACAGGAAGCATGCACCTGGCGTGTTGGAAAGCCATCCATGGATATCTCTATGGGCACCTGGGCATCTCTATGGCCTTTTGCGTCAAAGACTGACTGTTCCCAAAAGACAGCCGCTCTAGTTCAGATTTCGAATTGAGATAGTACTTCGAGTAAAGATCAAATGGCAGGGTTCAATTTCATAATCCATGGATCCTCAATCGAGGGTGATTTATAGATTCTTCCACTTCTTTAAACTCATTGTATCAAGTTCTGATCCATCAAGCCTTTCCTCAACACTAGGTCTCACAAAAGGACCATGATAGCCCGCTGGGAAGTAATTTGCTCCTACAGCAACGACAAACGGCACATCAACCATACCCGAATCTTGTAGCCTCTTCCTATCCCAAAAGACATACCCTCGATTTCGTAAATCAAGCAAAGCTGCACTGTCAGATTTGACATAGTTCTGGAAGCTAGTACCCCATTCCCAGCCCAGGTTTGGGCTATGAAGTGTATCACGAGGAATATCAACCAGCTTTCCATGAAGAAGAACCTGCCTCTGCTTCTCGCTGCAAGATTGCAGATCAAGAGCCCCCTGAGAAAAGAACTCAGAGCCAGCGAATCCCCGAGACTCTGCATATGATCTGAGCATGGCACGTTTGAGCTCCCGGGGCTCCAACATGCCCAGGTGCAGAATATTGGATAAGCCACAAGATATGAGGTATTTCACGTGGCTGGAGTGGTGATTGTCTCGGTACGACTTGGTGAACAAGGAGAGACCGGAGTCGTCAAGAACATGACCTATATTGCTCTGCTTGGCGCCGGCGCCGGTAGATTGAGAGGGGAGATGAGAAAAGAAATCATCTTCCACTTTCTCAACAAGTGATCTGATGAACTGAGCGAGGAATTGTTGAACGCAGACAAACTCCTCGAATTCATAAAGCGTGAATTGCGAAACGAAGCACAGAACGATCTGCGAGAAGTTCAAAACAGATGCCTTGTCGAGGAGACTTAATACCCGCTGAAATCTCGTGTATACTTCGCATCGGTAGAAGGCTCGTTGGAGACGGCCCATTTCGGTGGGCGATAGGTTCGACCGTGGGTACGAGGTCGTGATGTGGAACTGAGCGGGTGTCTCTTGATGTGAAGATAGGTTACCCAAGGACCAGTGACAATAGATATCGATTAGGCGTTCGATGTCGGCTTGTAGGTAGAAAAGCGTGTCCAATTCGGCATTGTCTATTTTGAACTCATCATGATTCTGGCGGCGGCGATTTCGGTCGCCGGAGAACAACGAGAAACATTCCATCTTGACTTTGCCGATGGGCTCTTTGGCTTTGAGTGACTTGGGGATCCTTTGGGCGTCCAGCGCGGTATAAAGGTCTGCTCGGCATGATGGGTGGATGGATTCACAAAGTGTATGTCGAAGAAGATGGTTTTTGTAGGCGGCGAAGACACGGTATAGAAGGGATGAAGCTTGAACAGCACAGAGAATATCTAGCGGGGAGAGACATTCTAGGATTGTCAACAGGATTTCTGTTGACAGTGTGGCTAGAGCCATGTTGTTGAGGACATCAAGATCTGTGGCTGGTTTCGTGGTCCACTTTTCTGTCAAAAGGCGGGGTGTCTCATTGGTTCTCGCGTCTGACGCGAGCCTTGCGTATGAGACATTTAAGCTTATTTTCGCCTTGACAATCCCGGATTGCGGCTAACGGAACTTGCAGTATTGGCTTCAGACCGTGCTGTTCACAGATGGGGCTCAGTGGACCAAGTAAAGGCTCCAAAATAGGTATATGTCACGACACTCTTGAGGTTGACATGGAGATGCCCCAAAATATACGAATTCACAGGACACTACTAGCTTGGCGGTTGATTCATTCCGGCACCTAAAAGTATTACCAAAGTTGAACATCGTAACTTGGATATAAGTTTGATCAAAATTTGCACAACTATGTACTGCCGTCGATCGACGGCACTTCAACGATGGGCTAGAGACATAGCAGACAGGAATCCAGCAAGGGGGTCATAGAATGAGTACCGAATTAGATGCCATACAAAGCCGACATAGAACACAGACGAGGTATTGATCGATACTGACCAGGCGAGATGAGCAGGGCGAAGCATTTACCGATAGAAGGAAGCTGGATTTGAGCCAGCTGCTCCTCCCTGTGGTTGGTAGGCTTGGTACTCACCCGCTGGAGCGGGCGCCGGGGGTGTGTAGGATGTGTACTGGGGCTGGGCTGAGGTAGGCACGGGTGGGGGGCTGGTGTGAGGGTGCGGGTTGTGAGGCATCGGGGGAGTTGGGGTACGGGGCTTGGTGTTGTTGCTGTTGCTGGAATTGATGAGGGACTTGGGGCATAATGGACGCAGGTGGAGCCTGGGGTGGATCTTCGGCGGAGTATGCTGAAGGTGAGTAGTCTTGCTGTTGCTGCTGGAACTGTGGCGGACCAGCAGGCGGGGCTTGACTAGCTTGGGGGTAGGGCAGACGCTGAGCAGGAGTAGGGTGGTCGACGGGTGAATCATACACGGATGTTCCCAGTTCTTGAGGGTGGTCGAATGTAGACTGGGGACGGTGGTGCACAGCTTGGTACGCATCGGGTTGCGGGGTATGTTGCTGCGCAGGTGGAATCCCAGCCTGGACCTGGTTGCGGGGATCGGGTGAGTGAGAGGCAGGACGGTAAGGAATAGTTTGCTCGCCGCCGGCATAAGGCGCGTATGGAGCAGCAGCCGGTGTTGGCGTGGTTTCTAAGAAAGTCGGAGTAAGAACAGGAGTAACTATGCGAGCCTTTGATGATGCATACCTTGAGGCCGGGGCGTAAAGTATCGCGGATCAGCCTGGGCAGGTGGGTATCCGGCAGGTGCAGCACCGGGATAACCGTACTGTGGCTGGGCAGGGCGCCCATATTGAGATTGAGGAGGGTGGGCCATTGATGCCTCGAGCAGAGATTCATAATCCCGACGAGCTTTAATGAACTTCTCATTGAGCTGGGTGAATTCATCTGCGATGATATGAGCGACCGAGCCACGAAAACCGAATAATCATTACATACCTTTCTTTTGCGAGTACTTGCCGATGAGTTCGATCAATTTGGGTCGGATTGCAAGAGTAGCCTGATAGAGAGTCGTGATTTCTTCGTTTTCTTGGACGTTCAGATCGGAGTTTCGAGTGCTCAGTAGAGTAAGAAGCTTCTCCACGCTCTTAATTTGGCCAAAGACATCCGCTTCCATCTGAGCTTCCCGCTGCAACTCGTCCACTGTAGGGTCGGGAAGCTTCTCCACATAGTTGAGAGGGAAGATACCAGTCTGACCCCTCAAGGAACCCTTCCACCAATCTTTATAGACTGATTCCAAAACTGCAATGATATCTCCCTTGCGGAATTGTAGCTCGCCTGGCTCAGACGGTTGGAAGTCGAACAATGCTCTCACCCGGGAAACCGTCGCTACCGATGTTCCAGACAGAACGGCCTGGGCTTCAGCAGGCTCCGCTTGGGCAGTAGGGGTAGGTGCGGACAAGGCAGCGGCAGCCGAGGACTCAGCACGAGGTGCTGCCGCGGCCGCGGCCTGGGCTGGAGCTGGTCCAGGGACAGTCTTGTCTTTAATTGAGAGAGCTAGCGCCATTTGTAGTTCCTCTTCTTCCATCTGGCGGTCCACATCGGTGATTTCACGCTTGCCAGGCTTGGATGGGGGCTGAAGATTGGGGTCTGTAATACATATCAGCAGAGTCCTTTCGCAGAACTTAACAGAGCACTCATGCTTACTCGTAGTTTTTAGTTTCATGTAGGCTTGCTCCATAATGCCGAAATCCGGGTTAGAAGAGAACATCTCTGTCCATTCTTCCATCCGCTCCAGAATCTTTGACTTGACTTGTTGATGCGTGTTCTGCGTGAACCATGATCAGAAACTGCTGCGTTCTCATATTAGGTGTGGTGCTCTTACCCGATCAGCAGCCAGACGCAACAGTGCATCAGTAAAGCTTCTCGAAGCCAACTCGCGGTGGATCTTGAGGCCGCAGTTCTGCGCCAACGAATTTCCAAGCTATTCAACATCAGCATAGCTCACGAAGGCGATCCACTTGTGCTTCCAGCGACATGGCACCAATCACGAACCTCCAATGTATAAAGTTGCACGTTGGCATTGCGGTGGGCCAATCTCTTGATCATGGCTGCGACAGCTTCTTTCGCACTATAGCACCAGACATCGTAGTCAGTAAGTGATTATTTCTCTGGGCTCCAGTTCGTCATAATCCACATACCCTGACTCTTCAGAGCCAACTTTGTCACAAACATCCTAAGCCATGACATCATGTCAGTTTCAAGGTCCGTCGAATGCGATGAGTCGCCGTAGGTTCGCTCCAACGCACCAGAATGTATTCCCAGTTCTCGGATGTCAGGTTCTCGTCCGTCGCCTTGGCTAGATAATGACAGCATAAGTTAGCACCAAGATCACGAAGAGTTCCGCTAGATGCCCATGGCGTCATTCCAGCACTGCCAGTTTGTGGGCGCGACAGGCGGCGGGAAAACGGGAACGTAGGCACTTACCGACGGCATCGTCGAAGGCATTCTGCTGCGCGCGAAACATCGCTGACGTATTCCCCTAAGCAGGTAACGACAGGTGGGGATCGTGGCAGTCGGGCAGCACTTCGGCTCGGTGAATCGCTATATGGGAAGTCACGGGAACCTCAAAGCGAAGATCCAATCAAGATTCTAAGTCTCACGCACGACGTTCGAACTGTTGTGTGGCTCTAGCCAGTGAATGCGGGGAGTCGACGGTGCGGCTGGATTGAATGCGGGCGGTGAGGGTGAGTGTACACAGCGCCTTGGCAAGTAAAGTACGGAGTAAGGCGACTGAAGATGAAGTCGGATTTTGAGTATGCTTTGAGGTTGTGATCAGCCCTGGAGAGTTCGCGTGTTCGTGTGTATGCCCCAACTCGTCACCTGAGTCAGCACTATGACGATGGTGGCCTAGCAGCCTTGGAGCTCCTAACTTCTTCCAGGGTCCTTAGTCAGAATATAATCTTGGCTGCCTTGGGCTGTTGATTTCTGCCTGTCTCTCTGTGTACGGAGTGTTTGGGCAGCATTAAAGCTCCATAATATGCTAGGCTGATACATTTCACGTATTCTCTCATTTGCGAATCCTACTCCGTACATTGTGGCTGAAGCTGCCTCCACTATATACATGCCCCGTAATACCAAGAATAGCTCACGCTGTCTGATATTCAAGAAATAGGAGATCTTGGTTTAATGAAGACAGTAAGTACTGGTGAAATCTGAATACCTTCGATGGGCCACCAAACGACATAAATGACAGAGGTAGAGAGGTAGAACTACAAAACACCACAACACTAAGATCGAGATCCAACAGGCGGGGGAAAGCAGAAACTCCACAGAATTGGTGCCCAAGAAGTGGCGTCATTTTCATCGAAACTCGATGTGGGGAAATAGATATGGGAATAAAATGAGTACATAGAAAAAGAAATTCCAACGACAAACAACACTGCAGGTCGGGATCTAGAAGAAACATTGGGAGTGACGGGGTATCTGAGCGAGGCGTCAAGAGATATCAGGGTATGACAGAAGAAAACCGAAACATAGGAACAAATAGTCATTCAAGCGCCTCCTTTCTGGGCTTTTTCTTGGGCGCGGCTGTGGCGGGCAGCCTTGACCAAGGGGGCAAGATGCGAGAGCGGTGCGCAGAGGGACATGAATGGGTGCTGGGATAGGGATTAGCGATCAAGTATACAGACTTGAGGTTGGTGGGAACGTACCTTCAGCAGATCATGAGCGGATGCACGCTTCTCGGGATCAACCTTCAGGGCAAAGTGAAGGAATTCACGGAAGATGGGGGATAGGTTATGTTCATCTTTGATAGTAGGGGTTCCGTTGGTGGCGATGAGGTAGAGTGCTCGCAAGGGCGATTCTGTGAGGTATGGGGGCTCGCCCTCGATCATCTCGATGGCCATGATACCCAAACTCCAGATGTCGACCTTGCGGCCATACTCCTTGCGGGTGACAACCTCGGGGGCCATCCAATACGGAGTTCCAACCATAGTGTTGCGCTTGTTTTGTGAGTCGTTAATTTGAGCACAGAAACCAAAATCGGCTGGAAATTGTTAGTATGCAAGCCAAAACAACAGGATGGCAAAACTTACTCAGCTTGATATTGCCATCCAATGCGAGGAGGATGTTGTCAGACTTGATATCACGATGAATGACACCCTTGGAGTGCAGATGCTGCAGACCATTCAGAGTCTGTTCAATCGGTTAGTATCGCTAGAAAGATTGTAGGGTTTTGATGGTTCGCTACTCACCTCTCGGCAGACAGCTGCGATCTGTCCCTCGCTCATAATGTTGAATGTGACGACGTCCGTGAGACTGCCACCTTCCATATATTCCATTACCACCCATAGATCCAGCCCATGGAGGAAGCTCTCCAAAAAGTTCACAATGTTCTTGTGTTTGCTATCCTTCATGACCAAAATCTCGTTGATGATGAGGTCCTTCTTGGGCTGCAAGTCCAAGTTCATTTGCTTGATGGCCACACAGTTGTTGTGGGGGTGCTCATATGCGGTGAATACACCACCCGAAGCACCTTGGCCGATCTTATTGAGATTATAATAGATTTGCGTAGGATCTCCAGGGTGACAGATAGACAATAGACGGGATCGAATGTCCATGGCATTGCTCTGGCGCTGGCGCTGGCGTGGCCGCGCAGCAGGCGGCGCGCGCACAGTGGGTGACACAGCGGAGGAGAGATCTGGGGCAGGCGCATTAGTTGAGGTGGATATAGCCGGAGGTTGCTGTGCCTGCTGGCGCTGGGTACGGTTCCGGTCCAAGGCCTGTTGGGCTGCGGCCATGACTTGCTCTTGCTGGCGCTGATATTGAGTGGGAGACGCGATGACGTTCGGGGCGGCGGAAGCGGGAGGGTCATTTCGAGAGACAGAGGGAGAGCGATGGGGAGAGGGTACTGCTTCAGTTTCCGGGATTGTTGGGGTGCCAAACGTAGGACCATAGTTGTCTTGCGCCCGTTGCGGTTGCGGTGTTGCGTATTGGTTCGAAACAGGAGGTTGAGGCGGAGGACGAGAGGGCGTTATCCCGGTCGGGGGCTTCGGGGGAGCGCGATGAGGCATCATACCGGCGGACGAAGGAGACATAGATGGGGTACCAGCTGGAGGGCCACGAGGGATTGGTGGCGGCGACCGCGGATTCTCAAAGCTACTCTCGTGATTTTGTGGGAATCGCGGGCTTCCTGGAGGCGATTGTCTTCCGCTTGGACTCGTCGCTTGCGCATTGTCAAATTTATGCCAAACTTCATCGTCGCTATCGCCGCGGGTGTTCTTTTCGTAGAAGCGCATAATATCCATCATAGTTTGCGGGTGTTCCTCCTGTTCCTTCTTCGAGATACCATTCTCCTGGAGCAGGCGCTGCCATTCTTTGGGAAGACCAGTGAACTGACCGGTCTGATTATCGTAGCCGACGTGGGTGACGTGGACTGGGTTCTCTGGCGCAGAAATCTTCATGTTGCGACCGGGCGTTCCAAGCATACTGTCGACGAATCTGGAGAAGCTTGCCTTCTTGCTCTGTCTCGTTCGAGCCACCGGGGGTTATTGCCATCGTCGGAATACCGCTTCTGGCCATTTGGCCGCTCGGTCTCGCGATGTGCGAAAGGATCCATTCGATTGGCTAGCGTGGTGAAGCTGGCAGATTGCCTGAGGGAGTGGCGGCCGCGATTGTCGGGGCTGGTATGATGCGAGCGGAGTGGGGGCTTTTGCTGGGAATGAGGGTCTGACTCGGCGGTATTCTCGTCCAACGCACTGAGCATGCCCCGCGTTTCGTAAGGGGCATTTAATTCATCCGAGCTCTGCTCAGTGTAGGAGAAACGGTTGGAGCTGCGGGTGCGGGAACGAGAGGTGAAACCGGAGAAAAAGCCACTTGATTCGTCGTTTGATGGAGAAGGGCCACCACTGTTCTGTTCCAGTGAGGAAGATGAGGATCCCGGGAATTGTGCGTTGGATCGCGACCGGTTGTGCTCGCGGCTGCCGCTGGGAGAGGAGCGCGGGTAGACTGGGGCGGAGGGGGTGCGTTTCAACGAGGTAGCGCTTTGATGACTCCGAAGAATGCGCGAGCTGAAGCTAGGGGCTTCCTTGTGAAGTTTGCTGGAGGCTCGGCGGAATTTCAATGGGAAATTGTCCTGATTCATGATGGGCAAATTTCGCCTGTCTCTACACGAGACAGATTGAAATTGGGCCGAGGAGGGGTCAGATGCAGGATTTTTTGTTCGAACCAACCAGATGAGCGACCTGCCGCGGAGAATAACCGGGTCCCCGAAGGTTGATGGGAATGGGGGAGACAGACGTAGACGATGCAGAAGAGATAGATGAGATGAGGTTCTAGCACGTGGAGACTTTTGAGAAAAGGAGTCGGGTGGCTGGGGGGGTGACGGGTTGTCAAATTTAGGACTGAAGATCACTATTTCAGTATTGACATATGGACTATTTGTTTTTAATAGAGTGTTTAAATTCTGTTCAGTATTGAGTGTTTGAATTTTACTGAGTATTTAGTACAGAATATTTAGAGCGTTGTGTTAGGTATTCAATGGAGGGAGGGTATTACACTATGGAGTATGATGGAGTACTGCACTAAAATAACCCTCTATAAAACGAGTATAGCCTCGAGGATAAGAATAGATCTAGTCTCACCTACGGAGTACCGGGTTCTTTTTATTTTATTTTTCAAACAGAAGTATGTAGGAAGAAAAAAAAACCCTCCGATCTACAAGGACTCATCACTTAGACATTCTCTGAGACACTTTCAACCTTTCCCAACTCATCTCTCACATTCGACCGCTTCGATCATATATCCCGAGCAAACGTAAAAAGTACCTGCACCTCTGCCTTGCCCCTGGCAGGTAGCCGAACACGTCTCAAAAAGGTTAATCGGACAGGGACAAGTGTGACAGACGCAAGCCAACACTACTCAGCACATTACCACTTCGACTTCTGTCGCACAGATCCCTCGTCTCTGTATCTGTTGCAGCCATTGGAACCGACATGCCTTTCAGCCGCCTGGAGGAGTTTTTTAAAACCCCCCTTCATAACGCCACACTGGTCAGCTGCTTTGGGAACCCTGTTGAGTTCTTTCTCGCCATGCTGATAGTATTCCGTACTCCGTACTGTTCTCATATTTGGAAAGTCTGCCTTGACTCGCCATTAGGTCCTTATTAAGTCCCTATCCTACACGTTCGGTTGTCCGTTGGTACTTCACCCTGGTCAGTGTGGGCGTGATTGATTCGATTGATTCGATTGATTCGATTGACTCGGATGCGCTCTATAACTGCACCTAATATGACTTTTGCGTTTACACCCCACGTATAGGGTTCACATATAACCAACAGCGTGAAGGACGAATGAGACGGGATGCCTTCTCTTTGGGTCACAAGAGACAGCCCAGCTGGTTCCGCGGGCCATGCCACTTCCCTTGAACGCCTGCGCGTAATCTGAACACTGATTGTTGCCTCTCTGATCTAACGCCTCTTCGGCCGGTGTCCGATGCCAAACGCCCACTTGCTTCATTTCACCCCCAAGTGACAGGGTGTACGGCTTCTGTTGGTGATGGGTTGCTACTCGATATGCCCTAAGCCCAACGCATCGAGTCGAGAGCTCCTTATCGAGGTCTCTTTGGCACCTCGCCGAAAGATCGTTGAACAACTCATGGGGTAAAGATGCTCCACATTTTACATGGACCTGTGGCGCATTCCGGCTCGGCTAAACGGTCGACCAGAATTTGACACGCGAAAAAATTCCATCCCGCTCTGCTGACGGCGATGCTGGTCTGGCATTTCCCAGGGTTTCTCGGAGTTTCTCAAGACTCGCCATCTTGAGGCAGAATAGCGTACAGCCCGCTTCGATTCCGGAAATTCTCAAATTAAAGGGGTCAGCGGCCGAAGGTCGGAGATTGTTCGGGACATAAAGATCCACCGAGATCAGATTCAAGATCAGAACCATGATCTTCATCTGAAGAAGAATGAAGGATTGCTCTGCACATGGTGTGGTACATCTTCGGCGAATTTATCGTGGAGGATCTTACCCTAACTTGTACTAGAGATGTTTTACTATTCTTCTCTCCGCGTTCCGTCGAAGAGTGGATATCTTTGACATCATTGAAAGAACCTTCTTTTAAGCTTGAATTCCCCCTGAAAAACACAGATCTTCAAAAATTTCCGATATGGCTTCCCTACACTCGGTTTGGGCACGCGCTAATGCCTCTATTCCGTCTGCTTTCGCTGTGTATAACACCAGCTTCTTGGATATCATCGGTCAAACCCCGAAACTAGACCTGCTTGTGGAAAACAATGACTATCCATTCGCGCACGAAGCAAGCGTGTATATCCCGACGTCAGATGAGCTCTTCATGTCTAGCAACATGTTTACCGATCCCGTCACCAACGAGACCACCATCAAAGTCTCAAAGGTCAATCTGAGCAAGCACCCCCTCACAGCGGAGATCGTGAACACTACCATCCCAATGCCAAACGGCGGCATCAATCGCGACAATGGGATTGTCTGGACTGCCCAGGGTGGTATGAATGATACAGGTGGCCTCTTCCAGATGTCCACTACATCGCCATACAACTCAACCCTCCTGCTGAGTACTTTCTACGGTCGCCAGTTCAATTCTCTTAACGACGTTGCTGTTGCTCAAGATGGCGCGATCTGGTTCACCGACCCTGAGTACGGCTGGCACCAGGGCATTCGCCCTAAGCCAAAGCTGCCTAACCAGGTCTATCGCTTTGACCCTGCTACCAAGGATGTGCGCGTCGTTGCTGATGGCTTCGGGCGTCCAAATGGGATTGCTTTCTCGCCTGATCAGAAGGTAGTCTACATCACCGATACGGCGGAGACCGTTGGTGATGGCACTAAGGATAACTCCTTGCCCGCTGCTATGTAAGTAGGTCACGCTTTATAGTCATCTTAGATACTGACTCTGCTTAGCTATGCCTTTGATGTGACCGTTTCGCACGGTCAGCCCTTCTTGTCAAACCGTCGCTTCTTTGCCATGCCCGGTGAGGGTATCCCTGATGGCATCAAGGTTGACACCGAAGGCAATGTGTATGCCGGCTGTGGTGACGGCATTAACGTCTGGTCGCCTGGCGGCGTTCTTCTCGGAAAGATCCTTGTCAAGGACGGTGCTTCCAATTTCTCGTTTGGATTGAATGGTCGCATGTTCATCCTCAATGAGAACAAGCTCTACTCGGCCCAGTTGAACCGTCGGGTTCAAGGAACACTTGTGAGATCCTGAAATATGGTGTTTCATACACCTTCCAGGCTTAGAGGTGATGAATGTCGGATTGGAGTCCTGCATGTTATTTAAATAGAATGTAATAGTACATAATCTCTAGAATAATATTGCTTGAGAATATCACACAGGAACATGATACCGCAGAGCGCGAGTGCCTGCCATGTTGTATGCCCGCATCCGCCAAGCCTTCCCATGTCCTTTCGTCTCTCTCTGCCTGCTGCATTAAATGAACAGCATATCATTTACTTCATGTCTCTGTGATTCATTGGCGATGTCGGTTTAGCCAAATGGAAATTTACCGACGGTAACACTTCTCTGGTCCGACATCGATAATCTCATCCTCCATTTCAAACTTGCATTCCCTCGCCGGTTGTTCCCAATTCTCCGGTCTCGATAGCCATGCAGTGGCAGACAAGAATCCCTTCATTGCCTGGGAAACCTCACTGGCGTGCATTTGCGCGTCATCCCAGGTTGTGTTCAACTTCAGCGTTGTGTTCGACTCCGTGAGCGACGGGTACCAAACGAATCCGAGGTCCGTGCGACTGAGGACTTCGAGCATCTCAACAGACGCCGGATTGCTGACGCTTTTCTCCTGCTCTGCTTTCGCAGAAGTGGATTGATTTGGTCGGATATCGGGTAGCCAGTCAAAGACCTGGCGATTCAAAGTATTACGGACGACCTCGCCGTCTGCCTTGCTTGCCGGTGAGGATCCGCCGGGTGGTGATTCCAACCGATCGAGAATCTTGGCGATGGGTGCATGCGAGTGCTGTTCGATGACGTGTTGCTCTTGAAGTAGGCGAGCAAGGAATTCGACGACCGTTTCATCGCCCTGAACTCGCGTGCGACTCACTGCGAGAGTAACCGTTGGGCCATCGATAGATAACGGATTCACACCATCTCCGTTGTCCTCGCTCTCGTCACTATTTTGTTCACTAGAGTCGATGAATGGCCACGCGCGACCGGACTCATTTGTGACTAGGACTGCTTCTTCGCCACCTGTGAGATGCAAGTTCAACAACACGCAGGCGCCCTTGGCGACAATAGGAGGAGGGATCTCAAAGCGCTCTCTCAGCTTGAGGATTTGCGGCACGACAATTGAGTATTCGAGACCCATTGTGCCGATGGCGTGGTCCCCATCTAGCGGGACACGTAGTCCGGGCTCTCCTGGGCGACCGTCAGGATACTTCCACCCCGCGTCATCGCCCTTGAGCCAGAGAGGAACCCGCTGAGGGGGCCAAAGGCAATCACGGGATGCGCCAATGCCGCGAAGAGCGTTGACATGGTGATCGATTGCTTTCTGCGCCGCGACATTTTTCATCCGGCGATTGAGCGCAACCGAGTACCGCTGGAATGGATGGAACACAGTCGAAGGTTGTTGCGACTTGACAATCTGACCCAGCTCGCGATACCATTGTCTGATGATAACTCCATCGAAGATGACATGGTGCCAGTGGAAAATCAGTCCAACATCTGGAGTGTCACTGATAGGAAGGATTGTGACTTTGAAGAATGGACCTGGTGGCGCCACATGATCCCAATCTGGTTCATTGAATCGATAATCCAGCGTATCGTCTGCTTTGCCGATACTGCCGCCATGGAAGATTTGATGACGCAACCAAGAGGGATGTGCTGGCATAATGATATAGAAGTCATTCTGTTCGTCCATGACCGTGATCGACCGCATGAGGGGGTGTTTTTCAGCCCAAGTGGACAAGGCCGAAGTAATGCGAGCTTCGTCGCAGTTCCTGATTATTATGGAGTGTCGATGGTTCCACGAGTTAGGGCGAGCACCTCAAGCCATTGGGCCGATGATGCCGTTCTTTGGGAAGACGTCCTCCACATCACCCCAATTGAATCCCATGGAGTTAAAACGCCCAACTGCCGCTTGCTCAATCCTCAGCATTTGCGGACGATTTTCGGGCAGCTCTCGCCATGGTGTTGGGCCCGCTGCGGCGTTTGAAACTCTATCAGATTCAATGTTCATTTCCTGGCGTTCTTCCAACAGCTTTGCTTGTGATCTGACTGTCTTGGACTCGCCGAGATCTTTGACGGTAATAGTCTTCTTGTATCGCTCAAAGACAGCCGAGCAAAACTGGATGAGCGTCATGCTATCGGTGAATGTGTGGATTGATGTATCAGGGGTGATTGTAGCCACCGAGCGGCCAGAGAGAGAGGACCAGATCTCGGCCAATTGAGATTCAATCGTACTCCCCATATCATTTGGCTGAGAGGATTTGACTCTCTCGATATGCTCCAGGGTCCACTGGCGGAGCGTGGCTTTCTGGGCCTTTCCTGACGGTGTCATTGGAAACACCTCGGAGCCGAGATCATCCACCAAGTCATAAATCATGGACGGTGCAAGCTGAGGCCCTAAGCTTTTGGATACAACATTTCGCAGCTCATCACAGTCCAGTTCGATACCTGAATCACGTCGGATGATTGCCACTATGGCTTCGCCAGCCACAGTATCGGGCACGCCCACAACCTGAGCCTATTCGAACGAAGTCAGTCAGCAAACATGCAGGCAAGGTGATGAGAAGAGCATTTCAAACTTACTGTGATTCCTTTTTCGTGGGACAAAACCCGCTCAATCTGGGAAGGCGAGATGTTCTCACCTCCTCGGATGATGAGGTCTTTGTACCTTCCCAGCACATATAATTGGCCCTGGTTATCCATATAGCCCTGGTCTCCTGACACAATGAAATTCACACCACCCTCGCGATAGCATGATTCGTGCTCCATTCCCAGATACCCACTAAACACAGTCAGACCACCAAGATGTACCTCACCAATCTCGCCGCGGGAGAGCAGCGCACAACTCCCGGGTGGGCAGATGCGAATACACCCTCCTGATACCGCAGTTCCCAAGCACACCTCGTCCCCTCCTTTGATCGCATCTTCGGCACTCTGATTGTTGGTTGCGACCACCAAACTCTCACTCATACCATACCCTGCTGCTATTCTCTTCGCCCCCAAAGAAGCGCAGAGCTCTACAACTTCCGGGTACACAGTGGAGCCGCCAATAGTAACCGTTTGTAAAGTTTCGAACTTGTGCGGTCGAATTGGCGATCTGGCAATCGCCTGGATCATAAGCGGTACGCAAGGAAGAATGACATTGCGGCTCTGTTGTATGGCTCGAATGGTACAATCGGCGTCAAATGTTGGGTTCGGGAACACGAGACTGGCACCGTGTAGCCATGCAGTCAAGCTATACACGACGCTGAAAATATGGAAGCCAGGCAAATGCTGGCATATACTGCTCTCATGGTCGATGGAATGGGCTTTGCTGAGACCACGAGCAACTGAGTACAGCGTGACTGCGCTGTGCGGGCAAGCTTTGGAGCTGCCCGTTGTTCCACTAGTGAAGAAGATGACTGCTGTGTCGTCCGGGCGGCTGGGAGACACAATATCCTTTGTGAGATCTCCTGTGGCATCCTGAGAGTGCTTTGCCAAAGCTCTCCACCCGGGAGTCTGGGGCTCTTCGACAACAAATCGGTGTTTGATTGTGTTTTTATCTTGACCAAGAGCATTGTCAACAGCAAGAGCCAGTTTATTGTTTGATGCTATGATCACATCGCATGGAACACCCTTCAAGAGGTCCCAGGCGTGGTCTTTGTGGTTCACCGCGCGGTAATCAATTCCAATAAATTGACAACCAAGATGCGCGGCAGCCCAGAATACGAGCGCCCACTCGATCTGATTGAAGAGAATAGTCGCAATGCGATGTCCAGGTGCGACACCCTGTGCTGATAGGCGGTGGGCTAGCCGAAGACTTTCCTCGTGGAGCTGTGCATATGTCCAGCTTGTTGGGGATGTTTCTCCCTCCTTGCCGCCCGCATGTTGATGCAAAGACACCAATGCAGTGCGGTTCGCATTCTAAATTGCAGACTGAGAGAGAAGAGCGCCAAGATTCTGTGTGGGTGCTGTTTGGGTCTTATCCCACACTTCTGCGGGTGCTATAGAGCCCATGTTGATTGACTGCGGGTTTGGTGATTTCGTCAAGGGCGTAAATCGGGTTCGCGTTCGAGGTATGCGAAGTAAACAACATCATCGAAATTTTCTTTAACAACTCTTCCAAGCTCGGGCGCCTTCCATCCTCACTTTTTCCAAATATGCCCCTTTGCGACGTCGTTTTTGCGGATATGTGGATCCTGTGGACACTGGTAAGCATCGAGTTCGCAGAAGATCGTCGTCTTGAGCGAACGATCTCGATCGGAGCCTTGGTTTGAGCCGCTTATTATATTTTTTTTATAGGCCTCGGATCTTTTTGTGTTGATTCTTCCATACTGATAGGACTCTTAACCCTGTAATGCTCACACATTATATCATCCCTGATTCATGAGATCGGTGGACATGAGGCGATCTCGCTGATGGCCAGTCAAACTTTTCAAAAGTTGACAATCCATTATTCTTCTTAGAAGACAATACTGTTCTTGTCCTCGTCGCTATGACGAAGCAAGATGAAACTTCCTTACCGGGCGATGCGGGAGTCGAAGTGAGTCGAAACTCCCAATGGTCAATTGCATTTTGATGCTAATGCAATCTTCAAGGCCGGTACAGAGGCCATTGACTATGACGATCCACAGAATTGGTCCAAGTCAAGAACAATCTTGTCGGTCGTGATATTTTCCTTTTTGGCCAGTGTGTCTCCCTTGGCATCGACAATCACAGCACCAGCGCTTCCGGTCATCGGAAAAGATCTAGCCATTTCTTCTAGGCCAGTGCTTCAATTCACTCTATCTATATATGCCTTGGGCTATGCTTTCGGGCCGCTCGTGCTGGCACCCATGTCCGAGGTCTACGGCCGGGTATGGGTTGCCCAGCTGAGCGGGCTCTGGTTCTTAGTCTTCAACCTGGCCTGTGCATTCGTTCATTCCGGAGGCGCACTTCTGGCTCTGCGCTTCCTAGCTGGCCTAGGCAGCTCCACTACCCTCAGCGTAGGGTCCGGTGTCCTGGCAGATTGCTATAGGCCAAAGAACATGGGGTCCGCTGTCGCAATCTACAGCCTTATGCCAGTTGTGAGTCCCATCATGGGACCGATCATAGGTGGATTTGTGTCGCAGAACACCTCATGGCGATGGATTTTCGTGGCCGTATCCGCTTGGGATGCAATCATCCAGATCGTGGCATTGTTCTTCCTGAATGAAACCTATGCGCCAGTCATCCGAGCCCGCAAGCTCCATGGCACATGGTTCGCAAAGCCAGCAATTGAAGGCTCCCAGTTCCGCGAGAATCTCAGACGTGCCGGTCGCAGCGTGCGTTTACTCGCAACGAAACCTCTGATTCAAGTCCTTGCTCTCCACCTGGGCTTTCTCAATGGAGTTTCATACATTATGAGCTCGACCTTCCCACTCGTCTGGTCAGAGGTATACCACTGGAGTGTGGAGATGGGCTCGCTCAACTACATTGCTCTGGGACTCGGTGCTATACTTGGTGCACAGGTGTGTACACGGGTGAACGACCGCGTCTACGCCATGCTTTCTGCCCGCAACAACGGCGTTGGATCACCGGACTATCGCCTCCCGACTATGCTGGCGGGCACACTCATTGCACCATGCGGACTTCTTTGGTATGGATGGTCGGCCGAAGAGAAAGTGCATTGGATTATGCCCGATATTGGTGGTCCGATCTACAATGCCGGCTTCATGACTGCCTATATCAATGTACGAATCTACGTTATCGAGTTCTATGGAGCGTCGACTGCAGCGTCTGCCGTTGCTGCAGTATCTTTGTTGCAGTACTTGTTTGGCGGCCTCTTTCCGCTGTTTGGTTCGGATATTCTTCATTCTATCGGATTTGGTCGTACGAATAGCGTGCTGGCTGGGGTAAGTCTTGGGTTGGGTCTCCTTGCTCTGGGAACGCTGTGGAAATTTGGACCAAGATTGCGTGAGAAGAGCAAGGAAAATGAGAAGCAGCCAACGAGTTCGAGTTCGTAACAGACTCTTGGACATTACTTATTCTTGTCACCACTATTTAATATGAACTATTGCGGTCTTCCACGATTGGGATTGGCATCTCGACTTCCTTGGGTCCACTAGGCCAAAGTCTATAGTCAACTTGATCCCAAAACCTTGGAATTTGAATCTCGGTGTTGTTATATTTTTCCCGAGGTCCCTTAAGACGCTACTCGATTTCACATGGAGCCCTGGAGGCAGCTGAAACTTTGTCAGCACCCAAGACCTCCAGGGCTCCCGTGGTCGAGACCTCAGCTTCCAGGGTTTGTTTTGAATGCTCGGGCAGCGGTTTCGATGTTAATTTTAGATTCATAAGTAGACATGCTTGATAATCCGGTGAGCGAAACATAGTAAGACGTCCAAGGCTGAACTACAACGGGCGGGCGGAAAGAAAAGGCGAGGAGAAACAGGGGAAATCAACCTTGGAAACTTGGAAGTACATTGGTTGCAGTGCCCGAAAAACTATGTGTAAAAGAAATGACGGGCTTTGGTTGGATGAGATGCAGAACTGGATCTTTTGTTGAGGTGTCTTACTCAAAAGCACAGCCCACCTGAGGTCATCGACCGGGGGGCTGGACCCGAGAGATAGGGCTTTGACCGAGGCATATAGTACAAGTATACTCCGTATACGAAGTATAGAATGTCGTGATGCTCGCGGCTCGCTTCCATGCAGATGCTATATTTACGGGTGGAGCAAGTAATATATGCGCCCGACAGAGAGAGGCCAAAGCAAAAGGGAGGTATAGGATTTAGGTACAAGTTGTAGATAGTAGGTAGTGCTTATTGTTGAGCCACCCCCATCTGGCCCCAAAGACTCGTATTTGAGACCCCATTTGGACCCCCGTCTGGCCTCGATCTGGCGGTGTGGCGGGGTACAGCACAGCGATCCAATAAGTGTGCATTTAGACCCGATCCAAGAATCTCGGCAAGGTTAACCAGGAAGATGACAAGATGTACAAGATGCAAATGATGTACAAAATGACCTAATAGCAGCACTAGTCCGACTAATGTAACTCCAAAATGGCCTTGGGTTGAAAGCGGGGGTCGGGAGAGGCTCTATATCAACAGATGCGATGATTTGACGATAAAAGTGCCGATGACATAGGCTTATGCTCTGCGTCGGCCGTCGGGTATTTAATGATTTTCTGGAGAAGCCAAGGCAGACTAACTCGCCTAACGATGTCGCCGTCTACCCACCTTCTGATGTGATTATCTTGGAGAATGGCGAACTGAGTCTGTTGAGTATCTTTTCAGACTTCTTCCGAGATCTGCACATCTTTTTGGAGACGGTGACGACCTCGCGTGACACTTTGGCTGGTTTAGTTTCCTTAGTCTCTTTAGTTTTCACCCCATAAACTGGGCCAAGAGAAGATGATTTAATACAATTCAATCATTGGGATCTCAGCAAGTAGACCGGACTTTAATTGGGCAGATCATCCCCGTACTCGGTCCACATGGACGCAGATCATTTGCTCGGGCCACAAACAAGAATCAAGCCACGAATATGATGTATGAGATCGGTGTTTATGTTTTCCTTTCTTTTTTCTCACTCCAAGCGACTGATTTGTAAAAAGGAAAAGCTGTGTCAAATGAAAACAGGCTGCCTACAGACCTTCCAATGTCTTAGAATTCACTAGTGTGCAAAGGGTTATCTCCCCCTTGCTGATGAGAATGTGGGACCAACACACACATGCATTGACCAACACATCTCTCGCTCCAGTTCCTAGCGTCTCCGAGAGGACTAATTCTCGATCGTGTGAGGCAGTCATCGGTGGAACTAATGTGGGGGATATGCAAAAGATCCAATGTAGTGTACCTAAAGTTTGAGCTGCGCCTTGCACAATCGGTGCGAGACATCACACCAAATGCCTAGGTAACCCTTTGTTTATGCAGTGTGTTTTCTTTTCCCTCGATTTAAATCCCCGTCCAGCTTAGGATCCACCGATCCACAGGAGATCCAAGCAAAGCAGCAACACAGCCTGTCGTTGCATCGTTTAATGAGCTCTATCCCTTTCGGCAGGAGCTAGGCCCGACTCAATACTGACATGCGCCTTACATTGCCCAGAGACGATGGACAGGGGTCGAGAGCCGATGATTGGATCAGCTGTTCCTTGCCATGCGAAATGGTCATACTCGGGGGCCCGTCTTCCTGCGTGGGGATGAAGCTGCGATGGAAAGTATACTCCCGATTTTGACATAAATTGGAGTAGATTCCCAGCCCTGTCTTTTTTTTCCTTATTCTAACCAGCACAGCTAATCCTCTCTTCCAACCTCTTTCCTCCTCCTCCCCTTCTCCTGTGCATACCGCTATCATGCTTGGCCTATCAGTAGTTCCGCTTCTCTTCACTGCCCTCGCCAGCGCATACCCCAACCGTGGGCCTTGCACTGGTGCTTGCGGAACTAAGGATCCTGCCGTGATTCAGCGTGTATCTGATGGAAAGTACTTCCGTTTCGGTACGGGCACTGGCATCACCACTCACAGTGCTCCCTCTGTGAAGGGCCCATGGACAGATGTTGGAGGCGCCCTCCCCGAGGGAACCAGTCTGAAGCTGCCCAACACTGATAGCAAGAACCTCTGGGTAAGCCAATGAAATTAGCCCTAATTGCCATTTCACTTACTAATGAATATCACAGGCTCCCGATGTTCACTATCAGAATGACCAGTACTATATGTACTACGTGCTCTCTGAGCTCGGCACCAAGAACTCTCAGATTGGAGTTGCAACCTCCAAGACTCTGGACCCAGGCAGCTGGACCGATCATGGTGCAATTGGAATTCCCGCCAATGACGCCTACAACCGCATCGACCCTGCCTACATCCAGATCGGCGGCAAGAACGTCCTCGTCTTCGGCTCCTTCTGGGGTGATATCCAACAGGTCGTCATGGAGACTCCCCTCAAGGTCGGTAGCGCCATTCCCTACCAGGTCTCCTGGAACTCTACCCTGAACCACCGTGAGGAGGGTGCCTACCAGTTCAAGCACGGTGACTTCTACTACCTTCTCTACTCTGCTGGTATTGCCGGCGGTTACACCAAGAACTACCCTCCCGCTGGTGCCGAGTACCACATCCGCGTCTGCCGCTCTTCCACTGGCCTCGGTGATTTCGTTGATGCCGATGGCAAGGACTGCAAGCAGACTGGCGGTACCATGCTCCTCTCCAGCCACGGTCAGGTCTTCGGTCCTGGTGGCCCCGGTGTCTACGTGGACAAGGACCTTGGTGTTGTGATGTACTACCACTACTACCCTCTCGCTACCAAGGAGCAGACCGAGACCGCCAACGGCAACGCAAACTACAAGTTCTCGTGGAACGTTCTCGGCTTTAAGGACGGATGGCCCTTCGTCCAGGCCAACTAATGCACATATCTCGAGGCAGGCCCCGAGGGGTACATAGCATTTCTTCATTTTCTCTTCTCCTGTCAATGGTTGGGTCAATACACTTTTGTTTCCAGAGTATTGCACTCGTTTCTTCGATACCCATGCCGTGCTGATCTCTGTCATCATGTCGCTTTTCATGTCTGGTGGAAGAACATTTTTTTCTTAATTAATTAATCGAAACCTCCAATACCGAGGTTAATGCACATTTATTCACATTATTCCATTATCCACCTCGAATTAGTACATCGTTGCAAGAGCAGATCTCTATCGTTGCACATATCTAAACTTCCGTCTTCCGCCCATTCCGATATAGATACTGTACAACATGCCAAAATCTACCGTCCCACATACCGCAGCTCAAGCTTCCGGATGGGCAGGTACGAAACGGAACTGAACACCAATGCCAGCTCGTTAGCAATGTCACCGCCGTCCTTCCCAATCATATTCGCAAGTGCTCCGACATAGTATGTCTCCACCATACCCACAATCCACCCTGCAGCGCCGCACAAGAATGCTGCCAGACCCGCATACCCGACTGGCATGCGGGAGGAATCGTTCCAAGCGTCTAGATCGTAGTTGGCCAGGCTTCCTTTTCGGAAGTAGTAATGTTCAATAAACAAAATCGCAAAGAAGGAGGTGTTCCAGTAGCCAAGCAGCGAGAGGAAATTCTCTAATACGTCGAGAAGTTTGTTCCGGCCTGCAATGCCGAGAGCGAGAACGCCTGCAAATACTAGGAATGACCAGATTACTCTGGGAACCTTGGCGCAGGGTGGTGCGAATAGTTGGGCGGAGAGTGCGCCGGAGTAGATAGCAATTACGTTGACGCCGACTTTGGTTTTGTGGTTAGTGTCGCGAGCTTGGGATTACAGTGGTTGGATAAAAGGGGAGAGGAGAGGTACTTACTGCCAGACAGGACTAATAGTACCAGCAGGAATTTGGCAAATCCGGTTGGGTAGATGATTTCCTTTAGGATTTCACCGATTCCGTTATCGTATGCGGCTTGCCATTCGGGGTTTGTGTCCAGCGCAGAGCTGATGCAGGCACCCAGTAGCATACCGATACACGTCGGGATCGTGATACCAAGCGTGGTATACAAGAAGACCTTGATCTTAGGGGTGTTGACAGGATAGTGCACGTAGAAGTCCGAGACGATGGAACTCCACGAAGCGCTCGATCCATACACGACACTGATCAAGCTAAGCACATTTCCTGAGCGCTCCAGACCCGAGACCGTAGGAGGCGCGGAGATGTTGGCGCGGTGGGCGGCCTCGCCGTAGATAATCATGAAAATGACGAAGAACAGCATCCAAGCATACTTCTCATACAGCAGGACACCGCGCAAGCCGACGAAACTGAATAGCAGACTCACGCAGGCGATGATAACCACACCTACGGCGATAGAGACATGTCCGTCTGATACGGCGCTGAGAGCCAGTCCGCCTGTGATGCAATTGACTGAGGCCCAGCCAAGTTGCTCAATGACGTTCAGCAATGCGATGATCGATGAAGGGTAATAGCCAAAAGAGAATCGAGCAATGGCAACCTGACGCAGACCCGTGCCGGGTCCCATCGTCGCACACCAACCCTAATCGCGGTCAGCTTATACTTCATGGAAGACAGAGGAGTCACCAGAAGGCGTATCATACCGTCACCATTGCACCTAACAAAGTCGAAAACATCACGATGGGAATCGTTTGTCCCAACGATAGCCCGAATTGCTTTCCCAAGAACCCAGTACTGAAACAGCTGATGTTCATTGTGGCAGAGGCCCACATGAAGGCCATGACCACGTCGCTCGGTGGATGGCGATCTTCAGGGTGCACTCGTTCCAGACTATGGGCCTCGATGCCGAGCTTGCGATCCAGCATCTCTTCATAGTAGCGGATCTTTGCGAGCACACCTTTCGGTTTGACAGGTTCCAGCTCTACCGCTGAGACGATCTGCTCTGGCTGCACCTTCTTCTCAATGTCTTCCATGGTAATATGTGACGCCCTGGCCCTGGGGAGGGAGAGGAGAGGGAAGAAGGCTTCACTGCAAAATTCTCGACTATAATCCCCGCAATGAATTAGCGTGCCGTCGGACTTCGCCCTTATCTCTGCGATGTGGGACTCTTATCGTTCTTTTCTGCTTTTCTGCATTGGGCTGTTTATTGTTATCATTTGGAGGGTTACATTGCGATGTTTCTGATCTTTAAATCCAGGCATTTTCACCTAGAATACACTCGATAATGGAAAGTTTCTATGTGCAGAGATATACTTATGCCAAGCATCTCTTAAGCTTTGCGGGAAGAACATTTGGGAAAATTCTCCCGGTGGAGCCTCCTTTTTTGGTTTTTTTTTTTTTCTTTCGGCGTTTCTGTCGGTCATCGAGCCATTTACCGATTGGCTGTTCCCTATCGAATACAAGTAGGATCAGGACTGGGACATGACCGGCCCCAGGGGGTGCTCAGATTGGAGATTGTAAAATCCAGTTGACTTGTCTAATTGCAATCCAATGGCTGCATGGAACGCCAACGCCAGCGTCAACGCCACGACACGTTCTTCGATTCTCGCAGTCAGCACGGAGCACGGAGCACGCAGAGAGAGAAAAAGGAAACAAGTGCTACCTAGGTATCTTATTGGATTCATGCAATTTGCGACGTTTCAACGAGGATGCTGTAAAAAGACTTTTCTGTCCGAACGAACATATATGGGCAGGGTCGTTGCTGACCATTTCAATCAGGGCAGTCCACTTGAGCCTCTAGACGCCCAAACTGCTATTTAAATAGAATCTCTTGATAGGTTGGGATCGGCATGTCAGACCTCGGGAGGTGCCCAGGTGGCCATAGAGTCGTGCATATGGTGTGCATCAACCCCCATCTGGCCACCGCCACTTGGCCATGAGCCCCATCATGGTTTGGGCGACACATATTTACATCATTTGGAGCAGGCGTGATCCCATTCAATTCACTCTGTAGTCTGTAATGACTACTCCGTAACTGAATTGAAGTACGGGGATGACCACGCGATTGAGCTTCCCGGATCTGCACTATTGACTTTCCAGCATTCCACAACGTCTTCAAAAGTAAAGAATTAATTGGTGAATTGAAGGTTGAGAAGGGTAAAGTGAAATATCCAAGGATTCACCATTGATATACGGCGAATTGTAGGCTCGGCCTCGGAGAAAACTTCCCCGGAAACCTCGAGCTGGCCTTTTCGGTGACTTTGTGTACTCCGTACCGTCCGGGGTTCTCGAACTTCACTTCCTTTCACCTCCTCTCACACACTCTCTCCCTCTCTCTCCACCCCCCTTTTGCTCTTTCTTTTCAGGTGGCTCTCTCTCAGAGCTCCTGTTCTTTTCTTTCGTTTTTCTTGGCGCATTGCCAAAGATAATTGCGATTGCATTTTCTTGGGCTTTTGATTTTCTCCTGAGATCACTTTAAAATCCTATAATATATCCTTCTTCCTCACTCGCCGAGGTCTCTTGGTTTTCATTTCCTTCTCCTGACAGGTGAGTTTTCCCCCAATGTCTCGGCGTCTCCTCGGTGACCACTCTTTCTCCATTGCATACTGACCTAGACTAGTGGTGACTGCAGGCTCGTGTGCATAGCCCATTTACCAATCCATCTCCAACTCCAAACTCTCCCATCTCTACCAATTCACAATGGCAGCTCAAACCCCAACCACCAACGGCGGCTCCCTCGCCGCTATGTTGGAACAGCAGCACGCCCGCGACGAGGCCCACAAGGCCACGGTGGAGGAAACCGTGGACGAAGAGGATCTCAAGCACCCCCCACCACCCCCTTCTCAGCCAGTGCAGCCTATTCTCGTCGACGCCGACACCCTCGAGCAACCAACAGCGGCCGAATCTGTCTCAGCTCCCAAGTCTGCGCCCAAAAAGAAACCCGCCTTCGATGTACAGTCCGAGGAATTGTTCCCAGCCCTGGGAAGCGGTCCCAAGCCTGCTGCCCCCGCTGCCGCTACATGGGGTGTGAAGAAGCCCTCCGCAGCCGCAGCCGTCTCAAATGGACAGCCGGCCAAGTCAATGGGTATGTGCAAGATTGCGGCGTTGCGAAATTGGATTATAGACTTCTAACGCTGCGGCTACAGAGATTCCTCGTGTGATGGCTCTCCCCGGAAAGCACATTGAGCAGCTTCGCCTCGCCCCCTCTCAGCTGCAGCCCCGCGGTCAACTGAAGAAGCCTCTGCGTGATATCTTGCGCGACATCACCCGCCGCTCCAAGGCGACGATTGACATGCGCGGTGGCCCCGGTGGCTCGATCATTTTCGAAGGAAAGGGTTCCGTTGATGGCGTGCGCCAGGCTCTCCGGGAGGTCGCCCAACAAGTCGGATCTAAGGTATATTCATCTCAATCCATTTCTGACCTTTTCTTATCTGACCTTTCATCTCAAACAGCAATCTGTCCGTGTTCCCATCCCCACATCCGCCCGTGCCCACATCATTGGTCGCCAAGGTACCGTGATCCAGGACATCCAGAGCCGCACTGGTGCCCGTGTGCAGGTTCCCCGTGCCGAAGCCAACGCCCCCGCCGACGATGACGATGACGACACCATTGATATTTTGATTGAGGGTGATGCCGTGGCAGCGGAGATGGCCCGCCGCGAGATCGAGGCGATTGTCAAGGAGCGTGGTTCTAGCATGAGCTTCAAGCTGAAGACTGTTCCCCCGAGTTCTTCCCCTTCATTGCGGGTGCACACGATGCCAACCTCCGGGCCATCGAGGAGCGCACCAAGGCACAGATCAGCGTTCCCCGCTACGACACGTGGTCAAGCCAGCCCCCTCCCCAGGAGGCCAACCCTGGCCAGGTCCAGTTCGTTGCTTGCCCTGACAAGCACATCTCCATCTCCGGAGAACGCGCTGCTGCACAGGAGGCTCGCGCTGAGATTGAGCGTCTGGCCGCCCAACTGCGCCAGCAGCTGACTCTCCGTCAGCTGGCGATCAACCGTGGTCAGCACCAGTTCATTCTGGGCAACGAGGCCGATGCTCTGCACAAGTTCATTGCGCAAACCGGGTGTGCCGTGGTCCTGCCCCCTGCCTCTGACGACAGCGAGTTCCTTACCGTCACTGGTCCCCTTGACCAAATTGAGGCTGGTATTGAACACGCTATGGATCTTGCTACTAGCATGCAGATGGCCAGCATCGACTTGTCCCGCCAGCATCCCACTGCCCCCGCCGGTCCCCACGCTCACGCCAGCGCTCTGTCCCAGTACCTGCGCCGCCGCCAGGTGATCAAGGAACTCGAGTCAACCTACGATGCTCACATTGCCCTTCCCCCAGCGTTGGTGGACCCGTTACCTGGGAAGTTTACTCTCGCGATGGCAAGAACACCATCCGCGCTCGCTCCGACATCATGAACCTGATTCAGGCTCTTCCTCCTTCCCGACTGCGCCACGTTCCCGTCGACCCCTACTTCCACCAATACCTCCGCAACCGTAGCGCAAGCACTCTCCAGGGCGACTATGGCGTTCACCTGATGGTTCCTGATGACATTGAAAGCACCGAGGTTGTCCTTGTCTACGAGGGCCCCTCTGCCACCGCTGCCCGCTTCGAGGTTCCCAGACAGCGACCCACCCCCGCAGATATCGCTTCCTTTGAGAAGGGTCTGGAGGAGGCCCAGCAGTTCTTGCTGGCCGCCCTTGGAGACCAGAACGACATCGTTTCCGAGTCGATTGCCATTCCCTCCAAGTACCAGGAGAAGGCTCGCAAGTTTATCAACCGTGAGCAGGAGGCTAAGGGCGAGGACAGCATCCCCGTTCGTGCCATCGTTGGCGAAGCTAAGGGCTCCCAATGCCAGGTCTCCCTCCGTGGTCCTTCAGCCATCGTCGCTAACCTGGTTTCCAAGCTTGAGGACTTCGTTATTGAGCAGGAGCAGGATGATAAGGAGCGCGGATACATCACCAGCTTCGATTTCCCCCAGAAGTATGCCAACTTCTTGATCGGCAAGCGCGGCGAGAACATCAACAAGCTTCGCGAAGAGTTTGATGTCGACATCAAGGTTGAGAACGGCAAGGTCGAGGTCAAGGGCCCCAAGACCAAGGCTGACGCTACCCGCATGCGCATCATCAACATGGGCCGCAAGCTCGAGGATGAGACCACCCACATCCTTAAGGTCCCTGCTCAATATCACCGTGAGCTGATCGGTCAACGCGGAAGCCAGGTCAATAAGCTCCAGGACCGTTACTCAGTCCGTGTTCAGTTCCCTCGTGCCACTGCCACCGAAGATGTCGCTGAGACTGGCAGCGATGCCGGTGGTGCCCGTCCCAACCGTCCCCAGCAGGCTGCCGATGAGGTCCTTGTCAAGGGTCCTAGCAAGGGCGCTGACTCCGCTCGTGACGAGATCCTCAGCTTGCTGCAATGGATCATCGAGAACGGCCACTCTGCCTCTATCTCTGTTGCTCAGAACCAGGTTGCCTCCTTGATCGGCCAGCGCGGCCGGGAGATGGACAAGCTTCGTGCTGATACTGGAGCTCAGATTGATGTTCCCAACGCCAACGACGCAGCTGATGCATCTGGCCGTGTTGAAATTCGTGTTAAGGGTACTAAGCAGCAGGTTGCTGAGGCTAAGAAGATCCTGCAGCAGCGTGCCAGCGAGTTTGATGCTACCGTTACCAAGTCTATTGATGTCGAGAAGAAGTGGCACAAGGCTCTCATTGGCGGAGGTGGTAAGTCGCACCCAATCAATACAAACTCCGTTACATGTTCATTTGCTAATTCACTACAGGTGCAAACATTCGCAAGATCGTGACTGAGGCAGGTGGCCCATCTGACGGCAGTGCCGCCCGAATGGTCCGCTTCCCCAAGCCCGACAGCGCCGAGTCCACCATTCGCTTGGAGGGCAACGGCAAGATTGTTGACAGCATCATCGCTGCCATTGAGGAGTTTGTCAAGGAACGCCAGGACCAGGTCACCGAGATCATCGACGTCCCTACCGCTCACCACCGTCTGCTTATCGGTCGCGGAGGTGACACCCGTCGCAGCATCGAGTCCAAGTTCAACGTGACCCTGGACATCCCCAAGCTTGGTTCCGGCCGCACCGACGTCAAGCTCAAGGGCCCCACCACTGCCGTGGAGAGCGCCAAGGAGCACGTCAAGTCCCTGCTGAAGGAGCAGCACGCTGAGACCATCGAGGTCCCCAGCCACCTGCACCACGCCGTCGCAGACAACGGCTCCATCTTCCGCCGCCTTCGCAACGACCACCAGGTCAGCGTTGATCACGCCGGCCAGGTCGTCCCCGCCATCAACCCCACCGAGGAAACTCGCGCCAACGGCAACAACGCCATGCCTCTGATCACCGATGATCCCACTGCCGCTGCCGATGCCCACTCCTGGACTATCATCGACAACGCTCCCTCCTCCCCCTCTTCCCCTTACCCCTGGGTTCTGACCGGCTCCCCCGAGAACGTCGCCAAGGCCCGCGCCGTCGTCGAGAAGGCCGTCGCCGCTGCCTCGCAGCAGTCCGCCACCGGCTTCCTCATCCTGCCAGACCCCAAGACCTACCGTTTCGTCGTCGGCCAGGGCGGTAGCCAGATCAACACCATCCGCAAGAAGACCGGCTGCCACATCAACGTTCCCAAGCAGCAGGCTCCTGGTGAGGCGATCGAGATCCGCGGTAGCTCCGCAGGTCTCGAAGAGGCTAAGGAGATGATCTTGGAAGCTGTGCAGAACGGTCTGAACGGCTCGCGATAAGCAATTACACATAGAATCCCGAATCCCGATACATACATCTCTGCCACCGGATTCAGCGAGCGGGATCTGTATTTTGTTTCCTTTTTCATTTGGCCGTCTCTTTGATATCTACTTTTTTTCATGAATATTGGGGTTTTTTCAAAAAAAGGAAATTCTTGTCTCTCTTCATGTAGCTACTTTTTCCCCTCTCAGATTGAGGAATGAATGGACCTTTTTAACAATTGCTTGAATCCCACTGAGGCTCCAAGTTTGGATTTGATATGAGACCTGGGGTGGATTCGAAGGTTAGATATTCTATGACAAAGCCCTGGAGCCTGTAAGTGTGCATAACTACACAAGTAGAACCCCTCATCGTAAACTTGTATCTACAGTGAAATATGCCTATGCGTATACTCCGCAGAATGTCATCGAAAGCATTCGAAGCTCTCCGCATCTTGGAGATTCAAAGTGAGGGGAAAGTGAGCGGGATCGTCGGGCCTAAAGGAGTAAAGCATTCCGCCAGCAAAGAGACGGGGTCAATTGCCCTACCAGGCCGCAATACAGTCTTCCGGATTTCCAAGCGCTGAAGTTTCGAGGTAATACTAGTCTATACTGCGACTATCAATTTCCACAAATCGTGAATAGTAAACACTGCGCATAGCACACGATACATAGAAGGTCGAAATAAGTAAATAGCAAGAGATTCGTTATTATAATAGCTATACAGCCCCTTATAAAAAAGTTCGAATTAAAGAATGGGGAAAAAACCGCAAGGTAAATCCACATCTAAAATATCAAGAAGTCCCCCAAAAAAAAGGTTAGAAAAACAAAACACGCTCTTTGCTCTTTCAGCCATGTTTCCCCTCAGGGTTTAAGATTGACTGTATTTGTCTGACATATTCCCCATATCAAACTTCTATTAACACCATCTTCTCCCGAAAATCCCGACTCCAATTTACTGCTGCTGGGCCTGTTGAGCCTGCAGGTAGTTGTATGCACCGTAGGCGATAGCACCGCCAATGAGGATAACAGCGTAGAGACCGACACCGAAGCCAGCGGTGGAGGACGAGGAGGAAGAGTCGGAAGCAGTGTGGGCTTGCTTGGGCTCGGGGTCACCGGGCTGGAAATGGCTATGGTTAGTACAAGGTGAAAAGAGTTGGGGTGCGTGTGGGACATGTGATTTTGCGCGTGCGAGGTCTTGGGCCGAGGGATGCGGGGAATGGAAGGTTGGGGGTGGATTTGGATTGGGGAGGGTTTTGAGGGACCCAAATGGGGGTCGGGGACTCACCATGCGCTTGACGTTGCCGACCAGCATGCCATCGAGGATTTCGCGCGCTTCGTCGCTGTGGCCTACATCTTCGAAGGCTTCGGTGCTGTCTTGGCCACCGACATCGAGGAGGACTTCTTCGCCACCGCTGTTGGAGAATTGGGTTAGTGAGTGTGGTTTTATGGGTGGGGAGTGGTTTTGAGGATCTTTGGAGTGTGGAATAGGCGTCGCGACAGTGGAGAGTGTAGAGAGGATCGGCGGGTATTTGGAAATTTCCTCTTCCGGCTCTTCAATGTCGCTCAGCGATAGGAAGAGGGGGAAGGAGAAGTGAAGTGCAAGGCATTATGTGTTCTGGGGTCCATTGCAAGCGCCATGAGGCGATAGCGAGATGTAGATAGGGCCAACGTACGGGTGCTCATCAACGAAGCTGGTGCAATCGTAGACCTTGTCGTGGACGATCAGGTAGAGATCCTTCTTGGTGTTGTGCTTGGCGATCTCCTGGAAGGTGAGGTCCTTGATTTCAGACATGACGACGGTGGGGTGGACTGAGGAGTCGCGAGTGTCAGTACTGGTACGGTGGTAGAGAGATTGTTGAGTGGAGTTGGCGATAGGGGAAAACTGGGAGAAGATTGTTGGGGGGCCGATCGGCACTCACGTAAAAATGGTCTAAAAGAGAAGAGTCGAGGGTGAAGAAGGGAAGAAGTCAAGAAGAGAAGAGAAGAGAAGAAGTGAAGTGCAATGAGATAATTAGAGGTGAAGGAGAAAAAGGAAACCGAAGTTGACATGTAGCTGGTACGTGCAAATTAGCGGTCTTTTGGGTGTGGGGCCCAGGTACCATGGACTTGTGATGCCGTGAATTCGACCCGTGAGTAATGGCCTTATCAGGCACGCCATAGGCTGTTCTGCTTCACAGTGTGTCTATGTGTGATACAGACTTCGGCGTATGACTGAGCCTACAACCTTTCACTTACGGTGTGTACGGGGGGTACAGTGCTGCATACATTGTATAGTCTCTCGGCGAATCAGAGACTGCTTATTAGCCGATGGTCTGTAGTACGATGTATGGTGAGTTGGCTAGTTATGTTACGGGATCTACTATAGTAAGGGCTCTTGAATTCTACAGAGTATAGAAAAGAGAGCCACATCATCCTGGGATGTTGGAGTCAGAAAAGTAAGAAAGTAACAGATCGAACACTTCGAACTGCCTGGCCACTCTGCCACGATAGCCGTAACCTCGGGGTTCAATCTTCGGGTAGCGCCGTCGGTATCCGCTTTCCGCTGGCGGAATTAACGAAAGTACCAGTTGGGGTTATATTGTAAAGCACACTGTTAACACACACTTCCAAGGTTTACCCATGAATTTGCTGGCAAATAAGTATTACTATTACAAATGGCATAGACATACCAAGCAACTTCAAAAGACAGCTTTGGATAGGCACAGTAGCAAAGATGGCTGGTGTATACGTGGTATAGGCTAATGTACTCTCTATAAACATAACTCATGCAAACAAAACGCTTATTTCGCTGGAACTCGCTCATAAAACACAATATACGCCTGCTCATTCTGTAACCGGTCACGCGATCGCAGATCCCGGGGGTTGAAGTCGGTGGCCCGCTCATCATCGAATTTCCGCCACCGCTCCGCATCTCGGACCAACGAGACGTAGTGCCCGCTACCCATGGAAGAGCCGAGATGCCGGAGAACCGCAAATGCGTCGTAGGTAAAAGGCGGGATAGTCGCCCCCACCGCCCCAGACTCCGGGGGAGCCGGGTGCGAAATCACGAAATCGTCCATCCGGAGTCCGTGGAGTGGGAACTCGATCGGGGTGTGGATCTTTCGCGCGCTTTGGGTCTTGGATGCGGAGAATCGTTTGAAATGGACGACGAGGATCTGAGGCGCGCGAGTGATGATGATCTGCTTGGTGGCCATTCGCTTGCATTTGCAGTGAGGACATTTCCACACTTCGTCGCCGCTGAGCATCTCCTCCTGGCAGTAGCTGCGGAGGCATTGGTAGATATCACCAGTGCCTGTCGGTGGGATCTCTACACTGATACTGTAGAATGCCTCGTAAGTCGTCGACGTTTGTCGACAGGTGGTGCAGCGTAATCGACTGGCATGTTGTCCGGCAAAAAGTGATGAGATGAAAGACTCTTCACGGTGGCGGTATCGATCCCACTCGATGCGGGACACTCGAGTCATCGGCATCCGTTCTCGTTGCATCTCCTCTGAGAACGTCAGCGGCCGTAGCGGTGTCCGCTGCCAATTGACGTTGAGATCTTCGTGGAGACAATCAACTAGGAAGTCAAAGAATTCCTTGGCATCTTGCTGGCGGTCGATGGCCCATTCGCGATTCAGGCGCCCGCAGAAATTGCGGAAGGAGGTTGGCATGATGACTTCCACATCATTTTTCCATAACGATCGAGTCAGGTTTGCATATAATCCAGGCATGACGCCTTGCGATCCCTTCCAGTTCTTCTGTACATAGTAGCGGAACCGATTGTCGATGAAAAATCGACTCATCGCGATCGTTGCGCTGAGACATTGAATAGTGGAATTCATGTAGCATGTGACACCAAAATTGGTCAAACCAGTCCGGGGAAGCTTCATGCGATCTAGACGAGATGTGGGGGCATAGAGCGCCGTTCTGTTTGCCGAATTCTGACGCTCTAGATGTGGTTGACTCTGCCGGCCATCAGAGACACCACTGTAACTCGGGCGAGCGACCGCTGGGCGCGGTCGAGATGGAACAACGGGCATTTGTACAGCATAGTCTGGGACATGAGACTGTGATTGATACTGGGGTTTGGGTTGGGACTGGGTATGAGGGTGGACAGGCGGAGGGGGAGGACGTGAATCTGGGTGGGTCATGGACTGCTGTACATCATGGGCTTCTGGGAATCGTCGGAAGAATGCCTCGTAAGTATGGACATACGGAGTGGTGGGCTCTTGAGAAGTCGCCTCCGGCTCCTCGTCTTCCTCATCATAATTGCTTGTATCAATCTCCTCGGTCTTGGATTTTTCCATCCATTCTGATAACTCCTTCGAGTTTAGAGGGGTGAACTCGCGCAGTCGTCTCTTTCGAATTTCAAGACTTGAATTCGCACTGACCATGGTGGGTACTCGACCTAGGGGTCGACCAGGTCTTGAGACTGGCTTTCTGGCCTGCAGAGAGCTCATGACAGCAGCGGTGGAAGATGTAGCGAGCGAATGTTGCCCAAGAAGATCGACCCAGGCATCTAATCCACCCAGCAGAAGAGCAGGAGGCCGACCGGCTTTGAGAGGCTTGTATGCATTGAACTCATAGAGAGTATCATGAAGCGCCCTCAGGTGGGGAGCAGATGTTCCAACTGGTGAGCCGGCGAGATAACTCACGGAACTTGCGCTTTGGTCATAATAGACCACAAGGTCGTATTCATTCCGTTTTTCGAACAGAACCTGCTCGTGCTCTGGCGAAACCACCAGTCGCTCTTCAAGCTCTTCCGCAGAGACATTCTCCTTCAGTACCACAGGTTCTATGCAAATGATGGATTTCGCATATACATGTCCGTTGTCGTACTGGTCTCGTGGCCGAACATCAATGAGAAGTATGTTATACTTGCGCAAGTTTTCCAACAGGCTTTGAGCAGAGATAGTTGTACTGTACGGCAAGTCGGGTGAGCTGCTCCGTGTTTCTCGTGCCGAATTAAGCCCATTGGGCGTCATGGACCTGTACGGGTTCTCATCGAACCCCCTCGATTCGGACTGACACGAGGTGAGTTGCTGTATTGCGAATATCTTGGATTTCCTGAGCGTGTGCTGTCTGATGACGACCTCGGAGGATTTGATGTGGACTTTGGGGGTGCCGTAAAGATAGGACTGTAGGCTGGATCAGGAGCTCGTGGAAGCGTCGTGTTGAGGGGAACTTTGGGTGGTATTGTGGGTACATTGGACGAGGAACCCATCCCGCGAGGTCCCATGGGTCGCCTTGGCGGTGGAGAGTCGTGCGCACCCGAAGATACATTTGACGGATGAAGTGGGGTCTGCGCTGCAGATCCCATCGTCGGACTCCTCGGCCCACCTGCATTTAGTCCCATCTCATATTGGTTTGCAGGTGGTGACGCCTTAAGTTTCGCAAAACGTTGCGCGAGAACATCATCTGATGTGACAGAGGACGGTGGTGAATGTACATTGGGGTCAGGCATCCTCTGATACTGCGTTGGACTTGGCATTCTGACCGAGTCCGTTCCTGATCCTCGATTCTCGCGGCCTCTTGGGACGGCATATTGTAATTCCGGTGAATGAGATCCAAACGAGCCGGTCGGCTGCATGTTGCTGGCTAGGTTATCCTCGATGATTGCCTTCTTGATCGCATCCATAGTGCCCTGTTTGGCGCGTACTGCCTTCATCAGATCGGCGAACTCCTTATACCAGTCAGGACGCTGGATGGCCGTCGTTCGATAGTCCAAGTGATGAGGAATCAAGTTGATAGTGATCTCAGAGGCCCGGAGGTAGTGGACGTAAGCTTTGTCGGGATAGTCTTCCACAAGGTTCCTGGCCTTGTCAATTGCCTCGGCGGCGGTAAGTAAGAGCACAGCGAGCTAAACATGCTGTCAGTGGCTTCACAAAGGCTGCTATAAATTGAAGGTAGATTTGTACCGGTGTTGTGTCGTTCACATGTAATGCAGCAGCCTGATCCTGCAGGTCTTTGATATTGGGGAATCGAGGCCGTCGCGGGTTGGCCAGTGAGCCCTTTGAATATGAGACTGGCCTACTTCCGTAGCCACTGGAATGCATGGTGTCTCCCACCGAGTAAGGACGTTGAGTGTCCTTCCACGGTGGCATACTTGGTGGAGATGGTAATGTTGCCGCATCGGAGGACATGGTATCCAGGCAGCGATAAGACTTAGCGCATGGTCGAACCCCGAGAAAAGCAAGGCACTCGGGCAGGCTGTACAGATAGCAAGGATTCTGTCAAAGAAAAGGCCAAGTCCAAGCAAGCAAATGTAACGAAAGACAGATCAAAATAAAGAGGACAGAATCCAGGAACGTAATGCGGGACGCCTCTGGGGTATCAGAGCATAGTGCCAACCGGGGTGTTCCGCTTTCCTCTTTAGGTGTCGAGTCTCTGACCGCCTATTCGGACTTGTATCCAAGTGTATCTCTTGATTCTCTTACATTGGGAACAAATGAGACAAAAAGAGGAGTAATCTATGTCAAAATGTTTTGAAAGATTGACCACGAATTTGATGTTTTTATTTGTCGTAAAAACTGCGCTAAGTATTATCATTGAAGCGCATAACCATTTCGGATTGCTGTTGTTTACTAACATTTTGCTGGCAGATGATAGTGTCTCACCGCCTCCGCGGCCTATGACGCCAGGGGCTTAGTTAATCACTCCAGGTGCCTAGAAGCTCCTCCTTCAACTTATCAGCCTGATCACCGCTTTCGTTGCATTTACAAGTGTCTTGGCTGCCTTCTGCTGTCTCAGTGCGCTCCGAATTGAAATCGCGCGCGACTCAGTTGTAAGGAACCCCCACCATGGCTGGCTGGTTCTCCTCGGCGTCGCCGCTCGACGAGCAAATCGAGCGGGCGACAGCTTCATCGCTGTAAGTTAAGATCGTCGCGGTGTCATTCTACCTATATTCTGGGTACTATGTACATGGGTCTCCTCACATGTATGAACACCGACTCACTGGATTCTAGGGAGGACATTGCCCTCAACCTCGAAATATCAGACATGCTACGATCGAAGAGTGTTCAGCCTAAAGATGGAATGCGGTCTTTGAAACGACGACTGGAGAACAGAAATCCCAACATTCAACTCGCAACCTTGAAAGTGAGTGACTCGCAATGCCCCTTCATATAAATTACTTGGGGACAAATACTGATGGACATGTCTGCGTACAGTTAACGGATACATGTGTCAAAAACGGAGGCACCCACTTCCTGGCCGAGATCGCCTCGCGCGAGTTCATGGACAACCTTGTTTCACTTCTCAAATCTGAGGGGGCGCCGCTCAATGCCGACGTCCAGGGAAAGATGTTGGAGCTTATCCAAAATTGGGCTATGGCCGCGCAGGGTCGCATGGATTTGGTATATCTGGGCGAGACATACCGCAAGCTCCAGAGCGAAGGCTACCGCTTCCCGCCCAAGACAGAAATGAGCGGTAGTATGCTTGAGAGCAGTGCAGTGAGTAACTTCCGAATTGCTTGCGAGACGAATACTTACATGTGACCTCCCAATAGCCTCCCGAGTGGATCGACTCTGATGTCTGCATGCGATGTCGGACTGCTTTTAGTTTTATGAATCGAAAGCATCACTGCCGCAATTGTGGCAATGTATTCGACGCTCAATGCTCTAGCAAAATGATACCGTTGCCACATCTCGGCATTCTACAGCCGGTCAGAGTCGATGATGGCTGCCACGCCAAATTGACCTCCAAACCCTTTGCGCCACCCGGGCTTATGGATCGCTCAGCTTTCAAAAACAACTCTATCAGCAAGTCCAACTCTATGGAACCTCGTGCTGCTAAAGCAGATACTGGATTTGATGACGACTTGCGCCGCGCGTTACAAATGAGCCTTGACGAAGCCGAAGGCAGAGGGCCCACTGGATTTGTACCCCAGACAGGGAACGTCCCCGAACCTGCCAAAATCCCCGAACCTTCAGACAGCGGGGAAGAGGAGGATGCAGACCTGAAGGCCGCGATTGAGGCATCTCTCCGGGACATGGAACAACACAAGCAGCAACATGCTGCGGCTTTGAAGAATGTCCCTGCCTCAAACTTCGTGTCGCGTGATTCTTCAAGCACGCCTGCACCTGTTCCCAAGAACCCATATGAGTTAACTCCTGTGGAAATTGAGAACATCCACCTATTCTCCACTTTGGTTGACAGGCTTCAGCACCAACCTCCGGGAACCATTCTCAGGGAGCCACAGATTCAGGAGCTCTACGAAAGTATCGGCACACTCAGGCCAAAACTGGCTCGGAGTTATGGAGAGACTATGAGCAAGCATGGTGAGTTGAACTCATTCGATTGTTTCAACCAATCGCTAACCAATGTATACAGATACACTATTGGATCTGCATGCAAAGCTCTCCACTGTTGTTCGTTACTATGATCGAATGCTAGAAGAACGTCTCACCAATGCTTATTCCAACCATAATATCGGCTATGGAGCGATCCCCGGGGCCGCTCAATATCCCCACATCCAACCCGGATTCCCTCAGGCTCCTGATGTCAAATCGGGTGCCGAGAATTTCTACTATGGAAACCAAATGGACACCTCCCGGCCGCCCAATGTTATGTATGCGCCGCAGGTAAATAACGAGGGATACCAAGGCCCGCCCAGCGCAGTTCAGAGTTCTGCTTATCCACCGCAGCCTCAGCCTGGAGCCCCACAAAACGAGTCCCACAACCAAGCTTGGGGTGCAAGTCCCTATCCAACTCTGGGCTCCCCTTCGCCCAGCAACATCGTTCCCAACCACTATACCACTGGCCCGACACCGAGTGTTCCGGGTCAACATTATGCAGGATCCCAAGGTCCGAACTCGGTAAAATCGCCAGGCCCAGAAGCTTCGTACCAACCATCACCTATCATGCGGCGAGACTCACAATATGAGCCCAGCGCACCTCCTGTTGGCCTGGCATCCCCGACCGAGCAATACCCCTCTACTGGTTATGGGCCGCCTCAGGGATACACTGTCCCGAATAACGCACCGGCACCTCATCAGCAGGCAACCGTCGCGCCTGGTCAATCCTACTATTACCCTTCTCACCCTCAACAGCCTCAACAACCTCAACAGCCTCCCCACACTGTGCCGTCTGCCTACCCTCCGACGAGCGACGGCCAACCGGGGACGTATGCACCCGAGACCTCCGGCCAGCCACCTTATCAGCAACCTCCTCGACCAGTGGTAGAGGAAAGTTTGATTGAACTGTAGCATTCATCACTTTGGGCATTCCCTGCGATTTTTACCTTATCCTCTATTTCCCGCCTCCCCCTGATGATACCTGAAGACTTTTAGCAGAATGAATGCGTAGCTCGAAGCGGGTGATTGAAAGTAATTAAGCGTACAAATTAACACTTATCATAATTTAGCACATAGATACGGAGTAAAGTACGGATAGTTCCGTAGAGAGTATTCCATAGTTGTGACTTCGGGAAATGAAGTCATTTCTAAATTTGGTGTGAAGCCTGAGGCGCTAGTCTTCGTGCCTCATTTGTAAGGTGCCAACCCCACAGCTCCTTAACTAATCGCCGAAGACAGCGAGATCAACCTCTCATCCTCACTACTGCAATTCGCACAGATTTCTCAGCACTTTGCTCTTCTCGTTTTAGTTTTTTCCTTTCATATTAACCTTTTTTGGTTGGCGACAGCTGGTGTAACGCAGCCGGTGTCCAATTATTGAATTCTCATTGCTTTTTGCCTGCATCTCCGATCTGCCGTGAGACCTCTTGACCAACTTGCCTCGGCCAATCCCCACATTCTATGCTTGGGCATACCTGATCACCCGCCTGTGGCTCCCCCAGGAGCTCTCCGCTTACCGCCATGCCTACTTCTAATACCTCTAATACATCCTCCCCTGTCAAGCGCCCCGGTCTCGCTCGCCGTGCAGTGTCCTCCCACGCAGTTGTCACGCGTGCCAATAGCAACGAGTTGACTGAGGCGCAGAAGGCGGGCGCGCATCATAAGCCTCACCGCGCCCATGTCGTTCACCGAAATCATCATCGAAACCCTTCCACCAACAAGAACTTCAACAAACTCCAACGGTTCCAACTAGGCCCCGAGACCAGTGGACGACATCATCAACGCAAAAAATCGGCACCCGCAACCCCAATAGCAAGCCCAAAAGAAGGCGGACATATCCGCTGGGACAACGCAGTAGGAGAACCTCAAACCGATCCTTCTATGAAGAGGAACTATTCCACTCCTGTGCTGCGCCGGAACCCGTCGGCTGTTGGGAAGAAAGCCTTGGTGACAGAGCGACCGACGTCCAGCGGCGTAAAGAAGAAGACGGTCGGCTTCGAGCTGGGTGATGACGAAACAGACGATACGGAGTGGGAAGATACTACACAGTCACCCGAAAGTACGAGGCGCAACTCTGTCGTGCCATCTAATCCCAGCGCAGACAACAGCACTGTCCTCGTCGATCATCTTACTTTTGTCAAACGACCCTACCCTCAAATGCCTCGTGCGACAAGTCTCCCCGAGTCCGTTACCCATAAGTTTGCCCGAGAGCGCGCCGAGCTGGCTGAGGATGACAACGACGAGGACGAGGATCAAGACACAGCAGACGAGGCCGAGAAGTCCAGTCAGAACACTGAGCAAGGCGACATCGCAAATCGCCTTCTAAGCCCTTCACATTCGTCTAAAGCACCTCCTGCCATGTCCTCCATCTCAGCCATGGTGAAGCCAGAGACCAAGAACACCCATCCCGCGTCGCGCAGTAGTGCGTCTCTCAACCTCGCCGCTGGCCAGGATAACGCTCGTCGCACATTCTCCACTACGAGTATGGCAAGCATGCCGGGATCTCACCCGCAAGCAACCTCGTCTTCAATGGAAGGTGGGGTCTCAAGATTCATTATGAACAACAAGAACAGCATGCAAGCATCCTCGCGAACCGACTCGGACCCTAATACGCCCTCTTCCTTCCTTCCTCACTACCACCCACAAACACCACCTTCGCCTAACGTAAAAGCTGGTAAATCTACTGCTTCACCTGCGCGCCCCCGGGGCGCCGACCTGCCCTCGCGCACCCAGCAGAAGCTCTGGCTCCAACGTACAGCCACACTCAATAATTCTCCCCCAGACAACCATGGAGTGGCAGCAGCAGCGTCGCCTTCTGCCATTGACCCGACATTTATTGCTGCCAACCAACGCCCTAGCGCTGGCACTTATGATGCCGCACGAGGACTGAATGGCGATGGCCGAGTTGGCGGTGCTGGGCATGATAGCGAACCTCGTCATATCCGCAAGGCGTACGAGAAGACCTCTCTCGAATTAACCGTCGTGCGGCGTTTCCAGTCCCCTACTGCGCAGAGCTTCTCTCGCCTCCGTCACATTGCCCGAGCCCACAAAGCATCTCAGGGCCCGGACCTTGGCAAGCCGGTGAAGTCAGCACCTTCCTTGCCTCTGCTACAGAACGGAAAACGTCCGAACCAGCTGAGCTCGAGCCCACCATTGAAGGCTCAGCCACGTAAACCAATCTCCACCGAAGATTCAACGAATAGTGATCCCACCACCCCTTCAGGTACAGCGAATCCTCCCAGGTCTAATGACCCATCACACCGCATACTCTCCACCTCGGCAGAAGCTTCGCGCGATCTGAGTGGTGAGAATAATGATGCCGAGGAATTCCAGGCCCACGATAGCGCCTTGTTGATCCGCCGGATGTGGGAGAGCCGAGAAGTCGCCATTCATGGATAGTCCATTATTGTTTCACCCTTTTTTTACCCCTTTACGTTCATGACGGTGTTTCATTTCACAGTTCGGCGTTACTGGCATGCTGCTTACTCTTCTACTCTATCTGTTGCGAGACTGAACATAATTATCTTCTTATTTCCCTTTCTGTTGATATTTCTTCTAGCCAGCCAATGCCATATCATATTGCATACAGCCAACAGCGTTCCAAGCTTGACTGATCCTTTTATTGAACATCATGTACAGACCCGACATCCCCGCATTGCCAATTTCATGCATTAAACGGGACGATCGTAAAACAAATTGGCTGCCTGGGAGTGGTCCGATGTCTTTCGGTTGATGTGAGATCCGGGGAGGCGGGTATGGTCTGACTTCGATGATTCAGCGCCAATCCCTCCCGCCTGATTTGCCAAACCCGAACCCGAACTATAAGACCTCTGGGGACTACCCTTTTGCCTATCTCAGCCACCTTCCCACTCAACATGGATCAGGCTACTTTACTGGCGCCTGTGGTTGCAGGCCAAATTCTGCGTGTTGCCTACTATACGGCTAGTCTCATTGTCGTCGCCATCGTCGCCAATGTCGTCAACCAGCTGGTTTTCTACAACAGAAAGGAACCTCCCGTGGTGTTTCACTTGGTTCCTTTCATTGGAAGTACAATTGCATATGGCATGGATCCTTATCAATTCTTTTTCGCATCTCGTGCCAAGGTATGTCTGTTGCCGTGATGGACGGGCCCTTACAGAAAGCATGCTCACAACTACTTCTAGTATGGAGACATCTTCACATTCATTCTACTCGGGAAGAAGACGACTGTTTACCTCGGCGTGGAAGGCAATGAGTTTATCCTCAATGGGAAGCTCAAAGACGTGAATGCGGAAGAAGTCTACGGCAAACTCACAACCCCCGTCTTCGGATCTGATGTTGTTTACGACTGTCCCAATTCCAAGCTAATGGAGCAGAAGAAAGTATGAGTGCATCTATTTACCTGGTTGATCTGGTTGATACGTGGTATCAAATGCTAACATTGGTTATTTATTAGTTCATCAAGCATGGCCTGAGCACCACAGCTCTGGAATCATATGTTCCCCTTATCGCCGACGAAACAAGCTCCTACGTCAAAGGATCATCCCATTTCAAAGGTCAATCCGGTATCATTGATCTGACGGCTGTAATGAGCGAGATCACCCTGTTCACGGCTGCTCGCACCCTGCAAGGCAAGGAGGTTCGCTCCAAGCTTACCACTGAATTTGCGGAGCTCCTCCACGACCTCGATCTCGGATTCTCGCCTGTCAATTTTATGATACCCTGGGCCCCTTTGCCGCATAACAGAAAGCGTGATCTGGCTCATTCCCGAATGCGTGAGATTTATCTCAAGATCATTCAGACTCGGCGTAACGCTTTGTCCAAGGGCAAGTCCACCAAAAAGGCGAATCTCACTGAAGGCACAGACATGATCTTGAACTTCATGAATAGCACTTATCGCGATGGCACCCCTATCCCAGACAAGGAGATCGCACATATGATGATCACGCTTCTGATGGCAGGACAACATTCTTCATCCGCAATTAGCTGCTGGATTCTTCTTCGGCTAGCTTCTGAACCAGAGATGACGGAGAAGCTTTACCAAGAGCAGATCCAGAACTTGGGTGCCGATCTTCCACCACTGCAATACAAGGATCTTGACAAGTTGCCTCTGCACCACAACGTTATTAAGGAGACATTGCGTATTCACTCGTCTATCCACACGCTTATGAGAAAGGTGAAGAATCCGCTTCCGGTCCCTGGTACGGACTATGTTGTCCCAACATCCCACACCCTTCTCTCTTCACCGGGTGTTACTGCGAGAGATGAACGGTATTTCCGAGATCCTTTGAAGTGGGATCCGCATCGATGGGAGACCCGTGTCGAGATTGAGGATGATACAGATACTATCGATTATGGCTATGGGGCTGTTTCTAAGGGAACACGCAGTCCCTATTTGCCTTTTGGAGCGGGTAGACATCGGTGTATTGGGGAGAAGTTCGCCTATCTCAATCTTGAGGTGATCGTTGCCACGCTGGTGCGAGAGTTCAAGTTTTTCAATGTCGAAGGAAAAGAGGGTGTCCCTGAGACTGACTATTCGGTATGCTCTGTTCTCATATCACGGTATTCCGTGTCGCTAACTCGGAAATCTAGTCACTCTTCTCGCGCCCCATTCAGCCAGCTACGGTGCGCTGGGAAGTTCGTTCGTGATTTCGGAATGATGGCGTCGATTTATGTGCCTTCTTTTTCTCCAATGCGACACAGTAGTGGCAGCCCTGAGCTTAAGCATATCGAGGCTACAAAAAGGGGGCACAGTCCTCACTGTACGATTACAGATCTTGTTGTTCTTAGTGATGGCATGGGGGAGTGCGTTCTTATGCCAGATCCCGCACCAGATATTCATTAATACTACCAGCGAGGAAATATTCAAATATTTTTTAATTTCTCAGTAAATCTGTTCTTTATAACCTTTCAATTAATTATATCTTTCCACCGGAGATATTTTTATTCTAATATTATTGCTGGTTCCAAGGCTATTTGCACGTTGGAATTGGTTTGGCTGCGGAACAGCCCGCATACTAAACGCAGTGCGGAGTTGGAACTCTCAATTTCCACCTTCACCAGACATCCAGTCCTTCCATATCATACACAATGCCACCAGACAGAACCCACGTTGCATGCCTCCGATGCAGGAAAAAGAAACGCAGATGCGATGGTCAGACACCCTGCCGAAATTGCTCCAACGCAACACAGAATTGCTTGTACGACGAGCACGCCAAAAGAGGAACCCCAGACAAGCGCCTCACAACACAGAAAAGTCCAGCCCACGAGACACCAAGGCAAGAAGACGCAGCAAAAACTGAGCTAAACTCTGGGGACGTACTAGCCAAGCGACTCGGGCTTTGGTCCGATTCATCCCTCATCGGTCCCCGTTTGTGCTCCTGGAACTTTCGTCTGCATGAAGAACCCCGGTACATGCAAGAAACAAGGCCTCTGGTTGAGATTTTGAGCCCTGAACACATGCGACAGCTGACAGACATCTATTTCACGGAGATCCAACCTGTCTACCCATTTCTCGGGCGTGAGATGATTGACCAAGCAACAGCCGCTCTGGGATCCGGTGAAGTCCCCAATAGTTCAATGAATTCCGTGCTTCTGGGAATTGCAGCTTTGGCCTGTCTCTTTAGCCACCAGGATGCCGACTTGGAGAAGGAGATTCTACAGAATGCTCGCGCCAGTCTCGAATACACCACAACGTTCGAACCACCCACTGTGAACCATGTCGTTGCATGGCTTCTTCGTGTCTTATTCCTTCGATTCAACAGTTCACCTAATGCAACATGGATTGCAAGTTGTACACTGATGCACATGATTGAGACGGTCAATATACACATGGACCCGCAACCGGGCGACTCGAAGGACTCAACGGACAGCGTTTACAGCCCCCGGCTGAAACGGCAGATATATTGCACCGCTCAAATCTTTAACACTTGGATTTCATATGAATATGGCAAGCCCCGTGTCATTCCTCGTGAAGCATCACATGCTGCCCCATCCGAAGGCTGGACAAAAGTAGATCAAGTTATTTGGCATCTCTCCGACGCCCTTGATCCTAGTCATCATGTCGAATCCACGGAATTAGAGAATATGCTTTTTCAAATCGTCGAGCTCCGGCCTCGTCATCCAGCCGTCCAACTCAAGCGCTGCAATATTTCTCTGTGCATATATCGTCGCCTTCGAGTCGCCGGGCGAACGATATCAAAAGAAGCCATCGATCAAATCTTGCAAATTGTGGATGATGGGCTATCTCATGCGACCGTCATGGCCAAGAAGAAACTACCCTGGTGGCACATCTTGAACGTCCCTTTCCAAATCATTTGTGTGTTGCTCGCAATTGATACCAAAGAATCCCTACAGCGTGTTGGAAAATCTTTTCAGACACTACAATTGATTGGTAGCGAGTATGGAACCCACGCAATCGACAGAACATGGGAGAGTGCTTGTGCTTTACTAGCGATACAAAGTCAAAGAAAGAGGGAGGATTTGGATATTCTGACTCGGATCGAGAATGAATATGCAGCCGCACCATCCGCTGCAATGAATTCAAATCTGACACACGGACTTGGGGAGGACTTCATCGCTTCGGGGATGCTTTGGGATCTGGACCAGATTCTGTCCACAAATGTTTGCGGTCTGTAACGTCATGACCTCCGGAAGAGAAGAACATAACTGAATGAGAAAAACGACTTCACTTTCCAAACAGCGCAGCCTCGGTGTCATAGCTGTAGTTCAGATCAAGATGCCAATAGGGTGGCGATGCTGCCTTAACAGCCATCCATGCTGCATCCAACGCGTAGGTCACTTCTTCTGGGAGAATGTCTTTCTGGATCGCCTCAATATTTGAGTCAAGCTGTTGGACGCTGCTCACCCCGATCAAAATACCATCACGACCAAGCCGAAGCTTCGAATGATGAGCGAGCCATCTGAAAGCGACTTCAGGCAAAGTCAGATGGTACTTATCAGCAACGGGCCTCACGATGGTATGAATTGCATCGAGAACAGGAAGATTCATGTAGCGTTGGCGATACAACTCTCCCGTGGTGTTCTTGTCGCTGAATCGTCCTTCTTGGGGAACTTCCTTCTCCGTATTCGGCAGATACTTTCCAGAGAGAATACCACCGGCAAGGGGATTGTAGACGACGATCTCGAGTCCGTATCGGTGACAACAGGGAACGAGCTCCTGCTCAATGTTTCGTGCTTGATCCAGTCAATCGCCATGCTCGGCCGTTATGAAGCTCACAGGGCTCACTTACTTATGGCGTTATACATGGCCTGGTAGATTGATGGGCGCACCCAGCCTCTCTCCGTGCACATGATAACAATCTCCGCAACCTCAAACGAGGTGTAATTGCTCAGTCCAAGACGCTTGAACTTCCCTTCCTGATAAAGCTTGTTGACCTCCTCCAAGGTCTCAGCGAAAGGCACAGATCGATCAGCAGCATGCAAGTAGAACAAATCCACCTGATCACTTTGCAGAGCAGCCAGAGATTCGTTCAATTTCCTGCGCAGATTCTCCGGCTTGTGAATGCCGGGCTGAGTAGGATAGACCTTCGTCGCAAGACTCAATCCGCGCTCTTTCCATCCAACTGCTGCAGTGAACTCTTCTTGCTTCTCATCGAGATACATGCGAGCCGTGTCGACTTCATTGTATCCATGTGACTTGAAATGATCGAGACACTGTCCAAACTCGTCAAGGGAAGTAATCCGTGCTCCGACATTGGGGTCAGGGCCGAATGTCATCAGCCCTAGGATGACGCGGGATTTTGGTTCCGATGCCATAATGAAAGCTGTCAATGGAAAGTAGGTCAAGATAATTTAGAAGTAGTTTTTTTTTTTTTCTTGAATGTGGCCGGGGAAAGAATTTATGTCTTCAAACCAACTATGCGGAAGTACTATGGCTGCGGGCTCGGGGTGCGGCGACACAAGCGGCCCGCATACAAAACTAGCATGCGGCTTATAGTACATAGCCGCCACTCTGCCACATCCATGGATCGTATTGTGCCTGCAACGCATTTCGAGAGAAACCCCAATGAAACTCACCTAAGTGCTATATTCTCGCAGGAGATTGATTGACGGGGTGGCCGCACTCATACCTAGGTAGGACTTGGATAATTCCATTATAGTGGCTACGGAGTACTTGTGATCCCAAGGTTCTGATGTAGAAGAATCTGTCGTCAATTGAAATATGTACAAAAAAAACCTCTTTGAAGGCACCGAAATGAATTCTTTCTACATGCATTCTACAAACAAATGCCTAGTTCGGGCCATGAAATAATTCTATTCTGACCTTAACCGATCCTTCCCCTTAGCGCGTGAGCTGTTCTGTCCCCGTCGAGTATTGGCAGTTCCAGAAGCCCCCTCAGGACGTTTTCCACCTCGTGCCTTCTGGGGCTGAGTAGTAGGCTGTCCACCGGGAGATGCCTTTGCAGAGGCGTGACCGGAACTTGGAGCAGAGACGCGGCGTTGATCTTGAGGAGCCGATGAATTGCCAGTGGGTTTATTACCGCGCTGGCGGCGCTGGCTACCAGTGCCGGATGTCTTCTCACCACGTCCGGCTTTGCTAGTGCGAGACTCGCTGGCCGCGCTAGGCTCGGGATCTTGCAGTCCTTGGACGCGTCTGCTCTCTTGGTCCCACCATTGTTGGAACTCCTGTTCTGCTTGGATCTCTTGCATGTTGTGTTTGGCTGTGGCTGCTTCGCGAATTGCTTCTTTTTCGCTTTGTTGCTGGAGTAAGATAGTTGAGAGAGAATAAGAGCCAGAGGAAGGTGAGCCCATTCCGATAGGATCAGGGCGGGGTATGTGCCGGATCGACTGAATTGCTGGGGTCGGAGAGGTGGGTTGATTGCTTTGTGGTGCCGCTGAGGGTTCCGATGTTGAATGCTTGGTATGCGGAGATGGTTGCGGATGCCCTGATACACTGCGACGCGACGCCTGCGTAGGCACCTCCACAGGCTTGGCCTTGGGAGGGGGTGTGCCGGCTACAGTTTGTCGCATGGTCATAGATCTCTGGGCTTGTTTGGGCCCAGATGACGACGCATTCTGACCGGGCAATGGATCAAGTTTAGACGATGTGGATGGTGAAGAAGTTTGTGGCTTCTGCCATGGGTTTTGTGGTGCGTCTTTCTTCATTTTCTGCGCAGCCAGCTGCTCCTGTAGCTGCTCCTGTTGGATTTTCTTCCTCTCTTTCTGTGACATCTTCGATGTAGATTTGGCATTGCTTTCCCGACGATCGACCATCCCCAAGGTCAGGTTCGAAACGCGAGATTGAGATGCTTCGCCCATGATTTCTTTGAGGTCCTTTTTCGGGCCTGTCACCATCGTAGAGCTCCACGGCGCAGAGGATGGATCAGACGGCGACCCCAGAGCAAGCAAATTGCCTTGAGGGGAAGACAACCCGTCATCTAGGAAGCTCCTCTCGCCCAAAGATTCAGCCTCAGGGATGCTTGCCCCCAAGGCTGGGGAATCAGGATAAGATCGGTTCTCGGGGATCCCTTCTGTGAACTTGAGTCCACGTCTGACGCTCTTGCCTTTTGAATCACCAGGCGACATCGGATTTTCATCATCCATTTGGAACATCAAATCTCCAACTGACTGTCTTGGCTTCAACATTGGACTGTTACCGACAATGGGCGATTCTCTAGCCGACGTTGCCTTTGCTTTGCGCACAGACGGAGAGGAAGCCACTTTGTCGTTCGGCGTTGGACGAGGGCGTACCTCACCGGACTCAAGATGGCCAAGACGAGACTGTATGGCCATGGCATCAATCCTTCTTCTCTTATCTTCCTCCAAGATGGCAACAATCTCTGGATGCTTCAATCGGAAGGAATTTTCGGAGTTTACTACACGAGAAACCCGCCAAGTGCTGGACTGGTTTTCCTGACAGGCCTGATCCAGCTCAGTTAGAAGCATGCTGTCTAGGTCTTCGAGGTATCTGTTTGCGAGCATGGCCTCCAGATTTTCGCAGATGTATCTCAAAGCCGAGTCTTTGAATTCCGTTACGCTGCAAGGCGCCAGGGAATTGAGCAGGTAGCACACGTTGCGAATCGTGACGAACCGGCCAAGCATCTTTTGGCAAATTTGAGACAACCGATCGATCATCAGCTCATTTGCTGCAGACGTGACATCCAGAACCAGATCGATGAATCCGTCAATATCGTCCGTCCGGACATCGCCAAAGAGGCCCTCCTCAGTATCAGCGTAGAGATAACGCAAGACAAACTCAAATATCGAGCGATCGATATGCTTCAAATCGACGTGCACCAGCTCGGTTGGGCTTGATTTGCGCGATTCTAGCCATCTGCCGCCTGCATGACCGTGGAACAGAGTATCGAAGAATGGACATCTCAGGCAAACAAGCGGGCTGTGAACTTTGATGGTTGTTCCTTTCAGTTGGACAACTACATCCCCGGTGTCAAAGAAGGAGGGTTGATTGAGGGCACGAGCCAAATCAGACTTCAGGCTTGGTTGTAGCACATACATCATCATGGCTGATATATGAAGGGTTTCTAGTCCTAGTGGCTCGGCAATTCGTATGAGGTCAAGCCGAACTTGACGGAAGCGTGCCGAGTGTGGACTCGTTTTTCTTGTCAGGAGCCAACCATCGAGGGTCTGATCCGTATACATGAAAAATGCCAGTGTGATAACGGACATGAAATCCACGTTCTGAATTGAGATCTGTGGGTGCCCATCATCCCCGTTTTCAATGGCGAAGACATCTGGAACAGAAGAGTCAAATGACTCCCGGAACTCCAGTAATGCCTTACGCAAAATGGGACTGCGAGCAGCCAGTAAGAACTCATGAACAGGGATGCGCAAGTCGGACGTGGAGCTGGTCAACCAAACCATTCCATCGAATCGAACAGGAAGGAACTGGCTTTCCATCTCCGATGAGGAAAGTATAGCTTTCTTCATGCTGGCCCCGGCAGAAAGAATCACAGGTGTGGTCTCAAGTTCGCTGTCTAGAACCTTTTCAATGTCTGGATAGGCAGGAAACAGGAATGGAGACATTGGTAAGAGATCGTCCACAAAAGTGCCGGGCTCAACCATGATTTCCTTCTTAACAAGATCACACTGCCTCTGTGCAATAGCATAGGCACCAAAGGTATTACTGCGCACCGCAATCGCACGACAGAGGCCGGGGATGCGAGAGAATTTGTAGTCCTTCGAAGCGCCTTGTTTCTTCTTTGTGCGCCGTTCCTTCTTCCACGCAGATCCCGAAGTCGTGCAAATGATGATAGAGCCATCTTGTCCGACATCCACGTCTTCTGCGGCCATATGCGACTTTTTGACGGCCCAGGCTCGGACCGGGGAGGATAGCGAGCTGCGAATCTTGGCTGGATTTGTAGTGGATGTCAGGGCCGAGGGGGTGTCAGGCTGGTTGACCTCAACAGTGAAAACCTCACCAGTGTTAGACAATGCGCAGATGGTGTTGCCTCCACTCGCAATTTTCTGAATGTGATGGATATCATTGTTGTATCTGGTGGCCATGAAACTGTTCCGGATAAACCTTGACCTCGTCTCAAGTGGAAAAGAAAGCTTGGAATAGCCGTATGATGAGAATACCCAGACATCGTGGTTCTGCAAAAGAACAGACGTCGCGCGATCGGTGGCTGAGACCATCAAGATTGGACAGGTGAAGAGAGAAGCTCCGACACGCCGAGGCGTAGTTTGTTTCTCAAGTGACCGAGCATCTGAGTCTACCAAGCCAAGTTGGCCCTCATTCTTGCCAAATGTGTATAGAGCTGATGAGCTGAAGACTACCGAGTGAATGGAGGAGGCCGCTGCGCCAAATATCAATTCTTTCTTGAAGGGGTTGAATATTTGGCGCGGGGTTAATTGCATGGGCACATCACCATGGTTATTGGTTCTCGGGAGATTGTAGCCAAGTTGACCAAACTTGTTGCTTCCCCAGCTGAAGATTTCGCCATTTTCGGTAATCGCCAAGCTATGATCCTGGCCTAGAGCAGCGGCAATCACCTTTTTGCCCTCCAAGCCACCCTTTTCGATGCAAGTGAAGGTGAATCGTGTGGACTCATCTCCCGTGCCCAGACGCCCGCCCGGCCCAAATCCACACATGAAGAGATTGGACTCGGGATCGCCAGTGATGATGGCAGTATGAAGTTTTGACATGACAACGTCTTTGAATTTGATCGGCTTTTCCCTTACCAGAGTGGGTAATTCTGGCGTATCACTCTTGGGGACGGTTTCTTCAAGACCCAATTTTTCTATTTTCTCCTGGTACTCACGGTAGAACCGATGCAGCAGGTGCTCAGGTCGTTTCAAGGAAACACGTTCGGGGAACTGGCGATCATCCTGATCTCCAAGTCCCAGGTTCAGGTTTTTGTTGCTTCCAAGGGCGAAGACCTCGTCAGCGGCGACGGAGAACGCCCCTTCGAGGATGTACTCCGGGATGTATGTGCCCCATTCCTCGGGTCCCTGTCTTAGATCTGCAATGGAATCGGGGTCATCACTGTCGGCCCACGGTATCTCTCGGTTGAAGTCCTCATATGACAGTCTAATGTCATTGGCTGAGATGCTCCTCCCGTAAACATCAAATGGACTGTAGCCCTCTCGATCTTTTATTTTGATCAGACCACCGCTGGATTGATTTGTGTTTCCCGCCCTGCTGATGTCTGTCATGTCTTGCATGTCGCGCACCATGAGCGCCTGCGCAATTGTCGCATTTCCGGCGTAAAGAGCCCGGTGCAACGCTGTCCACCCACTCTCTGCATCCTGTACATAGATATCGACAGATGGGACCTCTAACAGGGAGCGCGCGAACTCCGATGCAGTGGGTTTGCGGGAAGAGGCAATGTGGTGAAGAAGTGTTCGGCCATAGTGGTCCCGGGCATTGATGGCGGCACGCGACAGTCTCACGTTGCCGCGCTGGGGGGTGGATCGATCAGGCAGAGGTGTATCGGGCGAAGTAGCTAGAGCCTTTTTGCCCTTGGCGGGGTTTGGCGATGAGGCGATCGTGGACCCAGGGCTGGCAGTCTTCAGGGACACATTGGCCGCGGCTCCGGACGCACCTCCGGCTCCTGCAGCTCGAGGCCCCGCGAACGTCGCGTTAGCCAGGTACCGCTGGAACCCATCGACATCATCGTATATAAAATACTCCCAAAGCTTGCTACTCATGTGCTCGGAGGTGATCGACGCGTCGAATCTCTTATCGGGCCCAAGCTGAAGTGTCGCTGTCACCAGTGGGACCGCGACTGGAGCTGGGTGACAAGAGAGTTCTCTTTCGGAGGGAGAAGGAAGGGATTCTCGACGTTGCGTGCGTCGAGGGGGGTGATCAATATTACAGATATGGATGGCAGATATGGATGGCGAATGTGGAATTTGGTGACGCGAAATCGATTGTGGGCTCGGAGTGTGCGCGTGTGGCGAAGTGCTTATCGGGGTACGAATGAGTTGATGAACACAGATGATAGGTGAAGTGAGTGTCAAGTACAAGTGTAGAAATGCAGAAGAGTAGAAAGATCGCACTTCCGAGTCAGAGCCGGTTTGCGACTCGACGTTATCCGTGGATCGTGGGCCCTTCTCCAGGTCGGGAATAGCGGCCTTGTGATCAATTCCACGTACAACTAAAATTACACTATATAGCCTCTTGACATGTTTCTCTTTTGAATGCTCTCATACATTTTCGGTTGAGCTCAAAGACCTTTTGTGTGAATTATTGTGTATTCCCTCCAAGTACTGATATACATCACTCTATAGCTCCATACTACCTCCGCGGGGTGGTGTTGAGACACGTTGGCCGCTATCTCCCATCGTCCTGCGGGATTGACCAATAACGAGATGCACGTCCCTCCATGCCCCCGGACGAGAGGCGAAGATCACTCAGGGCAGAATCCCGTGGCGAACTGATAGGATCTCCCCTGTCTCGATGCTCCGCTTCATCTTCTGGCCCCGGAGCCACATGCTGGGCTCGGGTCACGGAATGAAGATCTTTGACCTTCTTTCCTCGGTGACCTCTCGTGTCATCTTCGTACCCCACATTGAGTCAGCGTCGCTGACCTCCAGGGCTCCAGGACTCCAGAGCCAAGAGCACTCGGTATTCCAATGTTGTTCCCGACATATCCTCGATTTCTCTATTCTCCATCCTCTCCAAGACCATAACACCATTCCTCATATTTCGATTGGTAACGGAAGAGAGGTATCATCGACTTCGGGAGTATTTAAAACTTGGCTGTCTCTTATACTGTCCTTCCAACTGTTTACTACCTATGAGGCATTACTAGCTTTCTTTATTTAATATGTACTATTATCGATTTATTAGGATTGGTCGAGTAAAGAAGGTTTGGGCTAAGCCGTGGACAGAGAATTAGGGGTTGGGGGCACGCTTCGATATCTTTCGGGGGTAACTCTCTGCTTGATAAGTCTGAACCTTTTATGCACTGGTGATATTCGGCTGGCAACAGCCATCGATTCTGGCATTCGCAAGTGCAATAAGGTCATTCGTGTTCGGTCCAAAGTGGACTCGAAACTTCTTGAGCAGATCGATGACAGCAAAACCCGGTTGTAATAGCCGATCAATAGGCTCATATCCTGGCAGGTTAATCGGCCAGCAGACATGCTCATCATTTTGCAGAATCAATCGTTCGAAGGGGCGTATCCGAAGAGGGCGTTCGCGCATCGCCCAGTAACGTGGGAGAATTACTGCGGCACCTCTTTGTATCATCATCCGAATCGCTGCAAAGTATGCCTTCTTATTGGTGTCGGAGGTATCAATTCCCCTATGCAACCATTCTGCCACTGAGGAAAGAAAGAGTGCCCAGACAGACACGCCTTGGTAGAGTCTATTGGGGTCTGCTCCCAAAGTCAGAACCCGGTCCAATAGGTCGACACTGGGGACCGAATTTCCGATTCTGAGGTCTGTAGATTCAAACCTGGGGCGAAGGACATAATCCAGAATTGGTCGGCCTGTTTTAGAGTTGATAACCTTTTCTGTCAGGTGTGCCATGTAGTAGCCTCGCATGTTGAAGTCTATAGCCAACGTGAGGAAGTTGCTTTCTTCCTCGTACCAACTAGTCAATGAGGGACCAATGTACCAGCCTCGCAGATACGTCTCACCAGAGCATGGGAAGTCCTCAATGATTGGTTGAAGTATTTGTGCAGCTCTGATGGATGCAGCAGTCTCTCTCCACTCAGGAACCGAAAGAGCACTGATCAGATAGCTTGCTAATCCCAAAGAGATGCCGCGCCCGCTTTCTATTTTTTGCAATGCCAGGAACTGTGATATCCTAGCATTGACGATAAACATCCTCGCATCGTATTGGCCCCCAGAGTACTGATGGAGTAACTCTCGTGTGTTGGAAGAAATGAGAAAGTCCCGGCAGCACCGGTGCAAAAAGTCGACTGTCAGCATGAAGTACTGAAGGGTATTGAGACCATGAAAGGTACTTGGGTACACCGATGGCTCTAATTTCAAATCTTGACAATGCGAAATAATATCCCTCGATTCTTCTGTGGACTGTTCGCCAAACAAACCAAAGAAATCGTCAGGGTTGTATGTGCACTCAAGTAGACCCATGCATCGACTATTAATTCGCCTGAGGGTAGCATCAAGACGAAGTCTGAGCCTCTCAGGATCGCGCATAGGGAGTTTGAGGTAGCTAGACGTATCCACGAGGGCAAAATCAGGGCTCGGTTCGTCGATGAATGATAAATCAAGTAAGCGAAGCGGATGTAAGGTTTCAAAGCTGCGTTCTTCGTGCAATGCGACCTGCAGAATGATAGAGGCTTCTCGCTTATGCTGGGGGCTGATCGAAGAAAACAGCCGTTCGAGATATTCGTCCAAATCGGTAGGTATTCCCTCGAGTTTTTGATGCAAGCATTGAATGCCATCACCGTCCCTGATCCCTTGAAGTAAATCGTAAACCACGAGCCGTACCCAAAGAAAAACCCCTTGGGCCCTTTCTGTGATTCTACTAATGAGCTCCTCGGCTTTTTCCTGGTCGTAACAAAGAAGATCCAGGAATCTTGGACTGTTAAGAAACTTTCTTTCAACATATAAAGTGATATCACCTCGCGTGAGATCTTCTAGTCGCAACCTGGGGTTGTCCCGGAAGCCATCTTGAAAAATGTTCCAAGGTCTTGCAGACAGAAACATCTTCACATTTGCGCTGTGGGCCATCCTTGTGAGTATATCGATAAGCTCTTGGCGCATTCGGTCCGTGCATTCGAATTCATCGAGACCATCAACAAAAAACAGGATCTTCATGGAAAGTTTCTGGAGAGTCAAAATGCACATTTGAAGGGAGGCGAGTAGCTCCGAGTTGGTCCAACCAGCGAGCTTGGCTGAAGGCATGTGCGCCGCGCTCCATCTCGTACCATCAAACATGCCCGGTATCAAATTCGGCTTTTGCTCGAGAATCTGGAATAGCAAAGATCGCAAAAGACCTTCCAAAGACTTCTGTAGTGCGTTCCCGGAGTTCCAGGAGAAATAGGAAACTCGGATAACGGAACAATCACGCGCCCATGGGAACATGTGGTCTTGCATCTCAAGCCTTTCTTCCAAAAACCGCATGAGGGTAGATTTTCCAGATCCAGGTTTACCGGATATCCAGTATATCCTCCTTGTCTCGGTAATCGAGGACAGCCATGTGACCAATCCCTCGTATCTATGCCTTTGCGTGACATGACGATGTAGGATCCATTCATATGTTTTCTCCTCAGCCGGTTGAATCTGCTGTGCGCGTTCTTGCATCTGTGGGAACCGGAGACTTTCCAAAATACGTTGCCGAGCTTCCTTGTCACGCTTCTCATCCTCAAATGACCCCCGAATATCATTGAAAGCACGGTGGGATATTTGTCTCGATGTTGAATCGTGGGTACCGTATGCATCTCTGAACACATCTCGATTTTGTCGAGGAAATGGCTCCCACTTGAGCCAATGGCGGCTATCAACTAGTGACTGGTCAATCTCTTATGTAACCATTATCCGCATCCATGGATATCTGCCTTGGAAGCTCACCATTTGATACCATTGGCTGTGGGACCTTTTGTGGCATCACATATTGACCCAGCACTTCTTTTGCAACCGCTGCCGCCGCTGCCGCGGCATAGTCTTGCCAGACCTTGCTTTTATGGCTATCTGCGTAGTCACAAACACCTTTGATGACAAGGCAGCTGAACTTGTCCCAGACCCCAACTCCCTCCATCTCAAATGCTATGATATTCTCCGAATGCGCATGTTGGTCTCTGTGCTGGGCTGACTTCATGACAGCATTCCCGGTCCCAATAGAGCCAATGTGTATATGAGGTTGTGGGCTTTGGATTCCTGCTTTTACTATTTCCTCCAGCCGCAGTCGAGCAAGTAATTGGTTCTCATGGCATGAAATGTCGCTGCATGACGCAGTAAGAGCAGACTGACAGACATTCCCAAGAGCATCACAACACTCAATGCAGTTTCCACGATGTTTATGTATGTAATCAGATGGAAAAAGCATATCTTGACTGGCGCCTGGATAGGCAATATCCAGATGTTGCAGCAGCCATCTGAGATGCCCCATGGATCCGCGACGGAGTGTTTCAATAATATTTGGAATCTTCAAACGCTGCAAGAGTCCAAGTATATCGTCATTAGGTCGACCATGAACATCAAGTAATGCGTCCTTACGCTTGAAACTGCCAGGGTATTGTCGACCATAGTCTAACTCGACGATTGTTTCACTGATGATGACATCTCCGAGTACGATTTCGGACCCGTCTTTCTTGAACGGAACGGCACCACAAATACCAACAAGCAAAGCAAGTTTGATGGAGTTGAAACTCATCTTGAGGGATTGAGAAGCGCTTGACGCGTTTACCACCCCCATATGTGACAGCGTCACAATGACCACGCAGTGAACACCAATCCTCCCAAATTCATACGAGTTAGTATCCCCGGGGATTTTGCCATATAGATGGCGACAATCATGCCATATCTCGTCCATTGCATACAGAACAGCATTGGTTTCGCGGGGTAGGGCACATATTATCGCTATCTCAAATCCATCCCGATTTGAAGGTCGGTATACAGGTCGGTCCATAGCAACTAAAGCATGTAGGCTGAGGGATGTTTCGTGTTAATTCGAGCAATGAGGCACTAAGGATCCAATGCACTTGTCGAGTCTTCTCTATCTGGGGAGCATGCACCGCTACCCAACTACTCGTCCGGGCCGGGTGTTTATCCGCTTGATCCCTCTGCGTGTATTCCTCACTGCGGCAGTAGCTAGTGCACGCTGACATTTTGATGTTATTCCGTAGACCCTCTCTCATAAAAGAAAACCGCAAAAAAGACAGTAAAAAAGATAGCAAAGTCTCCAAGTTTATACGGATTATGTAGCAGTGAGCAAAAGTCCAACGTGCACAATGGGGCTAGCTACTGCCGCCCTCGCTCCAAACGTTCCTTGTAGTAAGCCTATTCCTCGCCCAGCGGCCTACCCAAAATTTAAACGACCTATTGAGCACTCTGTCCACTGCTTTTGGAATCTGGACACGCTGCTCGAGTCTGCTGGACGCCGCCGGCACGGGAACCGAGAACACCTATTATTGTAGCGGCTAACATAGAAGAAACATCGGTGCTGCCATCCTTTGCCAGTCCTCCAGAATGTTTTTCAAGATCCCGAAGTGCCTTTTCGACTCTCTCTGCTACGCCAGATGTATGGAATATTCGGGCAATGATTGCATGAACTTCGAGAAGCTCGGGACTGGGGAGGTCATATCTTTGATCATACCACTTGAATGTAACAGTCCGAGGAAGGTTCATATCGATCCGCGGGCGCCAGTTGTGGATGTAGTATTTGTGGAGCTGGGGGGTCGCTTCAAAGGAGAAATCGAAACGCCCAATGTGAATATGCAGGCTTTTCGACATCATCATCACGTTCATTGTGTCGTTGATGTTCTCCCTGTTAAAATTCATCGACTGGATTTTCGGAAAAAGGCGGATCAGGTGTGTCCATATAATGTCTTTCGCGTATTCTTCAGATTCCGTTCTCCACGATGCAAGGGCAAATGGGATAATGTGAACACATCCTGTATATGCTGTGGGGCTGCTGCTGTTAGCATCAAGAGAGTCTTCATCGAAAAGCCCAGTAACTACGCACCTGGCGCCATCTCGGGCAAGACATTCGGTCTTGAGGCAGCTTTTTCTCGCCATCAGGCCACTCGACCCAGAAGCGACATTCTCATTGAATCTATTCCAAGGCGGAGGAAATACTAGGATTCGGGCGTAGCGATCTGAATGGTGTCACCAGCCCGTTCATCAAAGATTCTGCATGATCATGTAGCTGTTTGTTGGTGTGTAGTGATTCGAGATGGCGGAGGAAATTGGTCCTCCCGTCAGCCGGAAGGTGGTCGAAAAATCCACGTAAGATCTGAACAGTTTTATCATTAAGGTCGACGGACTCGTATGTGTCCAACCTCTCCATGTCAGCGGTGAAATTTGGGCAAAAAGGTTGAAGAGCTGAAAAGACAGTGAAGGGAAAGTGAGAGAAGGAACTGATAAAAATGGGGCTTCCCATTTGGGATTAGCTCCCGCAACTTTGAATGGGATTCTAGCGCTCGGACCACCAGACGGTGTCAAAGGGCACATTTTTGTCCGTCAACTTGGAGGCCCACCGCCCGGGCGGTGTAGGAAGCCGACTCGAACTTGCCGGCAGTACTCCTTTTGCTTTGTGAAGTTTCCCAAGAAAAATCCAACCAATCAAAACCTCTAACCAAACACTGACATTACGACATCCAAGCTTCCCAACCCTACAGCTGCACACCAACCTCTCCAAAATGGCGCACTCCAAGCGCAACACCTCGCTCCCGCATTTCACATCTTACGAACGCGGCCTCCTCCGCGAATCATGGGGCAGCAAATCCCGAGCCATTGGCCGTGACAGCTTCCTCTCATTCGGCAGCTGTCGACTATGCCTGCAGCCCGCCCGATCACCCGTCGCTTGCGGCACCAATGGCGATCTCTTCTGCCGGGAGTGCGCTATGAATGATCTACTCGCGCAAAGACAGGAAATCAAGCGACTGGAGCGCGAGCGCGACGAGGCCCGCAAGCGAATTGCCGAAGATGAGGAGCGGGCGCTGGGAGAAGCTCGAGCGCGTGATCTAAAGGACTTTGAGATGGTTTCTATGGGATTGGAGGCTAAGGCTCATATGGCTGGGCAGGACAGCAAGAGGGCCAAGGCGGAGGCATTGGAGGCTACGGGTGGAGGTGCGAAGAAGAGGAAGGTGGAGGATGAGGCGATTGAGAAGTTTGGGGAGAGAGAGGTGTTTGTTGATGGCAAGAAGAGGAAGGTCTTTGAGCTTGGATTTGAGGAGATGGCTAGGGTCGCGGCGGAAGAGAAGGAGAGGTTGAAGAAGGAGGTCAAAGATGCTAAGGTTTGTGATTGAACTGATGTTCAGGCGCGTGCTTAACTGACCTTTTACTCAGAATGGTTCCAAATCTGCACTGCCTTCGTTCTGGGTTCCATCACTGACGCCGGGCACTGATGCGGATGAGATCACGGCCAACAAGGCAGTCAAATTGACACCAATCTGTCCTGGGTCCACGGACGAGTCTCGACATGCGTATTCGCTGAAATCGCTGGTTGATGTGCATTTCACCGAGGAGAAAGCAACTGATGGGACAGTGTCGAGGGTGTGTCCAAGCTGCAAGAAGAATCTGAGCAATGGGCTCAAAGCAATCCGTATGTGTTTGCTGACAGCAGTATGCCAAGCTTTATATACTGATTTACATCACAGTCACAAAACCCTGCGGTCATGTCATTTGCTCGCCATGTGTGACAAAATTCATGACTCCACATGAAACTCATGTCCCCGATCCACATGCTTCAAAGGAAGAACAGGAGAAGAATGCTGCATCGCATGGAGTGGTGCTCTGCTATGTGTGTGAGACTGATGTTACGACCCGGCCGAAAGAGAACGGCACCGGGACTAGTAAGAAGTCTAAGAAGAAGGATAAGGATTCTGTCCTGCCCGGTCTTGTAGAAATCAGTTCCGAGGGGACTGGCTTTGCAGGCAAAGGTGGGAACATGGGCAAGAAAACTGGCGTTGCATTCCAGTGCTGAGCACAGACAATGAAAAGCAAAGCCACCACTGGATATTATGTGTGTACGATAACAATATCATGATATTACCGCCCGGAGCGGTTCTGAACGCCCGAAATATGCAAGTAAGGGGTCTAAATATACAGTGAAGGATGGCTTAACAGCCAAGTACTCTCCAAGCCTTCAAGAACGCTTCTTGGCATTGTTGAACTCGCGAACGGTGATCTGGCAAGCCACCTCCTGGCAGAGGCGGCGACGGCGGCTCAAATCCAACTGGGAGCCGAACTCCAAACCAGAAGCACGCTCAACGGCCTCGAGGGGAACCTCGAAGTCGGTCAGACGCTTGTCGTTCGCAATGCGAGCATTGGGCAAGACGAAAGCACCAAGCGCAACCTTGGCAGTAGGTGAGTTGGTTCCGTCCTCGGCGTAGACCACCTTGTAGAAGTGGGTAGGCACAGCGACATTTGGTGGGGTACCGATAACCTCGTAGTTCACGCGCCACTTTCCATCGGGGTCACGGTGAGGCAGGTATAGGGGACCAGTCACGATGCGAACGGAGGGGTAAGTCTTCGTAAGATCGCGGCACCAGGTCTCGAAATGAGCCCAGTAGTCACGGTTGAAACCCTCTCCGACCTGGGGGCACATGTTCGAGAGAGAGAAAGTGCCGTCCATGGCGTCCTGGGACCACTTGGCATCCGCAGCGGGAACTTGGTGGCCGCGATCGTAGCCAGAGCGGAAGTAGTCGGACAGCTTCGCGCGGAACATCGTCGGAACACTGGTGTCTTCGAAGAAGGTGCTCTTCTTGCGGTCTGCATTGTTGATGGCCAATGATTGCGGTGTGATGTGCTCGGCTACCCAGGACGGGTTACGGGTGCGGCGATCAAAGGCACCGTGGAGAGGGAGAGAGGAGAGCTCGTCGGCAACGGGTCCGGGGAATCCATACTGGAGGATTCCGGCTGGGTTCACGGGGCCGGTGGTTTTGGTAGGTAGAGTTGGGGGAGTGATTGTCGAAGCGCCGGCAGCGGTGGGTGTTGGCAGCTGTTGTTGCGGCTTAGAGGGTTTTCCGGAGTAAAGGAGGGCAGTGACACCAGCACCGGTGGCTGCACTGGCAGCAGCGATGACTGCCAAAGTTGCTTTGGACATGGCTGAGGTGTTGGAGTCGAAACAAAAAGACCCAAAAAAGGGAACCAAAATAAAAAGTGAGCCGCGGGCCAATCAGCGTCCCACATGGGAAACCGCATACAAAGCCCTCGCGATACTCGCACCGCCTGTCTCTCTTTTTATATTCGAGATCACAAGTGTGTTGTCAATATATCATGTGTGTCATCTGATACGATCAAGTGCGTCGGGCCCGAAAAAGTAACGAGAGACAGTCCCCTTGCGTGTGCATCTGTCCCGAGATTCACATCAGCAGATCCGACTATCACACCCAGAATGAACATGAAATCTTCATCGGCTCGCCAGTGCTATGGACAAGCTATGAGATCGTCTACCTCATGTGTGAAGCTTGCAGCTCAGGAGAGGCCATGAGTAAGGCTCATGGGCTGAGTCGGACATCCCAGCTCCTAGTCCCAAGAGGGGGAGAGGTGAGAACCTTGTGGGCAAAGAATGCACCTGGAAGGCAAGTCCGATCGAGAGACATTAAAACGCTCAACCTCATGCCTTCCCAAACTGTGAATCTTCCAACAATCTCTGGAAGGCGTTGACCGCCAACCACGTCCCGTCGAATTCAAATTACATCATCTCCGTTTTCTTCACCTCCACACTCCGCTATGGCTTCCAACGACCTGAGGGGGTGGGTCATGAGCATTGTCTCGGGCATCGGTATGGGTCGCCAATAGGAGTTCAAGACTATGTGCTAATTTCATCCAGCCTGCGTTCTCGGTTCATCCATAATCTGCGTCGATGTGCTGGTGCGAGTGGTTTCCCGCCGCAAGAGCTTCCAGATTGCCAACAGTAGTAACTTCCTGTCGGCATCGCTATGCCTGAGCGCTGGCGTGATGGTAAGCTATGGAATGACCAAAGTTGGATCACAGTGCTAATGCGATCAGCTCTTCACTTCCCTGTATAGCATGCTTCCCAATTCGAAGCAGTACCTCACCCGCGCCGGCTTCTCCCCCTCCGTTTCGGCCTATATCCTTATTGGTCTGTTCATTGCCGGGGTAGCAGGGATCCAAGCCGTGTCCGGCTTTGCACATAAATTTATTCCATCGCATGTCGTCGATTGTGCGCATACTCACGGCGAGTCGGAGGATGATCCCGAACGCGGCGAAAGCCAAGTCGAAGACGAGTTCGACCACACACACCGTCATAAACAAAGCATGAACGAGAACACAGAGCGGACACCGCTCCTGCGTCCCGCGGAACATCCGTCATTCAAGTCCACCCCGGCGGTGGTACAACGAAGCCAGCACACCGAGCCACCTAGGCGTCGCGAGACCACGCGGGCCATGCTCACACGCCGGATCTCCTCGCTGATGGGTGTTAAGCCTACCTGCGATGAAAACGGACCATGCTTCGGCGTCTCTCAAACCTGTGGGCGCGAATGCACCAAAGTCCTACCACCATCCGCCAATGAGATCCCTCGGCCTGATCTAATTCACCGAGAAAGCATGTCTGCGCCTCTCGATGCTGAAATCTCTCAAGCCGAGCGCGATCTTGGCACAAATTTTCAGCCCTCGGATGGAGGTTACTTTGACAACATATCCGCCCAACACGCCCTGCCCCCAGTTGCTTCATCCGCCTCGTCGCAGATAGTGTCACATGCTGTTCCTCCCCCGCATCTGGGCCGTGACATCTCCCACGACTCCCACGATCATGAGGACGAGCCTGACTCTGAGCGCCCCAAATCTGCACCTGGAAATCCTCACCATCACCACGTTCCCCAGAACGCTTTCTTGTCCATCGGACTGCAGACCTCGCTCGCGATCGCCTTGCACAAGCTGCCCGAAGGATTCATCACCTATGCCACCAACCACGCGAGCCCAACTCTTGGGTTTACAGTGTTTTTGGCTCTTTTCATCCACAACATCGTGGAAGGATTTGCCATGGCCCTCCCACTATACCTGGCTCTGAACTCCCGCTGGAAAGCCATGTTCTGGTCTAGTCTTCTTGGAGGCATTAGCCAGCCAGCCGGTGCCGGCATAGCCGCTTTCTGGATCTGGAGTACCGGCCAACGCGGCAGTGGAGATGAAACAGGTCCTTCATGGGGCATATACGGCGGTATGTTTGCTGTGACAGCCGGTGTTATGACCTCAGTTGCGTTGCAGCTTTTTAGTGAAGGGCTGGGCCTGACACATCACCGTGGCATTGGTATCGGATTCGCTGTTGCAGGCATGGGGCTTATGGGACTGAGCTTTGCTTTGACTGCATAACCGTTGATAATCCTCTGTTCTGCATGGGCATGCATGGATATAGACTTGTTTGGCGTTGCAAATTACGACCACTGTGCAAATTCACACAGGTACATGCGCATATTTTTACCAAAACATACATGTGGGCCAATGGCTCTAGTTACGTTAGAGACTCAAGTAAATGAATACAAATTATGACATGAAATCATGCACAGGTTATAGGTACACTTGCAACTTTAGTACAGAAAAACTGTGCTCATTCCTACGTTGGTATCAAGGGAAATATTCAAAACTGCGATAATCATGACATTTGACTGACTGCTTGGACAATTACAATTTGGTCCTTTATACACATTGAAAAACACAAAACGCCAACCTTATTTTCAAAATCTCCTCATAGAGCCTGGACTGAAATTCGTCTCGGGGCACCACTGCCATACAACCCAGCTCCGCTCGACTCGCGCAAATGGTTGTGGTGGGCCTGACCCTCTTCCTCCAAATCTTCCACATCAATACTGAATCGTCGAGGCTTAGACCAAATACCAAATTGTTCGCCGCCATTCGCCTCTCCAACACTCTTAATCTGCTCAGACTGCACACCAAAGCGATCAGCAAGAGACTGGAACAGACCAGCATGCGCCGAAGCCCTCTTTGAAGTCTGGCCGCCCAAGCGGGCCTGCGCACGACGCAGCAGCTCCATGTGCTGAGAAGCAGTGTCCGCGGCACGCTCATGACCCTTCGCATCCGAGTCACCGAGCAAGTCGTACAGAATGCCCTCGTGCAAAGCCGCTGCAGACTGGTGGTTGTCGGAGGCAGTGAAGAGGCCAGAGAGAAGCTTCGTCATTTCCAAAGTGACGGGATCACAGCTTCCCCAAACCTGTCGCAGATTGTAGCAGATGTCGCGACACAGCTGGATAGAAGAGTCGATGTGGCCGCGACAGAAGCGTGTTTCGACAAGACGTCGCCCGATCCACACGACCACGTCGGGGGTCCAGGTGCGTTGGACGATTCTGGAAGTCCAGAGCTGGGAGAGGATTCCTTCTAACTCGTCGAACATCTCGTATTCACCTAGGAGGGTGATGATGTCGTTCAAGTCGCCGAAGGGCAGGTCCACCATTTCGATACCCATGGACTTCGAAGAGGACATGATGTCTTGCAAAAGAAGTTTAGACTTCACTGACATGCCGTGGTAGGTCTTTTCGTCGGTGCATTTGGTTGCCTTGTGACCGCTTAGGTAGAGGCAAATCTGAGTGGCGGTCTTGATGTTGTCGTGTTTGCTCAGGCCATCAGTCAGATGCAGGAAGGAGTGCAGGACACCCGTCAGGATCGCCGCCTCCTGGAAACGGGAGGCGTTGCATAGTTCACGGACCAAATTTGTGGTCGTGTTGAGAATACTGGTAGCGTAGTTCTCGTGGTGAACCTCCCGAAGGCAAATTTGATAGAACTGCTGGACGATTTCCTTGTCACCCACATTGGTGGCAGACAGGTTGGAGCAGAAGTAGTCGTACAACTTGTCCTTGGTGTCATTAGCAGCGCTAGTCCGCTTCTGGTCATGCTGGAGAGTATAGAGAACGTGACCAGAGATGAGAGTGGGAACGAAGTCATGACCAGAAAGGTTCTTTGAGAAGGTCTGGTAGGTTCCCATCTCACTTGACATCTCCTTCATGATTTGGTCATAGCTGGCACGTCTGCCGAAGACTTCTTCGAAGGCAGCAACGAAAACAGCATCGCGGCGGTCACCAAGGGCCATGGCCGAAGCTTCGGGGCTGTAGACCACGCGTTGGCGAAGTTCGTCAAGCACATTGTTGCCGCCTTCAATAAAGCCACACTCAAGATAGATGCTGGCGATTCTGCGTGCCCAGTCACCAATCATATCAGCATCACCACCGGCATGCAAGACATCAGTAGAGAAGGTGTGCAGTATGGCATTTCCTTGCTGGACGGAAGTAGTAGTGCCCTGTCGAGAATGCGCAAGAGCAAGCTCTCGCAGCCAAGAGAGTGTGGTAGTCGAGAAGTATCCTTGTGTCTTCTTAGCCAGCTGGAACTCTTCGGTGTATAGCGAGCGAGCTTCGCTAGTCGAGTCATGCTTTCGAACAAACAGCTGTGCCAACTTGTGCTTGAGCGTGATGGGCAATGGAACAGTCATCTGGTCAAGACCCTTTGAGGCCTCTGGGGTGGCAACCCACTCGTTGGTCTGCAGTGGAAGCTTGTACAATGTGATGGCTTGGTCCATATACAGGTCGTTGGACTCGCACAGCTCGGCGAAGAGCAGAGTAGCGTTCAATGTCTTGTGGCTAGTCTCACCATGCACGTGGCGGCATGTCATGACATAGTCAGAAGCAACCTGCCAGCGCTCTGAAAATGGAGAGGTTCTTCTGGTGGTCAGAATAGACATATAACCAATGTATGTCTTTTCCAGAGTCCGGTCCAGAAGAGTGTGGTCATAAGACTCCTCCTTGTTGTCCTCGACAACCAGTGTTGGCCAAAGAGCTCGGTAGACTTCCAGAGCAGAATCCCATTGCATTTCTCCTTCATAGAGAGCGATCAGTGCAATCGCGGCTTCGATGCCTTCGGGGGTGATAGTTTTTTCCCGCGAAGTAGCCTTGAAGATGCGCTGATAAGTACCCTTGGCTTCACCGTTCATTTCCAAACGAGTCGCCAGAGCAGCCTCAAGGTACATGTTATCAATGGTGTGCTTGTGAGTTTCTCCAAGACGAGAAGCCAAGAAGTTGCTCACAGTGTGGAGCAAAGTGAGCGCCTTGGTAAATTGGTAGGAAGTCTCGTAGAATCCAACAACAGCCTTGGCAACAGCCAGCACAGATGGAACAGGAACCCTATCGGAGGCGATCAAAGAGCCGAAGGCATTCTGGTAAACTGTCGTAGCCTGCTCCAGATGCAGCCTGCGGAAGTGACAGTAAGCCAGAACAAGAGCCAGGTCTGCCGCAGGAGGTGCAAGCTCATGCGGAAACTCCTTGTAAGACTTTTCTTGTTCCACTGTTGGCCAAATGTGCTGCATGACGGCCATGCAGCATTCACTGGCCTGTGCAAAGTCTGCCTCGCGCACATAGATGCTAGAGAGATTGTGACACATAATCAAGGTAGTGACGGTCAGGTTGGCCGAGCTAGCGGAGATAACATCTAGCAGTTCAACCAGCAGCTTGCGGTCTTGGAGAGTGAGTGACGATGCGTCTTCAATGGAGACAGCATTTGCCATACTCTGAGCGATAGATAGCGCCAAAGCTGTCGACTCCTCAGAGTACTCCTGGTGGGTTTCCTTGTAGTAACGCCACATGAGCACTGACAAAGAGCGATCAAGGCTGTACATGTGCATCTCACGGGTCTCGGATTTGAGAAGCGACACGCGCTGCATCATTTCCGCGGAATGAATACCCGTCACCTCGAGATCAGCGACCAGCTCCCGAATGATGACCTCGGCCTCATCATTTCGTCCCTGGCGGCGGAGGAACTGATAGTACACAAGAGCAACGTTTGACTTCTTGTCCATCATATCGACAGAGTCGATGTCGCGTGAGTTGAGTCCTGCCCAGAGGCTTGAAAGTACAGCTTGCGCATGAGCTATGTCATTGTTCTTCTCGTACATCTCTGCCATGTACAGAGTGTAACTGATGCGGCGCTCATCTGTGACCTCCATGGTTCGAACGACATTGTCATACTTGGTTCTGGCGATGTCGCGGCTCATCTCATCACTTCCGGTAGTGGAGAATTGACCAGTCAAGAAGTCTGCAGTCTCCGATGACTGGTGCGAGTTGGTACCGTACTTCTGAAGGACCTGCTGATAGAAGTGCTTTGAGATGAAGAGGCCTGACCCGTTGTCGCCTCGAGACTTGTACATGCCGACAATCATTCCAAGGTACTTCAATCGCTGGCTGAAGCTAACACCAGTGATCTCAGAATCAGTCAAGATAAGGTATTTCATAATGTCTTCTTGCTGCGATGTCATTGTGCCTCGTTCAGCGAAAGACTGAGTCATCATTTCGGCACAGGTCAGAGTGATGGCGTGTGACTGTCCAAGAAGTTCTTGGCTCAGCTTCCACGCCTCATAGCAGTGCTCATCGGCATGGCTGGCGTGTGCTAACTTTGACACACGTGCGCTGAGGACCAGACTCTGCAAAAAGGCAATAGACTTCTCGCCGAGAACCAAGCGTCGGATATCACTTGCAAGTCTGTAGAGCTCAACCACACTAGACCGAGAGAATTGGGACTCGCGGCAAGTCAGCTCCAGGCGAGCAAACAGAACGGTTGCAGGCATGAGCTTCTTGAAGCCAGAAGTGAAATGGAACTCTCCGTCATCGGTGACGAGAGGAGAGGACAGGAGATGCGATAGCCAATAGCGCGCGGTGTATTCCAGAACGACATACTTGTCGAAAAGCTTGTTGCGCTCCTCCATGCTTAGCTTGTCAAGAGATACATCGGCTTCTTCGCTCACGCTCAGTTGCACACAAGACAAAGATCTGGTGAGTAAGTCGTAGTGCGCATCCTTCAGGCTGAGTTCGGCTTTTCCTTCGCTCTGCGTGGCATGTTTGATGACATGGTCACGAATGCAGGTGTGTGCAAAAGACACGACTCCGTCGCGGGTCATGACCAGAGGACTCAGTGCATTCAAAGTGTCATAGCTATCCTTCGGATACTTTGAGAGGTAGCTGGGCCCCTGAGGGTCCACGTTGAGCAGATGTTCAATCTCTTCCACAAGCAAGGGTCTCTCGGCTGCAGCGAGCCACGAAACAATGCTGATCGTTCCCTGCTGGCTGAGGTCAAGATTTTTGGAATGGAAGTCGAGGAGCTCCGGCATGTTTTGTGGCAAGCCTTGCACAGACGAAACGGCTTGGTTCAGCGTCTTCTGCTGCTTGGCATAAGCAACCGCCATTTCAGCCCAGCTGAACGAGCCTTGAGAACGACCAACGATAGCAGATACCGCAGCCTTGAACTGATTGCCCTTTTGTGTGTCAAAGCTCGCACTAGACGAAAGTAACTTGTTGACGTAAGACGTAAGATCTGTCTTGGTTTGCGCAGGCTGGATGACGAATTGTTGAATACCCTTGGAATGCGACTTCGTGCTGAGTGGTCGAGTAAAAGCAATCATCTTGGACCCAGCATTTTGTTGGGATAGTAGATCGCAGAAGTGGTCAAGGCATGCCATGGCGTCTGTATCTCCGCCCTTGATCTGATCAATTCCATCAACCACAAACATGTATTGAATGTTTGATGAAAGACCAGCGCGGATACCCTTCCAAAGAGATTCTTCGACTGCATCATCTCCAGCCCCATCAATTGCTCCTTGTGCGGCCTGGGCAACCTCGACGAGAACAGCCTCTTGAGTGACCTTGTCGCTCACAGAGTGGTCCAACATCTGATGCAAAACACCCTTCAGGATTCGCAAAGGCAATGTGGCGACGGGAATATCGGCCCCTATTATTTGTTAGTCATTGAGATATTAAACAATCCTTGGTCTCACTCACGGATGTTGTAAGGAACTACGTTCCAGCTGTCGTGCTCCGCTGACTCTTGCAGTCTTTCAACTGTCCATTGAGCCAATGCACTCTTTCCAGAACCGGGACCACCTGTAATCACCATCGCAGGGGAGCTTGAGACAGTGAAGTCGTAGAGCGTGTTGTTGAACCACTCGAACGATCCGTCGGCGATAGAGTGGGCGCGGGAGTCCAGGATGAACTGAAGAGGGCGGTCTTGAACGCCGAGGAATTGACGCAGGCTACCAAGCTCGGGCGATGAATAAATCAACGAGCTACCCTCCACAATCTTGGATGTGTGGGCATCGACGATGGTGTTCCAATGAGTTGAAAAGCGCTTGGCGTAAGTCACAAAGGCGGAATCGACGTTATGACCAATGACTTGATCGGATTCTTTACTCTTCAGGCCCTCGACGCAACTTGTAGTAGTGCTACACACCATCTCGAGTAAGTCGGCAAAGACTGCCGCAACCTCTGGCTGCAACTCAGGGGATGCTTTGTAGGCAGTCTCATACTGCAAGAGCAGATATATGCCAACGGCGACACGACCGTAGCGGCCAAAGACGCTCTCGAAGACATCCGTGTTGTCTATGTCAGACTATTGAGAGCATTAGCATTAGCATTTGACTTGAGATGATTGCTTGGGACTTCACTCACCTCTAATAGAAGGATAGCAAATCCCCAGATGAGCGTCGCGGCCTCGGTAGCAGCAGGTGCGAATCCTCCGACGGATTGACGGAGAGCATCAACGGCATAGGCCAGTCTCGAGGCCCATCGCAAGCTGCAGTCTAGTCTGCTGCCATCACGAGGCATCCAGCGAAGACGCTCGGAAGCGACAGCATCGAAAAAGGCATCAACGTTGGTGCTACGCTTACTTATCTCACTAGAAGACAAGCCCAGCTGAGCCTTGCACTTTTGAGACACGGCCTGAACCTTCTCTTGGAGAACAGTGAGCTTATAACCACCACTGCTCAGCTGCCTGACAGTGCGCTTGGTGGTAATTCCATTGACAACGTTGGATTTGGAGCCCGAAGATTGAGCGTCCCCAAAGCCAGCCTTTCCGTTATCGAAGCCACCTTTGCTAGTGGTACCAGAAGCACTGGCTTGTCGAATACCTCCACCCACAATACCTGCGTTGTTTGAGCTGCTTTGGGTGTTGTTCAGTGCCCCTGAGGTACCCCCTTGTAGAAGGCCTGCGCTGGCGAGGCCCGCTTGGCTCGAGCCACTGAGACCAGTGCCGGTGGCTCCATAGCCGGTGGTCTGCTGCATTCCGCGGCTTCCTTCACCTACAAAAATTGCTTTGTTCGATTTGGATGCACCGCTAGACATCTTCTCGTTTGCAGCGCTTGTGGTGGTGGGTCGATAATCGCCAGACTCATCGAGTCCCCTTGGGGTTGAGCTACCCGAGGCCTTTGCGGCGCTATCAGAGAGGCTACTCTGGCTGCTGGCTGCGTGGGCGTAGGACGGATATTTCTTTGCCAATCCTCGTGCGTGCGCACGGTCATATCCACCCACAGCGGCAATACCTCCACTCTTTGGGCTTGTGGATGCATAGTCTTGGGTCGTTGCTGCGCCTGATCTAGCAGTCGAGGTCTGTTTTGTTGTCAGGCTTCGAACTTGTGAAGTCTTGCCCGTAGCACCCTTGCTTGCGCCGTAGCCTCCTGTGAGAGCAGCAGCAGCAGCAGCGCCTTCGCCTACTTGTTGGGAAGTCAAAGAGCCTTGTCTATCGAGATGAGCTTTGTCGAGATGGTATTTTCCGGACGAATCTGGACCTGTGGACTCCTGAGAGACATCTTTCCCACCAGTGCCGTCGTCAAAGACATCAGGGCTGATCTCCTTTTGGTCATGGAGCTCATTCTCAATGAAACTGTCACTGTAGCCACCTCCAGCAACCGCAGTTCCAGACTTAGCTTGGTCTGATGGGGTTTCTTTCTTCCCACCAGGGTCTGTGTTTGAAAAGTCTTTCTGTGCTGCGTTTGCTTCGGTGGCATCGGCGCCGGTATCCTTGGTGGCTTCGGTTCTTGCTTCCGATAGAGCTTTGCTGTTGATCCCTTTCTGAATGATCGTTTCTCTGCCATCCTTGTTGTGATAGTTTTTCTCTTGGAATGTTCCAGGAACAGTGATGGGCCCTTTGCGAATGTCGTAGTTGGGCTCGAGGACACCAGCTGCCACACTGCCTCTGCGGTCTGCTTTTTTATTTCCTTTTTCTTCGGCCTTGTTCTCTGTGGTTTTCTCGGTCGACTCGGTGTTTTGTTTGCTGCGGTCATTTTTCTCGCTATTGTCGATTCCTTGTTTCGCTGGTTGGGTTTCTGGTCGCTCGGAGTGTGTATTTCTCTGCTCGATATTCGACTCTCCAGTGGAGGCCTTTCCGGTGCTGTCTTGTCCAATGCCGCCCTTGCTGATCTCTTGGCCAGCTTGCTGTAGGTTTTTCTCGTTGGTATTTTCTTTGTTGTTTGCTGTACTACTCGATGCTCCTCCAGCATCACCTTGGCTCGATTGCTTCTTGGTGGATTGGCCCTGGGTGATGACCTCTTTGGCACCGCTGAGATTTCCGTGGCTCATTTCATCCCGGATCGAGGAGCTTCGTTCAAGAATCTCGCTGCGATTTCCTCCCTGGCCAGACTCTCCTTTGCTTCCATGGCTCATAGACAGCCTCTTGCTCAATCTCTTGGCAAATCCGAGGTTTTCAGTCCGCTCGCCTTGGGGCAGTTTCGGGTTTGTTTCTTCGGCAGCCATAATGATGTGTTGATGGGTATGGGCTTGAATAAATGTATTAACAATAATGTGATCGCAAATTCAATAATAAGTCAAATAATAATGTCGTGCAGTCGTATTGTTCAAATGTCATTAGTGTGTGATGAAAACGCAGAGTTAAACCCGGACTTATGGAACCTAAATAGTGTTAACAGCAATCCTCGCTCTTATTGCATCATGATTTCATTTCGGTCATATCCGATGTATGTACACTCCCAGCAGAGGGGTATGACTTGGCGTCTGAGACGACAGGTTTGCTACTTTGCATCAGAACCAGGGCATCGCGTTGCTTGGAAACTGAGGTCCCCAGGCAATCCACAAAATTGAAAAGGGCCTCTGTGTCATTCAAAGTACATAGAAAAAGTCGATGATGCTGAACCTCGTGGTAGTGGGCGGGATTGGTGGACTTGCCGGGAGCTAGGGCCCACTTGAGCTGGGGAGCTTCGTCACAGGGTTCTGGTGCAGAGTGTTTGTTTGACTGTGGTGTCATGTTTCCGACGAATGTCAATTATTCTGTCTTGCTCAATAGTTTCAACAGCCATGCAACATGCATTGAGCATCTCATGGACTAGCTGGGCATCAATCGCCGGTGAAACAAAGGGGTGAGCGTGCCGAAGCCCCTTCCAATGGAAAGTCGAAAATTGGGTCGGGTCGTGTCGATGTCATCTCCTTGTGTGGGGTAATTGCCGGGAGGTTGATATGAGCTCAGTGTCCCTAGCCGAACGTGTTTCTATCAGTGACGTGTAGACTGACCGAAAGATGGAGCAAATTAGAGGATTGGGGTTGGTGGAGGCCCGGCAGCCCCCGGCGCCGATCTGTGATTATGTAAACAACGCCACCTGCAACTTTAATCTGACTCGTCGATCCACGGTAGTTCTGCACTTGGACATTGAATCAAGGACAAGTGAATCGACTGAGCCTTGGTAGGTATCCCGGATCATCCGACTTCAATTCGGTGAGGTCACTTGGTTTTGTTGTGCGATGACATACCGAGGAACAGGAACAACCGCTGATTCATGACATCGATAGATTTGAAGAGCCTGGGACTCTCTCATTCCACAGGGTCTACACCACAATTGTCTCCCCAGTGAAGTTATATCATCAGAATCTTTCCTAGCACGACATGACTCATGTACATGTGGCCAGCTTAGCCCCGGTTGGCAGACTCACAATCCTCATTTGTAGAGCTTGGCTGGAATCGCAATCCCCACGGAGTAGTTAGAACAGAACTTGGTCTTTATCAAAACCAATGTTTTCACTCACATATTGTATTCCATCCCATAGCCTGATTGGTCTCATTGTATATGGTTAGCACCATGCGTCCCACATAGACTGATAACATGACAAGGACCACAGCACGTTGTGGGTAGACTGTCCTTCCCTTTGGCTTTCCTTCTGTGGCTCAGCACTTCTCAAATATCCGTTTGTGTTGCAGCAAGCTTGTTGGTGGTCCTTCTGTATACCAAAAAGGCTTCGCATACAGTGCAATTCAATGGGGCATGAAGCACTGCGAGTATGTATTTTTGTTTCCCTGGCCCAAGGTATATCGATCTGGATCCGCATGTGGATGTTTCATCACGACTAGGCCATTCTCAGGCATGGTATTTCTCTGGCGGTGTGCGAACTGGTCGATTGAACGTTGAGCGTCTTGATCGAAGCGCTTTTTGTATACCTCAGCAATACCTCATCAAGCTTGATGATTTCCAATGACAGCTGAAGATTGAAGGGGCAATTCCAGGAGCAAGTGTGTCTGGTCACTTTACCAGTTGTCGCGTGAAATGACGCATCAATAGGACAGCTGGTCTCGTGTAAAGAGACCAAGCCAAATTTTTCGATCGCGCCTGTCTCAGGCATCTCGTGGTACTCGGTATGAGGAATGACCTCGGGAGGGGAGGAAGTTCTGTTGGAGGAGCTTCGGACTCCATCTTGGAATGTGAGCGAATATGCGTCTAGGGGATATTGGGCATGTCAGCATTGTAGAGTGTTCATTCGAAGGGTTATACTCCACATGACTGGCTTCGAGACAAGTCCAGCTTGAGGAGCCAGTGGCCCTTCTTGCTGCCGTGAGTTTGCTGGGCTGGTTGGACATTGATGGACGGTTGGTAATGTGGGGCCTAAAATCGAGCTCGATTCTCGTTGATCCGTTGGTTCAGATCACAAGTGGAATTTGGGAAGCGCGTGGAGAAGTAAAAGAGTCAAAGGAATTGTTGTGGTGGGGGACATTTGGATGGACAAACTTGTCTCTGGTTGGGGTACAATGTTTGAAAACTTTTTGTGTGCCTAGTCTGGGGTATCTTATCTGGTCAATGGTACGTCCTGGGAGGTTGGAAGGAATCTTGGATTGAGTGAGTTTTTCTCGTAAAATTCCTGTGTCAAGAAACACCTATAAGACCCTGTTGTGTTGGCATTTTATCCAGCAGTGGGCTGTTGATATCTCATTTGTAGAGAGTTATGACATTTGAAAGAATCTGATCATAGCAAATATTTGGGTATCAATAGATTGGTTTAGTTGTGGAGAGGTCAAGTTGGGGAGAGAGTATGGGAGGGGATGGTATCGAAAGAAGTTTGGGAGTTGTTGTTGATAGGCAGATGGATAGAGCCTCGTGTCAGAAGAGAGAGAAGGGGGAGAAAAAGGAATGGAATCAAGGCGTACGGCATGATGTGGATCATCAAAAGAGATGACAAAAACATTCTCATAGACGTTTGACGGTCTAACCTGCATGGACCCACACGGTGGCGGCTCAGAGCTCGTAAGAGATGAACAGACGATAGCAGCTTAAGAAAGCAGACCGTAATCACAGACCGTGCCCCACTCGGGTACTCACCGGTCTCAGTCCAACCTGCCACGGTCTCTCTACTAAGTAACGTCAAGGCAAAGCCAAGCCGCGTAGAGTTTACCTAGTGTGGCCATCCGAAGATCAAGGGAAGAAACCAATATGGTAAGCCCTCCGTAGTAAGTGGCACCAGAGACCTCAGAAACCCAAAGCCTTACCCGGTAGACCACCCGGGGAGAATACACCATATATAGGCTTAAGTGCAATTTTACCATCCTTCTCAAATCTTGACATAGGTCGCTTTGCCCTCCTGGAATCAGGATTGCTTCCCTCCTGAGCGTCGTAGATACTCCAAATTGAGGCAAACTGTTTTACAGCAGTGGGCATTGTATAATCACTAGTCTGAAGCCATTTCATGTATGCATTGGGGTACAATTCTGATACCAAGGCTTGTGAGTTACTTTGCTCTTCAGTTGTGGGGTGAAGATGTCTGTTCACACAAAATGAGGAAGGAGCTAACCCCATCTCGGCGGAGGTTGGATGTTCGACTCGCGCTCTGGTCCAATTGCTCATTTCTCTACCCTTTCAATCCATTCTTATTTCTTTCAACCACTCCCCAGCACAACTGTTGGTCTCATTGTCAACCTCCGGTGTTGATGCACAGTTTATAGATCGAAGTCTATATCCACCTACCGTTGGACGGAAGCGAGGTTGCTCCACTTTTACCCGCCACGACCCACCCCCTCGCTACCTTAATTGGACAGCCTCAGAAGGCAAGTCGTTCCGGGATCGGACACCCGCACCATTTGTGCCCATCATGGATTTCTCAGGAACGACATGTCGAATAACTGGAAGCCTGATCACCCATGACGCGCCAATCCAAAACGCGCCGAACGCGCTCGCTAGGCGGCTGTAAAACATGCAAACGCCGGCATGTCAAATGCGACCAGACTCACCCCAGCTGTCAGACATGCACTGCCATGGGGCTAGCCTGCGAGGGCTTTTCTGACGGGGTGCATTGGATGTCTGATAATAAATCTGGGTCTTCTCAAAAATCGACCACCGGTAAACGGGGTCATCTCACTAGTCTGGGAATAAGACACCATCTTTATACTGGTTTGCGGTGATCCAACTCAACCCCCTCGTGACCTGACTGACCAGAGGATTAGAACAATATAGACGTTCGATGGGCGCTCTTATTAGCAAAGGTCTTGTCTCGGGCTCTATCGATGCCTCTTTGCAAGAGATTGACCTGAGGTCGCAAGATCCCAGCTTTGTTTCCAACAGTGAGACTCAAGTGGGACCTTTTGCAGTCCTCAGTTTTTCGGAGAGTTCTATGTCTATACGACAGCAAGAAATCACCCAGGAAAGATCAGATCATCCCATGACTCCGTCGCCCACGCATCTTGATGGTTCAGCATTTAACCATCTATCATATCCACTTTTCGATATCCCGGGCTTTTCAGACGAAGTCTTGCAGTGGTCGGATCTCTTCAACACCGGTGATGACTTCCAAGCGATTCTTTCCGATCCTTCTTTTGGCCTTGGGGGCCCTCTGGATTTCCAATGCTCCTCTCAGATGGATGATCGAATCATTGCAGTTGATTCGGCACTGAAAAATGCTCCACATCAGCCATCCATTCTTGAGCAACCAATCGCTCCAATAGATATACTGGCAGATGCTGCATTTCTCTTGCAGACTTTCCAAAAAGACATTGTTCCTCAGATGACTGTCGTTCCTCTTGCTAAAAGCCCCTGGAACATGTTGAATGTTCCCCTTGCACTGATAACATTGGGAGAATTGACTATTATGGAATCTCAAGACGTTAAGCATGCACAACAGGCGAATCTCTATAGCCTACTTGCCTGCTCAGCGAGATTCCTAGAAACGAGTCCTTCGACAGAATCGTTTGGCTTATCACCGCGGGCTCATTGGAAAGAGATTGCAGACCAAGCCTACTCTAAAGCGAGAAGCCACATGGATATTTCCTTGGTCAAAGAATTGAACGGTGTCAACAAAGCCAAACTAAAAGATCAACTCATGGCTCTTTACGGGCTGATTGAAGTTGCTGTGCGTTGTTTTTCACTGGGATGATGCTGAAACACCAACTAACACATGTTAGATTTTCTCCAATAGGTACTTGGATGCCCGAAAATATCTTATTGATGCCGAAAGACTTCTTCGCTTCCGAGCATTGGCCAAATGTGAGATTTCACAGAAACTTCGGCTTCTTTTTAATATCTACGGATGGCTTCGTCTCATTGGTGAAAGCACATATGTCTTACACAACTACATGCCATCAGACTCGTTTATCAACAATCTCAACGTAAACTGTCAGATTCACAAAACACCTGCAGGTGAGAAGTCCATGGCGGAAATTCACGAGCGCTGTCGTCGAATAGATGACTTTCTCTATTTCGAACACTCGGAGGTGGATCTCAACATTGATGAGCCTAAAGACCGAAGGTTAGACCTTCCGGATATTCACTTACAGGACTCCCGGATGTCAGTCGAAAGCTTGTGTCAACAGGTGTATGGAATCCCCGAAACGATGTTGAGCTTAGTTTCACAAACCACCCGGCTAGCGAATGTTATGGAAACATTGCAGAACGCACATGACTCAAATATACCGATTAGCGACTACGTTTGGAAGACATTGAAACGACGAAGGACACGTCTTGAAAACGTGATCAACTCGTTCAGGGATCGTGAACTTGCTTCAAGCACCGGTGAAATCTCGATCTCGCCATATAAACTCATGGTACAGGCTCTGAACACCGCGCTGGTGATATTCTTCTACAGAAGAGTGCGACAAGTTCATCCGGCGGTGCTGAGTGGATATGTTGATCACATAATTACTACATTCCGAGAATGGCTAGCACTCGTCAAAGATGGGAGTCCAGTCGGCCCTGGGGCCCTGTGGCCAATATTCATCGCCGGGTGCGAGGCGATGACCAAGCCACAGCGAGATGCCATCTTGGATATAGTAGATCAGGCCGGGATTAAGAGCGGTCTCGCGCCCTTCAAAATCGCCAAGGATATCATGGCAGAAGTTTGGAGGACACGGGATCAACAACAGGCGGTTAAGGTTGGAGATCCTCTCCCGAGTTGGATCGATGTTCTGAAAGCTCAAAGAATATGGCCCATGTTTTGTTGATGATTATGTCTGATTATGTCGCAATGATTGAATTCCAAAATGAGTGTTGATTCCCCATGCATCAGTCTAAGATGCTACTGTTTTATAAACTTGCGGAACGGCTTGCCATTTTCCACTCCTTGTACGCCGCAGTGCACGGCGTACAACTATTATCCTTGCGGAGTATTCAGTCACGACTATGTTAGTTTCCTTCGTTGCTCTAGATGGCAGGGAGTCCGGTTTGAAAGTTCAGAAGTGTCAGAAGTGTCAGAAGTGTCAGACAAAGATGTTCTAAACGTGGTGACGACACCCCAGTCAAGTCATGTCAAGTGTCCAATTTGAAGAGCGTAAGCCCCACCTGCTCCGACGCCCACTTGGGGAGGCGTGGGTTAAAATTGCTGGTTCTGTCTCAAGATCTAGTATACCGATGTTTGTAGCCCGGTGGGCCTCCGGTTCCAAGGGTAGGATTCCAAAGCTGACTACAAATGATATGGGCTCGGTGCATGTACACAAGGACGACATGTCATGAATGGATGAGAGCGTGGCAGGTCTAGAACCTTGACTTGTCGCAGTCTGCACCACTGATAAATCTCATAGGGCAGTGCAATAGACTGTCGAGTCCGATGTGCAGTTGAATGATCTGAGACCCAACACTTCCAAGTCGCAAATCGACACCTCGATCTTATCCCGGGGCGAGCGGATCCAATCTACGGGTCGAGTGTTGAAATGTGAGCGCATTCCATGTCCCAAATAAAATCACAATATTATGCCATACACCGCAAAAACGTCGAAAAAGAAGCAGAGTCCATTTCTGGATTGGAAATGCAATTCATGGAACAGCCTATGTAAAGAGTCAAAAAATGACTCTGGTCTAGTCTGCGCCTGCCCGTAGACAGCTCACATCTAGCCACAGCTTTCCATCCTCAGACCGCCATGGGTATCCATGCAATTTCCGAGCAACCTCCAAATAACCCATCCGTTACCAGCAAAAAAAATTCAAGTGAAGACGAAGAAGCGTGATATCATCCGTACAAGTACCAGCCGTATCTGGTGTGCTTTCGTTCGTTTGGGCCGTGGTCGTGCCGTGGTTATGCGAAGATTTTCATCGTAGAACTCGACTAGCCGATCGCGGCTCAGTTGGTTGTTTTAACGACTTGAATAATTTATTGGCCGGGGTTGGGGTTCATCTGTAAATGACGCCTGGTCAGCCTTCTGTTCCTGTTGTTCGGTTCTGGTGTGTGGCGGTGTCGCGAATATTTTGTCGGGGTTGTGTGTGTGTGTGTGCGTGGGGTGAGTCAGTTGGTATGTACCTTGCGCTTGCCACCGGTCATGGTAACGTTGACGAAACGGCGAGTGTAGAGCACACGCTTGTAGGCGCGACCCTTGGGGTTCTTCTTCTTCTCCTGGGGCTCGACCTGGATGCAAAATTGTCGTTAAAACGAGTGTTCCGGCTGAGGGCCACTGCGACCGTATTTCGAGTGGCGTTTGTCGAATTTTGGGTATAACTCACCTTAGGAGTAGCAGCCTTGACCTTACCGGCACGGGCGAGAGAGCCGTGAACCTTACCCATGTTGGATGATTGACGTTGATGAACGGGAGATGGAAGTGGTGTGTAAAGCGATTCTTGAGTCTCGATTGAGTGCAAAATTCGGGAGTGCGACCTGTGTGGGGCGGCTTAGCGAGCACTTTCGGATTCCGGATTAACTCAGCCCTTGTGGGGGTCATGTGATTGGTGAGGTAATCCGGAGTTAAAAGGCTTGGCATTTTCTCTCCGAAGTAGACGGGGTGAGCACGAACCAGTATAACCGCTAGTAGTTATGCGCTGCAGTTCCAAGTCAATACCTAAAAGGTTCAAGGATAGTAGACAAACTCTTGAATGGATTAGTCCAAATAAATATGAGATCTATATTCTGATTCCTCCCCTTTATGACTCAAAATTAATGGTGACACTGTGAACCCATGACTCATGAGTCTAACTGCTATCATGGATGCTCATTGTACAGGTCTCCCTCAACGCTATGCACGATAGTTCAATAGTAAAAATACAAGTAAATCGCTCTTCGCTGTACATTCAAGCACCTTTCGCCTTCGCAGCAGCCTCTTCCCGTTCCCTCTTTCTTGCCAAGTACCGCTCCTTTGCACTGGAAACATCTCCCTCGGTCTTGCGGCTGCGACTCTTCTCCGCAATCTCCTTCTGCTTGGCAGCCTCGGCCTCCTCTTCTTGTCGTGCACGTTCCTCGTATTGACTGGCAACCATGTCTGTTTGTCGAGCTCTTTGGGCAGCGCGAGCGTTTTGATGGCCAGCCACTGGTCGAGCAGCGGGACGTGGGGCTGCTTTGGGGGCCGGTGCCTGAGATTTCGGTTTAGGTGCGACGTTCAAACCTGCCGACAACAACTGGCGTTTGTCGACAACTTGTCCCTCGTCGTTAACAGCAACACGAGCACCGTGGGAGTTGAGATCCTCAGCCTTCTGGGCCTCAGTCTTTTCGTCCTCGCCCTGTGGTTCTTCTGGAAGCTCGCCTGCTTTAACACGACGAGCAGCTTCGTCCGCGGCTTTGACGGCCTGCTCATGTTGTTCTTCGCCTCGAGAAAGAACGTCTCGATAGAATCCGATCATGCCGGAATTTCCGCTCTTTTTCCGACGTTCTTCCTCCGCCTGTTCACGGCGTGCCTCTTCCTCCTCGGCCTTTCGCAATTCCTCTTGCTGTGCCTTGTATGCAGAAGTGACAAACTTTTCCTTGTCATCAAATTCTTCACCTTCAGCTTCACGTTCCCTGGCAAGTTGGCGGTCCTTCGCGCGGAGCTGATCACGCTTCCTGATCTCTGCGCTTTGTAGCAAGTTTTGCATGTATTTCGGAGTTTCGCTCTTGGTATTGTTTTCCGTAGATTTGGATGGTTTGGCGTGCAGGCTGTCGTATACAGCATCATATGAGTAGATAGAGGGATCAATTTCTTCGGCTTCCTTTGCATGCTTTTTGCTGCTGTGCATTGCTGAGAGGTTGGTGAAATCTTTATTGAGGCCGGTCGAAGTTTTTGACTTTGTCTGGTTCAGCCCCAGATGCATTCCACCTTGTTTCTCCTTCTCCTTTGCCTCATCTTCGTCCTCGTCATCTGCAAACAGCGAGTTCTTGCTGAGTGGTTTGATGGCTGGCTTGGCGGCACCTCCGAATTGCATCTTGCGCTTCGGCGGTGGGCCTGCGCCTTGTGGCTTTGCCTTCGGTGTAGGCTCCTCTATTCCTCCAAGTGTAGTCACTTCAACTGCATCGGTTTTCTTCTGGTCATCTTCATCGCCAGAGTCATCATTGAAGACATTCTTCCTCTTCTGGCCGAGGGGGTTCCCTGGTTTTGGCCCCGTGGGCTTTTTATTTCCTAGGCTCAGGTTCATTGGCATTTTCGAGCGTGCGCGTTGCGTCTTAACTCGGAGCAGTAATTCGAAGGCTGGCTTGAATGCCAGATATGCAGTTGTGTTGGCTTGAGAGTTGTCGAGGTCAAAAAGTTGCGACTGCGATACCGAGTGATAAGAGAGCTGTTTATCGCACATCACGTGGTCAGCCTTCATGCGGGGGAGATTGGGGTATTGTTAAAGTGTATGAGGCACAAAATGTGCCCAGGTGGTTCGAACACTGTTCCCAAATCACAATTGTGCATTTAAAGTATCCGAAAGGTCTGGTGGATTTTGAGGTCATAGGCACTAGCAAATGTTGCTGGTGAATCCAAGTGAGCTACAAAATTTGGAAAATATATAACTGATGATCACATACAATCTGCCCAACATTCATAATCGCAATGTCCGAATTTATGACCTTACAAGGCTATAAATGACACGTGAAAAAAGATAAAGATCATGCTAGAGACTTTATATTCGCTAACATTCATGGATTCAAACACAGTCCAATTAAGCTTAGAATTGTAAATGTATTGCGCCTGCCCAGGTCCACGGGTGCCAACAAACTTACCTCTTATCGGCCACGTGATCTAGATGACGCTAATAAACATCCTCGATGGCTTCACCTTCGCATCTTTACCTCGGTTTTCACGATCAGCCCAACATGTCGTATTACTTCACCATACTGTCACCGACTGATACGCCTCTATTCAATATTGCGTTTGGCACATCCAAGGGTGGTGGCGATGGCATTGCCCGCTTCCGCTTCCCAGAGACCGCGCAATACATGAACCAGTTCATTATCCATTCAAGTCTGGACATATTGGAAGAAGCACAGTGGACGAATGGTTCAATGTGAGTTAAAACCCCATTTTATACCCCCACATGCCTCAGGACAGACCCAAAAATCACCGCGGGCCGTCAGGGGATCACACCCACCTGGACCAGCCACCCACCACATCCAAAACCAATTGACTCGCGAAACCCGAAGCTAACTCTGCCGCACAGGTACTTGAAACACATAGATACATATCCACCAGCGGCAGCCTACATTACAGCATTCCTGACACCCAGCGGTGCCCGATTCCTCCTACTACACCAACCCCCACATCTCCCCTCGTCAACAAGCACCGGCGGCGGTCTGGGATCATCGTCATTACTGGGATCAGCGGGATCGACTACTCGCGCCTCGTCGAGCTCTATCGCCGCGAACCCTACCTCTCCGCAGACCGAGGAGGCCGTGCGCCAATTCATGAACGAAGTCTATGAAAACTATGTGAAGACGGCTATGAACCCTTTCTACAAGCAAGGCATGGAGATCAAGAGTCCGGTTTTCAGAACGCGGGTCACTGCCGCTGGTAAAAAATGGCTTTAGTCTGGGTTTGTCTCCCATCTGGTTGATGAGCGTGGCGTTTGTGGAAATGTAATAATATCTCAGGGCTTGTTGCTCTCTGTTCTGACAGCATTGTCGGGACTTGGCTTTGTATAATGAAAGACACTTAGTTTAATGACCAAACTGCAGATCGATTGGAGTACTTGTTTAGAAGGTGAACGAAGAAAATTGAAGGGTATCTAGTAAGGTTGGATGCCATTTTCAAATGGGATATCGATGTAAGCAAGATTTTTGAGCCACGAAAAGCTGATGAAGATAAATGGATCTGGCATCAACTCAGATCCCAGTCCTGAGTCCTAGTACTGTCAACCTGCCTAGGGGAAAATCCGAAAAAAAGAAGAAACAAGATGCGCTCTGCAGCACCTGTAAAGAAAAGTGAGAACTCCAACCCAGAACTCCGAAGATATCCGCCCGGCCCAGTGTCCAAGCAAATCGCTAAAATGACGAAAAAAGACTTAGGCCGTCATGTGAGGAGCCAGTTTCTTCATAGTGACAGCTTTGAAGTTATCGACGGCATGAATGACATCTTCCAACTTGGCGACGGTTCCAAATATTCCACCTTCCATCTTGACAGATTCAATTGTACCTAGATGCAGGGATGGCTCGGCCGCCGCAGTTCCGTCTTCCAATACAACACAGTCAAAGCCTCGGTCGTTGGCCTCGCGCATGGTAGTCGAGACACACACGTCGGTAGTCACACCTGCAATAACCAGGTTTTTGACTCCTTTGTTGCGCAACAGCAGTTCGAAATCAGTGTGCGCAAATGCACCACGTCCGGGTTTGTCAATTACTGGCTCACCAACAAGAGGGTAAAGTTCATCAATGGTGTCATGGCCAAGTTCACCACGGATGAGTAGACGACCCATGGGCCCAGGAGAACCGATACCTAAGCCCGATGCATTGTTGCGAGACCGATAAGCTTCGCGACTGGAAAGAGTGGACAAGTCGGCGCGGTGACCTAAATCCAATTAGTCTTGTATATTTGAAGGCCTTGGTTTGAGGGCATGCTTACCCTCACGTGTGTGGTACACCGGAAAACCACCGGAGCGGAACGCATGAAGTAGTCTTTGAAGGCGTGGAATCAAAGCCTGTGCGGCAGAGATGTCATAACCCTGATATCCCATATACCCTTCTGGCAAACAAACTGAATTTGTGTTAGTCGCAAGGTCCGGACAACAGGCTTGACGCACTTACAGTCTTTTTGCATATCGATGATGACAAGTGCAGTAGTGTATGGAGTAAAAGATGCATCATGCGGCCAATCATATGGGATGGCTGGTAGTTGACCCTTGCGCACCTTGTGGTGAGGAACTTGGCGTGGCTTCTCAATGATGGGGCCATGGTTATGCGTGGCATTCAACACGGTCAGGCTCCAGATACCCGGAGAGCCGGCCGCGACAAGCATGAAAGGGCAGTCCATCAAGCGTGAAGTTCTGCGACGCTTGCGCGTCTCCTCGGTCAAGCCGTTGCGTGGCCGATAGTGTCCGCCGCGATCACAGCGCAGCCATACTTTGGCAGTACGGCCGGGTTTCTTCTCGGTAGGGGTGCTTGATGATTTGACAACCACGTTGTAGCCATGTTCCTTTCCATGGTCTTGGACTGCAGCGAGAAGAGTTGCCCTATATCAAGATCAGTTGTTGAGATTGGTCCCACTAAGTAAGGGGCGCGAGAGCAGCTTACTTATCAGGATATGTACCTTCAGGCGGGGGTACTAATTGCATGGCCAGCTCCGGAATGTCTTGAAGGTCACTGGGCGCATCATCCAGGTTGAGGTCTGTGGAGTCTGCCATGGTGGGTGGATCGAGATGAACCGTTGCCTCACGAAGAGAGTTCTGTAAGAGCAGAAGAAGCCGTGAGTAAGTACATCAGACCATGTTCGCACGACCAGCCTGTGGGCCTGCACACTTGGGATAGATGGAGATTGGAAGGAGTCGGGGGTAAACAAGTGCGTGGAAGCAAATGGGGCGATCAACAATAATAAGAGACGCGTGCGTGGGCATAGCCCCCAGAGTGGTGCCTGGACGCAACAACCGCATGGTTATGGATAGTGTAGTTGCCAACCCGAGGCTCCTCCACGGAAATTGAAAAGTAAATAAAATCACTTACCACTCTGACTTGGTTGCCCTAAGAACCCAAAGACTGGAGACTGGGGACTGATGAATCCAGATCACGGGCGGAGGTCGATCAGGATCACTTCAGCTTCCAATGAGGTTTAGGCTCGAGTCAAGTGAGTGGCCTGAGATCAAAGGCGGAAACTAGTGCCTAAGGCTTCAAGAGCGGTGGCAGTGGCTGCACCCGATCGTCCAAACAGGGACTAGTGTGTCCCGCCCCTGACGACCGAAACAACAACATCGGTTTCTCCCAGCCCGATCTAATCTAACCCGCTTTGTGACAAGAGAGGCGGGTCGAAGGTAGGCCAACTTTGCATACTTTAGCTTGCATTCTTTGAATTCGCTTCCCTCTTTCAGCGGAGGAAACGTGAGCCCGACTACCACGATCAATCCCTTGCGTCACCGCCTCGGCGAGGGGCTCTTATCAACGCACGGTTGTTGACATCGGGCCACCACGAACCATACATGAGTCTTTGAGAGGGGCTGGTGCGATCTGCAGGGCAAGACAGCCTGGTGAATTGTGTCTAGTGACCTCGGCCAATTTTGGACGACACCCGTCGTCCAGACATTTCCCTTGCGACCGGTCTGGGTGCCCAACGCTCGAAGATGCCGGCCGTCGACGAGTCTCCTTCCGAGCGGAAGCATACGAGCAGTTCCTACAGAGATGAACTGGCGCACTACAAAGCCCAATATGAATCACTCGAAGCAGAGCTTGCGGATTTCCAGTCCTCCAGCCGGGAGCTGGAGACGGAGCTGGAGAAAGACATCGAGGCCTCTGAGAAGCGGGAGCGACAACTTAAGGAGAAGCTTGACACAATGCGATACGAGGTCGATGAGTGGAAGGTATACAAAATAACGCCAATTGGTTTTTTCTTCTGCGGAAACTGACATTGCGGCGACAGACCAAGTACAAGCAATCCAAGACGGAAGGAAACAGCGCGCAAAATACTCTTCAGAAAGAGATCACCACTCTCCGCGATGCGAACCGTACTCTACAGCTGAGACTGCGAGATATCGAAGTTGCGAATGATGACTACGAGCGACAAGCCCGGAACACCACCTCGTCCCTGGAGGACATGGAGTCCAAATATAACATGGGCATCGAACGCGGGGTTCTACTGGAAGAGGAAATGCGAAGCGGGGAGCAAGAACGAGAACAATTGCGGATCGATAACCAGCGCCTTCGGGACGAGCTGGCTGATCTCAAGATCGAGGCTGAGATTGTTCAAGAGAAACTCCGCAACGCCGAAGGACATGGCAACTTCCGCCGTCGCAAGCCTACGCCTCTGTACCACCGAAGCCCGGCAACTCCGCAGAATCTTGAGATCTTTGATCGCTCGCCTGGCACTGCTACTTCCTCCCCAGTCTTTGCCACGCCTCCGGCTAAACCGTCCCTTGCATCGGCCGCAGCAACTCCGCCCTCGCCTCCTATCTCCGAATCGTCTGTGAACATGCGAAAGTCTATCAATGCGCACACTACGCCCAGTTTCCCTCGGCAGAGGGAGCCGCTGGCGCCGAGCCAGTCAACTCTCGAACCCTTCACGCCCGAACCCAGACGCGAACCAGTACTCAGCCACGCCCCACTACTCACTCCCGAACTCCTTCTCTTGCCTATAGCAATGGCACCTTCAGCAACAGCAATGGCAATGGCCGCTCCACTCCCTCCATGTCAATCTCGTCTCGCAATAGCATGACAAGGACGAACAGCTCGCGGGTACCGGGTCTTCCAAAGTCTGGATCCTTGTACCAGATTCGTGGCTTGATTGGCAAGATGCAAAAGCTTGAAGAGCGCGTCCAATCAGCCAAATCGCGCCTGCCTGCGCCATCTGACACATCATCACTTGGTTCGCCTCGCTCGGGGTCTGTGGTTGGTGACAGCCCAGTTTCCTCATCAATCACCGTCCGCAGGAATTCCCGTAAAAGGCTGAGCAACAGCAGTCTCGGATCTTCTGCCAGAGACAGCGAAAGTGCTCCGTCTAATCAGCCTCAAAGTCGGCAGTCATTTGGGCGCACAGGCGAGAGTCGCCCGAGTAGCCGAACCAGCTTCTCCAGCCGCAGCTCGTTCAGCCAAAGCGTCCACTCGGGCGTTCCAGTCAATGGCAGACCCGAAAGTCGATCAAGCCGCCCCGGTGCCAAAACTCCGCTAGGGCATTACTCGACAAATCCAATGACAGAGAGCCGTCGACCTCGGTCATCTCTCAGCAACCACGGCGGTCAGCTCCCGAACATCGCAGGAATGTGCCTCATCGACGAGGACCATGATCAAGAAGTTCCTACTCCCACTACATCCCGCGTCACCCAGGAGGTCCGACGGCCCTCTGTGACGGCGACTCCCACCCCCGTAGTCAAGAAGCGAACTATCAGTGGGATCCCGGCACCCCGAAGCTTCAAGACCAGCATCGGACCCGGGTCTATGCCACCGCCCACTCGCAAGCCCACTGCCAACGACCTGGGAGAGACGTTCTGATTTCAATATTTTCACTTCTTGTTCCACATTCATGGAATATGCATGGGGAGTTTGGTGGGGTTCTGTTTTCTGCCTTGGTCGTTGCGGTGCATCCATGTTGTCTTCCAGATTTTACCATTTGATCTGCCGCATCTACCCCGGGCCAACGGACCAAGTTCTGGATATAGTCATTCCTCCCGTACAGATTTGCACTTTGATCTACCAGCTAGGTCTGGTCCATTGTGGCTCCCGGTGGATTCCGGGGGCCGTCCTAAGCTGTGTCTCAGCTCGTCTTTTCGTTCAATATCCAATAATACCCACGATGTTTATGCTCCATTTGAATCTTGCTCTGTAGGCCAATGTAATGTGTTTGGCACCGGGAATGGGTGGGATCTGAAGCCCTGTGATTGGTGCTCCGCGCGTTCTCAGCGAATGCCAACGGATGTTGAATCATGCAGATCGGCCAAATTGGAATAGCGTGGACGCCATGGTTTTTTTTATCGCCGGATCGGGGACGTGGAGTAAATTAAGTTATCTCTATAGTTCGCATGAAGATTCGACGTCAAGCTCCAGGGCTAGGCTGACCTCGGGACTCATGGGTATTAGGTGAGATTCCCAAGAGGGACTTCAAAATCCGAGTAATCCCTTTTGTTCCCCGTACTCCGTACTCCGTACTCCGAAGTCCGATTCATCTGACCGAATGGGGTTATCTAAAGAGGAAAAAGCAAACTGGGACAAACCCTCCGAGTCTAGGGCTGTGGGGGCTAATTATGTTGCATAACTGCTTACGGGGCAGTGAACACCTATACTATGGAATACAATGAGCAATTGTAAGGGATATTTTAATATGCAAGCAGTGAAAGAAACCTTGTACGGAGTAGAAGATCACTAAAAAAACACGACAGTGGCAGAAGTGGTGGGCGCAAATTGTAGTGGAACCCGGCCCAACAAAGTCGAGGGAGTTGGGGAAGCGTTCCTGGGCCTGGAAGGTACCACTCCATAGTGTTGACTATGCAGGGGTACTTTGACCACTCAGTGAGCAGTCACCACAGCCAGTTGGGAGGATCTCCACCCTGGTGGGACTCCAGGAAATCATCTTCTCAGCACTTTTTTTTCTTTGGGAGGTCTTTATTGGACTTGTCTTCCAGTCTTCCGCTCTGCTTTCTTCTCAATTTTACTTATTTTTGCCTATTTTATATAATCGGGTCTTGGTGGTTCCCGGTGAGTGCAACCCTCTCTCTCGCTCTCGAGTACGCCGTTTGCGACCAAATTACCAGATTGGTCCAATTCCGCATTGGGCTTGATGTTTCCCTAAATTATCACGCTGACACCTAGTCCTGTTGCAGAGCTCTTCTAGACGCTTTTTCTCCCACACATCTCCTCCCTCACCTCTTTTTTTTTTTCTGCCAGTGACAGCCACCCGGTCACATTCCGCCACTTCTCAACATTTGTACATTACCGACCTTTTAATCGCTGGTCCAGCATCCAGCGCTTTCCACACTCTTGCATAGGAATTCGACCTGTGATAGATCATGGGTGTCACAAATGGCAACGCGCCGGTCAACGGTAGCTCTGCGAAACACAACATTCCCTCACATTTCATCGGTGGCAATGCCCTCGAATCAGCACCCCCAAGCAATGTGAAGGACTTCGTGGCCGCTCACGACGGTCACTCCGTCATCACATCGGTAAGATTCCCCGATAGCTCCCCACAGCCCGGCTGAGCTTCAATCTGGCGATAATAAGAATTTCGGACTGATACCCCGCAGGTGCTGATCGCCAACAACGGTATCGCCGCTGTGAAAGAGATCCGTTCAGTGCGGAAATGGGCTTATGAGACCTTTGGCAATGAGCGGGCCATCCAATTCACCGTGATGGCCACGCCTGAGGATTTGCACGCCAACGCCGACTACATTCGCATGGCCGATCAATACGTCGAAGTGCCTGGTGGAACCAATAATAATAATTATGCCAACGTCGAGCTGATCGTCGATGTTGCGGAGCGTATGGACGTCCACGCCGTGTGGGCTGGATGGTAAGTTTGATCGAGTCGTGGGTGTTGGAGGATGCTTTGCTGATATTCGACTTCTATAGGGGTCACGCCTCCGAAAACCCTCGGTTACCCGAATCGCTCGCGGCGTCGCCGAAGAAGATCATTTTCATTGGACCTCCCGCCTCGGCCATGCGTTCTCTGGGTGACAAGATTTCCTCCACCATTGTCGCACAGCACGCCGGTGTGCCGTGTATTCCCTGGTCCGGAACCGGTGTCGATGCCGTCAAGGTGGATAGCGATGGCATTGTGACCGTTGAGGATGACACCTATAACAAGGGCTGTACCTTCTCCCCACAAGAGGGTCTGGCTAAGGCCAAGGAGATCGGTTTCCCCGTCATGGTCAAGGCCTCCGAAGGTGGTGGTGGTAAGGGTATCCGAAAGGTCGAGAACGAGGAGGAGTTCATCTCCTTGTACAATGCTGCTGCCAACGAAATTCCTGGATCGCCCATCTTCATCATGAAGCTTGCTGGCAACGCCCGTCACTTGGAGGTGCAGCTGCTGGCTGATCAGTACGGTAACAACATCTCTCTCTTCGGTCGTGATTGTTCCGTGCAGCGTCGTCACCAGAAGATTATTGAGGAGGCTCCTGTCACTATTGCCAAGCAGCCCACTTTCCAGGCTATGGAGCGCGCTGCTGTGAGCTTGGGTCGTCTGGTCGGATACGTCTCTGCTGGTACCGTTGAGTACCTCTACTCGCACTCCGATGACAAGTTCTACTTCCTCGAGTTGAACCCCCGTCTGCAGGTCGAGCATCCTACCACCGAGATGGTCTCCGGTGTCAACTTGCCCGCTGCCCAGCTCCAGATTGCCATGGGTATTCCCCTCCACCGCGTCCGTGACATTCGTCTCCTCTACGGTGTCGACCCCAACACCACCGTCGACATTGACTTCGACTTCTCCAAGGAGGAGAGCTACCAGACTCAGCGTCGTCCCCAGCCCAAGGGTCACACCACTGCTTGTCGTATTACCTCCGAGGACCCCGGTGAAGGATTCAAGCCTTCCAGTGGTACTATGCACGAGTTGAACTTCCGCAGTTCGTCAAACGTGTGGGGTTACTTCTCTGTCGGTACTGCTGGTGGTATCCACAGTTTCTCCGACAGTCAGTTCGGTCACATTTTCGCTTACGGCGAGAACCGTTCTGCCTCTCGTAAGCACATGGTCGTTGCTCTGAAGGAATTGAGCATTCGTGGTGATTTCCGTACCACCGTTGAGTACTTGATCAAGCTTCTGGAGACTCCTGCTTTCGAGGACAACACCATCACCACAGGATGGCTCGACCAGCTCATCACCAACAAGTTGACTGCTGAGCGTCCCGACCAGGTTGTTGCCATCATTTGTGGTGCCGTCACCAAGGCTCACCTTGCCAGCGAGGCAGGCATCGAGGAGTACCGCCACGGTCTTGGAAAGGGTCAAGTTCCTTCCAAGGAAATCCTGAAGACTGTCTTCCCCGTTGACTTCATCTACGAGGGTGAGCGCTACAAGTTCACTGCTACTCGCGCCAGCTTGGACAGCTACCACCTCTTCATCAACGGCTCCAAGTGCTCTGTTGGTGTCCGTGCCCTTGCCGATGGTGGTCTGCTGGTTCTGCTCAGCGGACGCAGTCACAACGTCTACTGGAAGGAGGAGCCCGCTGCCACCCGCCTGAGCGTTGACGGCAAGACCTGTCTGCTGGAGCAGGAGAACGACCCCACTCAGCTTCGTTCTCCCTCTCCCGGTAAGCTCGTCAAGTTCACCGTTGAGAACGGCGAGCACGTCCGCTCTGGCCAGTCGTACGCCGAGGTTGAGGTCATGAAGATGTACATGCCCCTCATCGCTCAAGAGGATGGTGTTGTGCAGCTCATCAAGCAGCCCGGAGCCACTCTGGAGGCTGGTGACATTCTCGGAATCCTTGCCCTGGATGACCCCTCCCGTGTCAAGCACGCTCAGCCCTTCACTGGCCAGCTACCCGAGCTTGGATCCCCCACTATCCTTGGTAACAAGCCCTCGCAGCGATTCTTCCTGCTCCACAGCATTTTGGAGAACATCCTGCGCGGTTTCGACAACCAAGTCATCATGGGTACCACTTTGAAGGACCTGGTTGAGGTTCTGCGTAACCCCGATCTGCCTTACGGCGAGTGGAACGCGCAGTCCTCTGCGCTGCACTCTCGTATGCCCCAGAAGCTTGATGCTCAGCTCCAGACCCTGGTTGACAAGGCCAAGGCCCGCAAGGCTGAGTTCCCCGCCAAGCAGCTCCAGAAGGCTATCGTTCGCTTCATCGAGGAGAACGTCGCCTCTGCTGATGCCGAGATCCTCAAGGCCACTATTCTGCCCTTGACCCAAGTCATCAACAAGTACCTGGACGGCTTGAAGTCCAACGAGTACAATGTTTTCATTGGTTTGCTCGAGCAGTACTACGAGGTTGAGAAGCTCTTCTCCACTCACAATTACCGTGATGAGGATGTTATTCTCAAGCTCCGTGAGGAGAACAAGGATGACATCACCAGCATTGTCCACACTGTTCTCTCCCACAGCCGTATTGGATCCAAGAACAACCTGGTTCTTGCCATTCTGGATATGTACCGCCCCAACCAGCCCAACCTTGAGAATGTCGGCAAGCACTTCAAGCCCATCCTCAAGAAGCTGACTGAGCTCGAGGCCCGCTCCTCTGCCAAGGTCACTCTTAAGGCTCGTGAGGTTCTGATCCAGTGTGCCATGCCTTCCCTGGATGAGCGTCTCTCCCAGATGGAGCACATCCTGAAGTCCTCCGTTGTCGAGTCCCGCTACGGCGAGACCGGCTGGGAGCACCGTGAGCCCTCCTTCGAGATCCTGAAGGAGGTTGTTGACTCCAAGTACACCGTCTTCGATGTCATTCCTCGCTTCTTCGTCCACAACGACCCTTGGGTTACTCTTGCTTCCCTTGAGGTTTACGTTCGCCGTGCCTACCGTGCCTACACCCTCAAGAGTATTGAGTACAACGCCTCGAGCGAGCAGCCCTTCTTGTCCTGGGACTTCACCCTTGGCAAGCTTGGTCAGTCTGAGTTCGGTGTCCTCTCTTCCACCCAGCCCTCGGCCCCAGGCACTCCTATCGCTGAAGGCAACCCCTTCAAGCGTATCAACTCTATCAGTGAGCTGTCATCGTCTTTCAGCGACCCTCTGAGCGACCCTGTCCGCAAGGGTGTCATCATCCCCGTCCAGTACTTGGAGGATGCTGAGGAGGTCCTTTCCAAGGCTCTTGAGACCTTCCCTCTTGGCGGTTCCGCCAGACGCCCCAGCGAGCACGGCCTCATTGCCAACCTCGAGGGAAAGCGTCGCCCCACCCCCAAGCCCGAGCACGACAGTGAGCTCACCGGTGTCTGCAACATCGCCATCCGCGACATTGAGGATCTTGATGACCAGGAGCTTGTTGGCCAGATGAAGCAGCTTCTCGCCGACAACAGGGATGAGCTTCTTGCCCGCCGCATTCGTCGTGTCACTTTCATCTGTGGCAAGGAGGGTGTCTACCCCGGCTACTTCACCTTCCGTGGACCTCACTACGAGGAAGATCTGAGTATCCGCCACAGCGAGCCCGCTCTTGCCTTCCAGCTTGAGCTTGCCCGTCTGTCCAAGTTCAACATCAAGCCCGTCTTCACTGAGAACCGTAACATTCACGTGTACGAGGCTATCGGCAAGGGCCCCGAGAACGACAAGGCTATCGACAAGCGTTACTTCATTCGTGCTGTCGTTCGTCCCGGTCGTCTCCGTGATGATATCCCCACTGCTGAGTACCTGATCTCCGAGGCTGACCGCCTCATGAACGATATCTTGGATGCTCTGGAGATCATTGGAAACAACAACTCCGACTTGAACCACATCTTCATCAACTTCTCCCCCGTCTTCAACCTCCAGCCCGAGGATGTCGAGCAGGCTCTTGCCGGTTTCCTTGACCGCTTCGGTCGTCGTCTGTGGCGTCTGCGTGTCACTGGTGCTGAGATCCGTATCCTCTGCACTGACCCTACCACCGGCATGCCCTACCCTCTGCGTGTGATTATCAGCAACACCTACGGTTTCATCATCAACGTTGAGCTGTACATTGAGCGCAAGTCTGAGAAGGGTGAATGGATCTTCCAGAGCATTGGTGGCACCACCAAGCTCGGTTCCATGCACATGCGTCCTGTCGCTACTCCTTACCCCACCAAGGAGTGGTTGCAGCCCAAGCGTTACAAGGCTCACCTTATGGGAACCCAGTACGTGTACGACTTCCCCGAGCTCTTCCGCCAGGCCTTCCAGAACAGCTGGACCAAGGTCGCGCAGAAGATCCCCTCCCTGTACGAGAAGCGTCCCCCTGTTGGCGAGTGCATCGACTACAGCGAGCTTGTCCTCGATGACACCGACAACCTTGTTGAGGTGTCCCGCGAGCCCGGTACCAACACCCACGGTATGGTTGGTTGGATCATCACTGCCCGTACTCCCGAGTACCCCCGCGGCAGACGTTTCATCATTGTCGCCAACGACATCACCTTCCAGATTGGTTCGTTCGGTCCCCAGGAAGACAAGTTCTTCCACAAGTGCACTGAGCTCGCTCGCAAGTTGGGTATTCCCCGTATCTACTTGTCTGCCAACTCCGGTGCTCGCATTGGTATGGCCGACGAGCTGATTCCCTTCTTCTCTGTTGCCTGGAACAACCCCGAGAAGCCCGAGGCCGGCTTCAAGTACCTGTACCTCACCCCTGAGGTTAAGCAGCGCTTCGATGCCAGCAAGCAGAAGGAAGTCATCACTGAGCAGATCACTGATGAAGGTGAGGAACGCCACAAGATCACCACCGTCATTGGTGCCAAGGATGGTCTGGGTGTCGAGTGTCTGAAGGGTTCCGGTCTCATCGCCGGTGCTACCTCCAAGGCCTACGAGGACATCTTCACCATCACTTTGGTCACCTGCCGTTCCGTCGGTATCGGTGCTTACCTTGTCCGTCTCGGTCAGCGTGCCATCCAGGTCGAGGGCCAGCCCATCATCCTCACTGGTGCTCCTGCCATTAACAAGCTGCTCGGTCGTGAGGTCTACACCTCCAACCTCCAGCTTGGTGGTACCCAGATCATGTACAAGAACGGTGTTTCTCACATGACTGCCCAGGATGACTTCGAGGGTGTTGAGAAGATTGTCGAATGGATGTCCTACGTTCCCGACAAGAAGAACGCCCCCATCCCCATTCGTCCCTGGTCTGATAACTGGGACCGTGACATCGCCTACTTCCCCCCTCCCAAGCAGCCCTATGATGTCAGATGGCTCATCGGCGGTAAGGAGGACGTCGACGGTTTCCTGCCCGGTCTATTCGACAAGGACTCCTTCGAGGAGGCCCTTGGCGGCTGGGCCCGCACCGTCGTCGTTGGTCGTGCTCGTCTCGGTGGTATCCCCATGGGTGTCATCGCTGTCGAGACTCGCTCCGTCGAGAACGTCACCCCTGCTGACCCTGCCAACCCCGACTCTATGGAGATGATCTCCAATGAGGCTGGTGGTGTTTGGTACCCCAACTCCGCCTTCAAGACCGCCCAGGCCCTGCGCGACTTCAACAACGGTGAGCAGCTGCCCGTCATGATCCTTGCCAACTGGCGTGGATTCTCCGGTGGCCAGCGCGACATGTACAACGAAGTCCTCAAGTACGGTTCGTACATCGTCGATGCCCTCGTCAAGTACGAGCAGCCCGTCTTCGTTTACATTCCTCCTCACGGTGAGCTCCGTGGTGGATCCTGGGTCGTCGTCGACCCCACCATCAACCCCGAGCAGATGGAGATGTACGCCGACGAAGACTCCCGCGGTGGTGTCCTCGAGCCCGAGGGTATCGTGGGTATCAAGTACCGCCGCGACAAGCAGCTCGACACTATGGCCCGTCTCGACGCCAAGTACGGCGAGCTCCGCCGCTCCCTGGCAGACACCTCTCTCACCAAGGAGCAGCTGTCCGAGGTCAAGACCCAGATGGCCGCCCGCGAAGACCTGCTCCTCCCCGTCTACACCCAGATCGCCCTCCAATTCGCCGATCTGCACGACCGCGCCGGCCGCATGCAAGCCAAGAACACCATTCGCCAGCCTCTGCAATGGGCCAACGCCCGTCGCTTCTTCTACTGGCGTCTGCGCCGCCGTTTGAGCGAGCAGCTCATCGTCAAGCGCATGGCAGCCGTCTCCCCCACCCCCGCACCTGCCACCGGTGCCGCTGGCGCCATCCCCGCCACCGGAACCCACACCACCACCGAGTCCCCTAGTGCTGTGCACCTGCGCACCCTGCACGCCTGGACTGGTCTTATTGACGATGAGCTCGAGAAGGATGACCAGAAGGTCGCTGCTTGGTACGAGGAGAACAAGAAGCTTGTGCAGACTAAGATCGACTCTCTCCGCACTGAGGGTGTCGCTTCTGAAGTCGCTCAGTTGCTGATTGGCAACAAGGAAGGTGGTCTTCGTGGTGTCCAGCAGGTTCTCTCTATGCTGCCTGTTGAGGAGCGTGAGAGTGTCCTCAAGTACTTGGGATCTGCTTAGATTTAAAGTGGTTTCCTTGTAGTTATTATGACCTGATGTTTTTTCTTGTTTCAGATTGCATGGTGTTTTCTTTTTTTTTGTATCTCTCATATACATCGCACTATTGATACAAATCTAGATTATTTTTTGTTCAACCTTTTGCATCTGTAAACCTTGTACACCATATCGATGTAGCCTTGTAAACCATGGATGAACGAACGACTGTCTAGGTAAAGGTTCCACCCAGGCCCGGGGTTGGCGATACCCACCTACCCGGGCATTACCTCGGCGGGTTTCGCGCTATGGCAAGCCCCATGGATCTCTTTCACAAGCCCTGAAGCACCTATGTTTGGTGAACCACGGCCTCGGGAATTTTAGGGTTGAGACGAAAGTACAATCAATGGAGGAAAAATGAACGTTCCTTTATACTGATGAACTATATACAAAAATTTCGAGCTTTCAGGAGCTTACGCTCCATGTTCGCTTCGGTCAAATGTAGCAAACTTCCGCGCAGGAATCTTCTGTTCAAACATATGATCCAGCTCCTCAAAGGTCCTCCCCTTCGTCTCTGGCAAGCAGAAGTAGGTCCAAATACACGCGATGACAGAGAAACCACCAAAGATGAATCCTGTCTTGCCGCGGAGATCTCCCTCATCAGGATTAATCATATAAGGCACAATGATAGTCATAATGAGAGTCCAGAAATTTTGTGTGAAGAAACCTATACTCACGCCATACGAGCGGAGACGAGTAGAGGACATCTCTCCACAGATGACGTACCCGAGAGGACCAAGGGTAAGATCGTAGAAGAAGTTCCAGATGATGATCAATGCGGACTGGCCCCAAGCAATAGAATGGTTGTAATTTGGTACGACGTCGAGAATACCGATGACGAACACGATGATGGTGAGAGCAATCATGCCGGGGAATAGAGATCTGCGACCGATTGTGTTGATTACCCACCATGAGCAGATGTTGCCGACGACTCCAACGGCGGTCACACCGACGCCCATGTCAAAGGATCGAGAGGTAGGGAGACCGGCAACTATAGAAATACTTGTTAGTGGGAGGGAGATAATCGGCCGGAGAAAGCTTACTTTGGAAGAAATAGGTTGAGTAGCTGAGCACGAAGTTGACACCGCTGAAAGAGTTGATAGTCCAGACAGCGATGACGATCATAGTTCGACGGAGATCAACTCCTCGGAAGCAATCCAGATAGCCAGCAGAGCTAGCGTATTCTTGTTCCATGCGGACCGTCTCCTGGATTTCAACGAGCCAGGAATCGACACTCCCACCGGTTTGGAAACGCTCGAGGGACTTCTTGGCCTCAGCATGTCTGCCCCGTTGCACGTACCAGTATGGAGATTCAGGGCAAAACCAGACTCCACAGAGAAGAATAGCAGGGAAACACCATTGGAAGGCGAAGGGAATTCTGTAGGCAAATGTATCTGTCCGAGCACCGAAAGCGCGAATCAGGCAGTTTCCAAGCAGCTGCCCAATGACGACGAACAAATTCACCATTGCAATCGTGATACCACGAAGCACCACTGGGCATGCCTCGGAGCAGTAGGCACATGCAGTGACAAGGAACATGCCGAGGGAAATTCCGTTCACCAGCTTTCCAGCGAGAAGCACACCTCGGGAGAAGGCGAAGAACTGCAAGAAGATGGAGCCGCTGGAGATGACACAGGCAATCACTAAACTGATCTTCCGGCCTACGTAAGGGGAGATGGGGCCACACAGCAAGCTTCCAATCATTCCACCCACTGTCGCGATCATGTTGAAAGCTGCCTGCCATCTTGCTGGCAGAATGGTGGTGCCATCGGGCTGAGTGTAGCCGAAGACTGCGCGGAACTCGGGGGCAGCGAGAAGACCACCGCTAACCTGCATATCATAGCCCCAAAGGATGGCCGAGAAGCAGAAGAACAGACAGTAAAGCATTGCTTTGCGGTAGTTGATCAGAGCTGTCCGCAGAGTCATTTCATGCTCTAGCACCTGATGATCCAACTTCTTTGCAGTAGCCACATCTTTTGTGGTAGCCTCCACATGGAGACTACCGACGGGCTCTTTGTCGATGTCCATATTCAAAGCAAGAGCAAGTTTTAAGGCTGGACAGCCTCAAGATAGAAAAGGAAAGGTAGATAAAGACACTCCAGCGGAAACTGGACGGGGAGAATCGTAGATTTAATACTCCGCAAAACTTCTTCTCTCCGCATTATGGCTCGGCATCACTCTCCTGATCATGGTCAGGTCTCAATCTGGGGAAGCTAGACAATTCGGGCCAAGGTGGGTCTCGGCAACTTGTCTTGCGGGCGAAATTGTCGAGTCCGACGGCAGATTCAAGGCACCAAGCATCCGATGCACTCTAGTTCGCGTAGTCTGCATTGAAGAAAGGCAAAGTCAACGGAAATTCGAGGAGCTAAATCTTCGCGGCTCCGATAGCCCCGGTGCCGGTAGCCCCGGTGATGCTCATTGGTTGACACGCCGTGCTAGTCTCCGTTGTCACCTCCGCAAAAACCACCCCACACTCTCCGGCACCGATACCCCCGGCGCTGATGGGAGGGGATTCACCCCAATGCGATGGGGTGAGGTCATTTTGGAGGGGTAGATTGTACCGCGTCGCGTCCCACCATGCGTTTTTCGAGTATGCGGGTATAAAGAACCCCGGGGTGGTTCGACTTCAACTCTTTTCCGCCGTCGAATTCATCCCCGCGGAATTCTCAATTCACCATGGGTTCTCAGGTAGAAGAGATGTCGCTTCAGGCAGATGCCGAGCGACCTGATTTCATGAATCCCGCGGTTTTTCGAAGAAACACACTCCCCGCGCGTTCCTACGACATCCCCTCCACATCCATCCTTCTCAATGGCGCCTGGGAATTCAACATGGCGCGTTCGCCCCCGGAGGCGCCAGAGCCTAGCGAGGGAGATTCTGAGGAGTGGTCCAGTATCAACGTTCCAGGTCATTGGCAGTTGCAGGGTTGGGGAAAGCCGAATTATACCAACACGCAATTCCCAATTCCTGTGTGCCCGCCTTTCGTCCCAACAGAGAACCCAACCGGCACATACCGTCGGAAGTTCACAGTGCCGGCTGAATGGAAAGCCGATGAGATGGAGGTTCGACTACGATTTGATGGCGTCGATAGCGCATACCATGTCTGGGTGAACAAGTCTCTGATCGGGTATGCGCAAGGGAGCAGAAACCCATCCGAGTTTGACGTTACCCCATTTTTGCAGGCTGGCGAGAACGAGGTGTTTGTCAGAGTGTATCAGTGGTCGGACGCGACTTATATCGAAGATCAGGATCAGTGGTGGCTATCGGGTATGTTCCAGGCTGAGATAAACGGAAAGAATAAAAGAAAGCTAACTTTTTGGGAACAGGAATCTTCCGAGATGTGAACTTGATCGCATTGCCCGCAAAAGATCGCCTGAATGACTGGTTCATTCGTACGGATCTCGATTCGCAATACACCGACGCTACACTCCTTGCAACGATTGACTACCAAGTTTCCGAAAATGGCACTCTTGCACTGAACTTGATTGAGTCAGTTGAGGGCCAGAGTCAGATCATTGCTTCTACGGAGCGCAGTGTAGAGTCTACAGCCTCTAAGGTTGATTTGAGCCTGCCTGTCACAAATCCCAAGAAATGGACTGCCGAGCGGCCTTATCTGTATAATGTTGAGATGGTTTTGACCACGCCTGGACCCAACAAGACGTTCAAAAGAACCCAGTGCATTGGTTTCCGCAAAGTGGAGCGCAAGGAAGGTCTCATCACGGTGAACGGAAAGGCCATCCGGCTTCGTGGAGTCAACAGACATGACCACCACCCTCACTTGGGCCGTGCCGTGCCGTTGGATTTTATGAGGAAGGATTTGCTGCTCATGAAAGCCCACAATATCAACGCCCTGCGTTGTAGCCATTATCCCCCAGATGCTCGACTTCTGGACATGGCCGACGAGCTGGGTTTCTGGGTCATTGACGAAGCCGATCTGGAATGCCATGGCTTCTATGATGCTGTTGCACGCCCAATGGACATGGACGAGACATTGGGCTACGAGGAACGCAAGGCCATGACCTTCCCTAAGTGTGCTGTTCACACCTCGGATAACCCTGTCTGGCGGGAAGCCTACGTTGACCGAGTTCACTCCCTTATGCAGCGTGACAAGAACCATACCAGTGTCATCATCTGGTCAATGGGAAATGAGGCTTTCTTCGGCACATGCCACCGTTCTATGGTGGAGTACGCTCGAGACTTTGACAACACTCGCTTGGTCCACTACGAAGGCGATGTTGATGCAGAGACAACCGACATGTTCAGTTACATGTACCCTGAGATCAATCGACTTCGATCTCTGGCGGCCAGTGAGGGCGTCGTCGATGGCAAGTTTGACAAGCCGATCATTCTTTGTGAATATGCTCATGCCATGGGTAATGGACCTGGTCTCCTTGCTGATTACGAGAAATGCTTTGATGAAATTCCCCGCTTGCAGGGTGGCTTCATCTGGGAATGGGCCAACCATGGTCTATACGTTGAAGGCGCCAACGGAAAGGACAGTTTCTATGCCTACGGTGGTGACTTTGATGATTATCCAAATGATGGAACATTCGTGATGGATGGTCTACTGAACAGTGTCCATGAGCCTTTACCAGGTTTGCTGGAGCTCAAAAAGGTATTGGAGCCGGTGAAGCTGGAGGTGCAGGGACAAAACCTGGTATTGAAGAACCGGTACGACTTTTCGGACTTGAACCACCTCCAGGCTTCATACAAGCTTGAAGCATTTGGCAAAGAGTAAGTTGAAGAGTTTTGGCATCTGATGAACACAGAGCTAATCAATTGCCACAGGTCTAGTGTTTTGGCTACTGGGCAGCTAGAGCTGCCCGTTATCCCCTGCGGTCAATCTACCGAGATACCCTTGCCCGTAGAGCTGTTCCAAAATGACGCTCATCCAACTTATTTGACCATTGAATTGGCGCAAAGAGAAAAGGTTGAGTGGAGCCAAGGGAAATCCACGGTCGCTTGGACTCAGGCGTTGGTATCAAAGCCAACTGGAAGCGTTCCAGCCATCATCGCAATTTCTACAGACGACACTCACAGTACTGTCTCGACCAAATCAACTAAAACAGTTGTTTCGGTAAGCGGCGCAAACTGGAAATTCGAGTTTGATCGAGTTCGCGGACATCTCAAGAAATGGACTCACAATGCCATAACCATTCTCGAGCCGGATACAGCAACAGGGATTGCTATGATCCCTGGATTTTGGCGTCCTCCAACAGATAATGATGTTCCCTCAGCAGCACCATATTGGAAAAGATTTGGAGTCAACAGTCTCACAAACCAACTTCGGTCGTTTGACACGTCCTCCACCGAAGATGGCGGTGTCTGCATTGAGAGCGAGACGTTCCTCTCCCCCCAGTGCTCTCTTGGGGATGGAAATGCTTCGCACGATACATAATCAAGCCCAATGGCTCCTTGGCAATAAACATGAGCTTGAAGCCTACCGGCACGGCGCCCAAAACTGTCCCACGAGTTGGCCTGAATCTCCGAGCGAACTCCAAGCTACAGGCTGCCCACTGGCTCGGACTGGGCCCTGGTGAATCTTACCCAGATAAGAAGGCGGCCCAGTCGTTTGGTCTTTGGAATAATGCCATCGCGGGCCTCGAGACTGTCTATGATATTCCACAGGAGAATGGAAACCGCACAGACACTGCGTGGGTGGAACTTCGTGCTCCTAATGGCACAGGCTTCCGCGCAAGTCCACAAGAGCCTACAGTAGTCAGCGGGGGGGACAGGAAGCTTGAGCTGGAAGGCTAGCCGTCACTCTGATGAAGCTATTGAGGCGGCGCGGCACCCTTGCGATCTTGTTGAAGACGATGCATTGTTTGTGAGGTTGGATGATCAAGTTGCTGGTGTAGGCACTGCAGCCTGTGGCCCGGGACCCATGGAAGAGCATTTGGTAAAGGTGCAAGATATTGCCCTCAGCATGTTGCTAGAGCCTGTTTCTTAATAGATTAAAGATTGAATTGAACTTTGCTCTCCACATGACCAGAATATTTGCATCCCAGACTTCAATTCATGAGAGAAACATCCATGGATCCCGAGGTTTCGCTTGAGATATTAGATAGCTTAGATCGTACCTGGACCTTCGGAAACATGCTCGTCTAATTAATTGTCCGTTACTTCAGTGCGTAATAACATGCGAGAATCCGTTCTTAGGCGATCTTGGAAGATTTTGCTTGGAACAACCCTGGGAAATTTGACGATAGTCGTAGAGATAGATACACCAGCCGCTCAATTAATCTTGATATTCACCATATATGGAACAATGTAAAGCGAAGTGATGGACAACTATAAAATTGGCATCCAAAAGAGTCACGTGTAAATTTGGTTTCTTACCCGTTGGGACGAGATTTCGGGAGAGTACCTCACGTCCATGTTTTTGCTGTCTTGCCTTGAGATCTCCCGGTCGCTGCTCGTTTAGTCAATTACTTTGATATTCAAAAGGAGTCTGAAAGTATAACGGCTCAATATGAAGAGATTTAGGGCGGCTCGAGCAGTTCGTTTTCAACCCTCGCCCGGGAGGTAGAACACCAAACTAACTAACCACTCGCTCACAGTGCGATTCATGCCGCCAACGCAAAACAAGGTGAGTGCTAGCTTGCGCGATTCATCAATTGCAACTTTTTGACATAATTGATAGATGTGATGCTCGGGATCCATGTGGGCCCTGCACAAGCTTAAACCAAGCGTGTTTATACGGGACAGATGCCATCTCGTAAGATAGAAGAAAGCCCATCACTGACGGATGATTCAATATTGATACACAAACAGAAGAGGCAAGAGCGAAATGATACTGGACACAGTGTTGCGAATGGAAGCTTCCATCGAAGAACTAAGAAGCATGGTCGTACGTTGACAGTGGCCCAACTCCCAGGGTTGCTTCTTACTGATGATTCTAGGCTACTGGCTCGGGATCGAATGCAACATGCACTGGGCAAATAAACACGACATCACCGGTCTCAACAATGACCTCAAATTCTCAGGATACTCGCCATCAGCCTGGCGGGTGCACGATCCGAGACCCGACCGAAAGTGCCGTGCTGTCCTCGGGGCATCTCTCATCGGCAGAGTCGCTTTTGAAGTGGTCTGTCTTTCTTGACCATCCTTCGATCTTGAATGAGACGGAGACCTCATTTCTGTCACTCGAGTATGGGCGCACACCTTTACGAAGCAATCTCTACGCCATATTTCCCAGCCTGGGGCTATCAGAAATAAAAGCCATGGTGAATATATTTCAACAGACTTACAATTTCTGGTTCCCCACCATGAGCTTGGGTGACCTCAAGTCTGTGGAGATGCGAATATACCAAGAGAGCTTGGAGCCAAGTTGCCAGTCGTGTTTGGCTTTATTGGTCATGGCCTTGAGCTGCGTTGGAGCCTCTGTGGTGAATGAAGAAATGCCCGAAACTGAGTCTCAACAGCTCAAATTACAAGGAGCGTCATGGTTCACCGCCGCAATGAAAATGCTTCACTTGGCTCACATTGATATGAGCGTTGAAGCTTGTCAATGCCTCTTGCTGACTGGGTAGGGCCATCTACCTTCCTGTGGAATCACACAACTCCAGACTGACCACCATCTAGCCTCTACTTCTCTTTCCTACAAAGACCACTTCAAACGTGGTCTTACGTGAATAGCGCAGCAACTCGCTGCCGTTTCCTACTATCCTGTCCTTTCGACAACCCGGAGCGAGATGATAGAGAACACATTACCCGAATATTCTGGTCTTGCTTTGTCTTAGAAAGGTAAGCATACCCTAATCAGCCACTGAAATTTCTACTGATCCGCTACAGCAACTATATCTCCGAGCTGCCCTCACTTCCACAAAACTGCAATGCTGAGATTGAATCAATAATCTCACTCCCGGGCAAGTTTCATTCACATGAATCAATCGAAGAAGAAGAAAAGTCAACTTTCTATCTGCTCGCATCAATAGCACTTCGACGCCTTTTAAACCGAGCCCACTACATGCTTTACGATCGAGATATCGGCCTTCAAATTAACTCAAATCATTTCCCTTCTGTGAACCAGGAGCTAGCAAGGCAATTGCAAGACTGGTACCAGACACTTCCATCAAGTTTACAATTTCCGGATGATGGGAATCCCGCCGATGATCCAAATAGCGAGTACTTGAGACAGTGGTACCTCAGTTGCCGCAGCGTGATCTATCGTCCGTATCTAGAATGGGCACTTGCTAATCCATCATGGAACCTCCACACTAATCAACGCGTGTTTGATGGATGCCGAGTGGCTCTTGATACTTGCCTGTTCAAATTAAGGCACTTCAAGCACGTGCCATACACCGTCATGGTCGATACTTGGCCATGCTCTCTTTCGTGGGTCCCCGATTGAAAATTGGTTGTTGCGCTGAGAACTTTCTAATTTTATGGCCGCTCTAGACTCGCGACGGCGATGTTGACAGTGATGGGTGGCTTTTGTCACCCCCAACTGACTGTACACCTCCGAAATCTTGCTTTGCTGGAACTGGGTCCTCACTTGAAGTCACAATTACAGCGATGGATGACAATACATGCCTCTTGTATCTCTCCTGGTGTTGAGAAGGCACTGAGACTGATATTGAATGCCCATGAATTTTTTGAAAGCAAAGTCGCAGACTTGAATCCCTCTGCTGAGGAAGAGCAAACGCTTTCTCCCCATGCAACTCGGGTGTTCCATGGATAAACAGCTGTCTGAAACTTGAGCTCACCCCCAAAGCACATTCATCTCTACATCTGAGGATTGGGTGGGAATAGCAATCTTTCTTTCAGAAAACAAAGCTTGGTCAATATGTGAAACAAGCAAAGACGAGATCTCCTAAGGGAACCAGATGATATTATAAAATTTTGAACAAAGCAAAGCGCAACAAAATGAGATATCATTTTGTGTTTCCTCCCAAAATTGAATCTAGATCCTAACCATGACTGTTTAATCGTAGGTCCACGATTTAAATCCATGCATGGGATCCAATATGGGGAAGGCATCTCTTCAAACCGCAAGGCCATTTCAGTAGTTCATGATACAGGTTAGAGTAAATACCACTGCAGCCTTTAGGAACAGTCCGAGTTGAGCAAACCCATAGTGAAAATTATTCAAATAACGAACATATGATTCCGCAAAGTTTCAAACCAAATATGGAACGCCATCAACAAGCACCAGGCATAGCGGCCGCGCCCCTCTCGTGATGAACTTCTTTCAATCACCCTTCTGTCCAGTATATTCACGGCGTAGCTCGCGTTCGCGGTCTCGAACCCGTTTGCTATGTGATCGCTTGTGCGATCTACTCCGCTTTGGTTTCTCGTCATCTTGTGGGGATTCGTCCTCATTCGGCAAGGCCTTGTAGCCGAAGAGGGATTTCATCCAGCTCAACATCTTCAAGGCTGGAGGGTGGAACCGAGTATTTTCACCTACCAAAATCAGCCTTATACAGCGAACGCTCAAAGAAGACTTACCATAGGATCTCACGATATGTGTTGGGTGAAGTTGAGGTTCAAACAGACGATTTAACGTGGGGGCGGTTCTTGGCATGGACATCGCGTGAGTGTGAGACACTTGCAAGCTTCTTATTATAGGATTTGGAGAGGGGACAATCTTTTCTCTCTGCTCTGGGGTGCTGTTTGAAGTTTTCTGGTATTTTCTGCTCTGGTGTAGCACGGGTATTAACCCTTCGACATGAAACCAGTGCCTTGAACGCAGCCAACATATTCACATTCAACCTCATCCGCTTTCAAGACCGAAGTCTCAACCCACAAACAAATCTTTCCATTCTCCATCGCTCCACCAGGTCCATAAGACTCAAGGAATCGTCTCCTCAAGTCAGCGTGACCTTTATGGAGACGCCCAATCCGCTCCATGTGGCCGAGATCCCTAAAAAAGAACAGTTGAACTTTTTTATTATAATTCATCGCCCTGGGCTCGGATTCACGGAATGTACCACTTTCAGGCTCATAACAGAGCCTGGCATCGAGGATTCCAGCTTCAGGTCCTGACTTGACAAGGTCCGAAATCCATTCATTGACGGAGCTATCGAAATTGTCAAACCAGTACGCGCGCTCGTCGGCCGTGAGAGCAGAATGATCCTGGCCTTCAACTACAAAGCACAAGTTCTCTGGAAATTCCGTGAAATGTACGCGATCAGAGTCGTTCTTGGATGCCATGTGAGGACAAACAGAGCCCGAGTCTGTTGCAAACTTGTCGGTGGCCGCATCCGCCATGCGTTGCCGATAGCAGCCCCAGTATCCGGCATGTTCACCGAGAGAGGCCCGGTCGCCCAAGTGACCCATCCCTGTTTTGGACAATTGGTTGGTTCCATACTGGGTTCGACGAGGGGAGGGTTTCAGGATCTCCCTCCACATGCCGGACCCGGCTGACAGAGTGTTCCAAAAATGAACAACTTCTTTCTGATTCCACCAGGATTCATACTGCGCATTTGACTTCCAGTAGGCTAACCAGATATGTGTTCTTCCGCCAGCAATCGATGCACAGCCATCTTGTATCAATCGGTCGACGTGGTCGGGGTGTCCGGTGATCAAATCATTGAATCGGGTTTTAAGATCTGATTGCTCTTCATTGGGCTGTCCGGTGGGATATTGGATCCCAAAAATGGAATAAACAAAAGGCTTGTCATCGGGAAATTTCACAGTCCACATCGTGTCTTTGAGAGGGTTGGAGATGAAACAGTGAGACTGATAAGCACACTCGACAGTTCGTATGATAGCCATGTTTTATGTGCCCAGATGTGCGGAGCTTATAGTCTCCGCAGAATAGGCTATCTAATACGTAAAGCAGATTGTCAATGCGGAGGCTCATTTTGAAAGTCGCACCGGAGCATAAGCCACCTACGGGTACAATTTCTCTTTCTACATTACTGGCTCGGTTTTCTTAAAGTAATTGGATCTACGGCGTGAGGCCTGGTTTACAACTATAATAGGCGGTCATGCCTGGAAGTGATGCCTAGAGGTCAAATACTTGTGCAGTACCATCGAATAGACCAAAATAGCATTACCTCAAGAAGACAGAGCTAGTAGTTTAGAAAAGGAGATTATACTTATAGGAGGCTAATGCTGGGGCGCGAGTTTTGAAACTGACCTTCGTGTTCTATACTACGTACTACGTTGGCCACTTTGGGGCTCCAAGGTTTGTGGGGTTGGACACATCTGCTGATATTTGATTGCAGCCGATTGGCCGAAAGAGCGAGATAAGAATTTCGTTTTCTAGGCAGATTGTCACAAAATGGGAAAGATAGATGGATGATTCCGAGATAGCGAATACTCAATTTGGTTGCGGAGGTTTAGGCTCCGCAGATTGATCGGCGGGCGAGTGCGGAGAAGTCGAAGTGGGGAAGTATAAAGGCATGTTAGGTACGGAGTATAAATCTTTGCTGCACGATTTCATATATTCTTCATCTTCATACCTCCAAGGAATTCGGGGTGTTATACTATGTCTTCTAAAACAATTCGTGTCGCTGTTACTCAAGCCGAGCCAGCGTGGCTAGATTTGGCTGCCGGCGTGGCGAAAACCTGTACTCTGATTACGGAGGCTGCTCAAAGCGGCGCTGAGTTGATTGCATTCCCAGAGTGTTGGATACCGGGATATCCTTGCTGGATCTGGTAAGTAGATGTATCAAATGTGATCTGGAGTCTTGCTGACGAGTGATTCGCTAGGAGTCGTTTTCTGGATGTCGGGCTCAATGTGGCGTACATCAAGAATAGCATTGCACTTGACTCCCCGGAGATGGATCAGATTAAAGCATGCGCCAACAGTAACTCGATTGCCGTGTCACTGGGCTTTTCTGAGCATGATAACAATTCGGTCTATATCGCGCAAGTGATTATAGGTAGCGACGGAGAAATCAAATCGCACAGGCGGAAGATGAAGCCTACTCACATGGAAAGAACTATCTTTGGAGACGCGTCGGGAGAATGTTTCAATGGTGTGGTGGAACTCCCCTTCGCGCGCGTTGGAGCACTTTCCTGCTGGGAACACATCCAGCCTTTGCTGAAATACTTCATGATCTCGCAGAGAGAAGAAATACATGTGTCAGCATGGCCCAGCCTTACACCCCACACCGGAAAGTCCGATCTATGGTCGATGTCTGCTGAAGGTAAGGAGCCACTTGGATAAATCACATTCCACGTTACTTACATTCTGCAGGATGCCACAGCCTGTCACAGACATACGCCATAGAGTCGCAGAGCTTTGTTTTGCACTGCACGGCGGTATTAACCGAGAAAGGAGTGCAAGCCATGGACACCAAGGGAGGAGTTCTGATGAATTCACCAGGGGGAGGCACTTCGGCAGTGTTTGGTCCTGATGGAAGGAGGCTGACAGAGCCATTGGATCCCACCTCCGAGGGAATTGTTTATGCTGATCTTGACATGGACCAAATCGTGGCAACCAAGCTATTTGCAGATGCCACCGGTCATTACAGTCGCCCGGATCTCATGTGGCTCAATGTCTGCAAGAAGGTGAAGAAGATGGTTCAACCGAATGAAGATCTTGTTGTCACCACAGCGGAAGAGTGAATAATATAGAGAATTACTGAAGAGAAATTGATTACAAGGTGTTTTGTTCAAAAAGCAGTTACCTGGGCATCGATGTATCAAGGAAGATAAATGCAGTGATAAAGCCCAAAAGGGGTGAGAGTGATGCCTGCATTCTCAGGGTGTAAACAAAGACCGTCCTCCTTTTTCATATGACTTGTCCTTACTGTCCTTATTCATACGGAGTAATGTCCTACAATTTCCCATCGGCTTTTTGAAACCCACGAACCGATACGGAGTAGACCACCATAAGATAAAGGGGCGCAGACAGCGCGGACAGTGCGACTACCGCGGACGAGGCGGAGAAGACAGAAGGCGCGGGCGGTGCGGAACGCGCGGAATCATTGCCGCTCTGTACGCGCCAAGACTTCTTATCTGTCGACGTATGAACTCCCGTCCTTCCACAACGACGACCTTGCATAAGCTTTGATCATGGCACCATGTCAAGCCACAATGGAAAGCTGAATGCTTTTGCCTGTGAACAATGCCGGGCATCGAAACGTCGAGTCAGTCCTAATACATCCATAAGAATAACCCCGTTCTAAGGCTAACATCCTCTTGAAGTGCGATGGAGCTCAGCCACAGTGCTCTACCTGCGAGAAATCCCGCAAGGATTGTCAATATATAACGGAAAAGAAGCCTCGAAAGCAGGTATTTCCATTCTTGAGGTCACCACAACAATGCTAACCTTACTGGCAGACGGAAATACTGGGACGAAAGCTACGTCAAGTCTCTGGAGAACCAAGTGCAAGCATTATTAGCTCTTCAAAGCCACAAAGAATCCGAGAACCATTCAAAGCCAGTTGAAGTTGAAAACGATAGTCCCTCGGCATCAGCTGAACCTCGAAATGACCCTGCATACTTCTTTTTGGAGGACGTGACTCCTGACGAGGACTCAATACAACAATCTAACACAGCAATGGAAGAGATGAGTGTTATGATGTGGAGAACAAACCTCGCAGATGCGGTTCCTATTCAAGATACAGAAGGGGAGATGTATACGGATATTTCCGAAGATGAGACATCTTCGACCAATTGTCATATTCCCCCACAGATACTTTCAATCTGTGGGGACAGTGATCGCATTTACGACTTTGCTTGCCAGTTTTTCGAGAACATCAACCAAGAGCATCAATTTACCGCCTATGAATCCGCAGATGTCTTTTTGGTTTCTCCAAGCCAGACACTTGATCGACTATTTTTGCACTCCGCTTTATTAGCAGCTGGAGCAACGTTTGATGGCAGACCAGACTCGATCGGACTAAGCGATCAGCTTGCAGAGCTGAGTGAAAGTCTAGTCTTCAAATGTTTTCGCCAATCACCATCGATCTACGTGATCCAAGGTCTGATTATACTGTCTTGGCGGTCCTTGGCTCTAGGACACGACCACTTTGGCTGGACATTCTTATCTATGGCCGCTGGACTCGCGGTCCATTTGCGCCTGCATGTTCTTGCCCTGGGTGAGCTTGAATCAAACCCAGCCAAATGCGGGACTGCAGAGGTGCAAACATTCTGGTCATTTTATATGACGGACAGAACATCCATTTCTATCTTGGGGAGGAATTGTATGCTTCCATGGCGACGAGTCAACGTCCCCCCTATAGAAACGCTTTTCCCAAGTAGCACCTCTAGTTTAGCGCAACTGTCATTTGCCTGGCAATGCAGGCTGTGGTACATGCATGATCAAAGGATGGACGAAATGTATGTGGAACGCCGCTGAAACAGAAGGGGGGTTGGCTAACAAGAAACTCGCAGTTTCTCGCTCTCCTTTGAAGAGATCAATGCCAATGATCAAGCTCATCTCTTGCTATCAACACAAGATGATCTCAACAAATTCCTGCGCTCGCATGATCCAAAACTTAACCTCGCCCGAGGAACAAACGCAAAACCAGTGCTCCTATTTCACATGAGCTATCAAATGGCTCTATTGCTCACGATGCCCCCTTTTCTTCGCCTTTTCGCAAAGTCAAGGGATAAAAGCCCGGAGACTGCCAAACTGCTGGCAGTGGTGCTGCAATCACTTACCTCTGCTGCAACTTCCATGCTCCGCTTGGTTCAGGAGTACTGCAAAGAGAATGGATTTCAAAAAGCGAACCCACTTCTAATACACCATTTGCTAAGTGCATCAATCGTGCACTTGATGAACACAACTAGCAAATCGCTCACGCTTCGAAGGTATAGTACAAGATCAGTACGGCGATGTCTGTACTTGTTGAGCCAGTTTGGGCAACATTGGACAAACCGATGCCAGAAAAGCGCGAAAGTGATAAAAACATTGGCTTCCAGATGGAATGTGGAGTCTGTACTACCATCTGAAATGAGCTCTATGGAGGACGGTTTCAGTCTCATTGCGCCTGCCACCTTCGATCCGCCCGAGCAAGAAATATCTCTGGCAACGACACATGAACACGATACATTGCCCTCGGATCTGCTTGATTTGAATGATCCGCTGAAAAATCTACTCGACCTTGATGCCGAGTCTGCGACACAAGGACTTTTCCAGGATGGTGAACAGATAATTGGTGATTTCTCGGCTATGGAAGCCTCATTCCTCAATACTGATGACACAGACCTGTTTGAGATATTTGAAGAGTTCAGGAACAATACCCAACAGGAATCGCACTGGCTCCGTGGTTTGTGAGTTTTAATTAACAATTGGGATGCCAGCAAGTGAAGGGGAACTTGACCATTCTCCACGCGGGATAATCTGTTCTTCCTTACTACCAGGACTAGCAACAAAATCCAGCTATCGCCTCTTCATTCTGTGATTGTGGAATATTGAGCGATAGAGACCAAACCAACTATCTCTTTCTCTTTCTCGTCCGACTGGAGAAGAAAACAGACTAAGTTACTCCGTATTTAGTCTGCACTTCGTATCCCGTACTCCGTACTCCGTACAGCGTCATAGGAGCCATGATATCCACTTTTGATACACTAGTCCTGTTTAGGTTAGCACCATCATCGCCTGTTGCCTGGTTTAAGCCACCCCTTACACTGGGCATGTGATATCATCATACGAGATCTTAGCCATCAAATAAATCCACTTCTTCTCCTCAAGTCCCTAGTTACACAATCATATACTTCCACGCTATATACAATGAGCAAAACACCACCCACCGAGGCCGCGCCCGCCTACGAGGACCTGTTTCACGAGCGCGGTGCAAGCTCGCGCAACGGCGTAAGTATATCAGCACAACGCAGAGAAATTTTCAATACATTAACACATACCAATAGTATGCCATGGTTGACCAGACAGATGCGTTCGATTCTCACACAGACGTGGAACAAGGCCATCGCCACCACAGCGAACCTGTTGAGTTAGTGTCAGCAGTCGGTCAGGAGCACACTCATTGTGCAGAATGTGATCGCCAACGAGAACGGAGGGAACGACGGGAGAGTACACAGAAATCATGTGGCATGGTTGCAAAGACCTTCATCATGATAGCGCTCTTCATGATGATTTTGGGTGTTGTCAGTGTCCAGGCTTGGAAGGACGTTCGCATGAATAAGGGTCATAAATAGGTCAGAGAACTTTTGTGATCTTGATCTACGGTTTTTGTAGATTGTCGCCCGGATGCCAGTGATCACCATTCCAGGGTCCTAATTATGCAATTGAATTTGCGACAAAAGCTAGAGCGAGGCGGAAGCAAGGACAAGGCGGTATGTTCATGTTATTTAATTCAATCTTGTTCTTTTCAAGGCGATGGAAATAAAACTTCGTTGCATTCAGAATGAACTCTGCCTATAAAGTGAACTCAAGCAGATTCCCGGCATAGTCACGGGCAAAGAATCGAGAGGGATATTCCTTTCCTTGGGTTCCTAGTAATGTTGTGAGTTTCCAACATGAGAGACGAAAATGTCAACATTGAGCCACTTACCAGAGTCTATTTCACCAGGCTTGTCAGCAGCCATTGGAGCCGCAGACCCACCTCGCACATGGTGTTCGTAGATACTGGTCTTGATTTCCTCGAGTTCCTCACGAGAAGGCAGTTTGAAGCATGGGTGACGAGTGCCACTGGGATCGGTTGTACCAAATGAAATATGAATTTGTTGCCCGCTCGAACCAATATTGAACCTTTTGCAAATCAGAGATGTGTCATATGCAGATCCGGGGTGCATGGAACATACCACAGGATTGTGCCTATCTGCAGCTCCGGTACCGGCGAAGATGCGAGTCCAAGAGTTTTGCCATAGAACTCCTCGGCCTGCTCCAGCGTACCCCGAGGGATCGTGAGGTTGATGTGTGCAATTCCAGAAATCATGGTGTGGCGAGAAGAATGTAGAATATTGTGGAGATCGTGAAGCTCCCTGCAGCTTGTTATATATGGGTGAAGCCACGCGGGAATCAGTTTCCGCGTCGGTGATACGAGATGGTTATATTGCAAATGACTCAACAGCGACCATGCAATATGATAATGCTGATCACAACGCTGGAAATATGCAAAGTGAAGTGACTTGAAAAGTTTCCGGATGTACAAATAGAAGGCGGCATCTACCCCTCCGGGTCGACCACTCCGCATTAGCCGATCTTCTCGGCGCATCTCCGGCCTCGAGCTCGGGCATTTGGTCGACGTATCGCTGTCTGTCAAAAATTAAGCATTCGGGTTTTGATACTACATTTGGAGTTTTTGTGTGATGACGTATTTATCTCATCTCAAACGCATTATCGCCTGCATGAAACTACCTCAACAGCCATCCCAAATACTTTATCTCTTCTTCTTTTACCATTTTCCTCGCGTCATCCAGAGTCAAGAAGTCGTGATCATTGAAATCGAAACCCGGAACAACCGTCTGCTTCTCAATTAGCTCAATCAACAAACAATCCACAGTGCCGAGCACTAGGCGACTCGCTGGCGACATTACCTCGCTGATCAACAAATTCGATTCTCCCTCTTCCATACTAGAATCAGGTATCAAGAAACTGGCCTTATAGTTGCCACCTTCAACTATCCATTGCAGCCTCTCTCCGCCGGCGATGTCACGACCAACTCTGAAAGTTTCAATCTGAAAGTTGTTGAGCCCGTGGTCGTTGTCATTTTTCAGTATAACATAAATTCCCCTGCCTTGGTGGAGAGTATGAACAGTGCGACTCGCATTGCGATGGAAATGGCCTATCGAGCGCTTTGGGGTGAGAAGATAGAAGATACTCGTACTCAGGGGCCGCTGCTCTCCTGTGTTATGTGAGTACTGCGCCGGCTGATACTTTCCACCTTCCAGAGTGATTTGGCGTGCATCGCGGTCGGTTTCGACAAAGTATCCACCTTCAATGTGCGTTTCCATGTTCAACAAGTCGATGATTCTCTGAACGCCTGCTCCCTCGGCGTGAGATCGATCAGCGGGAGTGAGGCTCAATTGCCACGACTGAAGCTCTTGCAATGAAACTTCCATAATGTTCCGAGTCCAAACCCAAGAGAGTCGGAAGCTTGGAAGATACTATAGAAAGCCAAGTTGTTCAGCTATGGCTGATGATATTGTGCTAGTGCTAGCTTTTATCGGGGAGGTAGGGGTCATGCACTCTGTGGGCAGGATTTGGAGCAACTTGGAAACCTTGGAAGTCCGTTGAACGGACCCTAGGGTGGTTCAAAAATGTGACCTCATTATAACATCTCTGATGAAAGTCATCTGTCCAATCAAGTTTCTTTACGTCAGTAACTAGTATCTACCGACCAGCACTATAATATATCGTCTAAGTTTGCTCCTCTTCGGAGTCTTGTATACAAATATCATAATAGGACCTCGAGATAGTCGAAGGTGCGTTTCCAAGGTTTGATGGCCTATGGGTAGGATATTCTAAGGTCCGTCCACGCGAGCAGTGGGGCTGGTGCCGATGCCCAGCCCTGGAGGTTGTACAAAATGCAGTCTTCTGCGACACAGTTATTTGCGCTGTACCTGTGAACACTGCTTGCCTTTAATGATCAAATCCCAAAGCCACATATCAAGTTGTCTTTCAATGAACAAGATCTCAGGTGAGAGTTTGGATATAGAAGGGAATCTTTCTGATCCGTTGTAATAAGCTGACAGCGAAAGAGATATTGCACCGTACCACATGTAGAGATTTAAAATAGGCTGTTTCAAATCTAAGACAATATTTCCGATGAATGGAATTTTTATCCGAGAATCGACAGAATAAAATCGCCGATTGCTCAGAATTTAAGCTTAAAATCCCAAGTCACATGGCGGCTACGTCATCGTGCACATCGTGACAAAATACTTTGTCCCCCACCTTTTCAATTATTTCCGACCACTTTCTCCAAAATGGCCATCACCACATTGGCGGACCCTCTTACGGTCTTTCCCCCTGAGATTGTCCTGCAAATTCTGCAGTTCACTCCAGTTTCCGCGCTCGCGTCTCTTACCGCAGCCTCTAGAGCCTGGCACGAATTCATCGATGTCACCCACCAAGAAGTCATCTACACCGCCGAGTCCAAAACTGCCCAACCCCCAGGAGGGGCTCGCGACTTCTCCTTCCTCTCCGAATACCACAGCTTCGCGAAACTATTCGAAGGCACCGAATCATGGAAAGACCTATGCAAGCGTCAGACACTGCTCGCCCGCAATTGGGCCGAGCCACGCCCCATGAGCCAAGAGTCAGTGCTGCAAGTTGGGAATGATCCTGTGTGGAGATTCCGTGCCGATTTCAAGCGCCGCTTCTTCATCTCCAGCTCCCACGCTGGTGGGCTGAATGTGACCGATATGGATACCGGGGAGATCTTGTGGCAGCTCCCTTCAATGCTGGACACTGATATAGACGGTGTTCGACCATACGCGCACTTGGAGTACCAAGACGGTATGATTGTGTTTGATAGTGTTGGGGATTCTATCGAAGTTTGGCAGGCGGACCAGCCAGGTGCTAAGCGTGGGGAGTTCCAACGCATCGGCATCTTACGACACGATTGCCAGACTAGAGGGTTCCAGCTATCGTACTGGACCCTTTGTGTCGTTTCCAACGAGGGACAAGGCTTTGTGTACGATATGACAAAGCGACCGCCTCAATTGAAGACTCACCTGAAGATCGAATCTGAAGGTATCGGGCATTTAGACCAGAGCGAGGATATCGTGATATATTCTATGGGCAAAAAGGGTTACTTCGCCTACAATAAAGAATCTGGTGCCTGTCTCGGCACTCTCCACCCATCACAGGTGACAGAGAAATACCACGTTCGCCCACCCCCATTAAACACATCATCCGCAGGCGCTGCTCTAGCAGGAGCCGCGCGCCTTGGCCCAACTCATCGTTTCTTCCCACCAGGAGCTCCCCGGAAGGACTGTCTAGTCCCTATTGAAATCTCCAAGGGTCCGCTTTCTCCGCCAGAAGACCCAGAGCATGTCCGACATGGGGAAGACGACTGGGGTGCAGGAATGTTGCACGGCGATCTGTTTGTGGGCTTCTCGCGCGCAGGACGGGTCTTCATTTGCTCTGACTTCCGCAAAGCTCTCCGGGATCGAGCTGGTCTTGAAGCAAATAGCGCGATCTTAGAGTGCGAGTCAGACGGGTCAAGCTTTGACCTTGGCGGCTGGTTATCGATTCGTAATCACCGCATCATGTTCGAAATCCAAGATCGCATTTACGTCGTCGCTCTTGACGATAACGATCGTATTCCAGATGTCGGAAAGCCTGCTCCGGCCTCATACTCCCTCCTTACAAGTTCCGCCCCACAACTCGCTGTCCCGATCAGTTATATGGCACTGGCGGATGATGCTATAATGACCACTTACACAGTAATTGCCCCCATTCATCTATTCCGGAAGCGATTGCTAACATCTTTTTCTTGGTAGACTCTTGGCTGGCGTGATTCAAACGTGCCTGGCGGACAACCTCAACCGCAGGGCGCAAACCCTCCCCGCGTCTTCCCCACAAAAGCTATCCGCATCGTCAGCCTGGCCCCTGGACTATCCGAAAAGTCTGCCTCAGCTGCTTCCAATATGCCTTCAGCCGACGATGTCGATGGGCAGAATGCCTCTGGTCAGACTCTGCCCGGGGAAGACGCTTGGCGCACACAAGCCGGACTTTTACAGTTGCTGAGCATGCTTGGGGACCAAGCGGGTTTTGATGAGACCGATCTTGAAGAAGACGAGTGGGAGAATGTGGAAACAGGTGATGAAGATGATTTTTCAGATGAAGAAGCAAATGACAATCAAGAGGCATAGTCGATTCGCTGAGTCGATGCTCGAAACACAAGCACTCAATTCCCCGGTGGTAATCCAAATCTCACGTCGAGGCCCTTTGTCATGTTCTAACAGACTCTCGCCCATTACGTTAATGGTTACTCTATCTCCAACACTAATGACAGTCTCATTCAGGGTACATCACAGGTAGTATCCTCCACTGTGAGACTCAGGTCCGGGCAGAAGAGATGACATCATGCAACCTCATCAAAGGTATCCATACAACCGAAAATACCAATTCAAATCGAAGGCATCAACACAGGGGAAAATTCTTCATGTCAATTGTTCGACAGTAAGATGCAAACAATAGCAAACTGCAAAAGGAAGGGGAGCCCAGCCTCACCAACAGATCCGGGAGCGGCGATCATTTCCCCATTCGGCAAAGAATACGATTGCGAAGTAGAAGACTCCACTCAGTAAGAGTATTCTTAGACTATTTCGAACTCTTCTGCCTCCAATATGCACTCCAAGCGAATACGAAATCTTATAGTTTAAATTCAAGGGTTTCCGTATTTAAAGAGAAATTTCCCCCAACGAAGCCCATATCGATACTTCAACCACTGTGAACGCGAATGACAGCAACATTTCTATTCACCTCTATCCACACCCCATTCCTAATTATCTACAAGCCGCGGCGATGAATCTGTCTATTGAACGGAGTCCGACTCTCAAGTTCCGCCTTCACATCATCATAGGGTCCTTGGTATCTGTCGTATTCATCCTCATCATCGCACGAATTGCCAACAATGGCACTCCGAAAACACGGACTAATATCTGGGGCATTGCTGTAGTAAGTAAACTCCCTTCAACATTCAACATACAGACCACTAATCATACCCAAGTGCCTCAAATCAGCAGTCTTCATGGCCTACCAGATCATGACAACTCATATGAATCGGCTCAAACGATGGGCAAGCACGAAAGCATACATGATCTTGAACATCATCGATACAGTCTTTTGGTTTGCTTTGTTTATTATCACTATTATGGGAACCATGGGATCGACTACTGAGAGCAGTCGTGCACTGGGGGGGTATCACGGCTACGCTTATTTTCTTCCTCTGGTGAGTGGTGGTTTCTTTGATCCGACAATTGAGCTGTTCCAACTGACCCTTTTAAAGCGGCTTTGCTGGGCTCTTATCATTTGTGTCAATTCGAGACAGGCGCTGGTTCAAGGCCCATGGGGCTCTTCCCGGGCCTGGAATGGTCAAACATTCTGTTATATCGTCTTGAGCAGAATTGCTTCTAGATGGTTTCTGGGTCCGGAGAACGAAAGCAATCACTTGATCCATGTCGTCTACGGGCACAGTAATGGTTTCTCTCTACCTATTTCTTTGTGCAACCGAAGGACTTGAACCTTGGAATCTAGAGCAGACCCTGGTTCGGGCGAAGTACTATATGATTCATGACAATTGAGATGACTAAAGACATGCTGATCCGGTGATACCTGACAGTTCTTAGCTTTGCCATAATCTTGAACTCTAAATACGTTCGCCCCTTTCAAGGCTCAAGATAACGTTGTACATGGATGCATACTAAACCCCCGGGGCCTCTCTGGACAGATCCAACCATGCAAACATATCAGTAACTTGCCATTCAGATCCACTGTGAGCTCTCTCTGTAATACTCAGGCTCAGGCTTAGGATCTGTCAACTCAGTAGCAGACCGAGATTCAGGCAACGTAGCGCCCTTAACCGAGTCAAGCAGCCAGCCAGGGTGAACCAAGTTAAAGACAGCAGAAGCAGCAACCATCATCGCACCATCCAACACAATAAAGTAGAGCTCATGGGTAATCAAATACCCTCTCCAGCCCTGAAGCAACTCGATCGTCCTGTAGATACTCCGCACATAGATACACAGAACGGAGAAAACCATTGCAGCCATCAGTAAAATGAATGAGACTGATGCTGTTCGTAGGACACCCATCTTCCTTACGCGCCGTAGGAAGTCTGCAGCACAGATGACAAATACTGTGATGGAGGCAAGTTGGAAGAGAACGCCTCCTACCATGGTGTTTGACCCTGGTGTTGTGTCGCCGCCCTCTTTGGCAAATGCTGCGGAAGCTAGACCACCGCCCAATGCTTGGACTACTAGTGAGACAACATCACAGGTGCAGAAGATCCAAAGGTATGCTTTTGGGGACAGGATTGAGGACTCGCGGCCGAAGATTTGAATGAAACGGCCGAGAAGGATGTAAATGCCAGCCGTGAAGAACGTGGGGGCTAATTTGGAATTGAGATTAGTGATGGCTCTCTTGGTGAGTGTATTCGAGACTCGCCAATGATTAAAGTGGAAATTTGCATCAAAAATGCATTCTGGTTATAAACACATCTAGAAGACCATGTCCTGGCTGCCCAGCCAAGTAACTCCACTAGTACTGATATCAGCATTTAAAACAGCACTGAACTATGCCAGACATTCATACCTAGACATCCAACTGGGAAAACACACATCCACCACGTCCGCTTCCAAGAGAATTGTACAATGTGGACGAACAATGAAGCAGCGAACAAGGCACAGAACACAATGCCGACTGTTTCTGACGGCACATATCCATAAGCCGTCTGCCAACCAGGATGATAAGGATGACAACCGCGATGCAACTCGGCCTGCTGAGTCTTATTGAGAACCTGGTGAATGTTGGACATGGTTGGGTGGGAAAAATTAGATATTAGTGGGAGAAAAAAGCGAAGCCAGGCCAGCCTGGAGAGAAAATAAAGCGTCCAGACAGCTAAAAGAGAGAAAATACGATCTGATTATATAGTCCAAGGCACAGTAGGAACCGGGACAATTACTCGAGAGGGACGATCGACACTAACGCCCAATGACAGCCCGAGACTCATTTTCAGGATGAACTCCCCGGGCTCCACTGAGCCCTAAAACTAGCCGTTGCGAGGCGCATATGAAACTGCCTAGGGGGACTGAAGTTTGAAATGGGATTTAGTCTCAATTTTCAACTCACCAATCTTTTTGACGGGTCCTGCTTTTCGTCCTTGCTTTTTGCTTTGACTCGTTTTCAACGTCATTTCTTCGGCTTTCGGAGTTGATCACAAGTGTAGATCCCTGGGGTTAAATATTTGGATTACAGGAATGCTACTGATTTCGTGGGGTCGTAGATGAAAAATATTATAATTATTGAAGGGTTCATTGGCAAAACTTTAACGCTCAGAGAAAACAAATCCGAAACAAAAAGGGCTGCAGTAGTAGATGCATCGACTCGTTCGGCACGATGTATCACGTTGACCTAAGCGATGGCAAGGTTGGCTTCATTTATTCCACACGAAAGGTGACCAACAGAAAGCCTGTTAAACTGATCACAAGTCTAAACAAACAAACAACAAGACACCGAAGTCCATTCAGGGTATTCATAAAACATAAACATAGATGTGATCATAAGTTTCAATCCAGATCAGTCGCTGGGCCGTGCTTTACAATGACGCATTGTTCCGGCCCAAGAATCAAGCAAGCTGGCGCTCAATATTGCGGGGGCCAGTCAGCAGAGACGGCGGGATGGGAGGCACGGGGCCGCGGTATGAACCGGGAGGAGGTGGTGGAGGTGGAGGACGACCATACTCCGGGCGGGCGTGGGGATGTGGGTAGGGATGGGGGTGAGGTGGGAGTGGCGGGCCCGGGGAGCCTCCGAGCGCCAGACGGCCAAAATCGCCGGGCAGTCGCTGGGGCTGGTAGCGGTAAGGGCCAGCCGGCGAGGAAGGGTCGACGTAACCGAGAGGAGTGGTAGGGTCGCCGGGGAGAGCGACGAGAGAGGCATTGAGAGTGCGGGCGATGTCATCGAAGGTCACCTCCATCGGGGAGATGTAGGTGGTATTGCTCTTTGCGGACCAGGCAAGAACGTGTCCGCAGACGCGACCGGTCGGACGGTCGAAGACCCATGCGCCAGAGTCACCGGGGGCTGTCGTGGGAGAGAGAGATTAGCTTTAGCTTCAAAAGTCTTACTCGATACGAGCGTGGTTTAAACGTGCTGAATGTTTACCAGCTTAAACAAATGATGAGACAAAACAAAGGGTATCTAATTAAGAATCATACAGACATGAAACAACAACACGGATCCGCTGAAGTGCGCCGCTTACCTCCAAAGTTTCCATGGACGCAAAAGCTGGTTGAAAAAGAATGCCGTCCATGCAGTTTGACTAAGGTCATTGCCTTGGATATCTCCCCGGTTTGTAGTCCACTCGTCCTGCCACAGCAATGGACCTGCAGGCCACCTAGCTCCTCCATCTGGGCTATTCGGTTGAGAAAGATGGGCTGGGGTGGGACTGGACGGCCAGGACGAGCGATGCTGGACCTGGTCGTGTCAAGGATGATGTTGCGGGGGTCCATACGGGCGTCATCAACTTTTATAAGGGCCCAGTCAATCTCGTGCTTGAGACCCTTTCGGGTCCAGCGCCGAACGCCAGAGGAGGCGTGGACATAACCGAGAGAGTGTGAGGCCAAGTGCTCATCATCACGGTCTTCGAGGGATGGAAAAAAATCGTCATGCACGTCATCAATGGCTGGCTGGGTGACAAGGAGACGGGGCTCTTCGCCTGGCTCAATACCTGCGGTATCGCCAATAGATGCAGCATCGTCGTCATCGTCGTCGGGGCCAAGAGAGTCATCGTCCGATGATTCTTCATCTGAAAGCCAATACTCATCATAGCCAGACTCTAGGCCTTGAGATGCTGACCCATCGTCTCCATCTTCCAGATCGGACAGTTCAAACTCAAGGCCAGCCTCTGAGGGTTCTTCCTCGGATTGAGTGTACATAAATTCAGGATTGGAAAATTGCGAGTTGTCGCCGTGCCAATTTCCCGCCGATCTAGAAGGGGCATCTTGGCTAGGGTCTGCAAGGGAACTGCCCTGATCTTCATCTTCGCTGGGAGCTTCCAGCATGTGGTGCACAGTCAGGCCGTATGGCAAGCCGTCGACGAATATCGCACCACCGTATGATACAGGAGGCAGGTGCTCTTCATTTTGAAAGGCTCCTATAGAAGCCCCGCAGAGGGGTCGCTGCTGGTGACAAGGGTTGAGCTCTCGCTGGCGAAAGGGTGTCTCATTCGAGATGTTAGGCCGAGCCTTAGCTGGTCTGCGACGTCGATTGCGTGGTACCTTAGACCGCTCGATGTCACCACGCAGCACGATCAAGTCCCAATCATCCCGACCAAGAGCAAAGTGCTTCTTGAGCGCCATTCTGACCTTTTTCACGCTTCCGCAAGTAATGCAGATGGTCGTTTTGGCACTTTCGGTCGACTCCCCAGTCATAATGAGATTGACTCCGCATGACTCAGATGACTCCTTTAAGATTTTCTGCAGGAGACGACTCAATCGAGGCATCATATGAAAGTTCCACTCTTGGAGATGCTCATCTGGAATTTCCAAATGCGGAAGTCTCTTAACGGTGCGTTTCTTTTGTGGGGGTTCGTATGCTTTGGGTTCGTTGACAACACCCCACTCATTGGTAGGAACGCTAGGGAGTTTCTTGTCAAGGTTGGCAATCATCTCACGCTTTGATGATTTATAGGCATTGACCTTATCCTGGATAGTCACTGGCTCAGGTGTCGGAACGAGTGCAAGTGGGAGGCAATCATCCAATTCTTCTGCCGAAGGCGCCGAGAAGATATCAATGCGGCAGCAAGACCAAAGAATCTTGCAGATCGTGTACATGAAGTTCATAGAGAAGGAGAATGTGCCGTCGGGGTCAGATAGGTCAAGGACCGGGTAGTGGTAGATTTGTGGCACACGAAGACCGAGATCAGTCATAGGCTGTGTGGAGAGATGGAAGTTGGGAGCATCAAGACATAGCTGAACAGCTTGAAGGTAAGCACCACCGCACTTGGGGCCAAGTTTCTTGACGTAAAGGTCTTCCACGCGGTGTTTGAACCACGTGCGATCATACTTCATCTTCCAAAGCCGTCCAACTGGGGCCCACAGTCCGATTTCGAGTAGGATAAGGCCAAGGGAGTAGAGATCATATGCCCACGCGCCATCATCTTCGACTGATCTCTTATCCTCTGGGTGACGATACATCGCGGAGGATAGTGGCTCAGGTGTGGGTCCATCTCCCGAGAACCTTGCCGGGGAAGTGAGATAAGGACGACGGAGATCAGGAGCAAGGCCACTCTCGTCATCACTCGCATCACTTCGACCAGGGAAGAATATGACATTACTGCTGTTAATGTTTCCATGAACAGCATTTTGACTCCTCAAATGGAGTGCAGACATCAGCAAGTCGTATGCCAGCCGAAAACGAGTGTCCAGGTTTGGTACTCTGTTTTCCCGATGCTCATCGGCTGAAGGAAGAAGAGCCACTAAGGGTTTAGGCTTCAACTCTTTAAGCAGGTCGCTGGGATTTTGTAAGAAAGGGAAATAGTCAACAGGCATCTGATAAAGGAACGCATATCGCGCATTGGACTGGTCAATAGAGTAGCCCAAGAATCGCATAAGACCCAAGTGAGAGATCCTAGCATTTTGCAACAATTGCTCGAGAGATTGCTGTAGTTTTTCCATGCGGGAGCTCTTGTTGTCCATCTTAGCTTCTGCTAAAATGGGCATGAACTCGACCAGCACGGAGACATGCGACTCTTTTGTCGAGGCAAGAAGCGGCGATGCAGAAGAGTTCAAGCGCCCAATGGCGCGCGAGTTCGAGGACGCCGCAACGGGCTCATATGGTGGTGGGCAATTATCATGGGCCGCTCCATATAATTGTAAGCTTGAGCGATCGATGAGCAGACGGTTTTGTGGGAGGAAGGGGTTGGTAGAATCGCGATGCGGAGTTGAAGGCGAGTAGGCGAATGGGTCAAACATCTGTTTTGGACTTTGGACTTTCTCCTTGGATTCGGAGAAAGATCCGTGGGAGGAGTCGTAAGGTGAGTTAAGGTTGGGTCGTTGGCGCCGCGCGCTATTTCTGCTAGATGACATGCTCGAGGCCATCGTTCGGCGGGAGCGAGACAGGTCGTAAAGGGTATCAATGCAGCCGGTGAGTTCATTCAGTATGGACTTTGAGCGGGTGATATCTTCTTCCGTCCATTGCGTCTTCAGGGGTGTGTTTCCGAGGGATTCTTTCGATGGGAGATCAACCTTGCGTTCTTTCGAAGGAAGCATCGGCGCATCCAAATGTTGTACTCGTTCGGCGTCATTGAGAAGCTCTTGAATAGAGGACATTACACTCTCGACGACGTCACTGAATCCAGCGGCAGTCAAAGACTCGTCTATATCATTGGGCTGCGCAGCGCTCGCGTCGCTCCAATCGAGACCCCATGACAGTAAGCGATCTCTCTGCTTCTGAAAACTGCCATGAAGGGCGACAAGTTCTGGGTCGTCGAGGGCCTTTGATGCCGTTGTAACACTTTCGCAAGATGTTTTGGTATCTGTATAGAGCTTCGTGAGGCGCCGCTGGAGGAAGCCGCCCCCTCCTCCATGTCGGAGGACTGACATCTTGGCGATTGCGGAGAGAATTGATAAGGAACACGGAGGTAGGATCGAGCGTTAGAGACAAGTCGTTGGTGTGAGAAGGCTCAGCAATCCATCTTTGGAGTCGCTGAAGGACAAAGAGTCCATCGAAGAGAAAAATAAGAGGGTTGAGACACAGTCTGTGTAGTTTCAATGGGTGCCTTGAGGATGGCGATGAACCGATAACCACACGGCGGGAGATCGAGGGAATCCTGTTGCCTAACCAATCAGCGAGCCCTGATGGTGCAAAGTGGGGCCCTCGGCAGGCAGCAAGTAAAGATGGATTATATTACCAGTAATACAGTTACCGATTACGTATTTCGGCTAATGCCTTAGGCAAATTCCAAGATTGATGACTGAGTAGGGTTTGATATAACTTCCCAACTATGCGATGTCTACTTAATGTTATTGAGTAAGAACTTTTTTCCTAAGTATCATGTAACTTGATCAGTTCCTCATCCGGTCATCACTCGCGAGACACCGACATCCCGCGCCCTCTTTTCGCTGAAATTGTGCAGGCGTTCCCCAATCAGGTAAACGTCATCACGAATGGTGGTCCGCCAAGCCGCAACTCTCCTCAAGAGTAGGTGAGACAGCCATGTGGAAAGCACAATCAGTAAGGCGATGGGGTATGCATAGCGATATATGTTGGGTTGTACTCCAACGCTGGAGTAGAAGAAAGACCAGCGCACAATAACCCCAAACGACAGAGGTAATGTGACAGCTGCAGCGGTGAAAAGGAAAAGGGGAATGACCAAGGCACGGGTTGCGATACCAGCTTTGGGTCTCAACCACCCGTCCTTGAAGATGCCATTGATCACAGCAGCTGCCCAAGAATGGGGCTGCCACAAAGTCAATTTGATGGCCATCTGGACATACAACACCCCGAGTGCCCAATCTTGAACCACGTGGACAACATGGGACTGTCCATCGCCGAAGAAAGTGTGCGCAGGGATCAGAATGTAAAGCTCAGTGAGTAGTGCGAAGAGAGATGGGAGGACGATGATGGCAACAGTAACGATGTAAAGAAGCCGAGCAACGTGCATCACGAGCTCCAAGCTCATCTGTGCGGCCTGACGAGGAGATCGAAGGTATGGACCCGAATGAGCCCGCGCAATGTCGTATGCCGTGCGTGAGTAGTATGCCAGGTATGCAAACGCACCGACCACGCAGAGACCGCTCGAGAAGGCGTAGACATCGTTCACCGGGGCCTGGCTGGCGGAATATGACATGATGATCTTCCGCCCAATGATCAGAGGGACAATGGTGATGCCTACTCCAGTGGTGGCGGCAAACAGCCAGATCAGAAGAATAAATGCAGCGATGCGGGTTCGGAAAGAGGGAGGGATGTAAACTTTGGTGAACATGCTACTGGATCGACCGTGAAGGCCATCGGCAAGATCCGGCTTTCCGTCAACACGCTCGTTATCCTCCGTGACATCCAAGAAAACGCGGTTGCCTTTTGGAATGCGGACTTGATCGGAACCAGGAGCTCGGACGTAGCGACCATCCCGCAAGAAGTAAACATCGTGGTTCGCCTGTTCGGCTGCAGCCTGTTGATCGACGCCGATGACTGGATGTTCGTAGTCTCCCTTGCTTCCGGTGAGAAGACCCCACCAAGTCTTGCGGACATGGTAACCTTCTTCCTCGATGTGTCGTTCTGGGAAGAAAAAGTTGCTGAGGCGGAGGAAGTGGGCGCATTTGTGGAACCACCAATCGTACAATTCATGCAATCCATCCGATGGTTTGAAGGATTGGATGATGACCGGCAGCACAAAGTTATAGAACAAGAGATCGACCGGGAACTCGAGCATTGGCGCACTCGCCGACCAGTGGATGGGAAGAACCTCATCAAGAGCAAAATGTAAGCCCCATACAACTCCCCCAAGCACACAATGACCAGTGCACCGTAAACAAGGGCACTGAATCCAATCTTGCGAAGTTGGGTGGTGATGCTTCGTTCTAGAACATCCCTTATCGGGTGGAAAGTCGGATCATCGGGATCACGAATGAAGTCTACAGAAAAGCAATTAGCAGGCCAATCAACACCTAACAGGTGATCAATAACACTTACAAAGGACACCACTCCGTAGGATCTTTCGGCACATAGAGACGAACAGGGCGAAGTGGAACATGTAGCATGTTCCAACGAACCAGTGTACGAAAAGTGATGTGAGGGGCGAGGAGGCTGTGAAGGCAAGGCGAGAGACCACAGTAGCTTCCGAAAAGAGAGGAAGTAAAGCTAGGTCAAGAAGACTGCCACAGTACAGAGGGAAAACAATCATCTCAATTCCAATGATGAGGATGACTTTCATGACTCCACCCGCTTGGATCAGCACTTCAGCAACCACACCCTCGATTCTTTGTCCGCGGTTGGCCCCAGTTAGCAGTCCAGTGATGCGGAGATATAAGAGGCCAACAAGCGATGCGAGGAGATAACCCATCAGAATTGCAATGGCACGATCCTTGGAGTCCCAGGTGGCCAGGTCATAATCAACAGGCGCTCCTGCTGACGCGGCCTTAGCTGCGCTTGCACTCAAAAGCCTCTTTCCCGGAAGAGCGAAGAGCGAGGAATTGCCAAATTCGATGAATTGTTGTTGAACTTGACCAGCGTACTCCTTCATAAAGGTGGTATCAAAGTCGAATTTGAAAGCACCCGGTAGGCCAAGAGTCACGATCCGCAAGGGAATGTCATACGATATGAACTTTGCGGTGACATAGATGGACTGAGTCACAGCGCTGATGCGAGCCTGGTGTAGCTTGAGTGCCTGGTGTGAGAGGACTGAGAACATCGGAATATCAGATTCGTGGAAGACCAAGAACGCTTTGAGCACATTGTTCAAACGCCGGCTGCTAGCATCTATAAGAGAAAGCGATGCGCTGGTGACTGATTTGTTTTGAGGAATCCATTCAACGAGGGGGACAACACCGCCGAGAGGACTCAACAGGATCTTGAAGACAAAGCTGAACCAGTACATGACGTATCCCACGGCGCCAATAAGTGTGTCGAGGACGACATCAGCAACAACCTCGACAGCGGTCAAAGGGACTCCAATTAGAAGTTCTAGGGGATTTGCGAGCAGCACGAGAGCAATTTTTCCCCAGAGGTAGGGAAGCCAGATACCAATGGCTACTGTGAAAGCAATCAAGAGGGCACAGAAAACGCCATTTTGGAAAAGTCCAAAAATGGGACCTTGCATGCCGATGAGATCCATGATTCCTTCGAAGTCATCGCCATCAGCAGCTTCAAGGTCGTTGGGATCTAGCCCAGCTTCCGCGGCGGCGGCAGCATCGGCAGCAGCATCGGCTGGCTCATCCACCACTCGGTTAGGCAAAGGCACGAATGGGTCTTCCAAGGCCGGATCTTGAACGATGTGCTCGTCGTCCTCGGGCACTGGCTCTTCTGCGTCCCGCTCTACAGGTGTGATGTCACCCCAGAACCAATCGATGATTCTTTCGGTGACGGCTTGTGGAGGCCGATCAATCGGTTGCTCGTTGAGAGATGTGGCATGTTCACCAGCTGTTGCTTGTTGGTCCTCCGGAGTATTCTCGGCTTCAGAGCCTTCGCGCTGAGCATCGGTGCTACCTTCCCCGGCGTTGAAGTGGAGCAATCTATCATCCGGATTGTGGGGCTGGTTTGAGGGACCTGCGGCCGTGCGATCGATAGTGACCCCAGTCATGGCGTTTACAAACCAGTCAAGATCATCTCCATGAGCCTCTTCCCGGAGTATCCGCAACATCTCATCGTGATCACCATGTGTCCGGGCAACAAGATCTCGGAAGGCCAAAGCCCTGGCCGTTGGAGCAGAGTCATCTGTCTCATCTTCCGGGTCAAATGTGTTTTCCCGCGGTTCTGGCTGGAATGCAAGGAGACCATCCTCGGAATCAGTCCACGACGGAGCTGGTGAGTTTGGGGCGTAAGCAGGTAGGTCGTCATCTTCTGCCTCATGATCGTCGGCAGGCTCATTGTTGATCGGGTTTTGTGGCTGAGCAAGAGCTTGTGCGGGTTGGTCAAAGCCCCCTTCTTCATTGAAGCGCTCGTTGAGTCGGTTATTGGCATTGGCAATCAGCTGGAGAGCTGCTTCGCGCTCTCCCTCTGCGATGTTTGCCATCGGTTGCTGCTGAACAACCCACTCCCGAATGAGGAACAGCAGGATAAACGCAAGAACCACCAAGAGGGTGATCAATTGGCCTTCCAGTGTGTCAATGATCATGTTGTTAATTGTGGGATACGGTGTCAATGTTTTTAAGAATTTGACATCCGAAAGCCATGAGGGGTACCGTGGCTTGGCTGAGCTCACAGTAGAGTTCTGCTCTGCGCTCGTTTGTCCGACAGTCGAAGTAAATGCAGGCATGAAGAGAGTAGGAACTAGTTTTTTGATCATGGTGAGCATGAGTGGCTCGCCGGAAGAAAGATTAGAAATGGATGATGGTGATGCAGACGGTGCGGCCATAGATGAGATCCCCGTACTTGAGGTTTTAGAGATTGACTCGACGATAGCAGCATTCACAGCGCTTCCATTTGACCCTAAGTGACCTAGTCCTTCGTTGGCAAATTGTGCGGCCTGGTTTCGAGCATGTTCGGTGGCAGACCAGCGACCATCCGCAAGCCAGAACAGTGCTCTCCAAATTGCGCGCATGGACCACGGCAACCATCCTAGCCAGACGAATGCGACGAGGACAAATCTCATCCATGTCAACAGTGTCCTGAAACACTGTATCACTGCTTGCTTGACGAAAAGAGGCGCAGGGAGGTTTTGGGGCATGTTTGGGTCATAAAGCTTCGTAAACCGGAATGGCGTTTTGCACAGCTCGCAGTGTTTCTTCTGCGAGTGCGACAGCCATTCTACCAGACAAATTTGGTGGACAAATTTGATACTCCCGCTGCACTTGCACGGGTAGAAAAGCGGTTCCTCGTCCGTGGCTTCGCCGTGGCATATACGGCATGTGTCTAGGTCGTCGAAACCCTTTTCCCTTTCGTCGTAAGCCGGGTCATTCATTACGTCGGGAAACGCGGTGGAGTCCGCATGGGTGCGGAAATGGCTGTCCGCTCCCTCCATTGTGAGATCGCTCCGAATCGACGGTGGTACTCGGATTAAATGTTCACCATGGTCTTAGGCTCGCGATAAAGATGTAAACATGCGGGCAGGCTTGGGTTGATGGGCGGTCCAAGTCAAGCTGAAAGAGAAAGTTAGTAACACAGATCGACATCAAGACAATTGCCACGGCGAATGATAGGACCAACCTTGCAAGCTTGCAGATCATAGAGGTGTGAAAGCGATCAGTTCAACCTGCTTCCTTCTCCCAACCCACCCGTGCTATGTCAGCGGTAGTATCGCTGGGACATAAAATACGCTCATTGGCTGGTGGCTGTGCGGTAATGTTCTCGTATTATTGTATCTTAATTACATTCAGCCACCGATGACCTCACCCTGCTTCCAAAATAATCGTCTCTGATTGTGTCATATTGGGAGGCCCTTGCTCTCATTTAATATTGTGTGTTTTCCTTCCAAGCTGGCTCTTGATCTCTTTTCACATCAGAGTACCTTTGGTAAATAATATATCAAGTCGAAGAGATTGACCGCGGCCCGTGAAAGTCCAGTGCCAAGACCGACGCGCGCATTCCCATCTGCAGCTCTGCTAGGATCCTATTTCGAGCTTCGATCTCACCGTTCAGCGTTCAAGCCGTGAGCTTCTTTCCGATGCGGTAGTTTTCTTCACTGCTACTTTATTCAAGCGCGGACGGGAAACGCTCCGAAAATACGACGGCCGACCTACGTTTCGCAAATCGCGTGGCCTCGTGCGGGTCAACTACAGACAACATGGTCGTGAAGGAGAATGGTCAAGTGGCAGACACATCTAAGCCGAATGGCACGACGCCTATCAAAACGGCAAGGAAGCAAGGATTTGTCCGGTGGACTGCTGGACTCGTCGTGAGGTAAGTACCGCTCGTGCCATTCCTTCGACGGAAGACTAATATTCGGATGGCTTAGACTCTGTATATGGTACGCGCTGGTTTCACCGTTCTTCCAATGCCCCTCCAATCTTGCAGGTCTTACGCAGGAGTCTCCGCGAGTCTGCAAGCCTTATCTGATTGCGCGATCACACGTCGAGCCATACATCACACCTTACTATGATGTTTATGCTGCGCCTTACGTCGATCAAGCCCGCCCGTACGTGGAGGTCTTCAATCACCGTGTCTACACTCCAGCATCAAAAGTTGCTAAATCGGGATACGAGAAGTATGGTGCCCCAGCTTTGGAGCAGGCTCGGGTATATGGGGCTCAACAGTGGGATGTTCAAGTTACACCGCGGCTGCAGACAGCTCAAGACCAAGCGTACCAGCTCTATCTGACTGAAGTTGACCCATATATTCAACGGGGTGTTGCTGTTGTATCGCCATATTATCAAAAAGCCAACACTGCTGCACTTACTGTGTACTGGGGCCATCTGGTGCCTTTCTACACACAGTCCAAGCCTTTCATCGGAAAGGCTTACTCGACAAGTCATGGTGTGCTCACAACCCACGTAATGCCTGGTGCCCAATATACCTGGTCATCCGTGATCTATTTCGCCAACAGCTCGCTATGGCCGCATGTGACCGGTCTTTACTCGGAACAAGTTGAGCCACAGCTAGTGAAGATTGGCCAACGCCTGGCGAGTTACAGAGAGGGCAAGCGACTTCGTGCCGTTGTTGAAGAGTCAGACAGGTAAGTTCCAGATGGTCACACTTAAACGCCCAGGGCTCTACTAATTCCTTGTCAGCAGCTCCACTGTGCAACCTGCCACTACCTCGGTAATCAAATCAGAAGAAACGCAGGCCACAAGCACCGTGACGTCCACATCTACCACCGAAGCACCTGCCAAACCCACCCTGTCTCCTACCGAGCAAGCACAGCAAGCGCGTGAAAAGATCGACTCCGACCTTGAGCGGTGGCAGAAGAAGTTCTCTCTCGCCGCTGACAGGGGCGTTGAGGATCTCGAAGAACGTATTGTGGATATCGTCTCTGCCCTGGTTGCAAGCAGTGCAAACAGCCACGGCAAGAGCCTCGCGACCGCACTACAATCAGTTTCCTCCGAACAAATTTCCTCAACCAGGCACCGTATCAACGAGCTTGCGGAGTCAATGCCAGATGAAGATGCTCCCCTGATCGAAGAGTCCACATCCAGTCTGTTTGTCCAAGAGGTCAGGAACTCTGCAATCTCTGTGAGAGATCGTGCTCACGCTTTGCGGGAATGGTCTGCCTCCTTTGAGGACGAGCTTGTTCGCCGTGTCACGGCGGCGGTGGACTCCACCTTGGATGTTCTCGACAGCATTCGTGATTTAGGATTGCAGGAAATTGGCATGCGCTGGGCCTGGAACGACGGCGTCACGTACAAAGACTGGGCCAAGTACCACGCTCTCAAGGCTCAACTTGAAGAATGGCGCAATGATATTCGTGAAGTCGGAGTTAACCACAGCTCTGTGTCAGAAGCCCGGGCTGTGGCAAATGATATTTTGGACAGTGGTATGCACGATGCTGAAGAAGCCGCCAAGGAGCTTGTTCGATTGAAGAACGTCGGTGTCTGGAAGATTGCTGCTCGTGAAGTGAGCGACAACTTTGAAACAAGAACTGGCGAACCGCCCAGACCTCAGCCCCATGTTGAAGATGAGGAAACTGAAACGGAGACCGAATCTGATGTTGAACACCTGGAGACAGTCTCGGAATCACAAGCAGCGGCCACCTCTGAGGCCTTGGAATCTTCCGAAGAGACTCCCAGTCCTGGTGCATCCAGTGGTGCCGATACCGATGAGCATGATAATGCCAACGACGAGTCATCCATGGCGGATGACATCGTTGTGGAAGAAGAGCCCTCTGCGAGACCTGCATTTGGCGTCGCAGCCGCCGAATTGAACACTCCTCAAATACCTATTCTTGAAGGTGATGACGAAGAAGATGCTTTCCATCATCTGGCGAGCAAAGCCGGTGATACTTACGCCGAAGCAAGCAACGCCGTCAGTGAGGCCATCTATGGTGCATCACCAACCCCTGGCGTTGGCGAGCAGGCAGCATCCTTGGTTGGTGATCAGTACGCCCATGCCCTTTCCGCTGCATCCACCGCTCTCTACGGCACTTCTTTGGGCTCCGGTGAAAAGGTGTCGAGTGCTGCTTATGAGAAATACACTGAAGCCGTTGCCGCGTAAGTAAAATATAAACTCCTCTTTAGAGCATTACCTCAGTACAAATCATATAAAATCGTTGCTAATCCCACTTCCCCGGCTACAGTGCCTCCTCGGTCATTTACGGTACCCCAACTCCAGTCGTACAGTCTTTAGCTAGTGAAGCTAGCTCAACATTCGCCGACTCCACTGCACAAGCTAAAATCCTCTATGATATTGCCAAATCTCAAATCCTTGGTCAAATGTCACAATCGAGTGCTCCTGCTCATGTCCAGCTTTTGGCTTCCATTGAGTCGGCCTATTCTGGATCCCTCCAGTACGCCACTGAGAAGTTGGAATCGAATCTCAACGCTGTCCGAGCTACCCCAGCTCCGTCGGCCGCTGCTGCTTTGGCACAGATATCTTCTATCGCCTCCTCTCGACTCAATCAAGGCCTCAGCCTAGCATCTGAGCAGCTTGCCCAGGTGCAACAAACGGCAACGGCAACCAGCCCATCGGGCCTCGAGCCATTCGTTCTTGATGCACGGCGCCGTTACTACGAGGCCATTGGTCTGGCTCATGACCACTACACTGCCTTTGTCTCAACGGCATCTGATGCAGTTTACGGCTCACCAACTCCAACCCCAGCTCCTGGAAGCTTCAAGGGGATCGTCCAAGAAGCCGGCTCGCAGTATGAGCACGCTTCCTCGTTGGCTTCGGCCAGCCTTGCCGCGGTCGTTGCATCAGCCAGCTCAGTCATCTCCTCTGCGGACGATGGAAAAGCTCAAAGCATTATTGATGATGCTTCATCCAAGTACAATGCTGCCATCTCCGCAGCTTCTGCTTCACTCTCCCTGGCCTCCGTGTCAGCGAGCTCTGCTGTATATGGCACTTCAACCGGCCCAGTTGAATCCTTGTCCAGTCAGGCATCCGAAAACTGGGAAGCTCTTGTTTCCAAAGCCAGTGAACAGATATACGGTGCACCCACGCCTTTTGCGCAACAAGTGATCAACAACGGGGCCGCTCAGTTCGAAGCAGTTCAGGGTATTGTATCTGAACTGATTGCGGGCAAGCAGCCATCTTTCACAGAAAGTGTACTCAGCAAGCTCTACGCCGCATACGAAACACCTTACCCAGCTGCTGCGGTGTCCTCCGCCTCTAGCTACATCAGTGAGGGGTATGAAGCCGCATCATCCGCGGCCGCGGCAGTTGCTTCCGAAATCCCGAGAGTGGAAGATGTCATGCAGCAAGCCAATGATCAGCTTCACGCCGCTGTTGAGGCTGCTCAGGTTGGTATATACGGAGCTCCCAAGGGCTCTTACGAGCAAGTCACAGACGCCGCGGCTGAGGCTTACTCAACAGCAGCTGCTCAAGTCAGCAGCGCTGTGTATGGCAAGGAGTCTGGCTACATTGATATTGCCACAGACGCCATTGAGGATATTCAATCGAAGGCCAGTGCTGCCATCTACGGCGAGGAGCCAAACGCAGTGGAGAGTGCCACATCCCGTCTTGCTGGCGCCGTTGAGAGTGCCAAATCGCAGTTGGCCGAGCTGGCCTCTAGTGCCAGCAGCGTTGCATCCGTTGCTGTTGAAACAGCCGCGACCCACGTGGACGACGCCACTAGCAGCGCGAAGAGTGCTGCTTCTTCGTACAGAGATGAGTTATGATAAATTTCAATTGCGACATGTCATCACCTCTTTTGGGTGTATTTCGTGTCTTTCCCACCCGTATTTGGGGCTCAAACATTTGGCTCTGAGACCCGCGCCATGAATATGCTCTGGGTGGTTTCCAATGCAATATTTCCCACATAGTGTCTCAAGATACCAATTCGCTCGTGGTCTGAGCATGCACAGTTCTTTACTTTTCGGTCTCTATGCTATCATCTTGCTTTCTTTGCAGTCACCTCCTGGTCGGAATACGAGGCTTGGGTTGAAGTGATGAACGTTAACTTTGGAAGTACATAATATGAAATATGAATGAATGGATCTTTTTCCTCGCTTGCAGTACAATTTTATCAGGTATCGAGTACCTATACAACAGCGCTGGGGGTCTTGCCTTTTTCCGGGCCTTTCACCTTGGAATACCTTGGGAACATGTTCGTTTCTCCCCATGAAGCTAGATACCTACCTATCCACCTCCACAGCTCCAGGGCTGGCCCCGGCATTTCCAAGGTTCCAAGCTTGGATCCCTGGGCACCTGAGTAGTTCCAAGGATCTAATTTGAACACTTCAGGGTGTTCACAGGGGGCAGGCAGGCCTTTATTCAATCCTAAGGTTGCTTTTATTCCATGAATCCCTTGATATATATCTGTCCCGAGGTTCGAACCCAAGAAACACTTTTGAAGGCAACATTGCACATGTCTATTATAGCGGACTTCGTGGGTATCTCCAATATTTCAAGGTCCCAAGGTAGCCCTGGAGGTCAGTGGGTAGAATTGGACTTCAAGGTCAGACTTCGAGAATAGTGTTGCGATACCGGTCTGCCCTGCCATGACCACACGGACAGTGGCCATGGTGTTCTTTTTGCTATGAATAAGAGATCCATGGGTACTGAGAAGGTATCAGCTAGCGAATGGGATAAGATTGATTCCATAGACCCTTTTGCTACGAGGAATATATTCTAAAGACCTTGGAAGTTATGGGGAACTTCATCGCGGCAACTTTTGAGCTCTCATCTTACAGTAGCTTGCAAGGTTGATTTGTACACACTTCCATACTCAACAAGATCACCTATACTTCATGGAAGAGCCCCGTTTTTCTTTCTTCATCTGTGTCTTGCTCTTTGGGGCATCAACTTCCTCGCCAGCACCACCACCCATTCCGGCGAATCCCTTCTTGACGCCCATGACAGCGGAATAAGCGGCATAGACGGAATACAGTGGGATGACGGTCCACAGCCACCAAGCGCGGTCATTGAAGAGACAGGCAGCAACGATACAACCCTGTGTCCAATAAAGGACATCCCACATGTATTCCGTCAGACCGGTGGCGTTGAGATCCTCACCGGCAGAACGGAGAGAGCCATCTTCATTATATCGGGGTCGGCCCATGCGGTCCAGGTAGTATTCAATGGCAAGAGTTGGAACTGCCAAAAAGAAGTAAGGCTTCAGGGAGCGAGGGCGCTGGAAGGCGAAGTGCAGCAGGAGGAAGAGCAAGTGCAATGCAGCGGAGATAATGTGAGTGCGCGTGAGAATAGCGCCATTGCGAGTGGCTAAGGACTTAGCAGCTTTCTGATGTACTGTTAGAGACTTCCAATCGCACACAAAAGCTGACCCGGAGTATAGGCCAACAAGCAACCTGGTCAATACATACCTGAGCCATGGTTGAATGTGATTCAATACTCCACGATCTTAAGCCAAAAAGGAATTGAAGAAAAGCTGAAGATGACCTAGTATAAACTAGAATCTCTTGCAGAATTCAATCTTGAATGTGATTCCGATCTGAGGCCCAGGATAGCAATGAGGGAGGGGACAGCGCATGACAGCTGCACATCGGATGATTGTTGCCCTCCACAACATTCACCGCCAACCGGCAGAAATGACACGGCGGCGACCAAAATAACAGAAAGAACGGCTAAGCTTGATGATTTGGGCCAGATTCTTTGATTTCTTTTCTTTTCAGAAACCTGTTAATATGTCCTGCACGTTCTGAAAGACTCACGGCGTGTCTGCAGATGATGTAATCAGACCTCTGTTCGCTTCTTTCTGTCGTTCATCCTCTTACCATTTCCGGCTTGGGTTTACATTCCACGTTCCAATCCTGCAGGCGCATCGAGAACAATCGCTGCATCCAGACGAATAAGTGAAGTTGTTGGGGAGAGTTTCCATGTCTCCTGGGTGCCGTTGGAGTATTCGCTCGCGCTGCAACCTTGATCGCGTTGTTTCCTCCCCGCGTCTTGAAAGACACCAACAAAGGCGCTGGACATTGATGTGACCGATACGCCGAACACCCGAATCCTACGATTGAATCCCTACCTCAACTTTCAAACCCAAAGTTCTACGATCGCCTGACTTGCCCTGCGCTGTCGCATAACGTGCCCCGGACCCCTCACCATGGCCTTGTCCACCGGACATGTTGCCAGCCAGCTACGGCACCTCATTTACTACCAACTCGACAATAATCTAATTCGCAACGCACTTTTCCTTGCCGCGCGCCTCTACGCCTACGAACCGCGATCATTCGAAGCTCAGTATCTGCTTGCCCTCTGCCACCTACACAATGGAGAAGTGAAAGCCGCATTTGATGTCAGCCAGGTTTCGGGCTCGCGCGGACTACACGCCGGCTGCGCCTATGTGTTTGCACAAACGTGTCTAGACCTGGGTAAAAACCTAGACGGTGTGACAGCTCTGGATTGCAGCAAAAGCCTATGGGTTTCAAAAAACCACTGGAGTAAGCTTTCATGAACTTGAACCGAGGAGTCGAGCTTTAGTGCTGACAAAATCGCAGATAAACACAGCGAAACACAGCGACAGCATCTTCCCGACGCTGCAGCAGTGTACTGCTTGCAAGGAAAGCTTTGGCACGCGCACAAGGATCTAAGCAAAGCAGTGGACAGCTACGTGGAGGCACTTAAGCTAAACCCCTTCATGTGGGATGCGTTCTTGGGCTTGTGTGAGACCGGTATGTTTTCTTCTTCTTTCGTAGCCATGGAACCTTCTAACGTGAGAGCAGGCGTCAATATCCGAGTGCCAAATATCTATCAACTCAGCCCTGAACTGCTAGCAATAATCTCTTCTTCGCCAGAGGAAACAATTTCGGTGCCAGACGACACTGGGGTCGAAGAAGCAAAAGTCGCCATGCACCCTTCCGGTAGACCTGAATCTGACCCTTTCATGGTATCTGCATCTCGTGCTGAGCCTGAAACCACCTACGGGAGCTCTTCTCTTTGGCAAAAGCTGAATGGCAGCTCTGCCAACGTTGGATTGGTCGCACAGCCAGTATTTCAGGATGGAATGGAGACACCAGGCGGACAGAGCAGTGGATCCGATGAATTCCGCATCGCCAACGGTGTAACTGATCCAGACTCTACGTGGGATGCACCATTAGCTCCGACCCGAAAGACACGCACAATCCAAACCATGAGCCTTGATCATACAGGGCAGCCTCCACCACGGATGCGCCCAACGGGCATCAGACCCAGATACAAAACACGAACAGATCCAGAAGCTCAACCAACGACACAAATGGAAAGAGAGCCAACCCTTACATCGAGATTTGGCGACCGCAAGCGCACAGTGTCTGGACAGGTCGCTCACCCCCTTCCCCCATCACAACCCACCGAACCTGGAGCACCCCAGCGCCGAAGCGTTCGCCTATTTAATCAAATCAAGCCCACCACAAGCAAGCTTTCAAATAGCACACTCAGCGGCAGAGATGGTCGCGAAATGAAAAAATTACGAGGAGTGCCAACCAAAGGACGGACAGGATCTGTGCCTACCGTTGGCCGTGTTGTCAGTGGCAACCGAAAGCCCATGGAAACCCCCCGACAACGATGGCAAAGATCATCGGAACGGACTGACGCAATCCCATCATCCCATCCCCCCGCTGCCCAAAAATGCCGAACAGACAAAAGAAATGGAAGCCCTAGATTGGCTCCTTGGTCTGTTTAGCAAGCTCGCAGCGGGACATTTCGCATTAAGCCGCTACAGGTGCCACGACGCCATAGCCGCCTTCAATTCCATTTCAACAGGACAACGTGAAACGCCCTGGGTACTTTCACAACTTGGCCGGGCCAATTTCGAGCAAGCAAGCTACACAGAAGCTGCCAAATACTTCGCCCGAGTCCAGAAAATGGCACCCTCCCGCCTCGAAGATATGGAAATCTACTCAACCGTCCTGTGGCATCTGAAAAGCGACATTGAGCTGGCTTACCTAGCACATCAACTGCTCGAGACTGATCGGCTGTCACCTCAAGCATGGTGTGCCATTGGTAACTCTTTCTCTCACCAACGAGATCACGATCAAGCGTTGAAGTGCTTCAAGCGCGCTACGATGATCGATCCAGAATTCGCGTATGCCTTCACCCTACAAGGGCACGAGTACGTCGCCAACGAAGAATACGACAAAGCACTGGAAGCTTATCGGGACGGCATCAACGCGGACAACCGACATTACAACGCATGGTACGGACTTGGTACAGTGTATGATAAGATGGGCAAGTGGGACTTTGCCGAGCAGCATTTCCGCAATGCAGCCAGCATCAATCCCACGAACGCCGTACTCATTTGCTGCATTGGCCTGGTTTTGGAGAAAAGGAAAAATCCCCAAGATGCCCTGGCGCATTACAGCCGAGCCTCCCACCTAGCCCCCAACTCGGTATTAGCCAAATTCCGCAAGGCTCGAGTGCTGATGCAGCTGCGTGAACACCACCTTGCTCTGGTCGAGTTGAAGGCTCTCAAGGACATGGCGCCGGATGAAGCAAACGTGCACTACCTTCTTGGCAAGCTATACAAAGCACTCCATGATAGGCCCAGTGCCGTTAAGCACTTTACGGCGGCCTTGAACTTGGACCCAAAGGTATGTTCAAACATCCCTATTGATACATTAACCGCTAACACCTCCCTAGGCTGCACAATACATCAAGGACGCAATGGAGTCGTTGGACGATGACGATATGGAGGATGAGGACATAGCGTAGACCTGTGACGCTCCAGGTCTATACAGTGGACCCCCTGTGCCCCTTTTTTATGAACTCGGCGTTTTAAGGTCCTATTTGCACAGCATCACTGTGGAGTTTTCTTTTCCAGGTTCAGACCTGGCATGAAGGTGTACTGTACATTAGTTGAATGTGAATTTCCCCATACACCATCACATTGGTGCTTACATCTCTCATTGAAAAGTACCTATTGTAACCTACTCAGTCACAAGATAAAGACCTCCATGGCTGGTATGCACAGATATCCCCCGCTCCCCCGCATGTTTATTGTGTTCGGGTGACAGCGTCATCTGCACATACAAAGCGGTGAGTCGGCATCGGGGCAGAAAAACGATTCAACGTTTCTTCTCCGACTTGCTCTTCCCCACAGTCATGGAGTCTTGATCTTGATCTTGATCTGCTGTTCCACTTCGCTCTCATTCATATCGTTACTTTATAGCCGTGGGCTTGGGTGTGCCCATTTCAGTGAACCAAGTATGTCTTCCTTTTTCTAATCCTAGGACTCCTTGTCTCATCGCATCCAGGTCTTCTATTCCACCCAACAACCGTCACCATGTCTTTCGGCTCTTATATTGTTTCAGGCGTGAGCTCCTTTGTGGTCATAACAGTATCTCTCTTCGCCATTGGCCAGAAAGTGCCCCGTGCCGCCTTCGTCGCTCGCTGCCTTGCTTCGTACGGCTCCCTCCTTGTCGTTGCAGCATATGGCGTTGTCGCATCGGCCTGTCTGCGGTTAGTCGGTTATGGACGTATCTCACAATGGGCAGTTGGACGAGGCTTCAAGTGGATGATGCGCTTTACCACCGGTGTAAAGTTCGAGATTGTTGAAGGCGAAGAACACCTCACTACCCGCCCCGCTGTCTTCATTGGCAACCACCAGACCGAGCTGGATGTGCTCATGCTTGGCTGCGTCTTCCCACCATACTGCAGTGTGACTGCCAAGAAGTCTCTGCGCAACATTCCCTTCCTCGGCTGGTTCATGTCTCTTTCTCGCACTGTCTTCATTGACCGTGCCAACCGAGAGACTGCCCTCAAGGCATTCGATGGCGCCGCTGCCGAGATGCGCGACCACCGCCAGAGTGTTTTTATCTTCGCCGAGGGTACTCGAAGCTACTCCGATGAGCCTACGCTCCTGCCTTTCAAGAAGGGTGCTTTCCACCTGGCAGTCAAGGCCGGTGTCCCAATTGTGCCCATTGTGACAGAAAATTACTCCCACGTCTTGTCGCCCCGCGCCTGGCGATTCAATTCGGGTACTATCAAAATTAAAGGTTGGTCATCTAGACAATGCTCCACGCGCGTTGATAACAGAACTAACTCATCCTCGAATTAGTACTGCCTCCCATCCAGACGCAAGACCTGAGCTCAGGGGATGTGGACAATCTCACTCAGTCTACACGCGCCTCGATGCTAGCGACCCTCGCCTCAATGACCCATGTCCCCAAAATCGAGGTTGATACTTCCCGCGCCAACGGCGTGTCTAGCGCTGTTGAGATCTAATAGCAAAAATGTTTGTCACATTTTACGAGTCATGCCCACGGTGCCTGACGCTGTTTCTTGTGTTTTTTGAGACAATGCTACCTGCGGGCCACCAAACCAAATGTCCTCAGCAACAAAAAAAAAAAACGCCGCCAAAAACTCGATGCGAAGCACGGGCTGACTGGGAACACCTTGGTGCCCCTTTCTGGCATATAAAGCCACACAAAATGGATCTGGAGTTTCTAGACATACCCTTCACCAGTTTGGTGACACAACTGACGGGGGACTCACAACACACTAGACTTTGATATAACTAGCCCTCAGTTCTTTTGGACTTTGCCCCCTATTCCCTTTTGCAACCGGAATGTATATATCTTTAGCGCGAATGCATGACACGAACCGACTTTTCTTGAATTATTGCATTCTATCTCCCGCCAGGGCTCCAGGTCCTCCTGGCCGAACAGATGCTCCGCCCCTTCTAGTTATCCGCAGAACGTGAATCAACCTTGGAACCCATTTATACATCAATCAACCTTGAAATCAGCCCTGGAGGGCTCTCTCATACAAATTCTCTCCTCAAGTCTCCAGATAAATTTGAAGAGTTGCATCTTGCTCAGTGATTCAATTTCGTATATGGTTTCGTTAAACATGCATGCATCGCTAGTGACCACGCCGTGAAAAATGCATAGAAATATGCCAAGTGGGGAACTATCGCTGCTGAAGTCCACTCTAATATGAATGGGACGTAACCATGGGAGAGATTCGAGAGTCCGAAAAAAAGCCAACATTCGAGGAACAAGGACATCAGATCTCAAGAGAAGAGAGGCCAGCCGCTGTTAAATCTATGTTGCTAGTGAAAGAGATTAAGAGTTAGCTTGGACCATGGAGGTTGAGTATGGCAAAGTCAATGAAAGGTCCACCGGAGATATACATACGCAAAGACTGAGTGGGGGTTCTGCGGGTGGCTGCAGCGCCCTTCGGCACAGGGCCGAATGTCAATGTCAATATTGACCTCTTGCATGGACAACCAAGGGTCACTGATCGCCGAATGGACTCGCCAGGGGTCTCGGTCTCCGATATCTCGACCCGCAACGGGCGCAATTCGGATGTTTTTAGAACCATGTGCAGGATCAAGAACATTGATATATCCGGGCAAGTGGTGATCGTCTTTATTAACGATATCTTTGGATACAGCGCCGATATTAGGGCCCGAAGCTGCTGTTGCGACAATGTAATCATTCTCGAAAGCGACAAGTTGTAAGCGCACATGATCCACAACCTTGCCCTTCAGTGTGACTTTGATATCACTATATGGCGGACCCCAGCTCTGTACCGAGGGTGCAATGGCAAAGGCAGCATGGGTGGCCTGATCGGGCTGACACAAATCCTGTGGTGGAGCAAGGCTTGGAGGGATAACATTTGAGAACTCTAGCTCCTTAATCCAAGGAGCTATGAGGCCATCTCCGGTCATTTTTAGATAGGCCTCTTTCAAAGCCCAGATCGAGTAGAAGAGCCGCAGGCCGTAGCCCGCAAGTAATTCTTCATTATGGTCGTTCGGATCAATCTTGGTCATACCAAGCGGATGGGCTAGTCGAACGGTCTTTAAGGGGTTCTTGATTGTTTGAAGCTCATTATATGAGAGAACCTCTTCGAAGACATCCACGAATGTTGCGAGTTCGGCAAAAGTCTTCGGAGGCCGATTGGCGCGACGACGAGAGGGTTCATCGACACAAGCAATGTCCACACCGACACGAGGTAGAGAGTTGGCCCCGGATGTAGCGGACTTTGCAACACGTGTACCTGCCAGCAATGTGATGCCGGCCTGGTGGCTGACGTTGAAATCAAGGCTCGCATCGTAGAACGGCCGTTTTTCCGGAGCGGGAGTACGTTGAATCTCAATTTCATCCCAGTTTGCACCGGTAGTCTGGTGGACAAAGTAATACTTCAAAAGCTGCGAGGCCAAGGACATGCGCTTGTCTGAAGCGTGAAAGTACCTCTTGACAGCTTCTTGGTCAGACTGAGTCAGAGTATGAACCAAAGGAAGGTCGAGCCCCTGGTCCTCCCAGCGTCGAATATCAACATACCACCGAATCAAAGTCGGATGATGTATCATTGACTGATCAACTTGCTCCGAGTTGAATACCTTGGACGCATCTTGGTGGGTGATCGAGTTGTGCTCCATATCGATCTATACGGGTCGTTATTTTGGTCCAGTCTAGGACAAAGAACTTTCATTCATGATACCCACAGCTTTCAGTCTCTCGATATTTACCCAATTATTGTTATTGGAAATATCCGTATGTTTTTGAGAAGAGCTGAGTGAGCACAGCACACAACCCACGACAGCGGCTTATCGGCTTATCGTGATACAAGCACGTGAAGATAACCTTATCAAGAACATGTGGGACATCCCGAGGTCAGATGCATACAGAAAGCCACAAAGCGCAAGGGTCAAGATGTTCAAGTACAAGATTTTTATGTGGGAAATATAGAGAGGATCAACTTAGCTAAAGAGTTCTAGAGCAACTTTCTAAGGTTGCAAATAGTAAGACCTCCCGAGGTCGCCTCCAGCCCTCCAGGGCTGGACGGCTCCGATTACGGATTAGATAAAAAGATAATAGCTCACGTGGTGATAAGTTCCCCGCCGGGAAAGTTTGAGTCACGTGTATCGAAAAGAGTCATCGGTGATGCTGTTGAGGCAAATTAGATACTACAATTCTCCTCAATTAAAGATGACTATCACCATTGGAGTTCTCGCACTACAGGGTGCTTTCTTTGAGCATATACAGCTACTGAAAAAGGCCACGGCGCAAGCTTCCCCGTCGGATTGGCATTTCATCGAAGTACGAACGCCACAAGAGCTGGCAGCATGCGACGGCCTTGTTTTGCCCGGAGGAGAGAGTACTACCATGTCTTTGGTTGCAGCGAGATCCAATTTGCTTGAGCCATTGCGCGAATTCGTGAAGTAAGTGGCGCCGATCAAGCAAAATAACAAATCTAACAGACGTGCAGAGTGGATCGCAAACCAACGTGGGGTACTTGCGCTGGCCTGATCTTGCTAGCCGAGTCCGCCAACAAGACCAAGAAGGGTGGACAGGAGTTGATTGGAGGTCTCGACGTGCGAGTGAACCGCAACCACTTTGGCCGACAGACTGAGAGCTTCCAAGGCCCATTGGATCTGCCTTTCTTGGGTGCAGATGCCGCTCCTTTCCCATCCGTGTTTATTCGAGCTCCGATTGTTGAAAAGATTCTGCCGCACCATGAGGGTGTGCAAACAGAAGAAATCAAGCAAGAAGATGTCATTGTGGCACCATCTCGACAGGTGCGAGATTCAGTGGCGCAAGCAGCAACAGCAGACGAAGTCGAAGTACTGGCCACATTAGTTGGACCCGCAGCTCGTTCAGCCACAGAAGGTCAGGACGGCGATCCTGATAAGGAGGTTGGAGATATCGTGGCAGTGCGACAAGGCAACGTCTTTGGTACCAGCTTCCACCCAGAACTGACAGGCGACGCAAGAATTCATGCTTGGTGGCTTCAGCAGGTGCAAGCAGCTGTGCTCAAGCGGAACAAGTTGAAGCAATAGACCATATATAAGGCAGAGAAAAGACTCTTGTAAATAGGTTGTTTGGTGAATAGACATTTCCTGCATCTGCTAATTGTTTCACCTCCCGTAGAGTAACGCCATTGAATTTCCGAGCCAGCACTTTTCCATTATGCACCGACCTACCTTCCGGCACCGTATTCATCCTCCTCGCGCTGGCGCTGCTCGTCGTAGGCGCGGCCATATCCACCCCGACCAGGATCGTATTCTTCACGGTATTCGTCACGAACTTGGCCACCTGACTTGCCACGCCTGTGAAAACGTTAGCTTGCTGTGCTTGCATTCTAAAGAGGTAGTCTCGTACCCGAATTGTCGACCTTCTTCGAATCCAGGGTCAAGATCTGTTCGAATAATCCGCTCATCCAGCTTTGTTCCACCGACATATTTCAAGCAGTCCAGCGCGTCCTGGTGAGTATAATATTCCACGAAGCAGAAACCGCAGGGCGTCTTGTTGAATCGGTCGAGGCCCATGACCAGTCGCTTGATCTCGCCGCACCTATTATTGAGATTAGTTAAACCCCTAACACTATCCTCGGGTTGTTTCTCACTTGGCAAAAAGTTCATGGATTTGTTCCTCGGTAGTATAGAAGGAGCTTAACTTGGTCAGTAAAGGAACGTGAAGGCTTGCTAGTTGGAACATGGCTGCATACAGATTTCCCACGTAGAGGGTAGTTGCGTTCTTCAACTTATCATCGGGCTTCTCCTGTTGCTGCTCCTCCTCTTCGTTATATCTGCGGCGCTTGTTCTGTGTACGATCCTTTAGTCTGGTGCGTCTCCGAGCTGGGTTCCGCGCAGCAGCAGCGCTATCAATGAAACTCACCTTGCCGCCGAAGTATGCGCTAGGTCGATCCAGTCGGTCGACCGTGTTAACCGCTAGTAAGCTCATGGTGAAAAGCTCAAGAAGAATGGGGGAGGGTTGGTGGTTGCGATGTACGTAGTTGACGGAGCAAAGAAGCTCGGAGCTACAAGAAAGATCTTGGCGCAAGAATTCCACTTCGCATCAACAACTTTGCGTCCCTCATACCCGCCCTGCCAGTTTCACGCGATTTCCGACCGTCAAATATGAACTGAGTGTTTTCTTTTATAAACTTGACTTATTACTCTCCTCCAAAAATCAATGCCGAAGGTCAACAGTTACACGCCTGCCTGGCTGTGCCGGCCCTCGCCAGGCGCAAAGTTCCTGTCCAGCAATTCTACCCAAACTCCAGCCCAGAAGCAGCAAGACGGAAAGCCTCCAGCCAATGGACCGACGCGAACAATCGCCAAGCGAGGGAATGAGGTGTTCGCTGTTGTTGACAACGAGATCCGGTGGTCAAACCTAGCCCGCCTCAAAGATCAATGGGCACACCACGCCAAGCAGAAGAAGGGGCCTACTGGCCAGCGTGAGGAGAAAGGCGACATTGCTGAGATTCCTCCTTACCGGGTATGCATATCCTCAATTCCCTTGTCTACTGTCTTGTACCAAATAGCTAACATCTGCACAGGTTCTAGCTGTGCCTGTTTCTGGACTGATCAAACAGATCATTCCCTCCCCCAACGGTGCTTTCCTTGCGATCGTTTGTGAAGACACCGTTAGCATTGCCGTTCTTCCTGACTCCTCACACCTTTCCTCGCCCAACTCCGATTCTATTCGCTTAAAGACCTACCAACTGGGCCCTACCACCCATGTTCGCCCCGAAGCGCCAGTGGTTTCCGCGCTGTGGCATCCACTCGGCCTGCACAGCAACCTGGGTGGGTGTCTTGTGACTGTTACTACCGATGCGGCGGTGCGCGTGTGGGAGCTGGACCGTAACAACCACTGGTCCTTTGACCAACCCACTTTGGCAATTGACTTGAAGAAACTGGTTGATGGAACCTCTTGCGACCAAGACTTTGCTCCCTCTGGATTTGGAAAGAGCAAGGGATTTTCCGCCGATCTAATCGACATGGAGGTCGCCTCCGCTTGCTTCGCTGGCAATGGAAGTGAGAAGGAAGATGCATGGGCACCCATGACTCTATGGATCGCTATGAAACCTGGAGATCTTTATGCGTTGTGTCCATTGTTGCCTTCTAAGTGGCAAGCTCCCTCCACAACTATTCCATCTCTTTCCGCAACAATCATCCCGAAACTTGGACTCTTGGAGCAGGAGCCTGAGGATTCGAACGAGGAACTGACTGCCTGTCGGCAACAGTACGATTGGCTGTCTGAGATTGACGAGCAGGAACCCTTGCCTTTACCTTCCAGCGTTGGAACCATCCAAGGCGCAGACGTGTTCACTCGCCCATCGAACCCCAGCGCTATTCCTAGGCTGCAGGGTCCGTTCCGCTTTGACACCGGTGAAGAGCTTGATGATTTAGATCTCTGTGATATCCTTGTCATCGCTGCCGGGCTGGACGTGGAGGATCTCATGATGGGCGAAGAAGAGGAGTTGGCAGTTGAAGCCGCCGACCAAGAAAAGCTTTCGGCCACTGTGCTGTCTCTCACCAGCACCAATGGCCGTGTTCATGTTTGTCTTGAACTTGACGGCGTTGAAGGACAGTGGCTTCCTAAAGCCAAAAAGAACGCGTTCCAAACACCCCTTTCGGAGCCTGCTGATTTGGTCTTGGTGGAATCCTTGGATACCATCAAAAAGCCCGAGGACTCAACTACATGGCCCACATTCACCAGGGATATTAACTCTCGATACTCCTTCTTTGTCACGACTGCAACAAACGTGGTGTACTTGTCTCTTTCGGATTGGACCCAGAGACTGGAAGCCGAGTTGCAAACCGAAGATACCGCGGGATCTGCTTTCCGTCTCCAAGTTCTCTGTGATGGAGAAGTTACAAAGCGAGAAAAAATCTTGGAAGTTTCCGATAGCGATCTCACCCCCCGAAAGGAGCACCTTGCCGGGTCCTTGATCTTCCACGACTTTGACCTCGGATATATGCTCCTCACTTACTACCCATCCAGCCCCTACGCAGCCGTCATGAACTCGCCGGAAGACTCATTTTCCGTGGCTCTCGACAAATCGATTTATGAGCAAAGGGCGCCAGCACCGAGCATGCCTTTCTTGCCCCCGAGTCGGGCACCCTATCAAGTCCCCGCTGTTTTCTACGCAGCCTCTCCACTCGACTCGTTTATTGAGAAGCATGTTCCACATCGCCAGCGTCACACGCTTAAGGAACAAGTGCGTCTTTCTCCAGCAACATTGGACCTCGTGGCTACTGCCCACCGCGTTCTGTCAGCTCACACGAATGCCCTTGAGCGTGCTGCGTCGGACCTCTTCCGCAGATGTGAACGGCTACAGGGCGAGATGCAGGACCAACTGCGCCAGCTTTCGGACGTCGCAGAACGCGTTAAGGGAGTAACTAGCGAAATCGGCGAGGATGGACGTCGGAAGGAGGGAGTTCGTACAGGAGACGCCTTGGACAAGAGATTACAGGCAGCCCATGACAAACAAAGCGAGCTCAACCGTCGCTACGAGGCTTTGCGCACTAAAGTCTTGAATTCGGGCGGTCGTCCATTGAGCGAGAAGGAGAATGCCTGGGTCAGAGAGGTGAAGGAGTTGTCTGCATCTTTGCAGCCCAGCAACAATCACGAGGAAGACCAAGAACTCATCCCGCGAATCGAAATCGTAAGCCAGATCCTCCTTTGGGCTATTCATTGTTACTCACATTATCTAGGTCAAACGCCTCGCTTTGGATCTCTTGGCCCAAACCAAGTCTATTTCAAGCAAGATGCCTTCCCCTGAACCCGGCAGTCCTGCTTCACCCAATGGTCAGCCCAAGGTACCACAACGCTTGCAACGAGCCAAGGTTGCGGATGCAATGAGGATGGTTGAACGAGAGTGAGTCAATGCCTTTTCCGTGTGCTTTTCAAGTTTTGGGCTAATAATCCCTAGGTCTGCTGTCATCGATGCTATCACTTCGCGTCTGGAGCGACTTAACACTAGTCTTTGAGGCTCATGTTCGTGCACATTGCCGGACGGATTGATATTCGAACTTTGCCATCCATCCCGCACCAAGTGCGGCATTCAGTGCCATAGAGCTATTCGGACCTCAAGCTCCATGTCTTCATCATATGTCTAGAGTAACATGAATCGGTGGATATGATTTTATACTTTGTATTTCTTGCGTCTTCGGAACCTCCAAGGCTTCAAATGACTGCTTTGTTAATGTGTCAAGATTTTCTACGACTAGATTACCCAGACTACTTTTTTTGTAATCCATGGAGCATACTTCAGTACAAACTTTGGAATGGGTATAAAGTGGCTACCATCAACATCTGAATCTTCTCTTCCAAGGTTGGAGCCACAGAGACAGGTTTCTAGCACAAGGGGGTCTGTGCAGCCTTCTGTTCCTCTCAATATTCTTTCGTGAAGCCGTAGAACTCCAAGGATTCATCCTCCAGGCGCTCGAGCGGGGCTTTATCTCTGACATGATATCCCAAGATACTGTAGTAGGCATTCTTCTCCTTGATATTCGCAATGTCAGGCTCTGCTTCTAAGGGGGACTTTTCGGAAATTTCCGCAATGAAGGCCTTGCCGTAAGAAGCCTCACCCAGCGCTTGCTCATACACAGTTCCGTCATCACTATCTTGCTCTTCATCGTCCATGTACTCCAAACATGTGCAAAAGGACTCCGTATCAGATTCCACCTCCCATCTAGTATGCCGTTCATTCCGGGTCTGATGACGCCTTGCGCGATAACTCCATCGAACGGAAGGAACTATCACCGAGTCACAAATTCGGCTCAAATCGAAAACATTGTTTTCTGAAAAGCCATACAGGACTGGAGTGGGAGGTCGCGAAGATATAACAGGGAGGAACTCCGCGGCTTCAACAAAGACGTCCTCATCTTCGGAGCTGTCGTCATTTGAGTTCGAACTGATGTCCAAGAGTTGATTTGCGGGCTTGTGAGGGTTTTCCCATTCTTTATAATCTGTAACGTAAGCCTGGTCCTCGCCGACTCTCTTATCACCTCTTGCCCAGCATTCTGCACAGGTCGCTGTGTGCGACTCAAGCGTTATCATCCATGGACCCCAGCAGTGCGATCCTTTCAAGCATGCTGAGATTGCTCTATCCCATATACAGCCACAGAGTGGGTATTTGACTATCCAGAACAGACACATCACGGATTTTGGGATGTTTCAATGGGATTGGGTCTTGGCAAGGACAGGGCAAAGTGACGTTGGAGGGCGGCTGGCGGCTGTTATAATTGCTTTGCTTGAGGATTAGAGTGTCTGTATAATTTGCTATACCGGAAGAAGAAAACAACTCCGTCTTGTATTTAACATAGAGGAGGATGGGCTCTCTCAAAGTAGTCTCCGCAACTGTCCATCAAAGACCTTGTGTTTCCCACTACTTCACGATTTCCTTTGTTCAACATTTGTTAGCTCTTTGTGGACTTACCAAACTTGTCTCATACTATAATTTAGAATTCCCCTTTTACTGGAATATTCATTTGGCTTTGGTACATGCATGTGCTGTTCCTGTCTGTCAAAGCCATTCCATCTAGTGTATAAGGCTGAGGTATACACGTGACCGGCTTGCATCTCAACCTCTCACTCTCATAGCACTCTTTGTCTCATGAGTCATTAGATCTGTCTTGAAAGACCAGAGACTTCAACTTGAGTGTTTTGAATGCCATACCTGAGTTCAGCATCCTATATGCGCACCGCGTTCACGGGTCCAAGCAGCGGAGTGAGCCAGTGTAGCTAATCACCTTGGAAGCTTCAACGGAATATTTATACCTACTCTCAGTCATTACTTTCCAAAGTCACTTTTGTTTAAACTCTAGAAGTAAGAGTGAAGTGACAAAAGTTTGATTTAGAGAAGGAAAAAGAAAAAAATTGCCGTCCCTACAAAAGGGGACAAAGGCACAAAAGATGAAACCAAAACGCCGATTTCATCTGACACGCCGGTCAGATTTGCTTCAGTTACCCAAGATGGGCCTATCATTACCCCCATCTCCCTCTTCACCTTCCTCCCAGTTTTCACGAGAAGCCCCCGCAGCTCACTCCGGGCTGCTGGAGAGTGATCGGGCGAAGCCCGCCCCACCCTCGACGCGGTCGTTGATCATGCTGCGGAGATCACTCACAGTCTGCTCGAAGGTTGGTAGATATAGGCCTGTCCGGTAGGCCTCCCACTCCCCCATGGCGCCGGAGAAGGTGATTTGGTACCATTTGCAAAAATTTGAGTAGACATGAGGGTTGTTGTTTAGGAGGCTGCGAGGGTTGGACATCGTGTGGTGGGCGAGAACATTGATGGCCCTGCACTCACTCAGCCAGACATGGAACTTGCCCTCGAGGTAAGCTTCGACCATCTGCTTGTGCTCCAAGCGGGTCTTATTGTAGGCATCCTCGTCGGCAAAGATGTAGATGGCATCGATGGGAACCTTGGCAGAGGTTGAGAGGGTAGGGTCGAGGGTATTCCAATCCGCTTTCCACTGTAGGAGGTGCTCCAAAGAAAGTGCATGCTGATCAAACTGCTCTACGTCACGGGGACACAGGGCGAAGAACCGGTCGTCGCGGCGCTTCGTCAGCTTCTTCATGGACAAGATGGCATCTTCAGCTTGGCTCTCAAGCCCCCACACGGCCTCTCGCACCTTTCGAGGAACCCGAATATCAGCGGGGATATCGAAGTCTCTGGATTGGAGTTCATAGTTGAAGATATTAGGTTGGTTGCTCAAATCGTATGGCTTGGGCCGAGTTGCAAGATTGGTATTGCAAGTCATAATTGTGTTTGACTTGAATGATGTGAGTAGCAAGCAAACAAATGAGGATCTGATGGTATTCAAGAAGCTAACCAGTGTGTGTTTGTTGAGAGTTAGCTAGGCTTGAAAGTTGAGGATGAGAGAGAAGCCAGGAGGGTTCAAGTCAGGAGGGGGACCGATATAGTTGTGTGCCATCCCAAATAGGAACCGGGGGATCTATACTTTCCATTGAAAAACAATAGCAAGAAGCCTTCATTGTGTGAACTCAATCCCTATTGGTTTAATTCATGAAATTAAGCATTGTTTCCCAAGGGCATTGTCCACTTCTCTTCTCGTACCTACTATCGGCCAATCATACAGCGCAGTCTAGTAACTTCTGGTTGTGTGAGTGAGGTTATTGGTCTAATTGCTTTTCGGGTGTCGGGGTCTGCCCCGAGGTTTGTTGTAGAGTCGATCCATAGTTTATGAAAGCTTGTCTGTATGCTAAAACAATAAGCATGCCTATGGAGAACCTTAGAAACTAACAGAATTGTCATCCGGATGTGAGGTGAACGTAGGTGGAGGTCGGTTCACATCGATGTAGTCTCATCAGTGGCCTGTTACGATTTGACGTCCACGGGTGCAGTCAATGTTTTCCCCGAGGTCTAGCCAATATTCTCATGGGATTTGAAACAACCTAAGAAGCACTTAAATCTTTTAAGTCTTGAAGGTACGGGTATGTAGACCTAAACATGTTCAATCATCTTTTCTCTCATGTCTTTCCGGGGCCTTTTGGTGGAATTCCAACGTTGTTTGGCATCTTTTGCTTGCGGTGTATCAAATGGTACTACAGCGCACTCAAGACTTGGGGATTCCTTGGGAAAGTATTTTTGTATCAGATAATGCGTATAGCTTTCACCTAACGTTCTGGGCGGTGACATATTGATTAGAAGGACGTTGCTGGCACATTTAAACTATCCCTACCCGAGACGGGAGACGAGATACCTCGCGCAAGGAGATGGTGTCAGAGACGGCATTTCATTCATTGCAGTTTATTTTAAAAGAAATAAAACTTTCCAGTGCGCGAGACCAAAGATCCAAAGTGTAAATGCGATCAAAAATGCCCCGCCAGTCTGTCGCTCATGGAGCGAAGAAGAGATAATCCACGGTCTCAAACTTATTGAACGCTGTTGAATTTGTTAGAAGACATCGTTCTATGTGTGGTAGATCAGGGTTTGACATACCGTTCGATGAGATGGACGCCGGAGGCGGTCTCGACGACCTCGCTGACCTGGCCAGGCTGGAGAGCGAAAGCGGCATCTTCAAACTCCTTTTGCATCTCACCACGGCCGAAGAAGCCCCTTATACAGTCAGTATGAGTGTTATCACTCTGTTTGACGCGTTCACTCACAAATCGCCCTTCTTGCGGGCACTGCTGCAGTCAGACTCAGCAACGGCAAGTTCGCCAAGGCTAATCTCTCCAGACTGAATGCGCGCTTCGTGGCCCTTCAGGATCTCAATTGCCTCCTCCTTAGAGCGGGTAATATCGGCTTCTCTCCAGCTGCTGGGGCGACGGCTATCGCGGTGCTTGACGAGCAGGTGGCTGCAGCGGATTTTGCCTTCGCCTTCGCCCGAGGCATCGGGACGGGCGGTCGGGGTATGATTCTGCGCCATGTAGACTTTAAGCTTTTCGGTATCGGTATCGGCAGGAGGTTCCCAGCGGGATTCTTTTGTGTTGGGGTTGAAGTAGTAAGGAAGGTTCTTGGAGTTGGAATGACGCACTTCCCATGTATCGGGAAGACCTGTATCAGCCTGCAATTCAGTTAGTGCTGAATGGGACTGAATTGTATGACAGTAGCACACCATTTTAATTGTTGGATTCAATAATTTCTGGAGGTATTAGTGCAACGTGAATGTTTGTGGTAGCAAATGTTAATGAATGATCTATGCGGATGGAAACTGCGGGGGAGTCTCCTGCAAACACTGCAAACATAGCTAAGCTCCATGACATTGCACAATAGATCGACGGTGAGACCACTGCTCGCGCTTTTCAAATAAAACCAGGCATTCAAATTCAACTTCACCGCAAGCAAGAGCGATCAAGAGCCTTTGGAGCCCAGCAGCCCCAGCCCATCATCACTCCAGGGCTAATTTCGAGCGCCGCCGCACCTTGATCGACCTCACGCATTGCTCATTGGTCAGAGTGCACGTGCCAAATAACGCTAGTCCTATTTTGGCATCCTTTTCACTTCAACCTCAACGGGATTTGCGGTAGAATAACGGATCAAACGTTATTTCGGTTTATTTTTCTTGCACTGCTGGTTGACTGGAACAAGGTGGACGCTTGAAATAAACACCAACTCTTCTTTCTTCCCACCTCGTCCCTTTGCCAACTCTCGATCACGCGAACATGGCCAGTCCCTCACCCTCCGCCGCCGACGAGACCCAGCAGGGAAAGCAGATTCACTTCAAGTTCTGCCGTGAATGGTGAGTGCCTCAATATCTACACCATGCGACCGGGGTCTATAACCTCTGATTCGAGGGGGTCGCCCCATCTTCGGTCCTGGGCAAAGAGCGGACAACCTCCCTCAAACCGGCGTTGATCGGGTCTGAAGGTCTCGTCGCATCTATTTGATCAGATAGCTAACACATGCATAGCTCTAACCTCCTCTACCCCAAGGAAGATCGCGCTACCAACCAACTTATGTTCACTTGCCGCACCTGTCACGTCGGTGAGCCGGCCACCTCTTACTGTGTGTACCAGAACAAGCTCCACAGTCAAGTCGGAGATACTGCTGGTGTGACTCAGGATGTGGCTTCCGACCCTACGGTTCGTCTCCCTACTCTTTTATTCCCTATGTGGCAAATCCAGTGCCTTTTGGGGTCACGGATGCAATCACAACCCGGATGTGGACTGGTTTTGGAGGCTTGAAATTGGTCTTGCTGTACCATTTCCAAGCCAAATGCTCAAACCCCCCCTCTTACCCGTGGAGGAGGGCTGTCCCTTCCAGGATGTTGAATCTGCGTGACCTTGCCTTCTTCTGTTCACACTGATTACTGCTGCTCAACTTATACTAATACTAACGGCCGACAGCTTCCCCGAGCGAACAAGACATGCCCCAGCTGCCTCGAAACAGAAGCCGTCTTCTTCCAGTCGCAACAAAGATCCGCTGAGACAGGAATGGTAAGAGCGATTCTGCAAACATCAACTCTATCTGAATTCCGCTGACCCTCTCGTGACCTTTCATATAGAAACTTTACTACGTCTGCTGCGCATGCGGAAATGTCTACATGTGATCATGGCTCCTCTTCTTTGCTGATGCGGTGGTCTCTTTTGATACCCCTTTCATGGTTTTTGCGATTTGCGGTATTTTGTTCAGTTTGGGATGCATACTGGAGTCTGGCGATTGGAGACAGAGAAAAGCACAAATTATTTTTTGAATATGCGGGTTTCTATTGATACAATGGAGTAAATTTTATCCTGCCAAACACAAAACGCTTTGCCAACGGTAGAAATGGGATATATTACACATGAACCGGCGCCAGGGACAAGATCTTTGACCACTTCTTGTTCCGTAGCTCCTGTCCAACGACTCCTGTAGGAATGTTAGTATGTCGAGATATGATATGAGCGTCGAGGCTGAAGCCGAGATTCGAGATCACACTAACCGTTCATTCTTGTTCCGATGGGGTCCCCGGACTTATTCACCAAAACGCAAGCATTGTCACCAAAGCGAACCAGCGAGCCATCCGGTCGTTGCAATTCCTTCTTCACGCGCACCACGACGGCATGTCGGATATCACCGCGGCGGACCTTGTTGGCGAGCGCGGCGGCGGTGGTGGCTTCGGAGCCTGCAGATCGCTGCTTCTGGACGACGACGACTATCCGGTCACCTATTTTCAAAATCATGTCAACATGAGCTCGTTATCTCCCCGGTGGATGCTGGGTCGGAGACTAACCGATTGTCGCGGGCCGTTTCTTCTTCAGGACGTTCACGCACTCGACGATCGAGGCGCCCGAGTTGTCAATGCAACTTAATAGTGTCTGGGAAAACGGTCAGTTATCTCCATGTCTTATTTGAGCAACCTACTTGCCTTTAATTGAATCATGGTGTGGTTCGGATGGAGATGATGCTTGTCCGCAATTTGTTTCGAGACGGACTTCCCATCTCGGATGTTAGTTATTCCGGACGTCGATATAGAAGTCAATATGTTGACTACTTCGGACTTCAAGACTGGATTTTATTTTGTTTATTTTTTTAATCCAGCTTCTTCAAAAACTTACTTTCTGGCTACGTTCTACGTTTGCCATGTTGGTGATACTTGGACTCTCGACATATCCTAGGCAACGAGATCAATTTATCTGATAGTTCGGATGATCGGGCAAGTTTCGTTGAGAATTGCAGAGAAATAGAGTGATCAGTGTAAAGTTAGTGATATTATGTCCATATTTGGACTATTGGCACAATTCAAACGTGGAGTCCCCCAATAACAGAGCACGTAGCCCTGAAGACATGCGCGAAATCGGGAAAGGTCCATATGCGCGGATAAGACAGCGGTTCCGCCCCTAAAAACAAGCGTTGCGGAGGAACCTCTCCTGTCTCCGAGCCTCAATGGTGACATCTTCAGACATGTTATTTCTATTTCCTCGCTACAACTACACTCTTTTGGCTTGAATTTTCTTTCTTCCCTGGGTTCGACCCTGCGGATCTCCAGTCCTCCCCACGGCCCTTTCTCAGCATTCCATGACACCTCGTCTCTCAGATACTCAGACATTCGCATTTCACCACGCCCATTATGCCCCCCAGGAAAGCGCGCAATACTTCGCCTGCGGCTGAACGTCGCGAGCGTCTTACTCTGGCCAAATTGGCCAGTTATGACGACGTCGCAACCGATGCGCTGGTAGACCATGTATGGCCCTTCGTCCGCACTTTGACATCGAGTGCCGTTTGCTGATTGTTTTGACTTCTAGGCCTACTTCTGGACCACAACTCGCAAGAACCGCACTAAGTACAGTCCCGCACGCGGTATCCACGACGACGACATTGGGCGCATTCTCCTCCATGATGTTATCGTCAAGAAGGACCTACCGGCCGCCGAACGCAAGTTGTTGGAGATATCAGGCCTCAAGAAATACCTCGCCAATCTCCGCAGCCCGCGTGAAAAGGAGTGGTTCCGCCGACATCTCCGCAAGTACATTCAGATGTATCTTCCAGATTCTCCCTTCGAGGTTACCACAACCAACCGATACATTATCACACAACACGAGGCTGCTATTTGCGCTCGCAGGTTCATCAAGAAGGGCGAGGAGATCAAATACCTTGCTGGAACCCTTGTATCGATGACGCACGAAGAGGAACTGGATCTTGGCCTCACGCGCAAAGACTTTAGCATTGTGATGTCCAGTCGTCGCAAGACCCCATCATTCTTCCTGGGCCCCGCGCGCTTCGCTAATCACGACTGTGACGCCAATGGGAGTCTGACCACGCGTGGGAATGAGGGCATGTCTGTGGTTGCGATGCGCACTATACACGAGGGAGAAGAAATTACGGTTTCTTACGGAGAAGATTACTTTGGCGTTGACAATTGCGAGTGCTTATGCCAGACCTGCGAGCGGCTCGTTCGGAATGGATGGGCTCAAAATGCCGATTCGGACGCCAACAGCAGAGAATCCAGTCCCGTGTCTGATGTTGCATCTGTGAACGATAGCACCACAAGCAGGAAACGTCGCCGCAGCCCTCAAGTCGATGATTCGGACAACTCCTCAACCGTGTCTTGTTCCACCCCACGTAAGCGGGCGAAATTCCAGCGACAGGTTTCCAAACTACGGAAAGAGATTTCGGCTGCTGAACTTGCTGGTGAATCTGTGCCCACCCCTGAATCAGACGCTACTCCTGTCCCGGAAACTCTGCTCATTCCAAGTACTATCTTATCCCATACTTCACCTCAGGTGGCGAAGTTGAAGGGTGACCTCGCAGAACTGACTGCGGATCAATCACCCGGCTCACAAACACCGCTCTCCATCACTGCAGATTCGACCCAGCCCGAAGCAGCCACTATTACAGACACAATTGGGGGAAATCAAGCAAATGGAACTGACACTACGGAATATGACTCTCCTCACTCCGACGCCGACGAATCTCACCGATCGTCGATTTCGACTTTGCCCACAACTGTGGACGAAGTTGGAACGAAAGTCAAAGCCGAGGAGGTCGCATCAGAACCAAATCAGGCCGAGGCACCTAATGGCAATAGTCGCTCTGAGGCTTCCCCAGAAGGCCGGAATGACGCTGCTGAAGCCAACACCGAAAAACCAAAAGCGCGAAGGCCCTACACAAAACGGCGATTCATCGTGGACTCCGTCGAGACCGACTCCCAAGTTGCTCGAGTGCCTGGTGACTACACCAAGACTTCACGACTCCTTGCGCAAAAGTATGATCGATGGGTAGAGTGTCAAACATGCGATTCCTGGTTCCTACAGTCAAACTCTTACCTGACTCGCCGTGAATGCCCACGCTGTGAGCGCCATTCCAAACTCTACGGATTCCAATGGCCATACACCGACAAGAACCCCGACGGTGATGATCGCGTTATGGACCACCGCACCATTCACCGATTTTTGTCCCCCGATGCTCAATCGCGCATTAGCCGACGAGACCGCGGTGTCAGCTTCGGCATCACCCCCACGCCTGAGCTGTCTGACACGCATACTCCAGAAACGGAGACCAGCGACGCTAATGAGTCGAAGCGAGATGCGAGAGCATCTCGCCGGCGCACCAGGGAGCTGCGTATGACTATGTAAAGAGCATTGGGTCTATGAAATAAGATGGAGTTTCGGGTACATGTCACAATAGTTTGTTTCCCTTGCATGGGGATTGGTGTTTGGATTGCGATGCATTTTCAGGTCTGGACGGACCCTTGATTTTTCTTTTGGTATAATTTCTATATCTCTCTTCAAGATTAATGAGTATGGCGGCGAATTTAAACGCATAAGAACGCACTATGCAATCAAGACAGCACTGATGGATCTTATTATGTTCTGTTCTCTTGGATTTCAATGAGACCATAGGAAACAGATATGATAGAAATTGCGTGAAGAATTGACATCTAAAAACTATCAGCAAGACATCTGAGCATTTTTACGAAACAAGAGGGAAAAGCAATGGATCAAGACATTTGAGCCATGGACAACAGTCGGGATGATCACATCCGAACTGGCTCTTCCACCACTCCCCCGCATTTTGCCCGGGTGGCATCGACAATAACTGCACCAATGAGCGACCCATCATGGATTTGCATATTGCTTGCCTACCAGTGGCTGACTTGTTGCTAGGCCATGAAAGGGAACTCGGGTGTTGTTCTGCCGAATGCCACTCGACCAAATGGAGCCATAGTTCCTGGCTTAAAGACTATATATGTCCGAGAAGCGATAGAGATTGACATGCTGAACGCCATGGGAAATAGGTCTGGTGAAGATATCACTCCCCAAGCATGAAGCTATTCAATCCATTGCTAACCCTGCTTGCTCTTGGACTCACTGCCCATGCATACGATGGTCCTCTGGTCTCCCTCGATTATGGTTCCTTCCAAGGCCAATATGACACCACATACAATCTCTCATATTTCCGCAAGATCCCATTTGCTGCAGCACCAACCGGTGAGAACCGGTTTCGCGCCCCTCAGCCTCCACTGAAGATCACTGGTGTCTATGATTCTGATCAAGACTTCGACATGTGCCCACAGCGCACGGTCAATGGCACAGAAGACTGTCTCCACCTCGGTCTGTTTTCACGGCCATGGGAGGTATCTCGGAGCACCAAGAGACCGGTCCTAGTGGTGTTCTACGGCGGAGCATTTATCCAAGGCAGCGCGTCGTTCACAATACCCCCGTCATCATTTCCCATACTGAATGTGACCAATATCAACGACTACGTTGTCATATACGCAAATTATCGTGTCAACGCATTCGGCTTCCTCCCAGGTAAGGCAATCAAAGATTCGCCAACTTCAGATCTCAACGCTGGCCTACTCGACCAACAATATGTCCTCAAATGGGTCCAAAAGCACATCCACAACTTCGGTGGCAATCCCAATAATGTCACAATTTGGGGCCAGTCCGCCGGAGCAGGATCAGTCGTCGCTCAAGTCCTCGCAAATGGCCGAAACGGGCAGCCCAAACTGTTCTCCAAAGCCCTAGCCAGTTCACCCTTCTGGCCAAAGACATACGCCTACAACGCCCCACAGTCAGAAGCAATCTTTACCCAGCTTGCCAATTTGACCGATTGTACGCGCGCGCAGAAGCAGAAGACATTAGCTTGTCTCAAGTCAGTAGATGTGCAGAAAATCCGGGATGCAAACCTCATCATTTCTGCAAGCAATACCTGGACCACGAGCTCATATACATGGGCACCTGTTATAGATGGGGAGTTCCTCGTCGAGACACTGACTGAGACTTTGAATGGTGGCGGAGTCAACACGCAGTTCGTTTGGGGCATGTATAACACCCACGAAGGGGAGAATTTTATCCCGTCTGGTTTGAAGAGTGAAGATGGAAATGGCTTCAACTCGTCCGCTGCAAGTTTCCATGACTGGTTGACTGGATTCGTACCCGGATTGTCAGATCAAGAGATCGACGAAGCTGAGTCGATCCATTACCCGGCTGCAGGATCCACCGAGAGTATACAAGTTTACAATTCCTCATACGTACGGGCTGGGCTAGTTTATCGTGACGTTGTTCTCGCTTGTCCGGCATATTGGATTTCGTCTGCTGCTTCGGCGAAGGGATATCTGGGGGAGTACACAATTTCGCCGGCGACACATGGAAGTGATACAATCTATGTAAGTTCTTTCTTTATCATTGGCAAGAGGGGCTTATATGGGAGCTGATCAAGCGATAGTGGAACCGTATCAACGCTGTTCAGCAGACAAATCCTGTCGTGTATGAAGGTTACGCGGGTGCATTTGCGAGTTTCTTTCAAACCGGTGATCCGAATGCGCATAAAGTGACCAACTCCTCGCAGCCGGGCGTACCGCTGCTCAAGTCTACGGGCGAGGAATTTTTGATCGTGGATGATGGTTTTGAGAATGTCAAGCTAGCTGAGTTGAAGAGCAGGTGCGACTTTTGGCGCAGCTTGGGTAAGAAGATACCAGTGTGAAGACACTGGTTTGTTTGGATCAAGAGAATGCATTGATATTACAAGCGGAGAATTAGGTTCGTCATATATGAGTGCATATCGTACATATTTCCAAAGATGCAATGACTATTGCTGTCGCAGTGGATATAGTCATTTTCCAGTTTCCAAGACATCAAATCTCAACCCAACGCCATTTATATTACAGACTTTATACAATGTAACGGGTGCATGGATCTAGAACTAGATCAAAGCTTGACCACGGAACATACCTTCGCGAACCTCACGAACAACGTCCTTGCGGTCCTTCTTGCCCACCAAGACAACACCACGACCGCGCTTACCCATGCGGCCAAGACGACCAAGACGGTGAATGAAGTCGATCGTGGTGTGGGGAACGTGGTAGAGGATGACAGTCTTCACGGCCAGTGTGTCGATGCCACGCGAAGCGATATCCGTGGTTACAAGAACCTTGGTATCAGGAAGACGGCGAGAGGGTGTCTCCTTGGCAGTTTCGGGCATTTCGAATGGGATGCCCGCGCCAGCGCGGTTCTTCTTCTTGTTGAGCATGATCTCCTCTGCCGTCGGAGGAAGCTTGACCTCTGTGAACTCGTTGAGGGTCTCCTCCTGCTTTCGGGAATCGGTGTCGCGAGACAACGAGAGAGCATCAATACCCTTGGACTGGAGGAATTTGGTAACTTCCTCGGCTTCCTCGCGCTCGTTCACGAACACAATGATCTTCTTGGTCTTTTGCTCCATGTACGCATTTAGAGGTCCCCATGTCTCGCTAGACTCGTATCTGTCACCTGCTTTTCCGATCGACCAGATGACGTCTGCGCAAGCCAAGTCTCGGTTTCCGCGGTACGGCTCCTTCTCGATATCCACAACACCGAGCTGCACGCGACGAGGAATGGCGTGAAGGTTAGGTGTCGTAAGTCGCTGGATATCAGGGAAGCGCTTGCGCAGCTGGTTGTCAAGACTGCGGGGGATTGTGGCAGAGCACAGAATCAACTTCTTGAGAGATGGGTTGACTTTTGCTATGATCTCGGTTGTGGTGGGGATGAATGAGCGATCCATCAGGGAGTCAGCTTCGTCGAGGACGAGGTGAGTGACACGGCTGAGAATGTTGGGGTTCGACTTTGCTACAGAGCCGAGAAGATGAGGGGTCGAAACGAGAATGTCGATGCCAGCTGGGTGGAAGAGGGTGTTCTTGATCCGACGGGGGGTGAAGGTCGATGCGATTTCGCCAGAACGGTACTTGACTGTATGAGCCAGCTCTTTCAGCTTGGCGCCTACCTGAGACACCAGCTCTGAAGTCGGTACAAGAATGATGGCTCGTGGACGAGCGGCATTGGTCATCGGCGGCTCTTCGGGTTCCAGGCTAAACGCCTTGTTCTTCATTCTTTCCTCCCGCTCTCGTGCCTTTTGTTCCTCGGCAACCTTCTCCTCCTCAACCTCACGGGCTTCCGCACGCTTGACAGCATCGATGACTGGAAGCAAATATGCGAGAGTTTTTCCGGAGCCTGTTTCGGCCGCCAGTAGGTATTGGTCGAAATTATATTCTGGGTCTTCCTCGCCTGCCTTCTTTACTTTCTTCTGCTTCTTCTTCGACTCGTCCAACAAAAGCTCGGGGATAGCAAGGCGTTGAATAGGTGTTGGCGTGACGTCACTCAGACCCGGCAAGGCCTGTAGGAAGACGGACTGTCGCACTGCGGGAAGGAAAGGGAAGTGGTCGAAGCTAGTGATGTTGGCAAGTCGAGTTTTGATGGAAGAGCGTCGACCGTAGGGTATAGGCGTTAAGGTTTCCTGCATCTTCAATGCTTTGTACAAAGGGCTTTCTTTCTTTTCTGTCTTTCCTTCCTCCCCCGAGCGCTTGAGAGCTGCTTGCGATCGTGGTCGTGTGGTATCCCGAATGCGTGCCTGGGTCTGGTTCATCGAAGCAAAGGGGCCGGCTCGTTCTCTTCGTGGCTTGGTGGTTGATGGTAGCGATTGCTTGGACACGTTGGGAGATAGAGCCATGCGAGAAGCCTTGCGGCGCAATCGAGCCGTGGCCATGCCTCGTGTCGTCTGCGCTGAAGCCGGGAGAATGGATGGAGCCATCAGGCTCGCCTTAGTCTGACAAAGGAAACATATCGAGGAGCGAATTGGCAGAGGCATTCTGCCTGAATTCGATGCGATACGGTGCAAAATATGAAAAATCTGAAGATTGCGAAAGGAGAGGCCAGAACAGGTTCAGATGTTTTTTTGCGATGATTTAATGCGCCATTCCTGTATTGGCCTAGTGCCGATCCTTGACGTATAGTCACGTGCTTCTTCAGCCCCAGGCTGTTGAACTGCATGGCCGAAACCTTGCCTTGGAACGAACTACTTAATAATATTTATTTCTACCTCTATAATGTGGATTTGGCACTCTATATTTGCATAAGTATCAGTAAATACGAATTATAGTAAAGTGCTTGAAAGGGGCGCAACCTGGGAAAGGCAGAGAGCCTCGGAACGGAAATATATTGTATTAGCAAAGATATGACTGCCCACCTTAATTCCGAAAGAGCACGAGAGACTATGTAAAGTAACATCCTGGAGGATCAAAATTCGGATAAGGCAGCCCGGAAGCTGGTAAATTCATAAACATCAATAGGCAGGTTAAGCTAGCATCTCAACCTTGGTCACTCTGTCCTACGATCACGCGTAGATCTTCCCATAGAGCTAATAGAGCCAGCTGAAAACATTAGAAAGTCGAGATCTATGAACCTGGAACTCTCAATATCCGAAGAAAGCATCTGATAATCCGGAGTAGGCCGATGTCGGATCCGGGCGGGGAGGATGCTATGTGTGCCACAGCAAGAACATGTCAACCCAAAGAGCAAAACAATGCCGATTCAAGAAGGCTTGGATATTGATAGACTATGTCGACCAATGAAAGTTGCGCATACAACCTTTGGACCAACCCCTGATGTCGCTAGATCAACGTTGCCGTAACAATGGCCAGTGCCTTGGACTTTGTTTATGTTTCTATACAATATAGGTGAAACTCAAAAGGTGATAAACCCCCACTTCAAAGCTTGGACCTTTCTTTTCCCACTAACGAGGACGCTGACAGCCCAACTGATGATAAGGGTACGGTTCGCCTGTCTGCCCGAGAAATCAATTGGTAAGGTTATCTGTTGTTTGGGGCAATGGGGTCTTCCAAGGGCGGGGTTTGAAGTGTCGGAGAGTGAGACAATGTTCTCAGCCCTCAGTTGGCGAGGTTGTATATGTGGGAGTCAAAAACCAGAATGTAGAAAATTAGTGGTTCCTAGGGCCTTGGAAGTTAGCGCAAATCGAGATGTTGATACAGGCTAAACCAAGTCGAGACTAGTGTCATGGACACCTGACGCAACACGGACGCTGAAACGCGATTATGTCAGCCGTTTGATGCGCGGTTTCCATGACGACTCCCGTAACAACAGACTGCCTTGGGGTAACAATCCACTTGAATCCATGGGAGAGACAATATCAAGTTTCGTTTCTACTTCTCTTTTTTCACAACCTCTTTCTTTGTTGCATTGCCCTTTCCTAGCTAGCTTCTTCTGAGTTGGCCATTGGATTCCTTCGTTATCCCTTGACTGTTTGCTATTGGACACCCGAGTCGGGTTTGTTTTGGTGCCCTTCTGACACAGCATTCCTGCTACGATCGACACGACCTTTACGCTTTCTTAGCGAACCCACCGCTCGCTGGCAAACAGTTTCCACGCGTCTGTCGGTATTCATCTACAAAGGTATGATACATGATCTCGGCACGACTTCTATCCTATGTCATCATTCGCGAATCCACTCGCCGATCTGGATGTGTCCAGGTGATAAGCAAGGACTAACAGGCGATAGACATTTCGTGATCTTGAATATCAACCACCACGCGTTCAATTCCACCCGCACAAAGATATCGGCACGATGGGGAATGGATCTGGCCAACGGCCGCTTTCCGAAGTGAGTCCCATGGCGCAGAGGCGCAATTCGCCTAGCTGGAACCAAACCACCAAGGTACCGCGAGTGCGATGTTATCATGACCTGTAGTCTAACAGCAATAGCAGATGCCGAACGGCGAGTCTCCCGCATACGATGTTTCGTCCTTGAACAGCAAAGCCTCACCACGCCTATTTTGGAAGGGTCGCGATTCCCCCTCGCCGTTCTCCAAAGGGACCGAAAACAAGTCACCATACGACCCCGAAGGCTCATATTTCCCCAGCAAGCGCGCCTCAATCGAGAACCTGAAACGCGTGTCAAAGGTTAAGAACCACAGCTTCCAGGATGGGAGCCAGGAATACGACCCAGCATCAGTAGTTCTTCCAAACAGACCATTGGCTTCTGAACGTTCCCCACAAAGGGATAGCCAGATGAATGTCGCCAAATCACAATTTCATGATGAAGATCTCGCCCAATTCGGACGTCCATCATCTCCGAGCAAGGACCAAGCATCGCCCGGCAAGTCCTCGCTGTCGAGAGGTAGCCGATATGGCAAAGGGTTTGACCCCCAGCATGATATTTGGTCCGAGCATGGGAGCGCTGGACATCGACATGCCAAGAGCGTTACATTTGATCATGCTCCTCCCCAAGTTAATGAATACGTAATGACAACGCCCGATCCATCTTCAATCGCATCTGGATCGCGCGAGAACAGCTATGAATCCGACGAAGAGGAGGATATCAGTTTCGAGCAAGAGTCATCCATTGAGCGAGATGATAGCTTCGACGCCTCCCTTGAGGACATTGAGAAGACTCCTGTCGTGCTGCCTGAAGACTGGCGATTCATGAGTCCCGAGTCAAATGGCGATGAGGATTCGTTCATTGAACACATTGAGACTGATAAGGCGGAAGACCGACCGACTTCCCGCGAAGGTCCAGCAACTCGACGCCCACGCGTAGAGTCCCTCGACTCCAACGGTGAGCGCCGTCCACTTCCACCATTGCCATCTGTGAACCGACTATCCGGTGCACGTCCCTCCTCGGCTGGGAAAATGTCTGCTGCTTTTGAGCTTGGTAGCACCAGCCAGCGGGGGCTTCCCCCACCACCAGCTGCCGCTTCATATAATAAATCAGACATTGCCGGTGCTGTCTCTTTGGAAGATCGACTACGTCTTATGATGCTCCAAGAGAAGAACCCTGACGAGAACCACGATCATGAACAAATTGCGGAAGAGCCTTTGGAGCTTCCCATGCCAGACGATGACGCTACCCCCACAAACGGTGCGCGTGAAAATGAAGATGCCACAGACTTCTTTTCCCCACCAAGAATCTCGCGTGATTCCATCTTGCGTGGTATTCGCAAAGGTGAAAGCTTCGACGAAGATGACAGTTTTGATGACTCTTCTCAAATCGCCTCCAGTCCCAACCATTATGACCATTACGATCCTGACATCCCGATTCCATCCCTGGAAATTGACGACAATGACGACTCCTCTAGCGTAATCGTGAAGCAAGAAGATGAAGACCCCGACATGTACTCTATCTCTGAGTATTATCAGAACTCCTCCGACAACAGTCTGTCGTCTCGTGATCAGCGAGCCAAGTACGACGAGGAAAGCAACTACTCGCTGCGCTCTGCTGCCGAAGCTGCCGATCGTGCACAGAAAGAAAATGCGAGCCAGGGCCAGGGCTCCGGGCAAACAACCCCAACACGCGAAGAGAAGATTCACACAGAACAACCCGCAGAGCCCGTGGAGCCCGAAGGTGTGACCGAGGAACACAATGAATCCAAGGAGTCGGACAACAGCAGCTTCGATATGACCTCAGTGAGTCAGTCTCTGGCTCGCCCTGTCACTCCTGAGATGCATGACGAAGGAGGTTCGGAACCTTCGACACCAGACTCGGTCATCCGCCACCCAGTGGAAGACGACGATCAGGAGGAAGACGGAGAAGAGAATATAGAAGAGAACACGGAGGGCAACCCCACCGAGGAGCCAATTCTTCCAGCGAACCAAGAAGAGGAGGAAACGGAGCTCTATGAAAGCTCCTCTGACGAGTCTGTTCCCGAACCAGTCGCGACAATCAGGGCTCCTGGAGCTGGTCTAAAGACACGCCCATCCTTGACGCCTGCAGATATGCAATCCATGGCCGCTACCCGCCGCAAAATCAGTGGCCAGCATATTCCTCCAGTTCCCCCATTGACGAAACAGCACTCCCACGAGTCAAGCCATTCCGAGAAGGAGCAAAACCCTACCGACTCGCCCCCCAAACTGGCGTTGCCAACTGATCTTGCTCAGCGACAGAGCAGCTTAATGCAGTTGGACATTCCCTTCAGCATTCAGGAAGAGAGCCTCGGCTCTGGTCTCAACAAGGAGTTTGATCGTGTCATTGAATCCCAAAAGGTAGCTTTCCCGTTTGCTCTTGCCCCATCGTTGCCTTCCCACATCAACACTCCCAAGGATCTCGCGACCACAGGAACTAGACCTTCGGCTAACACTCAGCCCCCCAAACAGCGCGGATATCTTATGCGACAGAACACCAAAGTGATCATCGCTAGCAGCCGGAACGAAGAAGAACCTATGCCCTCTCCGGACCAAACAGCTCAAGACCCGCGCGGTACACGATCCGCTGGATCATCACCACGCAAACCCAGTCAGCAAACTTGGACCACTGTTCCGTGGAACGGGACTGCGCGCCGATCAAGTATCAGGCCTACCACTGGAATCCCAAAGAAGAAGCCTGTCCCCGGTGTTGGTGGTGTGCCACCTCTTCCTGGACAGCCTAGTAATGTGCAGGAGGCTCCCGCCACGATTGATGAGAATGAACCAGCTATCTCGGAATCTTTCGAAGATGGCGAGGAGCGAGGTCGCTTGTTCGTGAAGGTTGTTGGATTGAAATATTGTGATCTGCCTCTACCTCGTGGTACGCACACCCAAGTACATCCCTACCATTCGTGGCTTTGCTAACTGAACTCGAATTTCAGGTGAGCGATCATACTTTGCCCTGACCTTGGATAATGGTTTACACTGTGTTACCACATCTTGGTTGGAGATGGGCAAGTCTGCACCAATTGGACAAGAGTTTGAGCTCATTGTCCAAAACGATCTCGAGTTCCAATTGACCCTGCAGATGAAGATTGATGAAACCAAGTTCCAAACTCAGGAGCCTCCAACTTCACCATCTCGTCCAAAACCCTCGGCCCTCAGCCGTGTGTTCGCATCTCCACGCCGTCGTAAAGAGCTCGACATCAAACAGCAAATGCAGTCTCAGCAACAAAAGGCCAAAGACGTCAATGCCCCTGTTTATGAACGACTTCGCAATCTCGTTGCCCGCGACGGTAGCTTCGGCCGCGCCTATGTTGCACTGAGTGACCACGAGCAACAGGCATTCGGTCGTCCACACATTGTTGATGTGGCTTGTTTCAACGAATGGGCCGTTGAAGAACAAATGAGCAGCGTCAAGAGCAAGAAGAGTGCCACAAGCGTGAACACCCAGCGTCGACCACCCTACAAGATTGGAAAATTGGAAGTTCAGTTGCTGTTTGTGCCCAAACCCAAGGGTGGAAAGGATGAAGATATGCCAAAGAGCATGAATGCTTGCATTCGCGAGATGCGTGATGCAGAGAGTGTTGCCGCTCGCTCCTGGGAAGGCGTCTTGTCACAACAAGGAGGAGACTGTCCGGTAAGTCCTGTGCAATCCTTTTAATGCGATTCCCCTTCTAATTCAAGATATTAGTTCTGGCGACGTCGCTTCTTCAAGCTCCAAGGATCCAAGTTGACCGCGTATCACGAAACCACGCGGCAGCCTCGTGCGACCATCAACTTGGCCAAGGCCTCTAAGCTCATTGATGACCGGTCCTCTCTGCTCCAGAAAGAGACCAGTACGAGAAATGGTGGCCGTCGCAAATCCGCCTTTGCCGAAGAGGAAGATGGATACATGTTTGTGGAAGAAGGATTCCGTATTCGATTTGGCAACGGTGAAGTGATTGACTTCTACGCGGATAGCCCTGCTGAAAAGGACGGCTGGCTTCGTGTGATGTCTGAGGCTGTCGGAAAAGGCTCTACGTCTGGTGGCGGGTCCATCAAACCTTGGGCTGATCTTGTGCTCAAGCGCGAGAAAAGCATGAAGACAAAGAGCGAAAATACTGAGCGTCGCCCGGCCAGCAGTATTCCCACCGCTACCGCTCCTCCGCCCTCCCCAACGCGAAGCAGGAACAGTGCTATGACGGGACCTCCGTCCTCGGCGGGATCTGGGGCGCCGGCGCCTCAATCCCCTCGTCCTCGCCACAAGCACACCTACTCTCAACCTGAGATGGGCTCTGCCGATGCTCGTCGCCAGAAAACTCGCTCTCTCATGTTCTGAGCAACCATTTGAACAAATTTGAGTCTTACCACAATGCTCATCCTTCGCTTCTTCTGTCTATGATGTCAAGTTGTGTTGTCACAATAACTACCTCTTTTTATTTGTCAACTGTCTCTCCTTGGTGCTTTCCCGCCCAGCCTGCGCTGTACTCTGCCAGTCATTTTGCTTTTCCTTCTTGTTTTTCTGCCCGCTTACTCTTTTATGGCGTCGGTGTATGATGCGACTTTGCTTCCGTTTTCTTTCTCTGTCAAATTATCTTTTCCTATGCACCGTTGAAAGCGAAATGGTAATTGTACGAACCGAACCTCATAGCACAAATGATTTTCTCATGTCTTTTCCTTTGCTGCTTGGGCTTTTGCTCCCTTGTAATGATACATAGTCCCCTTCTTGCCATTTTATTTGTTTTGGGATTGCGTTTTGTTAGTATAACTTTCGGGCTCTATGTTAAAAATTCGACTTTTATTTCTGTGCTACCATATCTGATCTCAGGCGTTGAATGTCAGGCCTGATCGCACTCAGAATGTTGACGCTCTACAATAAACGACGGTTTGGTGGATGTGGAGTATACTACATCGCCAACCTTGGAATGCCTATACCACCTCGCGTATAATCTCTACGTTGTTGCGTCATGTCGAATGAGCTTCATCCATTACAAATGCCAGATCGCCATTAATAATATAACCATCACATGCTGTACTTGTGAGCGTGATATAGTTAAAAGCGGACGAATTTATCAGCCATTTCTCCATGTAATACGAAGATTGCGTGCTGTTTACTGACAAATGTGAATTTCCCCCGCATCAACTTTACTCTATAAGTATCATGAGATAATCTTCTCTAGTATCCCAAACCAAACTATTCTAGCCGAAAACAAAAATGGCTTCTGCAGCTGTACAACTCCCCGGATCCCACGGCTCTCTGCTCGCAGAGAAGCCCAAAGTCCCTGTCTCCGAGAACCCACACCATGTACAGACGACACTTAACTTTCTCAAAGAAAAGGAAGATGGCTCTCCCCCGGATCCAACCTATGTTGGAAAGCCAGAGACCTATGACCGGCCTCATGTCTCTATTCCCGCCACTATCCATGACATCAGCGGCCATGAGCTTGACTACGCTCTTGATAGCCACGGATTCCAACTCTACTACCATGAGAGCACGGAGAAAGATTTCCAAGACGATGAGAAGATCAAGAGAGAGTATTACCCTGAGACCGAGCAGCTGTTGAAAGACGCGTACGCACCATGTCTATCTATCCGAAGATCGAACACGACTAACATCACATTCCATATAGTACTGGTGCCTCCCGAATCCACATTTTCGACCACACCATCCGTCGAGGTCAACCCGAAGGTTCCACTGGTCAAGACCTTCGCGGTCCAGTTCAGCGTGTGCACATTGATCAATCCTACGAGGCGGCCAAGTCTCGAGTCCCCTTCCACCTCCCAGAAGATGCTCCCGAGCTTCTGAAAGGCCGATACCAGATCATCAACGTTTGGCGTCCCATCAAGACAATCCTGAAAGACCCCCTCGCGGTGGCAGATGCACACTCGGTTCCAGATAGTGATCTTATTCCTGTCAAGCTCATCTACCCCAACCGCGAAGGAGAAACATATTCCGTTAAGCCGGACCCCAATATCAAGTGGTACTATAGATATGGTCAAACTCCGGATTTGGTGACTTTGATCAAATGCTTTGATTCCAAGACTGATGGCAGGGCTCGCCGTGTGCCTCATACTGCCTTTTCTAACCCGGAGACAGTGAATGAGGCTCCGCGAGAGAGTATTGAGGTTCGGGCTTTGGTCTTCCATCCCGATGATCGTGATTGATCTTTGTCGATTACGAGCTGAATAGGGAAATTGATAGTGATGAGCCTTGGTGAATTGAAATTGCATTGGTTTGGATTATGAAGATTAACATAGCTGAGAAATTGAAACTGTGAGCTTTATTACCGGATCGGACTCTTCAAGTATCGTTGTTATAACAAACTGCACCCACGCCCATATGCAGTGAGGCAGAGCTAGCTTGCTTTCAAGGGCAGCCCAAGCTCGAACTTGAGTTTACGAAGTCTTCTGCTTACGGGGTGGATCCCAACATTTCTAAGCTTGGAAGATGAGAGGTGAACATTCTTTTTGTGAAGGACTTCTAAAATTATTTTTTACGATCAAATCTAAATATACAGATATCTCTAAAATATGAGGCACGATCTCAATAGATGTCACTTATTTCTGCGCCATCGCTTGCTTCCAGCAGCCAGAAATCCGGTTCCAATACTGCTCGGGGTGCAATCTCATATGTCCGACATGGGGTGAGCCTTCAAACATCTCCAATTCAACAGAGTAGCCCAACTGTTTAACACCCGCAACATTTTCCTCCAAATCCTTCCACCCAATAATCTCATCTTCCTTGGAGTACAGGTACAGCCTGTTGGCTTCGGTGGTAATGATTGACTTATCATTCATTACTCGATTCGCCCAAACACCCGAAGGCTCTGACCCACGCAGAACTTCCCAGGCCCAATTAGCCCAGAGGAAAGCATACCACAAGCCCTGCGTAATGATGAATGGCCAGGGAAAGAACTTCGCCGTCCCGACGGCCATCGCCCGCGACCAGCGCCCGACCTGCGAGGCGAAGTCCAGACTACCAGGTGTGGAATCACAGACCAATAGCTTGTGTGGGAAAGTCTTGTCCTTGCCGTGTCGTCGCTGATATCCGACGATGGCAGCGGCGGCGAAAATCGCGCCCGTGTTCGACATGGCATGGATAAGGACGCGCTCTTCTTCGCCCCCACTGCCCGTCGGGGTCGGGAAGATAGTATCAACGACAGGCATCATGGCTTTGATTCTTTCTTCCTCTGGCTGGTTCGATGCCTGAAGGGTGCGCGACAGAACCACGATAATGCGAGCCGACGGGAAAAGCTCATGGTAGCCCTCAGTGTATTTGGTGACGTGCTTGGGCATGCCGTCGCCCCAGCCAGAGATTAGAATTGTTGTTGGCTCGTCCGCTGGGACTGGCTTGGCTTTTTCATTGCCGTCGCGAATGTATACCCGATCAGATATCGGCGTGAAGCCGGGGAATGGAATCGGTTGTGGAGCCATTGCGCAGAGGTTGTGGAGTTATTGATAGGCAGGGAATTGAATAGTGTCTTAGTGTTGATGCAGAGAATGAGATAGCTTTGGTTATATATGTCCGTTGTAAGAAAATCTTCAATCGGTCACCACCCGATTTGGAAGTTGAGCCGGGGCGACAGAAAGGATATTTTGGTTGTTCGCAATGGTTGGGACGTGTTTGATGGCCCAGCGCCAATCCCTTCGGAGCAAGTGGATCGGTTGGGAAACATCTCTCGGCCTTGGCGAATGAAATCTCACGGCGTTGGTTTATGCGCATTTATGTGCCTCGGCAATTGCCTTTTTTGGGTTATTCACCAGTGCCTCAGGCAAAAACACATTTTATACTACCCAGGTCTGGAACTGATATCTCAATCTTTGATAAACATCTCTCGTCTCTTGGAGAACTTTCGAATATATTTGATTCCTGCATGATTCGCGTATCATTTATATCCCAAGATCCAAGCTGCCATTACTCGCGATGAATCGCATTGGCCTTCTCCTGATCATCGGCGAAGTAGTCAGCCCCAGCAGGAGACAGAGACTTACCATGGCGACCAATTTGGTGCCATGGGAGGGCAAATAGTGCATCCATTGACTCAAGACTTCTCCCCGCAGTTTCGGGGACAAAGAACCAAACCCACAAGAGGCCAAGGACACAGACCGCAGTGCAAAAAACGAAGAAGCCGTAATTAGTCATAACAAGAACCATGCTAGGAACAGCCTTGGTGTTTCCGAATTGATTGGCAAAGTGGATACACATGACAATAGAAGAGCCAAGCGCACGCAGCCGACTGGGGTAGATCTCTGCATTGACCAGATATTGGAAGGAGTTCCAACCGATGGCCCAGCCAAACCCAGAGATATAGATAGCTGCAATAGCCCCAATACCAGCACGCTTTGCAGAACCTGTGATCTCACTAGTCTCTGAAACATGGGCCGAGGCTGGTACTTTGGCCATATAGATTGCGATGTAGCAGATTGATAAAGTCTGTAAGATGATTCCGGTATAAAGTGAGCGACGACGACCGAGGAAATCGATAAGGAAGAAAGCACAGATATAAGCGGAGCAAAATTTGACGATGCCGAGAATGCAAGTCGCAAATAGCTTTTCACTCTGACCGGTCTTGCCAAGAGCAGCAAAGAAGCTTGTAGCGTAGATGGTAATTGCCGAGGCGCCGGACCATTGTCCAAGCAGCTGTGACATGACTCCCAGCATCAATCGGTAGCGGTTTGCTGGTATTGTGACAAGCTCTTTGAGCTTCCCCCACAAGGAAGACCCCCGAGTACTTTCTTGTTCATGACCTAGCTGATCACGGATGTCTAGAATCTCAGACATGATAATGGGATGGTCACTGGGAAGTTGACGTAGGGTACAAAGATTCTTCAAAGCCTGTTCGTGCTTCCCTCTCATGACAAGAAATCGCGGGCTCTCAGGGACGGTCCAAGAAGCAATAAAGATGACACTAGATATTAGAACAGTATTAGCATATATCACGGAAACCTCTGACTTCGGCAGTGCCCACCGACTTACCCAGCAAACATGATGTGGATCGACTGTGGTATGACCCACTGGGAGCGAGAAGCATCAGATATGTTCTCCGAGCAACCCCAATTCGCAAAGTAGGCAATCATGACACCCAAGTATACAGCACCCGCAAAGATGTTGGTCAGCATGCCGCGAATCTCTTTTGGAGCAACCTCGGCCAGGTACGTTGGACCAACGACGGTGGTCATACCAACACCGAGACCGGCAATCAAACGACCGGCGAGAATCTGACCAATGTTTCCAAAACTGGTGACGACAATGACGAAGCCAATTGCCCAGAGGGACGTTAGGGCTTGGAGAGATCTGACACGGCCGATTCGATCGCACAGAATGAAGGCCAGCAAAGCACCGCCAATAGAGCCGAGTTGGACCATGCTTGTTATATTCGACTCACGATTGGCGATCTCCGAGGGAGAGCCAACTTCCAGCGGAAATTCATCTTTGAAACTCTTGAGTGAGATCATCCCACCCACTAAGCCTTCATCGATTCCTCTTCCGGCACCGAGGATGCCTGCAACCTTTTTGTCAGCAGCGTTGATCTGAGATATGGAATCATTACGTACCAAAGACCCCAACAGACCAGAAGAGACGGTAGTTGAAGATCTCCTTGGGAGTGTCCGACAGACCCAAATGGCCGAAGAGACCCATCTCGCAATCACTTCACAGCTTCTGCAGTTGAAAATAGAAAGTGGCTGAGAGTAGATAGCTGCCGGGAATATGAGCAGAATCAAACCCTGATGGTCAAGTAGGACAAGATCGCAGTTTTATATCCCGATACGACAGCTGCTCGGAAGTAAAGAAAAGATCTGGACGCGGGGTTGACAGGGGTCATGAGTCAGTGCTCAAGCTTCAAAGACTTCACTCTGGTACTTGATCAGACCACACTGGAGGTCAAAGTTGCAATGCTACCTCAATCGTAACACGAATGAGCGGCGAAAATCACGCTCACCGAGTAATCAGGTATTCCCAGCCGAGCAGACGCATTGCTAGCCGCTTTGACAGCGTGTGTTCCATTTTCGTTGCGAAGCAATGTCGGGATAGGGCGTGTGATCGACGGACGTTTGCCGAGCTCACGGACGACGGCGATAATTGTGGCGCGTGGATTTCAATGCTGTTGGTAAACCATGGACTTGGCAATGCGTCGGGACTTGTCTTAGTAGTGCCAAGCTTGCGGGGGGCTAATCTGGGGAAGGCGCAGATTTCGGAAGTTGACCGAGCCGCATTGGGATCAGCGTTCTGGGTGTTGCATCTCTCGCCCGCACCTTGGAATCTCGTCGAGTTGATGTTTGTGACCGAGGTTTAAGAAGAGAAGAGTGAGTAGTATGTGTAGCAGCGGGTTAAGACTCGGGTCTCTACATCGGTTGGGGAAAGCCAGCTCTTAGATTTGTTTTATATTGGATATCGCGTTTCCGGTACCTATAACCTTGGCTTTTCCGGGACATGGTCCCACGGCTAGCCATCTAGGTGATAGAGACCAAGCCGAGTGAGGGATTTATGTCCTTCCAAGTTCTCAGTCCTAACTTTAGAAGCCTGACAGTGACCGCTTGCTGGGGTATTTCACTAGGTCCGAGACATGACCTTGTTGTCACGTTGGTACCCGGAATCTGTCACAATATAAATGGCATCTGCCAAGCTGCCCATGCTATATTAGCAGAAGTCATGGTAGGTATGAATAGATTACTTACAAGGTCTATTCAAACAATGTTGCAACCACTACGGAGTACGGACACCAAGTGACGACCTCGGGACCGTTTTCTGAGGCGATCAAGTTCGAGACAGTCCACCGAAAAGAAGATGTTTACGTAGAGCTCTACCTAGCAGAGCTGCATATACTAACAGCATACGGAATACGGAGTAAGTGGACCCAACATCTCTTTTTCCCTTCATGCTATTCTAACCTCGGGGGTTTGGGGGAGTTCTCATATCGATAGCCACAAGAAGAAAAGAATAAACAATGGATCCCACGGCGGCGAGATCTCATGCCCAGGTGCTTGTGCGATGTATTTTGGATATATCATATGTTTAAACAATAAATGTACAAGGGCCCCATCGGCTCTGGTTCAATGTTCCATAAATAAATCAATACTCCTGCTGATCATTCCAATAAGTGGTTCCAGACTGAACTTCACCTGTGGGCTCAAGTTTCCACTTGAGGACCAACTTTACCCACTGAAGCAGGTGGCTGGCAATTTTGACATGGCCGACATCAGTCAGATGGTTTTTGGGGTTGATGTCGTTGTGCGCTAGAATACCCTCGGTGGGGAAGTAGTAGACGAAACCGCGGTCCTTGAAGTGTTCGTGGACCTGTTTGGTTTCTTCAAGATAGTATGTGGAGCCAACATATTTTTTGTTGTTCTTGGTGAATGTGCCCCATTGAGACTGAGAAAATTAGCGTCCGAGGATTTTAAGGGACAGGGGGTGACTGTTAGATCTCTGTGACTTGTCACATACCATTAAGATTACCACAGCGTGAGGCCAGACTGAGTGAATATCATCCACCAGCTCGACATAGGCGTGGTAGTAGTTTCTACCGGGGATATCGTTGGGATGGCGATGATCATTGCCACCCATTTGAATAATCACCAAGTCGGCAGGCTGCTCTGCGCCGACATCCCAATCTTCAGGCTCATGGCCGTATGCTGCAGAGGCACGGGAGCCGGGGTCAGAGGCGTGGTGCCAGAACCATTGCTAATATCCAGTCAGTCAATGCTGGTTTGTAAGAGGGGAAGTTGATGATGATTGCCATACCACGCCATGAGTACCACCGCCGTAGCATTGAAGATCGGCAAGGCAGACACCAGGGTATGCCTAGAATGTCATGTGTTAGAATGAAGACAAACTGAGTGCCAATATTACTGACTGTTATTCCATATTCGACGTTCCCCAGGCCATTTGCAAAGAGGAAAGACCAAGAGGAGAGGGTTTCATAAGTTGCAAATTGACCAGATGCAAGTCTACAACATGTTAGCGAAATTTCCTTCCATTCAGAGGAATGTGATGGAAACCCACGATCCGCCGATGATCTCGATTCGCTTTTCAAAAGTCGGAGGCTTTGATAGAACAGCATCGCTAGCAACAGCAACGCCAGCGATTTGGACTGTGTGAAAGATAAGCAACGACCATAATGAATGATTAGTGAACACTTATCCAAAGCCCCAATTTGTCACTGGAATGCAGTTAGTAGATGTACTGTGATTGGGCCATCACGGGTCGCATACCTCGCATCTCAAACACATTCTTCTCTGGAATTTCCTCGCCATCATTCAGCTCTGACCATGGGCCGACAAACTGATATGTGGAGTCGGCAGTGACGTTGGAAAACTGCCAATCAAGAGAACCGACACTGATGAACGTTAGATGATTGAACACCGAGGGTCAAATATTCTGTTCTCCTACCGATAAGCGACCAACACACCAGGGGTGGTGCTTTGGCCAAAGCTGAGAGCCAGCTAGAAGACGATCAATATGTGGATCCAGATAAAGTTGATCGGAGTTGGAAGTGCGCACCTTGTCCCCGGAAAATTCAACTTTAAGTCCTGGTGCGCTAACGTAAAAGGTCAGCTAATGCATTTGACAAGAACTTTGGTGAGACATACGACCACCCTGGGATCTGTTAGCATGAAGTCAAATGGCAAGCCGAAAATCCGGGGAAAGGATGTGGCGTAGACACACAGGAAACGTGCTTGCTGTCCCATCGCCCTTTGTAGGAAATCTCCGGGGCATCCGGCTGATAGGTATTCCATGAATTGTCCAAAGCGATGGCAGACACCTGTCCAGGATATGGATTCTCTCTCACTTGACCATTCTCCAGAATCGTGGCTGAAGTCACAGCCAGAATGAAAAAGGCCAAAAAGCGATGTATAACCCGCATTCTGAAGATGGAGGTGATCAGATGGGGATACACAGCTCCCGTCCACGTTGATCTAAGAAGTGCCCCTACCAGAAAGTCCCGAACCCAGGGGCAATAGTGGCGATAGTCACCCCGAATGGATATGTCGGGAAAGACCTAAAATTGCGTGATCTTGGCGCGGGATTGCCTTACGGTTTCTCCTGCCAAGCTCGTTTGACTTTAAAATCCACGTCACTATACAGCCCTGGAGCGTTACCCTGAAACATCGAAATCTGACACACACTATACACATTCCAACAGTATTGTACTCCGTATAGAGCATATATTGATGGGTAGACTGATCGAGACCTGATCCAATGTCCAAGCGCACTAGTCGGAATCTGTTCTCAAAACAGGAACTCGTCTCTAGTTCCAGTTCGCCTGGTAACACTAAGCGAATCTCCGTACGCCAAACGGCAATACTCGTACATATCTCCGAAAACTCGGAGATCAAAAGCATACCCCTGGCCAGTTTACAACAAAAAAAAGTCTCGGATGCAGGGGCGTCCACTCATGACGCTCGCAGCGGAGGCTTTAGCCGTTTTCCGGCTAGCCGGTGGAAACGGATGATTTTCGTCAAAGAGAAATTGGGGACGCCAAGAAAAGAGTGATACAGACCGACATCCTGACAGTCGCGGAAAGGAGATCCCGGATCTTTCGCAACCTCATAGGGCTTAGTTTTTCTTCCTTCTTTTTTTTTATTATTTGCCAACCCTACAGGATTGATCAACATGATGTTACGTGTGCTTGGACGGGCTGATAGGGGTCAAGAGCCCACGTTGACCCTTAGAGTTTGTTGAACCGAGGCCGAACAGGTCCCTCTTTTTCTTCCCAGTCAGGGTCTGCAGATCGCCAAGACGGTTCGCGCTTCACGTGCATCGCAGGGCAGGATTAATTTGTCGACCCGAATTCTAGAAGGACCTTTCAATAGTGCTGAATTGGTGTACAGTACGGAGCATGAGATGTCAATCTTTTCTTGGTGACATGACATGGCTTAAAGCCAAGAGTTGATGGGTTTTTTTCATTGGCTGCAGTGGGCTGCAGTGGCTAATATTGAGTGGAAACAATACAGTGTGGCATTCGTACGGAGTACGAAAGAATACAAGTATACAAATGAGTGTATGCTCATTCTTTAGAAACAGATGCCATTGTTTCAAGTATCTACTTTTTGTTGATCTTAAAAGCACTTGGGAATGCGGGATAGTGTTAGTTATGGTTAACAAATGACGCCATCCACCCACCAAGTCGTGCAATTGATATAACGCGTATGCCGTAGAAGCATACGTAGGCTGCTGTTTTTCGCTTTCGTACCCGGCGGAATTATAGGGGCAAATATGATATCTAAGTTCTGAATTCCCTCCCCTTACTAGGCCTCGAAATACTCCGTACAGAACTCAGAACGCCCAGAACTCCCAGAAACCCTGGTTCCCTGGGGAAATAATACATAATTATAATAAAGCCAATTTATTAGAAACTCACATTTTGATTTGTCGCCCAGAGGATTCGAAACATTATGTCCGAATGTACAAGTATACTCCGTGAACGATCGGCAACTCTGGCGCAATTTGAGGCGGCTTTTAGCCATGGTTGATATGGAATGCTTGGTGTTTGCTCATTGGTAGGAGGAGTACTCATCCACGAGGGCGTCGTCAGCTTCGCTGTGATGGCTTAATCTGGTGAGGCATCAGATAATTGTAGCTTCAATCTGCGACAGGCTGCTAATACTCCGTACTCCGTACCCATTTGCCCCTTCGGCGAGTGAGGAGTAGGATGTACACAATGCAATTGTGCCCATCCCCGAGGTCTAGATGGAGAAGAAACAAATATTTCTTTGCTGGAAGAAAGTATTTATTGAATTGTTATTTGACATCGTCTCGTTTGAAGAGCGGAGCGCAAAAGAATACGGTAAACGAGCGGGCTGATATGTTTTCTTTTTTCTGAATATCCGGGGATCGTAAAAATAGCTGCCTTCTGTACTCTCCAAAGTTAGGGATCCGGTCCACTTAGATCAAAAATGGCTTGGGGCTTACTCCGTACGGAGCACTTGAACATGCTGTATTGCAGGCCCACTGCTTGTATCCACGCGATAGAAGTCCCAATGCAGTTCTCTCATTCGAGCGCTTTGAACCGTTCTACTCTTGGCAAGACTTGATCTTCGACTCGTGTGGACTGCGAATTTCCTTACATATACCCCATTCTGCGTTCTTCTTTTGATTCCATTGCGCTTTTGATCTATGGGGGTGTTTTGAATTTCCGGGCTTTCCCCACCTATAGACTGTCTCTCCCATCACTCCTTGATTCCTTTGATTCCTTCTCCAGCTGCATTTGCATTCCCTTTTGAGTTTCCCTTCATTCTGCAATCGGTTTCTTTTCAGCTGTGGATTTTTATGGTCACACTCGTCTTTCCAATCCGACCAACTCGCTAGACACCTCAGGTCTCCTCGACCTGCTCGTCCTCTCTGTCGCTCATTACAACATCCATCATGGAATACATCCAGCCACAGCACCTTTACTCTCGCCTCCTGGACAACGTACCTTGGAAGTCCGCGGATCCAGCGGTGAAAGGTGATCCGCGCAAAAGCGTAAAGTGGATTGATGTGCGTCGCATCCCAGGCTCAGAGGAGAGACTGATAATGACTGACATCATAACAGGGTCTCCGAGGAATTGCATCGTTCCTTGTCGTCCTCACTCACCTTGCTCGAGCATGGGACTATGATCTCTTCGCGCCTCGTGATGATGTGGATGTAGCTCCTCGAATTTTACAGTGGCCCGTTTTCCGTATACCCTGGCAGGGCCGTTTGGGCGTCACAATATTTGCATTCTTGACTGGCTACGTTTGCGCCCTTAAGCCGCTCAAGCAATCCCGCAATGGAGATATTTTGGGATCTTTCACATCAGTGGCCAAAAGTGCCTTCCGTCGCCCACCTCGTCTTATCTTTCCCGCGACTATTGCCTTGATTATCTCATGGATCATGGCACAATTCGGCGCGTTTGTTGTGGCTAATCGTTCGGACTGCTGGTGGTGCCGGTACGCCGCTGTCGATCTCGCACCCACATTCTGGGATGAGTTTGTTCGCCTATTCAAGACCTTCCTTGAAGTCTGGACCACGGGATACATGGCGTATGATGACCACCAGTGGGCTCTGCTTCCTTTGCTCCAGGCTTCGATGTTGATCTATGTCCTCATATGTGCGACTATGTTCGTCAAATTCCGCTTCCGATTGGTTGTCTACCTGGGCATGTATCTTTACTTCCACCAGAATCCTGCCAAGAATACAGGTAAGTACACTGGGTGTCCCATATACACTTACACAAGCTGACTTGTTTCCCAGAAACCTTCCAGATGCAAGCAGTGTATGGCATGTTCCTCAGCGATCTTGCATACGAGAAGGGCTTCAAAGAGTTCGTTGAGCGCCACAGCTGGGGTCGCAAAGTTGTAGCACTGATGCTGCTTTCCGTCGGTCTCTTCATCTGCTCATACCCCGGAGAACACCCCGAGTGGGCGACCTGGTCAAACTACATGTACCAAGCCGCACAATACATCTTTCCACCAGAGGTCAATATCGGAAAGCGCTACTCTGCTCTCGGAGTCGACCTTATCATTTTCGCCATCTATATCTCCCCATCTACCAAAGAGTTCCTATCCAGCAGCCTTCTGTTGTGGCTTGGAAAGCAGAGTTTCGCCGTTTACCTCGTGCATGGCACTCTTCTCCGCACAGTCCTTTGCTGGATGCTTTACGGTATTACCGGCCAGCCCTGGGATGGTGACATCGTGGACGACAACGGAAACCCCATCTATGGTGATGACGGCGAGCCACTCCACCCTCACTGGATTCCTCTCCGTGCTCCCTGGGTCGTCGCGATCAGCATCCCGGCATGGATTGCACTTGTGTACTTCATTGCCTCCATGTGGACCAAATATGTTGACCCATTCTGCGCGCGCATGGCGCAGAAGTTGGAGAAATTTGTGTTCGAAGAAGATGAGCAGGCTGCACCCCAGCTGCCAATGACAAGTATCCCGATGACGACTGCTTAATGCAAGATCCTTTTAGCGCCCAACATGACGCCCCAATGACCCTTGAAGCAATGCCCTGGTGGCCTCTGCTTTTTGAAATCAAGGGTCCATATTATGTTTCATTCTATTCACTGACCATACTTTTTCATCTACCTGCCATCTACAATGCATGGTTCAATTCTCGGAGGCTATGTCCCCTCTACCACTCTCTTTCTTTTCTCTTTCCCCCCATGGCTGGCGTTATGATTTTTTGACTTTCGTACTCCTACAAAATGGGAGACAATCAAGTTGAGCGTCGCATTACTCCTCGGTATCTGACCGCGGTGGATAGTCTTGGATGTACATACAAACTCAAATCAAGACCCCGAAACCTGATCTTCACAGATAAAATACACACGCACGACAGTTTCAAGTTAGGATCAGCACACGATCAGATCGCCTATGACATTCTCCTGATTCAAATCAAGTGCCATACAGGAATTCCTCGAACAGGGAAAGGGGGGGCAGGCAAATCCGCGTTATGTCCGAGTGAACGCCCATTCAATAAGCCACATGTTCGGCCACAGTTCATTGATTGGTCGAATTCCTACGGAACCGTGTGGGGTCTCTCGGTAAAAACCGAGTCCCTACCTGACAGGGTCTTGGCATTGGTATAGTGCCAAGATATCCCGTTTGGGAAATCTGGAGCGTGGATCTAGACCCTGCTTATGCCAAGTAAGGAACCCACTCTTGCAGAATCACTTGAGACACCGCGGGACGAGGCGCTCTGCCAAGGTGGTGCCGGAAGCCGGGAAGCCGGGTGTTTCGAATCAATGCATGTTGACATCACAATACGGATTACTCGTAGCTTGTTTTCTCCCGGAGAATTTATCCTATACCTATCCGCGTCCCTGTTGCGGTCGAGATCCGAACTCGCTGTTGTGAGCAGGGCGGTATTTGGCAGGCTTGACTGATGGATTGAAGCTACATGTCAGACATGTGAGCGGAACGAGGGTGAGCCGAGTCGTGGCTAAACAATGTCTCGCTTTGGTTCCGCTGCTCCACTCGTACTCCGTACAGGACCGGGGAATCGGCAAAAACGGTAGGCTGAGTGAAAGGTGTTGAATTGCGCACCTACTTGATCGAGTAACACATCTATCTAAAGGGTTATGTCGCTTGTGCTTTCATTTCTTGTCGCTAGTAAGCTGCCCAAAGGACCTGTTGAGGGCTTCAAGGATGAGCGCGAGCATGATTTTTGGTTTGGACGTGATTCGAAGAGTCGAGTCAAGTTACGAAAAGGCCTAATGGCAAGGGACCTTTTACTTTCACACTTATGCCTGGTCACCGACTAAGAAAGCTTTCTCATCTTGGGAAACCGATGAGGTCAACAAATATTCGCCCGACGGTGTCGATAAGCCAGAGCCAGGAGTCGATGCTCCCAGCGTGACAACTTCGAAGTTGTAATGTCTCATCCTTTGAATGATTAGGTCTTGAAGAAAGAAAAACGCCAGACCTCAGGCTTCCAATGCAGGTCGCACTGAGAGATGCCAGATGAAGGGCCCATAGGATCATTGTGCTTGCTCAGCGCACCATTCGACCCGCCACAAGGAGGATCAGATATCTATTGATTTGCCCGAGTAGCATGTCTTTCCTGTGATGATAGGCCTAGGAGCGTGTTCAGTCAATCCATCCGCGTCGAATATCGCGCAATCTTGCCTCATGTGCAATTTCTGCCTTCCAATCTTTCGAGTCTGCATCATATGCTCAAAGATCTTCTGCGTCCGCTTTCCAAGTTGTGTCTATATCCGTGCTTACGCATCCTGGTCATCACTCTGGTACTCGCCATGTGAGCTGGGGGGAGCTCAGGCACCTAGGGAGAGAGCCTGACCATCGACCTCGGTAATGCGATCTTTGATGCGTGGTACAATCCGTATCACCGGGGAGTTTGCTGTCGCTATGATCTGGGCTGGAATCACACAAGCGAGGGTTACCCAAGTCAACAATCGCGCCAGTGGAGACCCCGAGGCGATCGACAAGTTCACGCGCGAATAGGGCCTCTACAAGAAAAAGGCATTCACCTTGCCATTTTCTCAGTTCTGCTGCTTGTAAAACACTCTGGCACTCCCTGGTTTAACGAATATTTGATCCTAATCTCGATCACTGCCCGCTGTCTTTTCTCTGGAAAATGGGCTGCAAAAAGAAGAGACAATATTGGCTTGTGGAGGTACCATGCCTTCCCAAAGATTGAGTCTATGTATTGCAATCCCTAGAAGGACATCGTGCTTGGACATCTCGATTACTTGGTCGCAAGACGAGTGAATGATACTCATGACTCATGTCCATCTATTGATGACCAGGAATTATCTTTGGGTAAGATCAGGCAGTTGCTGTGACTCACAATTGCTTTCCTAGTCCAACGAGTCTTGGCCAGTCAACGGTTCATACTCGAGCTGTTGGCTGGAAGGGTTCGAGGCTCAACTGAAGGGCCCGTTGGGATATGACGAGGCCATGTGATGGATCTTCGCTTCTCTAACGCCGATCTGTTGTCGCACGGGCTGATCATTTACTACCAGGATTGCATACACACGGAATGCAACTGCATCTCAAGTCTCGTCTAGTTCAATTTCTTTCAGTACTGCCGGACCCAGCTATGCAAGCTGCTATCGGCTCTGGTGGCCGGGTGGCCGTCACAACTGTGCAATGGCAAGGCGCACGACGCCAAACCTCGTAGCGTGCCGTAGTGAACCATATCGCCCCTACTCCACTCCATCTCCAAGACTAGCATCACACAAATTATGAGGGGTGAGCCATGAAGAAATTCTGTCATGTGATTTATCACACAGGGATCATGAGGGGTGAGTCATTATGTGCAGAGAATAAATCTTGCTCTTCATTCCCTGCGAGGACTGTACCCCACAATACAGAGGTTTTTAACGAGAAACCTCCCGGTATCTCATAACAAGATGACTGAAGAAGCGCATCAACGCGGGAAAGTCCTCCCAGAACCTGGAAAGCGCAATATACTCATCACTAGCGCTCTACCTTATGTGAACAATGTGCCCCATCTCGGGAACCTTATAGGTTCTGTCCTTTCAGCCGATATTTTCGCAAGATACTGCCGAGGGCGCAAGATCAACACCCTCTATGTCTGTGGTGAGTCGGGACAATCCCCTTTCATATCTTCCTGATACCCCTCCGTGCTGATCATCGTGATTCCTTAGGTACGGATGAGTATGGCACTACGTCAGAGACAAGAGCGCTTGTGGAGAAATGCACACCACGACAGCTTTGTGATAAATATCACACGATCCATGCCGCCGTATATGATTGGTTCAACATCAGTTTTGACATTTTTGGCCGAACGACAACTGAGTTGCAGACAGAAATTACTCATGATATCTTCCTCAAGCTCCACGAGAACGGATTTTTGAAAGAGGAGATGACGACACAACTTTACTGTCAGGAGCACAATTCATTCCTTGCAGATCGTTTTGTTAAGGGAGAGTGTCCACACTTCACCTATGCAGATGCTCATGGAGATCAATGTGATTTCCGTGGTTGAACTTAAAAATCCACGTTGCAAAGTTGACGGTGCAACACCAGTCACAAAGGAAACCAAACATGTTTTCCTGGAATTGGATAAGTTGCAGTCCGAAATCGAATCCTTCTGCCAAAAATCCTCGGCGGACGGTGCGTGGTCCAACAATGGCAAAGTGATCACATCCGCGTGGCTGAAGGAGGGCTTGAAACCACGAAGCATTACCAGAGACATGCAATGGGGAACTCCTGTCCCTCTCGCGGGCTATGAAGACAAAGTTATCTACGCTTGGTTTGATGCTTGCATTGGTTATGCATCCATCACCGCAAACTATACCAGCGAGTGGCAGCAATGGTGGCGCAACCCAGATAATGTCCAACTTTATCAGTTCCTTGGAAAAGATAACGTCCCATACCACACTGTAATTTTCCCCGGTAGCCAGATTGGCACTCGGGAGACATGGACCAAACTCCACCATCTCTCCACAACGGAATACCTCACATACGAGGGCGGAAAATTCTCTAAATCCCGGGGAATCGGCGTGTTTGGAGATTCAGCGCAAAAAACAGGCGTTGCTTCTGATGTATGGCGCTACTACCTGATCTCTCATAGACCAGAGACAAGCGACAGTGAGTTCAATTGGGACTCATTTATCAGTGCCAACAACAACTTGTTACTCAAGAATTTGGGCAATTTTGTCAGCCGCGTCGTCAAGTTCGTCAACTCCAAAAACTTCAACAACATTGTGCCGGACTACACGCAATACCACGAGCCTTCATTTGACACGTGGAAAGAGCAAGTCAATGGGCTTCTCACCGAGTACATCCAAAAACTGGATGCCGTCAAGGTCCGTGGTGCTTTATCTACGGTTATGTCTATGTCTCAGCAAGGCAATGTTTTCCTTCAATCCAACAATCTCAACAACAAACTTGCGGAGGAAGAACCCCTTAAATGTGCTGCTGTCATTGGAATTGCTGTAAAATTGATTCATCTTCTTGCATCTGTTCTTTCTCCTTTCATGCCCGACACTGCGAAATCGATGAACGATCAACTTCGCATAAAGCCACTACCGATACCCGATCATTGGGACGCTGACTCAATCAAGCCACAGCACGAAATTGGCAAGGCGGCTCATTTGTTCAGCAACATCAAGCCGGAGAAAGGAGAGGAATGGCGAAGAATGTTCGGAGGTCAAGAAGCACAAAAGGTCAAGGAGGAAGAGGCCGCGCGTAAGGCGGCGAAGAAAGCAGCGATGAAGGGTGGCAAAGCATCGCAAAAAGGAATGAAGGCAGACGCCTGAGCTAGCCTATACGGTTGGTTCCCAAGAGATGTGATTTTCCTGGTGGAGAAATTAGAAAGCGGTTGGATTGAATCGTGGTCATATTCATGATCTACCAATGGCAAAAGTGGCCTAGAAGATTACAACCTAGTCCCTCCTACTTGATCAACCATGTCCAGGCTTTGAGAGATTGTGGAAACACCACTATGGAAATGAAGGTAATGCCTATGACGAGGAACTTTGTACTTCATACTCTGGACGGAATACCGGAGCTATGATTGGGGAATACAAACATCGTTTGATGTGAGAATCAAGTTCAAGGAGCAAATCAAAGCGGGGTGAGATGCCAAACACAGCGGGCATGCAGGGGTGACCCGCCCAATAAAAATCCCCGGTGCAGACCTCGTATTCATGCGTGGCGTGGGTCTTCAGCTACAAGCTCGAATATTCCAAAATTGGCATACATCATCATTGTTATAATATCCCGAGGTCTACGACCAAATAAGAACATTGATCTCAATAGAATAGATAGATCGTATAAGTGCCACAATGACAGACGACAGACGAGACGACAGAGGCATGGGGCCTGATAGAGTGCGGGATGTCCGAGAGTCTAATCTTAATTAGCCAAGCTGACGACCTGTGCGTGAGCCTGCAGCATAATCTCCGTGGGGGCCAAAAATAGTCAAAAACCTGAAAACTTGAATATCATCGTGAACACCCTTCGAGACCTTCTACGCTCCTGCCGGAAGCTTTTGCTCGGTCGCATGCGGACAATGTTGATTATACCCAGCGCGATGCGTATTTACGCGACACTCATACTTCCAACATATGCAGCAGCTGAGTTCCAGCGTTTCGCCTCGTGGTTTCCACGGTACGGTTCTGCCCTGACCAATCTGACCGACGGGGATTGCTCTGCGGAGTATTCGATCTATACAACAGATGCACTCCAAAATGCGACCACATTCCCGAAGTTAGAGAGCTGGGATGTAGACTCTGCTGCATCCCCCCTCATCGATTGTCTTTTGGAGAACACCCCAGAGATTTACAAATCTGCAATGGCAAGCTCTCAGGTGATGTTAGGCTTAATGCCCACAATACTTGTCAGTGTGGGACCCAGCATCTACGAAACATCCATCTTGTTTTCGTATGGCCAGCGAAATCTGCTGGGATTCTTGATTCTACTTGGGAGTCCATCTGTGCTCTTTGACAATACCGTTGGCTTCCGTCAACAAGTCGCGGACATCCTGAGCTCCCGGGATAATATATCCATGAGCCTTCTTGTCAGCCCTAATTGGTACATACTTCTGGTCGAATACACATTAGCCCTGGCTGCCATCGCCAATGTAGGCGAAGTTTGTTATGAGATAGGAACTCGATCAGTGACTTCAGTAGCACAGGACGCCCCCTATCTGGCTGCCATTTGGATTTTCGTGGGCGTCGTTACCCATCTTCTCGGGGCATCGATCTTCGCCATGATCAAGAAACGTCCTGATGCTCAAAACGTGAGACTATTTTTGCCTACTTTCAATTTGTGGGAATGGACCAGAAACCAATTTTGGCCGATGAAACAGGCTAAGAGAATTCAGTTGGAGTTTCTCCCATGCTCACTGCTTGAGATGATGCTATCTTGGCTCACGAGCATAATTGGCACGGTCAATTTGATTTTTGGAGTTCTTGTTTTCTCGAGTCTGATGTTCATTTCTATCAGAGATTGTCTCTTTATCGTCCTCCGATTTATGGCTTCTGCAATTGTATGCCGCGCTATAGCTCGTTACGAGATTTGCACAATACGCGATGCAATAGGCAATGAAGAAGAGTCGACATCCCTTCATGAGCTCAGATCATCCGGTGACCTCGGGACCTTGATAAGATGATATATACATAACTGTTGAGCTTCATTGTCATTGAAACATCTTGCTAATAAATTTTTGAAAATGTATTCTAGTGCCGGAGTCTCATCATTGGGTTTCTTCCATCCCGGGCTTGGATTCTGTGACAGCTCAGTTTGTATTCACTGGTTTGAAGTGATTACCCATACGTATTTACGCCTATCTGGAACTTTGGAATAAAGTTATAAAATGTATGTGTAAACCTAGTTATAGTCAAGGACCATGGGCGAGTTGTTGATATTTCCTGATCGGGCGAAAATAAAAGTGGAGAAAGTTTTGATCTCCAGCCCCTCCCAACTGAGTTCTTTCAAAGGAGAATTCTCATATTGATGCTCCCTCTTAGCTCTTTTTTTCCTCTTTCAAATTCAAAATATATCAAATGGCCGCATCAAAAGCCCTTGTCTTCGACATCGGCGATGTGCTCTACAATTGGGAAGCCCCTCCGGTAGGGACCACCACCATCCCGCCAAAAATGCTGCACGCCATGATCAAAACGTCAATTTGGGCCGACCACGACATTGGCAAATACAACGAAGCTGTCTGCTTCGCCAAACTTGCAGCAGAATTCGACCGAACTCCCGCCGAGGTCGACCTTGCCATTTCCTGGATTCGGGATGGGCTCCAATTGAATCAAGCGTTGGTTGATCAACTGCGATCACTGAAGACAAATCCCAATGTACAGGGACTGTATATCATGTCGAATATCTCACACGAGTTACTCACTCATTTACGAAGGAAAGATGATGGGATGGATTGGGATCTTTTCAAGGGAACGTTTGCTTCGGGGGAGGTGGGGTTGCGGAAACCAGATGCCGCATTCTATGAGCTTGTGCTTCAGAGGGTTGGTCATCCGGCTGAGGATGTCTTTTTTGTCGATGATAAGAAAGAAAATATTGATGCTGCTCGAGCATTGGGGATTTGCGGCGTCGTTTATACCGGTATGGCAGACCTGGAGGTCGCCATCAAAGACTTCTTAGGGTGATTCAGCAACAAAGTCAGGGGGCATACGGGTTCAGATGTCCTGTAAAATAAAATTGGCAAATTGAGGTTCATTGTTCATTTTTGCCTGCATCGCGCATCCAAGCCCGCCTATCTGCTCCATACAGGTAAGCTCGTTGAAGCCACACGTGCTTCCTATACAAGTACGCATTTCACCACCGGGCTTGGTACTGGCAGACATGGATATTTGATTGTCAAATTAAATCGTGCCATCTATATCAACATGAACATACACACAGTCCCTCTAGCAGCTGCACCATCCCCAATCTGGCTAGCGTATGCTAGTAAACATTCACCCGCGAGCTTGTCCCTCATTTTTTTCTCCCCCGCCTTCATGAAAATCCTCCGTTGACATCACACATCCTCGGCTGTTGTGGTATGATCTAAAACCTCCGAAATAACAAAAATCGCTCAAAGCCACGCTCAAAAAAATCGAAATGCTAATTTACAGAAAACGCCCATCTCTCCCCCCGAATTCCAATTTGAAGACCGTGAGCCTTGAGAGGATCAGATGAAAAAAAGCAAGCCAAGCCAGGATGTGCACCTAAGCGATGATCTGGCATTGAGATCATTGGCTCGGAAAGGTGAATGGAAACATCCGACTCATAAACCCGACAGGACCGGATACGAGTCGCCCCGCATTTTGTAAGCCGCGATGACAGGAGGGGTCGCCGATTTCCAATCCTCGAAGATATTGCCGTAGATGTCAATTCTTTCGTCTGGAGAGGTGAAGGTAATGCTGTCGGCGGTACGGGCAGTGTCGTTCAATTTAGGGTTGATGTCTTGGAGGGCGGTGGTGACGAGAATAACATCTTTCACGGACGCGGGGTTTGTCGCGAAGCGCAGGTATATGATGGTCATCTTTGCGGAGTGTAGCTTTTGTCTTTGGAAAGTTTTCCAAGTTTTCTCGCGAGGTCTCTGCTGAGACTCTCAGGAGCACATGTTCTCCAATATATACTCGTCTTTCAAGTGACATATGCGTGATAAGAGGCACCTCGCCTTCTCGGTGCTTTGCCGATCAGCTCAGAGACGAGGCTCGACATGCATTGGTCTGGCACTATCCTTGTCGCTTGCATCAGAGATAAGAAAACGTAGCCAATTAAAGGGCTAAAATGGGTCTCTTGGTCCCTAGTGCCTTCTTTTTATCCATTTAAACGTGAGAAAGATAGAAGCATATCTTATCGTCCCACTTGTAGATCTTGTCAGATTACGAATATGATAGCTTAATCGGTTTGGGATGCTCCGTACGCGGAGGGGAAGTCATCTTTGTATTATTCTTCTGTCTGGTGCAATGCCGATAGCACTGGACATGCAAGCCGCAGCGCAGAATTTCTTCGATTTCTTGACGCTACCTAGGCTTACTCATTCTCTTCGCGAAGGCGCTCCAGCAACTCCTGGTCAAAGATTCCAGGACCAGTGAGCTCATTTTCCAATGCTGAGATGGATGGCGTGAAGAAATAATCACCACCCTTCTGGACAACCCAGCTTTCTAAGGGCATGCGGGCCTCGGTGGGATATTTGCCATCAGGCAGACCGATTGATCGAGGTGGGTGGTGATCAAGCCTCTGGCCAACGATGGCATCAATGCCAGGTCCGTCGCCGCCAACAAAGTTGGTCTTGCGGTCGGGGAAGTGGTGGTTACTCGCCCAGCCTGCAAGATAAAAGGGTCAGTTCTGCCTCAAATAATTTGAGTATCTTCCGAGAACTTACGAGTAGTCAGGAAGTTGAATCCATTGCGGATGTCGCTCTGGTAGCAGACAAACAGCAAACCACGTTCCTTATCCGCGGCAGACTTTCTTTCGGCCAATTCCTCGGCGGTAACCTCATCTCCATAAGGAATTCCACGACGAATAATGACCGCGTGGTCATGGTCCAAGTCACCTCGAGGTCTCATCTTGCGGGTGTGTGCCGCAAAGGGACATTTGTTGTGCTCAGTGACGGGATGGTAATCAAAGTTGTTGGACGCATGCAAACTCGGGTCGGAGTCATCGTGAGGAGACTCATCAACGGGAGTTCCTGAGAAATTTATAAATTAGCAAACGGACAGAACCTTTGCGCTGTTTCTGACGTACCGTTCTTCCATCTGCCCATCAGGTAAGCGGCAAGCTTCTCGCCTGGCCTGGGGTGGTCCTGGGTGAATGGGGCATGCTGGGCATTTTCCTCCATGAATCTGAAATATCGTTAGGATAGAAAATCTGAGAGCCCAGATGTGTAACTTACTCGTCAAACTCGGGAACGAGTTGTTGAAGATCGCGGAAGACAAGGAAACTTCCGTCTTTTGCCCATGCCGGCTGGGACATATCGTCACCCTCGTATCCACAAAGAATCAATCTATGCGTTGTTAGTCTATCGTTGGCTTCTTGCTTCATGATAGCAATTCATACCCTGGCTTTGTGGCTTTGGGCTCCTTGCCCGTCGGCACTCTCTCATCCCAGCCTTCAATGATTGGCTGACTGATTCCATCCTGGAATCCGAAGCTGTAGATAACATGAGTACATGCAACGAAGACATAATTCCAGCTTGGATTGACTTACTGCTCCTTTCCCTTGTGGATACCCGGGCGAACCTTCCCTTCCCGGACGAGTGTCAACTCTATAGAAGGGTCTTTGCTGATAACATATGTGTCCGGGTTCAGAGGTGCTCCAGCCTCAGCTAGGAAGTGCTGCTTGACCTCGCTGATCTTCGCATCTAAGTCGGACTTCAGACTCGAAGTGACCATGACCACACCATCGATAGTTCGCTCATTATCGCTAGTGGGGTGATATTCTTTGCGCAGCTCCTGAGGGTTGTCCCAACCTTCACCAACAAGATCGGCGTACATGCCCTTCTCGAATAATCCGCCGCGAAGTTGCTTCTTGCGGAAAATTGGAGAGAGCTTTCTGTCTCTTTTGACAAATTCCTGATCAGGAATATTGATGAATGCCCCCAGCTGGAATATATCAGTATTTCTGTAATAGACATATTATGAGATGAACTCCACGGATGACTTACTGCTTCGAGACCAGTGGAAGTAAATGAGATATTTACTCCTGGCAGCGCCTGGAGCTTCGCCGACTTCTTGGATAGCTCGGCCTCTCTCCTCGCCTTTTTGATGATTTCACCCATGGCACAGGCATCCTGGGCAGTTGTGATTTTGGGAATGAATGTCTTGAGTCGAGACTTGAAATCAACCTTGTTTCGAATCCGGAAGAACAAGAATGTTTGGAATCTCTTGGGCAAACCAGGCCTGGAGTTATCATCAGCATGACAAGAAGCAGTGTTGAGATATTATCGAAGCAGGAACGTACCAAACATCACCCTGTATGTTTGCCTTGAGGGCAGGAGTGAGACTCATTGTGAAAGTTTGAGCCTGTGACTTGGAGTGAACAAAGTTACTCTGAGGTCATTGATAGACCGAAGAGGGGGGCATGTAGTTATAGGAAAAGTTGGATAGGGGTGCAAATTCAGGAAGCATGAATCGCCTCTCCAGCCCAAAGCCAGCCAAGGGCGGGGCAGATTGTGCAAGATGCAAGTATGGAGTAAGTTTTACAGAGTAGTGACTGATCTAATGCACCATGATAAATCAGGTCTAGATCGTCAATTGTAAATGGGGCATGTCGGATTGGACAGCGTCATGAAAATCAATGTTCGCGGGTGACACAATCGTACATTCAGCTGCAACGGGAGATGATCGCTCATGTACATCATCTCCTACTTCGCACACGAGCATGTGTAAGGTCAAAAGGCTTTCGATTATATCCAGCAATCAGCCATTGGACAGGAAGTTCGTTTGAGTTTTCCAATGATAGTTTTGGTCGCGGACATACCGCTGTTGATCCCTTCAGCTCACCGAGTTTGATTCCAACGTACGGAGTATCGAGTACTCCGTACCTACTCCATAGACGGAGCACGGAGGACACAAAAATGATATCAGGCTAGCAGTTTGAAAGGTCAACGGAGCCGAAGCCCACTTGACATCCACATTGGACCCGCTGGTCGCCCAACCTTCCTCGGCTGATAGGGTTTCACTCCAGCGCATTGGAGCGATCCCGACCCCCTGCAGGATCTCCGTGAGTGGGTGAACTTGGCTAGTGCGGTGATATCATGATTTGAAAAACAGATCTCTCTACTCCTCACGGAGCATGCATCCCCACATGCCATTCGCCCGGCAGTGGTGCTCCGTAAGTGGATTATACTTGGGCAGACTATTGCCGGATGTAACCATTCCCACATGGGGCTGGCCCAGCCAGAGATGTGGAATCAGACGCCTCATCTTTCATTATTTGAGTCTCGGCTTTCGGATCGGGCGGCTGCAATATCACCATCGCTGGGCATATCGACGTCCTGCTATCCTCTGGTACAGCGGAGGGGAACTTCGCAAAAATTGCGGAGCTATGATGAACACTTTGACAGGTCGAGAAGAGAGTTACTGCAGGAATGTCGATCTATGTCTCACAAGCAAATATTTGGAGGGGGTTCAGAGTAAAGCGTACGGGGTACGTGCTTGTACGTGCTGATCGGAGTTTCAACATTGGCTCGAGGACAGGGCCGTCCCAGCGGATGCGGGCCGGGCTCCACCCTTCGGCGCTACGACGAACTATCAATTCTGCAGCTCTCAGCGATCGACAGTACTTTTGCTAAACCAATCATTTATGTTCGATTGGTCAATCGGCAATCTTTGTGACAAAAGGATCTGGAATCCCCACATCTTCAAACACCGCGCAGCTGAAAATGTGTGCCATGGTTGGATCTATTGACCTCCCAGTGGATCTGCGACTATGCAGAAGCAGATGTAGATCTTTGGATCTATCTCCACCGTGGTCCAAGTTTGAGTTTTCTTTCCCTGCTCGTTCTGACACCGCAACTAGAGGTGGCGTCGTGATGCACACGAGAAGCTCAAACACAGGATGTCCGTCATGTTATTGACGTCTGTGCTGCATTTGAGTCCACGCTCAGCACCACCTCGGCCCCGAGGTGCTGGATCTAAGACACATCGGGTTTCGATAGATCGACCCATTGGTCACATTCTGCGTAATGCTTTTCTGATTTTCTGTGTCGATGAAGATCCCTCGCCTGTCCCTTGCACAAGGTGGTTCCCCTCTGACAGCGGAAGTTTTTGGTACTGCACTTATATGCGGCAGCGTCGCACCAGGCATTTTCAGCTCACAGACGTGAATTGAGGTCTTCGTGAAGAATACCTTTACCTCATTCTACTCCCCCGGTCTGCTTGCCAACTTCGCCCAACATGAAACTGCGATGGGTTGGGCTCCTTCTTGGAGCTTCCATTGGCGGTGTCAATGGTATGGCCGAATACATGGCCGAAGCCATGAGAGGCGAGCGTGTTAGTGGCTTTGCCAAGGTCGACAAGCCTACCTGGGAACCCCAGTTCGTGGACGAGTCACCACCATACCAAGGGCACCGAATTCCCCGTCAAGATTGGAAGGTGACTTGCAGCAGCTCTGTTCGCGGCTACGCATGCAAGAACGCTATCGACGGAAAGAGCAAAACTGCCTGGCGCAGTGATCCCTCCAGCAAGGGTCACACTTATATCGTTGATCTGGGAGCCTGGTACCAAGTCAGCGCTGTCGTTGTTCTCCCTCCCACGGAAACGGGCGTTGAAGGCCTCATCACCCAGCACAAGATCTGGACCAGTGATGACCATGAGACATGGAAGGGTCCCGTCGCATATGGCATGTGGCCCAACACAAACAGGCAGCGAATGTCCGCATTCGAGCCTTCGACGACTCGTTACGTGCGCATCACCACCGAGTCCGACGATGCGAACCCATGGGTTGGTATCTCCGAGTTGAACATCTACGGTGTCCTCTATACCATTCCCCGTGACCCTGCTCTTGGTGTCTGGGGACCAACCCTCGACTTCCCCATCGTGCCTGTCTCCGGTGCTCAGGAGGGATCTGGCATGCTCGCTCTTTGGTCCTCTTGGGATGACGATCAGTTCCACTCCACCCCCGGCGGAAAAACCGTTATGACCCGCTGGAACCCATTGACTGGCGAGGTCACCAAGCGCACTGTCACGAACACTCACCATGACATGTTCTGCCCCGGAATCTCTTATGATGGAACCGGTATGATGGTTGTCACTGGTGGAAACGATGCCTCGGAGACCAGTGTTTATGACGCTGCTCACGACGAGTGGTTCCGTGCCAGCGAGATGCAACTCCGTCGTGGTTACCAGGCATCTACCACTCTTTCCGACGGTCGTGTCTTCGTCATCGGAGGATCCTGGGCTGGTGGCTCCAACGTCGCCAAGGACGGCGAGGTCTATGACCCAGCGACACAGAACTGGACCATGCTCGCAGGTGCGACGGTCCGCCAGATGCTGACGGAAGATATGGAAGGCCCGTGGCGTGCGGACAACCATGGCTGGCTCTTCGGATGGAAAGACCTCAGCGTCTTCCAGGCTGGACCTAGCAAGCAGATGAACTGGTACTCCGCCCATGGCAATGGTAGCGTTCAGGAAGCAGGACGCCGTATGGATGACGAGGATTCCATGTCCGGTAACGCTGTGATGTTCGATGCTATCAGGGGCAAGATCCTCACCATTGGTGGTTCCCCCGACTATGATAAGTCGCCAGCTAGCCCTGCCGCACACATCATCACCATCGGTGAACCGGGACAGAAGCCTCATGTCCAGCTCGCCGGAAAGGGCGAGATGCATTTCGACCGTGTGTTCCACACCTCCGTGGTTCTCCCCGATGGAACCGTCTTCATTGCTGGTGGTCAGGCCTACGGTGTCGCCTTCAACGAGGAGAACGTCAGATTCATTCCCGAAATCTATGACCCCAAGACCGATACCTTCACCAAGATGCAGCAGAACAACGTCGTCAGAGTGTACCACACCGTCTCGATCCTACTGCCCGATGGCCGCGTCCTCAACGCAGGCGGTGGTCTTTGCGGCAACTGCACCGCCAACCACTACGACGGTCAAATCTTCACTCCTCCCTACCTCCTCACTGCCGATGGTCAGCCCAAGCCCCGCCCTGAGATTGTCTCTGGTATCCAGGACACAGCCGTCATTGGCCAAACTCTCCGATTCAAGACCTCAGGGCGTATCGTATCAGCTTCTTTGATCCGTCTGGGCACTGCCACTCACACTGTCAACACTGATCAACGCCGCATTCCCCTTGACGTATCGCCGACCTCAATCTTTGGCAGCAACTGGAAAGTGAGATTGCCCGCTGAGCCTGGCATTCTGATCCCCGGATACTGGATGCTCTTCGTCATTGATGCGGAGGGTGTGCCTAGTGTTGCGAAGATTATGATGATCAGTGTCAACAACCGGAATACGATTGGATCCTCCGACGATGATTACGACATCGAGAAAGAACACTGTAAGCATGGATCATTCAAGTCATCTTGGGATCCTTGGAACCCAATGCTAACTCGTCTTGCAGACTTTGGTTCGTCGTTGAGGATGGAGTTGGTCAAAAGGTGGTTCTCATAAATAGGCACGATTTCAAAGCGATTTGGTTATGCAGCAAGTGCGATGACCAGAAACATATAAGTCGAGCCTTCGACAGATTTCATCACATGTTCAAATATTCTCCCATAAAGTAGAAACCTCCGTGGGACATGTTCCACTGCCCCTGAAACTCATGAAAAGAGCACTTTGAATGGAGGGTCAGAGGTTCAATTCTAGTGATGTAGTAAGGGTAGATCTCGGAATTTGACTGTAACAACAGGTGATGCGAGTGGGATATCATATCTTGAAGGGTGGAAAGGACCCCGTTGCCTGTTCTCAATCAAGCATATTTGAAATTGTCAACGTCGAAATATACGTGCTGAACAAGGCGAGCGAAGATCTGAAATAGTTCGAATTGGTCATTGAGGGTTATATACAAGCAATAAATTGCCGAGATGGGGTATGCTTCTCGATCCCGCTATAAAATGCCGAAAAATGGCAGTTGAATCAAAGACGCAATAAACGATTGAGAAACGCGCTTGGAGTCATGTCGATCTGTATAAGGATAATAACCGACAGGACTAAAGTCACCAGTATAATCTAAGTACGTGTTAGCTTTTGTGACAATTTTCGAGCAATTCTCACTCACAATGAAAAGAAACATTCCGACAGAATTCAATTCCCACCCTCCAGTATAAATTTTCCCCCGCGCCATGGCATTTTGCTGTTTCCAAAAACGAAAGGCACCAATCAAAGCGACAATGACAGCCACAAAGTGGCATGCGACAGATAATGGAACACCTACATCGTGGAATGAAAGGCGATCAACGTGACCCTTCGGTCGTTGCAGGCGGAAGAGTTGGGCGACCAGTACCCCTTGCATCGCCACCACCGTCGAAGTACGGATATACGCGAGGAAGGTCCTTTCCAAAGCTTCGAAAGTGTCAACACGCTGCAGGTTAAGATCCAGAGACACACATACCGAAATGATCACGATTACTCTTTTGCGGCACCGTCAAAATAACATGTCTGGTCCAGAACCGACAGGTCTGACCCCAAAGACCCTTGCGAGGCTGGACATCGCGCGAGACGCGGGAGGTACGGGAGGTGCGGGATGTATGTGACACGGTACGATGTGGGACGTACTCCTCGCCTGAAGATGCAGATGGATCAGAGAGATCTAGCTGGTTGTCTTCGTGTGTTTGGATCTCGTGCAGCTCGAATCCCTCCCTTGGGTCGAAGCGGTCGGCGACGGTCATTGGGCGGGAGTCGGTGAGGAGGGCATTGGGTGGCTCAGCGACGGTTTCACGCTCCGTCATGATGGATGGCGATGGGTATTGTCATGCTGGTAAGGCCATTGGGGAAGTTGTTGTGTGTTGGTCACAGGAAAACAGGGATCGTTCCCCACGGATCGGCTCCAGCCGTCAAACGGTTTGCCCCGCCCGAGAGGATCGGACAACATCTCTCAATTGAGCAGTTGGAAAGCAGTTCGAGGAAGGACATTCCGAAAGGAGGTTGTGTGAAGCTCTGCAGAGACTATAAGAGAGATATACTAAGCTATTTTGCTTTCCCCACGGTCTCCATAATGCTCCTGTGCATTAATTGGATTTCGACCAATCAGAGGCCAAGAAACCGCGATTGCACCATTCTGGGTCGTGATGTTGAGATCTGCTGCCAATGACACTCGTGGACAACTCAACTGAATGGACCCTGGCGCTGTCAGCCCTGGACCCTAAATTCTTTGATCGACATTGCACTAGTCATTTAGTCCACTTTCAGCAATTGCCTAACGTTCCTCGCGGGATACAACGCCTCCAGATGATCGTTATATCGCAGCTAACCCTAATTTACCAATTGCCATTTCGAGGCTCAAAGTATTATTGACTTGGTACCACCTAGGCACCTGCTTGAAATTTATGTGGCTGCATTTGGCTGAACCATGAAAAGCTTGGCAATGGAATATTGAAAAGGTTGGAAAGGGATGCTATTTTTCTCTAAACGAATTATGACTTGATGAGAAACTTTGGAATCAACATGTGAAATCATTCGCTTCATTTTATGTGACCTAGAAGATGCGCCACCTAAGACCTTTATACATATGAACTTGCAAACATACATTAACCCAGCAAACCACTGGCCAGAGCTTCCAGATCGCCCAGTGTCTCGATAGACTTGGGCTTCGGGGCCTTCTCGTCCTTGTCGTCGGAGACACGCTGCTTCTTGCTGGGTCGGGGCTCGGACTCGGGCTCTGAGTCGGAACCAGGGATCTCGAATGGTACATGAGGCAAATGGGAGAGGCCTTGGAAATCGCCTTCTTCCTCCGCCTCGGCTGCAATTTCGGCACGCTCGCGGGCCTTGCGCTTCTCCTTCTTCTCCCGGCGCTTCTCGCGCATGACTTCCTTGTCCTCGATATCGGCTTGGCGAGTGCGCTCCGTCTCACCTTCCAAGAACTTCTGGCGCTGAGTATCGGCGTCGCCCTTCGCCTTGAAGGCATCTTCGGACTCCATTTCGTAGACTTCGTGTGCATTGCCCTCGTCGTCGTAGATTAGCTTGGTACCCTTGCCCTTGAACTTGAGGAGCTTCTTCTTGGACTTGAGAAGCTTCTCGCGTCGCTTCGAGTCGATGATGAGGGGGTCTTGGCCCGGCAGGTGTACTTTTTTGACGCCGGTATCCTCCTCCGCGTCAGAGTCGGAATCGGAATCAGAATCGGAGTTGGAACCAGATTCAGAAGCGTTGCCCAGATTGTCATCGCCCGCGGCAAAGCGGCGCTTGACGGACAAGAAGTCGGCATCCTCGTCAGCCTCGTCGTCAACATCTTCGCTTGTTTTCTTGGTTCCATTGTCGATGGCCGTGCCATCGTCATTGATAAGCTTGGAGTAGTGATCCGCCAGCACACCTTGGTTACGACGCTCGAACATGCGGTCGTACCGTGTGCGCACTTCTTTGTCGTCCTTCTTATCCTTCTTCTCTGCGTCTGAGTCGTCATCACTGGACATGTGAGCCATTCTCCATGACTCGTTCTTGCGCTCCTTCGCATCGTCACCCTTAATGAACTTGATGCGGGGAGCACCAGGAAGACCCAGACTCTGTGCATATTCTTCTAAAGGAAGCTCCTTGATCTTGAAGGTTTCCTTGTCCTTTTGGACGTATACCGACTTGACGTAAGAAATGAAGGCTTTTTGACCGAGGTACTTCAGCTCTGGGTCCTTGAAACACATGTTTTGCAACTGATTCTTGACACTGTGCTGTTTGTTTGCTTTGATGTTGATTCGCACAATGGGAACCTTCTTCTGTTCGAGCTGGCCGAGGAATCCCTTCTCCTCGCTAGGGTCCAGGAACAGCACAGCACGACCAACTCGCTCATATCGAGCGGTTCGTCCGACACGGTGAATGTAAGTGTCAGCGTCCTCGGGGCAATCCATTTGGATAACCCAATCGACTGCGGGGAAATCGAGACCACGTGCAACAACATCGGTGGCGAAAAGGACTGCGTGTTGAGCCTGTGAGAACTTTGTCGTGACATCAAGACGACCACCTTGTTTCTGGCGTCCGTGCAAATGCAAGAGGGAGATACCGGGCTGCAAGTGGCGCAATGCTTCGTAGCAATAGCGGACTTGCTTGCCCGATGACAGGAAAACAATGGTTTTGGCTTTGAGGTTGGCGCGAATGAAACTCCAAAGGGTATCGAGCTTTTGTGGCAATGGAATGACGGTGTAGTGTTGTTGGAGGGTGGATGGGGTTGCTGATTCGGCAGCTTCGTGAACCGAGACGTACTCGGGGTCTTGTAGACTCAGTCTAGCCAAATCACCGACCTTCTTGGTCTGTGTGGCACTGAACAACATGGTCTGGCGCTGTTTAGGAAGATGGTCGATAATGGCGTCCACGGTCTTCTGGAAGCCCATGTCCAAAATTCTATCGGCTTCGTCCAACACCAGCATCTGCAAATTATTCGTCTCGAACATGGCAGTCTGATCCAAATGTTGCAACATACGACCGGGTGTGCAAACCAAAATGTTCATGCGACCCATGCGGTCTTGTTCCTCGCGCAGACTCTTTCCACCAATAATCAGACCCGCGGAGAAGTGGTGATTCCTTCCAATCTTCCTTAATTGTTCGAAAATCTGGATCGCGAGTTCACGTGTAGGTGACAGAATGAGTGCGCCGAGACCGTCGAGTTCAGTCCATTTTTTGCGATAGAGGTTCTCGATAACGGGGACAAGGAAGGCGAGGGTCTTTCCGCTACCGGTCTTGGCTGCGCCGAGGACGTCGCGACCCTTGAGGCCATGGCTAATCGCACGCGCTTGGATATCGGTAAGAGTCTTGTAGTGAGAAGCTGAAAGCCCAGAGGCTGTCGGTTCAGAGAGTGGGAGATCGGTGAAGTTTTTGAGTGAGGTTTTGATGTCGAGATCTTCGACTCGTTTCACGAGGTCTGAGATTTCCTCTTGACCGCGCTTGCGCTTCAAGAGCCTGCTTGAGTCTTGATGGACCTTAGCCTTCGGCTTGCCTTTCTCTCCTCGAGGCGCCATTATGTTGCTGAGTTGATCTTGGAAAGTTGCGGGCGGTGAAAACATCTTTTTTTCGGTCGAAGCTTGGCAGAAAGCGGTACGACGGGCGGTGAGATACTCAATCTATGCAAGGTTCCATACTCGTTTGATACCTGTTTGCCTTCAGTGTTTTTGACTGGAATTTTGAGAAATCTGCTCCTTGAGCTAGGAATAACATTCAAAATACAATAGCCTTGAATTTTTGCCCAAATTGACACAAGTTTTATAGTTACTGTACTGCACCTGCCACTGAGCGTTCCTAAACATTCGCGTTTGGCGCTAAATATGCTGACTCAGCCAGAGATAAGCCCGCCTTCTCTTATCTGGTCTTGAGCTTCGATCTTCGATCTTCAAGTCAAGCTGCTGACCAGTCTACGTTTGGCTCATCATGGCGGATGATGATCAGGATATCTTTGACTCCCTTGAAAGGGAGGCCTCTGATTTTAACAAGGTATGATACTCTGCCCGACCGCAAGCAATCATAGTGACTGACACGCGACAGGATGCCGAAATTGATCGCATTCGCAAGGCATTCAGTCTTGATGCGTAAGTTCAACCCCGTTGGAAACTTCCAGAGCGCCGTTCTCTTCTTTTCGTAATAAGAAGCACTAACCCACCTTAGCTACGCTGTCCTGGACCTGCAGCCCGGTGTCCCAGAGAAAGACATCAAAATACAGTACCGCAAGAAGTCTCTCCTCATTCACCCCGACAAGACCAGAAACCCTGCCGCGCCCGATGCTTTCGATCGGTTGAAAAAGGCCCAGACAGCTCTCCTCGATGAGAAGCAACGCACCTACCTTGACGAATGTATATCGGATGCGCGTCGGCTTTTGATTCGTGAGCACAAGTACACAGTCGACTCGCCCGAATTGAAGACGGAAGAATTCAAGGAAGAGTGGCGCAAGAAAACAGTTTGGGTGCTCCTAGAAGAAGAAGCGCGCCGCCGCCGACAGCTCAAGGCGCAAATGCAGGAAGAAGGCCGAGAGCAGCGCAAGGAAGATGAGGAGATCGAGGCACGGAAGCGAAAGCGCGATCACGACAAGAAGTGGGAAGATACTCGGGATGAGCGCATTGGTAGTTGGCGGGATTTCCAGAAGGGACGCAAGGGCGATGACAAGAAGAAAAAGAAAAAGATGAAGGTGCTGGGATGAATTAGCAATACGGCGTTTTGGGTAATATTTCATAGCCACGGCTATCAAAGACACATTTGAGGCTGATCCACGAGAATCTACCGAATTCCACAGATAAGCGGCGGGGACGCGGGGTCCCGGAAGTTAAAGTGGACTTGTTCTCTCTCCCTTATTTGACTTGCATAGGACTTGCATTTGACAGTAGACCGTGGTTAACGTGCTGTGACCGTTGGAATCCAAGTACATTTGCGGGTGTTTGACTTCTCCCCGCAGTGGATTAAGTCATTGTGCCCGGAGGAAAACCCACCCCACCTGAACCTCGCTCCGTCAACAACACCACCATGACTCAATCGGCGAAATCACCGCTGCCTCAGGATCACCTCAAGCCCTTTCCTCCAGTCTCACCCACGCCATCGCAGCCTGCCGCCGAGCCATTGGACAACGCCCGGGCCGAGGTCAATCGCAATGGGAACTCCGACACAACTCCCTCCGAGCCCAATGACCTCCCACCCCTCCCAGACGTCGTTTCACGTATCCACGCCCGCGTGAAGTCCTTCTTGGCCGAGACACACCCACCAGATTCCCTGCTCGCCTCGGTGCAGCGCCAAACCCGCATCTCACTGGACGTGGTGTCAAGCGCGCTCAAGCGATACAAACTCTCCGAACTCTCCGTTTCCTATAATGGCGGCAAGGATTGTCTAGTCCTTCTCATTCTTTTCCTGGCTGGGTTACACCCTGAAAATAACACCGAGGCCCAGAATACGGAATCCGAAGCCCAAATAGCCGCCGCAACATTTATCCCATCAATCTACGCTCTGCCGCCAGACCCGTTCGATGCAGTTGAAGACTTCGTAGTCACTTCTGCCGAAGCATATCATCTCGCTATAACAAAGTACACAACCTTACCGCCTGCGTCAACACTACGCTCCAGTTTTGAGGATTACCTGACACGACACCCTGGCATCAGGGCGATATTCGTTGGCACTCGGCGGACAGATCCGCACGGGGCGCAGCTGACCCACTTTGACCGGACGGACGGGGGCTGGCCCGACTTTATGCGGGTGCATCCTGTGATTGACTGGCATTATGCGGAGATTTGGGCGTTCATCCGGCATCTGGACTTGAGGTATTGTTCCCTCTATGACGAGGGATACACGAGCCTCGGAGGAACATCTGATACGCATCCCAACCCTAAACTGCAGAGTGATGGGGATTACCTCCCTGCGTACCAGCTGACGGAGGATGTGGAGGAGAGACTTGGGCGGAATTGACTTGAATAGCGCGTATCTTCCCTGTGTATAGACTGAGAGAACCATTGCCCTTTTCATAGATTGCACGTTACAGCTTTGCTCACCTCACCGGAGCTCCGAACATGAACACTATTTGGAATCAGTTTTTGGTCTGGAATAATATCATATTAGTCTGCGCAACCCCTCTGGTGCGATGTTTTTGCTCTTGAAACGAAGTCTTGGAACACGTGTCTGGAACATACACATATTGCTGGAAACATGCAAAGGTTTATAACTGCCAGAGAAAGAAAAGAGAAAAGAAAAGAGAAAAGAAAAGAAAAGAAAAGAAACTCAGTCCCGCTCAACCTCCATAATAATAGTGAAACCCATAATAATATCGAAAGTCGTGAATCGTGAATCGTGAATCGTGAATCGTAAAGCTGGTCGTTCATAATAAAAGGCAAAGCTGCGCGATACATCCTCATACATTCTGCGAATAGTAAGAGATGCTGCGTATTCTGTAACTGTTAAACACCTTGTGGTGGCCTTGCGGATATTGCCATTGACGGTAAGGACCAGCAAACCATCCCATGCACGAATATGCGCGTGGGATAGTTTCGTACCGGTGGCTAGGCACATTAGCGGACAGGGGAGAGAATAATCATGGGAGCCGAGTCGGCAGAGGAGGATCGGGGTCTGGAGTTCTCCTTGCGAGGGGTGGAAGCGTATGAGTGAGACTCCGTCGAGTTCCCTGGCACAACAGTCTTGGATGAGCCACCGGAAAGATCAGTGCAAGAGCGACGACCCAGAGAAAGAGCTCGGCCCCGACGAGCAGGTGTGGCATCGAGAGCATTGAGGCTTCGGGACGACAACGAGCTATCTCGGGCGCTGCTAGGAGCTTTCTTCATGTGTGGGTGACTGTCACTATTGTCAGCATGCTGTAGGTACTCGTGGTTTTGAAACTTACCATGGGGAGATCGTAGTGGCCGGGGTCCAGTTAGAGCCAACCCCGGCTGGGGAGACGTAGCTGACTTGAGAGTTGGGTGTGAGATGAGAGCCACGTCGCATCGTGGGGGAGGGAGTAGATCCCTGCACCACCTCCACCGAGTAGTTGTACTCTCCAGCGCGGTAAGCCCGACGCTCATTGCTTTGCTGCTTCAAGATCTTCTGGGCTTTGGTATCAGCGAAGCGCAAGAGCAACTTCACTCCATCCTCCTTGGCGACGTTGTGGAATTCAATCAGAACCTTTTCTGCAACGTCGCGGTTCTCGAATCTGTTGATCAGGGTACAATGTTTAGTTTCATACAAGCCATGAGGTTCAAGCATGGGACCTCGTACCGTGCAAATCCCACTTCCTTGCTCACACCTGTTTTCTCATCCCGGCTGATTTTCTCCGAAATCACACGCCATGGCTCGAAGTGACGTCGAAGGTCCTGTGATGAGTGTTAAGATTGCATTCGCAGGTAACAGGATAAAACTCACGGCCTCTGTCCAGTCAATTGGAATGTTGGTACAATAAATATTGGTAGAAGACTTGTCCTCGAGATCCTTCAACCGAGAGTTGCGAGACTTTTGAGCAAAGCTGGCTTGGTATCCCAGGTAGAAGAAGCCCCGGATACAGTTCTCGCAAGACTCAAAGTTGTAATACTGAACGAACCCGAAGCTATTCAGAAGTCAGCAGAATTCAAGAGGAGCCTTTGTTGGCACGGATGGAACTTTACCCTTTGCAGAGACTGGAATCCAGATCGACAATAGCCTTGCAGCGCTCAATCTTGCCGAACCGAGCAGCATAAGCATGGAGCATCTCATCGGAGGTCTCAGGGAGAAATCCACGAATGTAGACATTTGTAATGCCCTCACGGTTCTCCAGGCACTTCGCCAGTGTCAGCTCCGAGGGGTTGGTCCACATGGCAGGAACAGCGCGGGGGATGGCAGGCTCTTGTTGAGTGATGGCCTCCAGATCTTGAACGACATATCCATTTGGCGTCTTCATCATTTGAAGAGGGAGTGAGAGCGACCCAATCTGAGAAGCGATGCTGCCATAAGAATAAGCCCCGATTGATGACATGGAGCTACCATCAATGGAGGAAACGTATGGGGAAGCGTAGTATTGAAATTGGTTCGCGTTCTCAATTTGGGCTCCGTTCTGGGCGTCGGTGACGTTCCAGACACCTTGTTGCTTGATGTTCTTTCCATCTTGCACATCGTAGCTCATCACATAAGGCCAGGAAGAATAAGCACCAGCCATCATGGGTCCGACATTTGGGTAGATACCAGGTGAAAGGTAGGATACTTGGCTCATCTGATCATTCTGGCCAGGTACAGTGTTGGGAACAAACGAAGGCACGGTCGGAACACCATTGAAGACAGTTGAGTTGGGAAACAGGATGAAAGGGCTGTTGTAGGCACGATTCGCATTCGACCAGTCCAGACTCGTGTTCATTTGAGCGGAAGAGTTGTTCTTTGAGCCACTGTACTTGGAGCGAGAGCTCTGTGCATGCACACGATTGAACATGTGGTTCAGACTCAGATTGCTGCTTTCACAGGAGGTTGGGTTGGTGGATTGCTGGTATCGCGGACCATATGGCGTGCGAGGTTCGTTTTGGTGGTACTGTCCAGACTGGGAGCTCGAGGTCTGGCCGGAGCCAGACGAACTTGTGTGCTGGGAGCCCTGATGGTGCATGACGAGATACCTTGTCTGGTAGGAGGCAGGGCGTTAGTGTGTTGCTCGAGGCTCATCTGGCTCGCTCTGGACTGAACCAAATTCCCCAATCGGGAGAGGTTTCCATCATAGCAAGTCTCACCTGTTTTCTTGTTCCAATTATATAAACCCGACAGAGTCTGGGCACAGGCCAGAATTGTCAGTAGCGAGCACAGGAAAACAGAGGTGACAGAACGTGACCAAAAGTGGAAGGGGGGGCTCACCTGCAGACCCAGACGGGCGCTCTCCTCGGAGACTGACAGGGACCAACCACTCAAGGTGGATGTATACGACAACGAAAGTCTGGACAGCCAGAGGGATGGATAGACAGAGAGATGGGAGCAATGGGAATGGTGATGGGGATAAGTTGGGAAGAATAGGGGAGAAATATAAGTCCATGAGCTGGAAGAGGAAGGCGTGGAGAGATAGAAGGAGCTCGGTCACCCGCTGGGGGAAAGAACGAGTGAGGAAAGTCACATGGGAGACGGCGACTCTATATGCGCCTGCGTTGGAGCATGCAATCTTAACATGGGGGTCCCTTGTCAAAAATGAGTTATTATAGCTTGAAAAGATTTGGAACTATATGTCGTTGTTGGTAATAGTGCTCGCAAGGGCTCTCGTTTTGTTTATCTATATCAGAAAGTAGTATGCAGTACATTGCGGAAGGTACTTGGGGCACCATATATACCAGTACTGCTTTACCCGGACTTCTCTTGCAGCCACTTGTAGACAACTGAGAAATCTTTGCCACGGTGCTTCTCTTCAACCTCCTTGTAGACCTCGCGGGCCTGAGAACCCAGGGCGAGAGGGGTCCCAGATTCTTCCGCAGCCGTAAGAGCCAATCGCAGATCCTTGTGCATAAGACTCACCCCGAAGCCACCTTCATATCCACGCGACGCGGGGGCGGTCTCGACAACGCCAGGAACGGGGTTGTTGACCTCGGAGGGCCAGCAACGACCGGTCGACGAATTAATCATTTCAGCTAACGCCTTAGGCTCGAGACCCCAACGAACACCTAGGTTCATAGCCTCGGCAGTGGCGATGTTGTTCAGGGCCAAGATGTAATTGTTCGCCAGCTTACCGGAGACACCAGCACCGGGCTCCCCGAGATGCCAGGCCTTCTTGCCCATCAAAGCTAGTACGCCGCGAACACGCTCGAGCAACTCGTTCGATTGCGAGGGGGCGCCAAACATGAACGACAAAGTTCCAGCTCGAGCACCAACCACGCCACCTGACACAGGGGCATCCACGAACCGACCAGTCTGTGTGGTGTGGATGGCATTGGCGATATCCTTCGATGTAACTGGGTCAATGGTAGACGTGTCTATAAAGAGGCGCTCCTGCTCAAGGGGTGGGAGTGCGCCATGTTTCAAGATGGAGTGGTAGACATCGATGACATGTTGTGATTCTGGAAGGCTGGTGACCATCACTGTCTGAAGAAGAGATGAGCAGTGAGTAAAGAGCACGGTCCAAGAGCTAGTCCAGCCACAGGACCCGCAGAAGCTTGGTACTCACCGATTTCTCCGCAACTTCGCGTGCGTTTTCTGCAAGTTCAACCTGACCTTCGTTGGCGCCTGCGCCATTGCTGCGTGCAGCCTCCTTGGCCTCTGCAGCGAACCGTTTCATGGCATCTTCGTTAATGTCACGCACGATCAAGGTATCGGATGCGGGGATCTTGGCGCGAAGGTTTTTGGCCATATTGTACCCTTAGCATAGTCAGGCAATGAATTCATGATTTTGTTGGTCTGACACAACCGAGGTCATTGAGCTAGATTGCAAACATACCCATCTGTCCAAGGCCGACAAAACCCCACGTCGCATCACGCTGCATGGTCGTGGAGAAAGCTCGGGCCGAGCTGGACGGCCAGCGTCGGAGATCCACTGCGGAGGCATGGAACAGGGTCGCCCTTCGGGGGGCCCCTAACACCACTCGAAGACTCATATTCTGTCGAGTTGAAAGACTGCTGAACGTTATGCAATGTTCCGAGCAAGGTCTGTCTGTCAATGAGGTAACGCGCAGAGAATGTGGTGCGCAGTAAGCACAATGTGAACGCCAGATGCGGAGCAAGTGGTGTTGGTAGTTCGGAGTAAACAAGACCTTTAATGAATTGGGAGAGGGGGTATTTAAATCGCACCAGCACTCTTCCACTGCACAATTCAAGCCGTGGATTGCCGAGAAGGCAGGGAGTGCAGCTCGGGAATGTTTTTGATTTGCGGGGAAGGGACCGCATTGGGGAAGCCGTGGGGAAGCGCGTCACCGTCACGTGTGGGGTATGTACTCTCTCAATGTTGAGGCTTCCAGAGTCGCTCCAAATGATGCGATAGTATATTTCAATGTAGATATGCAATGTAGACTTGGATTTAAATGCAAAAACACCTAAAATGTAGTTCCAACTTCCGCAGGATGAGTAATATACAGAATGCAGAAGCGCGAACCGTCGCCTGGGAGAATGACCAAGTCCATGGACGGCGGAAGGGTATGTAGTATGTAAATCAAACTCCCAAGAAGTCCCCAGACACCGAAAAGAAAATGAAGAGAGCAAGGAAAGGGGCAATGAGAATAGATACGATCGAGGAGGTGATCACCTAGGTGATGCCGGATGACTGGTTGGCCCTGAGAGATACTCCTCTGGAACCTTGGGCACACGAGGTGAATTGGCCGTTTGGACAATGGCACGGTGCTGTGCACGAAGATGATCCCGTTGACGCTCCTTCTCCCTGTTGGCTGCACCGCCGGTCAGCCTCCGCATCCCGCTGCGAATCATGGATTCAAGGGAATGCGGACTATCAGTGGCACTGCGGACCATAGGCGCGGGCATTGGGTTCAATCGAGTAGTCACCAAACGTTCCTCTAAATCTGAATGCACCTCGTCAGGTTCCTCGTCTGACATGAAGGCGGAGTCGCTGAGTCCAACATGTGGGGTGGAATTGGGGGCACCAGACGCGGTATGAACATAAAGGTTATTGGCGGGGGAGGTAACAGAGCGGGTGTGGGAAGTCGGACGCAATAAATGTGCTGTGTTCTGAGGCACTGCACTTATTGGGGAATATGCAGTGGGGCCATCAAAGCGGAAGTTGGGCGGGCGCGACTCGGCGAGACCGTTGTGGAAAGAGGAGGTAGAGCCTGTACGAGCGAGAGACTTTCGCAGAATTGGCGCAGTCTGCTGGTCGTAGAGATGTGCATTGGTATCCGCCACGTAGCTACCTGTGAAACCTCGCAGCATTGGAGGGGCGACAGGATTCAACACTGGAGTTGTGGGGTCTGTTTCCTCGAAGAAGTCGTCTAGGCTGTCCAGCTTCTGTACAAGATCTCCTATGTTTCCATCGGTCTGCGTTTCGATCGATCTCATGGTGTCGGCTCTCATAGGGAAGAACGAGTCGGTACTGCTGTACTCATCTGCATGGAAGGGGACACCAGGGGTCATCACATCGTCGTCTTCCATGTGCTCGGCCTCGGAACAGGTGTAGAAGACAGCGTGAACGTTGTGTCGAGTCATAGTGGATTGAGTCGCAGGCATGGGAACCGACCAGCCCGTGGGCTCGGGGATACCATACAAACTCTGGATCCGTTCGTACTCTTTTCGAATTGCGCGAGAAGAGGCCGATGATGCCATGCTCATACGAAGGTGATGACGCTCCATTGGGTTACCGGAGACGGTGATGATGTGATCCAGAACCTCGAGAGCCTGGGGGCAAAGATCAGTTTGCAGAAGCCGGAGCAGCGGAGAGATTAAATCAGGACCATGACAAGTGACTTCGTTACGTCTCATGTCAACCTCAGGGATCAAAACGCAAAGAATCCGCATCGCTCTGATACGGAACCAATCCGTGGTGTTCGTCAAGAGACCCATGAGGAAGATCAAACACTGGAAATCGAGCTGGGGGAAATAGTAAAGCTTGATCTCAGTGATGATATGATCCAGGAAGACGCCAGCGGTCTTGTACTGCTGATTTGCAAATCCAAACAGCGAAGCAGCCAAGCGAGGACACCGCTCACTCTCAGCCACGCGGGCAAGTAGGCTGGCTCGAGCGATAGGTTTGGGATCACTGAAGTCTTGTTCGAAACATTGAAGGAAATGGGGCAGATTAGCCAACACGGTGTATAGCTGACGGGTTCCATCGCCGATGAGGCTGTTGTTGGGAAGACCACTTAGAACATGCAGGATATCAAGCGTACGATCGAATGACTCTGATGACTTCATTCCCTTGAAGACTAGGTCCTGGAGACCATCGAACCCTCCTTCCCATTTGGGTGGTTGACCCTCGATGAGCCGTGCCACCACAACTGGGTCGCTGAGATCGACCCGACTGAGGAACATCTCGAGCATGCCGATACTCTCGATAAATTCAGTCTCATGGATTGTGTTCAGGCAAGCGCAAGTCGTCCAGAACAATTGAGGATAATGCAGAAGATCAGAGGGAGCTAGTGAGCTGATGATGATCTTGATGGTGGTCAGGATCTCCATCGAGAAAGTTTGGTAGTCCGTTTCCTCGTCTGCGATGGTGTTCGAGAGTCGAGCGAGCATATCAGCGAGCATTTGTGAGTCTATCGACGTCGAGATACAGCGGAAGATCTGGAAGGAGCGGCAAGCTAAGTGTCGCACCGGGCACGAAGTGGCCCAGTTCAAGGCTTCCTTGGCCCACAAGTCACCAACGCCTTCATACGCGAAGCTAAAGAATTTGACAACATCGCGGGTGACGGTGGCCATGGAGGCGGGCACCCGGCGACCATCAGACTCTTCGTCCTTGCCGTAGTTTTCCTCGTACTCCCAAACAACAGCGGAGTCACTCTTTCGAATTGATTCAACAAAGTCCTCCACGGACTGCCGGGCACCAGCCGGCGCATCATCCTCAAGTTTTGCAGCTATCAGCTCATGGATGAGATGGACCAGCATCTCTCGAGCTTGCTCCTGTACAGTGACTGTGTAGTGATCCCACAGGATTAGGACAATATGAATGAGTTTGACAACATCTTCAAGGGCCAAGGTGACCGGGGCGACCATGAGATCAACAAGGAATATCAACGCCACCTGTCCAAGAGAAAGACCGGCTTGCTTGTTACCGACAGGTAACACCGTACCAAGGTCAGCGACATATGGTAGACTGGTGATATCTGAAGGAGGTGGAGTCAGATCCTTTCGCTCTTGAACCATATTCTTTGGTACGACCTGCAACATGAAGAACTCGATGACTTTCGATCCGGCTGGTGTTCCGGACAAAAACACAACCATCTGCTTGGCATATTCAACAAAGTTTTGCTCCTTGCGTTCCAAGCATATGCTGATAATGAAGTCAAGAACCAACTGTACATTGCCTCCGTGGGGGCCTGTTGCCAAGGCTTGCCATAATGCTTGTACCTGGTTCGGTAGGGTTGTGCTGCAGCGGATGGTGATCTCAAACAAGTTCGCCAGCAACATGTATGACTTGGCGGTAGGACCGCCGTTCGGTTCAACCTGAAGCTCCATTGTCTGAACCCACGGCAGAATAGCGGCAACCATGTTGCGCTGGCTATCAGGCTGCAGGTTGCGGAAATGCAAAGAGAACTCGGAGAAGATGGTGAACGCCAAGTCGCAGTGTTGACTCGCTAATCGTTTGGAAATCTCGAACTGAGCAAGCTTGTACACCGCGGTGGTCTTATCGGAGATACTGATATCGAAGTCTTGGAGCCTGGAATTCTTTTGCTGTCGCTCTTCCAGTTTCCGAAGAAGCTTTGCAGACTTCATTCGAATTTCGCGCTTTTCGTTGCCAAGGGTCACCAGGACCGCTCCCAGGATTCTCCAGAATCTAAGGGGGTAGTCTGGATACTCGAAAAGTACCTGACTGACCACCTCGATGTAACTCTCGATGGTCTTGGGTCGTTCCGTGACGTAACACATCTCAATAGACCGCTCCATTAAATATGAGTGTTCTTGATTGTGGATGATGAGGTTTTTGAGTGCCCGTCGACCAATGGCATGCCATTTGTCAGTGACAGTGTTGAAAATAATTTCAAGCCATGAGAGCATCCGACTGACATCGAACTGGAGAACCGAGCCACTCTCAGTGGTGATGCTGATAGGACCAGCGCAAAGAGAAGCCATTGCACTCAGTGCTGCTGCTCGGAGATTCTTCTTCTCGATTTCCATAGCAGCAGCGGTATTTCTCATTTCACCAGTCTCGTGCGGCTGGGCCATAGCGAACTTCCGCATGTTCTCTTCTCTTTCACTTATTTGAGCTTGATTGGGTGAGTATCCACACCAGTCTTCCATGAGGGAGAATGCGGATTTTCTAGACTCGAATGGCATCCAACGCGAAGGCGCTTTGGCGCGATTGATGCCCTCGAAAAGTTCCTCCATCAGGCCACAATAATGGAAGCGCAGGCGTTGAAACTCCCAGTCATTTTGAACCTCGGCATCACTCAGGAAGATTCGGATGTCTTTCGCGTAAGTAACAAGGTTATTGACGATCCAGTCGTCATTGTAAACCTCCGGTTCTTGGAGGAAATGTGATGTGAGTTTGTAAACATTGGTGACTTCTGTGCGTAGACGGTCTGTCTTTCGGTTTCGACGAGGGCTACTGGGACTGCGGTAGTGATTGCCGATCCGCATCTTCGCCTCTTCGTTGCAGGTCGTGACAGCATACTGCAATGACTCAAGTAGAGTACGGTAAAGATTCTTATGAATGGATCCCAAAGCCACCACGATGGCGTTGCGAATGGAATCTCGCTCTGCGGAAAGAAGGGGAATGACAAATGCGAACAAGCTTCGAGCGGAGCTAATTTTGTCTTGGGATTGGTGGGCTCCCTTGGAGGCTTTGCGTGCGTGTTGGGCATTTGCCAGCTGGCTTTGAGACTGAGCTCCAACACTGGTGACAGTGGTGCATGCCATGATCAAGTAAAGCTTCCATTGCTCAACCAGGATCTCAGATGTCACATTGCTTCTGCCGATTGGACGAGACTGGTAACCATCCATCGAACCGTATTGAGGGAATCTGATACTCTCGGCCAAATGGGTGATTATTTTGTGCATCTGAACGAGACGTGCGCATACAATCTCTCGGCCCAGCGTGACTGCAAAAGGACAGGTTTCGAAGCTGATGCGAATGATATTCGGGAAGACCTTGGCCCACAATGTTGAATCGTAGGAGACTTCACTGCTACACAACTCGATGAGTGTGTTTTGCGAAGCACTTCTCCTTTTTCCCTTTTGAATTCGGCTTCGTTCGGCAACCGTCAGATGTTCATCATCAAGATCCAAGATCTGCTGGGAATCTGCTTCGAGGATTCGAATGATGCGAGTATTTTCTTTTCCAAGAGCGCTGTCGAACTCGGTAATCAGGCGCAGCACCGTGATGGCGAATGCACGAACCCGTCTGGATTGCGAACACAAAAAGAACAAGCCGTGTGACTCAATCTCTTCAACATGCGCAAGGACGCTTGATAAATCAAGATGGAGAGCACGGCTCCCCGAGATAGACCGCTCCAATTGGTCCATGGCCGCTGCACCTTTGGTCTTCTGCTTGATCTCGTGGATCCAAATCTGCAGTAGTTCAACATAGAGCCTCAGGGTAGACTCAATGTGGCCTGGTCCTAGCATCCCCTCGTCTGACATCGTAGAGTAACGTTCGTCGAAGTTGAAGATGAACCTGGCAAACCCGATTGTAACTTGTTGGGCATGTAATTGCCGCGCGATGGCCTTCAGTGATTCAGCTGAGGACGTAGCGATGTTTGACTGGACATGCGCGGTTCCTGTGCAGAGGAGGTTGATGAGAGAGTTGAATGGAATATGATCGGAGAGACAACGTGGGAGGGCTTGAACTGCCACATGAAGCAGGTCGTAGAAGCCTTGCTTCTGATCCAGAGTAGTGACATGGTCATCGCGGCGACCGAAACTGAAAGCCTCAGAGATTGGAGTTTTGGGAGTGGTTCCGCTAAACTTTTCATCCAAGACTGCTTGACCACCAAACGTGTTGTCACAGAGCAAGGTGATCTTGCCTAAGACTTCACAGAAGCGGAAGTAATATTCCTTCACGTTCTCGCTCAGCCGTGCTGTGTTGACGGGTTGCCAGGAAGTTGGGTCTTGCTTTTCAGCCGCATTTACCACAGTATGCTCTTTGAGTAATTGAGGGCGGTGGAAATAAAGGGGGGTGGAGGCGTCTGTGAAAGGATTTGGCAGCGAGCCAGTTGGAATTGGAGGGCAGAGCTGATCGCTAGTTTCCAGGTCCGACATGGTAGCTAGGAAAGCACGAATGCCAATGACCATCTTCTCTGGCTCCATCTGCTCTATCCTCAACTCTTTGCCAGACAAGAAAAGATCAGAGTTGATCAGAGGGAAAATAATGTTACGGAAGCAAACATCCGGATGCTTGAAACCGATAATTTGAATCAGCTGGATCAACGGATCGGCAAAGACCGGCTCTGCGCTTAGATACGTTCTCCGGCCGGCTGGTAGGGCAATCTTTGCCACTTCTTCGACCTTGCGAAGGGTAGTTGTTGGTGAATCAGAGAAACGGAAGAAATACGTCCAGACGAGTCGACAGATGGCATGGAGAGCGGGCGCACGGGTGGGACGATCCTTCAGCCGAGCAGGTAAGCTCGATATCATGGACAGCCATTGCGAGGAGAATGTTTCCTTGTTCGAGATGCAAAGCAACAGAACGTTCAGTGAGAAGGATGAAGCCCAATGGCGAGGTTTGGTGAGCAGTTGGGCTAGGCGAGGCTGGACCAAGTCCACAAACTCCTTCCATCGAGGCAGCGACAGGTCACAGCTCGGGTTGGCCGCGATGGGAAGTAGCAGCTTCTCAATAACGTAACAGTAGGCTTGCTTAATGCGCTGTCCATGGGCGTTGACAAACAATCGTGCTAGCGATCGCATAAATTCACAGGATTTGGGCCATCCCTCCGGTGACATCGGCAAACGCAGATATCTCATGCAGAGGATCAATAACTCGGCCTTGGAGTCACCATCGCGAGTAGGTCCCCGAGCTGCCTCATCCTTCTGGTAACGGTCAAGCTCCGCAAGGAATCGTCCGGAAACGTTCGTGAAGTTTGCCTCGCTCATGATACCTAATAGCTGGCCGTAGATTCTCCAGTTCGCCATTCGAAGCGGGGATGCCGAGATCTGATCAGGGTCCGAGGTCTTCACTTGACCAAAGACAATGTCTTCCAGGCGATCCGCCATGTCAAGAGTGATTGAGGCCAAGCTACTCTGGTTGAATATCTCGATCAAGACTCTACACACTAAATAGACCGAGACTGTCGCCCGTCGCTCAACCAGAGCAACGTCGTCAGGGCGGCTGACGAAGGGCGCCGAGGGATTCGAGCGCTCTGCTGTCACAGTAGGATCCATGAACTGAGTTGGCTCGGTATTACGACGCAGCAGGGGACCGTTCTCCGTGGCGGGTGAGGGCTTCTGGTCATTCGTCATCTGCCGAGCTGTGATGGCCGCATCTCCTTTGGCCTTGCGCCAGAACATGATGGTGTCAATTAGAGGTTTCGGTTTCTGTCGAGCGATATGTCCCAAAGCTGAAATCAATTGATCGAACGTAGGATCCGCTCCAGGACCGCAAACCTCTTCCACGGGAGCTTCGGATTCCCCCAATTTCATGATGGCCTGGTTGATCTTGCTGTCCGCCTGGCCAACAAAGGAGTTGAACAAATGGTGCAGCGCATATTCACCAACCGTCTTTGATTCCGAGTGTTTCGACTGCGAACGACTGTGTGACCTCTCCCGTCTCGTTTTCCCTCCCGAATTCATTCGCTTGTGAAGCAGGGCCGCAGGGCTGTCCAGCACGTCTCTATCTGTATCTTTGATGGAACTGAGTGTCGACGGTAGCCCATGGCTTACGGATGACGCGGATGTTGTGGATGTCCCAGATGGTGTCTGATAGCCTGAGTGCGAATCGAGAGGGTCGAATTTGGCAGGCAGTGTAGCCTCGTCAAACGCACCGCGACCGAGAGACGCGATGAGCTCCGGGCTCAGCGGGCTTGTCGACGCAGTCGAGCCTGCCATGCTCGTGTTTCGGGAATGTTGCACGCCGTGAACGATGGAGGTCTGCCGGTGGTGGCCGTATGAATTGGAAGGTCGTCGTTCTAAACCCACTTCATATCCTGGACGGTTTCCCGATACATCGGGGCTCTTGGAACCGGAATGGCCGCGTCTAGGCTGTATGGGAGCAAGTGTGGACGGGTCTACTGCTCTTCCTCGGGCGGCGGAGGATTCGCGACTGTGCATAGGAGTGGACTGGGCGGTTCGGGTTCCTCGCCTTTCGGACGGGGATGCAAGATTATGGTGCGACGCGGATTTCAGGTCGTCAGGGATGAGGGGCAGCGTTGTTTGGCCTAGGCCAGCTTTGGCAGGATTTGAAGCCACTGGGATGGTTAAACCGAGTTTCGGATCGCAAGGGGTGGGGGGGATCTTGACTTACTTATGAAAGTAATTCCAGCATCATTGTTTCTAGTAGCTCATCGATGCTGCATGCACAAAGTCCAATTCGTGGAGCTAAGGAGTGCTCGAGATGAGGTGAGCTTAATGGTTTTGACGGGCGCACGGGTCTACAAGGGACTTTCATTATTAAGCTACACTCTGCCCTTTTTTCCAGTAACTATCACATATTTTTGAGGCATTGGTATGGTGAAGGATGTCTATTTGTTTTCTTGTTTCGTCTCTTTCGAACTGCCTTGGTTTCAGCGGGCAGTTAGCCTCTCCCATCTAGAGCCTCATGTTTCGTGTACTCCGTACTCTGTACGGAGACACCCCTTGCATGAGAACGGCAAATGGTCAGATCAAAACATACAAAGCAAAGATACGAACAATATTCTTGGAGTCTCGTAGACTATTAATAGTCATCTCACTATTTTATTCCCTGTCGGGTCATACTTCGTACTCCGTCAAATGCGAGATGCAGGCCCCGGGGATTGACGTAAGGCACAAGGATCCCAGGGGAACGTCTGATCGGTTTCAAGTGCCGAGCGGGGTATGAGAGTCGGGTTTCTGCTGTCTGAAACAGATCTGACGATATTGACTCCCCACATGGTGCATTGGGAATGTGGCATTCTTCAAATTTGTACGGAGTACGGAGTACTTTGAGTATGGCATTGGTAACAATACACAGGTAGTTTGGTAGTGAACGAAAGTACTAGAATATACTCTAAAACATATGTTCAAGCCAAAACAATCAGTATAAAAGTGCAGGACAAGATCGGTCGGTATTGGAATCGGGGGCATCACAGCCCCAGGGGATTTGGCTTAGGCTCTACTCCGTACCTAGCGCTATTCTGGTACTTGGCGCGATCAATAGGGAACTTAGTAAATAGCTCCAGGGCTAACGGCGGTGTTTCAGCCCTGAGCCCTGGATTTCGTAGATTTGTTGCCGGTTCCAGGGTCGGTCTAAGGGTATTTCTCTTTCCAACCTTGGAACCTAGGAATACTTGGGAGGATATTGTTGAAAAGTAGGTCACTTTGGATCTGATATATTCCACATGACTCATTAGGTGAAACTCGCGATGTCTTGTATATACGAAGCACACAAATTAAATGAATATTGTCCTTTGTTTCTGCGATCGAGATCATTTCTTCAGCTTCATGCTGCACAAGTTTATACATCCGACCTTGGAACTGCATGGTGTCCCGATGTCCAAAGTACATCCGTGCCAACCCGAGGTCGGTAGTTATGTATGTAGTATGGCTTACACATGGGTGATCAGTATATAAAATGTAGGCTTTGACATCCACGCAGATGATGCGTTGTACTACGTACTAATTTTTCTGACCCGAGAGGATTTCTCTCCGTTCGAACCTCATACGAATCGAAAACGCTCCGAGTAGCGTCGGTTTATAGCAGAATGTGCTTGTTTGGGCAGATGGAGGGAGGTCCATGACTCCATGGCGCACCTGGGTAGTCTGCACAGTATGGATGAACAGAACTCCACATGCCATTTCTCCAAGAGGTAAAAAGGCTTGTGACCACCTGTCAAACGGAACCACTGCAAGTGAGTGTTTTCCCACCGTATGGGACTTTATGAATCCATGACTCCATACGGAAGACTCTAGCCGGTAGGAGTCGACATCAAGATTTATACTCCGTATAGATCCTGTCCACGTCTGCTCTAGGAGATCGCGAAGGCAGGAAAACCGGCAAAGGGATAGGCGCAGAGGCTCAAAGACGGAAGGGTTCCGCGTGAAGAAAGGCCCAATGGAGATGGGCCGGTGGACGGAAAGGGTAAGAATTATCTCCCGGCTGGCGTTGCCGTTGGCCGTGGCGCCCCCCAACTTACCCGAGCTCCGCCTTGAACGTTGAGGCAAAATGGAGACGAACTGGATGAACTTGGGTATGGAGTAAACGGTACTGGCCTCTGATTGCCCGTGACATTGCCTCTTTCTCAAAAACACGCCGAGTTTGCTCCCGGTGTTTAACTCCCTCGGCCATCTTCCCCACATAGTTATATAAGGAACCGGGGAAGGACAAGTCAAGTTCTTGATCTTTTGCTTCTACATTTTGCAATACTTCCTGTACCCTTCACGCTTCCAAGTACATATGCTTCTGTGATAATTGCTTTTTTTGGCACGAAGTATCCAAGTTACACCAGTGAAGTCGGAGTTTCCAGTACGGCCAGAAGCGGTGAAGGCCGAGGTTCTCGATCGACGCACGGAAGAGCAAAGAAAGTGGATCAGACCACCTATTACTTCAGTGCTTCTTTCCCTCCTCTCTCTTCCGCAGAGTTGAACTGAGGGTCTTTCAAGGGTACACTCCCCACGGCTCATTTTGTGCAGGCCTTGTACAGTTCTTTCTGCCTCGTTTCGGTTTATTTATTTGGCTTCCTGTTTTGGTGAACCTCTGGGACCCCTCCCCCTGTGTCCCCTCCCCCCCTCACAATGGCACAACTGGATACCCTCGACTTGGTGGTCCTGGTCGCTCTCTTGGTGGGTAGCGTTGCCTACTTCACCAAGGGTAGCTACTGGGCCGTCCCCAAAGACCCCTACGCCTCTAGCGCCGCCGCCAATGGTGCCGCCAAAAGCGGCAAAACCCGCGACATCGTGGAGAAGATGGAACAAACAAACAAAAACTGCGTGATCTTCTACGGATCGCAGACTGGTACCGCGGAAGACTACGCCTCCCGTCTGGCCAAGGAAGGCTCTCAGCGCTTTGGTCTCAAGACCATGGTGGCTGACATTGAGGACTATGACTACGAAAACCTGGATAAGTTCCCTGAGGACAAGGTTGCATTCTTTGTCCTGGCCACCTACGGCGAGGGAGAACCAACGGATAATGCGGTCGATTTCTACCAATTCCTCACCGGCGAGGATGTCGCTTTCGAGAGCGGCGCCACTGGTGAAGACTCTCCCCTCTCTTCTCTCAAATATGTCACTTTCGGTCTTGGAAACAACACATACGAACACTACAACTCCATGGTCCGCCAGGTCGATGCCGCTCTCACCAAGCTCGGTGCGCAGCGCATCGGAACCGCGGGTGAGGGTGACGATGGTGCTGGAACCATGGAGGAAGATTTCTTGGCCTGGAAGGAGCCTATGTGGGCTGCTCTGTCGGACGCCATGAGTCTTCAGGAACGCGAGGCTACCTACGAAGCCGTCTTCTCTGTCACCGAGGATGAGCTCAAGACCCCCGAGGACGAGTCTGTCTACCTGGGTGAGCCTACCTCTGCCCACCGTGAGGGTGCCGCGAAGGGCCCCTACTCCGCGCACAACCCCTACATTGCCCCGATCGTCGAATCCTCTGAACTCTTCACCGTTAAAGACCGCAACTGTCTCCACATGGAAATCAGCATCGCTGGTAGCAACCTCAGCTACCAGACTGGTGACCACATTGCTATCTGGCCCACCAACGCCGGCGCCGAGGTTGATCGTTTCCTCGAGGTCTTCGGAATTCAGGACAAGCGTCACTCCGTCATTAGTGTCAAGGGCATTGATGTCACTGCCAAGGTTCCCATCCCGACTCCCACCACGTACGACGCGGCCATCCGCTACTACATGGAGGTTTGCGCCCCGGTCTCTCGCCAGTTCGTCTCTACTCTCGCCGCTTTCGCTCCCGACGAGGAGAGCAAGGCTGAAATTGTTCGTCTTGGTAACGACAAGGATTACTTCCACGAGAAGATTACCAACAAGTGCTTCAACATTGCTCAGGCTCTTCAGACCATCACTTCCAAGCCCTTCACTGCCGTTCCTTTCTCGCTGTTGATCGAAAGTATCAACAAGCTCCAGCCTCGCTACTACTCTATCTCTTCGTCTTCTCTGGTTCAAAAGGACAAGATCAGTATCACTGCCGTCGTCGAGTCTGTTCGTCTACCTGGTGCTTCACACATGGTTAAGGGTGTCACCACCAACTACCTTCTGGCCCTCAAGCAGAAGCAGAACGGTGACCCTCAACCCGACCCCCATGGCTTGACTTACTCCATCACCGGTCCTCGCAACAAGTACGATGGAATTCACGTGCCTGTCCATGTCCGCCACTCCAACTTCAAGCTGCCTTCTGATCCTTCCAAGCCCATCATCATGGTTGGTCCTGGTACCGGTGTTGCCCCCTTCCGCGGTTTCATTCAAGAACGTGCTGCTCTCGCTGCCAAGGGCGAGAAGGTCGGAACCACTCTTCTGTTCTTCGGATGCCGCAAGAGCGATGAAGATTTCATCTACCAAGATGAGTTCAAGGTATGCAGCCTCTTCCTAGTTCTAACCGTTTTCTAGACCAAGCTAACATTTCATAGACCTGGCAAGCTCAGATGGGCGATTCTCTCAAGATCGTCACCGCCTTCTCCCGCGAGGGTTCCAAGAAGGTGTATGTTCAGCACCGTCTCAAGGAGCAAGCCACGCTTGTCAGTGAGCTTCTGAAGCAAAAGGCCAACTTCTACGTTTGTGGTGATGCCGCCAACATGGCCCGCGAGGTGAACCTGGTCCTTGGTCACATTATTGCTGAGCAGCGCGGCATGCCCGCTGAAAAGGGCGAGGAGATGGTCAAGCACATGCGCAGCAGCGGCAGCTACCAGGAGGATGTTTGGTCATGAGATCACGAATGATGAATATTGTTTTTCTCTCGCATAGACGATCGAGCATTTATATTGGGATGTTCGACATTGTTTTGGGTTTCTTCTCTTCATTTGTTTCTAGCTTTCACCCTTTGGGGGCGGCTTCCTTCCGGGAGCACCCACTTGGTGTCTCATATCTATGATTGTAGACTTGTCATTTAGAACGAAATGTAATTTTTCTTCCAAGGTCCGGGTGTTTGTTCTGTGGGCTAGGCCGTTGAGCAGTCACTGGCCAGGTCCACGGGTAGAAGTAGATAATAGCTAGCGGGCACCATCCTTGGATGAGACTTGTGCTATGGTAAATGCAGACTTTTATGCTCGCTGCACTAACACTTGGGACACTCAACGCCTCCATCTCGGCCTTTCTTGCAATTCAAATCTATAGACGAGTCTCTTTGGCCTGATCGACACAGCGAACCAATTTGCTAATGTCACTTCATGCGCCAAGGCGGAAAGAAAGGCGGGGCAGCAAGCTGACTCATGTTCTGCCGGCAGAATGCATCAAGTGGATGGGATGAGCGGATGCGACTTCAGCGTCATGATACACATCTTTGCATACTGACATCTTGATTCTAATTATTTTCCCTTCCAATTCACATGAAGTACTGTGCAATCTCCCCATACACGTAATTGTGTCGACAGACATCTCGCTCTGAGCTCTGAGCGGTTATCGCGATCATGGCCTATGTCGTGCCCATCCACGATCCGACTTGCGTTCGCCATGCGGTCAAGCTCAACTTTTTCTCAGCCGAGGAAGAATGCTTGGTTGTTGCGTGAGTTATAACTTCCTTAAGTTCGGCACGCTATTGGTGAGACCGAAGCTAATACCAATTCACAGCAAAACAAGTCGTCTCGAGTTCTACACAGTCACCGAAGATGGGCTCACCCTCGAAGCAACTCGCAAGATACCTGCGCAAATAACGATGCTTGAAAGGCTTCCAGCACCTTCAAACTCACCTACTGATCACTTGTTCATCGGCACCAACCAATACAATTACTTCACCACATCGTGGGATCCGGAAGAGAACGTGATCAAAACAGCACGCAGCTGCGTCGATATTGCCGAACCATCCTCGAGACACTCTAACTACGCACAGCGCTGCCTCGTTGATCCTACCGGGCGATTCATGACACTGGAGATCTACGAGGGCGTGATAGTTGTGGTGCCTATTGTCCAACCGACGAAGAAGCGAGGCCGGACATCAACGGTTCATGCAGATAATCCTCCCCAGGTGGGAGAGCTTGACAAGCCGACTACATCCCGAATAGACGAGCTGGTTGTCCGATCTTCTGCCTTTCTCCATTCAGAATCAAACCCGTGGCTGGCGTTACTGTATGAGGACAATGCGCAAAAGGTGCGTTTGAGGATCCGAGAGTTGGAATTCACTCCTGGAACATATGGGACTCCTCCCGATGCCACTTTCAATGAGGTTCAAGATCTTGAAGGAGGGCAGTTCGGCCAAGAGCTTGATCTTGGCTCTTCGCATCTGATCCCAATTCCAGCCCCGCTGGGTGGTCTCATTGTACTCGGCGAAACTTCCATAAAATACATTGATGATAATGCCAACAATGTGCTCACGCGGAATCTTGACGAGGCGACTGTCTTTGTCGCTTGGGAAAAAATCGATAGCCAGCGGTGGCTTCTAGCAGATGACTACGGGAGGCTTTCCTTTTTGTCATTCATTTTGAACAGACAAGGTGAAATTGACGACTGGAAACTCGAAAATCTGGGCACCACTGCTCGCGCTTCTGTCCTCGTCTATCTGGGTGGTGGCATGTTGTTCGTTGGATCTCATCATGGCGACTCACAGGTGCTTCGACTGGATGGTAGCTCGTTTGAGGTTATTCAAGTTCTCTCCAACATTGGTCCGATTCTTGATTTCACTATCATGGATCTCGGAAACCGCACAGATGAGACCCAAACCCATGAGTTCTCGTCTGGTCAGGCTCGCATTGTGACAGGATCTGGCGCATTCGACGATGGAACCCTGCGAAGTGTGCGTAGTGGCGTTGGTATGGAAGAGCTTGCTGTGTTGGGTGATATGGAACACATCACAGATCTCTGGGGGCTGCGAACCCAGAACACGACCAACCCTGAATCACTGGACACGCTGGTTGTCACCTTCGTGGACGAAACCCGAGTGTTCCAATTCGGCCCCAATGGCGAAGTGGAGGAGTTGGACCAGTTCCTCGGGCTTGCACTCACAGAGAACACCTTGCTTGCAGCGCGTTTGCCTGGCGACCGTATCCTCCAGGTCACAGAAAAGCGAGTTTTGGTGGTTGATATAGAAAGTGGAATGGTCACTTTCCGGTGGGAGCCTTCAAACCAGAAACACAAATTGATCACTGCCGCCTCGGCTAGCGATGACAACCTTGTCTTGGTTGTAAGTGGTCGGATCGTATCATCCTTCGATCTGAGAGGCAATGTCAAGCCCATCACAGAAAAGGACTTCGGTGATGACAAGCAAATCTCTGGTTTGACTGTTCCATCTACCCCAGGGGGCATCTTCATCGCTGGTTTCCCCCAATTGGCTCAAGTCTCTGTCTTTTCGATCAATAATTTGACAGAGCTACATGCCAGATCACTTGGCCCCGCCGGCGAGAGTTTCCCACGATCAGTTCTGGTGGCCCAAGTACTCGCCAACAGCCCACCAACCCTCTTTGTCTCCATGGCAGATGGGTGTGTTGTGACATTCTCGCTCAATCCGGAGGATAACTCGCTCAGTGGAAACAACAAGCTAGTCCTTGGTTCTGAGCAGCCAATCTTCAAGAAGTTACCCAGGGGTGATGGTCTATACAATGTGTTCGCCACTTGTGAAAACCCCAGCCTGATCTATGGCTCAGAAGGTCGAATCATATACTCCGCTGTGAACTCCGAAGGTGCCACACGAATTTGTCATCTGAACGCGGAGGCTTACCCTAACGCTATTGCGGTGGCTACCGAGACAGAGCTGAAGATTGCTCTAGTTGATAAAGAACGCACGACTCAAATCCAAACATTACCAATGGGTTCGACTGTGCGACGTGTTGCGTATTCGCCATCGGAAAAGGCGTTTGGACTCGGAATCATCGAACGCACGCTCGTGGCCGGCGATGAGCACGTCAAAAGTCATTTTGTCCTCGCTGATGAGATCCTTTTCCAAAAGCTTGATGTGGTCGAGCTAGGCGCCGACGAGCTGGTCGAGAGTGTTGTACGAGCCGAGGTACCAGCTGGAAAGGATGAGCATGGCAGAGAAACAACTAGAGACCGATTCGTCGTCGGTACGTCTCTTCCAGAAGATGATGCATCGGATAGCTTTGGCGGCCGAATTCTCGTATTGGAAGTTGAGCACGGCCGCAAGCTAAGCCAAGTTGCTGAGTTGAAGGTTCGAGGTGCTTGTCGGGCTCTTGCCACGATGGGCGATTGCATTGTTGCAGCTCTCACTAAGACTGTATGTACAGAAGTTGCTTTACTCGGATCTTACTGACATTTCGCAGGTTGTGGTCTACAAGATGCAAACCAACAATGTTGGACCGATGAAACTTGAGAAACTCGCTTCATACCGGACCTCGACTGCGCCCGTTGACATTACTGTTGTCGGAAACTTGATTGCCGTTGCGGATCTCATGAAGAGTTTATGTCTCGTCAGATATGAGCAGGGCAAAAATGGAGAGCCCGATGAACTTGTTGAAGTCGGCCGCCACTACCAAACAGTTTGGTCCACAGCAGTTGCCTGTGTTGGTGATGAAACCTTCCTTCTAGGCGATGGCGAAGGCAATGTTATCGTTCTTTCTCGAAACCAGGAAGGCGTCACCTCACAAGACAAGCATCGTCTAGTTGCGACCAGTGAGATCTCGCTGGGAGAAATGGTGAATAGAATCCGGCCGGTGAACATCCCACACCTCGCGAGTGCAGCAGTCACACCACGCGCCTTCATGGCAACCGTACGTTCCCCTTCCTCTAACCATAGCCATTCTCATTACTGATTCATATCAAGGTCGACGGCTCCATCTACCTGTTTGCAATGATAAATCCGGATTACCAAGACTTCCTCATGACACTGCAGACAGTACTTTCCACCAAAATCGTCTCCCTAGGCGACCTTTCATTCGATAAGTATCGCGGCTTCCGTACTGAGGTCCGCGCTGCTGATGCGCCATACCGTTTTGTGGATGGCGAGCTTATCGAGCAATTCTTGAACTGCTCGCCAAGCATGCAGCAGGAGATCGTGGACGAGGTTGGCTCCTCTGATGTAGAGGAGGTCAAGAAGATGATCGAGGGGTTGCGACGACTGCACTGATTGTGCTGTTGTGGGAACCCGCTATTAATTGCTGATGACTATTACGAGACGCGATTGATAATTGTTAAAGAACTGGACATTTGGAGTTGGAAGCCATGACAATACTAGAATATTTCACTCGGATTTGATACGAGATCTTTGACATCAGTGGCTCTCTGTGTCTGAGCAGTTTGCAGAGCGCGTAAGCAAAATTTTGATTAGAGCTAATAGGGGCCCTGAGAGGCGTAGTTGAATAAAGGTAAACCAATTAATAATACAAGAAGTAAACCCCCTCAGAGACCATGCAATGCAGACGTTCCCAGTCAATATAAAAACCACCCAAGTCTATCCTCACAGCATCACACCTCACAGATCCTTCTTTTCCTGAGGAGCGTGCTCCTCATCCTCACTCCAGTCAAGCAATTCCATGATCTGCTCGCGGCTCAGGTCCTCAGCGCGCTGGTCCTTCTTGACATTCTTGATGTAGTTCTTCTGACGCTTGCGAGCCATCTTGTTCCACTCCGGAACTCCACTGGCAGCCGCCATAACATCTTCCTCGTCCTCGAGCTCATCATCGGTGTTCTCGACTTCGCCAAGGACCTTGCCTTTGTCGCCGCCGCCGCCGCCACCACTGCGCAGCGAGTTCGCCGAGACCTTGACCTTGCCGAATTCCGCGCGCTCTTTCTCCTTCTTCTCCTTCTCCTTGCGGCGGTCACGGTCGTGCATCCACTTGAACAGTTTCTCAATGTAGGGTCTGACGATGAGGTAGAAGACAACACTGCCGATAACCTTGGTCCAGCGCTTGCCGCTCATCTGCGCGATCGAAGCGTAGCCATTCTTCCAGAAGCGCGTCCAGACGGTCTCGAAGAAAGTGTAGAGTTGACCGAAGAAATCTTGGAAAGCCTCAGCGGCCTTGTCGCTAAGGTCCACTTGAGCTTGGGGTGTGGCCATGGTGGCTGTGTAGAGGAAGGAAGGCCCGCGATAGGGGTTATATTGGACTTGGTAGACACACTCCAGGGGATGAGTGTAGGGTTTTGTGCTGCTTGGAAAAAGCAAATTTGCACCAGATTTGAGGGATTAATGAACAGATCTGCGATGCTTTGCGTTTCTCTGAAATTCCGCGGGCTGCCGCAATGAGTTTCCCCCTTTCGGCTTAGCGTCTGGTGCCGGATTAGCCGTTATTCCGCGGACGCGTTAGTGGCCAATCAGAGTGAGTTGCCGAGGTTCATCTTTAGACGCGTTCGCTTGCTGTCTCTATCAACGTTCATCATGGAGCAGACTGAGGAGGCTAGCTTAGAAGAGGTCTGTGATATTTGACAGGTTTTATGTACAGGGCTGACTCTTTTTAGCGCCTGAAATCCAGCTTGTGGTTGTCAATTGGCAAGATCGTTGATGAAGAGACCATTAGGCTAGGCGTCAATGCGACACCGCAATTCATCGGCGCTTTAACAGAGATGGTTTGGGCCCAGATTGGTACGTCTCGCAGAATGTGCTCTTATGCCCGCGAAATAGGTCTGACTTGTCATAGAAACCGTCAGCCAGGACCTGGAGTCTTTCGCCAAGTAAGTCAGCTATCTTCTGTGCTTGGCTAGAGCAGATGGTCAATTCTGTTTTGACCCTGCAACTCCCAAAGGACACGACTAATATGAGCGTGCTCTATATAGACATGCAGGACGCTCTACCGTCAACCTATCTGATGTGATGCTACTTGCACGTCGTAACGAGGGCCTTGATTCGATTCTACGTGCGTTCGTTGAGCAAGAAAAAGAGAAGCAGCGCCAGGAGGACTCCTGAGTTGTGGATTTATTGGCAGATTTGTCGACGACGTGCAATGATTCACGATGCCCATCGCCACATGCAGGCCAGACTTATCGCCCCTTGCCATGAACACATCGTCCGACAAAATGGACACATGGAAATTGGGGTTGGATGCATGAACCTACAGGATTGGCCATTTTAGCCTATGGGAAGATGTCTCCTACTACTTTCGGTCCACGGTCTCTTTCCCTCGGACTCTGGATCTCCATAACAAGCTGTTCGCTTTTGGCAGATTGCCACCAAGAGACCCTACCCCATGCTACCAAACTCTCGCTAGAGCAAGGCCGCTCTTTTAATCGATGCTTCATCTACGAGAAACATTACTGGCAACCTTTCTATGCATCAACGCCATGACACCAGTACACCATCCAATGAGAACACTATCTTCTGCCACTTTGAATCTGGATGTTGAAGGTTGCATATTTGATTGTGAGGACTCTTCCATGTGTGATGGGCAGTTAGCAAGCCTTGACCAAGGCCAGAAGAAAACTATTTTGTTTCCCCTCCATCTATCCTACCTAGCTTGATAATCATTGGGTTGAGTACCTATACCTTGCGTTGCCCAGTTTCTTGGCTGCGCCGACCAAATGGGAAAGGGCGGCGGTCGGTCAAAGCAGTGCCCAGCTTTTCGAGTTCACAATCTATCACCCTGAAACATGTCCATCCGGGGGTTGTGTCTGGTATCTAGCTCTACTGGTGTACGGAGTACATTGTAAAAATCTACTGTATACCCCAAACTACTGCCGGTATTGATCCACGGTAAATTGACGTGGCGCGGGCCCAATGCGGTGGGGGTCTAGACGTCATTTCCAACGTGGCGGGTACCAGAGCTGTTGAACGGGAGAAGTGTCTGTGCTGCAGATCTTAATACAGCAGCAAGCCCAACTGGGTCACAAGGGTACATGTAAAAACGTTCATTAATATTAACTGACTAGTAGTTCAAAGTGTAGAGTCGTGCAAAATTGAAGTACAAACTGTACAGAGTATGGTGTAGTTTAAACCTCACTAGTTTCAGTTTATTGAAGCTCGAACCTTAATTCTCCAGCTTGGGTCAAACGAGGATCACTTCACGCCTATTTTTGGCAAGGGACATGCAGGCACCCACAACAGAAACGGAGAAGCCTGAACAAAAGACTCCGTACTTTGTAGGCAACACTTCACACCCCACACAAGGTGAACAAAAGTATAAAATGGGTTGTAATGGTCATGGTGGCTGGTGTGGCTGGGGCTCTTCTTCTTTTTCGGTTGACCCAAAATTGCCAAAAATGCAATTTCTTCACATGTGGCGGGTCAGAGGTCAAATCAGACCGCTTCAAGGTTCCAAGGCTCTAACCAAAGACGGTAAAGGTGGAGACACAATCCATGGGACTGACATCAGCTAGTGGGTCATCTGGGGCCGAATAAAGTGTGGCGCAGACGCCCCCGACCATTGAGCTATAAGCTTCTCCTTTGCCATCCACTGATCTTCGTCAATTGCGTCTGCTCAGGGTCTTTGCCTTATAAGTCGCCCAAATCCTGTTGCCTGAGTTTCCTTCATATATTCCCCTTGGACCTGAAGGTCACTCATCAAACAAAACTACAAAATCTTCACATTTATTCATCATGGGAGCTGGTGGAGTCATCCTTCGCTTCTTTAATCTCTTTCTGCGAGTACTGCAGTTCCTCGACGGTGCTGTGATTCTTGGCATCTTCTCCTATTATCTGGCTGTTCTCTCCAGAAACAACCAGCACATCGCAACATGGGTGAAGGCCGTTGAAGGTTTAGCAGGTGCAGCGACTCTCTATGGTCTGTTGGGCATGATCCTCACCTGCTGCCTGGGTGGCGTTGCGTTCTTCGCCTTCCTGGGTGTCGCCCTGGACGTCTGCTTCGTGGGCGCGATGGTTGCGATTGCCATCTTGACCCGCAAGGGTGTCAGCCAGTGCACGGGCACGGTAGACACCCCGCTCGGAACTGGAAATGCCAACGACGACACCTTCTCCAAGGGTCTCACCTTCGGCATGACCTGCAAACTGGAGAAGGTTGTCTTTGCAGTGGCCATCATTGGAATGTGAGTAAAACCCCATGAATCTCAGCCCTATGGTTTTGCGCCAAGCATATTAACCGAGCCCCTAGTTTCCTCTTCCTGGTTTCCATCCTCTTCCAGGTTCTGCTTGCCCGCCACCACAAGCGCGAGAAGCGCTTCGGTCCTTCGCCTACCAACAACTATACCCACGGTAGCCGTGGTGCTTTCTGGCGCCGCAACAAGAACCACCCCGAAGCCACCGGCGCCGCTGATACCCTTCCCGGTCACCCCACCCCGCATGATGTCGAGATGGGTGCCGAGCCTCAAAACGAGAAGAAGTGGTACAGTTTCGGCCGGAACAAGAACACCGCTACCAACGGTGCCGCTGCCCCCGCTGCAAATGGCGCTGGCTATGGCTACGGCAACTCTGCTTACACTGGCAACATCTAAACTTGCCAGTAGTTTGTCGGGAGGCCGGATAGTCCGGTTTTTTGCTAGCCGACTGTCCGCAACGGGACTGGTGCACAAGCACCAGTCAATGATTATATGACCATTTTGTGTTAGCTGGAAGCCAAGATACCACTACTATGTTTGTGAAAGATTGGATTTGTACAATATGATGGAGGATATCTGGCGGGCACTAAGGGTCTTTCAAGACTAGCTGGTCAACGTAATATTAATGAACTACATACTATTTATCCCAATACCCACTTTTCATCAAGCTGTAATTTGTGTTCCTGAAGGTAACCTAACAATACTATTCAAGCCTCAACTTCCGCATCCGTCATATCCGCATTCGGTGGCTTGTTTCGAGACTTGACGTATGGGTATGACCTTTTTTGTTTTGTTTTTACATGGTTATGAAGTAGCCAGGCTGGAGAATTTGTGTAAATGCAGGAGATCATGATAGTAGATCCTTATTCACAGGTTTGGACATAGTCTGAATGGCTCGATGTGAGCGATCTCATTCAAGGTTCTAGATTAAAATGCCTTCGGGACCAAAAATGGTCTATGGAAAGTTGGAACAAGATCTTGATCGCAAAAAGCAGGCATCTTGAAGCTATCTATGTTCAGGTCATTCCAGCATCATCGGAGATCGTGTTCAGCCAGGAGGGTCAAACGCGCAGAGACTTAGTTCTGGGTACGGTACGTGCTCAGTGAGATTAGTTTTCAACCTTGGAATAAAGCCATGCTTGCACTTATCGCTTTCAGGACACACATACCCCATGGGCAGTCCTCTTTAAAAATATCGGTTTGTCTAATTCCTCGACAGAGTCCTTGGAGAACTTTTTTGAAGACCCAGCCCACACTTCGGCTGCCGGAACCCAACCTCGGGTGCAAGTACCCGAGAGCGCATTGTCTTATATACTCAAATTTCAATTCACTTCTTCCCTTCGCCAATTTCGTGATGATGACCAATTGCTGGTAGAAATCAGGCTGTCGTCTTTGGAAAATTTCAGTCTGAATTTGAACCTTGGAAACTTTTGATTGCCTTCAAAATATATCGCCTACTGTGGGCAGATGCTGCCAAGAACACACAACGCGCTATTTAGAGGCTCCGTTTGCGCTATTCGTCCTTCACGTCAGGCTCGAAATTTCACGATGAAGTTCTTTGATGTGTGTACACTTCGCCAATCCCCAGTATGCCTCCAGCTGATGTAGTTTATAGGTCGCAGTTACATTCACTGCCGATCAATTCCAAGGGATCTACCGCAGGAAGCAGTACCATGATCCCGACTTCGGAGAGGTTCTGAAGAGAGCGCGTGAATATGGGTGTGATAAAGTGATGCTCACCACGATGACTCTTGAGGGCGCAAAGAAAAATCTGCAAGCAGTGAGGGATGCCCCTGCAATGTGCAAAATGACACTTGGTGTGCACCCATATCATGCAGCAGAGATCTATGAAAAGCCAGAGTCTCAATATCTCAACGAGCTCCGCGAACTCGGCGAAAATTTGCTGGCCGAAAAATCTTCTCCTTTAGCGGCTTTTGGCGAAATCGGGCTTGACTATGAATACCTGGAACGGGCAGACAAGGAAACGCAACAGCGCGCATTCCGCGAACAATTAGAGCTGGCTGTACACTTCCAACTGCCACTTTTCTTACATGTTCGCGAATCTACGGATGACTTCATCTCCATTATCGAACCTTATCTTCCACGACTTCCTCGGGGCGGACTTGTGCATTCCTTCGCAGGGACGAAGGACGAGATGCTCCGACTCGTGGGGTTGGGGTTTGAAATCAGTGTCAACGGCGTCTCATTCCGAACCGATGAACAGTTGGAGATGGTGAAGCACATTCCATTGGACAAGTTACAGCTTGAGACCGATGCGCCATGGTGCGAAGTACTGGTCAATGATCCGAAGATCGCACCGTTCCTGGAAAAGGCGAGACCCTTGCCACCCAGTCGGAAGCACAACAAGTTTATCATGGGTCAAATGGTCAAGACTCGCAATGAAAGCTGCAATATGGAACTTGTGGGCTTGGTAGTGGCTGGATTAAAGGGAATCTCTATCGAAGATGTCATTGAAGCAGCGTGGACGAACAGCAGTCGCATGTTTTGGTGAGAATATGTACTTCTTCAATTCAAAATTGACCTCGGGAAAGGTCAACCTTGGAACTTGACAGAATATATAAACACACCTTGCGGGAAAAAATTCGAATTTTTCAATTTCATACCTTCTTATTGTAGCTCAGCATTGAAAACAGACCCTTGGAATTGACTTTCATCTATCAACTTATTTTGTATTTGTGGGTTAACGATATTCTTATGCGACGAGCGGTTCCTTTGACTACCGGACCCTAACGATTGCCCAACTGTATAAAACCCACCAAGCCCCGAGGTCTGGAAACCCATGGGAGCCCCACAATGACAAGCTTTCCTACTAAAACGTGAAGACAATTAGGGACCGACATGGCATGGTAAAGACCGACACAATGGTAAACAAAACCCTTGACGCAGGGATGCCTATAATTGGTGCCTTGGCTAGGGTTACAGGGAGGCGCACACCCATCCCTTAGGCGCCCTGGAGGCAGATAACCAAACCGGATTTACGGCATACCCCAGAATTTAATGTATACGCCGTACATGGAGTACGATTGCCAGACGAGTCAGAAGGTCTCGATCGAGTGTAGGTACTTCATACCTAGCGGACCACATTGTAGCTGTAACGCGTGTCCCCCCATTGATAGTCCTGACCTCATGACAGGATTCTTCGTATCACTTGGCTTGCGGAGATTTAATTCTGACTGGAATGAAGGAACTAATGGTGGCTCTGCTCATGTTTGGGCCATTGGTGCCCGCTAGGTTTGCAATCCACGGCGTCTGAAGTGTTTGCCATCAAATACCGAGATTTGCTAGAGATTATTTGGAGTGGGAAGAATTGGAATCGAACCCATTCGAGCGTGAATGAATTTGACAGTGTCATGGTGATGCCGGATTCTTTTTTTAAACCATGAACAACAATCAGAGAAAATTATAGCTCAGATAGCAAAATTCCGCACGAATTCTATCTTAAGGTGCTTGCTTGACTTCCACAAATGAATTCATTGGCTACGGGTAAGGGCTTGTTTCGAGGTTGATAGGCCAACATTCCTCACGTTGCGAGGGTCAGCACAGCTTTGACCAAAATATCATGGCATCTGCCATTCTTGTCAACAAGTATGGGGAATGTTATGATCTCCAAGCGATGTATTTATACCGCTTGTCGAGCTCTAGTAGCTGCTCATTGAGCCAAAGCTTCTATCATTTTCACATTATTAACCCTGGTGGTTAAGTGTTTAGTATCATATTAAGATATCGCTCTTTATATCTACCCTCTTTTGCAAAGACTGTAAGTGACACCTTGGGTCAGATCTGCGCTCTTGTCGGCATGCATCGATGTTGCAATCCGTGGGAATGATCACAACATGAGGCTAATACTGGACAGAAACGCTTCAATCACAATGAAGGGTGTCGCTATCATTTCCGGCCTTTTGGCCAGCACTGTGTCAGCTCACATGCAGTTGAGCACTCCCTACCCCATCCGCAGTCCTTTGAACAAGGACGCCAAGGGCCAGAAGGACTACTCCTACACCAACCCTCTGTCAAGCTCTGGCAGTGACTACCCTTGCAAAGGATACGCCAAGGACGACTTCGAGGCCGTCGCAACATGGGAACCCGGTTCCTCTCAACACATGGAGTTGGAGGGCAGCGCTACCCACGATGGTGGCTCATGCCAGCTAGCCCTGACCTACGACCAGGGTAAGACCTTCAAGGTCATCGAGTCAATTGAGGGCGACTGCCCCATCGCCAAGAAGTACGACTTTGACATTCCTTCCGACGCACCCACTGGTGATGCCCTCTTTGCTTGGACTTGGTTCAACAAGGTCGGAAACCGCGAGATGTACATGAACTGCGCCATGATCACCATCGGTAGCTCAGACAGCCGTAGCGCTAACGGTACTACTACCGAGAATGAGAAGCGTGATGAGATGGAGGCCCCCAAGCCAGCAACTAAGGAGATGGAAGCCCCCAAGCCGGCATCTAAGGAGAAGCCCAAGGCCATGGAGCACAGCAAGAACAACAAGGCTGCGAAGAGCAGCTTCGACAGCCTCCCTGACCTCTTCGTTGCCAACGTTGATCAGACTGGCAAGTGTGTCACCACCGAGGGCGAGGCTGTTCACTTCCCCAAGCCCGGCCCCAAGCTTATTGGAGAAGCCAAGGGCCCCGGTTACAAGTGCACCGAGAAGGCTCCTTTCCTCAGCGAAGATGCCGGCTCCTCCGACAAGAACTCCACTACTACCAGTGACAAGATCGCCAACTCTCCCAAGAAGGATACCCCTGCCGCCGGCGACAAGACCGCCAAGATTGCCCAGCCCTTCGGTAGCGCCGCCCCGGCCCCCGCTCCCGCCGCCGACTCTCGCACCCTTGGCACCGAGGCCTCCACTAGCAACCACTTCAGCCACTACGTTGGCAAGTTCAAGTGCACTGATGGTGAATTGCTTTGCTCTCCCGATGGATACACCTTCGCCCTTTGCAACTTCGGTCGCCCTGTCTTCATGGGCCCTGTCGCTGCTGGCACTGTCTGCCGTGGCGGTGAAATCATTGCTGCTCACTAAATGTTTTCCCTTCTGTCATAAAGCTTTTTCAATAATTAAATTCCTTTGGCTTTGCCGATCATGTCCCTCTTCCTGTCTTCTTCTTCCACCGTGTTGCTTTCGAACGACCTTAGGACCTCACGCTTCTGTTACATTTTTGTTGCTCCCTTTCTTTACCTATGATCGAACAGCGATGACTCGGTTGATGTCATTGCGTTCATGTTATCACCATACCACACTGAATGAATGTCTTCTAATATGGCTCACACGCCCCCTGTAAATGTATCATGCAGCAGCCTTGGGCGCAAAGTCCACCTACATTCCCAGGTACCATACCTTCGTAGAATTCTCACACTGTCAGGCTGTATAAACGTGTGCGTGTCTTCCACGGAATATTACAGGCCGAATTACAGTTGGTCTTCAGTAATGGCTTTATATTCTGTGAATTCACTTTCAAGTCATGGTGACTTTGATCTCACCGATTTCGCCTGACGCAGTACCAGCCAGAACACCAGTGCCAATAAGACCACCGTCGCTAGCCTCCCGTAAAAACACACTCTTTCCACCTGCTTGCGGACCAGCGCGCAGTAAGAGGCGATCAATGCATCTCTGTACACTTTCTTTATAATGAGGATAGTGTTGAATTACTCCACCAGAGAAGGCCACTGCAAGCTCTTCAGGGCCACTATCCCAACCTGGTATTGATGCCGATGTAGATGATAAGTTTGTAGGATGGTGTGCTTTGGAGGTATCCTGGAACCCGTTCGAGTCTTTGGAGTCCGAGTCGCAAAGTGTAACCTCGTTCGTACAATCGAGAAGCCCGACAACGGCAGATGCAACCAACGAAGCGGCCCGATCTTGCACTGCCGAAGCAATGATACGAATAGCCCGAGCATATTCAGGCGACCAGATCCAGTCACTATCCGTTGGCGGTCGGAGGGATTTGGATAGCTCGGTTGCTAGGTTCTCATCGGATATGGAGGGAGCCACGACTAGAGAGAGGAAATCTGTGGAGAGAGAGTATTCCTCTACCAGCTTCACTGGTAATTTCGAATTCTCTATGCCCAAAGCTCCGTGGAACCAGTCATGGCAGACAATTCGAACCAGTTCACCGGTGTAGGAACCACCAATCATGTACTCCATGGGCTGAAAACCCGGTCGTTTGCAGTTTCTATCCAGTTGATGATCCCACCTTGTTCGAATGCCAAGTTCATCGAACGGAGCTGCGGCTGTGGAAAGAGTCCATTCCGTTGAAATAAGTGCATCTTGCGCATCGGGATGTTTTTCAAGGATATTCTTCACTTTTGACTCATGCAAATGAGTCAATTTCATAGGAACAGTGGTGTTACAACCCGCGCCCACTATGAGTCCCATAACAACCCGAGTGTTCGGCAAAGAAGGGATGGAATATGCCAAGGAGGCAAAGGTGGCCGTTGTGTCGTTAATCATGACTGCCATTTTCAATTTAGGAAGAGAAAACAACCTTCTTCTTTTCACAGGCAAGTTTGCATCATCTCCATGAGAGGAATATGTGTGACGTTCGTACCCATTGAGCAAAGATTGGCGGAGGTTGAGGTCTGAACTGAGAGAAAATCCCTTGCCTGTCGGCATAAGGATAGCTTCGTCAAGGGAGTCCTGCCTATATGAGGATTAGTGCCAGAAAGAGAATCACAGCCTGGCAGGTAATAATACTTTATAGGGAGACAAAAAGATATGCCTGTCGTTATTTGGTCAATTCGTTCCTCGCTTGGATTCGTAAGTCTGTCCGCCACCACTTCAGCAATGCAATCTCCAATCCAAGTGAAGAGATCAGCGGAGTGATCCTTGCGTAAGTGCTCTTCGATAGGCCATGCCTTTTCTAACGTCCGGCGTACGCGTGTATGTCCCTCAATGTGTTTGTCTCCCAACAGATCGATGAAAGCCACGCGGAGGTACGACAGGCCAACATAAACTGCCAGGTAGCGACCTGTCTCGTGACCAGTTGGAAGCTGAGTGATAGCTGTGGGAATAAAATGTTCCGATGACTCCGCAGCCAACTTTGTGTATGCTTCCGACAGTCGACACGATAGATCATACAAGGTCTCAATCTCGACCCCCAGGGGCTGGATATAATCCTCTAGAGTGACTTTCGAAGATGTCATTAGAGTTGAGATGTTTTGTTATGACCAGAAGAGGTTGCAGAAACGAAGAAACGTGAGTGGAGCCCTACAATACCACCACGTGACCGGAATAGATTCGAGAGTCTTCAGCTGTCTTTTTGTTTCAGAATTCGGGAGAGATCTAATATCTATGATCGTGTGTCAGTCTGACATCTGATTTATCCATACAAGGAGCCTTGGGGCTTGATTGTAGTGTCCCAAGAGCGAAGTGGAAACAAGATAGTACTTGGGCGGTTATTGTACTACCATTGTTAGGAGTAGTACGAAGTGTGTTGATACTTGTTTCTACAAGTACCTTGAAACCGAACAAAAGCTTAACCATGAAGTGAACATAACAACTAAGAAGCTCTTGGCAAGCTGTTTGACCCTTAAGCTGACCACAACAGACAGGGTTACATTCGCAGCGGACTTTCCCCCGCATTATCTCACGTTTCAAAGCCCCACAATCTGACTGGGTGTCAAACTTCACTTGATTGGGGCTCCAGAGTCAGCAAAAAAAACTTGATGGCGTCTACAACTGAGACTATAGCCCCTTGGTCAAGGGAGACTTTGTCACGCGAAGCTGCTCAGTACCGAGACACCCCGGAGACAAGCACTGCATCAGAAACCGAGGACGATGCCCCACCTTTACACGCAGTCAACGTTGCGCTGAGATGGAACGAGTCAAAATCAACAATCTGGAAATTGACGGCAACATGCTGGTGCGCATTGGTGATGGGGTCTAACGACGCCGCATACGGAGCCATCATACCCTATGTAAAGTACTCCTCAAATCCCGTCACAACTGGTTCGCTGACGATTATCATTTCAACATTCATAGCTTGAGATCTACTACCAAAAGAGCTATACGATTGTCTCGCTGATTTTCCTTTCGCCATTCGTTGGCTACACTCTATCTGCCGTGTTGAGTAACTTGGTCCACCAAAACCTGGGCAGAAGAGGAATCGCTATCATTGCACCTATCTGCCATTTGATTGCCTTCGCAGTGATATCGGCCCACCCACCATTTCCAGTACTGATAGTGGTCTATGTACTAGTTGGTCTTGGGAGCGGTTTCCATAATGCGGCCTGGAATGTGTGGATTGGAAACATGGCGAACTCAAATGAAGTGCTTGGATTTTTCCATGGGTTCTATGGCATCGGGGCCACCATCAGTCCTCTGGTTGCTACAACGTTAATCACCAAGGCTGGGTGGCCGTGGTATTCTTACTACTATATCATGGTAATCAAACCTCTTCTACCGAACCAACACAGCTAGGCAGTGACTAACGGCTGAATTAAGACTGGAGGGGCCGCGTTGGCATTGGTTTATACCGCGGCTGCCTTCTGGGATGATACAGCTGCGAGATACCACCAAGAAAACCCAAGCCCTCCAGGCCGTGGAGGAGCATTATATCAAACTCAGATTGCTCTTACTCACAAAGTGACCTGGATATGTGCCGTGTTCCTCTTCTTGTATGGTGGCATTGAAGTGGGAATAGGTGGATGGATCGTTGTCTTCATGACCAATGTCCGACATGGCGGTGCGTTCGAGTCTGGTATGGCGGAAACCGGCTTTTGGCTAGGCATCACCGTCGGTCGATTTGTGCTAGGGTTTGTATCACCGCGAATTGGCGAAAAGCTATCGGTCGCCGTATACCTCTTGTGTGCCATTGCCCTCGAGCTGATATTTTGGCTTGTGCCGGAGTTCATGGTCTCTGCGGTGGCAGTCTCGCTTGTCGGATTCTTCATGGGAACCATCTTCCCAGGCGTTGTCGTTGTTGCAACTCGGATGTTACCGAAGAATGTCCACGTTGCTGCGATTGGGTTTGCGGCCGCTTTCTCTATGGGCGGTGGTGCTGTGTTTCCTTTCATGATTGGAGCTATTGCACAAGCCAAAGGAGTGTCGGTCTTACAGCCAATATTGCTTGCCATGCTGGCTGTGGCTGTGGGAATTTGGGGGACTTTATTCTGGCTTCCACAGCTAGAGACGTCCCACCAAGTCTGAGATTGACCCTCATCCTGCTCTGCCATGCCCGGGATCTCTATGACAAGTACGGAGTAGCGCACATAGCCCTAGGGCGGTAGTCTGTCGCATCCCTAACATCACTACGATTTCGTAATATCTCTTCCTTGCTGTTGTATTGTCTTCTAGTATATTTGAGTATTTTTCATGGGAATTCTATCTGCAAGCAGCTACAGAGGCATGTTAAACAGACTTTTATTCACAGTCACGCAAACATGGTCAGTAGTATGGGGAGGGTATGATGAAGTTGGAGAAAAAAGGAACAAAGGGGGGAGAAAGAGCGCAACTGCATGAAAGGGAAGAGAATGTGGAAAGGAAGCCTAAGGCGCCCCAGAAGCAAAAGCTATGTGATGTTTACTCCGTACGCATTACGGGGTACATCTGCCAGCGCACGCATATCAGATGAGTGCCCTAGCTGGCTAATTAACCAAAGGGCGCCTGAAAGAACCAAACCGACCTGGGCCACTAGGCTCACTAACCAACAATACGGAGTAACTAGGCCCGCATACTTAAGTGGGTACCAGATTAGCCCGATCTTACGAACTATTCGGCATCGCCGATTGCTTATGGGTCCCTTCAGCTCTCTCCATCAGCTCCAACTATCCCTCTCTTGTGCGTTTATCCCTTTTGAAAGATGAAATTGAATTCCCACCCTTGGAGTGCGATGAGTACTTCCTGCTCCAAAGAGCATAAATTTCCCATTTTTGGAATTTCTCGCCAGCATCAAGGGGATTGGAGACAGTGGAACAAACCCGAAGCTAGAATGTGGGGCTTCATGCAGGTGAGACGCCTTGATGAAAAGAATCGAGACACAGCATCAATATGAGTGGCGCTCTTGCATATTTTACCCAATTGATCGGCAGTGAGAAATCAGCCTGCAGTCTTCAAGGAGTAAGGAATTGAAATTTGAGTGGTGAAATAAAAAAGAGCTTTAATCATTATGGAGTCCTCAACATTGTGCATGCAAGCTCGTACTAGCCTGGCCCCGTTCATCGGCTTAGAAGACTACATTATTACATATCATATCTGCAGCCTACCAAGCATCCTTAATAAAGTATTGCCTTTATTTAGAGAAAATCACCCTTTATGCGTTATCCCGAGGTGAAAATTTCGTCCTACTCTGTGGACCTAATCGATCTCGCCCATGGCCGCCAAAGAAGTCAACGAGGCCAATGATGCCAACGAGTCCGATGAGGGCTATGGGGGCAACGTGCCAGTTCGGTGGGATGGTGCATTGCAAGGCGCTCGATTATATCTTGCGATAGTAGGGTAAGTGACCCGGCACGCTGATTTTGAATGCCAAATCAAGGCTTACATTCTGCTAGCATCGCTTTACCCCTGTTCCTTACCGGCATTGAAGCAACGATTGTAAGCACCTCGCTGGTGACCATCACCGATGATCTCCAGAGCGCCGGTCAGAGCAGTTGGGTTATCACATCATATCTCCTCACTTATACAGGTCCTCTCTCTCGCCGAACCCCAATCAGACCAAGCTGACGTATGTTTCTCTAGGGTTCCTCATCGTCTGGGCAAGCTTCAGCAACATCTTTGGAGTCAAGCCAAGTCTTCTCACTGCTGTAACGATCTTCATTGCTTTCTCTGGTGGTTGTGCTGGAGCGCAAAGTATCAGCCAATTGTAAGTCAACCCTCTTTTCTAGGTGCGATGCAAACAAGACTAACAGGAGGCTGAATGCAGGATCATTTGTCGTGCTTTCCAAGGCCTTGGTGGTGCTGGTATCTACAGTCTGTCATTATTTTCCATCCTTCGACTTCTTCCCTATGAGCAATACGACAAAGCTAGCTCCCTCGCCGGTGGGATTCTCTCGATAGGTCTTGTCATCGGCCCTTTGCTGGGAGGCGCTATTTCCAATGACGGAAAATGGCGCTGGGTCTTCTTGTTGAAGTGAGTAGATTCAAGCTTGCGGGTATCACATCTAACAAGAACAGCGTTCCTGCAGCAGCCGTTGGCGGGATCTTGATTTTCTTCATTCTTCCGGCTCATTTTCCCAATGCTGCACCAGAAGCAAATAGCCAATCGACATCAACGCCAGTTTGGGCCAAGGTGAAGGCAGCTATTCACCAGGTGGATTTCCTGGGAGCCTTCCTCGTCTTGACTGCTTGTTCATTCATCATTGCTGCTCTTCAAGAGGGTAATTATGAATATTCGTGGGGCTCGGGACTCGTCGTCAGTTTCCTTGTGATATCCGGCATCTCTTGGATCCTGTTTGTCGGCTGGGAGTGGCTCATATGCCGACGTGATCTAAAGATGAGCCCAATGTTCCCATGGAGGCTAACGCAAAATCGACTCTTCATGGGGATAGCACTGTTCGTTCTCCCGCCAAATAAGCGTGACCCTTGATCTCGGCTAATGTTGAATTGATGTTTAGTGGGTTCTTCACTACCGGTGTGCCATTGACTGTTTGCGTGATTGAGATCCCGCAAAGGTTCCAGATCGTCAACGGAAGCTCCCCAGTTGGCGCAGGCGTCAAATTGTTATCCTTCGCGCTGAGCTGCCTGGTCGGCATTATATCTTGCTCTGTTTTGGCAGGACGGTTGAAGATTCCCTTCGCTTATATTGCAGTGATCGGTCTTGTGTTTCAAGTGGTCGGTCTTTTCCTTTTCTCGGAGATCGAGCCCATAGTAGAGCTTTGGCCAGGTCAGTTTGGATACTTGGTTTTGGCTGGGCTGGGATGCGGGCTTGGCGTATCCGCATTCTACATGGCCACATCACTCGTGGTAGACATTGAAGATCAATCCATTGCGCTGGGTATAGGTATACAGCTCCGTATGCTGGGCGGCGTTCTTGGAATCGCGACTTCGAGTGCAATCCTCTTCCATTACATCCAAAGTCGTTTGTCATCCACGCTGTCGCCAGGTGAAATGGCTGCCCTACTGAAGACCACTGAAGCAATCAAGACTTTCTCGCCGGAGAATCAACTCCATGTTCGTGAGGTTTATGCGATTGCATACAATATGGAGATGAAGATGTGTGGTGCCTTTGCGGCAGCTCAGGCTTTGGCCGTGGCAATGATCTGGAAAAGAGACAATGTGCGATTTTCAAAGAGCTGAGCTTCTCATCAACCTTGGAATCATTTCCAAGACGAATTTATATCTGGCGATTCTCCAGCCTCGGGGCTGATTTGATTGCTCCCGAATCCCGAGGTCTGAGGTCTAGTTCAGGTGGTCCCTTGCAATCATGGGTCGGTATTAAAGAGCGAACAATTGATCCTGATCAACTGGCTCTCCTTCAATGGCGATCAATTCCAATTCCAAGGCTCTGGCCTGCTATTTCTGAGGTATGCGTGGAGTGTCTCATCATCTCTCATCCATTTTCTTCAAGCTTAGCATGGATAGGTGCGTATAAGTAATACATGAGTTTGGTAAATTTTCAGAAGGGCCAGAAGTCGATTGGCAGGCACACGATTGCTTAAGCACTGGGTATTTTTGTAACAGCCTGATGGCCTTAGACTGGCCCAAAGAGACCATCTGCTTTGTTTCTTTAGCCCGATGGGAGACTTGCTGTGACCAATAAAGGAGCGAATCGGGATAAGGATTGGAGATTTGAGATTCAAGGATCAAAGCCCAATGCCGAAAGACTCCATGCTCTGATCGTGGGGATCACCGATATGTACAATGAGCTTGCCCCTCGTGCGTCCCGATCGGAGCTTCTCGAATGCTTTGGGTGTTTCATGGAACTCAAAGACGCTGTCGATTTGGACTTGGATTTTGCCCTGGGACAGCCATTCCCCAAGCTGAGCCAGTTGCTTTAGGTCCACCTTGGTCATCACGACCACGTATTTTCTCTTTCCACCTCCAAGGAAAGATGGCCACCCCAATCGTCCGAGAAACATGGTCAGATTCGGTGCACCAACCTGCACAAAGTCTCCATCCTCCTTGAGGAAATGATGACATTGGTAGTACAACTTAGAAGGCAGACCGACATTATCAACTATGCAGTCGAATATCACTTTCCGATCTTGAAGCTTCTTGATAAGATCATTCTGCGCTGTATAGTCGATGACTTCGTCTGCTCCCATGCGCAAGCATAGCTCAATGTTTCGAGTTGAGCTAATCGTTGTGACATGGCATCCAAGCTGTTTCGCAATCTGAACGGCAAACACGCCGCAGCCACCTGAAGCCCCATTGATGAGGACCTTGTCTCCGGCTTTAACATGACCATCCAAACTTTGGTATGCAGTTAATCCAGCGAGTGTAATAGCAGCAGCATGATCTACCGAGACGCCTTCAGGCACCACTGCGATCTTGTCCGCTCCTATAGTGAGATACTCTGCTAGCGAGCCGAACTGGGTCGGGAGTCCGGGGATGCCATGCACCAATTGATCCTCTTTGAGATGCTTGGCAAGAGGTCCTGTTGCGACCACACGGCCGCAAAAGTCCAGACCCGGGGATGCAGGCTTCTTTACGAGCATACGTGCTGGAAGCCCCATCTCGGGCAGCTTGTAATCCACTGGGTTCAGGGCTGCAGACAGGACTCGCACCAGAACCTCGTTGCCCTGTAGTGCAGGCGGCGCACGAGCAACCGGGTCGAAGGTCAGATTATTCTCGAGACCACCGGAAGTGCCAGAGTAGAGCCATGCTTGCATTGATTCGGGCTGGAACGAATTCATTTGCCCCGGGGGCATTGTTGGGTCCATGTTGATCAGTATGAATTGGCCCGAGGTCTGAGAAGTTATAAGTCCACAAGTTTTCTCGTCAGCAGGCGCGAGAACAAGAGCTAAGTTGCAAAAAGGATTACCAGCTTGGGATGGGTTGCTGCTGTTGTTAAGCTAGTGCATGAAAAGGTGCGATTTGCATGATTTGCATCACCGCCTGCGGCAGCAATGATATCATTGGTGTTACAAAGTTGCAAGGTAACTTGAGAGCCTCAATTGTTAAAACAGATTGTCATACGAAGTACATAAATTGTGAGTTTAAATTGGAACAATTGAACCGTAGCCACGCAGCATCGATGCGGTAGTTTCGACAGCTCCAACACTATGATTGGAGCGGGAGCGATGCGTCGCGTATTCAGCGCGTCATGGTCCCGCCCTTGACTTCTGCAACACTCAACCCCCAAAAAGCTGAATGTGTCGGCGGTCTTTAACTCGGCTGCAGGACCTGTCTTTCCAACATGTTCGTTCCTTGGAAGCTGGCCCGCAGGGTCGCCACACGTCACTGAGAATTACCGATCGATCGATACCCGTGGCGACCAGATCCGGCCGTCATGTAGCCCTCAATCTTCTATCCTTCGCATCCAAACCTGCTGTATATCCCTTGATCAAACTACCACGGTTTCCCTTTGCTTGTTATCGCGCATACTCGCAAGATCGCTCGCCAGCCTACGGTTCAGATTCAAGGTATCTGGACCCAGCAGACATGGCATCTGCAACCAATACTGGATCCGACGAGAAGCCAGCGGACATCCTCGAAGGGGATATACCGTCGGCGGATCGCCAGGCCTCCCTTGACCCGGAATCTGATGTGGAGGTTCCACTCGAGGCGGATGAATTGAAAGAAGCCCTTGGGCGACCGCCTCCAGTGCACAGCAGCTATCTACCACTTCCCTGGAAAGGACGGCTAGGATATGTGAGTTAAGCTGCAATAGGCCCAAGGTGGTACATTGTGACTTGAACTGACCTTTAATGTCTACAGGCTTGTTTGAACACCTACCTCCGATATTCCACACCTCCCGTCTTCTGCTCGCGTACTTGCCGTATTGCCTCAATCCTGGAGAACCGTCACCCTCTTCAAGATCCCGAGCAACCCGCTCACCCGACCAAGAACCGCCCCGACCGCGAACAACTTGCGGATGTTGCGCGAGGCCAAGCCTTTGTCGAGGGGCTCGGGTTGACGAACGCGCGTGATTTAGTTAAGATCATTCGCTGGAATGACAAATACGGGATCAAGTTCATGCGTCTCAGCAGTGAGATGTTCCCATTTGCCAGTCACAAAGAATACGGCTATAAATTGGCGCCCTTTGCGTCCGAGGTGCTAGCAGACACAGGCCGAGTGGTGGCTGAACTAGGACACCGAGTGTCTGTCCACCCTGGGCAATTCACCCAGTTGGGGTCACCAAGAAAAGAAGTCATAGAGAGCTCTTACCGCGATCTCGAATATCATTCAGAGTTGCTCCAATTGCTCAAGCTGCCTCCTCAGCAAGACCGGGACGCGGTCATGATCCTCCACATGGGTGGAGTCTTTGGTGACAAGGCAGCAACCCTTGACCGGTTCAGAGAAAATTATGCTTTGCTTTCAGAGGATATCAAGAAGCGATTGGTTCTGGAAAACGATGATGTGAGCTGGTCTGTTCATGACCTCCTGCCTATCTGCGAGGAACTCAATATCCCTCTCGTTCTCGACTATCACCACCACAACATAATTTTTGACGCCAATGAGGTCCGGGAAGGCACAGAGGACATCATTCCTTTGTATGAGCGCATTAAAGCAACCTGGTCTCGGAAGAACATTACGCAAAAGATGCATTACTCTGAACAAACGGCCGCTGCTATTACCCCGCGGCAACGGCGCAAGCATAGTGATCGTGTCGCAACTCTGCCTCCATGTGATCCTACTATGGACTTGATGATTGAGGCCAAGGATAAGGAGCAAGCTGTGTTTGAGTTGATGCGAACCTTCAAATTGCCCGGTCACAGTCTTGCCAACGACCTCCTGCCATACATACGCACTGACGAAAACCAACCATTCAAACCACCCAAGAAGTCCAAGAAGAAGGGAGGCTTTGTCGACCTTGAAGGTACAATACCCCCTCCACGTATCATACCCGACGAAGAAGTTGGCATGGGCGGTCCCGATGGCAGAGTCTACTGGCCTCGGGGAATGGAGGAATGGCTACGACCGGCAAAGAGGGTGGTGAAACCAAAGGCCACCCCGAGTCCCAAAAAGACAACCCCTAAGAAGGTGAAAACCGAGTGTGTTGCCGATGATGTCCCTTTAGACTCCACGGTCAAGAGAGAGACACCGGTGAAGAAGGCAGTGAAGAGCACCAAACGTACGCCTTCTGCTAGCAATTCTCGCAGCAAACGAAAGGCCTCGGAGATCGAGTCCACCCCTGAGCCAGATGAGGCTGAAGAGCAAATAAATGCTTCAACTCCGGCCTCACCTTCTCGGAGAAGGTCTCGTGCCAAGAAAGTGAACTACATCGAAGACAGTGCGTGAGTCGCTGCTTGGTGTCACCTTGTATACTATTTATTGTACACTAAGAACAAATGATTCCCCCGCCATTCTCTCTAGTTATTGAATATGGTAAATATTGTCTTTGTAATCCAGGTGATGTGAAAATTGCAGAAACAGGGAGAATTGTGCAAAATTTCTCCGAACCAAAGCAAGGTTTGTGTACAGAGTGTTTTAGTAACTATCCTGTCAGTCCCACCTTTTGGGGCCGGTTTGACAGGGAATATGCCCCTTTTTATCGCTGTGGCCGCTAGAGCGGACCGTTACGTCAGGGCAATGCGGAACGCGGTGAGCACCCGAATAATCATCGTCATGGGCGATCTCTTTCCCCGCAGGTGATCCTTCAACTTGCATTCCGCTTTACATTTGAATTACTATTACCTCTTCATATCTGAACTTGGCTGCCCCTCGAGACCCTGGCGCCTAAATTCCATCTCCGCTGGCCCACCTTCCGGTCGAGGTCCCTCCTCTTCAGGCGCTCGCCTACCCTTTTCCCCTTCCCCCGCGAGCCTCGACCTGGCAAATTCTCTCGAATATTCCGTCTTCTGATCGGCCCGCTCGCAACTAGACGAGCTCATTCCCGTCTTTGGGGTATCCGGCACGAGACCCTCCCCGCGCTCCGGCACCGGGCCCAATCGCGGATCTACCGAGCGCTCGTCCAGCGACAGGCGCGACTCGCTGCGCGCGATAAGAGACTTGGAAGTCGTCTTCTCGCCTCCTTGATAGGAAAAAGGCGACGCTCAAAGACGCAGAATATTTCTGCTGGATCCGGCAATCTGACAGGCACATACCCGAAGTCGACCCGAGAGCCCCGCCGCGAACCGAACGAGTCAATGGCTCAGTCCGGACTTTCTTCGACATGGGGACCAGGCAGCGGTGATGGTGCCGCTGCGCCTGGAAGCCGCCGCAAGAAGGTATATGAATATTTCAAAGCAGCGAACGAGCTGCGCCAGTCCTACACTTCCCAATGGGCTGGTCAGAGGAATGAACACGATGAAGATTACTACAACACCCCCGGTGCCTTCCCAGATATCGAAATCGCACGATCAGGCGATGAAGAAATGGTGCTTTTCCCAAGCTATGCTAGAAAATTAACCAAGAACAAAAAGACCGACACTCCCCGTTCCCGACGTGATTCGTGGTCTGAGACTATCGATGAATATCGCGGCGCCGCTGCTGCCGAAGAGGACGACGCTTCAGCACCTGCTTGGGATGAGACAGAAACCGAAGATTCGGTTGTGGCCGTTGACGTGCGTGGCTGGATCTACGCTCCTGGGCGGGGACCGATGAGCCGAAAGCACAGATTGATGATCGCTTTGGCAAGGAAACTCAGCGGAATCCCTGCGCCTACTGGTTCTCCGAACGATGACTCTGACGACAAGTTGTCGGGCAAGGGAGACGACGAATACGTTGATAAGCAGATGCAGACGCTCGTCGAATCAGCCGTCAAGGACGCAGACCCCGCCTGGAAGAGCTCAAACGTGGATCGTTCACAACAGCCCGCGGCTCCGTTGAGCAAGGATGAAATATCCATGGCGAATGCACACCTGATGGAAAGACTTCGACCATTTTTGACCAATCCTGTCGCCAGCATGCCGGTCACCGTGTTCTTTTTCGACGAAAATGAGAGCAAGTCCAGAAATATCACAACGGATGAGTCTGGCCATTTCTCACTTCGCGCTGCACTGCCATTTGTGCCCACTCATATCCGAGTTTTGGCATCGGAGGACCTGTCTGCTGCTAGACCAATTCAGATCATCGAGCCCACGGGAATCAGTCTGATCAGTGACATCGATGACACGGTCAAGCACTCTGCCATTGCTGGTGGCGCCAAGGAAATGTTCCGCAACACTTTCATCCGTGAATTAGATGAACTCAAGGTCGAAGGAGTCAGCGACTGGTACGGGAGTTTGGCCGAGCAAGGTGTGCAGATCCATTATGTGTCAAATGCACCCTGGCAACTGTACCCTCTTCTCGAACGCTATTTCAAAAAGGTTGGCTTGCCCCCTGGATCTTTCCATCTCAAGCAATATTCAGGCATGCTTCAAGGTATCTTTGAGCCCACAGCCGAAAGAAAGCGAGGCGCGCTGGAGCAAATTCTGCGAGACTTCCCCGAACGCAAATTTATCTTGGTCGGCGATAGTGGTGAAGCTGATTTAGAGGTCTACACCGAGATTGTGCTCGCAAACCCTGGCCGGATCCTGGGAATCTTCATTCGCGACGTCACGACTCCGCACACGAAGCCTTTCTTCGACAAATCTGTCAGTCAATTCAATCAGTCCAATCGCAGTCGCAGTTCACCAGATATCAAAGACCGTTCAGATGCGATGTCCAACAGGCCGAAGCTGCCACCTCGAAGCGGCACAACTGTTTCGCCCCCAGTGCGCGCAGAGCCGGACCCGCAGGACCTTGAACTAGAAGACTTGATTGACCTGACCGATCTTATCATTGACGATAAGCCACCTCCGTCTGGACTGACACACCCGACCACACCACGCCCACCGCCAGTGAAGCCTATCAAGCCATCCGCCTTGCGTATGGTCTCTACCCCAGCTGACCTGGCTGCTAAGGCCTCGAAACCCTCTTCTCTGCGCCAAGTCGCCACGGCCTCTGACCCAGCGGACAGTGATTCCAAACCTCCCGCACAGGAACCCCCCAAACGCAAAGCTGTACCCCCTGTGCCCCCCAAGCGGGGTTCCGGGCCCAAGGCCGAGTCGGACCCCTCACCGGGAATATCTAGAAGCAGCACCGCGGCATCAGGGAACGACATCCCGTCCTCGTGGCTGAAAGGCCTCGACAACGACAACAGCCAAACACAAGCTGCTCGTGCCAAGCCACCACCACCTCGTCCCCCACCCCGTCGGACAAACACTGGGTCATCAATTGCCAGTGTTGACCAGAGTCCATCCGCCACGCCAAGTGGCTCGAATACTCCTTCTCCCGCCCCTGCGCCTGCAAGCGGAATTCAGTCATACCCTGCTGCAGCTGCTCAAGCCGCCTATCAAGGCTTCCAGTATGCAAGTGATCGTCTCAACTTTTCTGGATCTCCCGTCGGTGGAACCAGGCAAGGATCCAACGACTCTGGAGTACCGCCTGCGCCGCTACCTAACAAGCGGGAAGAGCTCTGGCGTCGTCGCTGGGAGCGTGCCACAGAGGTTTTAGAACAACACGGAGTTGTACTGGGCAGCTGGCGGGTTGGTAGCGACGCAGAGCCTGTTTGTGAGTGGTTAATCGAGGAGGCGATGGAGGATATGAAGTCGAATCGGACGAAGGGCGAGCAGTGATGTTTTTAAAAAAATACATACTATGTCATGTTTAGATGTATACTCAACTCCATTTTACGATTTGCTTTTGTCTTGGGTTTCTTTTCCATGCCTTGGAACAGTAGCGAATTAATTGAGCACACAGTCTTTTGCGATATCAACAGCTCGGGCTTACTACAGAATACTCTTAATTAGTTGCTCGCTCGTTTTGTGTGAATAAGCAGCAAGATCGGCATCATCAATGTCCCAAGTACAATAGTATGCAAGCGGACATGATGCATGTAGCCCTCGGTAATCGCGGGTGTGATGGACCGACCCCCTTGAAGCCGCACGGTACACACCGACATTTGCCCAGGTGCTGACTCCGTCTTTGATGCAGCGCAGTTTTATTTGATATAATCATCAATATCAGTTCTGTCAGTGTATGTTCTAGATGTTGAGGATATTAACTCCGTGCCTTGAAGTATAGCCGTTGTAGATCATGTGGTCCGCGGGCCCACGGGGTGGGTCTCTCTCAACGTGGAAGTTTTCACCATCTACACGCTTCTCATTGGCGAGGAATGGCTCCAATCTGCCGGATCACGCATACCTTTCCAATTCCAGACATAGCGTCCGAGGATGCATAACAAGCCCAGGAATGAGGTTGCAGTGAAACATGCTGACATCACCTCGGGCCTCGGCTGAATTTGAATCAGAAGCGGCGTGATTGGAGCTTGTAGGTCTGGGGTATTTACTGTGCCCCTCCCCGTTTCTGATCTGTATCTTTCCGAAAAATGTCTTCTGAAATCCTTACACGTGCGGAAGTTGCTAAACACAACACCGAGGAGTCCCTCTGGTGCATTATTGATCACCAAGTCTATGATTTGACGGACTTTGTGGACGCCCACCCCGGTGGCAGCGTGGTCCTGGCTCAGGTTGCCGGCCAGGATGCAACTACCGATTTTTACAACTTGCATCGCCAGGAAGTTCTGGAGAAGTACCGAGATCAGCTCTGCATCGGTACTATCGAAGGCGAAAAGTCCGAGGTCATCATCCCGACGCCTGGTGCTTTAAGCCCCGTGCCCTATGCCGAACCACTATGGCTACGTCCTGAATTTAAGTCGCCTTATTATAAAGAGACTCATCGACGTCTCCAGAAAGCAGTCCGAGAGTTCACAGACAAGTATGTCACGCCCGAAGCCCAAGAGAAGGAACGAGATGGCACCTACATCAGTCAGGAGCTTATCAACCGGATGGCCGAGACAAACGTCCTAGCCATGCGACTTGGTCCCGGAAAACATCTCCACAACCGAAGTCTGCTTGGTGGGGTCGTCGACGGAAAGGAATTTGACTACCTTCACGACATGATTGTGACGCAAGAGCTGGTTCGGGCAAACGCCCGAGGCTTCCAGGATGGCAATATGGCTGGTATGGCCATCAGTTTGACCGCCGTTCAACAATGGTTGCGAGACCCCGTTCTAAAAGAGCGGATCAATGGCGAGGTTTTGTCTGGTCAGAAGAAGATGTGTCTAGCAATTACCGAGGCATTTGCTGGTAGTGACGTTGCTGGGTTGAAGACAACTGCTGTCAAGACCCCAGATGGCAAGCATTACATTGTCAACGGAACCAAGTAAGTTTTGACCATCCGATCTCAGCGGGATCTGTAGCGAGAGGCCATTCATTAACATTGAACAGGAAATGGATTACAAACGGCATGTTCGCCGATTATTTTGTAACCGGATGTCGTACTGAGAAGGGCTTCTCTGTGCTCCTGATTCCCCGGGGTGAAGGTGTTGAGACCAAACCTATCAAGACTTCATACTCGACTGCTGCCGCTACTGCCTTCGTGCAGTACGAGAATGTCAAGGTCCCCGTCGAGAATCTTCTTGGCGAAGAACACAAAGGTTTCATCGTTATCATGAGCAATTTCAACCACGAGCGATTTATGATGGTGGCCGCAGTGGTTCGAATGTCTATGACGGTAGTGGAAGAGACCATGAAATGGTGCAACCAGCGTATTGTCTTCGACAAGAAATTAATTGAGCAACCTGTCATCCGTCAAAAGTGAGTGATTGCGAGAATTCGAATGGCGTAATTTGATCTAACGAATTGCAGGCTTGCCCGCATGATCTCTCTAACGGAATCTAACCAGGCCTGGCTTGAGTCCATTGCTTATCAGATGTGCAACATGAGCTATGCCGAACAAGCGAAGCATCTGGGTGGGCCAATCGGATTACTCAAGTCGCACTGTACTCAAGCTGCGGGTGAGATTGCCAGCCATGCCACGAACATCTTTGGTGGTCGTGGTATCACTCAGTCTGGAATGGGAAAGATCATCGAAATGTTCCACCGCACGTACAAGTTCGATGCCATTTTAGGTGGAACCGAGGAGATTTTGGCGGATTTGGGAGTCCGGCAAGCGATGAAGAATTTCCCGAAGGCAATGCTCTAGAGATTGAGTTTTTACATCATGATAGTCGTGTACATTAAGCCAATGAAGCGTTCAGTACTGCGCAATTTTGTATGTGTTTTGTATGCAGCTTTGTAGACAGAATACCTCGCTGGTGCTCCGTACTCCGTACTTTCTACGTGTATAAACCTTGGATGGTCTGCAGCATGTTGGCCCACTTTACTGGGAGCTCGGGCCATTGATTAGTCATGTTTTTCAGCCTTAGAGGCTTGGCTCACGTGGTGAGGTGTGAGGTCATCAAGAGTGAGCCTCATATCTTATGCTTTTTTATAACTTCGCTTTATCATCAACTCAGTCTTCAAATTATCACACAATGACCGGCTCAGACATATTCGCCCAGGATAATATCTTGGATCTTGCTGTCAAAGCTATCAAGCCCGGCCAGCCAAGCCTCAGGGCACCACATGAAGCGGTGGCACTGATCGGCCATGCCTGCTTGGCAGCGCTGGATTTCCGCTTGGTTGGCCTCGGTGAAGACCACAAATTAGGTATTTGGTCTCGCTCAGTCGTTCCTCATACCCGTGCTGACATCTCCAAAGAATCATCTGCAGATCAATCTTCTCTCCCCGCAGAATGGAACACTAATGACACGATCGCCTTTCGATATGCACATGCGAATTCTGAGACACAGTATCTGCTCAAAGTGAGTCGCTTGGGGGGAAATGCAGTCGTCTTCGCACTCGCGCTGGGCGATGACCGCACCAGCTCCTTCGATGTCCCTACCAAGGACTACATCTCAGCCTCCGCCCTCCCTCTGTCCTCTGAAGACATCAGTACCTCTTTACGGGATGTGTTCACCTCGCCTACCCGGCTGGGCGACTTGATTAGTCTCTTCAAAATCAACGTGATTCAAAAGATTGTGTCCGGTTTGCAGCAAGAAGATTACGAGGGCACAAATCAACCACCCAGGGAATCACCAGCAGAAAGCAGACAGCGAGCTGCGCTACGTGACGACTCCGTTCCTCAGCCTGCCCGTCCGCGTCCGTTCGATGACCCTTTGGCGGCAGCGCCCCGCCGCTCGAAACCACCAGTAGATTTTGCCCCTCCCGGGTTTGAAGATGAGCATCAAGTGTACAGCGCCCCGCGGAGATATTTGGGAGGATTGGGTGGCGGCTCAGGCGGGCTGGGAGCAGGGCCAGCAGGTCTTGGAGATGGACCATCGGGATTGGGAGATCCCTTAAGCATCGGTTCACAAGATCTCTACCCCCAAGGTCTTTCTCCCCATGACCCGTTCAACGGACGTATGGGTGGTTATGGACCAGGTAGTGGGGGTATGCATCCTACCTTTGATGACCCCCTATTTGGTGGACAGGGAACCGGTAGTGGTAGACACGATCCCCGAGCACCTCCTGGAGCACGCTACGATCCTCCTGGACCTGGTGAGCCACCGTTCGGTCGCAACCGGGGACCTTATGGTAACAATGGACGAGGTGGGGGAGGCTTTGGAGGCTTCGGTGGTGGGTTTGGCGGGGACATCATCTAACGAGTCATGACCAAAAGTCGACCATAGCTGCGCTCTGCTATTCTCAACTCAATAAATGTCATCAAGCCGTAGTTCACTTCAGCTTAATGAGTATTTTCCTTCATGTACGATGTCGTAGGTTGGGGAAATTGCGTACGGGGCAGTAAAGCGGTGTGGCTGAATTGTGAAGTGTGGCGCATCTTGCTTTCACCACTCTCAACTTGACCTTCCCGAACTCCCATCTCTTCTCCCTTTCTCGCGTTCCCAAGTCCATCCCCTTATCCCTTGAATCGATCTTGGGAGTTTGTCTTTTAATTGAATTGTCATCTGGAGTGTAATTCTCCATAATTTTCGAACCCCCACGACAGCTGCGCCCATCCACGAATTCCGTTGTTTTCTCACGAGACCGCCCCTCCCCCAGCTGGCCCCTCCTTTTCAGCCAGCTGAGCATACCGACGCAATGGACAACAACATGGAAATCGATACTGCGCGGTCCCCCGAGCCACACCGTTTGTCGCCCGCGAGCGACCCGGGCTCCATACCGACTCTGGACGGGTGGATCGAGAGTTTGATGACTTGCAAGCAATTAGCGGAGGAGGACGTGCGACGGCTGTGCGATCGGGTGGGTTTCATGATTTGGAAGTGAGCTCTGAATGAATGCAAATTGATCATTTGTGTGTTTTATAGGCAAGAGAGGTTCTGCAGGAGGAGTCCAATGTGCAGCCAGTGGTATGTTGTTCCTCGGTCGGGATGTTGTCGTGCCTACGCAGCTCACTTACATCCATGACAGAAATGCCCAGTGACAGTCTGCGGTGATATACACGGACAGTTCCACGACCTAATGGAGCTGTTCCGCATTGGCGGTCCCAACCCGGACACAAACTATCTCTTTATGGGTGAGTGGCGTCGGTCGGATGAAGTCGTTGTGGGGTAAATGCCTAATTTTTTATTTCTCATGCAGGTGACTACGTCGATCGTGGTTACTATTCCGTGGAGACCGTGACCCTCCTTGTCTCCTTGAAGATCCGTTACCCCCAGCGTATTACCATCCTTCGTGGAAACCACGAGTCCCGACAGATCACACAGGTCTACGGCTTCTATGACGAATGTCTCCGCAAATATGGCAACGCCAACGTGTGGAAATACTTCACCGACCTCTTTGATTACCTTCCCCTCACTGCTCTCATCGAAAACCAGATCTTCTGTCTTCACGGTGGACTGAGTCCGTCTATCGACACCCTTGACAACATCCGATCGCTCGATCGTATTCAAGAAGTGCCCCACGAGGGTCCCATGTGTGACTTGCTCTGGAGTGATCCCGATGACCGTTGCGGATGGGGAATCTCTCCCCCGCGGTGCTGGATACACATTCGGCCAGGATATCTCGGAAGCCTTCAACCACAACAACGGCTTGACTCTGGTGGCACGTGCCCATCAATTGGTGATGGAAGGATATAACTGGTCGCAGGATCGCAACGTGGTTACCATCTTCTCAGGTATGATTCTTTTCGCCGGGGTTGACAAAGCCACCCGACTAACCCGACTACAGCCCCTAATTACTGTTACCGCTGCGGCAACCAAGCCGCAATTATGGAGATCGACGAGCATTTGAAATACACATTGTTCGTATCCCTGCGAATAATTGCTTTCGTCACATTACTAACACATCCGGCAGCCTACAATTCGACCCTTGCCCCCGAGCGGGAGAACCTATGGTATCGAGGCGCACACCCGACTATTTCCTGTGATAGATTTCTTCTTCGTCCTTCGAGAGGCAATTGGACTGGCGAAGAATGGGGGTTGCATTCGAACAGGGCTCTTCCCTACTTAATTCTGTATGGTTCAATGCCAGGCCACTTGTTGATACCAATCATGAAAATAAAAGACCATTTGCAAGATTCCACTCAACTGTAGAGCTTACAAAGGTTTTATCAAGGAATGATCCACGATTGTTGCTTTTGCGCGGTACCGCCCAACCGACTATGCGCATAAAAGGGCACCATGACGTTCGTCGAGCTTGATGAGCTCAACCAAAAATCCCCCTCCATCTTCAGATTCTCTGCGAGCGAGCCTGGTACCGCCCAGGCTTCGCCTATGAATTGGAGCCTATAACTTAGGACAGTCAACGCCCCGGCCCTGGGGAGACTCAGAGAGAAAATACTCCTCGAGCAAATAAAAACCACAATCGAGCCACAGAAAGACACACAATTAAGGATTCCCAGGCTGGCCAAATGCTTGTCAAGCGCACTTACCTTTAAAAAGTAGTGTGGATGGAGTACGAAGATACCAGCTTTCGATTCAAGGTATCGTCGCTCACAACCAAGTACAACCTTATGAATAGAAGTCATACATGCTAACATTGCGCCAGCCTGGCTTCCTCATAGTGAACCTCAAATATTTTGGTAACAACTTTCTGGACTCGAAACTTCCTTGGGCACAAGGGAAATAACACATCTCCGGGTTGTGGATGGTCATTTGTCGTGACCCTACGAGCATCTTTACGAAATGGGCCACACAGCCGCGGAACCGGTGACTTTTGTGCAATACATCCATAGACTTTGGAAAGGATCAAGGTTTTTTGCATTATGATATACATTATTTTTCCATTTCGTAATTCCGATAACCAATGACTACCGCAGCCCATAGAACAGCGAGTGGTTCTTTCATATTTTCGTGGAGTCCAATTCAGGAGAGAGGCTGAACTTTCGGCTCTCAAGCTCTCGCGGCTCTTGGTCCCGGTGTGGGCTCTCGAAGACACCCCTTTGTGTGCTCTTCTCGCAATCCTCGGAGTCCCTGTAATGGCGCACTTTGGAGCTTCCATTCGGAACCCAAAATCGTTGATCGACACGCGCGACGAAGAAGATGGCCACAACCATGATATCGATCAAGAAATCAAACACATAAAAGCAAGCTTTGCTATGGTACCATGCAGGGTCTGTGACCAGTCGAGGTGGCATCCAGGAGGTAGCAGCACGGAAAGAAGCGCCTAAGCAGAGGAGCACAGCAACAAGTCCAACAATGATCACCTTGGCGATCCAACTGCCTGAGCCAACTTGTTCTATTTGCTTTCTGTTTGAGGACAGAAGCACAGCAAAGAGCATGGGAATGGGCAGGAACGAGATAATCGCAAAGTATGTCTGACCATACAATTGGATGTCACGATCGATCCGAAGTGTGTTCGTGTTCAGAGTATACATACTCTGAATCACACATGTTATGACCATAATGATAGTGACCACAACAAGACCATAGAGGATCTTGAAAGCCCACGAGATAGCACGAGACCAGCCCAGGACAGGATAGACGGCGCGGAACATGCGCTGGGCGTAGAGCAAGTTCAAGATGAAAAGTAACAGAACACCAGCGGCAACGAAGATCTGAGCCGCAATAGCAAGACTTATATTCGATGGATGGCAAGCCCAAGCGATCCGGATAGCATTAGCGACGATTCGCGACATGCAGAAACCGAATGTCATGGCTGATGGGATGAATTTGTGCCCTCGTGCAAGGTTACGGCGGAATAGAGTCATGTGGCAGACAGCGCCTGCCAGGAACAGTGCGAGGAAGACGGCGCATATTGGTACATCGAGTGAAATGGTTGGACGAAGGCCCATTCCCGCCGTTTTGGGCATATAGGGACCTCCCATTGTTTGTGAGGTTGTTGAACTGGCTTGTTCAAAGGCTCTCGGGTGTTGATAGCGTTTAAGGTATAATTATTCGATAGAACCCTGGAGGACGAAGGGTACAACGAGATGTCGAATTTCGAGTTTGTTGAAAAGCTAGACATGATGAACAAGTCCGAACTATATATTAGTAGCAAACTGATACCTGAAAATAAACTCTGACCTCCTAAAACCGAGCTAGGCTATCAGGACCCGGGATCAACAGGGCGGACCTTACATATCGGTGCCAATTTCTTGCGATTGCACCGTGTTTAAGAACAATAATGGCCAAGTAGGAAGTTTGGCGGCTGAATCGCGCTTCGTCGGGCCCCGTCGCGCCAGGTCGGAGGCCGAAACGCCGACCACCGATGGGATCGACACTGGCATCCCTGGACTTTTTGAGCCCTTAAATGCCCATTTGACGTGCACGTCGGCTGAATTGGCAAATATTTGATTCAGAGATGATTTTTGCTGAACACAATTAGAATTTTAATATGGCCTGGTGGATCAAGGGTGTTCTTGCCCAGAAGCCAACATAGCCTGTCAAGTTGACTGGCCACTCCACGTATTCCAAAGGTTCTTGATGAGCTCAATGAATACATATTGCGAAGTGGTGCAACTTTCCCCATGTAACCTTTGAGTCAAGGTACCAATCAAAAGTGGTGCCTGGAAGAACTGCAGAAGCCAAATCGTACTGCAATCTGACTGCGCTTCGGTACATAGCCGCGATGTACTCCGTATGAAGCGCCGGTTATGGAATGCGGGGTTCGCCCACTCACCAGAGCTCGTTGAATCTGCAGTGATCGAGATTTAACTATGAACGCCAAAGCGATAGTATCCTGGGAGCCAGTCCAACCTCTGTCACCGAACTGGTCCATCGAGGAGGTTCAGGTAAACCCTCCAGGCGATGACGAGGTAACGGTGCAGATACACGCCTCAGGAATCTGCCATACCGACGTGGCTCTGTCAGCAGTGCCCAAGGGAGCACTTGGTATTGAATATCCCAAGGTCGTTGGACATGAAGGTAGCACTACACCGCGAAAGCGAGCTTGATCTCTCGCGACGCTCTTTGCTAAAAGCAACTTATACCTAGGTGCCGGTGTTGTCCTAGCAATTGGAAAGAACGTACAGTCGATCGATGTTGGAGACCCGGTTCTTCTTTCTTTCTATTCCTGCTCGGAGTGTGCACAATGCGAGACATCACACCCGGCATATTGCGATTCCTTTGCGCCCAAGAACTACATCGGTCAACAGGGACCAATGCACACGAGTACCGACAACAAGCCTATTTGGTCGCAATTCTTTGGACAATCTAGCTTTGCGCAGTATAGCACCGTCCACAAGTCAACAATTGTGAATGCGAAAACTCTTGTTCGTGACCCCAGTGAGCTTAAGCTTTTCGCCCCCTAGGATGCGGATTTCAGACTGGAATGGGAGCAATCAGAAATATCGCACAGGCAGGCCCAGATGATGTTGTCATGGTTTCAGGTCTAGGTGCAGTTGGCATGGGGTCACTCATAGTTAGTAGATGCCCTCCAGGAAGCAAACAGGTAATTGACGATGGACACAGACTGCAAAGATCACCAAATGCAAAATGATAATTGCGATTGATCGAGTTCAGAGTCGGCTTGACCTAGCCCAAGAAGTTGGCGCGACACATACCATCAATACCAGCCACTCGGATTTTTCTACATTGGACCACGCAGTCCGGAGTATTGTTGCTACTGGGGCTTCGATTGCAATTGAAACTACTGGCGTAGCATCAATCATCGAGCAAAGCATTCAGTCGACTTGTGCTCGAGGAAAAATCGTGTATATCGGCATTCCCCCGCCGAACTACTCTTTGAACATCAGTCTTTCGGAACACATGAACGTGAGGCTTGATCATTCTACTTGGCCTTCAGGGTTGCTAGTATTTTCTAACCGCAAGCGTTACTATAGAAAGGCAGATCTATCCTTGGATGCATCGAAGGAGACTGCAATCCACAAATCGTGAGTATAAAGCTGGCGAGCTCATTGAGATCCGAGGCTGACAGTAATTCCAGGCAATTCCCCAGATGATCCAATGGTACAGAGAAGGAAAATTTCCCCTGGAACGATTTGTGGAATACTTTGATGTGTGTGACCCAGGTGGAGAATTTCCCTCGAAAGTAAGTGCTGATGCAATTGATAGGCCACAGATTATCCCAAAGCTCTTGACAGCTTGAAACAAGGGAATGTCATCAAGCCGGTGCTAGTTTGGAACCACCAGGATCCAAAATTGACCTAGTGCCGCGGATCTCAGGGGCGATCCATTCGAGAAGTGCGAATATGGTTATATCATGTCATGAAAGTGATAAGAAGGAAGCATGGCAATTCTAGAAATCATGCGCAGTTCTATTTAGCTAAATGCCATATGCCCATTCTTCAGGTTAGACGTATGTTGCATCGCTTGAGGGTCTTATTGATCTGATGGGTTCATCTATACACGACAAGTATGCTCCCATATTCACTCCTAGGAAATGGATAGTCCTTTGGCTTTTCGGGCCATGATCTCCTCGATCTCCTCCGCATGCTTTGAGAAATTGTCCACCAAGCTATCCCACATTTTAGGCTCATGTTCATGTCTCTTCTCGCTGTTCCACGCATAGTCAGTGATAGTGAAAGGACGGCACGACTCAAACATGAACGCAATAGAGGCTTGGGATATCTGCGCTACTGGTGGTGCGCTATCGGTAGCTTCTTTGAATTCCTCATACGCGACGCCGTGTGGGACCACTGCGAAACGCAATTAGTTTGATATTGACGTGGACAAAGATTGATAAAAGAGACTTACTGCCACATTCAAATGAAACACTGCCGGGTTGGAAAGCATCCGAGCGGCCGCCATAGCCACCGTAAATTAAGCCCATCAGTTCGGAGGCGGCATTGCGGTGATAGTATGGAGGGCGGTATGTGTCTTGGCTGAAATTAGCGATAGTACCAAGTAAAGGGATTTGATGAACATACGAGAGGCAACATCCCAACGAGGGGAGAATGTAAGGAAATCAGCGAGCGGCGCTGTTAGATCGCGGGACTTGGCCGTGAGAACGCAGAAGATAGAGGGATCGATGTGGTCCACGGAGATAGAGCCTACGTTGACGAACTTGGTCAAGTCGTATTTATAGGGCACCTAGAACCGGTCAGCTGGAGAAAGGTAGTCCCGAGGGACAAGAACTCACATAATTTCCGTGCCATGCGACAACGTCATATGGACTGTGGTTTTGTGTACTCCTGAAGAACTTGCCTCCAAGCTTGTAGATAATTTCCCATGGTTCTTGCAAAATTTCATACCTAGCAACTGGGCTCAAGAAGTCGCGCGCATTTGCAAGGCCATTGGCGCCCAAGGGACCAAGCTCAGGAAGCTCAAACTGTGTGCCCCAGACCTCCAGAATGTACCCACGAGACGGACCATCAGGTAGATTCACACTGAAGCGAATTCCACGCTGGATGACGCATAGTTCACCAGGTTGAACAAGCATGGGCCCAAACTCGGTCTGGATATCGAGGGCGCCCTGCTGTGGAACAATGAGGAACTCGCCGTCCGAGTTGACGAAAGCCTTCTTTTTCATGCTGGTATTGGCAACGTAAACATGTGTAGCAAGACCCTCACGCAAAGTAGGATCTCCCGATCCAGCGACTGTCTTCAGTCCCGAAACAAAGTCAACATCCTCACCTTCGGGGATATCAAACGGGTGCCAGGCCAGCTGGGTAGGAGAGACGTGGATACGAGGGTTCAATGGCAGAAAGTTCGCCTCGGTATCTTTGTTATCTGGAAGTTCAGTCTGCCATAAATGTCAGCGCCGATGGCTGGTAGATCGAGGGGATGCATACGAAGCCCTGGTGAGCCACAGCGGGACGGGCGCGGTATAGCCACGCCTTCTTGTTGCAGTGTCGGGGAGCCACAAAAGCCGTAGCCGTCATCTGCTCGGCATAGAGCCCAAATCTCACATTACGGGGACTATTTTGGCCGTGTGGAATGGTGCCAGGGATTGCCTCGGATGCGAAGCTATTCCGAGTAGACTACATCAGCATGTTGAATAGCCAGATGAGTTGAAATTACATACGCATTTCCAAAGCCAGATTGGTACTGTGAGGGATTAGCGGTGAAAACAATATTTGCACGGAGGGTAAAATACCTCATAAGGATCATTACGTCGTGTGTTGAAAGAAGGGATAGTGCCATCTTTCTGGGTTTCAGCCCAGTGGAAGATTTTCTGATACTCCTGAGGATCAGACAACGAGTCGGTTGAAGGCATGATGTAATTGATTTCAGCTGAAGATAATAAATTTCACTTCGCATGAAAAGACGGGGAAACATGGCCCCTATATAGCTCCTCCAAGGTTGCGCGGCCCAAGTTGTGGGGTCAATATGGTCACCACATTCCAAGCATCATCGAGCCGCTTTCCATTTGAGCACAGCAGGATACGGATATATCGGATGATCCGTGCGAGTGGCCATCTACATGAGGTTCAGACGCCGGTGCCTTGCCTCAAAGAAGGACCTGCGTATACTTCGGCAAACATGGAGAGCTGAATATGCCGACCTCCCCGGATGATGGAGCTGATTCGTGCGTTGAATGGCGGGGAGAAGCATAAATACACCAGATGAAGACATGCAGTTGTTTCGATCAAAGAGACCCCACATGAGTCAGGTCTGAGTAACGGGCGCGTGGAGAAGCTAAGTTCTTGGGCGATCGATGTTTTGTGATCTACGGGAGTCGGCGGGAATCTCAACTGCCGAAGAGACGGCCAAGAGCGAAGTGCCAACTGGTCACATTTGCGTGGCTTTGTACCCTAATTACTTCATGAAATACACAGGAATATTATTTCACGATAATACTGTTATATTGCGAACTGAATTTGGCTATTCTCTAATTCAACAAATTTATGCGCCCTGCTGTCAAAGCGAAGACGATGGGCATGTAAGCACTGGGACCAGCTTCCTTCAGCACCTTGCAGTGTTCCACCCGTCTGCGCATAGCAAATTGCACCTCATTGAGTTCCTTGCATTCTCCCACCGGCCCAAAGGCAAATCTTCGGTCAGCAGACCACGGATTCTCGCCGTTAATGAACCGAATCCACCGCTGTCGCATTTCCTTTCCAACTGCACTAGCTGCTGGGTTGAAGGACAGGTCAACTCCATCGAAGAGCAACAGCAAATCGACTGCATGGTGCGCACGGCTAGATGGCTGCCACGGATTAGGTTGATCAACCACATATTTGAACACACGCTTATCAGCACTGCGTAGCTTGTCGGCGATCACCTCAACGGGAAGCGTATAGCGGACATCATTCACCAGGTCCAGAGCACCAAGTTTCGCTGCTGTGGGACGGTCGCCCACAACTTGGTATAGTTTTCGGAGTCGGGTGCCCCAACTCTTCTCATTGTCAAATGCGGCAGCGATGGTTTCTCCATCAAGCTGTTCAACGCCGTTACGCCAAATCACTGACTGCATCATGGGTCAAAAAGAGGGTCAATCGTTTGCTGGGCCAAGACTCAACACACCTCGTATTCGGCATCGCCAATCATTACTTCTTCAACCTGCTCTGGTCTAGTCTCCCATCCTTCTAGGTCAGGCTCTTCCTGAATCCACATGGTGTTCACGTTGCATTCCTTCAATGCTTGGATCAAAACAGGGACTGAAGATTGCCTCAAAGACGGCTGTCCAAGCTCTTGGACTTTCGACTCGAGCACTTTGATCAAACCATCGCCCTTCTCCACCGGTAAGGGTGAGGATAGATAGAGCGTTCCGGATGCCATCACCGCCCGCTTCACCGGAGGACCTGTAATGAGGTGCGCGTGGGTGTATATAGCACCCGCACTCTCACCCGAAAGAGTGATATTTTGCTTTGAACAGTCAGATTATCGCGCAGGAAGACTAGAGACATGTAATTCACTTACAGGATCACCTCCAAAACCTGCGATGTTTCGTCGCACCCACTCAATCCCCAGACGCTGATCCTTCAACGCCAAGTTCTTTTCCTTACCATCTCCAAAGCTGAAGATATTCAGACGATAGTTGATCGAAACAAAGATAACAGGCTTCGCCGCTTTGATAGAGTCCGCGACAATATTGGTTGGGTCGCAGATCTTGGAGGCGGCCGAACAGAATGTAACGATTTGAGAGCCGCCATGAATCCAGACAATCACGGGGAGTGGGCCTGCAGAGGTTGAGTTGGCAGGGCATGTGATCTCCAAATTCAAACATTCAAATTCGTCCTCAGCTTCTGGGGCGATTTCAAAATCCTCTGGAATGCGGAGTAGATGGCGGACATCCACATCTGCTTGGGGACATCTCGGACTAAGAAAGGTCAGATTGCGGCTTCAGAAGTCAGAAGTGAGCTATGTCTTACCCATATTTGGTGGCATCAACAATTCTGCCTTCGAAATTGTCGACTGGCTTCGCTTTTTCAAATCGCGCTGGAATACTGGCGTACTTGATACCCAGAAATTGATCGACCCCTTCATCCTGGGTACGTTTGCCCTTGAATGTGGCGTTGAGGCCTGCGTGCTGGATTTCTGCCATTATGAAGGGTGACTGAAAATGAGTACCTAGAAGTCAAGAGATCCAGAATGGCCAGCTAGTAGTGTCATAGTAGCAACGGCTAATGTCAGTCAGTCAACTCCCGAGCCCCAAATTGAAGGCATCTTGTGGGGCTGCGGGGATGTGGGGAGCCCCATGTGTGCTGAAGACGAACATAACGACAGTACTTGGCCTACTTACGCAAATAGAATCCTTGGTTCAAACCCAGTCAAACTACATTGCTAAAAACATTCATTTGCGCAAAACAAGAGTGAGAATAGTGGATCAAATCGCGCAGTCAAAATGGTACATTTACCGCTAACCTGGATAAAAGGTATTGGAACACCTAGGTCCTACATCTTTTGAGGCGGCGATCATTTCCAAGATTCTTTGATGTCTCTTAGCGGTCAATTTCTTGGTCTACTGTATGTTTTTGTGCGCTTTCAGCAACCCTCCTCCAAAGACTTCGGAATGTAGGGCAAAACTTTGGAAAGACGTTCTTATGTTGGTGATCCTGTCACAATGCTTCCGAGTGGCGATGAATTTTATTAAATGTGTAGATACAGAATCAATCAAGAAATGTAGGGCTAATGCAATATAATGCGATCTCAAGATGCCGAATTGTCCGTGACAGCAGCATCGCTCGATGTGGAAGGTCTTAATATCCATCCACCGAGGAACATCAGAATTGGCACAGATGAAGTACCAGCAATCAAACCCAATGCCCAACCCATTGTCCCCCAACCTGCGCTCTGGCGAATAAACCCAGCAAAAAACGGCCCAATGAGCGCACCTGCCGCGAAACCCATGTTCACCAACCCGAAAGCAAGCGCCATAGCTCCACCGCGGCCAAAAATACCAGGGGTTTTATCTTCCTTCTCCTTGACCGCGTGGAATGTCTCCGCAACAAGAGGCGGCATAGCCACGGCAAAGCAGAGGCCCACAAGAGCGAGAAGAGCGCAGAGGAGGATCTTGTGTTGCATAGAGTTATCGGTCACAAGACGAAGAAGCACCATCACAGGGACGGCAGAGAGGAAAGCAGTGGCTGTGAAATAACGAATCGATTTGGGATACTTGTCAATCACCCAGCCAGTGAGTGGATCCACGAGGTGTGGCACCATGAGCGGAATGAAGATGAGTCCTTGGCCACTTTGTTGCCATCCAAAGGTGTCTTGCACGAAGAGTGGTAAGACACTATCAAAAGAAGCCAGGACAAGCGAGATGACAAAATATCCCCAGAGAGATACGACGAGGCGAGGCGAGCTCAGTAGAGTGCCGACACGAGCGAAGGCACTGCGCGAAGGAGGCTTTTTGGTTGCTTGTATGTCTGATCCAGTGCTCGGCGTCGGAGGCACTTCTGAGACGACCGGCTCTTTGTTTGTTGAGCTGCTTTCGGAGGCTGGTCGTTCCAACTCTGGAGTAATCCATTTCAAGGCATGTCTTTTCTCAATCAGAAGCAATCGGAAGACGATATCTAATCCAATAAAGGCAAATGCGAGACCGAAAACAGCGTAGTATCCGCCATTTTGGTAGACCACACCACCAAGCAATGGACCGCCTAGTGTTCCCACGCTGATAGCCATGGACACATACCCAATTGCCTGGCCGAGACCATCCTTACCGACAGTATCGACCATCAGAGCAAGGCCGGCAGTCCAGACAATTGCTGCTGCTGCACCTTGGAATAATCGACCGACAATCCAGAGTGCAATGTTCGTACCGACGCATAGTAAAGCTGTCGCAGCGCCGAGCGCCACAAGACCGATGAGCAGTGGCCATCTTCGTGACTCTGCGCGATCAGCTAAATAGCCGACAACGGGGGCGAACGCCAACAGAGCGCCCGCATATAAAGCGAGAAGAATAGAAGTCCAGGATTGAATACTGTCTTCTGATAGTCCGACTCTATCCCTGAGTGCAGTGGGCGTTACCGGTACTATCAATCCATACATGAAGATATCAGTACCGGCAGCAAAGGAGACCACAAACATGATGAACCATCTTGACGACCTCAGCTCAACGAATTTGGGTCGCTCATCATTTTTGAACAGGCCCATAAACATGAAGCCTTCTGTGAAAAAAATAACAAAAAAAAGGGAAGAAGTCTCTGAATAGGAGAGATATGTGGGTCAGATCGCTCAGGGAAGAAGCTTCTTGGAATGCGTCGGATATTTAAGCTACACTCTCACGTTCCACCATGAAAAGGCTTGTGTAATTCGGTGTAATGAGCTTGTTTGTTGAATGATCGCACAAGATGTCTGGGCAAGTTCTGAAGTTTTTGTGTCAGACAATTTTCCGCTGATTGCTCACGGACGTGGACTCGTCTCCGTTCGGGGCCCGCGGGCACCGAATAGTGGCGGGTCGGAGGATGATCTCGTATGGATCCACGTCGGTTGATTGGAGCATTGAGCGCTGCAATGCCATTAACCCCATAGAAAAGGGTTTAGTCAAACAGCACTATTCAACACACGTGGATCATGCAGATGTCAAAACAGGGGTTGTTTCAAATTAGACGGTCCAGGTTGCTATCTATAAAGCGAGGTGCAGACTATAGTACAAAAGATTATGTTTTGGGGGGTTTTTTTGATCACAGACGGGCCTTGGGAGCCTTGCTCTTGAGCAATTCCTTGACTTCGCGACGCAGGATCTTGCCACTAGGCGACTTGGGAATCTGCGCCAAGAGATGGATGCCGCCGCGCAAACGCTTGTGGTTTGCAACGCGCTCGTTCAGCCATGTGTTGATTCCGGCGATGACGGTCTTCTCGTCCCTCTCTTTGGCCGCGCGGCTGAGAACCAAAAAGCCGACCGGCAGCTCTGTGGCCCTCTCGTCAACCCACTTGCCCACGACGGCGGCATCTTCCACGTCAGGGTGGTCGATGAGCTTGCCCTCCAGTTCACTGGGAATAACCTGCAGTCCCTTGTACTTGATCATCTCTTTGATGCGATCGTGGATAGAAACGTATCCCTCGGGATCGATGGTGCCAATATCACCAGTGCGGAACCACCTCTTTCCATCCTCGTCGATGTGGTACGAGCTCTTGGTGGCCTCCTCGTTGTTGTAGTAACCCAGCACGACGTTGGGGCCGCGGACCCAGATCTCAGCAGGCTGGGTTGAGCCAGTTGGGTTGACTTCCGCATCCTTCATCGTGTCGGGATCCACGAAGCGGAACTCCATGTTGGGCACGATACAGCCAACTCCTGTGAGGCGCTTCTCGAGACGATCATTGGGAATGGCAGTGGCCAGTGGTGAAGTCTCAGTGAGACCCCAGCACTGCGTACAGAAAACCTCGGTGTTCCACAGTTCCTTGAACTTCGCCTCGAGGGCAGACGACAATTCGATGGTGAGGGGAGCAGCCGCGGACATGATCTTGCGCACACAGCTGAGATCGTACTTGGCGACGCGGGGGTCCTTGACAAGCATCAGAGCGATGGGAGGGACAATGGAGAGCTCGTCGGGGCGGTACTGCTGGATGTAGCCGAGGTAGGCATCGAGGTCAAACTTGGGCATGACGACGACGGTTGTACCCCAGATGAGGCACTGGCAGATGAAGAGGTTGAGACCGTAGATATGGCTGAAAGGAAGGAATCCGATGGCGGAGCTCCTCGTGGGGCGCTGAGAGAGTCCACCGGACTCGAGCATGATGGAGCGCCATTGCTGGAGGTTGGAAGTCATGTTCTGGTGAGTTGTGATGACACCCTTGGCGGCACCGGAGGTGCCGGAGGAGAAGCAGACGAAGGTGGGTTGGCGACTGGCCTCGGCGGGGTCGACGGTCAAGAACTCGGTTGGGGCGAAAGTGCTGGCCATCTTCTCGCAGGTGGGCTGGCCCTCGAAAGAGTCGCCATCGGCCATGACAATTCTCTCAACAGAGGTTCCCTTGACAGCCTTCTGGGCAGTCTGGAGCAGAGAAGAGTGCACGATGACGAATCGCGCACCGCTGGTCTTGAGCTGAGCATTCAGCTCTAAAGCGGTCAGAGCTGCACTGGTAGGAGAGGCAATTGCCCTCGATCCGATCAGAGCGTGGCAGATAATAGGGTATTCGATAGAGTTGGGACTGAAGAATGCGACGACATCGTTGGGCTTCACGCCAACGTTTTGGCGGAGACCGTTTGACAGCGAGCGAGTGCGCTGAATGACATCGCCGAAGGTATACTGTTTTCCGGAGAAAGCGTCGACATAGAGCGGTCGGTCGAGGGGGGTGTTGAAAGGGTTAGAGAAAAGGTAGGAGACCAGATCGATCGACTGGATGTCGAGATCTGGATAGGAAGAGCGATATACTGCCATTGTGAGATTATGATATGTGTAAAGTCTGATCAAAGCGAAGCCCGTCACGCAGCGGAGATCTGACACTTAAATACGAAAGAGAAGAGGAAAAAAACAGACGATCAACAAGGCGGGAACATTGTCCGAGGTTAAGAAAAAGCAGGCTAGGAGCGGTCTCCATAGTTCCCAAGCCGTGTAGCTGTCATTGGGCCAACAATAAGAACCTAATCTCTCCTGAATCTGGCCCACCCATGGTACAGTCCATCACAGTCTGTATGTGGTTAGCTGTGTATGCTCCTTCAGCCTCGGATCAGCTCAGCTCGGATTATTCATCATATGATTACTATCTTCACCTAGGCTGTTCAACTTGCATAGTGCTCCACACTTCATACTTGAATACTTGTATTCAAACCTCCTGAATCAATACATATGCATAAATGCATAACATCTTTACGAAGTCCTCCGTACTCCGTACTCCATGGCCACTGACGAGGCCTTGGAATTGTGCGGTGGGACTCAGTGTTTGGCGAGAACCTATTCTCCACAATTGCGATCAATTCAATACTGATCTGCAGAGATGCGATTTCTGAAAATGATTCATCGAGCCAATCGGTCATCCCTGCGGAAGGGTGGATCCTATTGGTTTTTTGTTTTCAATTGCCCCTTTTCGGACCTGCCGTGCTCTTTGCACATACGAAGAACAAAAACGCTGTGTTTGCTTCAGAACTCAGACTACGAAGCTGCAAAGTACTTCGTAGCACACCACTAGTATGATCCTACCCGGTCGCACCGTGCTTACGCACATCATTCGCAATGTGCAAGCTCCGAGGTTGCAACCTCAACCCTGTGGAGTGGACCTCACCCTGAAGCGGGTCTTGAAGTGGACCTCGCCCGGCGTCATCGATCTCGACAACAGATTCCGACAGACCGCTTCAACCGAGGAGATTCCCTTTGGCTCGGAGTTTCTGGATCTCGCACATGGGTCGTACCTCGTGGAGTTTAACGAGACCGTTTCTGTTCCCTTGGATGTTATGGGCCAGGTCTTTGTGCGCAGTTCGTTGTTCAGATCTGGTGTGTTGATTCATGCCGGTGTCATGGATAGTGGATATGAAGGCGCTGTTGGGGCTCTACTTCAGGTTGTGAACCCTGCTGGGTTGCGGGTGTACCCGTCGGCTCGACTGGCGCAATTCGTGTTTCATCAGATGAGTGAGAAGGTCGAGGGCTATAGTGGAGCATATCAAGGAGCAAAAAGCATGGGAGGGAAAGTAGGGGTGTGAGGTGGGACTTGCGGGTGTAGCTTTTTCATATGAACAACAATGTTGATGTGGCTTCTATTGAATTGTATGTGTGTGTGTGTGTGTGTGTGTGTGTGTGTGTGTGTGCTTCGCAGCAAGGATTCTAATCAGGAGCATCTTTCACATGCCTCGTTCCCCCAAAGAAAGCAAAGAAAGAATCCCCAAGACTTGGTCCAGATAGGCCAAGGCTCCATGGTAGAGTGGTGAAAATCCTCAAGCGTAGCAGCAGGCAGAGCAAAACTGTACTTCGTGGCGAATACCATCAAAGAGACTTAAAGATCCCCTTCCGGAACGCCATCTCTTGAACATCTTTCAGCCAATCCCCACAGCGATACAGTGGAGTATCAGGATACAAACGGGCTCCTCGTAGCGTGACCTGGGCCCTTGGAGGTGTGACCGCCAAACAGACCTCTTCTCGGAACTTCTCCAGGTCCTTCTCCTCAATGGTTGCAATCAGCTTCATGGATGATGGCACATGCTGTAGGTGCTCAGGGTTCGGTGTCGGTCGAGGCGTGTAGTCCATGCCGTTGAGGATCGTCCCGGTGACATGGTGGAGCGCACCTGCATCTTCGCTCGGGGCGGTCTCGATGTAGATAGCAATGTGGTTTCGCGGTGCGCCGATCGACTCTGTGGTGTAGACTTTGAATGGCATTGTTGGCAGATTTGCTTGGGTTATTTGTGAGGCTTCAGGGTGTGGGGTGGAATGTAGGCTCTTTATGTTTGATCGATGGGGATGTGTGAAACTGTGTGATGAGGGCGGGCGCTTAGACCTTTTTGTACATCAAAGAACCATGATCTCTGTTTATAGACATCTCAGTCATAGCTCCTGTGCTTTAATGAAATGTAAATGAGGTTTTGATTGTTCCTTCAGAGCTCCTTGTTTAGCTCAGCCCTACGTAGTAGAGAAACCTGCCTTCCAAAGTTGATCCATAGACGACGCCACGGCAGGCCATCCTGGGGCTCCACTTATACCAAAGAGGAGCATCTAGAGAACTATGTTCATGACCTGGAACACTGCAGAAACCCGTATTATGTCTATGATGTAGGATCCTACCTTCTACTCCGTATGCCGTTATACAATCCTAATTGATCACGAGATATAACAACACAAAAAGCCCCAATATGAAATCTCTCTTCAATTTTAGACCTCTTCGACCCTTTCCTGTGGCGGGTCAAGCAGAGGTTGTCTCTCTCCAGCTGTGTGAGAAGCATCGTCATGCATTTTCCGCAACTCAAGCCGTAATAAGACGCACTGCCCAATCGCAAAAATCGCATCGCCACCAACGGCGAATCCAAGCATCTCGAACCATATCACAACATTTGCATATAAAGATTCCAACGGCACATGTTCCCCAATCATTTTCCAGGGCATAAACACCCGAAAGGTCCAGCAAACAGAGGATACGAAGAACGCCAGAGCTTGGACCTTGAGGCCTGTGATGCTGATGTCAACTCTTGGCTGTCGAGCTTGTTCGTAAAAGGACAGAACTAGGAGCCCAAGAGTCACTGGTCTAATTAACTTTGTGTGAAGCCCCAACAGTACCATGAGTGGCCATTGCTCTAACAGGTCGCACGAAAGATCGCCTAGAGGGCAAAACAATTCCGTCGTGGCATCAATGACCAATGGGATCAAGGAAACATTCAGGAAGAGAATATACAGGGCAATCCTCTTAGCCTTGCGGACACGGCTAATGGGGCTGTGATAGATTGCAAGGAAGTACCTGAATATTGGTGTTAGGATTCGATCTTGCGACAGTCTGAGTGTATGTAGCTTTGAGTTACCAGATATTGAACAAAATCCATACGCCAGCCAACTGGGTTAAGTTGACCCAGTCAAGGGCTATTTTGGGGAGATGGGCCCACCAGAGAGGCACATCCTCACCGACATTGATGGTGAGGAAAAAGGCCACACAGAGCGTTTCCGTGGAATGGATCAAGTTCCATTGAAGATAGTTTAGAGAAACCCTTCCAGCCTCTTTTCTCAGCCACACATGGTGTATTTGGGGGATGAAGGATGCGAACACCAGCAGAGTTAAGGCTCTATTTTTGTAAGCCAATATTTAAATATCAAATGGAGAGCAACATACCCGCTTAATGATGTCAGCAGTATTTGGGACATGTTTGAGACAGCAAGAATCAAAGATTATCTTTGCGTCTTATACAGGGTCGCTTAGCGTAATGCCCACTAGTGCCGGAGCAAACCAAGCTGATTAGCGGCCCCTGCGGCTTCTGTTGCTAGCTTGTGGAATCGCTAAATCTATTGGCTCGGTAGCTACCCTGGTCGAACTCGTGGCGCTCTACGGGGGACCGTGTTTGGGGCCGTACCCAATGATAAAAGGAGATAGCCAGATCATGTGAACCTCGCCCTCCTGCATTTCATATGGACCGGTAACGCACCTGAGCTAGCAATAAGGCGTATGAGCATATCTACTTCCCAAGACAGGCTTGAGAAAGTGGACGAGAATGCTTCCAATTGCAAATATGATTGAGATAGATGATGCAATGATAAATCGCAGGGTGCGCAAAGTCATAACGCCTTCAGGCTTGCTGCCTGGTATGCAAAGTAAGACCTCGATAGTCTCATCCAATGTCCCCAAAAATCAGCATCTAAGATTATCCTGCGGGAGTCTATTATATCAAGACTGGAAGTTCATATTGTAACCTCCGGTCTTCGGGTCCTGGACAAAGTTGAAGTTGTCCGTTGAAAGACCGAATGGGTTTAAAATGCCGTTTCCAAGCTAAACCGAGTCAGTTGTGTCCATGGAATACTTGAGAGCCACCGGGTTTGAGAACTCACATCTTTCAGCTTCCCCATCATATCACCCATCTCCTTTTCCTTTGCTTGGTTGATTCGGGCGGGCAATTCCCGCAATGCCCGTTGAGCAATGCGTTTGTCATCGGCTGAGACGGTTTCGATTGCAACCAGCGCCTGGTAATCCTCTGAGGCACCTTGCAAGTTGCCCCAGCCCCCGATGTGGGATTTTGCCTTTGCGCGTCTCATGAGAATCTTAGCGCGGAGTCGCAAGACCTTGCCCCTGATCTCATCCTGTTCCTTCAATCGCTGTAATTCTTTCGATTCGGCGTCTTCGTCGTCCCCCGAGATCTCCACCACGTCATCGGTGTCTTTTGCATCGGACTTCGTAGTCTCTTTTCCCTTGGCCGAGTCGCCTTTCTCCACTGGGGTTGACGGGATTATCTTCTCCAGGCGATCGATTGAGACAGTTGCTGAATCAACTGCCGATTTCCAGGCTTCTAACTTCAAATGACAAGCCGCAACATTGCTGTGGAGAACGGCAACGTCGTAGTCAAGATAATTGGGGCAGGAGGCGAGCGCTCGGTCGTAGCAGGAGATAGCTTGGTCGTAGCTGGCGACAAGGAATAGCTGATTTGCCTCAGCTTTGATATCCTGGGATTCCTTCAGGAGTTGCTGCAAACATGAACATTAGCAACGCAGCGGAAATAACGGGGAAGACCGGTGAGGCTTACAGCTTCTTCCTCAGCTGGGAAGTGAGCATCGTGGAAGACATCTTCGTCGCCACTATCGTCAGAGTCTTGAGCGATCTTCGGATCGCGCTCGGGCGCGTTTGGAGTGTTCGTCATCCTGGCAGGAGGTGCGAGTCGAGCGAGATCACCCAATGTTGCCAAGGGCCAATCACGGGACTGATAAGCATTAATTCCCCGCGTCTTATCGAGTGCCTGTCAACAGCCCACTCCGAGAAAACTTCCCTGTACAGACATATAATCATGGCTACTAATACTGAGTAAGTAGAATGGTACCCATTTTGACTGGTAATAGACTCCAATTGACTGGTTCACAGGCTTCCCCGCATTCGAGCATGTCTCTTCGACATGGACGGTCTGTTGATTGACTCAGAGGACCTGTACACTGTGATCACCAATGAGATTCTCCAGAAATATGACAGACCTCTGCTGCCATGGTCAATTAAAGCACAAATGCAGGGCCGTCCCCAGCCCGAGGTTCGTTCAATACCGATTGGGTCTTATTCAACTCTTAACAATATATATAGGCCGGCAAGATCTTCCACGACTTTGCCCAGCTGCCAATTAGCGATGAGGACTTGAACCAGCAGCGCTTCGCCCTGCAGCAAAAGTACTTTCCTCGCTCACAGCCGCTGCCCGGTGTAACCACCCTGCTGTCCAACCTTAAATCTACCGCCTCAACAGACGAGCCCGTGTACATTGCGCTGGCCACATCTTCTCACCACACCAACTACAAATTGAAAACCGACCACCTGACTGACCTGATGTCTGTGTTCCCCGAAGTGAACAAGGTGCTCGGCGACGACCCGCGAATTGGAAAAGGACGAGGCAAGCCTCTTCCCGATATCTACCTGCTCGCACTAGAGACCATCAACGTTGAGCTGCGCCTGCAAGGAAAGACCGAGATTAAGCCTGAGGAGTGTCTTGTTTTCGAAGACGCGGTGCCTGGCGTAGAAGCCGGTCGTCGTGCTGGCATGCAGGTCGCTTGGGTTCCACAGGAAGGACTCCTAGATGCATTCAAGGGTCGGGAGGAAGAAGTTCTTGCTGGAGCCACGGGCTCGCACAAGGAAGATGAGAAGGCCGATGCCGAAAAGGAGGCTGAGGAGCTTCAGGCTTGGCGTTTGAAGGGTGCGGGACAGCCTGGCAAGATTGGCGATGGATTTGGCCAGCTCTACTCCTCATTGGAAAACTTCCCATATGAGAAGTATGGAATTCGCATTCCTTAAGCACTCATCGCAGCAGTTGATTATAGGGATACCTTGTGATAGAATTGTTTGTCTAAGATTTTCTCAATGTCCATACACCTTCAGCGGAGCAGTTGCGGTATAGAATATACAGCAGGGGACTTTCAAGGTTCCAAGGTTGGTAATCTCTTCACCAAATGTCCATCTATGAATGGATGGATCCTGTTTCATTGGTGAATTTCTTGCATTAATTCCTCCGGGCAAGCTGGATAATAAATGAGCATCGCAATTTTATACAGAAGAGAAAAGGGTTCACTATGTAATTCAAGGTTTTTCTCTGCGAAAGGGTATCATGGGAACTTTATGTTCAACAAGAAATTTCCGAATCATTGGACATCAGACTCCGACTGTGGTAATGGCATTGACCATATCTTGAGACTGTTATCGACCTTCTGGACCTTCTGTGACACGCTGTCGGTCTCTTCATCGGAAGAATCATCCAAGTCATAATGTCGTTGCCCAGAAGTTGTTGCAACGATATTTGCCATTGGGTGGAATATTGCGCTCGCCACAGCATCTAGAATCGTCAGTATTTGACCTTGAAGAAGGTAGGAATCTTCATACCATCATGCACCTTGAATTCCGCATCTGGGTCCTGTCCACCTGCGGAGAACTCAGGGTTTTTCCAAACTCGCATGTATCCATCTGTACCTCCGGCCCAGACCTCATGAGACCCATCTGGACCAGCAGCCACAACATCAATTTTCATTCGCTGATTTGTAAGTGCCTTGCGACCGCGCAAGTAACCAAGCATCTGGCCCGTAACGCGAACGTCGTAGACTAACACGCCGTCGCTCTTTCGCTCGGCAATGTAAAGATACCTGCCACAAGGACTCCAAGAAAGCTGTGTAATACCACGGCCACCGATTTCACGATTGGCTTCGGTTTTGGCAATGCTGAACGTACCGAGGGATTCGCCAGAGCCATTCGAGTTGTAAAGGCCAACATGTCTTGTGTACGTGCCTGCAGCGAGGATGCCGTCTCCGGTGGGACTCACTGCCAGAGCTGATACTATCCCCTTCATACCAATTCCGCCACCCACTATTTGCTTGCGTTTGCTAGGTATAGTTGGCATCGAAGACACGGGGCCCTGCATCCCTGGTCTGGACACATCAAAGAGGCAAATCAAGCTGTCTGAACCAGTAAGGAAATGCGTGCCGCCAAGAGTTGACGGGTAAACCATTGAATGCGGAGTGATAAATGCTTCAGTCATTGGGTTCACCAAAGAGTAGCTTGCCATCGCAGTTGGGGCGAGAGCCGATGAAAGTCGGATTGGATGATCACGAACAGAAGAGAGGAAGAGTGTCGTTGAAGGATCCTGGAGATTGTAGAACGGATAGATCGCCGTAGCATAAGTCGGCTCCGCCGATGGCAGAGTAGAGTATGCTGATAGTTGGTGAACTGACTCCTTCTCTAGCAGATCGGGTGGCCTGGCTAGTTTAGTTTTGGTTGCTTCAGAGCACTCGGTCAACTTACAGGATCCAGGTCCGGATAGAATGATCAGCGGAGTCCGTCAGCAAGGTTGTCCCATCCGGGGACCTATACACGAAATGTCAATGTCGCCCGATGTATGCTTTGGTCGAAGGCCTACCATTCCGCGCTTTTGAACCAGTTCAATTCATCATGGTCGCCACCTGACTGCTCATCTGAGGTCGGTGTAGACTGTGCATCTTTGGATGTTGACAAGAGATCTGAAGAAGCTTGATTTGATTCATCGGGTGGAGTTCCTCCATCATTGCGTGGTTTTGTTGATGCAATACATATTGGCACATGGTCGCCGGCATTCTCGACGGCCATATTGCGAAAGTCTGGCTTCTCAGCGCGGCCTTCACTGTTTGCCTGCGCTAGGATCTTGCAGTGGGTCACACTTGATAGAGCTCATGATCTTTCATTCAAGCAGTGTGCTGAGATGACCATTCGCGGAGCTCCACATGCGGATTCCACAATTCAGTCAGGTAAGGAGATTTGTTGCAAAAGATCAAATTTTCAAGACATCTCAGCGAAGATATTAAAATAGGTAGAACTATAGAGCTGAAGATGGCAGCGGAATATTGTATTTCGGGTCGGGAAAAACTAAACACCGAGTCGCGCATTCCGCATTTTGATACTGCGACTGCAGCTTCCCATTGTTGTTTTGGACCTCAAAAGACTGTCACGTCGCCATAATGTTTGCCCCAAAGACATCTGCGCCTAGTGCGCTTTCTCTCAACACTACCTCTAATTCTTTGTTGTGAGTGCTCCCATCTTTGCATGTCTCTGATCTCGGGCATGCAGCTGGGCCTATCAGACTTCGTTCTCAAGCCCCCTTGCTCTGATCCAGTCCAATTGATCGTCATTCCGACCTTCGGTCCACAGCCACTCTCTGTGGCTTGCCGGCTGGGGTCTACGCCGCCATCACCAGAAGGGCAGAAAAGCTGACCACGACTTCTTCACAGCGGCAACAACACATCCACATCCACATCCACAGCTGCCCCCGGAGCTACGAGTACAACCGGTGGTCTTTTCGGAAACACAGCTTCTACGCCCAAGCCAGCAACTAGCTTGTTTGGCGCGCCCGCAGCTGCAAACACCCAGACCCCATCCACCGGATCCAGCATGTTCGGAGCTACACAGACATCTGCGCCCAGCGGCGGCGGCCTTTTCGCCAACGCAGGTGCTGCAACTACATCAGCTCCGGCTCCCAGTCTATTCGGCGGCGCAACTGCTGGCGCTGGCACCAGCACCACCCAAGCATCAACGGGCGGCCTGTTCGGCGGCGGCGCATCCACAGCTCAAACTCAGCCTAAGCCGGCTTTCAGTCTCGGTGGACTTGGTGGATCGACACTCGGACAGTCGACCACGGGCACAGGCATGTTGTAAGTTACTAAAGCACCGTCTTTTTGTTTATCTTATTGCGGGTTCTAACTAGGCGTAGCGGCGGCGGTCAAAACACCCAGCAGCAGCAACAGCAGCAGCCGGCGAAGCCTACCCTCTCTTTATTCGGCCAACCTAACACGCAACCAACACAACAACCACTCCAGCAGAGCACGGCCAACAACACGGTGATCCCGGGCGTCAAGGTGGATGTTAGCAACCTTCTCCCCACCACCAAGTACGAGAGCTGTGCCGACGAGATCCGCAGTCAAATCGAGGCTATCGACAATCATATTCTGAATCAAATGAAAATGTGCCACGAAGTCGGCGATCTGCTCCCCACTATCGAAAAGCAGGGTGCATCGATCCCCAATGACGTGGAGTTTGTGCAAGGGAAATTGGAGACCATGCAACATGCGTTGGAGAACGATGCTAGTGACATCGACGGACTTCGCACCCTTGTCACACGGGACGCGGCCGAGGCTGAGGTGGCCTTCCGCGCCATTGACACCCTGAAACTACCCTTGCAATACCAGTCCAATGGCGGTGGTTGGTGGTCTGGAACAGACCAAAACATCCCCGAGAGGTCCATGCGCTCTAGCCGCAAGAACACACTCGCTCTTCCCGATGGAGTCGAGGGTGATGCGTCCGCAACTTCTGTCAACGGCGTCCCAGTCAACCTAATTGACTATTTCTCACACCGCTCCAAGGAGATGAAGGGTGTTCTAGGCAAATACACTGGAAACCTGAAGGAGATTGAAGATCACCTGCACGGGGTGGAAGCTACTCTCAACCGCCAGATCAGTGACTTTGTCAGCTCCAAGTCTCGTGACGGCGCTGGCGCAGCCCCGAAGTCTACTGTGAACGAACTTGCAGCCGTCCTTGCTGATGTCGAGGCAGGCATCATGGGTGTTGCTACCCGATTGAGCACTGTGTCCGAACAGGTGCAGGATCTCTCTGGGCAGCAATCAGGAGATGCGCGGTTTCACCTTGGATAAATTCACCGAGCTATCTAGCATGTAATATTAAAACGCTATGGCGTATGGGAAACATGAACACTTTTTAGCGCCCAGTGTCTACAGTAAGCTCTTTAGCCCCAAAGATCATACGAGTAGGATAAGATGGTAGATCTTACCGACAATCTCCCGCTGATTGATAATGTCAGAGAAACCCGAAGATCTTTGTACGAAGATTCCACGTAGTTAACTATACAAGACGGTTGCAACTGTACGTGGACAAGTAGGGCTTGTGGGGCCCTGCTGAGTAAGAAACGCAAAAAGCCGCCACTCTTGCGTGATCGTTTTTGCTTAGCGCCCATTCCTAATCTTGACCTCCACTTTACTTTAGTCCTTCTACGGAGTATACGGAGTAGACCCTGTACTTCGATCACGTACTTTGGACTATCGGGATCGGCTTAGATTGTAACCATCTCGATCCTGCTTCTAGCGGTCAAGAATAACCTCAAAGCAATTGCTGGAAATTTTCCATAAATGCGAACAAGTTTCAATTCAGTTTCGCCTCAGTAAAATGACGTGATCAGCCCCTTCTTCTACAGAATTCTGGGGGAGAAGAAGATCTATGGGTCGCAGTTGGGTCTCAAGTCCTTCGCAGCCCCATTTTTCGTGCTCCCGGTGGACCATTCTTACTCGCCTGAGGTGATTCAGCTTTGAAATGGCGCAATTCCCGCGAACTCCGGGGCATGCAAGATCCGTTCACTCGACGATGGCGTTATCCGGGGTTGACTCATAAGGACTTGCTCTTGGATCTACATAAGTCATGCTGTCCTCTTGGTTTCTCGGTTTTAACTAAACTCTGTTTTTACATCTGATAAGAGATCTATTCTACTTATATCTCAACCTCTCTATCTGCATCTATACATCTGCATTCTCCGTCACATATCTCACTCTTAATCCCCAATGGCCCCCTCACTGGAAGAGCCCGTGGTGGCTGAGACAACACAATTCACTGTCCCGGTGCTCAAGAAGAACATCGCCGCCAATGGCGACAACAAATTTGGATATCAGCCTGGCCGGACACCAGTCACTCAACACGACAACTACGCACATGATGACTTCTTGCCCAGCTTCCCAGACATCCATTGGGCTCCGCTTGAATACACAGAATACGAAGACAAGGGATTGCGAGGTGACCCCAAGTTCCGCAACCTGTTGAGGGACGCCACCGGAGTCTTTGATCACAACCCTAAGATTGGAACTGAAATCCAGGGTGTGGACCTTGCTACACTTGACGATGCTCAGAAGGATGATCTCGCCCGGTTGATTGCCTACCGTGGTGTTGTTTTCTTCCGTTCTCAGAAGAACTTCGATGTTGATGCCCAGCGGGCACTCGGAAGGTACTGGGGCAAGCTGCACAAGGTTAGTACCAACAGTGAAAAGATCTATACCTCGAGTACCTTTTCTAACAATGCATAGCATGCAACCACATCAGTTCCTCGCAAGGCCGGTCTCGAGGACGTCCATGTTGTCTACACTGGCGACAACTCGGGCGACAACCGCGCCCTCTTCACTCCCAGCTTCCTGTGGCACTCTGACGTGACCTACGAGCTGCAGCCACCATCTTACACATCCCTCAAGCTCCTCAGCGGCCCACCCCGTGGAGGCGGTGGCGACACCCTGTGGTCATCTCAATACGCCGCCTATGACGTCCTTTCATCCCACATGCAGACCTACCTCAAGGGCCTGACAGCAGCCCACTCAGCAGACATGCAAGCCAACGACTCCCGAGCTCTGGGCCGTCCTGTGCGCCGTGAACCAGTCACCACTGTGCACCCTCTCATCCGCACCAACCCTGTCACCGGCTGGAACGGTCTCTTCTTCAACCCCGGCTTCGTGAAGAAGATCATTGGCATTCCTGCTGCTGAAAGTGACGCTATCATCCGCTACCTCACCGATGTGATTGCCACCACACAGGAAATGCACGCCCGCTTCTCATGGGGTGCTGATGATGTTGCCCTTTGGGATAACCGATCTACCAACCACAGTGCTTCTTATGGATTCACACCGCACCGCCGCCATGCCATTCGTGTGGCTGTTCAAGCTGAAAAGCCTGTGTTGGAGGAGACTGGTATCTCACAGGAGGACGAGTTGAATGCCTTGTACGGACTGCCGGCAGTTAACAAGGATGGATCTCGCCAGTCAAACTACAATGACTAAGTCCTCTTGCCAATACGGCACTCCATTTCTATTTCATAGCCTTTAGCGATACATCAAAATGAGCGAACTCTTTCTTTCTTCAACATCTTCATGCTTCCTCTTGTATAAATTGATGAAAGTATAAAAGATACAATGAATACAACACCCGTGGATAGCTATCATTTTTTCACACTTGTTATGTATGCATCTATATCCTTCGTTTATTCCGTGTATTGATGGTTTGATAATGCACTGTGAACAGGGAGCTTCGAAAGTTGTCGTATGCAAGTATAGATTGACTCGCTATGAGTCGCCTTCCAACTATGATACCCCAGGCCAGCTGACCGTTGCAACATGTATCAGCAATACGCAGTGCGTGTGATCATAGTATGCACGACTCGCCCTTTCCTAATTGGGATGTTTGACGACCATGGTCCCCCTTCCTCTCCCGTATGAGTTACCTTTCTCTTTCCTTTCCTCTTTCTCATATATTTCATTCCCGACGCGTATTCCCTCCAGTCGTATCCAGCATGGAAAATCCATCCGCCAACAGGCTGCTAACCTATGCACGCCACCACAAATTGGCCGAAGACTGCACTGCCAAATCTACTCTCACTCTCGTTGACGAAACATGTGAGCCCCAACCTCTTCTTCCACCTCGCGATGACCTCAAGATCCCGAACCCAGAAGAGCGTATGAAGAAGGTGTATCATGACTTCTACATGAGTGTTTTGGAGCAGCCTCTGCGTGCCAAAGCTGAAGATATTACATCCTTGCGAGAAGCCATGCATCCTAAGCCAAGCTCGGGAAACGTGTGGCGTGGTGTCCTTCCCCCTCTCAAGACATCTGATCTAGCTCCTGCGCCTTTTCTCAACACTTTCAACGAAGACGAGGGGATTCCTCTTTCAACTGGCTTCGTACCATGGCGCTCTGTCTCTCAGGTTGGTTCGCCTGGAGATGACGACGACGACGAAGAAGAAGAAGTGGAGGAGCAGCAGGAATATGAGCCGGAGGGGGATGAACTGGAGGAGGGAGAAGAAGACGAAGAAGAAGATGAAGACCTCATTCCTGGTACCGTCCTTCCTCCCAATTCCATGCCGAACCCTATTATCCCACAAGCAATGATGCAAAGCTTCGTTGACTCCCACGGACAAGCAATTCCAACAGAGCTCATCCTGAACCCAGTTCTCACTCAGATCGATTCCGTCCGTCCTACTGATGCGCCAAGTGGACAGAGGGTTACCCTCACCCCTACGATGCCTGCGATACCTGAGATGATCGATCTCCGAGCGCTCATAGCGGAGCACAACAATTGGAGAGCGAGGATGGAGGCATCAGACGAAGCGTTGCAGAGGTCTATTGAGCACCTGGAAGCTATGACTGGTGAAGCGCCCGGGTCGCTTGGGCTGGCCAATGTGTACAACAACCCGGATTCTGGTGGCCTGTACACTCCCCCGCCGATGAATGCTCAGGTATGTGCTGTGTCTTTGGTCTCCGAAGTAAAATGTGCTTACTCGAACAGAATGTACCTGAAGGTGCGCTGGGCTATCCCTTCGATCTGAATAATCTGGAAGCCCTGGATTATTTTGAGGGGTTTGAGGATGCTGATGACTTTTAAGATGCTCCTCAGAATGTCAGTAAGGTCTCATAACTCGAATTAGATATTTCAGAACTGACAAAACTAGCAACTTTCTGAGATAGATTCCCTACGACACCCTCTGCCGAAGACGAAACGAGCTCAGGTGCGCACGAGAAGGCTTTCTTCCGGGGGTTTGAGGGTGTGGAAATGGCCCTGAACATATGGACCCGGGCCTGTTCATCGTTCGGTCCTTGGGTCTGTGGACTGTGGAGGATCATGCGGCAATATCTCAAGCCATATCGAACAAATTGAAACTTGATCTAAAGGTTTTACTACCAACCTTGGAATTAGACCGGTATCTCGAAGTCTCAAGAAATTGGCTCAATACTCCTCCGTAGATTGTCCAATGACAGACGAATCACTCAATGTAGAGCAATTCTCACTACATAGACGAGCATAACGATGTCTCTTAAAAGGTGCGCACCTTGCTTGTAACTAACTAGCTGACGGGCCTGTATCAGCCGCCAAAACAAAGTCTTTTCCACAACCAGATCAAGGTGCCCATCTACACCAAGTGAGTTGAGGTTTTCGGAGTTGAAACCACATGTGAAAACCGCAAAGCTCCATCGCTCACTTGGATGTCGTTATTTCGGATCGGATTCAAGGTAAGACTAGTAGTTCTCACGACATGGAGCTACAACGCTGTTCTACCGGAATATAATGGAGGGGAGATGATCAAGTCTGCAATTAGACTACCCAACCCTGTTCATACAAGGAGGTAAGCCGCTGTTGATTTTAAAAGTACAGTGGACAAAGACATGCAAGACCCAGGGCCAATCCAGCGCTTCAAAAACTCATATGCAAAAATTAGAAAGACAGAGCCGAATCAAGAAGCAGGTTCACAGCCAATCGTAAATCCAAGTAGAGATCATCCGTCCTGATTCGGTATAAATTTTTGTGTTTTTTTTTTTGTTCCTTTACTTTGTTCCTGAGATCAATGAGATGGTCGAGCTCGCGTCGCGTCGATATAATACACGTCAGATGTCATTGGTCTATTCGTAATTCACAACGAATGAGACCTTAGAGGACACGACAGGGGGGGTGAGTGGGCGAGACACATTCGATGTAGACAAATTATCGATCTGCTTACTCCTTGATCTTGGCCAGGATGCTGGTGGGCTGTTAGTGTTGTTCACAACAATGGTAAGGAGGTGGACACATACTCGTGATCGCGGAAGAGGGTGTACTCCTCCTCGCCGACCTTGATGGCGTTACCACCGAACTGGAATTCAATTAGTATTTCCGGACCGATCCATCTGTGATGGGAAACGGGACACATACCTGGGGGATGAGGACCTTGTCGCCGGCGGCGACACCCATGGGGAGACGCTTGCCCTCCTTATCGAAGAGACCGGGGCCGACAGCGAGGACCTGAGCCTCGTTCTGCTCCTTGACGGCAGCCTCGGGGAGGAAGATACCGGAGGCGGTCTTGGCCTCGGGCTTGATGCGCTGGACCAGGACGCGGTCCAGGAGGGGGGTGAGGGACTTGATGTTGCGGAGGATAGACTACAAGGCAATTAATTAGCATATTGCAAGACATATAGACAATTGGTCTCGTTCGTTGTCGCGCATTGCGCAGGGTTTCGGCTATCTCGGCCTCGGGACGAGAGAAGACAGAGCTGGGACTTGAAGATGGGAGCCCGCCGAGGGGGAAATTGATGTTGATATTACATCAGGGGTGTCTTGGATGTCACATACCATTGTGATTGTGAAGTAGAATGTGATGAGGAGATCAAAGGTTGGGGATGATGGAGATGGGAGAAGATGGAACCGGGGGAAGAAGATCTGACTGGAGAAATTTCCAGAATGCCAAGACCGACCATGAGCTTCTTTCCGAGGGCCAAACAAACGGACTAGCGGACTTCACTTGCGAATCCACGGTTTTACGCTAGTTCAACAGTAGGATTTTTTCCCTCATGGTTATTAAAGCCAAGTATAGGGTGATTATGTCGCGATTAGTCTCAATTGGTGTTTTACTTGGATCAGGTTGCCTAACTGCTTGTAAACCGTTAATCTCCATTGTCATTCCTGTTGTATGCATTAAACGCCAAAAGTCAAATTCCTTGTGAGGTGAAAACAAGTTGAAATCATCGAGACAGATGCTTGCAACTCGGACTACCATCTGCGCCCACGCCCCCGTCCGCCATAGCCACCGCGTTGGTCGTATCCTCCATAGCCCATCTGGCCTTGGCCTCCTTGGTTGAAGCCCTGGTTTTGAGATTGACCGGAGAAACCAGGTTGAGCTTGTTGGCCACCAGGCATCATTGACTGCGCGTGTTGCATGAAGGCCATGGGATCCATGGTAGAGGGGTCTATACCCTGGGACATCATAGAGGCCAACATGCCTTGCATCATATCAGGATTCATATCTGGCATACCAGCCATGCCAGCCATGGGAGGCGGGGCGCTGGCAGGAGCAGCCGGTGGTGCACCGGGCATGGGCATACCCATGCCCATGAAAGCCTGCATTTCGTCCATTTGTTTCTTTTGGCTGCCAACTTCTTGGCGCACTCCTTGTTGCTTGAGACAGTATCCTGACCATGTGAACTCATCGAAACCGTAGTTAAAGTAATCTGACAGGTCTGTGCCGGGTCGTCGCCAGGGCTTGTCGTCGGAAGGGAGGTCGGCGTCCATGTCAGTGGACATAATTGGCTTCCCCGTCGTGGGGTGAACGGGGTTCGCATTGACGTCAATGGTTGAGCTGTGAATAGCTGGGTAGGCGGAGCCGGGCTTTTCATTCGGAGCTCCTACGATTGGGTGGCTGGGCTGCGGAGCGGCGTTGCCATGCTGTGGTGTAGCAGCAGGGACTGCAGATGGCGCTACAGAGCTGGGGTCGGTGGAAGACGGCCTTGAGGGGTCTTGTCTCAAGCTTGTATGGCGAGGGTGAGAGCTAGTGGCATGAGTAAGAGTGCAAGGCGCGCGCAATGAGAGAACTTACGGCTCTGGTGGTGGTGCGCCTTCGGGGGCTTCTGTAATGATATTGAAGTCATCCTATAGGCCGGTTAGAGATTTTAGAGCTAGGGATAGGCTCAGAGATTGTGCGAACGTCGTCATCTTCTTCTTCTTCTTCGACTTCCTCGTCGTCGTCCATGTGGTTATCCTCCTGGTCGGCATTCTGAGGCGGGTGCTGCGATTGGGTCGTCGGCACCGTATCGACGGGGTCATAGAAGTCATCGTCTTCTTCGTCCATGGTTGCTAGCTTTCGATTGCACGAAATGTTGGGCAAATAGGTGTGTCAAAGAGGATCGAGATCGGCGCAGGTTGCGCGCTGCGTGCCGAGTTTGACTTGTTTGCAGCGTTGTATAAGAGCTCAACGGTAGGCTGTTGTCGCAGAGTTTGTGATCTGCTGGTTCAACTATATAGTTTAAGTTATTCCAGATGGAACTTTTGGGCTCTGAGATTCCTTCATTGCATGTTCACTTTTTCATATTTTTCGATTTCAGTGACGGTCGCGACCGCATGCTCAATTCTCATGGCCGTAAATTCAAGGCCACGTGACTGATAAAGACGTCAGTGATCTCCGTCTGAACATCCGCTTTTACACACTCTAGTGGTCTTATTGAGCGGCCTGATACATCTCGCAGCATGGCAGAAGAGGAGGAGAGCCGCACATCTACTCCGCGGTCCTTTGCCGGCCAAACGGTGTCCGCGGAGGAGATGCTCAAAGAGCAAACCGTTGGTCTCGTTCATCTTTCTGACTTTCGCAAGCGCCGCGCCGAGGTGCTTGAGCAAAAGGAGCGCGAAGCGCATGACAAGTCGCTTGGCCGACTGGCATCTGGTAACTCAAGAAGCGCAACCCCCTCTACGGGTGAAGTAACTGACGGGTATGTTAAGCGTTATTTCCAATCCTTCCAATATCAAAACTGACCACCGCGCATTAGATCTGCGTCTCCTCGGAGCGACGGCCCCCAAAAAAGAAGAAAAAGAAGCCTTTTGCCAAGAGCAAGCTTTCTTTCGGTGATGACCAGGACGATACTGGGGAGGAATCCGCCACAACACCGCGCGATTCAAGCGTGTCACGCTCCGGTTCGAAACCCCCCACCGAGGATGGCGCGACTCGACGCATGAAAGCAAACCCGAATGCACCCCCTCCCCGAAAGCCTTGACAAAGGCATCCATGGAGGCTGACGCGCTGGCCCGCGACACTCTGCGGAAGGAGTTTTTGATCATGCAGGAAGCCATCAAGAACACCGAGATCGTAATCCCATTTGTGTTCTACGATGGCACTAGTATACCGGCTGGGTCAGTGAAAGTCAAGAAGGGTGACCATGTCTGGCTCTTCCTGGACCGGTGTCGCAAGGTCGGCGCTGAAATGGGTGTTCGCGGTGGAAGTAACGCATCCCAGGCCAAAAAAGATACACGCCGGGAATGGGCGCGGGTTAGTGTCGATGATTTGATGCTTGTCAAAGGCGATATCATTGTCCCACATGTGAGTCTATCTTCAAACATCCCAGCAAACTCGTCTAATACGCATGCAGCATTACGAATTCTACCATTTCATCGCCAACAAGGTCCCAAGTTTCTCCCGCACCGGGGGACTTCTGTTTGATTATTCCAATCAGCCTCCCCCAGAGAATTCGCCCGGTGGCTTGCAGCCCGTCGGTGATGATCAGCTGCTAGAGGGCGCCGACAAGGACTACTCAGAGACCAAAGTCGTAGACCGACGGTGGTTCGAGAAAAACAAACACATATACCCCGCCAGTCTGTGGCATGAGTATGAGCCCGGTAAAGAGTTCGAGGAGAAGATGACTTCAACACGGCGCGATGCACAGGGCAATACATTCTTCTTCTAAAAAAGCTCAAATACCGAAATGACGAAAATTACTAAAAAGATAATTACGATAGACAAATACCAAATCAAGTCACTTTCATCTCACCTGGGCACTTTTATACCTAAGCCGCAAGTACATTGGGGTAGATAAGGAAGTCGCTCCTCCTGATCGATCTTCCCCACACCACATCACCAGCATGGACTTCGCTTTGAGGTGCAATTCTCTGAAATGCAGGGCAGAGTTGAAGGAGAAAGCGGTGGTGACGACTTGCTCGTGAGATTTCTTTGGGTCTGCTCCAAGGCAATGCTAATGACCACAGGCATGTCTTCTGCCATGGCTGCGCAGAAGCCCTTGGCCTGTCCCGTCCAACCACGAGTAACCGCCGCTGTCCTGCTTGTCAAAGTGTGCTTTTGAATCCAGACGACGCCGTATCGACTGTCTTGAATCCTACCGAAGACTACAAAACAAGTGTACTGAGCGGACTGGACCCCAACACAATTATGGAATGCGCTGGCCGTGCACTTGGGTTTTGGGCATATCAGAGCACACAGGAAATGTATGCCCAAAGTGTCTAATCAAGTGCTGAGTCAAGCGTGTACAGAGCTGATCCCTTCGCAGATTCTACCAAGAATACCGAGCCAAGTCGCTCACGGAGAAGTACACCAACCTGAACACCCAGATGGACAAGGTCATCCACAATGCGAACACTGAAATTGTGGCCATGCAAAACAAGATATCTGGTATGCTTGTTCTCGTTGCTGCTGTTGTTCGCTACTGGTGAGGCTAACCAATATTGTTTACGTAGATATGCAATCAGCCCAAGATGACCTTCAAAAAAAGAACCAGGAGCTGAATGACCTGTGTCGTGAAAAGACCACCAAGCTGTCACAAATGACCAACCTCTACAATCTTCTGAAATCACGAGCTATGCGCTCCCGGATGCAGACCGCGGCGTCGGACACCGTCTCTCAGACTCTGACCTCGTTAAACGCACCCCCTACTTCGATCCCATTGGCCACACGCTCACCACGAGGCCAGATGTCAAGCTCCAAATTTCCGCGCACTCCACCTTTCCCTGTTAATAAAGATGGAGTCGAACAACTCCACCGACATCAACGATGTGGCACTGGTAGCTCCAAGGGAGCAAGGTCGAGGACTTCTGGTGAGCACCCAATGGCACCACCCTCTACCCGTCCCAGTTGGGACGGTCGAAACGGTTTGTCTCACCCATTATCCGCGGTGGTATATAAGTAACATCTTTAGGTACAGCCAAAGTGCCCAACCCACCTCCACAACATCGCACTCGTCTTCTCCATGTCTCCCAAGCCCCAACGGTCACATCCGAGTTTCCACCCGGAGATGCCCTTATGGAGCGATTTGGGAATTGATGTTAATTTGATTGGCTGATATGTTTGCATTGTTAAAGATCTCATCGTTCCAGGTTGTGGGAAATTCCAAGTTAATACCTACTATGCAGTATCGGGGTTTGATCATTCACCCTAGTTCTATAGGAAACAATGTATAGCATCTATCACTTCTGGCTCGGCCACTAGAAGAGAGAGTATTGGGCCTAGGCGTTTATCGTGGGGAATGTGGGGGGGCAGCAGAGCCGCATTGACTTGGCCCCCTGTTTCCCGAGGACCCTAAACTAACACTCTCAACACTGCTCAATTTTAAGGTCGAATATCACATTGAGACAAATTACTTCAAGAATACTGATATTCACATCCGGTCACTTGATCTAGATATTACCGAGCTGAGTTTCCTTCCTCGCAAGAGCGAAATGGCCAATAATGCTCCAAAGGTAGCAGCAAAGGAGCGCCGTGAGCCCATGGCTGCGGTGGACAAGAAAGCAGCAATTCTTGTATCTCAGATCAAAAGCAGCAGACATTTCATCGCTTTTACTGGTGCCGGTGTCTCGACTTCCGCTGGTAAGTGCACCTCGCCTAAAAGAAAATGTCTACAAACAAGTTTTGATGACACTGCACATTAGGGATACCTGACTTTCGTGGGCCCGATGGTAATTGGACAATGCGAGCTCAAGGAAAGCAGACCAAGACCGCCAATACGCTACAGGCAATCCCTACTTTGTCTCACATGGCCCTCGTGGAGTTGCAGAACAGGGGTTTGTTGAAATATCTGATCAGTCAGAACTGCGATGGTCTTCATAGAAGGAGCGGGACTTTGCCGGTATGTTGACCTACACTCAAACATAGAACCTTTGCTCACAGTCCTAAGGAGATGATCTCCGAGCTGCACGGCAATAGCAATCGCGAATACTGCAAGGATTGTGACAAAGAATATATGCGAGGTCAGCCATCGAAAATATGTCTTACATACCTAAGCCTGCTAATCGTCCTAGACTTCCGAGCTGTATCTAACTATGAAAATGGTGATCATGACCATCGTACGGGTCGCAAATGCGTCCTTTGTGGCGGAGTTCTACTGGACAGCATAGTGAACTTTGACGAGAATTTGCCAGCTCGTGATCTTGACCTTGCTCGGGAGAATGCACAAAAGGCAGACTTGTGTCTTGTCCTGGGCTCTTCGCTTACTGTTACGCCAGCCAATGGAATCCCCGAAATTGTTGGCCAGAAGGAAGACGCCAAGCTTGCCATATGCAACCTACAGCAGACACCCATAGACGATCTCACGAGTATTCGCATCTTTACAGAAGCAGATATACTGATGGAAAGAGTGATGAACATGCTCGGCCTGCCAATTCCACCATTCACTTTACGACGGCGTCTTGTGGTTGACGTGGAAACACAAGACGACCGCCATCGTATAACGCTCACTGGAGTTGAAAGTGACGGGACCCCTATGACTTTCCTTCAGTCGGTCAGACTTGAGGGTACACGACGTGTGGTTCGCGCGGAGCCGTTTACGATTCAAGTTCGAGATGCGCTTGAGCCTGGTGCAGAGTTGAAGTTCGAGCTCGAGTTCATGGGCCACTATAATGAGCCGAATCTCGAGCTTGTTCATCCGTATAACGGCTCTGGAAAGGGCTTTTATCTACTGGAGTATAATCCACTCAACGGAGCGTTGGTTGTTGAGAGGCGTGCCAGCTTCTCCAAATCCATGCCAACGACTGACATTTAGAACCTTGGGGAACATTGAAAATAATTGAAAATAATATCAACTCCCTGGGGACTCAATCTGGCAGAGCTAGGAAAACAGAAGATAGCTCACAGGTTGTTCACTGGATACTTATGAGCATGCCGCATTGGTAATGATCATTTCAAAGCTGATTCACTTCTTTCTTTTGTTTGGATGTAACTATTACACTAGTCTTGGATCTGGGTTTTTAGGATCATCGACATTTATATACATGGCAGTTTCAAGAGGGACTGGCGGGGTCTTATTTGAGCCCGAAAATTCAACCCTGAGCACCATCAAATCTCGATCTTGAATTTCAGTTTCAAGAGAATGCCACCAACGACAAGTAAAGCACTCGTGGCAGGGAGGCCAAGCGAGTTCAAGATGCTGAAGGGGACCAAAAACGGAGCGCATTCCGGTCTGCCAATTTGCGGGCCGAAGTAAAAGGTAGACGAGACTCCAATCCAGCCAAAGACCCAGCAGAAACCGATAGTCTTTTGCCACAGGGAAAGGTCCTCGGTGTACCGCGATCCACGGATCTGCTTCCACAATGATGCGACGCCATCTTCGATCATATAGCCGATGACGAAGGACAGGAAGTACGGCATAGCACCAGATTGTCGTAAGGAGATGCTTTGAACGGGATTCGCCAGAAGGTGCATAAGGCCGGAAATAAAGAATACCAAGAATACGTTGATATATCTTTCTACCAGCGAGGGCTTGGCCAAGCGCAGCACATCACGCGAAATGAAGTTGCTGACGCCCGTAAAAGAGAGTCGGAGCATCTGATGCCAGAATTTACTATTAGGTATTAGCATAAACTTGAATCATGGGATAAAAAGGAATACAAACCCCCAGAAGTTTCTCAGTGTGTAGGCGTCTGACATGGAGTTGAAAAGTGGTGGGAAATCCGAGACAGGCCAAATTCCAGTAGCCACGCAAATGATCGCGGAAAGGCGATATAGGGAGCTAATTGAGGTTCGTGCTGCGACTAGCCACGCGACGAGATTCATGATAACGAGCTCTACCCATTGCTCAGCAGGGAAGTCCCATTCGGTGCCAAAAACGATATTCTTTCCACTTTCTTTCCGTTCTAACGCATCTTTCATCAGCATGAACGTCAATACATCAAGAAGCAAGTATTGCCAAAGACCGATTGAGATCTCTCTGGTCAGGAACCTGGCACGGGAGATCTTCTTTCCATCTTTTTGCGCGTAGTAAGCCGGCCAAGAAGGTGTGTTTTTGGCCTGTTGGGGTGTGTCGATTGCGCGCACAGAAGTGACCAGCCGAGTTGCATCCCCAAGACGCGAGAAAAAGTCCTTGGGCCTTCCATTGGCGTCGATGAAATCATTCCCATCTTTGGGTTTGATTAATAGGTGATTGAGAGCTCTGGTCAGGACTCTGGCACGGGAGATCTTCTTTCCATCTTTTTGCGCGTAGTAAGCCGGCCAAGAAGGTGTGTTTTTGGCCTGTTGGGGTGTGTTGATTGCGCGCACAGAAGTGACCAGCCGAGTTGCATCCCCAAGACGTGAGAAAAAGTCCTTGGGCCTTCCATTGGCGTCGATGAAATCATTCCCGTCTTTGGGTTTGATTAATAGGTGATTGAGAGCCCAAAAGACACTGAAGCCGCAGCCACTTGAAGTCCACATTGCAAAATAGCTAGGGCTCTGAACAGGATATTGTATAAGGCTCACGATCCAAATCAAGCATAGGATGCCGATGTAACGTAATGGAGACCCTTTGGGTGTTGTAGTAATGAGCGCGATTTGAATTATGGTCCCAATCGTGTAGCAAATGACCAGGTGTGTACATGTTTGGTATTGTCGTTTATCCATGACTGCCCAGGTGTTGTGAAAGGATCGGGAGATGGGCGGTTGCTGAGCCAGGGGGTTGGAATGAAGTTTTATCTTCAGATCTTTCTCGTTGCTTTTTCATTGTCAAAGTACTTTGTAGTTGATCTATCAATTGTTGGAAAAGTCGATAGTGCATTTAAGCGGAGATTATTGTGCATAAATCCGGAGCTCCTTGCATATTTTAATGACACGGAGAAATTTGAACCTCGTACAAAGTGTCTGCACTTGATGTACGGAGTATACTCCGTAGAACACTGAAAGTTGCTCCTTACTTCGTTTGTTTTGAGGTGGCCCGTCCGGAGTATACTCCGTGCTTGGACGAAGTACGGAGTACACAAACTAACGAGGTTTTGGTATGAACACACAACGATCTCCAAAGATCGCTCTGTGAATTCCCCACAATATCGTGTGACGGAGATTTAATAGTAGCTTGTACACGTACGGAGTACGGAGTACTTCGTACCTTGCAGGTGAGCACTCATTCACGGCAGTAGCATCCTTTGAGCGTAGATCGCCCCATATTCATCCACTGCAAACTCATGGTGGCTTGATCCCGCCGTTTTGTTTTGTTTTGTTTTGTTGTTTCCCCCCATTCCTGACTGGCAGTACGGAGTATATTCCAAGGCTTGTTTTTATCAGAATTGCATTTTACCTCCACAGTTCTGAATCGCTGTCCTGAGTATGAGAGCCCAGGAAAGGGAAACCATACTTCCAATGTTGGGGGAAATCACATCCTGTCCCAACACCGGGGTTTGGGATATACTCCGTAGGCAGTGGAGAGTTCGGCTATTGGTGTCCTGGGGTTGAATGTCAAGTTGGAGATTGAGCGGCGTCCACCAGAAGCCTGTGACATCCGGAATCGACGACGCGAAAGATCATCATGTTTTGCGGGGTTTGAGTAGCTGGAGTATTCCGTATAAACTCACGCCATCGCAATCAATTCGACCGTCACCCTCGGATCAATACTAGCAAGGTCCCACGTTGGCACGATGCAAGATCACAAAGCTTCAAATGCGAAGAGTGTCCGGCACCTGTGTATCAGTTGTATGGCATGAACCCTAACGAACGAGTCACTTCGAATTCGCATAACAAACATTTTGAATCGAGCCTGTAAGTTCATTTAAAGTCAATCCTCTAGACTTGACGTTTAGCCTAATCAGGGTAGACCACGGGTACGTACCTCGCTCTCTATTTATACTCAGTGCCAGTAGCCCCCGTTCGTCCGGTGCTTATCATGCCCTAATCTCGGGGCAGCGGAAGCACGTCAATCTTGGAATCCTCGGTATTGCAAGCTACCCCAGCACGGTCCCTACTCTATCTTTTCAATCTTGAGCTTAGATCTACCCCTGTCAATCCGGGGTGAAGCTTGTGTGGAGTCCGGGAGCTTGCTTGGGTTCCTGGTTCCTGGATGTGAGCTTATTCCCAAAAATACCGTTACGCAATACATGTAATTTTTGGGAGTGTATTTTTGACTGCTCTCATTTTCGCGTTGGACCCAAAACGCACACTTCTCAAAGCCACTCATCATCTAGGCCCCTTGACTAGTAGGGGAAAAGTACTCCGTACAGGTAGGTAGATGGAACATCATTACTCGTTACACAGAGAAGACTGGGACAATAAATGCCTCGTATCATTGATATTATCCGACGGGACATCACACGATCTAAATCCCCCGGTAGTGAACATAGGAAAATGAAATCTAATCAACGGAGAGCACGTCGGCGCCAGAAGGACCGGGTCTTTTCGTCCGGGCGGGAAGTAACGCCATAGCCTCAGCAAAACAGGACAGACGCCGGGGTGACCGCGGACCCCCGGAATCCCGCAAAAAACAAACAAACAAAGAAGTCATGTCATGCCATGCATTATACCACAAACCGATGCAACGGACACACGCTGCAAAGAAATAACAAACATCAGATATGGGGTTGACCCCGTTTATGCGCCGAATTCCTTGACATCGCTCTTCTTGCCCTGGAGGGCGAGAGGAACGATACCGGAAACGTGCATCTCGGGACCGTAAACGTGCATGTCCAGGCCGAGCTCGACACCAACGGACTTGATGTTCTTGAGACCCTCCTGGTAGTTGGGACCGGCACGACGAACCCAGATCTGGACCTTGTGCTCAACGAGGACGGGGGGCGACCTCGCGGATAGCGCGAATGAGACCCTTGAAGGTGCTGGCAACGTTGGTGAAGTTGGCAATACCACCACCAATGAAGAGAACCTTGCCCTCGGGGTGCATGGGGGCACGGAGCATGAGGTCCAGAACGGTGCGAGCGTACTGGAAGGACTGGGCCTCACTGGGGGCACCGGAGTACTCTCCGTAGTTGGCCAACTCGCTCACGAAACCAGCGGAAGCAATGGCGTCGGCGTAGACGACGGAGGCACCACCACCAGCAACGAGGGTCCAGACGCGACCCTTGGAGTTGAGGACAGTGAGCTTGAGGGAGGCACCAGTCTTGGCGTCCATGTCGGAGATGAACTTCTCCTCCTTGGTCATCTCACGACCGAAGGGAGCGGGGAACTCGAGAGGGGGACCAGCATCGATGCTGACCTTGCCGTCGGTGGTAGCGACGGCGGTGGTGCCGAGAGCGGCGGGGCTGCGGGCAATAGCCCACTTGGTACCGCACTCAAACTCAGCGGTCTGATCAATCTTGGCAGCCAGGTCCAGGAAGTGGACATCGGCGGAGGTGGCGTCAGCGTTGGGGATGACGACCAGGGGGTTGATCTCGAGGTAGGTGAATTGGCAGTCGACGTAGACGGCGTAGAGGCGGGTGATGAAGTCAACCAGGACATTGTGGACACCCTTGGGGACCTTGCTCAGCAGACCGGCAGCGATCTCCTCGTTGGAGGGGTATTGCTTGAGGTTAACGGGAACCAACAGCTTCTCAGCCTTGGCGTCGACATCACCGACATCAACACCACCCTCGTGGTAGAAGAGGATCCAGTCACCCTAAGATAATTACCGTTAGCTTATGGTCTTATCAATTGGAGTTAAAAAAAATTCCGGGGAAAGCTTACCTCGCGGACGGAGTTAATGCAAATGTAAGCCTCGGTGGAAGCATCGTGGGGCACGAAGGGCTCCACGAGGAAAGTGCGGAGGACACCAGTGACAGTCTCAACCTGGACATCCTTGGTAGCGCGGGACTCAATCCACTCGCGAGCCTCAGCCCAAGTCTTGTTCAGAGCGAGCAGACCGCTCTTACCGCGGCGCTTGATCAATTGATCGGGCTTAGCGACGAACTTGGAGCCGGGGACCAAGAGCCACGGGTAAGAGACCTCAGCCTGGTCAAGGACATCCTTGACGGTCTTGTCATCGGGGAAGTAGAGGGAGGCGAGACGAGGAGGGGCGTTGTGTGTAGTAGAGGCGGGGAGAGGGCTGGGCTTGATCACTGGGGCGCGAGTGAGGTGGTAGTTGATGATAGCCTTGCCGTCGGCCTCGGAGATAGATTTGGCGGACATGATGTGTAGATGGTGTGGTTTGGAGGAGGAGAGATGGAGAAGAGAGAAGGAGAATTGAAGATGCTAAAGAGAGTGAAAAGTCAAGGAGGGGGGGAATACTGGAGTGTACAGCGTACAATACCAAAAAAAGTTGTGCTGGAACTTACAGCGTACAATTCGGCAGGTCCCACCAGTGTTGAGAACAGACCAAAGCTGGACGATCACGGTGGGGTTCTTCGTTGGGAAAAAGCACTTTCTCTGGAAAGTTCCACTCCACTTGTACCCGGTACTTCCACTGGCGCCCACCGCTGCCCCCCCTAATCCGGGTAACTTTGAGTACTTTTGGGCCTTTGGGGAATGCCGATACCGCTTCAACTAGAAAATTTTGTTGAGTATGATAGACCGCTGGTTGTTTGCGTACATGTCAGATGCAATTAGTATTCTGACTAGATCCTACATAGTGTATAGTACTCTACATGTATCATAGACATTATCATTGTCATTGGACTCGACATAATTATAATATTTACTACTCAATGGCAAATAATATCTATACTAGAACCCCCTCAAGATGTGGCACGGAGTACGGAGCATTCCGTACTGTAACCGTACCAGGTACTTTGACACGATCAGTGGGGCCACAGTATTAGCGGTACCCAGTACTTTGGGGACTGCCAAGTGTTGAGCTGCGTATTGAAAGTGGGTGGGGCACAGGAGGAGCTGTACGGTGTATCTACGAGTACTCCGAAATACTCACCCCGCGGATTTTTCTCAACAGCTGCCCTCTTCTCCATCTCATTCCCCTTCTCCTTTCTTCTCTCTCTCCAATTATCTCGCATTGAGCGGCTTGTTTAAAATTGTATGTTGTTGCCCTCTTCTCATCCCGTTCTATACTAATTGCCATTCAGCATCATCATGCCCTCTACTCTCCCCGCCGGCAACGGCCAGCAGTCTGCTAACGACAACATCACCCGTTTCGCTCCTCCCAGCCGGGTCCTCTCTCCCCCTTCAACACAGCCTCTTCCACAACAAGACACGATGCTTCGTATAGTAAGTCCTGGTCTGTTCCTGCTGAACCTGGCCCCAAGCTAACGGGGGGAAATAGTGGCATGCAACCCCGAGCCGTGCAGGGCATGCTCGACTTTGACTTCATCTGCAAGCGTACTACCCCCTCCGTGGCCGGTATCATCTACACTTTCGGTGGCCAGTTCGTCAGCAAGATGTACTGGGGTACCAGTGAGACCCTCCTCCCCGTCTACCAGGATGTCGAGAAGGCCATGGCCAAGCACCCCGACGTTGACACCGTTGTCAACTTCGCCTCCTCCCGTTCCGTCTACTCCTCCACCATGCAGTTGATGGAGAACCCCCAGATCCGCTCCATTGCCATCATCGCCGAAGGTGTGCCCGAGCGTCGTGCCCGTGAGATCATGGTCACCGCCAAGGAGAAGGGTATCACCATCATTGGTCCCGCCACCGTCGGTGGTATCAAGCCCGGTTCCTACAAGATCGGTAACACCGGTGGTATGATGGACAACATCGTCGCCTCCAAGCTCTACCGCAAGGGTTCCGTCGGTTACGTCTCCAAGTCCGGTGGTATGTCCAACGAGTTGAACAACATTATCTCCCAGAACACCGACGGTGTCTACGAGGGTGTTGCCATTGGTGGTGACCGTTACCCCGGTACCACTTTCATCGACCACTTGCTCCGTTACCAGGCTGAGCCTGAGTGCAAGATCCTCGTCCTCCTCGGTGAGGTCGGTGGTGTTGAGGAGTACCGTGTGATTGAGGCCATCAAGAACGGCACCATCACCAAGCCCATCGTTGCCTGGGCTATCGGAACCTGCGCCAGCATGTTCCAGACCGAGGTCCAGTTCGGTCACGCCGGTGCCTCCGCCAACTCTGAGCTCGAGACCGCCGTTGCCAAGAACAAGGCCATGCGCGAGGCTGGCATTCACGTCCCCGAGACCTTCGAGGACCTTCCCCAGACCCTGAAGCAGGTCTACGATGCCGAGGTCTCCAAGGGCTCCATCACCCCCGCCCCTGAGCCCGTTGTCCCCAAGATCCCCATTGACTACTCTTGGGCCCAGGAACTCGGTCTCGTCCGTAAGCCCGCTGCCTTCATCTCCACCATCTCCGACGACCGTGGCCAGGAGCTGCTCTACGCCGGTATGCCCATCTCCGATGTCTTCCGTGAGGATATCGGTATCGGTGGTGTCATGTCTCTCCTCTGGTTCCGCCGCCGTCTGCCTCCCTACGCCAGCAAGTTCCTCGAGATGGTTCTGATGCTGACTGCCGACCACGGTCCCGCCGTGTCCGGTGCCATGAACACCATCATCACCACCCGTGCCGGAAAGGACCTCATCAGTGCTCTCGTCTCCGGTCTCCTCACCATTGGTTCTCGCTTCGGTGGTGCCCTGGACGGCGCCGCTGAGGAGTTCACCAAGGCCTTCGACAAGGGCCTGAGCCCCCGTGACTTCGTCGACATCATGCGCAAGGAGAACAAGCTCATCCCCGGTATCGGCCACAAGGTCAAGTCCCGCCAGAACCCCGATCTCCGTGTCGAGCTCGTCAAGGAGTTCGTCAAGAAGCACTTCCCCAGCACCAAGCTGCTCGACTACGCCATTGCCGTTGAGACCGTCACCACCTCCAAGAAGGACAACCTCATTCTCAACGTCGACGGCTGTGTCGCCGTCTGCTTCGTCGACCTTCTCCGCAACTGCGGTGCCTTCACCCCCGAGGAGACCGAGGATTACATGCGCATGGGTGTTCTCAACGGTCTCTTCGTTCTCGGCCGCTCCATCGGTCTCATTGCCCACTACCTCGACCAGAAGCGCCTGCGCACCGGTCTCTACCGCCACCCCTGGGATGACATCACCTACCTTCTCCCCACCCTCCAGAAGGGCGGTGCCGAGGGCCGTGTTGAGGTCAACCTGTGATTTTGTTTGTGACGTTTTGCAGCGCCGTCCGCTGGCATATAGTCCGTCCCTTGAGGGCGGTGGAGTTCGGATGGTTCATCCCTTGGTTTTTCTTTTTTTATGTTTTCTGAGCAGTTATGTGTATCGATGTACTGCGTTCATGTGGCATGACCAAGTTGACGGATTGACACGAAGAAACAGTGCAATCCGGCTACGGACCTGATTTAATTCGTTTTACAGTAGATGACTAGACCTCTTTGGTGAATAATGAACGTGCCATTGCCGCATGATATTTCCTCCAGCGTAGACAAGCTTATGTAGGTCTCTTGCAAAGTTGTCTATCTACTCAAGAAATGAAGTAAATGCCCAATTGTCACTTGTGAGCGTGAGAGCTTCAGAGCTTCCAAGGTTGCATCCCGCTGTTCAGGTGTCGAGGTGTCAAAGTGGACCCGATTGGGAAATATCCTTATCGTTCGATAACCGCAATCTTTTCCAGAGCCAACCTCGGACACACCTGGGCAACTTTGAAACTGACGAACAGTGTTCTTCTTCAAACCCTTATACAAGAGAATCCCGGATTTGACTTCGATCCACAAACTTGAATTTGTGAGCCTATACCAATAGCAACTCGACTAGGGCCGCCAGACTCCCAGCACACCACTTTCACCATGGTCCGCCTAAAGAACCGCTACCTCCTCATGGACATCCTCTATCCAGAACCATCAACATGGCCTGCAGCATCCAAATCCACTACTCAAAACCCCTCACTAGCAATCCATTCCCCAAGCTCCGACTCGCTCACAGCAGGATTCCTCGCGAAAATGATTCGCGAATCCGTAGCGGAGCTATACGGTGATTGGGGAATGGGAAAGCTCGGCGGTGCATCAGCAGGCGGTATTCAAAGTGAGCAACATATTCACATACGCAATATCTGCAAACAAAGCTCGATATTCGATTGAGGGTCTTCAACTAACAATCACCAGTCAAATACCTTTCCCCCGCAACGTCAACAGCAATAGTGCGGTGTCCCCGCGCCGCATTCCGCATCGTCTGGTCTGCCATTACATATATGTCCGGCGTGCCCGAACCATCATCCAATCCGCAGAAGCGCGGAACCGGCCGTGAGCGCGGGTGCGTGTTCCGCGTCATTCGCGTGTCGGGGACTATGCGCAAGGCGGAGGAAGAGGCGATTCGACGGGCTAGGGCGGAGATTGTGCGCGTCAAGGACGCTGAGGAACGGGGCGTTCTTGGGGATTTGATTGAGGGGATTGCTGGGGGAAGGGAACTGCTGTTGTTGACTCGGTGATGGATGAGAGTGAGGATGAGGTTATGGATGATGAGTAGATTAGATCTGATGTGTTTTATATGTTAATGAGATACCCCCCCAATTGTACGGTGCTTGTTTAATGCTAAAATAGGTATGACATTTCCAATCAAAAGGCCAAGGTGGAAGGGTAGATTAATTAGGCCTTGCGCTGTACCCGGACGCCACTGTCCGGCATATTCTGCTTCCACTTTTCTACCTCCTCGTCATAGGCATGTCCGTCATCGTCGTCCATCTCGTCGTCACTCCCGGCTGCACCCTTGGTCTCGACTTCGGCTGCTGCTTTGCGTAGACGGACCTCTTCTTCCAGCTCTTCTTCCTCTAGCTCATCGTACTCGTCTTTTGCATCCAGCCAGCGCTCTTGCACATCGCGGACATCGGTAGTACCCATTCCCTCGCGGACGGCCACTTGCCAAACAGTATCATTGGCACCTTCAGCAGGTCCAAAGGCATACCCCGATGCGCGGTCAATAGCGCGCAGGAGACTCATCATGCTCTTCTTGTCTTCGACGGCCAGCGTTTCGAAGCCAACGAGCCCAAACTCCTCGACCAGGTCGATGATGGTTTTATTGAGGGCACCAAACTTTTGGTGCGATAGTCGCGTCGATTCGTTTTCTAGTTCTGGAAGCAGATATGACAGATCCTGTACTTCTGTGTAATAATCAAGGTTGAAAGGAAGGGGGGCGTAGTTGGCGAGGTTATCGATTTTCGTGAGGACGTTCAGGTGTGGGAGATCGAGTTGGAGCATGGCGCGGAGTGAGAGGAGGAGGGCGGAGATGTACATTGATGGGAGGGTAAGTGTGTATGAATCGACGAGGTGAACGACAATCAACTGGTACACATCATTTGTTAGCTTGCCATATTGATGCCGTGAAAGCCATGTCACTAACCCGTATGCCCATTTTCTGGATTTTAAAGAAGATGTTTCGTAATGATGAGTGATGTGTGAAGAGCTCGACCTGCCCAGGGCAGTCGAATAGAATGTAGTCCTCTGAAGACAAGAGATCAGCTCATGTCAATATGCAGTGAGGATCAAGATGCATACCTCCGAGCTCCTTCAGTCCATCTTCCAACCAGTCAAAGTTCTGCTCAAGCTCCTCGAGGGCATACAGAACACCCCCGTTGGGACCGAGCTTATCCTCTTCCATGATCTCCTCCAGCTTCACCAAGTCACGCACGTCCAGCGCACATGGATATGAGGTTTTGTCGTTGGCGGGGTCCAGATTGACGATAGAGCATTGTCGGCCGATTGCTCCCAGGAACTGGTGCATGCCATTGCAATATGTCGATTTCCCGGCACCCGGGGGACCAATAACCAGCTGTGCGAAAGGCATATTGGCTCTGTCCAAATATGTGTTTGGTTGCTGAAGAGTGATGTCAGGCGTTTGTCTTTTTTTTCTTATCGACGCGCGGGGAATCAGAGGCGGTTTGCGATGGCAGAAAACGACAAGTGCCAAAGGAGCTTTCCGACGTGAGCTTCATCACACTCCACAGCTCACTTACCATGACTTCTCGTAGGTTGTCCCTCGTCGCTTAATTTTCAGTAAATTTGGCATTTCAATAACCATCATTCCAGATCAATTTGCCGTGGCCTCGCCACCTACGGATGCCATCTCGGCCCTGAAGTTCTCCCCCGACCCCAATTCTACCCGAATCGTTGCTTCGTCATGGGATAAGAATGTCTACTTATATGACCTGCGTGACGAGAATGGCGCAGTTGGTGAGGGCAAACTTCTGCAGAAGTTCGAGCACCGTGCGCCTGTTCTAGATGTCTGCTTCGGAGAGACCGAGAACGAGGTCTACACAGCTGGGTTGGACTGGGATGTGAGGAAGTGAGTCTCTCCAGATTGGACCTGATCCGCAACCAAGCCATCATCGCGATTCCTTTTTGATTCTAACGTCTACAGGATTGATCTCAACACGGCCGAACAAACCGTGCTTAGCAGCCACGAAGCTGGCGTGTGCAAAGTCGTATATAGTCGCGAGCACAATCTGGTTATCTCCGCCTCATGGGACTCGACACTCCACATCCACCTTGCCTCACATCTCGATTCCCAACCGATTATCGTTCCCCTCCCGTCCAAGCCATTCTCCATCTCTATCACTGCTACCAAGCTGGTTGTCGCCATGGCCTCGCGCTCCTTGCATATCTACGACCTGAAGGCATTGACTCTTCTCACCGCGCAAACAGACAGCTCCGTTCCCGGTGGAAACCGTGTGGAGGTGGAGCCTTGGCAGCGCCGCGAGAGCAGCTTGAAGTTCATGACCCGTGCAGTTGCTTGCATGCCCGATGACAATGGCTATGCCTCGTCTAGCATCGAGGGTCGTGTCGCAGTGGAGTGGTTCGACCCGTCGCCCGAATCCCAGGCCCGCAAGTATGCCTTCAAATGCCATCGTCAAACCGCGGAGGATGGCGTTGATGTTGTGTATCCCGTCAATGCATTGGCTTTCCACCCCGTGTTTGGCACATTTGCTTCTGGTGGTGGTGATGGAGTTGTCGCTCTCTGGGACGGCATCTCAAAGCGCCGTATTCGCCAATATCAGAAGTACCAGACCAGCGTGTCCGCCGTTGCGTTCAGCGGAAGCGGCCAGCATCTGGCTATTGCAGTCAGCCCCGGATTCGAAGATGGCCACGATAATGTTCCCGAGGGCACAGTGAAGATCTTTGTGCGGGAACTGGGCGAGACAGAGGCCAAGGGAAAGGGACCTAAATAAACTCGGGGCCAAAAAACACTGTTCTTTTTCTTTTTCTTCTGCTCGGAGTGAAGCGTTTTGATACCACAGCAAATAAAACATAAAACACTTCAAAAATCTGTAACATCACAGCAGTCCAACTCCGATCCTAGCGTTTTTCCAAGGCTGAAACATAAGGCAAATCTTGGTATCATCTCTCATCTATCTACGTAGTCTTTCTTATGTGCTGCCCCCACGGTTCACCATACAATGTCACATCTACTCAGCCTTACGGACGGAGACCGATCCATCGGCCATACCGAAGTAGGCTGCGACGGGCCGCTGGCCACCAACACCGCCAGCGGTAGTAGCCTGCGGGCCGGTCTGTCCATGGAAGATACCGACCTCGAGCACACCCGCGATCTCATTGATCTTGCGAGCTAGCTCCTCAACTGCCCACACGCCATCCTTGCCATTAACATCCTTGCCGGCGGCAACATCAGACTTGATCAACAACGGTGGGAAAGGAGCGTCGATAATGAAGAAGCCCTGGTCGGTCTTGAGAGGACCTTCCTTCTCACTTGCGGAGGCTCGGATGAACGGGTTGACACTGCCGAGGTCCTTGAGCTTGAGGAGAACGCGGTGAGCGGCGATGGGCGCGACTTCGATGGGGACGGTCTTCCAGTTTGAGAGGAGGCGGGGTTGGAGCTTGCGGTGGTCTAGGTAGTAAAGTCAGTAATGCGCAAAGTTCAAAGCGATCGCAACCGTTGTAATTCCCGTAGTGCTTAGAAGAGAAACTTCGGAACAGCCGTGACATATGCAATGGACTCACCGGCAACGCAGACAAACTCCTTGGCCTGCAGAGCGACGATCTTCTCCTGGAACAAGCAGGCACCGCCGCCCTTAATGCAGTTCAAATCCTCATCAACCTCATCGGCACCGTCGAAGGCCACATCAAAGACAGTGCCAACGGGGATACCATCGAACTCAACAGCAGTCAAGCCAGCACCGACAATCAGCTGCTTGGACTGGTAACCGGTAGGCACATATTTAGTGGCGGAGGTGTCCACGCCGAGAGCCTTGATAGCCTCGACGACGTACACAATCGTCGTACCACTACCGATACCAACCCAACGGGCATCCTTGGGGTAGTGGTTCTGAACAGCGACCTTAGCGGCAGCGCGCTTAGCTTCTTCAATGAGGTCGGCCATGGTGGAATAGAATCTTTGGGGACGGAGGCGAAGAAGTGTGGGGGGTCGGAAGAAAAGAGGGGAGAAGCGGGCGGGTTGGAACATGGGACCCGTTTTATGTGCTCTTGCTACTCGTATTAATTCCCCGTTCCCTCTTTACTCCGTGCTCCTTTTGGAATACTCGGTGGACTTGTGTACAATGAGATGCAGAAAATAGTTACTAGTTCCAATACATAACGTCATGCACTAGTGGGGTCTGTCACTGGGCCGAGCGGCATTCCTTGCATCCTACTTCGGCAAATTTAAGCGCAGGGCATGTCCAACCGCAGACGTTGGAGTCAATTGGGAGGCCAAATCTTACTCTCTAGAGGTCAAAAATCTCAATGCGAAGTTATCATTGATCGGTTGTTGACATTTATATCCATTGGCGCACTGGGGCTCGGAATGCTGCTGCTGTGATCCGACGAGCTGACCTGTGGAATGTGATAGATTCATATGATCCGGAGTGGCACGCAGCATCTACAGAATAAATTATCATATAGACTGCCAATAGTCCAATTTCTCTCAATCTATTCCGTTCTCCCTACTGAAGGTTCTCTGCCTCATGCGGAGTACTCTGTTCTCCATACCGCGTTTCGAAGGATTTATGAAATGTCCTCTATCACAGTATACGCGTTTAGGGGCTGCTACATGCTCCCAATGAATAGCCATTGGCATACTTTAAAGTAAGCTTGCAGTCTGCATAGCCACGTTGGCGGCAGGAGATTTCTAGTGTGGTTTCATAGCCTGTTAACCATTTGGAAACATGGCCCAGTGGTGCTCGAAATCATTTATTCTTTGAATTTACAACGGCAACCTCAAAAGAGTGCTCATCTCATCTCATAACAGCATGCAATATAATGTACACAAGCCATTGCAGCACATTGAGAAGTTGCTTTACCCGTAGCAACAGCTTTCACTCCATGATACTCCGTAGATGCCAGGGCCTGCCGGTGGCTGGAGAAAGATCGGTTGCGTAGCTGGATGAAATCGCTTCCATCACTTCAAACAGCAATTGGAATCTTATTGAGAAGCACAAATCTTCTTGACGGCAGGCAAGACCTCGTCTATGTATACAATTAGCTTGAGTATTTCCACACCTCAATTAGGCGAACTGACTCTCAGAAGTGCTAATACCACACTTAGACACGACACAGCTTGTAGCAGCTGACTTGACGGCGTCCTGGTCCTTGCAGATACAAGCGTAGTCATCGGTTGCACAGCTGGTCTTCTGCTTCACAGCATCGTCGAGACAGGGGAGGGCACAAGGGGGGACATCCGCCCTGGATTGGGCGTGGGCGAGAGCGGCAAAGGCGAGGACAACGGCAGCAAACTTCATCTTGGCGAATTGTGGTGATCTGGGCTGGACTTTATAGTTTTGTAGAATGAGTGGGTGATAGTCTGTGATATGAGTTGAATACAAGACCAGACTTGGGTGCGGACAGGGGTATAAATAGCCTCAACAATTGGCCCGAGGCTTTGTGATTTCCAGCTTTGATTTTGAGATGAAGCGTCATGATCATCTCTTGATGAAATATTGAAACCAAACCTTGCCGATCCCGTGCCGATCCCGTTTCGACCGCAATTTGGGTGTCACCGCGCTGTGGCGTGTCTAATTTATGCGGCTGTTTGGGATTACCCCATGTTTCATTCCCCACAACGGACCTGCACCTGGGCATTGGTTTTGATCCTCTGACGTTGAACTGGAAACTGGAACCTGTGAAAAGCTGTTTCCAATTATGCCGCGTGAGTTTCCGGATCTTCCAAGGCCCTTTCTTCAATGATCAGGTCTTGTTATAGGCACATCAAAAGAGAGCTCGGGAGGTAATGATCGGCTATCGGCTACCTTGTGACACATGTTACTGCAGGGGCCCAGCAATCTGCATGCAAGTCTTCCAAGGTTGTGCGGAAGGATTATCGTGCAAAAGCAGCATCGTGCCGTCAATAAACCGAATACAGCCAGGGAGAAAGTCGGAGTGAAAGATTTTCACCATTCACAACAAGCAATGGCAACAGTCAAATGAATGGGAAACAAGAGAGAGAACCGCAAAAAAAAAAAAAAAAAAAAAAAAAAAAAAAGGCGGAGAACAAGGTAAAGTCGCAAGAGTAGCATGTCGTATCGAACGAGGGACCTTTTGCAAGCCCAATCGCTTTCTCTCAAGTTTTTCCCTGAAAGCCAGACCCATGGGAGCCCCAAAATTAACAGCCACGAGTGCCGCCCTCTTGACCATTACCCCGTTCTCTCGTGGTAACAGTATAGGTCCTTGGTTGGGTTTTGATCGTGGAGTTTTGAACAGGAGCTCAGGGTTCTAAGGAGATATCACTATACCCAAGTAGGGAAACAAACTAAAAGGGCTACACCGCCGGAGAGAATGAAATCAAAGAGCTATGGGTCAGGGCCAAGGTAGAGAAGACCAAAAAAACGTAGTGATTCAAGGCGCCACTCTGTGCATCGAACAAGGGACCTTTTCTCGCTCACCATTCTCCGTCATTCTGGCATCTCCCCCGGACAGGAGACCCTGATACACAGACGCCGGCAAGAGCCCCGACACTCACCGATACACTGGACGCACAAGGACCACTACCCCATACTCGTGATGGTAACAGTATATGTCCCAAGTTGGGTTTTGACCGTCAGGTTGTGGCGATTCTACTATACTACAGCAGCAAAGCTGTTGGAGATCATGGGACTATGTCAAGTGATGTTTACTTCCCATAGATATCTCTCTCTCCCCTTCTCCCATCTCTCTATCTCTTTCCTTCTCTCCTTCATGCATCATGCTGTCTACTTCTACATTCCCATAAAAACCAAATCAAGACTGATAGCATTCAAAATAAATGCCAAGATCTATGGACGAGGAACAGGAGATAGAAACAACCAAAAAGCAAAAAAATACCAACAATGGATTCCCGTGGCCTTCTACCACCGTCTCGAAAGGGATCTTTCAAGCCCACCTCGCTTTCTCTCAAGTTTTACCCTGAGAGCCAGATAGTGAGAGCCCCACAGACGGTGGCAGCTTGACCACTACCCCAGTTGCTGAATGGTAATAGTATATGCCCCAATCTGGGTTTTGACCATCAGGATTTGCACATGACCTATTGTAAATGTACCAAGCTCCCGACACGACTTTGTCTAGACCGAGCACATACTTCCAAGCTTTCTTCATGGCGGGTAAAAGTGGGTCCAAGAGGGACCCGCACCTTCTCTTATACTTCATCCTGTAGGCTTACAGAGTACTTTCCCCTTTCACTTCCAAGGTTGTCCATCTGATACCAACATCTTCTTCATCATGGCCTCCGGTCCCCAGTTTCTACCCGAGGTCGAGCCTAAGGTCGAAGTGCGCAAGGCCAAAAAGCGCAAGGCCAAAGTACCAAGTCTATGGAATGATTGACAACACTACTCTTGACTGACGAATGCTCACGACAGGTCCTAAACGATGCAGCCACACAGACTCCAATGCCAAATACGTATTTCGAGAAGACGAGAGAGGATTTCTTCGACAATTTTGCTACAAGAGCTTCGCAAGCCTCGAATCATCGACCACCCTCCGCGTCTGACACTGTCGTCCCAACTCCCCAACAACATTCCAACGAGATGGCTCGAACCATATTCTATGGTGCGCCATCGGGCAAGATGGACCACGTCACAGCAGTCCGGTGCATCAGGTCAGCCCACACACAGGCAATTTATGAAGTAGTCTGGCACGGAAAGCCCGCGATCGCCAAATGTTTGGATGCCTCCGAGCTTCAACGGTACTTGGATGCTATTCCTGCACGTTGATCCACAAAATCTAACAGTAGAGCAATTTTTCAGATTCCGCGATTTCTTTTCAACCTACCTGAAACTCTACCAAAAACGCCCTGCAGGATTTCGTGTCTTTCCCTCTCTCTACGCCGCAGGCACCGTCTGCTGCTCTTCGCTGTTTCCAAGTGGATACGTTTTGGTTCTCGCCAAGATGCCTGGTACGCCACTAAAGACTCGATGGAATGAACTGCCTGAATGGAAACAAAAGTATATCCAAAAGCTGAAATTTGAAGGTTCAGGCGCACTCAGAAGTATTGGAGTCGTCTGGAAGGAGCCCGCACACGTTCTTTTCAGTGGGGACGAGAGAGACCCCAGAGGATTTTTGCTACTTTGAGAATCTCTGCTGGAATCATTGCTATTTTCGATCCCAGGCTGTGCGGTGAAGGCGTACAGGCGAGCCAAATTGAATTCGTCAATATGCCCTTGGGGATGGAGAGCCAGGAGAGAGAGGTGGATCAATTGAACTCCACGTACTTTGTTGAGAGACCTCGTGCATTCTAGATTCATGAATTTTGAACAAAAGAAGAATTGAACATTTCTGACAAATGTATATTCTCTCACAAGTCGCAGGCGACAGGCGGAGCTGCCACCTGGTGTGTTGAACACTGTACCTAGACAACTTGCTGAGACCTCGAGAGCATTGCTGGCTCTTGGCCATCAGGCTATCCTAGCTCTTGCTTGATACATTTCCACTTATTAGATGATCTGAGCGAGTCTTAGAGTGTCATATTCAAATTTTTAGCGTTAATACTCGCTCTTGTTTTTAATTGTTTAAACTTGAAAAGCGTCGGATCTTCTGGAACAGCCCCACATCTCCCGAGAGCATCCATGGATCCACTTCATCGGTCGCCGAAAACACCGCTTACTTAATAAATTGTGTGCTTGGCGCCGTCCTCCTGCATTACCACCACGCCACTCGGAGGGTCTTGTTTGCTCGGGTTTCAAAGTGAGCTCCGATCTACAAATCATGATGCCCTCCATGTGGGTCGCAGAAATTCCAGAGGAGACCTTGTGTCAGGGAAATCATATAACCATCATCGTCTTCCCACTCAACAGGGGAAAAAATGACATCCCCGACAACACCTTACGATCCTCTCTCTTCCATGAGATTCAACACTCTTGATAGGAACTCCCTACTCACGGCTTGAAGATGGCAATCTTACCAGAACACCATCCGTCCCCAGAGTCTGACCCTCTTCTTCATGATAATCGGGACATCGCAGCACCTGGGTCTACTTGCCAGACAGGTGAAATTGAACCCAGAGATGAGGTTTCTAAAGAGCTTGCGAATCGGCTCTATCTCTCGCATTTTCTATCAACATGGAACTCTCGAGTCTTCGAGTTCGGAGCAGTTCTGTACTTGGCAACGATCTACCCCGGCACATTATTGCCCATGTCGGTCTATGCCCTTTCTCGTGGTTTGGCAGCGATCATTTTGGCTTCCGCGGTGGGCCATTTCATTGATGTGACAAATCGTCTAAAAGTTGTTCGCTTATCGATTGGTGAGTTGAATTCTCATCGCGCCATCCATGGATTTGGCCTGCTCACATGAGTTTCGCCATTCCAGTGTTGCAAAGACTTGCCGTGGCCGCGTCTTGTGCTATCTTCTATCTTCTGAAAGTCAATACCCAAATTCCTCGGGGATTGAACATATCCCTTCTCGTGGCTTTGGCCTGTTTGGCATGCATCGAGAAGCTCTGCTCGATCATGAACTTGGTTGCAGTGGAAAGAGACTGGGTATGTGTAGTAAATATCAAAGCCTTGTTCTTTGATGTCCATCTCTGACGTTTGTTTCGTAGGTTGTGGTGGTTGCTGGAAATAACCATGAGAGTCTCAAGAGTATGTGCCCATCTCGTCGCATTGAAAATATGCTTGCTAATTGCTTTGTGTGTCTTAGCTATGAATGCCCAGATGAGGCGAATTGATCTCGTTTGCAAACTGGTAGGGCCTCTTTTCATTGCATCTATGGATGTAATCTCGACGGACACTGCCATTTTAGTCAACTTTGGGATGAATCTGTGTTCCGTCGTCATTGAATACCATTCAATCGCAAAGGTATTGTCCCGTCGTTACGATATGCGGCTATGTGCTCACAGTGTTCTAACTGGCGCTTTCTATCTCTAGGTCTATTACATGGTGCCTGGGTTGAGAGAATCCAAGCAACCGGTCGATCCCAACCCTTCCACTTCCAGGGACGATGTTGAGCCACATGGCCTCAAAGCACGCATATGGAAGCCCTGCCAAGCCATAACACGCAAGTCTGCTCAAGACCTCGTTTCCTACGTTGGACATCCCGTGTTCCTTCCATCATTCGCCGGCGCTTTGTTATATCTCACTGTCTTATCATTTTCCGGCCAAATGGTCACCTGGCTTTTATCCGCAGGATATGATTCAGCTTTGATTGCTGCAACTCGAGCAATTTCTGTTGCCTGCGAATTCCTAGCTACATGGATTGCTCCCTGGCTGATGGGAAGAATTGGGACCACACGCGCTGGACTTTGGCTTGCCAGCTGGCAGATTGCCTGTCTCGTGGCTGGGATGACCGTCTTCTGGGAATTCTTTGATTTCCCGCTGATTTCGGCGTCCGGGATTGTGGGGGGGCACGATTCTAAGCCGAATCGGCCTGAGGGGATTTGATCTGTGTGCTCAGATCATTGTACAAGAGGTAAGAGCCAAACGATGCGACTTGATTACCCCCGTGAATGCATTACTTCTCGAATTGCTGACGTGGTATATGAGCCCAGGGTGTCGATGCAAACACACGGGGCTCGTTCTCATCAACCGAAGCCGCGTGGCAGAACCTCTTTGAGATCTGCTCCTACATTGCGACTATCATTTTCTCGCGGCCTGATCAATTTCAATGGCCTGTTTTGATCAGTGTCATCGCAGTGACACTTGCCGGGGTACTTTATGCCAGCTTCGTCCGAACTCAACGGGGACACTTGGTTCATATGCCTAAGTGTTTGGCGGCCGATAGTTTAAGAGGACCAAGGTATTATGGCTGGGACAGACTAGTCTCATCAGATTTCTAGTTTCTACATGACACCCAAAGTCAGAGCTGAGGCTCACCTCAGGCACAAACATGATAGAGCAAAAAAAAGAAAGCAAAAAACGTAGTGGTAGGCGTCACGTGTGTGTTTCGTACGAGGGACCTTTTCTCGCCCACGTGGTACAGTCAGGACGCCCTGAAAGACACTTGTGAGAGCCCCAAAGAACCAGAGGACGCTCGTTACCACTACCCCATACTGTGATGGTAACAGTATATACCCCAGTTTGGGTTTTGACCGTCAGTTTTTGAGCACGTGCTCATGTTTATGAGTAAAAGGCAAGCTGGTACCACCAGACAATGCTCCACGACCACGAGTCTATAATTCCAAGGTTCTACATAAGGTTTGCTTAGTCATGGCTCCACCTCGGCTGGTCCGAGCGAATCATCTTGCTCTTATCCAAGAGCCTCATCCCGCAGGTCTCCACCGATGCTCAGCCAAAGTGATAGCCTAGAAAAAATCGTGACTTTTTGATTTTCCCAAGTCTACCTTATACACCAAATACCAATTCCAAGATCACAATCTCAGTCACATAAGTTTTTCTCAAGATCCAAAATTGATGCTAGCCCAATGGGTCCACGTCATCTTTCATGAAAGATAACCCCGAAGATATACGTCAAGATAACGCTCTGACCATTCGTTTTTGAGTTCAAGCAGCCGCCTCATACCGTAAACTAACGAGCCTATAGCTTTTTGTAGCTCCAGTTGCTCTTTTGTTATTCCCCGGTGCCCTTGAATAGAGAGTCTTTCCAGCACCCGGTCGTAAAAGGCTAACTCAAGCTTGTGACGATCCGTCGCATCTTTCCAGCCCGTTATGGTCACGGACCCGAAAATACTCTCCATGAAATGGAAATTCGACCCAATCGGGAGGTATATCGAACCATCCCAGTCTAGCACAGCTTGAAGTCGACCCGTTTTTTCTTCAATGAGATAGTTATATGGGGACAAATCTTGATGAGTAAGGACAATGGGTAGGCTAGCAACGTCTTGTAAACGTGGTTGGAGTTTACTGATGCAAGCGGAGATTTTGTTTCTGAGAGCTATGCTTTTGAAATTGTAGGAGTTGACAGTCTGACTGAGCTCATCAAGAGAGGAGCTGAGCTGTGATACGGTTTCAGATATGGCGACATTTGCCCTTGCTGCGCGAGTGACGAGGTCTGCCAGATCCGTGGCGGTCAGCAGCACCTTTTCTGGCGGCAGATTGAGGTCTTGAGAAGACATCACCACATTGACATATGGAATTCCTTCTGCAAAGGGTGAGGTATACACAAAAAGCATTTCGTACATGCCCTGATATGTCACCGTGGGTACGATGGATCCATGAATGCGGCTGGCTTCAATGACCCCGGAGAGGTCTTGCTTGGCAGTCCGGAATTGAACGACTGTTCGATGATTGTCATGTGTGAATCAATGATCTATTATGGCTGTATAGCTCATGCTCCCCTGGAAGGGACAGGGCCGCACAGCTATGCTGTCGGTAGCGATTGGAAGAAGGGTCGGTGTAATGTGGGTCAAGACGAACTGGTGACATGACGCGTGGGAAACCTTTGGTAGCGGCTCAAAGAATTGAGTCAGGACACGTCTCTGGTATTCATCCATCGAAGTAGTCTGACCTCGTCGGAGTAGATGTGTAGGTGCGTCCTGTTGTGTTCCAAGCTGTTCAGGGGATGGACCCGGACGCTAGACCCGAAGAGATTCTGGCCTCCAGAGGCTCCAGAGGAGCTTTCCTATACAAAAGTGAGCTCATGATGTTTCTTCAAAACGCGTGAAAACACATAGAGATCTTGAGTCGTATTACGATTCAAGAAAATGGGCCCTCGGGTGGAGAAGGTGGATCTGAGGGTCACATGACGGGCCGAAATCCCCGTGTCCACAGGGTTTCGGCGTTGTCGGGGATTTCTGCGCCGACACGATGCCCAAAAGACCATCCCTTCAAAAGAGAGCATGTGATACCTGCCATCGCAGAAAGGTAAGCTCTATCTTGAGAAATTGACCTGCACAATTTTGAGAGTCTACTAGTACTCACCCTATCGCACCGCCTGGTAGATTCAATGCTCGTTTCCTAGCACAAATGAACCATGTGAGTGGTGTACACACCGCAGTCTCGAGTGTACCTTCGACCGAGAGAGACCACGGAAGAAGCCACGGGACAGGTATGTGTAGCGCAGGATTAGAATCTTTCCGAATCGTCTAATGTGTTTCTCTCGTGTGCCCCACTCAGTGTGAATCAAACGGAAGTACAAAGCTTGTCGGAGCGCATCAAGCAACTTGAAGGAGCTATAGCGCAAGCCTCACCTGGTAGGGAGGTTACAGACCAAGCTTTTGCAAGCACCGAGGAGCCGGGGACAGCATCTCCCTGTCGCAGAAGAGAGCCAATCCCCACCACCGAAGGCGCCATCAACCAGGTTGTCCTCAACCCCACGCGAAATCCCAGTGAAAGCTTCGCCAGGCGGCCAAGAACCGAAACATTATTGCATGTAAATCAGTTGGGGCCTAACTGGTTTTTTAACGGCATGCCTATCAGCTCCGAAGCAGGCCGACAATGGATATCCACAAAGACAGATCAGCCTGTCTCGCGGGTGGAATTTTGCGTTCTTATCAGGAAGAATACTGTTCTTCCGTATTTAGGCTCATCTCCATGCGATATTCTTGAATTACCCGATGAGGTCGCCACGCGAGGTATATTGGAGTTATACTTTAAGTCCTCGTTTCGCGTCGCGTTTCCAGTCCTGGATGAATTCCTGATGGAAGATACCGTTAGAGGGGCTTATAGCTCAACAGCCGCAGGAGACTCATATTCTACTCCGCAAATCTCAGCGAAGGCTTGTACTTTGGCGGCCATTTCCTTGGCATCTGGGTTGAATCTTTCGAGGCAGACTTCAAATCCTATGGAGACAGATGCGTGTGCCTCCCGAGCACACTGTCTTTTAGCAGAACTCAGTGGAGATATCAGCTTGACATCTCTTCAGACAATAATTTTACTGGTATTTTCCATCCCTTTGTTCGTCTTTGGCGCACCGCACCAAAGCGCGATGCTGACTTGCATGATCAGCAATTGCAGACTATGTTCAATGGTCATTGGCAAAAAGCTAGCACCTTCAATTCGATGGCATGCTCCATGCTTTGCTCTCTCGGTGGACACATACAACAAGAAAGAAAGTCTCCTGGTATTCAAAACCCTCGGAAAGAACGCGAAACCCGTCACATCCGGATGCTATTCTGGGTATCCTACATGCTTGATAAAGACATAGCTCTTCGGACAGGAAACCCGCCCCAGCTTACCGACACCTACTGCGACCTCTCTCTGCCCGAAGACTATATGCAACACTATGACTACCTGTCGGCAAGACAAGAGCTACAGAAACCTGATGAGCAAATGTTTGAGCATCTCACTCCCCATCTACCTGGAGACCCTCGTCTGAGCTGTCTAAAAGAAAAAGTTTGCCGAAATCTTTTCTCCGCCCAGGCATTGAAAAATGACAACAACGAACTCCTCTTCAACATACGACAACTTGATGATGAGATTGAACACTGGCGCCTGTCCATTCCCACACAGTTTCGTCCTGCACTATTTGTCTCACAAAGCTCCCCAGTGAACACCCTGAGTGGGGAATCCCCTCGGTTTAGCCGACTAATATCTCTGCAATTGGAGTACCATCACCTCATGACGGTTATTCACACCACAGTCCGGAAATGTATCCCAGATGCTGGTGATGGATACCGTGATCAACACCATGTGGTTCATTCTAGTTTCGACATATCCCTGGAGGCCAGTCGATCTACACTCTGGTGTATCAAGCTTCTCTGTGCCAAGGCTACGGAAGGCAAGATCCGGTAAGTGAACACTGCTGGTACATCTCGATAAGTCGGGGTACCCTCGTGGCCCCCTCGTAGCCAAGGTTATCTTAAATTGACTTGAGATGCAGATTTATCGTGTCATATTTGACAACAGCAGCCATGTCACTATTTCTCAACATCGTTATCCACCCTCTTGATCCCCAGGCACAGCTTGACTTGGAGGCTCTCATGTCAGTATCTAATGCAGTACGAAAAACAATTTCAAGTGATTCGACGGAAGATGAAAAATGCCGACTGTCAGAGGCGAGTGATTTTGTCATGAGACTAGTGTGGCTTGGAACAAGTGCAGTGACCAAAGGAGCAAGAAGAACTTGATTTGGTATAGTATCATGGATAGCTGCTGATATTATCCAATAAGCATCTCAATCGAATTTCATGATTATATTCATTTGAAGTTGATCGACTGACGATTTTAATATGGTAATGAAAATTACATGCTGGATTCCAAAGTTTGGCGTATATTCCGATTAAACAATCACCAACCATCATCAAGCATTTCTATCCTCGGATGAGGTTAGCTATAATTGAGAATTCACCTGGTTGTACTAAAATTTTAATTAGACACCGTTGTCAAGATCTTAAGTTGTAATTTATCCATTTCACTCGCTTGTATGGCACGTGAATTACACGGATACCTGAATTGCTTAGTAAAAGCAGGCATCGACACCTTAAACAGTCAACATCGCTCAACTTGAGAGCTTCCAAGGCCGCAGGAAGAGAAGTTGTGTGACAAGAAATATCCGGTGTTCCTTTATCGAGTAGCGCTTCGAAATTTTCTCATATCAATTCCCCATCATCTTCCCACCACCATCTTCCCGCATCCTTTGATATCCACCATGACGGATGCTTTCCCCGCCGCCCTCACAGGGCCAACCTCCAAGGAGCGCAAGTATGATCGCCAACTGCGCCTGTGGGCTGCAACTGGTCAACAAGCCCTCGAGGACTCACGCGTTTTACTTGTGAATTCTGATGGCCCACTTGGTCAATATAACACCGGTGTGTCCGGCGTTGCGGGTGTCGAGACCCTCAAGAACCTTGTCTTGCCAGGAATCGGTGGCTTCACTATAGTTGACCCCGCAACAGTCACCGAGTCTGATCTCGGTGTCAATTTCTTCCTGGAAGAAGAGTCACTTGGCAAGTCTCGTGCCGAGGAAACCTGCCGACTACTGAGAGAATTAAATCCTGACGTGCAGGGATACCACTACTCCAAGGTAAGATGTTGTTTCCTGAGCTTTGTGCAAAGACCGCTTTTGACTCACATTGAAAATAGCGCATTGAGGATCTCATCGTCGATGATGACTTTTTGCCCCGACACAAGCTGGTCATCATCTCTGGCCCGATCAGACGATCAACATTAGCGCCTCTGTGTTGGCAAGCAAAGAATCTGGGCATTCCTGTGCTGTATCTTCACTCTGTAGGATTTTACTCCACATTTTCGGTTCAACTTCCAGCGGAATTCCCTATCGTTGAGACGCACCCTGATCCAGAATCCACCCAAGATCTGCGTCTTCTGAATCCTTGGCCGGAGCTTGTTGCTGCAGCTGCCAAATTGAACGACTTGGACACTCTCGATGACCATCAACATGGCCACGTCCCCTACATCCTTCTATTACTCCACTTCCTGGAGCAATGGAAAACATCACATGATGGCAACGCACCCAAGAACTACAAAGAGAAGACCGAGTTCAGAGAATTTTTGCGGGCCCAAGCACGAACTTCCAATCCCGAGGGAGGCGAGGAGAACTTTGACGAGGCTGTTTCCGCTGTGCTGAAGACCATCGCACCTTTCGAATTGCGCAGCTCGATTCGGGAGATCTTCAACATGGATGAATGCCAGCAACTAACCTCTATCTCCCAAGACTTCTGGATAATCGCATCAGCCATCAAAACTTTCCATGCATCACATGGCGTTTTGCCTCTTCCTGGCTCTCTGCCCGACATGAAAGCCCAGTCAGCAGATTATGTCGCACTGCAGAACATCTATAAGACCAAAGCACGACAAGACATCGAAGAAGTGACGGCGACGGTACGCCAGCTCGAGTCCCAAATCGGTCGCCAATCACCAGCCATTCTCGACCGGGAGATTGAAGTGTTCTGCAAGAATGCCGCGCATATTAAGGTCGTCCGAGGTCGCGATATTCCTCAGATCAGCATTGACAGCGACGCCTCCACATTGAAGAAGATCCGAAGCGAGCTCAATAACGAAGACTCTCTCATCCCCATTTTCATCGCTACTCAGATCCTCGATTCAGTGGTGGATGAAATCCAGTCCAACGGCTTAGAGAAGGAGAGAACTGTCAATGACAGTGCTCTCTGGCACAGTCACACGGAGCGCATTCTAGCTTTACTTACTGGGGTGGATGGGTCTGCTGTTGAGCCGGCGGCGCGGGAGCAAGTCGGGCGCGCAATCAAGGAGTTGTGTCGCGCCGAGGGTGGTGAGCTGCACAACATTTCTTCATTGACGGGTGGACTTGTTGCGCAGGAGGCATTGAAGGTAATTACTAGACAGTATGGTCCACTGGACAATACGTGTGTCTTCGATGGAGCTAGGAGTAAGAGTGAGATGTACAGGCTGTAAACATCTAAATGAGTTTTGCACTACCTATCACAATTCCTGTATCTATTGGAGAATTGAAGTGGATCTGAACTTTACATGGAAAGACTTGAATCTGCGTATGGACATTTCATTTATCGACAGAGTAATACGATCATCATTAATCAGGCAGATTGATAATTATTAGCGTCGTTTCGACTTTTGAGGGCCACGACCACCTCGTTTGGGTCCCCGGGGCCCGCCCTGATTCTCGTATAGCTTCTCCTTTCCAAATGCCGAATCGGCGACGCGCAAGTAACTCACGACACCCTGGTCCACAACAGCCAGAATGACGTGGCGATAGCCATGCCGCAATCGCATATACATCATCCGCTCCATCTTTTCTCCACTAGGCGGATCGAGTGGTGTGCTTTCAAGTAATGCACCAAGCTGGGACATTGTTGGCATGGTAGTTTGGTCACGGGTGCTCAAAACCGCGAGACGGAAGTCGGGGGCAGGCGGTGCTGACTTTTTGTATGGCGTCGAAGGTTTCCAAACGTGGAACACGATTCGGAATGGCGTGGTGGTATCAGAAGTATGTGAAGGAGAGGCAGTGACTGGGTCGTACCATGGAATTAATGCAAGCTTGCGATATACATCCATGTAGTGACGATGAATCCCAGTACCGATTATAGGACCGGTTGTTGTAGAAGCTGTGGAATGGGGGTCATGAAGCCAATTGAAGAATGATCCTAGGATACCCGCCAGACCGGCTCCGCGTAGCGTGGGTGTAGCACTTTCGTTAGTGTCCGGACTATCAGTGTCATTCTGTTCCACTTCATCGCACCACCCGGGAGCCCGACCGAGTGTGTATCCGAGACGCTTGAGGCCACTATAAACGGAGTATCGTTCAAGAGTCAGACCCCCATGTCCCACAAAGCATGTATAGGCCGCCTGCAAGCTCATTGGTATGGAGAGATCTTCCTCCCCTGGGGTTGTAGGGTCGGGCGAGCTAGGCCATCTGATATCGAGACTGCCTCTCTCGAGAAGATATAAAGCTTCTTCTGGCAACAGCCAGAGGCGATTCCACCGGTCGCTCTGACCGATTGATTTGAAGAGTGTGCCTTTTGGATTAGGCACATAGACACATACATCGGGATGTATGTTGGCAGACCTCGGCGTCGGCCGTGCGGGCTTCTCTGCTGACTCGTCGGGGCCCTTCTCTGTCTGTTGCGGTGCTTTGGGGGGAGAAATATCGGCGAGAGGCGTATATCCATCCGGAGCATAGAAAGCCACGACATGAGTCTTTGGGCCATGGAGCCGAGGAAATGAGAGCGCGTTGTGCATAGCTTTGCGCGATTCGGAGAGGACGCCGGTTTGATGTTCTGTTGGGTTTGGCTCAAAATCTTTCTCGCCACGACGCGGGAGACTACTTGAGTCTGCATAGCTGTATAGCCCAGGAAGTTAGCTAACATTCATCCGAACGTAGTTCATGGCACCTACATGTTCAAGTTGTTGAGGAACCGGAAGTCCTGTGTCTCGTCGGACAGATCGACCTCTTCCTGTGTGGATGCATTTGCAGGATTCTGGAGGACCTCCTCGTCTGCGTCCGCCATATTGAAAATGGCGAGTTGTGCAATTGGCAGTCAGGTTCTTGGAGGGGAGTAATCTCGGAGTCAGAAAAGATAAAGATGCGCTTATCGATAAGATGAGGTGGCAGAAATATACCGCCTCCGGAGTCTACACCATTGCTTTGCGCACTCAAACGGCCTTCGGAATACGGCAAACGCCAGAGAAAGGTATCTGGAGACATTATTGATTGTATCTAACTCGAGTTGCTATTTCTGTATAAAATTCAAGGACTTTCTCTTCAAGACAACATCGGTCTTCCTCAAATACACCCCCTTTATTCTACTGCTTCTCCAACATCACGACTTGACTTCCATAATCTGTGGAGAAGGGGAATTGCAAGCCAAGGTTCATCAAAGTCGCGCCAGTGTATGTTGCGTTGCCATCGATCTTGTACGAAGCCTGTGCGTCCAAGCCCTGCAGCCTAATACGCGGCCAAGAGTGGTCGATGTTGGGCGCGAGCTGGAAGACAAACAAAACAGCCTGCTTTCCATCCTCGCCAATGAACAAAGCAGCGGGCCAGTTTGAGTCTTCTGGTAAGTTCAACCGCCACAAGTCACCATTCAGAATGATGGGGTTGATCTTCTCCGAAAGCTCAATAAGACCCGGAAGAGCAGCCTTGTCCTCGGCAGTCATCTCAGCAGGATCAAGCTCCAGGCCGAAAGATCCACCCATCATCGCGACATGGCCGCGGAAGGCAACAGGGACAGTACGGCCGGTCTGCTGGTTTGGCACGGCGGACAAGTGAGCGCCCATTGCACTCGGGGGGTATGCAAGGGATGTACCGAGCTGAATGGAAATACGCTCCACGGCGTCCGTGTCATCCGAAGTCCAGATTTGAGGGAAGTATTGCAGAACACCCGGATCGAAACGACCTCCACCTGAGGCGCAGCCTTCCCAAAGAACATCGGGGAACTTGGTGGTCAGCTCGTCGAAGACACGATACATGCCGAGCATGTAGGCATGGTTCGTTGCGGGAGAAGGCATCTCATGGATACCTCTGTTGTTGTCCCACTTGACATAGCTGATGTCTGCACTGTTGAGGATGTCCGAGACAGACTTGATGATAAAGTCCTGGACCTCGGGGAGCGCGAGGTTGAGGACGAGCTGGTTACGTCGCTCGGTCCGTGGGTAGGGGCCTGCGTGCAAAGCCCAGTCTGGGTGCTCGTTATACAAGGTGGAATTGGGGTTGACCATCTCTGGCTCGACCCAGATACCGAAACGCAAATTCGTTGAAGTGTTTCCGGCTTTGAGATCCGTAATCTTCTTGACAATTGGCTCCAGACCGTCTGGGAAACGAGCTGGGTTCGGCACCCAGTCACCCAAGCCTTCTTCGTCAGATATACGGGGGTATTCGTCGCCGAACCAACCGTCGTCCAGGACGAAGAGCTTGGCGCCCACCTCAGCGGACTCCTTTGCAAGGTTATAGATACTGCTTTGGTTGAAGGTAGATCCAAGTCCCTCCCAGCTGTTGAGAAGTGCAGGACGATCACTGGTGGCAAACTTGCTCTTGATGAGATGCTTGCGGTACAAGCTATGGAACGCTCGTGACATGCCACCAAGTCCGTCCTTAGAATACACAGACACACATTCCGGGGATGCGAGACTCTCGCCGGGTGCTAGCTTCCAGGAGAGCTGGCCGGAGTTGAAGCCAAGAAGGGCGCGGGTGAAGCCCTGAGAGCCCTTTTCGACATCCACCGAGAATGATCCAGTATACACCAGCGAGAAGCCCCACGCTTCTCCGTGAGACTCAGTGGTTGAAGGCTCAACCAATGCCAAGAATGGGTTGTGAAGGTGAGATGAGTATCCGGTCGAACTTCCAAAGCTTTGAATGCCATACTCGACCTTTCTTCTCTCCTTGTGGGCTTCTCTGGCCCAATCACCCCGAAGGCTGATCATTTCCAGGTCCTCGAATGGCAAGTCCACGCTGAGACTGGCCAAAGACTCGATGGTAATATTTCCCTCGCCATGGTTCGTGACGTTGACACTGCGCACAATGGCATCGTACTTGGGGAAGATCGAATACGACAAGTCTGCCGCAACATCGCTATACTTATCGTATAGACTGACGACTAGAGTGCTCACATCTTCCTCGCTGCCCATAGTAGCGGGCAAACCAGCAATAGCGGGTTTTCCTGCAACGATTCGGTGCGATTTGTATTGCAAGTCAGAGACGGTGTATCCTGCCGACTGGCGGATGCGAATTGCAGGGATACGGAAGTCCCCGCGCCCTTGGTCAGGGAATTCGCGGCGGACACGGCCAGTGGTACCAACCCAGCCATTGACATCGCCCACAGACTCCAGGGGAATGTCGCCAGTGACGGGGCCACCGAAGTGGTCCCCAAGAAGGTCACCGGTGCTGTTGTCCACATGGAAGCGGTATGATACATTGTCGCCATTGAGAGCGAAGGAAGTTCCATCCGCCACAATTGCTGTTAAGCACACAATTAGTACCAACGATCAAGCAGACGATTGATCCACAATCCTGGGGTCTATTACTCACGCTTGGTGTTTGTGTTCTGCGCCATGACAGTTGGGCAGTGGGCAAGTATAGCTACGAGGCTCGTAGCCACCGCAGCATTCCTTGTGAAGCGAACCATTTTAGCTGAGGTCTGAAGAGCTCCAATTGACGACAGAGAGAATCTTTCTATACCTTTATACCTTTTTCTCTTCGTGTGGGGAGGTTACATCCACGGTAGTGGATATCAAATATCAAACTTAATAATTGCAATGACTAGGAAGAAGAGTGCGCCCACACGAAAACAATGGAAATGCCAAGCACACTCATAACTCTAGCAACAATTGACCTGCCGATCGCAGGCCAACAGAAGACTATAAAAGACCGGCGTGGAGTAAAATTGCGGGGTTCGAAATGCGGAGGACCCGGCATTTGTCCGCGTCGGCTTTGCACCGCCCTCATTGGCTGGCTCTTTTCAATTCCGCCGGACTGTTTGCTCTTCGCCAATTCCCCCAATCTCCTTGCTCTTACAAATGACGTATATGCTGGCTTCAAATGCCGCAAGCTAACACAAAATGAGATTGGCAAAGGCATGTTCAGTATGCCGGTAAGCAATTTATCCCTCGCCCCCGCAGCCCGCGCTCATACGATGTCAGTGAACGGCGGCGAAAATGCGACATTCGGAGGCCTGGCCTCGCTTGCATATACTGCTCGACCCGAAATTTGACATGCACTCGGGCGGAGTCTGTGGTTCCGAAAATCTCGGCGTCTGTATCAGACAAGTCAACCCCGGTCTCTAGGAGTGATGCTCTGTCGGAGCCCGAGGTCTGCACTTTGCCGGATCAACCTCTTTGTACGGATCTTGTACAGCTCTACTTTGACTATGTGCATGATAAATTCCATTCGCTGTTCCATCGGCCTAGTCTGATGGAAGACATATTCCGAGGCGAAGCACCAGAAATATTGATCTATGGCATGTTGGCACTTTCGGCCCGGTATGATCCCTGTGATTCGGCCCGAGTGGCTTGGGACTGACTCCGGTAGCTTCTCAACAAATTCCTCCCTTGCAGACATAGATCCTCGAGAAAGAGGAAGGGGCTATGCTACACGATGTGAAAACTTACTAGATCTGAATGATGTCTCAGTAACGACCATTCAGGCCTGCGTCTTGCTGGGTGCCATCGGCGTGGTGGATGGCAAGCCTGCCTCGGAAACAATTTATTACGCAGTTGCATGTCGTATAGCTCAACTGCTCGATCTACCACATTGCCAGGCTCCAAATCAGGTGGAGCAAGAACTATACATCAGAGGTGCGTATTGACACTCATTTCACCGGCGCAGACTAATGTCCAAAAGTGTGGTGGACCCTCTGCATGATAGATGTCTGGTCTTCAACCGGAGTTCGACTCCCACGGCTACTAACACCAAAACCAAACACACCCCTCCCAATGGACGAAGCAACATTCCTAAACATGAGCCGCACACAAGGCTTCACAGCCCAAGTCAGCGCAGACCGTGCCTCATCCCTCCTCGCACAAATGGTCCTCCTAAACCGCATCCTCTGCGAAATCAACGACTTCAACATCCAAGCCGCCAACACAACCCTATCAACAGAGTTCATAATGAGCAAAATCTCCGCCCTCTCCACCAAACTCGACGACTGGCTCGCCCACCTCCCCGCACACATGCACGACACCCGCACCAACCTGCTCACATTCGCATCACAAGGCCTAGGCCAACTCTTCGTAACCCTCTACCTAGGCTACTACCACTACGGCCAAATGCTCTTCTACCGATTCCTGCACGAAGATGTTCGCGGCCACGTTCCGCGAACCCATTTCTACGCAAACAAATGCAAAGAGCACGCTGTATTGCTTTGCGAGATGATCTACAGCTCGGACGAAGTGCCTGGCTGCGACGTGCTATACAATATGGTCGGACATGTCCTTGTAATAGCATCGACGGTTCAGATTCATACGTTGCTGTTCGGGGTTGATAATGAGAGTATAACACATGCGAGACGAAGGTTGGAGAGGAATTTCTGTATTCTTACCCGGCTCCGTGGTCTTTGGCCTACGCTTGATATTTGTATGGAGCGGCTGCAGGCTTTCCATCGGGCTTGTAGGCGTTCGGTTGATACTAGTTTTTGTATGGATGGGTGGATGGTTAGGTTTTTGGTTGAATTCGCTAATCCGGTTAGTGAGAGGGGAGATGACGAGGTTGAGAAACCGTGGACACTTGAAGAAATTGGAATATCAAATTGTTGAGCGAGACTCATGTTTGAGGTTCAGTTTGATTTAGCCCATGATGGTATAGTTCTCTAGGCGGTGACGGGGCGGCTGGATATACCCAACTTTGCAATGGGCCGGCCCCTCAGATTCAAGCCGCACACTCAAGTATCTCCAAGTTTGAGAACTTCGGTCCTACGGGACTCCAACACCCTCAATGGACACCAAAACTCAAAATCTCGTGAATTATAATGAGAGTTTACGCAAGGTATGCTCTGACAGTCACCGGATGTATCGAAACCTTGGAATAACACGGCAACAGATATCAAACAGTCTTGGCAATGCGCTCGATACATTCGGTGCCTCTTCCAGACAATACCAGGCAATTTTGGAAATTTTAAAAGAATGTCTGCGAGAAATCGAGAGTGAAAGCGCAGAACGGAGCAAAGATCAAGTAGTCGACGCAGACATGCTCAGCACCGCGATGGGATTTCTAGATATTGGGAAATGAAAAAGTGGATCGGGAAAGGATCTTGGGAGCATTGTGCATGAAGTTGATACCCTTTTTACACAAATTTTGCAATAAAGCAATACATATATCATTTGTCAGTGTTGAAGCGATGATACCTAAGTAAATCCTCAGTCAAGACACGTATATCATCATGGATACATTGCCCGACACATGCATATGAATACAGTTTGTGTTCTGGTACTGACGGGTTTAATGTCCCCCCAGAGCCAGTTCAATGGGAACAGACACTTGGATGATGAACAAGTCAAAAGGGGGGTACATGAAACGAGCGCGTTCCCAGGAAATTCTGACGATAGTGCACCAACACCCCATACCCGTGTTCCTAATAAGCAACCAGCTTTCAAAAATGCCATGCAACAAACTCCAGGATCTATGCAATCATAAGACATATCATGATGTGGCGTGGGCACGGAGTTGGGTATTGCCTCCGTACCGCTTGCAGGGGCACCGAACATTAAGGCCACTCTCGGTCCTTGAGATAATTGGGGTCGTTGATCCAGCAGCGGATCGGTAGCGGACCGAGGTGAGTGTGATTAAATAAGGATATTGTCATTGTTCATGATCAAGAGCGGTATACGACCTCAGTCGATCAGCGGTTTCTTCTGGTTGCCCACAATGGCACAGCCCAGGTGGCTGAGGGCGTTGTGGTCGTTGGGTCGTACTATTGCCGGGAGGGGCAGCATTGGGTTGTCTGGATTGATATGCGCGGCGTCGCGAGCGGCTTGCTCGATAGCTTCCATTTCCTCCTTGCAGCCGGCATGGTCGAGTGGACAGACCACGATCGGCTGTCGTATGGTGATATCTCTGGCAGAGGTTAAGTGGGCCTAATGAATGTCAGTCATCCCAATGGTGTGCTATGAGGCCGACAGGGGAAACTCACTCGCACGGTGAGGTAGTACTCAATCTTATATAAACTGGCTGTGGTGGTGAAACCGCTCACGCCGTATGTCGGAAATGCGGCTCGATTCCTAGGCAAGATTCCTTCGGCGTCGCGCAAGTCCTTGGCAGGAAATACCAATCCCAAATTTGTCAAGTAGCCGGACTGGGGCAGTTTGACACCGATAATCTCCGTCTTTTTTGCTAGAACCTTCACTTTGCGTTGAGGCTCGTCTCCCTCGTGGTTGAAGATGATCTCCTCGTCGATGCCGATGGTGATCTTACTGATGGTCACTTTGCGTGCCTTGCCCATCCAGCTTTCGTTCGGTGATAACTTAACGTAGACGCTCACGGGATCCAGGGGACCGTATGACCACCTCGGTACGGAGATGGCCAGTGTGACCAAATGATCCGATACCCGTTCCGCGGACTCGGGACGATTATACATGCCGAAAGTGGAAAGTGTGTCATAGCGCGCAATGGGCACCGGGAAGGTATATTTGCGCTGTTCTTGTTGCCCTTGCTGGACCATCACCACCATCTCGTAGTAGGTTTCGGCGGTACGACTCTGGAGCTGTACACTAGCTGGGGGCACACGGCGGGAGGCATCACGACCCCCACGACCAAATGGAATAAATAGCACAAAAGGCAGATCCATGGATATTACCTCTTCGTATTCTCTTCCGGCGGGGCATCGGAACAGGAGCATCTCTTTGCCCACGATATCTGTAATCTCTTTGCGTGGTGGTGCCAAGCGTTTCTTTGCAACGGAGTCGGCCGAGGGGTGGATGGTTTCGCGACGGAGGAGGGAGATGGTGACGAGCGAAACGTTGACGGGGGCTGTAATACCAGCGCAGGGGCGGATTTCGACTTTACCCTCGATGCGTGGCTTGGAAGTGTCAATCAATGGCTTGGACCAGGGGGGCCGAACTGCCTTGTCGCATGGCTGTCCTAAAGGGCGCTCACCATAGTCGCGGAGATTCCTGGGTATCCGAGCAGGAAATTGCCATTTGCCGGGCCTGAAATGCGCACGAAGGCGGCCATCTCGAATCAAGTGTGCCTGTAGCACCATGGACATGCGGAGGTCGATGGGTTCGTGGAGATGCGAGTGGTTGGGAAGCGGGAGATCGTTGTTCGCAGCTCGAAATGGCCCACGGATTGGACTGGATAATGAGGAATTTGAGCGAGACAGGTGTGAAGGGCGTTAGAGCTGAAAGTTGGGGGTGCGGAGGACGGAGAAGGTGATTGAGAAGCTGGCTCCTGACGGTGGGGAAAGGTGAACCGAGAGCCCCCCCAACTTCGTGATTTTGAGCCTCTCGCTTGGATCTACTCTACTTTGGTCCTACTCCGTCAGTTCTTACGTGTCATGATATACTTCGGATAATCTCTTTCCTTCTATGCGAGCGAGGTCTCTACAAAGTATAGATGTGTCTCAAGTCCAATTCGCAATGTCATCATCGTCATCACACATGGGCGCTTAGGGCCGATCACACTGTGATGCAATCTATCTTGCTTACTATTTGGCATAGAGAAAGTAGACCGAATAGACAACTATATACACTTTGTGTACTATTTAGATACACAATATAGAATGGCCGGAAACAGTTCCATGGTCAAAATTCCGATCTGGTTGGTTGCCAGTGCAACCATGACGTTCTTCTTCTCCACAAGCCCTCGACTCTACTTCTTGCATCTCCACTGAGCTTAAAACCACCCACTTCGTACATTTATATACTAACTACTCATACTACACACACACACAATACACACTATGCCTCCTCGTCGCCGAACAGCAAACACTGGGCAGTCTACACTGTCGTTCGGCTCCCAGGCCCGGGTCACCAAACCAGTTACCGCACCCTCCAAGGCCAAGGCTCTCGACTCGCTCCCACGAACCAAAGCCTCTCCGACTCCAGAGTCACCATTGTCGGAAGTCCCGGAAACTTCCAAGCCTCATGTCGCAGAATTAGTAGTGCGCCAGCAGGCCGCAGTTGAAGCTGAAGCCCCGCAAACCGAAGAGGACCGACAGGCATTGAAGTTGAACAAGCAGGACATCTGGCGATACTGGAGAGCTCAAGATGAGAATCGTCTGGCACCTCGAGGTAAGTAGCGCTTAAAATGGCTAAAAGTGCTAGGCTGACTCTATTCGATAGTACACCAAGAGGGACTGGACATAGAAGAAAAGATTCTGAGAAATTTTGATCTCTCAAGTCAGTATGGGGTATGTGATACAGTATCCAACATCTACATAAATGAGGTCTCTAATAAATTATCTAGCCCTGCATTGGAATCGCTCGAATTAAGCGCTGGCGTCGCGCCAGCCAGTTGAAGCTCAATCCTCCCCTCGAAGTTCTGGCGGTCCTCCTCAAGGGAAAGGACATAAAGGAACGAGCATACATTGACGAGTTATTGTCATGAGGACTTTTTGGGTTGAATTTTGGTATCAGCATGGCGTTGGTGGAATAATCATTTTGATCGATGAGAAATGTCCCTTTGAGTCTGTCTCATGTTGCAATAGAGATCTCAAGTCGGGAGACCGACATGTAAATATTCATATGCCCAATTCATATCCATTGGGTGTGGTCTTCGAGGGATCCCTCGTTCCTGTGTTGATTCCCTCTAACCTCGCACTTCGCTTGGACAGCCATGACTCATGACCTTTGTATCACCGATGTCAGGCTCGCATGTGCTCAGCCGAGGCAGCGAGACGCTTTATGCTTCATGTTTCAGGCAAATCGAACCTACCCAGCGACGACTTCGAGAACAGTCGTGAGGCAAAAGGTAAGTTTAATGCGGTTGAATGATCCTCGCGAGTCATCAGACAAACCAGGGCCTGAGCTAATCTTGGAAGATTCCCCAATCCGACTAAACATATCCCGCAAAAGGCTATCAGTCAGGCACCAGACGCCATCTCATCTCGGTTCCAACTCCACACTCTAGAGCGTGTGGATCTCAGCGACAATGCATCTGTTCGGGCCAACCGGAGTGACCCGCCCCCGCGATATGTTTGCTTTTTCTTCTACACGAAATGCTTCTCGTCAGGTCCATTTGTCAGACATAGTCCTAGGGCTCATGATTCACCATAACACACACACACACACACACACACCTGAAATCTGAAATCTGAACTAAATTCTGTTTGAATTCACATGAGGTTTGGCCCGATGCGGCCTTTTAGGAGGCAAATTCCGAAAGTCAATTAAAATGGCTGGACGGCATCGCTAAGAAGGCCCATGTGATCGACTCGTCCCTGATTTCCCAGATCTCTTTACAATGACCACTAGTGGCCTTGGCAAGCCCTGTGGTGGTTGTCAAAGGTCGAAGCTTCTGGTCCAGTCTTTGGCCCCCGCTCGAATGTCTCACTTGGGCCTTGCACCGTGGCCCACTATGCCGGATACAACTTCCAATATTCATACGGAGTACCAGCGGCCAACTTGAAATTACAGAGAACGTTTGACACTGACGAGGGTCAGCGTTGCTTCATGCAGGTACAGTAACTCAAGATCGACTTATATCACTCGGACAAAGTTAACACTCCGGTTTACTTGCTAGTCCATGTTTATCCCGGACTATAATTATTGAAGTGCTATAAAGTGCCAAGCGCTTTGTACTTTGACCATGCTTGAAGGTCTCTTTGAGAGTTATTCCGGGAAACAGGTCAAGGAAAGGATTTGCCACGAACCCAGGAGCCCTATCGTGAGTTCTTGACTGGATAGCCACGCCACAGGTTGACCTCCAAACAATGTACTATAGTTATGTCCCCTGAGTTTGGACCCTGAGAAGTCTGGAGGGGCACGTACTCCGTACTACCCCAAAGCCAGACAAGACCAAATCGAGTCGAACAAAGGCAAAATAGATTAATTGCTGGTTCGGACCAAGACCCAAAGGGGGATAGTTCGATACTACCCTCGGGCCGGGGGGTCCAGTTTTTTCCCCGGATTTTCCTTACGCTTTGCCACTCGAATTGTTGGCATTTCCTGTTGTTTTGGTGTCTTTCGCGGGATTGGGCCCTCTACATTCCTCATGTACACCGCTTGATCATCCGCCCAGTTAAACTTGGGCGTGCACAAGACCTACCGCACCAGAGACGCTGCACAACCTCACCTGCGCCAACCACAAGCTCGTACATGAAAAGTACCACTTCCTCAGGTCTGGTCTAACAAGGTGGAGATTACCGCCCAAATGTGCCCCATTCGGCCGTAAGCCTAGCTGGAAATGGGAACCACTGCACAACCAGACATTGCCACTGGGCCAGCCTCTGACGGCCTCCCACTTCCCTCCGGTCTAACCCTGACTTGGTAACGCGAGCATACGTACACTGTACGAGACACCAGCGCTATGGGGTCAGCCATTGTTCAATGCTACGCTCAATTGGCCATTGAGCTCAGGGCCTGGCGTCAGCCATCAGGCTTGGCTTTGCAAAGGCCGGACCAGGGTCGCAGTCCGTGGTAATTACAGGTTTGAGCCAACCGCGGTCTTGTCCTCTCCGTTGGTCAATATGCATTTACATTAAACATGCGGAGGCATGTGATGGTTCTTTCCGTCGGCCTTTCGTGTGACCCTGCCTGGACGCTGCAGTGCAGATTAAGCCGCTGGCGAAGCTTATAAGAAGGGCATGCCCGTCCAAGACTCGGTTCTTTTCGCCAGCTCATCCATACTCGTTGATTATCAAACAGTCGTTTCCGACAACCCGTTTATATTATATCTCATATATTCAGTCCCGTCAGTCTCAAGATGAAGTTCTCCACCACCCTTGTTGCCCTCGTTGCCGCCGGTCTGGCTCAGGCCCAGCTGCCCGATGTGCCCCCTTGCTCGGTACATATCACCGCCCGATCAGACATATGAACGTGATCACTGACTCCTCTAGCTTTCATGCTTCGTGTCTGCCCTCGGTAGCGACGGCTGCTCTGAGCTCCTCGACTTCAAGTGCCACTGCAAGAAGACCGAGCTGGTCAGCAGCATCACTCCTTGCGTGAAGAAGGCCTGCGACGTCGAAGCCCAGATCTGTATGTTCAATCATTCACTTCCTTCCGTCCACAGTCCACCAACTAACCCAATCAGCCGTCTCCAACGCCGTTGTCGCCCAATGCTCTTCCGCTGGCGTCTCCATCTCGGTGCCTCCCGTCGAGACCACCAGCGCCACCAGCGCTTCCTCGACTGGAGCCAGCTCCTCCAGCTCCACCCCAGCTGAGACCAGCGCCACCCCTACTTCGACTGCCACTGCCACCTCCAGTGAAAGCTCCAGTGCCGCCGGCTCTTCCACCGCCGCCTCTTCTTCTGCCGAGTCTTCCTCTGTCGAGCCTACCTCTGCTGGCTCCACTGCCGTTGGCTCCTCCAGCGGTGCTGCCACCTCTACCCCTCTGGGAACCAAGACTGGCTCTGCCTCTGCTTCGGCGTCCTCCCCTGCCTACACTGGCGCTGCTGCCAATGTCAAGGGTAACCTTGCCGGTGTTGCTGCTGTTGTTGCTGCCGCCGCTTACGTTCTGTAAATATATCTATAATTAATTTGTACTGTCGGGGTTTAGAACAGCTTGCTGTCTTTTCAAGTCGGTTGGCGGTTGGGCTGGCTGACATTGTTCTATTATCCTGTTCAGTTGGAACTATTAATACAATGTGTGCTTTGGTTCATCTATGATGATCAAGCGTTTATATGATCTGTTTTCTCGATTTTCTAGTATGTCAATTTTTGGGTTTGGCAAAATGTGTCTATAGTTCCTTGGGTTGAAGCTGCAATGCCTCTGACGTCAATTACGGGACACACTATGATGCATGTTGAACATCAAATGTCGAGGTCTTAGTAGCGACACCTCTTTCCAAGTTAAAACTCGCTACGGAGTAGATGTGTGGAGCCTGATGAGGGAATACCTAGGTACACAAACAGGATGGGGTTAGAGTGGTCCCGATGACATCAGAGGGGTCAGACAAGCATTTTGAGCCGACTTCCACGTTCCGATCGTCGCTGCTTATTTACTTCCATTCTGTCCACTTTGCATTGTCAATCCTAACAGCATTCCTCGAGATGTCGAGCTTCAAGTCGAAATTCAGCCATCTTCCCCGCGCAGCAGCGGGACCTCTGACATGTCCATACAAGGTAAGCTGGACAAGTCAACACTTCAACGACTTTCTCTAAGATTTGCAGGGTGCATCGGTACTTCAGTCATCACAGTTTAATAAAGGTTCTGCCTTTCCGCACCATGAGCGAGATGCCTTTAAGCTGCATGGTCTCCTGCCGCCAAACATTCAGACGCTGGATGAGCAGGTCCAACGCGCCTACCAGCAATACAGCAGTAGATCGGACGATCTGGCGAAGAACACGTTTTTGTCTAGTATGAAAGCACAGAATGAAGTGCTTTACTACAATGTTGGCAGATAATGCGAATTACTTAAGGATGGTTCGGCTAATTTCCCTTTAGCTTGTTCAAACTCATTTAAAGGAGATGTTCAGCGTGATTTACACGCCTACTGAAGGTGATGCGATCCAGAATTACTCGCGGCTGTTTCGAAAGCCCGAGGGATGCTTCTTGAATATCAATGATCAAGAACGCATCGATGAGAGCCTCTCGGCCTTTGGGGTTGTTGAGGATATTGATTATATTGTGGTTAGCGATGGAGAGGAGGTGAGTTCATGAATCAACTAATCTTGGGGAGCTTTACTTATCAAGGCAACAAAAGATCCTAGGTATCGGCGATCAAGGCGTGGGTGCCATTCTCATCTCGGTGGCCAAACTGGTTATCACCACTCTTTGTGCGGGAATTCATCCATCACGCCAACTACCAGTGGTGTTGGATTGCGGAACAGATGTAAGCCGGGTCAATGTCGGTATAGCCTACATTTGCTAATTGTGATACTAGAACGAAGAACTTCTCAGTGATGATCTTTACCTGGGCTTGCGACAGCATCGTGAAAGGGGCCAGAAATACGACGACTTTGTGGACAAGTTCGTCCAAGCTGCTCGAAAGCGCTTCCCTAGAGCTTACATCCATTTGTATGTCAAGCCCTTTCGGTGGTCGAATAATACTAACCAACTCAGCGAGGACTTTGGATTGAGCAACGCACGAAGAATCCTTAATCGGTATCAGTCCCAGATTTCATGTTTCAATGATGACATCCAAGGAACAGGGTGTGTCACTCTTGCCGCCATGTTAGCTGCACTGCAAGTGAGCAGCGTCAAGTTGGAAGATGTACGGGTAGTGATCTTCGGATCTGGAACTGCCGGTATTGGCATCGCGGATCAAATTGCAGAGACCATCGCAACCGAAACAAACAAGTCCAAAGACGATGCATCGAAGCAGATATGGTGAGTACTTACAAGGAATACTTACAGGCCTCCGCTAATGGTATCAATGTGACTAGGTGTATTGACAAGCCCGGTCTTCTTGTGAAATCTCTTGATCAAAAGTTGACCGACGGGCAACGGTCTTTCGCACGAGACGACAAAGACTGGTCAGACAATGAGCGGGACTTGCAATCAGTTATCAAGAAGGTTCAGCCTCATGTGCTCATCGGTACATCCACGAAGCCAGGCGCCTTTACTGAGGATGCGATTCGGGAGATGGCGCGCCATGTGGAAAGACCTATTGTTTTCCCTCTTAGCAATCCCACCCGACTTCACGAAGCGAAGCCCGATGATCTATACAAGTGGACAGAAGGAAAAGCACTCGTTGCCACAGGCAGTCCATTCGAACCTGTCAATTATAAGGGCACAGAGTATGAAATTGGTAAGTGACCAAGATACCCAACCGTTGATATTTCTTTCTGACAACAGTTCTCCAGCCGAATGTAACAACTCAACATGCTTCCCTGGAATTGGTCTTGGCGCAGTTCTCTCTCAATGCCGGTTGATCTCGAAGAAGATGCTTGTCGCTGCTGTGGAAGCACTCAAAGCAGAGTCACCGGCCCTGAAAGACTCCAATAAGCCGCTTCTTCCCGATGTCCAGAACGTGCGTGAAATCAGTGTGAATATTGCTGCCGCTGTCATCAAATGTGCGGTGGAGGAAGGGCTTGCGCAGCAGGATGGCATTCCCGATAACGACGCCGAGCTCCGGGAATGGATTCAAGCCCAAATGTGGGAGGCGGGCTACAGACCTCTCGTCGGTGAGAAGTGAGACTAGGAAACACTGTAGTTGAGGGTCGACTTCGATTAGCGGCGAGGCGTAGACGAGCAGTCCAAGGTCATGATAATTGAATGCAATATATTACAAGCTATCTGTTGATGCCAAACTCCGAGGAACCTTAGAACTGCAAGGGAGTAAAAATAAACGTGAAGAAAGCATATCAACCAATCATGGAACCCATAAACGCATGAACCCCCCGACTTCTTGACGACAAGTCACACAGCTGCCGAAGTTGTTCATCGCAAGACTCACGCGACAATCCTCGCAAATGCACAAGCAGCGACACGGCCAGGTGATGATGGCTCGAGGGCTTGTCTGGCAGACGACACAGGGTGGACCATTGGGACCAAGACCCGTTGCACCAGATTCCCAGGTGTGAGCATCAGCATCGCCCGGTACCTCCGAGCGGCGTGAAAGAATGAGTTTTTCTAGAAGCTCGGATTCTTCTTCGGCTGTAGGCTTTCGCCCACCGGGGCCTGTCTCGGTGGTGTTCAATTGGTGAAGACGAGAAGAGAACAGAATGCGGGATCTCTCCCGTTCAACTTGCTTCTGATACCGACTGCGTGTCATGATTTGAGGACCTTCATTGTTTGCCTTGAGGTGAGCGGCTAGGATCTGGGCTTCTTCTCTTGTCTCGCGGTCACGAGGGTCGAGAAGACGCGCAAGCGTGGTCATGTCTAACAATGGATCTTGAAGTGGAGGATTCTTGTCTGCATGGGGTTCGACCTGGGTGGGAGTGCGACGGCCATCGTCTGAGGGGTAATCTTCCCACTTTGGTTCAGAGGCATTGGTGGACATCGAGACTACACTCGTGGTATCAAAGTCATCTGTTGGCGGATCGTAATCCGACGTTTCATCTTGGTTTCCCCAGGCACCACCGATCTTCCACCAGCTGTATAGCCTGTCATCCAGATAGTTCTCATCGGTGCCCATCCAGTCCGGTCGGTTCGCACGCTCTCGCTTTCGCATTTCGGTCTCGACGTCAAATTCGCCATTTTCTGGAAGTTCAAGCTCGCCGCTATCCGAGAGGATCCAGAAGTCTAATGGCTGTCGAGATGATTCATTGTTAGAACCGGGTGGCTGTCGACGGTGACCAATCAGGCGTTTCAGCCACATTGGACGGGCAGTAATTCCCAGTCGATCAAAAACATTGCTAAATGCGTATGTTGTCCATCGGAGCACGAGAAGGCTGATCGCGCGGAAAAAAGCGAAAACGTGGATCAATCGTATGGAAACACGCACTGCTCCAACACCTCCCAGCTCAGATTCAGAGCGAACGGCGCGAGATCCGTTTTTCGGCTGTTCGATTTTCCTTTCACGGTTGTAGCCACTTTCCCACGTTTTGGCTTTCTCTGGTATGTCAAAGTCTGCGAAGCCCTCAAAGGACCGGTTGCTGGTTTCCTTCTGCCAATCTGCGCGGGAAGAGGACTTCTGTCTCTGGGCTTCAATTTCAGCTAGCCGGTCTTCCTCCAGCCATGTCATCCGTCTTGCAATGACAGCCTTGCCCTCATTCAGGAATACTGCCTCGCTTGCAGCTGTCAGAGCGACATATCCGATTCGCAGGAGGGTTGTGTAAAAGTCTTCGTGTCTGTTGATGCGGATGCTGCGAATTTGGTTCGAACCTTGCATGTTTTCATGGGCCAGCATGAAACGATCATAAAGTGAGACGGGCTGAGCATCTTCAGAAGGAAGTGAAAAAGCGGTGATAGTAAGCGCCAGCACGTATATCGCGCAGCATATGGTGATACCACCCAGTACCATGATGTGAGGGATGAATCCCACGATGCACACAGTTGGGAACCTGAGAACGCCGGTCTCGAGGCTGACGGGTGGGCCGGCGTCTAATCCCCACGACATGGCTGCCATGAAGCAGGCACCCCAGAGAGCAGTGTTGAAAAGTCGATATCTGCTCTGTTTTCCGAAGATGTCCAACATGTGAGAAGAAGCACTATTGCAGCAAGATATCAATGCAATGAGCAACAATTCTGGGGTAACATTCATGCGTTGTAACACTTGCGATCTTGTGAGAAGTTGGAGAACTGAAGCCGAGCTGTCATTGGCGTCGCTAGTCATAGCACTCAGCGGGCTTTGTTTGGGAAGACCGAACATGCCCAATCCAATGGACTTGCCGATCATTGATTCAGCCTCGGCGAAGGCAAGAGAGTGTTCGAATATAGACATTCCAGTCTCGGTCATCACCTGCCTGCCTTGCAACGCACACGAGAGCGTTTCGATGAAATGGCTCAGGCATAGCATCATAAATGTCGGCCACAATAGGGAGAATGACCCATATGGAAGCTCAGAGTCACTGGTGCGTGTCATCTTCACAGCACTGCAAGACTGCTCCTCCGACTCCCACCCCAGAAATCTGGAACTGAGAGAGTAGAGAGCGCCTCCATCACTTGAGTAGTCGAAGATGAGTTGCTTTCCGGGATAACCGTATCGCATTGTTGAGAAGGACGGAGATGTCTGGCATCGTATCCCGCGAAGCAGGCTGACGATCTGGTATGCGAAGAGAAGGATAGGAACCAGGCGAAGAGCGGCGCGTCGTTCCCATCCTAGTCGAAGGTGTCGTCGAGTGGAAGCATAGATGGTGATGCGATTCAAGATCAACGCCTAGCTCTGTTAGTCTGAGAACTATACAAGTAAAAGTCCAAGACCTGAGCTTACCTCCAATAGACATGCAAACGACCATACGCTTGTCAAGTAACCGAAAAATCCACCCAGCTTCTTGATGGCAACCAAGAACTCGGCAAAGTAGTAGCTACCTTCCTGCTCCGCTACATCGGCCAACCCACTTCCCGCCATATCCGCGACTGCATGGGTAGCCGCCGTGCCGCCTGCTCCAGCTGTTGAACCCGCTCCACTCCAAAGGCTAGAAATACCGGTCACTCTTCCGATAGATCGTGGGACTGTTCGGAAGGCAAAAGTCTCGGCGTGTTGTAAGGCGTGAAGGGGGGCAAGGAGGAGCTGAAACGGTAAAGAGGACAAAGGCGAACTGTCTGGGATTGGCGTTGTGGTGTTTAAATGATGTAACAAAGAAGCGGAAGTGCTTTGTGCGGTAGAAGGCTCAACAAGACCAGACATGATGAGCTGATAATGCCTCTCTTCTGTAGATGACCCTTATCGGTGATCCGGGGAGAGCGATCAAGGCGGAGCGCCGCCAGTCCACACGAAGACCGTGGGTACAGGCGGATTCAACGAGTGGAGGGCAAGGAAAGATGTGGGACTGTAACAAGGATGTGAAATACAGTGAGCAATGCTCCTGTAACCTGCATCCCGCAAATGGAGACCGACAGTATGATGAAAGAGCGGCGGAGCGATAGCGGGCACTCCTCGCCGGGACCCGAGTACGTAAGCGCTGCCGAGGCCCGGCCCAGAGCTGCCAGTTGCCCAGAGGGGATTGACAGATGTTTCAAGGCTGAGGGTACGATGGTTTGCATACGGAAAGATAAATTTGTTGTCAAAGTGAAAGCGAAGAAGTCTTTTGGATTCCTTGCCGGCTCGGTTCTATGTCTGCGCCTGGATATCATCGCGGGAACTAAGTAGTCGGGCTGGCCTATGTAAAATTAGAGCTGGCATGTAAGGCTAGTCCTGGAAGATATTTGATATTGAATATACTATTTAAGATATGTTTCCTATGATCCAAAACCCAAGTCTGTAAAAGCCAGACAAGCGCGCAATCATTGGATATCGATCTACCATCATCTTTAGACAAATTCGGCCATAGAGCAAAGAACCGTTTGCATATGCTCAGATGGGTGCAGCTCTGCTGCAAAAGGTCTAGAAGTAAAGAAATACTGGATCAGTGAAAGCGGGAAACCCAAGTGAGATCAATTCTATCCCAAATAATCAAAGCTTAGCCTGTGACTGAGCCTGCGAGCAACCAAAACTCCTTGTGGTATCGTCATTAAATCAGAGGTGATATCGTTGCGCCGTAAATCTTTGGAAGGAATAGAAAAACCCAATGCAAAGGTACGTGGCCGGGCCTCGGTCAGCCGAGTGGCACCGACGTGCAGAGCACCGCGAACCCATCAGGTATCCAAGTAATCGGCAGCCATCAACAGTTCTAAGCACAGCTCAGGCGGGATATCCATATCTGGGACGTTGGTCTGGTCTTTGTTCTTCTCATTATAACAAAGGTATTCGCAAACTCTTTCAAGGACGATGCCACTGTGCGGTGAAAATTCGTCAGTAATCTGGTTGGACGGTGAATTTCGAGACCAAGCACATACGACATGTCATCCAGCCTGCAGCGGCCAGTCAAACCTTCGGAGAATTTACCTGTAGGTGGTTAGTAGAGACCACGCAGCACTGGATACTAAATCCACGTACTCGAAGGGTCCAGCATGCGTCGAATGGTGCCTGAGATGCAAGCTGCGCGACGCGGAATGATAAATTCATAGTCATCATGTGAGACTAATGTCACATATTCAGAAGCTGAGTCCGCCATGTTGGAACGCGTAGTTGAAGGAAGATGAGTGAAGTGGAGCGAAAAGAGCCTTTTGAGGGTTGGTGCCTGGTCCGTGCTCAAGCTGTGACGCACTTCTCCGGAGTCCGAGTCGGGACTGTTTCTCTCTGAGAAGTACAATTATGATACATTCAACGGCATTGGCTCGCCTGCGGGTGTCGAGACAGTCTGTCGCTGTTACTCCAAGGTTGTTGTGCTCACATCATGTCAAAGTTTCCGGACAAGCAGTGTTCCACTGTCCAAAATATACATCCCGGTCATTCACATCTCAACCAAACAGCTCTGACATAAACACCACATTTCAACCTGGAAATAGACTGTCGGGTCGAAAATGTCTGATCACAGGCGGCACATCAGGCATTGGATATGCTATCGCGGAGCGATTCCTGCAAGAAGGGGCATCGACGATAGTCCTAGTAGGCCGATCCCACAAGCGCCTGGAAGAGGCAGCATCAAGACTGGCACCGTTCGCGAACAAATCACCTTCGCTTGAAGAACCCAGTGACAAGATTGCCACTCGCGCTCCAGAAGAAGACAGCCAGCAGCCTACGCAAGGCAACATCCGTCTACTCGTCGGTGACGTATCCGATGCTGGATCGTGGATGCGCGAACTTGAAAAAGAAATGGCAAGCCACGCCAGTTTTCACTTCTAAGACCCTGAGCACTGACAGAATAGACAGGCCAATGTAGATATCCTTGTCAACGCAGCGGGAATCTCGATATCAAACATTCTACCGAGGTCCGAGCTCGAGGATATATCAACAATTCTCCGCACCAACCTCGAAGGCGCAATGTTGACTTCACGAGCGTTGATGCGAGCATCGATTCGCAGCCGTATCCGCAATAGGAGTGATCCCGCTGCAGGACAGAAGATTCCCTCTAAATGCATTATCAATGTCTCCTCTCTGCTCGCACAGAAAGGTGGAACCGGGGCAGTTCCCTACGCTGCATCCAAAGCTGGGCTTCTGGGTCTGACTCGATCAATTGCCGCTGAAGCATCTGCCTCGATGAAAGACATCGTCATTCGGTCGAATGCCATCGTACCGGGATATATCGAAACGCCCATGGTTGCAGGTATGTTGTGTTCTTCAAGATTTTCTGTATTAATGCTGACTGAGTGTCAAAATAGATTTCACGCCCGGCGAAACAAGCAGATTGAAGGCTCTCATCCCACTTCACAGATTTGGAGATCCGCGCGAGATCGCGGATGCAGCTGTTTTCTTGGCGCAGAACGAGTATGCCAATAACTGTGTACTGAATCTGGACGGAGGATTGAGTGCTGTGTAGACGAATGCTTGAGTATTGCTAGGAGCAAGCTACATGGATGTTCGAACCATTATGGGCCCGCGGGCCCGCACTGCGAGGGATTGATATTTTGCAAGTATGCATTCGCTACATTGATACTTAAGCGATCGCCATGAAACTAGATCCAGCGTACTCAGGAACAAGAACAACCTTGGAAGTTCCGTAGATGCCCGTAGTTCACGAGCCAGACTGTGTCAAATCCAGTATCAAAAATTCTCATCCATAATGCATTATCACGTTTGTTTCCGAAGTACATCACCCTTGACCCCTGGTTTCTTCCCCACTGAAAGCAAATTCGCCTGTATGCCATATGGTACAAATAAAGAGGGGCCGACAAAAGCCCAGAACGAAAGCAGAGAGAAAAACATAGAAAACAAAAAGCGCCGGTCTAAAAGTTTCAGTGACACGCAAAAGAAGCTTTCGAAAAGAGAATGTGCTTGGATCATCGATCTTAGTGCCAAAGGGCGACCCTGCTCGTGATCGTTAGTCGTCAAGCTCGATGATTCCTTCCTCGTCATCGTCGTCCAGAATGATGGGCTCACTGCTGTCAACTATAGGTCTACTAGCAGGGCGTTTGGCGCTATGTTCGTTGGAACCTCCTGGGCTTCTGTCGCCACCTTCATCTTCTCCTTCGCGCTTGCGCTTACCGGTGACAAGTGTGTCGTCTATGGCAGCAGCGTCAGAAGTAGGCTTTCCATCAGCGGTAGATGCACTGATAGACAGCTGTTTCATCTCTGGCGAGGGCACAACTGGCGGCTTTGGCTTCGAGGGAATCTCGACCATCTCCAGCAGCTTGGCGGGCTTAGAGTCTGCAGAGGTCGACTCGGTTCTAAATTAAGTCAGTGAGACGGAATCACAACTGCAGTGGCTTAGAAAAACATACCTTTCAAGAATCAAGACGTCAAGAATGACCCGCGTGTCCTCATCTTTTTCATCCATCACCGTAAGGACATCCCCATTCGAGATTCCAAAGTGTGAAAATGGTTTCGTCAAGTTGTCATCATAATCAGGTTCGTAGATCCCCACTTCGTTGAAGAAAAGAGAGAGTCCCTCTGTATAAGCCAGATCATTCTCGAGGATTTCAACGAGATCCTTGAACTCTGCACGCCGAGGGTCAATCTCCACGCGAACCTGCGCAAATGAACACATCGGACAATTGGGGTTTGGTGGTTTCAATGATTCAGAATTGATCGCTCGAGCACCGGACCTCTCGAGGAATACCTGTCGGCGTAATATATTAGCGAAAGTTCAGAATTGATAAGAGGCTAGAGGTTCCTACCGTTTTAGCATGAGCTAGGTCATTTTGTAATACTTTGAATGATTGGAGAACACACAGTCCCGCCGTCATGGCATTAGTGGTAGCGATAGCAGGAATGATGTTTCCAGCCATGCCTAGACGTCTGGTCAGCGATAATTTGTACCCAAGTCGTATGCGAAACTCACGTTTGATCTCGAATTTAGAGTTGGGTTCAATATGGAAGATAGCGGCTCGGAGATTAGCGGCCGCTGCCACAAAGTCAAGGGTGTCCACGTCATCCTTGTCAAAAGTCAAGATGGGAGGGGCTTGGTCTGGGGTAGTGGCTGCTTGAAGTTCCTTGAGACGCTGGCTAAGACGGTTGAAACTGTAACGCATCGGGTCAGCAGAGAGATTTTCAAAGGAAAAAGGGCGTCTGACCTGTCCTTGAATACAGCAAAATTCTCTGCCAAAGACCAAACCTTCTGGTCCTTCGTAGAAATCGCGCTATCAATAGATGCAGACTGCTCTTGCAGCTGCACCAAATCAAGTAGCTCTGGCGCTTTTCTTGTCTTCCACATGTCTTCCATGCCACGCAACCGCTCTATGTCTGCTTTGAAGACCTTGTCGAATACTTGTTGGTGTCCTTCCTCAGTGCCAATAGATTCACGCAAGGCCTTGAATTCCAGCGCTTCTTTGCGAAGCTCCTCAACTTCATTGGCTGTTCAATTGTCAGACAAACCCTCAATTTTGGATTGAGTCGGGACAAACCATTTTCTGCATTCTCGGTGTTGTCTACCTCGTCTGATTCGTCTTCACTGTTCCCGAAAAGCTCCCTATTCAATGATAAGTACGTGCTCGAAGCAAAAGGAAACTTGGGACCTACGGCACGAGGAAGCTTTTGGCCCAGACAATGCAGTGAATAGCCTGACTGGGCGTGCTGCGGATTGTACACACGGGGAAGGACTTCGGGGTTTCTTTTGGGTTGCAGTCATAACACTCTGATTCTCCCTGAATCACAGAAAACAGTCAGCATCAGCCCAGTCCATAGCCGAGATCACAGCCCACAGGCAAGACATTCGGTATTGAGAATGACTCCCGCGTACCTTTTTGATGACCTGGACCTGGCCATTGAAGCCCATAGTTCCACTCTCAATCAAAGGCACATTAGCGCGGAGACACATTTTGTTCACGTAGCGCCGTGCGGCCAGGTTGTCCAGGGCATTGAAGACCAATGTGAAAGATCCGAACCACGAGATGTTGAATTGGGGATCCATGATGTTGGCATGGTGGGCCTCCAGTTTGGCGTCTGGGCGGAATTTTTGCGCAACCTCCTTCGCAACCTAGAAAGCCGTATGAGTCTCTCGTCATTCCAAATTCTGATTCATGTCTTTCCAGCCACAGGTCGCCGCGCATTCGCGCGACGTCGGACGGGGGAGGGGGATTCGGGTCGAAGCGGCGCAAGCGCACGACGATCGTCGTTTGGACGTACCAAGGCCTTCGACTTCTTGATATGTTCATTTCGGAAGAGGAACTGGCGATTGAGGTTGCTCAGGTCGATTGTATCCAGGTCGATAATGTGGATTTCGCCGAACCCGGTCAGGACGAGGTTTTTGAGGAGTTCGCAGCCGATGCCGCCTGCGCCAACAAGGAGGACGCGAGACTAAAGATAATGAGAGATGTCAGAATGGACACATGGGCTTGCGCAACCGGTGGAAGCTGCGCGCTTAGAGGGAATTTACCTCCTTGATGGATCGCGTGAGGTCCACCCCCAGAGAACGCTTGAGCGAGCTGTCCCGCATGGCGGGTAAGGTCAATGAGAGCTGAGTGAGTGAGGTAGAAAGATCTGAGGGGAGAGTTGCGTCAATAGCACAGAGGGTTTGGGTGTTTGAAGGTAGAGGTTGTGGGATGAGCAAATGAATGGAAGCGGAAGCACGGGAGTTGGGCGATGACGGCACTTGTTTGGAGCCTCACTTGCGATCCCCTTCCGCCGTCCATATATTTTCGGGTTTACGTATTCTACCAGTGAGCACTGTTACTAGGCAACACTTACTTTTCTGTTACTTCAAATTATATACAGCTTCCAGAATCTCCATCTCCTAGCTATCTCTGCATGCTCCGCCCACTACCTTTGCAGCTTTAATGTTTGCCGAAAATAGTATGGTTTCATAGATTTATAGAAATGGGTACTGTACAACGTGTACGGAGCACTCCATACCCTAGTCACTAAGTGCAGAGTTTCTGATTTGCTTATTCTACTCTCGCAGTACGTATTTCCATAGTACACTCTTGAATAGGTAAAAATAGCCAAGCAACAAAAGTGGGCAAAAAAAAAGAAATGATGATCGAAGGTCTTACCCGGGTTCGAACCGGGGCTAATGGTAATTCCTGAAGACGAATCTTCTCAAAAACCACGGACATAACCACTAGTCCATAAGACCATTTGATGAAAATATCTGCCCCTTTGGAGGATTATAAACAGCCACAACATCAATATTTCACTTCCGCCTACACAAAACTCACCTGGGCATGCCACTACCCCATACAACAACCATACTATTGAGTCTTGACATTTGACGCACTTGAGATTATGATAATTATGCTGTAACAAAAAGCTGTCGTAGCCTTTCACATAGCAATACGGAAGATCTTGGTCACATACGGAGTACAACCAACATGGGTCGAATACTGTTGGTACGGACGTGGGTAAGCCCTGAAGCGTGAGTAGGCAAACCAAGAACCCTCGGACAGGGCCATTCGGTACCCCAGGAGAGTGGCAATGCTCTTCCCAGGTAGGATTTCGTGCAAAAGACTTCCCTGTATGCTAATGCGAAATTGGTCATTTTTCAGTGTCTCTATTCCACAGTATTCTATGAACTTTATTTACTATTGATGGTCAAGTCAGATTGTGAGACATCCTGCTTTCATTTATCATTCGATGTTAAAAATTAAAAATTTACTCCGTGCCTGTAGATTGTAAGGATAACTAGGAATACGGTGTAGTGGGACGGAAGATCAAAAAAGAAAAAAAGAGATCACAGAGGTCTTACCCGGATTCGAACCGGGGCTAATAGGATTTCCTGAAGATGGAACTTCTCAAAACCTACGGACATAACCACTAGTCCATAAGACCTTTTTGGATGAGCTAAGCGCTTTTACATGGAATTATGAGGGGACTCTGCGTCACCCACAATATTGTACAGAAACTACACATCTCCTTATTAATTTTTGTTGCTAAAATGGAAATAAATCTACGGTCAGCACTAGACACTATGCTCAAATCTATGAAAAGGCGTATGATTGCTTACATAACGTATATAAAAACATTGGAAGCCCCGGAGCCCTGGCCGGAGAGGGCGTCGGATCAAATTTTCGGTGTGGCAAGAGCCCAAACAAAGGAGCAACAAACTCGCCGTGGAAGGTCACTTGAGAAATCTTGAACAATTCGACCCAAGAGTCCCCGCATCCCTCTCCCCTGAAACGAACGGGGTGATTCAATTGGGAGAAGATACACCGTGTTTGCCCACCGCCATATCCCCCGTGAGACCAAAGGCGAAAAGGAGAAAACCCCTGACCACCAAGTTCCTCCGTGAATTCACACTCAGGCTTAAACGCAAAGAAAACAGCCATGCCATCTCTGGATCAAATTCCGGCCCGGCACAATGACCAGGTCGAAGCCAACTCCGACGATGAAGCGGACCCCGAACTGGTAGAGCTTCTGCGCCAGCATCTCGGACTCGGTGGCGGGAAAGTAAAGGATGCTCCTCCAGAGACCAAAGTACTTGAGGGTGCTCAGTATGTCTTTGACAATGCCATTGATGTGGCTGTCAGCCGCGAGTTTACTAAAGAAGCTGCCGAAACGATATGGCGTCTCATGCAGAAGAAAGAGTACTCTACGCAGACGTGGTCGGAGCATGAATTGCATCCTCAGACTAAAGATGAAAGCACCGTTGACTTCATTTTTACCATGGATTTGCTGAATTTCAGCTTCTGGTCTGCGGAAGAAGAGGCTCCCAAGCGCTTCTGTATTGAGTACCGGGGCAAGCTTTGGACTGGCTATTGGAGTTTGGTTGCTGCTTTGCAAAGAGCTCTCGATGAAGGTCAGTTAGAATCGGGTTATCGAAATTTACATGTATTAACTCGAAATCCAGATATCCCCATCACAACCCCTGATTTCTGGGTGGACGAAGAAAGATGCACAGAAGAAGTGCTCCGACATGTCTTCAGATCTGCGACAGACGAAGAAATCCCTATGTTCAAGGAACGAGTACAGTGTCTCCGCGAAGCAGGCGAAGTTCTATGTGAAGTGAGACTTCAGCCACCATATTAAGATGAGCAAACGCTAAACAAAACAGGAATTCGGCGGTAGTTTTGCAAACTGCGTGGATAGCGCGAACCTCTCAGCCGCAGGGCTAGTGAACCTGTTGACAGAAAACTTCTCATGTTTCCGCGATGAAACCATCTTTCACGGACGCAGAGTCCGACTCTACAAACGGGCTCAGATCCTGGTTGCCGATCTATGGGCTTGCTTCAATGGCGAAGACTTTGGTGAATTCCACGACATTGATAAAATCACCATGTTTGCAGGTATGCTCCAACAATACCGACAATTCATAACAAGCCTAACAAATAATCCCAGACTATCGTATCCCGCAAATGCTCCACCAGCTGAACTGCATACGCTATGCTCCCAAATTAGAGTCTCACATCCGTGACCTGAAGCCTATTGAGCCAGGGTCGAATTGGGAAGTTGAGCTCCGAGGCACGAGTATCTGGTGTGTGGAATTGATCAAACGAGAGATCGAGCGGTGTCACCCAGAGGTCAAGATGAGCGGTAAAAAGCCATCCCCGAAAGCCACTGATGACAATGATGCAAATGACGACAACGAGAACGAGGAGAACAAAGCAATCGAGAAGGCAGATGATGATAATGATACACCGAGAAGGACATATGGCATCAACGCTATCCTCATTGACTTCTTCTTGTACGACACGATGAAGAATCTTGAGGCGGAGCATAATGAGTCGATTCCTCACCATCGCACGAGGAGTATTTGGTATTAAGCATGATGTCAACGCCGGCGGCGCATGGATTTACCTGGGCGGATACAGATTCGAATGCTCTGGGAGCGAAAAGGGAATAGATACATAATAGAATATAGCAATGTTGGCGTATGCTTGGAAATGGATGTCAAACTTTGCAGATACATTACCAAAACCAGTGGAATGAATGCATTGAACATTTTATTCGTATCTAAGGGTATCAATTAATCTTACAGCCCGCTATCCGATCTTCTCGATCGTCCACATATCTTGACAATCAAGCAGTACCTTGGATACGGGTCATGATATCCGCCTTCCAATCAACATACTCCTCCCTACGCTCATCACTCAACCAGTCAACACGATCCTGCATCATCGTTCCCAAGCCAGGCAAGAGACCACCTCGTGGAGGATGATCTGCCTGCGAAGCACGGGCGCCCTCTGCCGCAGAGCGCTTGGGCGGTCTGACGCCCCGAAGAATTGCGTCTTCCTGGTCCAAATCTTGATAAGACTTCCCTTCTTCGTCCTCGCCAAACATTTGGCCAGCGTACGGAATGTTCTCATACCACTCCTGGCCATTGGCCCAGCCCTGCTCCATGATCAGAGCAATCCACTGGTCCACATCGTCGCGATGCCGCCGGTCGTTGGTAAGACCAAGACTGTTCAGTGCAGTCTGGCGCATTTCCATGAATGTTTTCTTGTCCATCTTCTGCGCTTCGATATTGGCCTCTTGACCTGGTCCGGGATTACGTCGGCGTGCAAGAACAAGGAAGTACACAGCCACAGCCATTGCATATACTAGCTCCTTGAAGTCGTCGTCCTTGTCGGAGCCGCTGATGGAAACGATAGGTTCCAGGAATTGCAGTGAATCTTCGTCCCATCCTGCCTCGTCGTTGGACATGCTGGAGGTAAGGTAGAGAATGGACGAGACACCGGAGAAGATGTGCGGAGGGAGAGTTCTCGAGATTGGAGGGCGAGACCAGGTATTTGTGCGTGGTGCTGGTGTGGAGAGGATCTTGCATACAGTTCGAATGGCCGTCATAACCCAAGCCGGAGCATCGGGGATGACAGTGGAACCAGTGACTTCTTTAGGTCGAGGCGTTGCAACCTTCCTAGCTGATTTAGAGGGACTCTCGAGGTGATTTGATGTACTCATGCTCCGCTTCAGAGGAGTAGGTTTTGAAGGTGTGTTCTGCAGTCCCCGTGGGGTGGGAGCAACCGCCTTGGATGGGGTGTTCCTGGCTTTCGTAGGCGTCGTTTGTGTAGACCCTGCGCGAGACGGTGATCCGGCTACCGATCCACTTGTTGATCGCTTCAGTCCAACTGAGCTTGATGTGAGGGACCGGTCGAGGTATGAGTAAAGCTTCTTGTATACACGCGGAGGACATGGCGCACGTCCTAGCAAAGGAGGCAGCTTCAGGGTGCGGCTCATTCTATATGATACAGATACAAGTCATCAGCGCCAGCAAAGGTGGCCTTTTCGGGGGATATCATACCTTCTGCAGGCGATTTCCGCGCATGCATATGGACGAGCGATTTCCTCTTCGGGTTTGAGACTGGCCGAGAAGCTTCGAGACTGCGCAACCAGAGACATCGCATAGCTGAGAAGCTCCTGCGGTATATCATTGGCATGTGTTGGCACCAAGGTAGCCAACGCCTGCTCGACTGGTCGGTTGTTCATTGTTCTTGCTTCTGCGAATGGAAGGGAAGGGCGAGGATGGGATAGAGCCCTGATCAAGCTTGACGAAGAGCGATGCCAATGCCAATTGCAGTATTCAGTCCACAGGGGTTACTAAGTCACTCAAAGCTCGAAATTGCGACGGAATATGAACTGAAGGGGTTTGTCTCTGGCAATAAACACCTGCGCTTGCCAGCGCCGATAAGAGAAGCTGACTAACCAACCTGGCGCCGCCGCGGGAACGCGAAGATGCCGCAAGCTCACGTTACTTCTTACATCTCGACATCACTGTACCAAATTTCTCAGAATGTCTGTCACAGTAAGTCTACAATCTGGAAGATAACACACCAGTGCTTTATTGGCGTTATTACCCTCCATAAGCCATATCAAATCACTGACCATTGCTTCACAGTTGCACACGACCCAAGGCGACCTCAAGGTCGAGCTTTTTTGCGAAGCAGTTCCTCAAACCGCAGAGAACTTCCTCGCCCTTTGCGCAACCGGCGCATACAATGATACACCATTTCACCGTCTTATTCCCGGGTTCATGATTCAAGGCGGTGACATTTCTCTCGGTCCAATTGCGAAGTCGACATCTACGAAACCACTACTCGACTTTGACATCCCCAAAGGCGGCACATCGATCTACCACCCATCAGCGATGAACCAGGAAATCCATTTGCCGTCACTACGTCACAACGCACGGGGGATTCTGTCCATGGCTTCGCGTCCAGTGAAAGACCAGACAGCTCCTGGATCGCAAGGCGCAACAGGCCCAACGATTAACGGCAGTCAATTTTTCATCTCGTTTGTTCCAGCGCCACATCTGGATGGTGCCAGTACTGTGTTTGGAAAGGTGTTGAATTTGACTGCCCAGGACGAGGGCGGTGACATCCTGACCAAGCTTGAGAAGGCGAATGTCAAGGTTGACAAGAAGGGCAAGGTCTCTCAGCCGAAGGAGGGCGAAGATTTCGAATCATTCAAGATCAACAGTGTCACTATCCACGCCAACCCCTTCGCGAAGTGAGATCTTACATGCGCGAATCTCATTGGAGCTTAGAAACTTCCGAACATCCCAAATAAGTGCACGTCCAAGTCCTAGGCCCGAATTCGACAAGTCGCATACTGCAAAGCTATGGTTCAAGTCAGTGCACAGCCTTGTCCACTCGACAGTATTTCTCTGTGGGACGGCTTGAGAGCATTTCATTTGACAGGTTCCTTGGCCTCGGGATACAAGCTTTGCTCAGTCCGCTGCGGGGCCTACAGCACAAGAAGCTACGACCAGTCCGAGCGGGTGCAGGCCTGCAAATTTTGACAAGGACCGCATAAATGCCGCCCATGAGCCCGCTCATAGCAGCATAATCGACGCCAAAAATTCCAGCGTATCTAGGTTCAAGATGGATGCATGATACGTTGCAAGATACCCATGTTATATACAATACCAGATAGATCAATGATCCTACAGACCCAATTCTCGTTGTTTCCAAGGTTTTATACAGCTTCGTCGTTCCTATCATTTCTCTTGCAGCCACTGTCCGCCTTGACACAGATTTCTGGACTCGATGGATACCTCTGCCTAATGATCGCCCAAATCCAAAAGAAATCGGAGCTGGACTACTACAGACTACAGACTACAACAAGATTGAAACCAGAAGACATAACCACAACAACTTTTAAGATCCATCGATATGTATCTGATCACCGGATATCTAAATGAACATTGCAAAATAGTACAAACAACAGACGCCATGATGCGGGAAGTCTCAATAAAATCATAAAGTCTCATATCATGAGATGGGTATGAACCATCGTGAAAACGCGGATGAGGCCCGAAGAATATTTACTCCTTGGTAGCTCCGTTGGTCTGGGCATCCTGCTCGTAGCCCTCGGTCTTCATGTCCTTGAAGCCAAGGTCATCCTCTTCTTCCTCGGTACGAGTGTACTCCTCGGAGGTGATCTGAGGGTCGACTTCCGGGGTGCAGAGGTCTTGCACATAGGAGTTCGCCATGGGGTCCTTGAGGGTAATAGAGAACTTAAGCTCGCCGTTGATGGCCTGGTCGAGACGGTTGAAGAAACGCTCCCAGGTCTCCTTATCGGAGGAAGCCATACCATCACCACCGGTAGTCTCATCAACACCGGAGAAGATGGTTCCCTTGAGCTGGTCGCGGATCTCGACTAAAATATAGTATATTAGCTTTGTGTTGTGATTCATGAGAAACTTGTGTAAAACCTACCAAGCAATCCTTCAACTGTGGTGAATCGTCCACCGAGAGTACCGGGCTCCACGGAAAGATCCAAATCGTCACTCTGAAGCTGACAGGTGTCGGACTTCAAGATATCACGAGACATATCGAGCTCGTTCTCGACGCGAAGAGTGATAGTCTTACCCTTCTCGGGAACGGCACCACCGGTGCGGACTTCACTGCTTCGGTAACCACATCCCTCGTGGGGAACCTGGCCGAAGGACTCGGCCTCATCAATACCGTCACAGTTGGTACCCCAAATGAAGACTTCCTTGAAGTAGGGGATGTTAAGCTTCTTAATGTTGACTGTTTAAAGGAATGAACGTTAGCACGGAGTACAAAGACTAGCACAGCAGTTATAAGGCTTACCCTTGCATGCCTTGCTGCATCCTGGGCACTCGGCGGGAATGGTGTACACCTGGCCGTCGACAATGTCAAGGTCCTCGGGGTTACCAAAGTCCATCTGGTTCTTCTCGGCATCGACAGCCTGTGTGTCCGCAGCGATTCCAAGCTCCTCGTTTTGCTCGTGGGTTCGGGGGTATTCGCGACGAGTGTACTTGCCGCCACGGTCAGTGGTGTTGGGTGCGATCCACGAGTTTCCAGTGGCGTCGTCCAGAGAGATGGTGAAGGGGAAAGCGTCATCGCGATCAAGGATCTTTTTCAGACTGGCGATGATAGGAACGAGCGCGTCGTGGAGCTCTGGGGCTTGCTCTTTGCGGAGATCTTGCTCTCCCGAGAGATGCTCGTGAATGTGTTGAACAACTAGAATAGCGAGGTTAGCTGCTTGAAGCCCATGGACTTGATTTTTGAACACGACGAACCTCCTTCAACGTTTGTAAGCTGTGATTCACCACGGGGCATCTCAATGCCAAGGTCTTCGAGTTTGAAGACAGAGACATCACTGCGAATGACTTGGCTGATATTGAGGTCAGCTAATATTCAACTGGTCGCTTGTTTCCAACCCATTGCAGGAGTGGAAACCATGGGACGACGACATACCGGGCCAAATCTTGCTCGTTCTCCACCTTCAAGGTATACTTTGCGCCGCGCTCTTGGATCTGACCAGCTGACTTGACAGAGTTGTCCTTGAAGTGGCAGTGGGGGCACTCGAAACTCTCCAGGATAATGTCGCGGAAGTAGGGCACACGGAGAAGGAGAAGGCGGGTAGTTCTGGGATAGCAATGAAGGTCAGTATTTTGTCGCATTTGTGAATCGTGCACCGAAGACCAACCCTTGCTCGTGGCAGTCTAGTAAATGCTCAGTTAGTAGATGCTCGTGGCGTACAATGCGGGAGATCCATACTCATGCAAAGAGACTCAACTTCCATAAGTCCAGTATCGTCATCGCGCTCCACCAGATCACCGGGCTTCTGGAACTGCGACTCAAATTGCGACTCAAGCGCATCGTTATCGGCTTGGCTGACCATTGTGTATAGTTTGCGAACTTCGGAGACGGTATCGACTTCACGGGTATCAATGTTCGACTCGCGGGGTGAAATCGGAGGAATTAACAATGCGTCACGACAAGAAATTCTTATCGCCAAAAAATTTATCGGCGCCACGGGAACATTCCTTCCTCTTCTGCGCGGGGCTGAGGGGCAGCTGAGTAAAGGTGATTAAGTAATTATTTCCATATGGCCGCTGAAACGTCGGTGATTGCTTAGCCCTACTTTTCTTTGCTGTTGATCCACGAAGGGCTAAGTTTCATAGAATTGGTTGCGTATTCACTATACTAGTAACTGAAGAAGCCCATATAGCTTTGTTATGACCAACCTTGAGTATCATGAGTCCTGAAAAGGTAACAAAATAAGAAGACATCACACACCGTGGGGAATACTAATTCATCAAACCCGAGATGGCACATCTATCACTGTCGTTGTCACTGCGAGACTGATGTTAGAATATCATCGAAATGAAAAGGGACAGTGAGACTTATAGAAAAAAAGTGGCCATTTCTACCAGCCGAGGCAGGTAGAAACGGCAGGCCAACGGCCAACACAAGCCCCAACGCATTCTGCTCCCATGAAATGTTCCAGTCTTGAGGGGACACCAAATCTCGATGACCGGTCCAATGTCCCTTAGCGGCGCAGAAAGCAGCAGGTTTCTGTTTTGTCGCTTTTCAGTTCACGTCAGATAGACAATGGAAGCAAGGCTTGGCCGGGACGCATAACAGCGGCGAAGTATTGCAGACAAGCCTAAGCTTTGAGCCTCACTCGAGAGAGGTCCCGCAAGTATCACCACATGATGCCATACGTCGATCCAACCAAGGCAATGCACCAAAGCCAACTGAAGAGTGGGCTGAGAGAGTAAAGCGTTCAAAGCATCGAAACTGCATATTTTCCGTCCAGAACAATCGGCATCCATCGAGAGATCACAGGATAAACCCCAAGAGCAGGTTCAAATAGAAGTTGAGGAATGGTCGAAAGTTGGCTGAAACCGACGGCGATAAGTAGCCCACGAACCCACGGATGCCCTCGAGCCCACTGATATCCAAACGATCCCACACCCACAAACGAAAGCTGTCCACGTCTCAGTCTTCTCCACCAAATCTGCTTGACGGACATCCATCTCCGCGTTCCCATCCAAGTCGTCGTCGTTGCACCTTTGGCGCCAAATGAACGTGAATCCGAGTCTCTCGTGTGTGGTACAGAGCCCTTAGGGACAGGTTTTTGATTCCTCCCCTGATTGATCCGGAGATCGCACAGGAGGGCATTTGAAGCGGACAAAGAACATCCTAAAAAATCGCTTCCTGCTTCCCGAAGGAAGGAACATCAACTGAAGTCAATGTTGAAGTCGGTGCCCATCAATCAATTCACAAAATATTTCGCAAAGAGATGGCTAACACGGGTGGCCAGAATCCTCGGGTGAGGCCGAATCGTTGGCGGATGACTTGATTCGAGGTGCCTAGCCGCCTAGTAGGCTGAAAGAAACCAGAGCTCGAGAAGTTGGAAAGCAGGTGCAAGGTCCCCAGGAACCTCGGGATGTGAAGCATGTGCAGGGACAGGCAGCTGATGCTAACAGAGTAAACAAAAGAATGACAAAAAGCAAGCACGAAAAACACCAATTTATTTGGGGGAAATCTTTGCCCTCCGGAACGAGACAACAGTCCAGGGTGTTCAATATGGACTGTGAAGAGCATATTGAAGAGCCACGAGCAACATATCAAAAGAACTTCGCTACAACTCCAACTTTGAAAATGCCTGGGCAAGATTCAGTGAGAAGAGAATTGATTCCGGCGAGTGAGCCATTTTGATATGGTGACATCGCGACTGTGTGTAAGGAGGCTGTTGTGTTCAGGCGCGGATTTTCTGAACCAACTAAATTCGTGCCCTAGGAGATCCGAGCTTTGGTAATTGTATTCGATTGCCACCTGGTCGCGCTGTCGTTGTTGACCCTCAAGGCGGAATCTGATACCGAATTGCCCGACAAGCTTCTCCCGCCTTCTCTCCTCGATGAACTGTTGACTAAGGCATAGGGCAGCCATTCAGTTGTGACCGGCATGCGCTATCCAGCATAGGAAAACCGACGCGTACTCCGTTTGGAGAATGCATAGTAAGCCGTCTTTGATGCCCAAAGGCTCTGGCGGGGGTCGGATCTCTTTCGCTTCGTCAGACCATCACAGTCTGAGTCGGCTAATCGTAATATCCGGCATGCGCAATCCGTGAGACTATGTCCATGAGGACATTTTTCCGATGTGGGATTAGGGATTGGTCTCCAACATCATCTGCACCGGAATTTGCATTCCAGTTTGCTATCAAAAGCAGCCGATAATGATGAAAGATCTGGAAGGGCTGGTCTGTACATGTGCCTCGGAAGGCGAGAGACTGGAGTGGATTCATGTCCAAGAGACGAGAAAGGAGGAACTTCGGCGCGTGTGAAATGGGAACGGGTCCAATGAATGTCGTTAACACAAGCAAGATCTTTGAAAGTCAAGAAACTGGCCGAGGTGGCTTAGGGATTGTGATGATGCAAGATGAGTGGGGAGAGATGGAGTAAACAAAGGTGACAGAACAGATAAGGTGGGCGGTGAACGCGACTATCGACGCGGCGACGCGGGCAGGCGCGTAGACACTCCAGGGCTCCAAAATGTGATTACGTAATGACACCAGCAGCCAGAATCGCCGGACCAACCTTGGATCTACTTGAATTTGAACGTCACTGCATGATCTAGTACATCTTTGTCAATGGTTTGCTCTCTATCCTCTATGCTCTATCCTCTATGGAACCTTGAACTTTGGACCGTTAAATGCCATTTGATATTTGACAATTCCGACCTATAAGACGCTGCGACATGGCCTCCATGGGTGATGATCTGTCTATCTCTGTGGGCGGTGCGCCAATTGGTGCTCCCCATGCGCATGGGAGTAAGCTTGTCAGATCAAGTAATGTCTCTCCCACCACTGACCGATACATAGTTCTTTTACCTCCCCAGGAAGTGGTCTATAGATCGAGAGATGAATTGTATCAAGCCGTGCACACGCGTGCACACCACCAAGGCTACAGCATTATCATTCAGTCCAGTGGACCGAGGAATGTAAATTTCGGATGTAAGTTTTCTGGTAAGCACAGGGTTGGCGAACAACCTCGTCATCCCCTGCATCCTCGCAATCGAACGTCATATAAGCTGGGCTGCCCGTTTGCCCTCTATGCCAAGCGTGTGCGAACGCCAAAACAGCTTCGAGAGGCAGCTGAACGTGGACGAGCCTTCGATGATGAATGGGAGCTCATGATACGTGATTCATCTCATAACCACCCCGCAACCAATCATCACATAGGCCGGACGCTTAATCAAGATCAGATTGATCAAATCAATGAGCTGATTAGCCAACCTCCAGGGGGTACTCTTAAACTCGACCCCTTTTGGATCATTGTACCTGCTCTACCAACGGAAATCAGTCCTTTCAGGCCACCCATGAAGCGTCCGAATTATCCGTGTTATGCAAAAAAACCCAAACCTGGTGATTTGCCGTCTTCCGTGGAAGGAGGGGCCCTTCAACAGGGCTCTCCAACCAAAACTGCTTCCTCCACGCAACCCATCACACGTCCGGAACATGCAGAGAATCCGAATCAGAGTAGCCTTTCATATTTAGCAGAAGATGGGCTTCGACAGGCTCTGTCGACGGAAAATATTCCTTCCAGGCCGCCTGTCACACGTACGGAGCATGCAGGACAGCCCAATCAGGGTAGGCTTTCATCTTTGGCAGGAAATAGTCTTCAACAGGCTCCGCTGACGGGAACCGATCCACCCGAGCCACCTATCGCACGCCCGGAGCATGCAGAAAAGCACAACGGGATTGGTTTATCATCTCTGGCAGAAGAATGGCTTCAAAGAATCCCGTTGCCGACAATCGCTTCAACCAGGTCGCCCACCACACTTCCGGTGCATACAAAACAGCGAATCAGGATGGTCTTTCATCTTCGGCACAACATCAGCCTCTGAACCCACCGTCGACGACAGTTGCTCCATCCAGGCCACCTATCATACTTCCAGAGGATACAGAACAGCGTAATCACAGTGCTTCTTCGTTGTTGGTCGATGATAGTCTTCGACAGGCCCTGCCGACAGCTTTGCCATTCAAACCACCCTTCCTACCTCCGGGCCATTCAGAACATCGCAATTCGAGTGAATTATCACATGTGACAGAAAACAGGGTCCAAGACAATCTGTCGATGGAAGTTGCTCCAGACAGGCCATCCTTCGCCTATCCGGAGCATGCAGAAAAGCGCAAACATAGTGATGCACCATCTTGGGTGGAAAAAATGGTATCAAAGAGGCCAAGGAATCAAAGTGCTCCGGTTGCGGGACCGTTGGACATACTTATGCGACATGTCCAAATCATGAGTAACGATTTCTGGTTTGAATCGGGCTTCAGTCAGGCTTGTACCGCAGCAAAGTATTAAGCAGGCTACCAAGTCGACAAGCTTACCCCATGCAAGTAGCAAGGGCCACCCTGCGAGATTTCCCGTTCCCCCTTACGTACGGTAAACGATTATAATAACCTTGGAACACTATTACTCCCGAGCTCATATTTCAATAGGTAACGGAAGAGAGCTCTAAAGCTAGTATTAACTTGATGAGTGTTTGTTTCCTAGCTGTCTTCCTAGCTGTCTTCTTAGCTGTCTTTCTAGTTGGGGTCTGCTCCGTTTGCGACCAGCAAGCGTACAATGGCGCTGTATTCTCGCTCAGTGGCGAGGGCGAGAGGGTTTGTTTGGCCGTTATCACATGTTTTGTTCACATCGGCACCACGTTTCAAGAGATACTCGATCAAATCAAGGTCCTCAGTCTTTATGGCTGCCACCAAAGGAGTCTCGTATTCCGATCCTTCATTGACGTCGACATGGCATTTTTCCACCAGATACTTGACGTTCTCCAGCTTTTTGGTATTGACAGCCTTTACGAGAATATTGACCGTGCTGCCTGGCAACGGAGCCCTGACATCCGCGCCGCTTTCTTCGATTAGAAATCGGATAGTTTTCAAGTCTCCGTTGCCAACCACTCTGTCAATGTTTCTTCCTGAATAGGGATGCAATGTCGGCTTGTTCACATCAGCACCTGCATGGACGAGACATTTGATAATCTCATAGTTGCCTTTGAAAGCAGCAATCTCGAGAACGTTGCCGTAGCCGTCGTAGGTAAGCTTCTTGTGTACATCGGCCTTTGCTTCATTGACAAGGTATTTGGTAGCCTCAACGTTATTTTCCTCAACCGCAGCAACTAGAGGACTTGCAAACCAGCCCTCAGGGGCTCTCTCATCTGATTCAGTAGCGTCCTCGGCTTCGCAAGATTCTCCGTCTGCATCGTCTCCCCTGTCAGCCCATCCCTCCTGAGAGTTGAGATAGATGTTTGGGTCCGCGCCAGCCTCAACCAGATACTTGATGACATCTGTATGTCCCCACCATGCAGCTGCGACAAGAGCACTGCCATAGATGGAAAACGATTGTTTCGAGTTCACTTGGGCTCCTTTCTCAACAAGCCTGCGGCAGATGGCTACAGAGCCCCCGATTGTGGCTATTGTGAGAAGATCATGACCCAGATCGTTCTTTTGCGAGACGTCAATTGCTGGACTGTTCCACCATTCTGTGAGAATAGTGTCAAAAGCAAATCGGCACATGGCAAATACAGGCTGATCAGATGGCTCTAGCTCGCTGGCAAAGACAAGATCGCTGCCATATGCATACGTGCTTTCCCGGTCCGTGAATTTAGTCAAGTCGAATCCTGATGTCTGGAAGCCAGAGGAATCGAGCATATCTCCACTCCAGAAGACTTCTTTTCGGAATTGTCCAAGCCATCTACGATACTGCACGCTGCTCTCTTCGGGTGCGCCGAGGAATCTTTTCAGGCTCGTTGCCAAGGGGCTGTCCTCTGTGACCTTTGCTTCGTGGACGTGCTCAACCCAGTGATGTCTAGCATACCGGTGGAATCGATTCCCTGTGTCCATGATGTCGACCCATTCTGGAGGCTTGTTGTCCTCATCTTCGGAGTCATACTCCGTCTCGTGCTTTAGCGTAGTGAAAGGATCCTCATTCTCATAGGCTGTGATGAGCAGTGAAAGACAAGCATTAGCCACATGCAAGTGAGCTTGCGGTTTGCTCCACTGATGTGCTGCCTCCAGATATTCAACGACGGACAGATGCGAGAAGCGCCAGTAAGATTCGGGATCAATGATCAGGAAATTTCCACACAGGGAAAGCAGGCCTTGCTCATCGATCTCGTCTTCCGAGATCCCACCATCATCAAGGGAGCCCACACGGACGGCCGATAGAAGGCACTTGCTATCCAAAGGCTCGGTAGCCGCAGCAACCCACTTTAAGGCCCGCTTCACGAATTCCTTGTCGGGATCCTCCAGTGTCTCAATTTGTTCCCAAATCTCATCATAGGCTTTTTGAAGATCTTCTGGCAGATTGTCAAGTCGCTTCCACACACTGGACTCAGTTCTGCATCGTGTGATTTGGTGGACTTGCAGTGACGCCCATTGGAACCTGACACCGGTTAGAAATCTGTATTTCACAGCCATTATTTTGATGATAGAGTGAACTTACATTCCCTGGCATCGCTCAAGTAGCCTCTCGATGATCTTCGTTTTTATCTTTCCCACAAATGCAGCCTTCTTTGAAAGCTTTTGAAGCTGCTCATCAAGGAATCTCTCGATGTCCGGCGCATTTTGACTTGCTTGGATCGTTAGACTAGTCCGCTGCTCCTCTTGAAGTTGGGACTGGATATCTGGGTCCGGACGACTAGCAATGTAGATCTTCAAGGTGTTCTTTGACTCTGCCAGAAGCTCATTGAAAGCCTCAATCAACTTGTCACGCGAGTCTTGGTCACATTCATCAAATGCATCAATCACAAGAGTGGTCTTGCTGTACAAGTTAGACGAAGCCAGAATCTGCTCTTGACAAGCATCAAAGCTCAATGTTGTTCCAGACTGCTGGGCCTGCTTGCAAAGCTCCTTCAACTTGGTTTGCATAGAGTCGGGGTTGCTCGCTGAAGTCGCGAGCTGGCGCACATAACTGCTGATTATAGACAGCGAGTCGCGGCGATTGGCTTCATTGCGGTTGCAATAGAAGAAAGCGAATCCTTCGTTTCGCGGTAGGTCTTCCATCTCGCTCTTGATGAGATCAACAACTCGCGACGTGAGGTATGTTTTGCCAGTGCCAGCTAGCATGTGTTAGTATGGCCGTTGTAAAAAGGTGGTTTGGGGTGACAAACGGGATCCTTGAAGCCAGAAAATGCCAGATGAACTGGTCTCCTCCCAGTGATGGAAAGCCTCGTTCTGTAGCAGCCATTCGCCTGTGCCAGGAGTTCTTGTCTCTCTCACGTTATCATGATGTTTTCCAAACTTGACAGTAGAGATTTTCTCAAGAAGATCTTGGCGATCCGTTTCGTCTGTCTTATCGAGCAGCTTTTGCACGTTCTCATCCACGCGAACCAATGGGGCGTTGAGACAGTCCAGCATACCGATCATCCGATCATCTGCTGCAGCACTGCGACGCGTCTCGCAAGCTTGAACATCGCGCAGAAGCTCATCCTCCTGCGCTGAAAGAGACGAAAGGCCGCCCGAGACATTTCCGGGGTTCAAAATGGCCTCTAGCGTACGCCGAGCAGTATTTTGCGAAAAGAGACTTCCCGAGTCTGCCAAGAGGTCCAAGGAAGTGCGATATATGCCGATCAAAGCATTCTCGAGGCCCTGCGACAACTTACTTTCGGCTTCATCGGAGTCATTGTTAAGGTAGACTTGCTCGTATACCTGGCCACGGCTGACGATCCTGACAATAGCCTCGGTTGTCCCGAGAAGCGCACCCATTTGTTCCTCACCAATCACAGGAATCTAGGTGACATGGTTAGATCTCGAATCCTATACCGAATTAACATCGATCGAAAACCTACCTGCATCAATGACTTGACAACCGACCATGGCATGCTAGCCTGGGGTGGAGCGAATTGGATTGCTATATCACCAGCCTTCTCGAGCCATCCAACGATCTTTGTGGTATAGTTGCGGAGAACAATATCATTGTCTCCGATCGAGACACGCCAGAACTTCTTCTCGCACTCTTCTTGTTTCTTGTTTACGAGGCCCACTAAATCATCAATCTCGGATTCGACAGAGCCAGAGCTAAGCTTGTCCATTCCCAGAGCCCTCAACTTCTCTTGCTTGGCGGGAGGAAGCTGCTTGAGAGCGATGTCCCAGCGGTCCTTTGGCGGGGTTCCTGTCTTCTCCGAGGTCTTTTCTTTGGGAATATCAGTGGTTGGTTTCTGTTCGACAGATGGTTCGTCTGGGTTTGGTGTCTCGGGGGCCGCCGGGGCCGCCGGGGCCGCCGGGGCCGGGGGCTCATTTTCTTTTCCTGGGTTGCTTGTGGCCTTTCATGCCGAAAGTAAGCACAAAGTGAGGACAAAGTGAGGACAAAGTGACCACAAATGAATGGGAGAGGAAGGAAGGGGGGAGGGCCAGAATTACTCGTCTCATCGCAGACCGACACCTCTGAGACGGGTATAATGAAACTGGAAACCGAGAAAAATACATACAGCTGCTTTAGGGTCGTCGTTTTTGCCCTTACTCTTGTGACGATGAAGCTTGCTTTTGAGCTTGTCGAACATTTTGTTTGCGATGGGCGTCAAAGCCGGCTCGTCCCGTGAAAAAAAAGCGTTGGTATAGTTCAGTGACAGATGCAATAGAACCAAGGTTTGTCGGCCTGCCAGAAAAGCGGCACTCGATGAGGGGTCGATGGGGCTACACTAAGTTGTCGAGCACTTGGACTGTGCAGTCTCCACAGTTCAGCCGAAGGTTCCTGTGTAAAGACAAGATCTACTACGCTGTAGCCCAGGATCATACACGGAGTACTGCTTGAAGCGTGTTCAATTGTTAGAAGCGATCGATTGAACTCTTCTATAAGCTCTCTGAATTAGAGCATGTAATTCCCCTCCCCCTTTCTTTTCCCAAGAAATGCAATGTAAAGCAAAGCATATGGACAGCGATTGCGCACACATACATTGCAGAACACCTCAGCTGTAGCGGGGTCCAACTACATCATGGCACGTCCAGCCAGCCACGCAAATCGATCTGCGTCGATCGTCGAGCCAATTGTCTGGCTCAGTCTAAGCTCCGCCAAATTTCGCGTAAATTGGCGTGTTTAGCCTGTCCCACTGGACCCACCCTACTTCTTCACCCTCGGGAGTCGGGATCTTGATCAAGACTTGATGCTTTTGATATAAAGTAGCCTTGGAGCCAAGTCTGACGGAGTTCTCCTTGAAATGTGCTGGTCTTGGATCACTTGTGTGATCACAGATCTTCCCAAACGATGGGTGTTGGTTTTGATAAATGATGGCAGCTTTACCCTGGCAAATCGGAAGAATAAATCACCTTAAAGTTCCCCGTAAATCTCCACGGAAGTACGGAGTAACTGGATCGTACATAGGCGAGTTCCTGAGATTTTTCGAGTTGTTTGGTCCACATAGGTGAGGTAAAGACCGAGTATTGGCGGGAGGTTCCAACCAGAGGTTATCAGATCGATGTTGGCCACGTGGTCACGTGCCACTGTGTTTGCTGACTAACCAGAAACTTTGGAATCCGAATGCCAAGATGCCAAGATCGTCTGGTACTTGTTGATTATTCATTCATTTTTCGCATATCGGACGTCGACCAATATCCCATCCGCACATGAATATGATCCTTATATGATGAAACTTTGCTACAGCTCATGATGGAAATGGAGCAGCAGAATCAAGATGTCTTTGGCGCTGCCAATGACTTCTTGACTCCGGTCCTCGATCGAGGTATGCATGACCGCGATGCTCATTCAACCGTAGGAAATGAGGCTTAGGGCTGACTGCCCCTCTAGAAGAAATCAAGAAGACCACAGGCAGTTCCCTGCTTCAAATTCTCAGCCGGAGTTCCGGTCACGATGATACGAGTGATGAAGCCGAGAGACCGACCGTCATCAATAGAGCCTTGGATATCTTGATTAACATCCATGAAGCTTTCGTCCTGCCTGCGTCACAGGAGGTGTCTCAAAAGCCATACTCCGAGGTTGCAGACTCGCCTATGGAAGATGCAAAGCGCCGTCGAGTCTTGCACGCATTGCTAGACCTGGTTTCCTTGGAAGGCATATATCCATCACTATCCTCTGGAGTCGGAATCCCTCTCCAGCAGCGAGTGATTTCCGTTTTGCCGGCGGGTATCATCGCGAAAAAGGCCACCACGATTACTAGTAGTGTGCCGCAGAATCACCAGCTTCTTCGACGCATTATTGGTGTTTTGCTTGATATTCTCAACGACAATCGTCCAAGTATTCAGCCCATTATCCGGAGCCGTATTCTGAGTGATGTAATAAGTGGTCTATCTGACCTTGCTTTCAACCCAAACATCCAAGAATCCTCCGATCGAACAAGCCTGCAAAAATCACTATCGAAGATTGTGGAAGAGTACGTTCAATTCCTTGCCATTGCGTTCTCCAATGGTTGCTGATCAGCGACAGTACCCCTACCACTGTCTTATTACCCACGCTATCCGTCTTCCTTCAGTCAGAGACATGCCAATGGTTTAAGTCAACAATATCAAGCCAGCTTTCACACGTTCCTTTACGGCCAGGCGGAGTAGTTCACATCATCATGTTTATTGCGTCACAATTCTCTCCAACTTTGGGACAAGAAGCACAGGATCAATCAAACGGCCCTCGGTTGACCGTGCAAGCTATCATGCAAATCTCACGACTTCTCTCTTCTGTACCACAGGGGGTTGAGCCGAAGGTCTATTTCAAGACAATTGCTCCGCAGCTCTTGGCTTTGATGGATGGTACTGACCTGGATCTCCAAAAGACAGCTTCATACGTTGTCGCCAGTGGGATTCTGGGAAAGCGCGCATACGGAGCCGTTGGAACCATCGGCCACTCAATATTCGTGGAGCCAATTTTTAATGCACTCACCGCAGAGCTTGACCCGAAATCAAGACAGTGGATGACACAGTTCACAGATCTTGAAGGATCTTTACCCGCGCCAACGGAAGTTCACCCTTCATCTAATATCATTGTGGATAGCACTACCCTTGATCTGGCATTGGAAAGACTGAGATGTCTTACATTGCAGCACCCGAACCCCAGTGTCGTAAAACGACTCGTTCAACCAATTTTGCTCCCACTGTGGGGTTTAATATGCTTTTCCAAAGAAGAGCAATCCCTCAATTCATTCCATGAGCGCGTGTTGCCTTTGCTCCAGACGTTCTTCAGCATCTCGGTCGGCTCTCCGCCACTGAAAAAGCTTGTTGACAATCTTCTTTGGGATGGAGGTGTGAATTGGACATACTCCCAGAACGCAGAATCACAGGTTGTATTGTCCAAGCGGAGCACTCCAGCCGGTGACCATTCCAACTTGATTCAACTTATGGATTCCCTGCACACAAGAGCAGAGTTATTCGCCGGTCTCCTTGGCTCTGACCCGAGCAGCGAAGAACGAACCGGTGACATATTCCTCTACGTCAGTGAAAATTGGCTCGTTCAACCTACCACTTCTCGGGAAACCAATAGCATGCTAGATGGCACAGGAGAGACTGAGGACATCACTAAAAAGCTCGTCAGTGCCAAGGTTGCAGAGAAATTGCTCGATAATTTCAAGGATGCACTGACTCGACGCCCACTGCGTGTTCTCGAGCTTATCAAGCATGTAGTTGATGGAGAGTTGCGCAGACTCAAAGTACGATACGCCTTAGGACAAGGCAAAGTCTCGCTTTCGTCGCTATCCAACATCGTGGAGAGGGATGACAATGAAACAGAAGATGCGGCAAACGATTCATCCGAATCACTGTCAACTGCATTCAGTCTTTTGTCAACCCTCCTTGCCTCCGCTGAATTTTCGCCCACCGATGAAATATTGCCGCTTCTGTCGTCTCTCAAGAAAGACCTTGATGAGCTTGTGCCGCTTCTTCCTGCGACACTCTCCAAGCCAGGAATGACTTCGTCCCTGCTATTAGAGATTCAACTTGCTCCCTCAGAGAAGCCCGCAACGAAAACAACATCGGCCCACACAAAAGACCTCGAGACCTACCGGCAGGCAATGGCCAATTTGAGCTCAAATATGCCGCCAGTCAAGGCAGAAGGTCTCTTCCTTCTCGAGAAGCTTGTTGTTGCGTCGTCTCCTGTTATTGACATCGGTGTGGCCCTGGGTTGGATGATGTTGGTCATCAAAGACACTTCAGGGACTTCCGAAGATGAAACCTACAACCACAAGGCTGCCACTAGTGTGGTCGGAAAGTTGGCGTCACGCCACCCGCTCACGGTTATCAAAACTTTGGTCGAGGAGTACGCCGATAGACAGGAAAAGAATACCCTCAATCAACGCCTCATGATCGGCCAGGCAATCGTCCAGTCGATTCAAAATATAGGAGGTGGACTTTCTGGTGAAACAGCAAAGATTCTTGGAGAAACTCTCATTTCTGTCGCTGGACGCCGAGGAACTAAAGGTGAATCGAAGAAGGCCAGCTCGAAGTCACAGAGGAACAAAAGTCCCGGTCTGGCTGGCCAGGAAGGAAAGAACCCCGAAACGCCCGAAGACTTATCGACCTCGTCTGGGATTGCCAAAGCCGTATCCCAACTCAGTTCACACGATGACGACTCAGATGATGAAACCGAGGAGCAAAAAGCGTTTGCGGCTAACGTGGTTGCTGCATGGGCAGCCGGGGCATCTGCAGACGATAAGCCCGACGACCTTCGCGCCCGAGCCTCAGCAGTATCAATCCTAGGCACAGCCATCACAATCAACATCATCGGACTCGGCTCTGCGACTGTATCGTCTGCCATTGATCTCGCACTTTCCATCCTCACGCTCGAAACCGACACCGAAACCGCCATCATGCGCCGCTCAAGTGTGATCTTGATTCTTGATACCTTGAAAGCCCTTGAAACGGCTCGAGAGACACTGGGGCAGGATGTTGGATTTGGGTTCTCCCTTTCGGACAACGATACCTTCGCGTCGCCGCAGGGTCTCTCGCGCGAAACATCGACTGTCGGTAACATCCCCGCCATGCTCCGCACGCTTTGCTTCGTCGAAAGCCGGGAAAAGGATGGACTCACCCGTCAGCACCTGCGCGACCTGGTGGAGAGCTTGGAAGCATGGACTGAGAAGTCATTGATGTGGGGTATTGGCGCTCAGGAAGGTCAACATGCCATGGATCCTAGGTTTGACCTTGGTGGCAGGATTGCAGGTCTTCGCGTAGACCCGATGGCTGGTGTGGAAAACACCGGTCGCCCACGTATCGAAGAGATAGAGTGATGTCCCGAAGCCCTGTAATTAGTCCAAAAAATATCATGTGTCAGGAATTGCGATGTCCAATGTATATATCTCGGACTTTTTGCTGTTAGAACCAGGTCAAACCCGTGGACGTAGGGAGACAACATTGGAAGTAAGAAATTGGCGTAAAGAAACTATCATTGATTTCTTCGAATAAAGTGGCCATGTACAATTGTATTAAAAATTGGTTTGCTGATGTGTTGCAATAACAAGAATGACATGCGCCGTTGGACGCATTAAGAATAAGGTGCGTTTTGAAGCATTCAGACCTAAAAATCTCAAGTTGCATTATGATTTTATTAAGGAATGAGAACCATATACAAGCAACGAATCAGCGATCAGATCGACTGTTCGTTCCAGCATCATTGGTCTAGTGGTAGAATTCGTCGTTGCCATCGACGAGGCCCGTGTTCGATTCACGGATGATGCAATGTTTTTTTGCCTTTTTGCCTTTTTCTATCCAGCCTCTGTGACAGCAAATCTTTTTTTTTTCTTCTTTCTGTTTAGCTGAGAGATAATGCTAAATATAGACGGGCTGAAATTCTTGGAGCGCGCTGCAGATTGTAACCTTGGAATCGATGAAGTAGTTTGTCAGGTATGAAAAAGACAAAAACGCAGGGTCTGGATCGGCACAAGTGACAAAACACAAAACCAGGAAACTCCGAACTATCCTGCGCCAGATCGATGTGGAAATTGCCGTGATTCTCATAAAGTCTAATATGTATTAAATGGCCCTGAAGAAGTAGCAGAAAGAGCATCACAAAGAAAATATCAGGGTCATGGATTGTCAAAGTATCATTAGTCCCCCCGAGCTATCACCTCCTGCTCCAAGTCGCGACAATCCCCTCCTGCTCTCCAAGTACCATTCTGCTTCCGATTAAAAGATCAAGTGAACCGCTCCCTTCGCACCATGAAAATTTCCAGGTAAACTGGAGACTGAAAATTGGATATCTCTACCAGCCAGATCGACCACCGAAGTGGTTGCTGGAGCGACCTTGGTTGCCACGGCCATGGTTGCCTCCGCCCTGGTGGTTGTTGTTCTGGTTGTAGTTGTTGCCACCACGGCCACGACGACCTCCGCGGCTTCGGGCACCGCGTCCTCCACGGCCACGGCCACGACGAGGCTGACGGGGACGGCACGGACGAGGACCGGCCTCCATGCGAGCACGGCGCTCTTCATCAGAAAGGTCGAAGTTATTGCGAATCTGGAGCAGTCGGCAGAATCTCTCAGTCTGTGGGTTTGTGTACTCCACGGGCTGCTCCTCGGTGGTGATGGGAACCGATGGGTCGTAAACAGGCGCAGTGCGAACGAAATTATCCGGGATGTCCATCAAGCCTTCATTGACAACGTTCTCCTGAACCCAAGCCTCCTCTTCGGCAATGCGCTTCTGGTAATACTCGTATCCCTTGTGAGCCGGGACGGATGCCTCCACGTTTCCGAGCTCGAGTTCCTCGGCGAAAACGCGAGTGATGGCCAGCCATTCCTTGTCATACTGCAGTCGGAATGGGCGCTGCTGTGGGTTCACGTCGGTGGAGATGGGGTGGATCTCAATCAACTCGACGAAGGGATCATGGTTCCGTGGCTTGTCGAGAGTGAGGAACTTGGTTAACTTGTTGGAGATGGCCTCCGGGGGAGGAAGGATCTTGTTGACCGTAGGGGGAGTTGGGGAACGTTCCAAAGAGATAGGAAGAATCTCGTTGGCCACAGAAGTCAAATCGTCATCGACGAGGCAGTTGGTGGGGAGTTCGAATTCAGTCGAGTTAGATACGCCGTCGAGCTGGGCGGCAGCGAGCGGAACCTTCTCGCGGGCGGATGGGCTGGCCACACTCTTTGGGCTCGAGCCCAGGCTGATGCGGTCCTCGTTTGCAACATTGTCGGGTTCATCCTTGAATGGCTTGGCCTTGGAGGGTGTTCCAGGGGCGGGTGCAAGACGGGCACCGGTGGAGCTGGCAGGGCTGCTGCTGCCAAGGCTGATCTTGTCCTCGTTGTGCAAAGCATCAGCACCGGCCCCGGAATCAGCATTGACGTTCTGAATTTCAGTAGAAGCGGAGGCAGTGCTCATATCCTTGCCGTCTCTGAAGTTGCGGGTGATCTTCCGGGGAGGCCCCTTTCCAATCTTCAGGGTTTCTTCGAAAGTGTAATTTCCGCCGAGGGGTTTGCCGGCGGCTTGTCGCTCTTTGAAGGCAGCCATGAAGCTGGCCTGATCAGCCATTTCCTGCTCATGGGCTACCTTACCAAAATCTTGCCAAGCTGCAATCCTCGATTGCACATCCCCTGTGGCGAGTCCAAGTCTGCGCTGAGCAGCAGACAGGGTAGCTGGTGTTTCCTCCTGATCATGGAGCTGGCCTTCTTTACCAGTTGTTAAACCCTTACCAGAAGAGGGAAGAGACTGACTTGCAGGGTCTCGAGGGGTGAATCCAGGAGAGACAGGGCCGTGGCGTACGAAGGCAGTGTATCTGACGTGCAGGTGGGCCGAGAACCAAAGGGCTGGGCGAAGATGATCAAGCAGCTCACGAGCGGCCACACTGCCGAGATGCCCCGCCTCGGAGTCTTCCTTGAAACCCTTCTTCTTTTTGAACAGAGTCTGATAGTCGCCAAACTTCTCAACGCCCTGAGGCCAGTCGTGAGAAAGACCAATGTCGACTTGGGTGCGCACTTGGAGCAGCTTGCGGACATCCATTTCACGAATGTGATAAATGGACTGCAAATCATCGTCATTGTAAGGAAGACGCTCGAAGTGAGGCTTGCGGTAGTCGTAGCCTTTCCAGATGCCGGAAACTCCGGAGATGCGCAGAGAGCCAAATTGGACAATGTTGGCAGCGCCGAGGTAGTAGATGTTGGGAGCCACCCAGCCACCGTAAGACAGTTCGAAAAGATAGTTGGAAGCCTCATGGTTGCCACCGAGGAAGATGGTCGGGAATGGCGCAGCACGTTGGCCACTGTAGTATTCATGGAAGTCTCCAATCTGCCGATACTTGATAGGCATGGAGATACAGGTAGCATCGTTGGAGTTGCGCAGAGCCTGCAATGAGTCAATAAAGAAGAACTCATTTAACTTGTATGTCAGACGAGACATACTTGGAAGTCTCCTCCAATGATCAAGAGGTCAACTGACTCCCAGTTGAGTCGGGCAGCCTTGAGCTTGACGATATCGTAGATCTCATTGAGACTACCATGGCCCTGTATAGAAAAGAATCAGCAACAGTCCAAGAGGCTGACACTCAATGATGTCATGTAGCAAAACACTTACGCAGCCCTCGAAGGCAATCCGCAAGGATGCCATGATGCGATGTGGAATGAATGGATGAATGAAGATGAAAGGACGCGATACCCAGATAGAAGCAGAAGCAGAGGGGCAAAAGGGTCAAAGGCAAGACCTGTCAAGGCGCAGCGAGACTACGAGACAGGAGAAACCATGAGAAAAAGAAAACGAGCAAGGAAAGCACTGACGAAGGATGTTAACGAGAGATGTAGATGGGAAAGGATGGCGGGTGGAGCTGGCCGAATTTAAGCTCCCGAGCAAATTTCTCAAGTTGGACGACTTTGCTGCGATTGGTTTGCCATTCATCCCATTGTTCCTATTGTGCCTATTCATCTTGCATTGTCTTTGTTCAATTAATTTGTTCTCTTTTCACTTCACTTCAATTCGCTGATTTTCAATTGGTCAGAGCATTATGCCTGATGCTTTTTTGACTGAGGCGGCCTTGTCGGTTCCGTTGAGCTCCTCGACTTCAGCTCATCTCCTTTCAACACACTCCCACCTCCTACGTGATTCAGGTAAATCATTGAATGTCCGACAGCAAAGGGACTACTGCGGAGCTTGTGGTAGTGTTAGAAAGCCCGAGTGGACCAAAGTCACTGAGATCAAACCAAAGACAAGGAAACATCTAGCTACATCAGTCTCCAAAGGCGCCACTGTATACAAGTGTCTTCGCTGTCATCGGCGAGCTGTATTACCACCTAAGCAGGCCCCTCAGTCCCTGCCTTCTGCCCAAGCTGTAAACATTGCAGCGTCATCTACTCAAGATCCAACAGAGGCTGTGGCAGGCCCAACGCGAGCCACAACCGACCCCAAGTCCGGTGAGAACCAAAACAGCAAGAAGCGAGCCAAAGCACGCAAGCAAGGTGGTCTTCAAGCTCTTCTCGCCTCAAAACAGCAAGCTCAGCCCTCGCTGGACTTGCTTGACTTCTTGCAGTAGAGGTCGCGCACGTGATCTGATCGCTAAATCGGAACTAGCGCGGGGCTCCAGCTTGATTCCCCGACTGTCCCATCTGCCTCAACTCACGCGCGAGCTCGCCAATCACGCGCAAATACGACCCGAAGAACCTTTTCACGAATCCCGCATACCGAAAAACCCCGCTCTACCAAAATGTCAGCTTATTCGGATGATGAGGATCACGATCCTCAGGCGGATGAGCTCCGCGAAACCGCCTTGGTGACGCTTGAGGCGTTGATCAGCTCCTGCAACAAACAAATGCAGCCATACCTAATTAACACTACTCGTTCTGCCCTTCGATTCCTGAAATATGACCCCAATGTCGCCGAAACGGAGGACGACGAGGAGATGGGTGGCACTCAAGACGACGGGAGTGAAGACGATCCTACGGAGGACCCCGACATGGATGACGATTTTGAGGATTTTGAAGAGGAAGGAGGATACAGTGATATTGACGACATGAGCTGGAAAGTACGTCGATGTGCTGCCAAGCTTCTTTACACCGTGATCTCCGCCTACGGTCGTGCTCGCGCCTCAGACAACTCAGCTCTGTTCCAGCAGATCGCACCGGCACTGATCGCACGCATTAGCAAAGAACGGGAAGAAAGTGTGAAGCTGGAGGTTGTGTCCACATTGACTGCGCTGGTCCGCAAAACTGGTGAGGGCTCTATGATCGTCACTTCCAATGACTTCCTGGAGGCCGTAGGTGGAACAAAGAACTCTCGCAAGCGCAGACGTCAGGACAGTGATGCATCTATGATTGACTTTGAGCCGAGTGCTGGCACCTCGTCAGCAGCCGACTCTCCTGCGGTTCCCTCGTCGCCTAAATCCGGTCCCCAGGCCGATCTCGCCCGCTCCGTCCCTTCAATCGTTCAGAACCTCGTCAAGGTGTGGAAGCAAGCTTCAATCCCCCTTAAACAAGCCGCAATCATTCTCCTCAAGACACTTTCATTGGTCCGCTACGGAGGCCTTGCCAACCACCTTCAACAAATCGAAGACCTCATCGCGGACGCATTGGAAACCTCCTCTCTTTCAGGAAGCACAGCGGCTCACACTGGGGCTGCTGTTAGTGCGGGTACCCTCCAGATTGAGACCCTAGGTCTTATCGCAGCAATTGCCGAGACTCATCTATCTGATGCCCTGCTTCCGTTCCTGATCGCGCTGGTGCCTGGAGTCATTGCGGCCGTCAATGATCGCAACTACAAAGTCAGCAGCGAGGCGTTGGGCTCTGTCGAACAGATTGTGAAAGCCATGACACCCCCTCGTGTCTCTGCCAACGCTACCGATGTGAACCAGCAGCTGCAGAAGCTCTATGACGTTGTCCACTCCCGAATCACCGACACAAGTGCCGACCTTGAAGTCCGCCAACGCGCTATCCATGTCTTTGGTGTTATCATTGCACGGACTCCAGGAGAACGAGGCTTGGAATTCGTTTCGGCGGACCGAAGGTCCAATGGTCTGGATGTCTTGGTCGACCGAGTGAGGAACGAGACTACCCGTCTAGCTGCCGTTCGCGCCGTCGACGACGTCGTTGTCCTCGCCGAGCGCAAGCAGGATGCTTCCAGTGATTGGGTCAACAACGTTGCCGTTGAGCTCAGCTCCAACCTGCGCAAATCTGATCGCGCATTGAGGGGCGCATGCCTCGAAACTCTTCGCAGTCTTTCGATGAACTCCAACGTCCGGTCTCATCTCACCGCTGACACCATGGTTGTATTGGAAAATGCCGTGCTACCCCTTCTCGCGGCAGCTGATTTCCACACTCTGACCCCGACCCTCATTGTCATTGCCAAGCTTGTCCCAGGTAACTCAAAACTACTTGTCAACGATGCTTTAATTTCGTCCATCTGCTCCATTGTGAAAAAGCCGTTGGTCGGCACTGTTCTCAAGGCTTTGCTTCTGCTGGTTAAGGTGATTGGCGATGAAGGCGCCGGTGGTAGCTTGATGCAAAACCTTCTTCGCGATGTCGGCATCACTGGAGAATCCTCCGTGGTCGGCAGAGCGGTTGGTACACTCTTGGTCCATGGTGGATCAAACCTTGGAGTCACCATGGATGACTTCTCCACAGAACTGAAGACTGCACGTGATGACAGCAGGAAATGTCTCGCCCTTGCTATTCTGGGTGAGATTGGTTTGCGAATGGGCTCTGAGTGTTCCCTGACCCCAGATCTTTTCATCCCACACTTCGGCTCGGATTCGGACCAAGTGCGCCTGGCTGCTGCCACAGCCCTCGGAAATGCGGCTGCTGGTAGCGTCAAAGCCTACCTTCCCATCATTCTCAACGGCCTGGAGAAGTCGAACTCCCAGAGCTACTTGCTTCTTCACTCTGTTCGAGAACTGCTGCAACACCCCGAGGTTGTCCGTCCCGATCTTGCACCGTCTGCCCACAAGCTATGGCACGCACTTCTCATCGTCTCCGAGGAGGAAGATAACCGCGCCGTGGGAGCTGAATGTGTTGGCCGCCTCGCACTTCTTGACCCCGTTGCTTATATCCCTCACTTCCAAGTAAGCATACCATGTGCCCTCCCAGCTTGCTACAAATTCCCATTGATACTAATTGCTTACTCGCAGGAATATCTGGCCAAATCTGACCCCGCCGTCCGCGGTGTAGTTATTTCAGCATTCCGCTACACACTTGCTGATTCAAGCGATGCTTACAACGATGTTCTTCGCCCCCTGATGGTACCACTTCTGACCAACATGTTGAGTGACAGTGATCTGGGCAATCATCGTCTTGCCCTGACCACACTCAACTCTGCAATTCACAACAAGATGGAGCTTCTCCTGCCTCATCTCGATGAACTGCTGCCGGCTGTTCTTGGGGATACCAAGATTAAGCCAGAACTTATCCGTGAGGTACAGATGGGTCCGTTCAAACACAAAGTGGACGATGGACTCGATCTCCGTAAGGTCAGTATCTTCCCGAACCACCCCACTTATCTACCTTCTTACTAACACATGGATCTACAGAGTGCCTACGAAACCCTCTATGCTTCGCTCGACACCTCATTCTCCCGCACTCACATTACTGAGCTCTTCGATCGCATTCTCGCCGGTATCGACGACGAGCAGGACATCCGCGCGATTAGCAATCTTATGACGTCCAAACTAATCAAGATTGCACCGGAGGACACCGAACGCCGTCTGGATGCTCTGTCGGAGCGTTACAATGCTGTTCTGTCGTTCAAGCCCAAGGACAATGCCGTCAAGCAAGAACTTGAAAAAGCCCAAGAGGCATCTCTGGGAATTCTGAAGATTACCAGCGAGCTGAGCAAAACCTTCCCCGGCGCGGAGTCCTCTGGCGATCTCCACCAATGGAAGGCCTATATGGACTACGTGCGCAAGAACTTCAGCCAGCAATATGCCTCTTTGGAAAATGACTTCTGAATGGAGTTTGTCGGAAAGTCTCCTCGGCTTCGACATTGAAAAGTACAGTCACAAATCATTTACCTATTGATCACATAGCCTTACGACCTGTTGAATGAAATACATGATCTTGCTCTGGTATTTACATTGTACGGTCAACCCTACATCATGCATGTTCGTAGAATGCAAGCTCCACAGAAGCATCTGGAAACACTTAGCCGAACTTTGAGGTCTTCGTAGAGAGGCGTCATTGGACTCAGAGCTAGGGTTGAAGTGTGTTCGAAACAGGCGGTGTGCCGTCATGAATAAAGTTCAGCCTAATGTGGACGGAACAAGGTTTGTTCAGGGCTCCCAAAGAGACCAACAGAACTGGTCGATCTTGTTGCTGTGTAACAAATCCATTCTTTCAAATCCTACCCATACATACTACGTAGGTCTGTAGCGACCATGGTCAATTTCAGTATCTCAGGTACCGTTCCGGCCTGGGGGCCGCCCCGAACAGGGTATATACGGTACGGAGTAGCCCAGGAAGAGAAGACCTAGGTGTACAAGTTTGTACGGAGTCTCAGAATAGGTGCATGGAATAGTATAGGGGAGAATGCTGTACAGAGTCCTTAGGAGGTCATTCCAAAGAATACTTGAGGAAAAGACCCCAGGGTGTACGGAGTAGGCTGAATACCTATGGGACATTATTGTATTGAAAATACTAGGATTGACCTGTGACATATTAAAGATCGACAATAATATGGAGTATATCAATCACAAATCGAAACATTATGCACGATGAGGTTTCGAAGATCTGACGCCACCGGCGATCCCAAGCTGGAAAGTGAGACAAATTAATCAAGGAGTGAGCTTTATTCAATGCAAGCGGGGGTTGTAATCTACCTCAAAAACCTTGAAAGAGGTGTAGGTATAAAGCGAAGCTTGTGGAAACTCCAAAAATCAAACCATTCCAAATCCTGTCCAGCAAGCCTGCAGACAAGCGTTGGCAGAATATCAGAAAACATGACCATCACAACTGCCGAGCCCGCAGAAAGTCTGTTCAACACGCTTGGTGCACAATATGAGGACGCCTTCGCCAATGATCCCCTCCTCTGCTCTTTTATCAAAACTGTGGCAGATAAGCTACCAGCCAATAGCAAAGTTCTCGATGTTGGCTGCGGTACCGGAAAGCCCGTTTCGCATCTCCTCGCTAGTGCAGGCCATGTCGTCCATGGCATTGACGTCTCAGCTGAGATGGTCCGACTCGCTGGGTCCCAAGTCCCCGGAGGGTTCTTCCAGCAGGCTGATATGAGAGAATACCAGCCGCCGTATGAGATGGACGGCGTATTCGCCATATTATCACTGTTCCAGCTCACACCTGGGGATTTGGTCTCGATGATGTATAAGTTTGCGGAATGGGTGCGGGAGGACGGATTCGTGGCTCTGTGCGTCTTGCCGAGTACGGCATTGGCACCACAGCGAGTCGTGTATGACCCAACTTGGGATGCGGTTTGGATGATTGGGAAGGAATGGATGGGCAGTTTGACGAACGAATCTTTTCTTTCAGAGAACGGCTGGGAACGAGTGCTCAAGGAGGCCGGTTTTGTCCTTGAGGCTGAGCCAATGTCGTATCTCTTTTCCCCAATTGGAGAGAACCATATCCCCGAGGCGCACCACTGCTTGATCGCGAGGCGGGTCGAGAAAGCACCGCTCTTGGGACCGTTCCCGTGGCCGTCTGGTCAAATGATGACAGGGGTTTGCAATACGAACAGAAACATGATGAAGGAGCAGCGACTTGTGAGCACGGAACTGGATAAGTTGATGCTGGGATTGGGTCAACAGAACGTGTTTGCCCTCGATAACAATGCCAAAGGTAGTGCTTCTCTCTCCAAACCTGGCAAGTTAACACTAACTAAAGACAAAAAGGGAGCTGGCTATCAGAAACGCCTTCATACCGTTGCATATAATTGACGTCTATTGAAGAATGGCGACGAGCGCGGACAAACAGTCGCGGCCTGTATTGTTCGAAGCGAGGTCATCAGAGACGTTCATCACATTCGTCGTGTCATTTTCCGTGTTCACTGTAGGATATTTGCAAATTATTGGCGTTTATATGGCTAAACTTTCCACAGGATCTCTTGCTTTACGGATTGGTAGGCGCGTCTCGCTCCTTCAGACCCCGTTAGATTACTAACTAACGCGACTAAAGCTTGTCCCAGTCACGCCAGCTACTCTCCGCGAGCGCGTGGGTCTTCCCGCGAAAGATGGTAAGCCATCTATACACAGACTTTGCAGCTTCAGGTGTTAATAAGCCGGCCAATTTGAAGAACAACGATGGACATCGATTCTACTCGCGCTCTACGGAGTCGGCGAACTAGTATGCGCACGTGAGTCTCAAATCGCCTTCTGCAAGGATGCCAAACTGATAGAGAAGATAGCTCTTGCCGGATACATAGCCGATCGAATCGAGTCGCGCAAATGGCCCTTCATGGTAGGATTGATTCTGCTTGGTGGAGGCTGCGCTCTTCTTTGCGTTGGAACAAACCTTGCGTTTTTGATATGTGGACGACTATTGCAGGGCGCATCTGCTGCGGTCGTCTGGGCTGTCGGACGTGCGCTTTTGGTTGACTCTGTGGCGCGGGAGCGGCTTGGGCAGCATCTTGGGTATCTGGGAACGGGTATGGCCATGGGGACGATGGTTGGACCTCTTCTGGGAGGCGTCATATACAAACGATGCGGATACTATGCCGTCTTTGGATTGGCCTTTGCGATGGTAGGGCTTGACATTGTGCTTCGGATTGTCGTGATAGAGAAGAAGGGGATCAGAGATGAGGTTGATTCTTCAAATTCTGATAGCGCGGCATGCTCGCAGTTGAAGTCAAAAAGCGGCGATGAGTTTGGTACCTTGGACCCCGTGTGTGGGGAGAAACCAACGGCTGCCAAAGGGGAGAAGGAAGAAGGGGTGCGATGCCCAGGACAGGAAGTACAGAGACGACAACGAGGTCCATTGATGGTACTACTACGCTCCGAACGGATGTGGGCGACTATTTGGGGATACTTTGTCCTGTCGATGATCTTGTCGTGTTTCGACAGCGTATTGCCACTGTTTGTGGAAGACACATTTGGGTGGTCACAGTTGGACCAGGGGCTGATATTTCTGCCATTGTCAATCCCCAATTTCCTTGGCCCTGTCTTCGGGCATGTCAATGACAGATTCGGCAAAGCGAGACGCTACCTTGCCGCGGGCTCCTTTCTCGGTGCTACCGTCGCCTGTGTTCTTCTTCGTTTGATCTCTCAAAACACGATCAAGTGGAAAGTGGTTCTTTGTGTGCTACTCGCACTGCTTGGGCTCAGCCTCGCAGCCCTAGTTCCCTGTATGTTATCGGAGATCGGGTTCATTGTCCTGGAAGAAGAGGAGCGCAAGCCGGGCGTCTTTGGAAAGGTCCAGCCTGTGGCGCTGGTCTACGGAATCCTTAGCTTTGTTTTCGCCGCAGGCTCCATTGTGGGGCCGTTTTTGGCCGGGTTCATTCGCGAAAGCGCGGGGTGGAACACGATGACTTGGGTGCTGGGCTTGATAGCAGGGGTCTCGGCTATCCCGATGTTGCTTCTCGGAGGGCTCTTCGTCCCAAGTCAGAAATTGACCAAAAGCGATCACCGCGGCGATTGACCCATCGCGGAGGAAGACGTGAACTCATGCCGAAAAGGATGAACAGCTAAAGGCCACTAGCAGAGCCTCGGCATCGATGCATATTACGTAAGATTCGACCCTGAGGCTCCGTGCTGCGCTGTACGCCGCTGCGGCAGTCCAGAGACCGGAAAGCCTGAGTCTTCGAAGTTCAGTATGTTCCAAGTGTCTTCTCGTCATACCCTCATATCACACATATCCCTCGCATCAAGAAAATGTATGCCTAGGGTGGGTATGATCTAGGGTCCCACCTGGTGGAGTTCTTCCCTGCACCTGAAATTGGCCTGTGAGAAGAAGAAAAAAAATTGCTAGCGCTAGCAGTCAGATTGTGGGCGCGGCTCGGCCTTTTCGGCCTCCGTCGAAATGTTGCCTCCTGAGAATAAAAGCAGTGCCTGAAGTACTCCGTGCGAGTACGGAGCGTGGAGCAAGTCCATTTACTTGTAGCTGGAAGAGATGACCAGCAGATTCGGATCTGACACATCATGACGATCAGTGAAGAGCTCTTGGCGCGGCCTAATAGCCTGAGATGCATTTAATCCTAAATCCAAAAAATAAAACCTCTGCGCAGACTCAATCATCATCACACTTCCCACTCCATACGGAGTACTCATGCGATATTTGAGCTCAGATATGCCTATATGGTAGATCGTCGAATGCAGGGTCCAATGCTAATGTTGTTCGTTGGCCCCCAGATCTGCGTGAAGAGGATGATCACCCCGGATTTGACCCTTGGCATCGCACACCATGGTGTGAATGTAGTATTCGGTAGCGATCTCACTGACAACGCAGCGGGGGAAATTAGGCCTCCTATAAAGTACTCCGTAAGTATACAAAAGCCCTGACCCCTCGGGCAGTGTTAAGCACGACCAAAAGTATAAGCACACGAGCACCAAGGCACGGCACGCTCAGCCTCAAAAAGCATTGGACAACTCACAACTCACAGACTAGTGGACCGCTAGAGTCAATGAGAAGCAGGATATTTCAAGGCTGACTTTTCCGCACCGGTTTGACTAGTACAGGTTGGTACTGGCGTGGAGCAAAGAAATTGCGCGATTTGACCACCCCTAAACCCTCGATTGTTCCATAGATCCACGGGTGGAGACCCTCTAGGCTCTCGTATTAAATGGCCCAAATGACCCAGTATGATTGGAGGAATGGGCGAGACATCAGCACTAAAGAAGTACAAGGCACCGACTAAAAGGGGAAATGTCGTTGAATAAGACCCTGGGCGGGTTTATTTTAGGTGAAGTGTTTGGTTTTAGCTCTGGACCCTGAGAGCTTAGCCTCTTTCTATTCTTCTTTTTTACCCCCTTTAGTTCCCTTTAGTTTCTAGTTAACTCTGGATTTTGCTTTTCTGTTGAGTCTTTTCTTCTCTCGTTCTCGATCTTAATTTTATTCTTCTTTCTTGTCTTGTCTTATTCCGTACCCCCCGCCCCCATGATTCACATCTAACCATGCTCTTTTCAAAGCAAGGGTGCCGCGATCTAATGCGGAGGGCCATCTCCTTGAGCTTCTGGTTTGACGATTGCTGGCCAGCGTCGCGCAAGTACTGGTTCTCGCTGTTGTTGATCTCGGTGATCTGCGCCAAATGTATCCACATCTACTCCCATCTGAACTCCTTACCCTTCGGGCAATTGCTCGTCTGGGGTCCAACATTCTTTCTACAAGATGTCGTGTGTGCTCTATTCGTGCACTGCCTGTGCGCCAAGTTCCAGCGCCGATGGGCTCGTATTCCGGCGGCCTTTGTCGTGGTCCCACTCAGGTACGGGCAGAAAAAAACCTCAAACCCTATGCTTGGATGAAACTGGCGCTAACCAACCTTAGTCTGGCAATCTCCGGTTTATCCGCCGCAAACATATCCTTCTACGTCGCCACCGGTGCTGAGATCCATTGGCGCCAAGCCCATAATTTCCACGGCGATGCCGCAGCCGTCAAAACATTGCTTACCGGCCTGACTGGTTTGGTCATCGTCGAGATCGCGTTTGTCTTCGCCGCCTGGTTCACAACTCCCCACTTGTACAATTGGTGTAAGGGAATCGTTGCAGTTTTCAAGGGAATCCTGCCAGCTGCTTGTCGACGGAAAAGAACTCCGCTGTTGAAGAGCTATGAGCAGGTTGCCCCCGAGGACTGGGATGAGGACCGGAGCTCATCCAACTCCAGTTTCGAGCTACAGGAGCCGGCGAAGCAGGATCAGCGACACTCTTTGTGGGTACGGGTAGCGGTTTTGGGTTTCGCAGCCTTCGTCCTCATCCTACGTTGCACTCGCCCGTCCAATACCGCGTACGAATTCCTTTCCGAAACGGTGATTGTCACACCGTTTGGCAAGGGTCAGTCCAAAGAAAATGCGTCTGTAATCCTGCCCGAACTGACGGGTGACTACTCGTGGCTCGGAAATCACACGGCGCTGGCGCCGACGCCCAAGTTCGACTGGTTGCCGGCGCATAATATCTCCGGGTTCAGCGACTGGTACGCCAATGCCAACGGGACCACTCCCATTCACTATAACCCTAAACAGGACCCGTTGCATATTTCCAACCTCGACAATGATGTCCTCGAGCCGCTGCGCAAGGCTTTGGACACGGGTGATGTCAATATTAAGCACGTGTTGCTCCTCAAGTTGGAAAGTACCCGGGCAGATGTCTTCCCTCTTCGCAAAGAGTCATTCTTCGGTGATGTGATCGCTCACTCCTTCGGTGGACAAATCCCGGTCGAGGTCGAGCAGCGATTGGCCAATCTGACCCCAACGGCTGAGAGGCTGATGAACACAGCATCTGGGTTCAGTGGAAATGACAAAGTATCGAACCCTTACGGAGGTCTCCACACGACCAACGCCTATACTTCCGACACCTTCACGCTCAAGAGCATTCTTGCAACCGTATGCGGAGTTGCGCCTTTGGTTGTAGACTTCAACCAGGAGTACTTGTATCACATATATCAACCATGCATGCCGCACATCCTTGAGGCACTGAACGGCCATCTCAACAACACCGAGATCACCAACCAAACCACCATTTCTAACCACACAACAATTTCCAACCATACCAAGACGGACGATTACACATCTTGGCCCTGGCGATCAACATGGATGCAGGCCATCACTGATGACTACGACAACCAGGACTTGCTTACCCCTGCGATGGGTTTCAAGCATAAAGTGACAGATCTAACTATCGACGAGGACTATGAGAAGTCCGGTCGCAAGAAGCCCAAGAAATACAACTTCTGGGGATATGTCGAGAGTGAACTCGCAGATTATTTCCGCGAAGCCATCAACAATGCCGAAAAGAACAAGGAGCGACTGTTCATCTCTCACTTGACTGGAATTACGCACCACCCGTGGGACACACCTGACCACAAATACGAGGAGATGATGTCTGCCGGTTGGTGGGGAAAAGCCAAGAAGGTCAATCGGTACCTCAACACACTGGGTGTGGCAGATGACTGGCTCGCCCTGCTTTTGGACATCCTGGAAGAAACGGGGGCTGCCAACGAGACTCTGGTCGTAATGGCCGGTGATCAGTAAGTACTATCCCTCATTTTCGCAATCATCTCAACTAACCCCACAAAGCGGCATTTCCCTCCCAGAGAACAGCGGCGTCACCCCATATGACAACCCCCCATGTCGCAAGCTTCCACGTTCCAATCGTCTTCGCCCACCCCCAGCTCCCACCCATCGAGATCGACTCTCGCGTAACTTCCATGCAAATCCTCCCAACAATACTAGACCTCCTATCCGAGTCCGGATCCTTGGATAAAGAATCTAAAGCCGCTATCAGCGACCTCCTCCCCCTCTACGAAGGCCAGTCCATGATCCGACCCACCATCCCAGAGAAAGACGGAAAGCAAGACTGGCAGTTCTCCGTTATGAACACCGGAGGAACATGGCTTGCTCTCCGATCCGCCGCAAAGCCGTACCGTCTCATCATCCCGCTAATTTCGGATGTCGAATGGCGATTCTCAAACGTTGACCTCGATCCCCATGAGCTGAAGGCACTGCAGGACTTCAACCTGCTGAATCTGATGGATCTGGTTCTCCAGGAACATGACGAGGATGCTGTGCAGTGGGTGAATGATGCGGCGCATGTTGCTAAATGGTGGGTTGAGGAGAATTGGCGTCGATACGAGTACACGACGTGATTCTCTGGGATCTGAACTTATTCCTTTACACTGAAAGGCATTTTGACCTTTGTGCGCTTCGGTGATTTATCACCACGACACCTGGCCAGGCAGATGACTTCGTCCGCACGACATTGCGAACCTTGATCCTGCGACATACTCAGCTTGGGAAGTCTCCTGGAAGCAAGCCCTGGAGAAAGTCCTACAAAGTCTTTGATTGACCGGGTTCTGACATGAAATGTCAAGCAACATATATCCGATCTTTGTATGGACACGGCAGTACCTACGCCTTATCGTCGGACCGTCTGCACATCACTTCTTGTTTAATATTTTACCATCGTTTGATACCAGCGTTTGAATGTACATTATTATCTTTATCACAATAACAAGTTTATTATCTCCCTCCATGGCTCACCCCCAGAGCAATGTGCAATTATCTCACGGCTCTAAATTGGATTTGTTGACCTCGGGAGCTTCTCTCATTGGCCCCTGCTTTGAATCTGAAACTATGCTCATTAGATCTCGCCCCCGAGGTCTGGCCATCAAGACCTCGGCACACACATATCGTTAAGCACGCTTCCACTCCAGTGGGGAATAACTAGCTGATACAGCCGTAATCCAAAGAACAAGACCACTCCGGGGCTAGCGATAGATAGTCGGAATACGGGAACAAATAGATTTGCAGAGAAAGATTGATTCTATAGGAAACAATGGTAACTAGTTCAAAGAATGAAGATGTCAGGGAAGCCCCCTCAGCTAGTCACATTGTAGAAAATGGTTTGGGGTGTGCCGGGGACATCACGATCGCACGACGAAACATGTGCACCATCAACCCGAGGGGCTGGGAATAGTCACCTGTTCGAACAGAGACGAGATATTCCGACCACTGGTACGGAGTATAAGTTAGAATACAAGCAATCAGGAAGTGAAGAAGTCAGCATAACGTACTTTGGATTCGTTTGAGATCTTGAGGAACCAGAATATCGTCCCATTACAAGCAAATCCATAAACAGTGCAGTTGCTCTTGGAAAATTCCTTCCATTCTCTGTGAATGCATCCTTTTGATCTCAATCAGCCTCCCTGTCATAGAGTGGTTGATATCGGGGTCACTTACCCATGTATCCCAATGCTTGGGAAAGCCCGATGTCAATTCTTTTGGCCTCAACGATTACAACATTCAAAGCCAGTTGTTCCCAATCGCCGTACCATATTCTGTAGTCAGGCCGGGCAGAAAGGAGGACTTTGTCCCTTCCAAGCTTCACAGGTCCATGGGTATACGAGTAGTCCGTCTGAATATTGATACGTTGGTCAGGTGGCCCATCCGCTGCTGCAATATTGAGGGCACGAGGTACGAGGGCGTTGATAATCCAACGAGCGCTCGGTTCAGTTGTCGGTGTATGACTTGATACTGTCTCGATCAATTTTAAATGCTCTCCTGTAAATAAAAGGTTAGCTCTGTCATGCTTGACCTATCTCCAAAGTTTGTAGGTACTCATGGTTCTTGGGGGTGTAATAGGAAGGACATGTTTGAACTCGTCGTCATTGCTGGCGGGCTTCAAACCAAGCGATCTCTGAACTTCCCGCAAGTCGAGATCAGAAATCGGAATCGTCTTGTACTTCAAAGTGGCTTTGTCGATCTCTTCTGGCACCTTGTGGATACGAAGTTTGTCCACAACCTTGCTCATGAGAAGATCTGCGAGCAAGCTTCGTACTTGTGTGACCCAAGATACCTTCTTTTCTTTAGTCATAATGGCGTTGAATAGTGCTATTCAATGTGTGAGATGGCCAGATTCACTGCAATGCCATGTAGAATAAAATTTGACTGGGCAGGAAGTAAAGGCTCAGCATCCTTCCAAGGACGCGGGAGGAAACCATGGTACAGCATCAGGGAGTATTCCAAGGTTGTCAAGTTCGATTACGCTGGGTAGGCGAAAGACAGCAAAAAAGACATTTGAAAGGACAGTAAAAAGGACAGTAAAAAGGACAGTAAAAAGGTATCGAGAAGAAGAACAGCAGATGGTGTCAGATTCAATGTATTGTGCGAGAAGAGGAGAGGAGGAGGAAGAGAGAGGCTCTCTACGACTATCTACAGGGGAGGGGGGCTGGCAAACAAGGCAAACTGCCGACAAAAGAACTATAAAAAGAGGGAAAAAAAGATGTAGGGGAAACTGCCAAACTCACCTAGCCCCTGGGATCGAACCGGGGACATTTCTGGTGTTGTTCAGTTGCCCGATATAACCCCAGAATTGGGCGTAGCATGGAGTAGTATGACAGAGTCAAACCACTCGGCCATTTTGGCGGCAGTTACTGTACACTACCTCAATCAGACTTAAATACGTGCTTTTTGAGACCAGGATTCCAAACCAAGTCCAGAAACTTTGCCCATATTCCTACCCAAAGAGCTCATCCGTCACCGAACGGTCCTTCTATATGCTCCAACACTGCGACGTAGCAGGCCCCGGGGGTTTATTCTAAGGCTTTAAGGATTAAAGATGATAATTTATGTATCAAAAATTCGAGCTTCAGGCTAATTAATTTGTGAGAATTTGAGATAAACCTTGGAATTTGTCTTTGTCTACGGTGTGCGTATGAAGTCAAAGTTTATCAACACATTCAGAATGCACAGTCCCACGGTAGCCTTCGAAGATTCACATCACAGCTTCGGTTCACTGGCTTCAGAAATATTGGCTCTCAGGTCCGGCCGATCTGCCCTCCCCGCAGTCATCTATACTAGTTCATTAGCTATATTCACGAAGCATCTGGGAATTGGATCCCAACGACTTACACCCCCATCAACAGGCAAAATGACACCCGTGATCCACCTCGCCTGAGGACTCGCAAGAAATGCAATTGCTAAAACCTCAGCTCCACTCAAATATCCGAACCAAAAACTACTCACCGTGTGCCACATCCCAAGCCGACCCTTCGACATCCAACAACCCTAATCGTACCCTCTCTCTTCTCTGCTTCGGACTCAACCCTCTAACAGCGACCATAGGCGTATACGCCATACCCGGACAAACACAGTTCACGCGTATATTTTCTTTCCCATGCTGAGCGGCCATCGCCCGTGTCATCTGAATTATAGCACCCTTGCTAGTCGGATAAAGCAGGTTTGGATCTCCCCCGATAACTGAACACATCAACACGGCACACTGCCAGTCTCAAAGGATTTACATACGACCACTTACAGAAGCCATATTCACAATAGAGCCTCCACCAACCTTTCTCATCTCAGGAATAACGTGTCGCGTCATGAGAACCATGCTCGTAACGTTGATCCGAAAATCGCGGTTCCAAGCATCCATATTAACAGTCGTGGCATCTCCTTTTGCATTCGTGACGCCAACTACCCGCAATTAGTCCAAGTGTATTATATAGCGAGATATAGGCCAGCGAACCGATGTTAATCAGGATATGCACAGCGCCGAACAATTTCACCGCGCGCGCAACCGCTTCGCGGACACTATCCTCGTCCGTCGCATCTGCTTGAATAATCTCCGACGTTCCGCCTTCGAGATCAATCATGCGTTTTGTTTCCAGTGCCCAGTCTGAATTGGAGTCTAAGAGCACAACCTTGGCACCTTGACGGGCGAGGAGAATGGAGGTCGCGCGACCATTTCCGATTTCGCCTTGTGGGTGTTAGGTTAGGTTTTGGTTGGCTAGGTGGGCATACCATCTATGCGTGATCCGGCGCCCGTCACGATGGCGACGTGGTTTGCGAAGGGCTGTGTGGCTGTCTTCATGTTATCGATAGAGACTTGGAATGGATTGGAGTTGGATCTCTATTGACTTATTTTGTCACGCAAAATATCGAGGATATGGCGCAATGAGGGGAATTGAGTTAAGAGGAGAAGCTCTGTATTGTACACAAGGAGATCATTCGAGACCTCATGTTCTGGAGGGGAGAATAAATGGTAGATGTTCAAACAATGTCTTTGACGATGTGATCGCCAAAATTCAGGAATGGATGCTGTGCTAGCTGCCCAGCACTTTTTCTTTTCATCGGGTCCCAAGTCAACATCCCCCTTGCGAAGGAAAGGAACAACTCTTTCTCTTCTCCTTCCAGTGAGGGCACTGTATCTTCGAGCGTGCGGTTGGGTACAAGATCTCCGTGAAGGAAGTTGCCTAATAAATTAGCAAAGACCAATTAAAAAAGTCACTGAGAAGAAAATTACCTTCTTCATCGAAGTGTGGACCACCAAATAGCTCTCGCGAATTGCTACACTCTTTTCCATCGTCCCGCGTCACGGAAGCGCCATCTCCAAAGTCAACCTGGGAAAGTGACTCAATTCTTTTCAATACCGCTTTCGGGGGAGAACCAAGCAGTGCGACCATTTCAGCGACATGAGACTTGGGATCGTATCGGTTCTCAGAAGTTTCCACCTGTGTGAAAAGCTCCGTACCTTCGATGATATTCCACATCTATCCATGTTAGATTCTTGTTTGTATCAGGGAGGGGCTGACATACAAGGACACCAAAGTTCCAAATATCTGCACTCTGGTTCCATCCGTATCCACAGACGACCTCTGGGGCTCGGTAGTAGGGTGATTGGATAGGGTATAGGTAGACAGTTTGGCCTTTCGTTTTGTCTTCTGGGATAGGATCAACGAGCATAGCCGAGTCAAAATCTGCTAGTTGAGGTAGCATGTTGGCTATATCCTCGGTTTGAAGCTCTCCTAAGCTATGGAGGCTGCTGTAGATTTTTCGGTTGGTTTCTGGGTCATTCTTGTATTGCATGGGATGATTGGGGAGATGCTCTTCCATGAACCGAGGAAGAACTTTGTCGTTTTCGAACGTCATCAAAATATTTGAAAGTTTTAAATCTAGGACATTAACTTTCCATCAATTGAATATCGGAACAAATAACTCACCTGTATGCGCAACATGACATTCGGCGTGCAAGTAGTCCATTCCAAGGAGCAAAAGGAGAATGTAGGCTTTCGCGACCGGAAGTGGCATTCTCTGGTTCTCCCATCTCTTTGTGAAGAGCTCCATGGTTTCCCGTAAAGGCTGATAAATCTGACATACATGGTTCTGCTCCCCATGGGCGAACTCGAAATGCCCCAGGCAAGTGCGTACACAACCCCAGCCTTTGTGAGAAGGGTTCTGCTGGGCGATTTTCTCTTCAATCTTCAATTTCGAACTAGGGGTACTAGAACGGCGACCGGTCGAGATCTTCAGCGCCACAGCTTCTTCGGACTGCCAGCGCCAACTGAACAGAGACAAACGCGCTCGTCAGCTTGAGTGCCATGAAGGCCAGAGGAAACTTGCCGGTATATGTCCCGTGCCAGCCATACTGTTGAGTCTGATCCCCATCCTATCTTGCTCAAAAGCTGATACTTGTCGGCGAGAATCTCACCAGGCTTTGCAGGATAGTAGGCCTCGGGGTTGTATCTTGGGGATCTTTCTTCATCCACAATCCTTTGGCTTGGGATAGCGGGAGCGGGATCTTGTGGGATGTGGAAAGGCCTCTTACGAAGCGCCACGAGCGCCCGCTTTGAGGATTGAGAGACTCTGAGAGCAGCCATGAGAAGCTGGGAGGTGGTGGAGACGCGCGGAACGGTCCGAGCTCCACCCTTCCAGGAACCGCGGCGGGCTTTCTTGGCGGTTAGTCAGCGACCAAAAACTTATGAACCTTGGAAGATAGTCTTTGACAGAAGTCCGATAGATCGTCCAAACAATATGTTGTTCATTTAAAGAATGATCAATGACTTCATGATGGCTTTGATCAAAACTTTTCTACTGTAAAATCTACTGTCTTGTATATGCCTGTCCTATCGTCCCCGCCAAGGATGCGTTCCTGGCTTCCAGACTCATGAGAAGTCAGGCCACCCCGCTGCCCTGATTGAACCGTTACTCCAGTGTTCTCTGTATGCGATCCAAATATAGCCGATGTGTTGTTGTTTGAAGTCTTGCTTTTGGTTCCACCTTCAGGGATGGAGTCGAGGGGGTAAGAGGGTCCAGATGCATTGTGGCGATAAGATGAGACAGTCGTGGCAAAACTCTTGAAAAGAGGACCGAAAGTTGGAATGCAGGTAATGATTGCCTACCAGGAGAGGTGAAAAGAGTTAGTTTTGACGAGCTCTGGTGATATAGGATTTTTCGTACCCCAAGGCTGACTTCAATGATAGACCAGAGAATTAGCATTTCACTGTCTGTCACTGTCTTCAGATTTTTGACTCTGAAAATTCGAGCTATCTGGATAACGGTCACAAAGAATCCCAGAGCAAAAAGTCCTGTCAGAACTATCTTCTCTTTTTGTCGAAGTTGGAGTTTCCACAAGACTGGCATGGGGAGTATGAAGATCGCAATGTCGAAGCCGAGGTTTGTTCCTTTTTGCCATCAATATAAGTCTTTCCGCTCAGAGTACTTAGATGAAGCTTACCTGCTAAAGCTTCAGGCTGTTAGTGGCTTGACGCTGTGATGGAGCACTTCACATACCGTAATAGAAAGACACGGTATCGATACACTTTCCCTTGACAGAAAGGTCCCACTGTCTTGCAATCTGCTTTTGCTCAGCTTTGCCAGAATCCAAGTATAAATATCGAAGAGTTAGTGGAAAGGTAACACTCACCGGCTGACAAGAAAGTACGATGATGAACGTATAAATAAGCTGAGTGACAACACATATTGCGATAGAAATGACAATGATGGTTCTATACAACGCCACAAAGCCTCCAATGCGAAAGTATGAGGCAAGCAGCGAGAGCTTGAACGCTAGGAGGTTGAGCGTGTACACTGGTCCTCCTGACCATTGAATCTATAGAAAATCAGACTGGTGTTAGTGAATTTATTTGAACGGAGCGCGTTTGAAGATACCTTGCTGAACGTAACCACATTCTCCATCGGAAAATACTTCATGCTCAAACCTAGACCCCATCGCGTTTCTATGACCGTTACTATCTCGCTTTTAATGAAAAGAGCAAAATTCAGTGATTGAACTGACGAGAAATGGTAATCCCGGCATAGACTATAGTCAACAGCACACTGAGAAGTGCCGCATAGTCATCAACCCACAACGTCCGCTTCCTATTCATCCGGATACCGAGACGCAAGCACACTGCCAAAAAGGCAATAGCCGGAAGCACCACGCATACCGTAATAACGCGTGGTATATCGCTGTGAGGGTCATGTTCGTGTAGGTTATGGACCCATGCCATCGTGAGATTGTCCAGCAAGTGGGAACAAGCACAGAGAAGATGGGATCATTGCAGTGTGTTTAATACATCGAAGGATTCAGTGTCCCCAGTGCATCCTTTGGCGTCGACTTACCTATTCTGTCTGTGTCCAGCTTGCAGGGATTATTGTTACCATGGACGCAAATTTGCATAGATCGACAGAGTAGTTCACTGTGTAAAACGCCCGACGCCAAGAAGTATAGATTGCGCACCTTTAGTCGGAATGGTGGACCCGCAACGGTGTTTTCATGTAGTATTGGGTTGGCTAATTTTTCATGTGGTTTGCTCCACGCTGAATCCTGCGGCTGTGCCGATCGAAGTTAGTCAAATTGAACGGGAAATTGGTCGGGGCCGTTAGGTGTACCAGGAACCACTTTGGGCTAGATCCATGCCGATCGCCTTTGCCGGGGGCGATGAGGACGATCATATTGTGTGGGTTACTCTCATATGAGGCTCGATAAAATCTTGTTAAGAAAGGGATAGGGTCGGAAATTCCGGAAATTGAACTTTAGTGAAAGGCTCTAAGTCGTGGAAAGCGACTTCGACACTTTGTTTGAAACGGGGTTTAACTTTGGATATCACAATCCAATCATATTCAATTAATTGGGGCTTGGCACAATTTTAATAGGCATGTCTCAGGGCAAAAGGCAAATCACTCAGAGATCTCTTCGAGAACTCTGATCGACGCGACATAGCCGCCCGTCCTCTCGCTCTTCCCATGCCTCGGATCCGACAGCGGTCCTGGCATAGAAGATATCCTTGGCATCATACTTGGCCTTGATTTTCTGCAATGCAGGATAATTTTTGCCAAAGAAGTATTTTTGGAAATTGGGCTGACGGAAGTCGGCCTGAGAGGTGGATGTTAGTCTTTGCTATGATGAAGATGGAATGGATTGAACTTACCTCGTTCATATATGCCCCGGAGCTCGGCGCAAGCGCAGTCAATTTAGCCATATAGGAGTCAGTCATCTTGTGTTGACTCGCTAGCATCTCCTCGTCGTCGTCCCATTTCCAGGGAGTGGTGATGGTGGTCGCAATCAAAGCATCGCGCCATCCGGGGAAAACAGAATTCTTCACATCTCCAGTAACTTGCTTCGACACGTTGAGACCCACACCAATGAAGGTAGCGCCGTCTTCCGTGATTTCGCGATAAGCAGCCGTGAGGGCTTTGTTGTTATTCTGTACGACCGACCGTGGAATGAGCCAACCGCCATACTGTGCCTCGCCAACTCCAATCTCCTGCTGCATGCCATTGAACTGGCTGAGATAGCTGGGGAATTGCTTAGAGTACACAGTGGGAGTAATGCCTAGCTGCTTCAAGTCGTTGATGAAAGGCTTAACCAGCGAGAGCAGTTTGGCTTCTGGGATGTTCGGACCAGTCAATGGCGAAATCGCAAAGCTAGCATTTGTGTAAAACCAGATGCTCATCGCACCTGCATCCACCAGTGCAGGGAGTCGGGTGTGGAATCGTGCGACCGCCTCATAGAAAGTATCTTGAGAGATCTGGCTATTTGTGAAGGTCAAATTGAGACCCGACACAGGGGTACCGGGGTGTGCCTTTGAGGTCATTGATACGACAACGCCATAGGTACCACCGCCACCACCACTCAGGGCCCAGTATAGATCGGAGTACTTGTTGTCGCGAGTGGCAGTGATCAAATTTCCCTGACCGTCTACCACTTTCCACTCCAAGACTTGATCAGCACCCAGTCCATAGCGGGAGGAGAGGGCAGAGTGGCCACCACCCTGGCTGTAGCCTCCAGCCAGTCCAACGGTAGGACACTCGCCGCCCACAACTTGTACCTCGGCATTCTCGGCAGCCTCGTAGGCTTCAAATCCCTGGACACCAGCTCCCATGGTGATGGCTTTCCCAGCGTAATGTTTATCCTTGTAATCGTGAATTTCGATATCCTTCAGATAATGAGTCCAAATACCCAGTGCACCGGCACCCGTCGACTTCCCAATATAGTCATGGCCGGTGTTGCGCACCACAATGCGAATATCGTGCTTGGTCGCGAACTGTATCGTCTTGGAGATATGCTCTGGGGTTGTAACATTGACGGCATAGACAGCATAGTTGCCTAGGGTACAGGGTTTCGAGACAGGGTGGAAGGGATCGCAGGTGCCATTGGCGAAGAACGGGGCCATCACAGATGACGAGGACTCATAACTATTTTCCAATTTAGCTGAGTACCCCCAAAACTCTTGACTTGAAACTCACTGTTCCTCGGGGACCGTCCATCCATCGCGCAAAATTGTACATTTGGCAGCATCATAGTTGGGCGCATGGCACGGTGTGCCAAGTGGAACTGTCTTCACCAATCGGCCGTCAATTGTTTGGTTGAACTTAGTCCAGACATTCTCAGCCGGCCAACAAGTGTCCCCGGGGAAGCATCGGCAGGCTGTAGAAGCCTGTGCGGACACGGCCAACAATGAAGCCAAAAAGAGTGCGAACATTTCGTTTGGGGTACTTTTGATCTAGCGCGGGGGCCTGCATTTATAAAAGCTCATCCGAGTACGGAGTACAACGTTTGTCTGAGGTGGACATGGATCCACTTAGAATACTCCGTAAAGTGGTTGGATATTGCGGGCTTGGGGGCCGGCCCCCTTACGCCGATCCCGCGAGCCTCGTGTAAAATGTGGGAGAGTCCCGGGTGTGCACACAATGACCTCGAAAAAAAAGAAAGAAAGACTCATATTGAGACTGAAACTCGGAAAGCAGAGAATTCGAATGATAAGACATGATTGATCATGAGAGAATGAAGAAATGGCTTCGAGAGAGCAGGCACTGATTACAGTGGTGGACTGAGGCGCTAATAAGCAAACATGCAAAGATGCCAAAACATCACGGCGAATCTCTACGCACTCGAATATGACCTTGATGCTGACCGTGAAAAAAACAATCGGATATTTTTCGGAAAAATCCAGTGTAAGTTGGATTCCTGCCCACTGTGGTACCTGCCAGGCTTGCCTGCTTCTCTGGAAGTTTTGACTTCTCTTCACGGCACAGATTGCACTTGACAAGGATTGTTTGGAACAAATCACTATTCTACCACGTGAACCTCCTTACTCGCGATCAACTCCTTGATCTGCCTCCTCGACACCTGTTGATGTCACATTGCGTCGTCAGCTTTCCCAAGGCAAAACAGCAATGAACACTCTCAAGGGGCTCAATCCTCGGTTGTCCAAGGTGCTTCGTAAAAAGCCGCTCCGCATCCCTTCCTCTGGACCACCTCTACCACTGGGAGTACTGATTGACGAAGAGCTCACGCCAAACTACAACTCCAAGCATTTCTACCCAACAAAGCCAGGCGAGGTGCTCATCGACCGCTATCAAACCTTAGTCAAAGTTGGCTGGGGGAATGCTTTCCTGGCATCCTTATGAGAGAGCCACAGCAGGTAATCCAGCGGAGCATCCTTTTCTTCAACCAAAGGTGACACCCGCGAGCGATCTCTAAGATCTCTATCTGAGCTCGAATCATGGACGTCCCAGTCTTTCCCTCTATTGTGTTCAATGGCTTTTGGCATTGCTGACAACAATGGAAAATTTCTATAAACCTGTACCACGATAATTGTACACATATTCTTCGCTCAGTCAGGCTTCATATCCCGGGCTTTACGTGGATACAAACATGCATCCATGGACTGAACCACTCAAAGGATGCTTGTGTTATGCAGCACTTCACCAAAACCATTTGGAGTTGGCCGCAAACTGGCAAGCATCAGGCAGGCTCCCAGGAGTTAGGGATTGTATCTACCAAATCGATGGCAGATCTCCTTTGGAGAGTCTGTTAAGCCGCTCCGTATTGAACTGGAAACATTCAGGAAGCCCAGTCTTGGACCAACTTTCTCCCCGCACGATTTGGGCGACGCCCGGAGCACAGGTAAATATCCGCGCCATGCCTGCCACAAGTCAGTATATTTGTTTTCTTGTTGACCAAGTTGCCTGTGGACGTTACCATGACCGTTGAAACCTGCGCAAATATACTGTCCAGGTAGCGACTCGATCGCACCAACAAAAGGAACAGAGTCCGTCGTCATACCAATGATACCAGTCCAAGCGTGATCTAATCCTTCACCGTGCATGGCAGCGTCGGACTTGTAGTCAGGGAACATTTCACCAAAACTACGCAATGCGTCTTCGACGATTTCGTCATTGTATCGAGAATCATCTGTGCTCAATCGACTGGCGATTGTCTCAGGGCTGAGTGTCGGGTTCGACCTCGAGACCCCCAATACCAATGTACCATCCCCTTTGCGTTGAATCAACGAGTAGAAGTGATGAAGACTGTAGCGCAGAGAGTAAGTGCTCTGCAGAGCATCAGTTCCCGAGAAAGCAGGAACAGGCACGAGAGACTGGGCTTGAGCACGATTCGGTCGCATGTAAGGGTCCAAGTGCGGCAGTAGTTGGGCAGCGTGCGCATTTGTGCAATGGATCACTTTCTCGGCAGTGATTGAGCCGCGAGTAGTGTGGACATCCCATAAACCCGCATCCAGATGACTGGGCGTGACTTCCATTGCAGGGCAGAAGGTAAAGAGCTTTGCACCTTTCAATATGACTGATTGGAGGAGGAATTGCGCCAATTTTGCCGGGTGACTAGATCCTGCTGGCCATTCGTAGGCCGCCAAGGCGCCCGGGACTCTTGTCTTTGCCTCTGCCTCTGTTCCTTCATAGAATTTGATATGCGTGGTATCGCCGCCGGCCCGCTTGAAAGCTTCCAGGCTTTCTGCCTCGTACGCAGCAAACTCTGGAGTCATGCAAACGTCGAATGTCGTCGTCAGATTGAAATCACATTGGACATCATGCTTCTTGACAAATTCCGCAACGCGATCGAGCACAAGCCGTTCGTCGTTGATGATCTTGAGGGCTTGTTCATCACCGTGCACTTTGGCATATGCACTAAAGCCCCTGAAAGCATCTGATGTCCAGACTTAGGTTAGAGTTCTTATCAAACACCGAGAGAATACTGCTACTGACCTGGTCGCACGTGCCCAGCATTTCGTGAACTTGCGCCACTGGCCGCCTCTCGCGCTTCCAAAATGACGATTTCCTCCGCGCTAGCTCCTCCCTCAATCAACTCAAGGGCTGTCAAGCCACCAGCGATGCCGGATCCAACAATGACATATTTGGACTTTGATGGAAGTGGTGCATCTTTGTTTTCATAGAGATGCTTGAAGGCGCGCGTGGTCCGCTGCCAATAGCTCAAACAAGGGGTTGGGTTTGGCAGGCTCCTGCTACTCGACTCGACGTGGCTCGACATGATCGGATCCAAATTCACCCCCTGAGCACATCAAAAGGTATACATTCAGAGGTCGGTATACACAGCGAGGTCAACCGGTGCGCCGTTGTCGGCGACGTTTAAACGCCGGTGCGGGGAAGCAGAGACTCCTATCGCGGACTTACCCCGTCTCATTTTGGAGTCACCTCGAGCTTATCCTCCCGCACCAATCAAGCGACGAGATTCAGAGACTAAGCTAATCTTCGTAGAGACTAAGTGGGGGAAAAAGAATGCCAAGCTATCTGGGACCGTGGCAGCTGTGGCTCCGGCATCCGATGTGACTCTAAGGGATGAGCTTCATTGGCCCAGCTCTTATCGGCACTCGCTTGCCCTCGGATCTGCGAAGTCTACCCCGGATGCATGTTTTTGCTATCTGCGAGGGGTCACACGGCATGATCCGCTTGGGCCTTATAGCCATGGCCGCAGCTTGCTCTTCTCTTCACATCTCTCAGCTATGGTCACATTCAAGATGTTCCGCCCTACGGCGGCGAGCGATGATTTCCGATCCTCAGACGAGAAAGCCTTGGTACGGCGTCTCGATATATTTCTCATGACCTTTGGGTGTCTTTCGCAAGGTGCGTTGGGCTGCAGATCACATCGGCGATTAAAACTAACATTCGGTAGTCATTAAATATCTCGACCAGCAGAATATCAACAATGCCTACGTTTCTGGAATGATGGAGGACTTGAATTTACATGGCAATGAGCTTAATTTGTGAGTTTTATGTAGTGTTCTTGGCCTTGTTGAATATTCGCTGATTATCGGTAGATTCACAACATATTTCAATGTCGCATACTGCATCATGCTCATTCCCTCCCAAATTATCCTCACCTACGTACGTCCGAGTTATTGGCTCCCAGGATTGGAGATAATATGGGGTGTCTTGACCGGCCTGATTGCCATGTGCACCAGTGCGAAACAAGTCTACGTATTGCGCGTGTTCCTCGGTCTGTGTGAAAGTAGCGCATGGCCAGGAATGATGACTCTTTTCAGTGAGTATCTTTTTGCGCATGCAAATTCCACCCAAAACTCCACTAACGTCCATGATAGTGTATTGGTACACGCCGACCGAGCTAGCCAAACGAATGGGCTTCTACCATTCCTGTCAAGCCGTTGGTCAAATGCTATCCGGCGCCATGCAGGCGGCAATCTCAGATACGCTCAACGGAAGTGCCGGACTAGCAGGATGGCGTTGGCTGTTTGTGATCAACGCCATTATCACAGTAGTTTGGGGATTCGCGGGATTCTTCATGATTCCAGATCTTCCCAACCGACCCAACCCACGCGCATTTTGGTTTAAAAAGATCCACGGCGAGCTCTCACTTGAGCGCCTTGCTCGAAATGGTCGCGCTGAGCCGAAGCGCATGACTTGGGCTGGTGTCAAACGTACATTCTCCGGATGGGTCGTGTACTTCATCTCGATCTTGTACATCGCAACGGTGCTTGGAACGTACGGATACGTTTATTTCTCGTTATTCCTCAAGTCGCTCAAAAATCCTGATGGAACCGCGCGCTGGAGCGTCACTCAGGTGAACGCTATCCCTATTGGAGGATCTGCGATCAACGTGGTCTTTGTGTGGATTTGGGCTCTGTTGTCTGATTTCCTAGAGACGCGCTGGACACTGATTGTGCTGCAAGCGGTCATTGGAATTATTCCGTGCATAATCATGAGTGCGTGGACAGCGAATCCGGATTCCGTTGCTTTATCCGCTGCTTATGCATCTTACTTCATCTCCTACATTTGTCTTGGAACGGCACCACTCATCTTTGCATGGCTGTCGGATCTGATTCCTCAAGATCCCGAAGCACGATCGCTGGCGGTCGGTGTTGCCGTTGCCGGATACTACTCTATCTCTGCCTGGTCGCAGGTCCTCGTATGGCCTGCTTCGCAAGCACCATACTACAAATATGGATGGCAGTCTGCGTTGGCATTGCTAGTGCTTGTGATTATAATGACTAGCATATTGAGATTCGTGGATGTGCGGTATTTGCTCCCGAAGCGCGAAGAGTTCCGCGCTGTGATTGAAGATGACATTGTTGCCAACAAGGTCAACTCAACGGTGATCCCTGAGGATCCAAATGAGGATCGAGAGCATGCTGCTGGAAGCTCCAAAGTCACACACACTGCAAATGTTCATGAGGTATAAAGTCCACATACAATATCACTGGGTCGAGGTGATGCTCCCGAGGTCTCTGTTTGGCACTTTTTATTGGTTGTTAGATGAGCATTGTATATAAATATGAGATCTTATGAATATGTGTATCACTTTTTCTTTTTGGCACCCACATAGGGATAGTATAGGGATAGGTTTCCAACCCACAGGGGACCCACCCCGGGATCTGATGTCAAACACAAGCCCAGCATAAGACTCCACAATGGTGAGGGCTCCGCTGTTCCCGCTTTTTTGAAAGCATTCTCATCGACGAATGCAGAAAAGTGAGCAGGCCAAGGGACTCCCACCGAATACCAGATTTTATTAGGCGCTTTGTGGGCCTAGCTTCAGGTAATATATACCACCCGAGGTGCTATATAAGATTAGAAGATTGAGAAGCTTCAGTTAAAAGACCAAACAAGGGCTCCCTGGTATAATAAATACCAGCTGGGTGAGGTGTCGCATGTCCTGATTTCGCTCCAGCTTAATCCCAAAGGGCCCAATCCTCTCCATCTGTTGGGTCAGTATTCCTTCCCGAAGTACTGGGTTCGAATCCTAGTCCCGATGTCCAGCTGAATTTATTATCCTTTTTTTTTGCTTTCCTTCGTTTTGATTTGTTTGTTCACATACTGCGAGAGAGGGTGTGCCGATAGTGTTCTGCAGCCTCGCCCCAGTATGAGGATATCAAGGAAAGATATCAGATAGTTTCCTGTGAGGGTAGCTCTTCTGTATGGATTCCATGAAGTCAGGGTCAAGCTGGGAATAAACACCTCCTGGTAGACCAGTGGATGACTGAAATGCGAAGTATTCAAAAGCGATCTATTTCGATACCATTTGCGCTACTTGAATAGCTTCATATTGATTTACAAGGATATAATTTGTCCACTAGTATATATTAATAAATAGTCGAATATCAACCATAGCTAATACACAGCCCGAAGGCAATGTCAGATAAAGAAGAGAAAAACATGTCCACATCTCCAAGCCACCATTAAAAGGCTCAATACATTACCACTTCACATTAGACTTGACAGTCTAGTAGTAAAGAGGGTTCTCAGGGTCAGTGAGATCAAAGACAACACTGGAGTGAGGCTTAGCTCCGCCACGGTTGGCAAACTCCTTGCTGAAGTCAATGGTTCGGTTGAAAGAAAGACTTCCATCCTCTTGTAGATCGATGTAAAGAGCCTTGAAGTCAGCAGGGGTGTTGATGATACCAATCTCGCCGGTCTGCACGAAGTAATCGGTGACAACCAAGTGTTTCTGATCGGGAGTGACCTTAATGTAGTGGGGGCCGACGGTGGGCTGGTCCTCATCGGGGTCATCAAGGCGCTTAATGTTGTTCAGGTCGCTGATGTCAAGGGCAGCAACGTGGTTGGCGGTCGTCAGAGTGGCGTAGAAGTACTTGCCGTCTTGACTGATGTCGGAACTGAAGGGAACAGTTAGCGATCATGTTTGCAATGCATTTTAAACCAAGGACTTACTAGATAGCGATGGTGTCGCGGGCCTTGGGTCCGAGGTCGTAGAGCTCTTCGATCACACCCTGGTTGCCGTTCGCATCCTTGCGCAGAGGGTAGATGACCCAGAGTTGACCCAAGTGCACGGCAGTGGCAATAGCGGCGGACTCGGGGTGACCAGGGATGAACTTGACATCTTGGATACCGCCACCCTAAATGAGTTAGAAAGAGGTCAAATCGGGATTGGAGAAAATAGCTTACATTGGGGATGGTGAGGGTGCTAAGAATCTTCCTCGAGTCCAGGTCCCAAAGACGGAGGGTATCGGCGTGACGCACACCAGCACTGGGCTTCAGGATAGTGATGGGCTCAACGAAATCGGAGGTAAGAATCAGCTTCTTCTCCCAGTCAATGCTAAGACCGTGAGGAGAGAACTGCTGACCAAGAATGTTGAGGGTTCCCTCCACATCCTCGGGCCATTCGTGGATAATGTCGAAGTTGGCATCGGTCTCGATGAGACGACCGGGAGAGGTACCAACGGCAGAACCCATGTAGGTAATGAAGAAGCCACCGTCAGGCTTAGCACGGACCTCATCAGCAATGGACCCGAGGATACCACGGTTGCTCTTCAAGAACTTGGGGCGGTATGGGTCGGAGGTATCAAAGTAGAATCCAGTGTCCTATGGGTATGTTAGGCTGAGAACTATAAACTAAACTTGCAGCCATGAAATACCTGAGTCTTCAAGAGAGAGAGCAGGCCACCACCCCAAAGGGTCTTTCCGTCGAGGGAAGGTCCAAGATGGTGGGGATCGTTTCCACTAGAGGGAACATCCGTCACCCACAAAAGTGTACCGAAGGTATCCTAGTCTCAAGTTAGTGAATTGGAAGCAGTTGACACAATTGGTAAGACCCACATCATCCAGACTGTAAGTGGCAAGGAAATCTGCGAAGGAAGGTCAATGTCATGCTAAAAGTACTATTGTCTTGAACGGCTATCCTACCCTTGTGGAACTTATCAGCGGAACCAGTCCAAAAATATCCAATCTTCTTGGGCTTGATGTCACTGGGAGTAAAAGGAGGACTCTCCAGAGGAGGAGTCGGGACCTGCAAGATAGGCAAAGGAGGAGCGTTGGTAGTCAGAGCCTCAGTGACACCGGGAATGGTGGGGATAAGTGGAGGCAAAGAAAGGCACTCTCCGAAGGCCACGAGCGACGCAAGAGAAGCAATGGAGTACTTCATGTTGAGAAAGAATGAGACCGTATGCGTTGGAATGAGCAGATTTGCGGGAAATCTCAATGGCTTATATACAGGTCCCAGTGCGCCTTCAGATGAGAAAGAACTTTTCATCAGCTCTTCTCCTGGAAATGAATCGCCAGGAACAACAGAAAGCACGCAAGAAGGGCACATCGCGAGGTGGGATATTCCAAATTCCCTGATCGTGGTAGATCTTCGAACGGCGAATCATTCCTCTACGCGACGAGTTTGGGTGCCGACTCGACACTACGAGCCATGCTTGTCGTCGGTCGACTTCAGTCTTTCTAGGAGCCAAGAGTTGACTAGTAGATCTCAATGTTGACGAGATGTCGTGATTGAAGTTTGTGTCGGGCAGTGGGAGAGTAGTGAGAAACCATATCACAAACCCCATGAGCTCTTGAGTTCAATAGCTCGAATACAAAAGGTGTGTGACTGGCAGGAAGTTGCGGCCGACATCTAAGCTCAACCCAACCAGGAACGCCACCGAGGCTATTGGGACAAGAGGTTAGGGCACAAAGAGACATTCCTTTCCAGATTGGGAAAGGTGGAAAACACAGGAGGTAGAGATTGACCTCTCACGCTCATACCCAAGGCCCGGGACCGAGGGCTGGAGGTCCAAGCAAAGCTTCTTTGGTGCTTTTGAGCGAACTGCTGAGAAAGAAGAGATGATATGGGGTGAAAGATAGGAATGATCCGCGGATGCCAAGGCGCCAAGACATGTGGGATCTAATCATCCAGGGAGCGGATGAGGTGATCCAGGGCAGCTTCCAGACCTATTCCCGTTCTCAAATCCCGCATTTCTCCAGCTCCGGGCAGTGCCGTCCATACAGGTATCTGTCAAATCCCTGGATCGACATTTGAGTTTCCCCATGAGACCCTGGTCTACCGGGGTGCACGGGCGAACCCTGCATCTATTTCAACATGACGCCAAGAATGTTGTTATATTCCCAATTTTAAGTGGTACCTGTCTAAATTCGCCCTGAGACCTGTCGATCCACGGCCTGTTCACTGAAGTCGTCCGCCAGAGGCGAGATGTTCCTGAATTGCATCATATCTACGGTTCAATAATTCAGGTTATAGTTTCGACTAGCACGCTGTGTGATGGTTGCATTTCATTGAGATCAGCGGCATCCAAAGCCGAGTGGCATGCAGCGACAAATTCACATTCTGAGTTCCGATCACGGCATAGATATGGAGGGGTCGAATGAGTTAGGGAATCGATACTTAAACCATAAAGCTGCACCGCTCTTGGCCCCAACCAGGCAATTTTGTCTTCCATTATTGTGCAAATATTTGATTTGATTTACGATGAAGCCTCAAAGCCTTGCGCTCTTTGGACTTTTCGTCTCTTCTGCCTTTGCGGTCCCCAAGGCCAAGAGACATGATGGTGGTAGTGACCAGCCGATCAGTGGTGGCAAAGGCGCCCCTATCCTAGGTGAGCCTCGATGAGTTTCCTGTGACTCGAGAATTTATTGATCAAGTCTTCAATTAGGTGGTACCAACAGAGTTCTTGATGTCCAGAACCCTGATCAATTCCGCACCGCGAGCACCGATAATGGATTTGTGCCCAACGTGAAGTGGAGTTTCTCTGAGTCCCAAACCAGACTGTTCCCGGGCGGTTGGTCCAGAGAGCAAGTTATTCAGGACTTGCCACAGAGTCACGATATTGCTGGTGCGCAGCAGCACTTGAAGAAGGGTGCCATTCGAGAGTTGCACTGGCACAGAACTGTTAGTGTTTCTGACAATCTATGATCTTGGACACTAAGCTTACCTTTGAACTTTGGATAATAGGCGGAATGGGGATTTGTTTATAACGGGTCGCTCCTGCTCTCTGGTGTTGATGAGCACGGTGGTTTTACTACTGAAGTTCTTGAAACTGGAGACATCTGGTATTTCCCCAAGGGCGTCGCCCACAACGTCCAGGGTCTGGATGATGAAAACGAGTATCTCCTTGCCTTTGATGATGGTGACTTTGAGAAGATCGGGTATGTTCCTTGAATCTCACACCGACCAGACTCGGGCAACAAGCTGACCAAGTAGAACCACCTTCATGGTCGACGATTGGATTGCGCATACCCCCCGCGATGTTCTCGCAAAGAACTTCGGCGTTGACCCTAAGGTCTTTGACTCAGTTCCCACCAAATTCCCCTACATTCTCAACGGCACCGTCAGCAAGGATCTTGACAAGGCCCCCGAGGGTACATTGAGAGGGGACGATTCATATGTCTTCCACACCTACAAGCACAAGTCTGAGCCCGTGCCCGGCCACGGTGGAACTTTCCGCAAGATTGATTCTACCAACTTCCCTATCTCAAAGACCATTGCCGCTGCCATTGTTGAGCTTGAGCCCAAGGGTCTCCGTGAACTTCACTGGCACCCTAATGTGAGTTCCACCACTGCGTTTATGTATTCATACACCTACTGATCGTTTCGAAGGCCGAGGAATGGCTCTACTTCCATCAAGGCCAGGCCCGCGCGACCGTATTCATTGGCGATTCCAAGGCCCGCACTTTTGACTTCCATGCTGGTGACACTGCTGTTTTCCCCGACAACAGCGGTACGTAAATTCCTTTCTAATCCAAAGGCCAAGGACTAATTGAGACTCTTAGGCCACTATATTGAGAACACTTCTGAGACTGAGAAGCTTGTTTGGATTGAGCTCTACAAGAGTGACCGTGTTGCCGATATCTCCCTTGCCCAGTGGCTTGCACTGACTCCCTCTGACACCGTTGCAAATGTTCTCAAGATTGACATTAGCGTCGTCGAGCAGATCAAGAAGGAGAAGCAAATTCTTTTGCCTGGGAAGAAATGATTGTTGAGATGCTATGTCTGATGCTGATCTTGATTATCTCTGCATCTATCATTATTTTCATACCTTCACCTGACTTTTTACTTTCTCTTCTTTACATAACTATTATACTTCTTTTATTGAATGTGACTGTGAATGGATTATAAGTCCCCAGGTCTCTGTCACCGCTTGCGTGTATTTTTTTCATATCAGAGAGCAGGTCAAAAGGCAGTAAAAGCTTCATTCCAAGGTTGCCATTGACATTTACTACGCTCTTCCAGGGGGTTTTCTTTCCAAAATTGGCCTTCAGACCCACATTTTGGTTTTTGTGATACCTAATTACTGCTGCTAACTTTGACCATCAAGAATGAAGGAAGATTGAAAAAGGTCCCAATGGTATGACAAAATGGTTAGCCAATCGATACCTCCACACTACACAGCGTGGGTATGATGTGAGTCATGCCTAGGTGTCAGCCTCGCCCCGCCCCGGCCCCCGGGGGGCTAGAAGTGACACCAGTCTGCTAATTTCCATAGAGTTCTTTTCACTACATTAAACTTCTAAAGAGCTTAAATATCCCCATTATTTTGTGAAATAACACGCCAATCTGTTCACAAAACATTTCTTGTCTCTACCTTGTAGCCGACTAGCCCTTAACGCTCTAGACATGCATTCATTCGCCAATCTCGGCCCTGGGGAGCTCAATCCATTCCCCACCCCAGCAATCCGCAAGATTGGATTCTCAGAAGATCCAGCACAATTCACCGTGGCAAAGCTTCTCATCCTCGCTTGGCCAATCCAAAGACCAACCCCAGAATGCAACAGCCCACCGATCGGCGATTTCGAAGCTTGGGTGCATGAAATCAAGCCACTCACTCTTGAAGAGCGCGATCAACTTCCACGGGACTCTGATACAAATACCTTGCACACACCGTGGCGCGATCAGGTCTATTTTATGTGGAACCATGTTTATTATGATGTTGGCAATTGGATGTCGTCCATGTACGGCACTCGATCTTTCCAGCCGCCAAATATAGAGGCTTTTGCGATTAATTTTCCAACACATGATGGAGAAAGCGATGATGGAAAAACACCTGCTGCAGTGAAGGTCTGGGATGCGGAGGCCTTGTTTACTGCGGCTTACCTTGCCCCGGGTATTACTTTGCGCGTGGAAACACTGAGGTCTGATCAAGAGCATGGAGAGCCATTCCATTCTGCGGACATCAAGCATGAGGAGAGATTCAATGTTCTGTATACGAAGCAAGGTATACAGGTCCGCTTCCATGTTGATGGCGAGTGGTATCCGCGCGCAGGCGGCTTGGCTGCGGTTATAGTCCACGGGACCATGCTAGGCGAGCCGCGACAGATGGCGGAAGAAAGTGAAGAAAGCGGCGAGAGCGGTGAGAGCGGCCTAAGCGGAGAAAGCGGAGATGACGATAGCTCAGATGATGGAGACGGCGGGGGCAACGAAAAAGCCGAGGACATAAAAGATGGGATCACCTGTAACGTGGATGAAGTAAACAAGAAGCTTTAAATAAAAACCAAATAATTGAGGAAGAGCTCAAGATGCAAAAAAATAAAGGACCACATTTTTCAAGTAGAACGACTACATAAGCACTAGAATTGCCTATTCGGGAAGGCAAGGTGGTCACGTGTATTGGCGCCTGCAAATTGTGGCAGCATCGGGAGATCAAACCTCGGAACAGCCGAGGTCAAGGCGACTCTTGGATAGAAGATTGCAGCATCGCATCTACACTTTAATCTCCCACTCTTTCTCTTCGCTTTTGTCTCAGTCCCAACCCTCTCGGCTACTTCCACTCTTGTGCACACACCTCCAACGTGGAAGGTTGCTCTTGAAGCACCGGGTGTTATGTGATTTGACTCACACAAACTCCGCAAGCCCTGCGGTGTACTTGGATCTATACGCGATTTCATTCCTCGTTGGAGATGTCTGATCCCGATCTGCATGCATGATTTAGGGTTTCAGTCCGATATCCACTGAATCTCTACGGCCCTGCATGACAAGTTGGCGCGCAATCGCACCTCAATTCGCCGACATTTTACTCATGAATAATTTGTGAGGTATGCAAACGATTCATCAGCGCTCAAACAGAGCCCCAAGGTCCTTCGAGAAAGTTACGTAAGGATACAAACTTGTTCAGGTGGGGACCAAATGATTCGCCCCTGGTGCCTGGTGCCTGGTGCCTACCGAAGCGTTCCCGCCCCCGATCCCGGTACACTCGGCTTTCCCCTGCCAACGCGTTTGTGGAACAAGCATACCAAGCAAGGCCAAGATGTTAAACAAGCGATTTTCGAGATTTGCAAGTAAGTGTCGACGTTCTACTCCGTACTCTGCAGATCATAGTTAACAACCGATCAGGTCCCAATGAGCGACGCACAATCAGTCGCGAGGATGTCGGTTTTTACAACGCACTCATCATTGCAGGCATTTATGAGGTTGAGAATGAAGAGACCGACATTACCTCTCCTTGGTCATTCATCCAACCTCTGAGACATTGCATAGAGAAACACCCCTTTTTGAGCGTGGTTGTCAAGGACAAACACACCGAACAGCCGGCCTTTGAATCAGTCTCCAGCATCGATCTCCATGACCACCTTTTGATCACCGAGAATCACAGAGTGGAACATACAAAGGAGTTCGAATTGTTTGAAAATGTCCTGCCGCCGATACTTGATCGACCGTGGCCTGCTGACATACCACCGTGGCGAGTCATCGTGGTTCCACTCGAGTCATTGCCTGGCTCGGCGACTAAGCGCCTTTTACTGGTTTTCTCATTCTCTCATACTCTTGGTGATGGCATGAGTGCAATGGGATTCCATCGGACTTTCTTGGATGGATGGCGAAAGGCTACCAAAACGGATCACACGGGATCTTTCTTGGTTGAACCCCCTAATCAACCTCTGTCCGATCCATTTGACACCCCTGAGAGGCTACCAATCTCATGGAGCTTTCTGCTTGCCCCGCTGGTAGCAGTGTACCTTCCAGCTTTCATAACAAACCTGCTTGGTCTTAGACCGACTGCCAGTCCAGTAAATGCTGGAACTTGGACCGGCTCATCGATCTTCTTCAAATCACCCCCTGCGCCACCGAGTCGATTGAGAATCCTTGAGATCGATGCTCAAGTTGTGCAACAGGCTTTGCAGGTTGCAAGGAGCCACAGCACCAAGCTCACGGCAACAATGCACCAGTTCATCGTCCGGGCATTGAGCAAAGCCATCCCGGATCCCGGTATAACCAATTTTGTCTCCGGGACTGCAGTTGATATGCGCAAGTCTATCGGCATCCCAAGTGAGGAATGGGGTCTTTTCGTAAATGCCCATTATGAGACTCATCCACGTGCCTTCGACACAGCCGGGCGCACCTTGTCCGATGAAATGTGGACAGCCGCGAGCTCAATGACTCAAAAGCTTGCCGAGTGCGGAACTAGACTACAAGATCAAGCAGTTGGGCTACTGAGATACGCACCTAGCATCCGCAATTGGACTCTGGGGAAGATTGGGAAACAGCGGGATTGCTCGTATGAATTGAGCAACTTGCTTGCCTTCCAAGACAGTCTTGGCGATACACAGCATGGGATCAAGGTTGAGAAAATGTTGTTTACCCGCCCTGCCAATCCTATCAGTGCTCCGCTCGAGTTCAATGTCGTAAGTGTCAAGGGTGGAAGCTTGGTCTGCATTGTGAGCTGGCAAGAAGGCGCTTTGGGGGTCCCGCAAGAGGATGAAATGTCACTGGTGAACGGAGTTTTATCATCAGTTCATGCGGACTTTGAGGCTTTGGCTGATTGATTGGTTGAGAGCAGTTCCTCGCTCGATGGAATGCCCATGCGTATTTGTTTGTCTTCTCCTTGTTCTCAATTTCTATTTTAATTCATAATAATACGATTCGCTGCCCCGCTTTTCAGCCGCAGCACGCAGGTATCTAAACAACTATTCTTGGCGACCGCAATTCCTCGATCTTGGAAAAAGGTCATCGGTGCATTGCTGAAAAGCGCACAGCTGAATCTGCAATAAGCTGCATTAGCTTCCCAGGTGCGGGCTCGGTGGACGCAAAGTTCGGAATGTGGTAACGGCCTCTGGTGGAGATAATTTATGATGTATATTAACGTGTTCGTTTGATTCCGAAATCTCCGGTTCAAGCTGAGAGTTCCTGGCACTGCAAACTCTGCAAATGCTAGGAGCAGCAAGGTGACAAGCCCCGAGCTAGGTCACGGTGAAGACTTGGCTGAGTGAAGGTTGCTACATGCTGAGAGAATCCACTTAAGATTGCCTTTGATTGAGCATCTGCGTTTCACCTTGAAGGATCATACGGGATACAGAACCACTGTGCCGCTGTGCTAAAATTACCATGGCTGTCCAGTGTGATCGGTTTGCAGGGTGCATGCATTAGAGCCACCTCGGGATCTGAAGACGCACGAGTCGAGATACCCGCTGATATTCCATCAGTACTGCTAAGTGGGCTGAAAAAGGAAATGAAAATGAAAAGCAACTAAAGATTAGCATAAAAGGGGTTCACAGAAGATCCAATCAACAGAATCCCTCTCTGAAGTGATTTTGAGCAATTCGGCTGACTCTCTACCCAGACTGTGAGAATGGCCGATAGCTCGGGGTACCTTGAAGAAAATGCCGCGCCCTCATCCACGCCATTTCCACCTCTTTCTGTGGACCAATATCACTCCAAGCCTTCGCAAATAGAGGTGGAGAAATACGTACGTTGAATCGACCCCTCCTCAGCAGCGAAAGCTGAAATTTTGTTAGATCGGTGATATTTCTTCACGCAATCCTTACGCACCTAGGGATGACGAGCTATTCTCCCATATTGCCCTGGAATCTAACAATAACTCTGCCATCGAACCAACTCACTTGTCCTTTGGACATGAAGGAACCACAGCGACTGTTACGGAGTACGGCCAGCCAATGCAAATCAGTCGTTACCTTCCGAACGCCCGATCTTCCGTCTACATGATTGACCATCAGTATACTTCTGAGCCAGCAAACCCGACACAACGCTACAAAGATCTGCTAGAAATGGCCGAGAGTGCTTACGGATTCGGTGCAGATATTGGATCACCTGATGTGAATTGGAGCTTCAACGAGCTGGAAATCACTACATGCTGGCTGCGCAACCAATGGCCTCGGGCCTTACTACATTCCAGAGGGCAATTCAGTTTCTCACAGCAGTGGGCCGTGAGCGGCGGAGTCGCTATTCAGCAGCAGCAATTCACTAATTTACGAGACGGGGAAATTTCGGTTCATGTTTCCCTCGATCTGAATTTTCTGATCCGAAAAGAGGACTCGGTTGACAACAATGCAAGATTCAATATGGACGAGACCGAGGACTACGCATGGGCGACAGGTCCAGGTGGTGTCGGATTTGTCAAAATCCATTCCCTTCGGAGCAGCGATAAACAACCTCACGGTAACGCTGTGGCCGTCGTCATGGGTCTCTTCGTTGATGGAAAAGCAGTCAAGGTAGATCCCGAGGTTTGTGCAATTCCCAGGGCTATACCTAAGAACGGAACTCTTGATTTGGTCTGTGGATACAAACTAATTCACTTATCACGCGACGATTCAAAATGGGAGCATCTGGTCTTGAAGGCACAAGATGTGGACATTGATCGTCTCCTGCGTGATACTGATACTAAATCAGCAATTCCAAATGGCCTTTTTGATTTCCTGTCTGAAAAGACATTTCATATGGAAGGAACGTTGAGCATATCCTCTCCGTGTGCATGATTCCCATCAATGATGAGGCCACAGCAATGACGTGCGGCGACATGTCTGGTCATAGAGTTTCGGTCTCTGCAAGCTTGTAAGTGAGCTGCATCCTAATTCTGCACGAGTTATTATTCTGATTTTTTCCTGTTTCGCATTCAAATTTCTCATCGCGTTGCGACCAAATTGGATAGCAAGCATCCGATGCACAAGCAGATCAAAGATCAATGCAGGAGCCATCTTCGGTGGGTTTTCACCAAGGCCGTTAATACCGCCACGGGAAAATTTGCGAAGAACTACAGAGTGAATGGCGAGGCGATTTCTGAGTCTCCCGAGCTTTTGCCAAATGGCCCAACAGATACTCCATTTCAACTTCTGAAGCTACACGCCTATTGGAACTTCCTGAATGAACACAACAAAAAAGACAATCTGCTTGATGATCTATTGGGCGAAGGAGAACAAAACTTAGCCATGAGATGGATTCAGTCCCTTGACGAGGAAGATAAGCGTGATTCCTTTGCCTGGCCCCATGGGCACCGAAGTGGTATTGATTACTTTCGGCTGGACGATCATGTTTGGATTTGGAATGCTATCAACGGAGTTTCAAAGATGCTCAACTGGACCCAAGGGAATGTAACAGCGAACAAAGCCACACGTGGGCCTCCCAGAAGGATTAACTGGAAGAACGAATGGGATCGTCTCCGTTATACCTATGAGCCAATGAGAGTAAGAAAGGAGATCACTCAGAGATTCACCATAAAGAACGATGCCACCACACAGCGGATGTTGGCGGTCACAAGATCCTCCCGAGAGACAAGATTTGAGCTCCATTCTCGTGATACAGCCTTGTTTTACGAGATCACCGGCGAGACAATGCTGGATAAAAATGACGCCCGATGGATTCGCTGTCTGAGAATTCAGCGACAATTTCCCTGGATTCTGGACAGGAAAGAGACTAACAGCCCATTGTACCGCGGACTGAGTATTTTGATGGCTCGGCGAGATCCTAGGTCGACAAATGAGAAGTACAAAGATAAGCTCAATAGCCTCAAAGAGACTCTTGGGGGCAGTATAACTTCCAATGGTCTCATTCCCGAGCGACTGAACACTGCTGGTACAGATGAAAGCCAAAAGCCCCGCCGTGACTCGCTGCTACACGTCCCCTTTGAGACTCTGTATTTACTTTCGGATTTGAGTCTTGACTCGATGTCTTATATGAGCTTCAATCCAGCAGATGAAGCAGGTGATAATCTCAGGTGACTCGATGGAACGGTCTCATTCAACGATCAGGTTGACCATGGGAGTATAATCAACTTAAAGGAAGAGTGGCTCTACAACTACCCAAGCTTCCTTGGATTCAAGCCTTTGCATTGGGACGGTAAGGGGCCAAATTAACACATTCAACTCCCTCAGGCTGATCACACCCATGGAAAAATAGAGCTTGGCCCATTCTCGGAATATTCAAGTCCTGTTTCCTGGGCTGCTCCCAACCACTCGAAAGGACATGAGCAACCAGACCAGGGGCCCAATCCCATTCCACCTGACAACCCCAAGTTTCGACATCTTACTATTGACGTGGGGAAAAAATCAAAGGCGAAGGGTGAACGTGAGGGGCATGTTTATCGAGACACCGATATCAGGAGATCGTGGCACCGACTGCAGCAATTGAGAGACGAGCGAACAGCAAAAAAGCGAGTACTCTGGTTTCAAAATGCGCCAACTGATCTGGAAGATATGTGTTACCATATTTCTTCTGACGCCGAGAAACTATCGATTCGATTATTTTTCGAGCGTCACACAAGTTGTGCAGTACTTGTCGAAGACAAAACAACCCGAGCAACGAATTGTTGGGAGACTGAATTCCATTGCAGCTTCCTCCAAATTGTTCAAAGTGACGAACCCAGTATTGCGATTGCCCCAGACCGGAACGCAGGGGGGGTTTCATCACCTAAAAACTCGGACTTTCCGGTATTAGAACTCCGTCGCGCAAGTCTCGGATTTCGAATTCACGGTGACTTCTTTGACCGATTCTGGACTTGTCTCTTTGTCGAACATTACCCAGGAGAGCAGCCCAAGCGAAATATCGATGAGTTCTTGGCTTTAAATACCAAATCTCAGAATGGCTTGTTTTCTGGTGGTAACAACAGAAATGATGTGTGGCAGCAGCGAAAAGTTCTCGAACTGATTCTTTTCTATCAAATCGTCACTCAGCTAAACGAAAATGCTACAAACATCATTCAAGAGGTTCGAAGACGCATGCAGAAGCACAAGGACACTCAAAAGACGCCGAGGGAGGCCCTTGGGAATGAACAAAATCCCTTCACTTATTTTGATCCCTCACGCTATTTCAAATCCCTCATAGAATTGGCACTTATGCATGAAGTCTTGGAAAATTTAGACAGAGATCTTCTGGGCTTTTCAGAAGTTGTCAAAGATTGGGAGAACAGAGAGGAGAATCGTGGCACAGAAAAGCCAAGGTGGACAACTAAGGACGAAAGAAAATACCGCGACGCAATCAACAAAGCTCTGCAATTGAGTCACCATGCACAAAGGAGACTCAACAGAATGCGCACAAACCTATCCTCACTTCTCAAAGACTTACAGTATGCGAGGAACGAGACCAAGAACAAGTACGATCATCAAGTTTCTGAGCGCAGTTTCCAGCAGAACAACAATGTCAAGTTTTTCACATATGCCACTGTTATCTTCCAACCACTGGCATTCGCAGCTAGCATCTATAGCATGCAAAGTGCGCCCCCGACAGATGTACTCCAGCACATGGTAATTCTATCCGTTGTGGGGTTTGCCATTTTTCTAGCTGTGATTCTTTCGCTCCCCCGCTTGACTGGTCTCTTTTCCACGACGTTTGAGAAATTGCGGGATCCGATTGATTACACTTGTCGTCATTTAGTCGGCTTCCTGTCTCCACAGTCATTTCGGAAGAACAACTCTAGATCGAAAAATTCGGGCGATGAGGAGTCTGGACGACAGCCTGCCTCAAATTCTGAGGACTCCCATCAGGAATAGATCCATGCCTGCTGATGATTTGTCTCCTGGGGTCGTTCATTTCTTTCCCTTGCCTTTTGTACACTGCACCCCTGTTCAGGGTACTAGATTTACTGGTATCTTGGATTGTGTGCTATTGCACACAGTTTTCTGTCATTTTACGGTTTCAGCGTTCTCTACTGACGAGTTCAAAATGGGGCCGGTGATCGACGCAACATAATCGACGCAACATAATAGGTATACTTGCTATAGAAATCACGTTGAAACGGCCAAGTCAATTCGAGGGAATATCAATGTTTTTGTCATTTATGTCCTTCCTCTTGCAATAGTTTTCTGCAGAAAGCCTCTAGATCTCAACCAGCGAGTGGAAGCAACCAGTATTTTCAGTGTGAGCATGCGACTTGGGAGCTCTCTTAGCCAACGGACCAGCAACGGTTGCATTCCGCTTAGGAATCGAAGCGAGGCTGTTAGCATACGTCGCCACGGCAAAAGCAGTAGCCTTAGAGTTGAGAAGGAATGCCTCGTGGTTGAGATTAGTGGTGTTGTCTCCGGCAGCATGATAGTTGGCGTCATAAGAGACATTAGCTTGCCCTCCAAACAGCTTGGCCTCTTCCTCGGTCTTGAGACCCTCAGCGCCAGTGAAGACACCACCAGCAGGGATACCGCGAGAAATGAACCCATCGTAATCAGATCGACCGTCGAAGGCAGTTGGGATGTAGGGTAGTTTCTTGGACTTGAAGTAGTTTTCGAACAAAGCTTCAATCTCGGCGGAGCCAGCAGGTCCGGTTTGGTTGAAGGCATCTCCGTCGCCATCGTAGATCATGATGGCGTAGTTGGGTGAGGCGATCATATCGAAATTGAGGTAAAGTTTGATTTTCGCCAGTTCGGCGGCGCTCAGATGCGAGGTATAGTATTCGCTGCCCAAAAGACCAAATTCTTCGCCAGTCCAGAAGCAGAATCGCACAGCGTTCTTGACGGTGAAATGGGTCAGAGCCTTCGCAACGACAAGGTTACTGATGATTCCAGAGCCATCATCGTTAATTCCAGGGCCGGCTTCGACGGAGTCGGTGTGACCTCCGAGGGAGACGACATTCTTGTGATCGCCACCTTTTGTCTCTGCAATGACGTTGAAAGTGGTTCGGTTCTCGACTCTGCTGTCGATTTCGAGAGAGACACTCACAGCTCCGTTAGCTGCGGCACTGAGTAGGGTCTCGCCGTCTGTCTGGGAGATTCCTCCAATGGGAGCATATTCACTGGATACACCACCCAGTGTTCCACTCAGGGACCCAGCTGCATTGTTGTATACAATGACGGCAGATGCCTTGGCCGCACCAGCAAGGAGCGCCTTCTCAGCGAAAGTACACTCTCCACGCTTGACAAAGGCAATCTTACCAGCCACATCACTCGGGTAGTCGGATGCAGCACATCCAACATTTGAAACCAAGACAAGGTCTCCAGTGATATCAACACTGGGACTGTAAGTCATGGAAGTAATAGTGATGGGCTTCCCATCGTATGTCAGAGAGGCCTCTGCACTAGTCCAAGTGTGCACCTGAGGCTGCTTGTAGACATCGTAGTACCCAGTCTTCTTCAGCTCGCGGTAGAGGAAATCAACTGTTTCATTATGCGCCTTGCCTCCGAAGACACGATTGCGCTCTGGATACGCATAGGCGAAATCCTCGAGCTTTTGGGTACCCTTCAGGAGATCATCCAGTCGAATCAAGGAAGAGAGTTTATCCTTCTTTGTCAGATGATAGAGTGATCACAGTTGGGATGCGTACATACCGGTGTGACTTTAGGCTTCGAGTTGCCAGCCAAAGCTACAGAAAGGTGATAAACCAGGAAGAGCCACTTCATCTTGAATAGTCCGAGAAACGATAATCATTCAGAGCCGGCAGCATGGGTGATTTTATACCTGCCCATGCGGCAGATGAAGTCTACCTGAATCATCACGCGATGATAAGGTGCGATTATGTTTGATAAGACGAGGGGGAGCCAAGGAGCTTGTTGCGCTTGTGCAGACGAGAGAAGCATTATCATAGGGCCGGCGTGTGGCCGGAGTGTGGCCGGAGAGGTGAGTGCAGGCGGGACCCCGACGGATCTTGGCAATGTAAGGGCTGAGGTTACAGTGCCAAGGGTGGCTTTGAATGTAGGCGTGTGAAGAGCATTGCAGGTGGCGAGGCTGGTGATAGGTAACAATAGTGCGGGGGCGCGCCGTCCCTAGGTTAAATTAGGTTAATTTATGAAACAATCAACTTGTCTAGACTTATGTTGGGCTCCTTGTTGCCATGTAGTTGGTGATTCCAAAATGCCACTTGATTCAATATCAAACTCCAATAATGCACCTATACTGGCGAAAGACCCAAAGAGCCGATGGCTCAGCTCACACAATTAAACTCCAAACACGATGCCAACAATGCTCAAACCACGCTCGCTCGCGCAGAAAATCTCAACACAACAAAAAAAAACAAATAATATAGCTTAATTTTTGATCGCTTTCCTCCGGAGAACTCCCAGATGCTCCAGTCGATCCCACGCTTTGTTCATATCCGAAGACTCGTCACCAAGTGAGGGCCGGAGATTCAACCCATCAAGGGTGTGAAGAGACCCGCTGGTTCCAGCGTATAGCATGAGCTCGAGAACTCTGCGACGCAGCCTAGTAGCTTGGTCAAGGTGCCTTAAGTACTTCAGGTCCGCTTGGGGGTCAGCAAGTGGGACCATGAAGGGGTCATTGATTTCAATGTCTCTGTCGGGTTGGCTCTCGTCGCCTAGGGTGGCACGATGAGAGATCTGATCATCGGTATTAAGTTCTGCCAAAGCATCGGACAGATCACGATGGCCCCGGAGTCGAACAACTGCTTGTTCTTGGGACTTCAACTTTTTGCGATCCACATTGCCACTTCCAGTAATCGCTGGGGGTAAAAGCCAACTGTCAGGGGATTGCCGCGAACGTCGAGTTTGCGCAAAGAGCATGCGGTGCCTCTGCCGGTCCGTCCAAGTCGACTGAGAATTTGGCAGACCCTTCTCATCCGCGAGAGACGGTTTCCAACGATCATCAGTCTGGCGAGACAGTTCATTCCCACCAAGGGTTCAACGTCATCAATAGAGTTGAAATTCAGATTCAATACCTTGAGATTGGGGAAGCTCAAGGCAAAGTCACCAGGTAGACTCTTCAGTGTGCAAGCAGCGATATCAAGGAGCTGAAGACGAAGTAGTGGGGAAGACGGGCAAAGGCTGTGTGGTGAAAGTCGGTTGGATGACAGGAACACTTTGCGGACGTCTTTTACAAGTCCCAAGTCAACCTCTAACCCAAAGTTGATATCCTTGTCTTGAGATGGTGTCTGCTCTCGAAGAGAGAGAATCTCAAGATTGTGACATTGCTCCAAACCGGTGATGGATGGAAGGTGATTTTGGTCAAGGTAGAGAAGACTGACAGAGGCGAAGGGCTGCGCGTCAAAGACATCCAGGCGGTTATCAGAGAGCTTCAAGGCTCGCAGACTAATCAGCGAAGCAGTAGAGTCAAGGCGGGTGATCTGGTTGGCACTCAGATCGAGGGTGGCGAGCGAAGGAAGCCATTCAATATTGCGAACAGATGTCAAGCAATTGTGACTCAAATCAAGGTCACGAAGACGAGTCAGCTCGGACCCTTCAAAGTCTACTGTCGGCAGAGAATTGTTGCTCAATTTCAAGCTGAGCAATCCATTCAGATCCAGGATGCCGTCAAGATTGCGGATCTGATTGTCGTTCGCTTTCAGCTCTCTGAGGTGTATCAGACAGGAGAACCCGTCCATTGTCTCAATGTCGTTCCCTGAAACGTCCAGGTATTGCAGATTTGGTAAATGACTCCAAGGAGTCAAATTCGAGAGGCAGTTTCGGGAGATCTTGAGTGTTCTCAAGGTCGAGGGAATTCCACTCAATTGACCAATATCATTGTCAGAGACATCCAAGTCTTCAAGTCGAGGACAGAACTCGTCCAGCTTGTGTAATGTAATGAGACCCTTGCCGCGTAAGTCTAGGCGACGCAAATGTTCCCAGTAGGGCTCATATGGTTCCACGTCCGTGATGTGCTTGATCAAATCTTCTGTCGCCAAGGCGAAAGCCCCATGCACTTGTCGTAAGGAAGAGGGATTCGTGCGCTGGGCCACATAGCTCATCTCAAGGTTCAAAGGTCGGTCGCCCTGGTTGACAGTAAAGTCTGCAAGTGGGCTGAGATGGAAGCTGTAGCTGGTGTCGGGCCCAGCGCTGTTCACGGGCATCAAGTGATGATCAGATTCATTTTTGGCGGGTGTTTCTTGAACATGCAGCGAGTTATTTCTGCGAACGATACTCTGTTCCTCGAGTGTCTCCTCACTTCTTTCCTCTATTCTTGATATAGGACGTCCAATGAACGGTTGTCCAGCAACCGAGCTTTGACGTCCAGTGGGAGGGACAGAAGATCTGACAGTACCACTTTCGTGACTTGCTTGGCCTGCATCTTCACTTGGAATTCCATGGTAGACATGTTCATCATTTGTACCAGGTGGAGAGCCATCCTGTCCAGACGTGGGAGATTGGCGGGAGCCATGCGATGATGAAAGATTGACGGTGGAGACGCGAGCTTGCTTCCTTTGGGATTGAAGCGGTTTGGGCTCCGGCGGCTCCTGGCTCGGGGCCGAGGCGGAGGCCGGGTCATCCTGTTCGGCGGATCGTTTCCGCTGGGGATATTCGTCTGTGTCCCATGAAGAAGCTCTTGTTCCTGTGTTGGGAACACTTGAGGTGAAGCGAGTCAGCCGCGAATGGATTGAGCTAGTACTGATGGAAGGCACTCCGTCTCTTGTGTGAGGTCGAACGTCAGGCTTCCGTGGAGACGTGCTCATGGCGGAGGATAGACGTGACTTGAATTCCGGGTTAGCCGAGGTATCACCCTTGGATGGAGAATCCTGGCTATGCACCCTCATCATCTCTTGTAGCTCATCCACACTGAGATCAGGAATGTCTCTGAATGGATCTTCGTTCTCCTCGGAGGATTCGGAGACCGGTGCTTCTGGTTCTTCCATGTCATCTTTGACCCATTGATTTCTTTCACGGTCATACTTGAAGCCATTGACCTCGTTAGGTATCAAGTGTGAAACCAGATCAGATGCCAACATCCCTTTGACTCCAGAGCTCTGCGAAGACCCTGTTGGGACGGAGTTGATGCTGAAACCAGACATTTGAGTGTTGATGGTCATCAGATCCTGAGCGATGTTTTCCGCCGTGTCATCGGCCATTCCGCTAGTCTTGCGCTTCCTTGGTCCTTGGATCCGGATGTTTTGTGAATTGTAGTCATCAAGCTCGGAACGATCCTCGGTCTGGTCATGCTGAGCGTGCAGCGACATCTCTCGGTCATTAGGGTCATCTTGCTCCTGGTATTTTTTCAGATGATTCAGGATCTGTGGGTTCAACTCTTTGACTTCCCTCAGCTTGCGGAGATCTGTTCCATCTCGGCTCGGGGGTCGAGAGAATGCTTCTCGGGTAGATTCATCATCATAACTGAGATCATCACCTTCGCTTTCCACGTCAGACTCATGCACACTGGTCAACCCTGTGGCGCCTCTTCCTTTTGATCTGATCAGATCCATTATTTTGGTGGCCTCGTTCAAATAGTCCTGAGTAGTGATAGATCCTTTCCGGGAGGTATCACTGGTGCCAGTAATTTTCACAAGGGGGACAATGCCTTCGCCATCGAACGAGAATGAATCAGAGTAGTCGTTATCATGGAAGTTCGGCTCCGAGAAGTCTCTATAAGATGAGATGCGACTTTGCTCGGCTGCTCGTATCTGACTTGGCGTGGGCGTCCGCGGCCGCTGCATCGAGTGGGATATGCTCGGTGGGGCGAGATACTCGGTGTTTTCAAGCTGCATGCCATGTTGCATCAAGCTTCTTTGCAACAATGACATGCTTTCACCGTATTTTGGAGGTGAATCACCGTTGGTATTATGGCTAGGCTCCGCGCTATTCTTCCTCATGATGGTTCGGCGCCGCTTGGGAGTAGGGTCCAGACCCGGAGCTCGTGGAACTCGCTTGACATCAGGAGCCACGTTTTCCTTGTTGCTTGGGCGAGACCCAGGTCGCACATCATCGAAGAAATCTTGGCGCATCCATGCAGACGGCTTCCGAGTGAACCCTGAGCTAGCCGATCTGCTATAATGGTATACACCCTGCTGGGAGGGCCCGCGAAGATACTGTTGGCGCGTCGATGACCGTTTACGCGAGGTTGGTCGCGATCCGAATCCTGCGGCCTCATCATAAACAAGCTTGTGTTCGTAAGGGCTGTTGTCGGAGAAATCGAACTTGTCCAACTCTCCACCACCGAATTGGCTTATCCGGTGGCCATTGTCGCGAGATCCGACGCGTTCGTTTCGTCTGGGTGAAATCTCGCGCAGTGGTTCGTGTCGCGCACTCAAAAAGCTGCGACTCTCGCCTTTCCTCCGCGCTTCTTCGGAGGGTGAAGGGGGCCCCTCCTCTTCAGAGCCATCACTGTAATTGTCCTCAAATTGACTCATCCGTCGTAAAAGTCTGTTGTTGGTAAATGTGTCATGGTCCCCAAACAACTTCAATGGGCTGCCAGAAGACGGCATTTTCGAATCATTTCCTTCCGTGCCGGCCGTTGATGGACGGACGTGAGAAGAGGAAGGGCGTGGCAGGCCAGGGGAGCCAGCTCTGTTGGGTGGGTTGAACAAGGGAGAGCTGCGGATTTTTGAGTTGGCGAGAGTTGTGGGGGAAAGGCGATGCGAAGGAAAGGGCGAAGGGGAGAACCTGCGAGGGAAGGAGCGATTTCCCCGGCGGCTGTTGAAGTCCACCGTGCCCATCGACAGATCTTGGGGTAAAGAGTGGCTGGTCACGTCGAGCAGGCTGTCATCACGAGATTCATTGAGATGAGGCTCGCTATGGTTCTCGAAAAGCAAACTGTCACTGGCCGGCGAATCGGCCCGGCTGTCGTTTTGAATTGACAGTCCTTCCAGCTTATTGGTGACCTGCTTCAGCGCGGATTTGATCACTTCGGAGGTTGCATTGCCATCGACGGTGTTGTTTCGCGTGAAGGTAATAGGCGTGATCCCCTCGTTGCGCAAGTCCTCCAACCCACTCGCAGTCCGTTGCTGGGTATCGTCCGGCTGCGAGAATCCTTCTGGATCCCACTCTCCTTCCCGGGGACCGTTGTTTCCCCAAGGCGCGTGATTTACCGTACCTTGCGGGGTCTCCTCGTATGTTATGCCGTCAATTATCTCATTGGCGCGTTGTGTATCGTCCTCGCGGGTGCTCTGGCCCTCTCTGTCCTGTCGCGAAGATGTATCGGTGAAATCCCATAGTTGATCGTCTTGTTTGGTGAATGGCGTGGATTCGTCTTGCGCCGCGCCGGGCGTGGGCGGTTTGAACACGCTTTCCAGGCCCATGGGCGCGAATAAATCCTTGTGCTCACCAGGAGCGATTTCCCCGCGCACTAGTCGCCGTCGCCATTCTGGCGTACCTTCTTTCGTATCCTTGCTCTTCTTTGTATTTATTTGCACCGTACCCTGTAATTCCGACTGATTTGACGTGTTGGAGACATTTGACACCGATCGTAGCGGGGAGCGCGTATCCATTGCGGACTGTTTACGTCCCGCGCCGGGACTCGGCCTGGGGCTAGCCTTTGAGCTCGTCTTTGGCGTATGCGAGTGTGAATGGGAAGGTAAGGGCGATCGAGGTTTGCGAGTCTTGGGCGTCCGTGGGGTCTTTGGAGTGGGAGGTGTTTTTCGGTGAAAGTGGCATGGGCGGGTAACCTTCTTGTCCTTTGACTTGTCCCCGGGTGATTGTTCGGAGCGCCGAGCAGGCACTGGAATGCGACTAGGTGTCCCCTGCTGACTGCATGGAGCTTTGGGAGACGACATAGGTTGGGTAGACGGACTGGTGGGTGACGCTGGCATTGACGGCCAGTCATCGGACAGACTGTCCAGCCATGGTTGGTTGCTCATTTTCAACCTTTGTTATGATGGCGTCTCAGAGTCGCGCACGCACACACACATGGAGGCATAGATCGGAACTAAGATGGAGTTTCAAGAAGAGAACTGTGGGTAGAAGCCCAGTGCGGAGATGCGGTGTCGCTCCACCTAAGCTCCCTTGTTTATTATCTTTTTTTTTTTTTGTTTACCTTTTTGCGCACCGCCCATATCGAAACATATCTATATTTTTTGCGATCTATCAATATTTCTTTCGCCCTTGCCCTTGTTTGATTTCAACGTCTGTTAGTCTCTTCATATCCCCGGGTTTTTACTATTGAATCCTTTGGCCTAATGTGACTTGGTCCCACTTAGTCTTACGTTTCTATATTACCATGACATTTTCTTTCAACTTCGGGAGCTGAAATAAATCTAATCAATTGTTAGACTCGAATCCTCGAGGATATGAGTAGTTAGCCGTTCCAAATAAGTGGTGTGCAGCCAGAAGGGAATTGTTGGAAAAATCTTTTCCGTTTCGTCCCACATATATATCTGCAAGGCTCCGGCTGTTGGGTCGGACTTCCGCCTTACAACCCCTTCGTGAACTATGTACCGTCCTTGAACAGATGCATATTTATTCTTCACCATTGGCACCATATTGAATCCATTGATATAATTGATGCGCAAGGGAGTCTTCCGAGGGGGTTTCCCCCTCTCTCAGGGCTGTACGACGTCATAGGTAAAGGTCCGTAGAATCAAGTATGTATTGGTCATGTCTAACTCCTAGGATATTGTCTCCCACAAGAACCTCGAAAGATGGATGTTTGTTACAGTATAGGTAAAACAGAAAATGAATATGGCTTTTAGACAATGAGTCGCTCGAATGAGTACTTGCCAACCGCCTTGCGGCGCAAGTACCCCATCTCACGGCTGCTGCGGTTCTTGACCTCACCGGTGGACTTCTTGGTCTTAGTGTGAGAGACATCGTTGGCAGCAGCCTTGAGTGAGAGTGGCAGCATCTTGCCACCGTGATCGCCCTCAAAGCCATCTTCGCCTTCACCGGGACGGGTGAAGACCATCAAGTCAGCACCGTTGAGCTTCTGGTGACTGACCAGGTGAGAGGGACCCGAGGCTTCGGCATCCATCTTGGCCAATGCATCTTCAGAAGTAGTCTCGGTGGTGTCAACTTGGTCCGCGAACCGAAGGTATTCACACAAGATGCCCTTGAGATAAGTAGCTTCCTCCACTCCAGCGAGTGCGGCGGAGACCTCGGACTTCATATCCGCGATCAATTCCATTTCACGGCTGGCAGCAGCCGTGACAGAGTCAGAATCCTCGAAGTCGCTCACGGCTGGGATAGCAGAGATCCAACCGGAGGGACCGACGGCATCCACAGAGGCAGTAAGAAGATCAACGATAACGTTGAGAGAGATAGTGGGGGTGATTTGGTCGAGTGTGATGGGTGTGGGGGGGATTTTCAGTGAATCGAGAGGTGTAGCCGCCGGTGGCGAGGGAGAGACGTAGGTGGTGAACCATCGAGATGAGTTCTGTGCGGGAGAGGTTGGAGCGAAGAGACTCAACAACGACTGGCATGGGCTGAGAGTGAATCTTCTGCAGAGAGGTGTTCAGGCCGGCGAAGATACTCTTGAGAGTTGCAGTCTCGGCGCCGAGCTGTTTAGAGAGCTCTTGCGTAGGTGTAGCGAGATCGCCATTTGTGATAGCCCGAGCAGTTTCCTCAAGGGTTCCAGAATGAGAACGAGCCTGGTTCAGGAAGGACTTAAGAGCGTAGGCCAACTCGTCGGATGAAATCAATGTGGGTCCATCAAGCACTTGGTTCACTTGCTTAAGGGACGGGTCGGAATCGAGAAGGGCCTGGATGAATGATCCGGTTGGAAACGATTGCAAGATACGGGGCTTGCAGGCTCGGCGCAACGCAATCTCAACGTTGTCAAGAGAGAAGTGACCCAAGCGAATGAGCCAATCACACGTGGTGGGCGGCCACATGGCCACACGGAGTTGTGAAGACGAGTTAGCTGACACTGTATCGTTTGATGCGTTCTCCTCGACCGCGAAGATCTTGGACAGCAGGAAAAGAGTGGCTTCAGGGTTGACATATTGCCCGCGCACTGGTAGGACTGCGGTGGCGTCCGCGGTGTTGAAGTATGTCAGAACGGCATTGTCGAACAGGTCGACATTCTTTGCTTCACAAGCCTTCTCAACAGTGGTGGTGAGCTCGGTCCACTTAGAGACTTGCTCGGGTGAGGTGAGCCGGAGCGAAGCCGTGTTATCAGATCGGTGTTTCTTAGATGCGACGTCCCACTGGGCAGCAGACGAGCCAATACCTCTGCCAATGGCATCAATGAGCAGACTGTCCCTTGTACGCTTCAGCGAAGAGCTAGGCGCGCTGGGGAGAGAACTCAAATCAAAGGCAATCAAAGTATTGCCCTTGGTTGCCACTGCGATTCCGAGTTTGGCGAAGTAGCTGATGAAGTTTGTGGGAGTCTCTGCACTTGATCCGGTGCTTGAGGAAAGGTCGCCAGCGGGAATGCTGCGCTGCACGGAGTGGTACTGAGTATCGTAAACAGCGACCAGTGACTTTTGTGCTCCAATGATGGATTGGGGAGAGATGCGCATGACCGATGTGAATTTTTCGTCTTCCAAGACGAACTGCGATGTGACAGAGGGAGAGTATTGAGAGAGATCGACATTCAGGAATCCCTTCTCAAACGAGAGGTTCAATCCTGCAGAGCCCGAGTGGAAGTTCCATTGCATGGCGTTACCGTTGGCGGTTTCCAGGCCGTGTACGTCCGGAATGTGGAAGGTCTGAAGATGGCGCAGACGCTGGCTTTCGTCCGAGCGGGACTCTGACTTTGGACCAGCGGGGACAGAGAACATTTGAACAATGATATCCTTCAAAGAGACACGACCGGCGCTCTTTGGCTGCGACACAATGAGCAGAATGGACGGCTCATTTACACCAGCGGCTGTAATATCGCCCAATGCCAAAGAGGCGAGATCCTGTCGTCTTTTGAACAAAGCCTTCTTGGCATCCTCGAATTCGACCAGGAAGCTGGACTGAACATTATGTGTGGCGCATACTTTGGCGATCTCGCTGTGCTGAATGCTCCATCGTTGGGTCTTCAAGTCCGATGACAGTCTGCGCACACGACCATCTTCGTGGACGGCCAAAATATCGAATGGATCTGCCTCTCCCTCACCATCGGTGCTCGAGGGGACAATTCCGACAAAAGTGGTAGGGCTATCCGAGTCGGTCACGGTAGTGGCGGACGAAGAAATAACTGGGGCACTTGAGCCGGTGCTACCAATTTCCTCAACGAAGCATTTGATCTGGTGCTCGGGCTTGGTAACGGCTGTGTATGTTTGCCTTCGGACTACTGACTTCTTTGAAACTTTTCTGCGGATGGAACATGGGCGGCATGAGAAAGTAGATTGCGGCGGGACAGCGTAAGAGGTGACGAGCTTTGGTGTTTGAACCTAAAGACATTACAGTTAGTTCTGAACGAGAGAATAACAGGAGAAAAGGAGGTGATACGTTGTAGATATTCACAGCCTCTCCATCCACGGCGACTGCGACTTCGTAGCGCTTGCGTTTTTTCGCATCGGCAAGACTGAAGACATCACCGATACGTGTTTGGCCAGTGGCAGCATGAAGGGGGCGAGGCAATTGCGCCAGGACAGACGGTGACTGCAAATCCATGGCGAATCCGAGTAGCAAAGTTCGCAAATCACTGGGATTCCTGACCTTTCACTGCGTGTGATCTTTCTGATCCAAGACCATCCAATTTGGAAATCTGAAAAATTTTCGGGATTACATCGGCCCGGAGAGCTATTGCCTAGTCCACATCAGGCTAGCGCTTATGAGCTCGGGGACCACCCTGACATAAGCACATGTGCAATTAACGCGCCGGCGCGTTCGGACGTGTTTGAATCTATAGAGGGATTGGTGTTTCGATTTCACCTCAGTTCGAGCAAGCCAATTACTTCACAACGACCAAAATCAGACTGTCACTTCAATGCTGCAACCAGAAGACTGCCCTCATTTCAGTTTCCCCTGAGGGAATCTCGGATCGTTGACCATATGGAAATCGTCTCCGATTTACCAATGGCCATGGGAACTGACGAACAACAGGCTGTTCATCCTTTCTTCCGACAAGGTCAGCACAAACAACCTTTCTTCACACGAACATCGACTCACCCTAGGTAGAATTCGGCCTCCCAGTCAAACCTACACCACTGGAAGAACTCTCGACCGCAGACATCAACACGAATGACCCCCGGCCTGACATCCCTTATAGCGCCACAGACGAGTTGCCGCAGGACCGAAGCAATGCAGATACAAGGATGTATAAGCCCACCGACGAGGGTCCCATGACTGGAGACGAGGACCAGAACGAGGGCCGAAGAAAGAGACGACGAATGAACAAATCCAAAGCATCCGAACCCACTGCGACTGCAACTGCTGGTCTCTCCGCATGGCTTGGTGTGAGCAGTCATGACAACAAACCTTCCACAGGTGATCAATCGAATGAAGCTCCAAGCAATTTGCCAACACCTCAGGTTGGGACTCCGCCGGCGGAACCCCTCCTACCAAATGCCACGCAAACATCTGTATCGACTGAAAACGAACAACCGAAATTTCAGACTGCACGATCTTCTGCTAGACAGAAAACCTTAAAGCTGAACTCGAAGGGCAGTTTGCTCTCCTCGCCCGCCTCAAGCCCACCACCGGACGCGCAAAAGACACGGAAAGGGAGACCCCGAAAGGCACTAAAGAGCGATGGTAAATTGGTAACTTTGAAATATGCCCTCAACACAGAAAAGAATATGGGCAAGTTGATTGATGATATCTTAAATGGGCCTGTCATTCCAAAAAAGCCGGTGGTTGTTCCTGCTGTTCAGCCTCGCAAGACGAAAAGCCAAAAGCTGAAGCCCACACACCCGTTTTTCAATAAGAACTCGGCACCAAATTCGGGCCCTGAAAGCGCAAGCGACGGCCAACAAGCTATAAAAGGGACGGCATCCAGCCCAGCGGGGACCCCGGACAGGAGCCGAGTGGTGCCTGCCTCAGAAAGCTCCTTTACCAGGCCTCCTCGCCGTGTGTCAAAGTTCCCAGAACTGGTTCATCCACTTTGGCCACCTAGAGACTTGGTTCACGTTAGGGACAATTGCTCGACTTCGGCAACTGATGACCGTCTCTGCCACGTCTCACAAGATAGGAAAAAATCTAAGCTTGCTGCGATCTCGATCAGAGACCAAGAAAATGTGCTTCTATGCGATACGGCCGAAGCAAGAAGGATTGCACGACTGTCCGAGAGTGAAACACGGGATACCCTACCAATCCTTCGTCACCCTATGCGACATGTTGCTAGCAGCAAGGTGCTGCAGGCAGCAATGGAACGACAAATGTCATGGTCTTCACCCAATCGCCAATTCCATTGGGGGCCTTCGACACCACCTCTCGCCAAATTGCGATCTGCTCTTCTTTCTTCCGCCTCAGCCATCGATCTTGGAAAATATGAAAACCAACTTTGGACCCAAAAGTACGCCCCCAAATCAGCAGATGATGTGCTTCAGCTGGGACGTGAGCCGCAAATGCTTCGAGACTGGCTATGCCACCTACGAGTCACAGCAGTCGACACAGGTAAATCGTCGAAAGAGAACGCTAAATCCAAATCAAAACGCGACAAGAAACACAAGAAGCGACGGAAAACCGATGAACTAGATGGATTTGTTGTATCAAGCGGGGAAGAGGCATCGGAGATGGACAATGTCTCTGGCTCCGATGATGAGTTGGCAGGAGACACTCCGTCAATCCCAAGGACCGTGGTCAGATCAGGAGACATGTTCTCAGGATCACACGGTGCGGAAAAGCCCCAACTCTCCAACGCCATCCTCATCAGCGGTCCTGCTGGCTGCGGTAAAACCGCGTCCGTTCACGCCATAGCCAAAGAGCTTGATTTCGAGATCTTCGAAATCAACGCTGGAAGTCGTCGAAATGCCCGAGACATGCTGGAACGGGTTGGAGACATGACCCAAAACCATCTGGTTCATCTTCTCAATGAATCGGATGGCCTCCCGAGCAGCAAGGTGGACAGTAAGCCAAAAAAGCTCATGAACTTCTTCAAAGGTCCATCTGCGAAAGCCAAGGAGCCAGCCGGCAACCCTAGCTCACAAACATCTCAACCCGAGACTGGATCGAAACAGCCTCGAGAGCAGAAGCAGTCACTCATTCTTTTGGAAGAAGCGGATATTCTGTTTGAAGAAGATCGCCAGTTCTGGACGGGTGTTTTCACACTTATCAGCCAATCCAAAAGACCAATTATTATCACCTGCAACGATGAGAGCTTGATCCCAACTCAAGAAATGTCACTCCATGCCATCTTGCGATACCAAAAACCCTCTCCAGACTTCTGCATTGATTACTTGCTTCTCGTTGCCGCCAACGAAGGTCACATATTGAAGAGGGAAGCCGTCACAAGACTTTTCCAAGGATCTGGACTCGACATTCGCAAGTCACTCATGGACCTGAATTTCTGGTGTCAAATGGGTGTCGGTAGCGAAAAGTCAGGCTTGGATTGGCTCCTCCCAGCATGGCCACCTGAGTCAAATTTGGACCACAATGGAGATCGTCTGAGGGTTCTGAGCCTCAATACCTATGAACGTTACATGGGCTGGTTCAATCGTGACCTATTCTTGTCCCACAACTCCTTGGAAGGAGAGACCGAAATTATTCGCAACTGCTTCCACTGGTGGGGCCTTGGATTGCAGGAATCCGAGGACATGGCCGGGAAGTCCAAGGATGAAGTCTTGCCTGCTCAAGATGTCAGGTCAAGCTCCTGGTTGAACCAGCTTGACATTCTGGGTCGCGAAGCTGATTACTATGATATGAGAAGCTCGCTCGACATGCTGTGCTCTAATTTCACGACAGAGAGCAGCAGTGTAAGTCATATTGATGCCCCATCGAAGTCACAACTAATATTCGTTCTAGGATCTTATTGATGTATCCGCCCCGCCTTTACCTGAGGGCTATAGATCCAATTACCTGGACAATTACCCAGTTCTCCAGACGCAATTGCGAACCGAATATTCCTCGCTCAGCGAAACAATCAGCACCACTTATCAAGCATTGCTAAATAAGAATTTCCGCCCGACAGCAAGTGTGGACATTGAATCTGCATACGCCAACCGCCCGTTGAGCAAAACAATCATCCGGGCAAATCCCCCACCCGCCATTCCGTCCACTCTCCCTCAATTCCAGCGCATTTTCGAGTCGATCATGCGCGCAAACTACTCTGCACCGACACCCACTGCCCGACACGCCCCATCCTTCGAGAATGGAATCGCGCCCATCACCGAAGACTTAGCCCCGTACATCCGTGCGATCATGGTCTTTGACGGGCGCTTAATGCAATACCGTAATAGCTTGTTCCAGCTGCAGGAGCCCGGCCCAGGCGAAAAGCGATCACGGAACACCCGAGCTAGTCGTGCCGCCCTCGAAGGCGGCGACAAGGCTTCGGTCCGTAAAGATCGCTGGTTCACGGTCGACGCGCCTTATTACAAGATCCAGGCTACTGCAGGACCGACATGGCAGCAAATTTTGTTCGATATGGGATTCTTCCGTATCGGACCTACGGTCCAGGCATCCCTTCAAGGTGATCAGATCTCCGGTCCTGAAATGGACGGGTGATTGCATCCAATGTATTTATGAACATATGATTTAAGAAAAGATTCAACTCGATAGCAATATTTGAATATCATTTAAGGGACTATTCGCATGTAGACCTTTCCGTCTAGGTTATAATGTAAATAGTACTCCGTACTCCGTACTTTGTTCTCGGCCGTTAAATGCGGGTAAAGTGGGCACGTTCTACCAAACCAAAACTGGCAGCTCCACGGATCTTCAAGAAAAGAAAAACATACAGCTATCAACTATACACTGTTGATGTGCTCCGTAGATTTGTAGACAAGATAGAAATTCACATTTCGCCCTGCCAAGACACCCAGGAATGTAACCCGAAGTTCCCAAAGCCACCCCCTTTTCCATCTTATTCGCATTCTGAAACATTGTCTTGGGGGGTGTTTGCGGTCGCTTTTTCCCCACACAACTTTGTCTTCTCTCCCCTGAGAGCCCTGAGACCCTTCCTTTCTTTAACCACACTCATTTAAATCATCATGACTCCGAATACACTCATTACATTATTCCGGAGAGACGGCAATGGCGACGAAAGCGTCTCTGGCCCAAAACCAACCAGTCGAGCACTCACCGTCGGTGTGCCAGCCGCCATTACAGGGTTGTAAGTAATCTCAAATAATCTCCCCCCAACCAAGGCCCCCTTGGCCAAAACCCCAGACCCCCAAAATTGACCCCCCCACCAGTCTTCTTCTTACCGCCATCATCGTCCTGGTAATCCTCTACTTCAAGCGCCAGCGCCGTGATGATCGCGAAGACCTAGAAGAACGCCAGCGCGATTCTGGCTTCTACGGCAATTACGCGACTCAGCGGTTCGGCACTGCAGGCGCTCAACAGGGTCCACGCAAGGCCTATGCTACCGAATCGCGACGCAGCTCGGGGGAATCTTTCTTCGACTACAAACAAGACCATGGACCTTATCACCTTGCACAATTCCAAGGTCCAGAGGTGCCGAAGCCTGCTGCTACACGGGTAGTTTCATAAGAGTTTGGGAGTTCGGTCCTGTGAGTTGAAACCTGAAATGCGGCTGATTGGTTACGTTTCTGACTTGCTGCAGGTTCCTGCGGGTCGGTGTTTACGGTGATTGGCGCTCCTTTTCTTTTCGACTTGATTACTTTCTCATATTCCCCCTTGCCGAGAGTGATGGCTACATTTATGCGATCTCTTGGTTTCTTTTTCTTCATTGCTTATGCCCAATTTCAGCCATGATTGATATCCTTTTTACTTTTCGAATGATACAGACAGAAATTACATATTTCAAGATTCAATACGCCTTGCTTTTTGGCTAACCACACCATCGCAAAATCCGACGATTCCAACTCACTCAGAGTCGCGGGCCTGGAAAATTTTCAAGATGATTTCGAAATGCCGTTGTGATATGCACGTCTATCTTCGCAATGTACTCTACAAAAACATCATTTATCGACAGGTTTCGCCGCATCAAGCTCCGCCAGAATCTCACTCTTGGGCGCCTCATCACTCCACTTCTTGCGCGGCTGCTCAAAAGTCGAAGTAATCCGACCATAGGACATGCCACCAAGTTGACCGACCGGCCGCAATTTCTCCAAATCGATATGGCTATAATCCTCATTCGCAGTGCCCTCCTTCACCCAGAACCGAGTAGCCTTGATAAGCACAGTAGCGGCAATGCTCATACCCGGTTTTTGGTGATCCTCAAACTCCTTGATATCAATGACCTTGCCTTCGATATTGAACACAGACTCTGCGACACGACTCGCTTTCACGGTGCTGGACGGCGCCTCATGGAGACCCGAAACATCCCACTCTGACACGCCGTATGGCGCGTCAATGGAAGTCGAATTGACGGCTTCGATCATGTTCTCTGAGACGGTGTTTATGACACATTCCCCAGTCTCTTTCAAGTTGCGATATGTGTCTTTAACACGGCCTGGCCGAGATGAGAATCCAACGATGAACATTGGGGGATCGTGATCAATGACTTGGAAATAGCTGAATGGTGACAAATTCTTTTCTCCCTTGGAGTTTACTGTGCTGAGGAATCCTACCGGTCGTGGTGCGATCCCCGACACTAGCAACCGGTAGTTGTTGATCATTGGTCGATCCGAGGCATAAGGGTCGATCTCATGGTGCTTTTGTGCGAGATTGGCATCCGGAACTCCTTGGCCATACTCCCAATTGGGATTGGGAGTCTTGGTAACTTCAATTGGTTTTGAGTGGTCAAAGTCTGGGCGCTTTGCTTGAATCTCGTCAAAGTTGCCTGCGTCTTGGACAATCTTGTAGCTTGCTTGAGCGGCTGCGGTGTCGGCCTCCGCGGCTACGGCTGCTGCAGAAGAACCCATGCGGTGCTGTGTGAAAGATCTGAAACCAATGCGAGATGAATATTGGGAAGTAGAGCTCAAAGTTCTGCTTGGGTTAGATGGTAAATTGCTGTGGCGAGGCAGGGACGCATACTGGCTGGACAATAGACGTCCGATTGTTCTTCCGGGCGACATTTCGCTTTATTGGTATAGACTAAGAAATATCAAACAAACTCGGAGAGACCACGAGGCTTGATATACATATGATGTGATACTGCGCTTCGGTTGGCCACTTCGGTGAAAAAAACGAATGTCGGATGAAGCTCCGACAATCGGGATGGGATCCCGACATCTCCACGATAAGATCTCTAGTTAAGATCTCTCGGGAGGGGTCAACAATCACCACGACGAGCCATTGAATCTTCATATTTCATCATGTTTAGCCGAAACTCACGCACTGCTCTCGCATTAAGTCGGATGAACCTCATCTCGGCGACTGTGTCTCGATCTCCAATTGTTCGAACTCAAGCCATGTCTTCCAGTCTGCCTAAGTACACCCTGGTGTCCAGCGTGCAAACAAACGAAGCATATGCACGTAAGTGAATGCACCTATTTACTCTACTTATTCGGTTTACTGATCTCGTACATAGCTTTTGCGCATTATGTATGTTGATCCGACTCTTGGAAATCTGCTCTAACAATCGACCCAGTCACAAGCGATTAAAGCCGCCGGGCAAGTATGGTTGTCCGGCCAGATCCCCGCTGATGCGCAAGGCAATCTTATCAAAGGCTCAATGACGGAGCAGACCAAAGCTATCATCAAGAATACGGAAGCAATTCTCAAAGCTTCGGGTACCGGTCTCGATAGAGTCGTCAAAGTGGTGGTCAGTGGCAATTCGCTTCTAGATCCTCATCCCATACTTAATATCATATAGGTCTATATTAAAGATGCAAGCGTCATGCCTGAGTTTGCATCGGTCTATGATCCTGCGTTTCCGCATCGCCCCGCGCGATCTATGGTTGAGGTGTCAAAGCTGCCCGCCGGTGTGGATATTCAGGTGGATTTCATTGCTGTTATTTGACGAAATCGTTTGAGTTACATACAAGATACCATAGCAAGTTGGATTTGGATTTTAGCTTTTTTAGAATAGCAAAAAATCGACATTGAATAGAATTGTGCAGTAAACGGCCTCAAACTTTGTGTGATCACATTTCCACATTGGTCATGAGATTTACTCGGAAGCACCGAGATATAGGACTTTCGGCTTCTTTGGACCTAAAAACAAGCTTTTTGACCCCGGAATCTATCTAGAACGTCGGGAGCACCATGCGAGCACTGCCGGAGTCGCCTATATCGTCGCCCCGGCGAAATGACAACATGCCGAAACGCGGCAAAACTGCCCGAATCTCTTTTCTTTTGTCAAAACGGGACTTGAGACATTTCAGATATTTTGACTTGATAACCAGCTCGATATAATCTGTTGTCAGTCACCACACCACAGAAATATGGCATCGCGTTGGACTTCAAGGCCGGTTCTGCGGCTTCCTAAAGCGTTGCTACGTACCCACACCCCCGGACGATACATGCAAACCCAGCCGATACTTTCACGCAGGCCATCCACATTCTACCCCAAGCTTTCCTCGCATCCCCAGTATCATCTTCGACTGTTTAGCAGCTCGCCGCGCAACAATGATTCCAAGGTTGTTGTGCGAGTTCCACCCATGGCAGAGTCCATCACAGAGGGAACCTTGAGTCAATTCAGCAAAAGCATCGGTGATTTCATTGAAGTCGACGAGGAACTGGCAACAATCGAGACCGATAAGATCGACGTTTCTGTGAATGCGACACAGTCTGGCATCATACAACAGCTGCTCGTTGCCGAGGGGGATGTTGTGACTGTTGATCAAGTCATTGCAGAAATTCAGCCCGGCCAAAAGCAGCCCGAAAGCGAACCCGAGTCAGAGAATGCGCAGTCCGCATCGAAGCAGAGCAATCTGCAGCACAATTCAACGCAAGCGACTCAAAGCTCTACTCCTCCCCCGGCAGCGGAAACAATGCCTACGGAGTTCTCCAAACCAGAGCGCGAGGCATCGAAAGATACGACTAGTCCAAAGAAAGACGTTGCACCTGCTCAATCGACGGAGGCACCCAATGCCTTCCAGGGTATGATACCTAGTCGAGCAGAAGAAAAGGCAAGTGCGTATCATTCTCTGCCCGATGAAGTATACTAATGATACTCTATAACCACAGGTCAAGATGACTCGAATCCGAAAGCGCACTGCACAACGCCTCAAAGAGTCACAAAATACCGCCGCATTCTTGACAACCTTCAACGAAGTTGACATGACCCGCTTGATGCAGTTCAGAAAGAACAACAAAGAAGAGGCATTGGAAAAACATGGCGTGAAGCTTGGTCTCATGGGATCCATGGCCAGGGCCTCCGTTCTGGCCTTGAAGGAAATTCCCGCGGTCAACGCTTCGATCGAAAACGACGATACCATTGTGTATCGCAACTATGTTGACTTGAGCGTCGCAGCTTCCATCCCGAAGGGACTTGTGACTCCTGTTCTTCGGAACATCGAGTCGATGAGCATCTTGCAGATTGAGAAAGGTATCGCTGAGCTGGTCAAGAAGGTAAAATCTCTCCAAGTGGCTACCGGGGAGAAAGTTGACAAGTTTAGGCTCGAGACGGCAAGTTGACTATGGACGATCTCAACGGAGGAAGCTTTACGATCAGCAACAGCGGTATATGGGGCTCGCTGTTCGGCACACCTATCATCAATCTGCCGCAGACTGCGGTTTTGGGAACATATGGTATTCAAGACCGGCCAGTTGCTGTCAATGGCCAGGTTGAGATTCGCCCAGTAGGTCTTTCTAATTTGGAACTCATTGTGTTCATGAATCTAATGTGCGGTACAGATGATGTACGTTGCGCTGACATATGATCACCGGATCATCGATGGACGTGAGGCTGTGAAATTTTTGGTTCTCATCAAGAAGTACTTGGAAAATCCGGAGACCATGTTACTAGGTGTTTAGGCTCCGGAGACCGCTATTTGGCAATTTTTACCATCAATCTCCGTGAACACAAGAAGTGGTGGGGAGCAAACCCATTCCGTAAGTTTGCTTGAATTGCCGAGCTGCTGTCGCCCATGTGGGTGCAGAAGCGTTGGGGGAAACAAACAATGAAGAAAAATCGTCTGCTTTGCCCAAACCGCCAATTTGCCATCGCCACGTGATCTTTGGAAATGTTCCAATCTTGCAGGAAGACTTTTGGATTCTGATTCGTCGGCCTGACTTCTATGCAGCCCCCGGGGGTCTGACTCGCTGATCTGTGTGATTTGATGTCGGACTAAACCCAACCGGTAATTCCATCTGCAATCCATCTGCAATCCATCTGCAGCAACCTGGTCTTGACCCTATCGATAGTTACCTGCTTTCTATTTGGACGCATCATCGTGTGAGCCCGTCTATGTCTATAAAGACCGCTGAAATTAGCTCTGGTTTCGTTGGAACATACCATTTTGCCATTCCTACAAATCGTCCAAGTTATATGATGACACCTTTTGATTATGCCTCCCACTTTGTTGACATAAGCAACACACTTGACGAATATGACTGGATATCAGGGCTCTCTTATACAATGACTACAGATGATGATCTACTCGGTAGATTATTGCAGCCTTCAATGGCATCCTCGGGTAGCACGGGCTCAACTTTTATGGGCACCGAGGGCAGTGGCGCTAGCCCTGATGAAACGCAAGATTTCTCAGTTCGTGATGATGAAGCTTTCGTTACGAGCTCCCTTGGTCTCGGAACAGTCGTCAATGTGACCGCTTCTGTGGCGTCTTCGGATCTTTGCCAAGATCACTCCTCGCTGGAGACTACTAGCGAGATTAGCATCAAGCAAACAAGAGCATATGATCATATCCAAAAAAGCCCACAGAAGCGAAAGTGAGTTCCTTCCTCGGGAGTCATCAGTTATCCTTGATTGTTTCAGGTCGCTAACCCATGTTTGCTATCGAAGGAAGCCCGAGAAAGTCTTTCAATGCCATTGGCAAGATTGCAAACACTCCGAGCCCTTCTCTGGGAAACCAGCTTTGATGAGGCACATCGATACGCAACACGTCGACCCACGCGCTTTTAATTGCCCTTTGTGTATGAAGTCGTTCAACCGACACGACAACATGACAGAACACTTAGGAAGGGTTCATAAGGTGCTAGGTTGATTCAACTACCGACTCGGCGACAAGGGTGACGGCTGAAAAGGGCCAGGGCCAAAGCAAGATTGAACGGAGAGAGAAGGTAGACATAGAATAAGAGAAATAGGAGACCGGCACACATCCATACGTGGGCGTGAGCTCGGGGAGTGGAGCTCACGATGTCTGACAGAGCTATGTGGTGGGATCACCGGTTCGAGGCTTTGGTTCCCAGTTGAAAGAATTTAGATGATGATATAGGACATGATAGTTACTGTTTGAAGACCCTCCAACCTTGGAAGAGCGCAAAACTTAGGTAATCATTCATGGCCCCGGCCACGGGGTGCTGCTATGGGGTTGTGAGCTGTGGGTGTTATAGTTACAGTGGTGTCGAAGCATGTCGGGATTTGGACCCGACATTTCGGTCGGTTACTTCGCGGGTATATGGTGAAAGTGACTTTCACCGAAACCCCGCCACTTTGCATAGAAAGAGAAATAGACAATATTTCAAGTCGAATAGGTGTTGGAATTGAGTTACATTTGTGGTCCTCTCTTCGGTACTCCTGAGTCCTGATTTTTCGTATACTCTGGGGGCCTTGTTTTCCAAGGTTCCGAATCGTTTCAAGATTCATGCTAGTTACCACCTCAATGTATACAAGCCCAACAGCATTAACCTTTTGAAATCAAGGAAGTCCCAACTATCATGCTCTCAATGATGGCCTCTTTTGCCCGGGGGTTCACTCGCCCTCATGGAAGTTCAAATGTCATCGGCGGATGTCGAAACATGAGACTACACCGGCCGGTCAGCCTACTACAGAGGCAACGACATGTAAGGTTATCCTCCAGGGCTATCACTCACAACAGTCACTGACCCCAAATCCTGATATTTGGTGATATAGCTACAGACGGACAACTTTCTACACGGAAGCACTGCTGAGTACCTGGACGACATGTACGCCAGTTGGCAGAAAGATCCATGCTTAGTCGATGCATCTTGGAAAATGTATTTTGAGGCTATAGAAAACGGCAAGACACCACCTGCACATCTATTCCAGCCATCAGAAGCCTCGCTCGTGCTGTCACCTAACTTCTCCCCCTTACTCCCAGGCTTGACCAAACCCCAATCCACGAGAATTCCGTCATCAAACGATGATCAGGCGAAGGTAGAACGCCTAGTTCGAGCATATCGGGATCATGGCCACAAAGCAGCAAAATCAAATCCCTTGGAAACTTCGAATACAAGGCAATCGCCATCCGAGCTCGAGCTGGCATTCAACGGCTTGACGGAGGCAGATTTGGATCGATCATTTGGGTTGGGATCTGAAGTACTGCCCGAGTTTCAGTTCTCTGTCGGGAAGCAGGCCACACTTCGTGAAATCCTTGAGATCTGCAGAGACACATACTGTGGCTCAATTGGCGCCGAATACTCGCACCTTGCTACACCTGAAGAGCGCGATTGGATTCGTGCGAGGATCGAGACTCCCATTCCCTACAAATTCTCAGTGGAGGAGAAGAAGACCATTCTTGATCGATTAATATGGTCCACCAATTTCGAAAAGTTCCTCGCTACCAAGTTTCCGAATGCCAAAAGATTCGGACTTGAAGGTGTCGAAAGCCAACTTCCAGCGGTGAAAGCAGTCATTGACACAAGTGCGGAGCATGGCGTGCACAACATCATATTCCCATGCTGCCACCGTGGAAAATTAAACATGCTCAGCAATGTGACGCGAAAGCCGAATGAGCTGATTTTCAACGAGTTCCTGGGCGAAATGAAATCCCGTCCTGACATTCCGGGAGACGTCAAGTATCACCTCGGGATGAATCACGACCGCAAAACTCCTTCCGGAAAGACCGTCAATATCTCGATTCTACCAAACCCATCTCACTTGGAAGCACAGAATCCCGTTGCTCAAGGTATGGCCCGAGCTGTCCAGCAGCAGAATGGAGGAGACAAAAAATCAACTATGGTGTTCAACAGCCATACCGACGCCTCGTTTTCAGGACAGGGTGTGATCTATGAAACTCTAGGACTGTCCGGTCTGGAATCATATGAGACTGGAGGAACTGTCCATTTGATTGTCAACAATCAAGTTGGATTTACTACCGATCCAAAGTCTTCCCGGACATCGTCTAATGTATCCGATATCGCGAAGAGCATCGATGCTCCCATCTTCCATGTCAACGCTGATGATGTTGAAGCGGTGGTCTTTGCATCGCAATTAGCAGCGAGTTATCGAGCAATGTTTGCAAAGGATGTTTGGATCGATCTGATCTGCTATCGGAAGAACGGACACAATGAGATGGATCAACCATCCTTTACCCAGCCATTGATGTATGAGGAGATTGCCAAAAAGACACCGCATTTGAAGCTCTATATTGAAAAGCTGCTACAAGAGGGAGTAGTAACTCGCAAGGAAGTCTCGCAGATGGAATGTGCGGTTTGGAATAAACTGAGCGAAAGCCTCGACAACAGAAAGAGCATGCAACCTATCGATCGCGAATTTCTCACTGAGCAGTGGAAAAGTCTCAAAATGCCGGATGAAGTTTCCCGAGAGACTTATCCCGAGCAACCGACATCGATCACCCAGGACGTCGTCGACACCGTCGCCACCAAAATGGGTGTTCCTGAGAAGCCTTTCAGTGTACACAAGAGTCTGAACAGAATCCTCCAAAAAAGACAAGAAAGTTTCAGCGACGAGCAAGGTATGGACTGGGCGACAGCAGAAGCCCTGGCAATGGGGAGTCTCTGTCTAGAAGGACACCATGTACGGGTTTCAGGCCAGGATGTTGAGCGAGGCACGTTCTCCCAGCGCCATGCCGTGCTTCATGACCAAAACGACGCCTCAAAGCTTGTCCCTCTTGACTTACTCAGTCCAGATCAAGCTCGATTCACGATTGGAAACTCTTCTTTGAGTGAATTCGGAGTTATGGGTTTCGATTATGGATATTCTTGCATGCATCCTAACGCCTTGGTGATGTGGGAAGCCCAATTCGGAGACTTCGCAAACAACGCTCAGTGTATCATTGATTTGTTTATTTCATCTGGCGAAGACAAATGGCTACTGCGATCTGGGCTTGTTCTGTCCCTTCCCCATGGATTTGATGGCCAAGGGTCCGAGCATTCATCTGCTCGCATGGAAAGATTTTTGCAATTGTGCAACGAAGATGCTCGCTATTATCCATCGCCAGAAAAGTTGGAGAGACAGCACCAGGATGCCAATATTCAAGTTGTTTGCATGACATCGCCCGCGAACTTGTTCCACGTGTTGAGACGACAGCTTCACCGCGAGTTCAGGAAACGTAAGTCGAAAATTTTCTTCACCGCTAGGATTTTGCTAACATGTGGCCAACAGCATTGATAATTTTCTTTTCGAAATCTCTCCTGCGTAACCCAATGGTCAAGTCGAAGGTCACGGACTGTATGGGAGACTCAAGATTCCAGCCTGTGATCCCTGATCCAAGCCACGGAGTCTCTATCGCCGAGCCATCTGGGATCAAACGGGTGATCTACTGTACAGGGCAAGTCTACATGGCTCTGGCGAATTACCGTGAAGCCCACAACATAACCGACACGGCCATTACTCGCATCGAGCAGCTCCATCCCTTCCCTTGGCAGCAGGTGAAAGAGAACCTTAGCCAGTATCCAGGAGCCTCCGACATTGTTTGGTGCCAAGAAGAGTCTCTGAACGATGGACCATGGGCGTTTGCGCGGACCCGATTAGAAACTATTTTCGATACAACGGATCAACACAAAGGGCGACGGGTGCGGTTTGCCGGACGACAAGTGACGTCAAGTGTTGCTACCGGCTTTGTGAAGGAGCATCATGCCCAAGAGCGTGCTCTATTGAAAGATGCATTTGGTGGTGATGACGACCGGGCAATTTCTGTCTAATATTTAGCATCGACTGAAGTACTTACCATGAATGGTGTGACCCGTTGATTCTGGATGTGACCTCGGGATTGATCAATTTGTTTCAGAAGTTCAAAGCAAGGATGCAGCCGATTAGAAATGAATATTTGTTTACTTCAGGTGGCTGGGCTGGAATTGCTCGCATTCCGAGAAGTCGTTTCGCAATCAACCCCTTGATTGAGATCATTCAACGTCTATTTCTGGATTGACTTTTAAGAATTAACTCTAAGCCCCATATTCTCCGTTCGATTCATTCGGAAATTGATTACAACATTGGAACACCATGGGAAAAGATGAAACTCCCGAATGGGAGTCGGTAGATGCCGAGGCCACTGCTAGTGACACGAACCTCCATGACCAGTCGAAAGACGATCCTCATCGGGATTTGGACAATGATCCATTCGGAAATGAAGAGAATAAAGACGTCAAGTATCGAACGATGAAATGGTGGTAAGTTCTGAATCAGTCAATAAAAGTGGTAATTGATTCTCACCACACAGAGCAGGCACTGTGGAATGCGTGAGTTGATGGACCGAAAGATTTTGAATTTTCAAGCCTGATCATTGATGTATAGTGATGATTGCCGTTAACATCTCGCTGGGGATCCTTTCCCTTCCATCGGCAGTCGCAACTCTGGGCATAGCACCGTAAGTGACTCCTGGAAACTCGGGGAAGCGACTGACATGATATTCTATCAGCACCGCAATTCTCATTGTGTTCCTTTCTGGTATTTCCTGGTACACTGGATTTGTGATAGGGCAGTTCAAGCTGCGTCATCCACATGTTCATAGTATGGGAGACGCCGGTGAGATTTTGATGGGCCGCGTTGGCCGTGAAATCTTAGGAACAGGCCAGCTACTACTACTAATTTTTTTGATGTCAAGTCACCTGCTCACCTTCACTATTTTGATGAACACTCTGACTATGCATGGTACATGCACTACAGTCTTTGGTGTTGTTGGACTCGTTGTCTGCTTCCTGGGTGCTCTTCCACGGACTATGGGAAAAGTGTACTGGATGTCTGTCGCATGTAAGTTTCTTTGTGTAAATTCATACACCCATTTATCTTTCAGTCTGACCCTATTTAGCCTTTGCGAGTATATTCATAGCGACTGTAGTCACTATGGTTTCTATCGGGGTTGAAGCTGATGGAACTGCCCACAATGACGTCGTGAGAGAGACCAGCTTTTACAAGGGCTTCTTAGCCGTGACAAACATTATATTTGCATACAGTAAGTCCGATGTGGATTGAGTTCACAGCACTGGCAAAGTTGACCTGTCTTTCAAGTTGCGCACGCTACATTTTTCGGATTTGTCTCGGAGACGGAGGATCCACGAACTTTCCCCAAATCTCTGGCAATGCTCCAAATAGTAGACACCGTGATGTATCTCGTCACTGCAATGGTGATCTATCACTATGCAGGCCCGGACGTCAAATCGCCAGCTCTGTCATCTGCGGGTCCACTCATGAAGAAGATTTGCTATGGTCTAGCCATCCCAACGGTCAGTCATTACCGATTATGTTGAGTACTAGGAGCTGACAATACTCCAAATCAGGTCATTGTTTCAGGTGTTGTTGAGGGCCATGTTGCTTGCAAGTACATTTACGTCCGTGTCTTCCGAGGCTCCGATCATATGCATCAACGCAGCTTTTTGGCAATTGGATCTTGGGTAGGAATTGGTCTTGCAGTCTGGACCGTTGCATGGATTATTGCTGAGTCTATTCCGGTCTTCAATGATCTTTTGAGTCTTATCGTACAGCGCCAAGTCTGCATTTTTAGTGGATATTTTTACTGACTTTCCCTTCAGAGTTCTTTATTTGGAAGCATGCTCTGCTGTGAGGCTACCAGTTCTTTCTAAACCCCAGTTCAATCGCTAATAAACTTTACAGATGCTTTCCCTGCCCTTTTCTGGCTTCATATGAATCGGGGACAGTATTTTTCAACTCTATCGAAAGGTTTCCTGACGTTCTGCAATCTAAGCATTTTAGCAATTGCTTTTGGCATAGTATGTTCCAAGGCTCAACTCGGTGCTTTAATGTGTGTTCTGACAATAGTTTCGCAGTGCGGTATGGGATTGTACGTCTCCGGGAGGGCCATCAATGAGAGCTCGGAAGGCGGCAGTTGGTCGTGTGCCGACAACAGTTGAGAGTGATGACATGACTATAAGGTGGAGGCTTTGACGATGAATACTAGCGTGGTTGAGCATCTTGCACAAACTCCGAAGAGAGCTCCTAGCATAGATCTCTGTCCCAAATACTCGTGACTGTTCTATCTTGGAGGACCGGTTACCGTTGGCTAATGAGAAGGATTCCTGGGATAGAGTGCAATGAATCGTAAGGTTCACCCGTTCAGACTTGGGTATTTTTAATGCTGTTCACTTCTCTCAAATCTAGAAGTAGAAATCAACCCCCGACAGACTGCATGATACCTTCCACATCCAGCTGATCGGCAAGATCTAACAGCTCTTGTGGTGGAAGACTGACGGAAGAATTCAGCCCGAGCATATCCCACTCGAATTCTTCCTGGTCAAACATATAGGATTCCTCGTTAATTTCATTTTCCTCATGAATGTCTCTGGGCGGAGGTCGGTAAGACAGCTTTGGCGTCAAAGGCGCCAACACATGCTCCAATTGTCTTAGCTCAAGCCTCCGCAGAGGCGCAGCCAAATTTCCTTTTGATATCAACTTGTCCAACACACATTCCAAATTTTCGCACCAGGCGTCATTTGAAATGACCGATGGTGCAATTGCACGAATCAGGTATAGAACGAATGCAGAAGACGATGCATCTTCGATTTGGAATGGTAAGAATGCATCTGTGGATTTCAGTCAGAGAAGAGGTGTTTTTTAAAAAAGGAAAACGCATCATACCCATTAAATCATCGTCGGCTAAAACACGAAGGGTCTGGAGAATTGTCTGTGCGGACTCGGCACAGCATTGTAAAAGGGATGAAACAGGATTAGATAGAGCAATTGTTTGAGAAGTTTGTCGCTCTGTTCGCTCAATGTGCATATGAAGAGCGCACATGACTAGTGGCCTTGTCGTCAAAACCACGCACTGTTTCTGTTAGTTTGTCCGTATTTCTAGATTGTCTGGATTCACTCACATGATGGTGAGCCAGCATCAATCTGATCGCCATTTTTGAGGCCCGACTGATTAAGCCGTGGAAATGAGTGTCAAGAAAATCTGTCAAATCTTGCGAGAGCTCAGCCATGCTATGAAGGATCGACTGCGTGCTTCGCACAAGTGTGTCATCGAAGTCATTATCTACTCCGTAGACGGCTATATTGTTGTCAGTGTTTATTTGGCCTCAAAAGGGAAATGATAGAGTCTTACTGGTCAGAATTGTAGCCATCAGTCGCGAAAGTCGAACATGTAATGTCAGGTTGATATGTTCCACCGAGTTGTCCATCTCCGCCGGTAGCTTGACAGTGATGTCCTCATCTCGAATAGAGCTCGGTGCACCGATCAGAGCAGAGAACTCGCGATCGAGCATGTATACCACCCAGAATATCGTCCTACACCTTTGTGATAGTTTAGGCCCACATATTTCCTCGGGTACATGTCGATGAATGCCTTCAATGATACAACCACGCAGAGCATGACCAATCTAAGCACACGTCCAGTCAGCCTCCAAGCTGTTGAGAATTCTTCGAAATCTCATATTTACTCACATGTTGAAACGCTGCTCTCCTCATATCTATTGATTGAAGATAGACAGCACCCAGACTCAAAGCCTGGATACAAGCCAGAGGGTTTTCATCAATGCCAGACAAATCTGGTAACAGAGCCATCGCTCGTGATGCGTATTGGTGACCTGGCGGAGTCCCAGAATGATTCTTCTGCGTCAAAAATGCTTTTCCAAATGCCAACACGAGCAAATACTGGCAATACCATGGCCTGGCGGAAGATGCTTTGGCTGCCGGATCTTTGTAGAACTGATGCAGATCTCGTAAATAAGATGTCTCGTCGATCATAAATGAAAGAAACCCAAAGTAGAATTTAACTGTGTTGAATAAAAACAGTGCATAGTCCAATGGAGGTAGATTAGTAACGTCGGGTACTTCGTCTGGCGGGAACGGTCGCCAGTGTAACTTGAAGGCGGTGCCATCAATATGGAATGGATCTGGTGGACAGTTTGACTCAGGCACTTTTCTCCCTATCAGTGCAAGGACACGGCGACAGAAGGACCATGATGATGTTGGTCCCATGTACCCTAAAAATACGGATTAGTACTGTGGTGGAGCGGCAAATATCATGAAGACGTACAAAATCGGCCATCTGGGGTTTGTGCAAAAGAGGGATCTCGATCAACCAAAGGGTTCTTGGAGAATCTAGATTGGTGGGAAGTATGCGTGATGGCACGATTGTCCTCATATCCTCTCCGGGGGGGTTTCTGGTGTATGTAAGGGCGGGCCCATTCCTGCATGCGTATTGATCAGCACAAAGCTCAAGCGAAGTAAAACGAGGACCTACCATGACGGGCCGGCTGCCAGCCAATATGAGCTTGGTTTTCAAGCAAAGTGTCAGACGTGTGGGGAGTTGGAGGAATTTCTGTATCCTCATTTCCCATAAACAAGGTCTCCTCTAGGGGACTGTGATCAGGATGTGGTAAGACAGTATTCTGCCCAGAGCTTCCACTTCTGTTGATATGCGCTTCCAATTCGCGCAGGTATCTGGAATGTCGTTAGTAAAGAAAGCCAATCGGAGAGCCAAACTCACCGTTCCGATACCGAAATCCGATTCTCCTCCACTGGAAAGTGGCAAGGCTTCTTCCTCCGAGCACATCTTGTGCAAGGACTGGATCCAGAGCATTTCACTTTCATAGACCGACATCGCTCGCATCTGTTCAATTGAGTGCGGTTTTAGCAATGAACCTACAAAGAGCGCGTGATGACTTACGCCTTCTGGCATTTCTTGGGTTTTGGTGTTGCAGGCATGCCTATTTGGTGCGCCGAGGGGTTCATAGATTGAGAAGCACGTCTGTGCTTCCGGGGCAGGTCTCCGATATCTACTTCGTCCTGCCTGCAGCTCTGGAGAGTGCGGGGTATGCTGAAGGTTGGAAAAGAGCAAGCAATCCCGATGTCGGGATCCCGTTCCGACATTCTCTTATCGATAAGTTCTCACTCGATGATTGGCTCCTCGAACTATAAAAAGTCGGCTTGTGGAACAAACTAGATCTTATTGGTGCTCTCTATGAACTAATGTCGTTGTTATAACCGTTTATCCGACGATTCGTCGCCACAACTCACGTCGTAATGCAGTAACCATATGCTGGGTCCGTTCGACTGCCCCTCGATTCTCGATCGCCCGTCGGTGGAGATATCCCATGCACTCGGCAACCGTGCCCCATGTCATACACTTGAAAGCTTTGGGGACAGTCAAGTTGGCTGCAGATGAGTTTGCAAGAGCGCGCTCGTAGTTAGAGACTAGTTCGCAGCTGAGTTCATCGGCCATGCCTTGAATTTGACCGCATTCGAGCATGATCGTAGGTTTGTTTGCGAGAAGGCGGTTTTGATGGGTGGTGATCGCTTTTGCTGCACTCGCGGCATTATGCGTTGCAAGGAAAAGTGCAGCGTTCGGGAATGGTAGATCTTTGCTCTCAGTTGGCATTCTTCGGCAAAGCATCGTATCGGCAATGAGGTCATAGGACTGATCGGTATCTTTTTGGGTATCGTGAATGAGAGAGCGTGTCTCATGTTCAATATATGCGCCTCGGACCAGCTTGATCCCGAGTGTCCAGCCTTCCTGTGCAGCTAATGTGAGGTGGTGGTCGAGATTTGCCTTGGATCCCTTGAGATACCCTTGAATGGTGTTATAGACGATTGGGGTCTCTTCCTTGTTATGCTTGCGCATTATATCAATGGCCCAGTCGTCAAGACCTCTCTGCAGGATCTGTTGTTCGGCATCTAGCCAGAGTCGTGAACCCTGTTTCTCAGTTGCAATGCAGATTTCGTCCACGGCTTTTGCCATAGCTTCCGGCATCGGCTCACGAGCCATCATTGCATCCACTGAGACGGGACCGGCACCTGTCAACCTAAGGAATGAGATCAGCCTTTGTATTGAGATAATGGATTGTGGGTGTTCATACTTTACTGCCAGAAAGTCACCGGGGCCGACCATTCCTAAGGTCTCCAATGTACCGTTCTTCCATTCATCAACCATCTCATAGCACTTGTCGCTATATTGCGAAGTACCAGACTGATCGCGAGACGTAGCTTCATTGTGATCCAGCACAATTTCTTTCGAGTATCCCAGAATGACACCTTGATAGCCAATCTTTTTGATGTCTGCCACAGTCTTCGAGACTTCCTTCTTATTCGCCCCGGCACAGAAGTGGTTGTAAACCGTCCAGCGGAGCAGCTTGTTCAAGGGAACATTGCGGTCTGGGTTTAATAACACGGATTTGGAGGTAGAGAGAACGCTTATAAGAGCCAATGCGGGGCGTAGGAATAGTTTCGAAGTCATCAAGGACGTCAGAAGTAGTGATCGTAGTAAGAATCTCGTTGGCAGGCGAGCCATGGATGAAACCTCAACCGGTGGCTGGACTGTTGATCCCAGCGCCGCATCGTGGTAATGGGACTTTGTTGAGCGAAGTCGACGGAATATCAAGGAAGAGGTATTTTGTATAAAAACACGCTGTGGTGGTTTCATTGAAGTAGATCGAGAAAGCATATTGGGCTGGGTTTCGCACAACGTTAAGATGGTTCGAGAGCTCAAGTGCGAAGTATAGGTCAAAGCCACAGGGTGTTATATACATTTTGTCTCTTAACCATGAAACTTTCCAATATCCCACATACCACCTTGCTATCTCCTCACCGACAGTCAGCCGACATCTCGTCGGAGTCATCCTCCGATGGTGGGGGTTTGGGAACCAGGAAACCCTGTCCCGCGATGCCAGCTCAGTCTTGACTTTGCGGGGTATCCGAGTATCGAAACATCCAGGAAAGCTGTTCCGTGTCTTTTACATCGCTTGGACTTGCCATCCGTTCAGTTGGGGCTAGAACTTCTAGAGCACACGTCGTTGTAAGTATAGACGTACCCAGGTGGAGTCTCACTGCCGACTTGAATCTGTCGTTTGAATGCTGTATGTGGCCTTCGACGGCTTGACTAAAGCTGTCGCCCGAGACGTCAAGCTTTTTGATCTGAAGTTCCAAAGTTTTTTCATTGTCGTTGTCCATGGTATAACTTTTCCGTCCTCGCAAGGCTTGTCTTAGGATGAACAGGCAAATCGCTCAATACTTCAATTTTACAAATATGCCTCCAAGGCTACATTCTCACGAAAATTTTAGACTTAATATTGTAGGCATTATATGATCATTGCTATCAAATCCAAGGTCCTTAATCACAGGCTAGCTTTTCTATATATCCTCTCAAAGTTAGACCTCATTGGAAGGGTATGTGACCTTCTCCAATGGGACAAACTCTTCCTTGATGGTTCGCGCACTGACAAATCGCTGCAAATGCGCCATGGTACCAGTCTTGTCATTCGTGCCAGAGTCACGGCTACCACCAAAAGGCTGTTGGGCCACAGTGGAGCCGGTACACTTTGTGTTCAGATATAGCATACCAGCTGCGTGCTTCAGCACAGTCTGCGCCTGGCGACTGACATACGGGTCCTTGGCAAAGATACTACCAGTCAAAGCATAGCGGGAGGTTGAGTCAAGTAGTTTCAGAGTCTGTTCCCACTCAGCATCGGGGTAGACATAGATTCCCAGAATGGGTCCGAACAGCTCCTCAGACATGATGTCGTGGCCAGGGTTAGTCGTCCGGTAAACAGTGGGGTGCACATAGTAACCTTCTTCCTTGGAGGCCTTGCCGCCAACAACAAGCTCGAGTTCAGCATCGGTTTTGGCTCCCTCGATAAATTTGTTGAGCTTGTCGAATGAGCGCTCGTGAATCACAGGGTTGACGAAGTTGGCGTAGTCTTCAACATCACCAACCTTCAGCGCGGCGGTTTCCTCGGCCAGAACCTTCTTGAACTCAGGCCAAACAGATTCGGCAACGTAGACACGAGAGTTGGCAGAGCACTTCTGGCCCTGGTATTCAAAGGCTGCCCGAATTGTGTTGAGGGCTGCACTTCTAACATCCGCGGATGGGTGGACAATACCCCAATTCTTGCCTCCTGTCTCACCGACCACTCGAGGGTAGGAGTTGTAAATTCCAGCGCCGATTCCGTCTCCAATTTTCTTTTGAATTCCCTTGAAAGTAGAGGTGGCGCCGATGAATGTCAAGGCTCCAAATTCAGGTCTCTTCAGAACGGTGTTGGTCACTTGCTCGGCATCTCCAGGCAAGAACTGAATAACGTCCTTAGGGAGACCAGCTTCAAGCAGAATCTGGTACAGCAGCCAGCTGGCATGAAGAGCTGAGTCTGATGGCTTCCAGATCACCACATTACCAAGTAATGCGGCAGGCCCAACAAGGGTAGCACCAAGGGCGGTAAAGTTAAAAGGCGCAATTGCATACGTGAAGCCCTCAAGTGGACGGTACTCCATCTTATTCCAGTTACCATCGAGGTGCACCCGAGGTTGCTGGGAGTACAAGGCCCAAGCCTCTTGGATATAATGACGGAAGAAGTCCGCTGTCTCGGCAGGAGCATCGATCTCTGCTTGCCAGATGTTCTTTCCCTGTCCCAGCATTGTGGCAGCAACAATGTCAGAGCGGTATTTACCAGTGATCAACTCGGAGGCGCGGAGGAAGATGGCAGCTCGGTCCTCAAAGGGTGTTGCCTCCCAGGCGGCTTTGGCGCCGAGGGCAGCATCGATGGAGGCATTCACCTGCTCTGGGGAGGCGGCGGCATAATTTGCGACAATCTCGCGGTGCTTTGAAGGGTTAAGCTGGGAGCGAGACTCTTTTGTCTCAATCTGTGAAGGAATGTTAGCTTGATGTCGTCTTTTGCAAGGTTCTGATCTGTGTTGTATCCAAAGCGTACCTCTGCTCCATTGATCGTGATGGGGATTGTAACAGGGAATTGACCCTTGAGCTTTTGAATGGCCTGGGTCAACTCGGCCCTTTCTGGGGAACCTTTTGCATAGTTGAGCTGAGTCAATTAGTCAAGATCAGATGGTTTGTCACTTGATCAAGCTCACCATCTTTTCGTTCTCAAATTTAGGAGGACTCAACATGGTCAAGCATCGTCGAGGCGTGCCAGCAAGGGAGCGAGGCTTGAGGCAATTCAGCCGAGCTGCTCGTGATAACGTAGTAGGCCGCATATTGGGTATAGAGAGAAAATAGAATTATGTGTAGGATGTGAAGAACGACAGTTTGTGGTGATTTTATATGGACACCATTTCCGACAAACACCCCACGACAGATAAGCCATTCAACTTGAGCGCATCGGTAAAGCATGATCCATGTATACTGTCGGAATGAGCGTCCGACTGAGCTTCAAGTAACAACTGTGGAGAACGTGGATCTACCCCGAAAATGATATGTCGGTGCAGCCAGCCGACGTTCGATAAGGGCAAGACAGCGGGGCATCTATGATATATGCCAAGAATAACGACAAGAGTAAGTTACCTAGTCGAAGAAAGCCAAAATGCAATGCAAGTACTTGTAGATGTAGGGGACTTTATTGTGGGGTTTGTACAGGACTTCAGCGCAGGATCATCTTCTCTTGAAGCAAAACAGCACTGCGTGGTGTAATCGGCATGGAAAGAAGCTTTGGCTCTTTTTGCGAACCAGTGAGTCCTCGAATTAATGTCTGACTCTGAATGAAGCCCTTGTTGCAGCAAACAAATTTGCTTGATCTCGATCCATCTCCGCAGGATGGGTTATATACAACGGCAGGGAATGTCTTTTTGGGGGTTCGTCAAACTTCAATTTTGGAACAAACACTATAAGAAGTCCAGCACAAAGGTAGCACATAAGATTTCAAGCTGACATACAATACCAAATTTGAAATGTCTCAAGTTCTTGGAAAGTTGTTAGAAAGTACATGGTACTTCGGATTTAGGCGACTAACCTGGTTAGGCGCGGTACCAGCGACATTGCGTTATCTCCAACCCTCGGAGGTCACGGCACTCCCAACCTCATCTCTTCGCGATCTTGAATTGTTAAAATTCTGTTTTTGATAGTTTGTTTCTAGCGATTGCAGTGTGCTCGTGGTGGAAAACATTGCCACCCCGTGCGCCCAGCCCCCTCCGAGCTCCGCCTGATCGTCAACATCGTCATTGCCCTCACCTCCACACCTGACCCCAGCGGCGCAACCACAACGCCCAAATGTCCTTATTCGGCGAATCCCCAGAGGATCGCTCTACAGGAGGCTTCGCTCAGAAATCAAAGTCCTCTCTGTTCGCCGACGAACCGGCTACGGGCGGCTCATCGCTGTTCGCCGATGACGACGGCGATGACAGCTCCTCTCCCTGGAACATCCAAAACAACTCAGCGAAAAGAGCAGCTCGGCGCGATCTGGTCCGAACCTTGCTTCCGAACTCCGACGTACCGGAGAGCTATATCGATGCCTACGATTTGATCCTGAATAACGGGGACAGGGTTGGCTCCGGCATTGGGCTGACCTCTGTTCGGGAGATTCTCTCGAGCAGTGGGTTATCCGCAACAGACCAAAGCAAGATCCTGAACCTCGTGGCCTCGGGGGACCATGAGAGCTTCGGCGGATTGGGTCGTGGCGAGTTCAATGTGCTGTTAGCTTTGGTTGGCTTGGCGCAAGAGGGCGAAGACCTCTCTTTCGATGCGGTGGACGACCGTCGCAAAAGTGAGTTATTTTTTGAAGTTTTAGGGGAGATATCAATGAAATATCTAATGGGCATTTGCCGCAGAATTGCCGCAGCCTAAAACCGACTATCTCGACAAGTTACGACAGACCGGCGACGCGCCCTCCGAGCCACAAGACCAGCGACCAGCAACTCCCCCGCCACAGGAACATCCTTTGCCCACGCCGGGCTCGGCGCGATCACATATAAGTCGGCAGGAGTCCTTGGGTGGATTGGAGGCCGATCCATGGGGCAGTCCACAGCTGCACCGGGGCCACAATCATGCGGTGGGAGGTGCTGATAATCGTACATCGAACCACTTCGGTAGTGTGCGCTCTACTACAAATGCTTGGTCCACACATGTGAACGAAGGGACTAGCCAAACAAGTGTGTCCCAGCATGAGCATACAAATGGCCAGACAGCGGCTGCACCACCCAGTAGCTCTGGGTCAGGATGGGGAAATACAACTCTCGCCGGACCAAGTCACAGTGATGAGAGCAGCTTCGGAGGGACCGATCGAGCAGCGCTGGGTGTGTTCGGGCCCCCAGGAGACGAACCCAGCAGTATTGCACCGCGCCGCCGATCTTTGGGCCTCGGCCGTAGCACGACAAATCCGCAGGTGGAGGAGACTGTCACTGTTTCCTTGCTCCCCGAAAAGGAAGGATTGTTCATGTTCCAGCACCGCAACTATGAGGTGAAGTCGGCGCGTAGGGGTAGTACAGTCATTCGGCGCTATAGCGATTTCGTCTGGCTACTGGATTGTCTTCAGAAGCGGTTCCCATTCAGGCAATTGCCTCTTCTTCCACCCAAGCGTGTTTCAGGTACGTAAAACGCTGAAGTGGCGCACCTACTCGTTTACTCACAACTATGAAGTCAATGGCACTCACCTTTCAGCGGATTCATCTTCTTTCCTCGAAAAGCGCCGACATGGTCTCATCCGATTTACCAACGCACTCGTCCGCCACCCCGTTCTAGGCCAGGAACAGCTGGTTGTCATGTTCTTGACAGTCCCAACCGTGAGTCTTGTGCACCTATATAAATCGACAACTACTGACCTTTCAACTAGGAACTCTCTGTATGGCGCAAACAGGCCACAATCTCAGTCCAAGATGAATTTGTGGGGCGTACTCTCCCCAAGGACCTCGAAGATTCCCTGCCTGAAACCCTCAATGATACATTCGAAACCGTGCGCAGTGGTGTCAAGAGATCTGCTGAAATCTATATTAATCTATGCACTTTGCTTGAAAGGCTGGCTAAACGGAATGATGGACTGGCCGCGGACCATCTCCGATTTTCTCTCGCCCTGCAGTCTTTGACGGAAGTCACCAAAGACACGTATGCCGTGGATACCAACGACATCCCGGCTCTCAATGAAGGCATTACAGCCACCGCTCGTCACCTCTCTACCAGTCAAAGCTTATTGGAAGACGAGGCCCGAGGGTGGACTGAGGGGGTTCTGGAAGATCTCAAGCGGCAACGCGATTGCCTGGTCAGTGTTCGGGAGATGTTCGATCGCCGTGATCGTTATGCACGGAACAATATCCCACAGCTGGAGCGGCGAATCGAGACCAACGAACAGAAGCTGACGGATCTGCATGGCCGACCCGCGGGCACCGTCAAGCCCGGGGAGATCGACAGACTCGGGGACTCTATTCTCAAGGTGAGATTTATGAAACACTAATCCCATTTCTCCCACTAACATCGATCACTCCAGGACAAGGAATCTATCGTCGAGCAGCATGCCCGGGGCGTCTTCATCAAGGAGTGCATCCGGGATGAACTGGTACACTTCCAGCAGAGCCAATATCACATCAGCCGCCTGCATCAAGACTGGAGTCAGGAGCGGGTCAAGTACTCCGAACTGCAGGCGGACAACTGGCGTGGCTTGAGCGACGAAGTTGAGGGGATGCCGACGGGCGTGTAGCTGGGTAGGCGAGCAGCATTGGGCCTCAACTTGTTCGTACTCGTACATCAGTGGGATTGTCCGTCTCGTTGGTTTGATTTTCTCCGAGGCGCGGGATGCGCGTGCCTTGCATAAACCACATTTCACCTTTTTGTGTTTCTTTTCTGTTTGTTGTTTCTCCTGTTTCTCCGCGGATACGCACGTTCTCGGCATTGGAATCTGGGAGTTCTCCATGTGAAGCTGTTCTTTTTTTTTTTTTTTTTTTTGGTTATCTATGCTGTTTGTATTACACCCCAATTGATTCCCATTCCCGATCTGGCTTTTATGCGGAGGTATACAGGTACAATACACCATTACACAAGCATAATATTATATCAATGTCAACTACGGAGTAGAAAAGACCTCAGATATAAAAATTTGAAGCCCCCCCACTCAACTGGAGCGAGAGCGACGCCACTGACCCAATGATACGATGATCCCTGAGCCAATTCTTGGCGGTTGGCAGGGCTGATTACCGTACGTGACACGAATACGCCGAACATCGTGAAATCCCGATCCCCCAAGACCTCCCTTGCTTCATCTTTCGTACATATGACACTGAAACTGTCACTGATGCAGCCATTCCCTGCCTTCTGATATTCCGATTGAAATCTACTAGCCCCAAACAACGCGCGCACGACCTCCGCCAGCCAAGACCCCATTCCGCTTCCGACGTGGGTCACCAAGTCTCGGCTGACGAATCCCGCTGTTTCCAAGAATACTTCGTGCTGGGCAAAACTCCCCAAGCACGCGTTCACTCGTCTTTCTCTGCTTGGCCAAGAGTCCCCAAGACTCTGACCAAGTTTCGCTGAGACTGCCCTTTTTCTTCTTTTCTTCTTTGCTTCCCTGCATCCACCGAGACTACCTTGAGGCCAAGCCTCCCGAATTCCTTTTTCTCTCTCAACCTCCAAGGCTTCGCCTTCTTGTCGCATCTCCTCCACATCTTGGCTCGACTCGTATCTGCACCCCGCAGAGTTCTGAATTGCCGGTCCTCTCCGAATCCGTCGGACGTGCGCCTAGATCTCTCGAGCCCCCAAATCAGCCCTACGAGGCTCGGCACTTCGGCTTTCCGACCACCGATTCACCAAGGCATGCAGAGCTACACGGTCCACCCAAGTTCGAGGCGGGAATACATCCGGTAAATCGATCGCCATACGCGCGGGATCGCTTATTTTCACCCCGGAGAATAAAACAAACCTCTGCACAATCGGTCTCCGACCGACACCTTCACCATGGCGTGGGATCACTTGGACATTGATAGGCCGCATCTGGCGTACATGATCCTGGGCGGTTTCACAGGCTTGTTCATGCTGTGCTCCCTGTTCGTCAAGGAGAAGCTGTACATCGGTGAAGCGACTGTTGCCACACTCTGTGGCATTATCTTCGGCCCCCACGCGGCCAATCTTTTCAATCCGCACGAATGGGGAAACATCGACAAGATCACACTCGAGTGTTCGCGCATCGTGCTAGTCGTGCAATGTTTCGCCGTCGGTGTCGAATTGCCAAAGGCGTATATGGAACGCCATTGGAAGTCGGTATCATTGCTGCTGATCCCTGTTATGACTTGGGGTTGGCTGATTACCAGTCTGTTCATTTGGTGGATGGTTCCCCCACTCAACTGGCTGGAAAGTTTGATCTGTGCCTCTTGCGTTACGGCAACAGACCCTGTCCTGGCTTCTTCCGTGGTCGGTAAGGGTAAGTTCGCCAAGCGTGTCCCTAAGCATTTGCGTGACTTGCTGTCTGCCGAGTCTGGCTGTAACGATGGTATGGCATTCCCATTCATCTACCTGTCATTCTACATCTATCACTACCGACCTGCTGTCGGCGAGGTGTGGTTGAACTGGTTCTGTATCACCGTTCTTTACGAGTGTGTGTTGGGTGCCATCTTCGGTTTCGCCATCGGTTACATTGCTCGCCATGCTATCAAATGGGCTGAGAACAAGGGATTGATCGATCGTGAGAGTTTCCTGGTGTTCTACTTCGTGTTGGCTGTCTTCTGCGCTGGCTCTGGTAGTTTGCTGGGCATGGATGATCTACTGATCGGATTCTCATGTGGTGTCGGATTCAGTAACGATGGTTGGTTTACGGAGAAGACCGAGGAATCTCACGTTTCCAACGTCATCGATCTTCTGCTCAACTTGGCTTACTTTGTCTATTTCGGATCCATCATTCCCTGGGAGGACTTCAACTCCCCCGCCCTCGGTCTCACCCCGTGGCGACTGGTGGTTATTGCATTATTGGTCATCTTTTTCCGACGCATACCTATCATGCTAATGCTGAAACCAATTATACCGGACGTCAAAACATGGCGAGAAGCGCTGTTCGCAGGCCATTTCGGCCCCATTGGTGTCGGTGCCATCTTTGCTGCCATCCTCGCCAGAGCTGAACTCGAAAACGACAATACGCAGCCTGACCCTGAAAACGAACTGCCAATGCCTGGTTCTAGCAACTACTACATCGTCAGGCTCATCTGGCCTATCACCACTTTCATGGTCATTTCGTCCATCTTGGTGCATGGCTCTTCCATTGCAGTCTTTACCTTAGGTAAACGTATCAACACTCTGACCATCACCCTCTCATACACCCAAGCCAATGAGGATGGACCTTCATGGATGAACCGGCTGCCTCGTGTGCAGTCTATCGCCAAGGGCTCTATGTCCTTCCGCAAAGCGGAGGACACTGACGCCTCGTCCGATGAGAAATTGCCTGAATATCCTCCCGGTACCCTCCCGCCTATCGGCATGCCTGGCAACTTCCTTCGCCGGCAGCGCGACGAGGAGGATGAGAATGAAGCACAAAGTCTTGAGTCATCTCGCCGCAAGCCCCTGCGGAGACGTCGCCGCAAGCGTGACTCGGGTGCTGGCGGCCCGATCAGTCAGTCTGCTATCATGCCCGCTCCCCGTCAACGAGAAAGCGAAATTGAAACCGAGGAAGAAAAGAAAGAGCTGGAAGAGCGCGATCAGGTTGAGCGCGGAGCTTCTCCGCCTCACGCCGAGCGTGATCGCTTCGGCCGTGAGCCTGAAATAGAAGTCTACCAGGAGGGTCATAACATGATCATCGAGGATGAGGAGGGCAATGTCCTGAAGACTGAAGATACTTCTCATCTCACACCCGAACAAAAGATCGCGCACATTGAAGAACAACGCAAGCGTCTTGAAAATGACAAGAGTGGTGAATTCGCCAAATCCGAGAGTCATCCTCACAACAAGGATGAGGGAGAGGAGTTCAAGCATGCTGTTGAGGATAAGGCTGGGACTTCCTACGGCAAGGCAATCAAGAAGTGGACCAACTGGACCGGACTTGGCAAGGAGAAGGCCGCTGATCAACCTGAGAAGAAGGCTGAGAAGCCCGAGAAAACTGAAAAGCCACCCAAGGCCGACTCGGCCAAGCCCAAGCCCCGTTCAGCTCATGCTTACCAATTTGGTAACACCATTATTGTTGAGGATGAGGACGGTGAGGTGATCAAGAAGTACACCCTTCCTGGTGGCAAGAAGACCGAGAAGTCAGAAAAGCCCCAGAGCCAGCCCACTGCTCCTGGTGACGCACCAGTCCGGCGTGGTTTGACTCGCATGGGAACCTGGTTCGGCATGGAAGAAGAAGGCGAAACTTCTGCGGCTGCCCAAGAAAAGAAGAAAAAGAAGGAGAACGATGACTGGACTACTGATGATGGTCTGCGCTTCACACTTGCCCAAGACCCCGAAGTCGATTCTCAGGGCATCGGACACAAGGGCAGACGTATGAACAAGCAAGAGTTCTTCCAGCAGATTAAGGGATTGGACGCCAAGAGCCGTCGAGATGTCGTGCAGCAAACAGACGCCCCGGCACCAGTCCAAGAAGTAGCCCAAACCGAAGCCAAGCAAGAAGAGAAGATCGAGGAGAAGCAAGAGCGTCGTCTCTCTGCCGCTGCTATCGGAGCTACCACTGGCACTATTCCTGAGGAAGAAGCCGAGGGCCTGGAGTCCGAGTCCGTCACCGACAGCGATGACGAGACCGACCATCAAGGCGCCCACAACGTCGCCGCCTCCCTCGCCAAGTTCTCTCGCGGCGGCGGCACCTCCGCCGCCCAGGAGCGTCGCAACAACCTCAGCCCCGCGCCACCTCGTACCCGTGACCGCGAGCGCCGTGACTCCGACGATGATGGCACAGAGCGTATCCCGCCATCCCGTCTCCGTAAGGCCGCTGGTCTCACCGCGCCCCCACGCGAGAACGACGATGACACAGGCGAAACACCTGCCGAGCGTCGTCGCCGTCTTGCAGCGCTGGGTGTCGACGGTGATGACTCTGAGGAAGGATCTGACTCTGACGACGAAGACGCTATCGCCGAAGAGGACTCTGATATCGAGGACGTGGATTCCAAAGATGGCAAGCTCCAACCCGAAGGAACCAAGACCTCTGACCAGTCTTCTCCTCGCTCGGGATCTGGATCTGCCTCCGCCTCGCAGTCCACCTCGCGTCACATCCCGCGTGTCTCCTGGGGAGGCGAGAAAGGCCGCGAACTGTGATCGCTTATAGATATGAGAACCTCTTGCATCTCTACAAACATCTTCAAGTTCAACCTACTCTAATATTTCCCCACCAAAAGCGAGACTTGCTACACATCTCTGGGCTACCGAGTTAGGAACGTTTCATTGCCATCTCGGTATGGCGGACAACTCTTGCTTCAACTTTTTTTTTTTTTTTCATGTACCTTCTCATTCCACCTCTGTGCATACATTGTCCCTGCATACGATCACTATGACTATGATCGCCTTGTTTTATCTGTGTTGATATGATTCTGTCGTCCGCCTATTACAAGAGCTTCGCCAGATTTAGCTTACTATACAACGCATTGCTTATTTGAACATAATCACCTTGGAACCTTCCGAACTCGACTCGTACGTATACCCTGTAAACATTTATTGATTCATAACAACTTGATCCGTTGAAGACCGAGGTATCAAACACAAAAGTTGGCTCCATGTACAAGCCCACAAACAAATATGTCTAAACGAAACATCTCCTATCTACTCCATCGTACTCTGCGGCCTCATAATTCCTCTTCCGAAGAATTCACTAACGACACCGAATCGATCTCTCGAGCGCGCTAATTCCCCCTTGAATAAATCGTGCTGATCGGCCGAATCGACCTGTCGCTGTCTGATGGCACGCATGGTCGCATTTGTCGGCGCACAGACGGGACATTGGGCGTCCTCATCAAGATTGTTCAGACAACGTTCGTGGAAGGAGTGCTTGCAGAGGAAATGCACAGTTGGGAGATCCAGACTTCCGCCGCAGGATTGGCAGCGGCGAGATTGGAAGACGACGGGTTGACTGGTCAAATGATCGAGTTCTTGCTGTTTAGCCGTGGTTTCGGATTTGTAGCTTGTTATCAGACGACGGTTCTGCGAGTGTTAGATTGAGGCTGGTACAGTAGAGATAGGGGTAGGGGGTATTTACGGTAGTGATCTCTTTGCGCTCACGGTCAATATTGTCGCTGAGGTACTTCTTGACGCGGCCCATTGTGACCACGGCATTGTTGCTTAGGGCTTGGATGACCTGAAGCGGGGAGAGGAGTCCGTCTTGATTGATGCGCTGGAGGACTGCGTCGAGCTCGTCGCCTGCTTCTTCGAGGATTTGGGGGCTCGAGGCGAAGTATGTTAGGGCGTCAACGTAGAGCTGGGGCTCGTCGGGTCCGTATCGTCTGAGTGCTTTAATGGCACCTTGGGTATCTTTTGCGGAGGTGAAAGAGCGGAAAATGTCCAGGCGGAGACCTTCTTGTTCGCGGACAAGCGTGGATCCTTCGCGGAAATCTGATAGATCGGACAGGAGAAGGACGTTGGAAGTAGAAATTGGAATCTATGCTGGTCAGGTCGTGCAAACGGGGCCATTGTCTGGAATTACTCACATCTTTCCCTTCAATTAGTTTCTTTGCTTTGGTTTCCCATTCCCGCTTCTCGGATGCGTCTTTCTTGCCCTTGGCTGTATCCAAGTACATTTCGAACAGCGTTGTGAAGAGATCTATCTTAGCATCCCTCTTCAGATCTGGCTTTTGCGCTACAGTCTCAAGGAAGTCGATGAATTCTTTCGGATGATCCACGAATGCGGAGAAGGCCGTGCGAGGCTTGGGGATCTCATAATCTGGTGGCGATTCTTCCGGTTTGTCTTCACTTATCTCTGGCTCAGGCACAGGGGCCTCCGGCTGCTTGCCACTTCCAACTTGCATGTAGCGCAGAGGCAAGAGTGCAGCGAGACTTTGTACTGTGCTTGTGGTTTGCTCTTGAGGCTGTAATGGGTGTTCTACCTCCTTCCGTGGCTGGTATTGACCAGAATAGTAGACCTTGAATAGTTCCGCTGTCTGCTCAGGACAATGGGCCAGGAGCACCCTTGCATACTTCATCAAGTTTGCATAGGCCTAACAAGAATTAGCATGTCTCTTCCCTATGACTGTGCATTTGCTTACCACTTCAGCATCTAAGCGCCAGATGTATTCTACCGCTTCAGCATATTTCTTCGAGTCTTCAATCAAGATATCGACAACCATGTCATTCTCGCCATGTTTCGTTGCAAGGTAGGCCGCTTGTTCATAATAACCCCCTTGTCGGCACATGGCAATGGCCGTTTCAAGATCAAACTTTAGCTCACCAGGAGCCTTGATGAAGGAATCAAGTTTGCTTGTATCTTTGAGTTTTGCGTAACAGTTGAGAAGCAAAGTTGTATGATCGACAGTGGCACGACCATGATCGTGTAGCTCTTCAAGATATTCGATGAGATTATGAATTCGCTGGGTATCCAGATACTGCTGCAAGTTAGTACACTTAGAACCCCAGGAGACGGTATATAATGACCTTTCTGATGACCTGAGAAGGCTCTGTATTATCGATGGCGCGGAGATATTGTTGCATGGCGGTGTCATAGTCACCCCGTTGATACAGGAAGTCTCCATACTTGCGATAGATAGCATTTTGCTGGAGCGGATCGATTCCAATTTTCTGCGCGAGGTTGATTGCCAGAATGTAAAGGTTGCGTTCATATAGAATTTCAAGCTTTTGCTGGAGTGTCTTTTCCCGATAACGGAAGATCTAAGCCAAGGTGTTAGTACTTGACCAGTTCAAACAGAAATGTACTTACCTTTCCGTCCGTCGTGAGCAGAAATAGCTGCCCCCATTCCATAAAAATTTGCTTCATAGGGCTGACAAGAGCTTCGCTGTGCGCGATGAACTTGAGATCCGTATCAAGCAGGGTGAACGTCGTCGTGCCAAAAATTTCCTCGCCGGGGGTAGCAGTGTACTTTCTCAGCGGATCCGACTTTCCAGCGCCAGCCTTGGGCGGACAGACAAGAGCCACATTATCACGGAAAGCATCAATTGATGTCTTCGGGCTCTCAAACGCATAGCTTGCGCCACGACCGCGCGGGCCATAGGTATAGACAGCATCCTCTCGGGCAATGAGAATATCACCACCCTCTTTGTCAAGTGTCATGCAGCCCAAACCGCAGCCAGTATCTTCCAAGACGCGCGCGGGCTGACCCTGTCCGCGCCCAGCGATAACCAGTGTCAGGATCCGGCTTGTTGTGGAGATGTACAGTGTTGTGATGGCGCCATTTTGGACTTGAAGTCCTGTCACCGGTTCCTCGGACTCGAATACGATTCGCTGTCGTGCGCCGCGGTCATGAATCAGGTCGCCTCGGATGATCGTCACGGATCCGTTCGCGAAACCGACGGCTACTTGCGAGAGGTCTTCGGTGGCAGCAAAGGCAGATATCTGGAAATTCGTTAGTATAGACCTTTACCGCTTTTGATATTGTGGGAGCGCACCGGAAACTGCCTCCTGGCATTCTGCACAGAGACAGTCGACAAACACCGCGGACCTCCGTCTTTCTTCTCCGTATCCAGGGCCCAGACTTTCAGGACCGGTTCATTCGATAGATCTTCTGAGACCGTCACGAGTAGAGCGGTGTCGTTAATTTGTCGCATGTGCGTTATTGAACCGGTGTCGTGAGCCTTGAACGATCGCACGACGCGGAAGGCCGAGGAGACGATGTGGACGAAGCCATCGGCGGTGCCGACGAAGAGGTTCGATGCACCGGTGCATATACTCGATAGGTCACTCTGGAGATTGTGTTAGTGGCAGCAGCGCTTGGGCAGGGGGATACGCGGAGGTCTTACACCGAACACTGAAGAGCTGTCCTCTGGTAGTTTCACCGGCGACACGTCGATGAAGTTGAACGCTTTCCACTGTCATTGTTAGATTGAAGCAAAGCGGAATAACATGAGGGCTCTCTTACTGATGTCAAGGCCATATCGGCTCTCCATTGACTGAGATATGCGACTAGACGGTGTCGATGCGGTTCGGAGCTCTCCCCGCTGGCGCTCGGGCCACCTGGTGCCTGACGTCGATCCGCCGGCTTAGGCTTGCGAATCCACATCGCAATGAGAAGCTCTGCTTTGATTTTGTTGGATAGTCATCTACCGGGTGTTTCAGGATGCTTGAGGAGTAGGCGAGAGAATGTTCAATTCCAAATTAAGATAAGTCACACTGTCATAGAGTACAATAGGAAATAGGAAATAGTATATGCTGCCTATGTCTACTAACATGTGGACCAAGATGCCGCCAGTATGCCTCCGCTGATAAAATGCTGAAAGATACAGTATGTGCAAGTGAAGAACAGAAGTAAAAATATGCGAAGTCATGACAGCGTAAATTGTATACCTTAGGATGGATCCATATTGAGAGAATGTGGTTCAAGATTCTGACTCGGCCGTCCAATCTCTTTCACGAAATCAAAGCTTTGCTGAAGCCAGCTTCCAGCATCAGCAATTGCCTGGCTGAGATTGAAACTTTCCACCGCCTGGTTGGCACCTTGGCCATCTTGAACTGCTGCTGACGCAGATTCGTTCGGGTTGATGGGCAAGGAAGCGTTTTTAGCAGACAGGTTATCTGACTTGTGAATGCCAGGCGATGAGCTTCCTTCAACGTCGCCTGATTTGGATTCGGCAGAATGATATTCATAGTCCACGCTGGCTACGTCACTCTGGGGGGGACATAAAGCAACTCGCGTCATGGGGCTTCTTTCTCTTTGATCCAGTAGGCAGGCTTTTGGCCAGATCCGGTAGAGATGCGCGAGGCTTTTTCTCCGTGCTGAAGGCATAGGGAGTAGCTGCATCAAGCATGAACTGCGTATCCATGGCTTGGCTCTTGTTCTTATTGGTCGGGTTCCAACTTGAGTTTTGGCCAGCTTGCTCGATACTGAAGTTGAAGGGCGTGGCTGCATCGAGCATATATTGCGTGCTCATGGCTTGCATCCTATCCTTATCCGCTGATAGAGAGCTTTGTTCAAAATCCCGTTGTAGCGACTGCTCTATGCGATAGAAAGGAGTGACATTTGCTGAATAACTCGTGCCACTCGGTGAATGGATCGCTTTGTTTTGACCAGGCGTAGCGGCATAATACGCCGGGCTGTCCAGGTCCTCCTGGAAGGACTTTTGGGCGTGTAAGAGCGCTGCTTGGGTTGACAGCTGGGTATCAGGACTTGTGCTTGAACCGAGGTCAGTGTCTGCCTTTGGCAATGCCGTCGAGTGCAATGATGTGATTCGATCTGATGCTCCCAGGGGCGCTGGAACCCTTTGAGCGGAGGGCAGATCTTCATATGTATTTTGCTCTGTTGCAACCGGTTCGGGCTCTGTAGAGGGCGCTGTGCCCTGAAAGGTCTCCTTGTCTTCTCCGTCGACGATGTCGGACTGATCTGCGAATCTAAGGTCTTTGGATTGGGTTTTGTGGCTTTCGGCTTCTTTCGGCGGCACTTGCTGAGAAACTGCTTCTTGATCGGGGACATCTGGCGAATCGGATTTTGACAGCTGAACGCTGGCAGCGTGAGTAGAAGGGCGATCGGTGAGGGGCTCTTTCGGGTCGTTGGTCGTAGTGGTATTCACCGACTGAATATTCACAGCACTAGCAGGCTGCGAAGCAACATCTACTTCTTTCCCTGCTGGAGTTCCATCATGCAAAATAGTTTCCTCTTGCAGTATGCTCTCGTCATCCAAGGACGACCTAGACTCCCCCATTAGCGCATCGACGGTATTCGAATCTCGGTAACTGAGATGACGAATTGACAATACGAAGAGAAGGAGGCTCAGTTATAGCCGCAGATCGCCTGAATGGCGATTGTTGTGGTATATGAGGTACTTTGGATATTCTGGGTGAAGTCGAGCTAGTAGACCGTGTCGATTTTGGGGTGCGCCCATTGGAGCTACTCTTGGCAGTTTTCGGTGGAATGTTTTTGACGGGTTGTAGTTTAGATGGAGATCCTGGTGTTTGCGGAACCTGGACCTGGACACTGCGAGCTGGCGGTCGGCGAGCCTTGTCTGATTGACGAGATGCAACCGATATCGTAGGAGAGCTTGGTGGATCGAACTTGGTGAAGTTCATCAGCCTGCGGTCCTTCTTGAGCCAATCAGCCGGACGAGGTCGTACGCTCGATTGACTTTGCACTGATGAATCCGGTAGACCACTCGATTTCACAGGGGAACGCGATTTCCCATTGGAGTCGCCGCGGCCTGACCGCGAAGCTGATTGCGTAGAGTCCCTCCGTGGTGATTTAGATGACAAAGACCGAGCTCCGGGCTGAGCCGAGGAGCTCCCAGCACGATTCAAAGACGACGCTGGTATCTCGTGTTCACGGCCGCTAGCTGGCAAGCTCTCTCTAAATCTCGGTGCGCGCAAATCGGTTTCCTTGACCATACGTTCGGGCGCATTGGCTTTCTCTGGTTGCAACCCCGAAGTGGCTTTCCCACGCTTCCTGCGCTTTTCCCACGGATTCTTCCATTCCTCATCCAACGGGCCTTTCAGTCCAGCGGAGAGAATAAACAATGGTTTGCCCTGCAGATACGACTCGGCGAGTTTCTCAATGCGCTGTCGCTGTGCGGCACTAGCGGCGTCATCCAGTTCATCGTCCGAACCGAGCAAGGCATCGGTGTCAAAGCTGTGGGGCGGGGTAGCGCATGTCTCGAGGGAGAATGGGGAGACCGGGCGCGGGAAGGGCATCGGGCCTGAGTTTGGAGCTCCGGGTAATCAGATAAGTGTAGCCGTGGCAGTTGGTGACTGCGGTGAGGCGGCTTCGGTCGGTTGATCGCAGTCGGTATTCATTTCTGATGCCCAATCTGCGGACAGCTCAAGGCAGACATGTCAGGTCAAGCAACGCGAAAACCACTTAACGCGTGTGTTGATGGAGCAACCTTGGAGCGGTGGGGAAATATTATGTCATCAGATCTATAAACAGACCTCACGTCCACTCTACGTAGCCCTAATGTCACATCTAGCTCTGTTGCTTGGCTAGGTCAGTATAGAAACAGTTCCTGGCTTCATGCTCTTAAAACATCTGGATACTGTGGTTGGACACATCCGTGAGGATACATCGTCCAGCCTTGGAAGGTTTACAAACTACGATGGCAAGAGGTGCACACACTTAACAAGATACTTGAAATAACAGTCGAAAGGATACCTAAAGAGAAAAATGAGAAATGGTTATATGCAGCAGCACAAGAAGAGAGCTAGGGATGCAACCGTCGTGAGAGTCTTCAGTTGTTGAGCTAATCTATGAGCATATCTGGGGGAAGGAAACTAGGTAAGCGGGTAAAGTATTGAGGGAGAGAGGGCCATTGTTGACATTTCAAACACAAAACGCGCTTGCTACGCGTGCAGTGTAGACCTTAGACAAAGCCGCCGGCGAGAGAGTCCACGACGACGACGAAGATAGATTATGAGCTACGTATCAAACGCATCATCTTCTCCAGATGCCCGGTCAAGCCGGACAGTTGGTGAAAAAGTTGCGTCCTCCGGGTGCAGTGTAAGCCCAGGGACACGGTGCAGCTAAGCTGCGATACACAAAAAAAGGTGTGCCAACTGGGGGTAGTGTAAGCCCAGTAGCACAGAGCCCTTAGGCTGGGAGTGCCAAAAATTGGGCCATGGCGAGCACGGCCACGATGATGATGATGTGATCGAAGATGCACTTACCTGACCTACCTGGTGGGGAGAAAGAAAGAGAAGAAGCAAATTGGGGGAGGGAACGGCTTTTATACTCGTGACCACGTGCCAGGACCGGTCTCCCCCGTAAATGGACAGCGCGGGGGGGGCACGATAACGATACCGGTCCTAACTATGCTGGCCCCGGGGGAAGACCCGTGGATCTTGTAGACTTCCAGATTCTTCGGGACCGTGGCCGACAAAGACACCGTCAAGCTCAATGTCCACGGGTATTCCCAAGGGCCAAGCTTCCTGGAAGCCCTGGAGTCCTGCATATAGGCAGTTAAACATCCTGACTTGGATAATTCCATCTCCAGGGTCATTACAACATCTGGGAATCCCTTTAAGGCCCTAGCCAATTGATCTTCAATGTTCTCCCGGGGTCAATGCTGACATCCGGATCTTCAGAATTCACCTAGACATCATCATAGTGTTGAGTATACCGATCACACTTCATGATCATTAGGGCGCCATCCATCTCAATGGCATTGGCATGTCTAGCAGGTCGACCCAGGATAGGCCATAAATCTATAGCGTTGATAGCCATCAAATCCGGAATTTACTGTGACGAGCAATACTAAGAAATGGTAAATCATATTCACACGAAGTAAAACTCTGCGTAATCAAACACTGCACGGGGAAGGATAATGCGATCCAGATCAAAGGGGGGAAACAAAAGATCCACCAGACTCGAGTCATCACACAGCAAGATGACCTATTCAACATGATTCAGATGGGAACAAACAGAGCGCTAACCGAGGTATGAGATGAGGCAATTCGTCTATATCAAAGACCAGGGTATCAAAGCGCGCAACGGGTGCGCGAGAATTGAGAGGGTACACATGCTTCGATGGGGGGAGATTGCCTTGGTTTATTCATGATACATGGAGGAACATCATAGTAAAGGGTGAGTAGAAAGATATAGATCAAAAGACATTGAGACAAGGTTAAAAGGGAGGTCATTAGGAGGTCATCAGAAGGGAGTGCTCGGTACGCTCCTTCATTCGCATGGCTTGGGCTTCGAGGGAGCGGGCCATCAGTTTCGTCACTGGGATTGGTTAGCGGTTGTCATGAGGTAGAATAGTTGAGACGAGCTTACCTGGCCAGACAGCAGCTCGATCCAGAAGACTGGCTGTCGCAATCAATATTTTACATCCGTATCCACCTTCCACAACACTGGGGAGCCGTTGCATGACGCTGAGTGCAGACATGGAATTGCTTTGTTGCACTTGGCTTTGCATCTTGTTTTCGATACTGCCCAGTATCTCCTTGATCTTATCCACCAGCTTGCAATCCTCATCTTCAAGCAGCATGACCCCGGGGACTCCGGTTAGATCTGCATCGTCACGACCCAAGACACCAAGGTAAGGGCCCACACGCTCTTGGACGGTCGTGATCCACTCTGCCAAAACCTGTGCGCAATCGAAAGCGCACATCGCGCACTGGATAGGTAACTCTCGAGATGAGAACTCTGCAAAAGTATTTCCCAAACGATCAGACATGGAGATAGAATCAGCCGCGTAGAACGCCGCTTTACGCAGATGCTTTTCACGTTTCGTCTGACCGGTCTTGTACATGTCTGATAGGGTCTGCATGGGCTCTTCTTGGGTAGGCGTTTTGGAGATTGCGAGATCAGAGACACCCAGGTCAGCGATGGAGTCCCGTCTTTGATTGATAGAACCAGTCAGAGAGGGATCCACCACGTCATCTATTGAGGCGTCTTGGTGCTGGAAGATCTCAGTTCCACGCGCAAGCTCATCTGCCATGCCGTTCCAATCTCGCTGCCAGAACGCTTCTTTGCAGCGTCCAAGATTTACAAACAGACGAACATATGCCAGGTCCAACAGGGGAATACTGTCTGCAGACAGAGGTCCCGCACCAAATGGATTGGGTCGCTCGAGGCTGTGAACAGGATTGCTAGCCCAGGCCGCTTGCCAGGCTCGAAGAGCAGGCTCGATATGTGCTTGCATGGCATCCGTCTCTTGCGCAGTCCATTGACGACCCATGTGTCTTTGGCGGGTTTCCCATATATAGTTGTGCAGTGAGTAGATGAGGACCAAGCACCCGAAAGTACTGGGACGATTTTCCGAATTAGACAGATCATCAGAATTGTAGAACAGGTTCGATGATTGACTTTGTTCTCGTTGGCTGGCTGTCAGGAGAGAGGTCAAAGCGGCCGAGAACGACAGAGTCTTATTCGAGGCAGTTTGACCACCCATCTTCTTCCAGGCCTGAGGTGATTCGGCTGCCCATAGGTCCTCTTCACAAGGGAGATCGAGTCGGATTTCGGAATTGGTAAGTGCGGGTGCATGGTTATATGCTGAGACAAGGAAACTGGAAAGATCGAATATTGCGTAGAGGGTGCGTTTCCGCTCTTCCACAACCTTCCAATTCAACCAGTCCCGGCGTTCTTTAGGCTGGCTGAATGAGGAGGACATCCAATCGTCAATGTCACCAGAGGAGTTTGTCGCGTTGAGTCCAGTGCTGAGGTGGTCTTGAGGTAGATCCTTGGGGTCCAAATGCTGGGTTAGTTCGGCTGCGCGAGCTAGGCTGACCAAGGCTGCACAGTGCGTGCTGGCAATGTCTGCAGAGGTTTTGTCGCCGCAGGTGTGACCATATATCACATTTAAAAGCATCGCCTGCACCAACCAAAGTGGAGTATTGTGGACGGAGTTATCACGGGAAGATTGGGAACGATTGAGAGCGGCAGACATGTCGGCTTTGCGTCGCTCTTCGAGATATAATTGAATCATCTTTTTGGCGGCTTCGAAGAGGTCTTTGGATGCAGCAGTGTCGTATTCGTACAGGGCGCCGATGGCGGCCATAGAGAGGATCAGGCAGCCGCCACCGCCGGCCACGCCTGCAGAACTGAGGTTGAGGTGTCCGCTGGGGGTGCGCAAGTTGTTCGTGTATTCGGGGGCTTGGAAGTTGAGGGTCGGGATATGGAGAAAGGGGACGTGGGGGTGAAAGTAGGTGATGTAGGCCGAAATATATCGCTGCAGGTCCGAAGTGCTGGGAAGTTGACCGGAGCTGTTGAAGCCAGTCGAGCGGGCGAACAGATCGCGGCTGTTTGAAAGTCCACTTGCGGGCTGGGAATACTTGCGGTGATTGAAGCCAGTGGGGGTCGACATACTCGCTAATAGAGCCTGTCGTGTGGATTCTGTAAATGTATCCGTTGAGACTGGGGAATGTTGATTTCGTAGGGCACTATTCGTGAAAGAAACGTTGAGAGGATTAGGAGATTCTCCGTTTGTTGCCAGAGAGGATGAAAACATACTCTGGGAATGCCCTCCCATCATGGGTTGGCCGACCGAAGTCATCGATGGTGGTGTGGCATACGTCTCAGCAAACGGATTCTGAGCCATTAAAGACTTGGGCGAAACGGTCTCCGGAGGGATCCCCAAATCGTTCAACGTCGTCGGGGAGAAATCGATCGCGAACTGGTTGGCGGCGTGGTGGCCAGGGAACGGGTTGTGCCAGCCATTGGAGATCGGGATGCGGTTCGGGCCATCGAGCATGGCCTCGCTAATACCGCTCTGGCTACCAGTACTCATTGCTGATGGCGAAGACTCGTCGATCACCGAGTCGTTGCCATTGCCCATTGCCACCGCCGCATCAAACCCATTCATCCAGTCGAAGTTCATCTCCTCGTCCATCATGGGGTCCACCGCGGGAGGAATTCCATTGTGGTAATGGCCAAAGGGAGACGAGGGGGAGTCACCGAAGCCTTGCGGGGAGCCTGCGAAATGTAATTGTGCTGGGTTTATGGTGCTACCATGACCCATGAGCATACCGTCTATACCCGTGTCGAAACTCCCGTACACCGGAGCAGTCCGAAGTGACCCGGACATATCCATTGGAAGTCCTGAGGTTTCGATCTTAGAAAGCCCGTTCACTGGAGGATGTCCAGAGCTGAATCCCCTATAATCCATGCTTGAGCCAATTGAAGAACTAAGGCTAGGGTGATATGAGTGGCCAGACTGGGGGGCGGATGACGGGTTACCAGCACCCGGGATACCTAGCGCGGCCCCGTCAATGTGGCTAATGGTGTTTGCTCTCGGGCGCACCGATGCCGAAGAGTTATTGGCAATGGAGTTCTTGCGAACGCGGTTAGCGCCGGGTGCGGCACCCGTGCTTTCACGGCGACCGTTTCTCGGTCGAGAAGACGGGGTAGTGGTCATGTGCAGCTTCTGCTGGTGTCGCAGAAGCAGATCACGACGAGCGAAGCAGCGTGCGCAGTCTGGGCATTCGAACGGCTTTTCCTTGGTGTGCGATCGCTCATGGCGCTTGAGGTGCTCCAATCGCGCGAATGAACGACTGCAAGTGGTGCAGACGTGGGGCCGAGGCTTATCTGTCTTGGGGGGCGGGATATTGCCATTGGCACCCGTTTGACCATTCAGGTCGGTCTGTTTCTTTGAGTCTTTCGGGGCTGAGAATAGATGGGTAAGAATTGCACCGAGGATCTTTGTTTGATGAGCCACACTCACCAGGCATGTTTCCCGGAATTTCGTTGATACTGGCAAGGTCTGCCACCGTAGAACTGTAGTCCTGATCTTGACCAACCATACCATCAAACAGCATGCTATTCTTCCGAAGCCTCACAGACCAGAGTGCTGGCTACTGGTCTCGGAGGTGACTCGATTGTGACGGGAAAGTCGTTGAGGGGTGTCAATAAGTCGATTGGGTGGTCGCGTCGGGCCGATAGTTGGCCTTTCGAATTTATACAATGAAGAAGTCGTAACAACTGTTCGGATGACATCAAGTCAGTATTTCTCTCATATGATGCGTATAAGGCGCTATCTCGGCGACCCAGGGTACCGAAACAGACTAATCTGTGAACCTTGCCCTCAGACGGAGGAAGGGAACCAACCAATGACAAGAAAATTTACAGTCGGTCTATCGAACGGATTTGAAAAAAAAAGTAGGGAGGGAAGCTGGGTTGGATTGACAGGATATGAGGACTTGCGGCCGGTATCGCGGGATGGAGGCTAGTGTTGACGTCTTTCGGAAACATCAGCGAACCGCTCCACCGTGACTGGATCTCGGTGAGACAGATGGTTGTGTCCGACTCACATCAAAACCAAGGCAGCTCTGTCAGAAGCTATGGTAACTTTGTCTCCAGGACTCGCGCATCCATTGAGGGAATTGATCTCACAAGGTCGGAAGTGGATATGCGGGAGGAGATAAGGGACGGAGCAGTGCAGATAGGCGATAAGGATGAAAGCGAAGTTGGTGAGAATGAGGCAGATGAAGAAGAAGAAGTTCTAAATTGCCTCCGAAGTTGGAGTAATGTCAGGTCGAGCAGAGCGAGCGACGAGGTACCTCTACTTACATACCGGATAGTCGTGGCAGTAGTGGCGGGTAGTGTACAGCAAAGTATTGGGGAAGTACCCACGATAAGGGGGTCCGAGAGCAAAGGTACACCGGGGGTACATCGACCGCACGCACCAGGGCGATGTCAGGCCCAGAAGCCCACGCAGCAGACGGTAACGATACAGCGTCCAGTCAGTGGGGCTAGACACACGGGCTACCCATTGAGGGCCAATGAGACCCCCACGATTACCCAGGGTGATACCCAATGCGGCGTAGACCAAATCCTATAGACACGCACGGTCAAATGCCCACCAGTTCCTGACTTTCTGTTGCCTGAAGGTTGGTACCGCCGTATTCCGTTACGTCTTATCTGCTTCAGGTAGAATGCACCTATTGCCTGATTACATGGGAAACTTATGACTGATTTATATAGCATATAGCTATTGAGATTGAAATACAATTGAAACAGAAAATCACTACAATCGATGTCTCTTGTTTCTTCTAGGAGTCTTCAACTGTACTTCGTACCTTCTGAGCCACATCACCCCGTGAACTGTCAGATAAATTACCAGATCATATCATAATCTCCCTAAGTCCCGTAATTCCGTAAGATTACAGCAGTATAATCTATACTGCCCTGAGTCGGAGTGGGCCCGAGAGTTACCGGGGTTAACAAGCCCCGAAACGACCTCGTACGGTACTCCGTATTGTTAGGTAGTATCCTTGGTATCATTGACCTCGTGACAACCTCACTTGGTTTCAGGTAAGATCGCCCCCCCTAATTCGAGAATTGCAGCGCTCATTTTGAGAAACGGAAAAAAAAAGAAAATGAATTTGAAAAATGGAACAGAAAATAGAATCTCGGCAGACAAGGCAGAGAGACTCATTATTTGTCCAGAGATCGCGGAACCCACCCTGGGGCTGAGCTAATGGACGAGCCTGGCGGATCCGCCAGAACCATGCGCCATTTTTGTGGGGGAAAATCAGAACAAAAAAACAGGGTTCGTGTGGGGGATTTGCCTTGCCAGCTCGTGTCCAGTCACAGTGCAGAGCCGTTCATTCTGCAGGAGTGCCGGCAAGGGATATCCTCCGGTTCTCATAACACGTTCCGAAGTGGCGAGAGCGAGCGTTTTCTTTTTTTGTTTCGTTGGGCTCCGTTGCTTTCCCCGGAATCCAAACGTTTCCAGAAGATGGGAGTTGCACGTTGCGCCACGCCGTTTTGAGTTTGGGTCGCACGGAACAAGGCGAGGATGGACATCCCCTTGGGCCAGCCGATTGTTGGATCGGGTGTCGGATCTGGGGTCATTGGCTTTGACCAATCCTCTTGGAGGTTTGCCTTTTTGTTCCGTTCTTTGTTCTGGTAGCCCTTTTGTCTCACGGCTTTATTCCGAGGGAACCAAAGGTCACAAAGAAGAAATGCTTTTGGGTTGCAATTGCGTATTTTCCAAATCAATTCAGAGCGTGCATCGTATAGGGTCTGCTCATCGCAATATTCGCACGGACATCTCGTTTGCAGAATCCCCGGACTTGACAACGCGCTAGTCGAACTAGGACACTAGAGCGAGTCTAAGAGGGCTGCAGGTGACCCGAGATGAGTCAAGGGTGGTCGAGCAACAAATGAAACAACAGCGCCGTAAGCCACTTTCCGAGTGAGCTGTCTCTGAGCTGTATCACACAGTATGGGGGATTGATCGACTGGCACCCGGGAATTCCCCAGGCTGGGGAAATAAGCTGCAACTAAAGGTTCAGAGTTTGATAAAAAAGCATCGGCATGGCCTCCCGGCTTGATTTCAATCCATGCATGCACAGATGAAAAGCAACTACCCAGCCACACCAATCTGCTGTCAATCTCCGGGTCACTGTATCCGATATGCGCGGGTCTTGCTCAGAGTTGACAGCGCCCATTTGGCGGCATGTCTCGGCTGGGACTTTGGCAGCACTGTGCAACGGTCACAAATCATCATCAAACCGAAACACAGGCGTTACGCCGTGTACCGTTCGTGAATGCTTCTAGAATGCAGCTTCCCCAGTCCACAGCACGACGTTATCTGCGAGGCGGGTCGATGAAGAAGCAATTTGCCCTGAGCTCGGGCGCCCAAGTCAGGGGCAGATGCCACTCAAGCCCATGGAACCTCAAATACCGATACCTTAGTTCGTATATGGTGGTGCGCTAGTCGAAGTAGGTCGACGAAAAAAAAAAAAAAACATTATTGCGTAACTACGCTTCGCGGATGATCGCTGTCCCGTGTATCCATGCGTGCAACAGTACGGAGTACTCTGTACACAAGAATGTACAATTATAAGAAACGGACCTTTTGCACTGTAAGTCGGCCGGTCTCAGACGCCCAGGATAAGATGCGAAACACCGACTCAGAAATGTCTGGCCCAGAGCTCCGAAGATATCTCCGAAGCGCCAACCTAGCCTTTTCTTATCACGGGGACTAGTGGCCGCTTGTGCACGATGGCATCAACACGGGACGTGGTGGACTTCGTACTCCGTACTCCGTACTGATCGGGCTTCAAGCCTGCGCTTTTGATTTCTAATTCTGTGGTGAGTCTTATACCGGATATGCTAGCCGCTCAGTTGCATATCTTTTTTGGAGCTTCCGAGCTGAGAGTAATGCCATTGGCTGAATTAGCTGCATCATGATAAGTAGACGACCTAGTGTCCGTACTCCGTACAAGTATAGTATACGGGGTACAGGATCAGTTCTATGATCTATACTGTACCCTGTACATGGTAGCAAACCGACTTTAAGGTACTTGACACTCCGTTCATTAAGCCATAGCTTCAAATGAAATATAGAAACACAGCAGGCCACTCGTAGGTTACTTTCCTTTAGTGTCGAATCTCCTGAGGCTCTATCACGCCCAGTGCGTCATTGCAGATCCACAATTACATGACCGTGTCAATACCGTCAAGTCGCCAGCGTGGACCAGAATGACCTCAACAGTAGTGGACGCCGCAAGAATGTTTTCTGCGCAGATAATTACCCACCGTTTAACCGGTGATCAGATAAAAATCATAAAAAAACGCCAACCGCTGGAGCCAGACCATATTCCATATTGCATGCAGAGTAATATGCACTTGTATTAACGGTAGTGGCAAATGCTTCTAATCTAAGTGACAGGACCGGATGATCGCGATCAGCGACGGGATATCGAAATCGAAATACTCCGTACGTGTAGATGCGAAAAGGGATTCGGCAATTCCACATCGGCGTATCCCGACAAGGCGACAAACCAGCTTGGCAGTGTCACACGGAATCCACAGCCAGTGGCCAACCACATATCAATTTGAAACGAGTATGCGCAAACTGAAAAGCAGAGATAGAGTGGAGTGCCGCCATGGAAATTACAGCCGGTGATTTATTGTTCTTTGTTGATTCGCGATGTTCTCGGCCGTGCCTGGGCGGACAGCGATGGGGCTAGCGATAGCTGGATATCGTTTAATCTTGGAGATAGCGACTAGTCTATCTGACCAACAGAATTTAGTCGACGGGCGCTTCAGCCCGTGGTCTCACTGGTCGAGTCCCTGGATCAAAGTTTCGAGCGTCAGGTCCGATCAGACTGAGAGCTGCCAATTGTGGCTAGGTGTGGTTGGACCTGGGAGTGCTTTTGTGGCATTTTGTGGCAATAAGACACTTCTCAAGGTTGGTCCAGCGCTAAGAACGTTGAAGATGTTATATTTAGTGTTCAAGACATGTTGGGAGGGAATGTAACCCTGGAAGATTTCACTATGACTAAGATGACTTGGTCGCAGATTCATCTAATCAGTCACTCACAACGATAGTTATGCATTTGATGAAAACATCTTCAACTCCGTATCGGATAAGAAATTCACTACGACGCAGTAGCCCCGGAAACCCCAGAAGCCCTGGAGTCCAGTGGTAATTCACCGGAGAAAGACCGATGTCGCAAAAACGGAGCTATTTTAGCCTGTTTTTCGCACGCATCAAACGTGCGCGGGTTAGATCTGATGTGATTGACCGGGCTGGTTAGGGCGTGCATTAGTCGTAATTATTGCAGGCGCGATGACGGGGTGTATTCGACGTCTTTTTTGCGGATTGGATAGGAGCAGACTTCGCCGGCGTAGATCAAGCGATCCATTGGTTTTCTAGCGTCCGAGTTGTACCTTGCGTGGTGTTATGCAGTGAGATTCTTTGCCTCTAACAGACCCTACTATAGACACTTCGTACTCCGATACTTGGATGTAGTATTTGGAGTATTTGTACTCCGTAGTGATTTGTACATACGAGAGTATCGCAGCAACACAAGCACAACAGTCGTCTGACAATGAAAATGCGCTCAACAGTCTCCATCCAAATTAATGCATGTCATACATTCCCGGCTCCAACATTTCCATATTTCTGCGACACAATCAAGAGAGACAAGTACATATGGTGTTGGGATCGCCTCGCACTGACATTTAAACACCCAAGTCTTCGACATCGCCACAATGCACAGCCAAAGACCATAGACCTCGCCAAGGTCGATCTTTGTGTACTCCGTACTTAGTCAACTATACCTATTCACTAAGATATAAGTCCCTCATCCACATACGTAGTCATATAATTATCAAATCCAATCCCAACGTAGTATACTCCAACGGCCGCCACCCACCAGTGCAGGATCATTAAACCGACTGGTCCAGCCATTCGTCGCACCCGACTCTGAGAAAATTGCATGTAGGCCTAGGTCGCAATGTAATTAATGGCGCATTGGCGATCTGGCACGGTCCATCCTGCGACCGAAGTGACCTTTCCATGCAGGATGCCCCGGCTAACGCCATGCACTTCGCTTTCTGACTTTACGGCGGCTTTACATTACCGTTGGCGTGTGAGCGAGGCGATGCACCGCCGTGGAAGTAGGGAATCGAAAGGCCCAAGACATACGGCGACGATGAGGTACCAGACGTAATGCGGATTGTCCCCTTCACTGTGAGTATGTTTTGCATTGCATTGCCCCTCCCCCTCCTTGATGATCGAACTGGCCTCGGTTGGGGATTGGCGGAATTATGGAGCTAATTCCGCTGTTGACGTTATTGATGGTCAAAGCGATCAGTACGGAGTACATAGACGCCCATTGTCGTGTTGGTTTTCAGACGGCGCCAGGGACAGGACGGGTCCTTCGAGATCAATGTGCTGAATGGAAGAAACTGTGAAATGATGTCTATATACTTTTCCAGACCTAAAGACATGATTTTGGTTCACCACCCCAGCCACAAGACAAGGGCCCAACTCCGAGCGTAATGATATTGAGGAGCAAAAATATTCACAGAATTCGAATGGTATATGAGCAAGACATGGCACATGCAATTTCCGAGTCGGTCGGAGCGTAGAGACATATCTGCGTCTAGACACTGATGGTCTTGAAAACACTAGAAGGCAAGATAGGTTAGCTGGGGTTATGATCCTCCGGCGGGAGATCGCATACCTGAATCCGTTGCTACCGGTAGCCATGAGCGTACCGGGCATTTGTGCCTGCCAGTGGAGCTCCTTAACGGACTCCATGTAGTGCACGAAGAGCAATTGGGAGGGAATATCCGCCATGCTGGCAGCGCGGCTCTCCTCGTCATCCAGCTCGACGGCCAGATCCCAGAGAGTGACGGTGTTGTCTGCGGAGCCAACGGCAACAACACTGTCATCGGTCGGGTGCCATTCAATACTGGTGACGGGCTCCTTGTGGAAGTCGAACGATGCGACGGGGGAGGAGGTGATCTGGGCAGAGGGTGCGGCGGCATTGGGCTTCCAGTGACGCAGATCCCAGACGGCCCACTGTCCGTCATCGGCACCTGTTGCCAAAAGGTGAGCGGTCTGGTTGGACCAGCTCATGACGTTGACATCAGTGTTGGAGACCTGAACGTCCACGGCGGGCTTGCGCGACTTGGATCGCACATCCCACACCTTGACACTTCCGTCACTGCTTGCAGACGCAAACACGTTGCGCTCGTTGGGAGACCATTGCAATTCCTCGATCGAAGAGGCGTGGCCAGTGAAGGGTCGGGTGTCGGTAACCCAGCCGCCGCCTTCGGTGCGGGTGGTAGCGTAGATCAGACCGTCATTGTCACCGGTCAACAGCTTTCCAAGTGGCTGGAGCGGGGACCAATCGAGCGCATAACCTTCAGTCTTGTGCATGCGCAAGGTTGAAAGAGGCTTGGAAGCGGAGGGGGGAGAATGGTACCGGGGACATCGAAGCTGGAAAGGTGGGCGGTAACGTCGTGGATGACGACTTGGGAGTTCTCGAGCCAAGTCGCGGTAAGGGTCTGTGGGGGCTTGGAGTAATCACCGGACTGGGAGGGGGTCTGGTGGGTGCGAATGCGGTTTGTTGTTGAGCCAAGCGGGATGGACTTGTGCTCGAGAATGGGCTCGCCCATGTCGTCGTCGTCCGAGTCGCTGTCTGACTCGGCTTCTTTCTCCATTTTGCTAAGACCGCTCATCTTAATGACCATCAATTCGTTATCCTTGGCCTTGGATCCTTCGGCTTGGGTACCAGTGACGGCGTAGACAGTGCCAGGGTAGGTCTTGCGGTTGTCACCAAGCGAGTCGCGCACAATGTCGAAGGAAAGGCATGGCCATGGCGTGCTCAATGTGTGAAGCATATCGTAGGTGGAAGGATCGGGCGATAGCGTCTCTCCGGGTGCCAGTTTTGTGCGTCCAGGAATGAAAGTTTCCTTGTCAACCTCCATAGCTTCTATAGTGATAAAAAAAGAGTCAGCGACATTGTTGCAATTAATATAGCGATAGTCATTGGTTTTGCGCACCCTTCTCCTCCTCCTCACGCTCGGCATCAGGGCGACCATCGACACCAGCCTCGAGGATCTCATCTTCACTCTCGAACTCGTCCTCGAACTCGTCTTCAAACTCCCCCGCTTCGTCCATGGGGACCTCGGCGATTGGTCGCTCGCCTGCCTTGAGAGCAGACTGCTCCACAGATTCGGCGCTTCTCTTGGACATCTTGAGAGAAATCCGATGTAGTATAAATGGGAGAAGTGGAAGGTATAGAGGGGTGTGCGATAAGAACTTTTTTCCCGTAAATTTTGGCAAAAGCGTGGGAGGGGCGCTAAACCTATCGCGGACTAGTGTCAGATCCCAGTTGCCCGCCTTGAGCTGAATGTACCTGAGGTGCCTGGCGTGTCTAGGCCTGACTTATTTCAAGGATCTAGTTGCGATTCATTTCTCGTCCGGTACCTGCATTGCGTGTGTGTTGGGCTGCCAACTCGCCTCCTTGTCGCATCCAATTCTCATTTCTCCCTGTGTTTACTCAGGGACCAACCCTCTCCGCTTAACTCCCGAGACACAGCTCCTCGACTTCAATTTTCTCAATCCCTTGAAACATACTGCGTCATATGCAATCTCGTTAGCTTGAGCTGGAATTTCAGCACTGTTTATTGGTGAGTTTCCGCCCTGAGTCTCATTTCCGGGTCATGTGTTGACAATCAGGGTGTCTGACAGCCTGCACCACTCAAGTCGGTAATACACACCACGAGGCCAAAATGGAATTCGCCCAACCTCCCTCGGAGACTGCGCCTGCGCACGACGCTGATGTGCCTATTGCTCCCACTGTCGCCGAACCCGAGCAGACTGCCCAAGGAGATCAGACGCCGCAGCCACAGGAGGAGCCGCAGCCGGAGTTGCAACAGGAACAGGAGACCCCAACCCAGCAACCTGCCGAACAGCCGGCGCCTGTCATGGTCAACATAGAGGAACCGGCGTCTGAGCACATAAGTGCCCGTGCCGCCATCAATAATGGCTACAACAGCGACTCCAAGGCGCATTATCACTCTCGATCGACCGACTTCCATCAATCTGCCCCCGAATACCCTGCCCAAGACACAGATCAGTCACGCCAAAACTCATCTCCCTCCCTTAGCCACCACCCCCTCCCTGTTCCCAACTCCCGACCTGGATCTGGACTTTCCAGTGGCCCTGAACGCCCTGGTCCCTCTCAGCAACAGCAACAAGAAGCCGGTCAGCGACAAGCTGCGCAGAGCAACAAGAATAGTGTTGTCATTAAAGTCGGCATGGTGGGTGATGCACAGATTGGAAAGACTAGTTTGATGGTCAAATATGTGGAAGGCAGCTGGGATGAAGATTACATCCAAACCCTGGGTAAGCTGGATTGATGCCATGCAAGGCAATGCCGTTGATTCCAAATTACTAACGATATCCGCAGGTGTCAACTTTATGGAGAAGACTATCTCAATCCGCAACACTGAAATCACCTTCTCGATCTGGGATCTGGGTGGTCAGCGCGAGTTTGTTAACATGCTGCCCCTTGTCTGCAATGATGCCGTCGCAATCCTGTTTATGTTTGATCTCACTCGCAAGAGTACGCTCAACTCGATCAAGGAGTGGTACCGTCAAGGCCGTGGCTTCAATAAAACCGCCATCCCATTCCTGGTTGGCACCAAATATGATCACTTTGTTAATTTCCCCCGTGAAGATCAAGAAGAGATCTCTATCCAGGCCAAGCGATTCGCAAAGGCGATGAAGGCCAGTCTCATCTTCAGCAGCACCAGCCACAGCATCAATGTGCAGAAGGTATGGTTGACCCACCCACTATTTGTCCGTTCCACTGGAGAGAGGTCATATTTGCTAATGCGTTGCAGATCTTCAAGATCGTTCTGGCCAAGGCGTTCGACTTGAAGTGCACCATTCCGGAGATCGAGAACGTTGGGGAGCCTCTGCTTCTCTACAAGAACGTTTAACAACTGCCCGCTTGCCCTGACGATTATGTACATTGGGACGAAGTGACGCTGTTGATGATCGACGCTGGCCCTCTAACCTCACGGCTTCACCACTTTGTGAATTTCTATTTCCTTTCTCCAATGATGTACTTGACCTTTCTTATGTCTATGTCGGCCCTGAAAACTTCTATGAACATGCTGTACGCTATCTGAAGTCTCGGGGCATGATACTTGTCTCTCTATTTTCTCCTTCTCCTTGTCATTTTCTTCGGTGCATGTTTTTCCTTCATTTACCACTGAACGTACCTAGTCTTTTTTTTTTTGTCCATGTGCCAGGCCGCCTTGAGGCGTTTGGGAGTGTGAGCCCTGGAGGGTAATATGCTGAAAATACAATTTTTCTCTCATTTCTGTTGAGTCGCAACGTTCATAGATGTAAAGATGCAAATACAGACTTGGTTCCGTGGAACCTGCAACGCGGAAGACTTCTTATTGGCAACCATTCACGTCGAGCTCCCTTCAAAACCAAGGCTCCAACTGGTGTCTAATTCTGCTGTTGATTTCATCGGCGAATTGAGCTGACAGGGCTTCTGCCGTGGCCGATACGACCTATATTTAGGGCATTTGGTTTAGTGCCGGGGCTACGTTTCGCCCCCGCCAAGCCACGGCGAGAGAGAGGTACTTGAATTAAAAGTCGCGACTGCTGTCTATTTGATCTGGCTACATACCCCCTACCTCCACGAACGCGGTGCAGGCGTCATGAACGAAGAGCCGCAGCTGAATTCAATTCAGCAGAGGATCGCCGCTCTGAACCAGTCGCAGCTGGCCCGCCCACCGGGAGCACCTGAGCCACCATTCCTCCGCCCAACACCCGAACGGAGCGCATCCGCCAACAATCCACCCTCCTACGACTCTATCGGATCCGTGGCGGACCGATCACATATTGGAAATGAGCCGGCAGATGAAAGGACCCAGCGGCCAGTCCTGCAGGCGCCTGCAATGGAGACCCTCAGGCCGGACGTGAAGCCAAAGAAGAAGCCCCCTCCGCCGGTGCCCACGCGCAAAGCAGCTCCTCCACCTCCACCAGCTCGCCCTAGCTTGCCTCCGCGAAGACCAACCGAGCAAAACCGCAGACCTTCCCTCGACTCAGCCACTTCCGATGCTTCGTATTCAACAGCGTCGACCGCAGCTACTGTGGGGCGAGGTGCCTCAACAACCTCAGTGAACTCCACTGGGAATGGTCGCATAAAGGCGCCTGCATGGGGTGAAACCGAACTACCTACGCTGCCTCCTCGGAGGCCAAAGGAGGCAATCGCGGAACCACCACCGCGACCAACCCTTAGTAGCAAGAGGAGCTTGGGTGGCTTGTCTTCTAAATTTACCTCAAAGTTCAACCTGCCAGGCTCCAAACCACCGCCTGTGCCATCACCTTCCCCGAGGCCTAGTCAGCCTCCTCGTCGCGAGACGGAAGGAGAAGCCCCAGTTCCCAAACTGCCCCCGCGTCGACCATCTGGCGTACAGGCGGACCAGAATGGGGCATCTCCTGAGGTAGCACCCAGCTTGCCCATCCGGAGAACGCTACCACCGCCACCATCGGCTGCCAAGATACAGGATGCTCGACAATTCGGATTCGGCAATAAAAGTCCAAGCCTTCCATCACGGCCCAGCAGTACTGCCCCTGGTGGTACACCACCGCCAATACCGCATGGCTCTCGTCCAGATCTGTCCAAGATCTTGGCTACTAAACCACGCTTCGATGGCTCAAATGCGCCTGCAACCCCTCCTGTCCCTGCGTCCGACGAGTGTCTAGTTTGTCGAGACTTCTCTGGCCCAGACAATCATGCCGCTCGCTATCCTCGTGCATCACTTCCCTCACACGATATGACGTGGTTGGCGAATGAGCTGACTGCACCATTCCCATCTTTGACAGACAAAGCACGATCAATATTCACATGGCTGCATCACAATGTCCTTTACGATACCCATGCCTTCTTTAATAATTGTGTCAAGCCTTCTACGCCCGCCAGCACTCTAGCCACTGGTTTGGCAGTTTGTGAAGGGTATGCAGGGCTATTCGCAGCGCTAGCCACCCATGCCGGGCTAGAAGCTGTCGTGGTCGGCGGCCACGGAAAGGGATTCGGACACGTTGCTCTGGGGCCAGGAGCCTCTGTCCCTCCATACGCAGGCAACCATGCTTGGAACGCAGTCAAGATCGACGGAGGCCGCTGGAAGCTAATTGATGCCTGCTGGGGAGCAGGAGCAATCGAAGGTGCCGGCCAACCCTACAAGCAGCGATTTGAGCCTGCCATGTTCTACATATCAAACGAAGAGTTCGGTCTAAAGCACTTCCCCGAAAACAGGCGCCACTTCTACCGAGAAGATGGCCGCCCAGACCTTACCTGGGAAGAATATGTCCTCACAGACCCAGATCGTCCCAACGGCGTAGAAAGCCTTAAGGTCTACAGTGACGCAGACAAGCGCACCATTGGCCGCAAAACATTCTCACCCCAAGGCCTGCACATCTCAGTCAGCACGCCCGGATCAATGCGCTTCCAGTTTGGTCTTCTTTGTCCTCATTGGACCTTATCCCGCCACAGCCACATCAACAACGCTGGACTGTTCCTTCTTATGATTCATGGCGTGGACGGCCGCAACGATGACAGACTTCCCTTCACGCACGTTGCAGGATCGGGCCCATCTGGCGGTGGCGAGTTCTGGTATGTTGATGTTCCCGATGCGCGTATGCTTGGCGCACCAGGTCAAAAGCTGCAGTTGGCGGTCTTGACTAGCTTTGGGGATCGGAAAGATGCGAGTGGGGTTACAGCGCAGGAATTCCAGGAGAAGGTCGGTCGTGTTGGCATGGCTTGGGCTTATGTGGCTGAGTGGGAGTTGGTTCGGTAGATGCTTTAGCGCCTTGCATTGTTCATATAAGCGTTGAATTAATACCTGGCATGCTACATGGGCCAAGTCACCTTTTCAATACTCCGTCTAGGGATATGTGTAACCTTTAGGGCCTGGAAGGGTCCTCATCTTGATTATACTATGCCCAGGTGTCATATCTTCTCTGGCATGCATTGGGAGTAGGGTCCTCTAGAATAGATCGATTGAGGAGAACTCAATATACTTCGGCATGAACAGGCCTCGTCTTCAATTCTTAGATATCGGCAACAGGAAAAAACCCTGGGCGTTCAATGACGCCGAGTCACGCCTGGTTTTGCTTTAGTATGGATTAACTGGAGCACCTTCATTTCGACCTAGTGTTGAACAAACCACTTAACATGAGGTTCCTTGGTGGTAGATCATGGACTATGTATGCAAGGCAGTACTCTGTGTGATGTTGGCTGGATCAGTGGTCTCCCATCGAGCGTAGAGATCATCTGGAAGGAGCTTCTTTCTTCCGATTTTGGTTATCACAATGCTGTTCTTCAGAGGGTCAAAGCTAATAGTCGAACTCCCACCCCAGCCTCTAGTCACTCTTAGGATGTGGTTGATCAATGCAACGAATTTCGCAATTGAATCCTGGTGCTTCTTTTCCCAATCCTGTATCGCGGTAGCAACATCAGTCACACTTGGAGTTGAAAATCTTCCATTTTCATGGTAAGCAGAGACAAGCTTGGGTGTTTGGGAAGCCCAAAGCTGAGCTGCAACAGCTGCAAAACGTAGCTTGTTGTGAGATGCCCGAGTTTTGATCTCGAGGGTCGATGCTCTTGGGGTGACTCGGCCTTCTCTCTTGATGATCAACTTGGATTTGTTTGACGGGGCGTGCATGGATGCGGAGTCCGTTCCGAGGGTCAAGGTATCCACGTCAACGGAAAGACTAGTCTCAGTTGATTTGCGACCCTTGGCTTTGGTTTTCAAATCCTCGACGTATCCATCTGTCTCATGACGCACGAGGAAATTAAGACCACCCAGCTTGTAGGAGATGATGCGGTGATGCCCGGTGCTGTCTTTGACCTGAGCCGTGGTATACGCTTTTTCAAACTCATGTCCGAATCCGCTTGTTCTGCTTCGCCGAGAAATCGTATTGGTAGCAATCCCCTCGCGGGAGAAGATCGCAGTCTGGGCGGCCATGTCAACCGAGATAGTGAATGCACCACGAACAAAATCTTTGCATAGAGCTGGCTCAGCAAACCACAGAAGCTTGCGAATGTTATTACGGTCGGTCACAATGTCGACAGAGTGGATATCGAAGGCGGGATGCTCGATGTAAAGGGATCGAAACAACGGCTCGAGAGGGCTATCCGGATGACGAGCATCATTCTGTGATATGTAGACAAGACCTCTGTCTCTCCGTACTTGATGTCTTCCTGGTGGAGGGGACCACTTTGGTGGGCATCCTGGAACGGCAATGGTAGGCGCAGATGCGTTGATCCAGTTATAAGACGCGAGATGCTTCACGTCCGTGATGACCGCTTCTGCTGCCGCAGAAGATTTGAGATCTGGACGGAATATCTCTTCAAGGCCCTCCTCGGTGGTCGTTTTGTTTTCGGGCATTTGACGGGTTCAATGTTGGGACAATGGATGATGGGTAATTTGGAATGTTAGATCGAAGTGGGCAGCGTGTCTGGAGTGAGATGGTGTTCGGGAGCTCAAGGACATTGAGCAACAGCAATGCCCTCACGTGGCGTTTGGTTCTCTCGATGGCTATAAGTTGTCATCTATTTGCCTGCTGGGCAACTTTTCCATTGTATTCAGTTTATTTAGAAATTGTGCAAATTTGAGGCAACCTTTATATGCATCGATGTGTCCACCCTCCGGGGCCATGTAGGCCTCGCATATACAGCGGAGTTTCATAAGCATTGAGCCCCCAGTACTTTGAAGTCCCCTTTTACTTGTTTGCAATAATCTTGGAACCTTGGGAGCTTTGCTATCTTTTTTCTGTGTTCTTTCCTTGAAAATATATCATACCGTCCAAGGTAGCTCTGAGGTCGAAGCAACTAAGATCAAATTCTGTTAAACCTCCAGTGTAGTGACCATCGTTCTATGTGATCTGTAGGCTTTGAAGGCTTATCCTCAACATTTTCAAGGCTTAACAGATATCTCAAATACTCAAGAAAGCTTTACACCGTTATAGTAGAAAATCCCAGCTTATGAGTTGAATGGAGTGTGCGTCATTTGAGTATTCCAGCATCCTCAGGAGGAGTAATTATGTCAGTGATACCATCCAGTTGGCAATGTTGATGAGCTTTCTGTGTTTAACCTGTGAAGTCATTTTCTTACCTTGAATAGACCAGATACAACCAGGAAGACGTAGTTCACCTGAATAGTACGAATTAAATGTGACCCTTGATGCTCTCATCCAATTAGGTATAAGCTAACACTTGGGCATGTTTTTGAGAATATGCACATAGGCTTCCAAGGGTAGCCAGAATAACTTTCCATGCTCATAGATCTTCCTTAGATTCCAGCTTGAGATAGAGAACATTTTGCCAGCTCCCAGTCTGCTGCCAGTGTAGTATTCCGCTTTAGACAGTTTGATTCTATGTTCTCAGTCGTTTAGGTAGTATCCTAAGTAAATAACGGTTGAACAGTATGCTTTCCGGGTAGGTAAATCTTTCACCGAGAGAGTCACCATCCAACAATTCTACGCGTTTTGGAAACAACGCGTGCTTGAGATTGAATCCCCACCGCGATTTATATCTCAAACAACTTCTTTACTTTCCCATGTTGCATTTTCTTTCTCTGAATTATCTTCTTCTTATCATTCTCCGTTGGTTCTGGTCCAAACCTTGGAGCCTCTGAGCCCTGCAATCACAATGTCGACCCAACGCTTCCACGTTTGGTACCTGCGAAGAGATGAAATTCCTGCCCTCGTCGATCTGGCTTACTCTGCTCGTCTTGCCCAGGTTGTGAACCATGTCATCTTCCAAAACAGGGGTGGTGAAGACATCCAACGCGTCCAGTGTGAGCGCGCCGTGAGAGCCCTTTTTGATGACCCCACAGCAAAGTGCGCCATCATCAAACCCGAGGATTCAGATGAGATAGTTGGCTTCTGTATCGAAAAGCGCTGTGTCAATGATGCCCAGGTCAATTCACCCTCGCCAGAAGGACCGACAAAACCGGCAAAGCGCCCCAGGCTAGACCTCAGGATAGTCACTGGAGCCTCTGAGCCTGAGCTACCTGACTATCCCAACTTCTTGCAGCAGCCAAATTCTCACACTGGGACCAATTTGACAAACACTCATAGCGAGGTAAAGCAATCTTCATACTGACATTCGTTCTGGTGCTTGACGTTAATCATGTTTGAAAGAAGGATCAGGACACAGTCATGTCAGACGATCTCAATCGCTCCAGTCCAGAAGCAACCCCAAAGTCCTTTTCGGGCCAATATTCCGCCCTGCACTACCGCAACTTCTTTTTGAGTGATCCCCCAAGCCCAGACGGCCACGCGATGGCAGTCTACAAAATTGCCAAAGAAAATTTGAGCATCATTGACCAGCAGATGCTTGGGATCAATTACATTGGTGAGAATATGGTTTGTAGCGTGGACTTTGTGTGAGCTCTGTTGACATTTCTTACTTTCTCAGAGATTGAGTACCTGTGGGTCAAGCCTGACTACCGATTCAAGGGAATTGGGCAAAAATTCGTGGATGACTGCATTAAGGATGCCACGAGTCATGCACTCCCCCTTTACATATGTGCCGAGCCTACCGCTGCTGGGTTCTTTCGCTCATGCGGATTCCTTGATACCATGAGCTTTATTGTGAATCTGGCACAGAATGCCCCGGATATGAGCGGATATGGGGAGCATCGGTCCATTTGGATGCGTTGGCTCCCACCAGTTGGCAGGAGATGAGTGTACGGCTTCGCGAGTCAGACCTGTCTGTGGGCATATGGAGATGAGCTTCCTGACTAGATAGCCTTCAATTGAATGAATGAACTTGACTCAATATGGTCTGAGCACTATGCGAAACTAATAAACGAAAAGTCTTTTCGTGACCTCGAACAATTTATTACTCTAGATACAGGCTCATGGGGTGTACGCTATGAAGCCGAAGCCGAGACTAAAGATTTTGGCTCCTTTCAAAAAAATAAGAAACTTCAAAAGCTAACAACTACACGCTATTCAATCAAACGAGTGTTTCAAAGGGGGAGAGGTCTAGTCTAAAAAATGGATAGAATCGATCACATATCTTGTGTCGTCTCCACCGTCTACGTTGCCTCCGATATCTCTTTTGTCCCTGCTGTTTTCTCTGTTTCTGCCGTCTCTGTCGTCTGTATTGGCTTTTTCCTCTCTGTTATCTCCGCCAACCATGCTTTCTCTGTGTCCGCCGTCTCTGTTGTGTCCGCCGTCTTCGCCTCTATCCTCTCCATATTCTCCATCGTTTCCATAAACTCTAGGGTGTATTGATCTGGATCCCATACCAGCTCCCTGGTTTTCATCTCCTCAAGCTTCTGGCTCACATAGCCGTCAATTGTCTTCCTCTCTTCGGGCTCTAGGAGATCAAGTCTTTCTTTCCAGGCTTCCTCCGAAGATTCAGATGGTCCAAAGAACCGCTGGTCAATCTTTTTCCAGTAAATCACGTCGAACGCCCAAGTGTTTCTGGCCGCGTACATAATCCAGAAGTCCCCGCTGTCCCAACTCTTTTGCATTGGACCAGAAAGCCTTTGGCTTTCTTCCAGGTGACCATTCTGAATTGCCTCGTTTTCACGCTCAATCATCGCATCGAGAAAGGCAGGAAGTGTCTTTTCGTATATTTGACAATAATGATCGAGCCCTCCGGGCCAGTATTCCGGCTTTTTGAGAAGTAGCCACCAAGGCGGCGCATAAGTAAACTCGACCGGAGCTGTATATGTGAATTCCCAGTCAATCACACCGGTCACCTCTTCAGCCTCATTGATAAGCATATTTTGTGGGCGCAGATCATCACACCAGAGTGGAAAAGGGCCGTTCTCGTGCGAGATCCACTTCTCCCTCAGATTTTGATCTTGAACCATTTTGCGAAACAGAAATCTCGCGACAAACTTGCGTCTGCAGTCATCCTCTGAGTCGATGGCATCATTTCTCTGGTTAATGAGGTGTGAAATATGAAGCTCTGCTAGCATTTCAAAGTAGGATGAAGCCGTGTCATATGTAGTGTCCAATGAGGGTAATTTTGATCGGGGGAGGCATCCCACGGATACGAGTTGATTCATGGACAGAGTTAACGGCCGGCGACAAATCTTCCACTCAGGCGTAGAATTGTCACTCTGGTCAAGCTCGGGTGAGCCTATCCGATCGAAAGTCAGTGTAGAAAGTGACAGGACGATGTTGGCAGGTTCCCTGAAGATGACTGCTTGTCGAGGCCTGTCAAGCTTTGGGTTGATCAAATAGCATCCTATATCTGCTAAGTTGGGACGCCTTGCTGATAGTGGCCATTCAAGAAGCTGTGCCACAGAATCCTTGTGATTGATACCGTCCATGGCGATGAAAGGGGCCAGTTTTGCAGGACAATCCTCTCTTGATCCCCATCGGGCAACACGGGGGACCAGGATTGGGATCCTGTTGGAAGTTTTCTCTGAAATGAATTGCATAACGGAGACCTCGTTGCGGGTTTTCTCTTCGGGGAACATGATACCGCCAGGCATTGGGAATCGGATAATGGCAGTGCTATCATCGATGAATGTCAAGCGAAGGGTGGTATTGAAGGCCCCAGTCTCGAAAGAAGAGAAGTCTGTCATTTCTCGAGGCTCATAGATGCCGAGAAGAAATTGTCCAACTTTGAGGTAGAGGGGATGATCAAAAAAGAGCTGTGGCCATTTTTCCGTCATCCCAAAGGAGATTTCAGCAGCGATTTCATCGTGATCCATCCAGGGATCCATATTTACAATATCGTGGAAGACGGACGATGACTTGGCTGGGATGAGGTAGTCGAAAGAACTCAGGGGCAAGAGTTAAATACGGAATACACATGATAAACAAAAGCGCCTAATGAGGCGGGTAGAGCCCCAAAGTTGGATGTTAAACCAATCAAAACCTTGGAAGCCTCCCACTACTACTAGTGTCCGCGACCAACCTTAGCACGGCCCACTTCGGTTGGAAGTCCTGAAGTGGACCTTGCAAGCAACTGGGCAGCCCTGGTGAACTTGGCTCATTGCGTAGCTACTCTGTACAGGATATATGAATAACCCAGATGATTGATCAGCAAACATGCCCCCTCGGACTCTTAGATCATCATTCATGGATGGGAAAAAAAGTACTTCTTAGGCCTGGTTCAGTGAACACTAGGATGGTGATTTGTCACATCGAACACAGTGTGTTGTTGTTGGTGTGCTTGCATGAAATCCAGGTCTGTTCTTACCCATCACACCAATCACTACTTATATCACATTTTTGAGGTTCCAGGCCACCGTGGTGGGATCATAGGAGTTTACAATCGTCAAGCTCAGGAGCACGACCCCGTGATTGCCCAGGTGGTCTCATAGCCCCCTGTCTTGGCTCTTATTGGCTCTTAGGTACGGAATATACTCCGTACTATCTACAACTTTCCAAGGTTGGAACTCTAGGAGCCGGGCCAACATCGTTTGTTGGCAAGGCAAATGTTCAACCCAGCCCGTGCAATGTACCCTAGAGCCACTAGCGCAGTACCTACGGAATATTGTTTCAATGAAGTAAGAAGTATATAGACAAAGTACTCGCGCGGAATGACCAATACCTAGGCATTACCTAGTCATCAAATGAACCTTGGAACTTGGAAACAGGTACCTGCCTACCTTACTCTCTCGATTTAAAAAGACTTCCAGGGTTGAAGTAAACGATACTAGTAAGGGGATACCATGGAAGTGCCTAGGTGTGGAAGAACACCGATAGCTACTGAAAAGACGTTATACATACGGAGTATACTGGACATACGTACAATTTTCGATCCAAAGACTTTCCAAGGTTTCAATGGAATATGTCCCATACACAATATCTACACGGGTTACGAGTATGTCGTGTTTCTATATATAGGCTTTGATTAATGGACATCTAGCGCTGTTGGCTTGGTACCGAAACAGTAACATGGCAAGGGACTTGTGACATAACTTGATTATTGCAATAATAAAGATAGCTGAACCACTTGAAGATCTTGGTTGGTCTACATTAACAAGGCTGTCATATGAGTCATTTGCGGAGCATCAAGCAGTTGAATCCTACTTGGTTGGTGGGTTGGCCTTGTCATCGGAGCCCCGGATCTCCAAATTGAAGCACCTCGTTCATTCATTGTGTTTTCCAGTCACTTCTCGATTTTCATTGTATTTTTTTATTTATTCTCCTTCGTATATGTTGCTGTGGATGCGTTGTAGCCCAGGGGAAAGCGCACACTCGAGCGTACTGATATACACCCCCAGACTCTTACAGTAGATTTACAGAATGCGACTTATCAGAGCTCTCTACAGATTCCAATCTAATTCTCTCATATCTTATATAGTTACTGCACTTGTCTCGGGTGCCAAAAATAGCGGCGATTAAACTTGTGCTGCTAAATCTACAGGACTGGTTAATTCATGTTTGAAAATATATCATACGCAATTTACTTTAGCTTGGAAGGTCGGGACAATATCCCCAGCAGCGTCAACGCCCGTGGACGGAACCGCTCATTCAACTTCAAAGCTCTCGTTATAGTTAGTAATCAACAAGAAAAATCCAGTGTTTGTCCTGCCCTGGTGGTTGATAGGATATCGTGTCATTGTGGCGCCTCCATGGATATATTATAATCATAGAAACTGCAAGCGTCGTCATACATTCTGTCCCTTTAGCCAGGGCTCGACGTTTTGAAAAGCACAGCTTTGTGATTAGTGGTTGGCTGTTAAGTTGATATGAGAATTCGCATTATGCCTACTCGGTCCACGTCGATATGTTGGTGGGTGTTGGACAGGGAAGCGCCCTGCTCCTATCCGTACCTGTATGATTTGGTGATCAAGTTGAGCTTACATCCATTCATCCACAGGATGATTTCATTTAATTTGGAAGTATCATCATTCCAATTAGGCGGCTGGCTGTCTTGCCTCACGTTGGTGAACTCTAACTCCAGGGCTGCATCCATTTCATTTGCTGGGGGAAAAGCTCATGTTGATTCTGGCGCTTGCATCACTGCCGTGTGATGAATTTTTTATACTGTTGTGGCTTCTTTTCCTTCTGGTGCGAGTATAAGAGATATCATCCTCCTTCGAAGTGAACGAAACAAAAGCAAGAACTTTACCTACCAGCTATCTCCAAAACTACATTTTCACCACCACTACCCTCAATACAATTTCTCCATTACAAGCCTCTCAAGTCAGACCTTTCATTTCGGTGTTCAATCAGTGAGACTCCAAGCATTTATCCCTTGTCTTGCATAAACTAAAAGCTGTGCGACTTAGAATTCTTTCGTTACGATGAGTAGTTTCAAAGATCCCCAGCAATTGAGAAATCAAAATTTGAGTGAAAGAACTGGCGAAGTATCTGTGGAGAAGCGCAGCATAAACAGGCGGGAAAAAGAGAAGAGAGAGAAGGAAGAAGCGGAGGCAGCGGAGAGAGCGAAGCAGCAAGCGGCGCAGGCAGCTGTATTGGCACCTGGTAACCAGGCTAGGAAGAGTCGTGAGAAGTCGCATAATGCGAATGTTGTGAGCGAGTTCCTCGAGGGCTATCATGATACTCCATGACCATCGTGGTTGGATTCAATGCTGCGGGTGGGCGACACAATCCTCTGACTACGGATTTTTTTTAACTCGCATCTGAGTCTCATCGACGTGAGTGATTCCGACTATTGACTAGGTCTGGCTGTCGGGCTCAGATGAAAGGGTTTTTTTTACTGTAGTTCGTTGATGTTAATATGAAGGAACATTCCGAATCTGGTAGATTGGCTATGTAATTCAATCCGCCAGCCCTGAGGCGCTGGACACCTTTAGTAATTAAGCAGAATATACTGAGCATGTTCAATAGCTCGAGCGCTTTAGGACGACTTGCATCGATCTTTTTAGTAGAAAATTCGCTTCAGTTACTTGAATCGTATAGATTGCTTTTGGGGATTGTGAAACCCATTAAATGAAGACTTCTGATTTGGAAGGACTAGACATTTTAGATGGAGAGGACCGCTCGCTAGAGATGGAAGAGATTTGATAGATATAGGATACCGTAAACGCTCTACAATATAAAGCAGCGATTACCTGGTAGGGGTCGATATAAGCCAATATTCCCGAGTGATTTGATTCGCTACCGGTCTCGATCACTTAGCCGAATAAGCCGAATGAAGTTCCAAGGTTCCAAGGCTTTCAAGGTTCAGCGTCTTTTCAATATTCATGCCCTACCTCTTTTCCCTTCCAAGGTACTCTTCAATCTTCCTAGTTCGGAAATATATGACTCGAACCCAGAAAGACTTCAACTCGATTCTGTTTTGCAAAATTTGGAGGCTCGACTGAGTCACATCTTCCTCATGGACAACAAGAATATTTCCTTCGCAAGTTTTGGCCTGGTGGTGCTTGACCAAATTCGCTTTCCCAACCGGAAACATTTGACCAATGTGCTGGGTGGGTCTGGGGCTTACGGTTGGTCTTGCCTGCCCAGGTGGAATATCTCGATTTCAACAATCAGATTGCTGATCTATGCATGCTTGTAGCGACACTAGGCGCTCGGTTGTTTCTGCCATCTCCACAGAGCCGCTCCCTGGCCTGGCCGATCCATGTGGGAAATGATTTTCCGGACCACATTGCAGATCTCTTGCATAGCTGGGATACAAATTTGGTCATAACAAAAGAATCAGACCAGCCCTCGACTCGAGGCTTACTGGAGTATCAAGATACCACATTCGGACGTACGAAAAGCCTATTTATGTACCCTTCTTCTGTCATCCTTGCTATTCCCGTTATATTTTCCTGCCGATGATTCGAGATTCGAGCTCACCAAATCAGCAAACACAAAAAATGAATATGAGCTAATTTCAAGCTTTCTTTTAGCGAAGAACTTCAAGTACACCACACCGATTCTTGCAATTCAAGAAAACGAGTTGCTAGGCACCACCTTGCTGACTTCGAAAGTCTATCACTATCTTGCTAGTCCTCAGGATATGAGAACGCGTCTTCTCAACATGCTGTTTCTACGAGAGAAGTTGGGTATACAACATCGTCCTCTGATTATCTGGGAACCGGCTCCACTTTCTTGCAAGCCGGAGAACCTACAAGACTTTCTAGCAGTTGCAGCTTTGGTCGACGTGTTCAGTCCCAACCACTTAGAACTGGCTGCCCTGTTTGAAGATACCCCAGCTACTTCTGATAGAAGCGAGATTGAAAGGCTGGCTATGAAATTCATAACCAACGGAGTCGGCCCGGAAGGAAAGGGTACGGTGATTGTTCGAGTTGGTGAACATGGCTGTTTTGTTCGATCGAGCAACCTCGTTTCCAAATGGCTACCTCCATTCCATATGGCAGGGCCTGGAGAAGAGCAGGCGACCAAAGTGGTTGATCCGACTGGAGCCGGAAACGCATTTCTGGGAGGCTACTCTATAGGGTACCTCCAAACGGGAGGTGATATAATTCAAGCAGCTAACTATGGGTCTGTCGCAGCATCATTTGCATTGGAGCAAGTAGGAATGCCGGAGAAGAGGTGTGAAGGAGGTGAAGAATTGTGGAATGGGGCCAGTGTTCTTGGAAGATTGCATGAATATAGGGCTAGGCAAGAATCCGCCGGCACGCAAGGGGACTTCGGGAGCAGCTCAAAATAAATCGAACACCGACATGGTGGTCACCTTGACGTATATTGAGTCGGTTCACGATGGACTGGGCTGGAGTGAAACAGTCAACTGCTGCTTGGTGTCTGCAGTCTCCGCCGCCTAAACGACCCTTTACCTTTGGGAAACTTTGTATTTAATCTGCTATTCACTGCATTGTCATCATTTTCAGGTAGAGATCGAACGGTGGTTGTCTTTCAACATACTCCCACCCTAGCAACCAGCTTGCCTGGGCGATGGCAATGATACTCAGTGAAAAGCAGAAAAGTGAAACGTTGAAACCATGAACTGGGGTGGCTTCCTTTGGGGCTTGCTGAATATCCGTTTCCAAGGTTTATATGATTTGCCCAGAAAATTTCCCTAGATCTTGCAACGCTGAATCGACCCATGTAGCTATAACATACTCCGTAATGACAAAGAGCATTCCTCTCTTTACTATGTACATCGGTGAGAGAAGAGAAGGGCAGCAGTCGAGAACATCATACCACTCCATTGATTCGGAAATATTGTTCTGTTTTTGAAGCTAATGCACAGCCAGTTGACGGGTTTAATAAATGCTGACACTCCACTCCGCGGCCGGTATGTAGATGTTGAGGTGGTCTGTGCTACGGCAAGGGGGAAAGGCAACGGCCACCCATGTCAGTGGCTTGAGCATGGCTTGAGCATGGTCAAAGCAAGGCATAAAGTTAAAAACAAAATTATACTCACCTCAATGAGAAAACCACCATGAATTCGGAGTTGTTTCGGAATCAAAATCTGGAACCCCAATTTCCGGGGTATCTCGGTGAGTGCAAAAGGGTTGGTCTTCCCCAGCTCCTCCGCATCTTTCCCACGGACGCGGGGAATGTCACATCGAACCATATGAACACCTCCGAGCGCAAAATGTTCCATAGCAAACCGATATCCGCTTTACACCGACATCTGTAATCAACACGGGGCTCAAAGTCTGAAACACACCGATTTTAGGTTTCAAGCGTAACGCGCAGCGACATCCACACGTATGGAGTACGGAGTAATACTGGAGAAATATGGAAAAGGCAGGGAAAGCAAGAGAGGGAAAAAAAGAACATCGGCCAACGCCGTCCCACAGAACACCGTCTGGCAAGGGCCGAATCACGCAGCCCGAGTCCACTTCGGGTCCTGCCAGCCACTGAAGTTGCCAGAAGCCGTAGACCGTCCCGTTCTGGGAAAAGGACCGTCGTCGGGGCCCCGGACTAGTCGAGTGGTCGGGTCGTTATTTGGAAGTCGGCAATCTCATTCGCTTCTGCTCACGCGATGTGGGCACTCCGGGTAAATTGCACAGGCAGGTATTCCGGAGTAGCAGTCGGCTACAATACGGGCAGAGAAAAATACCTGTTTTGCAGCAGGGTTCGGGAATGCTGGAGCCGAGCGTATCTTTGACATGATTAGTGTCTCCAGGAATTTAATTGTGGATTGACCTGGGGGGGCCGGAAATAATAAAAAAAAACTGTGTTCACATGGACCCCTTGATGTACAGGGACCACAATTTTCTCCAGGTTTTGATCTTTATCTCTACTCCCGATTTCTGAAGCTTGAGATTGAACTCGAAAACACTCTTCAGTGCCCAGAAACGCCACTGCCGTCCCGACTACAGGGGAATCAGCCGACTTTTTCTCTCTCTTCCGAACCCGGCCTGAAGCCGGGTTGAGGTGTAATACGCCGCTTGACCTCCTTGGGCCTAGGGCTGTCACCCTCGTGGTTGATTCCCCGGATCCCATGAGCCATCCTGGGGTCTCCGCCAATGACCGGCCGGCGGGTGGGTATGCTTAAGTCAATGTCCACCAATGATGTGGCTGAATCACAGCTGGGGTTGCAAACAAGATCTTGGCGCAGCCCTAGGTGGTTTGATTATCGTGGACTCTGTACTCGAGTGTACATATGATACTGTAATTTGACTTCTCGGAGATCCCAGACACGGCATGAGAGTGGGTTTAACAGAGAGTCATGGCTAATCTACGGGTTCCGTGTACATTACCATTCGGCCCCCGACATGCACCCAGAATTTTCCCGTTAGGATTTATTTAAACACCGCTGGTTTCCTCGTTTCTGGCCTGGGTCCTGTGTGTCTTTTTCTTCCTCCAATCTTCCACTGGTTTGGAAAGTTATCATTCACGATGGTTGTTGTGGGGAACATCTACGCCATCACGGCTGTGTCCGTCGTTGGCGGCGCGCTGTTTGGATTCGATATCTCGTCCATGTCGGCCATTATTACCACGCCGGCGTATAAGTGTTACTTTAATCATGGCCCCAAAGGCCCTCCCTTTAACGATGACGACCAATGTAGTGGTCTCAGCTCCCTGGCTCAGGGTGGTGTCACTGCTGCGATGCCCGGTGGTTCATGGCTAGGTGCCCTGATCTCTGGTTTCATCTCTGATCGTCTTGGTCGCAAGTATGCTATCATGGTTGGTTGTATTATTTGGTAAGTCATCTCATGATCTAGATCATACTTGACGATTAAGTATATCTAACACCCTGCTTCTATAGGATCATCGGTTCCATCATTATCTGTGCTTCTCAAAATATGGGCATGCTCATTGCCGGACGTATCATCAACGGTCTCAGTGTCGGTATCGAGTCTGCTCAGGTCCCTGTCTATATTTCGGAAATTGCGCCGCCCTCTAAGCGTGGTCGTCTCGTTGGCTCCCAGCAGTGGGCTATCACTTGGGGTATTCTTATCATGTACTAGTATGTCTCCCACATTCTCGAGCGGCTGCAGACGTCCAGTGACTGACATCCAACACTTACAGCATCTCCTTCGGCTGCTCCTACATTGGTCATGGCAACTCTTCTACCTCCCACAACTACAGCGAGTCTGTCTTCCGCATTCCCTGGGGTGTGCAGATGGTCCCCGCCGTTCTTCTGTTCTTTGGAATGATGATCCTGCCCGAGTCTCCTCGTTGGTTGGCCCGCCATGACCGTTGGGAAGAGGCCCAGTCAGTTCTGGCCCTCGTTCACGGCAAGGGTGACGCCAACAGCCCCTTCGTCATCGCCGAGATGCAAGAAATTCGCGACATGTGCGAATTCGAACGTGCCAACAAGGATGTCTCATACATGGAGTTGTTCCACCCCAAAATGATTCACCGTACCATGACCGGTATCTGGACTCAGATCTGGTCTCAGCTGACCGGTATGAACGTCATGATGTACTACATCACCTACGTTTTCAACATGGCTGGCTACGAGGGTGACGCCACCCTCATCGCCTCATCCATCCAGTACATCATCAACGTTATCATGACTGTCCCCGCTCTGATCTGGGTTGATCGCTGGGGTCGTCGCCCGACCCTGTTGATCGGTGCTACCCTGATGATGATCTGGATGTTCGCCAACGCCGGTATCATGGCCAACTACGGAGAGGTTGTCCCCGGCGGTATTGGGGGCGTAGCCGAACAGTCTATGCGCCTGAGCGGTGCACCTGCCAAGGGTCTCATTGCCTGCACCTACCTGTTCGTTGCCTCATACGCCCCTACCTGGGGACCCGTTTCATGGGTCTACCCTCCTGAGCTGTACCCCCTCCGCGTGCGTGGTAAGGCGGTTGCCCTGGCTACCTCTTCTAACTGGGCTTTCAACACTGCTCTCGGTCTGTTCGTCCCTACTGCCTTTGCTACCATCCGCTGGCAGACCTATATTATCTTTGGTGTTTTCTTGGCTACCATGCTCGTCCACGTCTTCTTCCTCTTCCCTGAGACTGCGGGCAAGACCCTTGAGGAGACCGAGCAGATCTTTGAAGATCCCAACGGTATCCCTTACATCGGTACCCCTGCGTGGAAGACTTCCCACGATACCAAGCGCACCGTGGCTGCTGAGTCTGGCGATGTCGAGGTGCTTGGTGAGAAGTTGGCTGTTGCTGAGAAGCGCACTGCTGCTCACGCTGAGGAGGTTTAATAGAGTGGGCATAAGACGGGGTGGTCCATTAATACCTTTTCTTTTTTTTTTTTTTACCAGACACGGTTCAACTGGGTTGCACCGTTTATGATGTCATATACTAGAATTTAACATATCACATATATCCACGACATCAATCTGATCCGCTCTCTCCCTCATTGATTTCTGGCATACCTCCGAGTACTGCCCCTTCCTGCTCAGGTGTTCGGCTTTAAAATTGAAACTGTCCACGTAGGATTGTGATTGGGACCAAAACAAGATCAATCGCAAAATCCAGCCTCTTGGCGCGCCTACAACTTGACAAGGCCGTGTCGATAGCAGCCCTCAGACTCCTAAAGGAGAAGGAGTCGAACACAGCATCCTCCATAAAAAACCAGGCCAAGGAACCGAGGTTAATCCCAAAACGTCAAGAGTCGCAACAAAGAGCGCCAAGATTTTCCGAGAGCTCGGAGTGGGGAGGTAACCCCTGGGCAAAAAAAAAAAGATCGTCTTCACCTTCTCATCCGATCGTTCCGGATTAGTCTCGTGCAGGTGTTTCTCTCATCCTTCTCATCTGTGTGTTTCTTTTCTTTTCTTTTCATTGCTTTCTTCTTTTTCTTTTTCTTGTCCCTCTCCGAGCACGTGAGCTCAACCTCGTCCCGAATACGAACACATTGAATCACGACACAATCGCCATGGTCCGTCCGCGGGGAAGCTCAGCCTTGGGCGTGGACATCCGAGGCGATACTAGCGCGCCAGCGATGTCCACGATGAACGAAGTGAGCCCGATCGAATCACCCACAGACCAGAAGGTACGCATTACCGAGGCAGTCGCGCGCATCCCGACTAACAGCACCCAGTTCAATGGCTCCGCGAAACCGAAAACAACAAAGCGTCGTCGCGCCCGATCGCTCCTCCATCGCTTCGCAGATACCTGTCTGCGATATACATGGCTCCTGCCTTTGATCGTGATGCTCTTTTTGCTCGGCCTGTACGCCATTAACCCCACGACCTCAAACCCAATGCACAGCGCCATCTTTCTGTCTTACCCGCAAGGTCCCAAGACTCCCGGTGGTCCAATCATGTACGGAAAAGGCAAGAAGGACATCGCGTTCGTGGCGTTCTATACGGTTGTGCTGTCTTTCACACGCGAATTCATCATGCAGCAGATGATCCGACCGTTCGCTGTGTGGTGTGGTATTCGAGGCAAGGGCAAGACCGCGCGGTTCATGGAGCAAATGTACACGGCGGTGTACTTCGGAGTCTTCGGGCCATTTGGGCTTTATGTGATGAAGCGCTCGACGATTTGGTACTTCAACACCACGGCGATGTTCGAGGGATTCCCGCACCGCGAGCACGAGGCCGTCTTCAAGGCCTATTACCTCCTCGAGGCTAGTTACTGGGCCCAGCAGGCGATTGTGCTCATGCTGCAGTTGGAGAAGCCCCGCAAGGACTTCAAAGAGCTGGTCGGCCACCACATCATCACCTTGGCTCTTATCGGACTGAGCTATCGCTTCCACTTCACGCACATGGGTCTGGCGGTTTACATCACGCACGATATCTCTGATTTCTTCTTGGCGACGTCCAAGACTCTCAACTACCTGGATGCGTATATCACTGCGCCGTACTTCACCATGTTTGTTGGATGGTGGATTTACCTACGTCATTATCTGAATCTGAAGATTCTCTGGGCTGTTCTGACAGAGTTCCGCACCGTTGGTCCCTTTGAGCTCAACTGGGAGACTCAGCAGTATAAGTGCTGGATTAGTCAGTACATCACCTTTTCCCTGCTTGCCAGTCTGCAGGCCGTCAACCTGTTCTGGCTCTTCCTGATCCTGCGCATCTTGACCAACTACATCTTCACCAACGTCACAAAGGATGAGCGCAGCGATGACGAGGAAGAGGAAGAAGAAGAGACTACTGTCGAGACCAAGGCTATTGCCACTGGCGCCGATCAGGGCAAGGAGAACCAAGCCCCTCAGGTGCTGGTCAATGGCGAGCCCGTCGCCGAGCAGCGCGGACCTCGGACGCGCAGCCGAAAGGCCTAAGTCCGTGTCTTTTGTTGGAGTTGCATTGAGTATTCAAAAATGGATGGCTCATCCTGTTATAGTTATACTGTGGGGGAGTTCTCCAGATGGTGCTCTGGACATGTCGATATGCTGTTAATGTATTAGTGGAGCTAGGTTTGAGTCTGGTGCATTGGCTGTGCCACCTAGAAATGCCCCTTTAGAAGAGCGGGCGCCGGCGCTTGTTTTTTAACGAGCATATGAATCAAGTAATATTGGGTTACTACTTATTTTTACCTTCTGAATACAACTTGGGCATCAAGTTTCGTATATGAAATCATCCACAGATCCTCTCAACCATGTATCTAATTCTCGCAAAGCATCAAGGTCATTTTGAGGCCTCGCAATCCTTCGTGTCTCGTCGTACCATTCATATGTTCCTCCATGCATGGTCATATCATCGCCCTCTTTAGCGGCAGAATCAAAATCCGTGATGATGGGAATGTCTCCTGCGAACATGATGTTGGACGGGTTGATATCGTTGTGGATGATCCCAAGAGAATGCAAATGCCGTATACCAGCCTCAATACCACGCAGCCAGCTCGAGACCTGCAAAGGCGATAATTCACCCCGATGAGCAACAAAGGCACGCTTTCCATATTTACGTGGATTGACTCGCTGATACAGAGTGCAGTCGTATTTAGTAAAACAAAGTCCCTTGATCCGGCTATCTTGGACCTCACATCCATGATATTGAGCTATATTCGGGTGAGGATTCCGCTTGATTGTTTCACAAACGCGGGCTTCGCGGGTGAGAAGTTGAGATATTGCTTCGGGATAAGAGCTGGTGTAGGTCGACAGTTTTGGTCGTTTGATGTACCATTGCGAGGGATTGGATGTCTCTGTGAATGATGGATCGAATGGTGCAGAAAGAGCAGCTGAAGGGATCATAGTAATGTTGTATAGATCACTGAGCTTGAACTCTGCATTCGGGGTACATCTTTTCCGAGAGGATGCTTGGTACAGTTCATTGTTCATTCGATATATGATGTTCGAGTGATTGAAGGCAACTGGCTCCCCAGCGCCACCGTAATCCTCGCTACTTTCAAGCACTTCCATGCCGTAGAAAGCAATTGAAGTATCTTTTGGGGAGGTGGATTGGGGCTTTAGCTGAAAGGCAGGAGAAAGAGGGGTATGAAGCTTACAGGCCTTCACCGCTCATGATAAGAGCTTGTATAAGGAAGCGAAAGCATTGAAGTGTGAGAATCATGTATTTCACGTCTCGCTTCTAAAAGTATAGATACATCGGTAGGGGTGTCATAAATCTTCACTGGATATCCAGCAGACCGAGTGGATTGAGGTCACTCTACGCCCGCAGATCAGGTGTTAGGTGCCCTTTACTCCTTGGACTCGCCCTCGGACTTGTCGCTTTTGGCGTCGTCCTTGGACTCGTCCTTCTTGGGCTCCTCGCCCTCGCCCTTGGACTCCTTGGACTCATCCTTCTTCTCTTCCTTCTTCTCTTCCTTGGATTCTCCCTTGTCCTCAGACTCTTCCTTCTTTTCTTCGGTGTCCTCGCTCTTCTTTTCATCCTTCTTCTCCTCCTTGGGAGCTTCCTCGGAGGACTCTTGGTCCTTGTTCTCTGCAGGCTCGCTCTCAGCCTCTACCTTGTCATCTCCCTTCTCTTCATGCTCGGCCTCGTGGCCGTGTCCATGATCCTCGCCGTGAGCATCGTGGTGTCCATCAGAGCCAGAGGGCCATAGAGAGAACAGTAGCACTCCGGTAAGACCAGCAGATCCGATTGCCCTATAGAAAGAGATACAATGAGACAATGGACGTCAATGGACCTCATTATAGAAACTCACCATGGGACATCGCTTGAGTTGTGAATCTCCCCATGGCCGCCGGTGGAATTGAAGCGACGGCCAAGCAGCTGAGCCGAGCGACGAGCGACAGGGGCGGCGCGAATGGATTGAGCCGCAGTCGCAGCGCGGAAGATTGAACGACGTGCAAAGACCATTGTGTAGGAAATCTGGGGAGATTTGGGGGAGTGCGAATGGAGGATGAGGAATAAAGAATGTGGGAAGTGTGATAGGTGACTCTTTGCAACGTAGCCCCGACTGCTGCCGAGGAGGTTGGGTCTTACGACCGTATCCCAGTTACTTCCGCAGGTCTGTGCACGATGATGCAATGTCTCCACTACTCCGGATTTAAACTACTTCTACGGAGTACTTCACTTATCTGATCCTCTGTTATTTTCCTATTTTCAATGGCACTTAAAAAGTGCAATTGGTTTTTTTGTCAGCAAAACATTGCCACTGCTTCATGACTGAACTTGCCGGCCTAGCCGAATTATAAGCTGCCGATCTCAAAACTCCCACTCGGTGTAGTTGCGAGTCCCAGGTATGGGACTGATGTTGGAACGGGAGGTGGGATCCTTGGGTCAAAGGCTTCAATTTCAGGAGGCTGTTTACTTACCTTTTCTAATACTTCAAATACGCATTTAAGCTTTCCAAGAACACGCATGGAGACCATTCTTATCCGTTGATAGAGGATAAACGGTGAGTGGAAAGTGCAATAATCCCCAACTGTGCAGTCTGGAGTATCCCTAGTACAGTATAGTTTCATGAGTATTGAGCTTCCAGTACTCCAAGCCCTACTGTTAGCCTGACCTATACCTACGGAATAACCTTGGAATCTTGGACACTTTGCTGTCTTTCTTGCTGTCTTTCCAACTATCTTTTTTAATCTGACCTTGTCCAAGAGAATATCATATCATACTGTACAAGGTAGGTCTGAGGTCGAAGTTGCTGCGGTCAAATACTTCCGAAGCTCCACTATATTTAGAGGGTGCGTTAGAGTCTGATCTGGTGGAATCATGCCGAGTGAAATTACTAGAATACATATTGTAATGGGAAAACCGCGCCAGTACTCGTTTGTGCCTCAGGCATCCCAGGGGTATTTCTAGGCCCAATCCCCTAGCATAGCAATTCAGGCATTCGACATCTCTCGCAAGAACAGCATCTCTTTCCTATTCCGGTAGTCCTGGGGGGGCCTGCGTAGCTCCCTGATCCCGCCGAGCACTGAGCACCCCCGTCGTCTTGTCTGCGATGTCAGACCGCCAGCGCGCTCTTCCCACTATAATATGGAGGTGTTTGTTCATGCATGAGGGTGTGGTAACACCGAGTGTATTCTTCAAGGGTACCTTATAATTAGCGAGTCTGGGGATGCAGATCCGTTAAGAACATTGGTGGTCTCCGTCAATCGGTTTTTCTTATTAATTTCTACACTCGCAAGCCAAGAATGATCTTTGACTGACACAAACCCGCCTGAGAGGGTAAGGTAACTGCTGTAATTATTCATTCTGTACCTGAACATTACATGTATTGTATGATGAAATCACGTGGGAGAAGAACCACCGGGTATTTTAGAGGCGGAGTTGGCCTCAGGCTGGAAAAGCAACGAATGACACCTTAGGCGCCAATGACCCCACGTTGAGGCGTTCAGCTATCTGAAGCTCTCTCACTTCACTCCAACTACGGTCGGCCTGCTTTGCGTATTGCCTTTTTTACATACGCTCCCCGCGATAACCTACACTGGAGCTTCAACATCATGGCGGATCGACAACTCACTCAGTCGACTATCGTCACCCTGCTATCAAAGCTCAATGACCCCGATGCCGACTTGAGGTACATGTCCTTGAACGACCTCTTCGGAATCTTGAACAATCAAAGCTCTGTTTTCCTGGCCCATGACCGTGGCACATCGACAAAACTCGCTGAGGGTTTGCTAAAAGCTCTCGATGATCAACATGGTGATGTGCAGAACATGGCACTCAAGTGGTTTGTACCCAGTTATGTCCGGTCTTGAAGATGAGCTCTAACTCTGCAACCAAATAGCCTTGGCCCGCTCGCCGTCCGCTTACCAGCCGAATCCCTCACGCCTCTCCTGGAGCAGTTGGCCACACTGACTGCCTCCGAGACGATAGACACATCTGTGCCCAACACAGCGCTCCGCGTCATTGTTGACACCCTACCACATCCTCAGGCAGGTCAACCTGCACCCCAAAATGTGATCACGGCATACACGGCGGTCTCAAAAGTCCTAGTTCCTCGTTTGACTGGCCCGACACCTTCCGCCTCCGGCAGACGAGGGTCATTGGTGAGGAGTATGATGGAGAAGGACCCGTCTCGTGGGTTCAGCAGTGATGCTATTGATGTGCTCATCAAGGTTGTCACCTGCTTCGGGCCCCTTCTTCAGGAAAGGGAGCTCGACAGTCTCCAAATCTCGGTCATGGCCATTATCCGAAACGACACGGCCGGCACTGTGGTCACCAAGCGCGCACTGACTGCCATTTCAGCGCTCGTCCTTTACTTCTCCGATAGCCAACTCAACAACTTCGTAGCCACCCTGACCAAAACTCTTTCCTCCAACATCTCCGTGGTGCAGCGTCGACACCTGATTGCTGCCATTGGCGTCATCGCACGAACGGCTCCCGCCAAGTTCGGCCCACACCTGGACAGCTTGGCACCTTTTGTGTTCTCTGCGGTTGGCGAAGAAGACGTTGTGCCTGCCAATTGAGAAGCTCAAGAATGCTGCACTGGCGTCGACAATAAGCAAAGCGCCTGATGGTACTTTCGCTAGCACCAGAAACCCACTGGATCCACCAAGCCTTTCTGGATCAGCTGGCATACTCGTCCTGTATGGCCGAATCTTCATTATGTCATTTCACCCAGTCACCGCCATGCTCTGAAAGGCACAGTCTGGATGTCGACAGTTGAACGTCCGAGATGGCAAGGAACTCACGATACCCACGTTGATATTAAACCCACGAGCGCATCAAAAATTCTGTACCAGTGGGGTGCAATGACATGCATTATGGATCTCCATAGATATATGGTCTTTCCTCGCGGAATAGATACAAATGCACTCGAAGCTTCCTCGTTTCGCACCTTCCCAACTAGAATATTAGCTCATTCCTGCCAGCGTTTTCTTGCTGTTGCTCTTCTCTCTTCTCCCTCTCTTCAGACTATCTCCATTTCCAACCATTACTTCCACATAACCATCACACATCGCTTACTTCATATATACCTCCCGTACCTTCCGTCAAGATGCGTTTGCATCCTACATTTGCCTTGCTTTTAGCACCTCTGGCAAACTGTTTGCTCGCCAAGGTTCATGGCGCTGGCCCTGTGTATACCGTTTCGATGGAGTCATCCAACATCGTACAGTCTCGCCTCGACTCTCGCGATGTCCCCAACAATGCGGATTATCGTTGTGGTCCCAAGATTGGCAAATGCCCAGTCGGCACATGCTGCTCGGGTGCAGGTATGTAGTGTGTGTGCGAAGATGTGGTGAAAGATCATCTCAGTAACAATGACAGGCTTCTGTGGTACTTCCAAGGCTCACTGCCGCTCCCCGGATTGCAAAATTGACTACGGCCACTGCGATGCCCATCGATCCCCTTACGGACCTCCTACCAAAGAGATTGCCCGACCACACCTTGGACAAGTCCCTTATGGACCGACTCAGATTCGCTCGTGTGCTATTCCGGGTACAATCGCGCTGACCTTTGACGATGGTCCCACTCGTTACACTGGAGATTTGCTAGACTTGCTGGACAAGTACGACGCCAAGGCGACCTTCTTCATTACGGGTATCAACAACGGAAAGGGCGCTATCGATGATCTCACCTTGCCTTGGGCTTCTTTGATCGAGCGCATGCATTCGAGTGGTCACCAGATTGCCAGTCACACTTGGTCTCACGAGGATCTCAGCAAAGTCACTCCCTCGCAACGCAGTGAACAGTTGGAGAAAAATGAAGCTGCGATACGCAACATTCTTGGCTACTTCCCCAGCTACATGCGACCACCTTATTCCAGCTGCACCCCTGACACAGAATGTGGAGACCAGCTCGGTGAGCTTGGCTACCACATCATTCTCTACGACATTGACACCGACGACTACAAGAATGACAGTCCCGACTTGATCCAGCGATCGAAGGATATCTTCGATCACCAAGTCCTCCAAAGCGACCCACTCACAACCTCTTGGCTTGTCATCGCCCACGATGCCCATGAGCAGACAGTCCACAATCTTACGGAGCATATGCTCAAGGCCATCAAGAGACTGGGGTACCGTGCCATCACCGTTGGAGATTGTCTTCGCGATCCCCGACCCTTGTGGTATCGCAAGGACACCCGCATGCCGACTCAGAAGAAGAAGCCAAAGAAGCCAGCTTCAGCAGATCCCAACAAACCTGTATCCTGGGACGGTTCTTGCGGCTCTAACTACACTTGCCTTGGCTCCGCCTTTGGGTTCTGTTGCAACAATGAAAACGCATGTGGCAACACCAGTAACCATTGTGGCAAAGGTTGCCAGAAGGATGCTGGATATTGTTCAGTTGAGGCTCCTGGCAATGGCGATGCCTGGGACCCAAAGATTGAAGTCAATGCCAAGTCAGAGGCAGATACTGAGATCCGAATGCTTGGGTCCGCAGTCATGGCAGCCATGACTTCCTTGTTCCTTGCTTTCATCGTTGCGATGTTCATGTAAAGAATCATGTTGGCCTTTGTGTGGAATTTTCGGGAGTTTTGAGCCGGGTTCAACGCAGTTGACATTACATTATTACCTATCCTGTGGTCTTTTCGGCCACAAGTCATTCGTTTGAACGTACCGGCAAATTTGACAGAAATTGATGGGCCATGGGCAAGCCCAGAATCGTTAGTCTTTAGCAAAAGTGCATGCAACCTTGATGAGGTCTTCTACCAGAACGTTTCTCTATTGCCCATATACGTTGAAAATGGTGTACGTAGCACTCTTATACCTGGCAAGGATATCCTTAGTATCATTGATTGCACTGCTGGTCGGTACCCACCATCTTAGGAACCTTGGAAGACACGGCCTATCATATCAGCCCGCAACCTTGGAAACCTCTTTTTGGTCCATTGAGATTGACAACCTTGGAAGCTCCTCAAATAATGCCCGAAGTGCTGGCGATAGAATGGATTCGCCAATTACAGGAAATAGGTAGTTGTGGAACTGGTTTCCAAGATTGTGATAAGAGACTAGCTGACAAGAATTTCTACCAAATCATCAGAGCTGTTGAGAAGATCATGAAGTTCAACCACGCAATGTAGAAAAGAGTCAGATCATAACATGCATCTCAGATACTCATACCAGTCAAAGGAATACACCACAAAAACATGAGTCGAGAAAGATATCAGCACGCCGAGAAGAATCTCGAGGGGTATAATGATAGCAAAAGAACAAAAGAAAATAGGCAACAATAATAACCGTGATTCGAGGTGCATCAACCTACTTCCGCACCATCTTAAGCAGCGGCGCAATCCTCGCCCTCTTACTCAACCCCACCCGGTAAGGCACCCCACCCCGAGCCGAGATGGGACTATGCTTTTCAAGGCCCTTTCTTGCGTTCTTTGGGGTATTGACAGGTCCAGCATCAGGCTTGCTTGGAGTCTGAGGACTCTCGACTGAAGCCGTAGTTGAAAGAGTCGGAGCAGGGGCAGGGATGGTGTCTTGGGTTGGTTCTTTGGCTGGCACGTTGGCCTGGGCGTCAGTCTCTGATGCAGACTTGGGACTGTTATCGACGAGAACGGCGAGTTTGGAACCGGGGGTTTGGGCGCCTGCGTTTGCGGGCTCCGTAGTATCTGTATCTGTGGTTTTGGATACTTCCTCTTGATCGACCGGTTGCTTTCGCTTGCGTCCGCGCTTTTTGGGCGCTGGCTTATCTTCCGCTTGTGGGGCCTTTTGGTCGGCTGAGACAGCAGAGGAAGTAGTAGGTTGAGCAGGTTGGATATCGGGAGGTTGTTCAACCGATGCCTTGTTGTTGGGGTCTTGTTTGGAGGTATTTTCTCCCTTGTTTGGGTCGGCATTCTCGTTAGCGATTTCGGGATTGATGGGCTTTGTATCAATCCATATAACATTGTCGTCGTCGTCGGAATCTGGGATTGGCGCAGGTGCTGTCTTCGCTTTCTTCGCCCTCTTCTTTTTCGGTTCCTTGACCTCTTTCCCGGGGTTATTGGTTCCTATATCTTCTTCGTCAGACTCGTCGGAGACTCCACTTGAGGCCGGGGTGTCATTCTCCGTAGTATCTTCACTATCGGATGGATCAATCGCACCATTTGCGCCAGGATTTTTGAATTCATGATCCCGAGAGTTGGCAAGCTCATCGTCTTCATCATTGATTGGTAAAGACTGTTTCTTTGGCCGCCCTCGCTTTTTCTTTGCGGGTGGCTCTACAACCGCGGGTGGCTGTGCGACTGTCGGGGCCGGCAATGCAAGTTCATCGTGTGCGCTCGTCTGAGATTGTTGTTGGGAAATGATATTCGTTCCGAGAGAGATAGATTTTGGCTCACTCGGTTGCACTGAAGCTACAGATGATATCGGCTCAGTGTCGTGTGGGGAATATGGAAATGGCTGCTGTGATCGAGGCTGTGAGACTGGTTGGGGTGGATTCAACTCTGCAGCTTGATATTGCACCCAAGGTTCTGTGGGTTGGGGGGAAACGCCGTCCGGGAATGGAGCGATACCGTTAGTAGCATTTTGAGGATTTGACTCATACACAGTCATTCGATTGAGCGGCAGAGCCTGGTTTCCATTGGTGTAAGCATCGTAGGATGTCTGGTAGTACGGGAAATGTTCACCATCCGGCGGGCCCATTTGATAGGAGTGGGAACTGGGGATTGTGGGAAATGGCGCAGACTGGATAGAATCGGCTGAATATGATACCCCGGCAGATGGGACTTGTTGGCCAACAACGGAAGCATTGTCGTCGAGTAGCCTTCTCTGGGCAAGCCCAATTTCGCTCATCATGGTGCCTGAGCCGCCTACGAACGCCGCAAGTCAGTATATGGGCAAGATCCAGGTAATATTGTTCAATCCGAATGCGATCTTATCGCAACCTACCAGCCGACCCGCTTGCGCCTTCAGTGTTTGGAATCCACCGCTCCTCGCGCCGTTGCTGCGACGATGATTGCCCCGCATGGTTTCTTTCCTGTGATTGCAGGAATTCATCGAAGTTGACGCTTAGCTGTGGGAATGTGCTTTCCTCAGGCGCAAAGCCGTGCTCGTTTGCGCTGTGGGTCGTGTCTTCGGCGGGGACGTGGTCATGATATTGCTGGACTGCGGGCTCTAGGTGTTTGGGAGGGGCAGTAGGTCGAGGAAGATCATCCCCCTCGATGGGCTCATCCTCGTCAGAGTCCTGGATGACACGATCCCAGCCCATTGGTACTCAATTGTCGGGGTTGAAGGCTCAGTCGTTTGAGATGGAAATCCAAAGTGCGCTATCAAACGCGTCCGTGACACGACCGCACGTGACGATAAGCATCTATGAAAAAGGAAAAGAATAATATGACGTTGAATATTTCCAAATTTAATTTCAAGGCAAATGTTGCGGGTATCATCTAACTCCTGGTTGAGATCATATTTTTCTGGGTAGTTGAATAGCAGATCCAGTGTGGTTTTGATCGTTGATCCCAATACAATGGCGGGCAAGCCCTGGAGATACTTCCAAGGTTCGAAAAATCACTCAAGAGACTGTTCAACACGATGACGAAGAAAATTGAATGTTCCTAGTCAGAAACTTCCTGAGAGCACAAGCAGAATGAAGCATTGAAGTTATAGAAAGAGTCCATCCAAGGACTTTGGAATTTCAAGCTTGGTATGTACTATGCTAACGCAATGGACGATGACCCAATGCAAATGAAGAATGTCTAGGGAAGAAGTAAAAGGCTGATGCAGCATGCAGCATGAGAGATGATAGCGCGTGGAGCATGAAGCACTTCATGTGAAGCAGAAACGCCAAAGTCATTCCTAAAGTTCGTTTCCCTGGAGATGGTATACCGGCTTCCCAATAGCACAAAACACCGACAAAAACTGGCAACACCAGAGACGAATGCATTCCCACAAAGCCAAAATGCAACAGAAGAAAAAATGTGAGCCAACAGGTAGTCGAAGTCACCGGGTATCTCAAACCACACATTGGTGTTCAAAAGGAGAAGATTCGACTGTGTCTCATCACAGTACACCACCCGGCAGATTGATCTGACCTTGCCGGCCACCTTCAAAGCCTGCGCTGTTCGGTGCAGTTGCACCTGGTCCAGGCGTGCCTGAAGGATTGTCCATGTGGATCTTGCGCAACATGAACATTGGCTTTCGCCCTTCTTTTTCAAGCTGCTTAAATAGGAGAAGGGGCTTTTCCTGCAATTCCAAACAACGTTCTTGATCACCGTAGACAATATAAAGGGCGTAGTTTTTCCAGTCGGAGTTGATGTTGTATTTCTTGAGCGCCGCCGGTAGGACCTTGTAGCAGGGATCTTCCCATGACACGCGGAAGGACTTGAATATCTCCACGCTGCTGGGGTTCTCACTCCCACCTCCACCAGCTCGTGACTCAGCCCTCGATTCAGCTCGATGGTCCATACGGGGATCAAGACGCGACGCAGTAGATGGAGTCTCGGCGCGGGACGACGGGAGCTGGCTAGGAGTTAGACGATCTCTGGAATGAATCGTCGGGGTCTGTTCGGGGTAATCATATGCCGTGTTCCGGTTTGTGCCAGAGCTTGGCTGGGTATAAGATCTTGGGTTGAGAGTTTGGGGATGACCGTGATGGGTGTGGGGTGATGTTGGGGAAGGGATTCCGGGTGATAATTGGGAACCTCCACTCAGAGACGATGTCAGATGAGATGTTTGCGCCAAAGAACCGGCTGATGGATTCATATTGTCATGATGAGCTCGTCCTTCGTGAATCATAGGTGGAATATGGGTAGGCGAATTGTTTTTGGGAGTAGAGCCACTAGGATGCATGCGCTTTGAGAAAGCCCGCGCAATCTTCGATGTGGAAGTATCGTTGTTGCTGACGTTGAGTTGAGAAGGTGATGTGAGAGTGGCTGTGCTGTCCTGCCAATTCTCTGAAGGCTGGCCGCCTGAAGACGGCGGTGGTAATGGATGTGACCGATCTTTGGCTATCTTGATCACCGGCAGGATTTCTTCCCGCAGCCGGCGATAGTCATCGGTGATTCGGCGCAGCTCTGTTTCAACCAGCATAAGCTTTTCATCTCGCAGCTGGATTGATTTGATTAAACGCGCGAGATCTTCCTGAGTAGCGGTCTCATTCATACTTTGATCCGCCGCTGTGAACATGATGTTAGTCCCGCTGCTAAAAATTGCGAGATCTGGAAACTTACAGAGTGGAATATAATGGTCCGCATCTAAGGGGACATCTTGCTTGACTTTGATTTCATATACGCTTTTCAGGATGGTCAATCGGTGCCCGACACTGTTGATTCCCATTTCCTTTAACTCTTCGTGCTTCAACGCAACGAGCGCTTCGCCGACGATTCCATTCTCTGTAAATTCGCAGTCAGTAAGCCGTGCGCACTAGGTGACCTGATAGAGCTGGCGCTTACCGCGGAATATGCCGTGATACTGTAGTAATCCCAGCGAAGTCAGGAACTCCTTGCATTCATCCACCCCCCATTCTGTCATGAGTGTTCGCGGGGAACGAGGGCCGTCCATCGGGTGTCCAAATTTGGTGGGAGTGTGTTCGGATGAGTGAATCTCGGAGTCCGTGGGGGAAGATTCCGAATCGATCTGAAGGTGTGGCGAAGTAATCACGCTGCGTTCGTATTCATCGTCCGCGTCGGAGTCGGCGTGGTAAGAGGTGTGGAGGGACATATTCAAGGAGAGTGTTCGGCGACAATTTTGATATTCCCCGAGAGTAATTATGGATATTTTAAGGGAGATGCGCAGGCGCCGCCACCAGATTTGAGGGAGCTGGGGCCAAGGCAAACAAAATGAGGGCGGTAATGCGCCGATTGCCCTATCGTCTCGGGCGCGGGCAGCCAGCTGGAAAGCGATGGTTCAGAAGCGATGGTTTGCAGGTCGCAAGACAAACATGAGCTGATTCGAGGAACACCCACGGTGATAGTGTGTATTGATGTGTCGCGAAGTTGGTGGAGACTCCTTTTTCGATGAGGGGCGAGAGACGCGGGAATCAACAAACCAAGCGGGGAGGCGCTTCACACAGTCACGGCGAAACTGGGCAGAAATATCACGATCTTCGATCTTCCTCGATCCGATCAAGATAATCAAGACAAAGCGAGAGATGTGAAGATTAGGCGAAAGCGCTTCTGGGGGAACACGTGATGGGGTCTGGACTAACTTCCCGGCCCGGACGCTGGCAATCTTAATTTTTGTCACTCCACAGAACTTGACAGACCCCGCTAGAGCTGTCACTTTTGGCATGCCCCGGGCACTTGCTATACACACTAGCATCCTGAATCTCAACAGGAGATTCAAGTCGCCACTCTGCCAACTAACGCCAATTGACATCATGGGTGCATGTCTGCCTACCGGACTCCCGATGCTACTTCTTGGCGTTCTATTTCCCATTCACTGCTTAGATCTTGCCGCTTTCTGCTCACTGTGGTAGGTTGAAACATACATCTGAGCCAGACGCTCTGGCCGATCGGATTGGATCACGGTGGATCATGTAGGTCTCAGATGAGAGCCGTTGTAGCGCGGCCAACCCTTTTCAAGTCCCTCAAGGCCCTGCAGAAGCCCAATAGCAAGTCTTCCCAATCTTCATTTTAGCAATTTTTCCAGCCTATAGATACTCCGTCTCTATCACGAACTATATGACAAGTGCCTACCTGAACATCATGTCCAGATCATGCAGAGTATGCATCACAATGGAACGAGAGACCATTGGGCATCGTTTTGTGCTACCGGGGCCTGGTTGGCTAAACAAGAAAAGTATTGGAGATGTCGCCCATGGGTATTGCGAGGGTTGCGTACAGTAGGTGCCCAGTCTGATCTGATCTGACTCGTCAGCTACCTGACCAGCCAATGGACTACCATACACTCGCCTCATTATCTTACTGGCTGTACCTGATGTCGCCTCTCCTGGGGGCTTTACAGTAGAACAGTGAACGTCTTTCAACTACCTTGGAGAGATCTGATCTGACTCTCGAGGATACCTAGGTATGTCCGACAGACTGATCCAAGGCAATCCAAATTCCATTCCATGGGGCCTTTTCCATGGTGTCCTTGCTGGATGAGATATGCCCACCCCACTGCTCTGGATCAAGTATAGATACTGTTTTCTCGTATATGGGACTCATGTTAGGTCGTTTCGGCCCATGTTTCCTACTCGTATGCCTGTATCAATGTCTTCGAGTATAATAAGATCATCATGTTGTAAGTGGGGAGGAAGCGAAATATGGCCTTGTAGAATTCAGACTTACACAGATCTAAGGGCGTCATCGATCAAATTCATTTTGGAAGATCAAACAAGATAGCAGATTCTTACCTAGACATCATACGCCGTGCTGTCTGGACTTGATTTTTCAACTTGCAAGCTTGGACCTTGGAAGTTACTATTCAAAGACCCTCTTGAGGCTCAACCGGCCTACTGCGTCATCGCCCCAAGATTTATCGATAACTAACGCGCCAGGAAAGACGTCAATTAGCAAAACACGAATGTTGGACGAGGAAATCGCAGAACTCCAATGTATCCCATATCTATCTGATGCAGAGCAGCTTTTTAATCCGTATGTCACCACCAGTGCCATGGGCGTGTAAAGAGCCGAAACCAAGTTGTACTCCTTTAAAGTCAAAGACAAAAATGCATGTTCACATTCACAAAAATACCCTCTGGGCGCATTACTTCTTTTCTCCATTCGGGGTGCTCTCCCCCTCAAGGTCAGCCACTTCTCGCAGAATCTCTTTCAATCCACGGACGCCCTCCTCGACGACCGGTTCGGGTATGCGCACATTGACCTCCTCTATAAACTTGAGCGGGTCATATGGCGTGTCCTTGTTCCCCTTCTTTGTTCCGTTCGTCTCCTTGGTGCCATTTGATGCCGAGTCGCCGTTCGTTGCCTTGGAGCCCAGGGCGGGGTGGTGTCGGCCTTCTGCCGAGGCTAGGACCGCGGCCAGCACATCGTCGAAGGTCTCGCAGCGGCCAGCGCGGAGGAGTTCTGTTGCTAGGGTGGTCACCTTTTCGGTCCAGCCCAGGCGGTGGAGCGATCCGAGGAGGTTCTCTTGTAGGTCTTCAAGCGCGCAACTCGCTGACAGTTTGACCAGGAGATCGGATTCGAGGGCGTCGGGGGTGGAGGAGACGCCGTTGGAGTTGGAAGGAGGCATTTTGTAGGCGTGCCGGTAGGTTTGTATGGAATCGGGGCCACAGGGTGCCTTTTATGTCTCCGTGGGGTGTTGGATGCCCTTAGGGCGAGGTACTGGTGACTTGGGCTGAGCGCAAACTTTGGTGCGATGCGCAGGTGTAGGATGAGGCGAAGAGGGCCCGCCCTTTTTGAATCAATGCGGGATCTTCAGATGCGAATTGGAATTACATTGCATGTACTCCGTAAACAATAGAGCAGAGGGCAGACAATTGGTAAGTCTCGCAATAACGGCTGCCAGATCGGACAATCGGTGTTGTGGGTCCGCGAGCGGTGAATGTGTTGCCTCACGGGGGAGTCTCGATTGTTTGTTCGACTTCAACCCTTCTCTGCCCATTGATGTCCATTATGTCTATTGGAGCCCCAGCGTCTCGGTCACTGATATAATATGCTTTATAGCGCTCATGGAAGCGACTCTTACTTTCTAGCGCAATACCAAAGCCCTCATTTGCAGAGCTGTTCAATCTTCCAATGCCATACCCCTGGTAGATCTTTGGCTCAATGCTTATACTGCTCAACTTAATCCGAGTGGATCACAAATGGTCCAGCCGATGGCTTCGACAGGGCCCAGGAGATTCCGTGGCTCATAACTTCGTCCCACTTCTTGCTTCCAGGCAGTTTGTCTCCCCACCGTCGGAAACCATGAGGCACACCACGGAAAACGTGCACATCGGTAGGAACACTGGAAGAGAAAATGAATCAGCAAATTGGGCGCATTAGTGATGAGACAAGCTTACCCGTTCTCGGCAAGATGCTTTCCATAAAACAGGCCTTCGTCTCGCAAAGGGTCATTTCCTGCCACTCCGAAGGTGGTAGGAGGCAAGTTCTTGACGTCCTCAGCAGATGCGTTTCCAGGGTTCATGCGAAGATCTCCAGCGGCATCCTTGGCCTCGTTGAGACCAAGTAGTCCGCTAAACAACCTCATTCGCTCAACTGGCAGAACAGGCGCCTGGGCACATTGGATATAGCTCGAAAGCTCAGGGCTCTTGAGCAGCTCCTGCCGAGGTGCATAGTGATCCCACTGTACCAGACAAGGGATCATAAGAACCTGACCCGCGATCTTGGGGCAGGCTGCTAAGCGCTTATCCTCGCCACGCAATTGCGCCAGCGTCAACGAGGCAGTCAACCATGCGCCCGCTGAGATGCCGCCGACCACAACTTGCTCACTTATCCCTCCAATCTCAGCAATGTGCTCGTGTAGCCAGACAAAAGCATCCTCGCTATCATTCCAAGCGACGGGGTACTTGTGCTCGGGGGTGTGTCGGTAGTTTACATTGAGAACCACCACGGGAGTATTATTCTGGAGGCGCGACGCAACAATACGAGAGCATGTTGCATCCTCCGACGCCAGTGTGCCGATCAGGAAACCACCACCATGAAGATGAAGATAAACAGGTAGACGCTCGGAGATAGGAACGCCGGCGGGGCGGTAGGTACGCGCTTCGAGGACAGCGCCATCCCGCGCCGTGATTGTGTGGTCGTGCATCTGGACCACAGAGCTAAGTCCTTGGTCGATCATGTCCTGCGCAGCGGAGTCCTCGCGGCCTTTGTTTTGCAAATCCTTCATTTGCTCTATCGACAGGCCTGTAGGTGGTGCGGGCAGCACAGCCTCCACGGCCAGCCATTCAGCGCTGGGGCCAGCATATTCAGAGAAATCAGCCATTGTATGCGAGGTTGGGTGTATTGATAGACGTAAGTCTGGAGGCGTGTTGCACGATCAACACTACCCCACCCACCTCGGCTCGGCTACCGACCGGCACCTCAGAACCTCACGTCTAAGCATAAAGTACCCCGCATGAAAATCGCCTTGAGCGTATTTCAAGATGGGGTATATAGAAATGCGACCGTGTCTACATGGCTGGACCCAATCTCAACCCAAAGTGTCATAGCCATGGATCCTGGTATCCCTTCCGATCCCCCGTCACGTTCCTTGGTTGGAAAAGTCGCAATTGTCACCGGCGCAGGCTGTCTGGGTGACGGCATTGGAAACGGACGAGCAATATCAATTCTCCTAGCCGATGATGGCTGCGACGTCATATGTATCGATCTGAACTTGGAGTGGACGGATAAGACCGTGGAATATGTCCATTCAAAACCAAATCGTGGTCGAGCATTTGCATATCGCGCAGATGTCACATCAGAAGAGGACTGCGAAGCAGCAGTACGCTACACGATTGAGACATTCGGTCGATTGGATATTCTGATCAACAATGTCGGAATCGGAGGTGCAGCTGGAACCGCGGTAGATGTTGACATGGCACAGTGGGCAAAGAGCATGGAGACCAACGTCGCTAGTATGGTACAAATGGCCAAGTATGCCATCCCGCAGATGGCCAAAAATGATGGCGAAATTAAAGGAAGTATCGTCAACATGGGAAGCGTTGCTGGGCTGAAGGGTGGAACGCCTCATTTGCTATATCCCACTGCCAAAGGCGCTATAGTCAATATGACCCGCGCTATGGCAGCACATCACTCGCCAGAGGGCATTCGAGTGAACTGTGTGTGTCCTGGGGTAAGTTCAACCCTCGCCGTGATGCTTCTACTCTAATCACGCAGCAGATGCTTTATACGCCCATGATGTATGGAAATGGGATGAGCGAAGAAGCCAGAGAGGCCCGACGGAAACGGAGTCTATTGGGAACTGAGGGAAACGGGTGGGACTGTGCAGGAGCTGTGGTCTTTCTTGCGGGACCCCATGCGCGATGGATGACGGGTGTGATTCTCCCTGTTGATGCCGGCACGACGGCCGCAGTGGGAATTGGCATGACCAAGAGTGCAAGTGTCAACGCATAGTGCGCAATCTGGTACCTAGTTGTATCTGATGGCTACATGAAATGTCTTCTTGCTAAAGGTCTTTTGTTTTTTCTTGTAAATAATGTAAGTGTGCATAATGACAACCTTGGAACCGGCAAGATTTACAGATCACTAGATCCAAAGCACATCTATAAAAATACAGAATTTACCAGTTGATCTCTTCTCGCCTTCGTCTAAGCGAACCAAGATACACAAACTCCTCCCCTCAGTGACGGCGCTTGTGATGTCTCCGAGCCCGCATGGTCATCTTCCCCATCATCTTCAAGCTTTCAAAGTAATCGCTTGTGCCATGCGTGGGGTCACTATCTTGAGCATTCTCAGCTCCGCAGATGGAGCCATCACTCGCATCACCAAGAGGACCATCAACAGCGAAATATTCATATTTAGCGCCGGCATCATCCACCATGTTCTGCGCTGCCTCCGGCATCCATCCGTTGATGAAATCTCCGTGAGAGCAGTAAGAGGAACCACAAGCCAGAGCCAGAGGGGGAGCTCCAGACCATCCATCTGGAAGCAACTTGCGCAAATCATATCGAATAGAGAACCGAAGCTGAGGAATGCGCTTCATGTCCGATGGGCACCAATTATCGCCATATCCAGTGTTCACGCGGGGGTTTCCTGAGTAGGCCGACTCGAGGGTCTCTGTGTTCACGCAGTCGTGGAACAAAAGCAGAGTCTGCAGGTGGGTGGAGCATGTCTTGGTTGGGAACGCGGCTGCGTCTTTGTCCTCTGTGGCGTCGCCTTCGCAGAACCAGCTGATGCCGGCGTTATCTTCCACGTCGGCTTGGGAAGTTGCAGAGGCGTTTCCGGCAACGTCTTTGAAGTTTTGTGGGATGGCGATTTCGGCGGATTCTGGCTGCTCATAGTACGCGCTGAAACGCATTGGCTTGATAGGCGTGTAGGTCTTGCCGTCATCCTCCACGAGATACAAAGTTGGAACCCCTATTTTTCATGATTGTCAGTTTTCGCAGCCTCGGTGCGTTGAATATGGGAGGATTACAGTATGTTGAGAAGTCATTTGGGTTCTCGGTGGTGGAGCAACCCTTTTGGAGCTCAGCCGAAGTGGTTGTATTAACGGTGATAGCATCCGATCCGAAGAAGCTGTGCATATGGCTGGTATATTGACCAGGGAGCACAATTGGATCAATGTTCTTGAACATCATGAAATCCGAAACGGTGACAGTATAGGCGTTAGAAAGGCCTGCCGCCAGGGCAGACAAAAGAATGGAATTGCGCATGGCAGTAAAGAATGAAAAGAAAATTAAAATGCTTGAAGTATACAAAAAGAATGAGAGGATGAGAATGATGGGAGGGGAGGTTAAACCCCTGCTTTAAGTACTTCAACGCTACGGAGTATCGTCAACTAGATCAGGAATGAGGGTCCATATAGTGCTCCAAGACCCATCAGCACTAGGATTCTATCAAACCATATTTTCACGATAGTCGGTAAAAGCTACAAGCGTTAAGCGGATTGTTTCAAAATGTTAAACTCGATTAACCTGTAACGATCTACTATGGTGGGGTCCCGACCCTCGCTGTCATGCCAGTCCAGCGTTTCATATAGTCCACGCGAGGTCTTGGCATTTAGCTCTAGGGAGCTTGGGTTGAAACTTGAAACACTCCAGGGACTTCGCTTTTTGTGGAATATATGGCCGAGGCAAACTCATCTCGTTGGGCTGGGCAACAATCCGACATTCTTCGATATAAGAGAGCACATCAGAGCAGTGAGGGGTCCCGGCCGACGTGCGTGAACTCCTTGAAATCGGTTTTGCACTAAACACCGGGGCATGCCTATTCATAATACAGATGAACGAACCATCGAAGATCAGTTCCAAAATAGATGTTTGCTCGGCAACTGGCTACCTAGCGCAAAAGATACCAAGCCATTGTCTCTGGTCGGCCTTTCTAAGATTTTTATATAAAAATAAAGCTGAAAATCACGGCAAATTATCTAGATTCATCTATCTTGTCCGTGATACACCTCCTTCGATCCATTAGCTGTCTAGTGATAAATTTTCATTCAGCTACGCCAGTCCATCGTCTTGCATACAGCGAATGAGAATGTTAATATGTTCTGCGATCCTGCAAGGACCCAGGAAATGAATTGTTGATTTGATCTAAAGGCACCGTGGTTCAACAACGGCAATCAGATTGAATTTCGCATTCCATGGATTCAGCCGGCTTGATCCGGCCTTTTTCCATGTCTATTCTCGGACAATGGTTTTAAAACTTTCTTGAACAATTAAATACCACCTGGGCCACTGCGACAAGCAAAGTGCGGATACAAGGATGGACGTTTCTCAACCACCGTTATGAGAGCCCATAAATTGGATTTAGCTCCGTCAACTCCTTGTTAAATAAGCTTCAATTTCCTTCCACTCATTCCAGGGTTGAGGATAGAAAAGATGCATCATATGGAATTTCACGAGCGCATGAATGAGACTCCAGTTGCAATATTTGCCTTGAGATCACTCACAGCAACCTCAAGCAACTTCTCTTCGTTCGCAGATATCTGGCCGATGGGAAGCGCCTGAGAAGCACCATTCTTACCGATCTCAATTTTAACAGCAAAGTAATCCACACCAAGTTGGGCAGCGATTTCCTTGCCTCCAGGAACGCCTGGTAGATAAACGTATGCCTCCTCCGACACAGTCTGGCCATCCCGAGCAGACATAACAGCCTTAACAAAGCGGAAACCAGCATACGCCATACACGTCGTGGCGCTTCCGGCCCCTTGCTTACTCTTCACGATCTCATCGCCGCCGAATTGCACACCTGTTTCGTCTGTTAGTACAGCTCTCTGTTATCTGATATCAAGGATCTCACGGTTTATGACGGGTGCCAACTCCTCATCGCTCAAATTGACAGCAGGCTTGGCCTGGCTATATAGAGGGAGAATGGTAGCTCCGCTGTGGCCACCGATGACCGGGACTTTAAAATGCTTGGGCTCGGCGCTTCCACCGAGGGCGTGTGCAGCGAATGTGGAGGCACGTACTACGTCCAGCGTCGTAACACCGAAAAGACGAGTGGGCTCAAAGACGCCGGCTTTCGTGAGAGCCTCGGCTGCGACTGGAACAGTGGAATTCACTGGGTTGGTCACAATGCAGGAAATAGCATTAGGGCAAGTCTCTGCGATCTCAAAAAAGATGTCGCGAATGATGCCAGCATTGGTCTGGTTCGAATCAGTAAGTCGTGACAATCTCTATGCCACGGAGCCATCTTCATGGATTCTTTTGGGAAACGATACCTTGAAAAGATCTGTAGGTTCTCGTTAGATTCGTGGAAGAATTATTGGGGTCCGCCATTACTCACCATCTCTTGTCATTCCGGGCTTCCGCGCAATACCAGCAGTAACGACGACAATGTCCGCACCAGTAAGAGCCTTCTTCAGGCCTCCATCCTCGGGAAGGTAGCCGCTGACCTTGGCTTTGGTGTCGATGTGCATCAGATCCGTCGCGATACCTGGAACGTGCACGATATCGTAAAGTGAAATCTCGTCGAAGAGATCACTCTGGAAAAAGACAAGTCAGTAAAGTGCCATTCTCATATAGTCCAGGTAGTTTGGTCATTGCTTACAGATTTACAAAGCAGGCTGAGAGGTGTGCCAATCTGGCCCGCGGCGCCGATGAGTGCAATTTTGCCCATGATGATGTTCAAGTTCAAGTATCCCGAGGTCTGATTTGAATGTTGTCACAATCGAATGCCAGAACCTTGGAACCCTTAAATATATAGGTTTCTCCTGCAGTATTCATCCATTTATCGCGCTGGCGCGGCTTTCACTCCGAGGAGGACCCCGGCATCGGTTATACTTTCAGCCTACGGGTTCAGCCGACTAGAGCCACCACGGAGCCCTGGAGGACATAGGACATATGGATGACAGCCGATAGGTATCATACACGGTCAGAGAGAAAAAAAAATGAAGAAAAAAAATGAGAGGGTAGGAACGTCAGCAGGACTGGCTGATAAGTCGGTTGCTGGGTTCGAACCGGGGATGTCTCATGGCACTCGCTGTTTATGGGGGAAATTTCCCATTTCCCAACAGGGTAGATACCGGCCAAGAAGACTGAAGGTAGACAAGCTGGACAGGACAGCAGTCGTGGTACAGACGAGTGCGCCATCCTGCCAGTTGATGCAGGTACTGCGGCTTTTGGGGTATGTATATCTCCTTCCCCGGATATCAGAACAAGCCTGGAAGCCGAGCTAGCACCCAAGGGTAAGCTTCATCTAGCCCAAAGATATAGATAGTAAATAGAGATCTATGGCAGGATCACTCAAGATACCTAGCCCCATCTCAATTCCCGATATTCGATGATATTTCCACGGGTTTATTAACAGATTTATACTAAAACAAGTAACACTTGATCATGACCTGCAGGGCTCGGAAGTAAAACTTCAAATTGCTCTAAAATAATCTATTGCACAAGGTGTTGGTGTTCAGGAACAGGAGAAAGCAAATCTTCTCCAGCAATTGCGCACCGCACATTCTCCATCGCCCAAGACTCCATCTTAGCCAATGTTTCGGTAGTATGAGTTCCAACGTGAGGTACCAAAAGAGCCCTCTCCTGCTTCAGAAGCTTCTCATTGATCTTAGGCTCCTCTTCATACACATCAAGACCCACTGCACCGATATGGCCCGTCTCTAGGGCATCTGCCATAGCAGCCTCGTCAATGATAGCCCCTCGAGCAGTGTTTACAATCACAACACCGGGCTTCATCATAGCGATCTCCTTTGCACCGATGAGGTGTTTTGTCTCCGAAGTCAAGGGCACATTGAGACTAATAATGTCACTCGTTTCAAGCAATTGTTGAAATGAGACATACGTCGCATCTGCCGCTGCTTGTGATGAGAGTGGGTTGCGATTGTGATAGATTGTCTTGATGCCGAATGGATCGCAACGGGCTTTCAATGCCCGGCCGATCCGACCCATTCCCAGGATTCCAAGGGTCTTTTGCTGGGGGTCATGGCCAAAATCAACACCCGCTTTGAATTTCCCGGCGCGTAGTGAAGAAATAGCCGGGTTTAGCTGGCGGAGAGCTCCTAGGAGGAGAAACATTGCTAGATCCGCGGTGGCATCCGTCACAGGATCGGGTGCGTTAGTAACTATGATGCCTCTTTCAGCACAAGCATCGGTGTCAATAGGGTCGTATCCTGGTGACAGAAATGTAAGCTTTGGGACGAATCTCTCCATGCTCTGGGGAAGAACAGTACGTACCAGCGCCGTTGTGGCAAATATAACGACAACTGGCAGGCAGGCGGTTGATGAAATCAGCATCAAACTTTCCGGCGACCTATGAAATTTCATAAGTTACTGGAAATCTATAGTCCTCAGATTGACTCCAGACTTGGGTATTCTTTTCACGTCTCCTCGGCTGACAAGGTAAATTAGGGAAGAACTTACGGAGCCACTCGCAGAAGTCCGGTAGATAGCAAAAGCATCCCGGTATTTAGTTGCAACATCATTGAAGAATTCATCGCGGCTTCGGCTAGTCACAACCTCCGTGTGGGCTACTTCCTGCAACTTCTCATATGCCGGAGTCGCATGTCGCACAGGACTAAAGAACAAAACAAGAGGTTTGGTTGAAGCCATTGCTGTGACGTAGTTGCGAACGAAAGTAGCTTTTTGAATACTGGGTATTGGTCGGAAAAGAACCGGCATACTCTTCGCATGTCTTTTCTGTTCGGGTTCGTTGTCACTCGTATATAGCGTCGGGGCCGGTAAAAGGTTCTGGCTGTTTATTTGGTCGGTCCGTGGATATTCTTTGAGGTCGTTTGTGGATTCAAAGTTGATAGAACCGGTTTGAGTCATTTATCACAACCTTGGAAGTTTCCTAGGTATAATATTTTCTTGTTGTTGATCTTTTTCCAAGGTTTCTACTTCGTCTAGAGGTCCCTTGTTCCTACAACTTCGGGAAGACTTCATGAATTCATGGTGGGTTCGGTCAAGGTGAACAAGGCCAATCAATTGTTCCAAAATAAAATTCCAGATTGGAAGATATCCAAGATTGTCCAAAGCGACCATTGAGTGTCTATGAATATAGATATAAAAGTCCAACACCACAAGTGTTGAAATATGATATGTAAAAGAGAACAAGCAGGCCAGCCCCAAAACACCAACCCAGATTGAATCAGATTCAAGAACTCGACGAAAACTCCCGCAGATTCGCGCTAAAGAACAAACAGAACAATCTGCTAAACGCCAAAACAAATGACCGAATGCTATGGTTCCGAATCGCTGTGATAAACGCCATCAAATGCCGATATAACAATCATGAAACATCATCCGCAGCGCGCTGTTTCTGCTTATCTTTGCTTTTCCTCTTCAGCGCATCGATCGTATTCTGCACTTCGTGCTTCGCCTCTGTATCGAGGTTCGTTCGTTCGTCCGGCTCGAGGGTTTCGCGGTCACCGACTCGCTCGTAGAGCATGCGCGAGATACTGCGGTTGATATTGGTGTATTGGTCTTTCGAGATGGTTTTCTTTTTATAATGGGGCTTTAATGCTGTGCCGACCATTTTCTGGATGTCTGCTTTCAGAGCCAGGGATGGACCGGTGCGGGTGGGTGATGAGTCGGGGGAGCGGGAGTGGGCGACGGTGAGACGATGGGGGAGGCGGGAGCGAGGTCGGATGGTGTTGCGAGTAGATTCGCCTTTGTTGGGTGGTGGGTTGGTAGAGAGTGGAAGCTCGGGGGAGAATGGAGGGGATGGTGGTTCGGATGGGGAAGATAATTGGAGAGGAGAGATGGGACGGCTGCGTGAGAAAGGTGGGGGTGTGGCTGAGAAGAGGGGAGACGAAAAGCCGGAAGAGGTTGGAGAGATAGATGGAGAGGAGGGACCTGGTGAGGGGTGGTCGGTTGGTGCGACAGATGTCGAGGCGGAGGGTCCGTATGAATTAGTTCGACTGGGTGCGTCTTCGACTTCCTTCAGTAATGACGAGAGGAAGCTTGGTCCACTTGGTCCAGCCGTGGTATCACCGTTCGATCGTGCGCTAGAACTTGCGGCACCGGCTCGAGACGATTCACCAGTTTGACTCTGTTGAGCCAGGGCAGCGAGCTCTTGCGGCCTTCTTGTTCGAGGGCGCTTCAGCTTGCGCTGAGGCTCGGTGGGCTCTGGAGAAGGCGACATGGTGGGTTCTTTGCGCTTCCTAGCTGCATTTGGATTGTTCTCAATTTCTCGTGCTCTTTCAAATGCATTCCATGCACGCATTTCCTCCAGTGACTCTGGCTCGGGAGATGGGACTCTAGGCACCCGAGGGCGCGACGGGCGGGCGGCCTCGACATCGAACAAGGGCGCTGCCTCGCGAAAGCGGTTTCCGCCGCCTTGTCGCTCAGCGACCTCGAAACGACGTTGCCACGCTTGGAATTCGCGCTGGTTAGCCTCCTCGCGACGGCGCTGCTGGATCACACGTTCCGCGGATCGATCGTCGTCGAACGGAAAGTCCAGATCGAGGTTGAGGTTGTCCCAAACAGACTGCCAAACCCGTGCCCAATGTAGAGAGTTTGTCTGGTTGCGATTTTGAAGACGTCGCTGTTGAGCTCGGGTGCGCTGGCTACGCTGCTCAGCCCGCGATGGTCGCGCCGGTACCTCGGGCGCCGGACCCAGTGCACGATGCGACTCGCATTGTTGGCAATACCATGCTCCCGATGGAATCTCATCTAGCCCGAGACAATATAAATGGGACGGTGTATCGCATCCGTCACACAAAAGAAGGACATCTTCGTTATCGGCCAACCCGCATATCGTGCATGGGACGTAGTCGGCCAAGTCATCCTCCACGTATTCAATGATCATAGAAGGATCAACTTCGGCCGTTTGGGTTCGATCTTGAACGGCATATGAGGAGATAACAGAGCCTATATCGCATCATCAACGGTTAGTACAGATGATTCCAAGTGAATATGTCATAATTCAAGGAAGGGGCGTCATATACCTCCAGGCCGGTCACTCAACTCCACCATATTAAAACTTCGTCGGCATATGGGACAGCTGTTTGCTCGTTCCACCCATGGCTTCAGACAATTATTGTGTAGAATATGACCGCAGGGCAGCAACTGGGCGATCTGGGAGTCCTCATCTTTGAGGCTGAGGTCTCCCACGGGCTCCAAAGGATCACCCGTACCCTCCCCCAGGTCTCCCAAACAAACAATACAGGTGTCTGACATGAATATAATAAAAGTTGAAGTCCATGAGCGAAGAAGGTGTAGAAGCGAAGAAGGTGGAGCGGCCTTTTGAAGGTGGGCCGGATTGCCGGACTAACGCAAAACAGGAACGTGACGGAGGCGAATGATGCCCTGGATTGGAATGACTCTCCAGTTAACTCGGGCAGATCGGTAAATGCCCTCGGAGTCATTTGCGTTCTTTAATGCACTTCAAGAATACATTTATTGATTTCATGGCTTTATGTGTTGGGACGATTTATCCCCCTCCTATCTCCCCGGGTTTCCCCCCTCCATCTCCAAGGGTCCCCCCGTACTACGCAAAGGCCAGAGAGACAAGACTAATCTACGATGAAACCCCGTTAGGCGCCCAGACTCAGTTCGAAATTGAATCGCGCCTGGGGCTCAGAGTTCTCACATTAGTCATCTTTGAAGATCGGATGAGGATCAGCTGAAGTGGACCATGCGCGCACGTCCAAAGTCCATCATAAGTCCCGATATGTACGTAGGACTCATAGATGGATGCTGAATGATGACATCTGCACATGTCCAATGGCTGGGTGAAAAGCCACCATGAGATACGCTAGTAATGACCAGAAGGTCAAGTGACCGATAGGCTCCATCGGTATTCGATCTACGTGACTCGTGCGCAAGTCCTCATTGGCTGTCGGTTCGCAATTCGTCCAAATGTCCCCAATTCGCAAAAAGAAGTCATCGAGTGAAAGGCGAAGGTTGGCGACAAGTCTAGTAGGCAGCGACCGAGGCGAGTTGGGTCCATATCGCAGAAGTACGCAATGAGGCGAAATCGCATGCACAAAAATCGTATTCCCGAATTTTTTCATTCATTTTTGGTATTCAGACGTAACCGTAAAGAGAAATGAAACCACATCCTCCCATTTAAACCTCAGCAATCTCACGGAGACGACGGATGGTGGAGCGGGTGGCGGCGGCAGCGGGGGTGCTGTAGCAGGAGGAAAGGTTAGTAGATGCTTGGGTCGGGTTGTGTGCGTCTGTCCGAGATGGTCCCCGATCCAGTCACACGAGGCGAAACTTACGAAACGGCGTAGGCACCGCCGGCGACGGTCTTGTTGCAGCCGTGGCACTCCCAGATACCGGTGGCCTTGCGCTTCACGGTGTTCTTACCGCAGAAGGTGCAGGTGTAACTGAATATTTATTAGTCGAGCGATGGTTGTGGGGAGTCGCGGTGAACGTACCGGGCGTGCTGCTGAGTCTCGATCTTCTTGATCTGCTTACGCAGAGAAGCACCGTATCTGTGAGAGGGGTTAGATGTCGATTGTTCGTGTGGAAGGATATTTCGAATTTCGAGGAAATCGCGTGGGCGCATTGGTGTCATACCTCGTTCCGTATTTACCGGCGATGCCGACCTCTGTAGAAAATAATTAGCAATGGTCAAAATAGAGGGTATAGCGAGTGCAACATACTCTTGGTGCGCTTCGTCATCTTGGCTGGTGTCGAGGATGAAGATGGGTACTGGACAGGAGTTCAAAAAAGACGCTTTGAATGAGGGCGGGTTGTGCTGTGGATTCTCGCTTAGGGCTCTTGGCGCAGTGCGATCACCTGACCCTTTTTGGTCTTAGTGGGCTTACGTCATGCACCTTAATGCAGCGACTGGCGGCCTCAGGTTTCGACGGTTTGCCAAGGGCTTCGACTGGAATCCACTCGATCCACTGCAAATGACGACGTGAAGTGGATGTTCTTTTCTATTTTTTATTAGAATTGAGGAAATTGATAATCGACTTGATTGCTGCCGTTTATTTCAGGTTTCAAAACTAGCACCTCCTGAACCTCAGTGTAGCTCGACTCTCACTCACATGCGGTCATTCGGCGTCACTGAAACTCCCACGGCCAGCTCTGAAGCAGTCGGTGCAATAAATCACCCCGGTCACGTGATGGTTATGCATGAATTCATTGAATATAAAATGTTTCTAAAGCCGAAGAATGTAAAATTGTAAAGTCTGCGTATGACTTGTACCACCTCGTGTCCTTGAGAGATCTTTAAATCGTCTTCTGATTTCCCTCGCTTGTCCCCCACTCAACAGAGCAGACCGCACCTCCAAGCAGCCTGCCGAGCCTACCCTCTCCCGAAAGCTCCCCTGTCTTGCAGATCTACAGCTCCAATGGCTTCCAACCGCCAATATGACTTGGTCCTACTCGGCCCAACCGGCTACACGGGTCGATTCTGCTCAGAACACATTGTTCAGAACCTCCCTACCGATCTGAAATGGGCCATTGCAGGCCGCTCTGCGCAGAAGATGGAGCCCATCGCCAAGGAACTGAAAGCCCTCAACCCAGACCGCGCTGACCCAGGTATTTGCCCTTGTCCCGGTATCCAATTTCCTATAAACTATACATCAATGCTTATCAGGTCCGGGTCATAGATATTCTGGTGGCTCAACTCAACTCCCGTGAGCTCAATGAGCTTGCACAGAAGACGCGACTCATTATCAACTGTGTGGGTCCTTACCACTTGTATTCAACTCCAGTCGTCGAGGCGTGTGCAACCAATGGAACTCACTATGTCGATGCGTATGTTCATACATTCTCGTCATTGCTCATGGTAATCGCTAATTCTCATAGCACTGGAGAGACCCCGTGGATCAAGTTGATCATCGAGAAGTACCACGAGACTGCTAAAGCCAATGGTGCAATTGTGCGTTATACCTTGAATCTCTGCACACCCAGCTCAAATCTAACCTGACCAGATGATTCCCTCGACCGGCGTTGAGAGTGCACCCGCTGATCTTCTCGCGTGGTCTCTGGTCAAGCGAGTCCGCGAAGATCTCTCGGCTCCAACTCGCCAGATTGATGGCACTATCAAAGAAATGAAGTATGTCCCCTGGTATTTCAATGCTTGCCACATGTATACTAATCCCATCAGATCCTCCGGTCCCAGTGGCGGCACCTTGAACACCATCCTCACAATGTTTGACTGGCTCCCAGTATCCGAGCTATCCAGATCAATGACCCCATTCGCGCTATCAGCCTCAGCTCCACCAAAGAAGATCCCCAGCGATACCATCCTAGAAAGGGTCTTCGGCGTTCGCGCGATCCGTGATCTAGGCACGGTCACCACTTCCCCGTCCGCCATCGCTGACATCACCCTCGTGCACCGCAGCAGCAGCCTCATGCCCGAACTATACGGTCAACAATTCGTCTTCCGCCAGTTCTTGTCAGTCCGAAATGCATTGATTGGTGTTGCGGTGCACATTGGATTCGCAGTTGGACTCACGTTGCTGTTGCTGTCCCCTGTTCGCTGGTTGTTGCGAAAGTTCGTCTTTGCGCCTGGAGCTGGTCCTCGTCGTGAGGACTCGACTAACGATCGTCTGGAGTACAATGCTATTGCAACGGCGGATAATGCCGAGAAGCAGCGCGCCTTTGGTAAGATCTCTTTCTCGGGCGGTATGTATCTCTTCACTGGACTTTTGATGGCGGAGGCTGCAATGGTTATCCTCAATGAGGAAGAGAAGATCAAGAAGGTGTCGCGTGGCGGTATCGTTACTCCTGCTACTCTGGGTCAGGACTATGTGGATCGCTTGGAGAAGGTCGGCTGCAGCATTGAGACCAAGGTGTTCCAGCATTAGCGGGCCTAGTCCAACTGATCACCTCTACTATATGCTCAGTCGAAGGAATGTTGTTCTTCTGACGATATTTTATGTATTCATCCCCATAATCAATCTGCTTTGTTATCAGTGCAAATATTTACATTTCTGGCTCAGAGCTTGCCAGCTCTACCAACAAAAACATTCTCCTTCAACCAATCCGAGATGATAACGTTAACTTCCTCGGGCTTCTCCCACAACGCCCAGTGTGAGGTATTGACCTGTTTCAAGGTGAAATTGGGAATATGCTTCGCCATCGACTTCCCCAAATGCGGTGGTAGAGCTTGATCTCTCAACGCCTGAATAAACAGGGTAGGGATCTGAATCTGCCTGTCAAGAATCTCAAGCTCCTCTCTGTGATTCACCTCTCGGGTTCGATACCAATTAACTGCAACAAGTTAGAGACCATATCTCAATACTTTGGAAATAACATACGAGGACCATGGACACCACTCCTAGCAAACTCATTCGTATAATACTCCAATTCCTACCACAAGTCAGCGCAAAATTTCGACCATCTTCAAACTTTCAACTCACCTCTTCAGTCAACAGCCTCGAAGGCTTGAGGCCCCCAATCTTATCCACCAAAACACCCTTGTGGGCATCAAACCCGACCTCGCCGGCCTCAGTGCGGCCTCCATAAAGCGCAAGTAGGAATTGGCCAATATCGCTCTTGGAGCGAATAACCTTTTCCAGCTCTCCACTCTTGAACTGAAGCTGGTACGCGAAATGCGGCGCTGAATTCTGTACCAAGCTTTCGAGAGAAATGCCCTCTTTCATTGGGCGCGCGTACGGCACACAGACAGTGAACAAGTGGCTCACCAGCTCCGGATACCATAGAGCAATGCGGTAGGCGAACGCAGCACCCCTGTTTCACATTAGTTGAGTTCTCGATTCTAGGAATGATGTACTTGCCAGTCATGTCCACCGAGGATGATCTGAGTCTCGCCGAGATGGGTCGCCAGGGCTTTGATGTCTGCTGCGCAGCTTTTGTGCGAGTAGGGTGTGAAGTCGTCTGGTGCATCCTGCTATTGTTAGGTCTTTTGGGACAGTGAGAATGAAACCTTGAAAGCTCACTGTTCGTCCGTATCCCAAACAGTCAGGAGCGACTACGCGCAAGCCCATGTCGACAAGCATGGGGATCTGATACCGCCACCCCATTGAGATGTCGGGGAAGCCATGAATCTGGTCGGATGATCAGTCTATGCTCTGTTGACATCGGCACTGCATTCTTACTAGGAATATTGTGGCCTTGTAGGTTCCTGACTTGGGTTGACTGAGAAGGTAAGCTGGGGAGGTATGGTATTAGCTCGATCTCTGCATTGTTCGCGGCTGTCCAGGTGGTACGCACAGTAGGTGTGTCCATTGAGATTGGCAGTCTTGTACTCAACTCGGGAATCACCCGACACTTGGATTTTATCGACAACCATGTTCCGATGCGAATATCTCGACGATCAGATGATAATTAAAGGGGCTTCAGGGTCTGAAGATCAAGTTCCGCAATATATATTCGTGAAACTCCACGGCGAATCACGTGAGGTTGGCCAAGAATGATTTCGGAGCTAGCTGATCATTAATCTTCCAAGTCGGAAACTGCCTGGGAGCCTGGAATGGGAAAGATTATTAGAACAATGGAGTCACCGAAGGTATTCGGAGAGATTGTATGCCGAATCCCCCTCACGTTTCTGCCTCGGCACGTTGATCAGGTGGGGCGCCAAGACGTTAGCTCTATAAATCTGGGGCACATCTTTATGCGCTTGCATTCTTTTTCATGTTCGAGTCGGTGGAGCGACATGGAGGTCCAGAACCTTGTAATATATATACCAAGCGGATATCCAGACACAGACTGATATAAAGAATATTCAATGAGGTACAACCCATAGTGTCCAGTTCATTTTATACCAAACCTCCAGGGCTGGAGAAGGCAAGGTTGGGAACCCAACAACCAATCCGGAGCAGTGATAATATTCGTTTCTGATAGAACCCATCTCTCTACCTAGGTAGTAAATGCTAAGTTGGCAAAGCTGAGAGATAGGACGGTCAACAGCATACGATTTTGGATACCCTTCCAAGGTTGACGCTAAACACTCAAAGGGACCCCGACATCTGGTGGGTCGAGATCTCTGGGCATTGAGCCAATCATTGTCGGACTAAGATATATAGTATGGAAAATTGGTCATACATATGATCTTCTTCCAACTGCATAGACCTTGTCGGAGAAAAATTTCAAACGAGCTGCACAATCCTTGATTCTTTTTACATTTTTGAAGAATGGCCACCTTGACCCCGGTCCCCGTCACCCTCCGCGAAGACGAGATACCAAGCAAACAGAGCATCCGAGACATCATCGGTACATTCTTGACCAAAGAATGGCGCTTTGTGGACCCAGAAACCCTCAGCATATCCTATCATCCATCTTTTGCCAACGCCCACTGTCCCGTCGAGCGACCGCATCCGACAACGGGTGTGCCCGCAGAGCCCTTGAAAGTCTTCATCAAGTTCCACAAAAGTACCACCGGCTGTCTCGAAATCTTCAACAGTCTAGTTCCGAGTAAGCAGGAAGAAGCAATCTTGTGTCATGAGTACGGCCAATCTGGGTTGGGGGCGCAGGTCTTTGGTTTCTTTCAGACACAGGATGGCACGCTGGGGCGAATTGATGAGTTCCTCGATGCGCGAAATATGGAACCTGGAGACGTCGAAGATCCTTCCATTAGGGCAGATGTTGCCAGCGGAATGGCTACATTCCATGTCTTGCAGGCATCATTGGAGAAGAAGACTGTGGGGGAGTACTATGATGCCGTTTTCAATGGTCTCAGGACCTACCATGGGATGACAAAACTGAAGAAACTTGGCAGAGAAGGGGGTGTCAACATGGATGATCTAGTTGACTACGACTTTGCATCACGGTTGAGGAAGATCGTTCGCCGATTGGAAGAAATAGGAGGAAAGACCGGATGGTGTATCCATGACGTCCAATTCATGAACACTATGATCAAAAATGCACCCGAAGAAGGGAGCAAAGTTGTTCTCATTGATTTCGAATTCGTTATGCAAAATTATCGAGCATTTGACATCGGGGGCATTTCATGCAGAAGATGTTCAAGTGGTTTGATGAGGAGAACAAGATTGCAAATTGCAAAAAATACACCGAGGATGAAAAGATGCACTTTTGTCAGGTCTATGCTGCGCAGTGGAACAAATTGACGGGTGATTCTGATACTGGGGCACAGGTGTTTCTGGAATCTGAGTATGGATACATGCTTGCGATTACTTTTGACATTCACAATATGTTGTGTTTCATGGAAGCTGAGGATGACAAAGATCCATTGAATCTTCTTGGTCTCCGCAAGTTGTTCGATGAGTTCATGGGTCAATATATCAAGCTTGGACTGGAAGGCATCTGAACAGCAAGCATATGGCTTCATGAAATGTGATGTGATGTGACGCGATATGACACATGGTAGACATATGAAATTTTCTACATAAAGCATTTGATACAAGTCTTCTTATCTCAGAATTCGAACAGCTTAAGGCATGTTTCGCCTCGGACCCTAAGCATGAACCAGGAGCAAATAGGAAATATCAACCGTGTAAGTATGCTAGGGGTTTCATTGAAGAGTTCCTCGCCACTTTTCATTCATCAGCCCTTCGTAAGGGTAGTCATAATAATTGAACACTTCCTAGCATGTCAAAAGTGTCCCAGGGATAAGGCCCAGTAACACCCAGCGACCTAACACATCACGTCACAAGCATTTCAATGTCACGACATGAGGTTTATTTATCGAAAAGCGACATATCTTGACTTACACATGACCAAACGCCTCGGAATAGAAATACAACGCCCATCAGACCCTTGGACCGCAGAAAACCAGGCATCGGACATGAGTTTTGGTAAAACCATTGCACCCAGATTGACAAGTTCGCACAGCCGACAATCGGTACTTAATAAATCACAGTATCCTCGTTATCCTCAACAACCTCACCTCCGTCGTCGTTATGTAATTCATGCTGTTCAAGAACGCTTTCATCCACCTTAGCAGGCGTCTCATCCTGTTGAACTTTAGAGGCTCCTTCATTAGTTTCCTGAGACACTATGTCCGGAGCACTCAGCACTTGCCCCTGAGATCCTGTATCTGCGGAATCTGCTTGAACCAACGGTTCTTCTGCTTGGGTATCTGGTTGCTGCTGTTCTGTTGGCTTTTCGAGCTTTGGCTGCGACTCGGGAGTTGGTAATTTAGGGGCGAAGGCCTCTGGTGGGTATTTGGCTTCAAACTCAGCGACTTCCTGGGCCACTAGAGCTTCTGCCTTTTCAATCTGCTCTTTGATCACTGACTCGTCACCAGGTCTTGGCTGCCATGGTTTATAATACTGGAAAATGGTTAGTGTTGGTCATTGAGGATGAATGAAGCAGGAGGATCGCTCACCAAAGCCGGTTCAGCCCGAGTCTTGTGGAAATACGCCATCGCAATCAGATTTGAGTGTCTTGTGTGCATCTGTTCCAGGAGAGTTAGGGGACCAGTGCACATGAAGCGTTCTGTAAACGGGGTGGATCAAACGTACTGCCTCCCGCTCATACATCGGCACTTCCCTCCTGCGGATTTCTTCACGCTCCTCTTTCCTTCGCTTCTTCAACTCGCCATATTGCGCATCTTGTGTCTTCAACTTGTCTTGTTGCTTCTTCTCAATATCGGCGCGGCGTCTCTGTGCCGCATTGCTCGGCTTCTGGGAGAGGGTGCCCAGCAGCCCACCAAATAGCCGTTGACCACGTTTGCGATCTTCGTCGCGGTTTCCACGTGGTCTGGACGGTCTCTCTTCAGATTCCCTCGTCGAAGCCGGTGGGGAAGAGGGACGCCGTCTCTCTGACTGCGGAGAGATGTTGGCTTGAGAGCTAAGTCGCCGGCGCTTACTATCATATTCCGAGACTGACGATTGCCGTCGCTTGGTATGAGTTTCAGGTGACTGGCGCACGGTGACCTGTTCAGGCACTGCGACTGCCGAGGCGAGTGTTCTGTGCAAGATTGCGAATGTTAGCTACACCCGTTCAACATGCTTGCGCGGGTAGATTCAAGAGGGAACTCACTCTTCAACCATGATCGAATGAATACAAACCAGTTATATCATCCAAAGAGCGAGCAATCAAAGAAAACCACCGCGAGTGAAAACAACCAGCAAAGCACTCCAACTTGGTTCCTGCTTGGGACAATCAAGCGCAAAAGGAACGGATACCGAGAGTCCGCGCGCACGGACCACCGACCGCGCCTTTCCCTCCGGCTTTTTCATTTCTAAGCTCTCGTCATTCCACCTGCACCTCTCAACTCAAGCATATCTCCGTTTTGACAACTCTCTCCATCTCCTCATCTCACACGCCAAGTCATCATGTCTCGCCACCACCCAGATCTCGTCATGTGCCGCAAGCAACCCGGCATTTCCATCGGCCGCCTGTGTGACAAATGCGACGGCAAATGCCCCGTGTGCGATTCCTACGTGCGCCCAACCACCCTCGTCCGTATCTGCGATGAGTGCTCCTTCGGTAACTACCAGAACAAGTGTGCCGTCTGCGGTGGAGAGGGAATTAGTGATGCATTCTACTGCTTCGAATGTACACGGCTGGAGAAGGACCGCGACGGGTGCCCAAAGATTATCAATCTGGGAAGTTCGCGAACAGATTTGTTCTACCAAAAGAAAAGTTTCAGGAATCAATGATCAGACCCCAGGCTGCCTACCTCTACGGGTTTGGCCTGCCTCGAGGGGAGGCACCCGGTGCTCTATGCCTCGCGATGAAAAAGGGCCTACAGAAGTTACAGACATGGAAAGCTTGCACATGCTAAGAATGGGCTCTATGCCCATTTGTTTCATTGGGTTACGGGTTTAACGATTTACCGACCGGGACGACGAGGTCTAGCGAATCCTCGCGCAGGCCCTTGGTCTCGTGGCGGGTTGACTTCCTCTTGCAAACGCTCATCAGTGATCTCGTCCGGGCCCGAGGCCTCAATCTGTTAATTGTGAGCATACGACAAATCACGACAATCACACATCGATACATACCTTCTTCAAGATCTTGTGACCCTCCTGCTCGGCCACCGTGATGGCGTTCCTCCGCGAGCTGGCATGCAGCATGCGCTCCTTGATCGACGATCCACTGGGGCAGGTGTAGACGAAAACAACGACATCAGATCCGGGGTAGTGGTAGAAGGAGTATCGTGGGGAGGAGGATGAAATGTGAGAGGCAACGGCGCTCGCCTCGACTCCAGCCTTGGAGTCAGCCAAAATGATCTTCTCCGTTGGAATGTCAATCGTCTTTGCAGCAGTTAGCCTCGAATTTCAATACGATCTTTTACATCTAGTCATGACTTACCAGTTGAACAAGGCCACCGTCCTGTAGATCTCTAAGAGCCGTCTTAGCAGCTTCATCAACAGGCATAGAAACCCTCATTCCGGAGCCGGAGCCAGGTCCAAAAGTTCCACCGATGCCAATGTCTCTACCAGGGGTACCGCTGCGGGCCTCAGCCTCAGCCTTCCTCACAGCCTCGAGTTCCCGTTCCTTCTCACCCATCATGTCCTCGCGGCTGATGGCGTTGGGGCCCTCGCCATCACGCTCGCGCCAGGCGTCCTGGCCCAGAACCTCGTCTTCCTCAGTAGCAAAGACAGTGGAACCGAACTTCTCCGTGCCAAGCTCGCGAGTCAGTGTTGAGCGAGTCGAGGCAAAGAGTGTCTTTGCTCGCACGGGGGCATTGGATGGAATGTACGTCAGAGCAATGAGGGAGGTCGAGGAGGACTTGGTGCGGCGGAGTAGGGAGGTAGATGGGTGTCTTAGGCTGCAGAACAGAGGAGAGTTGCGGAAGGGCCGAAAAAAGGAGTCCGCGGACGGTGTACCCTGGAAGGGAATCGGGTTCAGCGGCGTGAGGGTCTCTGCTGTGATGGTTACGGGCAGGCAGAAGGTGGAGGTATCGGAGTTGAAGCGAGCGAAAGCATCTTGCAGCTCCGAGGAGACTGAAATTGTTAATCACAATTGCGTTTGAAGTTGGATTCGAGCCTCTTACCTGTGATACCGGACTGCATGATGCTGCACTTTAGGATGCAGGGTAGTTGGTTGTTTACAATGTGAGGGGAGGGGAGCGGTGAATGAGGGGCCCGAAGGCGTGTAAGCGGGCCCGGATCCTTCTTCATCAACATCATATTCGACTACTACTTGGACTTGGAACGTATCAAAAAAGACCATTGAATTTCTATTTCAGGTCAAGACCCAACAAAGTGGTATACAAAGAGACTAACGCAAAGCACAAAATATTTACAAAAGAAAATCCCGCTGGACCAAGGATAGCCCAACGCAAGAAGAGGAATCGCAACGCCCACCATGCTGGGACAGGTATCACAATGCTTTCCAAAGAACGAGACATTTTGACAACTTCACTCCTCAAACTTGCCACCCACAAAGGCCCAGTTTGATCCCTCAAGTTTGCCCTTGAGATACTCGTACACGGTGAAAGTCACCGCCTGTCCGGGAGCGACACGCATCACACGAGGAGTGATACCCTTGTAGAAGGCACGGGTGCCTTCGGTCTTGAACATGTCCTTGGCGATGACCATGATGCGAGAAACAGCAGATTGACCGGGCTCAGCACGGGTCTTCTGCAGACGAGTCTTGATGGTGTCGATGGGGGCATTGGAGAAGGGGCCGACAGCACCGGAGATCAATCCGATGAAAGTGGTCTGGTACGAAGGCAACTGGCTGTTGCTGTACTCCGGTTGCCAGCGCTGCAGAGCAGCCTTCAATTCCGTGTATGCGGTAAAGTTGGCAGCTTGGTTGGTACCCTGTCGGAGGGCTGTGAGTGAGACACCGCGGTAGAGGACGCTGAAGCCCTCTTCCTTGACAACGGTGAAGAGCGCGTGCGGTGCGCTACGGTACTTAGGGGCGTCCAAGGGGTCAGCCAGACTGTGGTGCTGGGCCTGCAGACGAATCTTGACGACTTCCATGGGGTTGACCACGGCCACAGCTTCAGTCACACCAGCCGCAAGACCAGCCAAGAAAGTGGCCTTGCTGGTGACATGTCCTGTCTCCTTATCCGCCAATGCGCCCTTGTATGCCTCGTATGAGGTGAATCGAATGGCCATCTTCGGGATGATACCACCTAGCACGGCACCCAGACCCTTGTACAGACCCAGAGCGGTCTCCTTTTTCACAATCTGCACACCGGTAGCCACGAACCCGCGTGGCTTAGCCTGTTCAAGCTGGTGGTTAGCATGTTGCCCGAATACCGGAATTGACTGCTGAACTCACTCCAGGTGCTGTAGCTCTCCTTGACAGCTGCATGCGGACCTTGATTGTGTCGAGAGGGTGGCAGACCAGAGCCTCCATCATACCAGCACCACCACCAGCTAATCAACAGGTTAATAACTGTACAGATCCCGCGGGTAGGGTCTACTCTACCGATCAAGTTGACCGCAGGCGATGTGCGCTTTGAATTGGCATTTTTTGCGGACATCTTTCCAATATGTGTATATACGCAAAGGGAATGCGAAGGATCACGATTGCAAATCGAATGTGTTCAAATGGCCAGAAATATCGGAAATCGAGTTGCGCAGATCGTTCCGATAATCGCGAGGGAAAACCGAAATTGCGGAGAAGCGGCAGTATACAATCCCGGGGATACCCAGCGCGATTGGAATGATGCTCTTCCCAAGACTTTTATGGAAGCTCAAGATCAAGAATTGACGTCTATGAGACCTTTGAAACTTTTTAATTCCAGTGCAATTCACCGGGTATATGAATCTCGGCTCGAAGTGGCGGCAGTGCCAAACTTTGTGGGGGAGGTATGACGGGGTAGCGGAAGCTGTGGGCGAGCGGAAGTGGAATGTATAGAACCTCGCACAGAAAGACAAAGCAGAGAGAAAGATTGAAAGATTAACAGAGTAAACTACCGAGGGATCTCTCTTCTAATATATCAGGAAATATTAAATGCTCTATTCCGGGTACCTCTCCAGGGCTCTCCAGGACATCCCGAGGCCTTCGGGAACAAGGGCGGCTCTCCTTCCACGGTATATGATTCACAGATCTCCAAAAGATCTGACTTCACATGCCTTTGATACTGTCGTCATAGTTTAAGCTTGTGATTCTCTGTACTTTATTAAAATATTGAAATTAGGCTTAGATCATAACTGTTCAAAGGATGTAGAACGTGATAAAACCCCTGCTATACATGCAAACATCCGCATAGTTACTCTCCTATTTTCCGGGGAGCTAAATTACTCCGGAGACAGCTTCTCCCCAGGTTCGGTAGTTCCAGCATCGGAGGAAAGTAGCGAATACCGCTACCTATTGCGGGTGTTCTCGGGCCACCGCAGGAGTTCCTCTCAGCCGAGGTTCCTAGGGTAATTAGGGTACTATTCCAGTGATCATGGGACTTGGGTCTGAGTCAGATGAGCATTTAACCTACCCTTGCAGACTTGGCCTTTTCCCTCTCGGTCCGGGGTGTTTAGTGCACTTAAATCCTAGGCCTATTTAGCTGATGAGTGACGTTGACCACTCTGCCCGGTTGAACGTTTTACCCAATCAAATCCAAATCTCAAGATCTCTACCTCTTCACCTCTCTCTTGCCTGCTCTTTTTCTTTTAATTTGGTTTGTTGTGCATAGAGATCATCTCGATATCATGTGCAATGTGTGATGTGCAAGATGCAATATGCCATATGCTGCCATACACGTACCTTCACATGCGTCGACCCAACATCTAACATCGGGTGCCCGATCTCGGCGAATCTCTTCTTGACCTCGCAAGACAAGACATCCAAGCCCCAAGCACAATGCAGGGTAATGAATATGTAGAGCTCAAACCTCAGTAGACAAGGCGCGAAGCGCACGAAGCGCGCGATCTTTCAGCCGTTATCAACTCCGCCTCGGATTAAATCCGATCGCGCAATCTCAAACATTCCCAAATCCTTTCGCGACCTCGCTCTCTCCAGAGTCCAGGGTATCCAAATATCCATGCCAAATAAATGGAGCCGACTCCGCTGAAGCGTATCGTATCGCAGATCCTGCACCAATGGCTGCTGATCGGGATCGGAGTCGTTTGCGCCCTGGCATACTGCTTCCCGAACGTCGCCAAGCATGGCGGCGTGATCCGCTCGGAGTACAGTATCATGTACGGAGTGATTGCGATCATTTTCTTGATTTCTGGTTTGAGTATTCCGCGCCAGAAGCTGTTTTCACAGTTTTTGAATTGGCGGCTCCACCTTGTGGTGCAGATAATTTCTTTTCTGTTTATCCCGGCTTTGGTGCTGGCTGTCGTGCATATTATCCTTGCTGGAGATCCGAAGGGACATATTGAGCGTGCGGTTCTGGCGGGCTATATTTTTACGGCGTGCATACCTACGACTATTGCATCTAATGTCGTAATGACGAGGGCAGCGGGGGGAGACGATGCGGCAGCTTTGGTGGAGGTGCTTTTGGCAAATGTTCTCGGTCCGTTCGTGACGGCTGCTTGGACGGTTGCGCTTTTACCGAAGGAGGCGGCGTTTGACCCGTGGCGGTACGGTGGTGGAAGCTTGGGGAACATGTACAAAGATGTCTTTCAGCAGTTGGGACTCGGTGTGCTTTTGCCGCTGTTTGTTGGACAGTTGGTAAGGTGGACTTGGCCTGATCATACTGCGGCGGTACTTTTGAAGACCAAGTTGCCGAAGCTGGGTACTGTTTGCATGCTGCTGGTGATATGGTGAGTGGATTGAGATGTGATCAAGACCCTGGCATATTGTTCTGACCGCACCAGGTGCACATTTTCTTCCTGCTTCGCGACAGGGGCTCTGCAAACTATGTCTGCGCAAAGCGTGGTTTTTGTTGTCTTGTTCAACATCGCATTATACATTACCTTGACAGGGGTATGCTTCGTGGGTGCAAGGCCCCCACGAGTCTTTGGCTCTCGGCCCTGGGCAAAGCCCATTTTCAAGCGCATGTCCCCCGAGGAAACCATTGCTGTTTGTTTCTGTGGGCCGGCAAAAAGCACAGCACTTGGTATTCCGCTGCTTTATGCTATGTGGCAGCCCTTGGATCTCTTCACCAAGGCGAAGACCTCCGTGCCGGTGCTTCTTTACACCACGGAACAGATCTGCGTAGCACACTTCTTTGTGCAGCTTTTCAAAAAATGGCATGCAAAGATTGTCCAGAAAGAACACTCAGAGGATAATGTTGGGGAAGATATGGAGGTTGGGGTGGTGACTGGGGACGGGCACGACAATGCAGCCGAACCTCGACCTCGACTGACTCCCGCTTGATTCTTTTTGAAATTACGAGAACACGGTCAGGCTTTTTTTTTTCTCTTGCAAAGTACAGCGCGTCTCCCGGGCAACTTTCTTGCATGTGTCCTTGATGATTTGAGCGTAGACATTCTCATACAGATATTAAATATTATTCACATAGACAACGTAAAACAATTCACACGATAACACTTTTGTAAGCACCAATCTGCCTGCCTTACGTTTTTTCCCGGCAGGGGATGCGCATGCCTGGTGATAACACCTGTTGTCCCTCTCTGGAAGCTCCTCTGGGACCTGGTGTAGTACCAGAAGATCTATTTTCCAGCCCAGAAGCGCAAGAATGCCTCCCTCTTGTTTTTCGGGGGTGCCAATTCAGGATCCCGATCATTCTCCTCCAACGGCAATCCATCATTTCCGACATTAGTGACCGCATTCTGCGATTTACCCAAAAAGTAATTGCTCTGGAAGAATGCAGCAATCAGCGGGATGAAAGCGATGCCCAGTGCAGGAGCAATGCAATAGTAGAGGGCACGGCGGTAAGCGAGCACAGCACCGACACGCATAGGATCATCGAAAGCGTAATTCTTGCGAATAGAAGTGATGACACCAAACAGCTTCTTGATATCAGCATCGGTCGCTGTAGCAGGCAAATGCTCACGCAGCTGCTTGGGCATCTGATCAGCCCATATGACAGCGACAATGGCGGCTCCGATGGCATTTCCAATTTTCGACCACAGCGATAAGAGGGAGATGACGAGGGCGACATCTTGGTGAGGGACGGACGCTTGAGATGCGACCCGAGAGCCAACAACAGACATCGAGCCACCGAAGCCGACTAATATCATTGACATTACCATTGCGGCTGTGTTGGATGTTGCCTTGTTGCCGTCGAGCATGATTCCCATTCCAATGAGTTTGATCATCAGGCCTGTGATTTGGATGGCTTTGTATCTGTGTGTCCAACGGTGGAGGAGACCGACCATCGGTCCTGCGATGCAAAGGGCGAGAGTGAGGGTGTTGTTGTAGTACACCCAGTCCTGGTAGCTCCATGACTTGGCGACGTAGACGTACGAGCTCCAGTATAGACTGCGCATGCTTCCGGCAACTAGTATCAAATGTCAGTACTGAGTGAGCTTAGGATTTCTTATGGCACTCACGCATGTAAATGCTATCGATAATGATAGCCATGATAAAAGTCCTGTTGAACACCAACCGCCGAGGCGCACTAGGCACACGAGCCCACTTGATCTCATAGACAACATAAGCGACCAAGAGAAGACCGCCCACAATCATCATAGAAATGAGTGACTGATTACGCCAACCATGGTCGGCATACGTCTTCAGTGAGAATGGCAACAGAAGCAAAGACCAACCGAATCCAAGGAGTACAAGGCCAAGAGCATCAATCTCTTCCAAGTTACGGTTAAGAGTCTGAAGCCAAGTCTCCGACGGATCAGCAGCAACAGCTACTACGGCACCATGAGGTGCCTCCGTGCCATCTTTCTCGGCAAGATCACGGGCCGCTCGCCGAGCTGCGTTGGATGATGCCAGATTCACGATGCCAGCTTTCTTCGCTTTGCGATCAAGCCAGATGAGAGTGGCAATAGCAGGACCCAGGGCCACAGGCATGATGATAGCGAACATTCCATACCCCCATCGCCACTGGTCCTTGCTATCAATAGCATCGACGATCTTCCCGGCAAACCAGGTGTTGATGATGAAGGGGGTGGAAAGCATTGAGCTGGCAAAGCCACGCCATTCGAGAGGCGTCAGATCAGCGACGATGATATCGTTGGTCAGATCCAGGCCTGAACTACCGATCGCAACGAAGACTTCACCGATCACATAGGCGGAAATGCTCCTGCTGCTCGCGACAATGATATAACCAATCACGTAGAAGAACAATGTGAGGATGTATGTATAGGGACGGGAGGTGATGTCGGAGATCTTGGCGATAAACGGCTTGCTTACAGCGCTGATGATGCTCGTAGCGATAGACAGAGTTGAAAGGACCGAGCCGTGCTGCTTGAAATACGACGACGCATCGATGGAGTAGTTGTAGGTCGTCGAAGAATCGAGCGAGTAGGCCCAGGCGCACACCAAGACCGATATACCGACGAGCCACAAGGTTGTCCGGTTTGTCTTTGCTTCGCGGTAGACTGCTTCCATGCGAGTCACTCCCTGAGATTGGAGAACATCTCCCACCTTGGACTCGGGGGCATCTTTGGCAGGCTGGGCGGGTGTCGCCACGCTGATGATCTCGTCCTTGTCAGCCATTTATAGAGCCCTGGAGTCTGATTGATTGAAGGTGGCTCAAGAGTCCTTTATATCCAGACAGCCAGGCGAGACATGTTCCACATGGAGCACAGGGCCAGCGAATCGGAGGGCCACAATCTAATCTAATCAATCTAGGTCACATTTGAGTTCCAAAGCAAGAATATTTCTTACCTTTAGAAGTGATTTTCGCACAGAGTTGCCATGTCAAGTTAGCCTCGCAGTGGAGACGGGTGGCTCGAAAAGTTTGGCTCTTTCTTGGCGGCTTCTTTGACTTCGAAAATGCTTTTGTGTATTCCTGCATAGCGATGGGCGTTATGTACAGGGCCTGTAGACCTAGGCGGCGGTCGGTGTACTTGTTTTTTCTCTTTCCTTCTTCTTTTTCTTTCGAATTGAGCATCGGAAGCTCTTGAGGACCAGCAGCATGGTTCGCCAAGAGTATAGCGGGCTTCCTGTTTAGGAAACTGGTCTAGTTTGGCATTGGAATTTGCCCACGATTTCTGTCAATGGCATGATACTTCAATGGTTAATCTCAACAAAGTAAGCTAAGTCTAAAATCATCCACATCTCCAAAGCGCACAGTCTCTCAAGTCTCAGTCCAAGGTCTCCGACAGCCTTGGAAGTGACAAGGCCAGAGCTTACTCCTGAGTGGCCAGATTCTCGGTGTCTTTCCCGGTATCCATCTCTTCCAGACACTTGGTGAGATTTTGAATCTCCGATCTGAATTCCCCTAGCATCTTCAGAACCTCTTGACGAACTTGATCCATGGTTATGTCGCTCGGCTTGTTCACCTGATCACTTGGTGCCATTATTCCTTCGTTGAGGGCAGCTTCTTCGGGGACACCAGCTTGGGGACTCGAGGTACGGGCTGCTTTTGCTGGTCGGGGATTCTGTGAGGTCTCCTCGTTCGCTCTTTTCAGCTGGCGCGCAGCGCGAGAGGCAGCACCGGAACTCCGAATAGATTCCTTCAAGATTTGATATTGAATTTTTGCATCATCAGGATTGCGTATAGATAACCATGTCAGAAGCTCTTCTTTGACCTCTTCCGGTACCTAAGGAAAGAGATCAGCATGAACTAGATCTGCATATAGTGCGGTTCGAATTGTTTACCCGAATGCATCTTTTGTTTCCCTGATTGCAAGCCGTACAGCGCTTTCGGCCTGGATCGGTGCAGCATATGATCGAAGGGTCTTCTATTTTCTTGTTTAAACAAGCCCGGCAAGGCATTCCAAAATTGCTGATGCTTGACATTAAAGTCTTGTGGCTGGGGACTTCTTCTGAGATGGTTGGTTTATCTTGGGTTTCAAGTTTCACTTTCTGACCATGATCATCAGAGCTGGCGGTGCCTTCATTTGGGTCGATCTTGACTTTCTGCTCATGGTCATTGTCATTGGGGGCTGTACTCTGGGTGTTGGGCTCAATTTTCTGGACTTTGTCATCGTCAGACTTGAGTATGCTGTCCTTAGTATCGCTTTCGCTTTTTGTGATCTGCTTCTTTTGGTCTTGATGAGGTTCATTCTGATCATGACCATTAGGCTGAGGGGAGTTGTCCGTAATGCCAGTCTCGGTTTCCAGAGGTTCTGTCTGGGTTTGATGGGAATCTCCTGTGGCCATTCCAGCTTCAACCTCTCCAAGCGACGTTTGTTCCATCTTTGACAGGATACAGCTATCAATGTGTAGGTACGAGTATTATTGGTTCACGCTTCCACTGTAGGTGTGTTCAAAGAAGTTGTTGACAGGTCAAAGAATCATGTATACAACTATGCACCGTGTTTCCTATTTATTTGTAGTTGTGAGTCTGTTGCGCAAGCTGCCACTGTGATTGCGGGGTTATCCCAGACAAACAAGTGGTGTGAACTATCTTCCCACTCACACAGTATGTTTGTGCTATACACAACCATCATGAGCGAGGGGTAGAGGGGCAGGAGCCTGGCAGATATTGAAGATGAGAGGCTGATACACGAGTGGAAAAGACAGTGTTTGACAGAAGGGGCAAGTATGGTATCCAGGCCTTTCTAATTACTCATTGTTTTCCACATCCTCTCGTCATCCAACTCTCTCTACCACGAGAGATGTGCTTGAACATTGAAATGCCCCCGCGGAGAAAATGGCCAGGTGGGTCCAGTAAACCTCCATGACGTAGAAAAACGATTAATAATCAAAGATAAGGTCCATAAAGTCTACAACAGCGATTTCCCAGTGAATTTCTAAATCACCAACATTTCCGTGCTCTTTTGAAACTTCTATCTCAGATTCCACAATGGCAATCACCGGACAAAATGCTCTGATTGTACGTACAGATCCCCAAATACGTTCGGACCTCTCTAACACTATGCAGACCGGAGCCTCGATGGGCATTGGCGAAGCGACAGCAAGAGCTCTCGCCAAATCAGGTGCAAACCTGATCTTGCTGTCTCGCTCTGAGGTAAATTCCATACTCTTCTACTAGTATTTGACCGAGATAGCCCTAACGCCGTTTGTCAGGACAAATTAGCCAAGCTCGCAGACGAGCTGAACAAGGAATACCCACAAATCAAAGCTATCTACCGAGCAGCAGATGTGGGCAACTATGAAGAGGTTGATGCCGCGGTCAAGTCATCTATCAGCGAGCTAGGTGGCATAGATATCCTGATCAACAACGTACGCTGTCAAATCGATCCACGTGGCCCAGGCCTCAGTAACAAAGCTAACCTCCGCAGGCTGGCCTTGCAATTGGCGCTCCTAAAGCTTTCCACGAACTCGAGATTTCAGAAATCCTGACCATGAACTCTACGAACATCAATGGCCCAATGTTCGTAACTCACTCTGTCCTGAACCGATCTATGCTCTCCCGCAAGGCCGGGACAATCATCAATGTGACCTCCGTCACAGGCCTCGAAGTACCACCTTTTACCGGTGAAGCGGTCTACCATTCCAACAAGGCTGCGCAAGAGGGCTTCACAAATTCTCTGCGTAATGAATTGTGCGGCACCAATATCAGAGTACTGGCCTTGCGGCCTGGTGTTGTTGCGGGCCATTTCCATGCTCAGCGTGTTGGAAACGATCAAGCGCAGTATGACGAGTTTTTGAAGGGATATACGTATGTTTCTCATGCCGTTCAGGGAAATGATATCGCTTTGCTAACCAAGTTGCAGGCCACTTCTTGCTGATGATATTGCCGAAGCTGCTGTCTATATGCTCAGTCAGCCGCTGAATATCTCCGTTAAGGCCCTAGATGTTGTTCCTTCAGGTAAGTCCGATCCTGCCAACCGCGACCCCTGGTAGATGCTAACTGCAATAGCGCAACGATCTCTTACTGTTTTCGATCGCAAGTGGAACGAGCGGACTGGAGAATAATAATTTGCCGTAAAGAGTCTTTGGTCATTGGTTCCTAGTTTAAAAATAAATCGATGGGGTGAAGGAGTAGTGTCAGCCACGCCTGGTGGAAATATGGTATGTATGCATAGAATACATGAACAAAGAAAATCACAAAAGAAACATGTATGCAACAATGACCTCGGGGGTCATAAGAGGTCAGCATGAAGAAGAAGTTGCACGATAGCCATGCAATGCGTGTAGACGTCGGAGTCTATATCTCAGATATAGCTCACCTTGACGCCCATACCGACGGTGGCCTTGACCTTCTGCCAAGCACCATCAGTCACCCGCCGAACTCGTTCACGCACATCTTGTCGGCTCACCGCCATCAAGATACCTATCACAAAGAGGAGGGTGCGCAGTAATGACATCGGATTTCCAGACACAGTCTGGACAATATGGCGGAAAAGATTGCGCAAGGCGGTTGCCACAGCCTGGCTTTGGCGCCCACGCGGCTCAACCTTATCCTGCTTCTTGCTGTTTTTGGCACCAGACAGCGAGGTTCTCGGCTTGCCGTTCGCTGACTTATCTGGCCCCTTAATTCCTTTGCTCTTGGGTGAACCTTGCGCGCGACTCTTCTCAATCCCAAAGTCGGTCTCGCTGGTACTGCGCTTGTGGCCATTTGATTGTGCCTTCGCAGCCGCAGCCGCAGCCGCGTCCTCGGCTTCGCGACGCTCCTCGTCTCGTTGCCGTTCGAGCTCTGCGTCTTTCGCGCGCTGGAGTTCGACTGCGCGCATTTCACCTCGCTCCTTTTCTTCCTTCAGCCCCTCGAGAGTCTGTAGGAAGAGGTCTTTACGTTCTTCGTCGAGAACTTCACTCAGATTGATAAACTCGGTCGCATATTCCCACTCGTCATTGCGGGGGAGGACGTGCAGGGTGAAGAGCTCGATGATCTTAACTCGGGCAGTTAGATCCTTCGGTGTATCAGCACCACTTGTCGTGCGCATGGGTTGGAAATCTTCGGATGCATCTTGTAGGCGATCTGTTATATCGAGATTCGGCTGTCCGTATGAGGAGAGGTAGGTCTCCAGGCGCTGTTGGTTCAAGGACTGTGAGGAGGTGTGTGTAAGGAGTAGAGTAGCACTGTTATCACATTGTTAGTCCTTCGAACTTGGTTAGGGAGCTCGCGTAGAATACGAACAGGTTGTAGACGACTTCGGCATCCACCGAACCCTCGCGGCCCTGGTACCCGACCTCGACCACAGTCTCCCAGATTGCGCCATCGCGGACTTGCGAAGCAATTGACTTCCACTCTTTCAACCCAAATTGCTTTTTCCCTTCCTCCGCGCCAAGGTCGACTATTGCGCTGAGGAGAGTAATGTAGAGGTTCCACACCTTGATCCTCCACGTGCCCGCGGCAGTGGCGATCGGCGCGACCGGTGTTGTGTTATCGGCATTATTTGTGTCGTCTTTGGATACAGATTGTGTGATAATTGGCTGGAGGCTCTCAAGCGCTTCGGGGAGTCGCCTTGTGAGGTAAAGCTGGGAGGCTTTCTTGTAGGTCTTGGAGCACAGCTTCGTGGGGGTGGACGGGGTGCGGGCTTGGGAGGACGACATTGATCCGTTGGCCATTTTCATAGGGGGAGAAAATAATGTGATTGTTATGACCGAGGGGAATTGTGAAGTAAAGAAATGACAGTCTGAAACGTTTCGGGGCCGATTGCGATCGGCTGTCGTTTTCCCTCGGCTCATTCTCCAAGTCCGGGGTCGGTCACGGGACTTGGCCTGTGAGATCTATAGCTCGTCAACAGAAGACAGCAGTAGAAAGGATATTGTTTAATATATGGTGAAGCTATTCGACGCTTTAGACCTAGGGTATAAATATATGATACTCGCTCGTCTTCCTTCGTCTTATCTTCTCTCTTCTACATCTACCCTATCAAACATCCATACCATCCCAATCTATACTACTCCTATGACCTTTCAATGCCTCAATATCTTAGTTCTCAGTGCATCCTTAGGGAAACTCTGCATTTCAATTTGATCATCTGCATCTCACTTCCACAGCAAGATCCCTCGCTGGTGAAGTGAAACAAATTGCTCTTACTTCTTGACTTCCCCCAATACTCCTTTCACCTCTTTCCTTTCTCGCGGCTCTTTCCATCGGACATTTCAGACATCAGACAAAATGGACATTGGAATCGCCAATTTTTCCGACTACCTTCCTGTCATTCTCAATGACATCTCTTCGAGTTGCTTTGTGGCTATCGACTTTGAGTTATCCGGCCTTGCTTTCCCACCAAGTGTGCCCTCAATCACCACACCAACCGTGCAAGAAAGATACCTTGAAGTCAAGGAAGCTGCCGAACGCTATCAGATCTTGCAAGTGGGTCTGACTATTTGTCATGAGGATCCCCATAAGGGTATGCAACTTCTCACTTTCGAAGTGCGTGACTGACGAATAGCAGTCTCCTACACCCTTAAACCCTACAACTTCAACCTCAGTCCGATTACTGACCCTGGAAACGATGTGAATCGGGACTGGGTATTTGCAAGCCGGTGTATGTCATTTAAGTTCCATCAGTCTTGCTCAAATCGCTAACGTGGGTGCAGCGATGGATTTTCTCCTGGCCCAGGGCTTCAGCATTGATACAATGTGCAACACTGGCATTCGGTACCTCTCTCGAGAAGAGGAGCAATCAGCTCTTCGTACTGCTGCCGATAGATGTCGCACTCGTTCTCCTGCTTCGGACATGCAGGTCCAACAATATGATCAGGAGTGTTTAGAGTTCCTGCAATCGGCCCGTCTCGCAATCAACACATGGCTGGCAGGGGGAGTGGTAAGGAATCATGCAAATGAAGCTCCAAAAGCCTACTGACACATGCAGAAACGCGAAGATTGGTTGAATATCCCACCACCCAGAACCATCGATGTCGCTAGTGGCGAGGTTCCTCCGGGTTTGAGCGGCATTCAGAGACGACTTGTTCATCAATTGATCCATATTGAATACCCTACCTTGACGTCCCGCGGAGCGCCGACATTTATACAAATTCAAATGCGAAACGAAGAGTTTGAGCAAAAGTCCTCCGAGGCGAAGCTAATCGCCAAAAAGCAACGGATTCGAGATCACATCGGATTTCGGTGGGTTGTGGAGGCCCTCGTTGGGGGCAATCTGGACGGGCTCGGGCCAGAAGCATTCGGTCCCTTGCGGATGAAACTGAAAAATCCAAAGTTCAGTGTCCAACAGTTGTCAGAGCAAGTGAAAGGCCAGCTCAAGAAGAACAGACCTGTGCTGGTCGGCCATAATATGTTCTGTGATCTGCTCTTCTTTTACAGCTGCTTCATAGGCCCGCTACCAAACACCCTCAAAGAGTTTAACAGCGCCATCCACACCTTGTTCCCCATGTTGGCCGATACCAAGTATATGGCAACACACGAGTGCGGCCTCGTGCCCCCACAATCTTCGCTGGAAGATCTCAACGTCAACCTGGCCCACTTGGAAGATCCCAAGATAGGCAAGTTCACATCACCATGGTCACAGATGAGCATAGCTGACCGTGCTTCCAGAGATCGACCAGCGCTTCTCGAAGTACAAGTACCGCAGATCCACCCACGAAGCAGGCTATGACAGCCTGTTGACAGCCATGGCCTTCCTCAAGCTAGCGGGAAATGTACAGCGCACGTCTGCAATCTTCCCCAAGAAGAAACCAACCTTCTATCCCAGCAATGGACCACCCCGCAGCCTGTTCACCATTACCGTAGACCAGCAGTTCCGTCAGCTGCAATTGGTCCAGGATTGCCTCAACTTCTACAAGCGTGAGGATGAGGTCTCCACGGCTGTTGAGGAAGTGTATGAGCAAGTTGGACAACCCAACCGATCCTGGCAAGAGACCGGGGACAGGCAAATAACGAGCTTGGCTAACCGCGGAAAATTGGTACACCGTCTGGGGACCATCTTTTGGGCCAACTACGGAAACAAACTGCGAGTTTTCGGTACGCAGGAGAAGCTGATCCATGTAGGTGCCAACTCGCCAAAGGAGGAAATGTTGATCGAGTTTTAAGAGAGAGGGGGTGGGAGATATGGTCAAGAAACAAGCGTCAGTTGTGAATTGTGAATTGAATTGCATGTAAAGACTAGGGATGTTTGCAGCGACTATCTAACAGTACACCTTGATTTGAAGAAGGTACCGCTAGCGAAAAAAGGCCGCAAGCTCAATCTGAGCACCATTAAATGATCAAGTGGTCGTAGAATAGTGGACACATTGATGATAAGAGATGCTTGGAGAAGAAAAGGAAGTTTTCGGCTTCCGCGAAATTTAAACCCTGCGGGTGGAGACTAACCCGATCGGGCCTGGTGACAACGTGACCTGTGCTGTTGGATCTTTTTCTCGGGGAGACAACGACGCCCATACAACTCCACTGCCGTCCACTCAAGATGTCGTCAGGTTCAAATGGTGCAAGGCGCGTTGCCTCGTTGCTGAGTATGTCCCACTGATAATTTCCCCCGTCGATTCCGATTCAATGCTGACACGCGCGCAGGGCCATCAATAGTCGACTCCGGCGTGTGCAGAAGCTGTCAAGAGACCATTGGCCGCCGCAGCTATGCCACAGCCACTCCAGCAGCAACCGAATCGACAACGACTCCCCCGTCGTGGATCCCGCATACACCATCAACGCCGGTGTCGTCCTCTCCCGCCCTCCCCAAATCACCCGTGAACTCGAGCCTTTCGAGAAAGCGTTCTTCTTCTACCAGAAGCGTCTGAACGAGCGTCTGGCCCTCCCTTTCACAAAATACTTCTACTTCAAGCGCGGAACGCCACTTGATGAGGATTGGAAGAAGAAGATCCAGGAGCGCCGGACCGCCGCCCGTGATATTGGAAAGTACAACGCGTACGACAACGATGCGTGGAACGATGAGCTTGTGCTCGGTGCCCAGGAGGCCGAGCCTGCACACCATATCGAGGCTCTTGTGCAGGACGCGGAATCCACTGCCAATGCGACTTCCCAAGATACCAGCAAAAAGGAGGAAATTCCCCGCCCGCACCCCCGAATCACCGAGGCAGACCAGAAGAACGACCAGAAGAGCCTCAACCGATTGCTTTCCCGCACTCTTTACCTCCTTGTTCAGTCCAAGGAAGGAAACTGGAAGTTCCCCAGCTCCGCAGTGGAGGAAGGAGAGTCCCTCCGCTTGGTACGTTTGAATCCTGGAAATGCGACGCAACAAACCATTGAGTTCTAACTAATTGCCATGTAGGCCGCTGAGCGCACCCTTTCCCAATCCGCCGGTGTCAACATGAACACCTGGATGGTCGGCTACCACCCCGTCGGATGGCACCAATTCAACCCCCCTCGCGCGAAGAAGGGCGAAACCACCGAGGTCAAGGCTCCCGGTAACAAGGTCTTCTTCCTGAAGTCCCGCATCATGGCCGGTCAGGCCGATCTGTCCGTCAACACCCAGAACCTGAAGGATTTCAAGTGGCTGTCTAAGGACGAGCTCCCGCAATACTTGAACACCCAATACTACAGCAACATCAAGAACATGCTGGCCGACCGGTAAAGAGACAGCGAAGTTGAGCTGGGGGTGGAGGAACGGAGGTCCTTTGTACGGAGTATGAAGGACGGGCATACTTGTTCTGATATAAAGCGTACTATTGACGCACTGCATATACTTTTGCGCATGCCATGTATAACTAGAATTCTGTGGTTTAAATTTCATTCAATATTGATTCAACAAAATAAAGCGCCAAACGCCACGCCCGTAACCAGAAGGATGTAAATGAAACTTGGCAGTCTACTTTATGCCATGTTGAACTTCTGTCCTTGAACGATAGGCTGGTCCTTAGCCGCCTTTCCAGCCAAATTCTTACCACACATGGCGCAAGCTATCGGGTATTAGCACTCGCTCCTCGCTCCCAAAAGTAGAACTCGAAAATGACTTACCATTCCTTTGGTAAGCGCACCGCTGACAGAACTTCTTGCCCTGCTCGGTCTTCACTTTGCAGTTATCGCAAGAAGAAGCATAAGCCGCATAAGGATTTTTGGCCTTCGCGCTGAGAAGTTTGCTCTGTAATCAATATCAGCCACTGCGTTATCGCCGGAAAGATGTTCTGATAGAACATCAGAACAAGATGCATAGATTCATACCTTGCCGATTCCAGTAGCACCAAGCGTCGCTTTGCCTTTGTCGCCACCGCCGAGGGTGCTAGACGGGGAACCGTAGTACATTTCATTCTTGCGCTTGACGCCAGGAGTCGCAAGCTCGGTGGATTTGAGCTTCTTTTGACATTTTGAACAGACCATCTTTGCTTGAGGGAGGTGTGGATGTTGGTTTGAAAATGGAGATGTTCGATGTTATCTGCGCCACCGCCCGCCAAGACATCTACTTTATTCTCCGTTTTCTTTACTTGCATTCATTCTAATTTTTTTCTTATTGGTTACTGTTAGTGAGATAATGCTCTGAGTCTCGTATAAAATATTCATTGGGTATCATATTAAGGCGGGTATATAGGCACATTAAGAGAGCATCACTTAAATGACAGCTCAAACATGAAAAGCATAGAGATTGCGTTCGACTCCACCAACTTCCAGCCAGGATGTGGTCTCCGGTCGAGACTACTGCGGGGAAGTAGCACGCTGAGGCAGTGCAGTTGGTGAAGGGTTCTGCGCGTAGTCGTGATACGGGGCAGTTCCGTGAGGCTGGTTGGGATAAGGAGTCTGATACTGTCCCGGGGGATACTGAGCTGGTGGGTAATGTCCAGGAGCATATTGACCAGGTGGGTACTGTGCCTGGGCCTGTGGATACTGAGGGTAAGGGTATTGAGCCGGTGCATCGTATTTGTCCGGCTCTTCGCCAAGCCTCCTCCATTTGGAGCAGCAGAGTAGAAGGCCCACGAAGGTGGCAACCCAGAAGACAAAGTTGACAACCGCTTGGGCGGTATTGAGATATTCGGGATTTATAACACGGCTGTTGATTCTCAGGAGGTTATAGCGGACCCAAATCACCATGTAGGTGAGGTTGATGGCGAACCATCCAACTGCAGCGCCGGTCAATGCAAATGCGGGCATCTGGGCCTTGAGTTAGCTGGGGCTTTGGGTTCTCTGTGGGGTAAATTGAGTACTCACCTTCGACACGAAGCGATGGGTTCCGGCTTTGACGATGGCGAAAATCGTCCAAGCCAGGATCTCCAAGGACAGAACCCAATAGATGATACGCAGAGAGCTGCCTATCTTGATATAATCGTATACACTTATGTAGTACCTGTATGTCACGTCTCCTGCGACATAAGCCACATAAATGGCCCAGACGGCGAGGGAAAGCACTATGGTGAAGCCTAGTAGGACCCAGTGCAAGATGGTCACTGCAGCATAGGGTTTTCCAGAGTCTGTGAGACGACCTAGCACGCGGTGGATTATGCTCCAGAAGACATAGAATGTCAGGCAGATTCCCAGATAATGGAAAAATCCGGACAACATGTAAGTGATGAGATAGTATCTCATCACCTCGGCGTTGGCAATGTAGAGGGCTTCCACTACGATGGTGCATATCTGGGACCTGGCGCGTCATTGGAGTTAGCGATGTCCGTTATTTCTCCTCAATCTCCATGTTTTATTTTTCTTTCTTGTTCTTTGGGATGGGGAAATCATACAGGATGTTGGAGATGAGTGCGGAAATGAGTGCTTTTAGCGGCAAGCCACGGTTCCGAATGGTGCATGACCAGATGAGAAAAGCAACAAATGCTAAAAGAGTGAGGATATCAAAAGCGAACATCGCATAATAGAGATTCTTGTAGTTATTGCGATTGCTCCCATAGCCAGAGTATCCATATTCTAGCGACAGGATGGTCGTTTGACTCCAGGCACTATTTTCATAGTAGGAGTAATAGCTTGAGCCTCCACGTCGAGGTGCCATCTTTGCGATTGTGAAGAAACTACTCCGTAGAAGTCAAACAAAAGTGGCGGGGGTTCTCTCATCTCGCCTTGTAGGCGCCTTTTAACAACTTTGTTTAAGGGGGCTTAGGGCAAACCACCAAATTTGATTGAGGTTCAGGGACCATGTGATACGAGGCCAAGATGTTTAGTCGCTGACATGATTGGCGGGGGAGGTTATTTAGGGACAGGGAAGCCAAAAATACGAGTCACTGGGCACTTTTAGTGCGCCTTGTGCTTTTTGGCCCCCTATTTTTCGCTTTTGATTTTTCTGCACTTCGCCTTGCGGTTTGAGAAAACCCACTAGGCGGGGCGTGTGGGATTTTCCCAGATCGAGAGTCTATTTGGAATTTCATCAGAAGCAAGTCATAAAGCCATAAGATAGGCGGAAGTTAGGCAATGTAGTCGTGCCCGAAGGTGCCAACACAGAAGCTAAGGGTAGTGTCCAGCAGAGGCGCCTTGGCGGGTTTTAAGAAAGAAACGAAATCCCTGCGCACCACGCTTTCCTCGGATTTTCAAATGAAAGAAGAGAGAGGTGTGGTAATAGAATAGCCGAGCCCTGGAGTTCAAGATCTCCCACTGTGGGGATTCAACCGCCTTAAGGACTTTGATATTTCGGCAGCTCCGACCACGATCCACTCTGTGGCTCAGCCAGCGCCACTACAAGTCTAAGCCGACCAAGGAAGATCCCAGACCACTTCTCAGCCCGAATCTGAGTTCCCAATTCATGCGTCCTGCATTGTTCCGATCCTCTTCCTGTCCTGGTGTACGGAGTACGGAGTACTGGTATATTTCTCTGTGGCAAAGGTTGGAAAATGAGAAGTCGCCTCGTGCAGCTCTCTTTGCCGCCGTTCAGCTGCCCATGACAACTGTCAATCGCCAGGTCTCACTAAATCTTTGTTTAGGGAACTTATGTGGTGACTTGTTAGAGTGGGATTTGGGACCTTTGGCCTCCCACTCACATCCTTCGTCACATCGTGATTCCCAAATGCATGACCCGCCACTTGCGAACTGGCCCGACCATCTGTCGCCGAAGCAATGCAAGCACGCTTCTGAGCGGCGATCAAAGGAATTGACCACAAAGAACGCAGCTCTAGCGCCTCGCTGAGTCCAGCAGCTCGGTACTACTCCCCAAGGCTCTGGTTCGAAGATGTGCCCAGCGGGACCTGAGATGATCGTCCCCTGAAATCGATTAGGGTGACAACATGGTGAACTATTTAAATCCGTAGCCCATATTCTGGGGAGTTGACTTCTGCTCATCACTTTCCAAGGTTATTTTGCTTTTTTTATTTTCTTTTCCTGCTTCCTTTTTTCTTTTTTCTGTGTGTGTTCCCCATTTCCAGGTCTGGAGCAACCCGCATTCGGCGCATCCGCATATCCCGACTTTTGACTGCATCATATCCCAACAATTCTTTTCTATCGATTTCTCAATCCTGCATGATCTCAAAGCCTAGCTGCTGAGCTTGCTTTAAACTTTAGTACGAATGCTGTGAACCCTTTCATTTCCGTGGATAGGGTATTAATTACTGGAAGAGTCCTGCGAGAACCCACCGCTGCTCTATTCATACGCTTTTTTTTTCTTATTTCATTATATCTCATTTCTTCTATCACAATCCTTTCGGTCATTGTGAAATCACCTGGGCAGTGACAAAATATGCCTCCAAATGGATCATCATTTACGACTCTAAATCTTCCACCGACATTCGAGTTACCTCAATGTATGGAATATTTCACCCTCCGGGCAGGCCCGAACACAGACCTATGGCGCAAACCACCCAACGGCGACATCTCCACAGCCCCAATAGTCTTCACCTCACTACGACAACCATTCGTCGTAGCCGAGGTGACCGTGAGCGCAGACTGGGAGATGGAATGGGACCAAGGCGGGCTTGTGATTTTCGCCGGCGCAGCACCGCAATCCTTCTCCGACCTCGACGAACCACCATACCTCAACGCGCCCCGCTTCCCCTGCAAATGGGTCAAAGCAGGCATGGAGTTCTCGTCCGGCACTGTGAATGCATCCTCCGTGAGCGCCACCGCCGACGGCGCAGACTGGTGCTTGTCGCCGCTGGGTTGCACGAACAGGGCAATCCACTCCCTGCGCATTAAACTTGAGCGGGTCGGCCATGCCCTGTGGATCTGGTATCAAGTTCCCTCTGTTCTGCCTTATACCCTCACGCCTGGCGCGGTGGGGAGTACCTGGAAGAAGCTGCGGGAGGTGACGTGGTTCTTTTATGGGGTTGAGGATAAATTTGTGCATGTGGGTGTGTATGCGAGTCGGCCGACGAGTTTGTCGCGTGGGGGCACGATGTGGGACGCGATGCATGGCATGACACTTGATAGTTCGCTGCCGACTGGTTCGGATGGGCTGGTTGTTGAATTTGAGGATCTGGAAATCTTCTAGCTGGGCCTTTTCTTAATTGTTCGCTGAGAGTTTTGTGGTTACTTTTGTCGAGTCCTGATACATATTCCCCGTCAGCGTTTCATCGAGCGATATGGCATGTCTGGCGTCGAGTTGTTTTGAATTTTGTTTTGAGTTTTGTTTTATTGCTCTGCGAGAATTTGGTATTGATCTTTTAATATGGAACGTTTGTTATGCCCAGCTACTTTTCGGGAAGCAATCTCTTGACGCGAGTCGCGTATATGGCACGTGCATTATTTGAGCTAGTCATGTAGTCTTCCTGGGGTAAGCCTCGGGAGGTACAACTAGTGCATATCAATGAAATAGTCTTAACGGCAGTGAGAAACTAAATCAGCACGCCATCTATCACATTTCTGACATCCATCTGTGCAGGGACTTTAGTCACGTTGGTCATTTAACTCACACGGTCCGCGGGTGTGGGGAAGATGGACTCGGCCCTTTCTCCTGAGGTCTGCTTCCGATACTTTGCAGAGCTAATTTTTCGCTATAATTATTGGTTTTTGGTTGATCAAATTTCAAAACAAGTATTAGGGGCATTCCGAACCTTGGAATTATGTCTTAGGTTTCAAGAAGAAAGACCCCAGGCAAGGTGGTGTATGATTGAAGACTACGGGCAAACTAGTTATATATCCCTGGACGTACAACAAACTGAAACAATCATCGATTTATACACAGTTTTTTGATCCCAATTGACATTGACATGAAACGAAAACCTTGAGTTGAATCCAATATGGCCACAATAAGAACTAATAGAAAGATGTATTGCAAGCTTAAAGCTATAAGTTGTGTACAAGCATAGAACTACATCTGATATGTACTAACCGCAAAGGGGATAGCCCCTGATCGAGCTGGATCGGAGAAACAAGCGCTATTACCGCGACAACCCCAAGCTCACCACAAAACCACATCCAAAAGCCATCCAGTTCCCAATGAAACATGACACACTTCAGTACTCCGTAATATGCCAGGTGAACTGCATGCTGCATGCAGAGTCAGCCTTGGAGGCCTCTCTGAAGGAGCTGAGTCAGCTGACTACGGGAAAGCCGTTCCCGACTTCGGGAGGACCGGGAGCTAAGAGTTTTGCGTCGAGGGTCTGAAGCTCGACTGAGGTCCTCCAACGCCAGAAAGTCACTATTTATTTAGCTCAATCGCCCTAGAAACGACTCTTAGTTTGCTCTCACCGTATCTTGTTAGCCAATGGATGATGGTTGTGGCGTAGATGGTCGTTGCAGAGCGGGTCGAGTATCTGCACAAGGACCCGTATCAACCGCCATGGAGATCGAAATTGGAAAAAACCGCCAGAGCGAGAGCTGTTTGTTTGGCAGGTATAGCTCGCCCCAGGTTTGGAGCTTGTCTACGTGGAGAAAATTGAGCTTCCGGGTTGATTTTTGGCGGGTTGCTGGGAGGAGCTCTTTTTACGTGCACGCGATCGAAAATCTGCCCGGGGCGGAAATCGAAAGGAGGTGCGGAATCTAGAAGTTTGGGAGGAAAGAGGGAATTTATACGGCGTCAGACTCAACACACAGAGTTTTGGTTTGGCTCTTTGATAGGTTGGATGGTCGATGGGCCATATAGGACTCTATATGTACAGAAAGAAAAGTGTTGTAGATGACGCTGAAAGTAGTACATGGTAATACATCACGACCAAATACCCTCTGCGGGAATAGAGACTCTCAAAAAATCCAAAATCCTTGTTTTGATGACATTTTTCCAAGAATCTGAAAGCCCGAGTTGTAGATAATTTAGACGTACTTGCACATCATGGCAACCATGAGATCGAAGAGACCCATGGCCTCGACGAAGGCAAAGCCCAGAATGGCGTAGGAGAAGAGCTGGCCACGGAGGGCAGGGTTGCGGGAGACACTCATGAGGAGAGCGGCGAAGACGAGACCGATACCGATACCGGCACCACCGAGACCGATGGCAGCGGAACCCATACCGATGTTCTTGGAGACCTCAACCATGGCGGTGGCGACCTCGGAGGAGTACTGGCGGCGGGCGGCAGTCTGGAAGGCCTTGGCCTGGAGGAGGGTGGGAGACTGGATACGCTTGGGGGCACCGAAGGTAGCGACGGGGGCCTTCTGGGTGAAGGTGCGCTTGGTGGCAGCGTTGAGCTGGAAGCGAGCCGCAGGGCGGGCGACCTTGGAGGTCTGGGCCATGGCGGAGGCCATGCGGGAGGCGAAGACACGAGAGGTGGCCATTGTGATGATGGGATATAAAATTAGAGGGTGGGTGGAAGAGAGGAGAAAGAAAGAAAGAGGAGAGAGATGGACTTTTCAGGGAGAAAAAGCTGGGAAACTACGGGAGAAGGTCTCCCTAGGACATAAATACTCTACGGCCAAATTTTCGCCCGTCCGCCTCCTGTTCGGTCCTAGTGCGGTCCTCCCGTAAGAAAAAAGCCCTACTCTGTGCGTGGACGGAGTATCCTATTCGCACATCGCCCTCACTGTGGACATCTTGGAATGCTGGGTACCGTTCTGGTTTCGTTTTTCCATTCTTACCGCGTATTGAACCTGTCGGGTTCAGTCGGGTCCAGTCTCCACTGGTTTTTTATCTATCAGAATCCCCTGCATTGAATTACTACAGGAGGCCCCTTGATCGATGCGTGGATGTGAGAGATGGTGAAGGATGTAGCTGTAGTCTGTAGAGTACGTCTAAAGTATATCTCCTACGAAGTATACAAAGTGAGTCTGATAGCTACTGTGTACAGGCTCAAGGGATCAAAGAAGCCATAATTACCCCCGTACGCGCTGTAATAATGTCTGTACAATCAAGTAATGTCACAGAAACAAAACCAACCAAGGAACCAAAAATCGAAAATAATCCCAAATAATCCAAAAGTGCCCTTGCAGTGGATCTTAAGCATGTTCCAATCCTGTGGATCGTCCCACTCTAATCAGCTCCTACACCAATCATAATCCACTCGGATCCGCTATGTTTCTGGATTTGCTCCCGGAGTCGTCCAAACCGGCCCGACTCGGATTCCAGGTCCACCAACTACGGAGTCACTGGGCAACCATCGGCTGAAAGGAGACAAATAATGTGGATGGCAGTGGAGTCCTCGTCTCCCCTTTCCTTTCGGGAATCCACTTCACCGAGTGGTCACATTGGGAATCTACGTAATGACCTGATTCTGGTCGGAATACTGCTTCCATGCTTGCCGAGTCCAAAGCCCATGCAACCTGCAGGCGATCGGTTTCTTATATAGATTTGGCCAGGGGGTGCGTGAACCGGTTTTAAAATGGAAAAAAAGGGTGAGAAAAATAAAAAGTCCAAGAAAATCAAAAAGCAAATACAGAAAGAGTGTCGTGTCCTCGCTTTCAGATCCACTTAGTCTGGATTCCTTGACCCGCCGAAACCCGACTATCACAGCAAAAAACTGGTCTGCTTTCCGGGTCGCCCCCGGAAAGGAGGTTAGAGGCGGTTTTTCCAACACGAACAGCTCTAAGCTTCTTAGCTTTTGTAATTCCTTCACACATGGGATTCTAAAGACCCTTATATAGTCAACCCCGAGTGCTGAACTGAGCCCCAAATTTCACCCGTCCCAAACGGGCCAGAGGCTCTCTCGCATTCTTCCGTGGGAAATTCCAATTTGGTATTTCGGCTGATCGCAGCTTGGCGGGACCCACACAAGCTCGATTTCAGGGTGCAGTCGTTACGCGCTGCCCTTGCCTGATTGCTGTGCATTGAATATGAAGCTGTTTGAGTTCATAGGGAGAAGGGCACGGAAAGCATGCACTTGAATCGAAGCCATTGAGCTCTTCAATGGTATAGCAGGAACAGTATGGGGATGGTTGAAAGACAGGGGGGCTCCGGTCTCGGGTGTAATCGGGTAATACCAATACGGTATCGAGTCAGTGATCCATCCACTCGTCATGACGTGGGCGTCATACGGACGCGGTACTCAGAGAGGACAGTCTGGCAGAATAAAACAAAGGCTGGGGAAATGACCATATTAAATGATTAAATGTCGGGGTTTTAAAAAATGTTTAAAGAGTTTAAGAGGAATGCCGAATCCGTGGGATTCTCGTGTGCCTCTCCCAGCGCATGGCAGAGAACATCATATCAGACTGACCTTTCTAGGCGCCGGCTTCACCCTCGGCAACTCCCCTGAAATCACGAGACTGCCAGCAACGCGGCTCCCGCCGATACACCACGGATACCATTGCCGTTCGCCCGTTTATCGATATCCGAAGCGTATGCGTTTGAATCCGTGACCTTGCGCCTTGACTACGATCCTTTGACGGGGACAATGCGCTGTCCGGGCGTCAGCTTGCATCTGTAACTGTGTGCTTGTCCTGGTGACGCAGCTGGGAGAGCAACATTGGATGCTCCGGGCAGTGATTTTGTTATTGCAAAGCTAGGTTCGGGATTCCCTCAACGCGTTAGATTCGATTTCGACGCGTGAGACCTCAGACATACGTTCGAGGAAGTCATCCACACGACGATTATTCCACACTGGGATGGGTATTCATATTGGCAAGCTCGGAAGAGATGGATACGTCAAAACCAACCCAACCTGCAGTTATGCCTGTTCTGCCAGACCTGACTTTGTGGCACGTCCCTCCGGTCCACGCCATCATCAAGCTCATGTCCAGATTGGCATGTGAGGTATGAGCATGGAACAGCTTATCTCCAACGCGTCGTAGATGTAGACTGGCTTCTCCGTATGTACGGAGTAGCACCAGAGAACCTCGTCCATTTCCAACATTACCCAGCACTGCCGGGTGCTTCTAGAGGCCAGCAAAGCTATCTTTAGGACTTGGCATGGAGGGATTCAACTTGCGACCACCGTTCGTCGCGACAAGCTTGAAAAATCGTCCCCAAGGAGAGGCTGTGTTTACGGGTCGGATTCTGATGCCCGGACCTCGCTGGTGGACAAAACGAATGCGGATTCTCTACGATAGAATGGCGTTGACAACACATCATCTAAACCATATTATATCTGGGCATCGAGCGTTGCATCTAGTGCCTATAAGACATCTTTCAAAACTTGATTCTGCGTGAGGTCAGATGCCAACAAAGATAAGATCGCCAGAATCCACCAGCTATACGCAATTGGGACTAGCTCGAGATGGAGATATCGAGATCTGACACCGCCACTTAACCAATCGTTAATGCGGTGTACAGAGAAATTCAGTTGTCTGAATCCTAGAATCTCGCATGGAACCTTGAAACACTCTCAGTACTCCGTATACACAGTAGAGCTCAATAAATGGTGGGATTGGCGGGAACTAACTATGGCACCGCTCTTATCTTAATGTATCCGATGATCGCATTAAACCTCCGATGTGATACCGCAATAAAGCCCTCAAAAGCAAATGGAAAAAAAGCAAAAGAAAAACCAAACTCATTCCCCCATAGCACTCTTCAAAGCGCTCGTCAAATCGACATGGAAAAAAGGCCGATTTATCCCATCCACAGAAGCCATAGTTCCAACCCCAGACCGACCCCGTCTCCGATGAACATCAACCACACTCTTACTCTGAGTCCGCACGACCTGAACATCCTCCTCCGACCCAAGACAAGACGAAGAAGCACTATTCTGCGCCTCAACACCAACCTCAACATCCTTCTCCTTTCCAACCCGCTCATTTGATTCAACAAGATCCTCATCAACCTCCGCAACATCAAAGATAGCCCTACGCTTACCCTTCTCACTATCCGACCTCGAAGGCCACCCAAACCCAGAAGCAGCAAGAGCCCTCTTCGTCCAGCGACTGTTCACATGAGCGAAATGCCACTGCACGCGATCAGGCGATGTCCAGCGGTCAAGCTGGTTTCGGACGTCGATGAGGTTCTGCATGGATGTTACATCGACGTTGTTAACAGAGGCGAAGTCTAGAATGACGGCTTTGAGAATAGGGAGGTGTGTATCGGGTGCGTCTGAGTTCTCCGCTTGTAGGATCTTTCGCTGTGCGCGCGTCGGACCTGGGTCGTTCCATGGTCTGTCGCCGGGTGATTCCCAGGCCTGTGGATCTGTGCGTCTGGTGTTTGCGAAGATGTGGCTGACTAGATGGTCAGTGTAGTGGTTGGCGTTTGGATAGTTGAAGCCGTCGGAGACTCTGTAGATGAAGATGCCTGGGGATGGTTGGTGGATTTTGATACGGGGGTTTATGGATCCGTTGTGGAGTGGGAGGTAGAGTCTGCGTGATGAGGTAGGGTCTAGCTCGAGGGTTGTGGTGGAGTTTCCATCGTCAGGAGCTTTGTCGCTGGTGACTGAGTGGACTTGGATGTAGCCGAGGAATTCACCTTTGGCTTTAGCGAGACGGAATAGGAGCACGGCGAGGGAGACGCAGATTGTGACGTAGATTCCTGTTTCAATGGTTGAAAACATGATTACGATGACGCCGACGAGGAAAATGACAGCGTCTAGCGGAGCAACGCGCCAGAATTGATAGGTTATGCTGGGTGGTGTGACGAGGTCGCCTACTGCATGGATGATCACGGCTGAGAGGGAGGATTTGGGGATGTAGAAGAATAATGCTGGTAGGGCATAGATGGCGAGAAGAACGACGACCGCAGTAATGACACCTGCTAGAGGGGTGCGAACGCCACATTTTGCTTTGATAGCTGTTCGTGAGAACGAGCCTGTCGCTGGATATGCACCGAGGAAGGGACCGAGGAGATTTGAGACGCCGATTGCGATGAACTCCTGCGATGGATCGATTGTATAATTGTTGACGCGGCCGAAGGACTTCGAAATCGCGATATGTTCAATTAATAGCACGATGCATGCGACAGGAAGCTCACTGACGAAAGCTTTGATAATGGTGATATCGATCTTTGGAACGCCGGCAGCTTTGAAACCGCGCGGCACGTTCCCGAGTAATTTGAATGCAGGATGCTCACGTCGGTGGATGTTGACTGCCGCGCTGATCATAGTGTAGAAGAGAACTACGAAAGCAGTTCGCAAAGTTGATAGGAAGAAGAAGAGTTTCGCTCGATGCGGCTTCTTTCTCGTTCCATAGTTACACGCAGCCCGGATGCCGTACAGCATCACCAGGGCTGTCAGACCCATAGAAGCATCCATTTGAGTAGACGGGAGATGCTTGAGTGTATCGATGATGATTTTGTAGGTCGCTCCACGAGTGGAGAATTTCGCTTTCTCTCCTAGGACCGTCTTCACTTGACCGGCGCAGACATTGATAGCCGAGCCGGTCATGAACGCAGTGATTGCAGGGAGTGGAATGAAGTCGACGATGAAACCAAGACGGAACAGCCCTAGAAACAGGAGAATGGCACCGCATATGATTGCCAGTGCAGAAGCAATCGTTGGGCCTGGTATTTCGGGATGCGCAGCTTGAACCCTGATGAGGATGGAGCCCATTAGGGTTGACATCACCGCCACAGGCTAATCCAAGTTAGCATTTCGTGCCACCCAGATAATGGGTATACAGAACTTACTCCAATGGTGATGTCCTTGGAAGTTGCAAAGAACCAATAGATCAAAACACCCATGAAAGAAGAGTATAGACCGTATTCAGGGGGCAGCTTGGCTAGCTCGGCATATGCCATGCCCTGGGGGATGACGACGGCACCCACGGTAATACCTAGAAGCATATCAGCACCAGCACCAGCCAGCCTCCTTGTGCAACACTGAGTCAGCTCACCTGCCACCAGGTCTCCAATCAACCACTGCACATTGTAATGCCCAATCCAATGAAGAAACGGAAAGATGTTCCAAACGTAACGCCGGACCTGTGGTACGGTAGGCGTGTGACCACGGAACCAATCGGCAGCCGTAGGTTCATGCTCAAAGTAAGAGTAAATTGTCTCATCGTTCTGATCCGTCTCATCGCCGGGTGGCACAGGAGCTAGATCAATGCGCAAGACTTTGGCGATAGCGTGGCCGACTCGGGTAGAGATAGGATCCGCCATTGCGGCGTATGCGCTTTGGCTCGGAGTGTGTTGGACTGTCAGTCGAGGATCGCCAGATAGCGAGAGAGAAACGAATTTGGAGAATAGTGAAGAAGATGAGAAGAATGCAGAGGAGGGTGGTCATGGTTATGAGGTCCATGTTAGGGCTGGCGATGCGATGTCGCGATTTTAGAGCCAATTGCTCAATCTGCTTTAAACCACAGCCAATCATACGTGGAGATGGAACATGGTCACCCTCGCGTCACTTGGGTCATTCTAAGGTTGTCTTTCGTGGTTTCCGAGATAAGGTTACCCTCCGAGGCCAACTGCAGATCTGGAAGTAGAGTACTTTATTAATCACCTGGGGCAGCCCTCGATTCAACAGATTTGAAGTATCTGTATACAAAGAGACAGTGTCAGAACCTGAGCAGAAGAAAGCTGAGGAGAGGAGAAGCGTTCGCCAAGTTTTGGCCGTAGGGCTGAGGAGCCCCACACGGCTCGGATAGGGCTGAAGTACTCCAACCTGCTTAACTCCATGCAGTATAGCCCCAATATATGCTGTCTTGAATACTGTTGCCTGTTGGTGTTTGTTGCAGTTAGTATCTGGCCTTATTTGGTCTTATTGGCCCGTCTCTTGTGTTACTCTCAAATCTTAACGCTGCGTGATTTTCCACCTTGGAGCACGCCATATAGTAGTTTATCCTCAAATCACTTTACACATACCGAAACATGGACAGGGAGAAATGTAAAAAAAGTTAAGATCGTCTTTGGAGTGACGCCTTTAGGCCTCCGGAGATTTGAGGGTGTTCAACTAGGTTACTTGCACCCCACCCGAGGAAAATAGAACGTGGGAGCCTTGGAATAATGTGGTCGTTAGAATAGCATAGTAAGATAACTTGTGCCAGTAAAGGACTGCACATTATGATAAAGAGCTGTAAGCTCCTTCTATTTTGACAAACCAGAACGACGTCACACAGGGGAAGGGTTGGGCCCACCGGAAAAGGTACCTTACGGGAGGTATTATCATTTGACCGCCACATGGACCAGGAGATATCCATGGATAACAGGAGAGCTATCATTGCAAAGCTATACAAGTCATGTTATACCCCCAGAATAATGCTCTAGTTCTTTGTACATTCAAGAATCAAACTTGTACTTCTCCTCGCGATCCTGCAAAAAGTCAGCATAAATCCAGACCCACCTACTTCAAGACACTCACCCAGTACTTGTTAAACCCAACACCCTCACAAACCTCATCATAAGTCAATATCATAGGCGGCGCCCCAACAGTCATGCTCTTCTTTAACCCATCCAGCGCAGAGCGAACTGCCTTCAGATGCGCAGCGACCAACGACCAGGGATAGGCAACAGCACAGAAACCCAGCTCAGCAAGATCCTTCGCAGACAAATTCTCCGTCTTACCGCCCTCAATAATGTTCGCAAAAACAGGAATATCCAGCTCCTCCGCACAGCGCTTCATCGCCGCCCGATCCGGAAGTGCCTCGACGAAAATAGCATCGACTCCAATACGCTTGAACTCCTGCGCTCGTGCCATGGCTTCTTCCCAGCCATGCATCAGAGCGTCCGTCCGAGCCATGATGAAAATATCTTGGCCTTCGTTGCGGGCGTCGCAAGCTGCTTGGATGCGAGCGAAGGCTTCACCGCGCGACACGACGCTCTTACCTTTCGTATGTCCGCAACCTATGAAAAGTCAGTTGAGGTGTCAAGGAACGGAGGTGAACATGGATGAATTACGCTTCGGCCACTGTTGATCCTCGATCATGATTCCTGCTGCACCGGCAGCTGCGAAACTCTCAACGGTCCGCTTCACATTCATGGGACTTCCGTATCCGGTATCACCATCGGCCACGATCGGGAGAGAAACTTGTCGGTAGGCGTCGCGGATCTTGTCACACATCTCTGCCATGGCGATGTATCCTGTGTCGGGGAGACCGTAGGAGGAAGCGACCGCGTAACCGGCGAGGAAGACCATGGGGAAGCCAGCTTCTTCGACGAGACGGGATGATAGGCCATCGTAGGTGCAGGCGTGAGCTAGGATCTTGGTGGGGTCGTTGTGGGCTTCTAGCATGAGGCTTCGGAGGCGAGAGGCTTGGATGGAGGGGATTGCACCGCGGACGTTCTTCAAGGTCAGAGTGCAGTTTGTGGTTTCTCCATTACGGGACCCAGGAGTCGTCTCCTTGAGGGCGTCGAATTGGAAGGGGTAAGGGACTGAGCTGGTGGACATGGTGAATGCTGAGTTGGCGGATAGAGGAGTAAAGATGGATAGCAGAAAGCAGGTCCTTGGTCTGTCTTAAATCGTTTGCTGCGTGCGACATCGGCGACTTGCATCTGCATGAAGTCAGTGGAGGGCGGGTATTTAATATCCGCACTGCGGGATCTTCGTTCCATGCGGGGACGGTGGATATTTGCTCATAGGTCGATCCAAAGCTCTTGTTCCTGGAGGATAGCCGGAAAGAGACTGTCTAACAATGTTATGACTGGTCACCAGGGCACATTCGACCTGAAGACGCCATTCAAAATCTAGTTTCGGAGTCCCGGACATGCAATTGCCCATTCTTCGACAAAGCAGGCGCGAATCACTTGGTACATAATAGCAATACCAAGCACTCAATTGAACAATAGAGAATCTAGCCGGAGACAGCAAACATCAAGATCATCAAACAAAATGATGATTCCATTGATGAACCTGGCTCAGGGCTCAGGAGGGTTGGCCAATTCCGGAGTGGGAGTTTGTGAATATCCGCCCCTCCAACAAAGACAGCATCTAAAGACACGAAAGGCCTTTCACCTGCGATATTTTGAATAAGATTATCCGCTCTGTTGCGGGGAACCCGGCACTCAACGGCACTCGAAGGTTACCGTTCCCAACCCCCATGGGGACCCCGCAAATTCCTGGTGCCAAGGACATAAACACGGGGTAAAATGATCCCCTGTGAGACTTGAAGAGACTGCTAGACGCATTGACCTACGAGAGGACATGTATTTCAATCGAGGATTATCCCTCTTCTACTCAAGCTCAAATTCAACCCGAACTTACCCATAATTATCTGATATACTACATACAATGCCAGGAAGCATTAAGTCAGAAGATGATCCAACTGCTCAGCATATCGAAGCTGGTGATATGGAAAAGCAAGACTTGAGGATTGTCCCCGAAGAACGACAGTCCTCCATTCGCAGAAAGGTGCATTGACCCTCACCATGTGTTTGATCGTACTGACGAGTATCAGTTTGACCGACGCGTACTTCCCCTCGTCTGTGCTCTTTACATCCTCTCATACCTGGACAGAGGTGAGTCGGTCTTGTCTCTATCTAGCCAAATCTCACATTGGCAGGAAATATCGGCAATGCAAAGACCGCAGGCCTTGACACCGATCTTGGCCTGAGTGACTATCAATGGTCCTGGGTTCTTTATGCGTTTTACATCTCCTATATTGTGTTTGAATGGTCGACAGTCCTGTGGAAGATCTTGCCTGCCCACTCTTACATTGCAGTTCTTTGCATATGGTAAGTCATGTGTCGGATCTCCTGGTGCTGATGACTAGATCGCTGACAGTCTTCTAGCTGGGGTGCAGCTGCCATGTGCAGTGGTGCAGTCAATACATTTGCCCAACTCCTCGCCACGCGCTCCCTCCTCGGGATCTTTGAGTCTGTCTTCGGATGCGGAGCCCCCTACTTCCTGTCTCTCTTCTACCAAAGAAAAGAACTTGGGCTGAGAGTTTCTCTCCTCCTTGGCATGTCCCCAGTCGCCAACTGCTTTGCATCAGCCCTCGCATACGGTATCACCCATATCAAAGGTCCAATGGAGTCATGGAGATATCTATTTATAATAGGTCTGTTGCACGCAAGATTCAACCACCAGCTCCTTTCCACTAACACACACCAGAGGGCGCCCCAACCGTCCTCTTCTCCGTAGTAGTATACTTCTACCTCCCTGACTCCCCCGGAACCGCAAAATTCCTCACAGAAACCGAACAAACCGAAGCCATCGAGCGATTACAAGACTTCGACACAACCGCCAAAAACAAAGTCCGCTGGTCCCAGGTCCTGAGCGGACTACAAGACTACAAAAACTATGTCCACATGGCCATCCACTTCTGCTGCAACTACTCTTTCGCCGGCTTATCCAACTTCCTCCCCTCAATCCTCCAAGCAATGGGTTACACATCAATCAATGCCCAAGGCCTCTCCGCACCGCCATACCTAGTCTCATTCCTCTGCTGCGTAGCAGCAGCATTCCCTCTCAGACCGCCTGGCTAACCGCGGAGGCCTGATCACTTTCTTCGCAATAATCGGCACAATCGGATACATTATGCTTACGTGCGTGGATGAGACGAGGACCGCGGCTAGGTACGCTGGCATCTGGCTTGCTACTTGTGGAGTATTCCCGGCACTGGCGCTGAATGTTACTTGGCTGCTTAATAACCAGGGAGGGGAGAGTAAGAAGGGGGCTGGGATGGCTATTTTGGCCATTTTTGGACAGTGTTCTAGTTTGATTAGCAGTTCTGTGTTTCCGGATGCTGATAAGCCACTTTATACGAAGGGGTGTGCGATTGGGAGTGCGTTGACGGGGTGTATTGCTATTCTTGCGATGGGGCTGAGCTTTAGTTTGAGGAGAGAGAATCTAAGGAGGGATCGGTTGTATGGAGTTGTTGGGGATGAGAGAGTTGATGTTACTGATGGAGATAAGAATGTTAAGTTTAGGTATTTGATTTGAGGATATGGGGGGTTTAGTGTAGGTACTATGCTATATGTGTTCAAGCAATTTATTTCCAGGCTGAAGTGTACATGTTCCAAGGTTGCAGAAGAAATATCTCAAAATGATGAAAAGGGAAAACGAAAAAAGAGCAAAGGGGGAGTCGAACCGGAGACAAAAATATTCCACCGTCGAGAGTCGTGAACCCGACGGGCATATATTTTGTGAATAATGCCGCGAGGCAGGTCGGTCCAGCTGATGCGGGTTTGTACCGCACCGCTAGACCATCCCACCTCTGACAATATACTTATACCCTTACTGGCCTCTCGACCTTGCTTGATTACCCGATTGGGAAGTTCTCTGGAACCGAGGCATCCTATGAGACATCTGACCACTCGAGATTGCTCATCTGACTAATCCAGGACACCGTCTAGAGCCACGGTCACTTTTGGGTCGGCGACCGTGACAAGAGGACAATCTCCATGTAAATAGCTCGCATTGATAAATCGCTTGGGTGACCCCCAGCGTAATTCTCACACTGCCCTGCTCCATCATGAGGTCCCATCGGCGAGCTCAAGGCGGTAACTGCCATAAGAAATCGAGGTCTAAATCAACACCGTCCAACCGATCAAAGTCACCAGTAGACCCAAAAGGTGCCATAGAGGAGTCAAAAGGCAACGACAACCAACCATTGAATGACACATCGGAAAGATCCATGTCCATAGAGACATCAAAAGCATCAGGCTCATGAGAAATAGAATAAGAAGAGACTAGACTCTCTCTCAAGCGCGAAACTTGCGTCTGTAGAAGAGCCGCATATCTCGATTTCAGATGTACATCGTCCTGGTCTGTATCCAGCAGTGCGGCTATAGCCCGGTCTAGAATTTGAAGAGCTTCTTGGAGTTTCGAGTTGCGGACTCCCAGTGCGAGGGCTTTCATGAGAAAAATTGACGAGCTGATTGTTCGGAATAACGTTCTCATTGGTGAGAAATGTAGGGATTCACCTAGTGTAGTGACCCTTTCCAGAGTTTGGCAACAGCCATCGATGACCTCTTCGATGAAGCTGTACTCTCGGGTTGTCATATCTAGTTGTCTTGCGCGCTCGATGAAAGAAGAATCGATTGTTGAGCCGTTTTGGTGCTGTGTGTTGTTTTGTAGTACTCTTTGAACGATCCTTTGCATTCCGATTGAGTTGATTAGAATTCGGAGGTGCTGGTACTCTATGAATAGAGTGCTGGTGTAAGGGAGACCCGAATCTGCTCATATTAGTAGCTGGTAACCGGAAAGAGACAGTGGTTGAATACGGTACCTGAGATTGCGAGATATCTGTGCTTCCAATTTGCAAGCAAGACCTGTTTTCTATCCAGGACCGGGATGAATGTATCCGAGGTACCGTCATTAGAGACATTCATAAGCGGGAACAGAGTATCCGTAACCGAGCTGGTCAACTTCATCAACTCAGTCCACGCACTCATGAACAACAGCCAATCCCTATCAATAGAAAGTAACGAAGTCCTCGTTTCTGGCATAGATATACCAACCTCCGAAGGCATAGGCGAAGTACACCCTAACCTCGAAGATAAAGAATTGATAGACGTGAAAAGTAAACTAGGCAATCGCCGACGTCTAACCTCCAGGTACTCGAGATACCTTTCAGCATCAAGACCAACCAAGTCATCCTGCCTCGCAAGTCGCGCAGAGCAGCTGAAAACACCAAGTTCATGCGCCAGCGCCAATGCAGAATTGAGAACCATCCACGACATCCGTTCAAACCTTTTAGTCGGCTCGACCACATCTTCCCGCCACCGAGAAGAGACAGGGATATCTTCCGTGGAAGGCGGGTCGCGGATGTCGGGACTAGTCATGATAAAATCCGAGTCCCAGCCGTCCGTCTCGGGCGGGAATTGCAAGGCCCGAGGATGCCACTCGGACATCAGTAATAGCGCTTCAATACTGCCAATCGTTCGAGTCTTTGCTTTTGATATTTTCTCTTGGCCGAGTGTAATTCGGAGTAAGAGGTGTTGGCAATGTTGCCATAATCGATGGTGAATAAAGAATGAGCGCGAGTAGCCTCCCACACCGGGGAGGGTGTGATAGCGGGAGGATATCATAAGAATCGTGTAGCAAAGCATAGGCTCTTGGGTTACCAGGTAGTATTGATTTTTATGTGAGGCGAAGAAGTCAGTCAGGACTGGTGAGAGGGGAGCCATATTCCTGAAGAACCTGCCTGGGTTAGCGGGGCTCATACTGAGTGGCAGATGGCATACAGATCCATTAACTCCATGGCTTCGTAAGCGGAGAACCAGCCCATTTTTACGAATCGACATGCATTCCAGATTCGTAGGACGTCGGCATCGGTCAGCTCAGGGGCGACCTGTGCTGGGCATGATGTATCGTGAGCCGACTCTTGGAGAGCTGCCTCGAATAAGATGTTCATGGCATCGCTGTTGCTCGAAACAACCCTTTGGAGCACGGATGTCGACAGTCCATCTTTGCTGATAGATGAGTCTGTTGTGTACGTTAGCCGGATCATCGTTCCCAACCAAAATCCTCACAGCATACGTACCTGGGCCGCCGCGGCTATTCCCATCCGACGTTGACCCCAGCGTCCTAGGAACGTCAGCTTCAAATACTCCAAATATTTCAAAAACTTACCTCGGCCCCGAGTATTCCCTTTCTACCTGTGCACTTGGTCGATCGCCCTGATCTCTCGACCATGGCTTCTTGGAAGTATAGGTACAGTCGAGTTTCTTCGTGATACACCTTCGGCATTTTCCACCCTCACTTTCGCACTTGACTTTCCGTCTAGCGCAAGGAATGCAAGCTTTATAAGTACGTTTGTACTCGCCAAGAGCCTTCCCTTTTTGTTGCCGTGTCGTTATTGCAGGGCGCATCGTGCGTATGTGGTGGAGGGTAAGCGGATATTTGATTGAATTACCCGCTTCCTCGGGACCTCGGCTCCACACGCCAGAGCCAATGAGTATGTCCTTCCATTTGATTTCGACCATCTCTTATTCAACACTGTGGTTCGTCATTATTAATATACCACATGGCTTGTGTGTAAGCTTCTTGCCCATCCCCTGGCTTTGAATATTGATTGATTTCTCTTGGAAAGTCATCGATTGCTACCTACAATGCGGCCTCTACAACGCCAGAGGCACGTTGAATGAGAATTGTTCTCAGCGGCTCCAACTAAAGAGCCCAAAAAAAGCAGATCATAACAGAAGACATCTCAAACAACTCAATATGCCGCTACAGTAGAAGCAAAGCTCCATTATAACAAGCGTAGCTGTTGAAAAGCGATAACATAAGAATCGGAGCACTCCCGACCATCGAGGCAACAAGTCAGATTCATTGGCAGTTCTCACCATGGCACAAGGCTCGGACTCTTCGTCAAGCAGGAAGACGCTCGACCTCCCTTTTCCTGAGATGTGGTTCTTGGTACATGAAGTGGATCTCATCAGAAGAAGATAACGGAAGTGCAGACGCCTCGATGCATATGATCTGGGAACAGCATCACGATCATCCACTTTATCTAACTCCCAAATGAGTCTCAAGTGTACTTCTCCACGAGCAATATTGAGACAACTCCCTGAAAGTTTGCCTATATAAGACCTCGGAATATACACAAGACCTTCCCAATCCACACCCACTCCATCTATCAAACAACCAAGCCGCTGTCATCCATTCGGAATCTTCCTCAACCTACACGATCCATCTCCAGAGACCAGCTTGATTGGTCAAACCCGCACTGCTATCACCGATTCCAAGGTTCATCATGAACATCTGTAACAACATTCAACTTATCATCCGGCTCATTCTCTTGGCATATCTCTGCGCCGCGAACACCATCGAACTCTACGTTGTCAAAAAACACCGTAATATCGCAGTTCCGCTCTTGGTGAACATCGTTTGCTCCCTCTACCTCCTGTTCGCCGAAGTGATCATGTCTCGTCCTCAACGCAGTCAGCGCACCGTGCGCCACGTGGAAGACTCCACGATCGTAAATTCCGAGGGCCGAGTTAGGCGCGGCGGCGTGATAATAACTGAATCTTCGGGCTCGGTAAACACTACACTATTTTTGATGCGTGAGACGCGAGTCATCCAGACTTAGTCATGGAGGCTTTCAACTTTTTCGATTGGTATGTAATTGATTTCGGTCACTTTGTGGTGAAGCTTGGAATGCTGAAGATCTGGTTATCTAGTAGATTGGAAGATTGTGACGGCAGAAGAAGACAGTACTGGATGCGATGCGGGAATTTGTCGGCCGTCGGCTTCCAGTTATGATTTCAATGTTTCGTAGACCTATCCGGCTCCCGGCCGGCTCGTATTTCGATCTACCATGATGATAATTGAGCAATTGGGGGGATCTGCCCTGCATATAATTTTCCATTGAACTTGGGAACCAGGAGCATCCTTGTCAGCAGGGTCCCCAGAGAGAAGAACAATGAAGTGCAGGATGCAGGCATCCGTTCACGATAAGACCGTGCACCCGGGATCGGGAAGCCAAAGTACCAACTCCGTATTTTGTATGCAACCTTCAACATCCGGCATCAGTATGATATGGAGTACTCCGTACTGAGCACAACACTCTATACGAAGTACTCCATACTTATATCCAAAATGCGGTAAGGAAGCGGGCTAGCGACGGAGCGGTGATGTTCTGCAGGTCTTGTGATGCGAGGGTCAGGAGCTATGGCCTTGTACGCACGCCATCTGCAGTGCAAGTGCCAAAGCAGACTAGGTAGACTAGCAGAGGGCGGAAGGGAAGCTAGTAAAGTTAGCAGCGCACCGTTGGCACGAGCTCCATTGTTTTGTCAATAAACAGCCCAAAGGATATACGATCCCCACCAGCGTCAGGATATGTTCCGCAGGATCCGTAGATAGTGAATCCCCATATAAAAGGAGAAAGTGAACGGAGTAGTTGGAGAGTCCACAATGGGCCCATGGGAAGAGGCTATTTCCCTGGACATGATCGACCAAAGCACATGATGACTCATGTTTAGCTGGTCGGTGATTGGTGGATAAGGGTGGGGCATGCACCTGTTTTCTTTTAGCGTGTTTTTTTTTTTTTTTTTTTTTTTTTGTTTGTACTTTTTCTACGGGAGAAGCACCTTTTTGTTACTTTGAGAGAATAAAGAGCATATCCAATTGCAGTATAAGTTAATGTCTATCAAAGTAAACTCACCATGATCAACATACAAATCAACCAAGAAGAAGCAATAAAAAGTCAACCGGGAAGCCTCGGCACCCACACCGCATATTGGGTACCTAGTACAACAGTGGGGATTGGGCGTCGCAGGATGGGCTGCTACTCGTCTCTTCGTAGCACCCACCCTGTTGTTTCTGTGCCAACCCACATTTTGTGCCGTCACCGTTGTAGAGCTTCAGATTTTTCCTCCTCCCCTCCCCATTCCTCCATACCAAGTTGCTGAGTTGCTGAGCGATTTTTGTACACTGTGTTTAATCTTTGCTGGTCAAATTGTGATCTGTGATACCCCCCTAATCTGAGAAAAATCTGTTACGACTTTAACGAAACCATGGCGAGCGTTGAAACGGCGATCCCCACCGACCCGATCGTCGAGAAGGACCTCGGCGAGTCGACCGCGACTCTGGTCGAAGCCGACGCAGAGCCCGAGGTCCCCATGACCGCCGCAGAGAAGAAGAAGGCAAAGGAGAGAGCCAAGAAGAAGGCCAAGAAGCAGCAGAAGAAGCAGAGCGTCAGCTCCATCGCACCGGAAGAGACCGAGGCTGATAAGCCAGAGGCGACAGAGACTGAGGCTACCGAGCCTGAGTCTGCCGTTGAGACCCCTAAGGAGGCGTCTGTCGCTGAGACGGAGAAGCCCACAGAGCCTACAGAAGAATCCAAGCCTGTGGAGGCCGAGCCAATCGCAGAGGCCACCGCCGAACCCGTCGAAGAGTCAAAGCCTGCGGAAGATGCTCCCGCTGAGACTGTCGAGCCGGTCACTGAAAAGTCTGCCGAACCGACAATCGAAGAATCCAAGCCTGAAGATACCCCAGAGGAGGCCAAGGCCGCCGAGCCTGTCCCCGAGACTGTCGCAGAGCCCGCCGTGGAGGAGTCGAAGACTACAGAGGCTGCTGAGCCTGTCGAGACCCCCGCCGCAGAGCCTGTAGTGGAGGAAGCCAAGACCGAAGCTCCCGCGGAGGTCAGCACAGAACAGACCGCCGAGCCGGTTGAGACTGCGGAGATTCCCGCTGCTGAAGAGCCCAAGGCCGAGGAGGCCACCGAAGTTCCGGAAAAGACAGAGACTGTTGCCGAGCCTGAGCCTGTCGCCGAGGCCCCAGCTTCGGAGCCCGCCACAGAGACCAAGGCCCCCGAGACCGTCCCCGAGACAGTCGAGGCTGCCACCGAAGAGCCCAAGACCGAAGAGAAGGTCGAGGCTGTTCCCGAAACCGCCCCAGTGACTGTCGAGGAAACTCCAGCCGTCGAGGCTACCACCGAAGAGCCCAAGGCCGAAGAAAAGGCCGAGGCTGTTCCTGAAATCGCCCAGGAGACCCCTGCTCAGGCTACCGAAGAGCCCAAGTCAACCGAGGCCGAGCCTATCACCGAAAAGGCCACCGAGACTGTCCCGGAGACTGAATCTGTCGAGGAGCCCAAGGCCGCGGAAGCTGCCGAGCCCACCGAAAAGGTCGAAACCGTTCCTGAGACCACCGAGCCTGTCGTCGACTCTTCCGCCGAGCCTGTTCAGGAAGAGAAGGCTGTCGAGGCTACTCCTGAGGCTACCGCCGAGACCACTGAAGAACCTAAGACCACCGAGGCTACTGAGTCGGTTGAGGAGCCTAAGGTCGTGGAATCCGAGTCTGCTGTGCAGGAGGCTACCGAGACTATCGCTGAGGAGGTTAAGCCTGAGGCCTCGACTCAATCTGTTGAGGAGCCTAAGGCCGAGGAAGCTAAGGTTGAGGAGGCCGAGTCCACCGAGAAGCCCGTTGAGGTTTCTGAGGAGATTGAGCCGGTTGTCGCCGCTGAAACCCCCCGCTGTCGAGGCCGAGCAGAAGGCGGAGGAATCTGCCGAGCCTGTCGTCGAGGAGCCCAAGGTTGAAGAGCCTAAGGCCGAGGAAGCTCAGGCTGTTGAGGCTACACCTGCTGAGGAGAAGCCCGCTGAGGTTTCCGAGCCCGTCGCCGCAGCCGAAACACCCGCTGTCGAGGCCACAGAGACCGCCGAGGCTGTTGCTGAGCCTGCAGTGGAGACCGCTGAAGAGCCCAAGGCCACCGAGGCTGCGACCGAGGGTGCCTCTGAGGTTCCTGAGGTTGCTGAGGCGCCTGTCGCCGAGACCCCAGCTGTCGAGGCCCCCGTTGAAGAATCCAAGCCTGTCGAGGAAGCTCCCGTCGAGCCTGCTGCTGAGGAGCCCAAGGCAACTGAGGAGTCCGAGCCCACCAAGGAGCCCGTGGTCGAGAAGACTGTTGAGGAGCCAGTCACCGAGGCCGAGAACAGCGCCGACACCAGCGTTGTTCCCGGTGAGACCGAGGTTGCTGCTGAGGAACCTGTTGTCGAGGCTGCCAAGCCCGAAGAAACTGTTCCTGAGCCTGAGGCCAAGGAGGTGGCCGAGACCCCTGCCGCTGACGTTCCCGCCGCCGAGGAATCGATTGCTGAGCCTGTCAAGGAGGCTGAGGTTGTCGAGGCTACTCCCGAGAAGACCGAGGAGCCTGCTGCCGCCGAGGTCGCTGCCACTGAGGTCACTGAGACCCCTGTCGAGACTGCTGAGCCTACCCCCGAAGCTGCTGCCCCTGTCGCCGAAACAACCGAGGCCACTCCTGCAGCTGAGGAGTCCACCGACAAGGTCGAGACCGCCGAGCCCGTTCAGTCCGAAGAGGCCACAACCAAGGAGATTGTCGACGAGGTTGTTGCTGAAGTTGCCAAGACCGACGCTGCTGAGCCCGAGGCTCCTGTTGACTCTTCCATCCCCGAAGCTGCTGCTGTTGCAACCGCCGCCGCTGCCGTTGCTACTGCGGCTGTGGCTGAGGAGATTGCCGACGAGCCTGCTGCTGAGACCAAGGAGGAGGTCGAGGTCCAGGCTGAAAATGCCGCTGAGGCAATTGAGGAGGCTGTTGAGACCGCTGTTGAGACTGTTGCCGAGACTCCTGCTGAGGAGGTCAAGGAAGTGGTCGAGGAGCCTGTTGCTTCTGTTGAGACCCCTGCTGTCGAGGCTGCCGTTGAGGAGCCTGCTAAGGTCGATATTGAGACCGTTGCTGAGCCTGTGGCTGAGGTGTCTGTTGCCGAAGAGACCCCCCGTTGCTGAGGCCGCTGTCGAAGAGCCTGTCAAGGCTGAGACTGAGGCTGTTCCTGAGCCCGTTGTCGAGACCCGCGCAGTTGAGGAGACTCCTGTCGAGGAATCTGTCAAGGAGGTCGTGGTCGAGGAGCCTGTCGAGGCTGCTACTGAAGCCCCTGTCGCTGCTGTCGTTGCTGAGGCTGTTGCCGAGGAGCCCATCGCTGAACAGGTTGTGGCAGTCGAAGAGCCCTCTACTGCTGAACAGAAGGTTGAGGAGCCTGTCGCTGTCACTGAGACAGTTGAGATTGCCGCTGAGCCTGAGACCGTCCCCGAAGCCAAGGCTGAGGAGCCTGCTGTTGTGACTGAGACTGTCGAGACTGTCGCCGAGCCCGTCGCTGAGGCTGCTGAGCCCGTCGCTGTTGAAGAGACTGTCGAAGTCGCGGCTGTTCCCGAACCCGCTGTCGCCGAGCCCGCTGTCGAATCTGAGGCAGCCGTCGCTGAGCCTGTCAAGGTTGAAGAGACTGTTGTGGCTACTGAGGCTCAGCCTGAGGAGGCAGCTCCTGTAGAGGAATCTACTGCCAAGGAGATTCAGCCCGAGGCCGCTGTTGTTGAGGAAACTGTCATTGAACAGCCGGCCGCTGTTGATGAGACTCCCGTTGAGACTTCCACCACGGAGGTCGATGTGGAGGAGCCCATTAAGGCTTCTGTTATTGAACAGTCTGCTCCAGTGAAACCAGTCCTTGCTGAGGTTCCTGCTCAGGATCCTACTGAGGTTGCGACCGTCGAAGCCACTGTCGAAGAGCCTGTGACCCAATCCGAAGCCCCCGTTGTGGCTGAGGTTGTTGCCGAAGTGCCCGCTGAGGAGACTTCCAAGGCCGACGAGACCGTTGCGGAGCCCACCGAAGTTAAGGAATCCGTTCCTGCTGCTGAGGAAACCCCCGCACCTTCCGAGCCTGAGGCGCAGAAGGAAGACACCGCTGTCCCTGAGGCCACTGAAGCCCCCAAGGAGGAGCAAAAGGAGGACACCGGCCTGAGCACTGAACTGCTCGGAGCTGGTGCCGCCGCCGCCGCCCTTGCAGGTGTTGGAGCCGCAGCTGCCGTTGCCTCTCACAAGGACTCTGAGTCCGCCGAATCTTCCAAGGAACAGAAGACCACCGGCGCTGACAAGGAATCTACCGAGACCCAGCCCGCAGACAGTAAGCCAGCACCGTTCTATAACACGCAACAACCATCCGCAATGTCCTTCGAAACTGATCCCGCTCTCGCAGCTCTCGCTGGTGACCGTGAAGCCTTGCTCAACAAGCTCAACCAGCCCTCTACCGACCAGTTGACCGCCGCTACTACCCAATCCACAACTGCCGCTCCCGCCGCGGCTCCTGCTTCCGAGTCCGAGACTGCCAAGGCCAGCAAGGCACCTGAGCCCGCGAACGCCGACAAGGCCGACAAGCCTTCCGACAGCCTTTCTCCCAAGAACAATGATGAGGATGCTCGCCCGCCGAGCCAGAACCGGTCAGTGACAGCTGTTTCTCTAAATGGTGCCACAGACAATTGGTTGAAGGCTATCCTTCGCACTGTGTTTGGAGGCATTTTCGGTACAATCTTTGCACCTTTCCGCCGTGGAAAAAAGCCTTCAAACTAAGCCCACATGATCTGCACGCCAAATGACATCCCCTACCTCAAATCATACAATTCCAGGAGAAGAATACCTTGTGTTGTGGTGAACCAGTCGTTAAAGGCACATTACTAACATTGGTAACCAGTACTCTTTTCTGGGTTGCTGTTATTGCGGTTCCGGCTTGGATGTTCTGGCGCTCCCTCTTCGCTTGATATCGGTCGTTTGACTAGGGTCGGCCCGGTTATCAATCTCCGGCAATAGCCGTGAATACCCGGCTCGGTTAGCCGCTTCCGTCTATCCGAAGTATAAGCCAATATCAAAACCCAACGACAACTCAACCTTCCAAGCTTATCTTACCCCTTATTCCCCTGTACCTTTACGAATTCCTTTTGCTGTCTGATTTTTTTATGATTTCCTTTTGTCGGCTCATGTTGTCTCAATTGAATTGGGCTTTTCGATAGAATTTCGGCATACTCTGTTGCAGTTTTGACCCAGCATGTACCTAATGTCACCTATGAACTTAATGAACCATGAATCTTTACTCTATCAATCTCTGCCTGTAGTAGTATTTCACTGTACATTTCCAGCTTGTCAAGGCTTTGTATAACCTAGTCTTCTTTGTCCTTTGAAAAGCACACTTGCTGCTGCGTATTGCTGCAGAAGCGTCCAACCCATGCAAGTATGTCTGGTCATGATCCTTTGTTAAATGCTTGCTGGATTTCCTTTGTAATCTCATATTGAATTGATGAGAGATAGGTCTATAAAGGCCACCTAGCCTCCTGGATCCTGCGGAGGAGTTTCTTCATAGCTGCTTTCCTTTGATTCGTTGAATCTTGACCAGCCTGTATAAGTCCATGATGATTTTCCATGTAGGTTCCCTAGGGGGGTTATCGCTTTATCGCGTGACCCATGGGCATGGAAGTAAGAACGAAGGGGATTAACCATGGTGCTGTCACGAGCTCTAACGAGCTCGCTCCTTCGATATTGGGAAATGCACCCTGCACCCTGCGTGTTAGTTCGGCGCCGTCGCGCCCTGGTTTGTTGTTCTTCTTCTCTCCCACCTCGCCACCTCTTCGATCGCCACCGAATCGCGATGAATTCCGCAGAGGAAAAGCCAATGGAGCAGACAGAAAGTAAGTCAAAGCCTTTCATTCGTTCTGAGATCGTCCCTGTCCTTTCCCATGTTCCAAAGTCATGGTCCTTCTGTGGATGGATATCCACGGGCCTGACCATGGTCTTTCGGCCTCTTGCATTCATTCTTTCATGTCGCACAATGTTGCTTGAGTTTGAGAATATCCATAATGGATGCCTGAGCCTATCACAGTGTCGACGAGTCAATATGGCTTGTCGGTCGCTGGTGAGTCTCTTGGCTCTTGCCTGGCTCTTGCTGGATGATTCGCTTGTTTGTTCGCTTGCTCACTTCCTTGTTCACTGCTTGTTCACTGCTTGCTCATGGCTTGTTCATTGCTTGTTCATTGCTTGTTCACTGTTTGTTCACTGCTTGTTCACTGCTTGTTGGTTTGCTTCGTGACTTGCTTGGTGCCTTTGCGGCCGTGAACAGTTGAATGTTGAAACGCTTGTATGCTCTGAGCATTACAAGTTTCTAGCATTGCAATTCTGGGCACTGCGGCCAATGGCAGCCCAGTCTGTGACAGCTCAGGCTTTGGGTATTCAGTCTGTGATAGTTCAGGCTTTTACATCCCAATTACTGGCAGCTTAGTATCTGGCAGCAATGGGCTCACTTCATATTCACCTGATATCCTGTCGTCTATCATCAGAGACTGGATTGGGCATCAGAATTGAGATGAATGATCATTAATACTGACATTGGTGTTTGTATAGACCCCAAGAAGGCCCAGCCTTCTCCCACCGAGAACGTCGGATCCTCTGGGTCCGACGAGACCATTGAACCGGGGCAGGCAGCAAGTGCCCCCTCAGTGCTGAGAGTCGGATCTGTCAGCGGTCCGAATCTGAAATCGCGCCGGGAGGCGGCTCTCGGGCTGTTGGGGAAGCGAGCGCCTGCCCTGGTGATCCGTTGCAGAGGCCCTCACCACCATGGAGTTCGCGTGCCTTCCGGTCTGCGGAGAATGACCCTCCCTCCTCGCACTCCCAGAGTCTCCCCCACCAAAGTCTCCCCTACCAAAATCTCTCCCACCAAACTTTCTCCCTCTCCCGTCTCTCCTCCCGTCTCTCCTTCCGTCTCCCCCTCGTCTCACCAAGCAAAACCAAGATGGCGGACGAAAGAATCAGTGCCCTCGAGGCAAAGTGCGAGGCCCTTTCAGACCTTGTCAAGAAGCTGTCCATGGACGTTGCCCGCCTTGAGAAGCTGCCCATTGAGGTTGCCCGCCTCGAAAAGCTGCCCGCGGAGGTTGCCCGCATCGAGAAGATGAACACGATCATGCATGAGCAGATCGATGTCAGGACCAAATGGACAGATGACCAATTCGAGGAGCAAGGCAAGAAAGACGACAGGATCATCAAGACCTTCAACGATAGCCTGGATTCCATGGACCTGCGTTACAACGAGAGCTTTGATAGTATGTCCCAATGCTTCAACGAGATGTACGAAAACACCGTCAAGAGCATTGGCGAGAGCTTCGAAAACGTTACCCGGTCCCATAACGCGCGCTACGACCACATGACCGAATCCTTCAACGAGATTATCGAGAATACAGTTCACAATTTCAATGAAAGGATCGACATCTCGGCCGTGACCCAGAATGCGCGCGCGGACGGATTGACTGAAGTACTCAACAAGCGCATCAGCCATATGTCACAGGAACAAATCATGCGAACCGAGCACATGATGAAGACCTTCAACACGCGCATCGACACTGTGGCCCGGGATAGTTCAGCCAATATTGCGAACATATCTCGCCTTTCTCTTGAACTCAATGACTGTCTCAACCAGGGGGTTGGAATTGCCCGGGACTCCAAAAACGCTTGCATCGCGTCGAAGAAGCTGAAGGAGGATATGGAGACAATCCGCTCCAGACTTAATGCAACTGTCACATCTCAGGGCGATCTGAATTCAAAGCTCAATCTCTGCCTGCCGAGAATCTGGGACGGTAAGGGCCAATCCTTTGCTGAAGCCGAGCGTCGCCAACTCGCGCTCCTTGAGGAAGCGCTGGAAGAGCTTCAGAAAGAGCAGGCCGCCCAGAAAAAGCTTATCTTACGCCTCAAGATCGGCCTTACCATGGCCTTTCCCGAGCATCCCCTCAGCTTGACTCGTGTCGCCCAAGAGGATGAGATGGCTCCTGGTGTTACGAGCCCGGGCGTCCCTCCTTTCATACACCTTCCCAACTCGGCACAGGAAAACATTGCTCCTGGTGCTCCCGCTTCTCCCGCTTCTCCCAACGCCCCCAGCGCTCGCAGCACGCCCACTACACCCACTACACCCACTACACCCCCCCTCTCCAAGCAAAAATCAATTCACAATTTTTCCTTGAAGCGCAGCGCAGGCAAGCCCAATGTGGACCCTGTTTCGCCTCAAAGCCCTCCTCGCACCACCAGTGCAAGCAAGCTCATCAAGGAGGCGAATGAAAAGAGCATGGCCAGTGATGAGCCCAGCAAGCGATGGAACTTTGGCTTCCGCAATCGCCGCGATGCCGAGCCATCCAGCCCTAAGAGCCCATTGGCCGTCTCTCCTCGCCACCCAAAGCAAGGTGATGACACTGCTGAGCATGCTCCAGGCATCTCCATGGGAGCCACCCACGCTGGGACCAGCTCTGTCCTTACCTCACCCACCGATCCCACGGCCGGATACCCCATGAGCATGATTCACCCTGCTTTCCGGTCGACGAGCAGTGCCGGGGCTCAATCTGCTTCTGCCGCCCTTAGGGACAACACCAATGTCCAGGGCCACTCCGAGGCCACCTCACCCATTCTTGCTGAAGGGCAATACCCTGGCAGCATGCTCCAACCAGCCTTCCGTTCTTCCAGCGCGGAGACTGTCATTCATATCCCTTCCATGGGCCAGTGGGACGATGACACCATCGAGACCATCAGGGAGGTGATCTCCCTCCCGGGATCAGGTGATCCCTCCCCCACCGAGTCCTCCGTGGTTGGTGGTTCTAGCCTTCCTCACAGGGACTAGAATGGCCAACCACGGAGGCCGGTGATGTCAGAGTACGGCGTCAGTGAAGAAAACAGAAAAACAAAAAAATAAAAATAAAAACAAAAAACCCTTAAAAAAAAAAAAAAAAAAAACCTTTGTGCTACTGTTTATTTCTGTACATAGTCCAAAAAAAGAAAAACAAAATCAAGGAAATTTGTACATATGAACAAGATCCAGAAAAGACGTAAACTGCGTAGCTGAAGATTTTGCATATAATATTATTCACAAGAGAGTATTTACTTAGAATTGTTCATCATCTTCTCAATGTCGATTGCCGCCTCCCGCACCTGCGGACAATAATGCAGACGCAGCAATTCGCCTTCCCACACCGTACCAGCGAAGACATTGGTGGCCTCGATATCATTAGCCCGGGGGTTGAAGACACCATCACCCTTCCGCTCCTCAGTATGCCAAAGCGACGAGATCCGACGACCGTGGTACTTCGAAACCTGGTTCATAAGCGCCAGTGTAGCGAGAGCAGACTTCTCCGGCAGCTGGAGCGAAGTAGTCATAAGACGCTTGGAGAAAGTACCCAGTCGTGCAGGGGGCGGGTTACCATGAGCGCGAGACAGCAAGGTCGGCTGCAGACAGCGCAGGAGGAGAACCATGGGGGTCTGGAAGTTGACTCTGTTCTTGGAGCGGCTCTGGGCAAGCTCCGAGGCGTCGGAGGAGAAGTTGGGGTCGGCGAGCCGGAGGGAGGTGTCGGGGTTGAACTCGACTTCCGGGTTCATGGCGAGAGAGTAGAGGGAGCGGTAGAGGTGCTTGATGAAGAAGTTCAGGTCGAGGTGGAGGCCTGCGGCGGCTTTGCTGGCGTCTTGGCCTTCCATAAGGGCGAAGGCAGTCACTGTGCAGAGAAGGGTTCGTCGACGGGCATCGCGAGCGGCTGTCTCAACGATGGTGGTTTGGTCTTCTTCGTCGTCTTCCTCTTGGGTGACTTCCTGGTCACCTTCCTCGCCCATTTCTTCGCGCTCGGCGTGGTTGATGAGATCCTTCAGGGCTTCCAACAGGTCACCGAAGAAGTCTTGGTTGATCAAGTGGCTGTATTTCGCTAATCCTTCAAGGACAGGACCCATGAGAGGGGGAATGCGGAGCTTCAGGATACGGAAGTATAGACCGAACACCAGCTTGAGTGTTTCGGCTTGGTTCTTGTCTCTTTGCTCGTGGGATACCACGGCATCAGCCTGGCGCATGTCCTTCTCGACTTCCTTGCGCTCTTTTTGCACCTTGCGCTCTCGCTTCGTACGGAACTCGCGCTTTTGCTTGGGTTTCTTGCCTGGCACCTCTTCTTCTTCGCGGTCGGCGCGGTCTTGCGATGCCTTCATGTGGAGCTCACCCAATAGGCGGAGGTGAAGGAATGTGTCAAGTAGACTGGGGTGAATGTGGAAATCCTTGGCCTTCATCATCTTGGCGATCAGAGCCGTGGCTTCGAGAGAGACGGTTCCATCGTTGTCCTTTGCGAAAACGTCTTCCAATGTATCACGGCACTTGACGTAGTCGGCATCGACTGTTCTCCGTGCTAGGCGGTTTACCAGAATCTTGAGCAATTCGCTGCGGAAGTTGAAGTGAGGTACTGCCAGAAGCATAGTGCACGCCATGTTGATCGCGAAACTCTTCAATGAAGGATCAATGGAGCCATCTCTTGAGTTCTTTGCTAGTGTGCCAAGAGTCTGGACATAGTTGCGGTATCCCGAGACGAGGGACTGCTCAAAGTCGCGGAGTTTGCGCACTTCCTTGGACACTCTGCCTGTCTTGTCCTCTTCGCTCAATGGACGAATACGGTAACCGGGAATGACATCCTTGTAGATGGTAGCCTGCGAAGCAAGGGCGAGCTTCTTGACTGTGAGGCAGGTGTTCTTCCTTGTGACCATCTCCGCCATTGTCTTGAACAGAGAGGTGTGTTCCTCGGGCTCCTCATTGATCAAAGTTGCCATCTTGGCAAGTTCTTCCTTGGCTTGCATGATTTGGACTTTGATCGGGATCTTGGGGAGTTCTTCCTCGACTTCCTCTTCCTCTTCTGAGCCTTCCTCGTCCTCCTCGTCATCGTCGGTGCCTAAAAAGCTGTCGGTTTCCTCGCCCTTGTCTTCATCTTGTGTGGGTGGTTGGACTTCGGCTTGGACGAAGCCCTCGGAGGTCTTGATTGGCAGTCGTGCGCTCTCGCCGGCTTTCTTGGTGACTTTGCGCGGGCGGCGCTCGTAATCTTGCTCAACGTCCCACTCCATATCGGCTTTGGACTGGACGGCCTCGTCATCGCCCGGAGGGCTCAATCGCCTCCGCTTGGATTCTGCGCCGCGTGCCATTTTTGAATTGTGATCTGGGGGTGACAGTGTTCGAAACAAAATAGTCTTCAAATGCAAAGGCGGTCCCGAAAATTTGAGGCGGGAAGACATTGATTGGACCTTATTGCCGCTCCACTCATACAATTTTCCAGGACCGCTTCTTGTTGCGGTAGGCGGTGCACATTATTTTGCCATGCTGATTGGAAAAACTTCATCAAAGCTCCGTTACTCGGTTTCAATAAAATATCTACCGACTCCCTCCTCTCGTTTTCCAAGATGCGTTCCCTCACCGAAGAAGAGACCCGCACTCTCTTCACCAAGCTTGCTCACTACACCGGAAAGTCGCTCAACTCCCTTGTCACACCCGACGAAGATGGAAGACTCTCTGTTTTCCGACTGCAGGGCAGCCGTGTCTACTACGTCGACAAGGAATTGGCCAACCTGAGCACCAGCATCCCCAGAGACCAGCTTTTGTCCATGGGTACTCAAGTCGGAAAGTTCACCAAGGTACGGCGCATCGTTCCAGGATCTTGATCTATGCTAATGTCGCAACAGACCGGCAAATTCCGTCTTAACCTCACCTGCCTGGACCTGATCGCTTCCCACGCCCGCTACAAGATCTACATCAAGTCTAACGGTGTTATGCCTTTCCTCTACGGCTCCAACGTCCTCCGCGCCCATCTCTCGAAGTACTCGTATGTGCGCCACAATCTATTTTCCAGGCCATTGTACTAATAATCATCACAGCGAGGATATGCCCGAGCACGCTGGATGTGTCGTTGTCGATGAGAACGATGGTGAGTTGGAGCCCGGTTGTTGATTTCCAATACACCATTGCTAACGGACTTTAGTTCCTCTCGGATTCGGTGTTACTTCCCGCTCCAGCCAAGAAGCCAAGAAGCTGGAAGGCACAGGTGTTGTGGTCTTCAGACAGGCTGATACAGGAGAATATCTCCGCGAGGTTCGTGCAATCAGCCTTATACTTGTTTCTCATAGGATCATGCTAACACCAACTAGGAGGACACCCTTTTCACCACCTAAGCACACCGAGCACTACATATTCGTACCCTCGAAAAGGCGTTTGGGAGTTTCATTTGATTAGTTTGATGTTACAAAAGTTGACCATATCTTCCACGATACCATCCTCGTCGCTTCGGTGCCATGACTTGATGGTATATATTGACATGTCTCGCTGAACGTCGCATAAATATCCAACAGCACAATTTACAAAAACATTGCAACACTTCTCCACGATCGTAATAATTATAGTCAATGAAAATCGCGGTTGTTGTACTTCAAAATAATTTTACCAGATGCTTAGTCAGCATAGCACCGGGCCTTCGGGGGATCAATCCAGAGCCCGGTGATGATAGCCCAACTTAAGCTAAAAGTCCGGTGTGTTCGCCCTTCGATTATCTCGTGCCCACACCGTGAAGACACCGCAGCCAGAACCTATCATTCGGTCAACTCGTGCATCCCTCACCGCCTCCTGCTGCAGTTTTGTGCTCGGCGAGGCTCAAATATTGCCAACCCCACCATGCCACCTTATTCAAGCAGCCAGAAGCAGCAAATTGCTGAGTTCGTCACTTTGACGCAGACTAAAGATACCGTGGCCGCCAAGGTACGTCTTCAGAAGACATTCTGTTCATCTGTCCTGTCTTGCAGTCTTAAGACAGTATGCTCTTCAAGATGGTGAAACCAAACTTACATGTTCGTATAGTTCCTGAAATCATGTGGGTGGAACTTACCACAAGCCGTTGATGCGTAAGTATTGGTGGTTTTTATTCGCTTAGTTGTTGATGAGTCGCCCATCATGGATGAGTCGCCCGTCATGGATGAGTCGCCCGTCGCTGAGTCGTCGTCGCCGTCGCGGAGCACCATGGGCAGGCAGCCCACTTGACCTGTCGGAACGTTCTCTCCACGCCGTCTTGGGAACCATCCAATTCATCTGAAACCCCACCTCTTTGATCGTGGCCTTTCGAGGTTTGCGTTCAAGATGGTCAGACCACGCAGTCATAGAGTTTATTCTCTCGCTGAGCTCAGAAACCCCCCCGTGACTTACCCATTCACTCAGCCATGTTGCACATTCTTCGCTTTGCACGGTGGCTAACACCTTTTCTTTCCAGTTTCTTCTCTGCCGCAGTTGGTTCCAACTCAGTCATGAGCTCGGAAATGACCAGAATCTTTGAAAGCTACCGAGGTTTGTATATCATAGGCCCCGCCGGATTTAGCGTTATACTAACAATCCCAAGATGACCCAATCGACAGCCCCGATACCATTGGTATCACACGTGCAATGGATTTCCTAGGTGATATTGGCGTGCAGCTTGATGAAGTTACCTGTCTCGCCATCGCGGAGCTTCTTAAGTCTCCCTCAATGGGCGAGTTCACCCGTGAAGGATTCTTGCGCGGATGGATCGGAGTTCAGTAAGTTTGATAAAAACAAATAGTCATCAAGAGACTGATCTAACATATCCAGTGCCGACACTCTTGCCAAAATGACTGCACACGCCAAGCTCATCCGAGAGACTATCCCCCAAGACCCAGACATGTTCCGTCGTGTCTACAGGTATACATTCCTTCTCTCTCGGATGCAGGGACAGCGTAACTTGCAGTTTGAAATCGCTGCCGATCAATGGAATCTCTTCTTCACCACTGACCACGGCGGCGTCGCGTGGAACACGGAAACCACGCCCTGGCTCGATTGGTGGATTGAGTTCCTCGAAAGCCGCGGGAAGAAGCCCGTGAACAAGGACCTGTGGGAGCAGGTTGAAGTGTTCATGCGCAAGAGCCTGGAGGATGAGGAGATGGGATGGTGGAGTGTTGATGGGGCGTGGCCTGGCGCTCTTGATGACTTTGTTGCCTATGTGCAGGCCAAGAGAGGCAAGATGGAGGTTGAGTAGGTGCATCAGGTCGAATGTGTGAGCGTTTCGTTTCATGGGTTACCACTTTGACGTGCGGGATATGGGACACATGTGCATGCATCTGTGCTATCCACTATGGATCTATGGATCAATGGAATGTGGGTCCATGATCTTACAATCGATATCAATACAATTATGCCAAGGCCCCTTGCGGTCATTGAATTTCTCTCTTTCCAAGGTTTATTGATTCACCTGTACTCTGTAGTGAGTGAGATATTAAGCCTGATTGGAGTGGTTGTGAGACGAATCCAAAGAATCTATTTATACCAGCCCAAGGTGGAAAAAAGGATATAAAGCCATTCGTCATGAGATTGAGTAATAACATCAGGGGGAAGATATCTGCGACATGCTAGGATGCATGATGGGTGTGTACATGGATTGAGATCAACACCGGAGAATAATAAAGACAAAAGGGATAAACAAAGGAAAATAGAGCAAACAAGCAGGAGTCCATCGGAGTATGTATCTGAAGCTTCCGTCTTATTTACCAATCGCGGACTCCGCCCATTTAAGGGTAGTCGCGCTTCTCGTAACCGGGGTCGCGGCGCTGGTCGTAACGCTGGAGCGAAGTTAGATGGATTATTCATCGATCGAGGGAGGATAATAAACAAACCTTGCGGAGAGCCTCCAGGCGCTTCTTCTTGGTGTGGGTGTTGACGTAGGTTCCAATGAAGAAACCAATAATGTTGAAGAAAGGTACCCAAACGTGCTCGGGCAGGAACTTCTGGGCGAAGGCCAGGGCCAAGGGGGAGGTGACCCAGCTCACCTTCATGACGGGCATGAAACCGGCCTTGACGGTCGCACGGACCTGGTGAATGGTGCGCGCACCGGCAATAACAGCCATGGAGGTCAGGTAGACGCTGTTCTGAATGGGGGAGATCTAAACAGGCAAGCGTTAGCGAGCCGGAAAGGCGGTCAAGCGAGGGGAGGAATGAAAGTGGCATCGACGAGACGTACAATCAGGTTGCTAACGAGGATCTGAAGGATCTTAGCCTTCAGACTTGTGCGGCCGGCGAAGATCTTCTGGAGAATTCCGATGAGAACGTGGCCGAGGGGCGCGCTGATGAACATTCCGTAGAGGGACATCTTGGGAATGCGCGAGCTGAAGTAGTGGCCGTGCTTGCCGACATCGTGCGCGATCCACGAGGCCAGCAGCTCCTGCAGACCGGAGAGCACACCGGAGGTGAGCATCTTTGTGCGCAGCGGGTTCTTCTGGAGGTGGAGGAGGTAGGCCTAGTGGTTCCATTGGGATCAGTCGCGGTTCGTCAACGGGAAAGGGAATGGGAATGGGTTCGTACTTGAAGATAGCCATTTGCTCCAGTGGCTTTGCCTCCAGTGAGACGGTCTCCGAGACGATGCGCCAGGTCTCCCGTCGCAGCCCTGATAGACTCATTCCCCTCTGTTACTCGCGTAACTTCCTTCTCGAATTTGACAGACATTGTGACCGAGGAGAGGAGTGGGAGTGGAACGGTGAAAATGGGTCAATAACGCGCCTATGATAACCAATAGCCGGATTAGTGAGGTACTGGGGGAAAGCGTAGGGGAGGTTGTTGATGCGGGATTGTTTTGCAAGTGAAGTGGCTGGGCTCGGGCTACGGAGTACTACCGAGGTGCATTTGGCCAATGGTAGAACTGGTAGAACCTTGCACAATCCCCAACTCCATTGATTTCACTCACCAAAATTGATAAATAATCAAAAGAGAAGAAGTTCAATAAATCCAAAGGGCGGTTGCAGAGTGTATTTGGGCCGGAGTGGGCGGCAACTCCAATCGGCCAGCTCCGCCTTCCGATTCTGGGGGATCTTTAGGCTGCACTGCAGACAATTCTCTCCTACGTGCTAGATCTCGATATTTAATTTATTCCTCCGTGTGTGTGTGTCTCTGGATTATCTGTACGAAGTTCAAAGCACTGCGTGCACAGTAAATATTCCCCCCTTGCACCATTTTCGGAAATTCATTCCGAACTGTCACAATTAGCTCGGGTTCGACACCGTACTCCGTACTGAGGAAAATGGCTGCCGGCGAGTACCCTATTGCGATGTTTTAGTGTGCCAAGTTGTGTTCTGAGCTCTGAATGAAGCTCTCAATGATTGTGGGAACGGGGCAGAGACTTGTTGTTGAAACCCGTGTAGCCAATTCAGGCGAACAAAACAAAAGTCAATCTATAATCGCAAGTGGTAATTTCCGAGGTTGAAAGTAATACCGGTCGCAACGGTCCAAATGAGCTTCCCTCGGCTCTTAAGCGGCAATGGAACCATCTTTGGTACCCGACCTGAATGCTTACTCCGCACTGCACGCCCAATCATCTCTTCTGCACAATTCATTCTCTTCACCTGCGCCAAGACGCCTTTTCAAAGCTTCAAATTAATCCTGGCCACTTTTTGGCACATATCGCAGTAAGGACAGCATGATGGTATCGATTCCGGTGGATTCAATTGTGGATGATCTGTTACAGATCTCTGATACATGGTTGGCATAGCAACCGGCTTTTATTGCTTTGTTATCTGGTTCCGATCATATTCTCGCCCCACCAGAACTGGAGACAGAAGGGGCTGTTGTGCAGCTTGCGTTCATTATGCTCCGTACCCAGTGCGGAGTATGGGGTACAACCTGTCAAGAGAACCTGGTTTAACCTTTGGCTGGCTGGTATCAATATGTTCAACTGCACATGCCTGCTTTTTCATGACGCAGTATTACGTAGCTTCTCCTAATCAGCTACCTGGATTTCCATATCAAAGTCAGGTTAAATAAAACGTCAATGGCTCAAGAAAAACTGTGGACTTTCAAAGCCAATTCAAAATTGACACTCTATCACGCCAGACACGTCCATTGCGCGTGCTCGGGGGTCTAGTGTGCGGTTACCTGGAGGCTGGAGCATACACGCGGGCACTGGTTTACTGGAACACCAAATTTTTAAAAGCCTTAAGGTTGCATTATCAGCAGAGTAGCAGATTGCTACTTCTGGTCTTTCTATACTGTTCAAGCCCTGAACAACCCGATCGGTCCGCAGAGTAGTTCACTAGATGGCGGCATAGCACGGGGAAACGAGCTGCCAGATTAATCAAAATCCCGGAATCCACTACACTGTACACAGGCCTAGAGCTGCTTGCAACGTTGCTGTTTGTACATTTCATTTAAAGATAGTTGCCGGCATTATTAATACAAAACATTCTGCTATTTGGATACAGTCGTGCAGCAAGGTCGGCTGCCGAATACCCGATGTGGAAAGCAGAATCATCAATCATGAAGACCCTCAGAGCGCTTCCTGGGGAAGATCATCCTCGCTGGGTCCCTCATTGTAACCGTTCGACGTCTGGGGCTTGGCATGGCGAAGGTTATCACCCTGGATGACGTTCGACTGGTCGATGCCTTGGTCTTCTTCAGCTACACCTGATAGGTAAAGGTTAGTTCCGGACACTCGAATGGGTTCTAATGACATATTTACCGAGTTGTGCGTTTCCATCTTCGTACTCCGCATCTTCGGCCTCAAAATCGAACTCGTCTTCGACAATGTCGTTGGCAGCGGACATGGTGGCAAATTGTGGTGATGAGAGAAGGAGCCTTGGTTTTTGAGAGATAGGCGCAAGCTCAGAAGAACAAGAGGATATAAGTTGCTTTCAATAGTTCAGGAGGGAATTGATTATGTCTTCAAAGCCAGAAGAACAACTAGATATTTATGCTACGGCCCCTGTTGCCTCAATCGTCATGATAGCGTTGAGCTCGCGCCACCAAATGACCCCTTGACAGCGTGGATGCTCTTCAAACAGGTAAGAATCACTCCATTTCCGGAATTTCAACAATCGCAATCACCAAGAAGCTTTTGATGATCGAGATCTAGACATCGAGATCGATCGACTATCCGATGTGATGCGCTGCTATGACGTCAGTCAAATCCAATCCAGACCACAGAAACAAAACTTCAATCCTGCTTTCATCCGTCGTTCACATTGGTGGAAATCACGAATCGCTGGTTGAAACAATGGTTCATGATCAAATGCTTGTAGCTTGGACCCGGGATTTCGATGATCGACTGCGCTGTCCATCTTTGTCATTGTAGTCCTCAACCTTGCAAATATGGCCCCGTCGCTACTTTCGCCATTGAGTTTGATCGTTACCAATCTGCTTCATCATCTCCTTAACTAGATGATTCTTCTGGGCTTAATTGCTGAGGAATAGCCCTTCAATTAAAGTTACCCCATTGGGTCACGATTGGCTGGGACGGATCTCGGAAGAGTGGGGAAATGGCCCCATAGACTGCATTGTTTCATCGACCAAGCTGATGTATAGTCACGGCAAATTTGGAGAGTGTATTAGGGCTTGTTCTCTTTTCTCTTGGTATAATGAGTGATCATGATCGCTGAATCATGTCGTCCGATGGCACATTCCCTTGTTCCAATCACAATGTAGGGTTCGCGAGCCACGTGATCACCTAAAGAAGACGACATTTTAATTTCGAGCTCCTATAAAGACTTTCTCTTAGGGCATGAAATTAGACCTTGATATACTTTGCTTACAACAGCGAACTAAATCTACCATGAAGCTTTTCCACACCTGTAAGGAATATCAGGCCTCCTGAAACAGACTGAACATGATCTTGCATGAAAGACTGACAATGTTTCACCAACGCTTTTTCCTTCATTCTCTGTGAGTCTTGTCACTCTTGGTACTTTCTTACGAGTAGAATTTTGATGCACGTAAGTGGATATAGGATGAAACCCCTGGGGGAGAAACTGTTAACTGAATTTACAATGGATTTTCCCATCTCCATAATATCTAAAAGCAGTGAATAGGTAGCTCTACAATGTAATGAAAGTACTTTACCTCGCCAGATAGCTAGCAAGCTTGTTTTAGCAACATATAGTATTGAAGACATAGTGGCGCATACGGATTTCAGGGGTAAGTTATTCGCAGCAGATCATTGTGAAAGTACCTAGGCTCCTGCGGCGATTCCTTTTTTATACGGGGAATCAAGCATAGAAAACAGGCCTTAAAAGCTAGATTGAAGCGTATCAAGCAAGTGAAGCGCTTTAGTAGATGGCGCACGTCACAACGACTAATCGCGATCCCCTCAAGTTGCGTTGCCGCGTCAGATCGGATCCCAATCTTTTCTGGCGCTTTCCCTTCCTCCAACCCGACACCAAATCCTCACACAAAAGCTTTCGTGATATCCCGACTCTTGTAAGGCTTTATCTCTGTGATCCACTGAGACCTTCTCGAGTCTGTGGAACCTTCCTTCGAGTCTTCATCTGCCATCCTGCAGCACCAATCTGCCGGCACAAGACCAAGGTAGTTGACCGTTGTTTGAATCCACAATTCAATTGCTAATAGCGCACCAGACCTTTGAACAGACAATTCAAGTCCCAATTCTCGATCCTTCTCTTCCAAAGGCTCCCGGTCATCTGAAATAGCTGGGACCTAATGCGTTCTTTCACATTCCTTGCGGTCTTTTGCCTTTTGATTTTTGCTTCTTGTCTTCATCATCGATCAAATATGGATTACTCCGGTTGCAATGGAGTCTCCGAAGGTAGCGAGCCCAGCATCGAGGGGAACGGACATGACCCGAACCAAGTCCATCAGTCCGAATCCGCGGTTGAAGGAGTTCGCGAGGAAATGACCACGCTTCAGATATCTGGAACGGCCGGGGAGGATACAAACTTGCCTGGTCAGGCCGTTCCAACGAGCTCTGCCGGTCTTCCGGCCGAACAAAGCGATGCCGGAGGCCTGATGCATCAAGGCCTAGTTCCTCAATCCTTTAGTTTTGGCGCGAGTGCAATGACCAATGCCGAGCACGTCAATGTGTTCAATACGCAGTCTCAGCATGAATCGGCCGCATGGCAACATTACGTCCCAGGTCCTGCCGGTCCGATCCCAATGGAGCATGCTAGCTTTCCATATGAAACAAGCTTTGCACAAGCCCCGATGCACCAGGGCAACATCCCTCCCAATCCTGTTAATCCAACTGAGGCCAGACTCACCAATGGGGATATTGAAAATGGGTACAATGCTCGATCTGAGATCCCAGGTAATCTTGGAACTCCTGGATCACAGGACTTTTCCGGGGCCGTGAATTCCTCGGCTCTGCCGTGGTGGATCCAGGGATCTGATCAGGGCAATGATGTTGACATGGATTCGGAACTTGAAGAGGGCGAGATCCGCGAGTAATACGTGTTTGACGATGAGTATGGACTCATTCCTGCCGTGAAAGGAATTGTCCCCTTTGATGACGAAGACTAACAGGCTCTTAGGTACTGGACTAGGCCATCGAGACCTCTCTATTCGTTCAGTCAATATTCAGCTAAACAGTCAATACAATTTTGAGTTATCTTTACCTTGATCCACAGAAAGAGCATTTTTGGGGGGAGGGAACAAGTGCTCACCTCCATAACATGAGCGAATGATCTTTCAATGTCTTTTTAGCTCCATGTCAGCAAGAGCTTGATGCACTTATGGTTCACTCTGTGAATGAAACGCGATTCATCAGACATTGCACGTATTGCTATGCTGCAAATCGTTGAAGAGCCGCAAATCGTCTGGCATGAAGATCAAATCGTTGTGTCGCAGACTTTCTAGACCAGGAGTATCGTCTGTAATGATGGATTTCGTTTGGCTCAATATGAGATGAAGATATCTTGCAGGCCTGATCAAAGATAAAAACTGATTTGCATCTGCGATTGAGCCGAAAGAGCAGGATAGTAGCAGCATTGGCTCTCATGTGCATTGTGAAGAAGATGACCATGACACAAGTTTTGGGGAAGCAAATGCGTAGCATAACAACGATATAATGGTGGATAGCGTACCTAGCCTCACGATATCTCGGCGTAACGTTACGTTCCCATGCAAACTCACATGCCTATAGGCCTCAAGTTTTTCACCAGATCTTACAATTATTCCCGTTCATTTCTGGTTGAGATTGAGTGAGCATCACAGATCCATTGGTTACCCACGAGCCACAGTCTCTCTACCTTTGATTCTTCTGCTACAGCTGTTGGGCTAGCCAGTGAACGGCATGATTTACATTGAATCATGGAGATATGAGATTTGGCTGTTCATATTATGCGTTGTATGTTTAATCGGCCACTGCCAAGTCATCATCACACAGCTCCCTGTCTGATTTCCTGAGTAAATATCTTTACCACCACCCGGTAGACTCTCTACAGAATACGACCGATTGAAGAAGAAGGAAAGACATCAATGTAGAAACGTCAGGACTGAACTGGTTAATCATTGAATTTTTTGTAGAGACTTGCACCAGTACTGTAACTCGTTGTCTACCAGGTACATCTCATTAAAGGATAGAATTTTGCAATTGCTACATGCTGAATTCTGTGGGTGGTATTGGTATACTTATTTATTAATATGGCCTCGGAGCTTGCCATCTAAAGGGGGGACATAACCTTGGAATCAGCTTCTTGGGGGCCTTTTGTTGACTGTGACACTAAAGAGACTTTCTTTTCGTCAACTACCCTTTCAATAAAATCGCCTCCCCCGATCTCTTTCTGAGTCGATGAAAATTTACTACGTGTTGATGGCAGACTTTTCATTCCCCTTACGATTTACAAATTTACTTTACCGGGCTTTTTTCAATTTTTGAAAAGGGGAAGCAAATGATATTCTTCTGACTATGCTGCTGGCATCCACCATTCGAGACTTCACACACACTTTCGCCCGACTACAATATTTCTCGAGCCCTCCATTCCCGTGGTAGCTTCCAAAGTTGATATTTGGACTTGAGTCAGGCACACCAACTACGGCAAGTCGTTGTCAATTCGCCTCCTCTCCCCTATCAAGAAGTGACCGAGTATTTTTTGCGCTTCGTGAAGACACCATACCCACAGCAGCGAGGGAGGTCAAATCATATGTTCCGTCAACATCATACCGTCCATTCAATGGTGTAGAATCTCGGCTCGCGAAAGTGTCACCGAAGCGCCCCGGGTCTTATCTGTCCTCAAAGTCTTTGTGATTATCTTGATTGAAGTTTTTATGTTGCTATTGAAGCAACCTCCGTTGTATCACTTGCTCTGGTGCCCAGCTCATTGTCCGGCTCATGCAAACCGTTAGCCTTGGGCAAGGCTTTTTCTTGTCTTGATCCACTTTGCACAGCCTCGTCACCTTGTTGGGCCAATCTCCTCTTGTTGACGCGCCATTGTTTGTAGTACACCCGGTGCCTCTCTCGCTTTTCCTCCGCCCACTTTTGCGCAGCCTCGTCACCTTGTTGAGCCAATTCCCTCTTGTTGGCGCGCCGTTTTCTCTCGTACACCCGTTGCCTCTCTCGCCTTTTCTCCACCCACTTTTGAGCAACTTCATTACCTTGTTGGGCTAATCCTCTCCTTGTGCTATTCAAATCTCTCATTCTTGCCCGATTTTTCTCGATCTGCTTCATCGCAGCCTGGTTACCTTGTTTTGCTAGTTCCTTCTGATGGACATACCGTTTTTCAGATGATACCCTTCTCTTCTCGGCTGACTCTTGAGCAGCCTTGTCACCTTGTTTTACCAATTCCCTCTGGTGGGCCCTCAGTTGATTCTGCCTTGCACGATTCTTCTCAATCTTTTTTTTAGCAGCCTCATCGCCGTGCGGCTGCTCTCTTCAAATTAGCCCTCAATTGCTTCCGCCTTGCACGAATCTTCTCAATTTTTTCTTTAGCAGCCTCATCGCCCTGCTCGGCTAATCTCTTCCGATTGACTTCCTGTTTCCTACTGTTCGCCTGCGTCTGCTCGATCCATCTGCTGGCTGCATCACACTGTTCAACTAGTCCCCCAAGGTGAGCAATATAACGCCTACAGGTCTTTCGGCGTTGCTTTTTGCTGTTGTTGCCTTGGTACAGTCTTTTTGTTTGGTTCGCCATCGAGTGATGTATGTCCTCCGCCGCATGGTCCAGTGCTTGATGGCTCGATCACTTTCTTGACCTAGATACCTCCCGGTAGTTGCTAATTGTATGTCACTCTTTTGCCTTCTCTCAAGTTCTCCTTGAGCGACTTCATCCCCTTGTTCAGCTTGTCTATTTATTTTGGCTCTTGACTTCGTACAACACTTTAGCTCTTTTTTAGGATACTCTTGGGTGGTTATGTTGCCCTGCTCTATCTTTTTCCTGGCATTGACCCAATGGAGACGTCTCCTCTCCTGCTGTTTTCTGACACGATTTTGGGCAATTCCATCACCCTGCTCTGCCTTTTCTTTGATATTGACCCAATAGAGACGGCTCCTCTCCTGCTGTTTTCTGACACGATTTTGGGCAATTTCATCACCCTGCTCTGCCTTTTTTCTGATATTGGCCTGATAGAGACGGCTCTTCTCCCGCTGTTTTCTGACACGATTTTGGGCAATTTCATCACCCTGCTCTGCCTTTTTTCTGATATTGGCCTGATAGAGATAGTCCTTCTCCTGCCTTTTTCTGACACGATTTTGGGCAATTCCATCACCCTGCTCTGCCTTTTCTTTGGTATTGACCCAATAGAGACGGCTCCTCTCCTGCTGTTTTCTGACACGATTTTGGGCAATTTCATCACCCTGCTCTGCCTTTTTTCTGATATTGGCCTGATAGAGACGGCTCTTCTCCCGCTGTTTTCTGACACGATTTTGGGCAATTTCATCACCCTGCTCTGCTTTTTTTTTTGATATTGACCCAATAAAGATGATTTTTCTTTTGTTCTTTCTCAAGCAACTCTTGGGCAATCTTATCACCTTGTGCAGCTAATCTTTTCATTTCGGCCCTTTTTTGATTCCGATTCTCGTTGTATCTTTTACGCCGTTCTTGAGAAATATTATCCCCTTGGTCAGCCCGTTCTTTCAATCCCAATCGTTTCCTCTTCAGCCCTCTCAAGGAAGGCACATCGTTAGTCTGCTTCTGCAAATGACGAGATGTGATGTAGCGATGCTGCAGGACAGTGTTGTACTTTGAAAATCTGTCAAGTATAGCACGGATCGATCGGATATTTGGCGAAAAGTGTCCATAGTGGTTGTTTGGAAGACAACTATCATCGATGTTCTCATCGACCAAGTGAAGCATATGGCCATCCACACGAGAGAACCGTGTTGGTATATCGGTGAAGATCTGAAGAGTGATCTTCACGTCCTTCCAGTCATTGAACAAATTCTTCAGCAAAAGTTTGTTTGATGAAATAATTCTCCATCCAGAAATCACAAGAACAACCTCAGCACCAAGACGTCGACCTTTTGATAGTACCGAAGACAGGCGAACAGGCACCTCGTGTGTTTCGGGTAGTACGTCGTTGGGTTGGTGTAAGAATGGTAGGTAGTTATAGGGCTCACTATGAGTGACCTGGAACTCTTTTTCGTGGGCATCTTTCAGGTGGTCCATGGACTCCTGCAGCCATTTGCTCTTCTGTTGGAAAGTTTTATCTTCGTACGTGCTGTCTGGGGATGTGATAAACACGACGATAGGGCTGACTGAGTCAGTAGTTATGGCGTTGACTTGGTTGATATCTTCCATGGGTTCCATGGGGGAATCAATTGTAAGTTCTGCGAGCCCTCGGGTGGTTCGGGAAAAGGTTTGCATGGCATATATGGTTGTACTGTGACTTGTTCTCATTGTCTCGAGGGAGCGCACAAGATTGGCCATCTGGCCGTGGTGATCTTTGATAGGATCCATGATGTGCAGGACATCAGAAATTGAAGGTTTTGTTTCTTGATGAATGGTTTTGAATGTTTTGTTGATTGAAGGTTGGTATCTGAGTGATGGTTTTGAAGGGGATGGGGAAAGGATAAAGGAAAGAATCCCCACCTAGGATCTGTCTTTATATGTAAGATTGCCAGTCATGCCGTGTAGCCTAGAAATCGCATACTATTGTGAAGATATTGCACAATACTACAATGTTGACGCAGTATCCTGTCATACATGTGTGTTTGGCTACTTGCTACTTATCCTCAACCTGAAAACTTCATGCAATTAAGCCTTGTAGTGCTTGTAGTGCTTGTAGTGCTTGTAGTGCTTGTAGTGCTTCCAAGGTTATTTTTGGCAGGATAGTGCCGAAGTTTTCCAAAGTTGGTTTCATTGTGGACATTGTAGACCTGAAGATCATGTGTCGAGGATACTGAACAGCTGGATGTTCACAAGCCTGACTCGGTCAATGGAAATACATTGGTCATGGAAACTATTTTGATAATATTTCAAGGAGATTATGGCAGGGTGGGATCTCCAGAGTCCATCCCACTTGGGCAAGTTCTTGAGGCGGAAATTTCACAACTTTACCCAAGGCGCAGCCAAGTGCCATTTTAAACCGACTGGCCCGTTTAGTACTCAGACTTGATGCTACTCCGTAGATAGAAATGACCTAACCAGACCAGGTATGGCTAAGCCCATCAAACGGGAAATAGTGGGGAATCATAGCTAGTCCCTGTATCTGAAAGACAGCAATCATGCTACGAGAAAAAAAAAATGCTTCTCACCTTCAACGCATTACAGCTTTTTGGCACTGGTCTTTTTGCTGTGTATGTCCTCGATTTGGTAAGTACAACCTTTTGTAGAGAGCTCAAATATTCTGACAAGGCTGTAGCTGACTAGTTTTATGGATTGAACTGGGATATTGATGGCCTGCTACCGCGTGATTTCTGTCGCTGGTCACTTAATAATTCTCTCTTTTCTTTATTTCGCTGTGGGGGTTGATCTTCATTTCACCGCTGCCTTGGGATTTGTATTTCCGTTTGCTCCTGCAACTCCCGGACTGGCGTTTGCAGAGGAAGGGACATGCTGTATGGGTCCCACTGGCTCTGCCACCTTGGGCCTATATGTATAGAGGATTACTTTCGAGACATGTTTGTCGCGCTTGTTATTTGGAATATTTAGTGTGAAATTTGAACACCCCTGACGCTGCGAACACATCCGTCATCGGAGTCTCTGAATTTATAATCCATGGGGATTAATTTATATGTCTGTTGTGTTTGAAAACATGTCATGATTCAATCTGCTGACCATATTTCCTATGTCATTGTGTAGTTCTATGTACTCCGTAGACAATCAGATTTACTTGTGACCCCCTTTATACTCCGCGGCGAAAATGTCTTGGCAACAGCAATGGCATGTGAATTAACTCTTTTGATTCTCGAATTCCTTCTTTCTTTTGAATCTCTGCTATACGGAGAAAAAAAGATCAATAAAAAAATAAGGACACAAAATAGCAGGTCTTCGGCAGTAGATTCCAAACACAGCAGTAAAAGAAGTGCGGAAAAATTCCCCGTAAATAATCGAAAGAGGCAATCCCAGCCTTAATTGTCTAGCCTCGGCAGCGCGGCGAAGCGGGTATCGCGCGATCCCGCATCTCGTCGCTCCGTCCCCAATAATTGCCCTGAACAACCCCGGACCTCCCAAACTTCCCACACCAGCCTGTGCTTCACCGTGGACAACTATGGCACAACCTGATGGGAAGCCCTCTGGCATTTGCGCCAAGCGACAGCTGCTGGGTGCCCTAACCACAACGGACCTCACCATCCGCCGCTTGGATCTGTAAGTCTCACCATAGACACGGGCTACACGATGCCGCGGACACAGGAACTATGCTAACTGGTATTGTAGCATGCTATCCACAGCCAGTGGTCAAGAACGAGTACTTGCGACCATCAACTATACCGCCTCAATACTGCACCACCTCACGGCCTCGGCCCCATGGATCGCTCTACAAACGAGATTGGGTCTCCTCGCGCGACTCAAAGGCCGCACACCTAATATTTCTTCGCCTTCCACAAAATCAAAATTCTCCGCCCTCTCCTCACTCGCTTCGGAAACGAGATATAACCTCCGCCTCTTCGGCCTTCTCGAGCTTTGGATCTGGGGAGCCGATACGCTCAAGAACCCGCCTAAGGACCGCACGCTCCACGTCCTGACGGTGCTACAGGTTATCTCGAACGTGATATATCAGTTCCTTGAGAACGTGGGGTACCTCGCTTCCAAGGGTATTGTCTCGAAGCGCCTCGTCGAGAAATATGGGAGTCTCACGCAGTGGGATCTGTGGAGTACACGAGGCTGGTTCGGACATATCTTCTTCCAGTTCTTCGTTCTCTGGCGGCAGCATGTATTGCGCAAGCGACGTGTTGCTGCTGAGCGCGCGGCCGCTGGTACGGTCGAGAGCAAAGAGACCAAGGCTGAAGATGACGAGGCTATGAGGCTGGAGATTCGGTCTTGGAAGAAGAGTCTGGTGAATAATGCTTTCTGGGCTCCTTTGTGTCTGCATTGGTGCTTTGAGAAGGGAATCGGTATCCCAGAAAGCTTGGCTGGTGTTATCAGTTTCGGCGCTGGGGCTTGGAGTCTACATGATATGTGGGCGGCGACGAAGTCGGTCAAGGCTTAGATAGAGGTGGTGGACTATTTTTCTTTTTCTTTCTTGTACAGATTTACTTGCATATATACCTGATGCCGTGACTTATGTGGTTGCGAAACTTATAGAATGGGTTGAGATGACCTATGTTTTCTTTTTTCTTTTTTGGTTTTGTGTTGAGATCAACTGTTTCTAAACTGTCATGCAAATATTCTGCTTGGGCATTCTTCTCATTTTCGTGTCATCATTGATCGTTCACAGATACCGTTCTTGATCCTCAAGGGCAGCCTCTCGACTCCTGCGGTCTTGCGATTGCACCATGTGTCGACATAGCGGGGATTGGAGGAAAGGCTCAGCATCCCACATGGAACCGCGAATCAGCTCTAGTCCGAAATGATTGCTAGTGTTTGAATCCCCTGTGGGATTCCATTCGAACACCCCGGCATCAATCATCCTCATGCTGTGCTTGTTATCTTTGAGTCGTCGTTGGCATATTTGCACCTGCACACTGGCAAGCTTCTGCAACCCGCCCTCCAGCTCGTGAATGGCGTTCCTCTGCTCGCGATTCAAGCCAAAGACAAGAATGCCTTCGACCTTGTGATCACGGTTGTCTGATTGCACGATGACTGGCATGCCTTGGTCGGCATACTGGCACAGTTGGTACCCGTGGAGGGTTGCTTTGGTCATTGACTTCTGAATGCGAACCTTCTGGTCAATGTCGGTGTGGTACTTGAGGATAGTGGGAAGCATGAGAGCCCCGTACACGAAGCTGGGTGAGCTGTCTGGCTGCCTGAGAGAAGTGTCAACTTCCTGGTCCGTGAGGGTGTTGGCGAGGGCTTGCTTGAAATCCCGTGGGGAGTTGGGACTAAAAGCCATGTCGCCTGATTGACTATTGTCGGCAGCGGTGGCTTTCTGTGACACTGAGGCCGACGATCTGCATTTTGCTATCCCATAGATCAAAGATTCATGGCGTGAGGATTGAGTTGGCGCAAAACGATTTTGATTGCAGGGTCACTCAGACGAAGAGGATGTCGTGATTTGCCCTCGAGGAGGAGTATGCGAGAATATTTGAGGCTCAAAACGAGGGGTCCAGGGGGCTCAGGTAGAAAGGCTTCTCGTGAAATGGTACTTATCAAACCACCTGGCTGCCTAGGCGCCGGGCAATGCCTGGATGGCGCGAGCCATTATACTTACCGCGTCACCTGCATCTGTTTCAGAGGGGGGATTAAGGGAATATAATTGTGTCAATTTGAGGCTCCGCCTTTTCTTTCAGAAATGAATGTAGTGTTGAGATAGACTTTCATCGTGGCTAGTATCTATAGACTCGGACACAGTTTATTGCCCTAGAATGGATCAGGTATTCACTTGGGCCCAAATCGTTGGCCCATTGTCTATTCCGAATGTCCATACTGCGTTCATGTTGTATGTCAGGCAGCTTTCTCATGGCCTGCTATATTCCATGGTAGTAAAATGTTGCAGATCGTGTCTTAGGTCCGTGATATCTTTCAACCCTAGTAGAGCTAGAACGTTAAAAGCGTCACATCACAAAGAGTAGTCAGGCATCAAGGCTCGCAATCCACTGACTTCCATCGTTATCCACGGTGGCGGAAGGTTCGATGACATAATCTGAGCTTAAGTCATCATCAGTAGCCGCCTAGTTGGAACCTTTGGAGCTCCAACATCATCGCAACGTTCCTCACTCTCTCCATCCGTCAGATTGCGCTTATTTGATCTGTCGGTTGATTCCATTTCGCTTTATAAATCTCTCTCTCCACTTCTCTCTTTCCCACCATTTTTGAGCGCTTGACTTTCCATTAACACAAGCTTGCTTCTATCCACGTCACGACCTAAGATACGGCCATCATGTCTGCTGAGCCGGATCACACGCACGAGAAGAAGAGGGTCAACCTCAAGTAAGTTGATATCCAAATCGGCTTTTCGATGATTGAGAGCTAACTTGACTCCAGGGACGCCTCCGGCGCCGAGCACAAGGAGGTAAGGATATGTGTGCAGGACAGCTCAAAAGGGCCTCAAAAGCTGATCTTGATTACAGGAACTTGACACCTCCACAGCTATTCTCAAGAAGAAGAAGAAGCCCAACTCTTTGATGTAAGTGGCTGGCAAGAGATGGCTGGATCTGAGCCGAGCTGACCAGTTCTCCCGCAGTGTGACCGATGCCGTTAACGATGATAACTCCGTTATTGCCCTTTCGAACAACACCATGGAGACGCTTCAGCTTTTCCGTGGTGACACAGTTCTCGTTAAGGGTAAGAAGCGCAAGGATACTGTGCTGATCGTCCTTGCCGATGACGATCTCGATGACGGAAGTGCTCGCATCAACCGTGTTGTGCGTCACAACCTTCGTGTCAAGCACGGCGACATTATCACTGTTCACCCTTGCCCCGACATCAAATACGTAAGCTGGAAACGATCAACTTCTTATCACATCCATTTATTAACCTATTTTTGAACAGGCCAAGCGCATTGCTGTCCTCCCTATTGCCGATACCATCGAAGGTCTTACCGGTTCTCTCTTCGATGTCTACCTCGCTCCCTACTTCCGCGAGGCCTACCGACCAGTCCGCCAGGGTGACCTGTTCACAGTACGAGGTGGTATGCGACAAGTCGAGTTTAAGGTTGTGGAGGTCGACCCTCCAGAGTACGGCATTGTTGCCCAGGACACAATTATTCACTGCGAGGGCGAGCCCATCGAGCGCGAGGACGAGGAGGGTAACCTCAACGAGGTTGGTTACGACGATATTGGTGGTTGCCGCAAGCAGATGGCTCAGATCCGTGAATTGGTCGAGCTGCCTCTCCGTCATCCCCAACTCTTCAAGTCCATCGGTGTCAAGCCCCCTCGTGGTATCCTCATGTACGGTCCTCCCGGTACCGGTAAGACCCTGATGGCTCGTGCCGTTGCCAACGAGACTGGTGCTTTCTTCTTCCTGATCAACGGTCCTGAGATCATGTCTAAGATGGCTGGTGAATCCGAATCCAACCTACGCAAGGCCTTCGAGGAGGCCGAGAAGAACTCTCCCGCTATCATCTTCATTGATGAGATCGACTCCATCGCCCCCAAGCGTGAGAAGACCAACGGAGAGGTCGAGCGCCGTGTTGTTTCGCAGCTCCTCACCCTCATGGACGGCATGAAGGCCCGCTCCAACGTCGTTGTCATGGCCGCCACTAACCGACCTAACTCCATCGACCCTGCTCTCCGTCGTTTCGGCCGTTTCGATCGTGAGGTCGACATTGGTATCCCCGATGCCATTGGCCGTCTCGAAGTCTTCCAGATTCACTGCAAGAACATGAAGCTTGGCGAGGACGTCGACCTTGAGACCATTGCCGCCGAGACCCACGGTTACGTCGGTTCTGATATCGCTTCGCTCTGCTCTGAAGCTGCTATGCAGCAGATTCGTGAGAAGATGGATCTCATCGATCTCGATGAGGACACCATCGATGCCGAGGTTCTCGACTCTCTTGGTGTTACCATGGAGAACTTCCGCTACGCCCTCGGTGTCTCCAACCCCTCCGCTCTCCGCGAGGTTGCTGTTGTCGAGGTCCCCAATGTCCGCTGGGACGACATTGGTGGTCTCGAGGAAGTCAAGCGCGAGCTCATCGAGAGCGTTCAATACCCCGTCGACCACCCCGAGATGTTCCACAAGTTCGGTCTTTCACCTTCTCGTGGTGTTCTGTTCTACGGTCCTCCTGGTACTGGTAAGACCATGTTGGCCAAGGCTGTTGCCAACGAGTGTGCTGCCAACTTCATTTCCGTGAAGGGTCCCGAACTTCTCAGCATGTGGTTCGGTGAGTCCGAGAGCAACATCCGTGACATCTTTGACAAGGCCCGTGCTGCTGCTCCTTGTGTTGTCTTCCTTGATGAGCTTGACTCCATTGCCAAGTCCCGTGGTGGTTCCGTCGGTGATGCCGGTGGTGCCTCCGACCGTGTTGTCAACCAGCTTCTGACTGGTAAGTTTCTTTGTTGTTGATTTTTACTCTTGAACATTTGCTAATACCCTAACAGAGATGGATGGTATGACCTCCAAGAAGAACGTGTTCGTCATCGGTGCCACCAACCGTCCCGAGCAGCTCGATGCCGCTCTGGTCCGTCCCGGTCGTCTCGACACCCTCGTCTACGTTCCCCTGCCCGACCAGGCTTCTCGTGAGGGTATCCTCAAGGCTCAGCTCCGCAAGACCCCTGTTGCCGGTGATGTCGACATGGACTTCATTGCCAGCAAGACCCACGGTTTCTCCGGTGCCGATCTTGGCTTCGTTACCCAGCGTGCTGTCAAGCTCGCCATCAAGCAGGCCATCTCTGCTGACATCGACCGCCAAAAGGAGCGTGAAGCTGCTGGCGAGGATGTCAAGATGGACGATGACGAGGAGGACGTCGAGGACCCCGTGCCCGAGCTCACCCGTGCTCACTTCGAGGAGGCCATGAAGTCTGCTCGCCGCTCCGTCACCGACGTGGAGATTCGCCGCTACGAGGCATTCGCCCAAAGTCTCAAGAACACTGGAGGCGGTAGCTTCTTCCGCTTCCCCTCTGCCGGCGAGGTCCAGGAGAACGATACCTTTGGTGAGGCTGGAAACGACGACAGCCTCTACGATTAAATGGCTTTAGCTGCGAAATGACTTTGTTTTTAGTGGCTTGGCTGATCCTGAATTCTGCTGCATCCGTATGATAGATCGCTTCGCGGTAGAAATGCGGGTTCGATCCGGCTTATGAGTGTTCCCTTTTTTTTACCTTGGTCTTTTTCTTCCTGTCTTGTCCACATATCATGTGCCATAATAGCCAATACAGGTGGAGATTTCTCTATGTCCATTTCGGTTGCAGTAAATTGATCCAGTAGTCCGCTTCTGTAGTACAGGCCTCTCTTTGGCGTCCCACGGCCTCGTAGTATCTTGGAGGGGGTTTCAACCCTGTGGCACCTTATATTTTTATGTGAACGACTATCTCGACAGTAAGATCTCAAGGGCACGAGCTAGGAAGATAAAAATATTTGTATTATTAATGTATGCATGATGCCACGCTGTATGCCCAGACGGTCATTAAAAAAACCAGTACCCCAGCACCCAGCCCTAAGCTGGTGTCTCATAAAAAAAATTATCGGTAAAGGATACAAAAGCCACCCAGCTTCTCAAGTCAGGGCAGTACCGAACTAGAACTTGGGACTAAACTTGCTCATCGCGCGAATCTTCGCACCATAGATGAAAAACAAGATGGGAATGGGAATCATAGCCACAGTGATGAAACCCAGAACACTCGAAGCCCAGGCCACGCCCAAATTCTTGTACATCTGCGTAGCGAAAAGTGGGAATGCGCCACCAACCGTAGATCGAACCAGGGTGTTCGCCGCAATAGCCGAGTTGGCAAACATCATATAGACATCGATGATATAGTTCAATCCCTGCATGAAAATAACAAGGATTCCAAGACCGATGGGAATACCCGCGATAGTCTGCGGCACCCATGAAATATTAGGACTGGAAGTCCAGCCGAACCAGAAGAGGCCGATGGGAAGTAGGGCAGAGGCAACCATCATAGGCACGAGACGCTCTTCAGGTACCACTCTGCCGTGTTTCTTGAGCTTGCGCGCGAATCGGGTTTTTGTGGTGTAGATGATTAGACAGGCGCCGAGTATCACTCCGATTAAGATGCCTAGGAATGGAAGGGCTGCGACGCCTAGATTTGTCCAGCCGCGAACCTCGTTGAAGGAGATTGGATAGGCTTCGAAGAAGAGATATAGAATGCCGTAGACGAGGGCAAGATAGATGGTCATAGCGACGAGGATTGGCTCTTGGATAAGCATTTGGAAAGGGCGGAATAGGTACTTCGTCACGATGTCTGACATTGTGGGCTTGTGTTCGTCGAGGAAGGAGTGGTAGGCCCAGTTCTTGGTTTCGACGCGTAGCCGTGCTGCTCGGTTTTGGAGGAGGACTGGAGCATATGTCTCTGGAACGACGCATAAAGCGACCAGTCCGAAGAATGCGGATGTGATGAGGGTTATCCATGCTGTCCAGCGCCATCCGAGGTGGGAGTCTGTGAGGAAGCCACCGCTGAAAGAAGTTAGCTGCTTGAAAGTTTGCGTGGTATGGGGGTCAAGCGTACATGATAGGGCCCATGACGGGACCTAGGAAAGTAGCCGAGCTGAACAGAGCAACTGCTACAGCACGGTCTGTGGGATTCCAGATATCGGCCATGGCACCGCCAACAACTGCCAGAGGGGAACAACCGAAGACTCCCATTAGGAATCGGCAGACCAGCACGGTCTCGAGATTCTGAGCTACTGCCACTGGGATCTGGAAGATGGCGAAGATGGCATAGCCTGAGAAGAGCGGGATGCGACGACCGTATAGTTCACTAAGAGGAGCCCAGCATAAGGGACCGAGAGCAAACCCAAAGACACATAGACTGGTACCCAGAACCATCACCTCGGTCGAGACGTTGAATTCCTTTGCGGTGACTTGGGTGGCTGTTGAAAAGACACTGGATGCGAAGGTAATCCACATGGTCATGGAGGACATCGTCAATGTGATGACCCATTTTCGTAGACTGGAGAAGTTCTGCGGATTCTCTGGGTCGTCAGGGCCGTCCCATTCGACAAGATTAGGGTCTTTTCCTTCTGCTTCGGGCTTGGGTTCAGGTTCGAGCTTCTCAACATCATCGGTATCTGGCTCAGCAACCCGATCTATAGGGGTATTTCGATCCATACTGAGTCGAGGGGTGGTATCGCGAGAGTTGAAAGGTCGGTCACTCATTGTGACTGGAAGTGGTGTGAGCGAGGAAAGAGCCCGGCGGCCACGCTCCAAATATAAAATCAACGGAGCTTCTAGAACAAGATTCTCTTCTGCCTTTCAGAAGCACTTAAAATCAATTTTAAGCAATGCTTTGTCAACGGCATTCAGAGCGCCATTTCATTCGCTCCTATTCCAACTTCGGACCTGCGGTCGTTCGCTCCGCCGGTATATCCGAGAGACTGGGAAGTCCGAGACGCGAAATCCCCGAGAAAGACTTATTGGGAAACATGTTTTCGCGTCATGCTGCTTTTGAATGACATGATCTTTGTAATATCCAAGGCTTGTTTACCATAAGACAACGTACGGAGTAGGTTTGGGGGAAATGGCTTCGATTCGGGATCGCTGAAGCGACTTGGTCCATTGCCTAAAGATCCCACCAAAACGGCCATGTCCCGAAGACCAGGATTGAAATAGTTAATGCAATAGTTTTAGCCTATCAGAATGGCTGAGTCGGGAATTTCACAGTGGCTATGAGGTACGGAGTAGAATTGTTATCACGGCGAAGTTCACACTCGGTCTCGGTCTTTCGGCGGCTGCCGAAATGTGGGGATCTCGGCATCTCCCACGTTTGGCTTGTCCGTTTTGTACTGTTTGCGGCCGAAGCCTGGGTGATGTCAGATTTAGACTTCTTAAAAGAATGTTCTTTGGTTGTAGGCTTCAGAGCTTTATCTTTACCTCACGTACATCGCTGCTTATAGGGGTAGGTAGACTCTTATGGCCCATGGGAGTAAAGATAACCATGCATCTCTGATCTGATAGAGATGCTGTCCCTTTGTTTCAGATTCAACGGCGCTGAGTATACTCTGCTTAAGGTACAGTGATACTTGATCACGATTGGTTTCATTCAGAAATCTTGGCCAAATTGCGCATGGGTAAACATTCATGGATGATATTGGGTTCTAATAGTGGTTGCATACAACATATTATATCTTTGAAGCGAACGAGCCACGAAGAAACTGATTTTACAAAGCAGATGACCATCGCGCTTCCAATGACCATGCTTCTGAATAGCGAGATAGTGTTGTGGTTGACCCTCTCACAGCAAGGAGAAAGCATTGTGGGCCCCTCTGCCCAAAGAGTTCCATCGCGGCCCCCAGTGTTGTGGCATCGCCCTCAACCGACCCGCTTTTACCCGCATGGTGATCTTGCCTTCATGACATTTCTGTGCTGTACATGTACGATAGCAAAGTACCTCCAGGCGCCTTTCAGGCTGTATCGCAATTCCTCTTTGTATAGTTCATATTCTAGAGGGAAATGTCGCGTAGCCGATCTCTGAGATCTTTGAGATCTTCGCTTGCGGAAACTATGGAAATATTAGACTTTGGGATAGACAGTTTGCACCGGCTTAGCGTCTGATTTTGACGGTTTGCACACCCGCTAGTCCGGTGCAAACTTCCCAGGTTGCTACCCCTTCTTCAAGGCAATGTCCCGCGAGCAGCAATGGACACCACATCAGATCCTACTGCGATCTTTGACGCCACCTTAGCCGTGCGTCATGTCTTCAAGGCGGCCATAGCAGCCCCACGGCTAATGCACTCGGAATGGGCTGAGAATAGATTGGCTGATTTTGATCTCTGGTGCGCTAGCACCGGGGCTTCTACAACGGGAGAACTCTCGTTGGATCACCAATGGCATACCATCCCGGAGGTGCGCGCTATGGTTATTGACTCCTTGTCGACGGTGAAAACTGTGCTACAAAACTGTATCGATGAAGGTACAGATACATTCAGTCGAGATTGAGGTATCTTCAACGTCTAAAATTACTGCCTAGGCCAAGAGACCAAGAATTCTTATACTGAGCTGTACGAATGGGAACTGTCCAATATGAAAGAGGTTGAAAGTAGCCTCAGCCTACTCGCTTGGCTCACACTTACAATTCAGAAAGAGGGGGATCATTCTGGACCCCAGGGAGAAGACAGTGAATTTGAACAACATGAACCTCAAATTCATGCTTTGAACCGGCATCTTCAAATACTTCTCTTGACGCGTCCCAATGAGTCCGGAAGTTCAGATGCGAGCGCCCAGCAGCTTGACCCAACGCGGTTGACCTCAATTCAAAAGCGACTCGTCGATACGAACTTGAGACGGCGAAATCGGTTTCTGAACGCCCAGCAGCATGCGCAAAAATTAAGACATGAGTTTGAGCACTTCAAGAACTTGTCAAGTGAGACACAAGCATTCGCAGGTCTTTCGCTCTCGCAAGACAACCCGATAGCTGGAAAGCATGACATGCAAGCTCAAGATGCGAAATCTGCGAAAGTAGTGGAAGATCGCTTTGAGAATCCGCATGCATGGTTAACGGCGCCTTCGACGGTTCTGTCAGTAACAAGCTCTCAAATAACTTACCCAAAGGCCCCGCTTCTCCATGATAGCAAATTGCTTTTCATGTGCCCTTGTTGTTGTCAGTGTCTTACTGCCGCAGCAGGACAAGGTAATCAGTGGAAGTAAGTTACTCTTTCCACCACAGTTGACTCCGCTCAGTTGTTCTGACCTGCTGCATAGAAAACACCTGATGGGTGATATTTTACCTTTTACATGCATTGTCGAGAACTGTGCTGAGCCTGGCAATCGATATGCAGATCGAGTGGCATGGCTCAACCATATGAACGAAGAGCATGGGGGCGCCGAAGAATGGAAATGCTTTTCATGCTCAAAGAAGGAAATTCATCTCACTTTCGAGCAATTGACTGATCTCATCGCACATTTTGAACAGCACCATAACACGATACTGCAACCACCTCAGGTTTATGGGCTACTCTCAGGGTGGAGGTACAGAGTCCCTTACGAGATCACGGCTTGTCCACTTTGCTCTTTTGAAAGTGCCGATCAAGATGCTCTTGTTGACCATACTGCCGCACATGTCCACTCCTTTTCGCTGAAATCATTGCCGTGGGCTTTGAGAGAAGGGTTGGACGAAGACGGCAATGGCGATGAAGAGTATTTCAAGATCTATCCATATTTTGAGGCGCCCAGCTTTCAACCAGAGCCCTCGTCAAGGTCGCCTGGTGTTTCATCCCCGGCAGACACAGATTCGGGGGAATTGTGGACTCGGATCTCGCCAATGATGTGGGCAAGCAGCAACGACTGACCGAGGATATACTTGAACGAGTACCTGATGATGTCTTGAACCTGGCAGGTATGAGCAAGTGGGTGGAAACACTAGATAGCGCAGGGGACACAGAAAGCGGAAAGTCTGTGGATGAAAGTTGTGACACGGCCACAAAACATGATAAGGACAAAGCTGGGAAGTAAATTGAATTCAGACCTTTTTCTTCCAGGCAGCACAAGGATACTTTAAGTGCTTGCAAATACCACTGACAGTTGTGTACTGATTCAAGTCAGGTGTACAAGCATTCATCCGGTGTATAGATCACAGTCTGTTTGTACCTGCTATGAAAATGACATTCATCTGAAAGAAAAAAAATTCCTAACCACAGTCAGATCATAGTAATTCTTTTTCTGGACGAAAAATTCCGAATCAACCACGAGTGGATGTGTGATAAATCCCGGCTTGCATTGAAATTGTGGACGCGTCGCGATAGTCGCGGGCGGTGAACCACACCACACCATCCATCTCCAATCCGCAACATCCTCCTGTCAAGTCCATGAGCAGCCCATCATGCCTTTGCGCTCTCGCCAAGGTCCTTCCGAGGTAGTGGAAGACTCGGGACTTCGCAGTTTATCTTTTAACCAACCACTATCATGGCGCGTGGGGCGCTCGGCCATCCCAATCGCCGATCTCCTCGACCGTCTGCGAACTCTCGCGCAGGAGCTTCGCAAGCTCGACCAGGAGGAAATTGACAAGGAATCGCTACGCAAAGTATCCCAGGAACTTGCCAGTGCTAATCTGCTTGCCCACAAAGATAAGGGTGTCAGAGCGTGGGCCACGTGCTGTATCGTTGACGTTTTGCGACTATGCGCTCCCGACGCGCCTTTCACGCGTAATCAGCTGAAGGTACGACAATATGATGGACCAATATAATGCGCGCACTCTGTGCGACCAAGTGATGTGCTAACAGAGATGGATCTAGGATATTTTCACCTGCATTGTGTCCTCTGTCATCCCCGCGCTGGCGGATCCGTCCAACGCCTACAATGCCCAACATATCTACGTTCTCGGCTCCCTTGCTGAGGTCAAGAGTGTGGTGTTGATGGTTGATCTCGACCACCCAGATTCACTTATCGTCCCGTTGTTCACCGGCTGTTTCGACATTGTGTCGGGTTCGTCAAAGGCGTCCACCGGCGAGGAGGTTGCCAAGAATGTCGAGTTCGATATGACCCGAGTGCTGGTGACCGTTATTGACGAGTCGCTTGTTCTCGCCCCGGAAGTTGTGGATATCATTGTCGCCCAATTCCTGCGTGTGGACCCGCGGGTCATGGACAAGAAAGGAAAGCGACCAGATGCGCCTGTCGATGCCAAGCAAGATACACTTCTGCTGAAGGACTACCCCGCTGCTTATAACATGGCCAAGGCTATCTGCCAGGCTTGTCCCGAGCGAATGACTAGTCACATCAGTCAGTACTTTAACAACGTGATTATTGATGCGTCTGTTCCCGCTGGTCAGGCCAATGGCTCCAAGCATGGCGCGCGCAAGCCTAATCTCGATGATTCAGACGAGGAAGGGGAAGATATCAAAGAATTGAGCAAGGCGCATCGTCTCATTCGAGAGTTGTGGCGTGCCTGTCCTGAAGTGCTGCAGAACGTGATTCCCCAAATTGAAGCTGAACTGTCTGCGGAATCTGTGGCCTTGCGCTTGTTGGCTACACAGACTATCGGAGATCTCTCTGCTGGCATCGGTGTTGCAGGTCCTCCTCCCCCACCTCCTATGGACCCGACGACCTACCCACCAGTATCTCTTGTGGATTACGATAAAACTATTCCTCAACCCAATATTCTCGTGACCCCTATCTCTCCCAAACCTTTCTCTCAGGTCCACAACTCTGCTTATGAAGCCTTCTTGAGTCGTCGTCTTGACAAGACGCCATCAGTTCGCGCCGCCTGGGTTACAGTCGTGGGACGAATCCTCCTTACGTCAGCTGGAGGCTCTGGTCTCCACGAGAGTGAAGAGCACAGTCTCGTTCGAAACCTCGCATCAGTGCTTCGCGATGGTGATGAGAAGGTCCGCGTGGCTGCGGTTGACGCCGTTGGTCAATTTGGTCTTTCCCAGATTGTGCACAGATTGAGCGTGGACGGTGGCTGCTCATCGCCAGACTCTGTCTTGGCGATTCTCGCTGAGCGAGTGAAGGATCGCAAGCCCCATGTCCGCGAGCATGCCATGAAGATCCTGGCGCGCATGTGGGCAGTTGCAGCCGGTGATATTGAGCAAAACACAGAGCCTGTCGTATCTCTTCTGAAGGATGCCCCCTCCAAGATCTTCGACGCGTTCTATACCAATGACCAAGAAATCCACGTTCTGATTGACCGAGTATTGTTCGAGACACTTTTGCCCCTATCATACCCACCTGTGAAATCAAAGCTTTCTCGGGGAAACTCAAGTCAATCACAAAAACAGAAGGAGAAAGACAGCCAGGCGACAGGACCTGATGAAGAGACAGATGTTGACAAGATCCGTGTTCGTCGTATCCTTACCTTGCTACGAGGTTTGGATGAAAAGGCCCGGCGAGTTTTCTTCGTCATGTTGGCCCGTCAGATGTCCATGAGGTCGGCCGTGACTCTATACCTCGAGGCCTGTGAGAAGTACAACGGTGGAGTTGTCGACAAGGACGAAGACGCAGTCAAGGCACAACTGTCCAAGATCGTTGAGACATTATCCAAGACATTCCCAGATGCCTCCCGAGCATCTGCAGACTTGTGGAAGTTCGCCAAGGTGCACGATAGACGCAGTTACCAACTCCTTCGCTTCACCATGGCTGCTGTGAGTGACTATCGCACTGTTGTCAAGGCTACAAAGGAGTTACAGCGGCGATTACAATCCGCCAACAACTCTCCCCTTCTTGAAACCCTCACGCCACTCATCTACCGCTGTGGCTCTCTGATCTTTAACAGAAGTCATATTCCTGCGATCATGAGCCTTTCCCGGACAGATGAAAATGGATTGGCCAATGCCGCACAAGAGATGCTGAAGCAAATCTCGTCGCAGAACCCTGAGGTCCTAGAAGCACAGGTCCAAGAAATGTGCAAGGATCTTGAGGCTCAAGCTCCCAAGGCCTCATCCGCTGGCGATGCTAGTGCCGAGGACATTCTTAAGGCTTGTGCTGGCTTTGCCAAGAAGCTCCCTGCTAAACTGCCCAAGGAACGGAAGTTCTTGCAGGCTCTCACGAGCCATGCCCTATACAGTTCGTCACCACATGCTGCCAAGCATGCCGTGTCCATTCTCATGGCCACTGCTGAGCGCAAGGAGATGTATGCCAAGGACTTGGTCCAGAAGTGTGTCAAAAAGTGGGCCTATGGGTCTGATCATTTCCTTACACGCCTCGCTACCTTGTCACAGTTGAATCTCCTCGCGCCTAGAGAGACGGACGAGGAAAGTGACGCTATAATCTCAATTGCCGTCAACCAAATACTCCTCACTAATCGCACACCTGAACCGAACTCCGAATATACCTGGACTGATACTGTTGATGAGGAGACAAATGCTAAGGAGTGGGCGCTGAAGATCATTGTCAACCGCCTCCGGGCCAAGGACGGAGCAGACAACGAAGCGGATTTCCGCGCCCATGCCAAGCCCGTCTATGAAACTTTGAACAAGCTGGTCGTGGGCGAAGGCGAGATATCCAAGAAAAAAGATACCCCTGCTGGTCAGAAATCACGTCTCCGCCTGCTAGCTGCCAAGTCGCTACTCAAGTTGTGTGCTGGAAACACCGTCTGCGACAGTCTCTTGACACCAGCCGACTTCAATGCAATCGCTCTGGTTGCCCAAGACCCGCTCTTGCAGGTGCGAAGTGGATTCATCAGCCATCTTAAAAAGAAGCTCGTGCAAAAGTCGCACCTCAGTCACCGCTGGTATATTGTCCCATGCTTGCTTGCCTTTGAGCCTGTTCACAGCTTGAAGGAAAGCACGCTGACTTGGTTGCGGTCTCGTGCGGCATACTTCGCTCAGCAGGCGCAAGCCAGCGGAAAGCGCACAGAACAAACCATGGTCATGGAATTAATATTCTCGCGTCTATTGTCCCTTCTTGCATACCACCCCGATTACCCGTCTGAGGACCTGGACGAGTCTACGAAACTAGGCGACCTCACGGACTTCTCCCAATACATCCTCTTCTACCTATCCGCAGTTGCCAACGAGGAAAACATGTCCCTGATCTTCCACGTCGGGCAACGCGTCAAGCAATTCCGCGATGGCATCACCCAGTCTGATGAGATTTCCACCCGTCTTCACACGCTGTCTGATCTGGCCCAAGCTACTGTCCGCCGCTTCGCAGACATCTACTCCCAGCAACACAAGTTCGGCGGTGCTGCTGGCGCCACCAACATTCTGCAAACATATCCTGGGAAAATGGGAGTTCCCAGCTCTCTATTCAACTCCATGGGTAGCCACCGCGAAGCCCAAGACGTGGCCGACAAGAACTTCCTCCCAGACGAGCTAGATGATCTCTTGGACCGGGTTGTCCGAGCCGCAATGAAGCCGAAGCACAACGTAGCGCACAGCACGCACGGTAGCTCAGCGAAGAAGCGAAAGCCGTCTCTTGATACCAATGGCAAGCCTTCCGCCGCGAAGAAGGCTCGCAAGGAAAAGCCTGCTCGAACTCCGCGCAAGTCGACCTCTTCAGTCGGGGCCAAGCCCAAGCGGAAATCCAAGAATGACGACGGATGGTCCTCTGATGAGGGCGTTAAAGATGCCACCCCAGCTTCCGCTCGCAGACGCAGCATGAGAGGTACTGCGACGCACGAGGTCAGCTATATTGACAACGATAGCGACGAGGCCGACGAGGAGATGGTGGAGTGGAACAAACCCAAGTCAAAGGATGATGCGGAGGAAGACGAGGACGAGGACGAGGATGTCGAGGAGGAGGAGGAGGAGGAGGAGGAGGAGGGGGAGGCAGAAGAAAGTGAAAACGAAGAAATGCAGGACGACGACAAGGAGAATGTCGATGAGCCAGAGGCCAGTGAGAAGGAAGCGACACCACCTCCCAAACCACGCGGGAAGGCCAAGGACACAAAGAAGCCTGATACGAAGCAAACCACTCTACCTTCCCGACGTTCCTCGCGTCGCGGTTGATCTCAGCTGCTGGTGTGGACCTTCTTTTCATCCAGTGGTCATTTTCTCATGTTCAGGGTTTGTTAGCCCGTCGAAATGCAAAGTCATCTGATATCTTTTTCGAAGGTGTGATTACGCATTTCATTCATATTGATATTCATATCCATACTCGTTCATATCCATATCCCAATTTACATGTTATCACCATTTGTCATCAGGTACGGACTATCTCAGGGCATTATTTCATCCTATGTAATCTATTGAGCGATAGGTCTGAAATCGGCTTCGAGAACCTTGGAACTAACTCCCTAGATGTTTAGTGTCTGGGTATGATACTAAGCTTTCACAATATTCATAGACGAAAAAAAGCGGCAGCTCCGATAGAGAGAGTACTCGGATACCTTGCAAGGGTCTCTCAAACTCGTGTGGATTTCGGTGCGCTCATTGCCCGATTAGGAAGTTCAACAATTGGACTCATGAAGTCTTTGAATTTGACCCACGATCCTCATATGTCGAGAACCATGTTATCTTGGAAATCTTCTAACATTTGACGGCTATGAATACGTATCTTGTCTTATCTCATCGCTAGCATGTTCCCTGCTGGTTTGTGTTGTGACATCACTTTATTACTCAATTAGGGGGTTCAACTGCCACAGTGATAATTTCGTCCTCTCCAGGGCTCTCTTTGCATTTGACTTACATGCAACCTTGGAAATTTCTAAACAGGCAGTTAGAGGCAAAGGGCTTTTGAATAGTGTCAAATTGATACAAGAACTCCAGGTCATAGGAGCATCTTCTGAGGTTAACGCGTGAGTTCAATGTTAAATTCCAGAATATGTAATTAACCTTGGTAGACTTCTATATAAACAACATTGAGATACCCCAATTCGGAAGCAGACCGAAATGATTACTTCAAAACAACCGCTACAATGTCCTCCACTCGTTCCCTAGGCACCTCACGACCCAAAAGCCAGCCAGCATGCCAGATAGTATCCTCCTGAGACTTGATCGACTGCTTCAAACGAGGCCACAGATTGAAGTGACCATGCGGCACACCAGGATAAACCTCAAGTCTCACATCAACACCACTATCCTTCAAAGTCTTCGCATAAACAATACCGTCGTCCCGAAGAACATCCAAACCCGCGACTTGGACGTACGTGCGTGGAATAGCAGAGAACGGAGCTGTAGAAGCGAAAGGCGTAAAGTCCTCTGACAAGAAGTCCTGCTTATACATAGTCTCATATCCACCCTTTGACTCTGAATGGAGGCCTGGATTTCCTGGTGCATTGGCATTTTGCTCTTGTGATACCCAGATCTCCTTATACTTCTCCGGAACTGTCTCTGCGCTCATGCATACCGGTATACTAGCAAGCACGCCGGTGATTGGCGGAGATAGTTTTTCTTTGATTGAGCGATGGGCAGTGACGACTGAGAGGTTCCCGCCTGCTGATCCGCCGCCTAGCACGAAGCCTTTGGTTAAGTCTGCGTCGAGGATTGCTTCGTTCTTGGCTATCCACTTCACGCTATCCCATATGTCATTTGGGGCAGTTGGGAAGGGGTGCTCTGGGGCGAGACGATATGATAGTTGAACGATAGTAGCGCCGTATAATGAAGCGATTGTGCGGGCCCAGATGGTTGACTGGATGTTCGTGCCCATCACAAAGGCGCCACCGAAGATCAGGACGACGACTGGGTTGCCTGATGAGTTTGGGGGCTTGGTGATGCGGAGTTCACTTTGGTAGCCATCACGCATTGGGATCTCGAGGACGGTCTCTTGTGTGTCGAATGATGGGCAAGATTCATGTATTTTCTTTTCCATTGCTGAGACTGCTTCTCGCATGAGTTCAACGGGGTGTGAGAAGTCCAACTTGAGTGGTGGAGTGTGCTTGAGAATCTGAGACGGTTAGATGGGGACTGGGAAATATCATAGTGGTGGCTCACTTCTTCGAGCTCTGGGTCAACGATGCCTAGTCTCATGACATCTTCTTTGGTGTCATATTGATCCATGTTTAGATTGTGGTTGCAGAGGTTGAGGTTGGGTTGTGGACCAGGGGATTCGATGAGATCAAGTCTTTTATATTACATTTGTCTATATAGCAAATTCGTATGGAATACGGAATACTCCGTGCGGCATGATAGGTTGTGAATCATGATCTGACTTGCAGCATACGGCGAGATTCATCATGACTCATGGACTGTCACGCACGGCCCAGGGCTGCGAGTGACGCTGTATAAACACACGATCTACTCAGTACTCCGTACACCCTCACGCACTGAGTTGATGCTCTTGAGTATAGACAATAGTGGGTGCACTGCCAGGAAATCTTTTATTCACTCCTAAGGTCGTTTAAACTGCGATAACACCAAAACCAACCATGCAACGTCGAGCGGTCAAGCACTTTAAAATTAAAAAGATCAGGACTGTCCGAGAAATCAAAGCCTATACACGAGAAAAGAGTCTTGGACTGGATGGAATTCATCAAATGTGTAATGGAAAGAATACAAGCGATCTGGAAAGAGAAAAGAGTACACAGGACGCCGTCATCACTTCATGATCGAAATTGATTATGGCGGTCCGGAGGGAGAGGCATGTACACCGGGGGCAGGGCTGGCGCTGGCGCTTCCTTCGCCGGCAAAGCCACCATTCTTCGCAAGGCGCTCTTCGACACGCTCCTTGTGCTGCCTGTTGCGGAGGTGGACTTCGAAGTTATCCACCGTCATGCCCGGACCGGGGGTGTAGAGTTTTCCAGGACAGTCATGGCAGCGGATCCGGGGAAGGTATTGGTATTTGATATTTTGGCCTTGCTGGAGGTTGTTTGGATTGGCCACCGGGGCTAGGGTATCGGTGTCAACGGCAGAGTACCGCATAACGCCCTCAAAGGAGTCATTGGTGTGTGATTGTTTGAGTTTGCTGAGGCCAGCGGCCAGCCAGTTGGGTGGTGGGGGCTGTGAACACGGAGTCAGCCATGAGCCAGAACCTGGGGTTTAATAATATCTACTTACGCCGGAGACGCCGGGTTGCGGGGGGTTGGGAGCATCAACTGCGCCGGTTTGCTGAGGGCGAGGAGGAGGATGGAGTCGGGATTGTTTGTCAAGGGGAGGTGCCATTGCGCGTGCAGCAGCTTGCGCGGCGGTTTGAGAGGCAATGCGTCTTCCGTTCCTCAAGTCAACCAGCTTGTCGCGTGATATCTTGAATTTCACGATCAATCTCTCGGTTTCCTCCACGCTTTCCTCCCGATATTGTTGCCTCCGGGAAGAGGCCCGAGGTTCATGGAAAACAGGTTCTGGTGTTGCCGATTGTCCTAGACTGGCGCGCAGAGCTGCATGAGCCGCAGTTGCCGCGCCCCTCATGCCTCTGGTGCGGGCGGTTCCCTGCGCAAGGTTGGGACCGATGGCAGGAGAGCCGACAGAAGAATCATCGCTGTCAAACTCGTCCGAATCATCATCGCCACGATGTCCAGTCATGCCACGGCGGCGACCAGATCCGGTGCGCTTGATCACATTGCTCTCCTCGAAGGATCCCACCGAGTTGGGAATCACGGAAGACACAATCATCGTACGGATCGTACGTTGACGGTCCTTGAGATCTGGTAAAGCGGGACCACCCCGACGGTTGATGGACCGCTTCTGGCGACGTTGTTCTCGAGAGATGGAGATCTCGGTACGTTCGAGATCTGCTTCGTTGAGTTCGTAAAGATAAGGAGTGTGTTCCTTGGCAGACTGATATGGGCGGAAGGCAGAGGCCACAGGAGTGGGAAGGAAAGAGGTGTGAAGATCTGGGTCCTCGATCGGGCGACCGTCGAATGGATGAGCGACGATGTACAAGGATTTGGTGAAAAGCTGAGCTTGCTCGCGAATCGAATGGGCGATGGCAGTGGTAAATTCACCAGAGAGAGAGAGGTCGTTGGTCATGTGCAAGGCGAAATCTTCGGGGGAATTGTTGGGATCGTTGATGTCCCACTCAAATTGGTCGATTAGGGTATGTTGGCCGATAGTGATATTCAACTTGACCGAAATGCGCATCTCGTCATTCTTATACGCAGTGTAGGGCAACTGTGGATCAAGGGCGTCTTCGTGTATGTTGAGATGTGGGTAATAATCGATCACCTGGTCCTGAATGCTCTGGGAGATCATTCGTACCAAAGGAATTGAGCTCTCCAGCGCGAGACCCATATCCTCGACGAGCTTCTCGGCGAATAGATCTGGAGATACAACACGATCGTGCAGGTTCCACGTGAAAGTATCACGGATCTTGACCTTTTCCCAATCGATATCCAAGCGCACAGGCACGAGGTCCTCTGTTTGCTCGCTCTGCATCTTTGCTTCACGCCGAGAAACGCGCAATTCCCGTGTTTTTCGGTTTCCTGGCCGACGGCGGTGGGTAGGGTATAGAAGTTGAGGATGTTGGTTGCGAAGGTCGGTACGGGGGTTGCCAAAACCCTCATATCCAACCCCGTATAATACAGCTGGGTTGTGCTGGTTCTCGCGGCGGACCGACAAATAATAATCCCGCTCTGCCTTCTTATTCTTGTGTAATTCCTGACCCGGGTTGTGCCAGGCGCTGGCGGCCGAGTGCTGGAATTCGCGATCCACGTACTGGGACAGGAGGATCTTGTCTAGTGGTGGTTCACGAGTGCGCACAGCCATAGTCCCGGCGACCTCGGCAGGTTGGGCGGCAGATCCATCACGGGATTGTTTCCTCGCTGAACCATTTGTGCCGTTGGATTGGTGTGTACCGTTTGAACCCTCACTGCCAGGGTCTGACGCGCCCGAGGCAGCTAACATAGCCTTCGCGCCTTGTTTGCCCTCCGCAAACGCGTCAGGAGTGTGCCCATTGGTCGAGTGGTTTGTGCTGGGATCGATGCTGTCTGCACCTGGCTCCCCCGTTTCCGACGCGCGGGAGCTGTTCGGGGCACTCAATTGAGAGTCGCCAAAAAGTTGCTCCGAGGGCAATGAGCCACTCGGTAGTCCGGGAGATGGCATTGTCGATAGTCTATTTTAATGCGAAACGAACGTCTGGCGCCACTCGTATGATCTTGGAAGCTCGAAGTGACTCAACGCGACAGGGATAGGTGCTGGCCGGTTACCGTAGCATTATGGGATGAAACCTGACAGGAAACCAAAACACGGTCAGTAAAGACTATTAAGGAGCAGACTGTCCCATTCATCGGCGTCGCGACCGTGCACGCAATGCCACATGATATGAGCTTGATGGACGTGTCGCAACGGGCGCATAGCCCAACCACACCCCCAAGTCACCAGCAGGGGGCGCGCGATGAATTGAACAGAATTGACATGGGTAAAATAGGACTGGGGAAAGCGATTGGGAAGGAAGTCCAACATACCAGGGCCGAAAGGGGAGAGCTCGATGTTGCGTGGACCGGCAGTTGCTGCGCAGAACCCGTTCCGGATCGGATGGGCCAGGTCAGCTGACTCTAATAATGAAACGCGATGATCCCAATCAAGGTGTTGTTCATCCACGGGGGATTTCCTGAGGTTGGTGGAGCTTCTTTGGGCTGGTGTGATAGATGAAAGAGGCAAAAGGAGATGAGGAAGAGTAGCCGTTACAAGTGTCCGCACCCGTCAAGATCATGAAAAGCAATGAAGCGCGCCATTCACGTCGAAGATATAGCTACAAGAGAGCCTCTAACTAGCTTACAATCATTTCTATTTAATAGGGCCTTTCAATACCTATTCTGAGGCCTCTTGAGCAGCACACGACCCCCGTTTACCAATTTTACATGCTGTCATGTGACCTGGTGTCCATCTGGTTATGTAATCGTATTTTCAATCGATTCAATCGATCTGACCTGGGAACTTCATCGGAGGATCAAGTCCACCACCACAGCACGGTGATCTGAGCAGTAAACCCCATCGTCAAACTTGTTTCCTAGGACTGCATAGCCATTCACTTTAAATCTCCGGGTTTCATGGACGGTAGGATCCACCAGAACATAGTCGATGCGCGAAGGCGGCTCATCCTCGTATCCAAACCCAGTCCAAGTAATGTAGTTACCATATCGATTCACGCGTTCAACCTCCTTGTACGCGTCAAGCAACCTTCCCGTCAACTCTTGGTAAGCTTCTTGATTCTCCTCGCTGTTGAAGTCACCGGTTAAGAAGGTGCCCGAAATGCACCTTGTCAGGCCGTCATGATCATACGTTCTTCCCCTCCATTCGGAAATCTTCCCCAGTATGATACGTGCAGCTTCTAAGCGGGATTGGGATCCCTGGTCATCAAGATGGGTATTCAAAACAAGGATCGTACTTTGGGTTTGTCGATGGATGAAAACACCAATGGTGACAATGCGAATAGAGGCCGCATCCCAGCTCTTGGACGGCCTTTCGGGTGTGCTGGAAAGCCACACCGTCTCCCATTCTATCAATTCCCAAATCGCTGGTCGGTAAAAAATAGGAGAGTACTCCCCAGACTGATGGCCGTCGTCTCTGCCCACCCCGATATAGTCCCACTCGGGAGCTTCGGGCTCTGATCCCTGGTTCAATCCAGCCAGCAGTTCACCCAGTTGGGTATGCAGTACCTCCTGCAGACAGACAAAAGACTCTTGGCAATGTCTGGTTTCGTATTGTAGCTCATTCAGAAGTAATTGTTTCCGCTGAGCCCAAGGCTGCTCGCCCTTGAAGGGCGATGTGGTAGCATATCGAATATTGTGGGTCAGAACCCGGATGGGAAGCACTTGGGTCATCATGGTAGACTGGAGAACAATGACGATCGGACTACACCGTCTCCATACGAAGGACAAAGAGGGGAAATTTGGTCAAGTGACAGGGTAGTTATGGGGATCGGAGTAAGTGAGAGAGAGAGGTCTGAGCGAACCTGGCTCAGGTCATAATCCGGGGTAAATAGAACCATTGTTAAAGACTAAAGCAATTCATACAATTAGACTACTCAGTACCTTTAGGTCTCATTAGATAGCAGTTACATCAGAGATCCACGGATGGGCGTAGCTCTTGAATGAAGTCAAGAAACCATGACGTCTTCGGCAAAGCCCTAGGTAGAGCGCCTTAAATATGAGGCGACTAAACCCCACCAACGCTAAACGCCCTCTACTCTCTGCACACGACTCGATCTCGGTCTGTTCCACTCCTCTAGCTTCACACGGATTTACAATCCGAACTTTTCCCTGACCACCTGCTTCTCTTTGTTGATTACAGCTCCCCGAGCCTATAACACTTCACAATGGCCGAAGAAAAAGCACCCGAGGTTGGTATGTAACATGGAAAGCTCTGATGATTGTGGGCGCTGAGGTGAAAACGGGCATGAGCTCTGTTGACCAAGTTGAATGGGGAAAAAAAAGGACTGGTGTTTGGGACCATAACTAATGACATGTTTGCTTTCAGACTACACCCTCAACAACCCCGATACCTTGACCAAGTACAAGACCGCGGCGCAGATTTCTCACAAAGTCCTCGAGGCTGTTGGTGGTATGTTTTCTGGCGCATTCCCCCTCTTGTCGCTGTTCCGGTCTGATATTTGAATTTAGCTCTTTGCTTTGAGGGCGAGAAGATCGTCGAGATCTGTCAGAAGGGTGACAAGCTCCTCGATGAGGAGATCACCAAGGTCTACAAGGGCAAGAAGATCAGCAAGGGTATGTTTTTCTTAGCGCTCAAAGAGACCCATTTTGATTCTAACATGCAATTAAGGTATCTCTCACCCCACCACTGTCTCCCCCAGCTCTTATGTCACCCCCTACACCCCTCTGGTCTCTGACGCCGCCGAGGCCGAGATCGTTCTGAAGGCCGGTGAGGTCGTCAAGATCCAGCTCGGTGCTCAGATCGATGGATTCGGAACCATTGTTTGCGACATGCTCGTTGTCGCCAAGAAGGACTCCAAGGATGTTATCACTGGCCGTGAGGCTGACCTCATTACCGCTACCCACTACGCCAACGAGGTCCTGCTCCGCCTGATGGTTCCCCAGGGTCTGCTGGCCCAGGGTACCGAAGAGGAGAAGAAGAAGGCCTCCGCCCAGAAGGCCCCTACTCAGGCTTACATGTCTTCCCTGCTCGAGAAGATCGCCAAGACCTACGACTGCACTGTCGTTGAGAACACCACCTCTTGGTTGTTCGGCCGCAACGAGATTGAGGGTGAGAAGAAGATCATCCTGTCTCCCGGCAACGGTGTCCGCGGTGATGGTGTCCCCGAGGTCGGTGAAGTTTGGGGTGTCGAGGTCGGTCTCTCTCTCGGCTCCGGAAAGGTCAAGAACCTTGACCACCGTGCCACTCTCCACCGTCGCACTACCACCACCTACGGCCTCAAGCGCCCCAGCTCCCGCCAGACCCTCTCCGAGGTTGTCAAGAAGTTCGGTACTTTCCCCTTCAGCTTGCGCCAGCTTGAGGATGAGAAGGCCGCCAAGGTCGGTGTTGTCGAGTGTGTCCGCGCCGGTGTCCTGCGCCAGTACGAGCCCGCCGGTGAAACTGACGGTTCCGCCGTCTCTCGTCTGTTGACCACCGTTGGTAAGTCCCATTGCGGTCTAATATCGTCACATTTTGGAGCCATAACTAATTTCCCTTCGCAGCCATCACCAAGAACGGTCTCACCAAGCTTGCTGCCGCTGCCCCCGTTGACCTCGAGAAGGTCAAGTCCGACAAGAAGCTCGAGGATGAGGAGATCCTCAAGATCCTCGAGCAGCCCCCTTGCCCGCTCCACCGGAGCCAAGAAGAGCAAGAGCAAGAAGAAGACCACCAAGACCGAGGGTGCTGAGTAAACCTCTCAACCCAACTTCTGTCATCATTTATTTTCATGCAACACGACATAGTGTAGGACGTCCGTGTCCGATCTGAATACAAAACCGATATCCATTGACGAGCCTCGTAGCAGGTCATACGAAATCTAAACAAAAACAAAAGAAACTGTTTGATTTTCCAATTGCAACGGGCAGTTCCATCCCATGAATGAGGGTATATACATGACAAGCCTCAGTCGCGGCCAAAAAGACGAGAATAGTTGCCTATAAACAGGAGTGGTTATGTATAAGCTTGATCTCATATTTCGATTGGTAAGGGAAGGTGGTTACCATTAACTTCGGGACCTCTTTTGAGCTGTCTTTTGAGCTGTCTTTTGAGCTGTCTTTTGAGCTGTGTAGACTCTGAGACCAAATCAATATGTTACCAGTCTGTGAATGCCTTTTGTGGACCTTTTGTATGGATTCAAGTAGTGATCCTCGTAATCATTGTGGCCATGGACTCCAGGGTTCCCGATGCCCAAGGCCTTCGAGGCTTTGATGCTCCCGTAGGACTGGGCTCATGACCGGCAATGACCGTGCTTTGCCTCCGATATGTGAGGTACCCGTGGACTCACACAGAAGCATGCTAAAGCGTGCATTGATGATGTCTTTCGAAAGATGTTTCCAGGGCTTCTGCCTTCAGGGCCATTCAACGCATGGTTCTCTTGGTTGACCGTAGCTCGATTGACCAACTACAATGAACAGATTGAACAGGTTAATCAAGGTTCGAGACAATCATACCAGACATAGTGAAAAATCAAAGACAATGCTCTTCGGGGCTATTGAATCCATTCATGCCATTGGGGTGGCTTGAAACCAGTCTTGATACATGAAGCCTAAGGCATTGTCAACTTCACGTAGCTCCTTGTACAAGAATTTGTGTGTTGAGCATTATCAAAACAATCTGTCACGTAAACTCGTGGTCTACGGAGGTTCTGCCCTCAGTACCTCCCCGTGTGTTGTGTTTCTCTTCCCTCTCCTCTTGTTGTTGTTCTCCAGCTCCCCCCGTCTCTTTTCTTTTCTTCTTCCTCTTCCACCTCTCCATCTTCCTTTCTCTTCCCACCCTCTTCCTCATTTTCTCAGTGCTATTTCCTGTTACCTACTCTCATCTGTTTCTCAAAACCCTGTTCCTGTTCCTATTCCTGTCCTCTTGTCATCTCCTGTCTCTTCCAACTTCCCCTCGTCATACACCTTTCTCTACTTCTCCCCCATCCACTTTCCACCCTCGTGTTCTCCATCACGTACAAAATGGAGACTGTACGTCGCGCCTCAAAGCGCATCTTCGCTAAAATGGGTAAGTGATAGAGCTCTCCACGTTTTGACACGTCCTCTGCCCCCGGTATCTGCCCTCATCGTGTCTGGGGTGGCCGCAGGTCACTCAGCCCTAGAGACGATCCCCAGTCCTTACCACATGTTTCTTGCCCTACTCCGCATCAATTTCACTGTCTCCTCTACTCTCTTCCCCATGATCGGCTTCGAACACGTTCTACCCACCGCAAGGTGCGTGCACATGGGAGACCATCATGTCTGCCCCAGTCTCGCGACTCGCAACTCGATCCCAGTATCCTCAACACCGGAGATCTCATCTGGTCCTGAAGGATACTGGAAGATCGGTGCATCTCCCTTCCCCTACAGCTCACAGCCTGCCACCCTGAGACTCAAGGTTTCTTCCGCTTTTCCCATCTTCCATCTTTGCCTTTGACACCCTCTGGTGGGCTTACCTGTCTATTCCCCTGGATCTTTCTACATGATACCAAGTGGCTCCGCGGCTTTCGGCTGAAACGGAGTGGCTGTCCACGATCTCTTTTCTGGCCGACTCATATGAGAACAAAGCTAACTTTCTAACAGCCTAGGCCAAGGAGGCTGAGCAGGCCGAGCATGAAGCACAGGCTGAAAAGACTCAACAAGCTTCAGATGCTCCCAAGGCCAAGAAGATCAAAACCTCCAAGGCTCCCAAGGCTCCTAAGGCTGCCAAGGCCGCCACTGCCCCAAAGGTCGATAAGGCCTCCAAAGTTGAAAAGGCCCCCGAGGCCAACAACGGATCCCAACCCGAAACGTCAAACAAGACGACCAAGCTTGTTTTGAAGGCTCCCAAGCCCGAACAGGCACCAAAGGCTGAGAAGGCCCCGAAAGCTGCTGAGGCCGCAAAGGTCAAGAACGCACCCAAGGCCAAGAAAGCCACAAAGGTCGAAAAGGTACCTAAAGTCGAAAAGACAATAAAACCTAATAAAATCACCAAGGCTCCAAAGGAGAAAAAGGCCTCAAAGTCCAAGAAGGCTGCGGCCAGCAAAGCAAAGGCAGAGTAAGTTGCTTCCATAGTTAGGGCATGAGGCGCTTGGCACTAACCCTAGCAGGCCCCTTCCGCCTGCCGCTACGGGCTCCACCCAGCTCGGAGATCTCAAGGCCTCTGCTCAACCCGTGACTCGACGGAAGCTTCAGAAGAAGCCCCCGGGCCCTTCGCAGCCCGACTTGCAGCTCGACACTTCCCTGCGGACCATGAAACCGATTGGGGAATACCCATCGCCTGCGGAATACCGCGCCGTCGCCGTATCCCCTCGCATTCCCCCACGGCGCGATGAGATCGACGCGACTCCCACTCTTGCCTCCGACAGCGGGCTTGAGAACCCGACAATCGCAAAGGATCATGTTGAATACCTTGCGACCGCACCGGCGGCTCCTATCCCATCTCCAGACGTCGAAACACCCGCGGATGAATCCACTCCACAAGTCTCACTTGAGGACATAAAGTGGATTTACAACCATGAGGAGTTCGCAGTACCCCGAGCAGTACTCTATGATATGCCTGTCCCCAAATGGCCAGGCTACAACTATCCAAGACTTCACAGACTGATGGAGGCGTCTATCACCCATAATTGCGCAACTGGCACTCCGGTCCATGTCAGAAACCTTCTTCACCTTTGGTGGAAAGCCGGCAAAGATATATTCTATTGCGTTTTGATGGATAATCTCTTTAAGAAAGCAGAGGACCGCGTCATCGACTACACACTGGCACTTCAATTGGTGCTGACTGAGGAGGAAAATCAAGCTCAAGACTGGTATGCTGAATACGTACGAGACACTCTACCTTTGGCAAAACCGCCCCATGTTGCTGAGGTTGCCCACGAGCTTAACGGGCCCCCTGTATCTCCGGAGATTGAGATGTCCCCGCCTGCGACGATCTCCCAGATGCTTCAGACATCCCAGGAGCCTCAGATGCCTCAGGGCAGTGACTCGGGCTTATCGTCTATCAACCCGTTTGCTCAAGCGCCTGCATTCAAGCCTTCTGATATCTATCGGGACACCACTGGTCCTCGCCTGGAGGAGCTGTTCACAAACGGCAAATCCAACACCGCTCCACTCAAGCGTCCCAAGAAACCATGCCCAGTCAATGAGAATGCTTTCCAGCGCAAACGCCAGTGGGAGAGTGACTCAGATCATGATGAAACAATGAACGAGAAGCGCCTTCGTTTTTCCGAGCAGCAGCCTAGCTTAATGGACATGGAGTTTCCTGAGAGCAGCATGCGTTCAACAGTTGGGCTTGGGCCTGAGTCGGAGTCTGAGTCTGACCTCGATCGCAGTGAATACACCTTTGAGGGTATTCCCCGCAGTATTCTGAGAGGTGACCCCAGGGCGATTGAGGCCGCTCGAACTCTCCCTCCTGAGGGCGAAATCCTCGACCCAGAGATTGGCGGGGACTGGGCGCTTGAACCTCCTCTTTGCATGCAGCGCCAGCAAGTGTCTACACCTCCGCCCCAGAGCAACAGGCCTCATAAAAAGCGAAAGAGAAATAAGGGGAAACAGCGGGCACGGTCGCTTTCCGTCGACACCACAATTTCCACCCTATCGTCACTTTCCAATTCATGCTACTCTCTGCGTTTCAACGACTGGGATGCGCCGCACCAACCACGCCAAATGCCAAATTCCATGTACGTATTCTGTGTTACTTCTATCTGCTACCTTTGCTCCATTTTACTAACATGGTCCCTCACAGTCCACCCCCGAGAACAACGACGACTGTGAAGAATGTGGAAAAGGAGGCAACTTGGTTTGCTGCGACACCTGCCCCAGAGCGTATCACTTCAAGTGTTTGGTTCCGGCCTTGGATCCCAACAATCCGCCGCAGGGAGATTGGCACTGCCCCAAGTGCTCGATCCGCAACACTTTCACCACCTTGATCGCCCACAGCAACGAACACTTGAAGAAGACTGAATATTCGGCCCCCCAGGACGTCAAGGATCATTTCGTTGGAGTGGATGAGGGCGTCGTGTATGATGCGGATTATGCCCGGAATCTGAAGCACCAACGATACTACAAGTCTGCGCCCCACCTGCCGCGGCTGACTAAACCACCCAAGCAGGATGGCCCTACCGCATACGCGCATCCCATGCTTCTCCGAGAAGTTGACACCAAGGGAGAAACCATCCGTTGCAACAATTGTGGTCTTTCGTCAGAAGGTGTCCGCCCCATCATCACTTGTGATTACTGTCCTTCCCGTTTTCATCTCGACTGTTTGGATCCGCCACGCGCTCATCCCCCTAACCCCAAAGTCGGATGGATGTGTCCTAATCATGTTACTCCTGAAGACATGATTGTCACCAAGGAAAACTGCGGCCACGAGCGTGCGCGCCGTGTCCGCCGCACCAAGAACATGGCTTATGTCGATTGTGACATTCTCCTCCCTGATGATCCGAACCAGAGTTTGTTCGACGAAGAATACAGGGAAAAGCGAGCTCGCTTCCTTGCAGGAGATGTCGTCTTGAACTTCATCGGCGCCGTGAAAGAAGATCACCGCGAGCGTCAAGTCAAGTACGCCGCCAGAGTTGAGAAGAAGTGTCTCGACTTAACCCGCCAAATCACCCATGAATTCCTGGAGCGTCAGGGCGCCGCTGGAGCCAGAGAGCCCACCTCGGAAGTCCCTGCCTCCCTCAAGGAAAATGTCACCACCTCAGTCCGCAACATGATTGCTGGAGCCCCTGTCACCACCAATGACCTCGATGCCGCTACCCTCCTCCTCGGCCTGGCTCGCACCCTGGCTGAGCCCACCCCTTCTTCCTCCAAGGGCCAAGAGACCGTCGATCTCACCGAGCCCATCCCCTCCCCCAAGGCGGCCTCCGCCAATTCCGTGGAGTCGGAGAAAACCGACACCCAGAAGGCTCCACGCCTCAAAATTTTCCATCGGGGCAAGCGCGCCCGCGATGATGAAGGTTCTCTTGAAGAACCGGCGCAGAAGCGCCAGCACACCGACTCCGAGTAGTCGGTGAAATTTTTTTTTTCTTTTTCCATTTTCAATGTTCGCATCTATGGACCCGGCGTTGGAAAAATTTGAATTTTTTGTCAATTACTTTGTGGAGAGATCGCAATGATCACTTGTTAGATCTAATCCCTGGAGCTGCCCGACCACGTTTTTCTTTTTTTGCTTTCAGTTCGTTGTTTTGTCACTGCTCCAATTTGTGCGTGGTCGGGGGCTCCAGGGATATGTATGAATAGCATAACGTGGGCCAAAGGCCAAATGAGCAGTTTAGTTTTCAGTATTCTCTCACTTGTAGGGTAATTGTAAGGTAAATCCCAAGGTCAACTGCTTTGAAATTCGCGTCAAATGAGATTCGTACTCTACATAACTGAGAAGTTCCTCGCCTATGACAATTTGCTAAGGTACAGCCAGTGATAAAGATGTTTAGTTTGCATCATGAAGAGAGAGGGGGAAAAAATAACTAAGCAAATAATTACTCGCGTAGGCCGCGCGTGAGACGCGCTCACAGGAACTTCTTGGGCATGTTGGCCCGGCGACGCTTGTAAATTACGTACGAGATGACAAGGAGCACCTGGAACGCGATCACAAGGAAAAGGAAGAAGCCCATACGGGGAGTTGAGGCGGTGATGACTGGAAAGAAGTTAGCAGACCGTTTGAGACGAAGCCGATTCATGAAAACTTACCGTTCAACAAGTGACCCTGCAAGTTTTCGCTCAGGCTAAGATGCGAGGAGCGCAAAGTGTCGTGCAGCTGGTTAAAGCGGCTGCTGTAGTCTCTGTCGCCGAGATCGCGCAGAATCGTCGTCATCAACTGCTCCATGTGGGCGAGTCTGTTGTCCAGAGCATTGTACTGGTCCTTTGTGATAAGCATCTGCAGGAGCTCTGCGTGGCGAGCATCGGCCTTTGAGGCCTGGTTCTTCATATCTTGGAGGATGGTGTTGGTCGCCTTGTTGGTCAGCTGGAGACGGCCGCTGAGGTCAACGAACTGGGCTGCGAGACCGGCCATTGTGCCCTCTGATGCTGGGGCTGCGGGTGGAACTTGGGGTTGAGCCTGAGCTTGGGGAGGTGCTTGGTTCGGCTGGTTGACAATTGGTGGAAGCTTTCCTTGGGGAGAGCCTTGGGTTGTAGCAGACTCGAGGATGAACTTGAAGACTTCGAACGAGTCGGGGTTCTCGGGGGTGGCGGCTGTAATACCGAAGGTGTTTCCAGCGGGGAGCGCGACCTGGAAATCTAGGTCAGATCAATGGCTTGAGTCGGTTCTGGGGGGACATACCTTGTTGGTTGAGAAACAGGGCTGGTCGTCGATGGTGACTTCAAGGATCGAGTTGGTGTGCTTGATCTTAAAGACGGAGGGGCGACCAAGGTTGCGGTAGGAGTAGTCACAGTGACCAAATGCTAAAGTGTCGGGGCTGTTGTGGCTTTTGTAATCGGTCGTGCCGTCGTTCAGGAATCCTCGAACGCTGCCACCCTGTTGGAGGAATCAGTTGGTGTTCAATACGACGATACGAGGGATACGCACACGTCCACCATGTGTATCAACCACCAGCGCAAAGCCGTCGAATGGGCCGACGGTGTAGATGCTGGAGGTCCCAATGCGGGCCTGGCCGTCCTTGGTATACCACAATTGCAGGATTCCACCGGCTCTTTCAGGGCCACTCGCTCGGAATTGGAACTCTGCTGTCCACTCAGACTGGACGACACTATTCACAGGTTATTATCCGTCTGTGCTGTCGTTCTGATGCCCTTCACTTACGGACTTTGTGCCCACAGAGACCCCCGGGTGTTGCCAGGGTAGGGCGGCGTTAAGATGACTTTGTCTGACAGCTGTTCAACTGTTAGCTCCAGTCATCCAACAGCTAGTACATCTCTCACCAGGTTCGGTTGGTGTCCCTCCCCTCCAACTGTCCATCCAGGGATTGTGTGGTCTCGGTTTGGTGATATCCTGATCTAGGTCAGATCGCGTTCGTGGCGGAGAGCATCAGGTACTGACGTTTTACCAGTGCCAAAGCTGGAGCTTTCGATAATCTGCGATGTGGCGCCTGCGGCGAACAGTGCCAGGGAAGCTAGTGACTTCATCATGTTGCGTAGCTTGAATGGTGTTCGGTATTCGTTTGTATTTCCAATTGTTGCGCGGAGCAATCACTCGGCCCTTGAGCACTTGCAATGGCCTGATCCAGCGCAGTCTTGTTTTCTATTCAGATCGCACAGGCCGGAGATAACGCGGGTTGTGATCCAGCCGACAACAACAGCAATAACGCAGAAACGGGCCTCTTTCGCAACGATAGCGGCTGATGGCGAACAGTCGAAAAAGTGGTGGAGCTGTACACTGTTAAGAATAGTGTGTCGAATGCCTACGTCTGTGAAGTCCATGCGGAAAGTTCCTGACGTTTCATTTGGATTGACATCTGTCCTTCTGTTTCACTCCTGATTTGACCTCCGCATTTGATCACGTGTTCTCGAAATAATCGTGCGGAGGAAGCTCCCACCGCACCGCTCGTTGTCCCTCATCTTGTCGTTTTCTGGGATTGTCGCCCCATTATGCGCAGAGGCTTCAATGGTTGAATTATACCCTTCTTTGGCGCAATGCGCCATAGTTGCAGCCGCCTTTAAGGTGCTGCTTTTCCCCGCATAGTGAGTCCCGTCGCGAAAGTGACCTATGACAGCTCGATCAAGGTGTGCTGAACAAGCCAAAGCTGACCTTCTTTTTACTAGCAAATCAACGGATTTTGAGGTTCATCGCAATTGGCTCGCTATCACCCATGCTCTCCCGATCCAAGAGTGGTACTACGAGGTAGGCACGGTCGGGCGCATACAAGTGTGGATGTTGACGGTTTTTAGAAAACCTCAGAATGGACGCTCGATTACCCGCCGTTCTTTGCGGCCTTTGAATGGCTATTGTCTCAAGCTGCAGTATATGTCGACCCTGCAATGCTGGTTGTGAAGAACCTGGGCTATGATTCCTGGCAGACTGTCTACTTCCAGAGAACAACGGTCATATTGACGGAATTGGTTCTTGTCTATGCGCTGAGCCGGTAAGACAACATACTGAGCTCCGGATTGATTTGGAAAGAAATAAACTAACTCCAATTGGTACTATACAGATTCGTCCAATCCGTTCCTCTGCCAAACAAAAAGGCTGCGCACGTAGCCAGCCTTTCCATTCTGCTATCCCCGGGTCTTTTCATCATTGATCATATCCACTTCCAATACAATGGGTTCATGTATGGAATCCTGATTCTATCCATCGTTTTGGCTCGGAAGCAGTCCACCCTCTTGTACAGTGGTATACTTTTCGCAGTCTTGCTGTGCATGAAGCACATCTACCTGTACCTTGCCCTTGCCTACTTTGTCTACTTGTTGCGCACCTATTGTCTCGATGCCAAATCCATCTTCCGACCCCGAATTTGGAACATCATCAAACTTGGAGTCTGTGTGGTTGGTGTCTTTGCAATTGCCTTTGGGCCGTTTGCGCAATGGGGTCAGTTGTTGCAACTGAAGGACAGGCTCTTCCCATTCTCCAGGGGACTGTGCCACGCGTACTGGGCTCCAAACATCTGGGCAATGTACTCGTTCACCGATCGGGCTTTGATTCCTCGTATGCATCCTTATCCATCCTAATCTGCTGAATGTGGACCTAGCTAACATGTGTATAGTTGCTCCTCGGCTGGGCCTCCCGGTGAACCAAGACGCGCTCACCAGTGTGACGCGAGGACTAGTTGGAGATACCTCTTTTGCCATCCTTCCCGAAGTCACCAAGGAGCACACGTTTATATTGACTTTCTTGTTCCAATTGGTACGCACCCTCCTCACTTTTGACCTGAGCACCCTCTCACACATTTCCAGGTTCCTCTCATCAAAGTCTGGCGCAAGCCAGGATGCTGGGACACTTTTGTTGGCGCAATCACCCTCTGCGGCTACTCATCCTTCCTATTTGGCTGGCATGTCCATGAGAAGGCTATACTTCTCATCATCATTCCTTTCAGTCTCATCGCACTTAAAGATCGGCGGTACTTTAGCGCATTCCGTCCTCTTGCGGTCGCAGGGCATGTTTCGCTGTTCCCACTTCTCTTTACTGCAGCCGAGTTCCCACTCAAAACTGTCTACACAATCTTGTGGTTGGTTCTGTTCCTCTTCGTCTTTGATCAAGTCGCGCCAGTGCCGGAAAGGCCCCGCATCTTTGTGTTTGATCGACTATCGCTACTTTACCTGACAGTCTCCATCCCCTTGATTGTCTACTGCTCTTTGGGTCATCAGCTGATCTTTGGCTGGGACCGACTCGAATTCCTGCCACTGATGTTCATGAGCAGTTATTGTGCACTTGGCGTGGTAGGAAGCTGGGTTGGATTTATGGTGGTCTACTTCACTGCATAGTACTTTCAGGGCCATTAAACTAAACAGATAGCCCTAAAAAATTATAACATTTTTTTTCTTAATGCCCAGACGGCTTCATGTTAATTGTGTCAGGCGACTCGGATCTCCAAGGCTCAATTCTCAGATGATGCAATAGTTTGTTTGCACTGTTTGATTCCACGTGGACCAGACCCACGGCTCATAGAGTCTATTCCGAAGCTAGGCTCAATCAGGCTAGCGCCTCCTCATCCATGGTTGGCCTGCAGCCAAATGCAGGTCGGATAGAAACACGGGGAATCATCCGATTTCCTTTCTTGGACCAGATGGGCAACAGATGGGCAAAGATATAACTGTATAAAATCTAGAGACCTTTGATGTTTATTTACTGCGTCCACTTGAATGGATCAACACTGATTGTACACGTCACTGCTTGCCTACTGTAGGTGCAGCTTTATATATATCCAAACCTTGGATAATATTTGAATATGCCCAGGTGCTTCCATACTGACGTGTTTCCCTTCCACACAAGGCGCTGCCAAGGTCGCTGTAACGCTATGTAGGTAGGTATCTGGGAGCTGGAAGATACTTTCCTAGGTACCAACATGTAACGGGCCCGGAAATGGATGAAAAGCAGAACACCGAAAAGCGATTCGGATCAGCAATCTTGTATAACTAAGTCACATCAGATGGACTATCAGATCTCAGCGCAAAAAGTAATGACTATCTAGGTGTTGGCCTCTCCTTCCAGCACCAACGAGATACACTACGCAGGGAAGGAGTACCCGGCAACACACTTGCAGATTGCTGCGAAGCACCGGCAAGGGAATTGAAAGCGTAGCTTTCCACACAACGAAGCAACATATTTTCGACAAAACGAACAGGATGGAGTTGGCATCCACCAAATCACATCAGATATCAGTGGCTAGGAGGCTTGTTACACCGAGGCTGATTGCGCATGAGCATTACATATCAATTTTGCTTGCTTTCAATAGTGCAGTGGGTGGGTCAGTCAATGAAAGATACGCGAGAGCAAACTTGGGACCCAATACATTCTGTGAAGGTCGGAGGAAAGAGTCTCCAATGAGAGACCACTTGGGCTTATTGGAAGTACGGAAGAGCCATCAAGGTCAGGACAAAAATCTTTGTAAACTCACAGTGCGATCGGGAGGGTCGTCCAGTGCGAGGTGGCATTTCTGTTCCAGAATTGAGGGTATCACCCCGAGAGTGCTTGTTTACTGTGTTCATGTTAAGATCCATGATACCAAAGTTGTACTTCCAATCTCATTCATTGCCACCAGTGACAATCGGTTTGTGAGCGGGACACATGTCTTCAACACCAATAGTGAATACATATTCAAGCAGGAGCTAAGGCTAGGAGGACTCCCTGCAGGAGAAGCAAATGGAAAAAGACGAAGTGCAGTACGTATGTTGCGGAAAGTGGAATTAAAGGACAAATGCAAGTATACTGAGTATCTCAAAGACGACCCTCTAAGGACAACGAAGAGATCTTTGTGATAACCGAGTGCGACCTATTAAAATAACCCAAGCTTCCAGATTTACAAGAAAAGTGTATGATATGTGAAATAATGGCGTTTCATGCTAAAAATACCAACAAAGATGGGGGTTAACCTGGCCCCTTCACTTCCGACCTTAGTCCGAGACCGCGAATAGTAATTGATAGTCGGACAGAAAGGGGGAAAAACCCCCCTAAAATGGAGAAATGAGGGGAATAGGATAAATCAGCTCATTGAGAGGAATCCAACGAGGGTAAATAAAGGTAGAGTTGTGATGATTGATGGAGTTGGGAGATAGCCGAGCATGGAGGATTAATTGGCGGATGAAATCGAGGAGCTCTGCGGTTTTCTGCTGACTTTGGTTCCCGGCCTCGACTGGACCAATCACATCGTTCCGCGGAACGCTGCATTGATCTACCGCTCTGCCCTTTTATGTCAACTTTCCTCATTTCTTATTTCTCTGTCTCAACCTCCCTCTTTGAGCTCCCCCAGCACACCCCTTCGAAATTGCCTGAGTCCCTCCATATTGGACGCGTTCATCTCCGGTAAGTCCGCTCATAGATACTGATCATCATTCGCGTGATCTGCCTCTGCGACCAGGCCTGATCAGCACCGTTCCCTCGCACCCGCGAATCCTCCCGTCACCACCCCCAAAAGCCAACAGAGCCACCCGCGACACCCATCGCGTCTACCCATCAACTCCGCCGATTTCGGGCCCCGACGCGGTCTCCACATTCACACAATCAATGGAGCTAGCCTAGTTCGCTAACCCAGGTCGCGTTTTCGTCTAGTCCGTTCATGCTTGATTGTGTCACCGGTATCCTTTGCCCGACTGGCGCGTCTACACCCGGCTTTAAAGCATAATGGTATGCGACACCTGATCTGATCGACTTCTGCGGAGTTGCAAGAAGAGCCTAGTGCATGGGAGGGGACCAAGCGGCTGACACAATTCCTTGGATAGGTTCTGTTCAAACGCAAGCCGGTGCAATACCTCCCACAGACCGTGATTGAAGATGATAGCTCCGAGGTAGGCTTCCGAATCGCTCATACTCTCAAGCTCTCCCACTGACCATTGTTTCTACTTCCAGGTCTGGGTGATCCCAGAGACTAACGAGGTCTTCACCACATATGAGCCCTACCTTCAGCGCATGGACTTCTATAAGCAACGCAGATTTATTTGTGAAATCACAGGTCATTCCGGCTTGACCTTCTTCGAGGCGCTCCGCAGTGAGGTACATACAACAAGAACACCGGGTGATGGGAAATGCGCTAAATTTCAATTAGACCGAGGAATCGCGTGAGGTGAACAACAGTTTCCCGGATGCCTTGAGAGAACCCATCCTGCGCCGAATTCAGTTCTCTACTGTCTCAAGGGTAGACAGCTTGGGTAAGTCCACACTGACCTACGTCATCAAGCCTATGCTAACAATGAGATTGTAGTGGATGAGATCTATGAAGTGAGATATCTGCCTCACTTTGATGAATATTGATCTAACAGTGACAGGAATTCAAATCAGACTTCTACCCGGGTGAAGCCGTGCTGATTTTGCTAGAGGACAGCAGCCGGCTACATGGTACTATCAGAGATAAGGCCAACTTTGCAGAGCAGCTGTACGCTGATGGGACCATTAAAACGCCTGCCTTTGCCAGGTATCTGGTCAAGATCCTGGATCGACAGAATGAGGAGGCCCTGCTGGACCAGGACCACATCACACGGGACCGAAAGGCATTCACCAAGTTGATGCTGCGTGGATTTATCAAGAACAACGTTACCAGAGAGTCCTGGACTGGTGCACCTTGGTTGGTCAAACCATCTGTCGCCGAGACGTACAAGATCCCAATTGAGGTGCCCAAGCACCTGCAGTATGGTGCCAAGGTCGCAGAGAAGAAGGCAATGAAGAAAGCCGACCAAGATGGCTTCTTTGGTTTCTTCTCTTCTCAGCAGCTGCCGGAGCTGAAGCCCGCTGTCAAAGGACAGAAGTCGAAGGTATCTGCCCACGAGATGGCCAAATCCAGGGAGGCACAGTATCAAGAATACCAGCGATCTCTGAACGGGGATGCGTCGTTCTTGCTACCTTCCAACCCTCTGCGCCCGTCCAAGCCGCCACTGGTTGGCGACAGGAAACACGCTGGTTCTCCAGCAATCGTCATCAAAAATGAGTCGAGGATGGAAACCCCTCCACCAATCAAGTACCCCATCGAGGATCTGGAGCTCGCTCCTAATTCCGAGAAACAGCACCGCCCAACTTTGAAATTCATGATGGTAGGCGATTCCGAAGACGAAGCCGTGCAGGACCTTCTGCCTGATGATCTTGAGCCTGAAACTGTGGGTTTACTTTTGGAAACCTGGGATACGCTCAACGTCTACTGTGAGGTGTTTGAACTGGACACCTTCCCCTTCGACGACTTCATTCAAGCAATGCGGTTTTCATCAGAGGAAATTGACTGTGAGCTTTTCGTAGAGGTGCACTGCGCGGTTCTCAAAAAGCTCGTGAATGCGTCTGACAGCGGCGACGGCGCTGTCCAAGTCACCCTCCCAGATTTCCCCGTCGATGAATCAGACGAGTCCGAAGAAGAAGACGAGGAGGAAGAGGAGGAAGCCGAGGAAGAGTCTCCAAAGCCTCGAGCCAAGCCTGAGAGAATGACCACTCGAGGCAGCCTGGCCAAGGAGGAGCTAGTGACCATCAAAGCACAGATCGACGAGGCAGAGCCAGAAGACACACGTCTGCATCGCGCCGACGAGCTGTTCGAGAAATATGGCTGGATTGACCGCCTGCGCAAACGCGATTTCCGCAATGGAGGATGGCAGACAGTGATGGTGGGTCTCCTGCATCAATTGTCTGTTCGTCCTCGCGCGGAGCAAGTTTGCAACGAGATTCTGAAGCACTTGGCACCTCTTGATACCGACCCCAGTCCCAGCACTGTGCAAGAGCATTATCAAACTTTGGACATCAACCTGCGTACCAAGGCGCTGCAGAAGATCTGCATGCTGAGCTTGGAGACCAAGGCCATTCGAAACTATTTAGAAGAGTGCAGCAACCAGATGACAGAGCTGCGCAAGGAAAAGATCGAGTATCAAAAGGCGCGCAAAGCAGGGTATGTCATTACAAGCTTGTCCCTTCTTATTTTTTGTTCTCTCTTTGAAAAACCATTCGCTAACGATATTATACAGACTCATTGAGCTTCGTCAGCTCCACCAGGAGCGTAAGGCTGTTCAGCCCGAACCCGAAAAGGCCGGCAAGTCACCTACACCTGTGCCCGAGCTGGACGGTCTGGATGATTCAAGGATGACCGGCCTGGAAGGAGACTCGGAGATGATTGTGGACACCGAAGACGAGGATGCCCCTCGACCACGAGCTCTACGCGGAGGGGTGGACCGAGCCCTGGAGCGGAAACGCAAGCAAGAGCTCGAGAAAGAGCGGAAAGAGATTCTGGCTAAGCAGCCGAAGGGATCGAAGCAATATCAGAAAGTGCTTAAGAAGATCGATGAGCAGAAAGCCAAGATCGAAAAGCTACAGGAGCAAATCGAGACAGTGGAAAACAGTCTTCGCGAGACCGACTGCCCGCGAACTAAGTGTCTTGGCCAGGATCGATTCTGCAACCGCTACTGGTGGTTTGAGCGCAATGCCATGCCTTACGAGGGAATGCCAGAGAGCTCGAGTGCTGAAGCAGGCTACGCCAACGGCCGTCTTTGGGTGCAAGGCCCGGATGAGCTCGAATTGACTGGCTTCATCGACGTGACCGACGAACAGCGCAAACAGTACCAAAAGCATTTCCACACCACCCCCGCAGAGCGCAAGAAGCACGAGGAAGGTCCAACCCATCTATCCAATGCCCGCGAATGGGGATACTACGAAGACCCGGAGACCATCGATCAACTAATCGAATGGCTCGACACGCGCGGCAACCGTGAGTCCAAGCTGATGAAGGAACTTCTTCTTCAGCAAGATGTCATCGCCAAGTATATGAAGACTCGCAAGGAGTACTTAGCTGAGACCCCCGAGCGAGCGGAGTCGGAAGATATTCCCACCAAACGCGTCACCACTCGGACCAAGACCTACGTCGATGTGAGTGACAACAGTCTCCGTTGTCTCCGCTGGAAGAACAACACCGCTTTGTCACTTTACGGTCATCTCCACGTTGATCCTGGACGACCAGCCAAGCGCAAGCGGGTGTCTGATGATGCCAGAGGAGCCAAAGCGGCTAAGCAGGCCAAGCCGCTGCCTCGAACACGCGCGCAGCGTCGGGGTTGATACTCCTACCTAACGAGACCACGATATTCTTTGTACTATCTGTCCTTTGCCTCATATACATTTCAATCTGCATGGAGACGGGGCGTTTTTAGCACATGTTCAATAGTGAAATACTAGAAGTGCACTCACATAGAAGTTTACCTAATCCAAAAATACGATGACAATTCGGCTTCTCGGGACTCGCTCACTTTTTTGCGGGCCGTATCGGTATCGTATTTTGCCGCTTCTAAGCGGGGGGCGCTTGGTATCGGCACGTCAGTCTGAATACACCACTCCGAACTTCGCCAGGCAAAATACGTCAGCGGGATCAATCTCAACTAGACTTTGTGATTACTTCTTGAATGCCCTCTTTCCCCCTCTCACAATTTCTCTAGTTCATTGTGAACACTCGACTCTCGGTGATTCACCAACTCAACCCTCGCATAAATTACCCGGCGAAGATCATCCGGTAGGCCGAGAATTATCGCCGAGCTGGTCACGAGGGGAATCCCGTTATTGCCCCGGATATTTCTAGAGCCTCCCATGAGCCTCGGTTGCTCATCGCCTCCCCTCCACTTCTCTCATGTCGAGCGGTCACTCAGACCATGTATATGATTCTGCCACATCAACAACTCACCACCAGTCTGCTCCGATGAGTGAGACCGCACCCGCACGCCCGGGTTCGATTGGCGCAATGCCGCTCGTCTCGGGCACCAAAGACAACAACCGCAAGATTGAAAAACAGAGCCTGGAATATGCGATCAGAAGTGGTATCGCTGGCGGGCTGGCTGGCTGTGCGGTGAGTGTGCGCCGCAAAACCCCATCGGATGTCCATACTGACAGAAATCACCTAGGCCAAAACGGTCGTCGCACCACTCGACCGCGTAAAGATCCTTTTCCAAGCCTCGAATCCCCAGTTCGCCAAATACACAGGCAGCTGGACGGGGCTTGCCCATGCGATTCGAGACATCAATCGCACCGAAGGCGCCAAAGGCCTGTACAAAGGCCACTCCGTGACCCTCCTCCGCATATTCCCTTACGCCGCCATCAAATTCCTCGCCTACGAACAATTCCGCGCAATCCTGATCCCGTCCAGTGAACACGAGACTCCCGTCCGCCGATTGATATCGGGCAGTTTAGCGGGCGTGACATCTGTGTGCTTTACATACCCCTTAGAACTGATGCGCGTTCGCATGGCATTCGAAACAAGACAGTCCCACCGCTCGGGAGTGGTCGATATCATGCGCCAGATATATCACGAGCGCCCACGAGCCCCTCCCAGCGCCACCGCAGCTGTAGAGTCTTCAACGGTTGCCGCGGCTGAAAGCGCCGCGGCCGCTGCGAACCGACTCGCGCCGCGAAGCGGCCTTATCAACTTCTACCGTGGGTTCGCGCCGACCATTCTCGGAATGCTGCCGTACGCCGGTATCTCTTTCCTGACCCACGATACCGTGGGCGATCTCTTCCGCCACCCATCACTAGCGCCTTACACCCTGAAACAATTATCAGACATAGACGCAGATCCCCGAAAAGCAGAATTGAACAAGAATCGTCCACTTCTCAATGCGCCCTTCGAACTCCTCGCTGGTGCCCTTGCTGGTCTTGCTTCCCAGACATCTTCATATCCCATCGAAGTCATTCGTCGCAGAATGCAGGTCGGTGGTGCAGTGGGTGATGGTCACCGGCTGGGAATCGCAGAAACCGCTCGGAAGATCTGGCTTGAGTGCGGGTTCCGTGGATTCTGGGTGGGCTTGACTATTGGGTACATCAAGGTGGTGCCCATGTATGCTGTTGCATTCTTTGTTTATGAGCGGGTTAAGGGATCGCTACGGATTAGCTGATCTTGCTACGCTGACCATTTGCACATATGGGTGGGAATGTGATATTCATTGACTATGGCGTTGGGGGCTGTTTTTTGAAGCATTTGAGTCTGATAGACTCTTAGATATACACCACATATACGTTCTTGTTTGATATCCCCTTGGTGTGCATGTCCGGGGCAGAGTCGCGATAGGCGAGATAAGATAACGAAGCATATAAAATCCATGGATATTTCGAGATGTGCTGTTCGATATGTGCCTCTCGTCGAGTCGTTTCTCTAGATCCCTTCTTGGATGTCATGTATACGCCTGGTATTATAGATTAAAGTAGAAATTGCGACACAATCAGAGCAGTCTACAATGCTGTAGACACTTCGTCGTCCGGAACATGTAAAGACGCACGGACCATTTTTTTTAAAAAAAAGTTCACCTCCGCGAATCTTCTCTTCGGTCTACATCCACAACCTACTCCAAAATGGCTTCTCGGAAACACGAACTACTCAAAATGCTAGGCAGCGAGGACGAATCCGACCGAGGTTACAATTCCGAGGAGAATGTGGCGGAGAGCAAAGGCCGAGCCGTGAAGCGGCGCAGGACTGCGGACACCCAAGATCCCTTCGGACTCGGCTCCGACGAGGAGGATAGCGATATCAACGAAGACTCAGAGGAAGAATCCCGACCCAAAGGCAAGGGCCGCAAGCAAACGAAGACACACGACACAGACGAGGACGAGGACGAAGATGAGCTCGAAGCCGAGGAAATGGACGATGAGGAAGACGGTGGCGCAAGCCTAGATGATACAGAGGAGACATCTGGCAAACCGAAGAGCAAGCTGCTGAACAAGAAGCTCGCAAAGCTGGCTAGCGGCAAGCCGCCCAAGAAGGACAAGAGTGGCGTGGTGTATTTATCGTCTCTCCCGCCTTACCTTAAGCCTGTGAGTGCTGAAAATCGCATTGCGAAACACCTACTAACAAGCCGGTTAGTTTGCTCTTAAGAACATGCTCGAGAAGCGCAACTTCGGTCCGATTACAAAGGTCTTCCTTGCGCCTTTGCTCCCGTCAGCCGCTGGCCAGAAGCAAAAATCCAACAAGCGCAAACTCTACACAGACGGTTGGGTGGAATTTAAGTCTAAGCGGTGCGTTTTTCTCTGCAACTGCGCTATCATGTTTACTAACGACCTCCCAGGACTGCCAAGCTTTGCGCAGAGACATTGAATGCACGAACTATAGGAGGTCTAAAGTCCTCCTGGTACCGGGATGATTTGTGGAACATGAAGTACCTCAAGGGATAGTAAGTATTTCGATATCCTTATCCGATTCATGCTAACCAAGCGCAGCAAATGGGCCAACCTGATGGAACAGATCCAGATGGAGCGCGCGACGAGGGAAGCCACCCAGCGCATGGCCGACCAGAAGGCGAAGCGCGAGGACAAGGTGTATATTTCTGGAGTCGAGTCTGGCAGAATTGCAGATGGTATTCAGAAGAAGGAGGAAGAGAAGCGAAAGAGGCGATTGGAGGCGGAGCAGGATGATGGTGAGGCTAAGCCTGCACAGAAGCCTGCTCGCAAGATTAGGAGGACTTTCGAGCAGTCCAAGGCTGTGAAGAGTGATGGAAATCTCGCTGATGATACTCAGCGAGTGCTTGGAAAGATCTTCTAAACTGATAGAGGGTCCCAGGACAGAACAATGGATGTATCTATTGACCGCGGGCTTTTGCCTTGATGTCTGGTTACTTGGTCAGAATGGGCTCCTTGACTGTATTTAATAAAAGTCCGTTTGTGCATAAACATCACATCCGAATGTGACCCTTGATACTCGATGCAAAAGTAGTTTGTCTAGTCTAGGTCCCAACTTAGGATTCTATCTGCCCCTTCCAGTCAGTTCTTGCTTCCTACGGACTGACGCAGAACTTTGTTGATTGGACCCTCGAAAAGGGCATGTGTATGGGAATGATGGAGGTATTTGACCAGAACTATGTGATGGAGATGAGCCTTAAAGCCCTAGATTGCATCTATGTGAGAATAACTTTTTGAGGAACCCAAATAAAATAACAAAACGCCAGCCTGTGCACACCATCGTCAAGGATATCACTTGGAGACTTGTTCATTGCCCATGTTCAATTCATCAGTCAAGCAGTTCACTTGAAGACAGCTTATTCTTTGCCCATACTGAGCTCATCGAAGTCTTCGAGCAGATCATCCATGTTGATCTTAGGCACAGCGTGACCGCCCTCAAGACCATCTTCTTCTTCATCATCCTCATCCATCTCCATCTGGTGATCCTGGGCTTGTTGCTGGCGCACCTTGTAGAGGTCGAGGGTTTGGCGAAGCTCTTGGTCCTCCTCAACATCGCGCAAGAACATTTCGTAATCTTGCTCCATACGGGCTTGCTCTTGCTCCTGTCTCTTGGTGGTGGGGACGTTGACAACTGGAGCGGTAGCCTCCTCCTCATACTCGCGAGCCATGCGCTTGAGACGCCAGTTACGCTTGGACTTCTTGCTGCGGGTGTAGTGCTTCTTGACGAGGATGACGTCGGGAATTCTGGAGCCGTACTGGTGGCTGTTCTCGATTGCCGTGAATTCGTCGTTGTTGTAGTTGGCTCCTGTGAGGTGGTATCCGAGCACTGAGTCACCGACGTGAATAACGTTTCCGAGATGCGAGCGTGTGAAGTAGGTGACGTCGTTGCGTCCAAGATCCGAGGCGCGAGCCACGGTGACCTCGGACAAGAGGTATCGACCGTTGGACTGGCCGGTGGACTCAATATCCATAACAATAAATTCTCGAAGTTCGGTGATATCTGCGAGGTTCTTGAAGGGGTTGCGCCAGTAGACAGCGGTAGGAACCTCGCAAGTTTGGAGTGTTTGCGGGTCAATCTAGAGGGCGTCAGTTATGCTTTTGTTTTTTTTTTTTTTTAAAAAAAGGGCAACAACATACAAGGTTGACTGCGTTGCCGACGCGGTGGCACAGGGCCAAAGGCGAGATGTTTCCGAGAGAGCGGGCTAACTTTAATGGGAGTGCGACCAAATCATCCTTGCAAATAGGAATGATTTCAACCTTGAAAGAAGTTAGTGTGATGTTCATATGCTCAACCAATTGGTGAAACGAACCGAGAACGAGAACTTGAACGAACGCGAAGAAGTATGGATATCCATACTGATAAGTTCTTCGGATTTCTTAGATCTGCAGGTAATTCGAAATTAGAGATGCACAAAAGTGATCAGAACCATGTGGGAAGACGAACGTGCAAGGAACGATAGAATGCAAGAATTCCACCATCTTTTCGGCTGAGTTTCTCGCGGAGAAATAGAAGTCCAGACCGTTGGAGGCCTCCTTGATGTTGACCGTATCTTGATGAGCGCCATGCTTCAGAATGACCTGCTCGAGGTAGAGGAAGGTTCGCTTATGAGGGACCTTCTGGCGGACTTGAACAGCGGCTGTAATGAGTGTTAGTAATGAGTCATTTGGCAGTAACAGAATCAAACGAACCTCGCCAGGTGTTAGGAGTGAAAGACTTTTGACAGTCTACATGAGGTTAGCATAGGACTCCAAGCACACATGCGCAATTTTAAAGAGACTGCATACCAGGGCACTGCTGCGAGGCCACGACGAACTCGACTTCGAATTGTTGCTGAATGATGGTGCCAACGAAAGCTTCTTGTTGAATGGTGATCTTCATTCGGATTCTGCGAGAGTGGGGTTCGGTCCAGATGAATGAGGCGTCGATGATGCGCACTTTGTTGAGACCCTTCAAACGACGAAGGCACAGGGCGAGAAGCTCTTTGGATTCGAGAGCCGCGACGACCCAGCTGGTGGGGGGTCTGTAGAGATCAAACATTAGTACCGTTGTGTACTGTATATTGTAGCGGAAAGCCTTACTGCAACCATCTCTCGCAATCCTTGCAACAGTGAAGAGTAGCCTCACGCTGAATGCCTTGGGTAACATCCACTTGATCGAAAGTCAGTCAATGGTTTCCTGACTGCCAAATTCCCCACTAACCTGAGAGTCTGATGCAGTCGGTACAGAGGGCTCCGGCGGAGACGGTTCCATCGATGGGCGCGCCACAGTTGCAACACAGGATACTGTATGTATGCGATGTTAGCGCAATCCTCGGTGTATATAGATCAAAGGCACATCGATCGGCCTTCGGTGGGGGAATGCAATAAAAAGTTGCGATAAGGGTTTGACTCACGTTGCTGCAACCTGCTCCTGCTGTTGCATATAAACGGGGGCATCCAAATCCATCGACATCTTGTCGTAATGCGATTTGGAAATAAAATGCTTGAAACGATTTTTGATGTGAATTACAACTTTTTCCACATGGCCAAAAAAAAGATTCCTATCGAGCCCCGCGGTTACGATGACTAAACTGTTTGCACTGTTTGTGTCCGCTATCGTTGATATCATCGGAGAATCAGGAAATCACCTGCGCTACTTGGAACATTCACACTATTCCAACCCATCACCATGAGTAGGATCCTTTTGAGGGGCGCTGCATGCCACAATTGCAGAAATGAATTACTTCGGTCTTTTGTTTCGGTTTCCGGTGTTCCAATGCCTCGATTCTCACCGATTTCCTCCAACCCTCGAGCTTTCTCCGCTCTAACTTTGCGACGATCTGACCGTCCCCCTACATCGCATCAGCTCGACAATCATCTTTCGGAGGCAGAAGATTTGAAATTGGATTCTGAAACAAGCCCCTCGACTTCAACGCAGGATGTCCCTTGGTATTTGCAAGAAGAGGCGCCCCCGGTCAGGGACCGTCCGTTGACCGAAGATGCCCTCCCCGAACTCCCGAATGATTCGCCCGAAATGCTTCCCGCCATGTTGGAGTACACGTACAAGGACCTGGGCCTCGACAGTCTCAAGATATATGATCTCCGTGGTATGGAAATCCCTGCAGCCCTCGGCGCCAATGTCATCATGATTGTTGGAACTGCTCGCAGCGTGAAACATCTGAATGTTTCTGCTGATCGCTTATGTCGTTGGCTAAGAAGTCAGTACAAGCTGTCCCCATACGCAGATGGCTTGCTGGGACGAAATGAGTTGAAGATCAAACTGCGGCGCAAGGCCAAAAGAGCGAGAGCCGCCAGTGCAGCAGGCGCAATGATCGACGAGAAAGACGATGGAATCACTACTGGGTGGATTTGTGTTAATGCCGGAGTAGTGGACGAAGGTGCCTCCACAACACAGCTCAGTGACGTTGGTATTGAAGGATTCGGTAACCTTGACCTTGGCACCAGCGTCGTGGTGCAGATTTTCACCGAGGAGAAGCGGGCGGATGTTGACCTTGATGGACTTTGGGAGGCTACCCTGGCCCGAGAAGGACGCAAGAATATTCGGGAGTCAGAGAATGCTTCCAAGAACGCTGCCCCTCCCCGCTCCATGTCCGATGGATTCGGGTCTACCCCTGGCCAAAGGAGAGGTTTCCATACCATGCGCCGACTTGCAGGGCCACAAATGACCTCTATTGGATCTGGGCTAGACTCCGGGTTTGCTGGAATCGGAGGCTCTTCGTCCCCAGATGGCGCAGCAGCAGCCGCATCTCAATTGACACCGACCTCTCTCCTTCAGATTCTTTCCGAACTTCCAGCTGAGAGTGCACGGGCGGAGCTTGGAAGTGGTCCGAATGATCGATTGTCCACTCTTTTCCTACGCCTCTTCTACAACAACCACGCGGCCCGTTACTCTGCGCAAGAAAGAGCGTCATTCCGATTGAAGCTCTTTTCGATCGCCATGTTCAGACAACATCCGGCTTACAGCAAGAATTCACTCTTTGAAGCTTTTTCGGATTTCCTCCGCGACGGGTATGACCTTCCAGACGACCTTGCATTCGATATTGTTTCTGCTCTTCTGACACCACAACCAGTAGAGATCGTTGCCGAGGAGTCCGCGCTTAAAACAACCAATGCCAATTTGGAGCTCGCTTTATCTGTGCTTGATCGATTAAGTCTCCGCGGTGTGCCAATCCTGAACATGAGAATGTTCAACATACTCTTCCAGGCAGTCGGCATGTCAAGTCCCGCAACACAACCTCTTGATGAACCGCACCCAAACGGAGTCACTCAACACTCTGTCAAGGTTCAGCTTAGTGATACTCAGAAGCACATTCTATCTCATTTGTCTAAGCTCTTCTCGGCCGCCAATGTTCCATTTGTCGCAGAAGACGCCCGTCAGCTGATGAGAACACTCTTCCGGCTCGGTGATTATGACGGATTCTGGCGTTTGTGGCGCCAGTTCCCCTTGAAGGGAGTAAATCGGACACAAGACGATTACGTGAATCTATTTCAATTGCATGCCGAACTGGGCGAGGAACTACGAGCTCGAGAGTGTATCTCGACGGGAGTTGCTCTCATGGATCAAGAGACCCCTGCTATTGCTCTCCAGGGCCCAATAGTGACCGCCATCATGCACTGTATCTTGGTCGCGGATCCAAACCTTCAAGCCCGAGATGAAGACGCTCCTCCGAGTTTCTACCTACCACTGTGGACTAAATGCCAGGAGGCACTCCAAGGAAAGTGATGGATTATTTTTGTAATATAGGCTAGCATATCTTTTATTGTACAATATCATGGCGAACAATCATAGCGAGATGCCATAGCAAACTGGATGCCTACGTTGTACGTCGTAGACACCGAGGTGTGCTCGGACCCGCAGGCGTAGTAGTCAGCTTTGGGCCTCGGCAGATGATCACTCGCTTCCGGCTCTCCTCTTCTTCAAACACCACCTTGTGAAGGATGACTGGCACATCTGACGATGGAATACCTTCCTAGTCTTCAACAAGAGTTCGACGAGCACAAGCCGTCACTCTTTGGTGAGTTGACTGGAGCTCCTCAATGCTTCCCCGCGGAGAATGGGGCACCCCGGACTTCAAGTTCACCACTGACCATCGCAATCGATAGAACTCCTCGCTGAACAACAACTATCTGATCTTCTCCCACCATCTATACGTTATCTTCTTGCAGTCGCGACACACCGCCACCCACGCTATCTCCTCCGTATCCTCAATTCATATGACGAAGTCTACGCCCTCATCTCCTTAATAGTCGAACGTTACTACCTCCGAACATTCGGCGGATCATTTACCGAGAATTTCTATTCTCTCAAACGCGAGCGCGTTCTCCGTACCAAGAATGGCGAGATTCCGCGCGCCCAGGTCGGCGCCGCTGGCCCCGTCCGCGACGCCCTTAAACTGAACTCCACGGACATCTGGAAGAACCTGCTCGTCATGGTCGGCATCCCCTACATAAAGCGCAGACTGGATGAGGGATATGACATCCATGCCGCGCCGCATGCCTCTCTCGTCATGGGCGACGGCCCCCGATATAATCCCAGCGATGACCTGCCCGCCAACCCGTCGGTGCGCCAACGTCTCCTACATTACTACAAGTGGTTCCTGCGCAATGTCTACCCGTCTGTGAACGCAGCATACTACTTCTCCGTCCTGGCGTTTAATCTGGCCTACCTTTTCGATAACACGAAGTACTCCTCGCCATTCTTGTGGCTTATCGGTACGCGCATTCGCAGACTTGGTGCCGCAGATCACCGCGCGATAGCTGCGGTCCTAGACCCTAAACCCGGGCCTGGCGCCGGAAGATCCCAACGACCAGGAAGCGGCTTGCTGGGCATCTTGAGCCCGCAGAACCTCCACACACAGCTCCTCACATCACTGCGGTACTTCCTCCCGGCTTCGATCTTCGCTCTGAAGTTCCTGGAATGGTGGCACGCAAGTGATTTCTCACGCCAACTTGCCCGTAAGGCAACAGAGGTGCTGGATCTCCCAGCACCCGTTGTGGCGGGTCTCACCTCCCCTGCGGAACGACGGAAATCGTCGATCCAGGATGAGAAAGAGAAGACCAAGAAGCAGGAGCAAGAGAAGAAGAGCGCTGAACTCAAGCCAGCGCTCAAATCTTCCCGTCGCCATCAGCCTCCTATCTCTGCGACTTCTTACCTTCCTATCTACACTGTATCTCTGCCACCGGCTGATTCTTCAAGCGCGAACACGTGCCCTGTCTGCATGGGCCCGCTCGCTAATCCGACTGCCTGTCAGACTGGATATGTATTCTGCTACGTTTGCATTTTCCATTGGCTGAACGGTGAGCACCAGCGCCAGTTGGACTTCATGGGTGGTGAGGGCGCTGGCGCTCCATGGGAAGAGGAGATTACTGGTGAGGATGAGGAGAAGGGCGACGAGGACGATGACAAGGGTCTCCGGAAGCGTTCTGGAAAGTGGGAGAGTGGGAAAGGTAGATGTCCCGTGACAGGCAGGAGAGTGCTTGGTGGCACTGATGGATTGAGGAGGGTTTTGATCTGATTGAAGCCTTCATATATACCAATTTGTATAGCCGAATTCTAGACTTCAAGTACATACGAGTGATTTATGAGGTGGATGGTTGACATGAAAGAATACAACATCCATTCCAACTTCCAACTTCAGTTCTTTGTACAACCTCGGAATTCATAGGTTGCCCGGTGGTATACGCCCTGTCCACCCGGGTTCTTCGACGTCACCAGTGTGATAACTATCCATGGATGAGATCAGAACTCATGAAAACTACCATGGCTTACAGACGACTTGTTTTCGTGACTGATCATCAATGCAATGCAGAACTAAAGATATGGATAAGCTCAGATTCGAAGCAATGAACTCTATGAGATAACGTAAGGTTCAGCGCCCTTTCCAAAGATCAAATGCGGCCTCTCAGCTGCAACCTTAAGAACAGTCTCAGCGAAGACCGAGTTCGCCCAAGCAAACCAAGGCCGGGTGTAATCCTTGATGTTTGTCACATTGATAGACTCGTGAACAAGCCCAAGCAAACTAGAGTTGCGAACAAGATTGAGATTCCCGATAATCTCATCGTCATCGTCAGAAGTCATAGCTTGCACGAGGAGGGACATGGGCCAAGCATGCTCGAATCCAATGTGAGGTCCACCAATACCGTGGAACTGTGGTCCCTCCAAGTAGTACGGGTTCGATGCTTTGTCCGTGATCATCTTGCGGGTGTTCTGATAGACTGGATCTGACTTGTCCACGAAACCGAGGTAGGGGAGGGAAAGCAAAGAAGGGATATTGGCGTCATCCATGAGGATATGAGAACCATATCCGTCAACTTCGAAGGCATAGACATCACCATACTTTGGATGCTTGACGATTGCATGGTCATGAATTGCCTTGGCCAGCTTGGTACCTCGCTCTTGAAGGTCGGCGGCTAGATCGGCGGGTCCGCCAGCTGCCTTGATAACCCTCGCGGTCTTCTGGAGCTGTACTGACATCTGTGCATTGGGAGGGATGAAGAAGCCTAGAATGGTGGCGTCGTCACTAGGACGGAAAGCACTGCGAATCAACCCAGTGTCGCTGTTCAGAGGGTTTCCCACGCCAGACAAGCCAAGTGTCTCTGTCCCGATAGTAGTTTGGCGCTGGAAGGTGTATTGATTTGTGACAAACTGGTTCTTCGAGTTGAACGTGGGCTGCGACTGTGCGTCGATGGTTTTCAGTACAGTTTGCAACGCCTTGTACCAACGTTCTGTGAGGAACTCAGTATAGCCGGTTTTCTCATAGAACTCAGTACCCAGTTGAAGGAAGTGCGCTAGGGAGTCTAATTCGTATTTACACTCGAACACAAACGAAGGGTTGTATGCGGGGTGCACAGTATCCTTCTGGGAGCTGTTCTCGGGCTTGACACCGCTGGCCGATGGTGGCTGGAAAGCATTGCAGTAAGGTGATTGTATCACAAACTCAGATTGGGTGCTGATAGCCCCGAGAATGAGGGAGTACAGGCTCTTATCCTTAGCAGCGAGCGATTGGTAGTTGACCAGCTGATTGGTTGAGTCGCGCAACCACTCGGCGTTGATGTCGCCGGTCACGATAAATGTCTGCACACCAGTCCATTGTGGATCGTCTCTTTTCCTCTTCCCATCGGTTGATGTTGAACCGTTCTGGTGCCACCTGATAGTTGTGTCCAGGGTGTTGGGGAAGGCATTGCGGAACAGTTGCGCAAGGTCCTTATCAACAAGGCGCGAGGTGATATCTTCAATGACCTTCTCAACGGCCGGGGAAGAGAATGTTCGGCATGCTTCTGCAGGTCGCTGGAAAGGAAGATTCAAGGGCCCGCCGCTATAAGGAGCACTGCAGCTTCATTGGCGACTGGTTGGAGTAATTTAGGTGGGAGCTATACTTACTGCGGTGTTGATGCATAGGCAGTGTAATCGGGACAAGCTCGTCGCACTATGCTTGATTCATCTCTGCCTGGAAGGGCGCTGGCCTGAAGGCCCAGTAGGGCAATCGCAAGGATTGTAGAAAGTGCCATTGTGTGTAGGTGCGGAGGGGAAGTGCTCACAGGCGGAAAAGACATAAATAGGGAATGTCGATCGCAGCCAAACAGGGATACATTCCACCTCCACCTGGGCATGACAGTCCAATTTGAAAGATCGGAGCAATAGACGGCGAAAGCGAAGATGAGGTGACATCGGCACTGTTGCTTCCCCACAGTGCGGAGAAGATCGACGTGGAGTTTCCGTTTGGGGTTACTATACACTGTTGCCGTACACTGTTGCTACATTGTACATTCTATTCGTACTATATCTGAGAATACTACATCGTTTAATCTGTTGATCTGTTGAGTGCACAGGAAATAATTCATACAAACAAACTCAACGGGAGCTTTTGTAGAATTGTTTATCAGTCAGACTGTCCGTCATTATCAGTGAGCATCCAGTCAACCATCGATGGCTTTGATGCTGCAATCACTTCTTTCCAAAGAACGACATGATGTTACCCTGGCCTTGTGCCTGGGGCTTGCTTGCCTTGCCCTTGGGGACATTGACCGCTGGTTTTTTGGGCGCCGGTTCATCTTCGGAGAAAGACTCCCACGTCGGCTCTTCCCGAGTTACTACATTGAATTAGTACATGTCTTGAGTTTCCAAAGGGGCTGCGCGGACCTAAGAACCCTTCTTCGTCCTTAACTGTGGTTTTCTTCATGACCTGTCGCTTGCCTCGTCGCCTGCCGCCGTTGACTGTCACTTCTTCTTTGAGTTCTGCTGGCTTGATTGGTGGCGGTGCTTCAACGGGGGTGATTTCCCGCTCAGGCTCTTCGTCGGCGTCAGGCATTTCTTCATCTGGCTCGGGATTAGCAGCTATCTTAATAAACAAGAACGGAAGAGGTGTTACCGTCTGCTTCGTCATCGTCCATCATCTTCTTAAGTCTTTCCTCGCGCTCTTTTCTGCTGGCTCGGTTTGCCTCGGCAGCTTTGTCAGTGCTGTCAGTGCTGTTAGGGAAGAGCTCCTCGGCTTCTTCCTCGGAAGCATCGTCAAGCACCACATCTTGCGCAGCCGGCTCAGGAGCGGCGGCCTTAGATTTTGGTTTGGCCTTGGCAAATGAGCTGAAAAGGCTGCCTTTCTTCGGAGCTGGTTTAGCAGAGGCCTTCGAGGAGGCCTGAGAGGTCTTAGAGTCGGCCGCAGAGGATGATTGAGACTTTGTCTCCTCGGGCTTGACAGCTTCCGCCTTTGCAGGGGGAGCCTCCTTTTGAGATGGTCGTTTCGCAAGCACGGTTGGCTCTGTGGAGGGTTTAGATTTAACAGCCGGGGCTTTCGCAGCCGGGGCTGGTGGTGGGCGTGCGCCGGTTCTCCGCTAAACATCCCACCTTAGAACGTAACCAAATTTCAATGTGAGCAGCAGCTTACCTTGACATTACGATTCTGAATCATGCCCCATTGCTTTCCACACTCCAATGGGTCGTCTTGCGCGTGTGTAATGGCGCTCTCCCGGCTGGCGTCAACTAGCACATTCAAGTCCGGTAAGGCTGCGGGCTCAAGACTGTAGACATGGATCATAGATATCGACTGGAATGTTGCTTTGGCATCTGTTCCGGTTATTCAGTTATCAGTGCATTTCAAAAACAGTACAGACTTGCCCACCTTCTAAATCTTCTTCGCGCACTAAGACAATCGAAGCAGTGGTGACCGAGTCGGACGTGTCTCCCTGGTTTGGCATCGAGCTGGGAAGGTATGGGCTACTTCCCATGACCTCGTCCTCATCAATTGCATCGCCATTCGTAGGTGCTGGTTCTGGTATTTTTTGGATGCCGGAGATGACGTAGGTCGCGTGAACAGTCGCTGGCTTTTTCGCATTCTCATTGCGATGAAATTCGAAAAGGATTCTATACCGTGAAGTGTCAGTCTCAATACAAGCTGCGAATTGGGTTCAATTCCGTACTGTTTGGCCCGGTTGGCGTGGACTTTGAGCGCGCGACTCAATGACCGATAGGTAACCTAAGTCTGGTAAGCATTCTGCTTGACAAGAAAGAGAAAGATAAGTGCTCACAGGCCGGCGCTCATTGAGAACATTCTCCGCAAGAAACACCTTCGAATCCATGGTTGCTGTGATCTGCTTGAAACCGTGGGAGCTGCAACGCGTGCTGGACCACTTTACGCGTATCAGTCAGCGGGTCTTGGCGCCTCTACGCTCCACCCGCGGACTTGCTCTCTTTCATGTTATCACCGGTGTCCGGTCAATGAGTATAGACCTTACAAGCTGGAAGGTCATAATTCAATGATGGATACCTCAAGCGAGATCTCAGATCCCACCCAATGGCTGGAGACACCACTTTCACTACTTGCGCCGCTAGAATCCGCCCTCCGCTGCCAGGTTTGCAAAGAGTTCTTCGACAACCCCGTCATCACCTCTTGCTGCCATACGTTCTGCTCATTATGCATCCGCCGATGCCTCAGCGCCGAAGGGAAATGTCCGGCGTGTCGATCTCCTGATCAAGAACTCAAACTACGTCGAAACTGGGCTGTCCAGGAACTGGTGGACGCGTTCCAAACGGCAAGACCGAGCGTGCTTGACTTTTCGAGGGAAACCGCGCAACTTGCCCAGGCGGAGGAGCAGGCCGGTGAACCTTTACACAAAAAGCGAAAGGTTACGCAGGTCGAAGAGCATGTACAGACATCAGAGACCAGCTCCCAAGGGCGGCGCACGCGATCACAACGGCACCAGCTCCAGGCTGAGGAATCTCCTGCCTTCGATACTTCGCCGCAAGTTATTGAGGATAGTCAGGACGAAGATGAATATGTTCCCGGTATGTCGGTCACAAATTATGGGGTATGTGGTTGTCTAATTGCCCTACAGATGACGGGTTGGTCGCATGCCCTATATGCAATCGCAAGATGAAGGAAGAGGCAGTGTTCCCTCACCTAAATGTACACCAAGAGGGAGAATCACCTAAAAAGCCGCCACCAGCTCCTTCATCATTTGGGTATGGTTTCTATTGAACAGCTAGTGAGCCACGCTAATTGTGTTCGAACACCAGATCACTAAGAGCACCCCCGAAAAGCCTCGTCCTCTCCGGCAAACCACTCGAACGAATTCCCACCATCAACTACTCCATATTAAAAGAAAATGCATTGCGCAAAAAGCTCTCTGATCTCGGGATCCCAAATTGGGGCCCAAAACAGCTCTTGCATAGACGCCACACGGAATGGATGAACCTTTGGAACGCAAATTGCGATTCCAAAATCCCGAAGTCCAAGCGGGAACTGCTTCAGGAATTGGATGTCTGGGAACGAACTCAGGGCGGGCTTGCGGCGGGGCCTTCGCCCTTTCTCTCGAATAGCAATGTGATGCGTAAGGACTTTGATGCAAAAGAATGGTCATCGAGTCATGACGATGACTTCAAGCGCTTGATCGCCAATGCTCGCAAGAAAGCTGGCGTCAAGGCCAATCCCGCCACCTCTGAATCAGTCCCAGTTCCACCTCCATCTGAACCCCCGGTGAATAGCAGTCTAGTCGAGCCCAGTCTGGAAGCCGAACCCGACCAGGTGATTGACCTGTCCGGGTGATCCAAGATAAGGCACATTGAAGTCACACTCATAGAATGAATAGCGCGATATGTATCCGCAAACTGTGCTTTCATAAAGGGCACGAGTTTACTTCGCTGGCATTGGATGGTCCTCGACAGACATGTTGGAGAGGCGGTCAATGTTGTCTGCTAGGGCAGAGTCAACACTTTCAGCCGCTCGTGCTTGGCGAGCAGCCTCGCTTGAAGCGTGCTTGAGACTGTCCAATTCGGCCAGTCTTCTCTCGACGGCTCCAGCTTCTTCTTTTTCTTTGGCCTCTTTATCGCTCTTCTCCATGGCTGCAAGTTCGTCGTCGATCTCTCCTTCGTCAATAACCGGGCCGGCCTCGTTCATGATGCTTCCGACCTCATCCACCTTGGTCATCTCTTCGCGCAATCCTTCCACGATATCCTCGACCTTCTCAGCACCACCGATTTGCGTGTGCAGACCGCGAAGCACCTCGGTGCTTGCCTGCATGACTTGTACCATATTCACTTGGCCTGTGGCCTGTTCAATCTTGGTGTAAACCTCCTCAAGTCGCATCAGAGTATCAAATCTCTGTTGAAGATTGTGTTCGACCATCTTCTTGGAGCGAACAGCAGATAGGGCGGAAATGCGGTTCTTGTTTGCCAGAGCTGTCTTTGCAGATTGATTCAGCTCAGCAATCTTGGCCTCTAGGGTGGCGACCTGTTTTGACATGGTGGACACTAAGGTCTTGATGGATGCAATAGTCGTGTCCTGCTGCGTGATTTCTCCGTCGTCCTCTGGAGATTTGAACTTGATAGTCTGACCGTTCTGTCAGCCAATCTTCCAGTAAGAAATGTCACAATTTAACTCACCCCTGCCATCATATGCAATAGAGCCGCTGTCACGAGACAAATAAATTAATAACACGTCAAAATCCGAATCAGAAAGTTCCGTAGTGTCATTTAATATGTTCGAGAACTCCTCCGCGAACATTTCCCGGGAGAAAATTAAATCCAAATTGGACGCAGTACTACCGGTAGCCTTCTTGACAGTTCGATCCGCCGTTTCCAGCAGGTTTTCGACCAGCACCAACTCCTGCACTTGCAATCTTGGCGCCGAATCGCTTTCGGAGATGACGAAGCCCTTCAGCTGTCGGACTCCCCAGCTCATAACATTCCAAGGGCTCAAAGCTCCAGGATCAATGACTCTCCATTGACTCTTCTTCTGCAGAAGCCCAGAAGTGGTCTTGTAAATGGTTATTGGGATCATCGAGTTCTTGCGTACCGCTTCGTCCTAAAGAGCCCCATGGTCCATATTAGCATCGGTATCGACTGGTCCATGAGCAAGATCATCCTGTAGAGCGTACAAAAACGGTGCCTAGAGCAGCAGGTCTCCCCCATTCGGAGCTCTCTAGATCACGGAGGAGCGACTCATCCGTTCTCAAGATGAGATGGTCCGTCTTCTTTCGTTTGACTGGTGTAGTGCCGCCGGAAACACTCGAGCCGGAGCGCACACGCACACCACGGGATGACGTGTATCCACGCTTTGCGGCTCGGTTGAGGGCCTGTTCCCACGCGGCAACGTTCACGGCATAGCCATCGGGGTTTGTTTTCTTCTGGGGTGTGAAATCGGAGTAGAGGGATGGCAGTCGGTTTCTAGATCGGTTATGAGTGTTAGCATAGGTAATCTGCTATCGCATGGCATCCTCATCGCTTCGAGACCATTCTCCAACGGTTCATCAGACTCTCCTTACCTTCGAAATGCTTCCTCGTTGTTGAGGATGTACTTGAGAAGGTCACTCATGGCGTGACGGTATATACACAAGGAGCAAATCGACTTCTCGGGGTACCAAGGTTGAGCTGAGATGTTGGCTTCGCAAACAAAGCGGTCCACATGAGGGGATCGCCTGCGCTCCACTGTCGCTCCGTCAACAGCTTTATCGATAAGCACACGTGACGATATGTGAATTTGGGGATTCAATCTATGGAAAGCTTATAAAATTTACAAACCAAATACACGTCCTTTGTATATGAAAAATCACGGATATGTGCGGGATCTAAGGCTCCAAGCTTCCGTGGTGTCAGTTCCAAGATTTGCCGGTGAATTTCCAAATCATTATTGTACGTAACTATACATTTCAGCTTTATAAATCCAGGCAATTTGCCTTTCACCTTTGGTTTTAATTGTAAAGAAGTTTGAGCTCAGCGTCAGCATCGACAAGGCTTTGCAGCTCCTCTTGCATGCTCTCCATCGCTTGCTGTTGCCCAGGTTCTGGTGTGTCACCAGCGATAGGAACAGGGTTCTGCAGAACATGTTTAAGCAGCCTTGTTGTCTGCTGTAACTCGCTCTTCAACTTGTCCAGCTGTGGCGCAGACTCCTTATTTTCATCCGCGGCAATGTGAAGCCAGCAAGAACTGCTTCCACTTAATATCTCACCACGCCAACGCCAGATACGCGGATGGGCATTTTTGATAACTGCCTGCGTGGCTGCCGTTGCTGCGCGCAGCAATGGAGGATGTGCAGTTCCGAAGGGATTTGAAAGTGTGGTGTAAAGAACAGGTATCATCTCTTGAAGGTATTTCGTAGTGTGGATGCCTAGCTCGTCGATGAAAGTGGTGGTTTTCTCAAGGAGGAAGCTTGAAAGGCGAGGGTATGGAAAAGAGGCCGTTGTTGAGCCAGAAGCTGGGGTGCTGGAGCTTATATGGTGGAAAGAGGATATGAGGTTTGATCGGAGAATGTTCGCGAGTCCAGTTGTATAGGCTTCTTTATCTCGCCCGGATTGAAAGTTGCCACTGTAGGCTGTCTTTAGAGTATCGAGGAGTGCTGGATACGCGACTCCCAGTAGAGTTAGGGACATGTCTTCCGGAGTGATTGTGGGAATAGAAAGAAGACATGGCGTGACGGCTTCTTCGAAGACGGACGTTAAGTTTGTTCGGCGTAGAATATCTGATCCACTTTCTCGAATGGGCAGCAGCAGCTGGCTGAGCAGACGACAGCCTTCGGTCTTGAAGGGAAGGTTATTGTCATCAATCATTGCTAGTATAGTTGGAACAAAGAGCGGGAAGTGTGTTTCGAATTGAAGCTTGTCCTCGGGCTGCAGAAGTTAGCAAAGTGTAAAGCGAGCAGGTCTTTTTGAGTGGGCCTACATTATATTGCGAGAGAATCCACGACAACACAGAGGCAACATAGACATCTGTGGTCTTCCAAGGCTTTGATGACTCGTCCAAACCGTTCGAACCAAACCGAGGCAAAGTCTGAGGATGGAAATTCTTGCGGCCCGCACTGGTAATGGCGGGGTTTCTTGTGTTTGCAAAAAGAGGTCGAATCCTCTCCTTGAGAATGATATCGATAGCAGGCCAGAAAGTGTTGTTTTGACGAGTGGTCTGAGTCCATGTGTCAATGAGCTTCGAAGCTGTCTCATGGCTATCTGATGTAGTCCATGGGTTCGCCTTGTTCTTGAAACATGCCCCTGCGAGGAGGACATCTGCTACAACATCTAAACTGGGTTTAGGAGTGTTGGCCAAAGTTTTGTTCAAAGCCAGCAGGAGCTCAAGTGCTAGTGCTGATCTAAACTGGCTCTCGGTCTGGGATTGGACAATGTCTGGCTTGCACATCAGAAAAAGCCGTCGGAGAATATTAATTGGCGACCTACCGTCGGACAAACCAGCTGTTTCCTCGAAATTGATTGCGAAGTCCGACGAGGGCAAAGCAGCGTTACTGGCCCAGTTGAACAGATTGTTCACAGCTTTAGTCTCGGTGTGATCAAGTGATCGAGGGCCTGCATTGTTGGGCAATACAAAGTCCCAATGACTGATGAAGCCTGTCGTCAGGACAAGGCTCTCGCAAATCTACAGGATTAGCAAGCTGAACATTTATACCAAAGAGACAACTAACCTTCCGATGGGTGGAATGGTCCTGTGCAACAATATCTTGCCATAGTTGATCCAACTCAAACTCCCGCGCAGTCGAAGCGAAGGGAAATGAATCCTTAGGCAGTTTGCCGGGGTTTTTCTCTAGAGCCTCACGTGCTCCTTTGCGAAGCTGATCCATTGTGGATTGCTATTAATATTGAAAGAATCAAGAATTATGGTTGATTTTGAGGTTGAAGTAAAGTTCATGTTCAACTAGATTTACCGATGGGTTTGCGGTTTGTCTAGTTTGTCATCACAACCCCAATTCCGCTCGGCGGCCTGCGATCTCCTTCAGCGCCGTTTCTTTGTCGTCAATTTCGGGATGAAGCAGCTGCCACTCAAGACTCATGTTTACTGCCTTGCTCATCCAGGGGCCCTTTTTAGCTCCGAGGCTCTTCATGATTTCGTCTCCGTTTACAATTGGCCGAAGGTCACACACTTCCTCCAGGTCATTTTCTACGATGTATGCAAGGAACCGGTCGTATTCTTGGACCACTATATGAAATGTCGTTTGTCAGAAAAGAATAGCAGATCCCCAAAAGGGGAGATAACTCACCTTCTGTGAAGTCACGATGTCCCATAACCTCTTGTAAAATAGCCCCAAGGATTGAAAGCTTCCACTCCTTGTTCCATGCTCGAATTAGCAATCCGATTCGCTGTCGTATTTCTGCGGGGGTCCCAGTGATGTTGTTGCTGAGAAGTGCTGTTTTTGTTTGGGTGATTTCTTCGTAGTTTAGAGCGGCAGCACGTAGCACAGTGAGGTTTTTGTTGTCAGTTTTCAAGCTGTCTCTGCCAACCTCAACCGCTCGTGGGGGTGGCGGCCTTTTTTCCTTGCCTTTCATGGGGCGCGGAGGTCTGGAAAACCAAGGAGAAAATGTCGCAACCATCCAGGAATAATAGATAGTTGACTTGTCACTGAACAGGATACCACAAACTCGCTTGGTGGCCGCCGCAGCCTCTGGATCGTCGCTAGGTTCTGAGCGGAGCATTCGTGCCAACGTGTTGTATGCAAGAGGCCACGTCGAGGTGTCCGCTTGGACATCGTCCTGGTGGTTGGCAAAAATAGTATGGAACAATTTCAACCGGTCGAGGAACTCCAGCGCACCGCGAGGATCAGGACCTGCAGGCCGCAATGTTAGTAAGGTGTAACTCGTGTGCGTTGAACAGACAAAGCTTACCACGTAACATCTTTTCCAACTCTGCCCCCACACGCTCCTTGCTAATTTTGAGCTTCAAAGCTTCACCGATGGCCTCAATTTGCATAGCTGCCTCTGTTTCTGAATCGATGCGGTATCCCAATCTGCTCGCGAATCGGATCAACCGAAGGACACGAAGAGGATCGTCTTTGAATGTTTGATAAGGCTCCATTGGACAACGAATGATCCGCTGTTTCATATCATCAAGTCCGCGTTCAGTAAAATCCTCCAACCGTGACTCGTTGAGATTGTAAAATAGCGCATTAATAGTCGCGTCGCGCCTCAAAGCGTCTTCAACCGCAGTGCCGAATTCCATTTGTGGATTACGACTGTCGTCTGTGTATGTTTCTTTCCTCAAATTGACCAGATCAATGTCTAGGCCGAATATTTTGGTTGTAACGGTCTCGAGGTGCTTGGACTTTTCCGGGTTTGCTTCAATCTTGTGAAGGCTCACGATAGCATCGTGCATTTCCTTTTGTGGAAGGCTCTTCTTATACTTCTCAAGGCGTCCGGGAACATCCAGGTAAGATTTGAGAGCCATTCCAAACTGGAATCCCGTCATGTTGCTGATACCAACATCGATGTCGTTGCTTCCAATCCCAAGCAGCTTGTCCCGCACCCAACCTCCAGTGAATCGCAAAATGGTCTCGGATTGGCCTTGCACACCGCCGCCACTTTGTGTGATCCTTTCTTTATCAACGTGCTTAGCAACATCAAGAAGAAGGGTGCGCAGGGTGCTCTCAATCGGAGTGAGCTCTATGATGGGCCCGGCGGAATTCATGGTGGATTTTGAGCTTTTCCGGTTCCGCCTAGGCGAAGAGGTTCGTCGCCGTTTGCTGACTCGTTCTGAGAGGTCTGGGTCCGATTCAGGGTTGCGCATGGAAGAGCGATGAGATGTGTAGTAGGTCCGGAGGGGCAGGCGCTGTTGGGTTGGTCTTTGGATTGATCTTCTCGCTAGAGTGCGGGCAAGTGGAGCTTTAGTTGAAGAAAGACCAGAGGCCTGTAATAAACACCCGGCCAAGCGCGACCGCATTGAACATAACTTTGTTCAATTCTTTGGAAGAAAGTGAGTCAAACTGATTGGCGATAAGCATGGGCCTCACGTGGTTTGCATCACCATTTGGAGATCGCCGATGCGCCTCGACTTGGTACTTGATCACATTTGACCAACAAAGCAGTTCACAAGCATTCGAGAAATAATCCTTTGCAACGAACTTGTCCGCTGCCCGGTTTCGTTGTCGCTTGTGCCTGTGCCTTATCGGCCCGAATCGTTCGACTTGGCTTCTCCCCCCAACAACACTGCCTCCGTGAAGTCGCCTACATTTCACTCGCGCTATTACACCCCGATCTCGTCTACCCGTCGATGGGGCCTGTCGATCAACTTCACTTGTCTTAAATTTGCGTAAAGCAGCAGGTGTCCGTCCATGACATCGCCCGGAGATGCTGCTCCGGTCAAACCTCCGCCGTCCTTCTCCCCCGGCGTTGCGCGAGTCGCAGCTACGTCGCCATCGCGATATCCCGGGGAGCAGGAGCCACCTCAATCCCTAGATGCCGACCTAGCAGAACCCTCTACCGCCTCTTCTCCAACCCCTCTCTCGTCCACGATCGCCGACTTACCGCTACGGCCCGGTTCGACACACTCGCGCTCTGGGCGATCTTCTACCCCGCAATTAGCAAGATCATCTGTCGGATCGCCTTTAGATGGACGCTTCGATGGGTCCGAAGATATAAGGTCGTTGATTATCCGATCATTCTCGCCCACAATTGCTGTTCATGCATCCGAGGACACCGATGACCTGGTGAGAAATAAGGGGTTCAAAGGGGGTTTCTGGGAGTTGATCCGGCCATTTGGAGAGACGGTTCCCGGCAAGGTAGTGATTCGAGATGGTATTGGCTCAAGTCGGGCGTGGGAAGACTTTGGGGTCCGCTTTGTTGATTTCAAAGGGATCGGAAGGGCTCCAGGGGGCCGAGATACTGGCACTCTGGCGCAAATGGAGGAGGTATTGTCCAAACAACTGGAAACTTCAGAAGGCTTGCTGGGATCTTCAGTACGGACAAGGGATGTCCTCGGTTATCCCGCGACAACACCTCTGTGCAAGCTGTTCCTCCAACAACTTCTGTGTTCAGCACCCGCGGCACCCCATGAGACATTCGGCCACCCAGTAGCCAATGTGATAGCAATCAGCTCACGCAACCCAGCTCCGCTGGAAACATTGAGGCAGCTTTATGCTGATACCACAACGGGTGACAAACATCCGCCCGAGTGGGTTAACCAGGAATATCTTCGTTATTATGTTCTTGTACACGACGAGGAGCGAGATGACATCACGGAATCTACCAAGCTCTATGATCAGATGAAGCGGCATTTCGGGCTACATTGCCATCTCCTCAGACTTCGGAGTAGCCAATGCGTGGTGACAGATGATGACAGCATGCAAGTTCCCCAGTGTGAATGGCTCTCGCCTTCAGAACATCTCTCGGGGGTAGGGGAAGCAGGCAAGTACATCCTCAAAATGTCATCAGTCGTGTTCTAACCTTTTTCTAGAAGCTTTGGTTGATCTTGGTACAGAAGGCACTCCTTACCTCTTTGATTCTGATGCTACTTCAATAAGGGCATTCATCCGAGAGCTGGTAGTGCAGTCCGTGATACCATTCATGGAAAACAAAGTAGCAGTGTGGAATGACCAAGTCGCTTCCCGCAGACGTGGTATCAGTGGCAGGTTTATGTCAATGTCACGGCGGTGGGCTGGTTTCGGGTCAAGCTCACGCTCGAGTATTGCAGGCTCATCAGGGGGCAGCAGCGGCAACTATGATTCCACTCAACATTTCTACGGACCAGACTCACCGGAAGCTGTTCTGCGAAAAATGGCGGACTTTGCATTCATGCTTCGAGACTGGAAACTCTCTACTTCTACGTACGAGATGATACGGTCGGACTTTGGCAACGACAAAGCCTGGAAGTATCACGCTGGAGCTCACGAAATGTGTGCTGTCAGCATGCTGTTGAACCCTTTGGCTACATCGGCAAAAATCAAGCTCGATAGCGTGGACCAACTATTTGAGACTGCCTGCTATTCTTACCTCACACGCTGTTCAGACGCGCCTCATGCTTTGCGCTGTCTTGCTCTAGCAGTTGAGCTCCTGAAATCTCGTGGCGGCTCTGCCACCGAGAGTGCAGCCAAATGGGCCATGCGGGTCATGGACTTTGGATTAGTGGGCTCGGTGGGTCAGATAATATACACTGAGCGGGTGGCAGCATGCTACGCTTCCAAAACGCCAGCCGGAGCAGCAAAATGGGGTGGTCGACGCCGCAAGGCCGGAATGTGGAGCATCCTTGCTGCTGATCAGTGGCTGAAAGCTGGCAAGCCGACCCTAGCCTCAGCGTGCCTGGAAGAAGCCGAGCGACTCTACGCCGATGTGCTTCAGGCGGATGGTGTCTTCCCGATGCCTGAAATGCAAAGCTTTATTGACAACCTGCGCCATGCAGTGAGAGTTGAGTACCTCGAGGCCCGAGGGTTTGATGCCCAAGATGAAACGGCTCCCGAAGATCCGGCGGGTACCGAAGAAATTAGCGAAAAGCTCGACAAACGCAATCATCGTCGCTCTCTGATTGGGCTTCCTGTGCAGCTGGATGCTGGGACCCTCAACCTCACGCAGGGGGCCCGGGACACCGAAGTCGCTCCCAGTGATGATTTTGAACGAGCCTAGACTCTTTGCGGCCTTAATACCTCATCTTAGCATATAACCATAGATTACAAGCCTGTTTAAATCAATGATCATGTGAGAATGGAATGAATTGTGAGACAAACACAACGCTCCTATCATTAATCGCTTTGTCGTAGGTGGGCTCAAAGAGTGAAGGCGCATTCGAGAAAATTGTAGCACTTTGGGTTAGTTCTTTCAAGCGTGCTTACTTTTTTTTTTCCTTTCTTCTTTTCGACTCTCCTTTTCTTGTACGAAGCTCTTCGATCTATGAAACCATCTATGAAGCCACCAGAATACAGTAGATCTCCGGGTCTTGGCAAAGCGGCCGCTATTCCTTAGATCGACGTCATGTGGGGACCTCTCAACTTCACATCGTTTTGCAAGCTTCCACGGCTGCACATCTGGTCTCACCTTTGGGAAATGGAGAGCTTTGACGATGTTCCTCTGATAGGACCCGTGACTCACGAAACGTCTTTTCACAACGATCACCTACCCATCTCATCCAACCCGTCAGATGGCCCGGCCAAATCGGAGCTTACGGCGACGCCAGCCTCCACCATAGCTTCTGGCAATATATCGTCATCGCGAATAGAGCGCACTGATGACCCAAGACTGAGAGCTGATTCTGATGTCACATCGGAGTTTCCACCTTACGCGCAACTTGGACCTCGCATCGGAGAGGACGAGGAAGGAGACGGCGAAGATGAAGAGCCGCGGGTGGCGACCTCATTCGAGCGAGAGGCCTCGACATCCATGGCACAGAAACACCGGTCTACATCGGACAACCCAGAAGACGAAGGTGTCAATCGTATGCATAAGTTCACACTCTATGAAACTGCCACGAGGTTTTACATGATTGGCATCAATCTTGCAGAAACTCGATTTCGAATCTTGAAGATTGATCGTACTTCGGAGTCTGGCGAGCTAGGTATTACCGAGGATGATGTGGTGTACAACAAGAGAGAGATGGCGCAGTTGTTGGATGCAATCGACGACGGAAACAAAAGCTCTGGCGGTCTGAATCAAAAATGCAGTGCCTGGGCATTGCTTGGCTTCATCAAATTGACTGGAGCTTACTACATGCTCTTAGTCACCAAGCGAAGTCAAGTCGCCATAATTGGTGGTCATAACGTTTATCAGATCGACGAAACAGAGCTGATTCCATTGACCATGTCGGAATCTTCACAATTCAAAGCTGAAAGCCATCCCGAAGAGGCGCGATACATTGCAATTCTGAACAACCTCGACTTATCGAAATCGTTCTACTTCAGCTACTCCTACGATATTACCCGCACACTCCAACACAACATTTGCCGAGAACGGAATCTTGATCAACAGGGACATCCACAGCCCTTTTCGCAAGACTACCATTCAATGTTCATTTGGAACCATCATCTTCTTACGCCAGCTTACGAAACTATCAAGAACCCTTACGAGTGGTGTCTTCCTATCATCCACGGATATGTGGATCAGTCCAAGATGAGCGTGTATGGCAGGTTGGTTTACATAACGATCATCGCCCGCCGATCTCGATTCTTCGCAGGCGCACGTTTCCTCAAGCGCGGTGCAAACGACTTGGGATATGTTGCCAACGATGTGGAGACCGAACAAATCATATGTGAACAAATCACGACCTCTTTCCACGCGGCAGGGCCAGCACTCCATGCGAACCCTCATTACACTTCTTTTGTTCAACATCGTGGCAGTATACCACTTCATTGGACCCAAGAGAGCACAGGCGTATCACCAAAGCCAGCGATCGAGCTCAATCTTGTCGATCCGTTCTACACGGCTGCGGCTTTGCATTTCGATAACCTCTTTGAAAGATATGGAGCCCCAGTCTATATCTTGAATCTTGTCAAATCCCGAGAACGAACCCCAAGAGAGTCAATACTTCTCAAAGAGTTCACGGATGCTGTGTCCTACTTGAATCAATTTCTTCCCGAGGACAAAAAACTCATTTATCAGGCATGGGATATGAGTCGTGCGTCAAAAAGTCGGGATCAGGACGTGATTGAAGTATTAGAAGACATCGCAGGCGATATCATCCCCAAGGTTGGATTCTTCAAGAACGGAGATGATCCAGAATCTGGATTGCGGATGCAGAACGGCGTCGCTAGAACCAACTGCATTGATTGTCTCGATCGAACAAATGCCGCACAGTTTGTCATTGGTAAGAGAGCACTCGGCTATCAGTTACACGCTCTCGGTATCATAGGTAAGACAACGGTGGAGTATGACAGTGATGCCGTCAATCTGTTCACGAACATGTGGCACGACCATGGAGACAGTATCGCCATCCAGTACGGAGGATCACACCTAGTCAACACTATGGCTACCTATCGCAAGATCAATCAATGGAGTAGCCAGTCTCGTGACATGGTGGAAAGCTTCAAACGATTCTACAACAACTCCTTCTTAGATGCACAACGCCAGGAGGCATACAACCTCTTCCTCGGGAACTACATCTTCTCCCAAGGCACTCCGATGCTCTGGGATCTTCCATCTGACTATTATTTGCACCATACCAACCCAAGATCGCACAGGGAAAAGAAGCGACCTAGCTACATCTCCTGGTTTACGCCAGAACATCTGAAAGAGCGAGAGATGCCTCCGCGCCCTTTCCACCCCAAAGAGCCACTCTCGCACTACGATGACTTCTGGCTAGAATATTACCGACCACTTGCTCTCTCATCACTTCAAAAGAATTTCTCATGGAAAATGAACTCAACGTCCCGCTATCTGCCCCCAGTTCGCCCTGGCCACCCGGTTCCTGACTTGAGTCCATTTGTCCCACGTATCCCTCCCGAGCAAACCCAGCGAGAGCGCGTACCCCAGCGCAGCGTCAAGATCCAAGAGCCATCTGTCAGTCGAAGCCGAGCCTCATCGAGCACAGTACCAACCGCACAGGTCGAGCAGACCTGGGCCCACCAGCCCCCATCCTCCTCGAAGAATCCTCCGGTCACTGGAATTATTAAAGAGCCAACTTTCGAATTCAGCCAGACAGCCAAGGTTCCACCCATTGATGCCCCCAGCACGCAATCAAACCCAAGCAAAGCCCAAATGACCCAGTGGACTCTTGGTCAACTTGTGAGCGACGCATTAAACCCGTCCGTGACCGAGGCCGAGCAAGAGGAATACAAGCGGTACATCAACCATCCGCTTCAACTTCCGCTCGTCGTCACGTCTGAGGACGAAATGACGGCAGCTTCATTGCAAGACAACGGGTATAATCTCGATTTCTTTGAATATGTGAATCGGTGCAATGTCGAGGAGTCGGCTCTCAAGGGGGTTGCAGAGGAAAGCTTGGCTGATTATGCCGAGTTTTTGAATATTTCGGAGGAGGGTCTCACTGTTTCGAGCGAGGATTATGAGAAAAAGAGGTATAAGCGATACCGCCAGTGGTTGCGCGGAAAGAGCCTCTTCAAACAGCGTGTTGACGTATGAAGTTAAGACGGATGGACATGTTCCGCATCATCTTTGATCGTTGATTGATTTCGCAATTTGAGCATTTATGCAGATCGTTGATATACCCTCAATGCATTTTTCTTTCTGTCATCTCATAAGATGGCCAGACCATACTCTTACCACTAAATAATACTGGCCAACAAAAAGCTCAATGTATACTGCGTAACGAAAATTCTTAAATTTCAGATTCTGAACACGAAGTTTTGAGCGTAGGTAAATATTTCAAAAGTCTTGAATCTAACAGCAATCCACCGATCGCCCAGTACACCCCGAACATGCATCCCCACCCCGCGGAGTAAATCTTGGGGGCCCCCACGCCGAACACTCCGCTCCGAACACTCCGGTTTGTCAATCCCATGGAGTATACACCCCTTGACTCATTGACATCCAATGATAAAAGACCCATCCAGATTCTCAACTTCTGCCAATTGAAGAATTTCTGCTCAAATCTCACACCATGAGCCAAACCAACATCCATATCCCAGGCCTCGCAGGCGCCAACGCCTTCACACGCACCCTCAACAAGGAAGACGTTGATATTTGCGTAAACGTCGAGCAAGCTTTCACAGAAGCCGAGCGATGCTCCAAGGAAAAGGTATAAAAAAGCCACACAATAACGATCTGAACCTAGATGTCGGGATCCTTGGCTGTATACTAATCCATTCCCAGTTCTGCTATCGTCTCGGCGCATGCCCAGAGCTGTGTTTAGGCCTCTTCATTGAGAATGAAGACGGAACACCTGCTACGCTCATTGGACATGTCATTGCTGTCAGATCACCCTACACGCGCGTGACAGACGGGTCCATGGACATGCCCAAGAACTGGCGCTCATTGCCTAATGATGAGCCGGTGTTTGTTGACGATGAGTTGATTGGGAATCACAAATATGGTGACTCAATTGCCATTCACTCTGTGGCTATCTCGCCCGATTTTCAGGGAAAGAGAGTTGGGAGGGCTCTTGTGAAGGCTTACACGGAACATCTTGAGACCGGGTGTTTTGGGGCGAGTAGGGCTGTGCTTATTGCGCATGATTATCTCGTGAACTTTTATGAGAGTGTTGGGTTTAAGAACCTGGGGCAAAGCAAGTCGAGTTTTGCGGGAGGCGTTTGGTTTGATATGGTAATGTTGCTTCTCTGACATGATTCATCCATTCGGTACTAATGCGTTGTATTTAGGCATATGATCTTTAAGCTGGCTTTTCGAGACTCCAGAAAGGAGCCGTGATGACAACAGAGACGTCACAATCAGGTATACCAACATAGAAGCAAAATAAATGGCAAATTCAAGAACAGAAGTCTTCGACTTGCTCCAGACCCAGTCCAGTCTGGCGCTTGTCAATACCTTTTCTAAATAGAAAAGCGAGACACCGGCTTTCGCTTGACGTAGATGACTACAGCCACGCCAGAAACGTGAGCTGATCACTAAACCCATCTGAGCACAGCTCACGTATCATTAGTCCGTCATCCCAATATCCAAAGCTGACATCAATTGAGCCCTTGATACCAGGGTCTTGCTCTATGCGGAGACGATGATCAGATCGGGGTTTCGTCATTGGAAGCAAAATTCAAGATCTTGCTTGTTAAAAAGCTTGGAAAGACTCATAGGCTTCGGGGGATTGGCAATTTCCTGCTCATAGAAGGGGCTACGGAGAGCTACACTTAGAACTTCAATTGGGTATATCGCAGGCCGATTGTCCAATGCCCCATGCAAGCCAATCATGGTTACAACAGAACCACAATATTAGCCTGACATAATTCCACATGCCAGTAGATGAACGTAGGGGGGGCGCATCAGGGCTCAACCTCTCAAACACCCTTCTCGTACCGGTTGATGATCTCCTGACCCTTCTTGGGGCCCTTGACAACATGCCGACTCGCCCAACTCAAGACCTGGCCCGTGGCAGGCTCGATCCGGAACGCATAAGCGGTGCGATACATATCGTTGATACAGAGGTGATTGCCTCTCGCATTAAGCACCGTAGTCTGATTCCCCGCGTCCGAAGTCAAGACAGGTGGTGGCACTGGCGGAGCCACGAACTCGCCGGGATCCTTCTGCGCGTCTGATTTCTCTTCGGGCACCAGTGTGTCAACGTCGAAGTCAAAGTCATGGAACAAATAATCGGCTTCATCGGGACTCGCAGCAACTTTCACGAACCACACGCTGATTCGGTCGCTGTCGTTGCCCAGTCGCCATATGTATTTCTTGGTCCAGCGGAGACCGGGTTGCATGGGGATGCCGATGTTGGCGGGCATTTCGCCCTCTTCGCAGTAGAGCCAGTCCCCCGCGGGGGAGGGCTGGGCGGTGAAGGTGGCTGTGCCGCGCAGCTCGCCATTGAGATCGAGGGGATTGTCGCTTCGGAGGGTGCGAGTCAGGGTCCAGCGGGTGCTACTTAAGGACGTGAGAAGGGTGGAGAGTAATTGACGGGACGGCATCTTGGGTGGTGTTTATGGGAGGGTTGAGTTGTAGTTGTCGTAGAGCTCACTAGACTTTAGGGCAACATTGCCGATGATCACCGCTCTCGGGTCTTGGCGTTCCCATTCGCACTTATATGGCATCAAAGCATGTTCTTCAAAGCCGTTTTGATGATCATAAAACCATCACCGAACAAAGATAGCTGTTTAATCCGCTATAGGCCGACTCAAGACGAATGAACGGGTCTGATTAACCGGCTACGGGATACCAGAACAAGAGAGACCGAACACCCCCTGATCTAGCTGACAGATGCGCTGAAGGAGAAATAACGAGAGTGAGATAAGGATAAATGCATAAGCTGTGGGCTACAGGCCCGGAAGCAAAATATGTGGAAGAACCTGCTGAAATCTTTACATCTACGAGGGGCTTCGGCTTGGTGGAAGTTGAGATGTTCTCTGACAAAGAATTTGAAAGAACAAGTCTAGTTGTGACCTTGATGGGGACATGGCCCAGGGTTCATTGACTCGATTTCCTTGTAAGACCACTCGCCATGCTCATGTTATTTTTGGCAACTGACTTCTTTCAAGTGACAAAGCGCTTCGAGTCGAGTTCATTGATACTAGCGGACCTTTGTCCTCGAAGTACTTGGTAGGGACTTGGATGGCCTTGTATCCTCGTTGTCTACTGCATTGGAACCAATGTTCTGTATTCAGTCAAAGAATCTTTGAAAGCTGGACATATTCGAAGAGCACTTTGCCTATTTAACCCCCCCGACCTTCCTTGAATCTTGGGATATCATCAACTACTCACCTCGAGATCAATCCAACAGTTTACTCGCACAAAGAAACTCGAAATTACAGATCTTTACACCGGCTTTTGAATCATCTTAACAATCCGTCAAAATGTCCAAACAAAATATCAAAAAGGAAGCCACTTTACGTAGAAAGCTTGGGGTCGAAGATGATGCAGACCTGGCGGCTCTTCTCAAGGTCATCCGGGCCATCTACGCCCCCGTTCACAACGATTATATTAGCGATGGAGGCAATTGGAAATGGATCTCCAATTCTCCAACGCATATGACTCCTCTGAGAAACGGACTCCGGGCAGCAATTCATCTCATGCCAGCGGCTGTTCGTAATCATTACACATCACAGGCAACGGGAGTTCTGAGGGATGCTCACCTCATGAGAGATATCATTCCTTTTCTTTGGTTTGTACGTCTTCAGGACCCCAGCTGGGCGGGGCCCATGTCACTGGATCCCAACGCCTACGATCCCATTGTCCCCATTGTATCTGAGAATCGGCCTGCTGCCCCTGCCTCTGCCCCTGCCCCAGCCCCAGCCCCAGTCCCGGCTCCAGCTCCTGCCCCGGCTCCAGCTCCAGCCCCGGCTCCAGCTCCAGCTCCGCTCGCTGCTCCAGTCGCTGCTCGAGCTCCAGTTCCACCTTCACTCGCTGCTCCACCCGGAGTTCGAGCCCCGGCCCCCTGCACCCCGTGATGGTACTGGGGCTCGCGCTTTAGGTCCCTTCGCAGGAATCACTGGGGAGCTTGCTCGTGCTCGTAGAGCAGAGCGGAAAGAAGAAGCGGCCGCGGCCGCGGCCGCGGCAGCGGGACGTAAGAGAAGCAGGGATGAAACCGAAGACAAAGAGGCCCCAGAACCGGCCGAGAAGAAACGAGCTGTAAGCGTGGAGAAGCCCCGCGTGGCTGGTAGAAGGGGCCCGCGGACGAAGACCCTCAGGGCGCGGGCCGTTTCTTCAAGCTCAGAGGAGCAGTCCACTACTGAGGAGCAGGCTGACCCAATGGAGACGTCCCCCGTGAATGGTAGAAGGGGTCCGCGGACGAAGACCGTCGGGGCGCGGACCCATTCTTCGAGTTCAGAGGAGGAGGCCACTGCTGAAGAGCAGGATTCAGAGCGGGATGAGCCAACGGAAACGTCCCCCGTGAATGGTAGAAGGGGTCCGCGTACGAAGACCGTCGGGGCGCGGACCCATTCTTCGAGTTCAGAGGAGTCCACAAGTTCAGAGGAGGAGTCCACTACTGACGAGTCTGAGTCGGAGCAGGCTGAGCCAATGGATATGGAGGATGGCGCTCAAGGGCTCGACGGGAATAATGATACCTCAATGCCAGATTATGAGGACGATGGGTCTGAGTCGACTACCAAACGGGGCTGGTTCTGGTAAGCTTTTTGTACATCCCCAACCACCTTCCTTGTACACGAGTTTTAAAAAAAACCAAAAACATCGGAAAAAAGAAAGAGAAAAAACAGAAAACAGAGGAAGGGAGATGGTGTCGTATGGAATCGGCGTTCTTGAGGGTTTCGGTTGCTAATTATAGTCTCTTTTGTCGGCGCATCACTGAATTTTATAGAATTTACGTTTCCACACATAAAGGTTTCTCGTGGTCACATTAGTTCCATTGCGTAGGTTCTTGCACGGCAGAATCTCGTAGAGATATTTTTTGGATATCTGAAAGTAGTCTCTGCGAATGATCTCCACATCTCCCTTTTACCCACAGAGGGTTTCGAGCCCAAACTTTGGAAAGCCAGACATGCAAACATGATTGAAAAGGGTAGCCTGTCGTACCTCAAAGGCCAGTGAAAAACTATATCGGAGGTAAAGCATGATCTGAAGCCAGTAGCGATGGATGGTCGGCCAGGTTTTCCCAGAAGACGGTTTCGAAATCGCAAAGATCTTGGCTGAAGAAGGTATCCCATTCACCATTGACTCCAGGATTTGAAGGTGGTTGAGCAGCAATTTGGGTACCTTCACGGTGGACTGAATCAAGGAATCTTTCAATGGTTTGCGTAGCTTTGGATACCAAAGCATAATTAGGGTCTCCGCGTCGAACAAGACTCCCAATCTGTACTTGCGCAACAAGAATACCGAGATTCAATAAAGTTTTTGATCGCGAAGCCCTGACCTCATTCAATGTATGCCTTTGCTTGAGCATTGACAAAAGAATAATCCCCACCGCAGGTAGACCGTAGTGTGCAATCTATCATATAATTAAGTCAAAGGTAGGTCATGCCAGGGAGAAACAGGAACATACCTTCCATACTAATGATGTCCCAGAGAAAACGAGACGGTCTCGCAAAAGAATGGATTCGATGACCAACCCCAACATCTGGTCGGAAACATCTATCATGGATGGATCCGGCTCAGTCAGAGAGTCGATGAATGATAGATGTAGTAAGAAGAGGACATGTAGCTGGTCCAGACGCATACTTGCGAGCATGTCACGCTTGAAAGCATCGCCAGAGCATTCCTTCAATGTAGATGACAATCGAAATTTCAAAGGAAGATTTGCCCACTGTATTTCAGCTTTCTCGCGAATGGCACTGAGTTTGACCAAAGGATCAGAAACCTACCCCACAAGAATTTCAAGAACGATGTGACTTACCTGGCCTTCTGATCAAAGTTTTCTTGCTGCCTATCGCGAAGTAATTCCAGAATATCTTCTTTTAGCGCTGAGCATAACGCAGCCCACCTGATACCAGCTCTGTAGCAGAAAGGGGTGTCCTCTTGCCATCTAGTGGTTCTGTCCCAGGCATTTGCCACAGAGCCAAGCTCGGCGTTAGGTGGATTTAATGGTATTTGGAAATGACAAAATCGTTTACTCATGCGGGGTGGTCGACCGAGGAAGATTGCCACATTCTTATCTGCAGAATAGGTAATAGCCCATGCTGCTTTCCTCAGTTCTGCTAGGAAGTTGGGGATCGGTGGTTTGCTTTTTTCGACATTCTCGTGGTAACCAAGGGCAAACATTGATGAAACAACATTGCCAAGTCTGCTCCATGAATGGAAGCCTGCAAATGTTGTTAGTCGATACCAAAAGGATCGGGACATGATTGAATCGTACTTTGATCCCCATCAACATGAGTGTGAATTATAAAGTTCTCATATTGTAAGACTAGTTGAATATCATTCAAGCAATCTAGCGAGAGAGCAATGTCTAACGCAAGATCACTTAGACTGGTCGAAAGCTTCCGAAGCATGAACTGGTCCTTTTCTGTCTTAAAGAGAGGCGGGAAGAAGGGTATGGCTATCGTAGCTCGACTGACGGCGCAGAGAAATATGCCGAGGCTTTCCCATCGGAAATTCTGATCAAGGAACTGAGCAGAGAAGTCTGATATATTGGTAGTTGTTCTGATTTCCAAGGGCGCTCGAGAGTTTTGTGTTAGTCGTTGCGCATACGCCAAGTGCCAATTGTCTTCCTGTGAGAACGAGGTGAACAGGTGAGTCATGTTTTCAGTGCACTTTTCGACAAATGGCTCTGCCAGCGACATGTTAGCGCCAGTCTCCAGCCAGAACATGACAAAGTCTTTCATGGCAGCCAAGGGGAATGTGTTCAGCAGTTGTCTGAGGACATCGGCGCCTTGGATCATCAGTAGATTCTCGCCGACGACCTGGGATTGTACTAATGTTGACATGTCTGGTTCTGCAGCATGCGTGTTATTAGAGGTATGGTATTCCTCTGGTGATATTTGATTGAAGATAGCGACATGGCTTGAAGATCCTAGAAACCCCGGGTTTGGGTAGGGATTCTTTCTTGGTGCGAATGATGGCGAGGCTTGTGCCGGCGATACCCGACTACCCGGACTGATGAGTACTTTGAATACGGATGAGAGGGTTTATAAGTACCTGGGAGAAGGTTGCACCGATGGGGTAGAGCTCTCTGCCCTCTTTCTCTTGAACGGCGTCGTTCGGTAAATACAGATCCCCGCTCTGTCATTACTTGCGCATCTTGTACATGCTGGTCGTTTGTGATCACAGGCGACTTTTGATTTTCTGCAGGCCTCACATGCTGCCAGTCTTGAAGCCATAGCGGTGTCTGCTGAGGGTGTTGGTTAGATCTCGGAGAGTCCGGAGCGGAGAACTGAGGTACTCGGCATCTTCGGAGTAACGCCGATTTGTGTTACACGCCTCGAGATGACTCTGATTTCCCGTGACATTGTTCTTTTGCTCTATTATGGACTATACTTGCTCATTCTGACTAACCTCATTGTGCATCCATGATATTGAGCCTCTTGTCATAAAGGCCCTATTCGTACGAGTCAAGACCTGCTTCCATTGTATGAGCTTTGTAGAGTCCGAAGTCCGAAATGAAATGGAAGTAGATTTACCCTTATCTCAAACAGTACTTTGCCGTTATTCTACAATTGCTTGATTTCCAATGTTAGTTCGGGGCCCCTATAACAAATGGCTTGTGGAGGTGATCTCCAATACCCCTTCAAGTACTCCGTACGGAGGACTCCGTAGTACTTGAAGTACCCGCCCCACGATAAGGTGCGTGTGCACAAAGCCGTCCCACCCAAACTCACCGATGGACTGCTTATATCCACACTATCACCACGTGAGGGAGTTTTCAGAAGCTCTCCCCCACTATTGTATACACATCCAATCTCCGCGGCCACCAGTCGGATACGCATCCTCAATCCACCCAGCGCCTAAACCTCCCAGTTTCGCGCTCCAACCTCCAAAATGTCACAAAGCGCCGGCTCAGACGGTGCGCCTCCGGGCCAGAGTACGTCCGCAACCTCCCAAGGCTAAGAAAGCCAGCGTCCAGACCATGATCCATCTCAAGAAGAATACCGACTAATCAATCACCGGAATCAGTCAACCTCGCCTCCCTTTCCGTCCCGCAGCTGCGCGCACTGCAAACCCGTCTCACCTCCGAATTGGAACACCTGACGACCTCACACACGAAGCTCCGCGCAGCCCAGGCCAAGTTCCGCGACTGTGTGCGCTCGATCACCGATGGTGTGACTGGTAATGAGAAGAAGGGGACCGATGGTCGTGATGAGATCCTGGTCCCCCTGACCAGCTCGCTATACGTGAAGGGACGCCTGACGGACCGGGAGAAGGTGCTTGTGGACGTCGGAACTGGTTTCTACGTTGAGAAGGTGCGGTTTGGTTCAATTGCTGGGTTTAGCTGCATGCTGACGGATACTATAGACTCCCTCCAAGGCGATCGCATTCTATGATGAGAAGGTCAAGGGCCTGGAGGAGAACTTGCAGGAATTGGAGAAGATTGTACAAACCAAGAGCACACAATTGCGCGTCGTGGAAGAAAGTGAGTCGAGAACACAGTTGGAATATCTGGCTGCAGGTGCCCTGTATTGCAGGGAATCGCTGACTGACAATTTTCTAGCATTGAGACAGAAGATGCTTGCCGGAGAGGGTGCCCCTCCTCAGGCGGCGGCTGCTGCAGGCTAAATCTAATATTAGCATCATGAACAGGTCTATAACTATGACACACAATAGAGCAATCAAAACTATACCACTTGAATGTTGTCGTTGTTGCTGGAATAACGAGGCTCGCTACAAAGATAGTGGCTTGCTTTCATCTATCACGCCCTAGTCTCTACCTATGGGCTTCAATTCCGGGATCTAGACGTGGCGCTACACACTACAGATGCCCAATACGCAAGGTTCTGTAGAGGTGACATGAAATTAGTGATTGAAGCCCTAGTATTTGGCAAAACGACCCATTCTCATCAACTTGCTTCCACGATCCTTCCATTCCCATTCTCTCGCGCTTCCTCACTTGACCCTGTCCCAGATAACACCATGAAACCCGCTGAGCAGATCAGAACAGTGTTCCGATATCCATGTCGAGGAATTCGCCCATATCAGGCTCGGGAGACCCCAGCATGCGTGCAAGGGTTTGAACTTTGCTCATGAATATCTTCAGTTGCTCAGTCTCATGATGCTTTCGAATTCGAATTTCTGCCTCGATTCTCCTGGCCTCGAGCTCGGCTTTCTTTTTCACTTCATCCTCGTCCTTCTGCTTGACTTCACCACTGGCCTTCTTGGCTTCGTCCTCGTCCCAGCTCGCCATGGCCTTGTCAATAACGTTCTGCGGGGCTGGGAAGAAAGTTGAGAGACCCCCAATGTGTGGAGTCTCACCACGTTCAATTTTGTCTGCCTGCTCGGTCAAGGTATGATCCCACTCGGGGTTGAAGATGGAACCTCCCCATGACACTTTCGCGTTGGTCCACTCTCGGTTCACATTTTTGTACAAATCGTATCGAGCCAGCTCGAAGACATAAGGAGTGTCAATGACGTTGAGCTCAATTGCTGACTTTTCAACAAATCGGGTCACCGGTACGCCGCGTGTAAATTGTGTTTTGCGTTTGGGGGCTGAGCCAATACTCGAGGCACTGGGGTTCCACGTGTATCTGATCGATTGCTTGAATTTTTCCAGATCGTTGTGAAACTCGTCACCTTGGTACAGAGTGAATGCCTTGACTTCGAATTGCCAGTCCGCCCTACAGTCGAAGAAAGTAAGCATTCGGTTAGATATTTTCAATCGCAATCCTCAAACCTTTCAAAGTCAATCATTGAAATCTGCATTGGCTTCATCAGGCCATCATGTGTGCCTTTCTTCTGCGGCTTGAAGATGCGAGCCCTGTTGGCCTCGAATTCGGAGATTCCAAGCGGCTGTGAGAAGGAAACCTCTACCCGGATGATAGCATCTCCTCCCACCTGGTAGTCGAAGCTGGCTGAATGCTTTGGCTTGATGGACATCAGAGATTCTAGAGGAATCCCTCCCCATGGTGCAAGCAAATCCTGTGCGTCTTTAATTCGTTTGAAGATGGTCTCCTGTGGCAAAGAAATTCTAAATCAAATGTCAGCAGCACAACACGGAAGTCAGCCGATATGATACATGATACATACCCTGGAAGTAGGCGTCCTTCCACATTCTTGAGTCTCAACATATCACGGAACTCTTCAAAGGTGTAAGTGTACCCAGTTTCTGGCTTTTTGTACTCGCCCAGGAAGAAAGAGCCAAATTTTGCTCGCATGTGGAGTTCACCACTCATGTTCAGCACCAACTCCAATGCCTTTTCCAGATTCGTTTGAATGACTTCCTTGTTGCCTTCCACGAAACCTTGCACCTTTGGGCCCCACGCAAGGGCTTGCTCTCGAGGCAATTTCTCTCCATTTAGAAACGCCTTCGAGTAGTCCCCTACCCTGTCCATGATGATACTCATCCGCATGATGCTTGCCGCAGGTGGCGCCACAAGGAAGAGCTTTATCTCGGTCTCGCACTGAAGATACAGGCCATGCCAAAGATCACGAAGCTTTTCAGCAACTTGATAAAGGCTCTCTTCGTTGGTCCCACCCAAGAAGATGTAATCATAATTGCCGGGGACTGTGTAGAGGTGCACATCATGCGACGCGCGCATATCGTCCAGCTGCTGACGGTGGGTTACCAGACAGTGACTGAGTGAGGGACCTTCCTCGGGCCATAAGAACAGATACTAGAATAGCAATTCATGTCAGCCTTCCATGGTCCCGTGAAGTAGGAACAATGGTGTTCCATACCATGCAATATGTTGGAATTGCTGGGGCCTTGCGGAGCCCTTGCATCTTGGCATGTTCGAATTCCTTGACCTTCTCACTCGCAACTTTAACATTTGAGTGAGCAGAGATCTTGGTCCATATCTTGGACTTGTCTGGCCGATTTGGTTGACTGGTTTCGTTCACATAATGCTGAGCCATTTTCTGAGCGGCCAATACTTGACTTTCTCTTCCCCAGATTTCGATGAGCTGGACAATGGTCAGCCTTGCCGGAACAGAAATTTATAATAGCAGTCAGTCACTGACTTTGGGATTTTTCACGCTGATTCTGACATATGCACCAGTTTCCTGCATGAGTTGGCGGAGAAAGTCGGCGTGGCTCAAGGCTCCTCCAGGTGCTTGTGCAATCCTATTTATTTTGGTTATTCAAGCAATCAGGCTTTAAGATCTAGTTGATTACCTGTTTTGAAACTCCTTGTATTCACAGGGGAGCCTGAAGATGGCTGGCTTGGTGTCAACGATGGAACATGCAACAATGGAATTCACATACCGTCAGCAGGACCACCCCTTCGCCATTTTGCTTTGGCAAAGTCGTCATTGCTCGAAATTTGTCCCCTGTTATGAAGACCTCGAGTAGCACTCTTCTGTGTGCGATTCTCTTGTGGCTTGCCTCGGAGTGGGAGATCTGATTTTCCCTTGGGTGTACCGTACTGGCCAACTTTGAACAGGGATTCCCCTTGACTAGAACCTTGAGCCCTGTTGGCTACGAGTTGCCGCAAGACCTCTCTTTTACCCGCCTGGGCTTCAGGGTCATCGAATGAGAGACTGGTCGCAGCATGCGCGGAGCCAAGAGAGAACGTCAATTCAGTGCTGGAACCCAGAGGATCTGGAACATAGCTTTGCTCTTCGAAGCGCTCGGAGTTGTAACGGTCATCTTCATCATCAGATTCTCCATATGCAGTGCGCAGATCGGCCTGGTCGAGGCTATGTGGTCGAGGAGGGCCATAGTCAGGAAGCGCCCACGCTATAGAAGTCAGCCAGTATTCATGCCGGAGACTGATGTCTCTTACATTCGGCGCCTTCTTTTTCCCATCTAGGAAGCAGGGCATAGATATTAGCAACGCATAATATAAGTGATTAGATGGACAGTCGTAGGGGCACTTACTCGACTTCCATGGTGACCTCGGGAGTGAGCTGTCCTGCCCTCGGTGCTGGTACTGATAGATGGATCACGACGAATTGAACTGATTGACCAGGATGTGACTAAGTGATAAGGATTTCCGTCAGGTTTGATGCTGAGAGTGAGCCTTGCTGGGGTTGAAGTATGAATGGCGCGGAAGTTTAGAATCAAAAGGAAAGGAAGTACCGATTTTCTGGACCCGCACGCAAATTGGCGGGGAGATTGGAAAGTGTTCAGGATGAAGCAAGTAGATGTACAAGGCAAGAAGAATCTCCCCGCAAGCAATGGTTGTTCCTTCCCTTTTGTCCACGCCTCTGTGCTGAGGTATAAGTAGTCCCAAACCAGGTTAATTGTGATGAGATACCCAACGAGATTTAATGTTAGTTGAGAGTACCAAACTACAGCCCTATGCGTGATCATTTATCTGAGCATAAGAGTGATTTTCTTAGGCCAAAGAGCATTGGGTGGTCCATGGTGGTCCAACACCACCACAAGCATTGGCATCTAAATTATTGACACGATGCCACTTGGTTCTGTTAGAACTACTGCAACAAAGCCAGGCTTGATCACCCGTGGACCTTTCAGAGCACCTGTTTGATTAATATGACACATAGAACCTCGGAAGGGGAAGGGGAAGGGGGTAATTGGGCGATAGTATCCGTGATATGGAGAAGAGGAAGGGACAACATTAAAGATTGTTGGCCTGATCAGAAGAGACATGCGTAGATATAATGTACCAAATAATTGCACTATAAGAGAAACCAAGCGCAAAAGAGATAGAATCTCCACTTCTTCGTTTAGATACTACTGTTACACTCTTGGGCCTGGATATGTGCATTCATAGATAAACCTAGTGATATACTTGTCTAAGTAGGTTTACGACTCTTGATTGACAAGAACCTACAGGCTACCTACAAAATGATCAGGCAGATGTTGAGTTTGCTCTTAAGCTTGATAATGCATAAAAATCTTTTACAATATCCTTGGTTTAATATCACCGACGGATTCCTACAGTTGGGTAAAATCACAATGATTGGACGGGGCATCCCCGGATAGCTCACAAGCTTTATACACACAGGGAAGCCAAGCAATGCTTTATAAAATACTACATGGATTTCCAATTGACAAAGCATCAACATTGTAAGGATATGAAGCAAGAAGCATACAGCGCACAGCATACTTCGTGAAGTTGCGAGGGAGAGATGTGATTGGTTGGACCTCCTTGCAGCGCTAAACCCAACAAGGATCAAAGTGGACAACGCGTCAACGCGATTTCTCCTTCTCCGTCGCACCTTCAAACAGTCCACCTTTGTTGCATTTCCAATGAGCGATAGCGATTCGAGCGACACCCCGCCACCTAGGCGCAATGCAAGTGCCCGTGCACAGCAATGGATGACCAAAGGTGCCCTAGTCCGTGACGATTCCGACGATGAACTTGGTGTTGAAGACCATCCGTGGGACTGGATTTACGACAAGCTCGAAGCGATTCAGGAAGAAGGCGCCGATGACACACCCAAAAAGAGTGGCCGGAGGCGATCCTCGCGGCCCGCTCGTCAGCAGCGTAAGATCATCGCCGCCAGGATGGGACAATTCGAATGCAAGCTTGGCGACGTGATTCTCTTGAAGTCTCCCGAGGCAGGCAAGGAATGGGTTGGCATTATATCGGAATTTGTGGAAGAGCAAGATGAGGACGACGAGGATGAAGTGATCAAATCAGCCAACATCATGTGGTTCGCATCGCCCGATGAATTCATAGGCACACGCAATAAACGCCGAACCGATGCTTTGCCCAACGAGCAATATATCACTATGGATTTCAATAGTAATCCATTGGCTTCGATATCAGGGAAAGGCATAGTCATGTCTCCCAGTGCCTTCCAAAAAAAATACCCCAACGGTCCTCCGAAAAGCAAGACTGAGCGAGCGGAATATAACAAGTGCATTGTGTGTCGGCGGGGCGTGAACCAGCTTCAAGGACGCTATACTGAAGAGTTTGTATGGGAGGAGCTATATGACAAAAACAACATCCACGAGCTCATTTCCTGGGTGCGAGAAAACTTGAAGACTTCTCGAAAACGCAGAGCCGCAGACGACGAAGTGAGTGGCAACCCATGATACAATTTCACCACAGAAGAAGCTGACACAGGAAATCTCACAGTTTGTCGATACGAAGGAGAAAGATACTGATGTGCCGACCACACCAAGAAAGAGGCAACGAATGACCGCCACGGGCGCTACACCCAAATCGCAACGCAAGAAGCCTATGACAACCCCGACTCACAAACGGTATGAACTGCCCAGGTTGCGCTTTATGTCAGAGCACTAACATTCTCCAGGATCGTGGTGAAAAAGCCACTCGAATTCACACCCTTGGGCACTCGCGTCCTCTCACCTACCCACTTCGATTCTCCCTACCGCCAAGCTCGCAACCTGCTACATGTTTCCACTGTTCCTGACGCGCTCCCATGTCGCAAAAACGAGTTCAACACGGTTTACAACCACCTCAGTGCCGCCATCATGGAAGGTACCGGAGCCTGTATCTACATCTCTGGTACTCCTGGCACTGGAAAGACCGCCACGGTGCGCGAGGTGGTAGCACAGTTGAACGCTGCAGTGCACGAAGAAGAGATGGACGACTTCGTCTTCGTCGAAATCAACGGCATGAAAGTCACAGACCCACATCAATCGTATTCTCTGTTATGGGAAGCCTTAAAAGGCGATCGAGTATCACCTTCTCATGCACTAGATCTGCTTGAGCGGGAATTTTCGCATCCCTCCCCTCGTCGTGTCTCCTGTGTTGTGCTCATGGATGAACTGGACCAGCTCGTCACCAAAAACCAGTCGGTTATGTACAATTTCTTCAACTGGCCTGCCCTCCGCCACTCCCGTCTCATTGTCTTGGCCGTTGCAAATACCATGGATCTGCCAGAGAGAACCCTGAGCAACAAGATCTCCAGTCGTTTGGGTCTCACCCGTATCACGTTCCCGGGTTACCGCCACACAGACCTGATGGAAATCATCAGTACCCGTCTAGCCAATGTCCCGGGCAACATCGTTGATCCAGACGCCGTCCAATTCGCCAGTCGAAAAGTTGCCGCTGTGAGTGGTGACGCTCGACGAGCCTTGGATATCTGCCGCCGAGCTGTTGAGATTGCTGAGCAGGCAGCAGAAGAGGCCGGCACTTTAGAAGACATCACGAACAATGAGACAGACTCGGTGCCTCCTACGCCCAGCAAAACACCCGCGCGCCGCAACAAGACAGGCACAGACAAGCCGACTGGTGAGTCGGCCATTGCCAAAGCTCCGGCAACTAAAGGTCAACCGGGACGTGTCACAATTGCCACGATCAAGCAAGCCATCCATGAAGCGACTTCCACCCCGCTTCAGCAATCCCTTCGCTGTCTTCCGCTATCAGCAAAACTGTTCCTCGCTGCTCTCCTTGCACGAGCTCAACGAACAGGAATTTCGGAATCCACGTTCGGTGATGTCCTCGACGAGGCCCGCCGCATCGGTGCTGCTGCTGTTGCCGTGGCTGGAGCAGCTGGCGCTGGGGTAAAAGACTTCCTGCTCGGCGGCGGCCCTAACGCGCGAGTGCGTTCCATGGGCCATGCCGCTATGTTGCTCATGAACTCAGGTGTCTTAGCCTTAGAACAAGGTACCGGGTCCAAGAGCGTGCTCGGTGGCACGACGATTCCCACTCGCGGTGACCGCAGTAGCAAAGTTCGGCTCAGAGTCGCCGCGGAAGACGTCAGATCTGCGTTCCGTGAGGATCTCGAAGCGAAAGGCTTCGGGCTGGGCATTGAGCAGTGATCGCAGCAGATCTTTTGTGTTTTGATACGATAGGCATTATTTGGAGTTTATTGGGTAGTACGCTATCGCATTGTACAAGTAGTTTGAATATGATACCCTTTGGTCACAGTTGCTTGTGTGTTGCGTCGTATGTGCCAACGTCTGTTCATCCTTCAACTTGATACATCGCAACCCGAGGCTACGTAGAGATAATGCTAAGACAAAGATTCCTCGAGAAATGTCGTCATATTTAACTTCGTCATTTTGATATCAAAGGATACTAAATGGTTTTATACGGGCAATTCTTGTGACAACAAAGGAATCATTGGCGGAATGGTCCATATAGTACAAAACTCGTCAAATTTTCTGAGCTGGTTGGATTCCAGACTCAGCGAAACCACGCCTAACTCCACACACATAATGCCGACAAACGGTGCAACGAGTAACAAAATAAGGGTATTAAGAATTGGAGACAAAGGTTAGACTGCTGGTCCTGTCCATCTAGTACCGTTGTCTGCCAAGGGTTGGAGCCCAGGTCAGAGGGTGGGTTTCAGGAGTAGCATCTTCGTCTTGCTTCCAAACCTTGATGGTCTTGTCAGCCTCACCGGTGATGAGACGGAGGCCAGTGCGGTCGAAGGTAGAGGTCATGATACCAGCCTCGGCCTCAAGCGAACCGGGTTGGGCGGTAGTCTCAACAGACTGGAAACGGTGACCGGTCTTCCAGTCCCAGAAAGACATAGAGCCGTTGTCACCACCGGAGAAAAGAACGTTCTCATCATTGACGGCAAGGGAGTTGATGACAGCGTTCTGGCCGTCGAAGTTCTGCATAAAGTCACCCTTGGGGCACATCCATTGCTTGATGCTGCCTGTACTGGCACTAGCAAAGGTGTACTCGGTTGGATGGATAGCAATGTTGCGAACACCCTTCTTGTGATGCGTCAACACACCCATACTCTTGCCAGCAGCAAGATCCCATAGCCGCACTGTGGAGTCCAGTGAGCCGGAAATGATCTGGGGGTCGGAATCTTGACACTTGATGTCGGCGACTGTGCCCTTGTGTCCACCGAGAACGTGGACGTTGCTTCGTGTCCGCATATCCCAGACTCGGCATACACCATCGCGACCACCCGTGACAAGTAGATCGAGGCGAGGGTGGAGAGCCAGTGTGTACACACCACTGAGATGGCCATGGTAGTGTCGAATAACCTTGTTGGTTTCCAGATCCCAGCACTTCACCATCTTATCTTCACCGCACGAGAAAAGGTATGGGTGCCGAGGCGAGACGGCCAGTCCGCGAACCGTGGAGATGTGACCAGTCAGGGTCAGACGCAGAGCACCAGTCGCAAGATTCCAGATCTTAATTGTACGATCTCCAGCACCACTGGCAAACCATTGGTTGTTAGGTTCCACTGCCAAAGCCCGCACCCATCCCAGATGTCCAGAGATAACGCGCATCAGCTTCCAAGGCGCGTGCCATTCCGGTTTCTGTTGCTGGGTAGCCGAGGGTCTCTGGATCAAGCTTGTGGGTTGGGTATCGGGGGCGGCTGCTCCAGCGCCGTTTCCAGAAGGACGTCTCACGAGCGACATGGATGCTCCACTGCCGTCGGCGGGTTTTTGTGCCTGAATCTTTGGTCGCTTTGTTCGTCCCGCTGTGGCCTTGGCCTGCTTCTCTGCAAGCGCGCGTGGTAGTTCCGTAACGTCTTCATATTCCGCTTTCCGTCGGTATGAGACACCGATCGAACCGTCCGTGAGAGTCGAGGGAGTAACCATCAGATATTCGGGACCGAAAAGCTCCGCGGTGCGCTTGGAGGATAGTCGCACCGCGTCATCGACGGAGCTGAATGAAGTTTGATCCATTGTGTGTGGAGGAGGTGAGGGCGAGGAGTGTGGAAGTGGTGGGCCGGAGTGCGAGTGCCAGAGCTTGCGGCTGCGAACAGTCGTGCGCGCGGTGAAAACCCTGTGGCGGGCTTATAGTTCTAATGAATTTGGTGAATTTAGTCAGTACATCGGCAGACTCGCGACAACTGATGAAGGTGTGGCAAAAGAGCTCTGGCAGCTGGTATGCAAGGCAGTGGATGGAGACTGAAGAAAGACGAGTCTTTGACTTGAATTGAATTCGTTCAGGTGCCTAAGGTGTCGATATTCTCTACGTTGGGAGTGATCTAATACGGTTTCTGTTCCACTTGAATCCGCATCCTCTGCACTTTGAACGAATCTCATCTAATCTATCCATCTTTGTTCACTTTATTTTCATCAACTTTCGCGTTGATCTGTAAAATATTCTCATCATCGCTGCAAATCTGATTACTCAGCGACAGTGGGCTCCAGGGCTTATCGCAGCTCTTATCGCAATATCACTCTACCTTCTTCGCCATCATGGACTCCAATCATAAATTCGCCCTGCATGAGGCTGCCCGTGAGGGTAGAGGTGGGTGCTTAGTCCTATATGTTGAATATGCACTGACCGATCTCCTCAGACCAAGTCGTCGAGTCGTTGCTCAATGTGAGTGCCTCTAATGTTTCGGCTGCCCCGCAAAAGCGACTCGCATGTCCATAAATGCAATCTATCAACAACCTGTATTGTTCTATACACATAAACTAACAGCTGACTCAGGCAAGCCCAAAATCTGCTCTAGTCAAAGATGACGACGAGCGCCTCCCAATTCACTGGGCCGCAGCTTACAATCGGTACCCGGTGGTGGAGCTACTAGTTGCCAGCAAGGATTTCGATCCGGATGTTGAGGTCTGTCCATTCCATATTTCTACTAGTTCTGGAATAGAGTCTTTATTATCTTCATCTGGTTGGATGGACTATCATTAACTCATTGTAGGATGGTTCGGGGTGGACCCCTCTCATGATTGCAGCCAGTCTAAAGGATTCTTCGGGCGACGCAATCATTGAGCTCCTGCTTCGAAAGGGAGCTGATGTCTCTGCCAAAAGTAGCTCTGGGCAGGTCGGTATCTCATGGGGCATCCGACTACTTCTAGTGCCAAACTGACCAATCGGCAGAATGCCCTTCACTTCGCAAGCTCAAAGAATAACATCTCCACCGTCCGGACTCTGATTGCCAACAAATGCAGTGCCAGAGTTAAGGATAAACGCGGCCAACTACCCTTGCACCGGGCAGCCGCTGTGGGATCTGTTCCCATCCTGAAAATGCTATTGGAAGAGGGCAAAAGCCCCGTCAACGCAACGGATGGCGACGGATATACAGCACTTCACCAAGCTATTGCTGAAGGGCATGGGCCTGCCGCAATTCAGCTCCTCAAGTCAGGAGCTGACCCACTAAAGAGAGACAGTGATGACAAACTGGCTATTGAGCTAGTCCCAGACGATAAGGTATATCTCTTTCCCGAGTCATGATGATCAGAACTAATCCTCCAATCAAAAGGTCAAGCAGTTCATACTTCAAACCGCTGAGCGAGAAGGCATCGAGCTTCCATAGTCAGAGCATTAACCCTATGGGTACACACATCTTTTTATTCAGCCTGCAGAAATTAGGGCTAACCTGTGTGGGAACAGCGCCTTGGTATGTGCGGTTCCCCGCACCACAGCTCCCTAGTGTTTCGGGATGCCCGATGATCCATACACTATTTCTAGCTCAATTATGAGCGCGAATGCCATTGTCAGCGAAATGAAACCCCCATGTAGCCTCGTAAATTTGGCGGAATGGATGCTACGAACATGTTGAAACAGGAACAACTCTAATGACTTGCTCTCAAAACACTGCATGCACTGTGACATGACTTGCATAAATTCGTGCCGAGTGACAGATAATGAGGGGCCTCGGTAAAAACAACTGCTACAGAAGTACGAATACCCGGTGGTCTTGAGACAAATCTCCGAGGATTTCGGATTCACCCTTCGCTTTCCATCGTTTGAAGGTGGACTTTCCCTTTGAAGTGTGTCAATATTCAACTCCAACCTGGAACATGTCTCGTTCACTGAGCACGCATGTCCCGGTGGGAAACAAAGACTTCACTAATGCAACCGTTGTCATCATCGGGGCCGGCATATCTGGTATGCTCAAGCCTCTCTCGAGCAATGCGGGTCGCTAATCCCTCCAGGTATATGCATGGCAATTGATTTGATCAAAAGAAACAACTGTCATAATTTTGTGATTTTAGAACGGAGCAGCAGCGTTGGTGGTACCTGGAATGACAACAAGTATCCTGGCAGCTGCTGTGATGGTAACACACTCTAGGCATGGCACCTAATATGGAAAGCTGATTGATCCTAGTCTGGAGCACGCTTTACAGTTATTCTTTTGAGCAGAACCCAAACTGGACTAGAGAGTATCCGGGGCAAGAAGAAATCCATGTGAGTGACACCGAGTTTTTAACTACTTCTATCATCACTCAACACTGACCATATGTCTGTTAGAAATATTTGGTTGGTATCGCAGAGAAGTGGGGACTTTACAAGCACATCCGATTCAACTCAACAGTAGAAGAGGCCCATTGGGATGACGAAGAAGCCAAATGGAGAATCAAGCTCTCTCTATCTGGGCAAAAAGATAGCGAGTTCTCGAGCGCCTATGTTATCAATTCCGATTTCCTTGTCTCCGCTGTCGGACAGCTAAACCTGCCCAGATATCCAAACATACCAGGGCTCGATGATTTCCAAGGAAAAACGATGCATTCCGCTCGATGGGATTGGACCTACGACCTCTCTGGAAAACGAATCGCCATCATCGGAAACGGTGCCACCGCCGCCCAAATTGTACCCGAGATCGCCCAGGTTGCTTCTCATCTGACTGTCTACCAACGAACACCGAACTGGGTCATACCTCGGAATGATGGACCGGTTTCCTCGTTCCAAAAGACCTTGTTCAATTGGCTGCCTCCACTTCTGTGGCGAAAGCGCGCTGCTCAAATGGATTTCCGTGAAAGCTTCTACGAAGCAGTGGCAGATAAAGACTCCGATTTTGCTCAGTGGATTCGAAGCGTGACCGCAAGTGCATTGAACGCCCATCTGCCTAACAACCCGGAGCTTAGGAATACCCTTACTCCCAAATACGCGCCTGGATGCAAGCGAGTTATCATCACCGATGATTACTATCCCGCTCTTGCTCGGGAGAATGTCAATTTGGAAACAAGAGAAATCACAAGCATCACCGAGGCTGGCATTGAAGTCGATGGGGAGGATGAGCAGGAATACGATCTCATTGTACTCGCTACCGGGTTCAAAACGGTGGAGTTTATGCATCCCATCAAGATCTTTGGCTCAAATGGCCGTTCTTTGGAAGATATTTGGAGCAATGGCGCAAGGGCGTATAATGGTGTGACTGTTGAGGACCTGCCAAACTTCGGGATGTTCTATGGGCCTAATACAAATCTCGGTGAGTTCTACCTTCTGTCTCAACCTCGATGCACAGATTCTAACAAGCTACAAGGACACAATTCAATCATCTTGATGATCGAAGCTCAGTCCCGGTATCTCAATGCACTCGTTGGTGAAGTGATCAAAGCTCGCCAGCGAGGCAAAACTCTGGCGCTCAAGCCTGGGCCTGAAGCCTTACAGGCTTTCAATGACAGGATCCAGTCTACCCTACAGACTACCAGCTTTGCGGATCCCAATTGCGCCAGTTGGTATAAGCGAGACGATGGCCTGATTACCAATAACTGGTGCGGGACTGCTGTGGACTACCAGATTGAGCTCTCCAAGGTCCACTGGCCAGACTATATTGCGGCGGGTACTGACGAGAGGCGAATGGTGGCGAAAGCTGATACCAAAATTGGCCGCGTGCATGAAGGATCCATACTAAGTGATAGATCTCTTCTGATGGGAGCTATCGGTGTTTTATCAGCGGCAGGCTATCTTGTCGCTCGGTCCAAGTTGTTCAAGGCGCATTGAGATATTTTGAGATGTTTGGGCTTTCTCTTTGGGTTCAATGTTTTGATACACAGCTGCACATGTGGGATTCAAAGTAGCTGTGTTATCACAGGTTGAAATTGAGAACATAGTGGTCCAGGTTGATTCGTCTCTTGATTATTTGACGATATCTGCTGAATATAATTCACAAAGATTGAACCTTGGAACATCTATGAATAGATCTTTTGCATACCCATGAATCAAACCGCTTTAGGCCCGGGGCCGGCTCGTCGAACATGATACGCTGGAACAATACGGAGTAGTGGATGGTATTCAGAATGATCATATCCAAAAGTCTTGGCCAAGCTCGGTTGGCATAGATATAGAGGAGATTATATACTAAAGTTTTTGCATTGCATATGTTCATGCATCCATGAATATTCACGGATAGGAGCGGTGAACTTTCAGCTCAGTTGATAGCGGTCAAGAGACCCAGAGCACCGCCCGCCAAGGGCAGCAAGCCTCTGATACCATTCAGCACCACCCAACGGTTGAGGAGCTGTTCATCGCTCTTCTCATCTGATTGGCTCGAAGAGGCAGCCTTCAAGTCATCTATGCGGGCAGCCCTGGCTGAAAGCCGATCATTGGTGGGGCTGATAAAGATAATCGTATAGGGAACAATTCCAAGAACCAGTGATGCAGCAGCGGTGTGCATAATCATCGGAGTACGTGAAATAGCGCGCGTACCGCTAGCAGACCATGCCAGGTATGCAAAAGCAGTGGAAGTAACAGCGGCCAGCTTCGGGCCGTAGGCGTGGCCATATTCATATAGTCGCCGCCACACTTTCAAGATTGCGTCAGAAGATACATCATCCTCAGATTTGGCTAGAAGCATTGCCGGCAATGCGACTAAGCTGTAGGCGGAAATCTTTCCTGTAGGAGTCATTAATATGGTGATTTCCATCTTGGCGGGCTCACAAGATGAGGATAAGATAGCTCAGTGTGAGTCGGCATAGACCCGGGTATTGAGAAGACTTACCAGACAGCCAGAAGGCGCCGCCTATGGCAGTGATTTTTGCCAGTCCGTCGGAGGATATCATGGTGGTGAAATTCTGGCTTGAGGAAACATAGCCATTGTTTACAGGGGTCGGGGGATGGGCCCGGCACGGGCCCCGGGGGTCCACCGAGCTTACTAAGTTCGACATGCGCGGGCCCGAAGATAGGCCGGGAGATCACTCGTGCGCCCGACGTTGAGTATACTTGCGCATTTTTATACAATTTAATTTGGAGAAGAGAGCTGTGCAGGACTTATCCATTCTAAAATGTAACAGCTCGAGTGAATTGAGTTAAATTATTTGTTCATGGAAAATTACGGAGTACTGTGAGATACTTACTCCGCTATACGGAGTACACGGCTATCATATCCACTAAGAGGATTCGTTCTTTTCTACTTTCTTTCCCTCCCGCTGATTTTTCCACTCTTCCACGAAGCAAATCCTCGGAGAGCAATATGAACGAATATGGCAATGTACTCGCTTTTGCAAATTATATGGGAGCGCCGAACCGCTCGCTTCCTGAGCTCCAAGAAGTCGAATCATTGAGTCCTCGGGTTCTACGGGTTTTGGGCGGAAATCCGGGGGTTGTAAGTTGATTTCGTCAATACACCGCTGTATGCATAACTAACCCATGCTGCAGATGCATCTGCAAGGGACTAATACGTATATCCTCGGGGACGGTCCGCAACGTCTGTTAATTGACAGCGGACAGGGCTGCATATCCTGGTCCAAATTGATAGCGTCTCTAACGCGACAGCATAGCTTCAATATCTGCAAAGTCCTGTTAACCCATTGGCACTTGGATCACACCGGTGGCGTTCCAGACATCCTTCGAATGAACCCACAATTAAAGGACTCCATTTACAAGAACAATCCGGACAGCAACCAACAGCCAATTCACGATGGACAAGTCTTTAAAGTTGAGGGAGCCACGGTTCGTGCCGTGTTTACGCCTGGTCATTCAAACGACCACATGTGTTTTTTTCTGGAAGAAGAGAATGCCCTGTTCACGGGTGACACGATACTAGGACACGGCACGACCGTCGTGGAGGATTTATGGGAATATATGCACAGCCTGCTAAAAATGGAGAAGATAATGTCTCGTGTTGGATATCCAGGCCATGGGGCCTCTATACCCAATCTGCAGCTGAAGCTTCAGCAAGAGATCCAGCAACGAAAACGCCGCGAACGAAAAGTCCTCGGTTTGCTGGAAACCGTTGGATCAAGAAAAGGGGAGAAAGGTTCGGCGACCGAGACAGAGATCGTTGCAGCTATTTTTGGCGCTAAATTGCCCACAACGGTCTTGGACCACCTGAGGCCACAAATGAGGGAGATTCTTATGAAGATGGCACGGGAGAAGCGAATGGGATTTCGATTGAGAGGTGGAGAGAAGCATTGGTTTGCCTATTCAACCCCTTCTACTTCTACTTTACCTTCTGTATCTACCGAGTCGTTCAATTCTGCACAAATTTAGCCCCCACATCTAAACAAAGGGGCGTCGTCTGCAAAAATGTCACACTAAACTATTTTGATAAGCGCCACATTCTGACGGCATGACGATAGATCCTTTTGGTATAAATCGGTCATAAAACTTGGCGTTTCAGAGAAGTCCAAATTCAACCTGATAGTCATTGAATCTTGGAACGACCGAATGTTGCTCAACTCCACAGATCCTCAGCCCGCCGGGGATGCCCACAATTTGGGCTCTTTTGACATGCGGAGTCCCAGCCAATTCAATATATTTTGTTTCGCCCACGGGCTCCCGGAAAACTTTCGCGCGGTGTTCCGTCAAATCCGGGCTCGAAGCAAGTTCCGCGATCATTCACTTCTAAGGGATTTTATTTCTCACACAACAATTATTCTGCGTGAAGAAATCCGTCAATTGCCAGAAGAGCTACGGAGCCAGCTACCTCCATTCGACAATGCATTAGATTTGGCTGAGTGGCAGGATTGGCAACGGGGACCTTTAGCAGGTGCGCTGGGAGGGATATTACGATGTTTGTTGCATCTCACAACTTTTATTGGGTAAGATTTCCTTTGCATACACTCGCGGTGACTCTCTGACCAGAGCAGATACTATGAGCAAAAGCCAGAAACTTTTACTTCCTCCAAATCCACAATATGCGTCTCTGCCCTCGGCGTGAGTCTGCTAGCCGGAGCGGCGGTCGCTGTCTCGCCGACTCTAGCGGATCTTCCCAAGGTTGGTGCCGAGGCAATCCGGGTTGCTCTACGTATGGGGGTATTGGCTGGGCAAAGGTCTCGGTGTATTGAATCTCAGGACCTATCGAATGCGCCTGAAAGCTGGGCTGCCGCGGTCAAAGAGCTCGATGAAGATTCCGTCCGAAAAGAACTTGAGAGTTTTAATATATCGACGGTGAGATAGCAGTCACAGATTCATCGAGGTGGTAACTAATCGAGGCCAGCATAATCCGCTTCCTAGCCACGTTTTTGTCAGCGCGGTCAGCGACGACACCATCACCATCAGTGGTCCTCCTTCAAAATTGAAGAAGCTCTTCAGGGTTTCTGAACGTCTTCGATCAACACGCTACGTTTACTTGCCCATTTACGGAGGCCTCAGCCATGCACCACATATCTTCAACTCCAGTCATGTTGCCTCCATCATGAAAACTGCAAATGGAGCGGTGATGGAACGAGTGATGGTCAGCTCCCCTTTGATCTCAAACGCAAACAGTCTCCCGATTCAAGCAACAACTCCTCGTGGTCTATTTTCAGCAGTTGTCCATGAGCTTCTCACGTGTCCCACTCGGACAAAAATGGCAAGAGAAGGGGCCCTCAATGTGATCAAAACCGCTGGGGGAAGGTGCTCTGTGTTTGCCCCCGGGTCATGTAGTTTGGCTACAGAGATTGTTTCCCATGGAAGCAGAAGAGGTTCTGAATGCGACTTCCAGATTCTCGATTTGATGGGCTGGATTGACCAGGATTCGACTGATCCTGCCCCCCTCAGACACGAAGACTCCAAAATCGCCATTGTGGGAATGTCATGTCGAATGCCCGGTGGTGCAAACGACTTGAATTTGTTTTGGGACTTGCTGAAAGAAGGGCGTGATGTACACCAAAAGGTACCGGCCGACAGATTTGATGTGGATAGTCATACCGACCCGTCTGGGAAGACCCGAAACACCAGCCTCACGCCATTCGGCTGTTTTATTGACCAGCCCGGGCTCTTCGATGCCGGATTTTTCGATATGTCACCCAGAGAAGCAGCCCAAACTGATCCAATGCATCGCCTTGCGCTGGTGACGGCATACGAAGCCCTTGAGCAGTCCGGATTTGTGCCAGATCGCACAGAATCTACCGATAGGACAGGTATCTCGACATTCTACGGCCAATCGAGCGATGATTATCGTGAAGTCAACGCCGGTCAGACAGTTGACACCTACTTTATTCCTGGAGGCTGTCGGGCGTTTGCGCCAGGACGTATAAACTACTTTTTCAAATTCAGTGGACCAAGTTTCAACTGCGATACTGCCTGTTCTTCCAGTTTAGCGACGATCCAGATTGCTTGCACATCCCTGCTACATGGAGACAGCAATATGGTAGTTGCGGGAGGTCTCAATATTCTCACTAACAGTGATGGCTTTGCGGGACTGAGCCGAGGCCATTTTCTCTCGAAGACAGGGGGCTGCAAAACATTCGATGCTACCGCGGACGGATATTGCCGAGCAGATGGAATTGGATCTATCGTTTTGAAGCGATTGGATGATGCAGAAAGAGACAACGACAATATTCTGGGTGTCATCATGAGTTCTGCGACCAATCATTCTGCCGATGCCATTTCCATAACCCACCCACATGCTCCGACACAGGCCGATCTATATCGCCGAGTCATGAGAAATGCTGGCATTGATCCCCTTGATGTGGACTTGGTTGAAATGCATGGTACTGGTACACAGGCAGGTGACGCAACTGAGATCGAGTCGGTGACCTCGGTCTTTAGTCCTGCGGCTCCAAACCGCACAAGGACACAACCGTTGCACATTGGGTCAGTTAAAGCCAATGTAGGACACGGAGAGGCCGCTGCTGGTATCATGGCCCTAATAAAAGTTCTGCTGAGCCTGCAGAAAGGTATGATCCCAAGACATGTGGGAATCAAGACTGTACTGAACCCTGCATTCCCGGATCTGGGTCGTCTCAACGTCCGAATACCCCAGGAACAAGTCTCATGGCCTCGAAGCTCGACAAGAAAGCGCTATGTAGTTGTCAACAATTTTAGTGCTGCTGGCGGTAACACCACTCTCTTGCTTGAAGAGCCCCCAGCGCGCCATGAACCCGAGAAGGACATTCGAACGGCATTCACAGTGACGATTTCCGCCAAAAGCAAGATCTCACTGAAGAAAAACTTGGAAGCGCTCTTAGTATTTATCAAGGGCATGTCGACAGACGATCTTCCGCATCTTTCATATACCACAACAGCTCGCCGTATGCATCACAACCATCGCATTGCTGTGCATGGGAATTCAACAGATACAATCGCTCGGCAACTTGAGAAGCACTTGGTCACAGCGGAATCACACCGACCCATCAGCAGTACGATACCTTCCACTGCCTTCGTGTTTTCCGGCCAAGGGAGCTTCTACATGGGCATTGGACACCAACTCTATGGGTCCCATTCGACATTCCGAAGACAGCTAAATCAGCTTAACGATATTTGTTTGAGTCATGGGTTCCCATCTTTCCTTGAGGCCATACAGCTGCCTGTTGAGCGACAGTCCGCTCCCGAGCCGATGCCTATCGTTGTGCATTTGGCAATCGTCTGTACAAGTATCGCATTGTGCGAATTTTGGGAAAGTCTCGGAGTAAAGCCATGTGTCACTATTGGAGCAAGCCTTGGAGAGTTTGCCGCTCTCTACGCCGCGGGTGTCCTCTCTGCAAGCGACGCCATTTACCTGGTTGGACACCGAGCACTTTTGATGCAAGAAATGTGTACGCCAAATACCCATGCTATGCTGGCAGTGCGTGCGACAGTGGGGCAAATCCAAGACGCACTGATTGGACAGTCTTATGAAGTTGCTTGTATCAACGGCCCAAACGATATCACTTTGACCAGCTCGCTTGAGGGGATCAGTAGCGCGAGGTTCAAGATCGAGGCTCTTGGATACCGATGCACACAACTCACTGTCCCATATGCATTCCACTCTGCTCAAATGGGTCCTATCCTCGACCGATATGAGGAACTATGCAGTGGAGTGACTTTCAAAGAGCCTCAAATTCCAGTGATCTCTCCACTCTTGGGCGACTGCGTCTTTGACGCTCATACCATCAATGCAACTTACATGCGTAATGCAACGCGTTGCCCCGTTAAGTTTACGGAAGCACTGAAGACTGCCGTTGAGATGGAACTGGTGGATGCAAAGACTGTCTGGGTAGAAGTGGGACCCCATTCCTCATATGGTCCCTTTGTTCGCAATGCGATGCCCTGGGATACAATGATGGTGTCAAGCCTCAGGCGCGACGAAGAAAATTGGCACACATTTTCCCGAAGCATGGCAGACTTGCACAATCTTGGATTCAATATCAACTGGCAGACATGGCATGCGCCGTTCGAGTCTCAACTGCGGTTATTGGATCTTCCAGCATATCAGTGGAACGCCAAGAACTACTGGATTCAATACAACGGAGACTGGATGCTGACCAAAGACGCAAAACCATTGGGAGAGCGCCCCCAGGAAGCTGCATCCACATTACAGACTGCCTTCATCCACAAGGTTATCAAGGAAACGATTGACAAGGATGGTGGTGAAGTCATCGTTCAATCTGATATATTGCGAGCAGATTTCCGAGATGGAATGGGTGGCCATGAAATGAATGGATGTGCAGTGGTAACATCAGTAAGTTAAAGTCTGTTCTTGGATTTCACGTTCTATTGAAACTAACCACAGTCCGTCTCGCAGTCTATTCATGCAGACATTGCATTCACCTTGTCCAAGTACCTTCACATCCGAATCAAACCCCAGTCTGCCACCCCTGCCACCAATTTGAAGAACATGCAAGTGAAGCAGGGTCTTATCACACGAGAGGACCGCTCTCGGCCCCAGTGGATCCAAGTACGTGCCGTGGCAGATTGTGCCACCGACTCTGTCCAGCTTTTCTGGTACACTGTAGATGACCAAGGAGAGAGGGCCTCAGACTATTTTGCAACACTCACAGCTGAATGGGGTGATTCCGAGACTTGGATCGACGAATGGTCGTCCACCTCACATTTGGTCGCCAGTCGAATCGAGGTTTTGCAAAGTCTAGCCACACAAGGAACAGCCAGCCGCCTTAATCGAGATATGGTATATATGCTCTTTGGAAGTCTTGTGGATTACTCAGACAAATATCGAGGTATGAAAACCGTCATCCTGAACGGCCTGGAAGCAGCTGCAGAAGTGATACTTGCCCCGGACGAGTCATCGGGCAAGTGGACAGTGGCGCCATACCATATAGAGAGCATCGTTCATCTTGCGGGATTCATTTTAAATTGCGGAAACGCAGTTGATCATCGCAAGAATTTCTTTGTCACACCCGGGTGGAAATCCATGCGTTTCGCGCGCCCGTTGGTTTCCGGTCGTCCGTATATGTGTTATGTGAAGATGACGCCCGTACCCAAACAGTCGGGATTCTATGCAGGAGATGTCTTTATTCTGCAAGATGATGAGATTGTTGGATTGGTTGGGGGTGTCACATTCCGCACATTCCCGCGCTCTCTTCTGGGTCAATTTTTCAGTTCGCCTGATAAGAACAGTGCTGCCGAGCCTGCTCATGTTACCAGACAGCCTCCTGCATATACCCCGGAAGCCCATGAGGTCTCAACGCCGTCCAGCGGAGCAAGCTCATCGGAAAGCATAAGTCGGGCTGCCAGTCCAGCCAAAGATGCGAGCCCAATGGTTTGCAAAGATGAGCAAATATCCACCAGACCACCCGTGGGAGAGAATCCCATCATTGGGCAAGCCATGTATTTGATTAGCAAAGAAACTGAGATCGATCTTGAGGAACTCTTGGACGAAACCGAGTTCTCATGTATTGGCATCGACTCGTTGATGTCTCTCGTGTTGGTGCAAAGATTTGCGACGGAGCTGCAGTTGGAATTGCGCAGCTCGTTGTTCTTTGACTGTCCCACCATTGGGGATTTCAAAGCGTGGTTAAAGGATTACTGTTGATCTGACGGAATGATTCTCTCTCACACATCAGGGGGATTGAAGAAACCATATCATATAGAGAATCTTGCAAAGATTTCCCAACGTGGTTTCAAAAGGGAACTCCCCAGTGTTTATGATATCATGGGGTCGATATAGACTGTATCCGAACGGAGTATCTTGACAATTGATTGCTTCAAAATGGGGTATATCAATAAAAAATGGGTCAAGTAGGTTCTTCGTAGCTTCATGTCGCACAGGCATCCACAGACCTGAGCGAATGGATGAGAACGGCGGCGCTGTGGGCCTGGGTCATCATTTCAACATAGGCCTCTGTTGCTTGGACTTCCCTCTCATGAGTGGGTCTGATTCTCTCACTTTTCCCGCAAGCGTTTCGAAGTCAGATTCAAGATTTCCACCACTCACGAGGTTGTTTTTCCATAGTGACCACTGGAGCCCATCCAGACCGTGCAGTAGAGCAGTGCAGAGTATAGGCTGAGTTTGTTGAAACATATCATCTCGATCCATGCAAACTTGTCGCCAGGCATCACTCAAAGCTGAAGTGTACTCCAGTGCTGAGGAGAACTGGCTGATCTTCTTTTCTTTCATGAGACTCCAACCCTCTAAAGACAGCTCGAAGGGCGACAGCTGATATGTTTTTCGAAGCTTGTCCCAAAATTCATATGGACATCTCGATTGCCAAAGAAGTGCGCGATTAGATTCAGTCACGTTTATCCCAAGGAGATGCCTGGCGATCGCTTCCACGCGGAGAAAATCATCCCGCAAGGGGGAGCCTGGGGGCTGGCTAATCAGCTTGCCCTCTATAACCTCCATCACTCCGTTGGCAATGAACACATCTTTCATTTCGCTAGCCCAGCGGCGATAGTCGTATCGCCCCGCCAAAGGGCCTCCAGCACATTTGGCGGACCTAGGTTCGGAGTCATTGCCATAGGTGTCCCGCCACTCCTCGAGAAATCGGATAGTGTCGAGTAAGCGTTTGTCTTCTTCTATTTTTTCGGTATCCTGGTCTTTCGGTCGATTTAATGACGGCTCTGCGGAGGAATCACTGGGCGATCTGAGCTGCGGTTCGGTGGGGTCTCCACAATGTCTTTTGGAAGCTGTTCTTGCCGATTCTTCGACGGGATCGTACGGTCGCTTAGCTGTGGTCAGTGCTGGAGCCATATTGATCTCTGTAGCTCGGAACTTGTCGAGCTAGGCCTCTCGAGACTGTCGTAAACACCGCATCGTCGGAGCGTCAGCACAGATCGGGGCAGAATGAAAGGCGGTCAGGGGATCGGCATGTCAACCATGGAAATGCGCTGAGGAATGTATGCACTTTAACTTGACATTCTTGGAACCCCCCAGCCTTCATTTGCAATTTATTGATGGCATATATGAAACCTGAAGGTATCCCCTGAAAATGTGTTCCATTTTGAACTCTTCACAAGCTGCTGAGCCCCAGATCACTTGGACTCCGACAACATCAACTTTATCTGGCTAGTTCAACTATACACGATATATTTGTTTGCCATAACTGCGGTCACCCTCGACTCGCCTTGATGCCTTATCGCGCTCCGCTGAGAATCAAAACCATGGGCGCTCCCACAGTGTTGGAGAAGCGTCCCCTCTCCCCCAGCCCCGGACACCCTTGGGAGAGGACCCAGCAAGCTCTCCCGCAAAGAGGCGCCGGGTAAATATGGCTGATAAGCAGTTCGCCGAAGCGACTGAATATCCCACATCTCCAGCCATCCCAGACCCTAATGCCCGAAAGCTGGCTGAGACCGTCGCCTTCGTGGAGCGAGCCTTCAGTTCATGGCAGGCGTTTGGAGATGATAGGTCGCTTATAGAATGCAACTGCGCGCCTTTACGTGGCCGCTCCGACTACCGCATCTGGAGTCGCAGAATCAAAGTCGTGCTAAGGCGCAACTTCGTTCTCGACATTGTGGAGGGCAAAGTCGGACAGCTTCCTCACTCGCATCCTCTGGATAGTGATCTCGAGAAGCTGAACGCCACCGCTGCCCTGATCATCACTAGAAACTTGTCTCCAATTACCAAGCCCATTGTGCGCACTCTTACAGACCCCCGGGAGATGTGGGAGAAGCTTGAGAGACACTGCAAGCCATCTGACTGGACCTTGGCGCAAACGGGCTGGCTTAATCTGCAGAGGGTTAAGTACAGTCGATGCTCCAACGTGAGAGAGTATGTGGATCGAGTAGACGACGCATGGCGGTCTATCTGTCTTGATAAAGATGATGCTCTCGAGAAGCATGAGCTGGCACGCTGTGCTAGTCTTGTCTTTTCCTTGGATACGCCTAAGTGGGAGAGTTGGAAGATGAGCGTGCTTTCGGGCCGTCAAACCAACATACCCAGCTGGGCGAGTCTGGTGGATAAGTTGTTGGCAGCAGAGTGATTATACCAAGCGGACTTCCTTCATGTTATTTGGCGTTTTATGTGTTACCCTTGTATTAGCCCTGCGATCTACTTTCACTGGCGGCAACGTGCTGTGCTATTATATTTCGCTGGCCGAAAAGCCAGTCCTATTCCTACAGTTTGATTGGAACTTTTTGCTTTTTAGTTTATTGAAATAATAACCACATACAAACTTGGAACTCTGTCCATTCTACAATAGGAGCCAACCCTTGGAAACTCACAGGTATCAAGAGGACCCTTATTCACAGTGGACCAGTTAACGGTCGCCTGATAACGTAATTAAGTTGGCAGATATTTGAAACTTCCACTGTCCCAGGTAGAACCTCGGAAATCCATTATCCATCCTCCTCTACGTGCCTTCGGTGTCTCTGCTAATGCACGCCAAGCCCGGCCTACCTCGGGCCTACCTTAGACTATACCATTCTAAACCACCGGTAGATCTGACCTGCATAGACCACTGACTTTAGGATTTATTGACTTAAACTCACTGAAAGCTTGCTTTTCATTAAGTTCTTCGTGAAACTCAATGCCCCTCGGCAAAGTGATGGTATCTAAAATGATGATCAACGCCTTTGAGTCTCTAAACAGAAACGGTTGACGATCTTTTCGACACTAGTACAACAAAACGGCACGGGGCAAAACAGAAACCCGGGCAGGGTGGAAAATCTTATCTGATCGCTGATCAGCATAAGACAAGCTTTTCGGTGGGCCGGGCGTCTGACGGGTGGCGATGTCTTTACACGGCTCGGGCATTTGGCACGCGAATGACATGATCTATTTCCGAGTACGCTAAGTAGACAAATGGATATTCTTGGGAATCTTTCATTTGCACTGTTTGCTAGGCCAATACTTCTGAGATCTAATTCAAATATAACAAAAATGAATCCGAAACGCCGTAATCAATGTGAGGTCCCCTTAATCAAGCTCACTCACGGACGCGCCAAGAGCGGGAACAACCTCGATGATCGACTCCATTCCTGGACTCGAGTTCCAGATTCCGCTGATCATCAGCCCAACACTAGCCAAAAGCTCAGTCCACTGACGCTTCGATCTCTCCACTCCCGCACCAATGCTCATCATTTGGATATCCATTGCAGACTGCATTCGTCCCGCATTGGTGTCAGGGAGAACAAAGTCCACAATGATGATGCGCGAGTACGTGGGGTCCATAGCTGCAGCTGTGTTCAAGAGAATCTTCTGGCAAATGTGGTCTGGCCAGTCGTGGAAAATAGCCCGGAAGTAATATGCGCGTGCATCTATTGAAACACCGTTAGCGTTATCCAGCCAGCCGTTGTATTATTATACTGTGGCCACGTAGGGGATTTGGGAACAAGCTCACTTTTCACGGGCTGTGGGTCCAGAAAACTGTATCCCATTGTCTCAATTCCAGTTCGGTCAACTGTTGAAACAATCTTAGGCAGATCCTGTAGGATAAGTCGGCCCGGCTTCGGTCTGTACTCGGAGACAAACTTCCCGAGATCATGACCTTGGTTCCCGCCAATGTCAACCAGGAATACAGCTTCCGGGTGGGCACTTGCCCCGTCTGTTAGTCTGTCCAGGGGGTAGACGTCAAACCAATTGGGTTTTCCTTCTCGTCGACTGGACATGTATGAGTTGAAGAGAGCTTGGTGGCGTTTATTCTTGGCAAGCCACTCAAACTGGCTCTGTCCAACGGCCCATTGCATGGGAGATGAGGCATATTCTTCGGGGTTGCTATAGCTGTGCTCTCGGAGGTACTCTGGGAGCTTGCTGAGAGTGTGGGAACGGTGAGGTCGTAACTGGAGGTGTCAGTTCTATTTTCGGGAATGAAGCGGAGTTGAGTCTAGAACTCACATGCAAGGGACTCCATCTTGGCCTATGGGCTGCGTCATTGTGATAGTCTTCTCATTGGGTCGGTAGACTTCTGGCTCGATGTTTGTGCATAGACCGAGGGCGCTCATCACTCTCATCAGGCGAACTTTGGACTTGTATCAGAAGGCTGCTGTTTTGATTTTGATGTTCACTTACCGATCAATGCTCTGTCTGCTCCAGTACAGAGAGCTATATCCGTCGCAGTAAGGCCATTCTTCTGGCCGTCTCTGATCAAGAGTGGGAAGATCCCCATATCTACAACGGTGCGCAGAGCAGCATTTTCTGGGGGCTAGAACAAGAGTCAATATGAGGAACTTTGGGGAAATGGCAGGCGCCAAATAACTCACCTGGTAGATCAAACGGAGAACGGTCTCGGTGGGGGTCTCGATGGCCAATTTCAACTCATCGGCGAGTTGAAGAAGCCGAGCATGTTGGTGGCCAGGAGAGACAGCCTCACCAGAGATCTCCTGTCTAATTTGGTCGGTCAACGACAGAATGATTGAGTCGGTCATCATGAGATGTGTGCGAGTCGAGATATGTTGGCTAGGAAGATAGACAAAGCAAAAGGAAGTGGCCAGCCTCTACTTATACCTGAACGTAGTGGCCCGTCCCTGCTTGGATGTGGTCACATCCGGAACAGGTGTGGATAGAGCTCGAATCGTTTAATTGACTCCATGGAGTTATATCGTAACACTCCGGTCCCGCCGTGTGGGGGAACCTTGGGAAGAGGCGCGAAGTGCGCCATATGCGAGAGCCAATAGATGAAGCAAATCCACTTATCAAACAATGCTATGGCTATGTTCACGGTCACATATGTACGGAGTATGTACACCGTACTCATGCATGTGAAGCAAGAGGACCCACGTCGATCTTTCCACTTTCTGATTGAGGGCGGGAAAAAGCAAGCAGCAAGCAGCTAGCAAATGGTGACCGAACTTTGTTGTTTGCTCCACTGGCTCCATGGAGTAATGCGATAGTCACTTTTGTCTTCAAATCGGAGACCGCGCTTGGTGCGGATCGGAATATTCTCATAATCGATCTAATTCTTCCAAGGTTCTCAGTACGGAGTACGGAGTACAAAGGGCACGCTTGTTTAACTACTTTGCAAGAAGCTATTCCGAGGTCGGCAGCAGGTATTAGGCAGCTTATGTTTCAATATCGCCTACTACAATCCCAAAAAGGTATCAATCAGCTCGGCTGGCTGATCAAAGAAATCGAACATCACAATTCCCACCCGCTTTCCCTGCTGTCCTTTCAGGAAAGAAACCAGGAACTGGTTGACTCCACCTTCTGCAGTATATTCCGTGCCGTTCCCCAAGGCCATTATGCGAGGCCAAATTGGAGGTTCGTTCGGGGTATTCGTGGCGGATGCAAAAGTCCAGAACAAATTATCCGGATGTTGCGTCGTGGCTTTTTCGATGTGTTTCACGGTAGCATTGCACTTCCACTGAATATTCTCCTTTGCATCGGACCCCATTGGAGTGAGGGGCTGGTAGTAGTCTTCGATGTAAGCTGTCAGGTTCTCCGCGGTATTGTAAACCAGTTCAATCCCAGGACCGTTATCAGTCCAAAGACTAGGCGAGAAATGCAGGCCCGGCAGTGTGGTCGTGTAGGTTTGCGGTAACTTGTCCAGATCGAAACGACGCAACAGATTGATCTTGCCACGTGCGTCGCCTAGTTTTCCCAGCTTGTCTTTGGTTTGGACAAAGTATTGTCGGGCGGCTGGGGATGTTAGCGTCTTGTGCAGCAGCCGTTGCAAGGCCGCGTCGTTCGAGGCGTGGAGGGCTGTCGAGCTCTCATACTGCAGTGAGAGAAAGACTGTCTCGGATGGGTGATCGTCCAGCCATTGGTAGACCCCATACAATACATCGCCAACGGTGGCTGTTTCCGAGAGTAGAGCTTGTTTGTGATAGAAAACCAAGCTAGTGTTCGTTGGGTCGAATGCATAACGCAAGTCAAACGCGCGAATCCCCATGTTGAGCATGTAGATCAAAGGTAATTCTTGGCAGCGAAATGCCTCCGGCGCTGGGACATTGATCTCGTTGAGGTCGGTGATGCCTTTCATCGCATCTTGCGACGCTTGTGTGTAGTTCCACGTTGCGCTGTCATGGGTGCCGGGGATGTTCATATGAACCAGCAAAGTGTCATCTGGGTAGTTTCGCATCCATGTTGCTTTGTTTCCTGTGTTGCGAGTATAAGGCCCGAATATTGGTTTGGCATCGTCGAGGATCTTTTTGGAGTGCGAGGTCCGCAAGGGATGAAGCCGCGGACGACGCGCCTAGAGCCAAGGCCACAAATATCGTAGGCTTCCACATGTCGCCTTGTTGATTTAAACAGCGACCGAGGGTTTGGAGGCGGTTGAAGTTGAAGCGCTGAAATTCCAATGTTAGTAAGGTTGATGCCTCAGGGGCCCGCCAACCTTACCTGTCACTGCCGTGTCCGTCCACACCCGTCCACACTGTTGTGCACCCCTCATTCCACCATGAGTTACAACACTCCGCTCTGGGCGCTGATTCATGCGGTCGCCGATATTTTCTCGTCAAACTAACCACATTCGATGGAAGCTCATCTCGCTTGCGAGGATTGAAGCCACATGGTTGACACCCACGCACGTGTGCCGAACGTTGAGTCGCGACTGGCGCGCAGAATGTGGAGCTTCTTTTTTATCGCGCTGGGATTAGCTGCTGTCTGTTTTGAGGTCTTTATATTTGAAGACCTCCGACGCGTGTGGTTCTCTTCACCACAACCAGTCAACAACATGCGCAATCTCGTTGTTCTTTCCGCCGCTGGGGCCGCGCTGGCTCTCAGCCCAAGGGATACCTTTTATCCCCCGGCCTTGAATGACACCGCCTACATTGCCAACAGCTCCATTGGGACATATGGCGGTATCTACAAGGCTGACACCCATGGTCCGACCAGGGGAAGCCCTTACGGAACCTATGACTACTGCTCCATGCCGCACCCTCGTTCAGAGGAGTACGAGCTACCCGGGGCTCTCGCCAACGGGTCGGCTAAAGGCAAACTTGTGTACTTGGAATATCTCCAGCGTCATCAACGGCGTACTCCGTACAACATCCTCCCAGGAGGCGAGGTAACGACGCGATGTCAAACGAGATCATTCCACCTACTAATCAATCGCAGAATCAAGCCTATCACTGTGATGACGTCCGGCCGTACCTGTACGCAGGTCCTGACAGCGCAAGTGGCATTCAGCCCATGCCAATGTATGCCCAGACATATCAAGACCCCACCAACCCCTTCACACCTGGTGTCAATGGCACATGCCAGTACCCGCAAATCACCATTGGCGGTGTGGAGGATGGGTTCCAGCATGGTAAAGATCTGTGGTCGGTCTACGGCAAGAAGCTTGGGCTGATTCCCAAGACTCCAAACGGTCGCGTTTGGTTCCGCTCCAGCGAGTCTGCTCTAACCCAGGCTTCAGCTGGCGCGGTCTTGCGTGGTGTCTGGCCGGAATACAAGGGGGCTTTGCCGTTGCATCAGATGGTCTCATCTGTCGATACTGTTAACGAGGGATACTCTTGCGCAGCGGTTAGCTCGACACTCTCTAGTCTCAAGTCTACCTCTGAGTGGAAGGAACATTTGACTGTAACTGAGGAGCTCCGCTCGAAGCTGGGCTCAATGTTGGGCGCAACAGATAGTTCGTGGCAGAGCACATTTGACCACTTCTCGGACAACTTCCAGGGTCGTCTTTGTAATGGATATGCACTCCCCTGCAGCTTGTCAAACTCCTCGGCCTGCGTCACTATGGAGATGGCTGAGGAGGTTTTCCGCGCTGGTGATTGGGAGTGGAACTACTACTGGCGCACGAATCCGGATGTGGTGAAGTACATCCAAGTTGTTGAAGGTCTTTTCATTGGCGAGATCGTCTCTCGCTTGCAGGCTGTTCAAGACGGGAAATCCTCTCTTGACTACAGCCATATCTTCATCCACGATGGTGACATTGGTCCTATTTTGGGTGCTCTGGGAATTTCGGCGCTTCGCTGGCCGGCTATGGCATCTAATGTTGCTTTCGAAGTCTGGTAAGTACCTCGGTCTAGTTCTTCCGATCTCCTAATGTCTGACATGGATTACAGGGAAACCGAAGGCAGTGAACATTCATTCTACGCTCGTGTGTTGTACAGTGGTCATCCGTTGCGAAGTATCCACGGGGTTCTTGATTGGGTTCCGCTGTCCGATCTCATTGACATTCTGAGCACATATGTCCCTGAAGATATCACTTCCCTTTGTGGATGAGTGGTCTCCTTGGGGAGTCTACTGAAGTTTCAACCTTCCAAGGTTTGGCCGATGCTAGCCCTGGAGGTTCTCTCCTGGTGCTTTCTCGTCTCACTCAAACTTCTAATGGAAAAATAAATTTTGCAAACAAAAAAAGTACTCGGTTCATTAATGATTAATTAAATATCTCTTTTATAATGGGAGCACTCCAGGCTTCCCTCTCAATATAGACAAATGATGTGCATATCTTTCTGCTGCCCCCAGGGCACCAAGGACCATTCAGTCAGACCCCTATTCCGAGAGAGCAAACTTGCTCAGAGCACGGAGTCGGTGACCATAGAAGTAAAGCAGCCAGATACCAATAATACCAATAACACTCAATCCACCAAGAAGACTGACACCGCGAGCGACGCCCAAGTTTCCAAAGAGCGGGTGCGCAAACAACACACTTCCACAAGCAAGAGCACTGCGGAAGAAATCATTCGCAGCGAACAAGCTAGCCGCGTACTGCGGGTAGCTTAGAGGGATATAGACAAAGATACACTGCATAACGATGAACACGGTCGCACCATAGATGGTGATACCGATAGTTGGCGCAATCCAATGAATAGACTCACGCGCCGTCCAAGCAAAGAGGAAGAGACCAATAGTAGGACCGAAAGAGGCCGGTAGAGCAGGGATGAGACGAGACTCCTGAGCACCGAATCCGAAGCGGCGAATGCGGGGGTTCATCCAGTAGTGGATGTAAGCGACGTAGACGGCGATACCCAGAATACATGAAACCAGAATACACAGGAAGACGAGACCGATCTGGCCGAGGTTCATACCGTAGTCGACTGGGTAGACGAGAGGGAAGACCTCGAAGAAGGAGTAGTAGATGCCGTAGATGATGGCAGTGTAGATCTGGACGAAGAGCACTGCGGGATCTTTGATGGTGATTTCCAGAGGCTTGATGAGGGCATCAATGGCAACTGCTGAAACGCGCATGTTCCGCTGGTCGATCTCAGATTGAGCCATGAAGCGCTCGTTGTTATGGATCTTGCGGAGGCGGCTTGCGCGTCTGAGCAGGATGGTTGCGCTGCTGGTTTCTGGGAGAAACAGGAACATCACGATCAGGACCGGCGCGGAGGCCCAGATTGAGATGTATAGAGACCAGCGCCAGCCTTTCACGGGGACGGCGAAGCCACTGAGTAGGGGGCCGAGAGCAGCTGGAATTTATGTTAGTATCAAGATGTGTATGATGAGTAGTGGGAAAGACTTACGTCCACAGTAAGCGGCGGAGACCCAAGCCATCATGGCGTAGGGAAGAGCCATCAAGCTATACATGTCTTGGATGGAGGCACCTCCAGAGGCAAGACAGGGGGAGCCGAAGAAGCCCTGCAGGAAACGAAGTACCATCAGACCGGCGAAGTTCTTCACCAGAGCTGTTGGGATAGAGATGATGACGAAGAGGAACATGGTGATGATGTAGACCGGGTTGCGACCGATGACAGGGATCTCACTCAATGGAGAGAAGGCCAATGGACCGATACCATAACCAAGGACATAAAGCGACAGACCCAGTGTTGCGAGCAGAGTGTCCACACCAAACTCCCTCATGATACCCTCTGTGGAGGAGGTATAGATAGCGGAGGTCGTGTATACAACGAAAGTGTATAAACAGATGATGGTGGCAATGAGAGCACGCTTTCGATTAGACCAATTGTGAGGATTGTCCGAGTCGTCGGTATAGTACCAGTCGACGAGGATGGCCCCATCTTTTGTCTTCTTCGGCGCAATTGGAATGGACTTTGTTTTCTCGATCTCATGTTGTTCCTCGAGCTGTAGGCGGGCTTCGATTTGGGAAGCCTGGGTGGAGGCTCGGCTCAAAGGCTCACTACTGTGACTGTTGTGACTGTTGTGACTGTTGTGACTGTTGTGACTGTTGTGACTGTTGTGACTGTTGTGACTGTTGTGACTGTTGTGACTGTTGTGACTGTTGTGATTTGTCTCTGGTGAGATAACCTTTTCATCTCCGATGATACTTGCGGAATCATTCAGAAGCTCCAGCCATGTGTCGGGAAGCTTGAAGTCAGGCTTTTCTTCGGGGTATTGGAAGTATTTGTTTTTGGTCAAGTATCGGACAAGCTGCCCGAAGGGCGCATCTCGAATGACGGCCTCCATTTTTAATATACAAGGTAGCTACCAAGGGTAATTTGGCGGGAGACAGCTGGTTGAGGAACTTGATACATCATGGAAGGTAGGACAGACATGATATATACATATTTTCGACACATTTCCACCCAGGCAAGATTCTGTGCGATTCTCGGAATTTGGACAATTGATTTTAAATCCGTGCATATAATCAGGTTGATTCCCAAGCAGGTGCAGCTAATAATCAGAAAAATCGTCTTAATAATCACCTTGGCAACGTGTGAATGCGGCTTATGATAAGCCTATCAGACGGCCTCTCAAACGCCATATTACCCTTCAGAGAAAGAGTCGTTTGGATTAGCCCGATTCCGAACGTAGCAGCACCCACGCCAGCTCGTATACGCGGGTAAGCAGAGACTTTTGATTGATTTCCATGGGAGGCCTAAGAGAGATCCTTGGCACCTCGTGCAAATAAGCTCTGCTGACAGATCAATCGGACAGATCCATGGATCGCGCCATTGCCTCAATTCGGTCGAGCTTAACTCCGTCGATGTAAGTCCGCAATGTCCCTAGCATCTATGAGTCAAGTGCCAAGAGTCGAATACGAAAATCCTGCCTGGTCGGGAATCCTTGCGTCATGAATCTGTACATTTTTATTTACATCTGATCCTATCGGGCCTCCAAAAACGCCACTTGACGGTTGGATCTCAGATAGGCTTTATTTCATCGTGCTGTCAACCAGCTCGCGATAGATCTTTTTGAGATCAGCAATGTCAGCATTAAGCTCGTCGACCTGCTCGCTCTTCTCGCCCAGCATTTCCAGTGTCGTCTGATATCGCTGGTCGAGATCTTCGAGCTCGGCTTCGAGTTCGTGCACGCGAGAAGCAGAGAGCTGCTTTTCTTCGAGCTCGCGCATCAGGTCTACGACTTGTTGCCGAGCCTCATCGCGCTGAGTCGTGACCCGTGCCAACTCATCTTTGGTGCCAGCCCGCTCACTCTCGAGGCGGCGCACGGACGCACTCATGCGCTCGACTAACTGGACAGATGGGCCAGCTCCGACAGTATTCTCAGAGATAATGTCGTTGATGCCCCGCGGTGGTGCCTGAGTACCGCCGTAAGCTGATGGAGTGACCGGAGTCCCCGAATCCCCAAAGTACTCATCCGGCTCGAAGCTGATGGATGGCGCTTCCATGATCGAGGGGTTGGTGTTGAGATGTGGGGGAAGAGAGCGTCGCTTGAGTGATCGAAGCAGGATAGGAGTTTTGTCGAGGCGGCGTGCCAATTTCCGGCGACGCGAACGGCATACCGGACGAGCGTCGGCTGGGTGGACGGAAGTCTGACAGTCCTGGGGCCAGAGCATCGAGAGTGCTCGAGCGCCGGGTAGATGCGACTGGGGACACCCCACGTGTCTGCGAAGGAGAATTTGCCAGCAGTTGGTCCCTCCATTTGGTCCGCTCGTCTTCGAGCTTCTGCACCCATGTTGCTTCGGTGGTTTTCTTCTGCTCGGCCATATCCTTTTGCGCTGAACTGAGATCGTCTAGCGCCTTCGTAAGCTTCTGCTGCAACTTCTCCAGCTCCTGCATACGCTCCTCGAGCTTGCTGTTGAGGTCGTGCTCGGTTTCTTTCGCGTTATCTAAGTCTTCTTCGAACTTCTTAAACTTGAGGTTCTAAAATCATAATGTCAGTTAACTTGATCAGATCGTTCACACAAATCGTCATCTTACCATTTCTCGAATTTTCTTACGCAAATCACCTTCCCGTCGACCAGTATCGTCACGCTCCTTTTCCACACTAGCCAAGCGTGAAAGCAAAGAGCCTTCAAGGGTGTGCCAGTTCTCACTAGCGGCAGCATATTGAGTTTGAAGAGTTTCGATCTGTCGCAGGAGTTTGGCCTGGGTTTCTCCTGTTGCTCCCGATGAGGCTTCTTCGGCACGGGTCCGAAGACTCTCCATCTTGCTTTCCAGAACAGTCTGTTCACTCTTCAGCTCGGCTTCAAGCATTCGAGCTCTTTCTTTCTCCTGCTCTACATTCCCTTGCAGTTCGGTAATCTCCTTCTGTGCCTTTTCTTTGCTGATGTCATGTTCGATCTTCAGATTGGACAGCTCCTCCTCGAGTGCTTCGGCCCGTTGCTTCTCTTGGTCCAATGCGTCAGAGTTCGCCTGATTTTCTGCAGTTTCAGCACGAGAGACCGCGCGACTCAGTTGCGACTTCATTTCTTGGACAGTTTGACTGAGAGCGTTCCTTTCGTTCGTAACAGCCTCCAAGTCTTTAGTTGACTTAGTTTGGGAGGACAATGATTCGTTCGTTCTCTTTTCAGCAGCCTCTGCTCGTTTGGCTCGCTGCTCAGAATTGGCCAGATCACGTTCAAGCTTCTCTGTCTTCTTCTTCATTTCTGTCTGCGATTTCGTGGTCTCGATTAGTTGTTGACGCAGCTTCTTAATTACGGTTCGATGGTCCATTTCCGATTTGGACAACTTTTGGCCCTCTTCAAGTAGCAAAGCAATTTTCTCATCCTTCTCGAGGAGCTGTTTCTGCGTGCTACCTGGCTTGGCGCTCGCAGCCGCATTCTTGGCTGATTCTGCAGCGTCCTTCGCCAGGTACTTAAGCTTCGATTGTAATGCGTCTATGCGTTCAATGTAGCCATGCATTTCCTCCTGCCATCGGGATTCAGCAGCTTTGTGATCAGCTTGCATACGGGCCGTTTCAGGGTTCGCGTCTTCGGTGACATCTGATTTCACATCGACACTGACCCGGGGACTGTCAGCCGGAGCAACGGCACCAAGTTCACCTTGACGTTGTAGATCAAGACTGCTCTCGGCCCTCTCGGGTTCAACGGAAGGTTGAGCCACATCGACGGAGGCTCTTGGGGCGGAATCTGTCACGCTAATGTCTGCTGAGATGCGCGGGATCTCTTCGGAATCACGGTTCAATTTCTGAGACTCTAACGCATTTGCGGCTCCCTCTTCGGCGGGCACAGACTTGGAATCATCCGGTGCACTTGCGACGGACGCAGCGCTAGAATCAATGTCCATACTAGACCGAGCACCGTTACTTGGTACCGGGCTAGCAGGGGGCGACGAAACTCTGCTTTGCGGGGACTCCGATGATAGATTCGAAGCGTTTTGTTTGACCATGGCGCGGGCAAGACGCTCCTGAAGTCGGTCATTCCTCTTGGCGCTTGATGAGCTGCGGGAAATTGCTTGGGGAATGTTAGCCAACTTTGGTGTCCTATGGGTGTCTCTGGGGAATTCGTACATGAAACAGGGGACTTCGCGGCTGGCGTTTCCCCAGTCTGAGTGTCCACAGGCTTCCCATTCGAGTTGGTCTGGTTTCCGTTCTCGTCCATCAAGATGTGATCCAGTCGAGACTCGACACCGGCCACTGCCTGCTGGAAGAACGATCCCATGCCCCATTTTGGCTTCTGTGTGCTCGATTCCTGAGCCATTGTAGCAAGTTATAGTGATAGTGAATGCGAAAAGGCTACGATGCGGCGAAGACCTCGGGTTGCATTCGCATGGATTCGGTGGGGGCTGCGCTCGGACACCGGGTTGTCGCGATTGTCGTGGACGATTCGATCGTTCTGTCTATAAATTCTTGGGGTTTGTTGAGACCCGGTTACTATTGTAGACGGCTTGCTCCGTGAACGAGAGACTGGCGAAGATGCCGAGTAGAAAGTACTGGGCAGAAACCTGAGATGTAGAAGTCGCTAAGCCAACAAGCCAAAGTTCATGAGTGAAACCACTGGCTAGAAAAAACGGCGCGCACAAAATTGCAATTCGAGAAAAGGCGATGGCAAAGCAAGTGAATGCTGTGAGCGAAGAGAGACAGTTGTTGAGGCAGTGGCTTGAGGTACCGTCGGTCTTGGCGCAGGCTTCCGTCATCCCCAAGCTCCCCCGTCCCTCTGGACACACCTCCAGTTATCAGACACAGCCAGCGACGCTCCTTTTCCTGGCTCAGCATCTCTCGCATCATACCCAAGATGTCACTGGAGCCCCCCACCTACCTCGGCTCTCTTCAGAATAATATTCGAGCTCGGCCAATTCCATGGGAGGGCGCCGTCCGAGCGGGCAACATCACCGATGACCACTTGAAGAAGATCAAGGCGGTGGACAAGGTGCGCAAGGATCAGCGTCGCCAAACAATAGAAGGAGACCTCGCCGGGTACACAGACTTGTTGGCAGGTGGTGCACAAGGGAAGAGCGTTTTGGACTCGGCCTCCCGGAGGACCGATATCGTGCAGTATATTCTAGTGCTGGCGTCGGATTTGATTCAAGGTACCATTTGACAGTCTTGCTGCAGCATTCTTATGCTAATCAACATATATCAGATGTTCCCTCTCTGGCGGACTCCCTCATCTCTCACCCAGAACCGTATAAGCCATTCCTACCTTTCCTGCAGCACTCGACCAATGCCGAAGACCCTATCCCCCTGCTCACCTCCACCTTCCTTACGGCTTTAGTTTCGCACAGTCTTGTTGCCACGTCTAAACCCGCCGCGCGCGACAATGAAGCTCTCCCCCAGCTATACGCTTATCTCTCCACTCTGACCAAGAACCAGGACAGTGGCCTCCAAGATATCGGCGTTCAAGGATTCTCAGAGTTGTTGAGAACATCCAAGGCCAGGGAGATCTTCTGGACGCAACGTAAGGAGACTCTGGATCCTTTGATTGAGACTCTCCGAACTGCAGCGGGGTCTAAAGACAATGCCAGCACCCTCGGGGGCAGCACTCGTGGCAATGAGCCTGGTCTTGCAGGTGGCGTGAGCCTGCAGCTCCTGTATCGAGTGCTCCTAGTGCTGTGGCAGCTTGCATTCGAGGGTGCCCTCGTGGGTGATGAACTACAAGAGTCAGTGGCCTTAAAGACCAGTTATTCTTCTGTGAACACCTGCTAACTTTGCCCAGGAACTATGATATTATTCAACTCTACACTCAGCTCCTGCGCCTTTCACCAAAAGAAAAGACGACCCGTTTACTCCTTGCGACTTTGTACAGCCTCTTGTCGAGCAACCGGACAACGTTGCTACCCGTTGCCGTATTTGTTCGACTCCCCGCACTCCTGACCAATTTAACCGGCCGCCACCTCACTGACCCCGACCTGCTGGAGGATCTCAATGCGCTTTCTTCTATGTTGGAAGAATACACCAAGACACAAACTACTTTTGATCAATATTCGGCGGAAGTTCATTCGGGCCACCTGCGCTGGTCGCCTCCTCACAAGAATCCGACATTCTGGAAGGAGAATGCCCGACGCATCTGTGAAGAGTCAAATGGTGCCTTGCCGAAGAAACTTGCTGAGATCTTGTCCAAGAGCTGGGACAACGACAAGCAGGTTCTGGCGATTGCTTGTAGCGACGTAGGGAACCTTGTGAAGGAGGTCCCGGAGCGTCGTGGGCAACTAGAGCGACTTGGCCTGAAGGCACGGGTGATGGAACTCATGGCTGACAAGGATGAAACGGTGCGATGGGAGAGTCTGCATGCTGTCGGCGAGTGGCTTCGGTACACCTTCGAAGGGTGATCGTACTTTGTGATCTTTTTCTTTCAGGATGAGCATATACTCCTGCGTATGTACTGTGTATTTTGATGCCATAGCGCATACTATTTTCTTTTTTTATCTGGAATAGATTGACTTGAAACAGTCTTGATATAGTGTCGGTGGATCTTGCGATCGACCGCTAAAGAACCATACAGCGGTACGAACCTACGATCATTGAAGAAAACTTAGTAGCCCCTTGAATTTGCACTGACTCTCTCCTCAATCTTGTCTACTCTATACTCTTGTTCTTATTCTTCTTCGCATGTAGATATCAAGACCATCGGTTCCCCGGAAACTCACATTTGCCACGCGGGAGTGGGATCGTTATCATTCCCCGCAGAAATTCTTCGCCGGAGACACCACCCGAAAAGTACAGCATCCATGTCGAGATCCTTCACAGGCTGCAAGAGATGTAAATCCCGTCGACAGAAATGTGACGAGCAACGACCAAACTGCGGCCGTTGCCAGACAGCAGGCGAACAATGCCAATATGCAATGCAGCTGCAGTGGGGAGGGCGGGCATTTTCGCGATCGCGATTCGGTGCCTGCGTCGGGGGCACGGGGGGAATGCAAAGACTAGGTGCGTACGAAATCTACTGCTCAAATGTCCCTTTGCTAACTATACCAGAATACTCACCCGGCGAGTTTATCTACACCACCAAGGCTAAGGCTGCGCAGTCGACCGGGTCAGAACTGACGCTATCGCAACCCGTCGATCCTTTCTCCTCCTTATCCTCCGATCAAAAAGCCTTATTACACCACTTCATAAATGATGCCTCTCAGATCACGGCGTGTCATTCAGGTATGCAGCAGGACATATGTCGTATGCTGGTCCCAATGGCGCTCCAGACTCCCTCGTTACTATACGCCACCACCGCTCTGTCAGCGATCCATATCCAAGCCTTACACAACCAGTCGGACTCTGTCAAGTCAGCACCGGATATTGCACGGCTGATGGCTCTTAGTCTAGAGCATTTCCGCACTGAGTTACAAAACCCTTCGTCCAAGGACTCTGAGGCCCTGGTGGCGACTGCCCGGACACTATGTCTCGCGGAGATCCACTCTGGGGCCATCAACCCGAATTCGTGGAGGGCACATATTGACGGAGCGAGAGCGTTGATGAGGGCATCGGATGCTGCAGGGGAAGATTCGCTGCGGTCTGCAAGCGGGTTCCGAAGATATCTGGATCGTTGGTATTGGTCGATTGTCTCGCTCACAGCTTTAACCGGAAATGGACCTCCGATTGGAGATACCTCGGACTTTGTGTCATCTGATCTGATGGGAATGGGCGGGTCTCCAGACTACCTGGATGACTATTGGGGCTTCAGCGTTGACCTCGCGGCCGTTTTCCGGCAGATCGGGGCTGCTGCCTGGCGCAATCACGAAGCTGAGCAGGCCACCGGAGGCTTTGTGGCGGGAGAAGTCGACAGCAATGTTGAGAACGATGCTGAATCCCTGGAACTTGCGATTCGGCAGCTTATGAACCGTGATTCAAGCTCACAGCCTTCATTTTACCCTGGTGCTGCAGAGGGCTTATCCGCAGAAAGTGCTCAGCAGCTTCTGCTGTGTAATGAAGCTTTCCAGCACAGCGCACTCATTCAGATACATCGGCGACTGCGCAAAACACCTACTTCATCGCCGGAGGTACAGCAGTCAGTGCAGCGCATTCTGGAATGCACTGCACAGATTGGTCCTTCGTCTGGCCTCACACCTTGGGTGATGTTGACGACGCCTATTTTCATTGCTGGCTGTGAAGCACGCGGCCAGGACAGGGATACAGTCAGACAGCTTCTCTCATCCTTACACGACACCATTCGCGTTCCCAATGTTTTACAGTCACTCAAATTCCTCGAGCAGTATTGGTCAGATCAGCTCGGCGAGGAAGAAGACTGGAGTCAATTCCTTGGTACGAACTTCTTCTTCACTTTACGCCCTTCACATGCTAACTTTCGATGATTATAGACCGGATGCAGTTTGACTTTATTCCTTACTAAAGAATTTGGACCGATGAGAATATGCTGTTATGTCTCATGTGCAATGATGCGTGCGTTTTGCTTTGAGGAGTCTTTTTTACATATACACCGGGTTTCAGACCGCGATTGGGAAATTACATTTTAGAGAACGAATACATGATTAATGCAAAGTCAAGTACATTCAACTACACCGGCTCGTGCCGACATCACTTGTGATGGACATTCGAATTTCATTATCTGTATTGACGTTTTCTTCAGGGCAACGAGGATCCCGAGTCTCCTGCACTCGGTCTCAATTCCAGCTGCGACGATCCTTCACCCTGCCTTCTGTCCCAACTTGCAAGGAAAACGTTGAGGAGCTCGTTCGCGACACCCAACAACAAGAAAATCGCAATCACCTGGCCGAAGGTCCACCCCTTTTCTTCAGGGTCAAGATCATTCCGCCGGATGGTCTGCTCCAAAGAAACAATCAAGTATACACAAAAGGCGCAGTAAGCGACCCTGTTCAGAGTGTATTTCAACAGTGCTTGACCGTGCAGCCTCTCCGGTGGGTCTCTGTTCCTCTGATACACAGGAGAATTGACCTCCATAAACCAATTGAGCCATCCTCTCTTTTGCCCCTCGATTCTGTCTCCGCTCGAGGGATGTCGCTTGCGATATCGATAGTATCCGCACAGACACGGTAGCAAGCACGTGAAGCCAATGGCATAACTCGCGACCACCAGACCCAGGGTCCCAAGAATGATATAGCGGAAGACGGGTGATACGGCGTTAATGTTGATGCCAAACACAACATACACAGTGCTAGCATTGCACTTGGGCTGGCTTCCAAAATGCGGCGCGGTTACCCAGACATAAATGTTGAAAGCGGCGAAGGCCCCCAGAGCTAGGATCTGAAGAAAAGCAAAGAAATATAGTCGCCAAGGGCCAAAGCCTGCATATCGGCCCTTGTTGACTAGATCCATGCCTAAGATGGCAAGAAGGTGTATGACACATATCGCGTGGAAGAGCGTCAGATCACCCTTGAAGGTTTGGTAGATTGCTGTGCAGAGGAGAGCTAGACCTTGCATGCCGAGCGCGGAGGATACACCACGCGAGAACTCCTCTTGGTCTTCGCCTGGTGACAAGACACGGAGTAGGTAGCTTACTACCGATCCACCCAGGCAGAGGGTGTAGATAGATATGCGAATCTTTTTATACGGTCAGCGATGATTTGCAAGCGGTGACTAGACGATGGGAAATACTGACACCAACTCCAGATACATCAGGATTTGCTTCAATGACACAGCCTGTTGAGTTCATGATGGGCGAACGTAGAATCACTGCGAAGCTGTCCCAAGCGACATGCCACACGGGTTATACAACTCTGGATTCCACGGCTCAAATAGCCACGATTGACTGCGAACCGCGCCGAGGATTTCTAACAGCCTCATTACGAAGTTAAAAAGAGCGCGAGCAAAGCAAACAAGGCACCTGAGCACCAGAAGTGGCTCGGCAGCCGTATTGCGCCACTAATCCTTGCGATGACCAGTTCTCAAACAACTGCAGTCCCTAACAAGCAAATTAACATCAGCGGCTGAGTCTGCCAGTCTGCAATTGTGGCTTTTCTTCCGACAAAGTCACTTTGTCATTGGATCGCGAATTGATGGCCCATATGGGGCGCCCTGGCCTTTGCTTACTGCAGGAACCGCTAAGCCTGAACTAGGGGTGCTCGAGCGCACCAGAGGCTTAGTCTCGGTAATGGTGAGAATCCATTGGTCAATCAGCAACTGTATTCTTGATATGCTCAGGGTCTTCGTTTAACTCTTCGTAAATATGCAGGCTATAATCTCGTCAGTGGAGTGAAAATGACCCTGAGGCTTTTCAGCCTTTTGCCGTGTCTCTCCCCGATCATCTGATGGGAATCTAACCTTTTTATTTCGTACTACGTAGGAGTCAACCTTGGGATCATTGGCCTCGGAATCGCGTCATTTATAAGAGGACCCTCGCCCATGGGAACACTCAGATTCGGGGTGCTCTAATCGTTCTTAATTGCTACTCCGTATAACAAGTCTCATTACTGGTGAATTTTAGCCAGTCCCATCATGGATTCAGATAACTTGAATCGTCCGGCGATCAACAGTAAGTTTCTACCAAGGTTGTTTCTGATTGTTTGCTCCTCATCTCCCTACTGTGTCCACGTTACGCATAGCACATATACAAACATTGAAAGTCTTTTTTTCTTAGTTGTGAATTTTACCACAGAATGGTACTAGTTATGTCTATCGTTTTCTAACACATCTTGTTAGTCTGGGTGTTCTTCGCTCTGGCAGCCCTTGACATCGCAGCTAACGCCGCTGCTGGCCCAGCTGCAGTTGCAACAGCTGCTCATGTCAATGGCAGTCCACTGACAGCACGAGCCATGCAGCTTGGTGCGCTTGCAGGTGTCACCAAGTCCGGAATCTTAGCGTTTGTGGAATTCGTGGGATACGCAGGCTTACCGACACCGGCGTGGATACTTCTCGTATTATTGGCGAGCTGCTTTGGAATTTGTGTCGTTATCACAGCCGAGATCAGCAACCTGGTACTGGGAGAGAGTAAGTTGAATTCCCCCTTGTCATTGACTTGAACCTTGCGCTCGTGGATCTGAAACTAATGTCGTTCGGTTATTTTCGATAGCACCAACTGCATTGCTTATTGCAGCTGTGGTCGCCGCTATTCCCCTGGCAGGAGAATGTATTGGAATCTATCAGTGTAAGCCCTCTTTCTTTGCCAGTTCTCATCTGCAAATGCTGACATTTGATCCAGCGGCCGGAGGCCTTTATGGTGGCAAGCCCCAAACACAGGCCTGCGTCATGGGACTAGATGCCTTGGGAGGTTACGTGTTTGCTCGCATGGCTCACAATGGCGGCTATGATATTTGTCCGTATCATGTTGCGGCGGCTGCTGGAGCTGTGTATGGAGTGATCACTGGGTTCTTCCACACGGTCCTTGGATGCATAGCTGGTTGCTCCTCGTACGAAAGTACTAATGGGCATTATACCGTGCGCAATGTATTTGGGAAGTCTCACGGGTATGATGATAGCTGGATGGTGACTGGGCATCTATGATTGTGATGATGTATGTAAGCTTGAAGTAATGAAACCATTGGGGATCTCAATGCGAGACAAGCTGTCTGAACCACGATCTTCCAGAGGCCAAGTCCAAGTGGACGGGTTTGAAAGGGGGAAACCCGGACAATAGCCTTGTTCTAGTATGCAATCTTGTATACAGCATGAGTTTGGTATAGGGCTGCAGCTCTTTGGGAAGATGGAGAGCATTTTGCGTTGGTCAAAACCCGTCAGAAGTGGTGAGTAGTTGATGCTGAGGGGTGGTCTAGTGGGAAACAGCCCGGACAGGTTGTCCTGCTTAACCCTCCCATCAGCCGCCAGGGAGAGATTGCCGTTTACGGAAGTGCCTCTGAGATCTTCCAGGAAGTGACCCTACGATCTTCCACGTTCAATCCCTGGCATCACCTTTTTTTTTTCTCTCTCTTTTTCCTTTTCTCTCACTCGGCATGTGACATGTTTCCAACTCCCATGGACACAGTCTGTTTCTGAGGCAATTGAGCATTGGAAGGCAGACAGCAAGGGCCCTGAAATTGCCGGAATGTAATGGCGAGACGCCCTGTAGTGAGTACCCACCTAGGCGTTTGAGACATCATCAAACGGTTCTAATCATAGAACGGTTGTGGCTGGAATTTGATTGATCTCCAAAAACAATGATCGCCGCGTTTGCTGGCGCCAGAGATTGTACTCCGTAGTGCAATAGTGCAATGTATGTATCAAATTCTTAGATGTAAGTAAGACATTGCGAAGATGAGACACGGTCTAGATTTTGAGATCAAAGTGGATCAAACAAACGGAGCTGCAGAAGCCACTATTTTTTTTTTTGACGTGCAGGGATGAGCAGGGATGGGTCTTTAGTGTCGCGTGTAGGTTGAGGACCTCGGGATGGCTTGAATTTCGCAGAGGCTGAAGATGAACATCGGGAGCTATTACGGAGTACTCCGTATGGTCCTCAAGTGTTGGGTGCGCATACAACTTTTGCGGTAGAGCTGTATACTCCGTACCTAACAGCACAAACAGCCTTCCAAGGTTGCAACGCCGAAATATTTGGCCAACTTTTAGTATCTCTCCTGATGTCCCCTTAATAAACAGTAATCTACGGCATATTCTGAGTATGTATATATTCTCTATCACTCCGGACATTAAATACTATCGAGTAGCTATGAAGTACCAAAGTGACTCAATAAGTCTCTAGACCTCCGGAGCTGGGTGGAGACCTATGGAGCAGCCCTACGCATTCCCGTTGCAATCAATAATTTTTATGGTGTGACAATAGATCAAGCCACGTCCCATAGCTATTTATGCATCATGGGGGAAACACACAGTCTTCAATCATCAAACTCGTCTCCATATGCGTGACGCGGAGCCGTCATTCGACACTGTTACTTAACCGCCGAAGAACAAACCTACCAGAAACGGTCTCCAAACTACATACTTGTAGATCGATAAGGGGGTCCAATTTTCGAGATGGAATTAGATAAACTACAGGATGAGAGTAACCTGTGCAGAAGAGGTGATCCTTCACTCGACCGACGGGACCGTTCATCAGAAAAGGAGAATGCTGGTTCGGCATTTTCTTTTCTCGATTTTCAAGGTTCCCCCTGATCCAAGTCTTGCTGCACATATGTACAATGAAGCTAGCTCCAACCTTATGGTTGTATTTGTGAACACAAGTAGCTGAGATCCAATCATATGCAACTGGGAAATTCTCCCACGCGAATTGTAGCAAATTTGTTCTGCTGTGTCGTCAGTGCTGGGGAGCCTGAAAAGTCAGAACAAGGAGAGGTGTCATCGGTTCAATCACATTGACCAAGCCCGCGTTTGATGTGACAATATGCAGCTACATCTCTGTTGGTGTAAGCGCTTAACCCTTTGAAGTAACACATACCGACCACGCGCTGGCCCGAGTGTTTTGCGAGGCGCCGGAGTCGGTATCACGGCTGGGCTAGCGTGCATGATAGGATTGAGCACGTTCTTCTCTTCTTCAGAAGCTTGGCCTGAAGGAGAAAGGGGTCATATCCACTTGGAAGTGTGAAGAGGCAATTTTTTACTCCGTACAACCTTGGAACAAACTCCCCCCTTAATATATTGAAAACTTTGGAACTTTCTACGAGGACGCCAGCAGGTCACAATAAACAGATCGCACATGAAGTACGAGTACTCGGTGCACTTCGCATGACACCTGAAGATGTACAATGCAAGTATAATGTGTAGCTGTACGTTCGATAGCCTTGCGTATACAAGCTTAAGCGTCAAATTCAAATGATATTAAGTAGTCTGCAGGTAGTGAAAAAGTACCTTATGGGCAGTTGCAACGCGTGATGCTACTCAAAAGTGACCTTGGAGAAACCTGGGCGGCTACCCCTGAATCGCCAAGCCTTAGCGTGGGACGGGCCAACCTCTTCAGATCCTCGACTCAAGGGGGTTTTGATTGTGCTGCACACTATTGAATCCAGTTCTATTTTCATACTCATCTACACCAAGAGCTCAACAACGGCCTTCTGGCTACCTTTCTCAAGATGAAATTCCATAACTCACCCGGGACACAATCTCGCGATCTACGAACATCGGCTCTGTAGGTTCAAGCGATGTCGATCCTACCGGCCAGAGCGCTATCAGAATATTGTATTTGTGCCAATGAAATCCATGCAACTCCAGACCCACGACTCCAACCCCTGCGATCCACCTTCACGCTTACTTGTCCCGACTTGCGCTACTGAATGGCGTCTGGAACCCACGGGCGGTTTGCGCCAATCGCCCCCCCGGGTCTTTGTACACTTTTTTCTCCTTTTCACGCCTTTACCCTTTGATAGTCCTGATATTCCTAATATTCCTGATATTTCGATATTTCGATATTCTCCTAATCCTTTCCCCTTTGGTCTTCTCATTGGCGCACCATTCTACTTTCCGTGCTAATCGGCATTCATGACCGTCGATCCATGGCTATTTTTTGATACGGACCAGGGTGTTTCATGGCGTCTCCTCTAATGCTCGGCGGCTCGCCCGCCCATTCAGAGAGCTTCTCTAGTCTCAATTCCCCTCCCTCATCTTCTCCAGTTCGAAGGAAACCTCTCCCGCAAAATGTCGATCTGATTCCGGGTCCTGTTCACCCCTCCTCTCCCCTTTCGATCGAGGGAGATAAACCCACACCCATTCCCACTGCACCTGTGGATAGACCACCATCCCCTTCGTCGGCGGATGGAGACTCATTGATCACGGTACAGAAGAACCCGAATAGGTACGCGACTCCATATTTTTGCCTCTTGAAGCTTGCCGCGAAGCTTGCCGTGTTCGTTCCCACCGACGTGGGTACAAAACGTGATATGGCTGATACAGGTGGCTCCGCTTCTTTGTGACATGAAAGACTAATCGTGTGCCTTTGTTTCGACTCTTTAGATTCTCCAGAGGACAGCTCGCTGCGCCTCTGCACATCGATACCTCCACCTCCCGTCAGGACTCTGCTTCATACTTGAGATCCGTAATCGCAGACGACGACGACGATTCAGACGAGGCTATTGACTACTTTGACGAAGAATACGAACATCAGTTCACGAATGGAACCCCTCTACACAGTCGTCTAGACAGCGAACCATTCATCCCAGTCCTCAACTCCCCTCCCCCGTCGAAGCGATCATCGAGACGCGCAACGAGCATGGCCTTACACCCACCGCTAAACCGGCCACCTCCGTTACATATTGACGTGGATCATCGGTCAATGTCGATGTCGATGGGTGCGGGAGATCCAAGACAACCCAAGACCCCTGGAAATAAGATCAGCTCATTCTTTGGCTGGAAGGCGGCGAACAATAATCATAATACAGCTACCTCGCCGGGGGCGAATCGTCCAGTACCGAAATCTCCGATTCTGGACGATCAGCAATGCCAGTTTCCATGCCCCCATTGGCTAATGTCCCCTTCAAGCCACCTTCTCCTTATAATACCAGAAGCAATGGAAATGGGTCGACGCGGACCCCTTCTATGGGATCTGCAAGTTTAAAGGAGAATATATATGCATCCAAGATGGCAGATATCGAGAATGAACTACGAGAGATAAGCTCCGAGTTGGCGGGGTCTATCCGTCGAGAAATGGACCTAGAAGATCTAGTTGAAAGGCTACAATCAGAAGGCCCTGACGCAAATCGTCGGACCAGCGACTATTTCTCGGATTCGGGTACTAGTTCTGTTCGGTACGCTTCAGAATCTGGAAAAAATGAAGATATCGAGAAGATTCGCCGGGCTGGAGAGCAAGAGCGTGCTCAGTTGAAGGTCGAGTTATCTCAGAAGTTACAGGAGGAACGCTCTAAGCGAGTGGCTTCCGAGTCACACGTTCAAATATTGGAGTCTCAAGTACAACAGGTGCGTTCAGTGACAAACTTTCCGCTTGCAAATCATGCTAATGCCCTTCTAGCTTCGTCGCGAGAGAACTGATCTGTCTGATCTATCTTCCAAAACGAAAGAACTCGAGACGGCTCTCGAGAATACCAAACGAAAGTTGCTCGAAGAGCGACAATCTAAAGATAACTTCGAGGATCTACTGACAGCAATGCGAGTAGAACTCGAGCAACTGCGTAATGACCGAGACCAACTTCGAGATGGCAGCAGGCTGGCAGAGGAAATCGAGGCGCTCAAAATCGAGAATGCTTCTTTGGCCCAACTGCAAGGTGGTCGGTTCGCCTCGATTGCCGAGGAGGGTGGCTCACCGAGAAACTCAGCCTTTGGACTTTCGAGGTCGAATTCTCTCGCGCGCAAGCCCAGCGGCCTCGCACGCTCCGGCTCTCTTTCTCGGTCCAACTCGGTTTCCAATAATAAAGGTGGTAACTCACCCGAGACACGTGAATCTTTGGTCGATAAGGTCCAGGATGTCGAGGTCCAGCGCGATGCTCTTCATCAGACTCTGCGGAACCTTCTAGAGCGCCAGGCATACCAGGCTCGCGACTTTGAAAAGCGCACCCGAATGCTGGAAATGGAGCTTGCTATATCCCAGCAATCAGGCCCTCCGCGAAAGCTGGGCTACAAGAGGGACGTGCACAACCTTCGCGATGAGGTTAACATTCTGCGCATTCGCGCGGAAGATGCTCTCGATGGCAAGTGGCAATCTGAGAAAAACCTAGCGGGTCTTAAGATGGACTTGGACCGAGCAGAGCAGGAGACTAGCTCTTTGCGCGTGCTTCTGCAAGAGGACACTGCCGCTGCTGAACTGGTCGCCGGCCCAGAAGGCTTCTCCGGCGAGACGGCCACATCCACCTCCCTACAATCTGCATTCCAGCAATTACAGACGGACAGGGCTACCGCTGAGGCCAGTGTTGAACACTCAGACGAGCTTGCTTCATCTTTGGAAAGAACAGAGGTGCTTGGTACCAAGGTGAACTACCAGCTGCGCACCAATGCTACTGTCCATGCCCGCTTGGAAGAGGCCATCAACAAGGGTGATCAAGATCAGCAGATCTCAGTCGATCGCATCAACACCCTGCAGAATCACATGAAGGAGCTCGAAGACGATCTTGTAGCTGCCCAGCAATATACTGAAGAAGAAATGGGCAAGCACGAGGACGAAATCCGTCTCTTGAAAGAGAGCCAGAATGCTTCACTTACTCGTATGAAGAACGGCGGCCGCACACCCGTCAGTCTCTCACCCCGCCCACCCAGTGCACCATTCGACACCCGCTCCCCGCGTCTGGATCAGACGACCAGCGGAGAGGGTGTCCCCCTGGCCGAGGTCATTCAGGCCGAGGCGCTCGAAAAGCGAGTCAAGGCCCTTGAGAAGCTCCTCCGCGATGCGGACATGGAGATGGAGCAAGTGGTTGGACGCATGAACCGTACACAGCTCGACGTTGCTCAGCTTCAAACTGACAGGTATGTTTTTTTTTTTGCCCTTCACTGTTCCCCTTTCAGTGACAACCCTTGAATCTTATACTAATTGATATCCACAGAGATGACGCTCTCCGCCAGACTAGCGAACTCCAAACCGAGATTCAAGCCGAGCGTGAAACCCTCCAGGGACTTGTCAAAGCCCTGTAGTAGTCTCGCTGGCTTTTCGCGATTTACACTTTCTTACTTTCGTTAATATACCACATCTGCATATGCATTTGGACTCCCATCCTCTGTGATGGTTGAGGACAAGGTGTCTTGGAGTTAGCCCGGGGCTCGGGTGTGTTTTTCTGGATTCTTATGCAAGGATCATGCGTGTGGCACCGCGCAGACCGTTCTTTAGCTTGGGGCGTTTGTTTTTCCGGGATTGGCGGTTGGCCCTCGATGGTCATACCTGTATATATAAACCGTCTCTTTTTGAGTAAATATCTAATTGGCTGTACAGTATAATTGACTGAATGTGAAAGCAAGTTTTGAGTTTTATATTTTGAGATCTGCTGTTGCAACTTGGAAGTCGTGGAGGTGAGAAGTGAGAGGCCGATAAGCATTCTTCACATGCAGTCCGGGTGTTTGTTTGTTTTGCACTGACCTTATCTCATCCAGCTGTCACACAAGGAGCTCAACCTGCATCCCTGGCCCTTTGACACGTTTACTATTGATCGCATTGGCTTTTATATACAGGTTGACCTTGTCACTTCATATCCTGAGTCCTGTCCGTCAATCTACGAATATTTACCACCGTCCGGTCCCACCACGCGCAAACCTACCGTGACAGCCTCAGCGCTCTTGAGCGAAAGCAGAACCACCACAGAACAAGGGACACTGAAAGCCTAAAATTCTTACATTGCCTCTTTGTCTCGCTTTGATCACTTCCTCGATACAGACCGATCAATCACATCAAACAAAGAGCCCAGCCGACAAAGAAACCACAAGCCTACTAAAACCACAGGGCAGGTCCCTTCTTCCGCTCTGTCTTGCTACTCGATCACCTCTCTCGACATTCAAAGACATTCAAAGATCTTAGAGATCCCAAGAACAAAGTAGCCATGGACTTCCTACCAGGTGAGTACTAACTATCCCACCCCAACCACGAGCAAACGTATATATACCCAGGCAAACAAGACTACCTAACTAACAACTCTCTCACGCAGAAAATCTCCAAACAGCTCTCCAAAATCCTACCTTCGCCTACATCCAAAGCGCGACACAAAACCACCTCACAACGAAACTTGCCGACCTGCGCACCATGTATCTCCAGCCCTACTTCATCGAACCGCTATCGAAATTCATGGCCTCACACCAATCTTCGGCCCAGGACCTGGTTCTCACCGTACTCTTGGGACTAGTTTTCCTCTTTATCACTTCCAAAGTCCTGGGCTATGCCTACCGCGTCGTCGTCTTCTGGGTCACCCTTGCTTGCCAACTCATCTTCTGGGGATCACTCGGTGCCTTCGGCGTATATGTCTATAATGTGGGAGTCGAGAAGGCCTTTGCAGACTTCGGATGGCTTGGTGGCGTGGTTTGGGGATTTGTTGATAACTTCCAGGCGAAGAGCAAAGCGGCTGCGGAGGCTTTTGCGGCGACGCAGTGATCAACTTCGGTTGATTCATGTGATCTTTGATTGATGGGCTTATTACTATCTTGATGCTTTTGCCTTCAGGCTCTTTGGAATAGCGTCTTGTTGGAAGATGTGACCGGGAATGAAGGAAGTGACTTTGGAGTTTAGAGGTAATTCAAAAAAATTCATGAGCTGGTCTTGGTTATCATTATGGTTTGGAATATTTGAGGATATGCTATTATATCCATTTGTAGTATGGCATTCTCTCAGCGCTGACCTCTTCGGTTGTCACATTTACTCAGCGCGTCGTGAAACTCCAGACTGGGCTTTGTCCATCGCAGGATTAGCTCTCTATCTCGTAGACGGAGATATCTCGAGGAACAACAGCGGGGGTTGCGATGAAAGGTGCAGCCTCGTCGGCTATCGGAAAAAATCTGACGCGGGGTTTTGCACATGTCGAAACGATCGACCACGAGCGCCAGGAATGTTCGTGTATTGCGAATGCATGCCGCATCACTGTAGTAATGAGGGTTTTGCTGCTCAATCCTCATAATTAACCTCGACTTCGTCCTTTGGCTCTCTGGGTTCCTGGGCTTCATGGTACTGGATGGCATCATCGATGTGGCTAACAATGGCCGCCACGCTATCCTCGTCTTGGACGTCGAGTTGCAAGAAAGAGACCATGCTGAAGTCATCAATCAACTGTCCAACAGCCCGGTTGAGTTGGTTGAAGGATCCACCGCTCATCAAAGATTCTTTGGCCATCGGGTTGGCGCTAGCGGTGAGGTCATCTTCTTCCTTGTCCTGTAGCAATTGAACATCCACATTTGTAAAGCGTCTTAATTCCCGGCGGGAGACCATATCACGGACTTGGTCCATCTTGCTGAGAATATTGACGTGGGGCATCTCCATCATCAACATGGCAGACATGGCACTTAGTGTACCGGCGAAGAATTTGGCCTTGTCAACGACGAAGGTACTTTCGAGGAGGTAGGCGGCGCACATGTTGATGTTCAAGGGTCCTTGTCGGGAAAGGAACTGTGTGAGGGATGGTAGAAGGGGGATATGAGTGTAGAGCTCGATCTGGCCGGGCATGTCGAAGATAATGAGGTATTCCTCGCTCAGCGGTTCGAGTGCCTCTGAGAGGAATTCCAGGTTCTGAAGTAGGAACTCAAAGCAGTAAATGAGGCCTCCATTGGGACCTAGACCCATCTCTTCCATCACATCTTCCAATGTGATCAAGTCGCGAATGTCGAGGTCTGGTTCATAAGCGAAGGTCTCAGCGGCAGGGTCGAGATTGACATAGAAACAGCTACGTCGAGTAGTCTGGAGGTGTTGAATGATGGCATTGCTGAAAGTAGTCTTGCCTGCACCGGCAGGACCCATAACCAGGACCCCGAATTTCGACATGGTTGATACTAGCTCCGATAATGCGAAACCAAAAAAAAAGCTCAAGGTCCAACTATCTTATCGGCAATCGGTAACGAGAAAATTGCACTTCTGCCGGAGGGGCTGAATCTGCCGCTGCTGACCGCCTCCGATGGCGCCATCACGGCTGACAGGGACCAGAACTACGGCGTACATTGGGCGGTACTTCGCAGCGACTTTGTTTGTACCCACTTCTCCCATATTTTCATTGGTACTCTCGGTGTATTCGCTACCCACTAAAATTTCCCCTCCCCAAGATCTTTCCTTTTTCCCCTCCTCCGTCCCCCCGTCTCACTCTTCTCTTCTTCATATCTCTCCATACACATTCACAATGGGTTCTCTCGCAAACGGATCGCAGCCTGGCACCTTCCTTTTCACCTCCGAGTCGGTTGGTGAGGGCCACCCCGATAAGATTGCGTGAGTATCATTCCCCTGGTTCCCAACAGTTTTTGCTCGGGATGCTTTTTTTTTTAATTGCGCCAATGCCTATGGACACGGTGTACTGACTTTGACTCAACAGTGACCAGGTCTCCGATGCTGTTCTCGATGCCTGTCTGGCTGAGGATCCCCTCTCCAAGGTTGCTTGTGAGACTGCCACCAAGACCGGTACGTTCATTCTCTCTCTCCCATGCCAACTCGGCTTGATTTCGGAGGGTTCTGAAGCTAACATGATTACCAGGTATGATCATGGTCTTTGGTGAGATCACCACCAATGCTCGTCTGGACTACCAGAAGATCATCCGTAACGCCATCAAGGACATCGGTTACGATGCCTCTGAGAAGGGTTTCGACTACAAGACCTGCAACGTCTTGGTCGCCATTGAGCAGCAATCCCCCGACATTGCTCAGGGTCTCCACTACGAGGAGGCTCTTGAGAAGCTCGGTGCCGGTGACCAGGGTATCATGTTCGGTTATGCCACTGATGAGACCCCTGAGCTCCTGCCCCTGACTGTCCTCCTCTCCCACAAGCTCAACGCTGCCATGAAGGCTGCCCGTAATGATGGCTCCATCCCCTGGTTGCTTCCGGACACCAAGACCCAGGTTACCATTGAGTACGCCCACGACAACGGTGCCGTCAAGCCTCTGCGCGTTGACACCGTTGTCATCTCCGCCCAGCACACTGACGATGTCACCACCGAGGAGCTCCGTGCCACCCTCAAGGAGAAGATTGTCCGCAGCGTCATCCCCGCTGATCTCCTTGACGACCGCACTGTCTACCACCTCCAGCCCTCCGGCCGCTTCGTCATCGGTGGTCCCCAGGGTGACGCCGGTCTCACTGGCCGTAAGATCATCGTCGACACCTACGGTGGTTGGGGTGCCCACGGTGGTGGTGCTTTCTCCGGAAAGGACTACTCCAAGGTCGACCGTTCCGCTGCCTACGTCGCCCGCTGGATCGCCAAGTCTCTGGTCAAGGCCGGCTTGGCCCGTCGTGCCCTTGTCCAGCTCTCCTACGCCATTGGTGTCGCTGAGCCCCTCTCCATCTTCGTCGAGACCTACGGTACCTCCGACAAGACCTCCGACGAGCTGGTCCAGATCATCCGCAACAACTTCGATCTGCGTCCCGGTGTCATCGTCAAGGACCTCGACCTTGCCCGTCCCATCTACGCGCAGACTGCCAAGAACGGTCACTTCACCAACCAGGAGTTCTCCTGGGAGAAGCCCCGCACTCTCAAGTTCTAAGCGATCTCTGCTTAGTCCGGTGACCCCGGACACCTTTTTGACGACTGTGACGAGCTAGCTTTGTTTTCAACAACTCAAAGCACGATGAGCATAGACTATTAAAACCCTCATAAAATCCAGGGATTGGTCTCCAATCTGGTGCCAGTCTCTCTGTTTCATTATCTGCATGGTCGCGCAAATGACGGGCCTTTTGGCGAAGACAAAATTCAACATGATACCACTTTTCATCGGCTGGGAAAGGAAGTTTATTTGGCGTTTTTCGGAAGCAACAGACTTCAACCACACCTCTATCTCTCTCTACCTCCACCTCTACCCTCATCTCCACCTCTCTCCCACGGTGCCTCCCGAGGAGCCTCTGGCCTCGCTTCCACACGAGGCCATACTCTGTCGGCATTGAAGAACGATCCTTGCACGTTGCTCTCTGCGAGAGAACTCTTTGATTTTGTTCATAATGGTCCTGGGCTTGCTAAATTAAACATTAGCGATAGAATCTTCTAATACTTAACACCACCTTTTTTGGCACTTTTTGTGATGAATGTTCACTCTTCGTAACCGCTAGATTCTGGTAACTCAGATTATGGATAATAATACTACCTTAGGCTCTTCAAGCCAGATGAACTAATTGCTTTTGTCCTTACTTTCCCCCGTCTTAACCTCTCTATGCCAAAAAAAAGAAAAAGAGAGAGAATTATAATCAAAGCAGTCGATATTCGTCGAGGCGGAGTGTGCACGTCCCGACGCGTGACGCCAGACCCGCCAAGATTCGGCGCGATCTGTGAACAACTCGCATTTCAAGTCCAACATTGATTTGCTTTACCAGTCTTCACAGGGCTTGACTCTTAATTTACGAATACATGATGGTCCTCTGAACGCGACCATGAACTCGCGAATCGTCCCTCAAATCCTAGATCCACTCAATTCGTCCACACTCAACAAACTCCACGATCCGACCCCTCCACCCACCAAGAAACGGAAAAGAAGCGTCGATGAGGAACCATACAGTGCCTTTGGGCGACTGGCTACCTCTTCTATCGTTATCAGAGTCAGTGCTGGTCAAGATCTGCTGAAACCAGGTTGAAATGTATTGGCCGTTGTTGCTGACTCGATATGCGACTATAGGCCCACGCTGCATCTCTCTCTGACGAACCCTTGATCCTCGAGCCGATAACAGCCCTTTCCCGATCGAAGCTTCTCTTCTCATGGCTTGACGATACGCCTCCCTCCCGGTCTGACGAACAACCCGGAGGCCTGTTCACTGCAGATATACCCACGCTGGAGAATGATCTCGGCGCAAAGGCCGAGCCAACAGTCCTAGCCGTGAAACTGCTGGTCAATGGAGGCCTCTATGTCGTGGAGCGGGTGAAGAGAGGTATCTATTCGCTCTCCAAACTCGCACGATGGGTCCACGAGGGAGACCTCGTCGCCGCGGCGAAGGGGTGGCACAAAAGTGGCCCTGCTGAGGACGCCATGGCTGTTGATGACCCAAACATAATGTCTGATGGCTTTGATTGGTGGAGAGCTGCGCAAATCGACGAACCTACCTCTGGGCTCGGAGTTGGTGAGAAGCCAGCTGGACTCAGTATTGCGCTCGTCTTTGGGTCATCTGAGCCAGACCTAGAAGCCACCAATGCTTCCGCGGGCGTTGAGGAGCATGTCGTGCCTTCGTTCGCTCTACCAAGAACCCTTGACGCTGCTGAGGAGGATCCATTCACGGATCTCAAGCCTCAGGCCTTGAATGATAATGATAATGCTATGCACGTGGACGGCGAGGATACACATGTAGCAGATGTGCAACAGTCGCCTGAGGAACTGTTGGACGGAATGAGAGATCACTATCTTCAGGCTCTCTACATTTCAAAGGTATGCACTACTTGTTCCTTTTGTTCTCAAGACTTGTTACTGACACTTTCTAGACATCCGTGGCATACTTTGCAAAAGGGCCGCTGACTCGTTGCCGGAAAGCTTTCCAAGTCCGTGATTCAGAAGAGGCAAAGGGCTCAGCAGAGCTAATTGAATTTTACCGTGAAGCCATTCTCACTGCCAAGAAAATGGACCTCAAGTATAAGGAATCACTACCCTCTGCAGTAGGCGATGCAGCACTTGCTATTTCCGAGGACGATCGAAAACCTAAAGGTCGAAAGAGTAAGAAGAAGAAACTTGGCAGAAACGGCCTCTATCCTGGGGAGGAAGGTTTCATCCACAGATGGTGGAAGGACAGGGCCTTGAACGAATCTTCTGCGCCAGAGAATTCGCGTGAGACAGAGTCTAAGAAGCAGATCTCAGACCTCCGACTGCGCGAAACCCAGCTGCAGATACTCCTGATCTTGGAAGTTATGGTGCTGGAAATGACCATTCAGTCTGCCACGAAAACCAATTTAAATAAGGAGGCAAAGCCAGATGCGGAGAAGGACACGCCCAAGAAACCAAAGGCCAAAAAGCTGGCGGACATGAACGTTCTTCTCGAATTGCATCTCGATCGCATGTGCATCTGGCATGCTGTTAGCATGCAAGAGACGACTGCGTCTGATACCGCCAAAGCTTCGTCATTTAGTGGCAATCATCTGTCGGGCAAGAAGACCGAGAGTGATGCTGTGCGTGATTTCTGCACTGAGGTGATTGTTCCATTCTACGCTGCTCGTCTTCCGGACAAGTGCAAGTTGATAACGCGCAAATTCGGCGTGTCCAGCGGCATTTCACCAATGGCCAAAAAGACTCGAACTTCAAGTAAAAGCCAGCACGTGGAGCCTGGAACTGAAATCCAAAGACAGCCACCTGCGCAAAAGTCTCGACGTACATTGCAGCGAGTCGCCACGGATGAAAAGACAACAACGTCTCAATCTCGTCTACCAGGACTACATAGATCCAACACCGCGCCCAGCCACCCTCACGGAAAGCGCGACAATGAGCCACTATTGCCCACCGTTCTTTCTGGTAATGTTCGCGGTGGCATGCAAAAGGCCAAGCGCAACGACAACCGTGAGGTTGACCTCGAGGCTGTGGCAAGACAGCATGAGACCAAGCTAAGAAAGGTTCAAATGCTAGCCGATCAAAAGAAAGAGCTTGATGCGGCCATCCAAGCGCTGAGGAAGCCGAACAGAGAGCTTGTTTCGAAAGACATTGCAGACGACGTGAGCAAACGGGTCTCGACCGGCGGAGGTAGTTCAAGAAAATCTAAGAACCCTGTGCGTAATCCCTTCGGCGAGGGCGTCCAGGTTATGGCGACTCCACGAGCCAACCGCAGAAAGGATCCAGGAGTAGGACTGCCACATGTGCCTCGCAGTCTGGTCCCATCTCAGTCTTTTGCGGGTGTGGAAAACTCGCCCATCGGCGAATCTCCACTCATGATTCCTTCCTCTAGCAGACGGGCAATATCGTTCTCTGGTGGCGCCTCCGATCCTTTCAATCGTCGCGGCGAGGGACGAAGCCCCCGGTCAAGCCAACCTGAAGGAACTATCCATGAAACCCCCACCCGACCATCTTCCAAAATCTTCCAAAGCGACGCTATGGCTGCCCGGAGGCCGTCTTCTTCTGGAAAGGGTCTCTTTAGGGTACCCAACCTCCCGACCCCTCGCTCGGCCACACAGCCAATGGTCCCGGGCAGTCCTGTCCACTCTCGCCGTACTCCTTTCGCTGCACCATCAGAAAACTCGTCACTGTCATCTCGACAATTCAGCCAGTCGCTCAACGCCGTGCGTTCTTCGGCTATCATGGAAACACCGCCAAAGAAACGCGGACCAGAAATAATGTCCCCTGCTGCTGCTCCAATCTCCACATCCCTCGACTCCATGGTTCCCAACCACCGAGCTCCCTCCCCTCCGGCTGTGCTGGGGACGCCAGTCAAGGGTGCCGCAGCTGTACCTGTCACCCCTGAAAAGCCGCAGTCGCAATCAATCTATGCGCAGCTTGGATGGGACGATGAGATGGAGTTCTGATTTTCGCTACATGTGTTTTTGCATAGCGTGCTTATGCGATTTGCATTGAAAGGTTCTTTTTGTGGTCGGGTCATTGCATTTGTATCTTATTTTTAGCCTTTCCTTTTCCGTTTTTGTACTGGTTTTCAGGGTGGAGTTCGAGATTGCGGCTGAAGCACTGGGCATGGCGTGCATTGATTGTATTGTTTACAATCCGGATATATCCCCACAACCGCATCGCGTTAGCATTACAATGAAGTGCAACACATCTTTCATGATCAACAATGCCTATCCCATAATTCAAACTCGCTTGACGTCCTGCTTCTTCGGCGCGGGACTCACCCGTAAAGAGTAGAATGGATCAGCATACAGGGCTGAATTTAGTCCATATTTAAGGTAACAATTGGCTTGGCATGTTTTGAGTAGACAAATTTGACAGTTGCTAAATTTGATTGGAGTTATATGAAGATCGGCATGATTCTCACACAGAGAGGTCTAGATCGTGGTTCGATCAGCTACAGCCCTAATATATTATCCCTTGTACTCCATCTTTTTTTAGATCATTGGAAGTCAATTGCAACTAGATCGGCCTTGGCTTTCAGTCTAAAAGCCTTACGTGGTCGCCCCACAATCCAAAAGGCAGTCGTATTCGGGTTTGAAACAACTTTAATGTACCTCCTGAGTCCTTGAAAACTTCGATTTTTTTCACTTTAGCCAGTCACGATAATGCCCACGCCTCCAAAGTGAGCATTAATGCATACGCCATGAACGATCAATCCCACAAGGCCCCGAACCACAGCCGTCCTCTACTATACGTTCCCAACACACTATGGACGCGATTATTCGCTGCAACCGTCATTACCGAGACAGTCCTCACAGTCGGAATTGAAAGGTAACGGGCCCTCGAACTAGCGCCGCTACCTCGGACTTATACTTGGAGGATGATGACTGATGTGGTTGATCGCAAACCAGCTGGATCCTGATCAGTCTATGGAACAATCTCAGCGACGATGGAAAGAGCCAGGGCCCACTGCGCCTCCAGTCATTCCTGGGACTGTTTATCTTCGCCTTGTTATATGAGCTCGGTCTCTCGTACGATGCATTACGCCGAAAGAACACCATTCAATTGGTCGGCCTCTGCGTCTGTAACCTGGGTCTCTTGACATATGGCTTTCTCCAGATGCAGGAGATTCAATCGACCATCAGCGGCATGGTCAATGACAAAACTTTTAGCGACCACTTGCTGGAGGTATATCGGATCGAACTTATCATCGTCCCGGTCATCTTGGGTGTCGGGACCGTGTGCATGATTTTCTTTACGTGGAAGTTGCGCGCGGAGTTCTCCTGGTCCATCTACAAAAACATCAGTGCCGATTTACAGATGAAGCGGCGATACTTCACATATCAGGTTTGTCAATGGGTATTAATGCTGTCGCGATTCTTCGAAGCTAATATCAGCAGGTGTACATCTCACTCCTGAAATTCGACTTTTTCTTCGTGTTTGGAAGTCAACTCCAAGTTCTTCTCGTCGTCAGTAAGGCCGAAGATGCAGATTTCATTTTAAACGCCGCTTTAATCCCGATCACAATTGCGACATTGGTTCTCTCCGCTCAGTTTTGCAAGCGGGAAAAACGAAAATCTCTCATTCTTATGATGGTGAGAACAGTCAATTACTCATTGTTGCAGGCTCAAGCTGACGGCTGCTTTAGTTCTTTATGCTTATTATCATGGGCTGCTTTGTTCTTACATTATTCCGAATGCATAGCACAACGGACAGCGCCAACTTCAGCTCTGTCCGAATATCTCTGACCTTGTTTGCTGGAGTTTCATTGCTGTTGATGCTAGTTACGTTGATTCTCTCCGTGATGTGCATTGTCAATTTCAACAAAGGTCTGAAGCACCATGTTAACCCTTCTAAAAAGCGACGGAAAAATTCAGTTGCGTTGGAACTCCAGGAGAGTGAAACTCCTACGCGGTTCTTGCTGACCTAGAGATGTCGAAATGACCCTTCTTTTACGCTTTCTCCCCATGTCTTATAACTAAATACTTTTACGTTCATGTATATATACCTCATACGATCAATTCGAAGTGACTGCGTTCAACTCCTGGGTAGAATGAAGTATAAAATGCTGACTGGACGACCATTTGTGATTGGACCGGCGACTTTTAGGTTGGCCGGTTCCAAGGTTTGCCCCCCTCACCCGCGGACTTTGTCTGAGCCTCGTCTTGCATTTTCACCTCCACAGTCTTACTCGGTCGATGCGACACCTGGCAATGGGCGATTATCAAAGACCTCAAACATTTCGCGCGACCAGGCCCAAGAAGAGAGCGATCGCGTAGGTTGACTCACAGCGATCATTGACCTGGGCTCATATTTTTCATAGTTGCCATCGATGTCATTCACAGAAAATCAAATGCTCTGGAGAAAGACCATGTTCGAAATGCCGTGCTTCAGGTTATGATACACAATGCAGTTACACGACTCGAGATCGCAAAGTACGCGTGGATGAAAGGTACATTTTCGCACTGGCAACCCTTTGCTCAAATGCTGATGGCCATGAATGATAGCTATCTCGAGCAGCTTTTGAAGGATAGCGAGGAGCTACATGCGCGACGGTATCGCTCAAAGCAAAATCCCCACCCATCCCATCAAGAGCCCATCCCCCATGATGATGCCACTGAGCACGATGAGCCTAGGATACAGGGGAATCTCCTCAATAATAAGCCATGGTTCCAGGTGCATGACGCATCAGTGCTCCCTTTATACATCAGCGAGGCAACGTGCACGGCCTTTGCTACTCGACTCTGCCAGTGTCTGACAAAGACCAACACCCCAACGCTTTACCTCCCCAAAACCAGATATACGGATGAATCGACACTTTCATCCTTACTGCATACGGACGTGCAGTGGCCTAGTCTTGTCTGCGCCCAGCTCTTAGTGAAGACTGCGCTAGGCCACATTATCCCGTGCTTTCACCTGGCACTGAAAAAAGACTCAATGGACATGCTTCATGGTGTTTATCAGCGAGGAGACTTTGAAGATCCAAGTATCAAGTGCAAATATTTTGCCCTTTTTGCTCTTGCGGAGGCTTTTTCAACTCCTCACGATAGTTCTAATCAGCCCTATGTACCGGGTTCTGCTTATTTCGCCCGAGCATTGAGCCTTATTCAGATCATCCCCGAAAGACCAAGCATGATTCACATAGAAAGCTTGCTGTTGATTGTAAGACCAGCCCTCCAAGATTTCTAGCCAATGCTGATTTTGTATACAGGCGTACTTCTGTCAGTTCTTGAACCGCTTCCACTCTGCGTACCTACTTGTAGGAAACGCACTGCGTCTTGGACTCAGCATAGGCTTGAACTACAACGTGCCGCAGTCTCAAAACTTGCACCCAATAGCTAGGGAGCATCGGATCCGTCTCTGGTGGACTATCTACACCCTGGAACGTTTCTGGGGCTCAAAATCAGGGTTTCCTGTGCAAATCCATGATGATGATATCCATGTTGATCACCCGTCCATTTCGGCATCTGAGACCTATAATGACCAGTTTCCAGATGGGGCTTATCAGATTGCAGCTATTGAGCTAGCTAGGATAACTGGAGATACGACCGGGGAGATCTATTGCAAGAAGATCTCGACTGAAAGTTTCTTACTTCGTGAGCAGAGACTACTGACTCAACTGAAGCAGTGGATTCAGTCTTTGCCTCAACACCTGAGACTCAATTCGGAGGGGACAACCTCGAAACACACAATCCACATGCACCTTCAGTTCAATTTTGTAAGAACCATCTCGTTGCTCGTCCAGGCCTTTGCTAATTTTCCCAGTGCGTGATCTTGACGATCAGACCAGTCCTAATGCATGTCCTCAGCCTGCAAATGAAGAATCCCAGCGACCAGTCGGCGGAAGCCATTTCTCCAGTCCTGGTTACTTTGAGCGAGGCATGCATACATTCAGCCAGGCATTCCCTGGCACTATGTGTGAATGAATGGACTGGCGGATCTCTAGCCACGTTCGGCTACACGTTCCCTGCGTACCTATTCTCTGCAGCTTTGATCTTGATGCTATCCAGTCTTCTGCCACTAGGAGATCCCAGTGACTTAACATCGGCCGAAACAGCCATGGAAATACTCAGGAACCTCAGCTTGTCCGATCAACTGGCATCAAGGGATCTATATGAGCGGATTCAACGAGTGCATCAGTGTCTTCATAGTAGTCCTTTTTGCCCTGCGCCTGCTGCTACCCAAGTCCCTACTATCGACTTTGCTAGCGAGCCACCAATGGTTCAAGGTTCAGGAAGACCATTGCGCTCAAGTCAACTCTCAAGCAATCCACAATACCCCATCGTCCCTCCGGAGGATTTTAGTCATATGATTTTCGATTCTAACGTCCCATATCTCACAACAGAGATGGCTCTTCATCAGCCAACCATGTTGGATTTCTTAACACAGTCTGATGTGGACTTCGAGCTGCTGGACCCGGTCGGATGGTTTAACGATTTCGATTTAGCTTTCTCCATGTCTGCCGACTCACCGTATGAGTCAGTAATACACTAATGAAGGATTGGATTTTTTTGTGTGTATGTTTATAATCAAACGATGAACGAGTCATATTTCACAGTTGGCTGTGGCCGTCGAAAGTGGACCTACCCGTTGATACGCGGCTCGGTCAAACTCAAGTTAGCCGTAGCGTGCCAGATGTCTCTATACAACCAGAAGTATAAGATGAACAGCGGCAGCCATCACATCTCTAATCAGTATCCTCAACAATCAACACAATTTCCACCATGGAGCCAAAAACAAAGTTCTCCTACTCCTACTTCCACATCTCCAAGAGAGACGGTGTAGCGATCTCCGCTCAAAACCACCGCACCCTACGCCTCAAAGCCCTCGAAACCTCTCCAGCCTCATTCTCATCCACCCACGAGATTGAATCCAAATTCACCGACATCGACTGGCAAAATCTCATCACAGCTCCCGACCGGGTAATCTTCGTCTGTGCCGCCACACCACTCAATCCCGATGACTCACAAGCTGGTGAGCCCGAATGGATCGGCCAAGTTACTCTGCGCGGACCTCTATCTGAGGAAGCATTCACCTTACCCGAAGAATCTGGACAACCACCGCAGAGACCAGACGAAGAAGAAGAGCGATGGCAGATGCTGAGCCTGTTCACACTACCGGAACACCGCGGCCTGGGCCTCGGCGCCAAATTATGTCAGAGCGCTATGGATTATCTGCAATCGTATCGTTCTTCGCCGCGGACTGTCCAAGTGCGTCTTATTATCAAGGCTGGGAATCATGTTACGATAAAGTTCTATGAGCGGCTTGGCTTTGTTTCTGCGGGAATGGCAACTCTTGTCGAGGCTCTTATCGCGAATGGGGATGAGGGCTTGTTACCGGATGATGTGAGCTCGGCAAAATGGTCCGATCGATTTGGATTGATTATGAATACTCGTTTGTCTCGTTGATGTGTTGCTCTTGTTTTTCTAGACTTATAGAATGTGCGATAGACTTGGTTATTTCAAAATTGTACTGCTGTTCTAGAGTAGGCAAAACATTACACTCAGAGGAAATGTAGTCGATGCTTACGCTTTTCCTCCAGCACCTGCACTCTGTAGAGTCATGCGGTCAGGGTATATTGGGCGCTCAAGTCGTCCGGGTGACAAGTTACTATGCCACGAAGACTAGCGGGGATGGGCATGTGGGGCATCCGTTTTTCGGCCTTTGGGCTAAACTGCCCAGGCGTCAAGTCTGTTATGATATTCAGGGAGAATTGGATTACTGTGGCTGAGGCTGTTATGTTCACTACCGGTTTGAAGTCTTCAATCGAGAGCCATACAAGTGTACAAACTGTCTCAAAATAGAATCATATGATCTTGGACTTCACCAATCGGCATCTGACACAATTACAGCAAAGTGATTTGTGTAAAATTGACACAGTAACAATCCCTGTTACACTGTTCCAAATAGTTAAATATCTGCGCAGACAGGGCAATGCTTGTGGCAAAGTCAGCAGTGCGAAGAGCAAAAGGAAGTGAGGCGGTTAAGAAAAAGGTGAAATACGGTGAGGATCTCATTTTACAAGGCGCGTTATTGGGTCGAGTCTAGTGGCCTCAAACGGCGGAGAAATCGACGAATAAAACCCACTAATTTATGCAGTAGCTGCATTCGTGTGAGATGGATTTTTGATATATTGACACGATTACCGTCACAACACATCTCAAAACAAAAGAGCTAATGCAGCCTGCCCAACCGCTACATGCTGCGGAGTATCGGGTGCAGAAGCTGCCCGCTTCCAAGGTTAAACATAGGCTCATCACATATCCCGGGACAACCCATCGTGGCTTGCAAAATACCTTCGCCTAATTGTAAGGTTGCAATATTCATATTCCGTACCTACCTATAAGGTCGCTACAGGTCCATTTTCCACGCTGTACTGAAAAACACAACCTTGGAACTCTACGAACCCGTCTTTTTGAAGCTCAATTCGATTCACACTGCTCATATTCCAAGGATTATGGTCGGATCGAATTTGCTCATCGCTTTAATATACGAAGACCCAGGCACCTATTTAGATCTTGGGTATAAGAAGTCCGATATCGCGCATTTGGAAGTCGGCGCCGCGGCCGAGGATATTGCTACTGCGATTATCAGATTGGGGCATCGATATGTTCCCATCCCAGATGTGAAAACTCTCGCGAGTAAGCTCGGCTCCGGCGAGGCTGCGCATTGGGATCTAGCGGTGAATATTACAGAGGGGGTTTATGGAACGGCAAGGGAAGCACAGGTGCCGGCGATGCTGGAGGCGTTCAGTATACCATATACATTTTCCGACACGGCGACCATGGCCCTATGTTTGGATAAGGGAAAGACCAAGGTGAGTTATCTGCGTTTCAGTGTCAAGCTCGTTTGATGCGGGGATGGTTCGGTTAGGTACTAATAGTGGGGATTTTGGGGTTGTAACAGATGGTCCTGGAGCATTATGGGATTCCGACCGCCCCCTTCGCCGTCATATATTTAGACAAGCTTCAGAACCGGAAGCTCACGCCCGACGTCATCGGCGCCCTCACCAAAACCTCCAAGCACGCACCGGGTCTTCTAAACCCAACATCCTACCCGCTTTTCGTGAAGCCACTAGCCGAAGGATCATCCAAGGGCATCAAGCAAAGCAACGTCATTCACAACATCAAGGAGCTATGCCAAGCCGTCGAGGGAATCCATTCCAGCGCGACCTCGGCGCCAGCGGTGCTGGTCGAGAAGTTCCTAGCGGGGCGAGAGTTCACGGTTGGGATCTTGGGAACGGGCGATGACGCATGGGTTCTTGGAGTCAGTGAGATGGCATGGAGGGGAAAGAGTGACCCTGACGTCGACTTTGACGTCGGGTTCACGACTGAACGGTCCAAATCCGACGACGATTGGGATGGCATCGCGGATGAGATCCCAGCCAATCGGGAAGATCCGCTGGTCGAACGGGCATGCACGGTCGCGCTGCGGGCCTGGCGAGCGTTGCGGTGTCGTGATGGTGGAAGGGTTGATATCAGATTGGACGGAGACTCGGCCGATGCAGAGGCTAATGTTCTGGAAGTAAGTGACGTCTTCTGTTGAACTACGTTGATGACGGAGATAGCCGAGACTCTCTCCGGGCAAAATGATGTGTTGCATGACTCTTATCTGTGTTTTTCTTGTTTTGGCTGGCACGATGAGCTCAGAGTTGAACTCAAAGTTGGCAGGCGGCGATTCTTGAGTTGTCGATTACACGTCAGGCCATGTTTATGCTTTTGTATACTGACCACGATACTTCTCATAGATCAATCCCTTGGCAGGGTTGAGGCCTCAATGGTCGCAGCTGCCGATTATCGCAAAACATAACGGGATGTCATATGAGACCCTGTTGGAGCACATCTTGCGCAGTGCGTTAAAGAGGGCTCCATCACGATGGAGATTGTGACATGGATATGATGAAATTGGTGCGATCGGCGAGAGATTCGCCACACACCCTGGGGTTTCCACCAAACATAACCCCCAGATGACTTTCCTTCATATTCCACCGATTCCAGGAGTTCCACCATGAGGATCAGGGTCCCACTGCCCTCAGCTTCGGGTTTGGGGCCTGCATTAGTTCTCCAGAATTGGGAGATGAGGATCCGTTTCGGTTGTCAGGCACGTGATCCCGCAGAACGGGTACGCGGCTTTTGGATGAGTCACGCCGCCAGACCTTCCACGTTGGGAATCATATAGAAAGTTAAGAATAGAGACCGGATGTGGGGTGCCGGGAGGCAAATCCATGAAGAATCCGTTCAATCCCCAATACTCCGTATTAGTGTCTTGTTAAGTGAGAAAATGAAAATGAGAAAAATGATTTTTGTCCAGCAAAAAATAAGTAGTCTTTGGTTATTAAGATAGTTTGACATATTGTCTTCAAGTAAAGTTATATACAGATCGTTTTGTTTGTTCGTCAAGGTCGTCAAGTCATGGTATCGTAGATCGGCTGAAAGAGAAGGGTCGCAAAAGTGGCGAATGTAGAAGTGAGGTGGTGAAGAGAGAAATTATAAAGCGAGGGTCGTGATCAGCCCGCGATGGGACCAACCATGCAAGACCCCCTGTCCAGAGGTGTTTGGAGGTCGCCTCAAGACAATTGCGACCCTTCTCCAAAAAACCATGCTCGGAGTGTTCAGGGGAAGGTTGAGTAGCCTGGGCAGCCGCCACCGCGACGGGCTCCGGGGTTGGGGAATCCGTTTCTTTGGTGATTTCGACTTCCGACTCGGCGGGTGGCGTCCTGGACTTGAGCACAGGCAATTCGGCATTCTTCATATCATCCATCTCATCCTCGTCATCGGTGTCTTCAAAGTCAAATGAGCTGATGCGAGACTTCATATCGTTCTCGGTCCACATGACGGAGCCGCAGTGCAGGCGGAAGTGAGCCACGCAGCGGCGGAGGTCTGGGTCGGGAGCGGTAGCTTCACGGGCGAGTTTCTCTTTGGAGAGATGAGTGAGCTTATAAGGGAGGGCGTTGCGGTTCGCCATTGGGGGCCAGCGTTTATTTTGCACAATGGGCACAGAGGCAGTTGGCTTGGGTGTCTTTGGAGCTTGAGTAGTTCCGTTCATATTGATGTACCATCGATTAGATGGATGGTTGGTGGTATGTAGATGCAATGCAATGCAGTAGTAATATGGTGAAGTGTGGAGTGTGGAATTGGTATGTGGAATGTGTGGAAGAGATCAAAAAGTAAAGGCAGAGAGAGGTAGAGCAGCGGTAGCGAGTCTTATACCCTTTTTTTTCACGATGGGAATGGGGAACCTGGTCCAAGCGCCCAAGCCGTGTCAGCAGATCACGAAACCGGTTCCAGACTGGCCTGCTCTTCTTCCCTCTGAGGTGTCCGCCCTTTCTGGCTGCTTTTTTTTCTTTTTTTCTTTTTTTTTCTTGGCTTCTTCTTTTTTACTTTCCCCATGATTCATCAAATGTGGCCATTTTACCTTTCTAACTTTCTTATATAATTCTACTTATTATCTTACTTAATAATTTCATATTTTACTTACGGATACACCTGGGTAGGGCTTGGGTTATTTTTTTGAACATGTGTGTGTAGCGGCTATACGGACCCTCGGAGTGGATAGTCCAAGGGCCCCAGTTTTCCTGATCATTTGATGCTTCGAAAATTTTTCGGTGGGGACCCTTCTGCGGAGCTTATCTTACGTCTATTCGCCCTGAGGATCCTTACAGAAAAAAATAGAAACGTTGCACGGGGAAACTCACGATCCCCACGGATTACTTTCCTTGGAAGTCCGAACCCCCTCAATACGGACGTTTTCAGAGGTACTCCGTATTATGGTCAAGCCCGTAACTTCGTATTGATTCGACTATAACTGGTACTCCGTTTACAGAGTACCGTATCTCTATCATCCTCCCCCTTCTCTCCCTACTCGCTTGGCATCCAAAAAAATGCATGCTTAGAAATGGCGGGACTCGCCCCTAACTGAATGCCCCTGGTACAAGCCCCGCTACGGAGTAGACTCCCTAGTCGTGGCCGTTGACTTAGCGAGCCTGAGCCTCGGCCTCTGGGTCTGGGCATATCCCCAGAAGACACACCATTGAAATCTGCGTTCAGTATTGTTTCGCTGCACGCGTAGAAGGTCCACCCTGTGCCCCGACCACCCCCATGGGCACAATAATGCGCTGGACAAAGAATCTCTTCACACCGACAAGTCCACCTGCATTCCACCTCGTCCCACGAATAATGCCCCTCCTGACGATCCTGAGGGGCGCCAAGTGTCTATCCGCCGAAGACGGCTTTTAATCCTAATCCCAGGGTTATATTATCCGGTGCCCGTGCGACACTGGCTAAGCTCCAGACCCCCTCCCTGAACTTACACCCAGCACTCCCGCGGAGGACCGACCAAACATCGTGAAGTGTGGCGCTCCAGAAATGGAGCGCCTCTGCTCCGCCATCAAAACGGACCTACACATTACGAGTCCAGCAGTTGTGGAAAAATAAGTTCCGCCTTCCACAGATCTTCCCCAAATTGATTGGGATCCAAAACATGGGTACAGCTAACTCTCTGCGCTTCCGACTTCCGCGCTCGGAGTTTTATCCGATGTATCGTGGAAACCGACAGAAAGCCGAGTTTTTTGACCAACCCCCCATTCAGAAATCGATTTGACTAAGACTTGCGATGATCTCGCAGATAAGGGTGTAACGCCGTTTGGCTAGTCAGTTGCGAGAAAGGTGAAACACAGGCAAGATGGTGAGATCTGCTGCAGGCTTCGAACTCCACAATTTCCAACTAAGGCTATTGCAGCCACCGGGTCCAGGAATGAAGTCTAGAATCTCTTTAACAAAGGGCTAGACATTGGGAAAAAGCAGGTTCTCTACGCGCTAGCACTCCTTGGTGGGCCCACACTGGCTTCTAGCTCCTCGAACTAGTTCGCTCGCTCACCGCGAAATACATTAAATTGCCAAGCACGTTATTCGACGATATACAGTAGTCTCTTCCAAGGTTGGTGTTGACTCGTGTGTTAATCTACACTCCGTAGACACGGGCGCGAATGTAGATCTCAGATCTTTGATTTGTACGTATGCGAAGGCGCTGTGGCTACTCCGTACTCGTATTAGCACGCTCCCGCTCCAAGCGCACGCATGCGGTTTCAAACGGCAACACATGTTTGGAGTTCGGAGTACGGAATATGCCTCTGGATGACCTTGGGATCGTGCATTCCACTCCGGGGTACGGAGTAAGCTGTCCATTAAGAGCGATGAGGGGGGGAAACGGTGTGGGGTTCAGGTCTTGGCTCGCGATACGGTTCTTCCACGGTTAACTTCTGGAGAACAGCAAACCTCGGAACTTGGCTGTCACTCAAGCCACCATAATACGTGGGGAATCTAGACAAGGGTCTTATGTCATTGATTGTTTGTGGCATTTATCTTAGATCTCTTCGGTGCGGAGTAGCAAAACACTCTATTGGCTCCCAAACATACATCGACTCACATAGATCAACAAGATTGGTGTACATGTTTATTACCACATAACGTGTTTGTTGTCGTATCAAATCATGATGGATATTAGTACATTTGCCCCGAAGCACCTCCGAAGATTCATGGTACAAAAATCTCGACATGCAAGCAAACTCCCGACGCCAAGTGCCTTCATGAATCACCAACAAGTCTCTCTAGAATTCGCACTGCGTTTTAAGATCCGCTATGTTGTTCGGGTGGTCGTCTCCTACCATGCTCGATGACGCCGTTGACATCGTTCTATGGACCCAAATGGTCACTGGAGGGAACGGGACTGGGCGCCACTATCTCGGCAACAAGTCGGCTAGCAAATGTATGATAAGGCTTATATGAAACCCTTTTACGCCGAACTGTAGGCCAGTCCAGAGGACTCGTTGCGTCCCTCGGATCCGTAAGCCCATCCAGAAGTTCGGTAGTGATCTGGGCCTCGTAAAACATCATGCAATCTCGATCTAATACATTGGTGACGAGAAGACGCGACTGGAAGCGAATCAGCGAATCAGCTGGAACCCGACAAATCGACCGCAAAAATAAGCAGGAAACTCACGGTGTAAGTACTTGGTTCTGACAAGTCGAGCTTGAACTCTTGAAACTGTGCAAGAGCCAATAAGTGACATATGAAATACGGATCTTCGGTCCATTCCTTCGGGGTTGTCTGAGCTAGTCGCTTCTGACAGATATTTGCTCCAACGGAGTTGAAAACGCCCCTTGGCCCTGGGCAAGGCTCGAATTGTCGCCGGCGATCTTCGTTGATGCTTGTGTAATGTACATAGCCTACCAACGGGGGTGAGCTCTTATGGATGTCATCAGCGGGTTCTTCACGACGATGAAAGATGATATAGTTTGGTCGGTGAGCAACCCCATCTTGAAAATAGAATGGAGCTCCGTTACTGCTCAGCAATTATTGTCAGCCATTCCTATATGTGCTGTTTCATATTGTAGCTCTCACCTAGTATAGGCAAAAGGGCCCTCTTCGCCAATCAAAATGTTGATGAGACTACGAAGTTTGATAGGAGGGGACACATTCATAGCAATTTCTTCAGCATCGCTTGGTGGTGTCGAGCAAGGTTTTGGACCGCCATTGTTCCTGTGGTTGTTTTGGGTAGATTCTGTGTTGACAGGAGGAATTCCGACATCCTGGAATCGACATCCCACTAGATCAAGGTGACGCGAAGTCCACTTGAGAGGATTGATGAGTAGTTCACAATGGTAACGCATGATATCATGAAACGACTCTGGTCTAGCATTGGCCCCCATTATCAGGATGACAGTCTCAGCGATTGTGGTGATGGAGGCATGATGATAATGCCATATGAATAACTTCACCGTCTAGGATACACCTCTGACCGCCTTTGGTACATGACGGACGAATCAGCTTGTATGGGGTATGATTGGATAGTAAGTATCGAGAAGATAGCAGGCATGGGCGGTAATGTAGTGTATTTTGAGACGAGAGGAGGAAGGAGGAAGAGAGGGAAAGAGAGAGAGCTCTAGTCAGGTATCTACTGACAAACTTGGCACCCATGGGCTCTGACAGTCAGGCACACCCCATTCTCCATAAGTTGATGACCTTATGTTCCCGGCAGAGCCCTGAAAATAGGGACAAAAGTTCCGGGAGTACGTCCAAATGGATGCTCTCCATAATCCCGTTAGAACTTATATAAGAGAAGTGGTCGTTGAGCCATATCAAATTAGGTGATTTCAAATGCCTTGACTTTCTGTCTATAGATTTCAAAAAGTAACTAGAGGACTTTGAAAACGCTCCTAGAGCCACGTCCACTTCAGTCAACAGAGTGCCTATTATTCTACGGGTCTATTGAGACCCAAAAGACATCTTTTTTTTCCCCTGCAAGATCTACTCAGTACCCAAGTCATGGGTCCTGGGTCCCGTGCACTTAACGCATATTGCCTGCCAGCTTTCACTGCAGTTTCAAACAATCCTGGCTAGTGGCCATGTACGTACGCGCCCGGGTATCTGATCTGCTTACCAAACTCCCCAATAGGTTTCATTTCCGATACTCGGAAATGAATATGCAGCTAAGTCAGTCATCGGGTCAGGTAGTATAAATGCGCCAAATAACTAGTAAGCCTCCGAGGGCAGGTCTCATATTCAGCAAATAATATGGCAGCAGTCCATGTGTATTGTCGGGTTGGGCTCCGTTTCATCTCCGTTTTCAATGAGCCCAAAATGTTCGCATCATATCAGGCAACACGATTTGTACAAATTATGAAGCACGTTGCCTCTTGATTTTTATTGTCTGCCTTGTTCATATCCCTGAGTACCGACTCATGCAAGGAAACAGGCAGAACTCCTGCCCTTGTACCCGTTCCGGGTTCAGGTAAAAGCTTATAAGTAATGATAGATCGAAAGGTAACAGACACTCGATCTAGATGTGAATCTGTACAACGCGTGGCCCCCGACGCGCAACGCTCCGAGTGAGTTTGATTGTTTCCATTGTATAGACTTGGGAGCAGTAGGACTGTCATTTCCTGGTGGTTTTGCTCGTGATCACAAAATCCATATGCATGTTCACAGTGATCTTTGCAAACTATGTGGCTATCTATTGCCTCAGAAAGTCGTGGATCGTTTGATTGCAGATACCGTGTTTTATCGCTTATTTGGAAATTGGTTTAATATAGGCTGAAACAAAGTATATTTCTCTACTTCGTGCTCGCCAAAAGTACTTGACGCTCGGTCAAGGGCTAGGATCTCGGTCTTTCGTATGTTCCATTTGCCGGAATAAGCCTCCAAAAAAGCTCCTGTTTCAAGTCATTTCTGTTCAGCTTACCATTTGTAGGGATCAGTATCGTTTCGATGTTGCATTGAAAGAGAAACACTATGCACCCTCACCCGGGAATCAGAGTCTGAAAATAACACATTGGGAGAAGATACAGAGGTCAGTTGAACTCGATTTAGTGACTGGCCACCGTTGTATTTCTCTCATTTCTGAGTCATGGTACCCGAGCTGAAGCTGTATGTATGTGTCAACTAATCGACCCCGCATGTGCCGAATGTAGTTCTCTGGGAATGTAGGGATAATGGTAAAGGCGGGTATTGCTATTTACATATTGAAATAATTAGTTTGATCAGCTCCGGGGGGGATAGGTAGTGACATACTGTTGTTCTTTGTCTATCGCTGGCATATACTTTAATTTGCTTTCTATACCAAACTTGGATTTAGATGAGATCGAAAGCAATATTTTCACATGTACTTTTGTGATATATTCTATCCTCCTATGGCATGGGGTAGCAGATTGATAAACAGCGCATAAAGGCGCTAGATATATCATGTCCCTATCCTCATACAAATGTTCCTTTCGTCGAAGAATCACTGATGAGAGGACGTTGAGCCCTGTGGAGCATTACCTACATTCGGACCATTGACCAGATGACATCAGTCAGTACTGCAAGGTCTAGGCTGCGTATGCAAGACAGGAGACATCTTAAAATTCCCAGAATTTACAAAGCCACCTTGTATCAGGTTGAAGCGGCACGGTTGAGGGTATTTGTGTGACAAATGCGAAATGCCGGCACCGAGCGTTGAGGACGGCAGCGCTGCAAGGTCGGCTGCCGTGAGACCCGAAGCAGAGTATATTCCTTATGGGCTATTTCTGTCTGGACCATGTAAGGTTGAAGTACCTAAGTATGATTCTAGGTGTTTGAATGTCGCTATAGGCGTTATCTTACAAGCCAGCCACATCTTGCTCTACATCGTACAGCCGCCGGGGACGATACAGGCCCCGGTATATCAGCAAAGATAAATTCCGATTCCGGCGATGATTTGACCAGTACCACTAGGGGTATGTATTGGAGTTCATGCTAATTGGTGTAGAACAAGGCAGACTTGCTTTTGGGCGCGCATGGGCCGTTGATCGACTTCTTAGTTCCCGCTCAACTGACCCTCTCGGATCCATCCATAGCGTCTACTGTAGGTCATCTGCTCGCTTTCGAGCGAATCACAGACCAGTCTGGGGATTTGAACAACTCTTGGTTCGGGAAGGCACTGTTTCCGCGACACGAGGCTTCCGCAGATTACAACTATGAGCGTTCCAACCCCATCACGAACCCTTGATCACAGGGTTTCATTTCATTTCCTTTCATTATATCGAAAATTAAACATGTTGGTTTCATTTCACGGAAATACATGTCTTGGCTGATCTTGAGCTGCATTAATTGGTAACTGCGTCAAGGTTTATTAAGTATGAGTAACCGTCTATCTTCGTCAATATTAAAAGGACTAATCCAAATTTACCGCTAACGCCCAGGCTTACGAATTGTGGTCTAAGCTTACTCCTCTATACCTCTTTCTCAATTTCCTCCACCTGCCCCTCATCTTCTTCCACGGAGGGTTATCACTTGGAATCTGGGATATCGGCGCAAAACAAGAGATACTTGTTGAGCCTAGAAGAGAACGATCAAAACCCAGGTGACTTGTTATTTATTAGGCTTCCACAATTCTCAAGAACTCCAGTTTGGGCTTGACCCGATATGATCCGACCGAGCATCATCGTTGCTCTTCGGATTGGGCCTTCGGCTTGTGCATATGGCACTAACCGAGACCGGTGGTCGACATGCATTTAAACCACTAACCACGGAGTAGGTGATGTTTATTCCCTTGCAGTTTTTGAGCGAGGTCATTTTATATGGGCTTTACGGAAGATTCACATGACTAGTTCCCTGTCCCCTCTCCACAAATTGTCAAGTATGCGTTTGTTCAAGACACCTCAAGTTACACGGTTCACAATCCAGGCTTGAGTAGGCGTGATCGTAGCTCTATCTTAGGTCCATGATGGCGTCTAGACCCGGTCTGACTTGATTCAACTCCACATTCGTTGAAAACAGCCAAGAAGATAACCACCATATGGCGTCCAAATGGTGATTTTAGAGTAGTGACCTCGGGAGTCTTCTATACCATCAGACATATACTAGATGCAAAATTGACCTCGATGATCAACCATCCCAATGACCACAAACACATAACTCTTCCTGATACAGGAACGATACCAATACGCCGGCTGTGAATGATCTCGTGATTGGTCCCGATGCGGATAGTATCTTAGTTGAGAATTCGAAATTCAAAGGGCGTTTTGTACTTCTCTTGTGCCACCGTTGCACCTTTTTTGAATTTTTAAATTCTCTCTTTCAAATTTACTTCTGCATACACCGACACCCTTTGTTGCCCAAAAAAGACGCAGGGTCCTTCTCCGTGTTGCTCAGCGTATATCGAGGACTCGATCGCTGTGGCACCTCGGAATTTCGACTCTATTGGCATGAAGCCAGAGAGGGAAAAGCGAAAAGCACTTCATTCTCTAAGTTAAGGCTGCGAAGTCGGGTTCCACTGATCTCATTTAACTCTTTTTCGGTTTTTACCGTATACTGGCGCCGTACCCGCGACACCGCAACGATCACAAAAAGATATCCCTTTCCCCCTGCCCCATTCAGCTCTGATTCCGCTCGTCGTGATATATCGCCTTGCCCGCGGAGAGAAAATTCCAAATTTGCAACCCAAGTGTTTATCTTTTCCTGTTTTCGGTTCTCTCCATGAGAAAGAATTCGGTTTAGCCTGAGAGCACGGGGCATCAGAAATCTGCAGGAAATAGACCCGTGTCTGATTCGGCGCCACTTTCTTTGCAGTAGAACCGTGAGTATTTTGACCTTTGTTGACCAATCACAACTCTTTTTTCTAGAGGCTTTGATGTCTTGACCCTGGCTCCCTTGGTATACTTGAGTTCTCCCCGGGAAAGGCCAGATTGTGCAGGAGTCTGTTCCGTTCTTTTTCTTTTTCTTTTTTTCTCGCAGCCTCAATATATGCAACCTGAACAATCAGGCTCCCAACCCTCACCGCCTCGCTTCCTTTCCCCTCTCAAACCCAAGTTCATCCGAACCTACACCAAGCTCAACGGCGACCGGACCTAACCCGATCTACCACAGAGGAAATAACTTGCATGAGCATCTCTCTTGTGCGCCACTTCCGATTCCTTCTTTTGTCCACCATCCGACATTGTGCGTTCGCTTGACGCGCCATCTTGCGACACACGTCCCAACCCTGTGACTATGTATGGCACGTCTCATTCCTTATCGACAATGAATGGAATGGACATTATCGATGGTTCGGGCACCATCGATCCCGCGAACCTGAGCAACTCCGGTATGTTTAGCCTCATATCTTTGCTGCCCTTGCGCTTTTGTTGTGTTTTCGTCGTTCCCGTGTTTCATCCTCGATCGCAAATTATCCCGCGCGCGCCTGCTCGTTCCGATCAACAGCTCCCCCGGTCGAACCAATTGCCTATTTCACATTTTTGCCTGATCACTTTGTATCTTACTTCCCCATCGCTTCTTTCAAACTGATACCCATCCTAGTCGCTGGTGTCCTGCCAGCACCTTCCCACGCAATAGCAAGCCCCCGTGGTGTCAAGCGTAGTCGCACTCCAGAGCGCAGCGGGAATGGACACGCCGAAGGGGACCAGGATGATGGTACGTGTGCAGCGGGGAGGCTGTTCAATTCGTATCACTAGCAGCGCTTTTACACTTGATTTAGTCGCGACTTTTTTGCTATGAACGAGTGCTGACATCTTTTTGTTTTCTGGCAGAAGAGCAAAGTCGTCGCAAGCGTGGTCGTCCTCCCAAAACACCACGAGCTGGCTCCAATGATCAGCCAGTCGCAAACACCCCCATCCAAACCCCTCAAATGCAAGCGCGTCCGCTGCCTCAATCCACTGCCGGGTCGCCGCCTCTTGCATCGCCCGACAGCAAGACCACTCCGACAAAATCGCTGGTCAAAGCGCTTCCAACCGTGCGGGATCACACATCCGATCAGTTGAATCCAGAGGGTGATGAGTACATACCTAAGGAGTTTGATGATGCAGGAGAGACTAAGGCAGATCCAATGGGTTATCTACAAGGTAACCGTGAATACAAATGTCGGACGTTTCGCGTGCCTCTCCGCGGCACTAAACTCTTTATGCTCGCGACTGAATGCGCAAGGGTGTTGAATTATCGCGACTCATATCTTTTGTTCAACAAGAATCGGTCGTTGCATAAGATCATTGCCTCTCAGATCGAGAAGGACGACCTCATCCAGCAAGATATCTTGCCCTATTCCTATCGGTCCCGTCAAATCGCCATCGTTTCAGCCAGATCCATGTTCCGACAGTTTGGGAGTCGGGTGATTGTGAACGGTCGCAGGGTTCGAGATGACTATTGGGAAAGCAAGGCAATCAAGCAGGGATTTACTGAAGATGACATGGCAGGGGAAAAGCGACCTGGCGCAGCGAAGGCTCGAGATGGGTCGACTCAGGAGCCTGCTACGAATATGCTACCTGCACTTCCTCACAATGATGTCGTCTATAGCAGCACCATAGAGCCCTTGCCTGCTGGGCTTTCGCTGGATACCGGTGACTCCATCTCTATGGCTCCGCTTCCAATGATCCACATGGCAACCACAGATGATCCACGGCTGCGGGACTACAATGCCATACCCCGAGCACGCCAGGAGATGACGGGACAGCCTTATCACGACCGCACGCAAACTAGTTCTGCAGCCGACTTGATCAACCAGGCGCAACACACGGCAGATTTCAACAAGGGCCTGAGCAGCCAACGTATCTTCCGTCAGAAGGGTCTGGATGAATTCTACTCTAAGCCTCGCGAGTCTCCAGTCTCGGAGGGTCAGTCTAGTACCGCACTTGAATCAGGCCTGTCCGTGTCACAGCCTGTTCAAGTGTCTCAGATTTCTCAACCAGGAATGCCAAACCAAATACACCCCCAGCAGCACATGATCCCTCAGCAGGTGCCCTTGCAGGCCAATTCAATGATGGGCGGGCAGCCACACTATCCCCAGCAGGCCCATCCTCAGTCAGTCGGACAGTCTCCTCTCAGAATGCAGCCGAACATGCAGCCTGGTCTTGTGCAGCAGCAATCCAACCCGAATATGCCTGGAGGCATGCCTCAGGTACCTCAATACGGCTACCCACCCCAGCAGCAGCAGATTTGGGGACAGCCACCGCCGCAGCCACAGCCGTCTCCGCTGCCCTCGTCGGGTCACCAAGGCGCTGGGATGCCTCAATATGGTCAGCAGATGTCTGCAGCCCCACAGCAAAGCCCATCACCAATTGGCCACCACCCCCAACAGCAACATCCTCACCAGTCTCCTCGTAATCAACAGCGTCAGTCAATACCGCAAATGCAACGGCATTTCGGTCAGATGCAGCCGCAATCTCATGTCGCACAGCAAGGCATGCAAGGTATGGGATATCCGGGAGGAACGCCAGCTGGGTACCCCGGCATGGCCCGAGCCATGTATCCACCCAACCAAGCTCCTGGCGGCCAGCAGTTCATGGGTGGTAACCCGCAACAAGCGGGTCTTGCAATGAACATGGGAGGCAACGGTATGCCTGGGTGGTCCGGTGGCCCTGGCGGGCAGATGCAACCGAACCAACCTCAGCCAGGTCAATCAGGCAGCCCATTAGGTGGATGGAATTACTAGACTCTGGTCGGCGCTACTTACATTGGTCTCTTTCACTCGAGCTTTCACTCCACACGTGCCATTTCCTCTCCACCTTACGCCACCCTCATTCATTTCTTCCTCCTGTCTGATCTTTCTCCCTTTTTTTTTGCTGTTTCAGTGTCTCATTGCATTCCTCGCTGCATCCCATGGTGGAGGATCTTCGGTTAATGTTAATCCGGGCCAACCTTCCTATACCCTTTGTTGAGTTGTACTTGGTCAAGGTACCTGCTTTTTGTCTCCTTTTTACTCTGTCCTGCCTTTACCGGCGTTACTATCTGTTGTATTGCTCCTACTCGGCGTTGTTATCTTTATTTTGGACAGAGTGCTACACAAGATTATGAGCATGTACGAGGTTTCATTTCCTATAAATGGTGGATAGAGCATGAACCGTCCTGGACTCTTGCAATCTAGTTTCTTGTGTCGTGGTCGATGTATCTGGTATTGTATTGGCCATGTGGACTCGATGTTGTTCCTTGTTCGCTTATATCCCCTTCGATGCGATGTATTTGAGTTTTATGCGCAGTCTCCTACCTACGAGCCTACCCCGATATCTTATTGCATATATTATCTTCATATCTAGAATAATATCTTGTCCATGGGTATGTCGGTCAGTTCCAAGGTTGCGTTGCACCTCGGGCCCGAGGGTCCTGGGGTCGCGACTTCCAAGGTTACGGCAAAATAGGTACTCTATAACACGCTGCGCATGTCCGATACATAGTGAGAAAACCTTGGAAATGCCACAGCGGCCCTTTCCGTTGGATCACACATATCGTTTTTAAAAAAATTCAATTCTGGATCGTGGCTTCCGCCGACAAAAAGAACGTCCCCGGGAAGGCTCGAACTTCCAACCTCCTGATTAACAGTCAGACGCGCTAACCAATTGCGCCACGGAGACGATTCGATGAAAACTGGGGCACTTTAATGTCTCAATAGACAAAATCGTGTTGGGGCTGAATCACATACTACGAGATTTGGCTACATGACCAGCTTGACAAAATCCATCGGTGGGTTCACTACTTCTGTAGCTGGGTGTCTCAAACACTTTCGCCCCCAGTTCCCAGATGGATATCTATGAGGGTAGGTAGCTCGGAGACCCGGGCGGCGGTTCCATATGAGTTTTGTCGGCACACTTTTGGAATTATATATACTGACTTAGCACGACGTCCAACCTTGGAAGGTTAGCAACTGGATACCCGTGGACTTCTCGTAAAATCACCACCTAGGTACCTTACATACCATCCTGATAAATGGGATTTGGGGTGGAATTCACAAGAATTCTCCCACACCCTAGTAAGCCGAAGAACATGAGATGCCCGCCACTCGCCGGGCTCCACATGAAACAGAGCTCGGGACCGAAGGTAGCAGCAGCTTGCACGAGGAGGCGAGTCTGGGAGTACTAGACATTACATGACCACCAGGCCCCAGGTAGCGCAGGATCGTATGGAATACCTATACTGGCAGTCCCTCCGAAAAAATCGATATGCCCATATCCACCCCGGCAACAAAGTAGACAACACAACCGAGCAAGACGGCACATTGATTTGCGTAGAGTTCCTGTACCCTGTAAGGAATTGTCCGAAAAGCTACCAGATCGAAAGACAAGCAGCGCAAACTCGAGCACAGAGTATACAAACCCGAGCGAGAGCGAGACGAGGCAACAGGAGATTGAGAGAGAGACGCCATCTGTATTGAGAGCTACCCGGATCAGGCATGGCATTTTCTTCCCGCTCGTATCCGAACTCAGGAAAGACGAATTAGATGTTGAACGACGAGACACCCAAGGCCAGATAAAGGATTGTTTGTCCTTGTGTGTATCCTGTTGTCAATGCCAATGCTAAAACCACCGTTCGAGACGAACATTGAATCCCAGTGACCCACTACCTCGCTGTGAGCAGATTGAGAGAAGCCAATTGATCAAGCAAGGTGTCTAGGCAATTGCCACGGCGCGTGATAGTTGAAGAGGCCTTTGCAGTTGTCCATGATAAATTTCAATATCCCGAAGATGGCACAGAAAAACCTGTCTGTAGATGCCATTTCAAGAGATCCAGGATTAGATCAAGCCCATGGCTCTGATTTCGTATTGTATTGAGGATTATGGTGTGCTTGGACTTCCAGGTTCTTTGATTGAACAATGCCCTTATGAAGTCCAAATGGGAGGCTGCATATATGAATAGCCAATAAGCTTCCAGCTTCACTTGGCACTTCAGCATCATTGGTCTAGTGGTAGAATTCGTCGTTGCCATCGACGAGGCCCGTGTTCGATTCACGGATGATGCACATCTTTTTTTGCATTGCCGAATTGTGATATTTGAGCACTTCGTTTTGCACAAGGAGTCTCATATCCTGCTATCTGTGTGGTCAGCTTGCGATGGCTCAATTGAACAGGAGACAGGATTTAACACCAAGGAGTAAGACTACCAAAGAAGATAAAAGGGATTCAGAGTACTCCTTACGCTGTCAAAACACAGTGGGTCGGATTTGTATACAAATCCACGATTTTTTGCCCTCGGAGTTCGCATTGGGTAGTCGTATCTCACACGGCTTGAACTCGCCTCTATTCAACGTCCAGTATAATTGATTGCCAGGGAGAGTCAAATGACGCCGAAACTTACATTGTAGCCCTCCGTATGTCCATGGTTGAGTCAACATTCCATCCTCAGTGATGATTGGTGATTTAGACCACCCTCAGGCCATCCATGGGATGTTTCCGAGGCCAGTTACATGCTTCGACCACACAAAAAAACAGCCAATGAAGAAGAAGACAACGAACAGTGTCGCACAAATCGGATGAATCTTGATCGTGAGCAAAAAGAAACGTCCCCGGGAAGGCTCGAACTTCCAACCTCCTGATTAACAGTCAGACGCGCTAACCAATTGCGCCACGGAGACGATTTGATGATGGGCGGCGAATTCTTTGCGTTCATGTTCCAAAAGTATCATGCCCCAATCCGTCTGACCACAATGGGGTTATTCCGATATCGAAAACACACGGCAGATCCGTGGAATGTACTGTGCGTGGTATCAGTCCACAGACCGAGTTGATGAGCGGCGAGGAGACGATTGTATAAGGACCTGAAGTATTGAATGTTAGTATAGCATCAAGTAAGGATGGCGATCAGCTATCTTTGAACCAGTTGGGGACCATAACTGACGACCTGCACCAAGGAGCTAGCATAGCGAACAACTTATCAACAACTGTCAAAGCCAAGTGATGACTCCCACCCAATGCGAGGACAGAAGTACTCGCCCTAGGGAAGCCCCAGGTGTGTGCATCGCTTTGCTCCACATCCATTCGTTGTATGATCCCCCTCCCCCCCCCATCGTGGATTTATGACTGGGTTGTAGCTGAGTTGCGAAGGCAATGATGGTCCCGGTTATGGAAATGGCACCTGCGCAGTTGAAATGGCAGCCCACTGGACGTAATCGTAATGCTCTGATAAGGAACGGTCTGTGCGAGCAGGGGTTTTATGGTCACTTAGGGCTGGCATGTATTGGAGGATCTTGATTCTTGGAACTTGGAACTCACCGGAGAGAATGAAAGAGCTGGTGTGAGAATATAAAAGGATGGTCAGGACCGGGTCCGGGACCGGGTCTGGGCGGCCACTGTTGAGTGCTGAGAGGTTTCCGAATACGAAGTATATTCACGTTGACGCCCGCTTCACGTTAAAGCTTGGCTCTTCTCGTGAAAGCCCACCTAGCCCACGCAGTGAGGGAACTGCTGTTACTGACATCTCTGCCTGGGTGCCTTGATGTCATGAATCATCATCTCATTGGCTTTTGTGATGGTAATTTGGCATGTAGATTGCCTGCAAGTTCAAAGAATAAGTCAATCTTTCCCTCGTTTCGAACAGAGGGCCTCCCAGATGCTCCAATTTCTAGCCCTTTTTTGGCACCTCTTTCTCCTTCCGATGTGGTTGGATCGACTGGTGTTTTCTGTACGTGCACATGACCATGACCGTCTTCACTTGTTGTGGCCAGGTGATTCAAACGCTTAGTCGTGAAGCTTAGTCGTCTACCCTTGTTTACTTTTCGCTTCACGAGATTTTGGATCATCGACACGCTCTCTTGTTCACAGTACATTCCTTTTGTTGCCTTGATATTTGGGCCGTGCCACCCTTCCTACCGTTTCAAGAGCGTGTTATCTACACGGAAATACGTGATTTCATCTATCTAAACATCTATGTGCCCTTAGATTGACGCTACACGTTTTATCTCATCTCACTTCGCCCCCGGTCTAACATCTTTGATCTATCTTTGGTTTTGAATTGGCAAACATGGATCCCCCTCAGCAACCAGCCACGCCTTCGAAGCAACTGTCTACTCTGGACCTGGGCTTGACACCCACTAAGCGCCCACGCGATACGACAGTCGATAGCTCTTCGCCGGCTTCTGTGTTTGATGACTGTCCATCGAGTGAGACCTTCTCGATCTTTGGTGGTAGTCCGCTGCCTCGAAGCACTCCCTCGCCACTTTTGCAACGACAAAAGTCAGTGACGGGCCGCTCTCTCACGGCACCTCCTGGCAAAAGGGCCAAACGTGCTGGGAGTTCTAAGAAGTCTAAATCCCTTCCCTTCCTACCCAACGAACTATGGGACATGGTAAGCTGCACGTTAACAAGTCCTGTACGACCAAGAAACTGACTTTGAAGTAGATAGTGGATTTTCTAGTTGACGAGAAACCACGAGAGCACGTTGATATCTTCCATGATAACGGTCACGAGGAGCCCCAATTTCAAGAGACCTTGTCAAGCATGCGACTTGTGTGCCATGCCTGGAACAGGGCAATCGCTCCGCACGTATTCAAACGACTCTCCGCCATAATTGGTCGCACATTTAATCCACTTGATGTGGTGTTTGAGGCTTCTCAGACCCAATGGGCTCCATCCGTGCGTGAATTTCGCCTCGGAGTCGTGGGACCATGGCACCCCGTGAAAGAATACGAAAGATACATCACGAATCTAGTGAACGGTGGTCTCGCGGTTCTTCTCACTCGTTTCCCAAACCTCCGCACCTTGCAACTTCAATCACCCACCGTGATAGCGCCATATACCCCTGAATGCCAAATCACAGGAGCTTTACTTGCCGGCCTTACGAACTCTCTTGTTCATTCTTTGCGCTTCGTCCCATTGTCGAACCTGAGATGCTTGCATCTTACCTTGCCTGTCACCGCAGAGTTTGCTCGTTTCTTCAAATCGGATAGCTTTGCCATACATTTCGGTGAGCTCATGTCGGACCTCGAGGAGCTGCACCTGGTCATCAACGATGACAGCGGAAAGGACTCCTTCCGTGACCTTTACCACCCTCGCTCCGTGGTCAAAGCTAGATACCCACAACAAGACTACTGTGTTTATTTCACGAACTTCATCCACTACGCGAAGAACGTCAAGATCCTCAGCATCGACACCCGTGCTCCCCTGGACGTGAGCAATTTAGACGCCTCTTCTATGACGAAACTCAAGTCTTTCAGATTGGCGCGCGTTGAAATAAGGTGGGAAACACTGAGAGATATTTTCCAAGCGTGCAAAGACACGATCACTCGACTTGAGTTCGAAGTGGTGAGACTCAAGTCGGGAACCTGGGCGGATGTTTTCGGTCTGGAAACTACCAGTCTTAGGAATCTCGAGTTCTTCCATTGTGCCCGCGGCACGTATGCGAGCAAAGGCGAAAGCGCTTCGTTTCTTGGATTCACTTTCACGCCCGGGACGACGGCCGATCTTGAGACTCTGAACCGCGAGGATTGGCTTAAACTCTCCCACATTAAGTGGAGGGTGAGTCGGAATCGGCGTGCTAAGGGCCTTGAAGAGTGTGTTCATACTAAATATCATTAAGTGATCTATTCCACACGTTCTCTTGTGCTCCATTGAGCATTGGGAGCGAAATATGGAGTCAGAGAGGTCTGTCGTGGTGATTGAACTTGCCTTGGAGGTTGCGGTACTTGTATTTTCCCTGGTGATTGCACATTTGATGTTTTCAGGCCGGAGATGATTGGCTTGGGAGGTGTTGGAGCTTGGTTCTTTTTTTGTCATTTTCCTTGTCTGGCAACTTGAAGAAGTTGCCCAGATATGTGTATGTATGTGTACTTGTGATGTATGTTCTCTTGCTTTCGAGTAGTATTACTTTGAATTTGTCAGTATCGGGTCCGGATAGTTCAATCTTAATTCTTCAAATTACTTTTTTCCGCAATCCTTACGGCTCGATCTGCAATCAACTGAGTATCCCAGACATCGCCATACGCTGGCTGGTTTTGGTGGCCCTTTCTTTGAATCTGGGTTTAATCGTACGAGATGCTTAATGAAAACCGGTGGCATAGTGAGTGGCTAAAGAAGAGAGGTTCAATTGCATGATGCGTGCTGTTCTAAGCGAGCCGCCCACTTGAGCACGCCCTTTGCATTTCAAGGTTTGAGCCTTGGAATATGCTATTCGTGTTTGAACTCAAACTAAAGAGGATCATACGGCAATATCAATAATATCAGGCCAGCAATCTGAGACCTTTCCATCGCCCTGGAAAGAAGCAACCACAGAGCCCTCTCCTCTCAGGGGGTTACCTTCCCAGACGACAAAGTCCCCGACAAGAGCACCCGCATCTGTCTTCTCCGATTGGCTGTTCAGGATAAGATCGATATTCGTCGAAACAAGAGCGATAGCTTGCTGTTCAGTGAGACCGGCATACTTCCCGGCCCACCAAGCTTCCTGTGCCAGACCATGAATCTTTGAATCCATGCTCAAACCCAAACCAAGTAGGACACCAGCATCCAGTAAGATTTTAGCTGCGCTTTCTGTTAAGGGAGGGCCCACAAGGGCGTTCTTCTTCTCCCAATTGTCAGGAGCACCACGGTTGCCAGTGAGGATGACAGGAATGCCTGCCTCGGCGAGAGGGTTGGCGACCTATAAAATTTCAAGATCAATATGAGGAGAGAATAGCAAGAGTGAGATGAGAATCTGGACTTACCAATGGAGCACCGTGGCCGCCGTGTATGATCAAGTTGACTGATTGGAACTGACGCTTGACCAGGACTAGTTGCGCAATATCGTCCTAGTAATACCGAATTAGCACTTTCATGCAAAGTATCTAATATGCAGGAGTAAGAAGGTAGCTCACTTCATTGAATACCTGCACGACCACTGGTATCGAGCCATTCGCAGCCTGAGCATATATTCCCAAGGTTCCGGACGTAGCATCTTGGCCAGTTTGAAGCAACTGACGCAGTCTCTCAATCCCGGAAGATACCGATGGCGTCTCATCATCTAACAAAACATGAGCATGGCTCATGGATATTACCACGGAAGGTGCTTACCTCTAGCAAATTGACCTATCACCAGATGGAGTGCCACATCATCCTTCCAAATCCCATTTTCAAGGATTGTGGCGCTGGCACCTGTGCGCAATCCAACACTGACGCCCTGATTGATGCCACTACCCTGAAGTGGCGCAGTAACAGCTCGTGTGACACCTCCAATCCTTGCTCGTGCAAGTGCCCTGTCCTGGAGATGTATGCCATACTTGGCGAAGCGAAGACGATTTTCGTTGAGTGCGTCTTCACTTTTTGATCCTGAGCCATCTCCAGTTGAACTTTCGGAAGAAAGGGATTGAATCCCGAGTGTAGTACCGAAAGCTACAAGACCCGGGAGGACATGGCCGTTTTCCAAAGCGATGTGAGTAAAATCTTCCTGGGTTCTGTCCTGGAAACATGAGGACTTCTCATCCAGACACTTGATCTGACCGTTCTCAACCAGCATCACGAGGTCTTTCTTGGCACTGAAAGATGTGCTGTTTGTATCAATGAGAGCCTTCTGGATTCCAGTAAAAACAATGCGTGAGTCGGCGGGCTGGACCTTGGCACAGGTATCTTTTTTCTGGCCTGCCGCAAGTGATGGACGAATGTTTGGAGCCTGTGGATTGCTGGCCTCAAGGTCTTCATGGTTGGACAAGGTCGCATTTTCCAACAGAGGTCGACCATCGATAAATACCTGGACTGGCGTAGCACCGACCTGGAGCGGATGATCATCCCAGATAACGAGGTCTGCGTCATAACCCGGGCGAACATAACCGATCCTATGATCCTGTTGGATAGATCTAGCAGGGACAGAAGTTATGGCCTGAAGGGACTTTTCTTCAGACAAGCCAAATGAGTGAGAAATTGCCGCCTGGTATCTGAACAACATCATGTTAGACTGGTTGCTATATCACTGTGTATAGTAGCTCTAGTCCACTTACGCAAGATACTTGGCGTAGAATTCCTCACTGTTGTGATCCTTGGGCTCAATGTTAGACAGACCAATCGTCACTTCACGCATGGAGGAGCAATATCATACCGACTTCAATGCAACTCGTACCCCATGATCATCCAGAATTTTGGGTCCCCTCAGATTAGCCCCATAAGCCTCAGCCTTGTAAAGCCCATGTTCTGCGAAAGTGGCAATGGTTATGTTTCTGAGATGTATCAGCAAATAATAAACTTAGAGGTAGAGCAGAGACATACTCCTCCTGTGTTTTCAACCATTCGGGGAGTTGCCACGCCTCCAGCGCATGGTGGAAGGCCCTGGGATGGATGTCGAATTCATGAAGCACACTCAGCATACGATCAAAATCTTCAGGCTCGTAGCAGTGGACATTGACATTTAGCTCTCCTCTGAGAAGTGCAAGAGATGTTTCAAGTTCGAAGGACTCTGGTCTTTTTCCTTCGTCTTTGAGGAATTGTGAAATCTGTCGAGATTGGGAAAACCCAGTCTTCTCAATACCGGCAGCTTTCCGGCACCACGAAGACTGACGCTCCTGCAAATCTTGTCCTTCCTTGAGATGCTTGCGTAAAAGCCACGCCAACCCAAGTCGAGTATTCTTATAGATGCCCTTGGGATTCTCTCCACAAGCCACCTTGAGGTATCTCTTGCGGCTTTTTTCTGGAACTCCGTCGTCAAGCAGTAGCTCCTCGACTACCGGCTCGGCATTTGGGCCCGGTGTTGGCAAGTTCTTGACTAGATAAGCCTCGCCGCCGATAATGTTGGCTGAGCCCGGTAGAATCAGGGATGAAGTGACACCGCCCGATGCGATGATCCGAATCAATGGGTCATACGGCTTGAAGCCATCTATGGAGCGCAAAAATGGAGTGATTGGCCCTAGGACGGGGCGCTCGTTTACATCACTGGTAGAAAGAAGGCGGGGGAATGGGGATAACAAGTGGTGAGAATGCATATCCACCAGCCCAGGGGTGACGAATCTCCCATGAGCATCAATACTTTGGATATCATTGGGAGCTTGGCGGTTCAAGGCTGTGGGTGACACGGAACTGACGACACCTGCCTCGAATAAGATATCGACTGCTTCCGCCAGAACAGATTGGCCATCAAAAAGCGTTGCGTTTTGAATCAAAACCGGTCTCTGTTGACCAGAGATTGGGTTCCATCGTGGATTTTTCCGATCTTTTGTCCATTGTTGTCCCTGATCTCCAGATCGACTCTCACGACATTTGTCGAGACCCTCGAAAAAGACCTCACCATCAGCCACATTGAGTGTACTGATGTTGTCAAGATATTTGGTTTGGATTAACATCACCAGACCTGCTGCGAGCAGAAGTGTTCCCAGCACGAGTCTTCCATGGCGAAGATAACGAGAATTCGATGATTGGGCAAGCCCACGGTGCGCCTCTAGCGGCAGGAGCCCGTTCTTGGTCGTCATGGGTATTTTGCAAGTTGCGCTGAGAGGCTTGAGCAGATGAACCTGCAGCTCACGAGATATAAGAAGGAGGGGAAGCTCCGGTTGTCTGAAAGTACGCTCTCGCGCGAATATGCGCCCCAATCGCGTCAGTCGGTAATCAAACCATTTTAGCCCCCGGGCACCTCAACACAATTCAAGTTTGCCTGAAATTACTTGATCCAACTTCGGCCTGTAATCGGTTGAGAATCAAGCAGTTGTTTCTGTGAAGAGTTGATCAATGCGGAATACCTAAAACCTGATCATAATCAGTGCGGGGGTGCTGGTCAACCCACTGTACTTGCGACTGAGACACAAGTATGAAGACATATGGTCTCCACATATGAGATGCTGAGATGCTGCACAGGCACGCGATTGCGTTCCACTATGTGAACTTCAACTCGGCTGAGCATGACATGTTGAGTCGGCCGTCCTGCTCCTGCCAGTGGGCAAGGAACGTTGCTATAACATTGGCTGTCACCAGCCATTACCTTGGAAGCTTTCGCCGTGGCTTTAACAAGATTTCCCCATGTATGTAGGGACAATAACAGGTATTCGCCGCAGATTGCATAGAGAAAAAGGCCGGTCTTAGGACTGATGAGAATGGTAGTAATTTTCAGCGCAAGGCAAGGGTCCTGAGATTGGTTGATAACAAGTACACAGATTAAATATTATGGAGATTTGAGTAAAAGGTTCGGTTTAATGACAGAGTATGAAAGGACATATCAGAAACAACTGCCTTTTGTGGCCATTTGCGGGTTCCAGCCCAGGCAAGACGTGCTTTGCTTATGATGACACAAAATCCGCCACCTTCCATCAAATCGTCTCCGTGGCGCAATTGGTTAGCGCGTCTGACTGTTAATCAGGAGGTTGGAAGTTCGAGCCTTCCCGGGGACGTTTCTTTTTGCATTTTTTTCACCACTATTTTTTTTGCCGCAATTTCAATTATCTGCATGTCATTCATGGATATGTGTGGACTTGGCGGTGAATGAATAAATGAAGTTAGCCCGAGATAATATCCAGACAGAGTGAGGAACTTGTCGAACATCCTATGTTGAGATCCAAGGTTTTTTTTTTATTCCTCCAGGGCCCGCTTTGGTCTCAATTGAGGAATAAATCAAGACGTAGATTCTTCATAGCTAATCTAGCGAAATAACAGCAACAAATTTGGCAGAGTGACCACCTGGGTACCCTCCATATATAACTTCATCTCTAGCAAATCAACCCAAGATTCAAAAGCCAGTAGCCAGAGCCGTAGTAACCGGAACCGCACTCGAAGGGCAAACACAAGCCGAAACCGACGAAACAGGCGGCTCAGTGCAATGAGGCTCAGCAGTCCAAGGAACAGAAGTAGTAGCAGACTCCTTACCCGTCTTCTTCGCCTTCACCAACACCGGAATCACAGCACCAGTATTCAACTTGAAAGTCCTGTGTCCCAAGACCCGCAGAATCGACGAAATCTCACCAGAATGCGAAGTAATCGAAACAAAAGACTCCTTCTTAGAAGAAGAGCTAAAGAAAACCTGACCCAACGCCGTCGTACTTCGAATATCCTGCGCGCCACTAGTCTCCGCCGTCACGCCATTCCACAGCTCATCCTCTTCGCTGAAACCCTTCTCAATAGGCCACGAAGGGAATAGCTTGTGGATATAACTCCGGCTGCGACGGTGGTCACAAGTGTGGATGCTGATTCCCTCGCGGAAGAGCTCTTTGATGGTAGGTTTGAAGCTCGCGCTGCCTTTGGGCAGATCCAAGCCTGTGAAGGTCAAGTTGGCGGTTTGCAGGGTGCGGGTCAATGGGCTGACATAGTAGTGGTCTGGAGTGTGGATGCGCTGCTCGTTGATCTCTTTCTGCCAAAATGTGTTGGCAGCCAGAGCCTGGGAGACACCATTGTCTGTGAGAGAGGCGTCGGCCCAGGTCGCTGTGCTATTGCCGTCTAGTTCGGCCCAGTAACACTATGGATGTTAGGGTTTTGGTTCTGGGTAAGATTGGGTTGGGGATGAAGCTTTGGCGCTAGTGCTTACGTTCCAGGCTGGTGTACCGTAGTATGTTTCCGCGGCATTGTGCCATCCCTCGCCGTGGCAGCCTAGGAACAGGACCTTGTACTCGACGTTTTTGGGGGCGTCTTCATTGAGTTGGGAGACTTGGCGGTAGAAGCGCTCCCATTGAGTGAGAGATTGGTGCTTCTTGATGTGCTTGTCTGCGGGGTAAGTGCGGTTGATTAGACCGAAGTTCTCCGCTGTCTGTTGGCATTGTTAGTGACGTAATTGACGATGGTGGCCGGTGGCCCAGGAATGCTGGAGCCGTCGAGGGGCTGCTATTGAAAGCCTACTTACATAGTCGAAAGTAGAGGCATCGGTTGAATCTTCATCTTGTAAGAAATAGCCTGTAACGGCACTGTACTCGATGGTGGATGCGTGGGCAACTGCCAGGCCCACAAGGGCTGAGCCGAGGGAGAGCTTCATGTGAAATAAAAAGCGGAGATACACGCGGAGTTCACTTGCGAATTAACTTTTCCGATCGACAGCGAATGTTCCTTTTGTTCCTTTTATACACTTCAGGAATGAGCCCACGTGGTGTTGACATGAAGAATATAGTGTTGGCGTAAGTAGCGTCGTAGTGCCTTTTCCCGCTTGCCGTGACGTCCTATAGTTCGGCGCACGTGCAGCAACTTTGGGGGAAGAAGCGAACTCTCCTAAACGGCCGAATCCTCCTCCAATGGCCTTCGCGCACTAACTCTATAGCCTCGTTGATCGTCATTTTGATCTCGGCGATTTCGGGTTAATTCCAAAAGTTTGAGCCCCTTTTTCCCAGTAGAGAGTAGATACGGATATATTGTATGTATCAAATAAAGTGACAGAATGCTAAGCCATATGCAAAATCCAAGTCCATATCCCCAAAAGAAGCCCGGTTCCAAAACCCACGGGCTGAAAATGTCCCAAAAAAAATAAAAGATAACGAGTAGAAGGTAAGTCTCGAGTCCCATGGGGGCTCGGCAGAAATTAAAAGGTCGTATCAGACACCCAAAACATTAACCACAGTCCCAGGCCAATAAACAACATGCAAGGAATGCTCCAAATATGTAACCCCGGTGAAATCACCCCAAATAAACACACAGAACAGAAAGAGTATATAGACATAAAGTGACAGTGTTCCTCCACACAGAGAGGGTTGAACAAGGTACCCCCGAGAGGGCAAAAGAGGAGAAAGGGAAGTTTTTTTTTGAATGCGTAGTGAGCTCGTCCCAGACCAAAAACACCAAATGTTGTCGCACATTTCTCATACACCCTTCATGATGGAAAGGTCAAACACCTTCCACTCATGAGGGGTAGTTCCTGGGCGTCGTGTTGTTTGCAAACGTGAAGGCCTTTGGCTTCTGCATGGAAGCCAAATGGTGTCCTCCATAGCGGCTCGCATCGTGTTCTGGGAAATCCTGCATCATAAAATCGCCTCGCTTCCTCTCCGCAAGTTCAGCGGAGCCCGGCATGTCGGCATCTTCAATGGAGTAGATCAAAGAGGGAGACCCGGATACTGGTTCCATGCCATAGCCTTGCGCGGTGTGGTCGGCTGTCGCGTCATAGCCCATAGGCGAGACGGTGCTGGAGTGGGGCACTTGGAGGCCCGCGGGGTACTCCGGCGAGGAAATTGAGCCCGTATCAGCCCAGCTGCGGGCAGTCATAGGAACCGCGTCACATGTAGCGTACTCAGGGAAGGAAGAGACCTGGGCGGGGGCCGACATCGGCGGGGCGACGTTCTGGTAAGGGAAAGGGGTATAGATATCCAGAGGCGTAGTAGGAGGAGATGCGATGTTGACCTGCATAGGTTGAGAGGTGGGGAAGAACTGTGTTGTTGAGTGTGCTGACATGCAGTAGTTGCTGTCTGTGGGGGAGCCAGGCATGAAGTGCTGAAGATCTTGCGGGGTCAAGGGAGTCGGGGGAGCCAGTGTATTGGTCGAGACCGAGGGTCTCAGCATCTTCTCGGCCTTCTTGATTGACCCAGACTCGGCAAAAGTGAAGTTGAGAGGAGACCGCTGAGCAGCGGAGGCCTTGCGCACTCCAGCATAACGGGAGTTGAGGCTCTGGGTCGACTTGGACTGTCTCATCGAGTTGCCGGCTCCAGAGCTAGGCATACGAGCTGTGGGGGACAGCGAGGACATCGAAGTCGAGTTGGCCAAAGGACGGTTGCCAGTTCCAGAAGTGCCGATGGCAGCGGGACGGGGACGCTTGCGTCGCGCAGCGAGATCAAGCTCCTTGCCAGGCTCCTTCCAAGAAGCCCCTTCGACCCGATTGACGGATTGAGAGAGCCCAGACTGGTCAGGTGTGCAAATACCAATACCCTTCAAAGAAGTTGTCAGTGCATCAGATGACTCCCGGCGAGTGACCGAAATATCTGGTGCCTGCATTTGCATGGGGTATTGCATGTTGCCGTAGACCATGTTGGGGTCGTGTCCATGAGAAGAAAGCGCCTCTCTATCCTCCGACCATTCTTCTGTGTGAGGAGGCAGGCCATTGGGGTAAGCATCAACGTGCAGGCCAGAGTGGGTAGTTGGCATGTCCGGCATCGGTTGGTGGGGAGCGGAGTATGAAGTGTGCTCTGCGGCGCTATATCCGATGTGCTCATCGTGCACTCCAGTGCCCCACGAGGTAGGTTCTTCCTTGAGATCTGACCAGCCAGGGTAAGAAGAGTTGATGTTAGAGAGGTTTGCGTTGTCAGGGTTCGAGTTGGCAGTCTTGGGCGGAGGCATGGAGCCAGGCGAAACAGCCTCATCTTCTTCGGGGACAGTGTCGTTCTTGCTTCGAGGGTTGATTCGGCGACCGAACCGATCTCTGGCGGCGCAAGCAGCGTTGAGTGCTCTCTGCAAGGATGCGAAAGTCGCCTCCCGAGCAGATTCACTCTTGGTTTTGTGGTGCTTGGAACGGCTAGATGTGGAATCCGACTTGGCATGCCCGCTAGTAGCGGAAGTAGGGGTTTGCTTGGGAGTTGCGGATTTCTCCGATTCTTCTCTGCTAACGGAACCCTTGCGAGACTCGGACATTTGGTCCAAGGTCTCAGACTTTCGCCGGGCAGCCTCCTCAGCCTCGGCCTTTGCCTTTGTCATCTTTTCGAATTCCTCCTGGCGTTTCTGTTGCTTGGCCTTGGCACGACGGTTCTGGAACCAATTCTGCATACTTGATTAGCTTCTGATAGAAGAAAATGACGACACAAGTCCGTTGGAGAACTCACAGCAACGCGAGGCAGACTCAAGTTCGTCTGTGCCGCCAATTGACGCTTGACATTGCTGCTGGGCTTGGGGTGGGCCTGGAACTGGGCCTCGAGGGTTTCGACTTGTTCCTTGGTCAACCGTGGTCGTGACAGGTTTTCGGTGTACTCGTCGTAGTCCATAATCGGTTGGTGGTAGTAGTCGATCATTTCCATGGGTGGATGAGGGTGAGGATACATGTAGCCATCAATGGGGTGCATCATGGGAGGGGGGACCATCGATGGGTCGTATGCCATGTGCTGGTCCATTGGAATCCCCTGGTGACCCTGATAGTTCCATGAGGGGTGGATGTAACTCATGGCGATATGAGAAGTGTAGACAGGTATAGGAGAGAGGAAGTCGGTGACAACCGAGATAGAAACGGGAGTGGAACTGCACGAGTGAAGTGGCAGCGTCGAGATATGAGGTCTATATCATTAAGTAAAGGTTGAGATGTTGGCGATAGGGACCCTGTAAATGTAAAGAGTGTGCAGGGCCGGGAAAAAGAAACGAGCAAGTTGATAATAGCCGGTTGTTAAGGAGAGACTCGGGAGTTAGGAACCCAAAAGAGTGTGCATGCAAAAAGCAACTAGAAAAAGAAAGGAAAGAAAGGAACGTAAAAGGATAGACTGAGAGGGAAAGGATGAAGAGAAAGGAAGTTTGGAGTTTGGAGGCTTTCGGGGGGAAATCGGCGGAGACGGCTGGTAATGCGCGGTACGGAGCTCCAGGATTCTGCGATATGATTGGGTGATGAGCGGGTATTGTCCGGTAACGGGTGGTAACAGTATGAAACAAAGGTCTGTGTGCCTGGGAGGTGATGTACTGGGTACATGAGACTTATGTACTACGAACACTCGACTCGATGGTACCTGTACCTCGATCCAGCTACATCTAAAATAAATCAGAATTAAAGAGTGAGAAAATAAAAAAAAGGAACAAAAAAAAAGAGGTCAAAAAAGAAATCATCCCAGATCTCAGATCTACCACTCCCCGTTTAGGAATTTAGGAATGATGTGAATCTCCACTTTGATTTTCTGTTTTTGAACGGGCTGAAAATGAACAGATTAAAACCCCACACTGTAATTCTGTCTGTTCCATTTCCCTTTTTCCCATTTCCCTTTGGATTTCCCTTTAATATTTTATTATTATTTTTGGCCCGTGGAGTCGCGCTACCGCCCGCTCGGTAGGGGGTGGCGTGGTTGCATCGTCACATTATTTGAGATTAATATGCTAATTTGATATCTGAAAGCTCTTTAATACCGGGGGTATCATTTGTGTTCTATTCTGGAGTTTTGGAGCCCAGCTCCAGAACATTTATTCTTGTCGACTCCGTGCGGAACGCGTAGCCCTGGAAAGCCACATACCCAACTTGGGCCTGTTTCCTACGCTTCCAAGGTTTTAACGATGTCTCGGAACTCAAGATCTCCACTATGAAGTAGATCCATCTGTACTTGTCAGTACGTCTGAACTACCAGCACTCATATAGGAGAATGTACAGGGTAGACGTTTGTCACCAGGACCAGTATAGATGGAAGTAAACAAAGGATCCAGGGTTGAGAGTTGCGGAGAGCCTTGGGTCGGGTACCATGGATACTTCCCGTAAGTACGGAGTAAACCATACACCGTCTCTGCAGCGCCTTTTAGACGCTCCAAAGTAACACAAACGGAAACGTAAGAATCCCAGTTCCTGCATTAGCGTCATGTCTGATCCCTGGTCACTGCAAAGCAAATCATGTCCACTATTATTCTATAAAGGAATTAAGAAAGATATCTGTGGGTACAGAGTACTTTCGTACTAATCCTTAATTGTGGTGTTCTAGTCTAGACATTTACTCCGTACTTGTAAACTGGTAAACTGGGACTTCGCGACAACCTTGAAATGGTGACATCTAGATAGGTGCCCATATACTTACCCGTACCTAGGTAGTCGCGGTGATTGGGCTTGCATGAAACCCTACATATACTTTACGAGTGGCAGTCACGCCCAAATCAAGAATCCTGGTCAAATTGTTCCCGATTCCCCGTACCAGGAGCCTGGAGGCCGGAAACCCAGGCTAGACGGCCGGATGTACTCTTCCGCGCCAAATCTGTGGGTGTGATTCTAGGATCGACAGTCACCCCGTATACTGGTGCTCGCACCCAAGTGTTTATAGCAGACTATTGAGTCCTGAAGCAACTGAGGCCCAACTATCTGCTACTGGGCTGTTTGGAGCACTGTTCCCCTGGACGCTAAACCAAGTTCATACTAGTGAGGGCGTATGGCAGCGGTCAGCCAAGACAGACTAAATATCAATAGTCGACAGATCCCCCGTCGATCACTCAGGGATCTGCCGAGCTTTGTGTATTCGCCTTTTCTTTTTTCTTTTTTCCTCTCAGTGTGGCGCCCCTCTATAGTACTTTGATGGGGTGTGGTTACTATCTCCCCCTGTTTGGATTTCTCCAGGCTCCAGCTCAAAGTGATGTGTGACACCATATCGCTTCCTGGGGATCTGGTTGGGCCCCTGCTCGCCTAGGCGCTAATCGTCTTGGTCCTAGAGGCTCCATGCAAGCAAGTCACGAGCCATTGCAGAGCCAGTTCCCACACCCCCTTTAGTTGCACATGTCATGAGAGCTCCGGCAATCCGGAGGGGAGTACCTTGAGGCCATGGTAGAATTCATACTCGGGACACTGTCTTCGGCTTCTCCCAATTTCGATTCGCCGTCTGCCGAGCGGCAACATTTTACATGTCAGACGCTTCCCTCTAGTTTTCAAGTCAAAGCCGACAGCAAAAACGTTCAAGGACGTTAGGCGACGAGCCTAAAATTATGGAGTGTGGAGGTCCTCGAGTTTCGGCCTTTCAAACGTGATAGGGCCTGTCGGGAACTCTAACTCTGTCCTAACTCATCCGCACATGGGATACGTACGAATAGCGCCACCCAACAGGGAGAAAAACAAGAGCCCAGATGAACCGGTCAAACGGAACGTTCTGAATAGCTGGAAGCCACAGGCTTTACCCCTCGTCGAGTCATTGATCACCCCCAAGGACTGCTCGATTGAGCAAAAATGATCTGACCCGAAAAGCCGCCAACGCTCCAGTGATCCAAGGGTGATCACACTTGATCAGCCAGTCGCAGAGATCGGGATGGTTGGTAGTGGGGACAATGGCCAACAGGGGTGATCCTATTTCTCCCCGGAGAAAACATCCACAGTCAAGACCTCTTTTGAGACTGGCAGCTCCACGTACTCCGTAGATCATGAGAGGGTGCACAACGTGGCTCTTAGCTTCTCTCTGCCCAAACTTTGTCGTTGCTCTGTAGATTTGAAATGCCGTGATTGACCTCGCAGCGGATTCGCATTCGGGTTTTGACTCAAGCTTTTCCGTTGCAGGCGGTTATCAGAGTTCCCATATCACGTTGGCACTTCCGATGACGACTTCGGATGGCCTCTCCCTTGGATGGTGCCAGGCCTCGTCTTGGCGCGTCATGCCCCACAGGTCCCATGGCCCAAGTCATTTGTACGGAGTAATTGTACGGCTATAATTGTATACGGAAAGATAATAAGAAGTCTCCGTACTACGGTCCCGAGTAGGAAGTACCGAGTACGGAGTAGCGTGGGCATAGACCAATTCGAGATTGCACTGGTCTGACCGAAAATATCCGATGTTACTTTGCCTGTACGGCGGTTAGATGGACTGTTAGATACAGTATGTGTAGATTGTGCGCATTACTTTGTACTCCGTACTCCGTAAATCCTTGACCGTATCTATGGCAGTGTTCAGTGTTCAGTGTTTGAAAAATACGCAGTACGGAGTACTCCATAACCAGAGATCTTCAGCATTAGGGGGATCTGCTATGACGACCCCTGGGTCGATCCGCAACACATGCATTTTCGCACGGATCCCCTTGACTATTGATTGGATCTGACTTCGACCGTTTCGCTGGTAATGCAAATCTCAAATATCGGGTTTTGTTTTGTCATCTTCCGAAAAGGAGAACAATTCCCCGGTGATTTGCAATGATCTACGAATGTGTGACAGCACCTCATTTCCCCCTCTTTCCAGTGTATAAGGCTTGGGCACTGGAAGATCACCAACTTGACGTTACGGATGGTGAAACGGATCCTCAGATCGTCCTTAATGCCCCCGCTTCTCAAATCCCTGTCCATGGCGGTGCATTGCTTTACGAGGTTCTTTTTTTATTCTCTTTTCGAAACTGACTCGTCATCTGCCTCCGACGTTCTAGGGCGAACTCGGAGTATTTCGGTGACCCAAAGTAACCCACTGGCTGGGCTGAGCTGTGTGATAGATCCAGCAGCTCTCCCTTGTGGCGCTGAGCAGATCTGTGGCGGTGCGCAAGTGTCTCCATCGCCCTGCATGTAGCGTGCATCTCCTCCAAGGAGACATTGTATTTGTCACATCGGTGGGTCCAGAACTCGAGCGCGCTCGATTTGGCATGAGCCATCAAGGAACGGTCTGCAAGCTGACTGGAGAGCTGTTCATCTCGGTGCTTCCCGATACTGCAGTCCAGATCGGAATCCTGAAAGCGCGTCCAAAACCTGCTGTGTGTGATGAGATTGCATTTTGCCCCTCATCCGTCATCACACATTTGGAGTATCTCGAGATTCCTCAAAGTCTGCCATTTTCATGTATTCACAACGGTAACTTTCATTTCTCTCGCTCACTGGTGATATTCAGGAGTCTGCATTTGAGCCGTCTTCTACCGACCCGTGCGCAAGATGCAGAAGCCTGGTCCCCCTTGCATGTGTCCTCACCGGCAAAACGACTCTTTGTCTGGGTCAGTTGGGGAAAGCTTTGTTCTCGCCCGAGCTTCTCCAGCGGCTAGGATGTGTCCTGTCTAAAGCGAGATACCCCGATCTACCAATTAGACTCCGAGTCCTTTTGCTCCCGTGTTTTCCGACAGGCAATGCACATCCTTGTGACAACTGTTGAGAAGCTACTCCGTATGTACTCCATAGTTGCAGCTACGAATCCAACGTGCAGAAAAAGCTTTGAAAAGGCGTGACCACTGCTTGTTGAATCCAATACCTGATGAACAATGACCTATACTCAACGCTGAGGTGATCCTCGGGGTTACATTTCCGTACTTTTCAGTCTGATTTGATATCCACCCACGACTCAAGCCTGCATGAACAGTCGTTCGCAGCCCGCCTTGCCATATGATTGGATCACAGTTCAGCAGCGGGTATGATTACTTGCTGCAACGTCCTGCTGGGCGAATCCTGATTTTTTACCTGCAAGGACTACGCTGCTGCAGGATGCAAACTTACGAGTGAGCTGCTCGCCCACGCCACGGCTGGCTGGGACGATTGATTCACCGCGCCAACTGCTAGCTACACAGCTTAATCCTTGCCGGCCGAATCAGCTAGACGGGCCGCCATCCTTGTAAATAAGACTCGTCTGCTGTCATCGTACAAACCGGTGGTGCAGCAGCGTCAGCAGCCCAGATCTGTGCTCGATACCCAGATATTCTCCACTTAGTCTCGATTCCAAGGTTGGCTGCACATGGCGGTATATGGAGCTAGATCATAGGTCCTTTTTCGTGAAGATCTTGCACCTTGCCTGACCCGATCACGCTACCGCCGGGGAACAAGCTGAACTGTTCTCAACATTTCGACTCCTTGGTTGTATCTTTGTAACGTTTCAAAGTACTGTATGTGGCCCGGTGGAGCTCCGTAGAAGGGACATCATTCACCCCTGCCCTGCGCTGATTATCCCATTGGCTTCACAATTAGCTACCTGGTCCCCGAGATATGAGATCGGGCTTCACAAGGTTCGCCGTTCGTGCATTAGTTAGTTTGCTCTTTCGCACAATGGCGGAGGACAATGGCAATCATTTGCTGGATATGATACCTTATGGGGACATTTCAAACTGGACTTCCACCTATGTCAGCGCGCAAGCATCCCGACGCCTTCGCAGTTTGTTATCAACAAGGATCTTTGAACATGTCTCAGCACAGCTTCGTACATAGTCTAAGTCTATATGAAAGAAGACAAACAGAAAGAAAGAGGCCTGATGATAATGCTGTGTGACGTAACGCCGGGTAACCCCGTTATGCAGCCATCTCCAAGGACTCTGTATCGACCACCATGTTGGCCACCATCTATTGGTAGGCATTCTTGATCTCAATATGCACACGGCCATCGACGACTTCCTTCACCGAGACGCTTCGCAGGTCTTCCACGATCCAATCAGCACCAGCCTCTTGGAGCTTCTCGAGCGAATGCGTCGTCTTGAGCGCAATCACCTTGAACCCAGCAGCCTTACCAGCCTTGATGCCTGATGGAGCATCCTCAAGTACGACAATCGATGTGGATTCCTCAAGACCAAGCTGCTTGCGGCCAAGCAGATAGCAGCGGGGATCAGGCTTGCCCAGCGGTACATCAGCTGCTGTCACAAGGTTCTTGGGGTGGGTGAGTCCCATCACTTCCAACCAGCCGTCGATGAGTGCCCGTGTGCCGGATGTGACGACTCCCCAACGCGCACCAGCGTTCTCGAGGGCAGTGAGGAGGTCGCGACCACCGGGGATCTCGACGGCGTCGGAGCCATAGTCTTTCGGGATGCGGCCTTCGACGTAGTTGACGTCTGGAGAGGTAAGAAACGATCAGCTTCTGACAGGATGAAATTGGAAATCCCAATCGCATGTATTTTCCTTTATACTTACAGTCCCAGTTGGCCTTGGTCTGGTCGTACAGTCCCATCACATCAATGCTGCGACGGCCATGCGAGGTGGCGAGGATAGTCTTAGGGTCGACGCCCAGCTCTTCGCCAATTCTGGAGAATGGGTTCGCGTTAGAAAAAGACTCATGTCGAAGTCTTGCGGGTGTCAATCTGGTACTCACTTGTGCCAGTGCTTCACAATTGCTGTTCAACGCTGTCATGTTAGTATATGTTTCTTCCTCCTGGTGACGCCGAATGAGGGGGGTGGTACCATCTGTGGAGTCCACAATTGTGCCATCAAAGTCAGAGAGGAGACCATCGAATGTATGGACCTGCGGGGGCGCAGAGAAGGATCCTGTTGCTGCCATGGTGGGGGAGGGGCTGTTGCGCGGGGAGTTCGGGAGTGTTGAATCGTGCAGAGGTAGGGCACGAAGAAGTGTCAGAGGGTTTGGAGAAAATGGTATGTGAGAAGGAAGAAGTTTGAAGCCAAAGGATCAGGTTATATTGGTAGATAGAGGGCTAAGATGTCATAATAGTAAGTTCTTGCTTATTGTACGATGAGATCGAATGAAATTACCCAATTTGGAAATCGGCCCGACCCAGGCGGTTAGTCATCGGCGGTGGTTTCGGAGATCGGTGGTACTGATTATCCGCTTATCGCCAAATCTTGGCGCTCAACTTTTTCTTGCGGGTGAACTTATAGATTTTGCTAGGCAACGCTTCGTGATCTACAACAGCGTGCATTCACTATGGTTACTAAGAGTGGTTTCGGTAAGACTACCTGCCACACTTCTTGGGCACTATATCCTGGGCAACAATTCTAACGCTCTACAGGCAAGACCTCCAAGCGGGTTCCCGTCCGCCTGAGGCACAAGATTGAGAAGTCTGCCGTTCAGAAGCAGAGAAAGCAAAAGAAGCTCGCAAAGAAGGTACGCCATATATACAACCCTTCACAATCTGACAGTCCATTGACAAGTACTTGCAGAACCCCGAATGGCGGTCAAAGATCAAGAAGGATCCGGGTATTCCCAACCTCTTCCCCAACAAGGAAAAGCTCCTCCATGATATCGAAGAGCGCAAGCGCCTCAGAGCCGAAGATATCAACCGCGCTCGTGATGAAGCCCGAGCCCGTAAGGCCCAAGGCTTGCCCGCGGCGCAAAACGGTAGCGAGGCCGTCGACATCAATGAGGACGACATGCTGGACGATGATATGGAGGGTGACGACTCCAACCCCATGGCTGCTCTTCTCGCATCAGCACGCGCTCGCGCCACCGAATACGATGAGAACCAAAGCGAAGATGACGAAGAGATGGACGAGGACGACGATGAGGATGACGACGATGAGATGGATGAGGACGATGAGGGTGGTGCACTGCTTGACGGCTCTGCTCCATCAGTTACAGCAAAGTCTTTCACAAAGGAGAGCTCACGACGCCAGTTCGACAAGGTCTTCAAGCAGGTCACTGAGAACGCTGATGTCGTTCTGTACGTGCTTGATGCTCGTGACCCCGAGGGCACCCGCTCCAAGGACATCGAGCGCGAAATCATGGCTGCAGACAGCGGCAACAAGCGTCTGATTCTTATCCTGAACAAGATCGATCTGGTCCCACCCCCGGTTCTCAAGGCCTGGTTGATCCACCTCCGCCGCTCCTTCCCAACTCTTCCCCTCAAGGCGTCTACCGGCGCTGGCAACGCACACAGCTTCGATCACAAGAAGCTGACAGTGAAGGGAACCGCTGATACTCTTTTCCACGCCCTCAAGTCATACGCCAATGCTAAGCAGCTGAAGAGATCCATCTCTGTCGGTGTCATTGGATACCCCAATGTCGGCAAATCCTCCGTGATCAACGCCCTCACTGCACGCCTCAACAAGGGCTCAAGCAATGCTTGCCCAACTGGTGCCGAGGCCGGTGTCACAACCAGCCTTCGCCAGGTCAAGCTGGACAACAAGCTCAAGCTTATCGACTCCCCCGGTATTGTCTTCCCCTCCGCTGGTGACAAGTCCACAAAGAAGAACAAGAAGCAGGAAGAGCAGGCCCGCCTCATTCTGCTCAACGCCGTCCCCCCCTAAGCAGATCGAGGACCCCATTCCCGCAGTCAACCTCCTCATCAAGCGTTTATCGGCTTCTGAGCAGCTTATTGCCAAGATGCTGGAGGTCTATGGAATTACTGCCCTTTACCCCACCAGCCAAGGTGACAAGACCACCGACTTCCTCGTCCAGGTGGCTCGCAAGCGCGGTCGTCTTGGAAAGCACGGTGTTCCCAACATTGAGAGCGCCGCCATGACTGTCATCAACGACTGGAGAGACGGTCGCATCCAGGGCTGGGCCAACGCGCCTGTGCTCAATGTGGTCGCTTCGACCGATGCTCCGGGCAGCGCCGCTGCGCCCGGCGCCGACACCACCCAGGTTGTCACCGAGTGGGCCAAGGAGTTCAGCATCGAAGGCCTCTGGGGCAACGGACAGGGTGACGACGAGGAGATGGCCGAGTAAGGGCACTTCTCTGTCGTGTTACGAACTCGTTATCTCATTTGATTCTACCTTTCTGGATACCAAAAAGTGGGCGTTTTATATTGGCATTCCATCGTTCCCTAGATTCTCAATCTCAATGCAAAAAGAAAGATTCAATTAATCCATCCATAAGTCTTTTTTTCCAGCTCAGTAGACAGTCATGTAGCATGCAGATTTAGCAATTGTCAAAAACACCAGTAGCATGAAGTTCAAGTAGACATCACCGCCAAGCCCCCACCGCGGGAGAACTCCAACGCGTTAGCGCGTTCTCCTTGCAACCCTACCCTCGAACTTGAATCCGCGACTTTAAATTGAGACCAAGAGCAATCCAAACACATACCCCTCGACCTCAGGACACTTTATAAAACTGGGCTTTTGCAAAGGCGCAGACAGAAACGCCTCCGGTCCCTCGAACGCGATCACAATCACCAGCGAAATACCTCATCGCCACTTCACAACCACACAAAATGCCGCCTCGCAAATCCACATCATCGGTCACACCTGCCGATCCAGATGACTCGATACTTCAGCATTCATCGCCCGCGCCACAGCCTGACAAGCCCGTCTATGCGACAGAGCAGCAGTTGAAGGCTCGTGCCGAGGCGGGCGCCAGCATCGAGGTAAGCAGAACACCCAAAGCGGGCATACAGACCATGCATTGGATCTTGGGAAAATACACTTCTCTGTCCGCTGCTCTGTGCATTGTGTTTGCGTTACGAGTCAACCTGGACTAATGTACAATCGCTCACAGGACTATCTCCTCCCTCGATCATTGACACTTCGTCTCGCCAAGTCGGTGCTGCCACCTAATACAACAGTCCAGAAGGATGCCGTACTGGCCATGCAAAAAGCTGCTACGGTCTTTGTCTCCTACCTTTCTTCACAGTATGTGTACCGTCACAATTGTCCAATCCCAAGACTTAGCACATCAATGATTCCCTCCCCCGTGGCCCGGACAGGGAGCACATTAGTGCGCCGTCGGGGTGCCAGCCACTTTACATAAATTTCAGTCAACTAATGCGGTCATACAGAGCCAACGATGGAACCCTGAAACGCACGATTGCCCCAGCAGACGTCTTCAACGCCCTTTCAGAGCTGGAACTGGACTCTTTCCGCGGCAGACTTGAACAAGAACTCGAAGCCTACACCGAAATCAAAGCCGGGAAGCGCAAGCCCAAGAAGGCTGATGCCAATGGCTCTGCGCCAGATGCGGCGGATGGTACAATTGAAGCAGATGGCGATGTCGAGATGCTCGATAATCCCGCCAAAAAGGTGAAGCGCGATGAGGAGGGACAGACTAGTGCACCTGCTGGCGGTGAAGAAGATGGTGATGAGACACAGGAGGATGAAGTCGAGGAAGAAGACGAAGAGGAGGAAGATGAAGAGGCCGAGGAAGAGGAGCATGATCATGGTCCACGAGAGGATGATCTTGAGGTAGTTGAGGATTTGGACCGGGAGCCTGGGGCCAAGAAGGGGCCCTATGACCCTGATGCTGAAGACACTGATGAGGATGATGATGGACCTGGTAGTCAGCTTCGGGAGAACCTTGGCGTGGGTTCAAATTGAGAATCTCAAGAGGGATTCTTACGGTTCTGAACCGTTCTACCTATACAAGATCATGCCGATATATCCATCAACACCTGGGCAGTTTCCAAGGTTGGTGTGGATGGATATTGGAACTCTGGGAGTGGGATTACGTCCCAGCCTGTACTATAAATTAATGATAAATGGTTTCTTGTATCAAGTCCCGATGTCAAGGTTGTTGCATGGCCACTTGCGCAGCTTCCAACCCTCCAAGGTTTCGTATCAAGTAGCTTTATGAGGCACACGGGTGGACATCAACGTATATTTCTTCGCCTCCAGGGCTGTATGTATCCATGGATCTATCTATCCCTGAATTCCAATATTGGTGCCCAGGTGTCCCGAGGTCAGGGCAACATTCCGGGCAAGTCGTTGTATAGCCGGCGGGCATTTGTCTGAATATACAACAACCAACCTTTGAACTTTGAAGAACAACCTCAAAACCTGAAAGCCCACGAGTGTTATTTGGAACGTTGCAACGTTCACAGCTTGCGAGTTCAGAGGTTTTTAAGGTTCCCAAACATCCCCAGGGCTGCAAAATGATGCAACTGTTTTGGCCACCTGCCCAGGTAGGCAGCGCTCAGTTCGTATTACGAATAAACCCTGGAAGCCTACAGCAGGTAGCACAGTACATACCTGGGTACTTCCAAGGTTGAGCACGGAAAAAGAGCCAGTGAGATCAAGTAAAATGTATTAAAAAATACAGTAACCCATGAAAGGCATAATATTTGACACGAAAACCCCATGCAGACCTCAGATAAAGATGCATAGGCGAAAAAAGAGAAAAAGTGAAAACAGAAAAAACCGATATGGGTACAAGCCAATGCTTGACCACCAAACGCCCAGCCAGCCCATGCAGAGAACAGAAAAATGTCTATCAGTGGTATCTTTCGAAAGAAGACAGGAATAATAACCATCCAGCGGAAAGACAGACGATGCAAGTAAGAGTACACACCCCGAAAGGAGCAGGTATGAAGAGTCCCAAACAGAGAAGGAGAAGATGAAAAGGGCGAAAATGAAGCTAAAACCGAAAACGCCAAGTTGACAAATCATGCATCATGTCATTGAAGATGTGGTCATGGAAGAGGGGAATATGTGATCCCGGGACCATGACGCGGGCGTTAAAGAGGTTATGAAGAAACCATAGTCGGGACAGAGTCGAGGTTGATATCTGCCATGTCTGGCTTGCCTTCCGAGTCGACAGGGGAGATATCCAAGGTTCCGTTGTTCTTTGGATCCCCTGGAGGAACTGGACACATGATCTTGGCGTTGAGTTTTGAGTCGGTGGCCGCAGCGCGGGAGTTCTTGGTGACGCGGGTGTTTTTGAAAGCAGTGAGTTTGGCGTCGGGCTTGACGGGAGCGGGCGTCTTTTTGGCACGCTTCGCAGTGGTTGTGGCAGCGGGTTTCTTCGCGGCAGGCTTGGAGACCGGTTTGGCAGCAGACTTCGAAGTAGCCTTGGGTGCAGCGCTGGAAGCAGTCTTGGATGCAGCTTTGGGCTGGCCCTTGAGAAGATCGGTGATTGAAGGACCCCTGCTTGCTGGGTTCGTGGTTGCCTTGGCCTTGGTAGCTTTGGTGGCACGTTTCTTAGCGGGCTGCTCGTCACGACCCGAGGGTGGTGAAAGGAGGCCAGTGACGTCGCGAGTGCGCTTCTTTGTTGGAGTGATAACCACGGAGACATCTGGAGAGGCATGGACCTTGAGGGATCCCGGAAGCTGGGGCATAGGCTCAGGTGATGACTCGTACTCGCACAGCTCGTTGTCGCTAGACTCCCAACACTTCAGGTTGGCCTGGTTGGCCACTTCATCGCATGATCCTTGGACAATCAGGTCAAAGCAATCGGCGAACTCCTTGCCGGTAGGCGGTTCATTGTTGACGAACATGGTCACACCATCTTTGCGACTCCGAATCTGAGAACACATGCTCTTGACAAGTCGACGGACTCCGGGGATCTTCAAGCTGGTTCCGGCAACGATCAGAACACGGGGGCGAGATTTGACGTCGGCGTTCATCACGGAGGTGATTGCTTCTTCGTCGGGGTTGTGCTCGTTGTAAAGAACAATGCGCGGGCGCATACGGCCGATTCCGTGGCTGCGCAGACCACCAATCTGGCGCGTTTCATCATTGATCGCACACTCCTCGCAAGCGGGGGGATCGGCTTCGGTGAACATATCACGGTTGAAGTCAGTCAGGAAACGGCACTTTTGACAAACCATCTTCTCGATACTGCCGTGCAATTGAATAGTGACGGGCCAGTTGCCCTTGATGTTGAGAGGGATGTCAGTAGCCAGCGGCTTCATTTGAGTCTCGATGCCATCGATATTTTGGGTATAGAGGCGCTTCAGGCGACCCTCGGTACCCAGTCGGGCGAGCATTCGGTGAAAGGCGGTGGGCTTAGTGTTCTGAGCATCTTCGGAAAGCGACCGGACCATTTCGTGGAATGGGGCGGTCAAAGCGTCATCTCGGTAAACGGCAGCATCGAACAGGAGCTTGCCGGATGACTTGAGGCCATGTTTCTGTTGCAGGGAACGGAAGAGACCGTCCGAGGAGCGGAAATCAGGAACTATACGGAGTTAGATATACAGGCGGCAGAATCCCAAAGCAGAAACTTACTGCCCGCAGCGGTGGAAATGCCGGCGCCAGCAATGACGACAACATCTTTTTGATGACGCAGAGTTTGCACCAGCAAATAGTGTTGATCAGATTGCTCGTGGAGAGATTTGGAGAGATCGAGATATTGGGTGGTTCGTTCCTTGGGGAGTGGGTTGCGTCTCCTCTTTGCGGGACGGGCTTGGCGTGCAGAACTCTCAGCGGCAGACTGCTCAAACTCAGCCTCCAGTTGGGACGAAGGAGATGGATAGCGAGATTCCGGGCCTGGAGAGGATCGTGGCGAGCTGGGAGGCAGGGAGCTCATGTCCGAGCAATCGGATAGGTCGTCGTAATTGAGCCCCATGACTGCGAATGACGATGGAATGGGCTGAGACGTTTAGGTCACGCAACGAGGTAAGATGCGTAAGGGGAGATCGGAAGAAGTAGCGGGTACCTCTGGGTTGCTCAGAGACCGGAAAACACTGGAAAAATCATGTGTGCCGGGAGAAATCGAGAGGAATCGAGTACGGGAAGAAGAGCTCGGGGAGAAAAGAAGGAGAGAAAGGAGTAGAGGGATATTCGGGTATTCAAGTGTAGAACCAGACGATGAGGTCAGCCCCAAGGATTTAAAGGCCTTTAGGAATGGAGCTAATTTGAGGAGAAAGGGGGAAATAGAAGAAAGGCAGGGAAAAAATAGAAATAGAAATAGAAAAAGAGTGCAAAGCGAAAGAAGTCTTTGTTTTGGCCGTTGAAAGCTTTAGAATTCGCAGCGGAATGTGGTTGTGTGGCCGATGGGACTGGAGAAGAGGCCTGGTCAGTGCTGAAACTGTTTTGATGCGAACCTCTCCGGAAGAGTTTAGACGCTGTGCTGGCTCTACTATTGTGGGGGAGAATAGGGGATGAATGGGTGGAAAATGGGCAAAATCCCCGAACTCGAATGCGCCAAGTTCGACAATAGACTAATTGACGATTGTCGCTTAAGATCAATTACGTCCATTGTTGCTATTCTGCTGAAGTGTTTTTGTTCTGATATTGTGACACTTCCACCGCCAATCGCTGATTGGTCCTGCCCGTTGGATGGTCCGAGGTGTCCTCTGATTGGCCCACCACCGTTGGCAGGGCTACCGTCACATGATGTCACGAGGTCTGACTAAGGGGGAAACAGGTCCAGACGGCATAGGCCTTGGAATAGACTCATATAGACTCATCTGAAGTGTGGATGTTTGAATCCTGCGTGTTCGGTGCTGGTTTGGTGCAAATTCAGAGAACTATAGGACTATTTCCTTCTCCCCCCTTTCATTGTGGCCCGGCTTTCCCCTGTTCTGCCCATTAGCCCATTAATCAGCACTCGGGATTCAATGGTCTGGGCGTTTCTATAGAGTCATGCTGCAGCGGGATTGATTTGATTGATCAAGAAAAAACCTGCAAATGCCCCTGATCATGGAGGAGGGCATCAACGTGGATGACCTCTTTGGAGAGCCTAACTCCTTGGAGTTGGGCTTGCCCTCTGCCTCCCCAATCAAAGGACTAGCCCAATGTTTAGACGAGATGCGCTTATTGGGATGCTGCCAGTAAGCTTTGGAATGCCTTTGTCCCTTCTCCACATTCCAGAAACTGACATCTACTCAGGAAGATTGCATGGTCCCGGTTGGGGTGCATTGCGTCCATTTCCTCGGACGGGCTCCGGGTGATCGTCCGCTATCTCCAGTGCCGTCCGTCAGATGGCAAATGGGTACTCGGAGAAGAGTCCCCCTGACGCCAGTGATGGAGGCCCATAATGGGAACCAGCTGGCTCATCTACTTTGGAATGAGACTGGCTCGGACCTGGCCGTCGTGGATTGTTCGGGCCGCATATCCATATATTCCATATCAATCGCACTGAACAGCATCACCGGTCTGCGGCAGGCCGCCTTCGACTCTGGCGATGATGGAAGCCAGGTGGTTGGGATGATGTGGCTCAACTCTCAGCGTTTTGTATGTTGTGTTCCTCATTCGTTACAGTAGGATGTATTGACTGACTCCCCAATGTAGATTCACTCCTTTCATCAGGCAGCCAAGGTCAATGGTCGATGGGCGTATTCGCCCTTCCGCCGACGTCCCATCGGGCCGTTCCACCCAGCTAATAAAGGCGCCTTGCTCTGTGTCACAAGAGCCGGCCAAATGAAGCTGATTTATCAGAACCCCGACAGCAAATGGGCCGAGCTACCAATTGAACTCAAAAGTACAGGGTACTCGGATAGGTTATTAACACATGCATCCATGACTGCCACACAAGGTATGTACTCTACGACCTCAGCCTCCCTCTGCTTTGACTGACTGCTCGATGCAGCCGGTATCCTGCTTGCTACATATTCTGCATGTCAGAAAATGTGCCTGTACAGAGTCCACATCACCTGGAATCCACCACAGTGGGAGCCGACCCAGGCGAAGCAGCCAGGCCAGTATCCTGTGCCCAGCATCCGCTTGATCCACTGCAAGGTCGACATGCCAAGCAATATATTGAATGTCAACCACGGCCTCGACCATTCGGATAATTCATTGCCATTTTCCAATACAGTGTACTCATTAACTCGATTGGAGATTATGCCAGGGCTGGTGGACAGCCCTGCAGGGTCTTCAGCTAATCCTTGGATCCTGGCTATCTTCTCAAAACCTTTACATGCCCCGCATGAATACCCAGAGCAGCTGGGCCCGTCAAGTGTCATTGTCAGATGGCACTTGGAGTCTGCGCAACAAACACTCCATCCCAAGTTCGACGAGGTGGCCTCGAAAAAGAGTAACGCCCAAGCAAAGGTGTGCATCACATACTACTGTTCTTGATGAAAAATTGGAAACGCTGACCATTCCACAGCCCCAAATGGAGTTGCGCCGCTTAGAAGATATCAACTGTGACAAGTACATTGTGTCCACCGAGTTGGTGGAATATGGATCTGGACTGGCTGTTACTTACGAAGACGGCTCAATTACGTGCTATGATACGAAAACAATGGTCCCTTTCACTGGACTTGACGACTCAAGTACAGTCACCTGCCTCGCCCAGGCTGGGTATCAGTACCCCATCGAACCATCGGGTATGCAGCATCATGTGCTTCTTTGAGATATGAGGCTAAATGTCAAGCAGGTCTCCACATCACCTTCTCTCCTAATTCATGTGTTGCCGTCACGCTGGACAGTGACGGACAGACGCAATTGAGAGTGATGGAACATTCTTTCGGTTCCACAGAGGGCGCTTACGACGAGAGTAAGTGCTATCTTGCCCGGCTATCTCACACTAATACTAATCCAGAGATATAGACAGGTTTTCTGCCGCGATAGCGGCCTTGACGTTGACGTTTTGTCGGGGATGTGGAGGCGATTCTAATACAGACGACATTGTCATGGTTGCCCTCCGGCAATTATCACCCGGTAAGTGCATTGCAGATTCTCGTAGTAGAGTTGCATGCTGATGCTTCTCCCAGATGCCCAAACCTCATTTATCAGTGAGGTTTACCGCGCATTGCCAGTCAATTGCAACTTCACCGCAGAACAGGACAAATTGATGAGTCATCCCTATATACCTCGTTGTCTCAGCCTACAAGCGGCACTTGGATTTGGAGGCAGACTCAAACAACGCAATCTCGCATCGTCCGTCCCATGGGCGATTCTTCAGCTCCGCCATGCCTCAGTGCTATATGCATACTTCTTCCAATACAACAAAGTTGGACAAACAGAATCGCATGATCCAGGTGAGTTACACAGCAGTCGGCATATATACCAAGTCCTTGGTCACTAATGAACAACAGATGTCCTGCGCATGGTGTTGGGCAATACCAAATGGACGCTAGACTTCTCCCACTTCATCCTGAACGAGATCTTCGACCTGGCAGATGAGTTTGAAGATGTCTTCAACGACCCGGAAGCATTCACTCAGAAACGTAAGACCTCCTTCATCCCCCCAGCTACAATCCCAATCTAACCAAACCAGTGAAAACCACCACATCCCTCCCCCTCCTAATCCTCCTCTCCAGCATGTCCCGCGCCTTCCTCCGCTTCACCTGCCGCGGCCTCCGCGGCGTCCACGCCGGCTTCGCAACCGCAAACCCAGCATCCCTCCTCGGCGACTCCCGAGTCTACTACACCGAAATCTGTCAAACCCTCGAGTCCTCAGCCGTACGCATAGACGTCTACGAGAAGTTCCTCGCAGGCGTCGACTCAGCCGTGAAACACGCCTACCAAGGCGCCGGCTTCGGCGACGCCGAACGACCAGGTCCAGAAAAAGAACTCCTCGTCAACGCACGCATTCCCCCCGTCCTCACGAGCGCAGTGGCAACACTCCTCCGACAGACCGTCCCATCACTGAAATCAGAGATCAATCGCATGGCCATCTACCTAGGGGACTATAGCTGGCTTGGCTTTGGGAATGATCGCCGCACCGCGCTGTACAGGAAGCAGCGCGAGGTGGATATTCTTAAGAAATGTGCTTTGAGGCCGCCGTTGCCGCTGGGTAATGATGGGCGTGTAGCGCCGCTTAAGAAGAGGCGGTGTGCCCGTTGCTGTGAGGTTTCTGGGGATACGAATTTGCCGAGGTCGCTTTCGTCGTTCAAGATGATTGCGAAGTTGGGGTTGTTGAGGTCTTGTCTTTGTGGGGGGGATGTGGATCCTTCAGACGGATTCTGGGGAGCTTGGGAGTCATGAGAATGGGGTTGGGGATGGGGCTGGTCAGACGTAGGCTTAGCTTGGAATGATATTATATTATGTGGACATCATTGCGACGTGGTGTGTGGTGGATTAAGATATTTGGCTGATATACTTGCTCAATCTTGATTGTCATGATCACACCTGTTTCCTATCGTATATCCAATCCTGAACGATCTCAAGGTTGCCAGACAGACGCTGTGGGGAGGACTGTAACGAATTGATATATGGGACCAAGTAATACGCAGCTGCAGTAGTAGCAGTAGAAGTTGTATTCATTAACGTCCGAACCCTGCCAGGCGTTGATGAAAATACTACTACTACTACTACTACTACTACTACTACTACTGCCACTGCCACTGCCACTGCCTACTACTTGGGTCCCATATATGGGATGGCCCCGGAATGGATGTAGGATTATCCTAGATCTAACACAATGTGGGCCGTCAAGTGGACTACATCCATGGATGCGTATGAAGTTAATAGCAGGTAAGAATTCACAGAGATCCTCATTTGACGGAAGAGCAAGAAGATTGTCTAAGTCATGTCATGTCAAGAGTCGATTTGCATCCTATTTAGATACATAATCAAATTCCATTTTTTTGGATGTAAAAAAAAGATGAACCGACCCCTTCACAAGCTTTCAGGTTCACATCGTCACGTCCTGCTTGTGTCCAAGGCCAGCAACGTCTTCCCACAAAACTCCATATCCGAACAAGTTCTGCGTTTAAGCCTGCAATAATCCGTTAGTGTTGGGTTCGACTGCGGGGTTCCTGGTAGATCATATCATCGGTGGCGAGACAAGACAAAAAAACGTAGAAGACAATCCCGTGCCTGTGCCTCATTCCACCAACTCAATGCCCGGAACTGATTGTGGGAAAGGTCATACCTTAACGGCGTACTTGCGCGCAGGGAAGTGGATGGCACGCTTGCGCTGCTTGTCGGTGGTCTGAGTGCGCTCGTGCTTGGTAAGACGGCGACGGATCTCACGGGTGAGCTTGGGGCGGAGATCGAGAGGAAGGTACTTCTTGTTCTTGTAGAAGAGACGCAGCTGAGCACGCTGGTTGGCGTTGATGACGGTGAGAACGCGAGCGATCGACTTGCGAACCTCGCCGCTAAAATGAAAAATTCCAGTCAGCATTCAGATCTCGAAATTTTGTTGAAATCCCCCGTATCGTATCGTGTGCGCAAGATTCCAGTTGTTGATCCCTCCTCTTCCTCGTCGTATCGCAGTGTTGGTTGTCGGCTGTGATATTCTGGTGTCGTTGTCTTGCCCGGTCGGGTTCAAAGTGTGTTCCATGCCGCAAATCTCCAAATTTCCTTCCGCACAACAAAACGATCGGGGGTGTCGGATACGCACATTCTCTGAGTCTTGGTGGAGGCACCGGAGGAGATCTTCTGAACGCGAAGCTGGTTAAGCTCCAGCTTCAACTCCTCGAGCTGCTTGGCGAGCTCATCCTTGTTCTTTCCCCAGAGCTGACCAGCCTTGACCTTGGACGACTGCAAAAAAGAGAGGTTCGTTAGCATTGTGATACAGGGCGCTTTCACGGCATCACGTACCATTTTGGCGGTGAATTATGTGGGTTGTCGACGTTGATAATTGAAGATGTCCGAGGGTCAATTTGCACTGGTTGTGGGACTAGGGCTAAGCGAATTCTGTGCCACTAAGCGGGTCACGTAATCACCCACGTGATACGCTTTTGGCCTGAGGCCGCAAACATGTGTCTCTTCCCGATTGGGTTTAGCCTGACTTTAGTCTGACTTTCTACCCCGTCATCGCTGCAACTTACGTAGACCGGCAGGTAGCCACTTGCCCTTGAACTAATTGTCCGGGCCTTGGTAGACGAATAATCTCAACTTCTCGGACCTTTTGCATTCCTGACTTATTCGTCTACTACCATGGCGACCACTACTGGCTCTGGATGGACACAACTCCGACAACAAGCCCGGTCGCTGGAAACCCAGGTACCAATAAATCACCACCAAACCAACAGTGTAACTAATGAAATGGATAGACCGAGAATCTCTTCCACACATACTCACAATTCGCCTCAATCACGAAGCCTCCACAAACACCCACCGAGGAAGAGCTACGGCTCGAATCGCAATTGAAAGACCTCCTCGAAAGAGTACGTCGACTCCAGGATCCGACAAGAGCGGAGGAACCCAAAGCAGGGGGACCAGCTGGCTAACCCAGACTCCGACAGCGTGAATCTCTTATCTCTCAATTATCTCGTCTCCTCGACTCCGAAGCCACCCTCACATCATCCGCCCTGAAGCAAAACAACGTCGCTCGACACCGCGAAGTGCTTCAAGATCACCGTCGCGAACTCAACCGCCTCACCTCAGCAATTTCAGAGTCGCGCGACCGTGCGAATCTACTCTCCAATGTCCGCTCCGACATTGATTCATACCGCGCATCGAACCCCGCCGCCGCGGAGGCCGACTACATGCTCGAAGAGCGGGGCCGAGTCGACAACAGCCATAATATGATTGACGGTGTGTTGAGTCAGGCATACGCTATCAATGAGAACTTTGGGATTCAGAGTGAAACCATCGCAAACATTAATCGGCGCATTGTCGGTGCTGCCGGCAACGTGCCTGGCATGAATTATCTGATCGGCAAGATTGGCAACAAGAAGAGAAGAGATGCTATGATCCTTGGATGTTTCATCGGGTTCTGCTTTTTGATGTTGCTTTTCTTCCATTGAGCGATGTCCGCGGGAGATTGCAAACCTGTCTATTTTTACCTCTGTGCTTTATTAGTACCATGTCGGCTGCTCCTCTGGCGAGCAGATTTCTTCAAGGCGTTCGGGTTTGGGCATTTCTTCCATTTTCCTTGACGGGAGATTGCAACCGGTTCAGCGATAATTTTTGCGCCTGGCTTTCATGACGTGGATCTGTTATCTATTCTACTATACACATTCTCTATTGTATGTACAAATTAGCTGAGCGGGGAATCATATCATACACACAAGACTCCAGTCGAGGTAGCCTTCACTTCAGTAATCAATATTTGCGATTCGGGTCCTGCGCTTGCAGCGCAGCCTTCTTCTCCTCGACAAGCTTCCGCACGCCAGCGTTGAGACCCGCCAGCTCAGCTGCATTTGCCGGACCACTGCCGGCCCAACGAATGCGACATTCGGAATCAACAAGGTAGACATATCCAACTTTCGAGTTCATCATGCCAATAGTCTCCTTGAGAGCCTGAACAAATCCTTTTTGCACAAGGAAGTACCGCGAGTGCTGTTCCTTCGCCAGCTTCTGTCGCATGCGCCACATGAATGTTTTCACAAGGAACGCCTTCATGCGGTTCTCCTCCAAGTTGATATCAACCCTCTGAACAAAACGCCCGCCATCGGCAATAGCTTCCACCAGACCGGGGTTTTGCTTCGGTCCAGTGAAGGTCGCAACTTGAGTCTCGGCCCACAGGCTCGAGAACAGGCTTACAACACTGATGCTACCGCGCAGCTGGGTCGTTGTGTCTTGGGGATCTTTCGGGGATGCCAGGGTGACACCACGCATATTGGGGAAGAAGAGGGCTCGATCGGCTTTGAAAAGACGTGGGTTTGAGACGAAGGTCTTACCTTCGGCGAAGCGGAGGTTGGACCATTCGCGGAAGTAAGGTTTGGCAACTTGCTTTGTCCTATGGGGTGCACGTAAAGTTAGCATTGATCCGACAAGTTGGCAGTATGGCACTCAGTGATATAGAGTGAAGTAGGATCTTACAATTCCTTGCGCCGCTTGATGTGTCGATCATAGTTTGTGAAGTCGTCGCGACGCTGGCGCATCGATCGTGGATCAACGCCGGTGTTCTCTCCTTCTAGCGGTGGCTCCGGGCTACCAATTGGTCGATCAAGACTGGGAGGGACGAAGTCTGAATCTCCAGGCTGGGGGCCATCCTGACTGGTCGGGTTCTGCTTGAATTCAATGGCACTCGTCAGGCGACTTCTTGCCTCGTCTTTTCTGGTTCGGAGCACGGGCGAGGGGTCTTTGGTGTCGGTTGTGTTCTCGGCCTTGTTTGCATATTGGCGCGCAGCGAATGGCCTGGCCCGGAGGCGTGTGAGAGTGGCTGGGTTGCGGAATTGGCAGCTTAGACAGCGGCCACTTTGCAGGAGCGAGAGATCGGCCGCTATGGCCGTGGGGAATGCAGATTTCCACATTGATGCTGACTATTTGTCGGATTATAGGGTGAAGATTGTGTGCGGTTGTTTGACGGGAGGATTGTTCAACTCTGCAAGCTGATACTCGACTTGTTATCGCATCATATCGCGGTCTCGGATGAAAATCCATGGTCACATGACATTGTCTTTTTGGGACATATTGAACTACATCGTACTTACACATCAATTCTAATGGACAACTCGGGGATTTTAGTGGAACCAACCAATTCGCCAGGATGCTTGTCGTCTGTTCGTTATGAGGCAACCTTCAGTTCTGGTGGGTAGTAGAGTATGAAGTCTAAAGGAGCCTTGGAACAACTTCTAAGGTTGAATTAAAGCTTGTATATTTCTTTGAGTGACGCGAATATATACAAAATTGCCACGATGTCTAAGATTTGGTTTATTTTAGCTCAATTGGAATCTTATTCAAGCTTGCCCCAGGTTCAACCTCGAATTGCGCTATACTGAGACAAAAATTAGGGCTACCAGAAATGTCCATGGATGTTTCTCAGACCTTAGCGATTTCTATACACAGTTCAAAAGTACACATATTCGGGATCCCCCAAAGTCCATCGCGTACCGGCTTCGGTCGTCGCAACGAGTATACCACGGAGTCTGTGCCGGTACGCTGTTTGTGACCTCCCGAGGTCCTAGTTACAACACGACCTCATATATAGCTGAAGCGTCCCAGAAATCTCCCTAAGTAAGACTCACATATAATGTATCCAATTACGTATGGCTCATATAAGTATTTGAAACCCTTGGTGTCTGGGCAGTTTAGTCTTATAGGCGCCCTCCGTGGACGTAGTGTTATAGTGTACCCGCCCCTTCCAAGGTTCTGATGTTTGCCTTCTGCAAGCCCATGTGGACTGGTTAGTGACAGATAACGCTTGTTAACAAGTCTCGTTAACTTGCCTACGTGTGACAGTAACATTATGTCAGCATTGGTGATAGCCCTGGAGTCACAACACTTGTCCAAACACGTTACGAGACGGACGAGAGAAATGTATAAAACACTGCCAGACACGCGTAAATTCTCTCGTTTTCACCAAGAAATGAGAAACCTACAATATATCGTTCGCCTTTCACGCTTTCCAATTACTCATCGTAAACTTTCGACTCGTGGGAAGATGCCAGACTCCCATTTATTTGAATACACGGCCGGGAGATGGATGTACGTCGGATTGTCATGGCCTTGCTTTGCATTCTACCCTTGTGCTTCCAAGGTTTACTTTGACCATAGATCCATCCACTCACAATCAAATTTAGCTACAATGACCATAAACGGCAATACGAAAGAAGGCGGGCTTTCAACGTCCCTGAACTCAAGCGACTTGCAGCAACATCAGTTCATCGGAAGGCAGAAGATGTCTCCACTCTCGAGAAGCTAGCTGAGGGAGGTTTCAATCGAAGTTTCCTTGTCACCATGAATGATGGCTTCCAACTTGTTGCACGTATCCCTTACCCGGTCACTGAGCCAAAATTCTTCGCCATCGCGAGCGAAGTTGCCACGATGGATTTCCTCCGTTCTCAAGGTATACCTGTTCCGAAGGTCGTCGGCTACTCTGCCAGTTCGGACAACGCTGCGGAAACAGAATATATATTCATGGAGCTTGTGCAGGGAAACAATTTAGGTGATATATGGTTTGAATTATCGGAAAAGGAGAGGATAAACTTGGTGTATCAAATTGTTCGGATGGAATCTCGACTCTTGTCCCTACGTTTTCCAGCAAGTGGGAGCCTCTATTACAGCAAAGATTTGCAAGATAAATCCAGCTGGATTGACATTCCAAGCACACAGTCTACCAGCAAGCGTCATTTCTGTATTGGTCCTGATACAACGCTCGGGTTATGGTATGGCAAAAGATGTGATTTACCGGCTTCGCGTGGGCCATGTAAGTGCTAGTTTCCCCAAGTCTCCCCGAATTATCAGTCCATAACTCTCGAAGACATCGATTCTTTAGCGGCCTTGACTGCCGGTGCCAAGAAAGAAATCGCATACCTCATGAAGTTTGGGCAACCTCTGCAACCCCTTCAGCGTCTCCGTCGAGAGATCTATAACTACCAGACACAGTCGCATTTTGAGCATATTGCGAGTCTGAAAAAATATCTGCATATGGCGCCTTATCTCATACCACAGAACAACTCAACCATCACCCGTCCCGTTATGCGCCATCCTGACCTCCAGCCAAACAACATATTCGTCTCTGACAAACTGGAAGTCACTGGCCTGATTGATTGGCAACCCAGCGTTGTTCTTCCGCTTTTCCTACAATGCGGAATACCAAGAAGTATACAAAACTATAGCAACGAGGTCTCAGAATCATTGCAGATCCCTCGTCTTCCAGACAACATCAACGATTTGAAAGAAAGAGAGCAATTTGAACAAGTCGAGCTTCTACGCAGACGCCAACTCCATCATTCCTATGTGAATTTCACGGCAAAGTACAATTCAGAGCATTACGATGCTTTAGAATATGACATGAGTACTCTGAGACGACAGCTATTCCACCACGCCAGTGCTCCTTGGGAAGGTGATAATGTGAGCCTCAGGGCTGATTGAATCGCTCTTTCAAGGGGTTGGGCAAAGATGGATACTTGGGGGAAGCCACAATGCCCAATCTCGTTTTCAGAGGAAGAGTCGAGCGAATGTCTACAGTTGCAGAGTGCCCAAACCGAAGCAGATGAACAAATGCAGGCTTGTCAAGAAGCAATTGGGGTAGGACATGAGGGGTGGGTGCCTGCCGAATTGTACGATGAAGCAAGACAACGTGAAAGGAGATTGATGGCGGACGCCTTAGACGCGGCCGAATCAAATGAGGAGAGAACAAGAATAAAAGAAAACTGGATTTTCGGGGACTTTTGTGAGGAAGACTATTTGTGAGAATGAGAACATTCATAATCTTTTCACTCCTTGTATCTCATCACAAGTCTATACCTCTGAGCTCACGAGGTCATCTGCAAGATATTCACTTGAATTTGGTCAGTATAGGTATTCCACCACCTTCCTATCTGGGCAGGTCAGTCTGGATGCATTCTTAGGATGTACACTGCAAATATGATGCGTTTATGGCCAGTATGGGAGTATATTGTCATGTACACAGTAGTGAAGTGTCAGTTAAAAAGCCAAATAAGGGCTGCCTGGTATAACAAATACCAGCTGGGTGAGGTGTCGCATGTCCTGATTTCGCGCCAGCTTAATCCCCAAAGGGCCCAATCCTCTCCATCTGTTGGGTCAGTTTCCTTCCTTCCCGAAGTACTTGGTTCGAATCCTAGTCCCGATGTCCAGCTGAATTTGTTATCTCTTTTTTGCTTTCCTTCCTTTCCTTTTCCAACACACACTCTCTTTTTTGCTCCATCACTTGGGACATGCACCATAGCTCTTCCCATTCCTGTAGAACGCAAGGTTGCAACAGCCCTGAAATCTGCATGAGAAGAATGGGCACATCCAGTCTGTTGCAGTACCGATCAAATACCCGTACGCGACTCACGAAGTGATGTCCAGGTTCCTAAGTTGTGCAGTTTGTGGTTTTATACTTCTGAAGGCGGTAAGGCATTGGTGATTATCTGCCAGGCTCACCGCCGGATGACGTTGTTGAATTCTGCCACATATAAGCAACAGGCTGGGGTTTCGAGTAAAATACGAGCTTACTGCGTTGGCAATGAAGTCCTTAGAAGGTTACTCTCAGTGATCAGCAGCCCTGATAGCCCAATTGACGAGATCCGAAGCTCTAGTATTGCAAGAGATCAGCAATGATAAGACCTTTGACAGTGGTTTACATGCGTGTTGAGGTGAAACGGTCAGAAAATATATAAAGAGCCTTGAACTACAATCTTATAGGATCTCTAGGATTGACAGAAAGACCTTCGAAGTCTGAAAATATGACCTGCATGACTAGGCAAAATACAAACAAATATGCAGCTATTAACGCAGGGGACCGAAGTCTGAAGGCAGCAGCGGATTTCTTGGCATTAAGCGCGCCGTTGGAGTTCGGAACCTTTGGAACCATTCAAACTGTCCAAGGGACCAAGGAGATCGATGCCTTGGTCCCTTCAAATTACCAACGCAGGATGGAAAGAAACGTCAGACCATTATCATGACTGTCCCTGATTCGATCTTTTTCTTTTACTGGATACCGAATCAGTCATGACGGACCAACTCACCAAAGAGAGTTTCTTTGCGGCTCTTGATCGTTTGGACGAATCCGAGGATGAGCATGGCAACCGCGGGCATGTCACGACCCCAGGCTACGACATGGCCAAGCCCAAGGTGCAGAAAGTCGCTCTTGCCTCGGACCATGGGCCAGTCTCACTTTCTCGAAACTCCGACCCTCAAAGTTTGTGTGACATAGAGCGCGAAAGCGCCGAGTCATCAATAGCTCCCAATCCAGTCTCTGTCAATCGTCCAGAGTTGATCGAAATCATGCCAAAGAGAGCTGGGCCACCCAGCAAGAGAAGAAAAACCAATAACGTCAAGCTCATACCCGACGGCCAGAAAATCTTCAAGGGGTTGGTTTTCTGTGAGTGACTCGGAGCTTACTCTCATTCTGGCTTTACTGACCTCTCGACCACAGTCTTTTGTCCAAACAATGATGTTTCCCCATTCAGACGACTGCGTATTCAACGAGCACAAGAGTATGGTGCTCGGTGGAGTCGCGAATGGTCCAGAGATATCACGCATGCGATCCTTGATAAAGGGTTGCAAATGAAGGACCTTCAGAGCTACCTGAAGGGCGAGGATTTACCGGTCAGTTGGACCACAAGCCAGCCCGCATCTCTACTGACAAAGACATAGACAAGCATGGTCGTCGTCAATGAATCCTATCCTTCCGAGTGCATCCAATTCCGCTCGATTCTCAACCATTCCCAACTTCGATTCCGTGTCGATGGAATGACTCCAGTTTGCCAACAAGCAGAGCCGGCAGTGCTTGTATCACAAGATACCAACTCACCCCCTTCACGCGAGAAGCCTAACCAACTGGCGGCCGAAGTTGACAACAGCCAAAAGCCCGGCAGAGGCAATCATTCAACCCGACAAGATCTTGCGTCTCAATCGAGTCAACCTTTCGCTGCAGGCCAGGTCGCACTTCCACAAAATTCGAGACACGAAGACAGGACCCCACCAAACTCGTTGAATGCACCTTTGATCAGCACTATACCCGAAAGCGACCCTCAAGAACTGATGGATCAGTCCCACAAAGATGTGGCTGGCGGGCAGCCCATACAGCAAAGCAATTGGGAGCGCGACGCTCTAGATGATATCATAGATGAGGCCAAGGCTACGAGTCATCTGGTAAGTAAACCCATAACATGACCAGGCTTGAAAAAACTAAGCAGTATCACTAGCCTTTGGATCTGATGGATTCCCCGGATGACGGCAACGAAAATGGCGCCCAAAGTGACAGTGAAAACTCGAGTTCAGAAGAGTCAAATCCAAGACGGAAAGCACATACAAGCGAAAAGAACCAAAAAACCGAGTGGACACAAGGTTTCGCCTGTATGCAGAAGTATGATCCAGAAGTGAACGAAAAAAGTCCCAACAGTGGAACCATTGACATACTTCAACAAATGCTCGACTACTACACCAGAAACACTGACCAATGGCGCACACTTGCCTATCGAAGGGCTATCGCAGCTCTGCGGAAACAGAAAACAAGGATCACAACTAAGGCACAAGCCAGGGCTATTCCTGGCGTGGGACAGCGTCTAGCGGACAAGATTGAAGAGATTGTGATGACCAATCGTCTCCGTCGCTTGGAAAATGCAAATAACAGCCCCGAGGATTTGATCATTCAACAATTCCTCGGTGTATACGGCGCTGGTCTACCCCAGGCTACAAAATGGGTCGCACAAGGATACAGTTCCTTGACCGATCTCTTGGAAAAAGCTTCCCTCAGCAAGTCACAGCGTATAGGAGTGGAGCGTTACAGCGACTTTGCCCAACGAATCCCCCGCAAGGAGGTAGAAGCCCATGGTGCAATTGTTCGAAAAGCGGTGCAGAGTGTGGATAAAGACATGCAGGTGATCATCGGGGGTTCTTACCGCCGCGGGGCACTCACCTGTGGTGATGTTGATTGCCTCATCACAAAGCCCGGTTCAACAATTGAGCAGATTCGCACCGTCATGCTGGCACTCGTCGTGCCAAAGCTGCTCAACAGCGGGTTTCTCAAAGCCAGTCTTGCTATCTCGTCGCATTCGGATGGCTCAAAGTGGCATGGGGCCTCGGCGGTACCCGGTACCGACTTGTGGCGCCGTATTGACTTGCTATTTGTTCCTGATGCTGAGATCGGCGCGGCTCTGATATACTTCACCGGTAACGATATCTTCAACCGGAGTATGAGGTTGTTGGCTAGGAAGAAAGGCATGTGCCTCAACCAGAAGGGACTGTACAATAACGTGCTACGTGATGGACAAGTGAAATTGAATGAGGGCAGGCTGCTTGAGGGTCGCAATGAGCGTCGAATATTTGCTTTGTTAGGTGTACCTTGGCGACCACCCGAGCACAGGATCTGCTGATCAATCCTTGTTCATACCTAATTTGAGACTGTTTTTCAAGATCAATGGATCAGTCAATACTATCTCTTCCGCGCCAAGAGGGCGATTCATGCAGCTCGATTAACGCCAACAGAACTGGTCAGTCTATGTCGATCTGTGTTGTGCTGTAAACACCCAGGTAAGGAAATTAGCGTATTGATGCACTCCGAAATCAATGAAGCACGCAACGACAAAGAAATGCATTCATTTTCAAATCGTATCTTCCAATAAGCATGCGTCTTATTTATGATTTTCCTTCCAAGGTTTGACATCCTCACTCCCCAGTATTTCAAGAATGTTCCAGGGTTTGTGTTGATCAACAGTCCTGGAGCCTGGAGGTCCACCCGACGATGGGTCCAGACTCCATGTCCCTCCCTTACGTTATACATTGAATTCTCGCACGTGATACTTCATATGCACGTGATGCTCCAACTTGACCTCACCATCGACACGTGATTCTATCGCCGATACTGTGATGCTATCAGCACGTGATATTATATCTCACCGCCTATATAATACCACGGCCACTTGGCCAACAAATCACGTGAGATGAGTCTTTACATCACCGCCTTTAGCTTCACATCACCGCCTTTCGTGCGGTGAAGCCTCCATCGCGTCCCCTCCCCTTGCGATTTCCAGACCGCCCTCTACCGCCCTCTGTTTTGCCCGCACATCATCTCAATCATCGTGAGATTTGTTTTCATTTGAATATTGAGTCTTTCTTTTGAGAGGCTCTGGTCCGATTCGAGGTTGCCAGGACCAGCCAGTCCTTGTGACTGCGACGTGGTTTTATCCATCCCACCATCCCGTTCGATTCAGTCCACAGCGGTGTTGACCTGGTGGGCTTGATATCCTTCAAAAATCCAAAGAACATAACGAAGACGGCTCTCGTCAGTGAGGCACTGTATTCGACATAACAATTGACGCGTGTAACACTTCAGAAACACGTATCAAAACACCGTCGCAATGGGCCGCAAACCGAACCAACTCATCCTCGAGTTCTTCCACCGGGGTCCTAAGCTGGAAGACGCGAGCAATCGATACCAACACACCTGCAAGGCCTGTGGCGAAGTGTTCCCCAAGGGACGCATCGACAGCCTGACCAACCACCTGGTGAAGAAGTGCCAGGCCATCCCCCTCCGTGATCGTCAACGCGTCTTGTTGCGACTCCATGAACTTCCTGACCTGACTGATGGGGAGTCAAACAAAGATTCTCCCACTGGAAAAGGAAAGGGCGAAGGCGGATTCCCCAATCGCCAGAACTTCGACGGCCTTAACGTCCTGGCCGAAGCCTCGCGACAGGTTGGCGCATCAGACGTGACCAAGCGTCCTGGATACACCCAGTCCGTGACAGCTGGTGGGAAGACTGTGATCGTTGACCCTGCGCTCGAAGCGGAGGGATTCCAAGGCCAGGCTCAGGGATCTGAACAGGTTGATGGAGCGGGAAATGCCGAAGGTATGGTGGCAGCTCATTGTTTGAGTCCTCTGATCACTGACAGCAATGCAGGAACTCCTCAATCGTCCAACGCGCCCAGCATCCCCGCTCTTCCAAGCCACACTCCCAACGAGCACCACGGCTCGCACTCTCCCCCGCTTGGCGATACCTCCATGTCGCCTGAATCCACATCTAATGCGCGTCAGTCACAACTGTCTTTGATTGCGGCATCTGCCAACGAGATGGTCCCACAGGGGCTCTCACTAGATGGTGACAGCATTGGTCCTGATGGAATAAAATTGGGTCAGTGGAGCCAGCAGCTGTCTACTCATGAGCAGCTTCTGTTTGACAGTCTGGCGGAGCATGACCCCTCCCTGACTGCAGCCACCCAGAGGGCTGCTTCTTACCCTCGTCCTATCGCAATGAACCCCAACACACAAGCGAAAGGATTTGTGAATGAATTTGGTAACTCCACCAAACCAATGAAACCCAAGGTTCGGGGACGCTTTTCGGCAGAGCGACGACGCGAAGTCCAAGATGTGAGGAAGAAGGGAGCTTGCCTGCGTTGCCGCATGCTCAAGAAACCAGTATGAGAAAGACCCCGTAGCCACGTGATTCCCTGACGGTGACTGACGAACTTCGATAGTGCTCCGGTGATACCCCTTGCACCACGTGCGCTAGCGTTGAAAGTGCCCGCCTTTGGAAGCACCCGTGCCTGCGTACCCGCCTTTCAGATGAGTTCGAGCTTTACAATGCCAGTACGTCATTCCCATTGCCTTGAGTCTCAAAATAGCCTCAAAATCTAACCTCCCTCTAGACCTCAATTCTACGCTCGCCTACCATGACACCAACAGCATCAAGGCCCAGGTTAAGTTTGAGAATTACTCTGGCCGTATTGAAGTCACGCACTTTGAAGAGAGCAACTCGTTCATGACATTCAATGGACTTCAAGGCCACCGTCAATCTGTCTCTGCCCTTGACCCCCAGCTCCAAGCTTTGGGCGACGATCAATTCTCTGGCTCTTTGCAAGAGGTTTACTTGCTGGATGCTGATTCTGATGACATTCCCAGCAAGCTGGAGATGTACATCAAGAAGAACGCTTCCTACTTCTATGAGCGAGAGACCTCGCCTTTCATGAAGCCAACTCTGCTGCTTGCTGCGGAAATTAACTCATCGAAGAAGGTATGGCAGCAATTTCCTGGGGTCTGAACCGATCACTAACATGGCAACAGGACATTCTCTTGGAGCGTGTGCTGGAGCTTTGGGTGGCTACTCACATCCTCGTCGACACCGAACTTACCTGGAAAACCTACTACAACCCTACTCTGCCTCCTAACTCCTTGCACTCCCTTTCTCAGCCCTCCGACGAGGGTCGTTTGCCCATTGAACAGGTCTCTGACCCAGAGTCCCACGGCCTCCTCTGCAGCCAGCTCCGTGCCGCCATGGAAAAGCGCGCTTCGCAGCTGAGCAAGTTCGTCATCAACGACCTTGAGCGTCGCCTTCTCCAGCGTCAGAAGTGTGGATGGTTTGACACCTTCATTGTTGCAATTATTCTTCTTAACTGCGTGGAGCGCACTTGCTGGCTCTTCCGCTCCTGGGACAATGAGAACTTCTCCCAGCGTGTAAGGCACCTCCGGTCCGTGATCCAAGCACTTTATCTAATAACTCCCAGTGGCCCTTGGACAAGCGTCCCCCCTACTACTTCAACCAGTCCGACCGTTTTGCCGACATCCTCGAGATGCTCCTGCGCATGCGCCATATTCCTCCCAAGGCTACCTTCCGTCCCGACAACGGCATTCTCAAGGCTGTCGATGGCAGCGACGAGCATGCAGTTCGCTGGTTTGATATGATTCAGCTTACCCGTAAGTCGCATCCCAGGACGTGTTTGCTTGTATCTTGAACTAACATACTCATCTTTACCAGCTTACTTTATCGAAGAGCGCAAGAACGCCGTCTTCGACCCATCCGACTCGCGCTCCCTTGATTGTCACCACAGTGCCAATCTTCTCGAGCCCAACAACGCGACCTAGTCCGTTGCACAACCCAAAAGCGAAGACTTGAGTCCCCCTTCTCGTATCTAGAGGGGCTTCATTGCTGGTCAGAATTGTCGATACGAAATCAAAGCGAAATGCATGCGACAAGCCAACCCCGTTCTCGACTGGGGCTTTCTAGCGAATATTGGTTGATCCCGGACGTGGCTTGTCTATGGAGTTTGTTTGCCAGGGAGGAAATGTGTTCATGAAGCGAGATGCCAGCCGCAGGAATCAGAAAACGTCAAGAAAAAAAAAAAAACCGGGGGATGAATCATTCATGAGAGCCGGCAGTCATTAATGTCCAGGAGTTTGGTGCTTGCCTGGGTTCCTTTCGCTATTTTCTGGTATCTCTAGCTTCTTTCTGTAGGTTTAGGATATTATCCATTTGACTTGAATAATGGTATTAGCTCTTTGAATTCATCAGTTTCCTTGTTCTACAGTATGTCTTATCACGCAGCATGCGAGTTTGGCCATAGTTACTCCCAAGGCCCTTCACAGCCGTCCAGTCTTACTAGATACACAAATCGGCAGTAGTCCCGATTTCGCATAGATCGTCGCACGCCGAGGTCTTGGTATGGGTTACACCGTCCGAGAGACTAATAGATACTATGTTGCCATCGGAAGGTGATGATAACGCAGTATCATCTTGCAGTGTTGAGGAACATACAGAACCAAAATAACCCTGAGGATATCCCCAGGAACTGGGTCAGGGCAGAAAAGCACAAAGAATTACAGGAACCCGACAGAGTTTTGTCGAGAATTGTAGCATGATTGGTTGGTTCGCTGCTTTGGGTGGCCAAACCCTCGGAAGTGACGTACTTGTAAGTTGGGGATCGGCTGATGGACATACCCCATTTTAAGATCTGGAGAAATTCCCCCTTCACTCCCTCAACCACCATGCCTCCTTTCCGCAATCTACTCGGTCGCAAGCCTCAATCCAATTCCGAAGACCCCGTCTTCGACGAGAACCATCTCTCTCCCGGAGGCCCCGCGCCGATCCCGCTTCGGAACAGCCAGGATGAACCAACCGAGTACAAATTGAGTGGTATGATCGTCCTCTAGTCGTTGATCATCTCCGATGCGCTGTTGGAAACAATCGACTAACCTGATATACCTACAGTCGTCAACGACAGCGGAGTCTACCTCCCGGTATGGCCTTTGAGGGCGAAAGCATGAACCCTACTAATCACCGCACCAGCCGTCTCCTCCGGAGAGACCGAGCTTTTGGCGCCGCTACCCAGGCTCGAACAAGTCCACCAACCATCGTGACCTCGTCGATGATAACGAGCCTTTCTCTATATCCCGCGAATCCTTCGACTCTTACCGTCGATCCTTTGTATGTCCCCGCAACCTTGCGCCTCGGCAATTCGACCTGACATCCAATGCTTCATCTAGGATATCTCCGCTCGCTCACCTATCATCCATCCTGATTCAGGACCCTCGCGAGCTTCTCTCGACTCTCGATGTTCCCGATTAACCCCATCGGGCACCCACTCCACCACCTTCACCAAGCCTGACCCCATGGAAGAAGAAACCTTCGAAGACGTCGGTCTAAGCGACGAAGTAAAGCCCAAGAAGAAGGGTTTTCTTTCTAGGTTTGGTGATTCTTCTAATGATGCGCAACAAGCCAAGTCGTCTACGTCCTTTGGATTCCATATCCCGGGCCGGAAGCGCGGCCAGAGTGGTGGTGGCTCAGAACTTGGATCCATGAAACTGCCCCCTACTGTCACTGCTGATGAGCAGTAATGAAATACCCCAGTGCTCAAGTGATGATGTAGAGGTTTTGTGGGTTTGGGTCTTTCCTGCGGCGTTCTGGAGTTGAGTCGTGTTACACACGCTCGGTTTGAGGCATGATGTAATTTCACGATTCGGAATCTGGCTCACGTACATGTTGATGTGTTCTAAGAGTCCCGATCGCTGTCACATGTTTTCCTTTTTGTATATTTGCTTTGAAACCTGACTGAGGGTTGGCGGGTACTATATGTTCTAGATACACGCCTTCTTTCTGCTGCACATTTTCAACTTGCATAATTTTTGTCTTGCATTATGGGTGGCTGCTAGTATTTTAAAGTAGCTCTCGAATCCTTTAGTTGGACGTGATTATCTAGAATTGCAGTTGCTATTGCTCGCATGCTGGAGGATTGAGCTTGATTAAGCCTATTGCATGAGTAGGTATGGCCCTAAGGTTTCGAAAGAAGCCCAGAAGCATGTTAATAAGATTCCCAGAGCGTATGCCTTCGACCTAAAGACAAAAATTATTGGAATAATTGTGAAGTATCCTGTAATGTCCTTAGTGTTTCTTGTCGACTTGATAGATTTCGCCGCGACTATCTTATCAGTGCAAACTGTGCAAACAAAAAAAACTTCCTCCGCCTGCGACCAAAAAAATTATCCACCAGTACATCGAGCATTCTCCGCTCACAACCCCAGTTTTATTTTTTGTTTGGAGATACCCTACAGTCAACTAAATCATTAGACATGGCTGGATTGAAGCGTGCTGTCGACGGCAGCGAGGAGCGCAATGGCAAGCGCAGCAAGACCAAGGAAGGTTCCGCATCCAAGAAGTCCAAGTCCACAGCGCCCGTGAAGAAGTCAAGCTCTTCATCAAAGGATTCCAAGAAGGACTCGAAATCCAGCAAGAGCGACAAGAAGCCCTCAAAGAAGGTCCAGAAGGAAGAGTCCGAGGATGAAGACGACTTTGACATCGACGATGTTTCCGACGAAGATATTGATGCCCTTGATGCCCTTTCAGACGACGATGTTGTGATGGACGAAGCGAACGATAAGGAAGAGGAGGAACCCGAGTCTGACGAGAAGGAGCAGAACCAGCCCCCAAAGAACCCCAACAGTAAGGATTCGTTCTATCTTGTTTTCGGATGACCATGAAACTAATCGCTTGGCGTTTTCAGACAACTCCCGCGAGTCTCACATCAAGCAAAAGGCGCTCCAACAAGAGCGCAAGGCCGCCAAGCCCAATGCCGATACCGTCGCCCGGTCCAAGAAGCTTTGGGAGCAGCTGCGCCGCAAGTCCCACGTCCCACTGGAGGAGAGAAAGAAGCTGGTCAAGGAACTGTTCGAGATCATCACCAACCGAGTCCGCGATTTCGTCTTCAAGCACGACTCCGTCCGAGTTATCCAGACCGCCCTCAAGTACGGTAACCTCGAGCAGCGCAAGCAGATCGCGCACGAGCTGAAGGGCACTTACAAGGAACTGGCGCAGAGCCGATACGCCAAGTTCTTGGTCGGAAAGTTGATTGTGCACGGAGACGAGGAGACCCGCGATTTGATTATTCCAGAGTTCTACGGCAATGTCCGACGTCTCATTCGCCACGCTGAGGGTTCATGGATTCTCGACGATATCTACCGCCAGGTTGCCAGCAAGGCTCAGAAGGACAGACTTCTCCGCGAGTGGTACGGTCCCGAGTTCGTCATTTTCCAGAACGAGGGCGAGACATCTTCCGACTTGGGCAAGATTCTCGAAGCTCACCCCGAGAAGCGTGGACCTATCATGAACTACTTGCGTGAGATGATCAACCAGCTGGTGCAGAAGAAGAGCACTGGATTCACTATGCTCCACGACGCTATGCTGCAATTCTTCCTCAACACAAAACCCGGCAGCAATGAAGCCAACGAATTCATTGAGCTGCTGAAGAGTGACGAGGAGGGTGATCTGGTTAAGAACTTGGCTTTCACCAAGTCCGGTTCTCGCCTGATGTCACTGTCTTTCGCATACGCCAACGCCAAGGACCGCAAGCTCCTTCTGCGATTCTACCGTGACACCGTTAAGGCCATGGCCGGTGACCTCCACGGCCACCAGGTCATTCTTGCTGCTTACGAGGTCATCGATGACACCAAGCTGAGCGCCAAGTCTTTCTTCCCCGAGCTGTTGAACCAGAACGACCCCGAGGAGGCCCGCAATGAGGAGCTTTGCTTCCAGGTCAACGACCTGACTGCCCGTATCCCCGTACTATATCCCTTCGCCGGTGACCGCGTCAAGTGGCTGCTTCCCGAAGCCGACCAGAAGGTCCTTGAGGAAGTCCGCGAGGTCCGCAAGGAGACCTCCAAGAAGGATGCCAACGTGCGTCGCCAAGAACTTGTCAAGGTGGCCTCCCCCACACTACTCGAGTTCATTGCCGCTCGCGCATCTACCCTCCTCGAGACCACCTTCGGATGTCAATTCCTGTCCGAGGTCCTGTTCGAGGCTGACGGTGATAAGACCGCCGCTCTGGCCGCTCTTGCCGTTGCTGCCAAGGAGCACACCGAGGCCCGGGACACCGCCCACGCTGGTCGTCTCCTCAAGTCTCTCGTTCAGGGAGGACGCTTCAACCCTGCGACCAAGAGTGTCGAGAAGGTGGAGCCGGCGTTGAACTTCCACGGCGTGCTTTACGACCAGATCAAGGATGAGGTCGTGGAATGGGCGACTGGAGCCAACCCCTTTGTCATTGTTGCGCTGGCTGAGTCCGAAGACTTTGAGAAGAAGAGCGAGCTGCTCAAGACTTTGAAGAAGAACAAGAAGGCGCTGGAGCAGGCCTCTGCGTCGGTGGTTGAGAAAGACGGAAAGAAGAAGCCTAGCCCGGCCAGCAGCGGTGCTAAGCTTCTGCTGGAGAAGATCTAAGGAGTTGTGTAATTATGTATACATCAAAAAGCAGATATTTTATTTATTGTTCAATGATTCCACTCTAGTGATCTAAATAATTCCAAGGCGAAGTGCAAGTGCAAAGTGCAAGTGACAAGCTTTCAGGTGTCGAGGTGTCAGTTCAGCCATGTCCAAGTGTCGCCGAAATTGCATTCTCCACAAGTGGAACAACCACGGATCGAGACCGATCTCAGGGGTTCGTCCAATTTTACTGAATTGTCCTAATTTGCTTTGTTTACTTCGCAAAATTTGGGTGCTTCTGACGGGATACAAACGAAAAAAAAGCACCAGAATTCTCTTCTAAGGTCAGTACTAGGGTCATCCTGGCGTATAGATGGTGTATAGACTTGTTTTACCGGACCCTTGCTATGCGATAAACCCCTTTGTACCTCGGCCGTTGGGTCTATACTTAAACGGTCATTGGCGCGAGACACGAAATTAGAGGATTTTAACCTTATCCATTGCCCCGAGGGAGGTATACAATTGTACAGGATTAGTCGATGTGACCTGTCAACCTACATATACTCAAAACACGATAAACTACGACTATTGAAACATTGCCATAGTCAAAGGCTAAAATAGCTCCAGGGCTACCTTTCGAGGTGGGAATATCTTCATCGGCCAATCCCGAATAGGTAATGATCACACGCTAAGTGTGATCTAAGGGGACATACAGACTCTGGTCGACTCCGGGTTGGGCCTGAATTTTGTGCCTCTCTTTTTCCCTCACCTCCACACGCTGTACACTTTGCCAGGCCCCCGGGGCCCCCGCGATAAGAGAGAGAGAACGAGAGAACGAGAGGAGAGATAGAGCGGAAGCGACAGAGATGCCCTCACTCACTCTAACAGACCCGGACATGATCCTGCCGTTCGACGGTGCACGACAATCCCAAACTCCCTCCCCACCCCAACTCGCGTATCTATCGAACCTCAACTCCCGCCCACACGACAATGCCCCCGCCATCCCTCGACAGAAGAAAAATTTTTCTCGCCATGCCTGGACCCACGACGACGTGAACGTGAGCCGTCGCCTGTCGGATATCGGCGAGGAGCTGTCGCCCGCGAGGTCGGAAAGTTTCGACGACGCCAGTGGCCACGCGGATCAGCAGGCGCAGACGCAGACGCAGGAGAAGGATGATCGGAGCAAGGACAATGCATACAGCAGCTCCAGCTTGACCGTTAGCGCGGGGAGCCGACGCGCATCTGCATCGAAAGAAGCCCCTGAGCACAACGAAGCGGACGTCTCATCCGTGCATCCGGAGGTCGCGAGAGCGCAGGCGAACGCCGTAGTCGGGGCTGGACCTGCTACCTTGCCTGCGAGCAGCGCCGTGGCGTCTGCAGCTGCAGAGGGCAAGGGGCCAGGAGAGGAGTTCACATCCGCGATATTGAGCAGTGAGGCGGAGCGGATTCTGGAAAACGCGAAGAAAAGACTGAATGTATGTTGCGATTGATATAAGTGGGCTCATGGGACGGGAATGCTAACGTTTGCAATCGTAGCTTATGGAAGGGAATCTTACGCGCGCGAGATCAACTACGCGTACATCGTCTTCGCCCTCGCCCTCGCCTTCGAACGCGGGATACATACAACCTCTGGGCAAACAGCAGCCTGTTGGTGGCTTGTATCGGTCGATTTCGAAGACGGATCCTAGGAACTCTTCGTTGAGACGACAGTCGCTCATTGCTTCGCAGGATACGACGAATAATCGACATTCGAGGGTGCATTCTGAGACGAATATTCCTTCTGAGTCGGCTTATGCGAATGATCCTCAGCGCATGTCGCGTTCGGTCAGTGCGATGGGCGCTAGCAGTTATTCGAGTCTTCATACCGATGACAGGTCGTTCCAGTATGCGCCTACTCGGGCGTATCTGACGCACCGATCGTCTATATCATCTATCAAGCCTCCGATTCGGGTGCAGGAGCAGGAGGAAGAGCCCCAGGGCCAGACGACGGAGTCTCCTGTCTCTACACCTGGAACTCCCATGGACTCTCCTCAGGGCTTGGGAATCTCATCGGACGAAGAGGCAAAATCCAGCCCGGAGAGCTTTAGCCCGGTCTACAGCTCGTTTGGGCCTCCTAGCCGCGCGCAGTCGCAGCTGCAAGTTCGCGACCTTCAATACCAGATGAAGGGTCTCCACATCAAGATCTCTTCGCTCAAGGTGAAGACCCAGGAGGACAATCTTCGGCGGCGCAGCTTGCAAAGCTTGCGCACTCCTAGCCCGTTGACGGCAGCCGATAACTGGTATGCCAATGGGCTAGAGCTGAGAGACGGCCAAGGCAGCCGGGGATCTGATCCCCAGCGTGACACCTCCCGTGGACCCGCTGCTAAAGAGCGGCGGGACTCAGATGAAAATATTGCAGGCCCTACTCCCAATCCCAGTGGTGCTCGGCAAGTGCATCAATCCAGTGAGTATGACGACGCTCAATCCATGGACGAGAGCATGTATGAGGATGCCGAGGAGGGTGACTATGACGAGATTGATCGCGAAGCCTTGGATGAGATTCTACGAGAGCCGCTTGACGAGGATCTGGAGAGCGACACGGAGGCATTCCCTGACATGCAGGACGCGACACCCCATGAAATGCGCGAGGACGCTTTTGACTACGAGCATTTTATCTTACACAGCGCGCTGGGTAACTACACCCAGCAACTGCGTCGCGTGAGCACCAGCTCGAATGAATCCGTCGAGACAACTAGGCCCACGTATACCGCGCGACACTCGCGCACCAACAGCAACATGTCCGACTCAACTGTGGCCACCTTTGCCACTGCAACCGAAGGCCGACCCGAAGAGGAGGATGACATTGACAGCGTGATGTACTGGGACCGACGCTTCAATCACGGTTCGTACCCATCCCAACCTAGGACTTCAGCCTGCTTACCCTTCCAATCAGAGCTACGACATGGCCACTCCCACAGCCATTCTCGCTCCCAATCTAACTCACAACCCCCTGCCCATGCCCACAGCCACCAACCCAGCCCTATCCAGGAAGTCGAGGTTGAAGGAGACCGATCTGCGACGCCTCGTGGGACACGCGGTCACGAAAACGGCGCCGCCACCCCTGTCAATGGCACTTTGTCGCCTACCAAACCTAATGGCCGCTCGTCGTCTGCCACTGCGGGCTCTGCAACGCCGACCTCTCTCGTTTCGTCCCTTGTGTCCACTGTGCGCGCCGCATCCAGCACACCCACTGTCGGCGGTATCAACGAGGATGATACCCAGATGCTGGAGGCACTCTTCAGCAGCTTGGGCCGGGTGTGCACCGATCTGCAGTCCATCACAACCTCCCCCGACCCCGACGTCAAGGTTGTGCGTGTCCTTCGTCGGCGTCTCGATGCGGCGCGAAGAGTGCTAGACGGCGAACTTGATGCTTGATCAGTCGCCTCCCTTTCATCTCTACTGCACTGCTGGATATCGTTAACCCACACCAGCGCTACTGACGTTCTTTCTCTCCTTTCTCCTACTTTCTCATGATACCCAGTCTTTCAATGATTTCCTTGATGTACTTGAAACCTAGTGGCGCTACATAAAGACAATAAATGTTTAATAGAACCAAGTATAACACCTCCCAGCGCCTAAAAACAAAGATACATAAGGCCCATTTCTCCCCCCTTTCTGCCCCGCGATCCCCAATCACTTCATTTATCGCCGATCCCACGATAAGACAAAAAGTCTGTCGCACCCCTCCAAAACAATCCCAGCAAGAAAAAGAAGAAAGCAAACTCCCCCAAAACCAAAACCAAACCAAACTCCCAGACCCTCCAAACCACCAAACCAAACACCAACCGCGTCCCCTTCCCCAGACTCCACCCGAACCGAACCCGCGAAAAAAAAACAACAACAACAACAGCCAAACTGCCCCCACGAACCCCAAGCCCCAGAAAAAAAGACAGCAGCCTACGCACCCATCTCCTCCGCGCCCTCCACACCCAAGCGACACAAGCACACGCGACATCAACCATGAACATGAGCGCCGGCCCCCGAAATCCATCCGCCAGCATCGGCCCCGGCGCATCACAGTCGCACTCCTCGCGCCGCCTCCTCATATTCCAAGAAACGCGCAACCCCGCCAACGTCGCCGAACCAGTTTATCTACCAGTCAACAAACTCGGTCTACCCATTTGTGGACCAGGTCCTGAATTGCCGTCTATTTTGGAACTGCCGTTGCGCGTCTTGAGGGTGTTTACGGATATTTTCAATACGCCGAAGTATAAGGGATGGTATGTGATTTTGTTTCTTTAATGCGCTTTTTTAGAGTCGCGGTTTCTGGCGTGTCTTTCTCGTATCGGACGCTGACTGGTTCGCGTAGGGCTATCTTTTCGGCTGGACCGTACTATGATACCGCTGAAGAAGGCAAATTCTACGCCGTCGTCCTCGAACAGACTTCTAGTGTTTCTTCTGGAGCGCCGGAGGTGAATATGGGGACGCCTTAGCGTGGGCTGTGTGTTTTTTTTTGCTGGCTGTTTCAACTCCTGTCTGGGACTGAGGAGTGGTGTTGAGCTCTATCTTTTTTACCTTTTTCTTGTACATTTTTTTCTGAAACGTGTCTACGGACATGTTTATTCCGAGTCTGAATGGATGGGCCGTGGAACTTGTCTGGGATCTGAGTTCCAGGGTTCTTTTGAAAGTACCAAGGGTTCGAATTGTTAGTAGACGTGTCTCCGAAGTCAAGGTGGGAGTTGCCTATTTCGGCAGCGGCGGCGATGGGTATGGTTTCTTGGTTTCTTGATGCTGTTTCTATTCTTCTCTTCTCTACGCCAACATTTGACACAAATTCGCACTGAACTGATTTCCCATACCAGTCGCGAACTTGAATCTCACCCACTTCATTTCTTTGAAATGCATACTCCGACGAGTCTTGCTATGGCGAATCGAAAGAGCTGGAAGACGGGAATCATATCCTGCGTGGTGGTCACCACTGCGTGCACACTTTTGGTGCTTACCGCGAAGGGATTCAACAGGCTGATGACCGAGGAGAACTGTCACAGTGCTATGTGTAACTTGCAACCATGGTGGCAGCAGACAGTTTACCAAACCTCTGCAGAGATACCTACACCCATGTCCACAGTGAGCCCATCGACCATGACGACAGATGCACCGCACATGCAGCTCAAACGGGAGACGAGCAACGCAACGGGGAATCCAACAGAAACCCCAACAGAAAAGACAGAGAAGACTGCGGTGGAGACTACAGCAGTTGAAATACCATCATGCGAACTCACTTCGTGCGAGCATACACAGAGCAACGATCCAGGCCGAGGAATGGCCCAGGGAACCACCGCGGAGACAGTCCCGCTGGGTGATGACTCCAAGTCCGAACATGGGATGGATCAGATCGAGGAAGAGAGTCAATCACAGTTTGGCTGCTTGAACAATGGTGACTGCGGATTAGGATATGAATGTTTTGAGGGACGATGCAGACCTGGGTGCAGCAAACATCAAGATTGCCCGTTTGGGTATGAATGTCGCTATGGACGGTATGGATACCGGTGTTTTGAGAAGACGGGGTGGCATCGGGAGTGCCGGGAGCACTTGAGGTTCTGTAATCGACATGGGCAGTGTTGCAGTGGGTGGTGTGGGAGGGGGAGGGGAAAGGGGAAGGGAGTGTTGATGTGTAGGAGGGTGAATCAATAGTGTGTACTCCGTATAGTGAGGTTATTATAAGGAAAGAATGAGAAAGTGAGGTCAACATATACGAAAGTGGTAAAATTTGTTAATCTGTCATGGATAACCGAGTGGGAGGCTCACCGCCATGCACATTTCCCTGCTTCGACGCAAGTCAGCGGGCACAGGTGCCTGGTACGAATCCCGGGGTTGGCATTTCACTCGTGCGAGTAATCCACGACGCTGGAGGCCACTAAGCAATGGAAATGACCCTTGAGGGAAGCAATTCTGCAGAGACATTTCCACCCCAGGATGGCGTCGCCAGATTACACCGTCTCGTTACAGGGACTGGTGCAATTTGGTGTGACAACTACTTTTTGTTTTTTATTTCTACTTTGACCTATATTTACTTTACTCACTATTCACCCTCGCCTTGAAACACTCTGGCAACCCTGTCTCCTCCCATCTCTCTCCACTCACCAACTTCGCCAACCCCAATGCACAAGTAAACGCAATCGCCATCCCATGCCCATTGAACCCAGCACAAACCCACTGCCCCTCAAGCCCATCAACAGCCCCCACAACCGGCACACTGTCCCTAGTAATCCCCAGAATCCCCGTCCAAGCATAGTCAAACCCCTCCCCATGCCTCTCCACCTCCCAAATCCCTTCAAACTCCCGCCGACTATTCTCCGCCAACACAGTATTAAACCCACGATCATCAAAAGAAGCCTCCGCCTTCCACTCCTCCGTCCCCACATCGCCCCCATCCCTCGTCCCCGTCCCCCCAATAACAACCATCCCATCCTTCAGCGGATTAACAGAAAAGAAATGCCCCCCTCCATACCTTAACGCCATAGTCTTCCCCAACGCCTCACCCCCAACAAACCCCCCAGGAACAAACGTCTGCGCCTGCGATCGACGCGGTCTCAACATCCCCCCAAGCCCCGGCACCAGTAATCCCGCATACGCATTCGTGCAATGCACCACCGTCTCCGCAACAACCGTCCCACGCGACGTATGAACCTCCCATCCCCCTCCTCCCCTCCCTCTCACTCTCACAACCTCATCCACAGGACAATGAGTCCAAAGCCCCGCGCCCTTGCCGACAACATCAGACAGAATCCACTGTACCAGTTTCGCGGGATTATTCGAAGCAGCGGGCCATTCGTAAGCGCGCAATGCAGAGCGGACCCGCGTTCGAAATCGCGCTTCTTCGCCTTCCCAGATCCGAACCTGCGAGACGTCGCCGCCGGCGTCTTTGTATGCTGCCAGTGCGGACTCTTGTTCTGCGATTGATTCCGGTGTCATGCATACGTCGAACGTGGTGGTGTCGACGAAGTCGGAGTTGATGTCGTGAGTTGTGATGAAGGCGCGGGTTTGCTCGAGGACGCGCTTTTCGTTTTGTAGGATCTTGATTGCTTGTTCTGGGCCGTGGAGGGAGGCGTAGTGGGGGAAGCCGCGGAAGGCGTCTTGTTGAGTTGTAGATTTGAATTGTAGAGTTGGGATTGTTGGCGGTGCTTACCTGGTCGTATGTGGCCAGCGTTGCGTCCGCTGGCGCCGGAGACGGCTTCGCGGGCTTCTAGGATTAGAATGTCCGTGGGGTTGGTTCCGTTTTCGATTAGGCTGAAGGCTGTTAGGGCGCCTGAGATGCCGGAGCCGATGATGGCGTGTTTGGTTGTTGTAGGGACTTTGGCATTATAGTTGGCGTTGAGGTGGGGGAATGATCGTGTTCCGCGGTGCCAGTGGGATAGACAGGCTGATGGGAATGGTAGAGAGGGTTCCATGTTTGGGGTGATTTGGTCTTGTCGAGTCCGGCGAGATACGATTCAGTCGGGTCAAAAGAGGTAAGAGGTGGCCTGGAAGACTAACAGGTGCGGTTTGGGCTTGCTCCGCACTGAGGGGAACTGGGAGATAACGCAATCTTAGTGCGGAATTGATTCGGGGGTTTAGCATCGATTTATATTCTGGAGTTGCTGGCTTGCGTAAGAGGACCGCTCATGTGTAGCACACTGATGGACTTGGGATTGTTGGCCCAGATGTCACAGACAACGTGCGGGTGTATATCAAGTATACTGTACCCTTTAGGGTATGCTTCCTAGCGTGCTGTTGAGGCATGTGAGCAAGTGTCATGATCTTGGACTTGAATCATCAAACCTACTGTTGGATAGTACTGCCAGAGTGATTGCGAAAACATGACTGTTTCTGTCTCAAGTAAAAATGAAGAAGGTATGTGCGCTTCATATAACTCTGAACTGAAGCGTCAAGGATGCTGGCTGCATGGATAGGCCCTTGGGCTAGAATCATGCTCATATTGAATGGCCTTGGAATGAGACCTGCATCTCTTTTGAAATCTGCGGAGCACTCGTGTAGAGATTGTTCTCATCGGATTTAAGGGCATGCAAGACGGAAAATGTCGAGGTTGTTTGCTGTCATGGAGTTGGAATCTTCACCATCTCTCAAGGGAATCTTTCAGTTACTTGACATCCTCTCTAGAAGGGGTCCCTGCCAACTACCCTCAATCAAGCTCGTTTCACTCCCTCACTCCCTTCTCTTTTGCTCATTGCAAATCGTCCTGCTTGCCCTGCACTCTATCTCGGGGAGACTACTGTTTGATCGCCCATGGTCAAGCTCCCTCATCTCGTCTCTACTCAACTTCTCTTTCCACTTTCCTTTACTCGTTGACAAGTCATCTGTTATTCTCTCCTTTTTTCGAGAAGAACCCCGTTTACGATTGTCAGTGCATACTCCAACGCATTCTCCACCCGCATTACAAACCAGGATGAGCTCTTTCACGCCCATCAACGCCCCAAAGAGGAGCAATGGTATCTCGGCGTCTGCCAGACTCCCAACAAGATTCAAGAGCAGGAAAAAGGCAAACTCGCCAAGAAGACCTACGCTGAGGTGGGATCAGCTTAAGCGATACGTGCTTTGTTGCATCTTCCGATTCTTTTTGTGCGATGGTTGGCAGACCAGCAAGATCTTTTCTCACATGTTCCGAAGTCACTTGGCCGAAAGGCATTTTCAGAGCGACGTCGGGTACAAGTGTCTGCATGCTCAATGGCGAGACATGGGGCGCAAGAAGAACGCTGACTACATACATGTCTACAATGCCACATTTGAGCCGGGAAGCGAGATCGGAGACCTCATCAAGCAGATCCGAGCTGCGGCTGCCTTTCTGAACATCAAGCTACGGGAGAAGAGGCTGCTTCAGCTCTTACCGACTCGGGCTCAAACTGACCGTGAAGATCTACCGGTACGTTATCTGAAGCTTGGTCCCAAAGTCTAGGATAACACGGCTCTTAGGACGTGGATTCTATTGGTCCTCAACAGGCACTGTCCCATTTTCAGAACATACGCCGATATGCCTTACCAACCCGGGCACGTGTGATCAAGCCTTCTGTGTCGGCGGTGCTGCCCGTGACGAGCCCTTACTTCTCAGATCCAACAGACGGCTACCATAAGCTAGCAGTGACGAGTCATGGCCAAGTCTGCCTTTTGGGTCACAACGAAAACCAAGGCGAAAGCACAGATAACGTGCAGGGAACCTCGGACCCCGTAGTGACTAGCCACGGCAAACTCTGCTTGTGGTGTTACCACGAAAACCAAAGTGAAAGCACACACAGCATGCAGCAAACTGAGAGCCCCAAGGTCACTAGCAAGGATATGGAAGATCCGGATGAGATTGATGACGAAGGATTTCCAGAGACGGAAATTCCGCCTCTTCTTTACAGATGGTTCAACGAGGACTCACAAGGAGCTAACTGTGAGACAAGAGGTCCACACTCGGCCAAGGGATTTGTGTCGGGTCTTTTTTGTCAGGAACCGTATTTCAGCAATGATGATCTCACCGATAGTCAGTTGGAAAACTACTTCATCACGCATGTGAACAAGCTGAAGCATGCAACCCCGTTTATTTCGACATCTGAATCCCCATTGGCGCCGATACATAGAGCTATCAAAAGCTCAAAACTTGCATATCTCGCAGTGATCGATACGACAAAGATTAAAACACGGGTCTTCCTGGCAAACCCAATTGCAAAGCAGACCGACACATTCACAAAAAGGTGGGAGGGCAAGGGGGAATACCTGATCTGGGGGGAGGTCCCTCGATGTGCTGTCGCTTTTGTGTTTCCAGTGAGCGAGATTGAGAGACTTGCAGCACAGAACAGGGATATCGGTCGTCTTTTATTGTTGAGGATTCTCCGCAGATCACGATTTTGCGATCAAGTCCTGCGGTTTCAGCTCGCTAAACGCAAAAAGCACCCTTTTAAGTCCGGGCGAACCCTTGGCAAGTTTCTTATGCTACTTGGATTCCCCCGTCTGTACTGGGAGGACTTTGCACGCCGATTTATGTCATGCTGGGGCTGGCATAAATTGGAAGATCAGGTTGAATTTCTCCGTGGGCTCAAAAGTGAGATTGAATATTCCGAAGAATTGTCAGACTCCGAGTCAGAGGAAACACCATTCCAAAGGGCTTTTGATAAATTGCGATCGCCCGCGTCTTCGGACATTGAGTACGAACCTTCGATTATCCCAGGGGACTCTGACTCCTCGACTGTCACCCTGGAGGCGTGGCCAGAATCACCAAATGCTTCTGGAATTATGGAGAATCGAACTGAAACTACTGACGATGGTCATTTTTCTACTCACGAAAGTATGTCGAGCTTTGGTTTGTTGGGAATTTCACTGAATTCTTCACCTACGAATGTCCCGCCAACAAATATTCACTTTCATGAACCACCCCCAAATCGTGGAGGTCACGTTTCTGTTGTTATCCCCCACCAGGCCAGAGGTCTACATGCTTCCAACGGACAAGACATTGAAGATCTTATGGTTCTGGATGATGATGGATGGACCTCGCTTTAGGACATGCCGAAGATACCGAGGCCGACGACCCACTAATGCAAAAGAACCGCGGCAAGAAAAGATGTTCAACTGTGAAGATATTTCTGTGTGATTAATCCCGAAGCGTGCCGTTGAAAGACGAAAAAGTACTAAGATTAATGATCAATATCAATTCAAATCCCCATTCATCTGTTTAACCAAAAATACGTTTCCTATTCTCCATGTGGTATATCCCAAACTTGGAACCTCGCGAGGTCAACATAAATATTGGAAAAATTGACGATTCAACGAAACCTTGGAAATTATCTACAACCTTGGAAGAAGGATAAGACTGCTCACGACAAAGAGGATGACTCAACCTGTACTTGCTAGTAGTTTGATTGGTTGCAATTCTAACAAAACGGAAAGTAGGCTCCTGTCTTCTCCAAAGTTCTTGCTGACGTTGTTCTATTTCATCTGCCCTGTCTATATACCGACGCTTTCCGAGTCCAAAATTGCATCAGGGAACGAAAGCAAGTGAATCAAAGCACTGGAGAACATATCCATAATGCCATCGGCGCGAGATTTGGTGAGATCCATAGACGCCATGAGAGTGGCCTTTAGACCCTTCTCCGATGGCAGTGTAATGAGAAAAGACGTTTTGGATGGATGGGTTGAGAAGTGCGCAGCAATCTTCCTACATTGTAAGTCACCATCTACTACATCCCATTCGACCTTGAAATTCTCATGTATGATCACCGTGTCTGGCTCTGTCCCTGCAGGCCACGATGTACACGTTTCCACAATGTCGTCCATTCCAATGAGATCAAAGTCCATAGCCAGGGCATGGTTGGATTGAATGGCGTGTAATAGGTCCCGACCAGTAATACCTGCACGATACTGGACCCGCACCGGCGTGATGTTCATGCATGGGCCGATGATGCTGCCCACTGCTGGAAGAGGTACACTGGCACGGCAACTGCCCAATTGTCCAAACACAACGTCCTCCTTCTCAACCTCGTGCCGCAGAACCCAAGACCACGCCGCTTTGACGCATGTAGCCTGAGTGATGCCTGCGGGACTGGGAATATTAGGAATGTCTCGACTGTAGAAGAACCTTTGAGATTGTAGTGACGCATCGTGCTGCGCTCTATCATCTCGGGCTCCTAGTTGTGTCGGTGATGCGCCGGTCAATAGATGGCGCCAGAATAAAAACGCCTCAGGTACACGGAGCTGACTGCAGGTGCGAGTGTAGGCCGTGAAGTCCGACTCCACCTCAATGGAACGATTGTTGTAGGCGGATAGAAGGGCTCTCACGAGTGGCTCGAGACACATGCCGTCATACTGGGCGTGACAGAGGCGAAGGACGAGGGCACTGACTTGGGGGCCTGCCATCGCTTGCACGAGTGTCAACTGCACGACAGGGCGATCTACCCGGTAATGGTTTTCCAGCCCAGTTTTGCAGATCGCCTGAGCGACACCTTCCGTAGTATCTCCAATGGGCACTTCGACAACCGTGTATGAGTCCGCGATTTCACGAAGGACAAGTTGAATATTGCGGCCGTGGAATTTGGGAAACACAGTCCTGAGAATAGGCAGCCTTTTGATGAGAACTGCCCATGCTTCGCCGAGCCGCTTGCGATCCAAGAAACCGTCAACACGAAATACCATGAAATCGACGCACTGGTCTCGGGCACACGTCATCTGGGAGAAAAGAGTGGGTAAGACATCCTCCACGGTGTGCATGTCTACACCCGCAATGCCTTCCCGCAAGACATCCTCTCGAAGCTTGCGGAAAGGGTCTGTATCGGCGCAGCTAACCTCGGATTCCAATAGACTTTGGTCCTCACTCTCAGCCAAAGCGGCAAGAGTACTCTGCTGCAACACCTGGGACAGCTTGATATGGAGGCCATCTGCACGCGCTACCGACACAAGCTGTCGCGCTGTCAGTGAGTTACCCCCCAGGTCGATAAAGTTGTCATTCATGCCGACAGAGTCAGGATCAATCTGAAGAGTTTGACCGCATGCTCGTTGGAGCTTACCTTCTGCCTCAGACTGTGGGGCTCGATAGCAGGGCCGGTCTGAGACATACTCCAACAGTTGGGTCCGGGACAGCTCTGAGGCTTGCTCGTGGAGTTGTCGACGATGAACCTTTCCGGTGGTGGTCCGCGGAATGACACCTATTGGTATGATTGTGGTCGGAACCATGAATGAAGGGATCACACGGCGCAATTTGACTAAGGCGTCTCGTCCCCGAAGTCGAGAATACTCCGTGGGGGGAGGAAACAGGTCATTGTCCAGCGTTTCTTCATTCTGTCTCTCTGCATTGGCGATGAAAGCGACCAGCATTGGCTCCTCGCCTTCCTGTTGTATAACAGTTGCAATAGCGAGGTTGACTGTTGGGAGGCATTCTCGGAGATGACTTTCTACCTGCCCTAACTCAAGCCTCTGACCTCTGATTTTGACCCTGTTCCCTTTGCGGCCAATCAGACAAAATGAACCATCTCCAAGATCGTACTTGACAAGATCTCCAGTGCGCAGAAATCGACAACCCGAGCCGTGGGAGCGGACCTGCTTCAACCAAGATGGAGCCCCGAGGAAGGTGCCCTGCGTCTCTGCCTCATCGCCGATGTACCCCTGAGCAAGACTTGGACTTTCCAGCAGCAACTCACCTTCGGCGCCTATAGGCATGAGGCGATGAACGTTTTGTGGGTCGACAATCCACCCCACGGCAGCAAAAGGGAAGCCAATGTTGCGAGGGTCGCTACCCTCTCCCCTGCGAGCCACCATGGTGCCTTTTGCATTTTCAGACTGACCGTACAGACCGTACAAGTCAACACCATGTCCCAGCCACTTTTGAAGATCAGATTCCAAGCTTTCCTCGCCAACAAACAGTAACTTCTTTACGCTGGAGACTCTCGCTGGGTCTAGAATACGAGCCAACGACGGCGTCAACTTCAGCCAGTTTGCCTGGAGCTCATCGATCACGCTCTCGAGATCATGCTGCAATTGCTCCTCTGACGGGATACAGACACAAGCTCCCATGGTTAATGGAGCAAGATGGTCAGTTATCGCGACCGCAAAATCATACGGCGCAAATTGAAATACCCGGGATTCTTGAGTCAGACCGACCGCTTTGATGTATTCATTCAGTCCACTGCAAAATGCCGCGTGGTTCACCGTGAATCCTTTGGGTCGGCCTGTTGATCCGGATGTGAAACAAGCGTACATGGCCTGGCCGGGCTCAGATTGTGCAGAATAATCTCGGCATAATGACGAGTCCTTGCTATGCACGTGTTCTTCGAGGCTGAGAATCGAGACAATATTGGGAACTTCCAGGTTTCCCGCCAGTGACTCCTCACCAGTGGAATGAATGACGGTCTCCATCTTGAGTGCAGTACAGATTGATGCCAGATAAGCTGCAGGCCGAGCTGGGTTAAGAAGCACGAATGCACAGCCTGACTTGAGGACGGCCAACATGACCAACGGGGTCCATCTGCTTTTGTGGAGGAGAAGCCCAACACATTGTCCACGAGACGAGCCGCAACTCAGAAGTTTTTGCTCCAGGCGGCATGAATTCTGGGTTAATTCTTCATAGGTCCAGTTGCCATCCCAGGCGCATACAGCTGTGGAATGGGGTTGCTTCTGGGACTGTCGCTCAATCAAATCATGAGCGCATATCTGTTCCTCGTAATGAGGGCTCTTTGGATTCCATTGCGCCAACTTCAACAGTCCCTCTGGGCATATTTCTTGCAAATGTTGCACCCGAACAACATTAGCAGCCTCAGCGGATGCTTCCACTATGGTTCTCATGGCATACGCGAATTGAGAAATCATCATGCGCACAAATGTGATATTTGCAGTCATAGTGGCTCGAATCTCAGATACGGATTGAGGACTGTTCATAGTCACAGTAAGTACTAAACATTGCTCTTCATGCGGCGTCTCCAAAGGGAGCTTCTCAAGCTCATTTGGGTCTTTCTGGATGATCAGAAAATTCTCGATAGCGGAAGATGACGATGTTGACAGAGGTCCTTCATTCTCAATGAGCGATATGGCAAGCAATGCATCGGCGACACTTTGCTCTAGATCAAGGGCTACATGGCATGTCTCCACGGAGTCTACCACATTTGGGTCCAAAGCACAAAATCGAAAGTCCACATCTTGTGAATTGCTGTAGACGGCAATGGTGCACGCCCAGGCGAGCTTTAAAACAGCCAATGCATTCAAAGGGACTGGAAAAGTCACCGAGACTGGAAGTGCGACTGTAGTGCGCGAGTGAAATGTTCTCAAGGAGACATCGTCCTGGCCTATTTCACACACTGCGGTGTCAACCATACTGTGTATTCGTATGTCGATTATCTTATGCAGGCTCCAAAAGGGCATACATTTTCAAAGCATTAGGTACTTTGAAGTGATGGTAATGAACTGAGCTATAGCCCCGAGGCCTCGCTGAGGCAGATCCCTCGCTAGCTCATGACGCTCAGATTGTATTGCATGCACGGAGGTAACCCGAAGAGATTTATAAAACCAGCCATGCATGAACACGAGTGTGATTGATCCGATTCAAAGATGTTCCTTCGGGCCGTACCTCCGTAGACTTCGGGAACATTGACTTTTGTCACCACCAATTTCATCACTTCCTTTCTGCACTCTCCTGTGGATGTGACCACACCGCTTGATATGAAAAACAATGCATTATTGTCTCTGAGGTAAGTTTTTGAAGTGCCACACACCTGGGTAGCAACCTGGAAACACATAATAATCAACGTCACTATACATATATCGAGGTTAATAACAGGTACATAAAAAACCATGTCCCTTGATGCAAGGGGTGGGAAAATTCTCAAATTTCCTCCATCCATCCTCTTGCTTTACACAGACACAATCACAGCATAAAATTGAATCATATACTCCGTACTTCGTAATTACCCCGGGGCCATTCTTATATCGACGATCGAGGCAAACTTTACTCCGGGGGCCGTAGTGCATAATGTTGCACCATAGCATGGAGACGCCCGTAAATGATGACGCAACCTTGGAAGCTACCTGGACACGACCTCGGGAGCTGAGCAATCATTTAGATATTTATATGCTACCATCCTAATGTGAAAAACATGGGCTATTACCAAGGTTCCCAAGGTAATTGGCTACCTTTGCCCGAAAGATCAAAATGGCCGTCGACATCATGAGCACGCAATTTGCTGTACTGAGAACAGTGAATATCCAGAGATTGAGCCAGGGTGACAACCAAGAAATTCAGGAACTCTTGCTGGCTGCGAAGACCGACGGGATGTTCTATTTGGACTTCAGCGATTCTGATTCGGATCCTTATAGCGGGGTGGTGAATGATATCTATTCTCTCAGTCGGTCACTGTTCAGTCTGTCTCTTGAGGAGAAGCTGCGATATGACATCGATACCTTGGCGGATCTCAAAACCAATGGGTAGTTATCTAATCTTTCCGTCTCTGGGCACAGGGTACTCCGTTCCGCTGAAGCTCACCCATGCTAGGTATAAACCAATTAGACGGAATTTGGGTGGTCTTCCCGGCCAGCGTGACGGCTTTGAAAGCTACACTGTATGCACACTATACGACTCTCAGCTCCCCTGGGCCTATGGCTTAGTGACCATTTCTGTAGATCCCTCCAAGCAGCATCTTTCAGCTGACAGACGAGCCTTTTCCCCGACCGACGCCGATCGATGAACACTCAGACACTTTGCGCCAATTCACTACTATCTGCAGGACGAGTGCAGGGATGATCTTGCAAGCACTGTCGAAGGCGCTAAGTCTTCCTGCAGCTGGAGGGTTTGAATTGTTTCATCACCAATCGGACTCTACTTTGGACATCATCCGATTGCTCAAGTACGAAGCGGCAAATCCAGCAGAGACCCGCACGATGTCTATTCCACAAACTGCTCACACAGATCTAGGATCTATTACGCTGCTATTTGCCAACAGTCCTGGTTTGCAGTTAAGCCCAAAGGGATCTGATAAATGGCTATACGTTAAATCAAAACCGAACAGTGCCATTGTCAATCTTGGAGATGCTATCTGCATCTGGTCCAACGGCATATTCCAGAGTGCATTACATCGAGTAGCATCTCTACCCAACCAAGGAATGACCGAACGGTATAGCTTTGCATATTTGATGCGACCCGCCAACAAAGCACCGATGTGCTCCCTACTTGAATATACCAAAGAAGACTCGAACAGGGATATACCATCATGTAAAGACTGGATGCAGGCCAAGTTTGTTGCTCTACGGGGAAAAACCAAGAATGGAAGCACTGCTATTCTTACTGGTCGCCCTGAAAGTGTTACCACCTGCTAGTTTTCCTACATCAAATTTTATTGAGGCCAAGCAACAGCGAGCTACGGAGTACGGAGTGCACCCCATTCTGGGGAAAAAAGAAGAAGAAAAAAAAAAAACCGCCTCGATCGGCGTGAGAGTAGTCTACTGCAGTCATGCGCCAATATACAGTAGTTTTATGTACACTGTACACTCCGTCGCTGGCCAACATTGGCTAGAAAAATGTAAATCACCGAGGAGGAACGGTACTTGACATGTCAAAGAGGAAATTCATACGGAGTAGTTATCGCGCTATATTCGGGGGATCGGCCAGCTGCAACTGCGCAAGCAGGCTTTACGCATGTGTGCGAGTTTGATCATACATTTATGGTGCATAAAATCGCCACTAGGGAGAAATTCAGCTGTCGGATGTCGGTGAGGTACCACGACAGACCATGCGACCTGTCTTATCACACGGCCATGCTTTATTGCTTGCCATGCCAATGTCATCCATTTGATCTTTGGCCTAAATGCACGCAGCATCAAATTGCTGATCTCTCCCCACGGTCAGTGTGAATGATTGGCGCCAAAAGACATCCGTAGAAGGGATAAAAATAAGTACCAATTGGCCGAAGGAGCCTTGAAGGGAGCCAGTCGTGCGAACTCCATGTTGCAAGATCAAATTTCCCACCCCAACAGTTAGATAATTAAACACAGGGAGCCTGAGTTGATGGGGAGACCTAGATCCGACGGCTTTCACATCACCTGGCTCTGCATCAAGGGTAAGAGACTCGGTCGCTGGACTTATCAAAGCATTACTTTGCTCCAAATTTCTGTAAGGGATGGCCTTCACTGTGTGAAAGCCTCCGAGAAATGTCGATTCTGCTGCTGACGTTTAAATACGCCGGGAATTCCCGTGAGCTCGCAGCGTCAAACCTGCGACTGACTCCTTCAATTGAGAATGCTTATCCTATGGGATGATGGCAGCGACAGTGCAGCGTATGATGATGCGTGTTGGGCGAAAGTTTTCAACGCCCGCCGACCCAAGCACAGACGTCCGCGAGCTGTGACGAAAGCACGATCCAAAGGGGATGTCCTTACCGCAGTAAGACTTGCGATTCATCTCAATCTTCGGGTTGCCGTGAGGTCCGGAGGGCATTCATTTGAGACCTGGAGCATCCAAGAAAATTCCATTCTGGTGGACCTGTGCGAATACAAGCAGGTGAATGTCGATCCTGTCGGGAGAATCGTGACCGCTACACCCAGCGTCACTAGTAGGGAGATCAACGACGTCTTGGCATGTGAGGACCTATTCTTCCCAGGAGGACACTGCCCAGACGTTGGATTGGGTGGATTCTTGCTACAAGGGGGTATGGGGTGGAACTGTGCGGTGAGTGAATACAATTCTCCCATCACACAACTTCGTGTAGCGGGGAGACCTCCAGAGAAAGTTTCTTACACTGTCGCAGAATTGGGGCTGGGGATGCGAGTTCCTTCAGGGGGTCGACGTGGTCACGGCACAGGGTACGCTGATCTATTGTGATACCTCGCAAAACTCCGATCTCTTCTGGGCTGCCCGTGGGGGAGGCCCGGCATTCCCTGGCATAGTCACCCGGTTCCATCTACGTGTTATGCCCTGTCCGCAGGTCATTCGCTCATCCTGCTACGTCTTCCCGCAGACACTTTACCAAACTGCATTCCGTTGGGCCATAGCACTTGTGGATGATCTGGACACCGACACAGAGCTCACAGCAAAGGCGTACTACCAACAGTCGGAGCCTTGCTTCTCCATCATTTTCACTACGTTTAAACACAATATTCACGACGCGATGCGAGCGCTACAGCCAATACAAGACTCAAGACCTGCAGGAACCTTATGGGAAGGGTTCTGTACACCCGAGAGTATGTCGAGTCTGTACGCAGTGCAAGCAAGTGCAAACCCCAAGGACCACCGCTACACAGTAGACAGCGGCTTCCTTGTCGACGACTCAGATATAGACATTGTTTCAGTTCTTGCAGGAACTTTCCTCACGCTCCCGCATGAAAAGTCTCATGCATTTTGGACACCCATGCGCCCATGGAGCAGACGCAAAATTCCGGAAATGGCATTAAGCCTACAGGCCGATTACTACTTTGCCGTGTATACAATATGGGAGGATGAGAGTGATGACGAGCGGTGCCAGGGATGGCTGCGATGGGTCATGAAGAATGCTGCGAGAAGTTGTGTTGGAGCGTACGTTGGAGATTCCGAGTTCTCCAATCGTCGTACTCGGTATTGGAGCAGACCAAGTACGGAAAGACTGATGGAGATTCGGGGAAAATGGGATCCCCAAGGCCGGATCGCGGGTGGATACCCTGACACACTCATTCATTCTCATTGTCGTTGCTGTACAATGGTGGGGGAAGATCCCGATATAATGGAGAATTGCAATAAATAAACAAACAATTTCATCCCATCCTTTGGCAACTACCTTTCCGATCAGCATGGCCTACCACCTGGGTCGGTCCAATTCCATGGATTTAAAGTCGTATCAGACTATATTAAGCCCTCCCTAACCGAAGCGAATCCCAAAATCTTCTCTCAACATCTCTATCATGCGTGAAGACACCAGTCCGATACGTCGTCGTTGTCAGTGCCCCACTCTTTTGCACGCCTCTCATAACCATACACAGATGGGTCGCCTCAATGACTACCATAACACCCTGGGGGGCTAAAACCTGCTCGATTGCACTAGCGACCTCCTGTGTGAGCCTCTCTTGAATTTGTAATCTCCGGGAATAGATTTCAGCGATTCGAGCTAGTTTTGAAAGGCCCAACACTCTGCTTGAGGGGAGGTAGGCTATGTGAATCTGCTCGAAACCATTAACCAAAAATTTGTTTGAATATACCCCTTTGAAGAGGTTTGGGTTATATTGAGCAGAGGGCAAAGAGATTGGATGGGAAGCTATACCTTTCCCATGAAGGGCACAATGTGATGCTCACACATACTAAATAGCTCTATATCCTTGACCAGGACGAACTCATTTGACTGCACGTTGAAGATCGCATCATTGACGACTTCATTCAATGACTCATTGTAACCCTTGGTGAAGAACAGCATTGCGCGGGCATAGCGCTCGGGCGTCTTTAGAAGACCCTCGCGAGTGGTATCTTCACCAAGATGAGTGAGGATGTTCCGGGTTGCTGCTGCGATCTGGAATTCTGGTGTCTTTTCAGAGGGATGAGAATCAAGACAGAGAATTTTCTGTTGAGCTTCGTTGGCTCTGGGATTGCCGTTGTCATCACTGCTCACTGACTCTGCTTCGGAGATTATCGTGGAGGGGACTTTCTCGTCTCGGACGACCAAGGGAGCAAAGTTTATGTTGCCATTTTGCAAGGTCATATTGTCGTGGTTTTTTTTGAGGCGATAATCGCACTGTGTATAAGAATGCGATTTTTGAAGGCTCCAGAAAGCAGCTTCAGGTAGCAAAGAAGGGGAAAGAAAACCCAAAGAAAATGGCCAGCGGTAGATAGCAAGGTCGAGATCGATGCTCTTCAATGGCAGATTAAATAATATCCGCGGTCAGACATACGTGCTCAAAGTTGACGATGCGAGATGACCATCCCTTGCTGTTGCTAATATAATAATTGCTGGATGCCCAGAACTGAATCTCTGCACTGTATACCGTACATAAGCCGGCTCCCTTGCTTGTGGACCCCGCGTAATGAGATCTACGGAAAAGCTATTGTTGAGTGAAAAGTGGGTCAGTGGTGACCGCAGCTTTTGCACCAGTGGTGACCTGTCACTTTGTTGAGATCTACAACAAAAAGCATTGTGGTTCGTATTTGTTGATTGAAAAAGACGTGGAGAGAGAGGCAGGGTCTGACCCTAAGGCAGCCACCGCTCACCGAAACTCCCGACAGATCTGATCTTTTAGGAAACAGAAAAATGGAACATTGTTTTGGAATCTCTGTCTCTGCAGTAGCCAAAATCTCCCAAATTTGCACAGTCTCCCTGCCATGTCTCATCTCATAATTCATTAATGATGGAAACCTCAATTCAGAATTCTCCGGGTCCTTTCCCAAAGTGGTCGCCTTTAGCAACAGTCAACCACGGGGTTGACTTCGAATCCATGGTATTGGATCCAACTGTATTTCCCCACCAGTTGAAGGAGACAGCGTGGTAGCCAAGCGCGAAGAAAATGATGATTGTCGCGATAGCTGTGCCTGTGTCCATTGCGGCCTGGAGAAGATCTAGACACGATTTTGGTTAGCAAACCCATAAGAACAAGGAAGAATTAGCAATTTCCTTACAATTGTAGCGCTTCCACCAGTCAAATGCCCGTCTGCGGATGAGATAATTGAACAAGAAGCCGAAGATGAACCACAGGGAGTATTGGGCTATCAGGTCAGAGTTGAATATCAATCAGGGGAGTTAGGAGCCATACTGGTATTGGCCGGAGGAATATTTCCAGCGGCATTGAAGAAGATTGGAACGTTGATATAGCGAACCCAACTGTTGGGGTAGCGCCGGTAAATGAAGTAGACGATCACCGTCACAACAGGCTAGACAGTCAGTTAACCGATGATCAAATTTTCATTCTTGATGACTTACCCCAATGATGAAAAAGTAGACAAGGCCATTGTATACCTGTCCAGATTGAAACATGCGCTGGGGGCCAATTGTGCCCCAAATCAAGGATGCATTGTACATCACTTTGGAACCGTTGCATGTGAAGCGTTGTTTGTTTGTTGGCTCACAAAGTCCTTCGATATGGCCCATCATCCACCGCAAGACTATTCTGGTTAGCTTCGAATCACATATTGATGCAATGGATATAAATACCTCCTGTCTGAGTTGCTGTGGCAAGTATACTTGCGTAGATCTGACCAAAAAAGAGGACGCGGGGAGGAATTTTCTTGAGACCAATGTTTAGTGAAAGGATCTCAAAGGAAAGCGAGGAACTCTTACCATATACTGCCCAAGCTTCAGGTCTTGAGCAAAGTCCATGCCGTGTTTGACTGCATTATAGCCGTAACACTTGACCATGAGGTTAGCGATAGGCTTTCCCGGCCAAGCGTATCCGGCAATCAGCTCCGTAATGATATTGAGGAACACTCGTTGGTTAGTAGTTCCTTGAAGAATGCCTTCCGGAACAATCAAAAGTACGGCCAAGCCGAAGCAAACAACAATGAAGCCCCAAACCGGTAGCTCGGTGTCCCAGTATTTAGTGGTGAAGATACCAAGTCCAAGGACAACCACTGTAAGAACTCCGTACCACCAGTCCGGAACCTCGTCGTACGCTCGCATGAGTCGACGGTGAACGTCTTCACCTCCATGCTGTACGTTCTTGAATCTCGCCCAGATTTCCGATCCGTTGTAAAGATAGGTGTGGACGACGACTGCTGTCACTGCAGCAAACGAAAGTCCGTAGGTCAGAGAATAGGACATCGAGATGTACATTGGCGAGTACTCTTGATACTTTGCCAGGCTGAAGTCCTTTGTCGCTGTGTCAATCACGCGAGACACATTGTATGAACTTCCTGTGTTATCGAAGGTGCCTGACGAGAGCAAGGGAAGACTATACAGATGTCAGTATGTTGCAATGTTTACGAGGCTGAGAACTTACTATGCGCTGTACCACACATTGCTGTAATATAGAATCGGGGACAAAAACAGGTAGAAGAACACCACCACGGCGAATGCGTTGCAAGTGATGTAGAAAGGAGTCATGAGAGGGTAACCCGCGTAGTTGATTTGAGTCCAGTCAATACTGATGGGGATCAAGCCTAGTCCGGAGTTCATCTAGAGAAAGGTGAGCCTCACACGAAAGCGATGAAAGCCTAGAGGGCAAACAGCACTTACCCCGAAGATTGTGTTGACTTTTTGATTGTTGGGCGCAATCCATGTGACAAAAGCAAAAGTGCTCAAACTGGTCCAGATGTAATCCGGGAACCAGAATAACACGAAGGCAAAAATACCCACATAGCTGAAGAACCGATATCGACTAATGGTCCAGCCATTTGCGGGAGTACGGCTCTCAGGCTCGTGCAGAGCTCGGAAGAGAACTGTAGATGAAAGCGAAGTAGGCCACACCAAAGCAGCAGGGTAGACAATCCACCGACGGCAAAGCCCAGTCAGACCGAATCTTGAAATCGTTAGCATCTCGACACCGGCAATGAAAGCCTTGAATGAACTTACCCAATCATTTGGGTTGTAAGAAGGTACAAGAAAGAGAACCCGGCTCCAAGATCACGACCCCAAAACACCGGACTGGTGATCGCTACCAGTGCACCCGATGCATAAGCAACAGTGGCGCTGATATTGACGCACTGGAATATGAGGTTAAATTGGAACTTGGTATTGTTCGGAAATGTGTTTTTCACTCACAATGACAATGAAAGCATGCTCTTTGATAGTGAATGGTCCTGGGTTGACGTCGAATGCCAACGGTCCAAGGGGGACTCTCCACCTGGGAAGCTTTTCCCATGCTCGTCCAATAGGGAAGACCAGAATTTGGGCAACAACGTAGCCGATTGTTAGAGAAGGCTGGAAGGTCCCGAGATTAGTTAAGTCTCTTCCGGGTTATTGTAAAACGTACATATCGCAGCCCGAAGAACTGGTTGGCTCCAGAGAAAAGCATGACAAAGACTGTCATCAAGGTCCATGCTCGGAAAGCTGTGATGATAAGTGGATGGTTCAATTCTTCGTGAAAGTGGGAGGTACTTACTACTACAGGCAATTGTGGGGTCATCTTTGTTAGAAACACACGCTGCGACCTCGGGGACTGAGGAATGTTAGCATCAACTTCAGAAGATTGTATGAGCGAGCTCACAAGGCGACTGGTCTCCCTCCACATTCCATTTGAATGCTTCAACTGGTGTAAGCTCCGTGAGCTCTCCTCTATCCTGCTTATGAAGCCACTCTTTGGGATCTCGATTAGAATGTTCTGATTCAAGATCTGTAGCCGGTGTCTCTGTAATGGCAGGGTCTTTGGCGGGATCCTTGGACGCCATAGTTGCAAAGTCGACTAGCGACGAAAGAGAGAAGATTTACTGAATAACAGACACAGATTTTACGGGGTATTGTCTCTTATTATGCGCCCGTGGATAATGCTTTTTTTTGTCGTTCTTTTTCATTTGTTTTTGCTTTTGGTTTAATGTGGCTTGAGCCAAGGCATGACACCAGGGTCACGATAGATCCACCCAAAATGGCAACAAAGTGCCACCAATGTAGACAAAAGCCAATTTGGTAGGACTGGTCCGAGTCCATAGGATCTCACACTAACTCAGGAAGTATGTATGGCCGGTCGCTATGAACACCAGCTGACGCATATCAGCAAGGCTAGATAACTTATCGGCCTGTTAAACCTGGTGCCACTGCCCTCTTCCAAGGTTACTCCGTACTTTGTGCGCTCCTGGCTTTCGGCGACACTAGATTTTGGCTAAGTTACAGTGCTTACCCCGAGCTACCTATCGTCAGATGAGATATACCTTTGCGGATAAGGAAATGATTCGTTCAACTTGGGTTTCCAAGGCTATCCCCAGATTTCCGACCAGGGTATACGGAGTACATCATACTGCTTAATGTACATAGGTGGGGGATTCTCTTATCTCCTTTGAAAAGTACTTCGTAGATTAGGAGCGTTTCTGAATGGTGGGTGCCACAAAAAGATCCATTACAGCTCGTGTGGAACCTCACAAAAATTGGGCATCTAATAGACGACTTGCTAAATGTAAGCTGGTGCGCTGATTTATTTTACAAACAGGTTCATCAACGCCAAGTACGAGGTACAAGGCACATCCTCGGTATGATCTCGGAGTGGCAAGTGCTTAAATTTGATGGCGTGCCCAGCCGGCCTGATGAGCTTATCTGTGCATTCTTTAGGGGGCTGGATCCTTCCAATGTATCTGCAGACCCCCACACAAAGCCAATCAGACTGATCTACTGGCATGGGTACAACTTCTAGAATAAGGTGTGATTGTTGGGGTTGTTTACGCGTCTCTCGAGGTCTCAAGAAAGCCAGTTTTGATCCTTCTAAACGTCAGAGTGTCTCCAGGGCTTGTACCCTTCACGTCGCACATTTCATGCCTTTGACTCAACCTGGGAAATATGTTCTTGGAGCTCAACATCTTTAGAGAAATGTTACTTGTGTTATCGCTGACGGCAGGTAGAGAGTAGAATTTATGGACATGCAGTTTGGCGGCTATTTTCGGAAATCCCGAAATCCCGGACGTAGATTCCCCGAAATAAACAGCACCGGAGAAACCGTGAAAGCATTCTGCTCAGGTGCGACTCCAAACAAGCAATGGTTTTTGATAGAGTTTAGCTATGCCTCTTCTGAGTTCCGAGGAACGATTCACCCCGGGGCTGTGGAAAACGTTTTGTCTGACACATAAACATCTAAATAAGGCCAGTGCGTGATGGCGATGATGGCGCCATTTGTGCGCCTTTCAAAAGTTACTTCCTAGCTTTCGCTCATTGTTTCTGATTCGGGATTTTCAAAGCACATTATTATTGCCACCGATGGTTACGCCGAACCACGAGGAGCTCTGTATCTGAGCCGGGAGTTTGCGTCGGCAGGCAAGTCCCGAGATCCTTAAACCCGAATGCCATTACGGTGAGCCTGGGAAGTCTCATTTAGCACTCCGTGGATTCCCCCATCTTCAAATCACCGGACGTCGCACGGCGCGACTTTCGATTTAAGAGAAATCTAAAATATTTCCACCAAAGGAGGCTGAATTGAGGAGACAGTTAAGTTGAGTTTGCGGTATCGGCCCGAGGCGGACCAGATCCACTCCGGCCTCGGACTCGTCGAGTCATGGAGATGGCTAGCAAAGAGACTCTATTTATCACGGAAATGGTAGCTAGTGGATGCTTATGTACAGTAGGTATGTTCGGTGGTCTGAAGGCTCAGAATCTATGCTCATATTCGTTTGTCTCAATCCTCACACCGACCGGTCTCAATGTTAGCATCAATTGGCTTGACGAATTCTGTACGGAAAGCAATCTTGTGGCCGATGTACAGGACCGCAAACAATATGAGACTGAGATAATTGATGAAAAAGGTTGTGACACTGAATTTCGGAACGAAAGCAGTGAATCCTTGAGTTAGGATGATGAGGATGTTGAAAAACAGCCCATACCACGAGAAGTATGGCTGCCAGGTACCCTTGTAGGGAAGAGTGTCGCGGGATATACCTCGCGCTTTCAATGCTCTCATGAACCCCAGATGAATGATATTCAGTGAAGCCCAGGTAATAAATCCGGCCAAACCAGCGATTTGCATCAGCCAGTTGAAGACAGTAGCTCCGGCGTTTGACAGATTTAAGAAACCAAGTAGGCCGAAAAGCCCTGTGAAGGCGACGCTGGCGTACGGCACACCCCCTTTGGTTGTTTTTGCGAAAATGCGGGGGGCGAAGCTCTCATTAGCTAGTCCCACTAAAATTCGACTGCCGCTGTAAACGTTTGAATTCGCAGCAGAGAGAACGACAGTCAGTAAGACCGCGTTGATGATACTCGGCAAGGCATTAACACCGGCCCTTCGTGCAGCGATGACGAATGGAGATGCGTTTGCATCAGCACCGCTACTGTCGGAGGTAAGGCGCTTGTCATCCGATGGTACAACAATGCCAACGAAGAAGACCGTGAAGATAAAGAAGAACACGATTCGGAAGAAAGTCTTGCGAATTGCCGACGGCACATTCTTGCGGGGGTTGGCGGTCTCACCAGCGGCGATACCGACAAGCTCAGTTCCTTGATAGGAAAACCCGGCCTTGATAAGAATGGCCCAGAATCCGACGAACTTGGCTAACGCGTCTTGATGGGGGTTATCGAGGAGATAAGGAATGAAAGGACCTGGATGAACCCAGTACCTGAATCCTATGTAGCCCTCCTTGCCGACTCCAGCATTCATGCAGATAGCGAAGATCATGAATCCGACGACGGTAATGATCTTGATGCTGGAAAGCCAGAACTCAGCTTCACCATAGAAACTGACTGGAAACATGTTGATTATTATGATCACCACCCAAAAAATGGCAATAAAAATCGCCATTGGGATTTGGTCATCCCAGAATTGGATGATAAGGCCAGTAGCTGTCAATTCGAGGGCAAATGTTGATGCCCACGAAAACCAGTAGATCCAGCCCATCGCAAAGCCCAGACTTGGGTCCACGATACGGTTGGCATATGTCGCAAAGGCTCCTGGAATAGGAAGGTAGGTAGCGACCTCACCCAGTGCGGTCATGACGGAATAGACAATCGATCCAACAAAAATGTAGGCGATCAAAGCGCCGACTGGTCCGGCCGTGGCGATCGCTGTTCCTGTACCGATGAAAAGACCCGTTCCTATCGCACCGCCTATATCGAGCTATGTGAGCATTGTCCGAGAAGTAATAGACTGGAGGATATCTACCCATTGCAATCATCTGCAGGTGTCGGCTCTTGAGTCTCCGCTGCAACTCTGGTAGTTGGTGGGATTCTCCATTGCTATGTTTCTCTTCGGCATCAAGATCTCGATCATTGTCAAAGTTGTCTGGACCCGATTCCTTGATCTTTTTGTCAGTCTCGGAAGCGTTGTGTATGCTGGCGACCTCGTCGGCGGTCATTTCTGGATAGTTGGAAACAATGGGGCCAAGAGGTGGAAGTTGGAATGAAACCACCCCATCGGCAGGACCACTCACACATTTGAAGTCTTGAATCGCGTCAACTTCCCCAAATGGGTTCTCCATGGGGAAGATCGAGCTGGGGACCCCGCGTTTTGCCGGGCCGGGTATACTTTTGGTCCCCACTGTGGAATTTGAAGGAGCAAATACGGTCGGTTCGTTTGGCGGGTCTAGTCAAGTGATTGCTAACTTGTCAGCGATAATTACGTGAAATCGGCCTCAATCAAAGTTGCTTTGCATGTCGGGTGGCTCCGAAGATGCAAAACTCACCAATCACACTGATCACGGGCTCGGTCATAACGTAACTTGCCGAGTGGTCAGCGTGTTGAACCGGCCCGGGAGGTCCATCCCGCATTTTCACTTACCCCATGGTGAACGATCACTGTGGACTCTCTAAGACATCATAACGCGGGGTTGAGCTCCACCAGAAGTTTGAAGGCGTTGGAAGTCGGAAGCTCTCCACGGTTGTCAATGAATATCAGTGCCGCAGTACGAGATCCTTGCGATCGAAACCGGCTTCTGTTGATGGCCGACTCCACTGCCAAGGCCCCAGGGCTGGGGGCGAGAATGACTGTTTTGATGAGCTACACGAGCAGGTGATGGGCACACAGAAGGTAGATCGGGTTGCACGAAAGATAAATTCAATTCAATAGGACAAGATTAAGCTGAAATAGCAGTTGAGTAGAGCTGGTAATGGGCAGAGAAGAATAAGACAAACGAGACAAAGAGTTGGAATCGGATGATCTGCGAAATAGAAGACTTGAATCCCAAGGCCGGCGTCCTGCTTGCCCAGACACGTCAAGCACCAAGCTTTCGATCACAGGACTTGTGGACTCACCTGTGGCAAAATGATCTCGAAAGTCGCAAACTAATATCCACTTTCAGGACTCTTTTGTTTTCATGTAGTCAAAGCCGGAAGAACCTCATTTCGAAAGTTGGATCATGTTCCCTACCTTACTGCGACCGTGACAGTCAAAACCCACACTCCAAAGCACACAGACATTATGCTCTGGAGGAAAGAATAGCGATAAAGGAAATGTGCAGCTGCGAGGTCGTCGCCGCCGTGGTCATCATGATGAGGCTCAATACGGACATAGGGTTTGCCCTAGGTGGGATCCCAAACAGGCTAGCGCATAATGCCATCTGTCTTGTTTACGTCTGACCTTCAGGCCTACAGTGTAGTCAAGTCTGACATCGTCACTGGCCATTTGACTGTTGCTATATGATCAATTCCTCAAATGGCAAATAAACCCCTCAAGGCTGTCATCAAATGGCTTTACGGGCATTCTGAACTTCCAGTGCTCCTCGTTGGGGAAGGAGCCTCAGGAAAGACGACTTTCCTTTCTCAACTACTACACGGGCGGGCGGTTTATGCGATCCCAACAATGGGTCATTATCTCACCCAGGTTGAACACAATAGCTGCACATTCTCCATCTGGGACACTGGAAGTAGGTCGAACTACGGATATGAAAGTGTCACTGTTAAATGCATCCAGTGGGATGTTTTCGATATCCAAAATGGCTGCAAGAGTTTTACACTCCCGATACAAGAGTCCTGTTCTTCCATGACTGCACTGGGGATGAGCAAATGATGCAAGACAGCCTTGAGCTTCTTTCCAGCATATGTATGGAAATGCTCCATTCAGGCTACAGAAGTTGCTGGGTCGTCCTGAACAAGCAAGACTCTGTATCCGCCAAAAGTATTGGTGATATACAAAAAGAGTTTGAGTTGAAATTGAAGGAAATCTTCAACAATTCAATCAGTTGCAGAGTCATTGATTATCCGGTAAGTACTCAAACCGGCGAAGGTGTCAAGCATATTATGGACGATCTTTGCACAGATAGGACAAGACGGGAGAAGGGTGACAAAAAGCAACCGTGACAGAGCAAAGTCGCAATCTAAGCGAAAAGCGGAATGAATCTGCAAATATCAACCTCGAACGGCAAATCCAGAAAGACGGTGCCAACGATATCATGGACAATCAGGAATTCTGGCACATGTTCCTGAATGCCGAGTTGATGGAATGGGGACATCGCGATCATCTCAAATCAGGGTTTATTCTCACCCTGGAATCGCTCAAGGAAGGAGGAACCGTTTTTGACACCGCGGAGACTTTCATCGGGCATTTAAGGAGACTGAGGGAGGCAAGGCCGGATAGCTTTCGAAACACTGAGCATCGGTATGAGCCATTATTTGAGCACTGAAGTTTTCAGGCTGATGCGATAAGCTAAACAAACTTTTTCAAGAACAATGATAATATTTTGGCTTGTGCAACTTCGAAACGCCATTCTTAAGTACAGGATCCACAGGAACAAAACGGAATTTCCACATTGGAACAAATTCCAAACCGTTCTCCTTCTTACAACAGTACTCATGAACACCGGGCTGTGGAAGGAATACTACACCAAGGAGCACATGTTCTCTACATCGGCGCGAGATTCATGGTCACTTCCTGATCTGCAACCCTTACCTGGGGCCTCAGCGCCAAACCGCGGCCCCTATTCTATCCAAGCCAACAGCCCGGATAGGCTCTTGCAATACGCATATGCAGTCATTCAGCATACGCTTCTATCAGGCTCTCTACGAGGCCAAATAATCAGAGAAGCACTCGAATCATTACAGCGGATAACGATTCGTCTCCGGAAGACAAACCCCTTGATCCCTCCTTTCTCCAAAACCAAAACTTACTTCTGGATTCAAGTAGTTCACGGTGCAATTCCAATTGTTCAGGGCTGCACCGGAGAACTCGACAACTGAGAAGTCAATACTTGACATCCCCTCCTCACGCCTCAGTGCGGCCAGCTTCAACGCACTTTTCGACTTGAACCCAGATACTTGGAAAGACTACTACTCCGAGGGTGTCTGGAACAGTATCGCAGCACGCATGGCATTTGTTCCACCTGATATCAAGCCACTGCCCAATGTGATAACGATAGCATCCAAGTCCCAAGAGCATGCCGCTCTTTTCAATCAAATGGAGAGCGCTCTGCTACAAGAAGGCTCTGGACTGCCAAGCATCGAATTTTTGTCCTTCCAAGCAATCTGGACCATCAAAGATGCAAATGCATTTGTTCAGTCATCAATGGCCGACTCTCCCACCATATCGAGTCATTCGCACCTGCTGCTATACTTGTACAGACGATTTTTCGTTGGAAATGACAATGATCAAATAGGGAATATTGCATTGAAGCAATTTGAAACAATATCCGGTGCGCAAGTGGATTCGGTTACACAAAAGACATTCTGGATACAGATGTTTGTGATTGCTGTGACCCGCACACGGAACAAAGAGCAATTGACCGATCGGGGGAGCTCGAAAGAAAGAACGACCAGTTTTGAGGAGCTCATCTTGGACAATCTCTATCTGGTCTACGAGAATCTTCACTGCTTATATTACACCCCGGAAATCTGGAACAGTGAAGAAGCATCCGCTGTCATGATTGCACCGGACAAAAGAAGTATGTCTGGATTTATCGCATCACCTGAGAATAATTCACTCGACGACGCTCTATATTCATGGCTATAGTCAGATGGATCTGAGTTGACCGAAGATAGCCGAAGTTCATGAGATTGACTTTGGCAACATCCATATTCCTTTTTCTTTTTTTTTTTTTACAGAATGTGGCCGATGCGCTGTGCTTATGCGTACTTTGTCACCGAAAAAGAGAAAAAGGGGGCAAAAGAGAGCCTAAAGCCCTGGAGGAGATATTGTTCTCATCTCGGCGTGCTACAAGATCATCAAGTGGGCTTGGTGTGTAAACACCATCGTGCTGGTGAGAATACCTTTGCCTCATCTCCAGAGAGCGCTGGGTGGATGATACCTAGGATACGAAGAATCTACACTATTCCAGTTTTGTCAGCGTGCATCGTTAGCTCTCCGAACCCATTGCCCAGGTGTGGATTCGAACTCGGGTCTGATCTCAGAATGGCCCTGGTAACCCGGTGGCAACATTGAAGAGGCAAGACCATTGATATGTTGTATCAGATTTGTCTGGATCGCTTGGCAAGTGCTAAGGCTACCACCAGCGAGGCCTAGAGGCTCCATTTCGGAGCACCTTTGCTCCTAGAGACTCAAAGTCCCGGCCACAATATTCCGAGGTCGGGACCTGAGCTTGGAAGCCGCAATTGTGGCGAGCATGATGGCAGATTGGTAAGTAATGTTACTTGGCTTGGAACAGCAAGCCCTTGCTCTGACTTCGAGTTTCAAACTGAGTAGCGTAGGTACCTCATCATTACGCGAAAGAATATCCAAGAATATCGTTTCTCGAGTCGATGTTGTCGCCCCAAAATATTCTATTGTTACGGCTACGTATCAGTCTCCTTTCCCACTGAAAATTTGTGTTAAATCCTGTAAGCTAGACGAGATTATTTAGAAATTTGTGATTCGTGTATCGCGATAGATGCCGCCCAGGTTGATATCCTCACAGGATCGAGTCTTCGAGGATCCAAAATAAAATCTTGGCGGGTTCAAAAACCGAGAAAATGCCTTCGGGGAAAGCTACAGAAGCGGAAAACAAAAGAGTTCCAACGGCAATTTAATTGTACCGCTACACGCGAAGTTCGCAGTTTTTGTTTTCTCGAAGGTAAGAATGGAACGGGAGATACAAATGAAGTCTTGCAAATACCGGTATGGAATATTACGGGTATGTGTAATAATACCAAGCCGTTCCGCGATACCAATAGATACCACTAACATATCCAACGTGGTTGTACCGTTGACTCAAGACCACAGTTCCAATTTTTTCTATTAGAAAGCTGAAGTTTGTAGATGGGGAAATGTGAAAGGAGTTTTACCATTGGAATGGGCTGATCGAAGTGTCTCACAATGCCTGTCAAGGACGAGTCTGAGAAAATGCAACATCCCACAGATCTCAACACATGATTGGATTGCCTGAACCATTTTCAATTTCCGTTTTTTTATTTACTGTATTATTTTGATCAATGGCCAGCCGGGAGTCAGTTCTGGAGTCGGTTAGGTGCGCCAAGGGATGCCCGCCCAATCTAATTCCCTGGCGGCAGGCCAGAATATTATTTTTGCGACCCATCTTGGCCCCGGTCACAACACTCGTACCATTTTTCGAGATTTTACCGATATCGGAAAGTGAGAAAATCTGCGAGATATATAATTCTGATCGGCGCATAGCCAAGCCTCAACTGACTATAGAGCTCTTCGCCATGGCATCGACGGACAGGCAGACTGATAGTGGTTTTGATCACGTCTCAGAAACCGCGAGACCGTCAGAAAAAGAGGCAGAGGCCGCACAGACACCTAAGAATGGAGTTTCTGCGACTGAGGCTGACAATAACTCGGATCAGGAGTCTCTTGACCATGAGGCTCAGGCTGGTGTTAAGGCTGTCCAAGCTGCCGCAGCTGTATGGACCAAATCTCAATTGGTATTGGCATATGTGATGTCAGTTTCACGTCTGAATGAGTCTTCCGTTTGGTCTGCTGACATTAGCCTGATAGTATCTGGTTCATCTACTTTGTTACATCGATACAGGAAGTTGTCATCCGCTCTCTCAACCCATATGTGACTAGTGCCTTCCGGCTGCATTCCCTAACGGCTGCCACGAGCATCATGTCCAACATCATTGGAGGGTTGAGTAAAATTCCCTTGGCAAAGATTTTGGACTCGTGGGGCCGTCCTCAGGGCATGGCTTTGATGCTATTCATCTGGGTCGTTGGATTCATCATGATGGCAGCTTGCGATGGGGTTCAGACGTATGCTGCGGCACAAGTCTTCTCTTCTGTGGGGTATGAAATTGATCTTTGATATAACACGCGGTTTTCACGGCGCTCTGACTGACTTGTCCTTGTTCTAGCTCTCAGGGAGTAAGCTACTGTCTTACTGTTTTCATTTCCGACACCTCTGCTTTGAAAAATCGAGCCCTCATGCTGTCGTTTGCTACTTCGCCTTACATTATCACCACCTGGATCGGAGGTCCCATCTCACAAAGCGTTCTCGAAGGACCCGGGTGGCGCTGGGGCTTTGGAATCTTTACTATTGTCGTGCCGATCGTGGTCGCCCCGCTGTGCATCCTGTTCTTCTTCAACCAACAAAAAGCAAAGAAACTGGGGCTGCTGAGCTCTACCAGTGGTCCCCTCACAATGTCTGCCGTCAAGAAATACTGTATCGAGGTGGACCTGTTTGGGATCATCCTTCTTGCTGGTGGAATGGCGCTGTTCCTTTTGCCTTTCAGTCTGTGGTCGTACCAAGAAGATCAATGGAGATCTCCAATGATTATCTGCATGATTGTGTTTGGGGGCCTCTTGCTCATTGCATTCGCACTATATGAGAAATTCTTGGCACCTGTGACCTTCATTCCATTCCATCTTCTCATGGACCGCACGGTATTCTTTGCCGGCCTGATGTTTATCTTCGAGTTCTTCAACTCCATGGTCTGGGGCAGCTACTTCAGCTCTATGCTGCAGGTTGTATGGGGTCTTAATGTCACGGAGGCTAGCTACGTCTCAGCGATCTATCGAGTTGGATCTTGTCTGTGGTGTTTACTTGTTGGATTCCTCATCCGTTGGACCGGTCGCTTCAAATGGCTTGTTGTATACTTCGCCATGCCACTCATGATTCTCGGCGTCGGACTGATGATCAAGTTCCGCCAGCCGGATGTGAATATCGGATATATCTGCATGACACAGATTTTCGTCGCTTTTGCCGGTGGAACCGTCGTCGTCTGCGGTGAGCTTGCTATGATGGCACCTTCAGACCACCAACACATTGCTGTCATCCTCGCCATGCTCAATCTGTTCTGTAGCATTGGCAGCGCTATTGGATCTACTGTGTCTGCCGCAATCTGGACCAGTGAGTTCCCGAAAGCACTGGCAAAATATGTACCTGCAGATGTGAGCGTCGCCACAGTCTACTCTGATATCAATGCTCAGCTCTCGTATGCTTGGGGAAGCATAGAGCGGAATGCCATCGCACATGCATATGGTGATGCCCAGCGTTACATGCTTATCACCAGTGTCTGCATGCTTGCTGTTGCTTGGGCTTGTGCGGGAATGTGGAGAGACATCAGGATCAAGGATGTCAAGCAGGTGAAGGGCACTGTGATCTAAAAGGTATAATCAAGGAGCGTGGTGGTCAATTCTTCACTTCCAGGTGAAAGTTCTAATGGCGAAGAGAGTGTAATTAATCAAACCCTAGAATTAAAAGAATTATTGGTTGTTGATTGACGTGAACAACATATACCGTGGAGATTTGTAAATTTCACATCGCCAAGAAAATGTGCGTAATTCGTACAGAGTGTCTGTCAATCTGATCTCACTCTTTTTCTGACCGCGACTCAGTTTTTGATAGTTCCGGACAGATAGGTAACCCGAGAAACAAAATGAAGTTCTAACTCAAGGATGCCTCAAGGGTCGGGCTCACAGCACATAGTTTGATTGCTATACAAACTAGCTTTTAAAACTTCTCTTCTCTCTTCTCTCCATGGCTTGATCTTTCTTCCTCATTCTAATGAGCGGTGTCTTTATCAAAAGCTCATGTTATTTGTTCAGAAATCTTGGAATCAATCAAGGCCTACGGAGTGACTGACTGGCAAATCATCCCTGTCTTCCCTATCTTCCCTCTCACCCCTTGCATCACCATGCATCACCCTCCCAAAACTAATAATATGTCTCCAGAGTTGTCCAAAAATCCGTTGACGCTCAACACGCATGCTTCACAGCAACCACCTTCGAAACACCTTTCTCAATCCCTCTGCCATGCGCTTCCACACGGACATACTTCAGACCCGCTTGGACGGACACAGATGTCTCAAAGCCTGTGCTACGAGCGACAGAGACTGGGTCCAAGTCTGTGTGATTGGTGCCTCCGAAAATTTTCCACTGCTTGTGCTCGGTAGCTCCGTTCCAGCTCATAAAGACATTGGTTTTGTTCTGTGACTGATCGACGCAGGAAAACACATCGGGCGCAGTGGTAGGAATGCCTACCCACGGAGAGCGGTAAGCCCGATAACTCGCAATGACTCCATCCTCTCCGAACTGAGCAGTCATCACACAAGTACCGTTTGCGTTGTACTCTTTGATCTTTGGATTGGATCCATAGCCCATAATTGCGTGACCCCCAGGTAGCAGCTGAGTATTTCCTTGGGACAACGCATAGATCTCGTCGCTGGGGTCATGAAGGGCTCGGAGAGAAGAGACCTCATTTTTGGCGAGGTTGACATTCATGAACATACCTTCAGTGTGATGAGTTCCGTTCACAACATCGGAATTGGCGTTATCAAAGATGCTGAGCACAAATCCATCCTCGTGTTCTTTGTGGATACGGGCATCGTGCTGATACGCCCACTGAACTCCTTTCAGGTCGAAGTCACCACCGGTTTGACCCTGCAATTAGTTAGTAGATGTGATATTTTTGAGTAGATTTGAACTTACTTGAAGAGTCCAGTCAACAGATCCATCCTTGGAGATCTTGAACAGAGAGCAGTAGTAGCGGGAGGAAATCAGGAACGAGCCATCGTTGAACTTCTCCACGGAGTTGATGTGAAAGTATCCGTATGGAGTGCTGCTGTTGTGACCCCAATCTTCAACTGGGTAGAATGGCTGCACGTCTTCCAATGGAATTTGGTCAAGGTGATCCTTGGCACTCCAACGGAACAGGATATCGTTGGTTTTGACATCAATCTCATAGAAAAGAGAGTCCGCAATCCAGCCATTCTCGGGACCACCGACAGAGCTGAGATCACATTTCGTCACGTTATACCCAGTAACCAGCATGGTGCCATCAGAGGTGATCGTGTTTTCGTGCATATCAATCCAAGAAACAAAGGACGTGCTATTGATGCTGCCCAAAGCCTTGTAGTTGTTGTTGATCACAGAGACATTGTAGATGCTCTTGTAGTTTTGATCCAGAACTTGAACAATACCATACCCCCAGCCGAATGGCTCCGGCACACCAAGACCGTTGAAGTAAGTCAAGACTGGCTTTCCATCGAGCTCTTGGACTCGGAAACCTTTCAAGTCACCATACGGGCTCTGCCAGACGAGCTCATTGCTGTCTGACATAATAAAGACGCTGTACTGGTGGGCATCCCATGATTGGTCAAAGAATAGATAACCAGGGCTGGTTGGGCCAGACTTGGAGATCTTGAGACTAGGAGGCTCATGGGGGCTGGACTTGTAGGTCTGCCAGGGCCAGGCGGTGCTAGCCGCAGCAAAGGTACCCTGCAAGCCACACAGGGCGGTAAAAGCGGAAGCAGTACGCATATCAAGTTTGAGTTTCGGAAAACAATGGACAGATGATGCTGTCTCACCGGGATTACATTTCTAATATTCACGAAGGTCGGTTATCATCCAACCAAGCCGATGTCGGTCCATATAGCCGCTCAGCCGTGCCTTCGCTTTTCATTACGATCGTCTGTGGCGTTGCGTTGAGAAGCTCTGGTTTTTTTGCAACTCACCTTGGCGGCGTGAAGCGACAATCTGATAAAACACACGGATCAGATAAGATCGACAGGACCCACTTGGCGTTACAAGGACTTTACAGACACCATGCCAAGAGTGTATGTATTACACCGTATTACACATGAGACGTCGGCTGGGCGCGGTCACAGGGTCTGATCCACTGATCGACCCTGCCAACATACTCCAAGCGGTTACCAAACCCGGGTCATCAACCCGAGTTGGAAAACTGCGTACGAAGCTAGTAGAGCAGTGGGCATCGCCTAATGAATCCACAATAATAACCCCGGACACGTTTCGGCGTAAGCCACATGCCCCCTCGACGAAGAACCGGCAGCGGAGGGTTCGGCAGTGGCGGCGGCATCTCCGTGCTGACGCCCCTTTTACATCCCAAGGTTGGTAGACAACTCTGATGTGACGTTCGCTTAATCTAGGTATTTCATAATTATGCTGATTGAGTTTTTTTCCCATCGCTGATTGATAACCTGATTGATAAACCTTACCAATTCTTTCTGCATTCACCAAGAACTCGCCAAGGCTTGGCCTGAAGTCTCTGTTCGCTTAGGCCTCCAAAATGATGGATACCTGGCCCCCTTACCAAGACTGCCCAGAGAAGATCGTTGGTTTCGTGTTTTTACGAGGCGTCGGTTCAATTCGGAGATTTCGCTCATGTTGAAATTATGGTCGGGAATACTACATTTCGAGAACGGCTGAAGATGCCAATGCTAGCCTAACTTCTCGGCACTCATATATGGATCTTGGCAATAAGGATTGTGTCAGGAGCTATGTGGTCAATATGGCATGATGCCTGGACAAGTAACATTTCTTGCAATCGACTGAATGTCCAATAAACTTTGCTGTACGATATAGTATATACATGAAGACTTTAGTTAGCCGCCCACTCCTCGAAAGTCGTGCTTCCAGATGCGGCAGGCATCTTAACCATCAATGGGGCCTTAACCTCTCGGTCTACCCTGGTAATCTCGGGCTTGAAAACAATGTTTTCCGACAGAGTCTCAAAACCAAGTTTTTTGTACAGTGGAACACCTTCCACAGTAGACTCGAGGTAGATCGGCAGGTTCAATTCCTCGGCAACATCCATTCCCCATTTCATGAGTCGGGCTCCGATACCCTTGCCTTGGTATTCAGGATGCACGGCAACTGTGTGGCAATCTGTTGGTGTGTTGCGTTAGTACACGGCCAACTTGAACAAGCGTTCTTGGCCACTCACAGACGTGCTTCTTCGCGCCGAGGAACTTTTCCTTTTTCTCCCATAGTTGTTCCAGGAAGCCTTCCGCTCGCTGTCGTTGGTCACCTTCTAACCAACCAATCCAAGGCTTCTGGCGCTCTTCATCGGTCCTCTCACGCCAGTAAACCTGCCATGTTGCCATGCCGGCGATTTTACCGGTGTCGGTGTCGATACATTGGAAAGTGTGCTCCATGCTCAGACCCTTCCAATATTCAAGAGTCCCTTCGGTGTGGATTTTGCGAAACTCTTCATCGTTCAGATCCGTTCCGGGATAGATGAGATCAAGGATCAACTGGCCTTTGAAAGCGGCGAACCAGACATCATAGATAGCCCGGATGTCGGGAAGAGTAGCTGGGAGAACAACAAAGCCCATTGTGAAAATTTTGAGTGTGTCAAGAACGTATTTTAATTGAAGGGTGCTTCAAAAAAAGCGTGAAAGACTGGCCAAGTATCACATACCTTTAAGGTACCGACATTGGCGCCAAGCCTCCCGAGGTCGGATCTGATAAGACCAAAATTACGCGACCAGGTACGCAATTTCCGTAATGCCGAGTATCGTGTTACAAAATGATCTGATTATGTTGATCCGGATGAGCTGCTCCGGGTGTGGGATATCCCGGCTGTGCTTACTTGGCTTCATTCTTTTTTCTCTCCCCTCATCTTCAACCCACCAAATCGCCATTATGCCTGGTATCAACGAACAGCCACCCTTCAAAGTCCTGATTGTGGGAGGATCGTATGCAGGATTGGCTGCGACGCTGAATCTAGTGGATTTGTGTCAGGGCCGAAAGTGTCGATTCAATCTCAACGAAGCTGACAAGGCCCCCGAGCACAAGGTCCCGGTGCAGATCACCATAGTGGATGAGCGTGATGGCTATTGTACGCGACACCTTGCTTTGGAGCACTTCAGAGATGTTCATACTAATCAACAACTTTGTAGATCACATCATTGGACTTCCGCTTGCCATAGGCTCCAATTCCGATGCTAGCACATTTTGGAATAGGTTCGAAGATATCCCCGCCCTCCAATCTCCGGACATCAACCACATTCAAGGACGGGTCGACTCAGTTGACTGCAAATCGCGCATCGCTCGTATTATCCAAAGCGTTGGAGACGAAGGACACAAGGTCGTGGAGGAGAAATACGATTACATGATCGCATGCTCGGGATTGCGGAGAGAGTGGCCAAGTGCTCCCAAGTCGCTCACGCGGGAAGCATACCTCGCGGAAACAGCAGAGTCTGTACAGACCATTGAGAGTGCGAAGGCGGGAGTTGTAGTCGTTGGTGGCGGTAAGTGAGATTTTGCTGCGTTGCACACCCCTCTTGAATGATTCATAAAGCTCATTTCGCCTAGGTGCTGTGGGTATCGAGATTGCCGCTGAAATCAAAATGCTTCAACCTGAAGTCAAGGTCACACTCATCCATTCTCGAGAACAGCTGCTCTCTTCCGAGGACCTTCCAGGTGACTTCAAGGACAAAACCCTTGAATTACTCAAAGAGTCTAATGTTGAGGTTGTCATGGGCGCACGACTTCAAGACACAATGGCAACGGATGATTCCACATCCGCGAAGTTTAGACTGAAGCTTTCCGACGGGCGGGAGCTCTTTGCTGACCATGTCATCAATGCCGTATCTCGGTTCACCCCTACTTCTTCATATCTTCCCAAGGAAGCCTGCGATCCCGAGGGATACATCCGCATCACAGCAGGTCTGCAATTTTCTGGTGATGTTCCAAATAAGGAATTCCACTATGCGGCAGGCGATCTCGCCTGCTGGTCGGGCATTAAGCGCGGTGGAGCGGCGATGCATCAAGCGCACTTTGCGGCTGTCAACATTCATCAACGGATGATAGCACAGCTGTACAAGACCACGCCAAAGTTCAACGAGTTGGTTGAAGTGGCTCCCATGATGGCTTTGGCTTTGGGAAAAACTGCTGTTGGTTACTTCCCAACTATGGGATTGACAGTTGGCGACGAAATTCGCAATATGTTTTTCAACGAGGACTTGGGGTTCGGAAGTAAGTTGATTGATCAATTCTTGTTGTATTGGTTCCAGCTAACCGAAGCAGTCTGCTGGAGATGGATGCGCCTGGGAGAAGCAACAGCATATAAATGATAGCTTGACGGACTGCTTTGTAGTTATAGAGAACAAACCTAGAAGAGCAGATAAATATGACAAGGATAATTGTGATTCCACGGAAAAAATCAAGCACGAAGAGAATAGAAGATTAGAATGATCAACAAGCGCCTATACTTTTGCGCCCAAACTCGCCCCGAGGTGGGAGGAACAGCGGACAAGCGTTTGCCCCTTGAGGAACCCGCCCCTGACATGTTTACTCTCAACTTCATCACGGTTTGATCCCTTGAAAGCGAAAATTAATCTATTCTGGTAAGCCAATTTTATAGTGGCTGCTATAAGGGTTTTCCTCTAAATGCAAACATCTATCCATCCACAGCCTGGTTTAGCGCATTGACCCGGTAGGCCTCGCTACGCTCAATTAATTGAGCATGAGTGCCCTGTTCGACACAACGCCCTTCCTCAATCAAGAATATCACGTCGGCCTTTCGAATGGTATACAAACGATGAGCAATGGCAATCACTGTCATACTCTTGGTTGCTTTCTCCAAGCCATCCTGGAGCAACCGCTCAGACTCCGCGTCCAAAGCGCTCGTCGACTCATCCAAAAGCAGCAGCTTGGGCTTGCGAATCAGTGCCCGTGCAATAGCTAATCGCTGTTTCTGACCTCCAGATAGACGATCGCCATTGGGTCCACAGTGGGTATCATACCCTTCAGGGAGCTGCTCAATGACATCGTGGATGTTGGCCAAGCGACACGCATCTTCAAGGTCCCCTTGGGTCACTGCATGGCCAGGTCGCGCGCCAAGTGCCAGATTGAACCGGATGGTTCCTTCAAACAGAACGCTCTGTTGTGGAACATACGCGATCGAATCGCGGAAGGAAATATCACCGTACGCAACGTCTCGTCCATCGACCTCGACACTACCGGATTCAGGCGAATAGAGACGCTCCACGAGTGAGATAATCGTTGATTTGCCGGCGCCGCTAGGTCCCACCAGCGCCGCAAATTGACCGGGCTTAATGGTCAAGTCCAAGCCATGGAGCACGCGGGTATCCGGTCGCGCGGGATACGCGAATTGGACGTGCTTGAAACAAACACTCACACCATTGCGGGTGTCATCAACCTTCTCACGTGAAGTTTCATTTGATTCCACGTCAGCTGCGCTGCTCAGCAATTTGACTGGGTCTGACAGTTTCTTCGTGGAGCCCAAGTCGAGCAAATTCAGGAGGCGACGGGTGGCTTGGAAGGCACGCGACACGTCAGGCGCCAAGGCAAACATTTGGCCCCACAATTGGGAACTGACGAGCAGAGCGAGTTGCACAATGAAGAACTGCGTCTGGGTATAGTGTCCGGCAATGATGTTCTTTGCTCCCCACCAGTACGCAAGACCATACAGGAAGTTGCTGAGACCGTATCCGATGGCCAGCCAGAGGTTTGCCCACGCGCTCTGGCGCGTCATGGCCTTCATTGGCGCTGCCAGCGAACGACGGTAGGTTCCCATGATCTCATGTTCCAGAGAGAGTGACATGACAGTCTTGATCGAATTGACGGCTTCCACTGTGATTCCAACCGAGCGAGCGAAGGCCTCTAGGTGTCGTTCTTCGAATTGGGCCAATGAGCTGACTCGCATCCATCCCGCAGCAAGCAAAAGAGGCACAACAGAGAGGCAGACCAATGCGATTCTCCACGCGATGATGTGTGTCATGATGATTGCAGCGAACAAGTTGATGAGAATGGACAGTATCGTGCAAACAACGGAGCCAGTCAAGCCCGCCAGTGCATTGCTATCTTTGGTGATCAGAGATAGCAGCAGGGATGGGTTGCGATCGTTGGATTCGTGCCACTCAAGGTCTTGCTCGAGGATAGATCTCAGTGAGAGAACTCTGACTTTGTAAATCACGTTCTCTGCCATCCATCCAAACAAAGACCAACTGAAGAAGTTCGCGAAGAATTCGATGATGGCAAGGACGAAGAACATGAGACCATAGAACTCTCCAGCTTCGCGGATACTCTGTGGCTCTTCGCAGCCACTGAGCTTACCAACGACGTTGCCGAAGATCACTGCAGATGCACAGTATGTGCCACCAATGATGACCGCTCCAGCGACGGCGAAAACCAACACGAACGCGTAAGGCCGGAACATGGCGCCCATGGACCTGGCGGTGGCAGAGAATGATCTGTTTGTGTCGACAGCACCGCTTATCTCTCTTGGCTTCGGCTCCTCGTCATCAGGGGTACTTGTCTCTTCTTTTTCATCCAGGTCATCTGCCATGGAAAGAGTTGGCTCAGCCTTTTCGATGATTCGGTCTACAGGTGACGCCGACCGTGTAGACGACCCCTCTCCTGATCCTTGGACATTGACATTCTGCAGACGAACAAGCTCTGCGTAAGCGCCATTCGCCGCCAGAAGCTCCGTGTGAGGACCTTGCTCAATGAGCTTTCCTTGCCGCATAACGATAATGTTGTCGGCGTTCCGGATAGTTGAAAGTCGATGCGCGATGGTGATGACCGTGCGACCAACAGCCACACTCTCCAAGGCCCTCTGGATACGCATCTCGGTTCCAGAGTCCAGGGACGCAGTGGCCTCGTCCAAGATGAGTATGCGCGGGTTCTTGACCAGGGCTCTGGCTAGCGAAATGCGCTGCTTCTGCCCACCACTGATGAGGTTTCCACTGGAGCCGACAGGGGTACCATAGCTTTCTTGGAGTTTTTCGATAAAATGACTGGCATCGGCTAGCTTGGAGGCATTCTGAACAAGCTCCACTATCTCTTGAGCTTCGTTTCCATGTGCAAGAGCGGCGTGAGAGAGGGACTGGCCCGCCTTGACTGCTTCCGCGATATCAACGAGGGCTGTGCTAGTGAGCATCTCTTGGAGATGGCCATGTGTTGGGGAATTGATCAGACCCAGCGCAATGTTCTCAAATATTGAGCGATCGAGAAGGCAAGGCTCTTGCTGGACGAGACTCATGTGGCTTCGGAGTGCACGCACGTTGAGAGTTTTGACATCGTGGCCGTCCAGCAAAACACTCCCTTCGGCGGTATCGTAGAATCGCGTCACTAACCCAGCAACGGTAGACTTGCCACTTCCAGACAATCCGACAATAGCAGTCTGCTGGCCAGCGGGGCATGAAAGAGAAAGGTTTTGAAGAACAGGGTTTTCAGGGCGAGATGGGAACCGGAACGAAACGTCACGCAACTCTATGTGTCCCTTCACTTCCGCCAGAACCTCTCCGGTATTCTCCGCCGTGCCATCGATCGTTGAGGGGTGTTCAATGTCGGTTTTTAGCTTTGTGAAAGCTACCGAGGCGGCGTCGAAGCTTTGGAGGAAGGGGGCCACCGTGCTCAAAATCAGAGATGCTGAAGAATTTCCTATTAGCAAGGTTCAAACCACTTGGGCCAGTCTTCTCACCATCCACCAGAATGAAAATGACGGTGTATGTAGCTCCGACCGTGATGCCACCACCATCAGACTCCACTGAATCAGCGATCTGTCTTGATCCCTGCCAAAAGGCCAAAGCGTTGGCAGAGAAAGCGATGAAGTAGAGCAATCCAGCTTGAGTCGCTGTCGCAATTGATTTGCGAATTCCCGCAACTCGACCAGGATCGAGGAACTCGATGAATTTCTCCTCGAGGCGGGCATTGGCCGAAAAAGAATGGACCACCATGGTGTTAGAGAAGGCTTCCAAAGCGACCGACGAGGCCTTGGTCATGCTCTCCAATGCGCGACCAAAGTATTTTTGCACGAAATACCCACCCAAAAGCGACATGATCAGGTAGGCTGGAGTCAGGGAAACCAGCATACCCGCCAACTTGGGGTCCTTGATGAATGCGACAATGTACGCGGTAACGAAGAAAGCCACCGCATTGATGACAATGCCGACTTTCTCCGAAGTTCCCTGCTGGATAGTCGTGATATCACCAGTGATTCTTGAGGAGACTTCACCAGCGGGCAGATTATCGAAAAACGCGACATCTTGGCGAAGAATCGATTTGAAATATTTCTCCCGCAGACGCTGAGCGAGTCTCTCGCCCGTCATATTCCAACTGAAGACGTATATATAGATCAGAACTAGGTATGCGATACCAATGTACACTATCATCAGCACTTTTTGATTGATTCCATCCTGGTAGGAATCCCCGTTCGTGTCATTCGCGTTGCAGGTTGTCGAGTTCATATCGTCTACCAATTGACCGAAAACGATGGACATGATCGGAAAAGGAATACCGGACGCGACTGCTGACACAAGTGCGAGCACAAGCAGTCCGATGTCTGTTCTGCTTGGCTCGCCATAGATGAACAGGCGGAAGAACACCGCCTTGTCCTTCCACTGGAATCAATCAGTTCTAAACGTACAGGAATCAGAGTCAGGGGTGTAACCTACAGTGCGCTTTGGGGGTGCATCTTCAGCAGCCATGACGAGGATGTCGTCTAGAGTGGTGTTGATGGGAGAGAAGGAAGATCATCTTTTCCAAAGATGTGTTTTATGGATTGACATTGAAAAAGTCAAGGCCCACTCGAATACCAAGACTGTACTCCGTAAAATAAGCCGACTTCGGACGATACGTAACGGTAAAAATGGACCCTTTATCAGATTGATAAATTGCCAAGTGCCAAGAGCGTGTATTTTTCGGAGTTAAGTCTTAGTGCCTTGGGGTCTTGGAATCTGGAGCCGAGATCGTCGAAAATTACTCAGTGGAGCAGTTTGTAATCATCATGATATCTCTTCTTTACGAGTCAGGAGTCGTTTCAAATGTAGTAGTGCGACGATCCACGATAATACACCAATGCCAAGGTCCAGTAAATGGTTCAGTGTCTCCAGCGTTGTGGGATGCAATACGACCGTGATGAATATCATTTCCCCTTCGGTACGTTGCATACTTTGGCCTCCTTTCACCAGAAACCTTGCAAGCTGTGCGATGCGGAAGTGGCGGGATCTGATAAGATTTTATTTTTGCCGACTTGCGAGCCTGGGAACCTAATCACGGGAAGATATTTGAGCTTGATCAATTGAGAACTACAGTTGTGAGGTAAATACGCAATTTGCCAAGGAATTGTTAGGGCACACACTATACATATAACATCTCTATTTATGCAACTATAGTTCACAGCTTAAGCGACCGGAAGGGGTTCCGGTCAAGGGTGTCGGATCCGTCAAATCGCAAAGGTGCTACATGGAAGAACTTTTCACGGCTGCCGAGTATGAGAGCCGAGCGTTTGTGTGGTAGGTCGACCAGCTTGGCAAGGTTCATGCCAGTGGCGTGGTCATAGGTCAATGGGGCCAGGTTGGAGTATTTCGGCTCGCCGGTGACGAACTCCGTCCGTGGGTCGTCTAGGAAGATATAGTGCATCAACCCAGACCACCATGCAATAGTGCGGTGTGGTCCTCGGAACCTCTCGTCCCCAACAAGGGAGTGACGGCCTCGGTCCCAATCTCCAGCATCGTAGTATGCGCCGAGGTGGTCCTCCTATTGATATGAACGAGTGATTAGAAGCTTTCTCGGTTGATGGGAGAGGGGCGATGATTTACCTTCGTCCAGTAGATCTCGTGGTAGGAGAAGAACGTGTCATTGAACTTGGCTAGGACAGCCATCTGGTGCGGATCTTCGTGGATCTTTCGCAGATACTCGCGATGCTCATCCAATGTTCCAGTTTCATTCCAGCCCTGAGCAACACGTGGATCATTTTGCCATTTGTTGAAAAGTCCAAGGTGCTCTGGATTTTTATAATCGAGCGCAAAAACCGAAAAGAACTCGTCCAAGTGTGGGATGTACCTGCTGTACACGCGAGAGCCAGCGGCTGGCTTGGGAGGTCGGACGGGATGAAGGGCGTGGACTCGACGTTCAGGAAACCCGGTGGTTACCATGTGCTGGCGAGGACGGGTAGGGTAGTTGTTCAAGGGCTTGCGCATGTAACTGTAGATGCCTGGATCAGACACCCAAGCGGGACGGGTTCCAAAAGGCGAACCAGCACCTTGCCAAAAGCTGCTGCGGAAGAAAACCAACTCTCCTAGGTGGCCAGTAGATGTGGGCACAGGCTTACCCGGCGCCGCGGAAGGCTCAGGGTGGTCAATCGCAAGACCTACAGCTCGGAGCTCTCTTGAGATGAGGTCTTTACCGGCGCCAGACAGGACTGCACGGAAGACCTCAAAGTCACTGTGTAGTGTCTGGATGGCATAGATCACATTCCAGATCTGACCTATCGTAGGTGTCTCTGAGCCCTCCCAAGAGAAATGTGTAACCGGGCTCCTCTGGGCACGGGCCCAGGGAGAATTGTTTCCATCTTCAGGTGTGGTGGACGCATTCGGCTGCATCAGATCCGTAAAGCGCAGCAGCGCATGGTCCAATGGCTTAGGAGGGGGTATGCCTTCATCTTCACGGGGAGCTCGGAGCAATTGGAACGTGCGAGCCTTTTGATCGCTGGAAACGACATGCAACCGATAGGTGGTCTTGTACGGCTCAGGAAGCCGCACGAGAGGTAAAGAACTAGAAGACATAACGATGGTACCTGACTATCAGAGGAGAATGAGAGAATAAGTAACAGTCTTCGGCGCCTCCGCACGAGTCAGGGCTTCACATTCGGGTATACTCCGGATCGGACCTGTTTACGAAGATTGGGAATAGATCATCGTCTGCCTATTCATGCCCAGCATCAGATATCAGAAGCCCTGTAACGGAAACTTGGCTGATACCGAATGCTGTGCCTGTATCTGAATATTGCTGCTTGGCGCATGCTCGTGACAAGAGGGGACCAACCTTGGTCCCGCTAATCGAGCATGGGTCTGCTCATGGCAAATCTGGAACAGATCAGCGCAGCCATTTAGCAGCTATCCGACATCGCAGATTATCATGCCAACCGAAGCGGAAGTTTGCGATCGCTACTCCGTAAAGGAGTATACATTGACAGAAGAGCACATCGGCTGGGAGTCCGTGGACCCGGATGACAAAGGCAGAGATTGGGAGTGGGGCGCTGACAGGGCCGATATACTCGTAGCGAGCTTTTCGTACGATGGTTGACTAGGTGCCGGTGATGTTTTGGGAGTAGATCTGCAGTTGATTATGCCAAGGTGGTGGATTCGGGGAGGCGGTGCCTAGCGTAGATCTTGGCGGCTCTTGGTCGGGGTCCTGTATGTTTGTAAAATGCCGTATGATCCGTATGTTTCGTATATCTCGTATGTACCGTATGTAACGTATTTGAAACTCGGGATTGTATTACCGCATATCTGATCCTCCGATGAAGACAAATGCCAATGTAATTGATGCAAACTCGCAAATTTTCGGCATGTGGCCGGAAGCTTTTTGCCCGCTGTGGTCCTATAGTATGCAGGAACCGGTTACCGCGCTTAAGGCCAAGTCCAGAGTCTAAGTTGGCAAAGAATTTAATCTCGTCGTGAATAAGACTTTCACAAAGACATACCTCTGGTAGCCTTCACCAAACACTCATTGGAGCATATTAGTCCTTGCTCAATATGGGTGAATACGTTGAGCCTAGCTCAACAACTCATGTCATCGAGCAGTTGGTCAAGCCAAGCAATGGTGGCTGGCTCGAATCTGTGCCCCTCTCAGCTGTTGGGGATGGAAGCCAAAATGAGATTCTCGTGCTTGCCTGGGTTCTTCTTCTTTCTCGCGGAACAGTCAACAGTGATGACGGAGCATTCTCTTGGAGTACAGGTACTGAAAGCTATGGGTGCCATCTTGCGAGCGTCATTGGAAGCGGGGAGACATCGCTGAGAGAAGCTCTCGGGATTATTCAAAGCATGAACCATACCACGAAGGAAGAACCAAATACGCTACTATTTAGCAATGCCACACCTGGAGCAGAAGTATGTGACCTGAACCCTGTAGCAGTCGGTTGCTAACCTGACCAGTCCACATTTTTGCTTGAGGCAAGAACATCGCAAGGTCAACTGTACTTGCGCGGAGTCCCCCAATCGCATATCGCGACACAGCCCGTTATGCCACTCCTTCCCCAGATATTCGCCGACGTCGTGTCCTCGATTGCAGACAGCCTCGATCAAACTGTCACGCAGAATACTCGAATCGGGGGACGAGAATTATCACAGATATGGAAATGGAATGGCCCAATGCCTCCTAAAATAGACCAATGCATCCAGAATATGATCAGCGCGGTATCTCAAGCTCAAGGCGAGCGTCCTGCAGTTGTTTCCTGGGATGGAACCATGTCCTATTCACAGCTTGAGGACATGTCAACAAACCTGGCTTGCCATCTGGTCCACCTGGGATTGAAAGTGGGCCAGGCAGTGCCTCTCTGCTTTGAAAAGTCCATGTGGACGATTGTTGGAGTCCTGGCAGTGATGAAAGCCGGTGGAACGTTGGTCCTGATGGATCCAAGCCAGCCTGAGGGACGCCTGGCAACAATTGCAAACGAAGTTGATGCAAACTTGATCTTGACTTCTGAGCTTCAGGCCACCCTTGGTCAGCGAATCGTACCTGGAGGCAAGCAGGTGATCGTCGGACCGTTGATTGCGCGAGAGGAATTCCGGTCATCCCCTGTCGCTCTGCCCGTGGTCCCAGCATCATCCCCGCTTTATATCCAATTCACATCTGGAAGTACCGGCAAGCCCAAGGGTGTTGTGATCTCACACTCGAGTTACACTAGTGGCGCAGTACCGCGAGCTGCGGCCGTTGGGTATGGAGCCCATTCGCGAGTCCTCGATTTCCCTTCATACGCATTTGACGTGAGCGTGGATTGTATGCTATGCACTCTGGCCAATGGGGGATGCATCTGCGTCCCATCGGAAGATCAGCGAGTCAACGATCTGAGTGGAGCCATCCGGAGCATGAGCGTGAACATGGCTCACATGACACCATCCGTGGCACGCGTCTTGGCCCCCGATATTATGCCCTCATTGGAGGTCATTGGGCTGGGAGGCGAGGCAATCACAGCCAGTGACGCAGCCGATTGGGGCCAAAAGACCAAAATCGTCATCGCCTACGGTCCATCTGAGTGCACAGTGGGGTGCACAATCAATAACAGCATCCCCGAGGGCAGACTATACACCAGCATTGGGCAAGGTGTCGGTGGAACCACTTGGATTGTAAATCCATCCGATCAAAATCAGTTGATGCCCATTGGTGTTGTTGGAGAGCTGCTCATCGAAGGCCCCGTGGTGGGCGATGGCTATCTCAACAACCCCGAGAAGACCGCAGAGGTCTTCATCGAAGATCCCGAGTGGTTGCTTCAGGGTGGAGGGGACTTCTCAGGCCGCAGGGGACGTCTTTATAAGACCGGAGATCTGGTACGGTATGATCCAGACGGATCAGGGTGCATTGTCTTCATCGGCCGGGCGGACCAACAAGTGAAACTGCGCGGTCAGCGCGTGGAACTTGGAGAAATCGAGTATCATGTTCGCAACTACCTCCCTGACGGTGTGAGTGCAGCAGCGGAAGTGATATTCCCCGGGGGAAGAAGGATGATGCCACCCTGGTTGTCTTCGTCGCAGAGGAAAAGAGCGAGAGCACTGGAACCATTTGCCAAATCACTTCCTTTTCAACCAAATTTCAACCGCTTCTTGCTGGTATTGATGATGTTCTTGCCAAAAACCTTCCACGATACATGATCCCCACAACATATATTCCACTGAATCAGATGCCACTCATGGTTTCACTCAAAACGGACCGAAAGCAGCTCCGTGCCCTTGGTCTCAGTCTGACCAAGCGGCAAATCTCCGAGCTCAAGTCCTCCACGGTGGCCAAAATACCGCCACGCACCGATATGGAACGCAAACTTCAAAATCTGTGGGCGCGAATTTTCGGGGATGTGGAGATTGGAGTCAAAGATCATTTCTTCGGTCTTGGGGGTGACTCTCTGAAGGCGATGAAGCTTGTTGCTGCAGCAAGGGAGAATACTCTGGCGATTCAAGTCACCGAAATTTTCCAATCCCCTGTGTTGGAGCATATGGCATTGAAACTTCACCAGATGGAAGGAAACACTTCACTGGAGGTTCCACCATTTTCGTTGCTTCCAGCAGACTGGGAGGCAGAATCAGCCCGCATCGAAGTTGCATCTCTGAGTAACTTGGATCCCTCAGTGGTCGAAGATGTGTACCCTTGCACCCCTTTGCAGGAAGCGCTCATGGCACTTTCGGCCAAGTTCATGGACGCATATGTGGCTCAGAGAGTCATTGAGCTGCCACATGCTCAATCTGCAAACAAACTGCGGTCTGCGTTTGAGACTGTATCAGCACAGTCTGAAATTCTTCGCACAAGAATTGTTCAAGTTCCACGTCGAGGTTTGATGCAGGTTGTCGTGCGAAAGAGTGACCCCTGGCTGGAAGCTTCCACCTTGGAGAATTACCTGCGTGATGATACCCTGAAGGGGATGTCACTGGGTACTGACCTGTCCCGATTCGCCACTATAAACGATGAAGCAACTGGGAAAAGCCATGTCGTCCTGACCATCCATCATGCGCTCTATGATGGTTGGTCGATGCCATTAATCGTTGAACGCGTGAATCGCGCCTACCGGGGCGAGGATATCGGGAGCCCGGCACCCTTCAAAAATTTCATCCACTGGCTCAATAGCACAGACAGGTCTTCGTCTGAGAATTACTGGAGAGAGCAACTGCAAGGTGCAACAGCTTTGCAATTCCCAGTGCTTCCCTGGTCTGGTTACCAAGCTCGGGCCGACTCTCTTTTGGAGCATTACGTCAATCTACCAAATGGCTCATCCAGCTCAACAATCAGTATCGCAACTGCCATTCGTGGTGCTTGGGGTCTTGTCGCTGCGGAATACACCTCGTCCGATGATGTCGTCTTCGGCGAGACAATGACAGGTCGTACAGCGCCTGTGGCAGCAGTGGAAGAGATCGAAGGTCCCATGATCACCACAGTTCCCGTTCGAATCTGCATTGATCGAGACTCGCGAGCATCAACCTATCTTCAGAATATTCATGACCAAACGGTGCACCGCATTCCGCATGAGCACATGGGTCTGCAACACATCAGGCGACTGAACGCGCATGCTCGCGAGGCCTGTGAGCTGCGCACCGGTATCGTCATTCACCCAACGATTGAGGATAGCGATGTATCCACAAAGGAACAACCGGCGACCGCTTTTGTCCCAACTAGCGAGGCAGAGGCTGCTCGAGAGGCATTGAAGTTCAACTCGTACTCTCTGATGCTTGTCTTCACTGTTGACAAGAACGGATTCCTCATCATGGCCAGCTTCGACTCAAAGACAGTGGATGTATCGCAAATGGAGCAAGCTCTCAAGCGATTTGATCATTTGATACAGAAGATACTCGCAGACCCATCCCAGAAGATTCAAAACATCTATGACTCTATCGCGGAGAAGGATTTCACTGAGCAAGTTCGCCTATCCATCATCGGCCCAGCAAGCCTTCCCACGCAGGAAATGTACGCCGATGTCACAGCAACTTGGATAGTTGGTCCAAGTGACAAGGACACACTCGTTCCAATCGGGGGTGTCGGTGAATTGATCATTGAGCGCGAAACTGAGCTGCCAGCCGGGGCTCTCATTGCCAGTCCCACGTGGCACAACAGCCAAGCAAAGCTTTTTGCAACAAATCAACTGGCAAAGTATAGAGCCGATGGCTCAATCGTCATTATTCGCGCGAAGGATGCACACATTGGGCAGTCTCAGCCCAGGATCAAGTCACAAACCAGTGCTTCTCTCACGAGCGTTGCTCAGAAGAAGCTTCAACAACTGTGGGCCCAGGTCTTGGATATTCCCTCACAAGACATTCTTCTGAACGATAGCTTCTTTGATTTGGGTGGCGATTCAATTCGTGCCATGAAGCTGGTCTCTGAAGCTCGGGCTGATGGCCTTCAGTTGACAGTGACCACAATCTTCGATCACAGGTCCCTGTTTGAGATGGCCAAACACACAGTTGAGGTTCAGCCCACAGCAACTGAACAGAGCAATTACTCGAAGTTCAGTTCACTGGATACACTTGATAAAGATGGCTTGGTTGCAGAATTGCAGCCTATGCTCGAACGCCCTGAATGGGAGATAATCGATGCTTATCCCACTCGTCCATTGCAAGAAATTGCTGTCAGAGGTACTGTTCAGCTCCCTCGATTCTCCACGAGATACGAAGTCTTCTACATGGACAGTCTTGTCGATCGCAATAAACTATTCCAAAGCTGCCAGGAGCTGATTTCGAGAAACGAGATTCTTCGCACTGTCTTTGTGGAGCACAATGATGTGTCACTGGGAGTTGTGGTCAACGGTCTCCAGTCCGAGATCATTGAGTACGAGATTGAAACTGACGTGGAAGAGTTCAGCCGAAAGGTCTGCGATGTGGATGTGCAGACCCGCATTCCGCTGGGATCAAGATTCATCAAATTCTTCTTCGTTCGCCATGTTGACGGCCCCAGCAGCCTCATCATGAGAATTTCTCACGCCCAATATGATGAGATCTGTCTGCCGATTCTGCTCCAACAGCTCTCGGCTTTGTATGAGGGACGAACCGTACCAAAGAGCCTACCTTTCTCGGAGTACGTGAACTATGTCACCCGGAAGAATGTACCCGCCAGCATTCCATACTGGACGGAGCTCCTTCGGGGATCCTCCATGACCCGGATCCAACCTGATATCCCCATTGTCTCGGGCGCTCATTATGCGATCACCAAGGATGTCAACATTTCCGCTCGACCGCGTGAGATCACCGTCGCCACACTTCCTACCGCAGCCTGGGCAGTATGCCTTGCACGCCGTCTCTCTCTTGATGACGTTACCTTCGGTGAGGTAGTGAGTGGTCGTAACATCGACCTCCCCAATGGGGATGCCATTGTCGGACCATCTTGGCAATACGTTCCGGTACGAGTGAAGTTCTCGAAAGAATGGAGCGCTCTTGAATTGTTGCAGTTTGTTCAGCGACAACACCTTGAAAGCGCACAGTTCGAAGGAATTGGGTTGAAGGAAGTTGTCAAGCATTGTACCGACTGGCCCGAGTCAGTGGATTGGTTTGATTCTGTCGTCCACCAAGATGTTGAACACGTCGAAGGTCTCTCATTCATGGCGGCCAGTAGCCGCATGGAAACGATTTACCCGCATTTCGAGCCTTTGCGCGAGATCAAGGTGCAGGCATTCCCCAAAGGGGATACATTGTGCATTGAAATCGTCACTGTTGAATCATGGTCGGAGTTCGCCCACTCGATTCTTGATGAGATTATCAGCATCATAGAACAATTGGTGAATAGTGTGGATTCCCGTGTGCTTTGAACTGGATTTTTTTAGTTTTTTTCAATAGATTTAGAATATCATGGAGTCATCAAAATATCTTCCCAAGGCTGTAGACCAAGTTCATTCAGGGCCGTTCAACTTCCAAGACTGAATTCTTGGAAATGTCAGAGGTTCCAAGGTTGAGAGGAAAAGAACCAAACATCGTTCCAAGTTTCTTGGAGCTTTCTGGTAACTTGACTTGCCATCCACATCGACGGATATGTTTGAACGTATTAAGTATCGCACATGATCACGATCCAGCGCAGCTCTCGTGTTCCAAGATTTTTCAAACAATCCACCGATGTATGTATGCCCACCTGGGCACGCAAAGAGAGAGAAATTTGAAAAGGAGAAGGGAGAAACGTTTAAGGTTTGGAAGGAATGAACGCAAATCAAGCACCTTATTCCCCACCCTGTGTGACTCCAAGGGTCACCCCAAGTATCCATTCTTCCAAGGTTTGCCTGAGCCTCTCCTGCGGTCCTTCCTAACTAAAGATAAACTTTAGGATCTCACGGGGATCAAAATATATCGTCAAACTCATTGCACATGGAGCAATCGACTGCCACGAAAGGCTCGGGAGATTTCAGAGATACTATTCTCCGCCCCGACGTGTCGGCTGCATCTTAGCAAACTTACATTCGTTCAAATATGCTATGAGTGAGTTACTGGGGTTTGTTATGAGAAGAGTGTGCGGTTGACGAAGGGATATCATTGATGTTATTGATCTATGGAATTCAGACTCAACTCACACCGAGCAAGAAACGTTTGCAAAGACGGACGGTTCCAGTCCAAGCCGCGCGGTAGAGCAAGCAAGATTGGCCAAGACTCATTCATCTGAGACAGACTCAAATATGACCCGCACAGAGCTGGTGTATTGGATTTGCTGTGGTGTGAGGTCCAGTGGTGTAGGGGGTTCGGGGACCAAGGCTGGGGCATTGTTAGCACTACCAAACAGGGATCCACCGCATCTCGCTGCAGACCGGCTGTCGTCCTGTCTACCCCCGAACAAACCTCCTGAATTTCCACCAAACAGACCTGGTGGCCTCCGCGACAGTATGCCGAAAGAGGAATTACCCCCATCTTCGATTTCCACTGCGGCCACCTTACGCCCGATGACTTCAGTGTAGTCATTCGCCTTTTGAACAGCATCACGCATAGCCTCCTTGCGGGATTCGGAGCTCAATGCTTTTTTAGTGGCATCGGTCAGTTCCCAGCCTATCGAGTTGATATCGACATTGGCATATCCCACTAGTTTACCAACGACCTCACTCATTTTGGTAAAGTCACGGAAAACAGCGACAAATGACAGATTGCCACGATGCTCCAAGTCTTGGAAATTTTTGGCACCATCTAAGGGTCTCCAGCGCCAGGTGCGAAGAGAAGTGGACGAGAAACTCACCACAGCTGCCCCCGGAGACGAGTCCAAGGCTTCGGGCTTCGGAGAGAGCTCTCTGAAGAGCTTGCTTAGCTCATTGGAAGTCTCGGTCACGTTGTTGGAAACGGTCTCGCGCGTGCTGCCCTCGCCGTTCACAGTGAGATTCAGAACTCCACGCTCAGGCTGTCGAGTGATGGACGATGAGCCTCCGACGGTAATTCTCAATGGTGCCATGTTGATTTGTGAGGTCTGAAAAATGATAGCTTGACGCAAAAGGGGGAGAGACCATCCTTATATAAGACGATGCCAGGCAGAAGTCCTTAGCTGGACTAAGCCGGACAACAGTGTTCCGGCAAGTGCCTGGTGATTTATCAGCTTGACTGCATTTGTGCTTACAAACATGATATGGTGAGATATCCAAGCACAGGAACATAATGAAGTGACCCTGCTGTGCCCAAAAGGCGAGCAAAGTTCGATATAGAAAAACACAAGGTGACATCCAAGTTGGGTTAGTTCCAAGGTTCGTTGAATCCCAAATTGCTCAAACGGTGCAAACTACTCAAACGCACCAAACCCACCAAGCAAACCAAATCTACTCAAACAGTCAAACAAAACAAAACAAAACAAATGGAGCAAACATGGCAAATATGACAAACACAGCAGATTGCTCAAAAACAACAAACAGAAAAGTAAAGGGGGGGACAAGAGTTGATCGTGGCCCCCTTTGCTTCGAACACGGTAGGCAGCAAAGCCCTTCTCAGCTTGTACGGAGTAATTATGTTGTACCCTGTCCGCAGAATCACCCATACATTCATGACAATCTCATGGATTTGAGCGCTCCAGATGATGCTCAAAAACTTTAGTCTCAGTGGAGGACAGAATCGCGGAAGCGTTGTTCATACTTGCGAAAGAATTTCCGCATCCTTCCAGTCCGGGATGGGTTGTTACATCCATATGTTTGGTCAAAACGGTGATTTCGATATTTGTCCATGCCGATCTCAATAGGCTGCACAACCGGTTGCACAAGCTCAGATACACCCCCAACAACAGCCCCTGTGAATGCTATGCGCTCCACGGAGTTTCCATTGGCAGCAATCTTCGCAATTCCCTCTGCTGTCGTCTCTGTTTTCAGGACTTCGTTGCCATGCAGTAATCCGCCGCTCGCTTTCTCACCAACCCAGTCAGCGATTCCTGAGTTCATCTTATGCACGACTTTGTCAAGGGCAGTAAAGTGGTGATCGGACTTAAGCTTGCGATGATTGCCAATGGCAGTTGCTTGCCTGAAACTGAGCCTTGGAGTTTTGTAAAAGCGTTGAGCACAGCTTCGAGGTTATCAAGTCCCAAACCCACCCCAGCTGTGCAAACTTTGAGACAAACGCCGATGGCGACGGCCTTTTCATGTCCGGCACTGAAAAGCGCATTCAGCCGAGGATCACTCGCAATGCGGATCTTGGTCTCTCTCGCCAGACGATATAAATCAACGACTTTGACACCGACCTGCCAAGCATTGATAGTCGTTGGAAATATGAAGACTGGCATGACTTTTGTTATGCAGGAATTAATCAAGAGTCCGGTCGATGCTGCTGAAAGTCCCATGCGGTTTGAGACCAATGAGCGTGCGAGATCTTTGTCCGACAGCTTTTTCGGGCGGTCTCGAATGTCGCCCTGGGTTGTGAGGCCCAAAGCCTCGCCGATCCTTCTCAGTTTGGATGATGATACCATGTCTTCAAGTTGCTGGAAATGATCGGCCTTGTTGTGCTTGAAATGGGCGACGAGTGATCTGAATATTCCGTTGGTTTAGAAAATTCGACTGTTTATATACGTCTTTGAGAGGCTGAGTCGATCTGCACTCATGCAAAGTGCACCTCCTTTGCCCGGGCTCTTTGAGGGTTGCGGCGACATATCCCATGGCGATTGGAAGGAAAAGGTTGATATGATAGTCGTGAACAACCGGCACTTCCGGCGACACCAATAGCAACAGCTTTTCCTAACTGAAATGCTCACTGATTCGTCCAGTCGAGCAGAACTGACATCCTTGGCATTCTAGGGGCGCCATGCAGGTAAGATGACAGTGATGTGACGCGTGACCGTAGATTTTCAAGATTTCCAGTGTATTTTTCAGCAATCTTCGCTAAGTCGCTTTGCCAACGTTTTTTCTGGTGCGCCTTGCATAATCTTAAATTCTGCCTCGCGTCTAGAATTTTAAAACATAGCGCTAGTTTTTAAATTCCTTGTTTTCTAGTACTGCAAAGGGTGAAGCAATTTATGATGGCTGCCTACATATCCGGATTGTCCCGCACTCTGGCAATTATCTTGGGTGCTTTCTATAGCTGAGTTGCGAAAACTTCTGGAAGCAACTCCTAGGCTCTTATGAGGCATTATGAAATAGTTTGCTGCCTGGCAGACCAAGAGAATCGGTTGTGCGCTTCCATAATACCCGCTGACTGTTGAAGAATAAGCCCGAATTCCAATCTCGGAGGACCCCTTCAGGGCTGGACGTCCATAAAGAGTGCAATAGGAGAATCTTGGAACATGGACCTCGGGAGTAAAGAAGTACAGCAAAAGTTTTGGAAGATCTATTTAAAATAGCTATATGTATGTGTAAAGTTGTTCGACATAAAACATGACGCTTGGTTGCAACAGGCAAAATTTCTGTGCAGCGATCAAGAAACCAAAAAGCAGAACCAAATCATAGACCGTATATGACAAGTCGCTCAAAATAAACATTAATATGCAAAATCATGCCATGTATCATGATTCATGAGTCAAAGATCGGACCATATGCCGGGATTCCTTGAGATTCAAATTCGTAAACAATTTTTTGGGTCATTGAAGGGTTGCTAATGACGAACACAGCTTCCGCTTCAAATTCCTTGACTTGCTGTCTCACCATGGGCAGCATGTCAATACGTCCATCGGTAGAGGTATCCCAGATGATTGGATCGGGGCCCATCTTGTGGACGAGATCGACGACATCCTGGCCGTATGTTTTCACGGGAGTACGAGTCTGCCAGATGACCTTGATGGCGGGTCGGTTTTCATCACCGAGGAAACCAAGACAAGGACCGATCCCAGAACCGGTTGTGACGATGATGATACGGTTGAAAAGACGCAGACCGTAGCCAACACCACGCATCAGCGCTCCACGCTTCCAGAGGTGGGTTGGGGGGTTGGCAATTGTGTCGGCGGTCCAGTCGCCGGCCTTTGACACCACGATAGACCAGCTTTTCAAGTTGCTCTTGCCAGTCGGGTCCGGATCAGGGAAACCGGCAAAACTGTGCCAATCACGGAGAGGGTGCTTTGTGACTTGGACACCCTTGGCAAAACTGATCGCGGTGTGGTTGAAGTGGAGTCGCACGGCGTGCGTGGAAAGAGGCTCAGCGGTCACGGGGACCTTGCGCAGCAAGAGCCAAGGATGAGCCACAGCAAGGACTGCAGCGATAAGAAGCCAGAATGCAGGCAGAGTAATGAGGAAGTGACCAAGCGAGTCCTTCTGGGCTGGAGCGACTTCATGTGCAAAGACCATCACAAGGACAACAAAGAGTGCCAGAATCAGCCACGATGTGAATCGGTGAGTGAACTCGAAGTAATCGTGGAACTTTCGGCGGATTGCAGGGTGCGCCACAATCACCATCACCATGAGAAGCACCAGAATGATATATGCCAGAACAATCGGCGCTGCCGAAAATTGCAGAGGCGTCAATGGGCTGATGGGAGATGATGTGAATTTGGTTTTGGAAACCATCGCGACAAATCCAATGTACCAGATCAACGAGGCAACACCACAACCACTGTGGACGCCGCCGTAATGAGCCGCCTTGGCAGCTGTGCGGCGTAGCCAAAGTGGTGCAGATCTAGGAAGAGAACACACAATTCTATAGATGGCATTGACGACCATCGGGTGTCTAGCGAGACCGCATGCCACCAAATTGACAGCTGTCGCGTTCACTAGCGCCAAAAGTTGCCGATCAGAGATCATCACGTAAAGGAAACAAGCAAGGTTTGCGCAGAACACCGTCGTAAAGAGCCGACGGTATACAGTGAAGATGACATATCTCGCATGAGCAAATGGCTTGCGCTCAGGGTCTTCGGGCAGAGTGATTTGAGCCTCCACATCAAGGGTGTAGTTCCTCCTGTGACCCTTTGGCTTCCTAGCCGAGGCTCCTTTGTTAGATGGAAGCTCTGAGATTTTGGTCTTTTCGGGATCAGAGATGATTCCGTGTGGCGGATCTGCAATGCAGACCACCTTTGTCGGCGATGTTGGCATGGGCACCGCCATGGCTTCCTCATTCTTCTCATCCATGATTGATACTTTTGGGAGAAAGAAAAATTGAGGACGTGAGATTCGCGTGACGGCGACCACCAGGCTTTATTTTAGCGTTTTGACATTTTCTTAACGTGGGGAAGAAGCCACATAAAAGTTGAGCCAATGGCAATGAATCCTTCGGAAGGTCCGCCACGGAATTCCCACGGTTGGCTGGCTGTATCGCAAGGGCTGAACCCATGGCTGAGAGGACTCCACGGTGGATATCAAATGCCTGCATATACTGTACAAAAGGCAGAAGGATCCAGACAAGGGAACTTCGCCAATGAGCTGCCGCTCGATGGATCCTACCAACACGACGGAATTGAGAACTGGTGACTAAAGTCCAGCTGGAGATCGACAATCGACCCCTCTCTGTAGATCTTTCCCAGCCATTGGCATTTGAGGTTATCTTGGAATTGACCAGATTCGGAGTACCTCGGTCATGGAGCGCGGCCAAGTCCCGGAAGTTGATAGACGCCGATTCGCACACCGACAATTGTTGAAGTGAAGGTGGATTCCTAAAGAGCTGGAATGGAACCTAAATTTTGAGTCCAGCGTGAATGAGGAAAGAATCAAATCCCAAGCGGGATGCACGGGTCAATCACCCGCCCGCCTTGCTTCTCCCATGCATGCGTTCCACAAGCATAACCCGGAAACAATGTCCTCCTTCACGGAAGATCAAATTCGAAAGTTCCAGGCATATGAGCTCATCCTCGAAAGAACTTCCTTTAACTTTGAAACGCAAGACATGGCGGGGCAGGTGTCACTCCCCAGACAGCAAGATCGGAAATTATTCCACTGGGGGAGCTCGGTTGTTCTGTTGAACTGAGCCTCCCGATGGAGCGTAGTGGTGTCGATCGAGTTCCCGATCCATAGTACGAGGTGGAGCGCTGTCACGAACTCAAGCCGCGTACAATAGTTTGGTGGAGTTGTGCGCTCGGTCCCCTTCACCGCTAAATCGTCTAAGCTCGATTCCCTGCATCATGCATGTACGGCGATCCCCGTAGAGTGTACTCCGTACATAAACCCATCATATGCATGGCTTGAATGGTTGAACGTGGCAAGCATGGGTTGCGCAAGCAACTCAAAAGGCGCCTCCCGAAGACCACATGAGAGCTTGTTGATTGGCTCCCAACCATTGGTCCCACTATGGAATTCCGGAAATTTTCGTTGACGGTATCAAACGCGGTATTGTATGAAAGAAACATAAATTACACAGCTTCAGCAAAATCACAAATGCCGAGGTTCATTGTGTGAATTAATAATATGCATTCAAAAAGTAAATCAAACGCTAATGTAGGACATAACAAGAAATCTGAAATATGAACTCATAAATTACGAAACCCTTGAATTCCCAGATAAGTGTCTCGGGTCATGTTTGGCGAATCAGTATGGCGATTTAGCTCGATTCCGAGACAAACGAGCTGGCCGAGGCAATTTTCTTGGCCAGAGCCTTTGTTGGCTGTGATCCCAGGAATTCGAAAGAAGTAAGGTCAGCACCGAGCTCACGGGAGACCCAGTTCTGAACAGATGTCGCCTTGAGTGAATCGACTGGAATGAGTGTTAGCAAATTACTCGCCGGAGTTGATGTTGAGAAGAAACTTACCACCCAAGGCAGACAAAGGAAGGTCTGTATCAATAGCATCGGGGGTTGTAGCCATTGCATCTGCCAAATATTCACTCAGAGCATCAATGACAATCTGAGTAGCTGTGTCCAAAGAGTCGGCCGCCTGTAGCAGGGAGCTAGTAGTGACCTTGGAGTCGTCGTCATCTTCCACGGCAATGCAGAGTCGGTGGTCAAACTTGCGATCCAAAACCCAAGCTGTAGATCCATTGCCGCGCGACAAATTGTCCGTCATTCCAGCAATGATTTGAGATGGAAGGGAGAGCTTGCTGTTGATGATTACCCGCAGCAAAGTCTGGATCTCGTGGGTCATGATCTCTGTGCCCTCGAGATGCTTGTATCGACGACGACGCTGCTCTTGGTCTTCGGCAATGTCACTCATACCACTAGCATCGGGAACGAGTCCGATGTTAATAGAATGTCCAGCCAAACCGTGGTTACGTCGCCACTCCATGAGAGCATCGATGAAACCGTTGCCGGCGGAGTAGTTTGCTTGACCCATATTTCCAATGACACTGGCCACGGAAGACAAGGCAACAAAGAACTTCAAGTCCTCCTTCTTGGAGAACAAGTTGTGCAAGTTCATTGTACCTCGAATCTTGGAGTCAGTAGATTTGGACCACTCTTCAAAGTTCATATTCTCGAACATGGCATCCTGCAAAACAAGCAGATATTAGCATATGATAGTTAAAGAGCAGAGTTGTGAGATTCTTACCTTAAGAACTGTAGTGCATTGGATCACGCCTGCAACAGTCCAGTTCTTGCTCCGGATTTTGTACGCAAGGTGATCAATATCTCCCTGTTGAGAGATATCACAGCGAAGAACATCAATCTGACATCCTTGGCCACGAAGTAAATCAAGTGCCACCTGCTGAGAGGGTTGGGCTCCACCAGATCGTCCAAGGAAGACCAAGTGGCGGGCTCCAGACTGAACCAAGGTCTCGGCGAGTGCAAGACCCAGATTTCCTAAACCACCAGCGAGAATGTATGTACTCTCAGCGGGCAAGCCAGCAAGATCAGGCAGGGGAAGAACAATTGGAACCTTTCCAGGAGCCTGGAAATCCACGATAGCTCGGGTGTTAGTTTCCTTGCACTTCTTGACAGCGCCTGCGACGTCAGAGATGGGGAAGATAGAGTAAGGCTCGACTTGGTCCAGCATCCGGTGTTGCTTCATGAAGTCTATGACATGACGAACTGAGGCATGTAGACTACCAGGCTTCTCCGAGAATGTCTTCTGCAGTTTGGGCGAGGAGAAAGTGCAGCCACTGTCAATGAAGGAGTCGGGCAGAGCACTAAGCTTCATATCGCCGGACAGATTGATGTATTGACCACCAGAAACCAGACACCTGGCAGCATTGCGACCGGCATAGCCGCCCAAGAAAGAGATACTGGCGTCAACTCCACATCCGTTAGTAAGCCTGGATACACTTGACTCCAGACCGCTGTGGATGCCAACAATGCGATCAGCCAGCGCGGGGTAACGGGCGCGAAGGGACTCAGTAGCTTCCTGGGAGGCCGTGGCGACAATGATCTGAATGTTCAAGGCGAGGGAGTAATCGATCATAGCTTGAAGTGTCTGACTTGGTGATCCAACAAAGAGCACGGAGGAACTTGCACTAAGGCGACCGATCTGAGTGATGATCTGGTAAGCGTTGAGGTATGCAAGAGGCGCCGAGATTGCTTTGGTAGGCTCGGTGTTGGCGGGGATCCTGATAGTATCACTTTCAGGGACCCGCATTGTGGTTGGGAGCCCGGCGTCTGCGGAGGCCAGTGTCAAGACCTTGTCTCCAACAGCAGAATCACGGACACCGGATCCAATGCGAGTGACACTAGCCACAATCTCAAACATGGGCAAAGCTGTCTCGGGAGTCTTTCCAGAGTCTCCCTGAACATCAAAGATGGTGGCCATTTCAACCTTCAGCTCGGTGTGATCCGGTAAAAGTTGGTCTTCAGAAACCTGCTGTTCCTGCCAGATTGCATTCTCTGCATCTTGAAGCTTCAACTCCAGCGGTCTGGAGTCTTCGCTGAGCTCTGACATGACAGGTCTGGGACCCTCTATCAGGGTATGCATAGCCTCATCCACGTCGGTAGTTTTGAGAACCCGAGGAACCAACAGCTTTCCGTTGGTCAGTCGATATTCGAGATCTGGGCGACGAGGGTTCTCCTGGGTGGTAAGCTGCATAACTTGAAGTATACCGCAGGCCAGTCCAAATTGGTCTTCCATGTCCTCCACATCAGCAAGGAGGTGAGGGATTGTGGTGTTCCATTGCTCGTTGCGAAGTGTTCTCAGAAGACCACCTGTGGCTCCAGACTCAATGTTTTCAGCATCTCCTTGGTCCCAGAAGGGAGAGGTCCAGAGCACATATTGCGCCTTGACAATACCCTGGAGGTGTTTGAGGTCTTTCTCTGTCCACTTGGACACCCAAGGGCCTGCCAAATCGAGTAAAGAAATCACAGTCTTTCCTTCGAGCGTAGACACCTGGTCCAGCCCAACAGAGATGAGTTGGACATTATGAGAGGCGAAAATCTTTTGGAGGTGATCGAAGACGCCAACAGACTTTGTGTTGTCTGCTGGGCTCAATACATAGATCTCAGTGTCGGTGCTCCATGAGACCGGAGTGCGGCGAACGATGATGAACTTGCGATCTTGGGTCACACTGTGGATTTGGAGACCTTCAACGCCCTGCAATATGCTGACTGCGGAGTTCAAGTTATCATCTGACACACGCATTGCTGCGAGGCCTCCGTGATCGACGATCTTTGGCAGAAGTGACCCAATGGCCTGAGATGTTTTCTCGTTCCAGGGGTGCTCCTCATCGTCAATTATGACCAGATCATACTTCCCTTCCGCGATCGGCGATGATGGAAGCTGGTCAAGCGCATCCAGAGGGGTCATACGAGCGCCAACGATGTCGATATCCTCTTCGTGGGAGCCGCAGGGTGCGACAGTGACCTTTCCAAGACAAGGTCGACTTCCAGCACCCGGGGTCAACCCAGGAAGGGTTTCAGCCCAGGCGCTTGCTTTGCTGGATGTGGCAATCAAGGCGCTGGCATCACCACATGTGTGGCAGAGTCGTTTCATCCAATCAGTCAATTGTAGACTGCTGGCCTCCACTGCAATCTTCTTGGCACCGTCGTGGATCTCACCAGTGACAAGAGGTGACTCCAGGTGTTCTTCCCAGACAATAGATGAGTACCGGCTTTGGGTTGATGACTCCTCCTGCTTCTGCGTGTTGTTATAGGGAAGGCGACCGAGGTGGACACCTTCAAATGAGATCCAAGGTTGCGACCACGAAGGATCGGATGCAACACAGTGGGATCTCGATTTGCCATCCTGCCACTTTGTCTCAGTGTGAACGACGAATTGCTCGCCGGTTTTGGGTTGGAAGTTGTTCGAGATATAGATGTTGTCTACTCCAACTGGGATGTTGGCATTCTGACTCTCGAGAGCTTCGGAGCAAGACAAAAGAGCAGACTGGAAAAGACAATCCAAAGTGGTGGGGTGGATAAAGCTGGGTGTTTCCTGCTCGTAAGGCATGCCCGACTTTGTGTCGGTCACAACACCAGAGAGCCAGATACGGGGCTCTGCATCGCAGAAAGAGACACCGGTGATCGTCTTGAATGCAGGGCCGACAGTAAGTCCTCCTGTGACAGACAGCCATTCATAGGCTTGTCTGATGTCGGCCATTTTCGCAGTGGTTTGTGTGTTCTTAATCCGCTCCAGCGATGCCGACCAGTTTGCCTTCCGCTCTTCGTCAACTTCATTCTCGTACCGCGTAGCAAAGGAGCCCTTCGCGTGTTGAATCCAGCCACCTCCGGAGGGAAGTGAGAAAATGCTGAATTGGTACCAGCCGGGCAATCCAGGGTGAGGAGACAATTGGAGAAGGGTTTCCAAACCGCGCTCCTCCTCTGGAATTACCACACCACGCATGAATTGGACATCTTGGAACTCTATCCCCTTGACGGCATGACCGTCGGCGAGCTGTCGCCCCGCTTCGATGGCCATGGCTAGCATTCCGGCTGCCGGGAAGACAATCGAGCCGGCAACGACGTGATCAACAAGCCATGGGTTTTCCGAGACGCGGAGGAAATTTCTCCATCTGGGCTCCAGCGCGTTTTGGTAGTCTACAGCAGCTCCCAAAATATCGTGTCGGGGGTGCTTGCGCTGTCTCAGCTGTGCTGTCTCGACGGGCTCGTGCCAGAACGAGGTTTGGTGGTTCCAGGGATAGGAGGGCAAATCGGCAAGCATGGTGGGCTTTGTGGCATCGACTGCGGCATTGACAACGGAAAGGTCGACAGCGTGTCCTGTACTCCAAAGAGACCCAGCGGCCTCAAGGGCGGTTCGCAAAGCATGCTGGTTACGCGAAACCAAAGAGTAGTAAGGAAGCACGGCCATATTTTTGTTGACCGCTTGCAAGATCTGGTTGACCGGGCCCTTCAGCACCGCGTGTGGGCCAATTTCGATCAAACAAGTCCACTTGATAGGAACTGGACGACGACGCCCCTTGGTGGACTCACTCAGCTTCGCAAGCTGGGAAACCGCGGCCGTGAACTCGACCGAGCTCACCATGTTTCGCACCCAGTATGCTCCTCCGCCCACGTCCGGCCCATAAACACGCTCTTTGGTGACAGATGAAAGCATGGGAATCGTGTCGTCATATCGGTTTTCGGGCTTGATGGATTTGATAGCATTGCCGACCACCTCCACGAGCTCTTCCATGTGCGGGGAGTGGTACGCTGTGTCGATGCGAAGCTTGCGAGCGAAGTGGCCGTCTTGCTGCAACTTCTTTTCGAGTAGATCAATTTGGTCAACATCTCCAGAGAGGGTCGTGCTGGAAGGGCTGTTGACACAGGCAACCACAACCGATCGTGGAGGCAGCTCGTCCAGATACTTCTGGGCGTCTGTGGAGGAAATTCCGGTGGCAAGCATACCACCTCTCTTGTCGCTCTCGGCAATCTGCTGTGAGAAGAAACCTCGGAACCATGCGACTCGCAAGGCATCGGCATGAGAAAGATATCCTGCAGCATATGCGCCAGCTTTGTGGGTTGTTAGCTTGAAGTAACAAATTTCAGGCGAGTCCGCATAGCGAGAGCCTCGGAAAATGGGGAAAGATAGACTTACCAATTTCACCACTAGAATGCCCGACAACAGCATTGGGAAAGACAGACCAGCTGGACAGAAGATCAACCAAAGCGATTTGCAGTGCACAGGTGATAGGCTGGCTGCGATCAGGTCTGTTAATTTGACTTTCCTTGGCGTCCAATTTGATCTCTTCCACAATATCGAAGGAGCAACCCAACGATGTCAGAATATCCTGAGATCGTGCCATGCTATCACGGAATGTGCCGATTCTCAAGAGTTCACGACCCATTCCGGCCCATTGGCCGCCTTGGCCTGTAAATACAAACGCAATCCGTGTCAAAGCCTTTCGGCTAGCTCTCGCAAACTTGGGAAGTCCCTTGGCCAAGATGCCCTGCAACTGGTCTTGGGAGTTGGCAACTGCAAAGCTGCGGAATCCCAACTGCGAGCGTCGGGTAAGCATGGTGTGCGCGAGGTCATTGAGTGGAATCTCCAGCTCGGTCTGCTTCTGGCGCAACAAGAAGTCACTCCAGTTGCCACCGAGACGCTCAATACCAGCTTGATCAAATGTAGAGAAAACCACCACGCGGGGAGCTGGCTCTCTGTCTTCCACATTCTCCTGGAAAGCCTCCTTTGTGCTTTCCAGAATGATGTGGGCATTCGATCCACCAAATCCGAACGAATTGATACTGGCTCGCTGGGGCAGGTGCTCTGGCCAAGGCATCGTCTTGTCGCTCAATCGGATTCTCCACTCATCGGTGCGAATCTTAGGGTTGATGTTCTTGAATCCAGCATTTGGCACCAACGTGGCTTTTTCCAAGCAAAGAACGACCTTGATCAAACTGGCCACACCCGCTGCTCCTTCGGTATGACCCAGGTTTGTCTTGACAGACCCCACATAGATGGGATCATCTGTGGGTGTTCTTGCCTCACCCAATGTCATTCCAACTGCTGAAAGCTCGATGGGATCCTGTAAGACAAGATTAGAATCTCCCTTCTTGGCCTACAATGCTGTTTCATCACTTACTCCGACCGGAGTACCGGTTCCATGGGCTTCGAAATACGCAGTGTCCCTCATCGAGATACCGTGACGTTGGTATGTTGAGCGGATCAAATTTGCCTGCGATGTTGGGCTGGGCAAAGTGATACCAGGGGTCCGGCCATCCTGGTTGATTCCAGTACCGCGAATGACGGCCCTGATATTATCGCCGTCAGCCAGCGCGGCGCTCAAAGGCTTCAAAAGCACAGCTCCGATGCCCTCTCCTCGGCCATAACCGTTAGCCGATTCGTCAAATGAATGACTTGTGCCATCCGGGCTCATCATGTGCATGTAGGAGAGTCTCTGTGTAAAATTAGGGTGTAAGATGAGACTAGCTCCAGTGACCATGGCCTGTAGCGGGTCTGTTAGTATTTCGCATCGGATCACCACGTCTTTTAGTTACGCACCATTCCGCATTCTCCAGCGCGCAAGGCCTGCGCGGCTAAATGAACCGCTGTCAAACTTGATGAACACGCAGTGTCCATCATAATACTTGGGCCTTGAAGATCAAAGAACCAGGACAATCGGTTGGCCAGCATAGTTCTTCCGTTTCCAGTGGCAGAATTATGCGGCATGTCGTAGATATCTCGGGTAGATAAAAGCTCATAATCATTGGTCATTGAGCCCGAGTAAACTGCTGTGTTACTGCCAGGAAGTGTGTCTATCGGAATTCCACCTGTGCATCATTTCTTTAGCCTGCTGTTTTGCGAAGCTGTGACTGTCAATCCTACCGTTCTCAAATGTCTCATACGCGACCTCCAGCAGCAATCGCTGGGCCGGATCCATACCCGCCGCCTCTTTGGCAGTAATGGAGAAAAAGGGGGCATCAAAACGAGACGGGTCTTCTTGGATAAAGAAGCCACTGTCATGATTGATCTGGGGGCCATGTCAGCCCAGCTCCTGCGTACAATAACGATAGCACCAAATGCCACAGGGATAAATCATACCGCTCCTTTACGCTCATGGCTAGGATGGTGCCAAGCCGAAGCTTGATACCGGCTCTCTGGGATGGTTCCATGTCCAGTTCGTCCATCGCATAGCATCTGCCAGAAGTTCTCGACGGAGTTGGCTCCCCCAGAGAACCGACATCCCATTCCAATGACTGCGATTCCCTCCATGTCTGTGGAGTCCGACTTATTATTGGGTCGGCCAGGCATCTTGTGAACGCAATGTTTCAGAAAAGGATTTGGCTGTCGAAGTCACGAACGCGGGAGATTGTGGGGGTATTATACTCTACGGTTCGTGATCTGGTCTGACTCGGTAAGTCTCCATCTTGATCTCAGCCCGAGGATCCAGCTGGGAGTCTTGGAAGCTAGTGCCATGAGTCCGGGTCGCCGCGCATAGTCGTATGCATGTATTACTGGCTAACGAACAAGCGGAGGTATGGTGTGGGGCACGGAAAGTCATTTACATCAACAAACCCTCCTTTAGGTTCACTCAAGTTCGCTATTCCAGCAGCCTGGCAGAACAACGTAAGCTTAGGTGGTATTCTCTGCCCAGAACGGGTATACCTCGGGATATGGTCTTCGCATCGCGATATCAACAACATACAAGCACCCTGTGGCCAACGTGGGCATCCTATTATTTGTCACTCCTTACGTGGTTATCTGCGGTCTGCGGCTGAGGGGACTATTCTGTGGATACGTGGATTAGATCGCCAAGATGACATGCGAACACAGTCTAGAGCAGAAGATTCCAAGGTTGGTGATCTCAATGAAGTAGGATAGTGAGCTTCGCGTGTGGTATTGTGACGAGATCAAAACACGTATGGGTCACGGTATTTCCGGTTGATAGTCGTGCAGGTTGCAGGAAATGATCTTCGTGCTCCATCGGCCCGCATATTTGAGTCCACAATCGTATTGTGGTTCCCCTCTAAGCTTACCTTGGCAGCCGACGATCCCAGCCATGGTTGAAGATTTTTTTTTCGGTGGTTGCTCAGGGGCTGTTGTGCCATTCCGCAGTGGGGAAAACCACCACACTCGCTTCCCCTTGTTTGAGACATAGAGTCATGACTGCCATTGGCTTCTTTTCTCTCAATTTGAGAGGGAAAAAAGCCGAAAAAGCATATGGGTCTTATAATATTGTGCGTCGAATACCCCGCCCCTTGCAGTCTGCCCTAAAAGGTATAGATACAAGTACTCCGTAGACATTGGTACGGAATTGAAGTGGTCTGACGAAATTGGCAATGCGCAAATTAACGTAATGCTGCAAATTCCTCGTTCCTTCGGCCAAGAGAAATTGCACGCGCGAAGAAAAACAAATGGGAAAAGGGAAAAAAAGGGAAAAAGCCACAGCATTAGAGTTGCGTCTCATTCGGGCCACCGGATACCCATTCCAAGATGGATCTTTCCAACATGAACTTCCTACTTGGCCCCCTATGGGTTGGCACACGGGGTTCTCACTCTTCGAATTCCACCCCACTCCCCACACCGATCACCGTAATTCTGGCTACATCCCGAATATCGAGCTCAGATTCCCACTAATTTGGTTATGGGGCCGTAAAAGATACCACAAGCTTGCATATGAGTTCAGGAATGGTTCGTACTACCTCTTCATGCCCCAATCATAGACAGGCAGACTCCGTAGACGCTATTGTTTCCGGCCTACTGGGATCTCTGCGCTTGAGATCCGAATAGCCCCAATTCCTTTCCTGGACACAGTCCAGTTGCTTGTACGAGTAATTTGCCATTTAAACGATTTTGTGATTCTCACATGTTCCCCGCCTCTTTTCCGTTTTCCGTCACCAACGTCACAAGAGCCTTTCGAAATGACCACCCAATCTGCCATCGTCGCCCAAGAGCCGGGCCGCGCTACGCTTGAGCAAAATGTCTCAATCCCTGAGCTGCCAGATGATTATATTCTTGTTAAAACAAAAGCCGGTGAGTGACAATTTTTCCCTTTCTCGGAGAATTTCTCTCGTCTTCGGTTGGACTAAAGAAAAACAGTGGCCCTGAACCCCACGGACTGGCGTCATATCGATTTTGTCCCTTGTAAAGGGGCAATCGTAGGCTGCGACTATTCTGGAATAGTGGAGGCTGTTGGCCCGCGGGTCCAAAAGACCTTCAAGAAAGGAGACCGTGTTGCTGGTTTCGTGCACGGCAGCGACGTGGTCCGTCCCAACGGCGGCGCATTTGCCGAATTCATCATTGCTAAGGGAGATATGCAAATATTGATTCCCGAGTCTCTGAGCTTCGAGGCAGCTGCCACATTTGGTGTCGGTCTGACAACTGTTGGCCAGAACCTCTACCAGAGCATGGAATTACCCTTCCCCGGCGAGCCCGATGAAGAATCTGAGGGCATCAACATCCTAATTTATGGAGGGGCTACGGCGACCGGAACACTTGCGATTCAACTGGCCAAGCTCTCCGGGTTGCGGGTTGTGACGACTTGCTCCGAAGCCAATCGGAACTTGATGTTCGAGCTCGGCGCCGATGCGGTCTTCGATTACCGCGATGCGGACGTCGGCGATCAAATCAGAGAAGATACTGACGACGCGCTTGAGTTTGCGCTGGATACGATCTCTACCCCACAATCAGCTGCCATTTGCAGTGCTGCCATCTCATCGGCAGGTGGGTCCTACAACGCGCTACTGGATGTTAAATCCGCCAGAGACGATGTTGACTCCCATGTCTCAATGGCTTACGACCTGCTTGGCGAGCCTTATCGTATGGGCGCGCAAGAGATCACGCCCGATTCTGGAAATTTTGAATTCGGGGTCAAATGGTGGGCTTTAGCCGAAAAGTTACTTCAGGAGCGCCGAATCCTTCCCCATCCTTTCCAGGTGAAGACGGGTGGCTTAGCTGGCGCATTGGCCGGGCTTCAGTTGTTGAGAGAAGGTAAAGTCCGGGCCAGTAAATTAGTTTATCTCGTCGATGGATCCGATTGAAAGGTTAGAGATACCGAGGAGGCATTTTGACGTTCGGCGCCGCATCGTTTAAGGTTCAATAGACTGCCGATCGCATTTCGCAGGGTTTAACCTCATGCAGTAAGACTAAGTCTCTGAGCAGAAAGGGTTAAAGGAGCGAAAGGAGTCCCAAGTCAAGCTGACAGTGACTTGTGTAAAACAAGTTTTAAAAGTGAGCCATTCGATAGTGTTGAAACCTTGAAACATCTCTGGATGCTCAGTGTCTTTCACCGCTGTTTGCGTGCCGAACCTTGGTACTTTGAAAAAGGATTAGGCTTTCCATCTGCTCCTTCCGATTTGGCATACTTTGAATGGCCGGGTGTGTCTGTCATCGTCATCATCATGTTGGTGTGTGCGTTTCAAGTAGATTGACTGGTGTTCAGATTCGCTGTGACCTCTGCGTTTCTGTGCTGTGGGCCAACACCCATGGACTAGCTCTTCTCGTATCTAGCGTCGCGTCTAGCGTCGATTATATATTGTGTTGTGTTCATGGACTGCTGTAGTGATATGCTCTTCTTTGCTGTAAGGACCTCGGGACTCAGTGTACACGCGGCATAGAGAGACGATGGAAGAATAAATAGTATCTTGATTGCCAAACGCGGAGTCTCTGGTCAAAATTAGGTAGCCCAAACAGGTCATGGCAGCATGACGAGGATGCAGAACGCTATCAGGATCACCGTTATTGAATGGGACCCTCTATATCCAGGCCAACGGAGCTCACCTGGGCAATCATACCCTCTCAACGGCAGTTATCAGCCTTGCGGGCCCAGATGGAACACTCAGCCCTATCAAACATCTGCCAAAGGGACCATGTGACTCTCATGCGAGCGTTCGAAATTGCGGTCCATGCCCATATTGATTGTACAAAACATAAACAACCAGGAACAATCGGCCGCAGCACTCCGGGAACCGTCGAGTGTCAAATATAGCGAACCTAGAAGGGTAACCACCTGTGAGAGCGTTCAGGTAAGTTCAAAATAAAATCGGGAATGCAGAAAGCTGAGTCAACGAAACAATGAGGCCCAAGAACTGAATCCAGTCCTCTTCACTTTCACCATTATGGCTATTGACGTTGCTCAGACGTGACGCGTCATGGTTCGAATATGTCGCGGATCACAAATCAAACATCTAGGCGAGAGAACCATTAGTTATGAGCTTAATTGCGACTTGCTTATCAATTGGCGTAGAGACATTTCGTTGCGCGGTCATCGCGAATAGTAGGATACTTTCTTGGCGATGCACGAAAGCGTGCCTAGTATGGCAAACAAGTCCCTGTCTGCTCTGGTTGCACCAATGAATGCTCTCATGCTCTGGATGGATCTGATCAGGGCCCATTGGAAAGCTTTTTGGGTCTTCAGTGCAGTATCTGAAACAGATTGAGCTAGAGGATCGAAATGGACCTTGTTCGCCCTTGGGCGGATATGTTCAATTTGTGCAAAACCGTGATCTCGGGCCAGCCCAGTCGTACGGGTACCTACTTCGACACAATTAGCGGTGGTGCTGATAGTAGAGAGGGTGATTTTCACTCAAGAGTTCTCAAAGACTCAGCAAGTGCTGTTTCTGAAAAGCTGGAGGTAGTTTCGGTCAAACTACAAACCACTTGTGTGGTCGCGAGATCCGCTAGGTACCTATTCCGCGTTTGTATAAAAGACGTTGCGAGAGTTCAAGCCTGACTAGGATGTCAAGTTGCTCTCCTGATGTCAAAGGAACGAATCATGCTGAATTTGCGATTAGTATCCCATTCTCCAGTGAGGCCATCTCGGCCCATATGAGATGTTAGGACTGATTGAACTTTTTTCCCCAGAAGGCAAAGCTCTGATTCCATGATATATCCCACTGAGCACATCAAAGAGTAACAAGACAGTCAACAAATGATTTAACGTGTTCAATGATCGCGACGCGGCACACGCGGCCCCTTCGGCATGTGCATCAAGGTCATCATGCGCGGGGGCTGCGGCGGAGGCGGCGGATGCGGCGTAAAGATGATGGTACCCACCACGGGCTCCCATTGACAATGGGCTTGCATATTGGCGTGCTCCGTCGCAGCGAGTAGTCAGGTATGGTAGGCCTAGTACCAAAATCAAGACAAGTATTCTTGCACCACAAACCAATGCGAAGATATTGGAGAATGATGAAAACACTTCCTGTACCGCTCCTATCGGCACTTGCATCATTCCTGTGGCATGTCCTTCCAGTGTACTTGTGTGTTGGTCCAACTTCTAGTTTCTCTTCTTCTTCTTCTCTCTCATTAGACTTCGAATGTTCTCCTCCTGAGGGATCGATCAGCTCGGACTCGATGGAGCTCGGTGCCGGTGGAGCTTGAGTCGTACACAGGGTCCGTCCCTACAAAATCCTTTTGTCGGACTTTGCTGGTAGAGGAATGGTTGGAGCACAGCCGCGGTGGGAGGAGCCGGAGACGGGCACGTAGACAGGAGGAATTTGGGTCGATTGACGTGCGAAAGGGTCGCATTCTGGAGCTTCTTGGGATTGTATGTGAAATACATCGAGATCCAGTCAATGTTTGTGCTTGTTCACTGAATTTGTGAGCAGCAGACATTTTGCATAGTTGATTGACTCACTTCGTTCTGGTAAAAAGCTCCTTCGGTAAGGATCGGCTAGTTTGCTCATGTTTCGGAGCCGGAGATTGTTTGCGTACCGAGTATAGCGAGATCCAGGTGGGCAGCGACGCGTTGAAGGTTAAAAGAAAACTTGCTCTAAGCTGCCGCATTCTAATGGACTCAGATTTGCATTTTGAATTTTCTCTGTTTGGCAAAGGTCGCTTGCTCGTGGTGAGAAACGCAAATTCAGTCAACGAAAAAAGTCATCTCCGTCCGAGATCCCGAGATATGTGTACCTAAAAGAGATATAGCGGCAATGATGTGTGCAAAACCTCTCTGATCAGAAGATTTAAAGGTTTTAGATGTATATCATAACAAGAATGAGACATGAAGGTATTTAGCAAGGAAAACCAAGGGGATTGGTTGGGAGAAATGGGAGGCCAAGGTGAGCCACGAGACGGCAGGCACGCGTCACGCGAATAGCTTCACAACACTCCAACTCTCCAATTCTTCAGCTTTGAGTCCAGAAACAAAAATAAACGTACTATTCAAGTGATGCTTAAAATTCTCTGCAATCATATTCATGTTATGAGCTTCCGAATGAACCTAACTTGTATTCTACGCCCGAAAATGACTGCTTTCGCCCTCGAACCCACGCCTTCGGGGACCTATAAATGTCCAAATAGCCCTCCTTTTTAGTACGCGAGGGTGAGTGGCTCAGTGGTAAGATGTCTCATCTTCAACACTGCCGCATTAAAGCGAGCCCGAGCTCCGATCTTCGGGTCGGGGGAGTTTAAATCGCACCTGCTTCTCGGGAGAGGGCAGGAAAAACCGAGTGGCCCTACCAACACTCGGCAGGGACTCCTGGAAACCTTCGGGTTTGTAGTCTTGGTGTGGGGGCAACCCCCTCCAGGTTGAGTTTTTGCCGCGCCAGGATGTTGTAGGCTTGTTGCTTTCACCCTAGGAGAGGTTTGGTCCGTTGGATATTACGATAAAGCCTTTGACTAATGTAGAATATGACAGGTACTGGCAAGTCACCCTTGATGACTGTTTAAATAGATTAAAAGCACCTGGGCAGCAACCAAGTCAAGTTGCTCCTGAAGCATCCTGGAATGTGTCCAAGTGCAGCCCGACACGAGCGATCCCAAACTCGATGTGCAAGCTTTGTTTAACTGAAAGCAGATTTTTAGAAGGAACTTTGGAACATATATCAAGCACATAACATAGACAATATTCTGCCAGCTCGAACCTGAATTACTACCTGTGGAGATCTATCCTCATGACAGTTGGCACTAAGGTTCACTTCAATACTCACCCAGACAGCCTGGGCGTGAGTATGGGGAGCCTTTGAAACCCTTAGAGGGCCACACCTATGCGAAGTTTACCAAAGTACAGGTACAGAGCGTAGCAACTTCCATTGACGATGGTCTGTAGTTCGGACCGGCTGTTTCTCCGGTAGCCCTTTTCCCCAAATGGTCTAGCTTGGTCTGATCTGCCCCACCCAGTGCATCTCGGACACTTTTGATTGGCTTCTGGCTTCCGACTAAGCCATGGAGTTCAAATCAACAGGAATCCATGCACTCATACACACTTAGGATCGGTCCTACAAAATGGCATCGGAAGAGACTCTGTTTCAAGGCCTCGATGGTAACCTTGAATTTTTTTGCAAGCTCCTGAAAAGAAGATGGCCATCAAATGTCAATAATCAACTAGACAGCAATATCATCAAGCTTTGATGACGCTTTCACGTCTCTTCCTGAACATATGGTCGATACAATTTCAAAGTTGTCGTACAGAGAGCATTTTCACTGAGTGCATTCTACTTCTCAGACTTGACAGTACATGGAGTCTATTTAAATCTGCTCTGCAGGCTTTGCTCGGGGTACGCGTCAACTTCACTCTGCAAGCATCTCCAAATATGAAGGGAGTTAATGATCGATGCCCCTGTTTCTTTTGATGCCAGCTGGGCAGTCTTTCAAACACCGAAGGTTTCATATTTTGGTCAATTTTGGCTTTCTTCGTTGACAACCAACCTGCAAAGCAGAGGCGAGATGAAGGGCCACTTAAATTTATAAAGAAAATTTACAGTGCGTGGAAAGCATGAAAGTTTGTAGACAGTAAAAACAGTATTAGGAAGCCCAGCACTGGATGTAGTGTCAGTTGCCGTGATCTGCGTGTAATTTGACATTGCTTAATCATTTAAAGTTGCATATATAATCATTGATAATATCGGCAAGGCTTGTGGTGTAACAAGGAAATAAAGATAAAAGGTGCTGTATAGATATTGGTTTCAACATCTCATATGAGTCAGTATTTAAAAAATCAGAGCTTGAAAAGCCTTGTTCCGGAAGAACGAAGTATAAGACCCATGTTGAACTTACCGTTTGTTTGAAGGACCATGGAAGTCTAACCCAGGCAGACATCAGGCGTATTTAATTTGAGATGAGATCATAGCAGCTGTTTCTATGAAGACACAAAACCTTGTCCCTGGGAATTATGATGATGTGGGTGATTTTGAGGCTGGTTTGGGACCGGGAGCCTCACTGGGCGTGGTATGGGCTGGGAATTTTCTGAATTTGATTTTTTCTCATTGTGTGCATCCTTGCTCTTTTTTGCCAAGAAGGAGATGAACATGCACATTTTTCTGATTGTGGTGAACGAGGTCCGTCAAGAATACGAATCTTCGTGGAGTGAGAATAGTTTGGTGGGCGAGACGGAGAGGCTGCTGCTTCTAAGGTTGGGCCGTGATCGCGGGTAGGATTGTTTTGAGATTTCCAATAAATTGTGGACGGGATAGATTGGACTAAGATGGAGATTCAAACGTATTCCTAGCGAAACCTCTCGACTGATTTATACCTTTCTATTGTGGCTGAGGGCGTAGGGAAAGGACAAGCCAACATGATCGACAATCACTCTTCCCGATTAGGATAAATCAACTGCCAAGACAAAGATCGGCAAACCATCACCCAGCACTTGACAGCGACCATGATATTTCTAAGCAGAACTGGAAGATTGGCCTCGGGCAGGTCTTTTGCTTCTCCGAGGCAGACTCAAGGCTGACGGGAAAAAGAAAAAAGAAAAAAGAAAAAAGAAATCCATGAATTACGAGGCATTTCTGACTGGCGGTTGACCAAAATTATAGAAGACCGACGCGTAAAAACTTTCAAACTCTTTTAGCTCCATTTATTATCGTTCATATGATAACCATACTACCTTCGCTTGGCCTTCCACAGTGTTCTACTCTCAATCCCCTGCAAGCTCCAAAACATGTATGGCTCGTGAAAACAGCTATCCCATGAACTCTCCCCAGAAACCCAGAACCTTTCGAGAACTTTGGTCGCGGTCTGGGGAGTGTATATCCCAGTATATTCGCTTATCGCAAGCAAATTACATCGAACGAAGTCTCGCATAGGCCAATTTTCACCCACGGCTAGGGCGCCGAGAACAACCAGAGGCCAAAGTAAGAGTCTCATGAACTTCGCAGAGCAAAGTGCTTTGCTAAGGGTTTGTTTCAACATCCGAGTCATGCTGATTTCGATATTTGTAAGGTAATGTGTTGCTGGTAGCACAGCCACACTTTGGAGTGATGAAATGCAGTACAAAGTCACAGCAGCTTTGTACGCAATTGCGATTGTTGTAAAGTCACTTTCCTGGGTTTTTGATTTCGAGAGCGCCCAATCCTCTGGCAGGAAGATCAAAATTGCGTAGAGAATCTCATAAGCCTCTGAAGTCTGCCCGTCTCGGAGGCTGAGATCGGCGGCTCGTGATCGCAAGTGGTTGATTTTGATAATGGCGATAAAAAGCGGAGCGGGGATAATTCGAAACAGATCCATCTCTTCGGCATATTCATCCATCATGGAGTATAGCTCGTCTATTTGATCTTCATTCACAGCAAGATCTGAGACTGGAGACGAGGTATCCCCCAGCACCTCAAAGCTATGCAAAAGTCAGTCATTTTTTCTCTCTCTCATATCTGGACCGGTCACGAACACCATGAAGGAATGTAGTAGTGGGATTGCACCTGGTGACTCGCTGAAAGAGCGGAAACCACCGCGCAAATTAATGATTTTCCGGATCGCATTCAAATGGTAACGCCAAGAAGTATGAGACATTCCTTGTCGAACCTGTGGAGATCATCATCAGATCGGGTCATAACAATCGTTTCGCTTTATCGACTCACATCTACGAGCACTAGTGTCAAAATTCCGGCAACGAGAAAGTTGCTAGTCTTCTTATCCTCTGAGTTTATCTCATCTCGCAAAGAATTTATGATCAGGCCACGGCAGTAGAGAAACTTGTGGTTCAAGGCATTCCACTGATCTGCGTTTTGACACATCCGATGGCCAAGAGACGTGCATGCCAAGACAAGCCTAGTATGATCGGGATAGCCAAGGCCATGCTGGAAGATTATTGGCGAAATAACGGGAACGCCAAATTTGGGCGTTATATCGAGCATGGGCTTAATGGAGGGACCAATGTGGGAGTTGACTGAACGAGATGTTAAGCTCCGTTAGGTATAACGCTCCATGAAATCTTGCTATGGATTTGACCTACAATAGTCTGCAGCCTCTACTAGCATATGAGCCAATGTGGTAATTTCGGCACAGGGAGATTGGATCACGACATACTCAGCATTGACAGGTATTTTGGACTGTTTTTTTTCAGTCCTATCAACTTGCTTTTGCTTATGTTTGGTATTCCGAGATTTGACTTTTCCAGGCGGTAGCCATCTAAGAGACACAGGCTGTGATGGACCATAGCCCGGGCACGTCACTCCGGTAGTTGCACACCGCGTACAGCCAGGCTGAGTGAAATCACAGACTAATCGACGACGCCGACATTCCCAACAGTGTTGCTTGGCTTGCTCTGTGTTGTTTTGCTTCATTTTTGTGGAGCAGGGGACCTACAGGGAGGTTTCAAATAGCGATGAGCTGCATACGGAGTAAGGGGAATAAAGAAGTGCTAAGCTTTGAAAGAACAGAACAGAAAGCCAGGGGCCCTCCATAGGCCCCACGCCGCATAAGCCAAAGGCAACAACGGGTTAAAACCGACAGTGCTAAGCCGTTTGTGGACAAATCTCGTCAGAACATTGGCTGCTGACTCATGTAGCGACGATCTCAGGCCCAATCATGAGGCGCGCGCTCTTCTGTCCATTGTCCCACAAACATCCATCCCTAATGAGTATATCACCGATCGTGAAACCAAATTATCATCAAAATCAAGTGCAATATCACAGCAACGTCTTGCACCGCCGAAAGATCGAAGGTAATCAGTAAGGTGCCCGTGCGTTCGGTTGGGGCCATGACATCATCTTGCATTTTGGCCCCCATGTTTTGAAAGAACCCGAAGCTCAGCTTTTTATATATGCGATGACAATAACAGATGACCTCGCCTTTCTTTCAAGCATTGGACTGAAATGATGCCCCATCGAGGGCTCCTGGGGGATTCGGTGGACGGTTGGGGAAAATCTGACTCCATAGCCCGAATGTGAGAATTTGCATAATCAAACGACCTAGTTGAGTCAAGCTCAATCTTTGATGGGTCAAGTCCTTGGGAAAAATCATCTCGGTAACACCATCTTCTGATAGGAAAGATTTGTCCGTTGGGAGAAAGCGGCCCGGGTGGAACACATTCCATAGTATCGAGTTAAGCAGCATTGTCGTTGCCTCGAAGACGTAAAAATACCACTCATATCGCATGATAGGACTGAGCGACTGAAGCTCATGCTCGTTTCCAAGGTCCATCGATGTGTTACCTGCGTGTTCAACCACACGGTATATGCTTCGGATCAAAATCAAAGTCATGCTAATGTAAAGTGTGTTGAGCACTGTCGGGATGGCCTTGTTGGGGATGTTGGCCTTGCGGTAGCGTACGTAAAGCAGTGTGGCGAGGACGAAGAAAGAAATTATCACGCATAGTTGAACTCCGAGTGAAGCCAGAACTAAGATTTTGCCAATTTCTTGTTTGTTTCCAGTTGGATTGCTGGTGAAGGCAACACCCAGGCCATTCAAAGCCTCGACAAGTCCCATCAGGGATCCAAAGATGGTGAAGACTTTCTCGGGGGCAAACGGTGACAGCCACGGGATGTAATTGAATATACGGCCTAGAATGTGATAATTGCCGAGTTCGCTCAGTGGGCTGACGTCGTCTGTCAGCATGGATTAACTTTGTGGAAGAGAGGCGAGAGTAACCCACGGGCCAATGTATATGAGAACCTGGTTCGTGATATAGAAAATCAAACTCCGCTCGTCGTGCTTGTTGTAGATATAATAGAAGGCTCCCGCTTCCCTCACGGCGTATCCAACGGTAAAAAGAACGGCGACAAACGCGTGAAGTCCATTCAATTTCCAAGCCTTGTATTTGCTGCATACTTGCGTCAGTGAATGCCGCAGTTAATGTTTCGATAAAATGGAGGCTCATACCAACATTGCCATACATGGCCAACGGATGAAAAAGCAAATAGAACCGCAAAAACGACAGGTGCTACTTTATCAGGCTTGTAAATATACAGGCTGTCAGCAACTGGTCCACAGTCAGTATGGGGCTTGCAGATAGTCAGCTCTCAAATAGCTTACCTACGTCCCCAGTTTCTCCCATATTGAAAGCAAAGATAATGACTCCGGTGGCAGCTAACTTGCAGGGACTTTTCGTGGATGCTCTTGGGTCAACGAGTATGAGTGTCAGGATTGTAGAGAGGAAAAGTGAAAAATGTAGGGCTGTGGCTCATTGACTCCAACTACTCCCTTAATCTTTGGGATTTTGCCAATGCTGCCCGGTCTTAGCATCGGAATATAGACCGGTCATACTGTGGACCATTGTAGGGTAAACATCTGCCACCTTTCCCAATGAGGAAGTATTTTTGCCAAGCCGCCGATCTCCCACCTTTCCTGTTTAGGAAGTAATTGTGCCAAGACGCTGATATCAAGCATGGGCTGCATGGCCCGAGATCATCTCAGCCCTGTTTGGGTGATAAGCTCTGTCAAATATTGGTTTTGGCCAATAATCTGCCTTTCCTGACGTCTTTGAAGGGAAGTGGATTGCTCAGCCCCTCATGAAGTGAATGTTTTGGGGACCAGTGGCAGTGCCATGCGTTGACGTGTGTTCTAGGCAGAACAACTTATCATACAGATGATCTTGAGAGAATACAGAAGTAGAACTGTGCATTTGGGTACCGCCAGCTGATCCACTCTCACTTCCTCCAATAGCGGGGAATGGCTGTGCTCATCCACCCCGCCGTTGAATGGGCTGTGAGCGCAACTTTTTGGCTCAGCCTACTGTGGTAGAGCGCAATTTTTCTCTGGCCACCGGAGTGAGCCTCAAGAACATAAATAGAGGTAATCATCCCGACATTGAGCTTCATAAACAAGCCATCAACCACAACCTTCTTCAATAACGTCCAACGCTGAGCCTTCACCACGTTCAATTGTGCTTTCGAACCTTGCTCTCACTCTATCGCAATCATCATGTCGTCCACCGGCGTTGAACATACCACTCAGTACCCCACGAGTTACCAACCTCATCAACAACTTGGATCTCACAACCCATACAATCCCCAGGTAAGGATTTCTCTTTTCTTTAGACCAGACACAAGTCTCGAAGATCCTCGCAAGCCGGATTGACAACTTGATATGGATCACGAATGACTGATATCAATTTCACGAGCAGAGCGGCTACGTCGGGCAGTCACAACAGTACAACGATCACTATGGGCAACACTCCACGGAGCCTTTCAACCGGCAAACGAATTCTTCGCCCTACCAACAGCAACAATACGGCGCCAATGCCTATTACTACAACCCAGAGAGTCAACCTGCTGACTTTCAACCGTCTGAGGATGAACGGGGTCTCGGGTCTACCGTGACAGGCGGCGCAGCTGGGGGATATGCCGCTCACCAGATGGGAGGTGGAAAATTGGCGACTGCTGGAGGTGCGCTTCTTGGAGCTGTTGGCATGAACATGGCGACCCACAAGTAGTATGTTGCCTGACGACCGGCTCGAATCGGTTGGAGAATTTGAGGCTAACGAGTTGAAGTGAGCAACACCAGCAACACCAGCAGCAACAGCAATTCCAACAGCAACAGCCAGCACAAACTGTTGTTGTAGTGCCAGCTCAAACAAATGCATCAGGCCCTGGTCTCGGAGGCGGTCTTCTGGGTGGAGGTCGACTCGGTGGTGGCATTGGGCTTAGCCGAGTCGGTCGCAGAATCGCCTCCCGTAGGAGCGGTCTTTACTAGGGGTTCCAAATCTGGTGTCGCTCGATGGTATTGGCTATCAACGGAATTTTGTGACCGCTGAGCACTGAATGCGTGACAAGTTTGAATGATAGATTGTTGTTGTTTTGTTCTGGTTGGTTTTTGAGGAGTATGATCGCGTTTTTGCAATTGACTGTTTTTGCTTTCGAAGCGAAGTCGCTCATGAACTCCATTCCTCGTTGGGATGCTAGCCTTAAAGTGACCAATCCCTCAACGTGCTAAGCGGATAAATCGTGTTTCACTGTCGTAGTGGTGTAGTTGGTCGATTCAAGTCCGGTGTGCTCACGAGGAGTCTTGACTTGCAGTTTGAAAGCCATAACTCTCTGAGCGTCTCGTGTTTGTGTCCATGTAATCTCGACTCCCCCATGGCTGTCGGGTTGGTAAATCGATCGGTCGCGCTTCCATTCATAGTGGGTCCGGATCTTCCGCGCGTGTCCTCTCCCGCTGTTGGCGATTCAGCCCATTGCTGCGTTACACCTGCGATGTGGAAGGTTGGTAAAGAGGTATTTATCGGCCACAGGTTTCTGATCGGCAAGCAATGAGCATGAGCCTGTGGTACAAACGTCGGGGAAGAAGTTGGAGCTGGAAGAGAAAGCCTGGGCGGTAAGGCTCAGCGTGGCAGAATGATTGTTGACAGCTTCGTCTCGTTGTTTCCTTCTGCCATTTGGCCATCCTTTTTTTGGGAATATTCAAGACTCATATTTCGTTAGACTTCTGATCCAAGCGCAATCTTTTGCAAGTGGAAACTCGCTTACCGCTGATTCACGAATCTGAAGGTTGTGTGGGTCACGCGTGGAATCGACCATACAACAACTCGACTGAACATGTCCACGTCGTACTTGTGGCAGATTCTAGATTGTGCTGGTCGGCATCTATCATCCAGCAGTTGACGGGGGGGAAACATTGGGAGATACAGTGATCGGCGGTTCCATGAGTCATTGACTCAACACCAATGTTCGACTCGGCGAGTAGGAGCGGCATCAGGACAAAACCGTTGCCTCACTCGGGCCCCTGATTTTCCTCGCAGATTTTAAGACTCGGTCCCATCTCCTTCTCTATTCATTTGACGCGACATACAAATTCAGACTCTAGGGGGAAGATGGCTTTGTTTCATTACGAAAGTGCTGCCCGCTCTCGCCTGTGCGCATTCTACGACCACGGGCCCTTTCGCTGGGAAGACAACAACACGGCCTGGATGGGCGGATTTGACTCATTGGCCAGTCCCTCATAGACCCCATGTCAGTATAGCCCGAATCTTTGACAGATTCTGGGGACAACAGGGTGCCAGGCGTCCACTCAGCGGGATGATCACCACTGTCTGTAGCTTCTTGTTTGCCAGCGACGACTCGGATATCAACGCTGTTCCTGGAACGCCTACATGGAAACCCGAAAAACCAGTTACATTTCCCCCTGATTGAGTAGCATCTGTGCATGTCAGGAACGTCCGTGGCTTGTCGTATTACCTCAATGTATACGTATTCCCGAACCAAATTCGGAGCCAGATGCCACTCAAGTCAGAGGACGTTGTGAGGGATGATATACAACTCTGCCTTCGCGACATAGCTCTCAATGGTAAACATCCGAGCTTTCCGAACTCAATGGCGCTGGGGCTCAGATGGGGAGCACGACGACCCTATAAGATTTTGCAGATAGAAAGTTCGTTTGGTCCACTCCGCAAATCCAGACACCGAAATCCCTCGCAACTGAAACACTGATCTTGCTTTCTAGTACTCTCTTATTAGACGATGCAAGTTGCCTAATCCAAACCTTTTGGCTCAACTTTGCCGCTTGGGTGCCTCCTTGGAATATTTATCAGTCCAATAGAATTGGCATGCCTTCCAATGTGTCCCACGTCGCTATTCGGTGCTAGTGGAAGAAAGCCAGTAACCCTGACGGGGCAACATCAGACGTCGCGCAATATGTAATTGACGGCCGTGGTTTTGACGCGGCCCTTGAAAGTGGAATACCCAACCACAGCCTCGGACGAGATGGACTGTGGCAAGGCAATCTGTTTACTGACTATACTCGACTCGTTCTGGGCCCCTGGGAAGACAGGTCCACGGGTGGGATCCTTGACTTCCAGACACTCCTGTTTTCACTGCTATTCTTACTTTGAATCGTGTTCCATCACTCCGGTGACCGCTTCGAATGAAGTACGCCTATGCCAAAGTTTGACAGATGTGACTACACCCCTTCGAATAGTCAGTGGTTGAGAATAAACAAGCACTAAGCCATATGGTGATGAGGGTATTCCCCCAATTCTGCAGTGGCACCAGTCCAGTGGATGCGAACCAATTGTTGGAGAATCAACCCTCAAAGCTAATGCAGGATTACCTTCTTTTAGCCCAACGAGATGATTGGTGGTAAGATCATCCGGAGGTTCAGCCCCATTGTAGCTTGAGAAGAATTACGTCGAATACACCATGCCAAGGTGTTCGAAGAACTACAGATCTAATTCGTATCTGGAAACAAGATTGGTTTCTCAGGGTTGGCGCACCAAAGCCCTGGATCCATACATCGCCCGTGGAGATCCCGCATCATCCAACCATCACCCCCACATTGAAGCCTCAAACTGTTTGTGGAGCTGGGATTGGATAGTAGAATTGAGGAGAATAGCAGGGGCAGGACCTCGGGTATGAAAACAGTAAGTGACATGAAAGTGCACTTCGCTCTCGTTCAGCAGCAGGTGTGGGGATCCCCACTTGGCGAGACCGTTGCACTTCTTCTCAATGACTCCATGATACCCGAGAGCTCCTTGGCTTTGTTCTCGATTGATTACCTTATACAGCAAAGCAGATGTAACTTGGCAGATTTGCAACCTTAAAATGTCCCGATGGACTATGTGAATGACATCACGATTAGTCATCGCCGAAATAGGCCATGCACGGCCCAAAATGAACAAACCCATTCGAATCATTCACTTCTCTATTTATATATAGGATTAAGTTTGAACTTAAATGAAGTGGTGATGGAGAAAAATTGCATTATAAATCGGAGTCTTCATTTGGTACACTCATTCATAGATTCGTTTCCCAGTAAGTAAGGTAGATCGATTTGACTGTAGAGCATACGGAGAGAAAATCAAGTACAGGTCCACTTGGAAGGCAGACAATCAGAAACTCGCCTGGTAGCCTTGAGTGCTACGGTTGTTGATTTCAAGATGTAGTCAGGGCGCTACCCAATCATATACTTCCAACCTACACCTATAATAATCCATGGATGCCTGATGATACCAAGCATCCACTACCGAGATACGACCTACCTCCAATCTGCAAACGGCCATGACTGCTCAAACTTGATAGATGCTGTTCAATCTCATCGGCTTGAACACCTATAAAGCTGATGCCACTCTCCAGCGATATGTCGTGCTTCAGCAAAGATCAAACAAACTTTCTTACCACAACCTAATTGTCCTTATTCCCTACAATCACAATGAAGTTCATCGGAACCACTGCCTTCGCCCTCACCGTGGCTTGTGCTATGGGCGCCAAGCTCTCCGACTCCGCTGCCCTTGACCACGCCAAGTCCCAGTGCGATGTCGGTGACATCTCCTGCTGCAACTCCGAGGAGGAGACCAAGGCCGACGGTATCCTCGGCAACCTCCTTGCTGGCGGTCTCCTCAACGGTGTCTTGGGTAACTCCAACTCGCCTTGCGCCAAGACCAGCCTCATTGATGAGCTGAACATTCTTGGTAAGTCAACCTATCGCAGTTCAGAAAGCAATCAAGGAAACTATACTGACTCCAATGAAGCTTCCATCAAGAACACCGACTCGGGACCCGTCTGCAAGAACATCATTGCTTGCTGCCCTGAGGGAACCACCACCGTGAGTGCCCATGATACTTCCCAGATCACGTTCCTGTCTAACTTTTCCATCTTTAGTGCACTGCCATTGACAACTCCGGAAAGGAGTAAATGTGCCAACAAACAAAAGTCTCTCAAGAAGTATCCTAATTTAGTGATAATGAAACGTAACTTATAATTGGTGAAAACCAGACTCTTTCTCATCTTTTCTACTCCATACCTCATCTGTATTTACTTGTCGTCTAAATCTAGGGTTGTTGTGTAAATTTGTGCGGTGAGGTAAATTATCAATGTGATATATATCCGGGGATCCCCGAGCCTTACATTAATTTCTTAGGTACGCCAGGGCGTGTGAGGGAGAATCTAGGTACTAATTTTTGAATTGACTCCAACCTTAGCCTTGCAGCATTCATTATAACCTTGGAATAATCTTAGGAAGAAAGAATGGCTCCGAAGGTTAGTCACTAGAGGATGTCCAGGTGACGTTGGGACCTCATGCAAATCTTGGGAGCGAGCAGAGGCCATAAATCCCACATTCACGCTTGTTTCTAGTATGGAAATTCCGCCCCGAGAAAGAATAAACTTTGTAACCCGACACCTGCATTATATTTCAGTGTTGGAGATCATGAGGTTTGGCCATGTGATATGGGCTCCCAGTAGATAGATCTGTGTTGATTTCTCTCTCTCTCTCTCTCTCTAATTCTTCTCTTCTTCACGCATCATAATTTCTGTTTACGTGCATATTTCTCGATTCTTAGACCGTATTCCCATATTCAGCCACATTTGCAAGCAAGTGATCCTCTACATCACACGTCACACTACCCAGGTCAAGTTAGAGTAAGCCTATAGACTGAAATTCAGGAGATGCTATCGTACGTATGATATCTCAGATAAAATCAAATCAACATTCACAGAACATATATTCTCTAGGAAGTTTGATAGATCAAGATCACCGACCTCGTGATTGACATTGACTTCGGGAGATATTTGACATTGCCATTCCACGTTTATAAACTTAGTTTGACTACCGAATTTCCCAATCGAGGATGGTGGGAGTCGCCCCGAGATCACGCTGGGCTAACAGTCACAGGAGACCTTGTCATTTTTTCGTTCTCGTTCTTCATTCTAGTTGCTCATGATTAGTTGTACCCAGGAGCAAAGGCTTTCAGATTGTCGCTCAAAGAATGCTACCAAAGGTAGCTTCAGTATCTTTGACGCTACCTACAAGTCCAGTCGCAGCGAGGATTGGGCATTCCCGTCGCAGCAAGCGGACACAAGAGAAGGCTCGAACCTCTCTACAAAGTACGGAGTACCAAATAGGTGTGTTCAATGACACAGACTCTTGCCCATCTTTTTCCAATACGAGGAGGCTGTCGATCACTACAGGGTCACATTTCTATTTAAATAAGCTGCAATTAAACCTATGTACGAGGCTCCTAGCAATTTTCTGGGTCAGTCGATTCAGGCCTGTAGTATATTTGACATTCTCAAATGGGAAGCGTAGGAGAAAGTAACCGCAGGGCAGCATACCGTGGTTGAAATTACATCCTCATTGGAGGCTGGTCTTCCCCCCTTCCCGTATTAAGGTTGCATTTACAGCTACCAAGCTGTGATGTACAGACCCACCACCGATTGCGGGTGGTGCGTCCAGGCACAATAGTGACCAATCAACTATGAGGACCAGGGGAATCGAACGCCCCTGGCGCACTCAAAAACCTTGATCGTACAACACTCGATCTATTTCTAGATTTGAGTTCAACGAGATAGAGCAGGGAAGAGTTTGAGGAGAACATGGGAGATGAATTCTTCTTCAACTATGTAGCTTTTTAGACAAGTCAGTGACGAGAATTAATTCATTCCTCAAGCCACTTACGCTGATGACTTTTGAAATTGAGCGGAGAATTCGATACCCACTTCTCAGCGATAGGTCTTCTTCGTTATCCGCCCCGTTTTCAGGTGGGCTGGCGGAGCGGAAGCCCTGGTGGTGGTGGGGCTTGACATTCCGGATTCCGAGATTGACATTCCTGAAAGCGTGCCGGCTCCACAGAGAACACACAGCATAGTATTAGCCGCGCATGCTGTATATTCCCAGATATTGGGAAATTCCACATGCGGAATCACATTCTCATCCATCAGTAGAAGTGATCCACGTCACTTCATCAAACAAGGGTCAAACGCCATACTATATAAGGGCAGTGCTTCAATCACCTCAGATAAACCATCAAGCTCATCATTTCCATTCTATCCTCCAATCATCAATCAATCTTTCCATCTCTCAAAATGCAGTTCTCTCTCTCCGCTATCTCGGCCCTCGCTGCCACCGCTACCGCCATGTCTCTCACTGAGTCCAACGCCCTCGGTGGTGCCAAGGCTCAGTGCGAGAGCGGCGACATCGCCTGCTGTGACTCTAAGGAGACTCTCTCCGGAGATGGCATCCTCGGTAACCTCCTTGCCAAGGGTGCCCTGAACGGTCTCCTCGGCAACGACGATGCCGCCTGCGCTAAGACCAGCGCTCTTGACGACCTCAACGTCCTTGGTATGTATTTGGGTTTCCGACGTACTTCGAGCAAATTATCTAACAGATCACAGCCCAAACCAAGGACACCAACGAGGGTCCCTCTTGCAAGAACATCATTGCCTGCTGCCCCTCCGGCTCCGGCAAGGTAAGCTTCCCCTTCATGTTAATATTTGCGATGACCGAGAGACTAACAAGTGCTTTCTAGTGCACTGCCCTCGACAACTAGATCAACTCTATTTGAGCAACTGGCATCCCTTCTACCAAAGGCCGCCCAGTATGTGACAAAACAGTTATTTGGATTTTGTGCTACCAGCACCTGTCGGATTATTGCCACGGAGTTCTATAGTTAATTAATATATGCTTCAACACCCTCGTTTCTGCATAGACATTCACCTCCACACGTAGAGTGAGAGGCTTAGTACTATAAGCCGTCACCTTGGCATGCATGGGCAATTTACGAGGCCCTGCAGTCATGAGATTGGAGCCAGATCACGGATATATCTGCGCTTGAGCATCGGAGGTCTCGTAGTTTGCATGTGAGCTGCATCTTTCTGAGCGAGCAAGAGAAAAGCTTGGGAGAGAGTCGCCCGTGACAAATGTGAGAAGCGCTCTGTGAATTTCAAATCTCTTTTAAATTTAGAACGTAAAAAATGCTCTTGGAATTGAAGTTCGCAGCGTTGCTTGACACCAAGTGGTACATGTGATAGCGATCAGCTTAGTTTATAATATATATGACCTTGCAGAGATCGCGTGTGGAATTGTAGCACCTGTCTCTACTAGGTGGGTTTGAGGCAGGGACAGTGCTTGATGGATTTCTACTAAGCCCTCTTTTATAATACTTAACAAGTGGTATTTTGAACCTGTAGAGCGTGTTTAGTCAACCCTTGTCTCTATATTAGATTCTATCTCCTACCTTTTATTCTCCAGAGGCCGAGTGGCTTGTCCAGTAGACGTGACTTTGCCAGGGGATACTTGAAAGAATGTCTTGAGAAGCCCCGAGCATGTATGAATAGTGGGTTAGGCAATGCTGAAGACCGGATAAAGCAGTTGAATTGAGATTTCTACAATCATGTTGGATCATGTGGAGATGGATGTGAGAAAATGAACAGAGTAACATGTCTGACTAGGGGGAGCTTTAGAGAGCAAGGCCGAATAACAAGCCCGAATCCGAAGGCACCAAGAAGCGCTAGAGGCGGTGTACGAAGAGTGGCAAAATCTGCTGCGGCCGTGCCGTGGACCAGCGCTGACTCGCCAAGTTTCTTGGACGGGATGAAGTCTCGCTCATTATCACCGTTTCTGTCTATGGCCTCACTTTCCTGGTTTCGATTTCCCTAAGCCCCAAGGGGATGTTATCGGGAAAAACAAGGTTTGCGAGATCGAAAGCATATATGCGTCTCATAAACAGAGTATTAAATCCAGGTGCATACCCGAACAGGGGTATCCCGGACACTTAGGGTTAGGGAATATTGAGGTCGGGTGAAACAGGTTTGCCATTTGGGGGCTATCTTGGAGGGGAGCGTGCACACGAGGACTCAGAGTGACCGAGTACTTTGTGAGTGGACATAACGTTCCATCGGCCCCCAATTAGGTAGTAGCATCCAGCCCGGCTGTGTATCTCTGGGGAGTGAGCGCCACGTGCCCCGAAACGTACGTCTTTCCATGGCTCGTCCTGGCGGGTGTCCGCTTCGGGACTAGCCCCCACGGCCGACCGTGTCAGACCGCGCGGGGTTGATAAAAATGAGTTCCTGTCCAATCAAATCACGCGGAAATAAGTGGGCCGTGGCTTGGGGGGCTTGGATGGCTTGGATGGCTTCGAAGTCTGTCCTAATCTCTTGGGAAATCCCTGCCTTTTAGGTCTCTTAGATTCTTCTTTCCGGCCTACTTGCACTTTCACCTTCTGCCACTATCAATCGAGAAATCTTGACCCTCATTTGGTCCAAGTATCCGTTGATCCTGGTACTTTTTGCCGTCTTACTCTGATAAACATTTCGTTGGTGCATCTTACCACACAACTTCACACACTTAAGTTGCTTCACGAGACTCTTGCGTACTCACTGCGACTGCTCTTTCTTCCCGAAAGACCCCCAACATTCTTCGCCTCCTCCCACTCATACGATCGCGCCAGCCCAACTCAACATCCATAGCAACAACATCGCTGCCCGCGACACACCCGGATCAGCCTCCAACCCAGACATCCCCTGTGCGACATACCCCATTGGGCGCCATTCTGCTGTAGAATACGACCCCGATCCCACTCCGAAAGAAACTCCATGCACCTTTGTTCCACAGACCGTTAAGCGACAACGAACACCAGCCCTGTGCAACTTCGCTCACCCGTCCCGCTCTTTCCTCGTACCCTCAACTAAACCTAGGACAGGAATGCCAACAGAATTACTATGATGGGAGACAAAGACAAAGAAACCGGTGGCGGCGTGCTGGGAACCCTTGGACTCAAGTCCGAGGGTCCCCGAGACGTACAGGAAGGTGTGATGGCATCTAATGCTGATAACCTCCAACGTCACCTTGGTAACCGTCAAATCCAACTTATTGCCATCGGTGGCTCCATCGGTACTGCCCTATTCGTGAGTATCGGCACGGGTCTTTACCATGGTGGTCCTGGTAGTCTGTTCATTGCCTTCACTGTCCAAAGCATCTTTTTAGCCATGGTTAATAACTGCCTTGCTGAGATGACTACTGCATTCCCTGTCAGTGGTGGTTTCATCCGACTGGCAGGTAAATGGGTTGATGATGCTCTCGGGTTTATGGTTGGGTGGAACTTTTTGTCGGTTTTCTTTTTGGCTGTGCCAATATCACCCCCTAATGTGTACTGACGCTGCAAATAGCTTCTACGAAGCACTCTTGATTCCTTTTGAGATCTCGGCTTTCACACTTGTGTTGTCATACTGGAGCAAGACCATCACCGAGCCTGGGCCGGTAGCTGGTATCTGTGCTGCAGTCATCATTATATATGGGTATTGCCACGCCTCACCCCCCTCCGTACCCTTAAGCCAAATGCTCACATTGTATGCAGTTCTCTCAACGTACTGGCCGTGAAAGCCTACGGTGAAGCCGAGTTTTGGCTCTCCGGTGGCAAGGTCATATTGATCTTCTCCCTGTTCTTTTTCACATTCATCACTATGGTCGGTGGTAACCCGGCCCATGATGCCTACGGATTCCGTCACTGGAACAATCCGGGGTCCTTCATGGAATACCTAGACGGCGGGGCTCTCGGTCGGTTTGAAGGCTTCCTGGGATCCCTATGGTCAGCCTGCTTTGCCGTTGTCGGACCAGAATACATCTCGATGGTCGCTGCCGAGGCCAAGCGTCCTCGCACCTACATCAAAAATGCCTTCAAAACCGTCTACATTCGATTCGGTCTTTTCTTCATCGGTGGTGCTCTTGCAGTGGGCATTGTTTGCTCCGCTCGGGACCCGGCATTGAAAGATGTGGTCGAAGGCAGCGCAGACAGTACTTCAGCTTCTGCATCTCCTTATGTCATTGGCATGTCAAACCTCGGTGTCACAATCTTCCCACACATTATCAATGCGTGAGTCTCTTCGAATAATTAATTCCCCGCCAGTATAAAACTAACATTTCGACAGGTTGCTGCTGACTTCAATCTTCTCCGCCGGCAATACATACACGTACTGTGCCATCCGTACCCTATATGGCTTGGCTCTGGAAGGAAGAGCTCCTCGAATCCTGACCCATACCACCCGCCAAGGCGTGCCTATCTACTGCTTTGGTATAGTGATGATCTTCCCGATTCTCTCTTTCCTGCAGTGTTCGAGCAGCTCGTCCGTCGTGATCACCTGGTTTGCCAGTCTTGTCACCGCTGGAGGTAAGACAATCGTATCCGCCATCGAACAAACCATATAGAAGATGCTAACAATGCCAACAGGATTGATTAATTATATCGTCATCACCATCACATACATCTGTTTCCACCGCGCCTGCAAGGTGCAAGGTGTCGACCGCCGATCCTTCTCCTACTTCGCTTGGCTTCAGCCTCACTGCGCCTGGATTTCATTGGTCTGGATGATCATTGTCACTTGCGTATACGGATACCCATCTTACAAGCCATGGAGCCTGTCCACGTTCTGGTCCAGTTACACTATGCAAATCGTCATTCCACCTCTGTTCATCATCTGGAAGGTTATCAAGAGGACAAAATTCGTTCGCTCTCATGAAGCAGATCTAGTCTGGGAACGACCTTTGATTGATGCCTATGAGGACAGTTTCCTAGAGCCCCCCACCGGGTTCTGGAGGGAGATGCTGCAGCTGGTCGGCATCGGACGGTCACGTAGCGATGACGCGAGGAGGCATTCCGTCGCTCCTGTGTCCTCCAATGAGCCTTCCAAGGCATAGGAACATTCGTGCCAGCAATTATTATGAACCATATGATACCATCGCCAAAGGCTTCAGGAAATGGCTGGCAGAGACTGGCTTTTCTTTCATTGGCCTTTTTTTCATGTCTTTATATTTACCCAATATGTTAAATACACTCAGACAATCACCTTGATAGCATCTCTTACTCTTTTGAGATGAAGTTTGTGATACCAGATATGAATAAGATTGAATCGAACCAGGGTGTCTGAAAATAAAATCTAACAACGGATCTATCATGCAGTCTAGGCCATTACCAGCTCGCACACCTTCACGAGTCTGGAGCAGATGGGGGTGCCCCTGGGGCCGCGCGTGGCATCGTCTTCGTCGGTCGTTGAACTTTGGACTGCTGGCCACTCGCTCTCTTGGTGCCTGTTTTGGTATTCAGCTTAATGGCCGCGGTATATGTGTCTGGTAATGTTGGAGGGTTATTTGCGAGATCCAAAACCGGTATAGCGTTCATGAGATCAGCCGTTGTGTTGGCTAGATAAAAGAGTCGTTGCGCATCAGGTGCTGTTGCTGTATACATCAAATCACGCAAGATCGGACCATCTAGTCTTGGTACACTCTTAGGTGTCCAGGTCCCTTCATTGATGGCACAAGGGACTCTAGTCCAGGCAGTCATCCTTTGGCGATCTTGGTCAAGGATCGTTACCTCGATTTCGATGGTGTCCCTGATTCGAAATTCTCCATTCGAGCTTCTAGCTCGATGTTGACCGAGAATTGGGGGCTTGTATTCTTCATCGTTTGCATATGAGCCCATGATCGTTTCAATGTCATCCCGGTATATTCCCATCATACTGCAACCCGTGTCGTGGATGAAATCCAACTCCGCAAACCACGGGACATTGGGAACGCGAATTGCCAGTTTCAGCTAGAAATCGAAAGGTTAGACACGGTATCCAGAGAAAAAGCTTCTTAAAAAAAACGTTTTGCTTACCCCGGTCATCCTCTTCTGATGCGGTGAAAACCCTAACGTCAATGAGGTATAAACTTGTTCAGGTCCAGGCCCATAAAGCTAAAGAGAGAATAAGCATTGTGCCCAAAGGCAGACTTCACGAATGGTTTGAGCTTTTCGTCACGCACCCCTTCTGTCCAAAATGTTCCATCTTTTTGGTATTTAGAGTTGATTGTTTCAAACTCATCCCAATCAAATGCTCTTGGTTCACAAATTTGGACTCCGTTTGACCAGTACGTGACTGATCCAGGAGTCCATATAAGCTTCTTTGATCTATAAGCCTCCAAGATAGAATTAATGTTCCGCACTTGCTTCAACGGACCACGGGTACTACTCAGATCTTTTTCATAGCTTCCAATTCATGCAGTCTTTCAATCACGTCCTGGTCAAGCTCTTGTGACTGTGGGAACTTCTCACATTCTATCATCCGGATTTCTCTATTAACGATAAGTCAGTGTGATGAAGAGTACGGACAAGAGATACCATAGGCTCAATCGTTGGGGGAGAGTGAGAAAATATGGAGATAGAGCTTCGATCTGTCAGATATTCTGAGCGGAGCAACGATCAAGCTCTCAGGCATAGGGATTGTTTCCGGTAGGAGGCTGAAAACCTCAGTTCTCGAGCTCATGGGTTATGGTACTTACTCATTCTCCTCTTTTGCTAAAGTGTATGCCCTTAGTCTTTGTCGAAAGATATTCGGCATGATATTTTCCGCGATGCGCTCATGGCACCTCTTGATCTGACCTTCTATATCACTATTCACCCAATAAGTGCGTGCTCAGTCCACAGTTCACCTGGCTCAGACTTACTCAATCTCAAGATCATTCTCGTTCATATGCCAGCCTTTTGGAAGCTTGGATGGATCCGTCAGTGGCTTTCTCTTGGCCCATTTGGTCCAACTCTTCCGTCTCTGCTGAGTTTTCTGCTTTCTAGAAAATTGATTATTCCCGACATAGGGTGTAGCAAGATCTAGCTCCTCTAGAATGACTGGGACTCGGGCGATTTGATCTTTTGGCGAGCCATTCCAAGACTGCGACTTCAGTTTACTGACGCGAGTACTTCGGCGGAGATTGTATTTTCCTGCCATGTTGAGGAATTTTTTGCAAGCAGGCTGACTCGTATCGAATGCTTCGCATGGAGCGAAGAGACTCCATCTCGATATGAATACTTGCTAGACAAAGAGACACGATATGATAAAAATAGAATACTTGATGGGAGGGCTATTCACAGCAATGATGAATGACAAAGAACACATCTTTTGCAAGCGTGTGACATGCTGATATTATACGCCAATTGTATCTATTAACTAGTGGGATATACACAACAAAGAATGTTTACAATATGAGTGAAAGACTCTGCATTGGTTTCAAGGCAGAGGTCAAAGGGAGCATGGGCCTTGGTAAGCCTCATCTCAAAGGGATAATCACGACCAAAATTTTAATAGAAAGAAGAGGCAACAGATACATCTTGATCCATGCTCTGCTTGTCTGGACAGAAAGCAATAGGGAAGACATGGTTTCCATCGAAACGAGAGTTTGGCTTTGGGTCAGCAGGAAGAGTCTTTGTTGTGGGGACAGCAATCTCAGCTCGGGCATTTTGTATGCTGAACTAGTTATCCTGTGTTACCCTTTTGTGAACATGTTCAAGTGAGAATAGTGATATGGCACTGTTTGCATATCGGGGTGTTATAATGACCTCCTCTCGAACCATGGGATCGAGGACGAGACAAGAGAAACGGAAAAGCAAGGCATAAGAACAGGACACTTGGCTACTGTATCAGATGACTATTTTGCTACGCGGTGGATTTGAGGATAACCCATACGGAGTAATCAGACACCGAGTTAGCCTTTGTTTGGCTGCTACCCTCAACTTGCACCCTTCAACCCAGGCTTGGCAGGGGCCTCAAAGAGAACTTACATCGACACTTCCCAGAAGACCACGATTAATAACACATCGTGGATAGCGATTTCACTGAAGATTATTTACCTAGTATACTCCGCATACTCCGTATAATTAGTGGAACCTGAAGTACAAGAAAATGCGGGGATTTTGGCACTGAGTCACGCCATACCAGCCATGTTCACGTGTCGGACAATCATTGGTATGGTGAAATCGTTGATTCTATGGTGCTATTGGAAAGGTGAGCACGTAACAAAACATCTCTCTTGTTGCATTTGCTCAGTATATCCTCCGTACCCCGCTTGTGATGTTGGAGACGCTTGGCTTCTAGGCCTCGGCGCCTGTCCATAGATTGACATTTACTACAATGACACTGAGTTGGTTACCAAGTCGCAAATATTGAAGCCTGGAATATACCTACTTTGCCATTCAAATCGGACGAAAAATGAGGTTCGAGTATCCTGTTTAGGATTGATATCCAAAAGTTTACAACTTGCTGATCTTCGTCGGTGGGCATGATTGCGCACCAACTATACAATGCCCATACGTGATTGTGAGGTGGAATCACGCGAAATCTTTCGAGTCATCATGACTTCGTTTTAAAGCCGCGGGTGCACCCATCTTGTTGAGGAATTGTATCCTTTGATTCTCACAGCCTTTCGCATTCAAGTTCCTCACATATTCAGCATGGCACCCTCTATCATCGAAGGACCAGTCAACGGGGTCATTGCACCTCTCAAGAGTACCCTTGGAGGGAACTCTACGCAGCCCACAATCAGAAGAACTATCGACGAGGAGGGAGGGAAGACCACTGCTAGTGTATGTCCCAAGATCACACCCACATGCTGTACCTCAAGGTCATCTTCTAACACCAGCTAGTATCCTGAATATCTTCCAGTCTTCGACTATACCGAGAAGTACCCTCCACTGGAGCCCTTCACCCACACCGAGCACGGCACGGCCGCAGATGCGTCTTTCAAAGACCTCTTGGTCGAAGGATCCAAGATACAGAAACTCACACCCACCATCGGTTCAGAGGTCAATGGCGTGCAACTAAGCAAGCTCACTGATGCCGGGAAAGACCAGCTCGCTCTTCTCGTCGCACAACGTAAAGTGGTTGCATTCAGAGACCAAGACTTCGCCGACTTGCCGATCGCAGATGCCTTGGACTTTGGAGGGTATTTCGGTCGTCATCACATTCATCCAACCAGCGGGGCGCCGGAGGGATACCCCGAGATTCATCTCGTTCATCGCAATGATACTTCCTTGAAGTATGAGAATGTCAACAGCACTGTGGCTTGGCATTCGGACGTTACCTATGAGCAGCAGCCACCGGGTACCACGTTCCTATATATTCTCGACGGCCCCGAGGTCGGCGGTGATACCATCTTCGTCGATCAAGTCGAAGCGTATAAGCGACTCTCGCCGCCAATTCAGGAGCTACTCCACGGACTCAAGGCTGTGCATTCCGGGTTCGAGCAAGCAGACTTTAGCCTGAAGCGTGGAGGAGTGGTGAGAAGGGAACCAGTGAAGAACGAACATCCTTTGATTCGGACACACCCTGCCACAGGAGAGAAGGCGTTGTTTGTGAATGGAGGCTGTGAGTCCATCTCTTTGATGCTTCGCGGCGACCAAGCTAACGATAGAACCAGTCACACGCAGCATTGTCGGTTTGAAGAAAGAAGAGAGTGACGCGCTGCTGACTTTCCTTCTGGCTCATGTCGGGCGTGGTATCGACTACCAAGCTCGTATCCGATGGGCTCCGAAGACTGTTGTTGTGTGGGATGTGAGTGATCTCCTATAGCCCAATACAGAGCCGATTAGTGCTAACAACTGGATAGAACCGAGTCACTGCTCATTCAGCGGTTGTCGATTGGGTCACTGGTGAGCGCCGGCATCTTGCCCGTATAACTCCTCAGGCCGAGCGCCCCTATGAGACTCCATACGTCCCACAAGAGGAGGCATAGCCTATAGGTTGTGTTTCGATATAATACAAAGGATTCTCATACCATGAATGTGCTTAAATAGCTTGAGGCTGAAAAGATAACTCGACATGAATGAATCATTCAAGCGTAACTTCGCGGTTCTCAAGTCCAAGGGCCAAGGGGTAAACCATGAACCCACTGAGGCAGCTAAGCCATATTGGGATTGTGCTGTTTGGCCGCTAATCCACCGCCATGATCACATGACCCCGAAACAGCGGCCGAGTGCTCCAATCCAAAAGGCGCTAGCGGGCTATCGCTCGTTCTGCCGAAAGGGGTTCGCTTAGCTTGCTTTGATTGGAGACTGGTCAAGAAAAATTCACGTCATTGCCAAGTTTTCTGTTTATATCATGTCCAGTTGGCACTATCTAGATCTTCTGTTTTTTTGTTTTTTTTTTTTCATAGTGAGAGCTAGATAATTATTGAGACTATCCAGAAGTTCTAATTGGTCCTCCCAGGGAAAGGGAACCTGCAATACCTCGAACAATCGGCCATGACTGTCATGCAGCCGCTTGATTTGCTTGTTGCAGTCCCTGAAATTTGCCATGATCAGTCTGAGCGCCATGGTGAAAACAAGACTGAACCCAATGAGTTCAGCGGGCAAATCTGAAATCAATTCTATTGCGCCGAGTCAGTATTTGATGCGGAGTATGCTGCAATGATGTCTTCGCTGGGGTTCCATACCTTTTGTTTGTCAAAACGGGATTTTCACGGAGGTAAAGCTCTCGCTGCTCGCTCGTCATGGCATTCCATTTCGTAGCATTCCTCCTATTTTGAAGTTAGCAGTGTCACCATGTATGTATGACCCAAAGGCAATACTGACTTATTCCACCAGTCGTAGTAAAACTTGGCCGCGATGAAAAGAAATCCGCTGACGATAGCCAAAGCAATAAGGACTTTGTTTCCCTGTTTGTAGTATGGTCCATCCTTAGCTTGATAAACCTGCGTGGCGGTATTAGCATTCCTGAGCCCAAAATGATCACCAGTTGTGAACCCAGAGATCGATACTCACATTGGCTCCTGCGATGCTGCTTATTTGTACAGACATGTTGTAAAGAGCAGAAGCAACTGTACGTGTCCGGACAGATCCCGCATTACGCGAAGTCAAAGCCACGACGACGGGATGGATACTAGGCCCTCCGACAAGAATCGTGAGAATAGCCCATCGTGGCCAAGGCATTGTTTTCTCAGGAAGAACTTCCAATGCTATGAGCAGTGCAAGGTTCCAGAGCTCTACTGAGGCTCCCCATAGCAAGCGTTGATTGGTACGCTCCGCTAGCCATGTAATGGATAGCATGGTGATTATGCTCACGATCGCGGAAGGAATAACTAGCAAATTTGTTTGAAATGTTGTGAAGCCCTGTGATCGTAGTTGAAGAGTCAGGTAGTTAGCGGCAGGAGTGGTAGGGATCATCCAAATCAGCCCAAGAGCATAAATCGGCCACATGTGATAGTCTTTGAGTGATTCCCAGAAGCGCTTCGGTGTCAAAGCTTGTCGGTTGTGCATTGTACCCTTGCTGGGATCATCCCTAATCACTCGGTTCACAATGATCTTCTCTTCGTGTTCTGTGAACCATCCGTTCTTCCCGCGGAGTCCACCTTTTGTTTGTACTGGAGAGGCAGGCATCCAGAATGCGGCGATAATTCCGATGACTCCAGTGATCAAACCCTCGTAGGCGAACAGGTATCGCCAAGAGCCACCGCCATTGGAGTCTGTGATGTGGAGGAAACCAAATGCCAAGAACGAACCAATGATCCCGGCAATTGTATAGGAAATCCAAAAGCAGGTCAAACGTTTTGGAAGTTCACTGGATTTATAAAAGAATGAGAGGAACAAAATTGTGTCGGGGATGCTGTCGAATAGTCAGCTAAAAATTTCTTAGGCGATGCGCAGTTGGAGAACTTACAACCCGCCTTCCAAAAGTCCTAACAAAGCACGAAGAGCCAAATATGATCCTCGACCCTTCAAAAAGGCTTGACAGGCAGCGATCAGACTCCACGATACCATTTGAATGGGAATCCAGCGATCTGGTCCCAGTCTTTTTGACAGTAACTGTGAGGGCATTTCAGCCACCAGAAAGCAGACCAAGAAGATCGTTTGCCCCAGATTGTAATCATTGCTTGTCATGTTCAAGTCTTGCAACAAAGTGCTTGACAAGGCCTGGCCGATGTTACCTCGATCAAGCTGCAAGGCAAAGAAGGTCACACATGCAAATGTACAGACACGGAAATCAATCTTAGGAAGGTTAGATCATTTGGCGCTATGCATCGACAGGAACGTTGAATTACCTTTCGGACAATTTTCTTTTCTTCATCGTCTGTCCATTGAAAGTCGGGGTCCCATCGGTGAAGTCCTTCATAACTATCGATGGGTCGGTAGAAATGGTGACCCTCAGCAGCATCAAATGTTCCTCCATTGCCAGCAGTACCAGTCTTCTGCCATTCTCTGTCTGATTCATCTTGTATACTGGCACCTGAAGAGTCTTTTTCATTGGCAGATATCTGCGCAGCCTTTGTCTCTTCGGGAAACATTGTCGGAGGGCGCAAAACTCAACAGCTGTGAGGTGCTGGTAGAAAAGAAGTAAACGAGCTCAAAGCTATACATTCGCATCAATGCGCCATGTTTTTATAATTCCCAACAGGAGCCCAGAGACTGATAGCCGATCTCGCACATGAGAAGGTCACGCAATTCATGCCCGCAAAGGCTTGCGACAGCCACATTTTGTGTCGGCAATGATGAACTTCGCTCATGTTCAAAAGGGCTAGCCACGAACGGACCTGCGCTCAATACCAGCAAATCAGGATCATAGCATATCGAAACAGCGGTAGTTGGGGGAAGTCGATCTCATTGCTCGAGTATCCTTGCAGTATCTCTAGGGGCGGGGTCAACGCTCTAAGCGACTCGCATCATCCCGGGCTGAACGACGCAATCGTGAGGTGCGGCATCGCTTTTCAGATTGATGTTGATTGAAATGCTTTCTGGCTCTTGATGTTAAATTAGCAAATGTTTCTAGCAATCTCAGCAGGGTATGAATAGTTTGTGAATTACCTTGACCTGATGGGATCACTGATCACTCGGACTAGGGTTAGAAGTAACACTTCATGTCAGTCAAATCCTCCGACTACACATGTGCCGAGTGCGATGCCCGGAGGTGCCCGAAGCTAGTTGCAAGCTTATGTATAGTGATGACTGGGGCTAATCTCTCGACCAAGGAAAAACTGTACTCTCGCAATTTCCAAGGTTTGAATCGAGATAAGTGCCATCCAACAGGCTACTCGATGATCAAAGAACGTTATAAATTCGTATTTGTCAGTTTGGGCACTCGGAACGATATAACGTGACGTACTTGTGTTTCGGTTTCTTTTCATTGTAAGTGCTGTCCTTCAACCCCAACTTGGCCCCTGTGGTATACTGCATTTCCAAACAGAGGTCGCCATGAGTAGAATTTTCGACTTATTGCAAGTTCAATGCTGAGCTTTTAAAGCTCTGGGATAACAATGGCAAGTTCGTGGACGATGTTAATAATGTTTATTACTTATTATCACCGAAGGCTTTTCAAGACTCTCGTGTGATGAAGCCGCTGTGATCATTGTTTCCCGCACGACCCGCGTTAAATTGCTCTTTGGAAACTTTGGTTCCTTCCGTAGTTCCTAAGGTTGTTCAAGCTCTTCTTCGCGTGGGAGGTGACAGCTCTGAGAATGTCAACAACGAGCTTAATCAAGTATTCGGAAATTCGGAAGAAAAACCGTGATACTTTAGAGAATTGTTCGTAGGGTTGAAATGCAACCCGGGTGATTTCATACTAGAAGGCGGCTCAATTTGGTAATAATAATATTAGTTAATGATGATTGAATAGTTAATAGTTGGTTCCCATTTGCGCACTGAACTGACTGATAATAATGTTTTCCTCCCCTTGAACCGACCGCTGATAAGCATATTATTGATCGGAATAAAATGATTTCCATATTCCATGCATTGTATCAAATATCTCAAATCTCGTACTCAATGTTGCATAGCTCAAGTTGATTCTTCTCGTAGAATCCCTCCCTGCCGAGGAGGCCCTGCTCAGTCTTCCTCTTGCAATTCTGACGCGCTCAGAGAAGGAAAATGTTCAAGAGCTCGGGGCAGGGCACCAATCGCTGTAACCGTTCTGGTTGTTTCCCCACCACAGAGGGAAGGGATGCGGAGCAGTTCCCACACCCATAACAGCAAAAGTCAAAATGAAGATGCAGATGCCGCTGCCCGCGTCAAGTGCAAGCGCAAGAATCCACAGGTAGTCTCTGAAGAAAGCGGGACGGTAATTCCGAAGATAATACTGGGCAAAGAAACCAAGAGCGGTGGAGGTGAGTAAATTGCCAGTCCGTGGCGAAATGTCCGGAATGGAAGCAGAATATTGAATCAACTGAGGCAGATTGATCTCGGATAGATCAAATTTGCCGACTTTGGGGATGAACTTCAAGAACAGAGTTGGTTAGCTTTTCACTCAGGAAGATCAATCGATTTTGACTTACGTGGTAGATCAAACGGTGGACAAGGACTGCTGCTGCTCCGATGACCATGCCGATTGGTACCATCTCGTAGCGAGCACCAGATTTGTACATGTGAGGAGCCAACGCCCATGACGCTGCCTTGGTGTTGTAAGATTGCACTACGGCACCCGACCAAAAGCTGTTCCCGTTTCCCTCAATGAGCAAATCTCGGTGGCTGCTAACGATGTAGTTCATGATCACGTAGTTGATAGCGGCTCCGAGCATGCATCCATAGATCTGACATGCTAGAACCACTTTCGGTGGTATCTTCACTATTGAATGGGTGAGTCATTGTTCGTGTGCAGGTGGGATCATTGATTTTGGAATAACTCACAATAGTCCCCCATCTTGAAAGAACCACACAGGTCGCAAGCGCAAGTGACGACGTTATGCGACCAGATCGAGAAATACATATTCCCAACGGGTAGTCCTGGAAGTATCAGCCCAGCCAGCATTTTTGAGACATTATTGGTGGCAATCCCATTCCCAAATCGAGAGAAGAGGATTGTGCTCTTTGAATTCCAGTTAGTTTGGGTTCAAGATCGTGTCAAAAGCGACTCACGAAGATTGCAATGACCATCCCGATCAACAACGCGACGACATATCCCCAAGCAGGGAGAGTGATGTCTTCCTTCACAACCACGACGATGCCAATGATGAAACTCAGAACCGCGATACAGATGTACCACCACCATGGCGAGTCCTTGTAATTCTTTGCCATGTACGCATGGTGTGGTTCTCTGAACTCACCCTTCATCGAAAGCCGCCATGTCTGCCAGACATCTTTGCCCCAGAAGAGGAAAACGTGGAGGATCAATGCACCAATCTGAAAGAAAAACGTGTTAGTGACTGCTGCTCAAATGTGTATAATGGAAACATACTGCCGCATTCGCCATGAGCATGCTGTAAGCAAATGTCCCTGTCAGGCGAGGAATACCATGCTTTTCAAGCAGCGCTTCATCAAGGTGGCCACCAGGAAAGATTTCTTTGACGGGATACACATGTCCATTGTCAGTGCGAAGGTTGGTTGACATGAATGGCAGTGATAACGAGCCCCATACGTCTCCATAATAGATTCCGATCATGACGATCGAGCAAATACCAATACCGATCGCCATTGGGAGTTGTAATTTCAACGGAAAGGTCACAGAGCCGGATTGGAGCTGTAGACTAGTCAGGTTGCCGTCCTATAGTGCTGTGCTGCTTTTTTTTTTTTTAAAAAACAACTCACATATTGCCAATCGAAGCAGAGAGAGAAAAGCCCAAGACCTTCGTTATTGGTGGATCCACCGAACAAATTCGTAAGCACTGAGGCTGTGTATCCAGTAGCCTTTTGGGATGCCAGACACTAGAGATATGAGTCAGTGGAATTCAAAGGAGAGCGAGATTGGTATCTCGTAAGCCAGAACGAACCGGGATCGAGACTCCATTGAGCCACGGAAACATGTATCCAGGAATGATCTGGTAGATCATCATTCCCCCAACCGCATACCAGAAAGTCCTCAGTTGGCGAGAGTCATTGATGTGCTTCCAGTGAAGATCCTGCATCGATTTCACAAGTGGGAGGTTGCCCCAGTACACACATTCAGGGTGCCACACGGCGATTGGCCGAAGGATTCCGGCAATGCCATACCCGAAGAGACCGATGGAGATTGTGGAAAGGACAATCGTTGTCGCGCTGAGAGGAAGGTTGTAGAAAAGTTTCTGGGCTGCGAATGTTATCGAAACGCCACTGTTATCTCCACATGCATTGGCACACAAGACAATGACCGCGTGTTCCTTCAACTTGAAGGGACCAGGATTCAAGAAACCGATGAATTTGATCCAGAGAGGAAGCTTTCCTTCGCCACCTCGAGCCTTCCATCGGGTCTCGAGCTTAGCAGCACTGGGCAGAAATCTGGCCCAAGCGTTACCGATGAAGTATGACAGAATCAGAGTCAGTCCTGTCGAAACACTACCACCGGAGGGTTTGAACTAAAACAACAGGCTATTAGTTTGGTCGGAAGACAGGGCGGGCGTTTTGGTGAAAAGAACTCACATTGAAGATCTGGCTGAGAGCAGCCGTGAAGGCAATAAATCCGGTTGCCAGGAAGAAGCTCCGGAAGTTGATTGCAGTATCATGATCATCCTGCATTGAGATCAGGTGTGCAGAAACATCGGCGCCGGTAACAATGATGGCAGCGTCAACCTCAGTATCTTCATCGGTCGCCTCACGCTCGACGAGGTTAGTCTCATCTTTGGTATCCTTGAGGTCTGCGAGGGTGACGAGTGGTGTTCCAGACTTCTCATTGTCAGTAGTGATGCTGGGCTCAACGACTCCGATGCCTTGAGGGCTTGCGGAGATGGGGCTCGACATAATCGCGCGAGTGACTGAAAATGAGTTGCTGCAAGCTGCAAACCACCACAATTGCGAAGATGAAGCACTTGGGGAAATGTCTGAGGGTGACAGAAGAGATGACGAGGAGAAAAGAAAGAGTGAAGATGATGGGGGAAGTTCACAGCGATGTGCTCGCAATCTCGATGATGCGATGGCAGTGGCACCCGCGGTGACTACCGCATGTGTCAACACTTCCCACCGTCACATTGTGGTCACACAGCTCTTCTTGTATCATGTTGATACAAGCTGAGCTGAATTTGTCACTTAGCCGACAGCATAAAATCCCCTTCTAGAAGTTGCTGGTTCTTTTCATGTACCATGTGGTCCAGGAAGATAGCCCGGGCAGGTCTTTCCACGCTCTTTAGAGCTCGGGGTATAGCCCTCAGAAGTTTGCAAGCGTTTCTTTGGCATGAGAACGCTGGTTCCTCTGTAGTAGTCTTTTCCATAAATGCTGTATTTGGATGTAGTGGGTTAATATTCAACGTTAATATTCAACGTAACTGTCTCCCGTTATACTCAATGTACACTGCAACACGGCGAATACTGTATACCCATACCCACATGTTATTGCTATCTCGATCTTGGATCTATTTCAAATGCTAGACTAGACCGGATGTTTAAGATCACGTTGCCTTGTCGGTAACTAATACTCCGGTGCTTTTTCAGTCGACATCATTGTTGTGCCGAGAGCGACCTCGGGACGCCTCGGACAATCGTGGCCGGTCAGTAAGCATTGCAACCCACTAGATTCAATAGGAGCTATACTGGATCCTCAATATCCAAAGTTGCTCTAAGGATACTTTCAATCCCGATGGGATAACAGAGTTCCAAGGTTGAGCTGCTACCATCGAGCCAAGCGCTTCGTTTATCTCTGGCGTCCACCTACAATTAGGGTCCAGAGATAGATCGAAACCGAACTGGAAATTTAGAGCGCATTTACTCCGAAATCAAATAAAAATATACTGCTTCGAGGACAAAATGAATGGGAAATCAAAGAAAGCGCGAACGTTGGCATCTGCGCGTTGTGTGTTTGCATTCTGCTGTTTGTTTGGTTCGCACTGTATGCATGTGGGTCTCGGTGATGTCATCATTGAGGCCAGTACACACTTGTACTAACTATGCTTCCTAAGGATCTGCCTTGTCTTGTTGACTTAGCACGTGCGTCCGAAATAGCACTCGAATGCCACAGAGGGAAGCTGAATAGCACACGTGATGATGTTGTACGGAGCATAGGAGAGCCATTTATCACTGTTGCTTCCCGAGGCCATTTCACCTATGCAAGTATCCGCGGGTGGAGACACTTTTTGCTGAATGATATCGCCAATTTGAGTAGATTAAGTTCAATCTCAGCGACCGCAATTAGCTCTTGCGACTTCCTCGCGTTGGGACTTCCGGGTAATTCTTTGTTTCGGAGATTTCGGCGGAACCGGCAGGACCCAAGTTTCTTTGAACATAATCGACCTACCAGAGTTCACAGTGAATATTTGTCCTGTCCTCATAATCCACCAATCCCACGAAAGAACGACTTTGTTTTTCCATGGAAACGACTGCCCGGGGAGACTGAGCCCGACGGGTAGGAACCCACGTGGTAGACACCTGTGCATATTGCAAAACGCAGATCCATCAAAATTGAATATATTGAACGATTGATCAATGTTGCGCATAACCTTGGAAACCTTGGAATACTGTAATCCCGATTCCAAGGTTCTTTCAAAGCTGTATCGATCCTGGTCTCGAACTTCTGCACATAATAAGATCTCCACTTCATTGATACGATTTTCAGATTGAAGGGTTGGTTCAAAGCCAGAGTAGACTTGATGGTCTGGACTACTGCCCTGGATGTTATGGCCTATCAAGAGCAACACAAGTGGCATGGGTATCGTCAGTTTATCGTATACGGCAACACCAAGCTTACCATCGCTTCGTTGTGTCCCTGATTCGCTCTATCAATGAGTATCAAGTGGCGCTTTTGTTGAAGTCCGAGCTCCCAGCAGACGTGAGTTGTGGCGAGTATGGTTCGCCAAGCAAATGATCTTCCTCCAGCACCATGCTCAAAGAGCCTACCAAGTTTTCTTCGGTATACTGGCCATACTAAATGCAGCCACAGCGCCTCAGTGAGGGGTTGCACCACAATAGATCATGAAATCAACAAAGAGATTCCTTGGGTCTTGGGAAAGAGGAATTTTGATGACTATATCTTATAGCTCTTTTCTGAACTTGCTGTTTTCACCTTGAGTCCGAAAATCTTCGACTAACGATGGCAGAGTTCGATGATCAGCGCAGTAGAATCCCAGAGAATGTGTTTTTAGTTAGTCCCAAAGATCTTCGTTCCAAACTATGCTAACCGTATTCTGATAGGGAGTACTATGGGCACTCACGGCCATCTCATTTTTCTCCGTCTTGTTCCGGGTATACGTCCAACTCGCTTCATTTCATCGACTTCTCATAGATGACTTCCTTGTCATATCGGCATGGATAATCATTCTTAGTGCCGACATTATTTGGCAGGTGAAGGGCAAGATTCTCTATGAGCTGTACGCAATCAGTGCTGGTGAGAAGCCATTCTCCCTCGACTTTCTGCCAAGATACAACGTCTTCATGCGCTACAACGCACCGTTCCAGATCTTGTTCTATACTGGATTATGGTGTATTAAGTTCTCCTTCATGGCTTTCTTCTACCGATTGTGTTCCAAGGTGAAGGCGTTCCGCATTTGGTGGTTCGTTGTGTTCTTCTGCACTGCTAGCGTTTACATCGCCTGCATTGGTGACATCGAATACAAATGCAGCCTGGGTGGTATTGAATACATCATCAGTAAGATCTGTCCCAGTGCTTTTTTGCCGAAGAGAAAAGCTAATTAATTGACATGAAAATAGCACAATGCCCGCAGCTCCACCATATTCACTACGAAAATCGTAGTTTCTGGGCCAACGCTGCGGGCGATATTGTCACAGACCTAATGAGTGAGTGTGAAATACTTCTATGGCTATTTTGATGTTCTAACCATTTTTAGTTCTTTCGATTCCGTTTTTGGTGTTGTGGAACACTAAGATTTCACGCCGCAAGAAGCTCATTCTCCTCAGCATGTTCTCAGCAACACTGGTCATCATGGTCAGTGCCGTAATCCGAGTTGCCGTCGGGATGGAATACGATCGGCAAATCAACATTGACTGGTTGTGTTTTTGGAGCTTTGTCGAAGTCGACATTGGTATGTCATACATCATCATCTGTACACTGATCTAGGTCACTAATGAATTCTAGCAATCATCGTATCATGCGTACCATCTTTGCGACAACTGTTCATCACAACGCAGAATCAGAACTCGTCTGCTAAAGGCTCTTATCCGAACACCTATGAGCCCATGCTCAAGAAGTCGAAAGAGGCGTCTGCTCAGGACAAGTCGACTTCTGTTGGCGACGTTGAGTCACCAGTTGACGAGGTGCCTATGTCACCATTGAGTATCGTACATGTTCGTAACGATTATGAAGTGACTCGTGATGCTCCTAACGCGTCGCGGGAGCACTCAAGGCCTGACAAAACACACATGACCTTTGACTAAAGCGTGGACTTGCCTCTGCTCCACGAGGAAGCTTGGCATGAAGCCACATTTAAAACCTCTCATAAGGGCAGACTCGGTAAAACTTGTTTAAATGAGACGATCGAGTTCTATTATATAGATATTTCTTGAATTTGACACGCGCTCCGTCTTCCACTCGCACTCTGCACACTTGGGCACCCTTTGATATGCCACTGGGAAATGCCAGGCTTAACTTGTAACATCCATTAAGAGGGCAAATGATCCGGCAAATCTTCGTGTCTCCATTCTTTTGGGTCAAGTCTATGAAATATCGGCAGAGTCGGCGTAGTTAACCTTTTGGACATCGACCGAGTCGGCAGTCCAGGTGATGCCGTTGTCGGAGGAAGTCAAGCCACCGGCAGTGAAAGTCTCACCGAACTTGGTATCGGCCTTGTTCAAAGTAATGGTCAAGTTCTTGACGTCTAAGGGCGCAATGTCATTAGCTAAACTGAGCCCAATGGCAATTCCTAGGACAGTGTCGATGGAAACTTACACCAGGTGTTGACGGTACCACAGCTACCAGAGCCGGTGTAGCACTCGTCAGTAGACATGATGTACTTCAAGGGCGAGTCAAGAGCTGCAATGTTCGTTAGTCAATTTTGTGACTGGGTCGCTTTAGTCTTAACTTACCATCAGTCTCCTTGGAGATTTCCTTTCCATTCATGTTGACGGTCTGAGTGACCTTGTTGTTGGCAACGGCGACTGGTTATTGTCAGCAAATGGCACGATGAAAGTGTTAATCGCGAAGAGTGCGTGGGTTGCATCCAAACATACTCTCGAAATCGACCGCAGTGTCCTTGGGAACAGTGATGTACTCCTGGCCAAGTTGGCCGTCTGGTTTGAAGAATATAGTCAGTTGATGTGTTTTCTTGACGTTCAAAGTCATCCAAAGGATAAAATTAAAGAATGTCATTCTTACCAGGAGTGAAGGTACTGGCGGCAACACACCACTCATCAACACTGGCAGAGCAACCCCTAAAAGCACACCACGTTAGCCTGTATTCAGTAATTTGGGATTTTGAAAGGTCCATAGATGTACTGAGATTCCTGGTCGGGGGACCAGTTGAAAAGAGGTTGGTACAGGTTGTAGTCATCGCTGCCGGCACTTGCGGAAGCTCCAACCCAGACGGAGACCCAGACCTCATCATTGCTGTCAGAGACGGTGTAACCAGAAGGAACAGCAGGAGGCGTGATCGAGTAGGTAGCTTTCACAATCTCCGCGCTTCCGGAGGGGGGGCCAAGATAGAATCCCGTGTTACCAAAAACCCATGAGTCGGCGGCCGCGAGAGCGCCGATGGCGTTGGCCAGGGGAACAAGAGCGAAGGAGTAACGCATGTCGAACTTTTTGAAGGAGTGTGTACTTGAAGTAAAAGAATGTAAAAAAGAACCTTACCAGAAGGCTGAAGAAAAAAATTGAAGAATAGTGAAACGGTTCAATGGAAACCAAGTCACATACTGTGGTTGTGTTTTATATGTTCTCGGTCCTGAAGCTCCGCAATGGATCAGGAGACGTCGGGGTTGACTTTGTGCGGTTAATTAAGAGAAGCCTTATGGTAACTCATCTAAATTGGGACCTTGGGCGTTTCATATACACATGGAATAGACATCCTTCACCAATCTCCCGGGAACTGAAACACCGTTGTCTCGGGAAGAATGCCGTGATTCGGAGGGATATGTTTTCCATGACCAACCGTGCAGCTACACAACCCATGAAGACTTCATACACTTCACTGTTTCCAATGTTTTTAGAGCCTACATCTTGATCCCTGAGGGGATGCAAGAATTAGCCTGGAAGTCGGAAAGTAAGGTTGGAGTGGAGCTGCGCTCACCCTAAACACCAGACCAAACCCCTTTTCGGCCCCACCAAAATACATAGAAGAAATTTCGGCCCCACACTCGACTTGGAACACCGTTTTCAAACATAAGTTAACTGGCTATACCAAGAGTAAGTTAAACTAAGTGTTAATCCCCACGTGTAGATTGAGGGTGCGTAAAAAGCTTTTCTGGACCGGGTACCGTGGATCTCTAAACTCAAAAACCTTACCTTTGGCCTTTCCGAAGATGATACAGAACCTCAACTAATTCCATACATTCAATATTCAATACATTCTACCACTGATGTTATGCAAAAAGCATTATCTTGTAAAGCAATGTTCCAAGGCCACCATTTAAGAGAAGCGCGTGACAGGGAGCTAAAGCCTAATCTAGGCTGTGATCTCCACCTACTCCGTAGTGACTCCAGGGGTCACGACATGGTCAATCTACATCTACCCTGTGATGATACTATGATTACCAAACAATTTAGGTTCCAAGGCCTGGTGGGAAATAGTGTAGAGAATGGAGAAGACTGCACAAGAAACACTTTCTAAATTCCCTCGTTGCCAGTTGCAGTCACCACGACGACCAAGGAGTTGCTCTGAGCTTGTCCAGAGACTCAATTGCCCGTGTCGCACACGAAATAGTTGGCTCATAGGCTTTCATTCAGTACCGTGTTGAGCATGTGTTTTCGGCACATCACAGGTTCACTGTGTACGGTAGGGCTTGGCATGGTGTGGGGCTAGCCGAAAGTGTGGAGACAATGGGCATATGGTTGCTGCAGCAAATGTAGAAGTGGCGGTTGGCCCTGAAGTAGGCGAGACTTTGGTAGTAAAGATGAACAGTAGCCTTGTGTCTGAAAAGGTAACAAAGGTACAAAGCAACGTCCAGCCTCAGGCACCCACAGAAGGAGGTGAAAGGAGTGAAACGGGAGAAGAAAGTGGTAGGGCAAGGCAGACGCAGTGAAAGAGAGGAAAGGAAAGAGAGAGATACGTATTGGCGTCATGTGATGATACACAACCAAGTCACAACACTGTCCAATTTCTCCGAATACGACGATCCCAACTTTCCTGAAGGTACGTGAGATGACAGCAAACTTTGAATGCTGTTGTGTCGTGCAGTGAAGAGTACATCAGCCTAATCGGAAAGCAGTCTGCCACCCGAGCCAATCAAGTCGACCGCAGCAATGGGCAAGAGAAAGTCGCGAGTTCGAGCCTCGGCCAGAAAAAGTCCAGTTCACCCCAAGCACACAGCCGAGGACCCAAGCCCGACCCCCGAGGCAAAGAAAGCCAAAGGACCAAGTAGTGTGACGTCTAGTGTGACTGAACCAATCATCGGGGACCAATCTTCCTCCCAGAAGATCCAATCGACAGAAAAGGTAATGCACAACCTCGGCCTACGAACGATCTTGCTAACTTTCTCCAAGCCTGCAGTAGTGGAAGAAAGGAATGGGGAGATTGAGTACCAAGTTGTCACCAATGATGGCTCCCGAGAGAGCACCGTCATTCTGACCGGGCTGAAATGCTTGTTTCAACTCCAACTCCCGCAAATGCCACCCGCTTACATCGCTCGTCTCGTTTTCGATCGATCCCATCTGTCAATGGCCATTGTCCGAAAACCCCTCGAAGTGATCGGAGGAATAACATATCGGGAATTCCGTGAGCGGAAGTTCGCCGAAATCGTTTTTTGTGCGATTTCTCCCAGCCATCAGGTGAAAGGGTACGGAGCGCACATGATGGCCCACCTCAAGGACTACGTGAGATCCAGTTCCCCGGTGATGACCTTCCTGACTTACGCCGATAACTACGCGACTGGCTACTTCCAAAAACAGGGATTCACCAAGGACATTACTCTCGACAAGAGTATCTGGATGGGAATGATCAAAGATTACCAAGGAGTAACACTCATGCAATGCACCATGCTACCCCGGATCCGATATCTCGAAGTTGACCGCATGCTGGCTTTGCAAAAGGCAAGTGTCCAGGCCAAGATTCGCACCTTTAACAAGAGCCATATCATCCACCAACCACCTCAGCAGTGGGCCAACGGAGTCGTGCCAATTGATCCTCTCTCTATTCCCGCCATCAAAGAATCCGGATGGTCCCCGGAGATGGATGAGTTATCCCGCCAGCCACACCGTGGAACTCGCTACTATCAGCTTCTTCAGTTCCTGAACCAAATCCAGAATAACAAGCATGCTTGGCCGTTTCTCAAGCCGGTCAACAAGAGAGATGTTCCGGATTACTACGACGTAATTTCGAACCCCATGGATCTGTCCAAAATTGAGAAAAGAATCAATGCAGACGAAGACTATCTCCCCAAGGACCTGATCCACGACCTGAAATTGATTTTCAGCAACTGCTACCTTTACAATGCGCAAGATACGCCGTATGCCAAGTGTGCTATTTTGTTGGAACGGCACATGTGGAGACTTGTCAAGCAGATTCCGGAGTGGCATGGGCTGATTGAAAAATAAGCAACGCTTGAATCGCTTCGACGGGGGTAGGCAGGACTCTTCCAGAAACCCGAGGTTTTGTAATGTATGATTTTTTATCGTGGAATGGATCAGTCGGGGGAATCTCGGGGATAGTGAGGGTGCCTTCCCAAACACACCACAGTTCACATAGCCCAAATCAATTGAAAAGATAAACGACCAAGTCCATCTTTAGCATTCCCATTCGCTCCAATGTCTGACTTTTAGTAAGGATTTGAAGTTGCAGAAATGAGTTTCAAAGGATCATCACGGAACATCTAGACTCAGTGATATCAAACCAATCAAATCCGTTTGACTAGGCAAAATGCAGTCGCAAACCGCGTCGGCAATCCGCATCAAGACCCACTCTCAAGCGTACTTGGAAGTGTTTGTTTGCTAGTGTGATCGCAAAGCGCATTTGCGACTTCTTTCATCTAGAAAACCAGTGTTCAATTCCAAAATGTTTCAATTTGATCCATATACAACATGAACAAGTCTAGATTTTTTATACAATCTCTCATCTGACAAGTCCATAAAAACGCTCAAAATGGTAAATGCAACAAAGAAAGCACCATGCAAAGAGACTACCAAGCCAGAATCTCCTTCTGAGGTCCACAAGCAAGAGAAGCGCAAAGCGCCTCATCCTTGTCACTCACTTTCGTATCGCAAGGAACCTTGGGCTTCGCAGGCCAAACCTCACGACCCTCACTCTTCTCACGCTCGAAGTGTTCCGTAATGACTTCTCGGACTGTGTTCTGGAAGAACAAGGGCGCTTTCTCAAACTTAGGGTGAAGCTGGCCGTTGGTGAAGACGTTTCGGTCGATGTTGTTTTGTGCGTTGGTGCAGAGGACCTTATCTTCTCTCATGACTCGGGCGTACATTTCACTGATGAGTTTGAAGTCTTCGTCCGAGGAGTTTCTGTTTCGGTAGACTTCGTATGCCATTTGTGACTGATCGGCTGATTTGGGTAGGAACTTCTGTACCATGATGAAGTGGGGTCTGTTATTGTTAGAATTTGAAATGGAATTTGCTAGGTTGGATCAGGGGTAGGGAGAATTACGACACGACCATGGCGGACATGGGGAAGTAGTATGTGCTGGCAGTGTAAAGGCCCTTCGCAATCTGCTCGGGGGTGGATTCACAGTGGTGTTGAATGTGTCCATCTTTGGTGTCGCTGTCGAAGGAATCAAGATTCAGGAACTCTGGGATGTCGGAGTGGGTGGTCGGGCAGTGGTAACATTCGTTGAAGTTATCGGCCAAAATCTTCCAGTTGTAATGTCCCTCGAGCTCATAGGCATGATCCAGATCATAGTCTTCGAAGTTGTAGTGCTTGTATCGCTCCTGCGTGTCGACGTTCTCGAAATGTTCTTCCCAAGGGACCTCGGGGACCTCCTTTGCATCAAGGTTAACCCAGATGAAGCCGTTCACGTCAACCTTGACGTGAATTCTGAATAGGTTGTTCTGGTTCTTGTCGAAGCCATCGAGATCCTGATACCCGGTCGCCTTGGCGAGTTTGCCGTTCAGTCCATATGACTAGCCGTGGTAACGACAAGCCAGGATCTTGGAGTTTCCAGAGCCCTCCTGTTCGATGACTGGGTATGCCCGATGTCTGCAGACATTGTGGAAGGCATTAACCTCGCCTTGTCGGTCACGGGTGATGATGAAATCAAAACCTGCGATCTCATATCGCAGCCAGTCGCCGGTGTTCTTAACACGCATGCTGTGGGTGATGAAGAGCCATCGCTTGGAGAAGATTGCTCGGCGTTCAAGTTCGTACATTTCAGGTGTTGTGTACCATGATGCAGGCAAGGCGCGCACTGGAGTATCTTTGACTTGCTCTTTGGCAGAAGGAGGAGCATCCTTGCCGAAGCCGAAGTAGTGCATCATTGAAGAGGCCATTGTTGTGGTACTTGGAGGTAATGGTCAAGCTATAGTGTGTTGTATTTCTCTCACAGCAATTCATTGCGGGCGCTTCTTTATATGCTTCACGGCAGCCCGATAATGAATCCGCATCCATGATTGCATCCGATCAGATGATTAACCCGACATCCAAATTCGGTCGACAACCCTACTCTGGGCGGGTTGGTCCCTAAAAGGGGAGATGGAACCCGCCGGCATGGATCGGCATTGGTGGCTGAAGAGGGTTCCAACACTAAACGAACCCGTTGTGCGATTGGGGGACTTTGGTCGGATGACCCGACACCCGCTCGGTACGCCTTCCGTGCAGTGTTCCCCCCACGAAATTGGGCATCAGAGGCTAAACACCCAATCATAGTTCGCAAGTTTGAAATTGTCTTATCATCAGCCCCATTCTTATGTTGTGGCGATTCAGAACCGGGCGGATTTGAGGTCCCCGAAGATTAATGATGTAAACCTGGGGGCGGGTCGGGGTTTCCCCTCAGCGTGGAGCCCACCCGAAAGATGCCAAATGTCAACTTCACAGTTGCGAAGAGCGAAGCGGGGTCCCGGATGATTAGTTGCGCGGTCAACGCGATCGATACTGTATAACGTAACGACATCAAGGGAGTCCGATCGAGTCTCGACTTCATCTCTGGTAGTCCTTCCAAGGTTTGCGACAACATTCCTCTGGGATCGAACGGCCGCCGCCGGTGAGTTTGTTATGTCCATGTTGAGGATCAATCCATGCGTCGGGGTCGGAATGCTTTGTGGTAACAGATGGCCGATGAGTCTCACTTCATGTCGGACACGGAACCACAAGCCACCCAGGTAAACGCAAGTATGTGTACCATTCTCGGCGTCGCTTCCACACTCATAGTCTGATTGTTCGTGCCCTTAGAATCGGATACGCCGGCATCACACTCGATGGCAGAGCGAAGCTATCGCCCTTGGTTTCGGGTGGAGTCCATCTTTGTAGTGTCCCACGCGCTTATGACGGCCTTGGTCGATCTTTGGAAGGCGCAACTTGCAATGGGGCCGCTCTGCGATGCTTGGAGGTAATACATATTGACAACCTTGTCGGCATCGCGAGATCTGTCTTGGCCAACTGTAAGTAAGCACCACGTATAAAGGGAGAAAACATGCCAAAGCGATAAAATGAAAAAAATGAAAAAGAGCCAAGGGGGAGTCGAACCGGAGACAAAAATATTCCACCGTCGAGAGTCGTGAACCCGACGGGCATATATTTTGTGAATAATGCCGCGAGGCAGGTCAGTCCAGCTGATGCGGGTTTTTACTGCGCCGCTAGACCATCCCACCTCTGACATTATACCTATACCCTTACTGGCCTTGTGATCCTGCTTAGTTACCCGATTGGGAAGCTCTCTGGCATCTTGCCTTGGGTCTCAGGCCACAACAGTGCAAACATTCCACACCGCGTTTGATCTGTGTTCGTGTTGGGAAATAGCGGACCTCTTGCACCTCCCAGCCCCCAATCGAGCATCCCAAATTGTACGGAGACATACGGAGTATTCCCTAGGGAAGTCAACATATTGCGCCAAGGTGGATACCCACCGCCAAGGGATTAAGTATCAGCCGGGACAACTGGGCATTGGTTTGACTTAGGTTACTCCGTTTGGAGTGCAAGTACCATCAGTACGCCCTGTCACAGGTGTCACAAACCTTGGAAGCGCTTTGTACAACGATGGCATGCTCAAACGGAACCCCGGAGCAATCTACAGAGTACGGAGTACCTCCAGGGCTCCACAGAGGTTGGGCCTCGGCAACACCTGGGCACGTTCATTGGCTGATCTCAGCTCAGTCCAATTTGAACCCGTGGACGTGATTGGCTCGGACCGGCCCGCTTCCCAACGAGGAAAGGGCGATTGATCAACGATCAACAGGCAACAGCGAAAACAATCCCTTTCTGAAGCGCCAAGTTCAGCCCTGGAGGGCAAGTCACGTCAAAATCGATTATTTATTTATTTATCTGAACACCTCGCGGTTAAGGATATCAAAGTTGGGTACAAAAGTGACAAATTCACAAAACAAACCACCGAGAGACTTCGGATGGAGACATTGTTCCACATGTCAGAAACATGAGCATCAACGCCACAACCTTGGAACATCCAGAGACATCAAATGGACTACAGCATGGCAGCAATGGCAACCGCCGCCGCAGCTCCCATGGGTGCCCCGGTGATCATAGCCTTGGCAGTCGGGTTAGCAGCACCGGTAGTCGAAGTTGACTGAGCGCTGGTGATCTTGGCAATGCCACCGGTGATGAGAAGAGAGGAGTACTTCATCGACTCGGTAGGAAGACTGGAGGTGGAAGATGAGGTGGAGGTGGAGTATGAAGCACCATTGTGAGAGCCAGTGATGTGGTATTCGAACGAGCAAGAAGCAGACCTGCTGGTGCTGGTGAAGGAGCAGTCAAATTCACGATCGACAGTTACGGTGCCTACGCTGGCGGTGGTCGACGCGGTGTATTTTCCAGTGAAGCTGAAGGTGGTGGAGCCCTGGATGAGGGTCCAGGGAGTCTCGATGTTACAGACAGACTTGGGGGCATTGGTCAAGCAGGAGATCTCATATGTCGTGAGGTGGGAGGTGATACCGGCAACGCTGGCGGCGGTGCTCTGGTAGTTGGGGACTCGGGAAGCCCACGAGAATCCGGCACCGAGGTAGGGACGGTGAGTAGTTGACTGAGTCGACTGCTCGGCAGCCGTGACGAGAGTGGCTAGGGTAGCCACGAGGAAGGAGGTGATACGCATTTTGGCAGGGCTCTTGGAACTAATGACAATGGCAGGACTGGATGATTTGAATTGGAAACTTAGGTAAATATCTCCTACGATATAGGGGATACAGACACCAATTTAAACCAAAATCTAAGCGCTAGGGTTCTCAGCCTTACCAAATACTACCTTGCCAACAGTGTATAGGGTCTAGCTTAGCCAAGCCACTAGGATGCAGGTCTCTTCTGCAACTACCAATGTGATAGGAGCCGGGTTTTGGCCAAGCCGGGGCCGCACTGACTAGAGTCTCAGTATATGGAGCTCATCTCATCCCTAGGCGTGTAAAATGCTAGGCACTGCTGCCTAGAATGCAGGTTTGACCGCCTCGTTTGGGCATGCACAAAGTTTATAGACATGCGATGTGCGGTTTGAGAGATCTGATTGTACCGTGGTGTTTTCTGTGCACCAAAGCCAACAATTAGTAGGAAGCGACATGGCTTTGTTGACCGAAACAATGTGTAGCAATGTGACAAAGGAAATTTGCAAGGGATCCGCACTGCGGGGAATGTATTGGATTGAGTATTCTTCTCGGTAATCCTACTGTGAACTCTGTACACTCAGTCATGTAAAAAAGGTCCAACCCCCAGGTGCCAGAGGCCTGTACGGAGTAGCTCTCTGGGGTTGGGCACCGTCTTGAGGGTTTAATGACGTTGGTGGCCGCCCAGAACCGCTGAGAACAGGGAATTTGGTTTGCTTCACTGATTGATTTGTTCAAATTTCTTGTTTTCGGCTTCAGGGTACTTCATGTTGAAACTCCAAGGTTTGCATCGTATGTCTGGTCATATGATCTCGTGTCAGTGTACAACATGTTGTGGACTTATCCCTTGCCTAAATGATAATGTGCGGAGTTCAAAACCTGAAAAATATCAGCTCAATGCATTGGAAACTTGATTGATCAATTGATCAGACACGGACTCCCTGATCAATCTTACCCCACGCACTAAGCCTTGCATGCCGATCGACTCGCAGATCTAGTTCCTTTCAAAGCTATCGTACGGGGTAGCCGTGAAGCTAGCGGTGAAAGCGTTACTAGTTGTGGTTTGATTACCAAATAGAAATAGGAGTTGAAGTCTTTGAAAAATCAGCCAATACTTTAACTCTAGTAAATTGATTTGAAGGTTGTCGCATCCCACACCTTTGAAATGTTGGTGTGGCTGATCTGGTTGTGTTTGAATTTACTTTTTGCTGCGGAGTACTCCGTAGAACAATTGGAGCTCGGAAAATTTATCAACAGAGCCAAGATTCCGAATTTTCTTGAAAGTGACACATCACATATGTTCTCGGGGACTTGTGGACGAAAACAAGATCAAACGGGCTGATGTACATGGATCATTGGCTGATTGAAATATTTTGTGCTGTGCTGATTCGAGAGACGAGACTTCTGCCTGACATCATCCAGTTTATTTCTTCTTTCCCTCTTCCTTTCTTTCGTCCCAAAACAAAATCCATCGTATCAATATCTCTAGTCTCTGGTTTGACGAAGCTGGAATTGAACCTTAAATGATGGCAAAGTAGTTGTGAAAGTGTCCAGGGTCTTCTTTTCAAAGTTCTCACCACTCTCCCCCGGGGCGAACTGAATATTGAACGATTGCAACAAGGTCGAAAGTGATATGCGAAGACTCATCATAGCCAGGTTCTTCCCTGGGCAACTATAAGGGCCTAAAGCAAGATGGTCAACATCTCATCGGCGCAAAAAGATATGTCAAGATAAAACTCACCAAGCACGAACGGAAAGAATGGAGCACCCTCGACAAACATATCCCTTTTCTCGCTCCACCTCTCGGGCACAAATTCCTTGGCATTGGTGTAGTACCTCTCGTCGGTTTGGATCAACTGAACCGGAACAAACACATTCACATCGCCAGGAATGTACACTTCATCCACCGTGATGCCCTCTGTCGGTGTTACGCGGTATCCTCCCGTCATAACAGCAGGTCGCAAGCGAAGCGTTTCTTGGATGACATCGTCGAGATAGGCGACTGACTTGACCTTCTCGTAAGACCAGTCCTCCACCCCGGCCGGCATAGCGTCGTCAAGGAGACGTTGTAATTTTGCTAATGTGGCAGGGTTCTTGGCCAGATAGTATAGCACCGAGGCCAAAGTAGTCGCCGTTGTCTCACTGCCAGCAACGATCACAACCCGTGAATCTTCGTGAAGTGCCGCTTCAGATGGGGCAGCAGAGGCATCCTTCTCAACGTACGCCTTGAGGAGCCAAGAGACGACATCCTGTGGAGTTTCGTCCACACTCCAAGCCTATATCTGTCAGTATTATATCGAGATCAACAAATTGACTAGAAGACTGCACCTTTTGCTTTCGCTCGATTTCATCTTCGCACCATTTAAAGAAACTCGAGTACCCAGAGGCCGCACCTGGAATGCGACTTGCGAGATTCAGAAACCATGGCACATGGCCCAAGGTTCCTAAGATAGCCATGTGGTCATGAACGCCTTTGATCGCTGGGTGTTCGACGCCAGTCTCCAGGTTATTGAACTCTTTGCCAAAACCGACCGCTCCCATGATGTCGAAACTTAAGAACATTGACCAGGCACTGGCATCGATTGGTTGGTCTATGTTCTTCTCAATATGTGAAGCGAGTTGGTCTGCCTTAGCCTTGACACGGGGTTCGTAGGTTGCAAGAGCTGTAGGCTATATTAGCAACACACATGCGGACAAAAAAATTGGATCACAGACCTTTGATGCTAAATCCACGGTCCCACGCTTTGCGACGCTTACGGTGGTCGTCAATATCTCGTGTATGGTGTACAGAGCAGTTCTTGGGTTCCGTTGATGCTTGAGCATAGTAAGTAGATTTCCGACATGCTGATTGTGGCCCAAATATCAAGGGAATGGCAGATTTTCGCACAATACAAATCTCGCGTGGACCTAGAATTTCGAAGGGTCAGCCCAACACAGGTGCTCCCGTGAAAGCCATTGTGCACTGACCAGTCCGAATGAAATCTCCATAGGTCTCGTGCAATTTCTCGATCTCGACGTTATATTGGACATCTTTGCCTGCGAGATATGCATCGTAGAAGCGAGATAGCTTTGACAGCACGGGGCCAGGGAACCGACGGACTCGATGGAAAAACAACCGGTAAATTCCAATGCTCGAAACTAGTCCCACATTGAATGAGAATACGATGAGAGTGACTCGCGTGAGCACCTGAAGTGTTGAAAGCCCCGTGACAAATAGGTATGCAAGACATATTGCCAGCACCGCCCCAAGAGCCAAGCCAAGAATACCAAACAAATATTCTTCAACAGGCAGAATGCGGAAAATCGACACGTGCGACACCACTCCAAGACCCACGACAGAAACTCCGAGGCTCACGATATCCGCACTCAGAGCTCTTGCGACCTGCTCCATCATCGCGTTTGAAAATGCCATGCTGAGGTCGAATGAAGCGGAGAGAACAAGGTCGGAGGGGGATATTGTCGACAGCCATGTTGACGGCTCTTTGCTCCACTAATTCCAACGATGGCCCGATGATTGGCGCGAGGTTCAAAGTCGCGGTTCGGTGTTTGGATGAAAGCAGGAGAAATACTTCACTGGCCCCCAACGATCGAGGTCCACCGGTTTAGGTGAGTGTCAAAAGTACGTCCGAGTGGGTAATGCCTGCATCATGCGCCATTTTTTGTGTCTCGGCCCCATCGCACATTCCTTTTTCAGGGCACAATTTGCGAGATATCGATATGATTCAGCTTCAAATATGAAAAAAATGCGCAAAGGAGATGGAGCAGAAGACTTGCGAAGTGAGAAACGAATCGGAGATTTACCCCGTGGCGCTCGTGCTCCCGTCCCGTCCTCCCGTCGAGCCCTCGTCGGGTGGCTGGTTAGCGTCGGAGAGCCTCCCGCACTGGAGAAGAACGCTTCCTTTGATTGACCGACGGAGATTGGATCGCGATCCACACTATCGTATTGTTCGCGATCATAAGCACTAGTCTGACAATCTATTTGGCTCAATATCTTGGTCAAGGTTGACGACAGGGGTCCAGATCCTTCGAGCTTTTTTTTTCAATCTGCTCGCTCCTGGATGTTGCAACATGCTGCTCGCGATAACATAGCACATCGCCATGGCACGGGTAAGCCTTCAACTGGCTGCCTATGTGATCATATCCATTGCTTTTGCCCTTGGGACTGCGTCTATCTTCCTCCGGTTATATTGTCGATGGCGTCTCCAGATATTCGGCCGGGATGATGCCGTTGCTATATTTCTTTTGGTTTGTGATATCTATTGATCCAGAAAACCCTATGCTGATGGGCTCTAGTTTGTCAATACGATGCAGCAGGCAATCCTTTACATATTTCTCTCATACGGATGTGGACTGTGAGTTTATACCGTCAATGCCTGGATAACTATGGAACGACAACTGATTCGATCAGACCAGCGGGTCAAGCACCACCGGGCATGTTGGAACACATCACGAAGGTAAGAAAGATTTTAATCTTGCACCATTGGAAATATTCGAATGACCATGTGCTCATGAACAATTGCAGTGGCTATTCGTCGAGGAGGTCTTCTACATGTTCGTGCATTTCACACTAAAGCAAGCCTTCCTGGTGTTCTATCTACGTCTCTCGCCGAGAAAAGACTTTCGTCTCGCTGTGTACGGAACAGTAGCCATGTGCACGATTTTTCTTGGGGTTGAGTGGATGTTGGCATTCCTGCAAGCCCGGCCACTGCAGGCAATGTTCCACCCCGAAGCCTACCCGAATGCCAAATTCCTCAGCCAATACGTGGTGCAAATGGTCCCGACCGCGCTGGTAAAGTCTTCATACTTTCCTCGGAAGAGATAGAGATTAACGATCGCACTAGAACGCATTTTCCGATATTATCATTCTGTTACTACCCATTCCCACCATACTCAAATTGCAAATGAGTACGCGGCGAAAAGCAGTCGTCGTTGGAATTATCTGCTTTGGATCATTATCGGTGGTGACCGCGCTATGTCGCTTTGTCGTCCAAAAACAACTCATTGCCGACCAAGATACGCCTCTGGTTATGGGAAGGATGATCATTGTTGCAGCCATTGAGATTCAAATTGCGGTCATTGCGGTCAATCTTCCCGCGCTCCGATCGCTTTTCACCAAACTAGTGGGAAGCTCCCATGACCCTGCCAGCTACGGTCAAGCAGACGCACACAGACTATCTAGCTTGAAAAGCAGTGATAATCGCCAGCTAAAGGGGGTTTTTGGTGGGTCGCGGAAGCCGAATCACGCCCTGGGCGCTACGTTGACCGGGTCGGAGGAGGAACTCATGCGACAAGGGGAAAATATGAAAGGGATCTATGTTAGTACCAATGTCAATATAAGCATTGGTAACAGCTGAGCCTCACTAGAAAAATCAACACTCGGCAAATCGACGCTATTCAGCCGCTCGGGGCACGCCGATTTGCAACTAGGGGATCTTCGTCGCTAACCGAGAAATTAACTCTGAGCAGCTGGAAAATGCTCGGCAGCAAGGCGAATCAGCTGAAACCGACCAAAGGCAAAACAAAGTCAGCCGACAATAGTTAATCGAAGATCCACACACTAGTTGAACACACATCTTTGTCGGGTTGTTCCTGATCGCCAGGGCTCTCCACTTTTCGTTACTAATCTCAGGGGTTCGCGTTCGTGCGAATTGTTTAAAGTTCCCATACTTTCTGACCTGTACGATTCTCGCTTATATCCGAGATGAGATTCGGTCGGGATTTACATGGGTGCATTGTGCCTGAGTGGACGGCCTTCTATGTGCCTTACAATGTTGTCAAACGCACTCTCAAAGTGGCGGTCGGCAAATCCGTCGATGAAAGCTCTGTTCCAGACTTGACAGGCAAGTAAATAATCGCAGCGTAGCAGGAGCGTAATGCTAATATCGTGTTAGAGGTCTTTGAGCTTCTGGGTAAGGGCAATGAGTCTTTTGACGATTTTCATCGTGAGAATTGCGATCTGCTCAGAGCAAGACAAGCAGAGCTCTGCATCAAGTACGAGAGAGCGATCAAAGCATGCGCCTTTTCTAGTGATGGAACGAGAGAATTCCGCGAAGCAAGGAGCTTTGTCAAAGCTGCCACTGAGCTTCGTGAAGACTTTGCCAAGCTGCAGAAGTATTCTCGCGTCAACGAAGATGCCATCCACAGATTATACGTCAAAGTCGAGAGGCTGAATGACTATGTCACTCCAGCTTATGAAGAGCAAAAATCCCGATGGAATATGTCTCAAATTGATCGTCATCGACATTCTGTGAACTTTTTGAACCGACTCGACAGCTTGATGGACAGCATTAAGGAAGCGCGTGAAGTTCCAGAGGAGATGCAGCTCACCTCTGACAAGGACACGTCCCAGCAGAAGCAATTTATGGCTGTGAAACGTCCTGCATTGTACCGCGCTGTCAGCAACGACGATCCCTCAACATTGGCATATCTTCTTAGGAATTTATCGCGCGACCCCACTCTCAAGCTTGATCGAAAATCCATCGTGTACGAGATGGCGGAGACCGCCGTCAGCTGTGACTCCAAACTATGTTTCGAGAATTTGTTATCAAAAGTCTTTGACAGAGATGGAGTGGTCTTGGACCACGACCTGTTGAATCAGGTCATCTCCGCGGAAGGCCAGAGCGATGAAAACGATACTGAGAGCAAGAGTCATAGCCTGTTTGAATTCGCGTTTGAGCATATCGTGCCTCGTCAGACCGATGCCCTGTTTGCCAAAGATGATTGCGTGCGCTCGAGTCTCCATTATGGCGCGATGTACGGTCTCAACTCTGTCTGTAACTCAATACTCAACTGTGCTCAAGGATTGGGTGGCGGCTATGCTGCAAACCTGATTCTATCCTCCGATTCTCACGGATTTACACCATTCCATTATGCCGTTATCAAAAACCACGTGGAAGTTGCGAATACATTCCTGGATGTCTTGCGACTGGATAATCGGAGCGATGAAACGCTATGCTGGGAATTGGACGACCTTTTGATAATAGCCTTGAGATACCAACATGACGACATGGTGTATCTTCTGGCATATTCCAACTTCGGCCCCAACAGCAAGTCGTTGCATAATGAAACCGCTCTTTACGTTGCTTCTCAAATTGGCCGTGAAGACTACGTGAAGCTGTTATTGGAAAACGGCAGTGAGGTTGATGTCAACACACCTGAAACGCCACATGCATGGACTCCACTTTTCATTGCGTGCGTGGAAGGTCATATATTGGTTGTTGAGATTCTTCTTGAATTCGGCGCCAAACAGGATCTGGTTGATCATCTCGGCTGGACCGCCAAGGAGCACGCTGCCTTGAGAGGTCACTTGGAAGTAGCTGAAATGTTGGAGTCCTGGGACCCCAGTGACCCCAGCAATATGGTCGGTGGCCCTGCGAGCCTTCTACAAAAACCCGAGCCTGAACCATCCACCCCTGTCTCACCCAGCTCACTCTGTGCCAATCAGGTCATCATCAACCTGGGTATTTTGAGGAATGGCGAATATGTCGAAGCCATCGATTTCGAGGGTCCATTAGCGACGACTTCTTCCTCCCTCGACATGTCGATCTCCATTGAAGACAATACCAGTGAATTGATCAAGCTTCCCGTGCTAAGCGATATGGTCAATGAGCCTGTCGTCCTGCCTGTCGCGAAGCCGGATCAAGCTCGTCTGATCTTCAAATTCTATAGCTCACATCACTCTTATGAAGAGCGCAAACTTGTGGGTACTGGCGCCGCCTTACTTGGAAAGGATCAAAAGTGCTTTGGAGACAACCGTGAAAGTCTTGTCAGAGAACGCACTGTTCCTATTTTCGACAAAACCACAATGGACATCATGGGAACTGTGACTTTCACATGTGTCATTGCTAAGTCTGTAACATCTTTCACCATTCCACAATTGCCAAAACAGCTGTTAGAAAAAGATGGACTGCAGATCGTGGGTCACAGAGGTATGTCTCGGGAAAACCCATTCACTACACTTTGCCACTTGGTTGATATTTACTCACATGTAACAGGACTTGGTCAGAACACAGCCAACCGAAACCAGCTTCAACTAGGAGAAAACACAATCGAGGTATCTTTGCTTCCTAGTTTGTTCCGTCTCCGGTTTGTGTGTCTAATATTCGAACTAGTCTTTCCTTACTGCCGCGAGACTAGGTGCATCATACGTTGAGGTATTTATACAAGTCTGCCACCCCAGTCTGGTGAAAATGCTAACTTTTGACTGATAGTTCGGTAAATTTTCTGCCATCACAGTCTCACATCTCTCTAACCTATTGCAGATGCCCAACTGACTCGAGACCTTGTGCCTATAATTTATCATGACTTCTCACTCAGTGAATCTGGGACAGATATACCCATTCATGACCTCACCTTTGAACAGGTTAGTATCATGTATCCTATCTCGAGATTCAGAGCTGATTTTTGTAGTTTATGTACGCAAGCAAACTTCAATCTCCCAGAGGTAAACCAGCATCAGTACTCGGGAGGCCACCACTGAGCTCCGCCCAAAGACCTAGAGACAGACTTCGATCACGGTCGGTGTCAAGGGATCGTGGAGAAAGTCAGCACGTGCACGACAGAATGAAGTTCACCGTGGACTTCCAAAACAAAGGTTTCAAGCCGAACACTAGGAGACAGTCTATCCAGGACTCTTTCACGACGCTCGAAGAGCTGATTACGAAGCTACCGGACTCTATAAGCTTCAACATCGAAATAAGTAAGTTCTCTCGTTGAATCCCAATTGGTGTGATCTTTTGAACCGTCTGACGTGATCTTGTTGAAGAATACCCCCGACTTCACGAAGCCGTGGAAGCCGGAGTCGCCCCGGTCGCCCTTGAAATCAACACATTTATCGACCATATCTTGGAACGAGTCTTCCAAGCCAAGAGTGAACGGAATATCATTCTTTCCTCCTTTTCTCCCGAAGTCTGCGTGCTTTTGACTACCAAGCAAAACGTCTACCCTGTGATGTTCATTACCAATGCCGGAAAGCTCCCAGCTTCAGACTTAGATATGAGAGCCAGCAGTCTCCAGGCCGCAGTTCGGTTTGCCAAGCGCTGGTCATTGGCCGGTATTGTCTTTGCTTCGGAGACTCTGATTTTATGCCCGAGACTCGTGGGATACGTCAAACGCTCAGGATTGGTCTGTGGGTCCTATGGCGCGTTGAATAACATTCCTGAAAACTCAAAGGTAAGCTGCGAATCGCTTCCAAGGCTCTTCTGCCTGGGCACTTTTCTGTCTTCGGGGACTTGCTGACTTTCTTTCACAGATACAAAAGGCTGCCGGCATTCAGCTTCTAATGGTGGACAACGTCAGACTCATCACAATGGCCTTGGACGAGAAGCTTCAGCTCGATATTTAGACGAACCTGTTCATTAGATCAGCAATCACCCACTCTGCGCGCCGGGCTTGATAGAGTGATAGAGGAAGTTTGTATTTGTAAACATTAAGTAATATAATTTTCACTGTAAAACAGTACTCTCTCTCTTCTTTAATGGCGTAGATGAAGTCGAATGAGGGAAGTTTCCCATGGTTCCAGGATTTGACGGCAGAGAGACCCATATCAAGACGGCTTAAATCATCTGCTGGGCGCTCTGTGTTGGCAAGGGGAAAGATTGTAGCCGGACGAGGTCAACGAAAGGAACCTATATAAGCCGTCTGGGAGCATAACCATTTGACACCACTGGAGTAGTCCAGTAGTCAAGACGGGTCACCATCAAATGACCCTACCTGAAGCCCCTGGTGGTAAAACATGCATGCAATGGGTAGGGTTTGATTCACGGGCCTGGCTTCTTTTTTTTTTTTTTTTTATCTCTTCTTTCTTTCTTTTTGAGCATCCAGGTGGCTCTCTCCAGAGCTCCCCCATAAATGAAGCCAAAATGCGATGTTGTCCTAAAAAGCTCAGATGCACTTGATACAAGATTGAGAGATACCGAGGTTCAATCCCTTAACTTGGCTTTTGATATCGCTCCAATTGCATTCTTTTCACTCAACAACTTGTAAGCTCTTCAAAGGTTCTTCAATCTCCTATCGCTCACCTACTTCACCACATCTTCCACCATGAGTGACTTCAAATCACACTATCACTATCAGTTGTACCGGTACGAACCATCTCTTGCTGCTGCGATTGTATTCATCGTCGTTTTTGCTTGCACTACAGTCTACCATTCATATCAGCTTGTCACAAGCCGCTCTTGGTATTTCATCCCATTTGCTCTGGGAGGAGTCTGTGAGTCGTACCGAGCACCAGCCTCCGGTACTCTACCGAAAAGCTTAAGTCCTATCCGACTGACTATGATGCCCCCGTAGTCCAGATCATCGGATATGTAGCACGAGCGGTAGCTTGCTCGCATACTCGCAACGTGCCGATATATTCGATCCAAACAGTCTTCATCCTACTCGCGCCACCTCTTTATGCTGCATCAATCTACATGTCTCTCGGGAGAATTGTTTCACATCTTCGTGCCGAAGGACTAAGCATAGTCCCGTTGAAATGGATGACGGGATTTTTCGTGGCAGGCGATGTAGTATCGTTTCTCACGCAGGCGGCAGGTCAGTTCCACTAGCCCAACTTCTCTCCCCCTACGTTGTATCCCGAAATTTGAATTCACTGACATTATTTGTAGGAGGAGCGATCATGGCCACTCGCAATCTGCACACCTTCAAGACCGGAGAAGACATCACGATGGCTGGTCTGGGTGTACAACTTGTCTTCTTTACGTTTTTCGTCTTCACGGCCATCAACTTCCACCGTCGGTACCGTTTTCTCTCGCGAACCACGCAAGATCGAACTATCACTCGACGCAACAATATCCTACACATCACGCACTCCTGGGAAACTGTCTTGTGGGGTCTGTACATCGCCAGCGTGCTTATCTTAATCCGGTCGATATTCCGTCTCATCGAATACTCGCAGGGAAACGGTGGATATCTGATCAGTCATGAGGTTTTCATGTATGTGTTTGACGGAACGCTTATGCTCTTTGCTATGCTGGCAATGAACGTGTTTCACCCGTCTGTGGTATTATCCCCTCGTACGGAGTAACAAGGGTAGAGGTCAGCCTTCGAAGATGCTACGATCAATGAGAAGGAACAATTGAGAGTTTTCGAGTGAAGTAAATCAAATTCCTGTGGCTTGACAAGGTCCAAAGGCTCGCAAATTTAGAGGTTTGTTCATATCAGCGGTGCTTTTCAGAATTGAGACAGTAAAAAGACGATAAATCTACACAAAAAGAATTGAAAACAATTCACAGGATTCAGTCTGTATCTTGATTCTTCAAGGATTAGGGGCATGGAGGCTCTGAATGCCCGCCCGCAGTCCCGAGACATGGTGCCGGGGGTGGAGGGACGCGAGGCCGGGATCTGCCCGAATCGACCACTCGAGCGTGCCCACTGCCCAGGGGCACGGCAGGTGAAAATGGGAAATGGCATAATCTTGACTTTGTTTTCACGGCTTATGAACTACAGTTCTTCTATCAACAAAAATAAAGTCCGTTATACAATCTAGTGCGATAAATGTTGGAGATTTTTGTATTAACAAAACTCTGTCGAGTTCCTAAATGTTTTGCTCATTTAACATAGGACTTACGCCTCATAAATGGACAAAATCTCGGGCAGATCACCGCCGCCACACGCCTTATTGTAATCCCCAAACGCCTCTTCTCTCTCCCTCAAGAACGCATGAAATTGCTTCTTCGAGCAGCTTCCACTCGGCCCGTCTCGACAATCCACCAATGGCTGAGGACCAGCGTTGTTCAAGATGCGATAGTACTCTCCTTCGTCATAGCCATAACTCTTGCACGACATCTTCTCGATAGCAATATTGGTGAGGAAGGGCAGGATCTCACTGCTCTTCCAAGCGCGGTTATAGTTGATTCTATCTAGGGGCATGGTCCCATTAACATTATTAGCGCCAGTATAAGCGCTGTTGTTGTAGAGTCCGAGCGCGGTAATAACTGTCGGAGGAAGCTCGCGATGTGTGAAGGAGACGTATAGCTCCTGTGATGAAGACTCGTCGTCTAGAGCTGCAACGCTGGCATTCACCCATGGGAGACCGAGAGTTGCAGATAGGGGCCGACCGTAGCCAGTGTTGTGGAAGTACATCAGGTCATTAGTGTATTCGAAGGAAAGCCATTCTTCGGAGGTAAATAGCGCAGGAGAGCAGAATGGCGAAGAGCCGCGAATGACTGTCTCGTATCCGCAAAGCTCGAACATGGCCGTGATGTCATCTTGGGTGAAGTTGAAAGAGGGTGCTTCCGCTTTCAGACGCGCGATGATCGGCTTCGTGTAGACCTTGCCAAATGCCTTAATGTTTCGTTAGCATGCATGATTAAGAGAGAAAGTGGCAAAGCTTACAGAAGATTGGTCACTGCCATAGGAGGAGCTGTACTCCGAGCAGCCCTTGTATGGTGTCAGAGAATCCGCACCAGCGGTCTTGCTCTCTTCAATCTGAGTCAAGTTGATGGAGCTGGTGTGGTTGTTGGTGAAGCCCGAAATAAAGCTCTCCGCACTCTTTACAGTCCGGTCAGCGGTAGACGACCAGACTTTGGCGGGCTTTTTGAGGTGTGTATATTTCTTGTGCAGGCTGATTCCTAGGGCTCGTGCCTCTTGCAGCCCAACAGCGGTCAATTTCTCAATGTGCTCATCGCTGATAGGTGCAGTCCAGTTGGAAAGGAACTTGAGTGTTCTCGTTTGTGACCAGTCTTGCGTGGAATTTTCGAGCTTGTCCGTGAACGGCTCGAGGTATGTTTCGTAATCGAAGTCATTGGCGTAAATGGCGGCGTGGCGGACAAGGTATGATGCCCTGGTCACATTGCAACCTTGTGGAGGGGAGGGTTGAATAGGAGGGTTGTGGGGGTTGAAGTAGGGAGCTATACCCGCGGAATGTTCCAGCGGGTTGAAGCGATAGGCGAGGGACAGGACGGGAGCAGTCAATGCTAGGAGAGTTTGGAAATGCATTTTGCTACCACGGTCCCGGGTTGGGCCAAAAAAATAAAATTAGATATTGAAGCTAGTACTCCGTAAGAGGAGAAGAATTGCTATAAAATTACCCTCTGAAAGTTGTATGTCATTATTTTTTTTTAGTCAAACCGGGAATTGAGGATTGACGTAGGGATCGGCAACGGGAGAGATCCGAACCTTGGAAGCCGCCCAATTAGCGGAGGCTTGGTAAGCCCTATGGGCACTTGGCTTGGATACCAGCACTGCAAAGAAATAAATTGATGGTGGAACCTGGGAAAGCCTGGTCCAAGGATCAATTGATAGAGCTCATAGGCTGTGTTGCCCATATTCTTGGGTGCCTAGAGAGCCATTCTCGCCCCCACCACCTAGGGCAAGTTGAAACTGATGTCCTTGATGACACCAGTGCAGGTGATGGAAGACCTTCCTTGTAGTTGAAGGGATGCTCACGAAATCAACCATGAAAGTAATTCATGCTACTGGCTAAGCTAGCTTTGATTAGGTAGTTCCGGCACTCTCATACATTTCTAAACTAGATAACTATTGCATGGTTCAAAGCATAGCAATACAAGTACCAACAACGCTTCGCGGTCGCAGCATTCGATTTACGACCAGAAGCTCTTCTGCCTACAGGCACAACTTGTCGCCTGCTGGAATTTTTTAAGTCCTCTCCCAAGGTCACCCCGAATGAGCCGAGATGCGACATTAACTCTATTGCACAACAAGCTGAATGTCCTCGTGGGAGACTTTTCTTAATTCCAATAGTTTACAGGGAGCAAATCTGGCAAATTGATTCATGATTCACTTCGTGGTCTTTTGCAAGACCAATGCACGCATATTCAGAGTCGATCTAATCAGTTCCCCAATAGTCATTGGGACTACCTGGTCAAGGGAACCAGTCTTCTTATACGGGATCTGGAAGGAGCTTTGTCTTCAGAAGGTCTATTCAACCCCATTTCTGGCTATAGTCTCAATAAAGCCGCCACGCGCGCGGCTGATCTGCATCTATTGAGTACTGACTATGATCATCTGCATATCAGGGGAATGATCGATCCTCGAGGGTTTCAAAACACATAGCACAACCCCAGTCTTTGTTCAAGTGATAATTGTTGTCACCCACACTGTCCAATGGTTTCATTTTCGGCAAGTCAAAGAGAACCCCCAAGGTTTCGGGTCGAACAATGAACTCGATTCTATAATTGGTGCTTATTGCATTTCGAGTGGCAACATGCTTGTATCTCATTGACATGAGCCGATGTTTGATTTGGGAGACCTGTTCGACGGGTCAAGTTATAAACAGCCAAATAGACCCTTTGGCAGATTTTGTCCAAGACCATGAATGCAATGAACTTCATTCAGATTTTCGCCATATCTCTCTTTTGGAATCATGTCACAGCACTCACTTCAAGCGAGGGCTATCTTTGGGGATCTTTAAGCAAAGCACTCCAAAAACGGAATGCACCCGTGGCAGGCGCTGATGGGATTTGCTTCACTCATACCCTCCAGCGGGGAGAGAACTGTGCAACTCTGGCGAGTACCTACTCGGTCTCGGTCGCTGACATTGAGATATGGAATACTGGCTCATGGGGCTGGAAGGGGTGCCCGGAGATAATGCCGGGTGACTTTATCTGCGTGAGCTCTGGTGGTCTCCCGATGCCGAAAGCTCTCCCAGATGCCGTGTGCGGTCCACAGACACCGGGAGCAGTACGTCCTGCGAACTATGCCGATCTTGCCTCAGTCAAGCCCTGTCTTCCAGGTGGATGCGTGAGTAGCACTACTCCCCCAGTCAAAGCGTGCTAGTGTTGATTATACATAGTGCTCGCGCTGGTTCCAATGTGGGAACTCGTCTGCTTTCTGCGATCCGGACAACGGCTGTCTCTCTGGGTGCGGGTCATTTGCCTTCAAGGAGGTAGCCGATGTTCTTAAAAAGGAGGCCCATAAGCAGGCCACATTGACTACCAGTGTTGCCAGTACGACCAGTACCACATCAAAGGAGAAACCCACGTCGGAAAGCACGACTTCTACCACGAAGACGAAAAAGCCAGTTGCCGTGTCGACTGACCCTCCGGAACCTGAAGCTGAGCCAGGAATCGACTGGGTCATCACCTTGTACGAAGAGAAGGGATGTGAAGGTGGCAATTACTATGCTCTCCAAGGGCACAATACCGATAAAAACATGGAATGCCTCAATCTTCAAGCTTGGATCTCCACCGAGATTACGAACGATAAAACATCTTGTCGCTGGTGGACAGAGGGGGGTCTCAAATGGCAAAAGTGCACCAAAAGCAAATTGCTCGAGCCCAAGTCGTGGTATCTCAAATTCGGGGGTTGCTCGGTGTTTACTGACCCGAACTGCCAAGTGGACGGAGGGCACATTAGTAAAAAAGGCTGCCATGGTCCGAAGGAATCCTACTGGTCGCCTGATGAATTCACGTCTTTCATGTGCTTTAATAACACGCCTTGGCCCTACATTTAAAATACGAGGGTATTTTTTAACAATAATTTGTTCTGGCGATCACTGCCACAGTTCATTGTATAGGTCTTGCTTGTTGTATATTCCTCAGTTGCGGACGTGATCATATTTTCTAATAAGTTCGCTGCTTACATCAACCAGCCAAGTGGTCGAGCAGTAACTCAACCATCTTATCTTCCTTGGTCTAGTGGTGATGATTTCCGCTTGTCATTAACACCGATAAGCGCGGGAGACCGGGGTTCGATTCCCCGAGGGAGAGATTTCTTTTTTGCTTTTGGCAAAATTTCATATGGAATTTCAGACATTTTTTTGGTTTCACTTGAACGAAGGTCTGTGTTTGGTTTTGTCGAGGTCTGCCACGGGTCCCTTTTCATAGCACAATGGCCTGGTGCCGAAAAACCTAATATCGATTATTCTGGAATACACATTTGTTTGTTACGGCTGTTGTGTACTCGTGGACTATATCTAAGTATAGCGGGATGGATGTATAGAGGTGATCGGGATATATTATCGAACACGTCAGATATGAAAATATTCCAAGGTTGTTGGCACTGAGGTTGACCATCGTGCCTTCCGCGTTTGTTAGTCTTTGCTTGGGTTCCGTTGGCTCTGTGCATTCCCGATGTCGTCGCTACAACTGATCTATCTGAACTACGTGTGAGATAACTTTGGATGCACTGAGATATTCCTGCCACGGCCAACGCGCTGTCACATTTCGTCCACAATGAGGTTCTGGGTGGACTGGCAACTATGGGAGAAACTGAGCGTGGTATGTTTATGGTACACGCCGTTAGAAATATCATCAGCTGACTTTGAACACCAAAAGATGATGGCGGCTTTGATCGTACGTGGAACGAAGAAATGCTCCGTCCAGGGGTCTGGTTTTCGCTGACAGCATGTGCAGGGCCTTGTCTTCACCTACGGGCTTTGCGTCCTTGGTTACAACAAATGGAAGATGCGCAGGTATGCCGTGACCGAGGCAAAGGAACAAGAGGAAGAGGCAGAGATGGATCCTATGCTCCACAAGGATGACATCCCATTTGGGGCGAGAGCTCTGGAACGAGGTATTGAGATCGAAGGAATCTGGAACTCGAACTCCAACACACCCATCCCGAGTCCACGCCAGCCCGCAACTCCTGTCGGAAGCAGACCTGCCAGTTTGGCACTGAATTCAGTGGCCCAGAATTCGGAGGACTCCATAGTCTCGGTGGACTCTCAGGGCTCGATGACTAGCCCAAAGCCAGTGCTCCCAGCTAGTCGACGAGCCATCGCCTCCGAACTAGACCTGGCCTCTGCAGGCTTCGTGTACGAGGCACAGAAACCCGGCAGCTGGTACAGCCGAGCAAGTCTGCCCGTGAGCCAGAAATCTCACCCTAGGTCAATACTCATGTCGCCCGCACGAGAGGAGGCTCTTGTCGGATTCAAAGATCATCCCCCAAGGACAGGCGCGTCAGCTTCCACTCTCGGGCATTCCCATCGCGCCACCACCCAGAGGCAAAAGATTACCGATCAGGCTTATATGGAGCACAGAATGAATCGCAATATGCCGCAGCCTTGAAGGGAATTGATTCTCATTCTTCGCCAGAGCACAAGCGAGTATCACGGTTCACTAGTAAGTGGACCCCGATATGGTTTGATCATTGAGAAGCAAGACTGACCAAGCCTTTCGTTATATAGAGGGCCTTCGCCGGCGATCATCCGAAGAGTTCCGCCGCAAGATGAGTCAGATCTTCAACGAGAATGTCCCAGAAGGACTGGCTGCCGAGCAGTTGGAATTCAACTCGACCTTGCGGGAGTATCATAAACGGAATTTCCGAAAGTCGTTGCTTCGCCCGTTTCGTCCATGGCGGAACTCCTCCGCGAATGAGTCGCACCAAGGAGATGAATGAACAGTCCGTGTCTTGTAAGAGACACGATGGCATCACAGAGACATGCAGTGTGTGGACATTTTGCATTGGTGTTGATCAGGTACTGTGGAGGTCTTTGGGCAAAAGCCCAACACATTCTCTATTTTGAACGGAAAGAAGAAGAAAGCTCGAGGAGATGTTGTTTCAACTAAATATGGAGTTTCCGATAAGTTGAATCACAGGATAGGTATTCTTACGCTTTTTATTGTTGCAAATCGATCATTGATCCTTGCAGACCGTTCCAACGAACAAAATTGCCATAAACGTCGGGATATCATCCCCCAGCGCTTGATTTTAAGTCAATAATTAGTGTCGTTCGAAGATTCCGAAATAAAGTAGAAAAGAAGGCTTTGGACAAAACCGGAAAAGTCCAAGGCAGCAACGACCCACGTGATCTCGCGATCCCGCCGACGCGTCCAATTTGTTGACGAGGAGTCATCCTGAGTTTTGCCACAAACAAGTTTTGAAAAGTGAAGAGGCAAACTGCGAAAGAACTTGTCCCTCACGATCCTCGGCTTCTCCTGGTGTTAGACGCGACACCACAGCTCGCCCACGCCGCTTCCAGTTTCGACCGACGCGTCTCAACCCTGTCGATCCATACGCTCCTCAGCCGTGAGATAGCCAAAGAGGCTCCAGCAATCTGCTACGAACAATTGATTTTGTACGGCAGTCATGGAAATGGAGGGACAAGAACAGTTTGATGAGAGTGGGCTCCCAGGCCCTGGTGCCCCCACCCCGCTCTCTGCACTAGATGTGAGTGATGCCTCGAGGTTACGGCCAATAAAAGCGGAATTGGAAAGCTGACTCGATCAATAGGGTGTTGCGGGGTTGACTGGCAGGGACATTAAGCTATTCGTCGATGCAGGATATCACACTGTCGAGGCAGTGGCTTACACGTACGTATCCGATCACCCTGATCTATAGCAATCGGTGTCACGTCTGCGGCCAGCATGCAGCGAGATATTTCCGACATGACTGACGTGTATTCTTTCCTCTAGACCCAGGCGCCTGCTGGAAACAATCAAGGGTATCTCAGAACAAAAAGCCACCAAGATTTTAGTGGAAGGTAAGTCCACGCTCCCCAGGTTGATGGATTATATACCATGGACATTCGAAGCTAACGAGTCTGCTCAACCAGCCGCAAAGTTGGTGCCCATGGGATTTACGACGGCCACGGAAATGCACGCGCGAAGAAGCGAGCTCATCTCAATCACCACAGGCTCAAAGCGCCTGGACACGTTGCTTGGAGGCGGTGTTGAAACAGGTTCGATCACAGAAATCTTCGGCGAGTTCAGAACCGGAAAGAGTCAGATCTGTCACACTCTTGCTGTGACCTGTCAGTTGCCATTTGACATGGGAGGTGGTGAAGGCAAGTGTCTATACATCGACACAGAGGGAACATTTCGTCCAGTCCGACTGCTAGCAGTTGCACAGCGTTATGGCCTCGTCGGTGAGGAGGTTCTCGATAATGTGGCGTATGCACGCGCATACAACTCAGACCACCAGCTCCAACTTCTTAACCAGGCTTCTCAAATGATGTGTGAGACTCGCTTCTCACTGCTGGTTGTTGACTCCGCGACATCTCTCTACCGCACAGATTTCAACGGTCGTGGTGAGCTTTCTTCGCGGCAGACTCATCTGGCCAAGTTTATGCGTACTCTGCAGCGTCTTGCAGATGAGTTTGGTATTGCCGTTGTCATCACGAACCAGGTCGTCGCGCAGGTTGATGGTGGACCAAGTGCCATGTTCAATCCGGACCCGAAGAAGCCTATCGGTGGTAATATTATTGCTCACGCCAGTACGACTCGTCTCAGCCTGAAGAAGGGTCGTGGTGAGACTCGAATTTGCAAGATTTATGACAGCCCTTGCCTCCCAGAGAGTGATTGTCTCTTTGCTATCAACGAGGATGGTATCGGTGATCCTACCGAGAAGGACCTGGAAGACAAATGATCAGCCTTTCTAGATTAACTTGACTACGACACGATGTTAGTGACTTGACGAGCAACATATTCAGTAGCTGTTTATGTGATTAGTGGATTCTCAGCGTTTAGAATACTTCATGGACATTAATTTATTGCATGAAACAAACCACCATAGCTTCAAATCAACCAGGCCCTTTGAAAATGTAATATAATCGATGTTTGGAGCTGAAGTAAAAGTGTCGGGAGTACTAGGCAGAGCTATCGCGCCAAATGCCAAGACTTTTGTTTTTTGAGCTCCCCGATAACTCTCTCTTCCCGCCCTTCGATCTTCCACCACCCCGGGCCATGGAGTGCTAAGTTGAAACTTATACTCAATCGATCATGGCGAAAATTTACAAAGATTCAAGGGTCGACCTTCGGCCATACGCGCCTACCACGGTCGCCAACATTCAAATCCCAACACAAGACAGCCTGATCCGTCGCCCACGCTTCTCGATCTCATCCGCCGACCAGGAACTCCCAATCGCCAAAGACGAAGACGAATTCGCGAGACGCTACTTGGCGACGCAAGGAGATGTATACTTTCGCAAGCGCAGGGTCTATCCGCGGACCTTCCTGTGGAGAGTCATCAACGACAACAAAGTCCTCGAGATCCAGTGCGCAGACCTGACGAAGGGTGGCACCGAGGTTTACGAATACAACGTGACTCTGCGATTGGATTTCCAGGAGGCAATCCTTCCATTTGGCGTCGAGCTTTCCGATTCCGAAGACCACGAGATCATCAACGTCTTTGTGATCACCGCCTCCAAGCACCTTCACACCCTGTCTCTACGCCCTGAATTCTTCCGCCGAACCTCCTCCATCGATGAAAACGTGAGGGACTGGTGCAAAACTTGCGTTCCTGCTCCTTTGGCCTTCTCGAACCCGCACCGACTGCATGCTAGCAGTCCTCTGGAGTTATTCATCTCTCTTGACAACGGCTCTTTGCTGCGATTGACCCGCAGAGCCGGCGATGATGGTGAGGCTTTCTTGCTTGTGATTGATATTTTTCGCGCGATTGCGGTATGCTGACTGCTACTACAAACAGGCTCCCACTGGTCTCCTCTTACCTTTGATGAAAGAACATGGGGTTCTTCGATTCGTGGCCTCGTTAAATGGAACGCACCCTCCTCCATCCGACACGACGGACGCAACCTCGATTTGAATGTCGCGAATGCGATCGCGACCACCTCCGACGAAACCTACGTATTCGCGATCTGTTTGAACCATACCCTCAAGATCTGGAATCTTGCAACGAACAAGCTTGCGGCGACAAAGGATCTTCTCGGACGCCAGCTCCAGGATCCGGATCTTGCTCCGTACACACTCAACCCCGCCGAGTCGTCATTCATGCGCGTTTTCAACGCCGAGCGAGCCATGGATGGCGGACACCGCTTCTACGCCGTCACATATTCGCCGTTCGAGGATGGCAAGTTCAAATTCTGGGCTGTGAAGGGTGGTCTCACGTCGGAGCTTGTGATTGAGGAACTATTCGCGGATGCTACTTTCCGACCCGTGGACCCGGATGCGACTGGCAACATGTTCTGGAGCATCGCTGATTTCCAGGTGAAATCTCGGGAAGAAGGCAAGGGCATGGAGATGTGGGTGCTTTGGAGAAACCACGGTCTTTACCAACTCTACACTTTGCACTTTGATCTGCAGACTCTGGTGTCCGATTGGGACAGCAAGTGGGTTTCAACGACATTCGAAACGCATCGCCATGAGCAACCGCCTACTCTACTCGTGGATGATGTTGTTGATCCGACCGAAAAGTGGCTCAAGTACCTGTTGCAGCCGAACAGATATCTGCCCGAGGTTTTGGAGACCGCTTTGGCTGTTTATCAAGAAGCTCTCAAGCCGCTTTCCTCTGCTTCATCCGGTGGGCTGAAGAAGAGCGTGCCTTTGGCGGAGCGCCTATGCTCCACGATAGCATCTGCAGTCTCTCTTCGCAAATTTGCCGATGATGAGATGGATTATGATCGCTTCACATCTGACACAGACTCGAAGTGGCGCCAGTTCTGGCAGGTCGTGGAAGACCTGAACAAGCGTCGATTTGAGCCCGTTTCCTTGGCTTACGATTCTTATACCGACATGCCTTGGCTTCTTCTCACTGACGCATGTGCGGTGGTGCGGGAATGCAGTATCACCGAGCTTTTGTTGCACAATTCTGAGACCGAGCTTAATGAGGGTGTGCCGCTCATGATGGATCGTTGGCGACACAGAAATGTCCCTCGAGAGATCGGCCCGGGCTCCCAGACTGCATCCCTCTTACTGAAGGCGGCAGCTGACTTCCGCAAGAAGTTCTCTCCTCAGCTTGATGGGGCGTGCAGGGCTGCCCTCCAGACTGAAATCTTCTCTGAGCCTTCTTCGTCCATTTTGGACCGGATGGACAGTTTCCGAGAGCGTTGCGACTTCACAAATCAGGTCTCCAACAAGACATTTGATAACTTGGACGCTGCCTTGAGCGAATACATGAACACGGATTGCCTACCCATGGATGCATTCCTTTCTATTATCACCACCGCCTCCCTTCACTTCTGCGGAGAGGACTCTGAGCTGTCCTCGACATCTTTCGGTGCAAGAGTTCTTGTCAGTGGTGCACAGGAAACAATTTTTATCATGCGCCAAATCTTCTTCGATTTGCTCATTCTGGTTACCTTCCTAGACGGTGAGGTGGAGCAATCCAAAGAGTCCGATTTCAACGCCCCCGTCCTCTTCTCCTCTCTTGTCGATCTTTTGCGTGAATACGAGATGATGTCTTGGCTCAGCTCTAATGTCCGCAAGTGTCCCGGCAGCCCTGCAGGTTTACACGAGTCATCAACGTCGAGACAACTCAAGGACGGCTCGAATGGCAAGAATCAACGGACTGCAAGCATTCTTGAGGACCTTTTCGTGACCGATATCAAGCCACAGCAAGCCATTGACTCACCACAAACATACACCCTGACTCTGGGTATCAGAGATGTCGTGGCTTGGATTACCCGCGAAGGCGAGGTCAATTATCAAAATGCTGTGGCGCACATTCAATGCGACCTGATAGCCAGGAACAACATTGATCTAGCATGGGACTTCCTTCGTTTCCAGTCGACCACTTCTTGGTCGACGTACGTGAAGGGCCGCCTGCATGCCGCTATGTCAGAATTTGATGCTGCGGCAATCTACTTCCGCAAGGCAGCTTACTTACTCTGTATGTATCTCGATTCTGGTTTCGTCTACTGATCAAGCAAGCTAACTTACCTTTAGCTTGTGGTAAGCCTATGGGCAACCTTTCCGACATGTCCGCAGAGCTGTTGGACCTCCTCGACGTGGACTGTTTCCACAACGGTCTCGCAAAATACTACCAGCACATCCTCTCAATTTTCGAAAAAGCGCGCTCCTACTCCCACGTCGCGGACTTCGCCAGCCTGGCGCTGCAAGCCCTTGACTCCGAAAGCTGGGCCGAACAAGACGTCGAATATTCAACTATCCGCGATGACCTTCTATCACGTCTGTTCACTGGAGCCTTGAAGACTTGCCAATTCGACCAAGCCTACTCGGCCCTGACCAGGTTACAAGACCTCAAGCTGCAAAGGAGTGAGCTTACTGAACTCATCTCCACCATCCTCGCAGTCTCCGGCCCAGGAACTGCCGGTCTCAAACAGATCCTCCGATTCCCCACTTCCCTCGTGCCCAACATCGCCTCTTTCATCGACGAAATTCTCGTCCACCTTACCCGCAAGCAGAATACCAACGTATCATGGCTGGACGCAGATAGCAAAAAATTCCAAGCCACCCCCGACTACACTCGCATCCTGCAAGCCTACCGCATCGCTCGCAGCGACTACCGCGGCGCTGCCGAAATCGCCTACCGCAACGTCCAAGAACTCCGCAAGGCTCGTGACACATCATCAGCCCTCACTCACAGCGGCAAGGAAGTCGACGACGCAGCCCGACCCCCAGTCGAAGAAGACGATGCGGAAAGCAAGGAAATCCGCCACGAGCTCCTATCTCTCATCAACCTTCTCGCCTGTGTCGATAAGAGCGAGGCCTACATTCTCGTCGAAAACGGTCCCCCCATCAGCACGACCTTCGGAGACGAGCGTCGCGCAAGCACACATGCCGACGAGGATGGAAATGTCTCCATGGAAGACGCCGATAATTCTCCCACCGGTCAACGCACCGCGGCCTTCCACCGCAGAGGCAGCAAGTCCTCCACCATTGACCGACGCGGCAGTGTCTCCTTTGAAGTCCCTGCTACGAACAATTTACTTAAGCGTCGTATCATCGTGACGCTTGAGCACCTTCGGCGTGAATTCCAGTCTGAGCTCGATCGGGTCAGTCGCATTGAGCGGGGTGATTGGGAATTCGGCTTCGATGAGGAGTTGCAGAATGATGATGACACGATGGTGCTGTAGTTGAGGCTGTACGTGGCCTGTGGCTCGTTGCAATTTGATCTTTTTTCTTTGCTCCAATGTATGGTATTCGCGATCGGTGTTTTCGTCTCTCCTTAGGATAGTTTCCAATTTTGGATGGGGTGCATAATGGATTTCCAAGGTTGTTCTTTAGTGTGTTTGACCTTCCACCTGGGCAAGGTTGTAGTTTAGTGACTTCCAAGTTGGAGTTTGCCCAGAGGGGTTAGGGACCTCCGGTTGGTATGGGTTTCCAAGGTTGGTGCCAATGGGCCTTTGTCTCCCTTAAGTCTTTACCTAGGTAGATCTGGAGAATTTCCAAAGGTGTTGTGCGAGGGGCGGCCATGGGTAGGTAGCATCGATTCCAAGCCCTGGAGGTTGAAGCCCTGGAGCCCCGAAGGAGGATTCGTTCCAAGTTAGTCATGGCTTTGTTCTAAACGTACCTGGGTTTTGAATAATTCACCTGGGCATGTAGAGTTACCAAGCTATGTAAGCAAACAAAGACAAACCTTGGAATTACAATCCATGATCCATGTATCCATGGATGTACATATCCCAACGGCCTTCCCCAAAAGGTGCCCCGGAGTTGTAAAAACCCCTGATCGGCCAACCCCTTCCAACTCCATTTCCCACCCTTTCCTGACAGAAACTCCGATCAGTTTGACTATCTGTATGATTCTAGATAGCTCTAAAAGCTCTTAAAATAACACCGGCGCGCAGGCATAGGTCTTGTGTCTTATACTTAGTGTGTATGACGAAGTTGACCAGGGTGTGCTTTATTCCCGGTCCCGAGGTCTCAATGTATATCTCTGCCGGACTTCGAGATAAACATGCCGATGTGTACATTAATCCGGCTACCCATTGACAATTTATCTTCCAAGGGTTAACTAGGTAACAGCTGAGCTTTTCGAAGTCATTTTACGGCAATTTTAACATGAAACGACCAATGAGTATTCAGTGGTGTCCACGGGTGGTCAAGAGGGCGACATCACCAGGCCTTATACGCCTATGACCGACTGAGTGCTAGAAATACCTAGTAGTAGCAAGGATAGTAAAATGAATAGAGAGAAATTTCTCGTAATTAATATGTAGATAAGACAAATAGATTTGGATCCATGGATGATTAAGATTGAAAGTAGACTTGGAATCGAAGTGTAGTAAGTACTAAAGAGGAGTATAGACGTGCTCATCCCACAATGGGCTTCTAAAATTCAATGACCAAGACAAAAAGCGTGCAATGCAAAGTAAATCACCCCAAGAAAGGGTATAAGAGGGTCAATGAGAGGAAAAAATGCATCAGGGTCATGTCAAAATCCATGTACACCGCGCCCCAAAATAAAAAAAATAACCCAAAGTCATATGTACCTCAAAGGAGTCCAAGAAGAAAAGACGCCTAACCTGTGCAATAAATGTAAATCCTCGAAGGGATCAAGACAAAATGGCGAATCGAACGAAATTAATCCAGCTCATCCATCGTCGCAGCACTCGCATAGAGTTTGCTGAAATGAGACTTTGGCTCCTTGAGCAAAGTCCAAGGCTCCCCGTTCTCAACAATCTGACCTGCATCCAAGACAACAATGCGATCGTAATCAAGGATTGTATCGAGCTTGTGTGCCACGGAAATAATAGTATGACCGCAGAACTTCTCACGAATCACACGTTGCATAATCTCATCGGTTTTGGTATCAATACTGAGAAAAACCGTTAGTCATATGAAGCAAGGGATGTGTCTAGGTTACACTGTGGGGAAGTGCTGGCAATGCATAGATCCGAAGTCAAAAGAGATCTGCGCTCGGATCCCGGCTCCGCGCAAGCGATCATGCAGGGGAGTGTAGATAACAAGGGGGAAATGACTTACTTGCTAGTAGCCTCGTCCAGGACTAGGATGTTGCCCGGGCGAAGGATAGCGCGAGCAAGGCAGAAAAGTTGTTTTTGGCCGTGCGACAAGTGGATCTCGTCGATGTCCGTGTCCAGGTTGCCCTTTTCTTGCAGCACAGGGAGGAGTTGAACGCTTTTGAGCGCTGCCAAGATATCTTTGTCGGTGTAGCATCCGGTTGGATCCGCGTTCAGGCGTACACTGCCCTTGAAGAGGAGGGAGTCTTGGGAGACGCCGTTGATGCGGGATCGGATCTCTCGTCGGGGAAGTTGGCTGATGTCGACTCCGTCAACTGTGATGGTGCCGCTGGTCAACTCCATCATTCGGAAGAGACTCATGATCATAGATGTTTTCCCACTGTTTTTTGTAGATTAGCATTGAGTACAAGGGAGATGGTGTAAACTTTTCTTACCTTCCGGTTCGACCACAGATGCCGACTTTCTCACCGGCCATGACGTTCAGAGAAACGTTGTTGAGAACTGGCTCATTGGGCCTGTAAGCCGCGGAGACAGAATCGAATTTGATTGCTCCGTTGGAAGGCCAGTTGGGGGGAACATCCTTGTCTTCACCAGCCTTGTCCTCCGATTCGACAGTAGTGGTAAAGTCCTTAACACGCTGGATGGAACCGATGTGAGTTTCCAAGTTGGTCCAGAAGGTGACCACAAGCTTGATGCTCTGGCTGAACTGGATGACGTTCAACAAAGCGACACCGACGGATCCAGCACTCAGAGCGGATCCACGGAGGGCGACGACCAGGATGATAAGGAGAACGGCAATACCAGCGACCACCATGTCGAGAGACAGAGTAAGCCAGCGTTGAATAGCAAACATGAAATAGAATGGACGCTGTGAGAGATCGAGGAGCTCAATGTTCTTCTGCTCCATAGCGTGTTGCCAACCGAATGCGCGCAGGGTCACCAGGCCCTGAAGACAGTCCGTGAAGTGAGAGTAGAGCGGAGCCTTGGCCTCAAGGTCGAGGTAACGAAGCTGGCGTGAAGTGCGCAGATAGATTTTTTGGATGATGAAAAGCAGAGCGAGAACGAATGGGAATGAAATAGCAGCGTATTTGGAAGAGACACCGATCAGTGCCATCTGGGCGAGGCAAAGGAAGAATGTCGCAACGGTGTTGATGGCAGCGATGGGGAGTTCCATGTCGATGAGCATCAAATCTTGACTGAATCTGTTGAGGATAGCACCACTATCCGTGGAAGAGAAGAACAACATAGGCGCACTGAGAACAGTGGTCAAAAGCTTGCGGTGGAAGAACTCGCCCGACTTCGGGACCATCTTGATGATCATTTCCCAAGAGCCAGCAATCAAAGAGAGCATTGCAACACAGCCCAGCATCACGTAGATACCAAGGTAGTGGCCAATCTCCTGTTTGGGGTGGGCAGTGTCAGACTGGGCCCACCATTTGAGCCAGATGCTGGGGAAGGAAATGCAGAAGACGAATCCGGCAATGGCGACCACGAAAAAGACGGCTGGGAACCAGCCAATGGCGCTGACATAGTAGGTGTAGATTCCTAGATCGCCACCAGCGTCGTGGTTCTCTGGCTCTTGAATCTCTGGCTCCTGAACCAATGACTCCTTCTCTTTCAGAGTAGTGCCGACGCTGGAGTAGGTTGTAGATCCCGAGTAGCGCCGATTAGTGTATTCCCAGTCAGGTGAACCAAGTCCGAAGCTTGAAACGTATCCACCGGTCTTGTTCAGGGAAGCGAAGGTGCCTTGCTCCAAGATCCGGCCATCTGATTCCAAGACAACAATGTGATCAGTGTAGGGAAGGCGGGTCACAGAAGATGAAGCGACAATGACGGAAGTTCCGAATTGGCGGAAAAGACCCATTTGACCGAAGAGGCTGTGGAAGATGTGGTTCTCGGTTGTTGCATCCAAGCCGCTAAGGGCATCATCGAGAATGATGATCTTGCGGCGGGCGTAGACAGCACGAGCGAGCGCGATGCGTTGACTTTGACCTCCACTCAGAGCGACACCTTTGCTTCCGATGACAGCAGCGTCACCGCGTGGGAAATGTGCGAGATCCTCCTCCAAGGCGCATGCCTGGAGCACTGAGGCGTACCATTTGGGATCATAACCAGACATGGCAACAATGCTTTCTTTGATAGTTCCGTTCATGTGCCACGGAGTCTGATCACAGAATGCAACACTGGAGGACGAGAGTTCAACTTTGCCGTGCGCGGATGGGATCTCTCCAAGAAGAGCCTTGAGAAGTGTCGACTTTCCACACCCAGAAGGTCCGATGAGCATGGTAAAGCTGCCGTTGGCGACAGTCACATTGATGTCCTTGAGAATCGCATCTTTGTCTGCCTCCCATCCAAAGCTTCCACCTTCAATCACCATGGCATTAGAAGAACAGGGGGTACTGAGGCGCATGAAGGACTCAGTCGAGTCAGTGTGAATGGAACCGAGATCGAGATCGACGGATTTGGGAAGCAGGCGCTTCTCATCAATATTGTCGTGGGACTGAGTTTCAGAGGGTTTCTGTCGGCCATCGGAATAGGTATCCTTCTCAAGGAATTCCTGGATGCGTTGGAAAGATCCGACCGCGCCGGCAAATGACATCAGCGCCATGACGAGAGTCAGGAGCGGGTCTGCGAGAAGCGAAAATAGAGACAAAGAAGTGAAAACGCGAGAAACATTCAATGGCTCGCTCGAGATGCCAACATAGATACCAAAAGTGAAGATCGGGGCAAATATGCGTGTCAACCAGCCGAAACCCATGTTGTAAACCAGAAGGGTTCGGAATTTTCTGGAGATATCCAATTCGCTGAGTCGAAGTCCATGCACAAACTTCATGAAGGAATCTTGCAGACCGAGCATCTTGACTCCCTTGATCGACCCAAGCATACCGGAAGTAGAGGAAATACGCTTCTCGATAGCCTCCAGCCACTTGGCCTGGTGAGCGACAACGAAAGACATGCCCACCAGTGAGCCAACCAAGGCGAAAAGTGCAACGCAGACGGGCACAATGCAAGAAATACCGAGCTGCCGTTCTAAGAGGTAGATGGCAAGGGCAATTTCGACGGAATTAGCCCAGATTTCATGGAGGGTAGACCAGCCCTGCGTGATGCGCTCAACGTCCGCACTCATAAGAGTCATTGAGTTTGCCGGGTCGGCGTCACTCAGGGTGAGACATGTGGCTTTCTTGTAAAGCATTGTAATAAGCACTCCTCTCACCATGGTAATTCCGCGGTACGTAAGGTGCTGGTATTGTCCCATGGAGATTGCCAGGCCGCCATACACCATGATGTATGCTCCAATAAGACCATATCCAATGTTCGTGTTAGACGGGTCAACGGGAGAATTGAAGAAAGATAGCGATCTTTCCAGGAGCAAAGGCTGACAGAAGTTGAAAGCTACGACACAGGCTCTTGCGGGGATACCAGCGAGCAGTGGCCATTTGGCAGCCTTCATAGACTCCCATTGCAAAGTATTCGGGGCTTTGGTGTTGACTAGCTTGGTCAGCGATGTGGAAGCTTCAAGGCAGACGGATGGGAAATACCTTTGCTCCATTTTTGTGAGAATCGAGCCAGGAGACGCTCGGAACCAAGCTCCTTATCGAGGGCAAATAAGTCCTCCACGCGAAGAGCACCATTGAAGCCAATTTTGAAAAGTGGGTTCAGCCACCAGAACATAGCACGGTTATAGAAACCCGCTGTGGCTTCTGGTGGATAGCCTGCATATTCCGATTGCAAGATATGTCTCTTTTCGATAGCTTCCAGAATAAAAAGCAAACACTTGACGCCAACTGCAACCGTAGTAATAATAGCAATGGTGGTGTTGAATGAATCTTCGCTGCGCAGCCATAGCGTCCTCGACCGAGCAATATCGAAAAGCAGGCTGCAGAAGAGGTAGGTATTTAAAATGAAAGATGGTTTCACCGAGCGCACATGTTCTGCATATGAAAGCAAACTCAGCACAAGCACGCCGACAGTCAGCAATGCATTAGCTGGGATAGATGTCTTCGTCCTGTCGGCTGCCGGAAGAGCCCATAGGGCTGTCTGTGCGATTTGAAGTCCCAGTAAAGCCAACCAAGCTGCCTATAAATCACCAAAAAGGTAAAGTGGTTAGACATGCATATCGTTATATTGAAAGCGAATGGATGTTGAAGTGGTGGATCTCATGCGGGCTGCGGAAGAAAAGGGAAAGAGGAGGGGGAAAATTCGGACGACTTACAAGCTTGATAAACACCAAAAAGGAGCTCACGACTTTGTTTCGAGTGTGTGAGAGTTGCCAAAGTCGAACAGGAGCAATGATTAGCATTAAAAGAATAGGTAATATTTGGAGGATTGATTCCTCGAACAAAAGAGAAAAGTCGAATCCTCCGCGACATGAGCCAGCATCAATACGCAGAGTATTGTCAAGATCATGGCACGAAGGCCCTGTGAAGCGAGTGGATGCCATGTCTAATCTTCAACCAGCTGGCGGCAAAGGCTGGTTAAGAATAGAGAGACTTAAAGAGAGTGATGGGGATTAGGATTCAAAAGAATGTATGATTTGAACAGACGTGCATTAGGGGGAACTTTGGCCTTTTGGCTTAGATCAGATACATCTGAAAGTAATCTTGTAAATGTGAAATTTACTAGAAAAATCGAATTAACAGGTACATAGGGCTAAACCAGGCACGTATCCCTCTTTGCAGGAGATGACTACATCTAGGAGCACTACTACACTGAGACCACATCCTCACCCTTTGACTGGCTCAATGCACTCGAGTGGAAATGGAAGACAGCAGCGAAAGCCCTCGTCTTACAATGCCAATACTGACATTTTCTCTGTGAGCTCATCTAGACCCGGATTTGGTACCGGGGTGTGTACTATGACCCATTTGGCTGCACCAAACAGGGAAAGTGATTTTTAGGGGCGATTTTTTTTATAGAATTTTTCTGATGGATGATTTGCCCCATAGTCAATTCCGTTTCGAGAGTAGGTCCGTGACTCCACCTATCTCGTCAGGATATGGATATCTTCATTTCAATATCCAATTGTGCTGTGTGCAATTTACCCCTTGAGGATGTGGGGGTCATTAGGCCTTCCTCCCCTGGAGTCGCCGAACTCAATATGACTCTGGGGTCGGGTAAAACAACACGAGGGAGGCGTGCTGCCTTGCAGGAACAATTCACTATGCTTCTGAATTGAACCAATGGCGTTTTTCCATCCACTTTTCATGTCGGTCAAGTCCCGTGTCCCTGGTAACTGCGGCCAGCACCAACGCGATGCGAGGACCGAAAGCCTCTGTTCTGTGCGGGAGATCATCTTAATTCGGTGATCCCGGGGCGTTGCTGCGCTTCGCTTGAAATGTGTTTGTTCTATTGGTTTTCTGTTTAACTTCGGAGCTTTGACATGCTTTGCTTGACCGCATGGCTATTTTACCCCAGCTGAACTCGGACACGAGGACTTTATGCACCAAGTGACTCGGTGAAGTATACTTTTCTGATCTCCACGGAGCGAATGTATTCAAAATCAAATCATTCTTCAAATCTTGCATTTTGCATTGGCACAGAAGCAGCAATCCGTTTGTCAAGGGTGAAATTCTGGTTGTCCAATCTCTGATCTCAAAACACCCCACATAACTCCACCACTCATGGCCAATGTTTGTTTTTGTTTCTTCAATACTTGCAGGGGGACCAGGGTAGTCGACCATGGGTGTTGAAATTCTTTCTCCGCTCTCGACCAATCGTTGGTTTTTACTTCAATTGCTTGCTTTGTTGACCTTTTTGTAGACTACGGAGTACAAGAAGTACGATACTCGAAGGTCGGCGTTTCATCGGCTGAGCTCGGCATGCGTAGATTTCAATCCAGACTGGCCGACGTATTGTCCCGCTACCAAGACGTGCTGCTTGTGGTGACCGCTAGCCAATCTGCATACAACGGGGTATGTACCTACAGCTGTTGGCGCCTGACGTGAAGTTCGACCAGCACTAAAGTGACAAGGATTACCCAGTTGCATTCGCCATTGTCTTAGAAGCGTGGTTGACCGGTGGCGAATCCCGGCATCTGCATAAATTCACCCTTGACTGTCCAATTTTATACCTATGCATTTTGACTTCATAACTACGACCTACATGTACCTTCTGTAGAAAGCCCCCTTTCAAATCCTCAAAATCGTAGCGGAACCCAAATCCAATTTAAACGACCCACATATTTAATCTATCTAGCTTTAGAGTTGGAGCTCTGAAGAAATGGAACCTTCTAAATTGACCTGTCAGAGAAGTGGATCGACGATGAGATTTTCGCCGGTCAGTTTTTTCACTTGCTATTCTCGTCTAGCGTTGGCACTAGGCCTCTCAATCGGCGCCAGCCTACCGCGGGATCTATCTTGATTTGTGCCGCTAGCAACTGCCCAGCGGCGCCCCTTAGCGTTCGCTCTCAAGCCACCCGAGTGGCTACGAGCCCACAAGCCCTCGTAAGGCCCCACAGGCATCACTGTCGATCATCCCGATTCACCCGTCATCTGCGGCCATTGTTGGTGTCACCGGTGGATCTCGGTTAGACACCTGGGCAGGCCCATAAAAAACATCAAATTTCCGTCAAACGAGAGGTCATCGCGATCTAAAGAGTACGGTTTTTCGGTTAGCAAGTGGAACTCGCAAGCTCGGAACCTTGCCAGTCGCAAGCCTAACTACGTATGTGTAGGGGATATATATTTTTATTTCCAAGTCTGGCCCCAACATCCATGGATCAAAGTGGAGATGACAAATGTACTCCGTACATACGAAGTACGTTCCAAGGTTCCAGATCAGGATTAAAGCTAAACGAGAGCCAAATGAAGTGTAAGATACCCTTAATAATTATTTGTGAATAAAGAAAAAAATTGGCAAAAACCTTGGAAAAATCTCGGCTTCGAACAATGTCAGCCACCTGGGCACACCCCGATGCATACGGAGTACAATCGCACCAATGAACAAAGGTACAGTACATAGCTTCACGTGGACTCATTCCAGGATTTGGAGAACCCTACGATAAATCACATCGGTGTACGGACTAAGGAGAGTACCGAAGTACGGAGTGGGATAGGAGAATAGGAGAATTCTTTGTACATGTCAAGTCCCACACTGAAAGGAACGCATTTTGATATCCCACTATTAAAAAAAATAGATTAATGCCAAGTCGACAGGTCGCGGGATTCGGTTACGCCCGCATCCCTTGGAGACCCTTGCAGCAGCCACACCTCGCCGGGTGACTCGGCTTTAGCTGCTAAATCTTAGACACACCAGGTACCCAAACTGCTCCGTAACGTGACTCGAGAAAAGATATGGCCGAAATAGGAGTCAATCGCCGGCCCACTTCCGCCGGCCCAATAAGGTCCCACTTTAGCCGAAAAGGTTCCCAGATTGCTTCAACTTTGGTTTTTAATATAGATCTCCAGATCTCAGGTCTGAACCTTGGAAGGGATGACAATCTGATCTCTGAAGCTCCAAGATTCTCCCCCGCAATAAGGTTTGTTACAACCTGCCAAGGTTGGAGATACATGTTCCCCGGGCTTTGAGACACGATGGGATCATATGTAGATAGACACTTTTGACTTTCCGACCATGACAGATACACCAGTCTGCGGTCGTGCCTGATCAGAGTGGCGAATCACTCTTAACGAGGTTGTAGTTACCATGTATACACTCAGTTGAACCTTGCTGGAGAAGTGCATCTATCGAAGCATGCGTTGTCTGAGAGCACTACAACCTCAACGGATAATCCGGGGATGGTGCCATGTGCGAGTCGGTGTAACTTGGGGTTGATCTCACGAGCCCCTCGACGCTCGTATACCTGCGCTGCCAATGCATCGGAGCAGTCAAAGTCTTCGTCCGCACGAGGCGAGGGCGTCTACTGGCACCTGCACTCGTTCTCCAGACTACCTCTCTGTGTTTTGGCCCGAGTCAGCAACATCAGCAGCGTCAGCACGCGGCATTGAGGCTTGTCAAGAGCCTTGTCAGTTTTGAAAAAGGAAGTTGAAATTCAAAACCCAATAGGGAAGACAAAAATAGCAATGACGAATCGGCTCAGCGGCGCCTCGGCCTCAATAATTCCCACGTTCGAGGCCCCCAAGGGTCTCTATCTACGGAGCAGTCGGGGAGCTGCATCTTCTCGCCTTGGAAAATTTCTCATGAAGTGCTAGGACTTGGGAGTTTTGGGAGTTTTGGGACCCCTGCATGGCGAATTTCAGTTTTTAGTTCAACTTACGTGTAGGTGAAGTTAGCTTCCAAGGGTTAAAAAGAAAATCGAAAGTAAATCGGGAAATTAGATATCCCCAATCAGTGTGTCTGAGATGGTTCCACAGGGGCTAACACACACCTGATCCACTACTGTCTGCCTTTTCGTTGCTCTACTTTTTTTTTTTTTTTTTTTTTTTTTTTTTTTCTCGTTTGGCTCCCTTCTAGATCCATATGCAAGGAAAATAGGGGATTTGCCATGTCCGTTGTAGTTACTGGTTTCCGGTAATCGTATGCGAGCATGGCCTATGCATTCTTGGGCCCCCCCGGCCTTAGTTTAGTAGTAGCGAAATAGTACGTTATCGTAATAAATCTTGAAAAGAAAATTTAATAAAACCTGTCACTCCTCTCTAAAACAACAGGAACTCGTCTGTATTCGCGTGCGCTTCCCACTAATCTCTTGGATTCGGTCGTTCATCATCCAAGGAAGCCCTGTATACTCTCAACTAATTACGAAACGAAACGACCACCCCAGATTAGCAGAAGTTTGGGCCAGTAGACGACATGGCACAATCCACTCAATGCTATCTTCCTCGATTCGCCTCGGCGGTCGATGGGCCTAAACGCCCAATCTCGATGAAGACGAGACCAACGGCCGCCCAAAATGCGCAGTTATCAACCGCATGGGATGAGGGCCGTCTGGATTCCATTTTGCGAGCGACCTGGGCGCTCGTCCTGCATTACTATATCCGCACGGAGGATATTTCATTTGGTTACCAACATCTCGAGGGCGATTCGTGCCCGCAATCTGTACAGCGCACCGACAGCGACATTTCCACGATCTGCATTTCCATCAACGACAACGACTCTCTCACGGCAATTGTAGATAAGATTCGCGAAAATGGCTCCATGCGACGGTCTGATTCCTCGAAGGCCTCCGAGGGGCATCTTCCTTTCAATACCATTTTGATGTTGCGCACATATGACCCTTCAGCTGCAACTTCTACGCCTCTCATGGCATCGGCGCTCCCGGAAGAGGTGAGTGAATTGAGAATTGAGATGGATCAATCTCAAGTTCACGCTAACCGTGAACAGTGCCAAGTTCGTCTCCATGTAAAGGTCCGACGTGGAGACATCAGCATTTTCCTCGAATGGCGTCAGGGTGACATGTCTGGAGATCAGATGAAGAGCGTCGCCAATATCTTTGAGCAGTTGCTTGCCAAGATTCTTTCTGCTGAGAACACCGCTATTAGCCAGCTTAATTTGTTCTCGGAGAATGACTGGGAACGCATCGGCAAGTGGAACTCCACTACTCCGCAGCTCCATGATCGCTGCATCCACGAAGTCATCCATGACCAGATGCTTAGTGGGCCAGACCGTGAGGCCATTTGCGCATGGGATGGTAGCTTGACGTTTGGAGAGCTGGATCACCTAGCCTCGAAGCTTGCGTGTCACCTTCGCATGCAGGGAGTCGGACCGGAAGTCCGCGTGGGCTTATGTTTTGATAAGTCGGTAAGTTGGGTGTGTATTGACGCTAAGCCGACCAATGGCTGACGAAGAACAGAAATGGTACACCGTTGCGATGCTTGGCGTTATGAAAGCCGGGGGAGCTTTCTCTCCCCTCGACCCATCCCACCCCACGGCACGACTGCAGAGCCTCGTGGGCTCGATTCAAGCTTCGGTTGTGCTGTGCTCTGAGAAACATGCAGAACAGCTTCGTCCAGTCGCGAAGACGTTAATACCCCTTTGCGCCGAGACGGTGGATGCTCTGTCCTACCCGGCGAATGGTGTTGATCTCGCATCGGGTGTCACAAGTCAGAATGCAGCTTATGTTCTGTTTACTTCCGGATCCACTGGCGAACCCAAGGTGAGCGTTATGTCGCACAGGAAACGGATCAATTTGCTGACTCGTCACAGGGAACCTTGCTGGAACATCGTGCGTTCCTGTCCAGCGCGATGGCGCATGGCCCCGCACTGCATATCAGCCGCGAATCGCGATGTCTCAACTTCGCTGCACACACATTCGATGCCAGTCTGGCTGAGATTCTAACGCCTCTTATCCATGGCGCATGTGTGTGCGTTCCTAGTGAGGAAGCTCGTCTCAACGACATGGTGACCCCCATCAATGAGATGCGAGTCACCCAGGCAAGCTTTACGCCGTCATACATCGGGTTTATTGACATCGAGAGCGTGCCAGGACTGGAAAGTCTGGTGCTGGCCGGAGAGGCAATGTCGCAGTCCCAACTGGCCACTTGGTCTGGAATTAAACTGGTCAATGGATATGGCCCAACGGAGGCAAGTGTCGGATCCGTGTTTAATTCCTACGTCACACCAAACACCGATTGTAAAGATATCGGTACTCCTACAGGTGTCCGGGCCTGGCTTGTGAACCCTGAAAATCATGACGAGCTGGTTCCTGTGGGGTGTCCGGGAGAACTACTTTTGGAGGGCCCGTCCCTGGCACGGTGCTACGTGAATAATCCCCAAAAGACCAACGAATCGTTCATCTACGACCCTGCCTGGACTCAATACGACCCCAATAATACTACTCCCAACCGAAGATTCTACAAGACTGGTGATTTGGTCAGATACAACGGGGATACTGGTGCTTTGAATTACATTGGTCGGAAGGATACCCAGGTCAAAGTGCACGGTCAACGCGTTGAACTTGGCGAGATTGAGACTAAGCTGGGTACGGACGACCACGTCACTCACTGTTCCGTCTTCTTTCCCAAGTCCGGCTTTTCGAAAGGCCGTTTGGCCGCCGTTCTTTCTTCTGCTGGCTTGCTCGCAGAACAGTCCGACTCGGCCTCGGACCCCCTACGACTACTCTCCGCCTCGAAAAAGGCCGAGCTAGTCCCAGGTGTCCGCGAACGCTTGTCCAGCCGCCTTCCAACTTATATGGTCCCTGCAGTTTGGCTTTGCGTCGAAGCACTTCCACTCTTGCCTTCGGGGAAACTCGACCGCAAGGGCATCGCCACTTGGGTCGCAGGTATGGAGACTGATCCGGATGTTCTCAACAATGCGTCTGCGCTGGTCATCGACGCAGAAGCAACCCAGCCTGCAAACGACAGAGAGGAAGCCCTCGCTGCAGTATACAGCCGGGTCCTCAATATTCCCCAGAACCAACTTAACCTTAATGAGAGCTTCCTGGCCCTCGGAGGAGATTCCATCGCGGCCATGACATGCATTGGCCTCTGCAAGAAGCGCGGGTTCGCTCTTTCAGTACAGGAGCTGCTGCGCAGCAAGTCGATCCGTGATCTCGCCACTCGCGCCAGGACAATCGAGCATCTGACCACTTACGAGGAAGCCGTTAATGAGCCATTCAACCTTTCGCCTATTCAGGTGCTTCACTTTGGCGTTCGTAAAGAGGGCCAGGGTCACTTCAACCAGGGTATTGTCACTCGTCTCAACAAGTCTATCGGAGAAGGAGCGCTCCGCAAGGCAGTTGAGAGCTTGATCTCCCGCCACTCGATGCTCCGCGCCCGCTACACTGACACAGGGTCCGCGACTGCTTCGAGCCAATTTGTTACTCGCGACGTCAAAGGTTCCTACCGATGGTGCTCGCACAGTGTCGACACCATGGAACAGGCAAAGACACATATCGCTAAGAGTCAAGCGTCTATCAACTGCTTCTCTGGACCCATGTTGGCCATTGATCATTTCAAATTTAAGGGTCAGCCCGACGTTCTCTCGATGACCGCACACCATCTCGTTGTTGACATTGTCTCGTGGAGAATCATCCTGGAAGATTTGGAGGACTTTATCCTCAATCCCGACAAGAGTGTCGCCAACGACGGATCGCTGCCTTTCCAGACCTGGTGCCGCTTGCAAGAAGAGCACTGCAAGACCATGCGTGCCGAGCAAAAGGTCGCGAAAGACACGATCCCTGCTCCCGACTTTGCCTACTGGGGTCTCGAGAACAATGCCACCACATATGGCGATGTTGACTGCAGTTCCTTTGAGATCGATGCGGCTCACAGCAACGCGATTTTATTGGAATGTCACAAAGCCCTTGGCACTGAGCCGATTGACTTGTTCCTTGCAGCAATGCTCCACTCGTTTGGCCGATCCTTCCCCGATCGCGCGCTGCCAACGATTTTCAACGAAGGGCACGGACGTGAAGTGTGGGACTCCGCCATCGACATCTCGCACACAGTTGGCTGGTTCACCATCGTTCACCCCATCTTCGTTTCTGCATACAAGTCTGACAGCCCAATCGACACTCTCATTCAGGTCAAGGATCTCCGTCGCAGGGTGTCTGACAATGGCCGCGCGGATTTCACCAATCGGGTTCTCCCCGCCGAGGGTCGCCAAGACCCCGATCACCCTCATCCCTTCGAGATGTCCTTCAACTATGTTGGACAGCACCGTGACTTGCAAAGAACAGATGGATTATTCCAGCTTGTTGACGCGATGGCCGGTGAGGCCGGCCAGGGAGGTGGTGCTGCTGACTTTGGACGCGACACTCCTCGATTCGGACTGTTTGAGATCTCGGCCATGGTTGTTGGTGGTAAAATCAGATTCAACTTCTCATTCAACAAGTTCATGAACCACCAAAACCGTATTCACCAGTGGGTTACCGATTGCCAGCAGCTTCTTGTCTCTCTTTCCGAAAACCTTCTCACTCTTTCGCCGCGTGTCACTCTGAGCTCCTTCCCTATGCTCTCTTTGACCTATCCAACCCTGGATAAAGTGCTTAACGAGAAGCTGCCAGCCCTGGGTATCGAGTCTATTGATCTCGTTGAGGATATGTATCCATGCTCGCGAATGCAGCAGGGTATTCTTTTGGGTCGCAAGCGCGATAGTTCCTACTACGCCGTTCATGATACTTTCGAGGTTCGCGCGACAGGTGCTTCCAAGCCCAACCTAGATCGATTGTTGAACGCCTGGCAGCAGGTTGTGGCTCACCATGCTATGTTCCGAACCATCTTCGTTGAGAACCTCACTCCTCGTGACCCATTCTGCCAGGTTGTGCTCAAACGTTGCGATATCACTCCGACCCTCCTACACTCATCCAGCGAAAATGACGTTCTAGCCACCTTCGACAAGCAAGAGCCCAAGAACTACGCCGATATTACCCCGGCGTACCGCTTCACCATCTGCCAAACACCAAGTGGAAAGCTCTTTGCACGCATCGAGATGAGCCATGCGGCAATGGATGGTAACTCAATCTCCATCATCCTTCGCGACCTCCAGCTGGCATATGCGGGACGCCTCGAGGAGAACCCACGCCCCCTATTCAAGGATTACATGGAGCACCTCCAAGACGCACCCAAGGACGCCAGCATGAATTACTGGTGCACTTATTTGGGCGGCGCACAACCCAGTGTCTTCCCCAAGCTCACCGACGGTGACCAAGCCGGCAAAGCCCTCCGATCGATTCCTGTGCAATTCACAGGTTTGAGCCAGCTGCAGGCTGTTTGTGAGCAGAGTGGCATCACATTGGCTAATGTCTTCAATGCCGCTTGGGGTTTGACGCTGCGCGCTTTCTGTGGTACCGATGATGTCTCATTCAGCTACATGGCCTCTCTTCGTGATCTGCCAGTCGACAATGTGCGTTGGGTCATCGGTCCAGTTATCAACTTGTTGGTCTGTCGGATGAAGATGTCCGGAGATTGCAAGCTCAGCGACATGTTACACCAAGTTCAAAATGACTACTTGGAGAGCCTTCCCCATCGCCACACCTCGCTCATTGATATCCAACACGCCTTGAAGATGTCCGACAGCAAATTGTTTGATTCCGGTGTTTCCTACCGTCGACTGCCCGGCTCAAAGGATGCTGTTAGCAGCGACATTGAGTGCGTTGAAGTTGGCTCAATTCACGACCCTGCTGAGTTCCCGGTGTTTGTCAATATTGAGTCCGAGGATACCAAAGCTCACATCGATTTGAACTACTGGACCACTACACTGTCCGATGCTCAGGCTGCCAACGTTGCCAGCACCTATGTGCGCTGCCTTGAGAGCATCATTTCCAACATGGATGGCGAGCTCCGCCAACTGGACACCCTGGGCGATGAGAACCGAGCGCAGATTATGACCTGGAACAACAAGTCACCCCAGCCCTTTGAGAAATGTGCTCATCAGGTTGTCCATGAGATGGCGAAGAAGCGTCCTGAGTCTCTAGCCATCACTGCCTGGGATGGCAATCTCACCTACGCCAAGCTGGACCAGTATTCCTCTCGTCTTGCCAGCTATTTGGTGACCTTCGGCGTTGGTTCTGGTACTCTCATTCCAGTGTGTTTCGAGAAGTCGGTCTGGAACACCGTCTCGATCCTCGCCATCATGAAAGCCGGTGGTGGCTGCATTCCAGTAGACACAGCTGAAAGCATGACAATGGTAGAGAAGTGGATCGTCGACAATGTTGTTCAGGTTGCTCTGGCGTCCCCCGAGAAAGCTCATCTGCTCGAGGATACGGTTCCATATGTCATTCCAGTCACCGAGTCCCTTCTCGAGTACTTGTCCGATGAGACGCTGAAGACCGTCTCTCACCCGTCTGATGTAGCATATGTCGCTATGACTGCCGGTGTCTCTGGCCCGCCCAAGACTGTCGTTCTCGATCACTCAGCTGTCATGACCCGTGCCGAGGCCTTCGCGACCACCATGGCTATCGCGGACGTCTCTAGAACACTCCAATTTGCTACCCACACCTCCGACTCGTTCCTTCTGGAGACTTTCGGTACCTTCATGTGGGGAGGATGTGTCTGCATCCCTGCCGATATTGATCCAACTCACTTGGCTGCCTCAATCAATGTCCTGCATGCCAACGTCGCAAGTATCACCCCGACGGCTGCTAGCTTCTTCTCGCCTAAGGACGTGCCTGGACTGAGGTCAATCGCTCTTGGTGGTGAAGTTGTCACTCAGAGTGTTCTCGACCGATGGCAGACCGATGATCTCCAGCTACAGGTCCTGTACGGGACGAGCGAAATCTCCTCAGCTTGCTTCCATGTCTTCTGCTCGGAAGGCCAGAACGAGACCGCGTTTGTTGGCAAAAGTCCATCATGCACTGGGTGGGTCGTTGATCCCGCCAATCACGAGAGGCTCGTTCCTATCGGCAGCGTCGGAGAACTCGCGATTGAGGGTCCCGTTCTCGCTCGTGGGTACCTGTACAACAAGGTCGCGGAAAGCAATGATTATTTCCAAAATCCTTCATGGCTGTCTGGTGGTGGTGACTCTAAGGGCCGCTTTTTCAAGACTGGAGATCTCGTTCGCTACAACTCCGATGGATCCTTGACTTTCGCCGGTCGCAAACACGCACAAGTTGAATCTGGGATTTCTGGCGACTTGTTCCAAACCCAAAACCGTCTCGATTCCTCGGTTGGACCTCAGAGCAAATCTGTTGTTCAAAAGATCCAGCTAGGTAGCGAAGAAAACAAGACAAAGTCACTGGTCGCCTTTTTGGTGACCGCGGATCCCATCTCAGCTACCTTCGGGCAGTCCGTTGTTCAGCCTGCGGCCTCTGAGCTCAAGGCCTCCATTGCAAACCTGCACAATCAGTTGAGTATCAGTCTTCCTGGTAACAAGGTTCCGAGTATTTACATTCCGATCTCCTCCCTTCCCCTGACCGACTCCGGAAAGCTTAACCGTCAGCGATTGACTACAGAAACACAGCAACTTTCCAGCAATGCCATCCAGTCTTACAACATCAAGAGTTGGAACGGGTCCAAGGGTGCCAATCGCGCCTCGCGACATGCCAGTCTCTCTCAAGCTAGCATAGCTTTCTGGAAGGAGTACCTTGACGATGTCGAAGCTTGTATATTCCCTACTATCTCGCACGAGACAGCCGCGAACACCCGTGAGACGCGGTCACTCAAAAAGCAGACTGACAAAATCAATGCTTTCGGGGAATCATCAGGTCTGTCGACGGAGGTCATCTTCCAGTTTGTCTGGGCTGTTGTCCTCAGTTGGCACACCGGCTCTAAGGATGTCTGCTTTGGATACACTGCGTCAAGCTCGAACGAGAAAACTTTGGATGCTCCAGGAATCGCAGCCTGCAGATTCCTAGTCCAGAACGAGAAGAAGCTACTGGAGACACTCCAGAAGGCGAAGGCGGACTCAGAGAACAGCGTCGCAAACGTGGCAGCTTTGGAAGCTGTCAAGCACCAGCTGGGACTGGATGATATCACCCTCTTCAACACCTCCCTCACGTACCAAACAGCTCTCTCTACCTCTAAAGAAACTGCCCATCAGCTGGGCACTTCCCCTGTCTACGAGATCATGGTTGAAGCTCAGGTTTCGGATTCCTTCGCCGAGATCCACTTCAACTACAGCTGCAAAGTCATCTCTTCCACCCAGATGAACCATGTGATTGACATGTTTGATCAAGTCTTGGGAGATTTGACTTCCCAGAATCTTCGCGATCGTGCCATCGGAGATATCGATATGCTCCCGGAGCGATCTCTGCGTCAGCTCCGCGATTGGAATGCCGCACCTCCACCCAGAGTAGAGAAATGTGCCGACGAGCTCATTCAGCAACAGGCACTTCTCCACCCGAGGGCGGAGGCCATCTGCTCATGGGACAAGAACTTCACCTACGGCCAACTGGAGATCGTCTCCAGCCGCCTGGCCCGCCACCTCTCTGGCCTCGGTGTCGGACCCGAAGTCTTCGTCGTTCTGTGTTTCGAGAAATCGGCCTGGGCAGTCGTTGCCCAGCTTGCAGTTCTCAAAGCCGGTGGAGCCTTTGTTTCCATCGATCCATCTAACCCCAATTCTCGACTCAAGGTTCTCATCGATGAGATCGGCGGTAAACTCGCTCTCTGCTCGTCTTCCGTCCACGCGAATATTTCTCAATTGTGCAAAAACTCGTTCGCTGTCTGCCAGACCTCCATTTCGCAGCTTTCGGACTCGCCTTTGGCCTTGTCGGGCGTCCGGCCGACTCCCTCGAGTCCCGCATACTCCATCTTCACATCTGGTACCACTGGAAAGCCCAAGGCAACCGTGGTTGAGCATATGGCCCTGACCACTACCGCACTAGCACTGAGTGATTCCATGAACATAATGTCCACCACGCGGGCTTTGCAGTTCTCGAACTATACCTTCGATGTCAATATCTTGGACATCATGATGACCTTGATCAATGGAGGTTGTGTGTGTATTCCAAGCGAAGATGAACGCATGAACAATCTAGGCGGTGCCATCCGAAGAATGGATGCCAACTGGATTGCAGTACCTCCTGCTGTCGTTAACACCCTCGACCCCAAGAGTGTTCCCTCACTGAAGACTGTCATCACTGGAGGTGAGAAAATGCCTTCCAACCACATCGATCGTTGGCATGGTCGCTGCGTTATCAATTCCTACGGTCCCTCCGAGGGCACTGTTGTCGCCACCGTTGGTGTTAAGACTGACCGGGAGGGCAAAATTATCAACACTGATCCCACGTGCATTGGAACGGCTCCAAACTGCAGAACCTGGATTGCTGACCCAAGCAATCCCAACCGATTGCTCCCCGTTGGTGCGGTTGGCGAGCTGATCCTCGAGGGAAGCAACATCGCTCGCGGATACCTTGGTAACGAGGAGAAAACAAAAGCTGCTTTCTTCGACAACCCTACCTGGAGCCGTCATCCTGCCCTGCAAAGCCTTTTCACGCGTCAAGACCGCATGTATCGCACCGGTGATCTTGTTCGATACAACAACGACGGAAGCATTGCATTCCTCGCTCGCAAGGACACACAGATCAAGTTCAACGGTGTCCGGATTGAACTCGAAGAAATCGAACATCAATGTTTGTGCTGTCTTCCAGACGGATCGCAAGTTGCGGTTGATGTTGTGGTTCCCGAGGAACGTACTGTGGCGAAGGGTCTTGCTGCATTCTTCACTGTACACGACCCTGAATCTAACGGTGGAAGTAATGATAATTTCGCCGCCGCAATTCCAGGCGCCGACCGACTTCTGCTGCCAATTTCTGTTTCCAACATGGATGCTATTCAAAAGCTGAAGGCGTCGCTGCCTGAGTTGCTGCCACAAACCATGATGCCGCGATTCTTCTTCCCCATCCGGAACCTCCCATTCACTCCGTCGGCAAAGATTGACCGCAGAAGATTGAAGACTATGGTCCAAAGCTTGTCTAAGGATACGCTCAAGTCGTTTATCACCTTCGACAGCACCGAAAAGAAGGATGCCGCTTCGGGTACCGCCCTTGAGGCCCAGATTGTTGGACTTGTGGAAAGTACCCTGGGACTTGAAGCTGGTTCTGTTACAGCTGATGACAGCTTCTTCGCTCTCGGTGGTGACTCTCTTGCCGCGATGAATTTGGTCGGAGCAGCCCAGGCGGAAGGCCTTGCGTTGACTGTCTCGAGCATCTTCACATCACCCCTATTGATCGACATAGCCAAGAGCTGCGAGGGTTCCAGTGGAGTTGCTGAGGTCCAGAAGACCAACGTAAAGGCGTTCTCCTTGATTCCCGCTAAAGTTGACTTGGATATCTTGCTCGATGAGGTTACGGATAACTGCGAGGTCTCCAAGGACCTTATCACCGACATCTATCCCTGCAGCGCGGTGCAAGAGGGTCTTCTCACCCTTTCTATTAAGCACAACGGTGCTTATGTTGCCCAACCGTCGTTCCGCCTGGCTGATGGAATTGATGTACCTCGCTTCAAACAAGCATGGCAACAAACGGTTGCGGATCTTGAGATCCTCCGAACACGCATTGTCCACACCGAGGCTATGAACTTCGCCCAGGTGGTGCTTAGGGATGTTGATATTCCCTGGGTACAGGCCCAGTCATTTGAGGAGCTCCCCGTGGACTTCATCCACCTGCCCAAGCACAACGGTGCAGCCTTGACCGGCTACGCTCTGATTCAGCCAACCGACTCGTCCTCTGTGCACTTTGTTTGGTCAGTTCACCACGCACTGTACGATGGATGGAGTATTCCTCTGGTCTTCCGAAAGGTCGAGGAGAACTATTTCGCAACTGAAACCAAGCAAGCTGGAACGCCCTACAGCTTGTTCATCGACTATCTTGTCAAGAAGGACATGGATGAATCAGACACTTTCTGGAAAACCTACCTCTCTGGACTCTCGACGACACCCTTCCCTGTGAACAAGAATGCACTCCCAGACGCCATGCGTGCCGGAAACACGCAACATCATTCAATGAAGATCTCCCGCACCCCCAACAGTGTTGATTTGACACTACCTGTTCTCATTCGTGCGGCTTGGGCTGTCGTCATTGGCACTCACACCTCCTCTGGCGATGTGTGCTTCGGCGAAACCCTCTCTGGAAGAAACATCGATCTTGCTGGAGTTGCCGATATTGCGGGCCCTGTCTTGACCACCATTCCCACCCGAGTGCAAGTGTGTAATGATATGTCGACTTTGGAATACCTGCAGAGCATTCACAAGTCGACTACCGATATGATCCCCCATTTGCACCATGGTCTTCAGCGCATTCGTCAGCTCAACAAGGACACCTCATCTGGTTGTGAGTTCAAGAACTTGCTCGTGATTCAGCCCGGTGATGGGGACTTGAACAGCAAGATCTGGGTCGACGAGAAGCGACAGGCTGCCAGTGAAGACTTCTTCACCCACCCCCTGGTCGTGGAGTGCGCCGTCACTAAGACCGATATCTCTTTCACAGTCCACCATGACGAACTTGTCATCAACGGATGGCAAACAAAGCGCATTACAGAGCAATTCGCACACGTCCTCGGGCAATTGATTTCCATGCCCAAGAACAGCGCCGCCAAGGTTGGAGATCTGGATCTTGTCAGCCCGCAGGACAAGGCCGAGATTGCCACTTGGAACCAACGCACCCCCTTGGTAGTTGAGCGTTGTGTGCAAGACTTCATCAAGGAGAAGTGCGAGGAGACACCAAATGCGCAGGCAGTTTGTGCCTGGGACGGTAACTTGACCTACAGAGAGTTCTGGAACCTCGCATCCGGGTTTGCCAACTACCTCGTTTCTCGCGGAGTTGGGCCAGAGGTGTTTGTTCCAGTCTGCTTGGACAAGTCCGTTTGGGCCATGGTCACCCTCATCAGTATTCTCATTGCGGGCGGTGGCTACGTGCCATTGGACCCATCCCACCCTACCTCTCGACACGAGGAGATTCTTGCTGATGTCGGCGCGAACATGATCCTTTGCACTCCCAACTACACAAACCGCTACAGCCGGGTTGTCAAGACAGTTGTTCCAATCAGCAAGGAGACCATCAAGGCCTATGGCTCTTTGAAGGCGTCCCCCGAGGCCGGGCCTCAGTCAAGCCGTCCAACATGGCTTACGCGCTCTTCACATCCGGTAGCACGGGCAAGGCTAAGGGTATCATCGTTGAGCATCGAAACGTGGTCAGCAGTATCATGGCATTTGCCCCATGGGTGCGTATGGATGAGACCTCTCGTGTGTTCCAATTTGCCTCCCTCACGTTCGATGCCGCCGTCATGGAAACCCTCGCCATCTTGATGGTTGGTGGTACAATTTGTGTGCCCAGTGAGGACGATCGCCTCAACGATGTTTCAGGTGCCATTCGTCGCCTGAATGTCACATGGACTTTCCTCACACCTTCAATTGCTAGCATTATCGAGCCATCCTCTGTTCCTTCGCTCAAACACCTCGTCTGCGGTGGCGAGAAAATGTCTAATGAAGTCATTACCAAATGGGCCAATTCTGTTCATTTGATGAACGGATACGGACCAACTGAAACCTGTGTCTTCGCTGTTGTCGACGACGCTGTGGCCACCAGCCGTGACCCCGCTCGCATTGGTTACGGCATTCCTAGTACTCTCACTTGGATCGTGGATCCCGACAACCATGATCGTCTTACACCACTCGGCGCCGTTGGTGAACTTGCCCTGGAGGGCGCAGCCCTCGCCCGAGAGTACCTCAAGAACCCCGAGAAGAACGCGGAAGCCTTTGCATACGACCCTGCTTGGATCAAGGACTTCAAGCCTGCAGTTCCTGGTCCTCGCAGGATTTACAAGACTGGTGATCTTTGCTACTACAACCCTGATGGCTCTGTTGAGTACATCAGCCGAAAGGACAACCAAGTCAAATTGCACGGACAGCGCATGGAACTTGGTGAAATCGAACATCGTCTGATGGAGAACCCGCTCACTCGCCACGCAGTCGTCATTCTCCCCAAGAATGGACCACTCAAGCAGCGCCTTGTCACCGTGATGTCTCTGAACAGCGTTGCTGCCGACAACAGCCTCATTTCTGACAAGCCATGCGAGCTTGTAGATGAAGGCGAACTTGAGCGTCACGCGTATAATGAGTTGGTTGATGTCCAGAAGAACCTTGAGGACCAGCTGCCTATTTATATGGTACCCCAAACATGGGCCCTGATCACCAAGTTGCCCATGCTCGTCTCCGGCAAGCTCGACAGGAAGAAGATCACTGCCTGGCTCGAGGACATTGATGACGAGTCTTACGACCGCATCATGGCCGATTATGATCGCATCAAACGTGGCAAGACCGAAGAAAGGCCGCAAGAAAAGGAGGAGGAGAAAGACGATTCCCTCAAGAGTATCCGTGAGATTGTTGCGCAGGTGCTTAACATTTCCCTCCAAAAGGTCAATGTGGACCGGTCTTTCGTCAGCCTTGGTAAGTTCGCTCACATCATTTGCTAAATGAGATAGACCGTGAGCTAATATAAAACAGGTGGTGACAGCATTACCGGAATGGCTATCATCTCTCGGGCCCGAAAGCAAGGCCTTGTGGTGACTTTGCATGACATTTTGCAAAGCCGATCAATCAAGGAGCTCGCCCAAGCTGCCAAAGCCAAGGCGCCGGTTACCCACCGCGAAGAGAAGTCTGGAGAAGGCTTCGCCCTTTCTCCAGTCCAGAAGCTCTACTTCCAAAGTTCAACCTCTTACAAGGGTGATGCTCGATTCAACCAAAGCATGACAGTCCGAATCTCCCGCCGATGCGAGGGAGAGGTTCTTCGGCGCGCCATCAAGGCCGTCGTTGGCCAACACGGTATGCTGCGGGCTCGGTTCAGTGAAACGATTGGTGGCACCTGGGAACAGAAGACTGCTGCGGTATGTGCTTTCAAAACACTCGGAAAATACGAGAACTAATGATTTATGGCAGGAGGTTGATGCATCATTCCAATTCCGTGTTCATACTGTCAAGGATGCTCGCGCAATGGTACCAAAGATTGGCGAGAGCCAGGGATGCCTGGATCCCATCAACGGGCCAATCATGGCTGCCGACCTTTTCAATCTGGGTACAGGTGGCCAAGTTCTTTTCTTGGTTGCGCACCATGTGTGTATTGATATGGTCTCTTGGCGCATCGTTCTCCAGGACCTCGAAGAACTCGTGGTTTCTGGCTCGCTCTCACTGGACAAGGCTTTGTCTTTCCAGAGCTGGTGTGCACTGCAGACAGAACGCGCTAAGACACATGATGCAAACATCGCCTTGCCTTTCACTCCTCTCAAACCTAATCTGGAATACTGGGGTATGCGTGATGCGACCAATGTCTATGGCGACATCAAGATGGAGTCATTCACCCTGGCGGAGGATATCACTAACTTCATCTTGGATGGCTGTCACAATGTTTTCCGAACGGACACTGTGGACATTCTGCTTTCTGCTATCATCCATTCTTTCGGTCGGACTTTCACCGACCGCAAGGTTCCCACCGTCTACAACGAGGGACATGGCAGAGAATCATGGGATGCGAACATTGATCTTTCGCGGACTGTCGGCTGGTTCACTACCATGGCTCCTTTGCAAGTAGACTCGGCAGCTCGTAAGTCAAACCCATATGACCCGACCAACTTGCAGCTAACATCCACAGATGCTTTGAGTGACATTATCAAGCGTGTCAAGGATACACGTCGCAAAATCACCGACAATGGAAGGCCCTTCTTCGCCAAGAGTCTGCTTCAGGAGCAGGGCTCTGAATTCCCAGTCCCGATGGAAGTTCTTTTCAATTACCTAGGCAAGATGCAGCAACTCGAGCGTACGGACTCTCTTTTCCAGCACCATGCCACCACGCTTGATACAGACGCCTCGGAATTTGCTCTCACAGGTGACATGGGTCCTCAAACCGCCCGATTTGCCCTGTTCGAAGTTTCCGCTATTGTGATCAAGGACCGCCTCAATGTTGCATTCACTTACAACCGCAACATGCAACATGAGATGTCAATCCGCCGTTGGATTCTCCAGTGCAAGCAGACCCTCGAGAAGGACCTGCTCAACCTGAGGACAGCCACCCCTGAGCCCACTCTCAGCGATTATCCCCTGCTCCCCATCAACTACCACGGTCTTCAGATGCTCACCAATACCACTTTCCGTAAAGCGGGTATTCGGAACAAGGATCAAGTGGAGGATGTCTACCCCTGCTCTCCTATGCAAGAAGGCCTTCTGCTTAGCCAGCTGCGTGATCCCAGTGCGTACATGTTCCACACTGTCTTCGAAATCAAGGACGCCAAAACTGGGAAGGTCGACGCCGAACGTCTGGCCCGTGCTTGGGAGACCCTTGTGGATCGTCACCCTGTGCTGCGAACTATTTTCGTCGACAGCAACTATACCGGTGGCTCTTTTGATCAGCTGGTTCTCAAGAGTCTCACAGACCATGTCCTTCGTGTTGAGTGCCTCGATTCTCAAGTCGAGGAAAAGCTGGCGGAAATCTCCCTACGGGATCTGAATACCATGCGCCAAGCAAAGCTTTCCCACCAATTGACAGTTTGCAAGACTAACACTGGGAGAGTAATTCTCAAGCTCGAGATTAATCATGCCATCATTGATGGTGGCTCTGTTGACGTGGTACTACGTGATTTGACGCTCGCATACGAGAGCAAGCTCTCTGAGGGCCCAGGCCCGCGTTTCAGCGACTACATCAAGTTCATCAGGACTCAAAGCCAAGGCGACGCCCTTGCCCACTGGAAAGGGTACTTGGGTGGAGTTCACCCATGCCACCTCGCCCCCTCGGCTGGATTTGACTCCAATCGTGAGTTGAAGGGTATCATGATGAACTTCCAACGCTTCCCAGAGCTCCTCAAATTCTGTGAGCAAAGTTCGGTGACTCTCGCCAACTTGACTCTCTCTGCCTGGGGAATCGTTCTCCGCCAATTCACTGGATCCGACGATGTCTGTTTTGGATATCTGTCTGCCGGTCGGGATGCTCCAGTCAATGGAATCCAAGACATGGTTGGAATCTTTATTAACATGCTATGTTGCCGAGTCAAGTTCACGGCACAGCAGACTCTGACTGACGTTTCCAAGAGTGTTCAGGATGATTACATCCGATGCATTCCCCACCAGAGCTGCTCTCTGGCAACCATTCAACATGAGCTCGGTTGGCAAGGACAGTCTCTGTTCAACACTACCTTGTCCATTCAGAACCACTCTGTGGCTGGTGGCTCAAAGGAAAAGACTTTGTCTTTCGATCTTCAGCACGCGCACGACCCCAGCGAGGTAAGATTATCTCCCTTCATACCAAATTTCCCTGACTAACACGGTATAGTACGCGGTCACTGTGAACGTCGAGATCGCTCGTGGACAAGAAGGCATCCTTTTGAGATACTGGAATGATGTTGTTTCTGACGACCAGGCACAAGCATTGGCCGACACCGTGGCTAGAGTCTTCACTGGGTTCATCGAGTCTCCGACCGCGACTTTGTCGCAGTCCAAGTTCGATGCCCCCATCCCCACGGACTCAATGCGTTGGGACTACTCCCAAACCACGCTTGCTGCCAATACCATGTCAACCAAGTCTGTTAAGTCTAGCGGAGAAGGGATTGATAGCACTACTATCCAGAAGATCATTGATGATCGTGTTCATGAGATTATTGGGAAAATGTTGAGAGAAGGAAAACTAACAGTGCCATCAGTTCAGAGTGATGAGATGTCTAGCTATGGGCAGACGGGTACTACAGGAAACTCCCCCTACGAGCTAGGGATCCAAGGAGCGGATGACTCGGGTGTTTGTTCGGCGACGTCTCGATCCAGCGAGGACGGCATGACGGTGGATGAAGATGGCATGACTGCCGATGTGGAAAGAAAGTTGTGGACGCTTTGGAGCACAGCTCTTGGTCTCTCGCCCAACATCGTGAGACATCAAGAAAGCTTCTTCAAGCTCGGTGGTGACAGTATCACCGCCATGAAGATGGTCAGTGCCGCTCGCGAAGAGGGCTTTGTTCTCACGGTTGCGGATGTGTTCAACAATCCCATTTTTGCGGACATGCTCAGCACTGTGCGAGCCGCCAATGTCACGCAGCACATGTTAGATGTTGACCTTCAGACATCCCACAGGGATGTCGAGGCTGACTTCTCCAATGGCGCCCCGGCAAACTTGTATCCAAACCCATCTTCCGAGAGCATTGAGATGCTCAAACCCTCTTGGGTTGACGATGCTGCAGTTGCTCGTGGAATCTGTCCAAAGATTGGCGTCTTCAAGGGCGGCATAGCTGATGTCCTTCCTGTCACTGACTTCCAAGCAATGTCTCTGACAGCAACTATCTTCAAGTCTCGATGGATGCTTAACTACTTCTATCTCGAGGGCAATGGTCCCCTGGATCTTAGACGCCTCCGTGAGAGTTGCTTGAAGGTCGTGGATGCGTTTGACATTTTGCGAACAGTTTTCGTCTGCTTCCATGATCAATTCTTCCAGGTTGTGCTCAGAAAGATTCGCCCTAGCATCTTTGTCTACGAGACCGACCGCGCTCTTGATGAGTTCACGATGACACTTCAGCAGAGAGACCGCGAATATGGGCCTCGCGAGGGTGAACAGTACGTGCAGTTCTACGTTGTCAAGAAGAAGGGCAGCGACCAGCACCGGATCTTGATCCGTCTTTCCCACACTCAGTATGACGGAGTTTGCCTCCCACGAATCATGTCTGCTCTCAAGAGCGGATACGAGGGCACGCCGCTACCCCCAATCACTCCCTTCGCCAGCTATCTTCGTCAACTCCCAGGCATCGTTGGCCCTGACCACTACCGTCACTGGTCTGAACTGCTCAAGGGCTCTCAGATGACCCAAATCGTTCGCAGGAGTGGCACCAGCATGTTCCAGAATGTTGGGGCATTCACTGAGATCCATCGCAAGCTCGAAATTTCCCCCAATGCTCTCGGTAATGTCACCATCGCCACCGTCATGCAAGCTGCTTGGGCCTTGACCCTCGCCAAATTGGCCTCCCAGTCCGATGTTGTCTTCGGCTTGACTATCAGTGGTCGCAATGCTACAGTGCCGGGCATTGATAACACTGTTGGGCCGTGCGTGAACGTCATTCCAGTCCGCGTCAAGCTCAGTGAGAATTGGACCGGAGTTGATCTATTCCGTTACCTTCAAGATCAACAGGTGTCTAACATGCCATATGAAACTCTTGGTTTCCGTGAAATCATCAAACAATGTACTGATTGGGCCGACTGGACATACTTCACCACCTCCGTCTTCCACCAAAATGTTGACTATGAGGGCACAATGGAGCTCGACACCAACAAGTACCGCATGGGTGGCGTGGGAATCAACGACAATCTGGCTGACCTGACAATGGTATCCCGCCCCGACGGCGAGAAGGGTCTCTCTGTGACCCTAGGTTACTCAGAGAAGGGGCCCGTGATGCCCTCATTCGCACACAAAGTACTCGACATGGCTTGCGAAATCGCGCAGTCCCTCGTTGCCAACCCGACCATGAAGTTGCCTTCCGCAAGCACGCTGCGCTCGTTGCCCCTTCAGACTGTCGACGACATGCCTCGACCCACGGACGAGCACTTCCTCAGCGCCCACCTCAAATCACGCTCCATTGCGGAGCTTCTCGTACACTCCGATATCTTGTCTCGCTCATGGCACCAAGTTCTACCCACCCGCAACACCGTCACGCCCATCGAAGACAGCGACGAAAAGCCATCTCAACAATCTCCATTCCAGTTGGATTCATCGTTCTTCGATCTTGGAGGCGATGTGTTCAATATGGCTCAATTGACTTGGCTTCTCGAGCAGGAGGGTCTCAAGGTCCGTCTTGAGGATCTGATCGAACACCCTTCTTTCCTTGGTCAGATGGCAGTCCTGGCATTGCACAACGCAAAGCATGTGGAGGATGTCCCTGATGAGACCCTCGCCACGGGTGCGGCCCCCGAACCCGTCGTGCGCGTGGAGAAGAAGGCCAATACATGGGACAAAGCGAGAATGCTTGCCCGCAAGCTCACTCGGCGGAACAATACCCTCGTTGCCAGCCGAACCTGATCCTGATTTTAAGCAGAAAAATGATCAAGCACCAAAAAAAAAAAAAAAAAAACAAAAAATCACACCATCAAACACAACCAAACCCAAGAGCAAAATGTGCGACACGCATCTAAAGCTCAAACAATCAAGCAAAACAAAACAAAATCGCAACAGCGAAAGCAAAAGAAAAACTAGCTTTCCGGCCGCGGGGTGTCTATCGTTCAATCTCTTCCATGTCTTTTCATTCCTTTTGTGTGAATCGTATCAGAATTCTTTGTCTTTAACACACTCTCTACAATTTCGTACCCTGTCTATCTATCTTTGTTGACCTACACAATCGAACCTTGAAATTTGAAACCCATATCAGTATGCCTTAGTAGACTTCAGTGGCTTTTTCGCCTGCATAGACAAACACACCACAAACCCCATTAGAATGTGGCCTTGATAGTCACCCAAAACATTGAATCGTATGAACAAGATATGACTTTGGCATCCTCCCAGGGTTATGTCTACGTCCAATTCTGGCTTTGAATGCAGTATGTAAAAGGTGTCATTTGTCTACAATGGTTGCAACAATGTCGACTTGGAGGACTATGGAGGGACTCACAAGGACCAGAGAAATTACATGCGCTAACCTGGATACCTACCTTGACTTTACTCTCCCCATATCTCTCTCGGGGTAACCCCATAACAATTCTTAGTGTCTTGCCAAACCCCTTTACCCCCTTCCATGCCTCGAACCATACCCACCGTGATCTCGCTTACATTTAACGTACCTGCCAAATAATGCAAAGCAGTATTCCCATCTGAATCCTGTGCTTTGACGTCGATTCCTCCCCATTTCAACAAAAGCTCAATTGTGCCCTGCTGCGCAAGTTGCTGGAATTCCGTCATAGGACTCGGCTTCTTGTTCAAAGCCAGCTCCTCTGGGGTTGTTGTTAAAATATGACGTGGTCTTGGCCTAGCATGGAGTAACCATGATGTAGTCAATGCACGTACGCAATGTAAGCTCCTTGCAACGCTGGGATTTCGTCCAACGATTTGTTGTGCGGTCAAGGGCAATGAAGCGATGTGAAGAAGAGTATGTCCTAAGGCTGTCGTTCCTGCACTTTCAAGCCCACCTGGGATATAAGACGCCAGCCACAATAGAACATCTGGATTATGGTGTGCGGTCGCAATATGAAGGGGATGGATTTCAAAAACAGGCGTGCGTAGATTAGAGTTCAGCTGGGGATGAGATAAGAGGTCGACCAGGCATCGCTGTACCCCAGAGTCATTCAAATCACACCTTGCAATGGCAAAGGAGAGCGGCGGGAGAGCGGCGGTTGGGGTCACATACGAACGGTAGTTAGGAGAGTGTCCACATGTAAAGAGCAGATGGCGAAGCATGTTCTGCTGACCTGCTGCGATGGCTTCATGAACGGGCGAAGAAGTAGACATATGAGATTGACCAATCCTCATCTTGTATCTGAAATTGCTTCTCGTCCAAAGAGACATCATGAGTCCATGCAGACTCATCTGCACCAGCTTTACGGAGAATGTCAAATATCTCAATATCATCGACTTTGGCAGCGTGCTCGAGGGCTGTCAAAGGCTTGCGCATCCGCAATCTCTGTCCAGGGACATTTGGCTCGGTCCAAAATCGAGGAAAGCCTTGACTTCGTTCATGAAGTTCCGACTCGGTCAACGGACAGAGTTGGTAACTGATACCTTTTTGCAAGGCGTTTGCGAGTATAGTAGCTCGAGGCTTGCAGACCACAAAGCTGCTAGTGTCCTCTTTGAAGTGTCGACCGCGAATAAATCGCACTGAGTAGTCAGACTTACTGAAACGATCCATGCCGTTTGGGTCTGCTCCTGCCTTCAGTAAGACCCGAATGTTCTCCGGTAGATGAGCGTCGATGGCAGATATGATAGGTGACAGGAAAAAAGAGTATGCAGACCCACACGCAATGCCATCCGGCCCTAGGAGTTGTAGTCGGCGCTTTTCCCGTCCCGAGGCATTTGCACTAGCCACAGCATGTACCCCCAGTAGAGCTTCTAGCCTAGCTGGGTCCGGCTCCGCTGCTGCGAGGATGATCCCAGTGTCGCCATCTCCCTCACTGGAGAGATCCCACGTTGTAAGCTGGCGCATGGTGCGGGGAGAGCGAGAGTCCTAGGGCATTGGCGTTTGAGGAAAAGCGAGCAAACGGGGATGAAGGGCGAATATACTCCGTATAGGGTCACAAATATGATACTTATCAAACCACCAGAGGGTGAAGTCAGAGAGAAAGGGGAAAATGAGAGGCGGGGATGAATGTGAACCTCGTCGTCAAGCTACTTTTACCGATGACGCTAAACCCGTATTGGCAAGACTAACTCGAAAAGGTAATATGAATATTTACACTATCAGACAGACTCTTTCGACCACGTCCCGCGTGCCCGGATCTGTTTTCCGTATCTGTAGAACAAATAAGGGATAGGAATCAGTGCCACAGACAAGAAGCCCAAAATACTCGCAGCCCACGGCACACCCAAGTTGTGAAACATGGCCGACGTGAAAAGCGGGAAACAGCCCGCGAACACCGAGCGCAGGAACGTATTGGCCGCAACTGCGCTAGCAGAGAACCGCTGGAAGGTATCGATGAGATAGTTCAATGCCGCCTGGAAAATCGTAAAAAAGCCGAATCCCATCATCACAGCACCGATATTCGGCGCAATCCAATGGATATGTTTGGGGCTCGTCCAACCAAAGACGAACATTCCTCCTGCAAATAAGACGGAGCCAATCATCATTGGCGGGAGGCGAGCCTCAGGAACGGGTCGGTTGTTATTCGCTTTGAAGCGTTTGATGTAGAACTTTTGGTTTGCGAGATTGACGCAGGCGCCTAGTAGGATACCCACCAGGTATGCGAGGAATGGTAGGGCGCCGACGACTTGGTTCCAGCCTCTGATTTCTTGGAAAACAATTGGAAAGGCTGCTAGACTGAGGTAAAGGATGCCGTAGACGAAAGAGGCGTAGAGCGCGACTAGGAAGCAAATTGGCGTCGTGAGCAGTTGGAACGGGCGAATGAGGTATTTGTTTCCGATTTCCTTGAGTGTCACATCCCATTCTTCGTGACGTGCGTGTAAGGCCCAATTGCCGCTTTCAAAGCGCAGGCGCTGCGCTTTGTAGACCAGTAGAACTGGTGGATAGCTCTCGTCCACGAAGAGGAGATCCATGACTAGGAAGAACATCATCATTATACCAGTGATCTGTTCATGTCAGCCAGGCTTTCAAGTCAAACGGCTGTATCAAAAAGGGGCTCGCGACTCACGTATTCAGTCCAGCGCCACCCAAGGTCACTTTGGCAAATTGCACCTCCGGCAATAGGACCCAGAACGGGACCACCTACCACAGCCATGGCATAACCCACGATAGCGGCTCCTCTCTGTTCGGGTGTCCAGATGTCACTCAAAACGCCACCTGTGTTAGTGACGGGAGCCGAACCAAAGAACCCCGTGAAGAATCGAGTGATCATGATCGTCTGTACATCTTTTGCGGTAGCAGTGGCGAACGAAAAGATGGCTGCAAGAAAGTACGGCGGCAGCACAGCAGATTTCCGTCCATAGAGCTCGGAAAGAGGGGCCCAAATCAATGGGCCCAAGCCAAGTCCGAACAGTAATAGAGAAGTACCAAGTGTGGCTACTTCGCTGGAAATACCAAATTCCTCGCTAATTTGCGCTTGGCCAGTGGAGTACCTATGACAATTAGTTTCATGTCTTTCGATCATAGTGTAGACACATACACAGAACTTGCCCACGTTGCACCTGAGATTTGATTAGCAACATTCAATAATCCGATATCAAGAACCATACATACCCATAGTAGTCAATCCGTATAATAACGTTGTAATAGCCTTCTTCCTAAAACTCCAATTCAAAGGCCGATACGGGTCATCCGGCCCTTCAAAGTCAACAATGACATCAGGGCTCGTTTTCGTGTGCGTAAGCGGGTGAGTGAATTTCGCAGTCTGCCCAGGTTCACGACTCCGAATGCGCGATACTACCGAATGCGTGCGCTGCTCGAATACCGATAGCCCAGAGGCAGTGGTGCTTTGCTTGCGAAGTGAAGGCGTTCCAACGCTGTGATATGATTCAATCTCATCACCTGATGTGTCATTATAGTCATGTTCCGTTCGTTCGGCCATGTCTTGGCAGTATAACCCGGGGTAGTCCGGGGAAAGATGCTCAAATCGCTCGATGTCGCAAGAGATGCAGGATATGGCTGAAGATGGAGATTTCTTAATAGCGGCTAAAGAGATTTCCGTCGGAGATAAGAGCGGGGTGGACGAAAGGGGAATCGCAGTGGATATCGCAATGCAATTTAAGCTGCCAGAGCTTTTGGAATCCGGAGGGACCCTCTTTCTTTTATTCAAGCTTTTCGTCGGAGGTCCGATGGCAACGCCGAAGCCGTCCTATCCGAAGTGGGGCACGTCAGGGCTGGTCGGCGTGTGTGCCAATGAGAACTGCGAGAAAATGTCTGGTTTTTTGGCTGAAGAACCTCGGTGTTAGGGCTGAAAGTCCTTTCTCGGTAGATATGGGATATCGAAAGGCCGATGCCGAGAGCTGCTGGCGCGTTTCTGGAGCATCTCGGCCGTGATGTCAAGATGCCGATAAAAGTGGAGCTCCGTCTTGCTCGCGACGATCAAGTTTCAACGGTTCTGTCCGTCTCATACAAGAACCTTGTTGGCTATGTTGGATGCAGAAATAAAAATTCGACGTGAGGAAAATGATTGTATTCTCATATCACATGACCGTGTCAAGCAAAAAAAAAAAAGGAACCGAACTTCGTTGAATGTCTAGATGAAATCTACTTTATGCATATGGTACAAGGCAAATTTGCCCGACCTAGGCTGCGGGATGCGCACTCTCCCATTTGTTGACAGCCTCCAACGCTGCAGTGACCTTGAGCCCAATACGGGCGTCCAGCTCGTAGCTCTCCCAGCTAGCAGCGTGCTCCAGGCATTCTCTGCACTCGCGAACCTGCTTCCTCTCACTCTCCGTATTCTCCGATCCAGCAGGTGTCTTTTCAGAGCCCCCGTGTAGTTTTTGGTATGTGGGCCTCTCCATCCAGTAGTTCGCCGCCATCTCGAAGTATGCAGCGGGGAGAACCCAATTATCCTTCAGTTGACCCTTGAACGTTGCCTTTTCGTTATTGAGGACGTTGGCCGCCAAGGTCTCCTTCGCCTCGCCGAACCGGTTCAGCGACCGAAGCACCGCAGCGCGAAGTAATTCCAAAATGGCTTTTTCTTCGGGCCCTTCGCGAGACCAGGTTTTGTTGGCTTCGCTTTCGCACCATTCAAGTCGAGTCAGTGATTCTTCGAGCTGTTGATCGGTCATACGGCTGTAGCCGTTCCAGAAGAAGATCATTTCTTCGATTGGGTCGATGCCGATTGCGTCCACGAGAGGAACGTCCCATGCTTTGGCGCGGGCCTCCCATTTGGCAATTTTCCGGGTGACGAACGTGTCGAATGGGAGTTGGCGGGCCATGAACTTCTTAGTGCCTGCAAATCCGGGTGCTTTGCGGATGTACATGGTAGCTTTGGCGGCATGCGCTTCGGCGCGTTTGGGGTCATTGAGAGATTGACGATAAAGAACGACATGGCAGGATCCGGCAATGTAGTAGTACAGCGAGCGGGACCAAGAGTTGAGATCAACGCACTGGAGAATCAGTTTTGTTCGTGGATATCTAGTGGGAAACTCACCTCGATGAAGGCTTGTGCACAGACATCGTATCTGTGCAGGAAGAGTGCATTCAAACTCTTTTCGAATATGCAAAGGGCTTCGACTTGTTTGAGAGGACTCTTGTTGCCCGAAGACACCAATTCCAACGCTCCATCCAGATTCTTGTTTGCGCCCATCATTCGGGATTCCTCTAACAGCCACAATCGACTGTTGGGGAATCTAGATCTCATTTCCGCCAGCAAAGCAGCCAGCTGCTCCTGTGGATATCCCTCGACATCTCCATCGCCAAGTGTAGGGTCTGGCATGATATCGCAGTAACGAACAAAACCGTTGTAGTATCCCAGTAAGGCCAAGGCGGCCATTGCGCCAATCAGGTTATGGAACTTGCTGGCTTGCCAGAGCATCCTCAATCCTCGCTGCTTGTCGCCATGGAAGCCGATGATTGAGAGAAGCTTGCTGAACGCCGGGGGAACCATGGAAATCAACAGAAGCAAGATACCAAAGCAAAAGTTCGCCCCGGAATGCACGAAGATATCGATCTCGTTTTTGAAAATGTCAGAGTCGGGATCGTGATGAATGTGTTTGGGGGTAGATGCACCTGCTGAGGCTGAAGCAGGAGGAGACATCGCGCCTGGGGACACAGACAGGTCGTTCATTGATGCATTGAGCTCCGTTTGCTCAACGGTCGTTGTTTTCTTCTTTTTCGACGACAAGCTGGAAGCTTCCGAGTTCGTGTCCGGGCATTCAGCCGTCGAGCTGGCAAGGTCGCTGGCGGTGGGCAAAAGAACCTTGTTCGGGTCATTCGACTCCATGAATTTCTCTTCCATTTTTAAAATGGCGTCCAGCGTGATGTAGGCTTTTCTCAGCCTGTAAAATGCTTTGATGCTTTCTGTCAAGCTTTCGTTCAACACTCCCACCACTGCACTCATCAACTGAGCAATTGCTTGGCATAATGCATACTCAGAGCCAGCGGTGTAGATATCTGAGTGGAAAGCATTTGGATCATGGGCATTCTGCTGTGCTCTGGTTTGATCACTGGCTGCGCTGGTTTCTGCTTCGTAGAGGCGCTCGGATGCTGCGAGAACATCAGAATGATTGGCTTAGCGAGTTAGAACCAAGAAGTGCATGTACCTTGTCGCATGATCTCCTGTTCGAAGCCCAATGTCGCTCGAACAAATGCAACCACACCTTTGCCCACCTATAGCCGCCCAAAAGTCAGCGGGGCTACGTCATCCGCGATGACGATCACTTACATTGTGAAACGACGAGGACCCCGTGGAGAGGCCATTTTCAGCCCCATCAACATCGTCGTTTAGAATCAGTGTCGCCGCTGCGGTGGTGTTAGTACCCTCGTCAACCGAGTGGTTGGGCCTACACACCAGTCATCGCTTGCACCACTACGGAGCCCCGCGGTCAGCATTCCGGGTGTTCCGTAATCTTAGATCTTCCAGCGATCGTCAAAACACTCACAATCTTTCAGTTCGGCCGACGAGTCCACAGACTGCGCCGACTTCTTCCCATACAGCCAGGAGCCGACTCGCAACATGATGGGCACCTGTAGCGAATGTAGAAGTTGAAACGAGATGCTATTTCATGTCAAAGCCGGAGTGCCGGGTTGAGAGAGCGACGGATCGGGAAGAATGTGGATAGCACACAGACTTCCGGAATCATCCCAACACCAATGTCAGAGAATCTCTAGAGTTGCAGACTACTGAGCCTAGGGCATGGAATAGTGGGATGTGAATGTGTGAAGAGGGAAGAAGTCTGGAACGACTTTGGACCCCGTTAGGTCACGTGACCTCTGCCTGATCTCCAACGGTAAGCAGACAAGTCGCCTAGTCGACCTTAGAGAATGAGAGAATGATTTTCAAGCTCTTGCACAAACTCAAAGAACAAATACCAGTGTGTGTTTGGTGTTTGGTGCCTCAAAGGGCGAGCGTGAGGTGAAACCGGAAGCGGGCCAATTAGTGTAGTTCATACTTATGCTGGATCTTCGGCAGTCACCTCCGCATTATCCGCACATAAAACATAAAAACATAAAACATAAAACATATTTACCGGGTAATGTTTGGCATTCAAGACCTTTCCTCTCTTTAGTGCTCACCTGGGCACCTCTTACCGTTTTTGGATCTCAGAGTAACATTTTGCACGCCTCTGAACACTTTGACCACTTCCTTTGACCATCTAATCAATCATGTCTTTGAAGCTGAAAGCTTCGTCCTGGAGACTAAATTGTCTCATGCCAGTGCCAGTTTTAGGGAGCCAGGGATCATCGTCTTTATAAAGTTCGCTTACATGTAGCCTTACTTCAGAAGTTTCGATCCTCTTATCCTTGTTTGTCAAACATATGGCTTGCTGCCATTGAACCTTGTCATACGACAACCCTGTTTCGATATTTCCGCCTTGATTATCTTCCAAAGTTATGTTTGACAAATCTTAGTTTATGGGTTCTTCCAGGCGCAAGACAATTATTAGGAGGAATTCAGCTTGCCACTTAGCACCAGATTGGGCGAAGTCCCACGACACCAAACTGTTCTATATGCTGTAGTACTTGTCAAGGTCTAATCACAGAATAACATTCGATTGCACTAGTCATTATCAATAAGTCAACTGTAAATTTCGAACCATACACATCGCAACCCTGGATTGTTCTCAACTCATGCTAGATATCGCCTTCCTATTGAGCTCCCGGGGGCTTCAAAGCACCAATTTGCATCATGATCGCAAAAATATCAGGCAGCCCTGTCTCATCCAAAATCTTTCCATCTACAAATCGATAGATGTTCATAGCACGAGCCTGAATTTTCTTTCCAGTGGCGGGAACACCAAAGAATTCGCCATCATGAGTTCCACGCAGAGTAAAGCTCGCAACTACTCTGTCCCCTTCGATAACGGTGTCATCGAGACTCCACTGAACATCGGAGAAGGCAGAACGCATCATCCCGAGGATCTGCATATACCCAGCAAATCCTTCCAAGGGGGCTTCTTGGAATGGAACGTGGAATCTTGCTGATTCAGAGACCACTGCCCGTCCAATGGTCTCGTCAGCTGAGTTGATGAACTCAACAAATCGTTGCATGTGTTGAAGAAGAGGGCTAGGCATTTTTGATACTTTGGTCATAATTATTACGTAGCTTTGTTGTTGGAAGCTAAATGCAATGTTGACTTACACAGTGATTCCGGTTGGACAAAACACAGTGAATGTATGTGGATCAATATCGAGTTTGTGATCTTTCTGCTTGATGGAGAACTGTGGAGACCGATCAAATGTTAGTATGCATGAACTTGAAACTTCCACATGTCAAACAGATAGAGAGAAAACTATACTTTACCTTCCGCAGAACTTACGAAAGAATACTTGGTCTAAAATTGGATCTACTCACGGGAAATTAAGCCTATTTATACTTACCTTTTCGTATAATACAGATTTATGATTCAACATGTCAAAAAGTTAAACTTCGTGTTTGGCATCTTTGCACATTTTGCATTCACGCCACATTACTGCAAAAACGGTCTCGGGATTTCCGAGATCTACGTTTGGTGCATTTGCATTGCTTGCAAACTATTGGAATTAAAGGTAACTGGGCCGGTCTAACCTGGAATTGGGGGACCCTTGTTCCGTCGGATGAGTTGGATCTGGGAAATGTACGAGAAAATGTTTGCAATGCCACTGTAACTTGTAAACAGTATAGCCTACGGAGTAGTTGAGGCATGCGGGTTGGCCTTTTGGGGCTGGTGTTATCCAGCATTTCAGCAAACCAACCACACACTAGGATTATAGAGCCTTGCTTGGGCTGTTCTGACCATAGTCAGGATTGAACAAGAGATATCTCGAGACTTGCTTGAACCTTGAAAAACCCTTTACTATTTTCAATCCAAATCGAAAATCGAAAAAAAAAATCATGATGCCATTTTTCAACGTGAAGATTCCAGCCTCTCATAACCTAGGTCACAACAGTGTCGACGTATCACGCATGCGCTTCAGCTGGTGTGATAAGAGCTACTGTACGGAGTAATTTGTACTCCGTAAACATCATGTATTTATTATGTTCGCTATTTGCTGATAGTCAATCCATGGATCCCCATGTGGTCACTCCCAGCACTCATTGTCTAGTGTGTATGCCAATGATTTGAAAATCAACTGACCACACATGGCCTTCGATTTTGATTTGTTGCTAAATAACCGGCAATCTAATGAATAGATTATATAGAAATGGCATCAAGGGCAAATTAATTAGGTAATATGTCTTGTTGTTAGCGCAATAGCTTAAATTGTTCATACTTTGATTGATATTTAATCACCTTTTTACTATGCGCCTCGGCATTTGAGAAAACCCTCAACTTTGAGCTGAGAGTTCTAAGATCCAAAAAAAAGTATTAAGCTTCATTGAGGCCAGCTGTCTTTTTGTAACATAAGCAAGTTCCAAGGTAACAGCTAGAGCTACCACGAATTGCCTTTTGAAGTGGTCCAACGAGCAATGAACACTTATATCTTTTGACCATGTTGCCAAATACAAGCTAGCTTCATAGGAATTTGTAGACATCAAAATAAATACTGTATCCACGGATTGCAAGACCTTTTGGTCTTCTAGCCTCTGTCTAGTATATCACGTTGACGATAGATACTTTTGTTGTGATTGTAATCTGTGTATGTGGTCTATATAAAGCCCCTGATTCTAGACTCTGTTGACTTCAGGATTTACCCTATGCTCCCTTTCCATCAACCTGGACACCAGTAAGCTTCCAAGGCTCCTCTATACCACTTCCAAGCCAACAATCAGTATCTACCTCTGTAAGCCTGATGTCACCAACTGGGCGTTATTGACAGACATCCTGCTAAACCGAGCCCTTTGCTCAGATCGCCAGCCACGACCATTTGCTTTGCCTTCCGCAAAAATGGTATCTTCCATGGCTATGCTCCACCTCGTGCTTACTCTCGCCCCTTACGTGCCTGGCTGGCCTTTCTTGCAAGAGTGGCCTTCCAAGTTTGGCTGGCCTTTCGGGTCTAGAGAGCCATTCGAGGGTGATGGGTTAATTGAATATGGGAAATGTCAGGCAGGATGTGCTACCCTTGTTATGGCATGTTACGCGGGCGAGGGTGCCGCCTGGGGTGACACTTTGGGTAAAACTGCTCCTCCTCCCGTCAAGACTTGTAACTCGAACTTTGGAGATTGCCAGGCTGAGTGTGCTCAGAGGTGGCTATGGCCAACCTCCAGCGCCAGATGATGTCGCATTCAACAGCCGATGTCAGATCAGTGCCCCGGGATGTTTCAGACCAGGAAGACGGATCCAATCGATAAAGCAACTAGCTTGTGGCGGGATGTCGAGAATGCCAGAAAAAAGATGGGACCAGAAGAATAGGAACAAAGATCTGATGCATCAATGCTCGAATTGAAACTTCCATGGTTCAGCTTGTACACCACTCCACTGGTTCGATTGCTGGAATCACTCAACTGTATTGTATTGATCGTTAACAACACTGGGTCTGATCGGTGCACAGCGTTTTGCAATTCAATTGGATATTAAAACTGTAGCAACTTCTGGTAATGTAATCATCAACAGATCACTTGGGCTCAAACGATATCAGTATGTCAATAGTCTAGGCTTCAATCATCATGGTGAACTAATCTGGCTTGAGTCAGAGTGAAGCTTGTCTTTCATGGCGAAGAATTACACTGTGACCGCATGGAGTTCTGTGGCGTACAGCTGTCCAAAAAGGCAGTTTGTCAGGCCATGTAGAGTAGGAAACCAAAGTGACAGAGAAGTAAGATGGAGGGTTCCGAGAAGGGTCAATGATATGTGTTAAAACTACCTAGTGAAGTAGGAAGAGCGCGCTGGCGGTCTGACATCGCAGACAAGACGACGGGGGTGCTCAGTGCTCGGCGGGAATAGGGAGGCATGCAAAGCCCTAGAGCGGCCCGATTAGGAAGTAGATGCTGTTTTGCCAGAGAGGTGTAGAATGCTTGGATTGCTATGCTATGAAAACGGGGCTAGAAATAGCCCAGGGGTGCCTAAGGCACAGGTGGGAGCGGTGCGGTTTCCCCACTACACTAGGTAGTATCTGAATATATGGCCAAGGGGTGAGGTACCAGGAATGCACTCCTGTCGGAGTTAGGTTAGCTCAGGCGAGATGACCTCCAGTGCTTTTGAAAGCAACAACTAATCCGCGTTCTGGATACAGAAGGTAATTAATATTGTCCTAGGAGAACAAATCATATTGCAATGTAGAATGAGCTGGTTATCCTAATCGTACAGGACAGAGAATACTTGCATAAATCCAAGTCTGAAATCCCCGTTCACTCTTCTTCTTCGATCTCTCCTTCTTCGCTACCGGAATGCATAGCCTTTTCGTCCTTCTTGGTATCCTCTTCTTCTTCTGGGATGGCAGAGCGTTCGCGCCGGGGAGCCCGGCCCTTGCTGCGGTCTCGCTCGCGGCTATCACGTCGGTACCGCTTCGCGGAGCGGCTTGCCACACTTTCAGCATCACTGTCACGACGGCGACGGCGGTCCCCACTGGCAACACTGCGAGTATCACCAGCACCGCTACCTCCACCACCGCCATAATCAAGTTCGTCGCGACTTCCGCGGGGATCTCCTCGGGTTCGGTACAAGCGTTCACGCTCGTCCTCACGGCGGTCTCCGTCCCTGCCGGAACGGGGGCCGCGATCAAAGTCGCGATCCCGGCTGCGGTAACGGTCCCGGTCTGAGCGCTCGTCACGGCGATCACGAGAGGGAGAGATACCGCTGACCTTGCGGTAAGTGCGCTCGCGGTCTGCCTGCGCCTTGCGGCGATCGGCTTCGTAAGCGTCGGTTTCAGGGGTACGACTGACTCGACTGCTGTGTCCACGGCGTTCTCCACGACCGCTGCGGTAGTCGCGATCACCGCGGTCATAGTCACGTCGGCCACCACGGCTCTGGGAATGAAGTTCGCGGTCCTTCTCTGCATCTTCGTCTCTTTCCTTCATGCGGCGAATCGCCTTTTCGAAAGCAGACTCACGGAGTTCATCCGATTCGAGGTCCTTGTACTCGTCGTACTTTTCGAGACGGGGTTGGACCTCAGCCCAGGTATCGGTGACTCGCACGGGCGGCTCGAGGCGCTTGATGCGTGACCGCAGGGCGTCGACTGCGCGGCGCTGATGACGATCAGCAGCATGCTTCTCATCTTCATCGCGCCGAATTGCTTTGTTTTGGATGCGCTCGAAGAGTAGGTTCAGAATATCGGGATCAATCTTTGAAGTACGGCGGTCTGCGGATACCACAGTGTTGAATTCGTCAAAGGTAGTCGCAGCGGTGACTTCGAAACGTTTGTCCTAATAAAGTTAGTATATCGGAAAAGGACTGCGAACAAAGCGAAACTCACATCGAGAACATCGAGCACATCGTTTCGGGGTCCACGCAAACTGCGCTCCTCTTCTTCAACAACGTCCCAGAACAGATCAAGAGGCGAGGATCCAGGCTGGCCCAAGATTCCATGGTATCTAGGATCATCCTTGATGATAGGGCAAACGTTCATCCACTTAGATCCTGCCTTGATCTTACCCTGAGACCTCAACTCCTTGAGAAGCGCAACAAATTGCTCGCGGTGCTTTCGCTCCTTTCTGGCTCTGGCTGCCTTATGTTGCTGGCGAGCATCGTTGAAGGCCCGCTCCAAGGTCTTAATATGATCTTCAAAGGCAGTCAGAACATCGCTCTTAGTCAGAGATTTGAACTTCTCATCGCTCTGGAACTTGTTGTGTGCATGGATCATCTCGTTGGCTTCGGCCCAACGAGTGTAGGGCTCGAGGTTGAGTGAACCCAAAATGTCTACCAGCTCGTCCAAAGCAGCCTTGCGCCTCACGGCCTCCTGGTCAATGTGGGCCTTCTTGAGGGAGATAATGTACTCATCGAAAAGCTGACGTCTCTCTTCTTCCTCATTCGTGGATCTGAAAGTGGTCTCTCCCTCGATGATAGGACGAATGGTCTTCCAACGACTGTAGTGCTTAATTTCAGGGTGGCGCTTCAGCATGGTGTTGAAATCTGCGCGCAGCTTAGCGAATCGTTCCTTCGCTCGATCCTTTTCCTGCATGCGCACCTCGACCACATATTTCTCAAAGGCGGACTTGCGGTCGCGGGGGTCCTTTAGCGCGCGGTATTGCGGGTCTTTAATGGTGGCGCGCATTGTTTCCTCCCAGGTCCAGTTGGGCTGGACATTGTGTCGCTTGAGCAACTTCATGAAGGCGCTTTCTGCCTCCTCGAGGGATTGGTAATCGGGGTCGTTTTGGGACTTGAAGTCTGGGGCAGCTGCCATACTGCTGGCTTCATACGATCCATACCCACCTCGGCGGTCATTGTATCCTCGGTCACCGCGGTCTCCACGGTCAAAGTCTTCACGGTCACGGTGATGGGATTGAGGCGGGAAAGACGTGCCACCAGCAACGAAAGATGGGGCGCTAAGTCAGAATTAGTTTTGTGGTCATTCAGGAAGAGGGATAGACTAACGCGACGGGGGTGGGATTGCTGCGGGTGCCTGCGCAAGCGCTTCCTTGTAAACTTCCGGAATCTCCCAAGTACTCTGCTTGTTTTCGGTGTTATACCAGTACTTGCGCCCAGCATCAGTGGTATATTCCTTCCAGGGTTGATTTGCCAGCGCAAGCTAGGAAGATGTCAGTAGAGCTCATGATGATCAGAAGATTTTGGTACGGACCTCAACTGGAGTCATCAATTCTTGGGGCTTAGTCCACTGGGTGGCCTTTGTCTGCACATTGTAGTAGTATGCACGGCCTTCGGCATTGCGTGCCTCTTGCCAAATGGCAGGAACTGAGCCGTTAGGATCCATTGTGACGGGTGGTGCTCGAGAAAGACGAGGGAAATCGGAGCTGCGATTGCTCCGCAGATCTCCCATTCTGCGCTTAAGGCCTCTTCCGTCGGCCGTATCAACTACTTATCGGTTATCTCCTGAAACAAGCTACGTCTTTTGTTGACTTCCCATGCGACCTTTTGTCGCAATGCCTGGTTTGGAGATTCCAGGTGAGTTCCTGCGCCATGCTGTTCTTGACACAGTTGTGCCCCATGCGCCTGCCTTTGACATCGAAGGCGCCCTGAGCTCGGCCCTGGAGGGCGGAGCTGATGATCTCCCCTCCGTGCTCTCGTCAATTCCTCAACGGACACAATTATTTTATGGTAAGTTGTCTCGCTGGCTCAACGGGGTGTGTCTCTTACTCATGGATAGCTGCTAGATGAATTTCTTCCCGTGCGCATTGTTCTGAGACTCTCTGATTGCTCTGAAGCCGTTCTGAAGCATTACCTACCGCGCCTGGAAGTCAGGTTGGATGTCTTTGCTGTCGACCCAGCAGAATCGGTTGGTGAAAACCCTACGCCAACTCGGGACATTATATTTTCGGGTGTTGTTGGTGGAGACGAGGATCCCATAGTTGTCTTCAATGAGTTTGAAGGCGACGAAGGGAGTGGAAACCATGTTTACCTTGTTTGGAACATTGAGACTACACTAAGTGAGTTGGGAAAACAGTTGAAGCCAGATCGTGGACAATGGGATCACTAATCTGGAAATAGAACGTCCTCGCATCCGAATTCAACACCCGTCCCTTTTATTCATTGCCTCTGCCAGCCTGAACCCGTCTGATGGCATCAATCAAGATGATTCGGAAGATGACTATCTTCCCTCACTTATCCCTGCATCGACGAACATGCTTCAACCCTTATCCGGCGACAAATCTCTCAATCACAAAGAACCATTTCTTCCAGCTTCCAGGCTTCTACGGGTCGTTCCAACGACCTACGACGAGGAGCCTATCTACAACATACAGCAACAACATGGCCACCCTTTTCGTGTCGTACCTGCCGCGAGTGCTAGAATTCGATACTCTCGACTGAACTCCTACACTGGCGTCCCTCTGACGGCTGCAAGCTTAGACTTCGAGGTCACCCCTTATCTTACTAGCGAGGTTTCATTCAACAAGGCGGATGTTCAACTGTCAGAAGGAACGATTGAGTCAATGTCAGATGCACCGGGTCTTGCTCTGCCACTTGTATGCCGTCCCAGAGATGATGTCACACTCATGTACAAACTCACGCCAGAATATGGCCCTGAGACCAACCCATCATCGACTGCCATAGTGAGCACGCTGGCGATATCCCTCGAGGCAACAATTTTGGTTGACGATGACTGCCAACCACGGATTTCCATGCAATGGAAGACAAATGTCGATTTCTCAGTCGCCCTCAATCCTACGTTTGGGGGACCTAGCCCAGCGCTGCAACGGACTAACCGCCCCACCAATCTGTCTGTTTCAACTCAAGGGGGTATTCCAGCGCCTTCTAACAGGAGTTCACTCCGCGAACGAGCATACTCTGTCACAGATGTGGGAGTCACCATCTCCTTCACTGGGCCCGTACGTGTACAGGTTGGCACTGCCTTCTCCTGGAGCGTATTTATTGTCAATCGGTCCAACATGCCTCGCAAGTTTGCTTTGATCGCTATTCCACGACGGAAACGCGTAGACCCACGCGGACATGTCGCGCGACCTTCGTCTTCCTCTATCACCAGTCGGAAAGAAGACCAAGTAGCGGAGGCTGTTACTGATGACAATATCGTCCATGCTAGGCAAAAGAGCGTTGCTGGACAAGAGGTTGAGTTGATCAGCTTGAGTACAGATATCCGTGTCGGGTAAGCTTCTCTTTCCCCCTGCCTTGGTTCTCAATCTAACATATGGACTAGTCCTCTTCTACCAGGAACCTGCCACTCAACAGAAATCAAACTCCTCCCCTTGGCCACAGGCCCGCTTCACTTAGAAGCAATCCGGTTGGTGGATGTGAACACGAACGAAACGACCGACATTCGAGATCTTCCGGATATACTCGCGGATGATCAGCCACGCTCTTGAGTAACACCTACTACCTTGTACATACTATATATGAAAAGAAATGACCGTCTGCACTCTCGCTTTGGGCGTAAGCTTGAAACTATAGCCGAGTCACGCTTGCTACACACCTACATTATCGATGGACGACTTGATATTAGCCTATTGATTCATTATGGACATTGCAAAGTCTAGCACACGCTTATTCGGTAAGGATGCCTCAATGTAAAACAAAAGCAACCCGAAATTCATTAATGGTCGCCACTTGCATTCATTCAGCCGTGCCACGGCGGCTCTCACGTGCATCTCGACTCTTCGGCACTGGAATAGGTCGATCCCCATCTTTGATGGCTTGCAGGAAATTCTCCATCAGCTCGGCTCGCTCCATCTCCATGTAGTAATTCAGAAACGAGAGAGAGCTGCCCCCGCCCGGAACCGGTCCATAGACATACTCATTGAAGATCCGGAACTGAATCGCAATGGATGGAGTCCCATAGCGCTCAAAAAGCTGAATCATCTTCACGGGACGCTCCGACTCTTTCCAATTCTCCTCACTGTGGCCGAACTCAATGCATTCATTTTCCTTCTCGGTTGTCCACCAGCCAGGTAGGCATTTCTTCCGATGCGCTTCTCTCAAAAACCGACGAACAAGCAGTTTCGAAGCTTCCTCCTGTGATGTTTTCATCATATCCAGCAGGCTACGTGCAGCCATCCCCTCGTCATCCCATGTCCGGACCCGGATCGCATCGAAAAGCAGCTTGAAACAATCTTTCTCGGTTCGGCCGTGCAGCCATCTCTTGACGTACAAGCGAGTGAAGGGAGTGGGGAGGTTGACGTCGAGGCCTGGTGCTACGACGGGTCCTCTTGGATCAGCCCTCACATGTGCATGTGCTGCTGCGGACGTGTTGGGGGTTTCACTGGGTAGGCTTTGGGAGCTCAGGGTAGTGGTAGCCAGGGTAGTTGCTTGGACATATTGGCGACAGGTCTTTTTGTGACTTTTCCAGTCCGCCTTCTGGCAGGCACGGGAGCAATATCGGGATGCTTTGCAACGGCTGCATTGCTTCATTGGGACGCCGAGCTCTTCATCGACTCCGCACTTGCGACAGGTTCGGCCTGTCACTCCGTTGAAATGATCGAATTGAGGACTTGGCATTGTGGGTAGGGTGTGGTTGTCAGCTGCGAGTATGTTAGCTTTGGCCGGGACGGGACAAGCACACAGACTGATCACCAGTCGAATGCTCGTCATTTGGGTTGTCCTTACTGGTGATCAAGATTGTGCGTCTTATGCTCGAGATTCTGGACTAGGACTCTTCGTGTGGCTAGTTCCAGTGAGAGGCACGCGAGATTGATCGAAGCATGAAAAACTCCGTGTCTCAAGCAAGAGTAAGAAAGAGAAGAGAAAGAGAAGAGAAAGAGAAGAGTAAGAGAAGAGAAAGAGAAGAGTAAGAGAAGAGAAAGAGAAGAGTAAGAGAAGAGAAAGAGAAGAGTAAGAAAGAGGAAAGAGTTTGGCAGCAGGAGCCTCGTGATAAGAGAAAGGCTGAGAAGGAAAGGCTGAGAAAGAAAGGTGAAATGGGCCACCCCGTTGCTTATCCCCGGGGCCAGATAGAACGGTGGGCGACGTGAAGCCTCACAGGGCAGGAGCATGCTGGGCTCGCACCTGCTCCCGGCAGACAACAGAAAGCGAAACTTGGAAGGGCCACACCATCAAAGATCTGGACAATCTGGGAAGTCTTGGAATTTGACAACAGCAGTGTTGAAGCAAGCCTGTGTGGGATATATTCTAGGATTACAAGCTTCACATCTGATATACGGAAATGAGTCTACAGAAGGTTGTTTATATGCCAAAAAATAATCATGTAAACGTCTACGGGTACATGACTCTCATAGCTTCAAAGTAGCCTTACTTAGGTAGAAGCCTTGGGGGCATACATAAGTAAGTTTTGGAGGATATATCTTAGTCTCATCCTGCTTTTCCAAGTGTTTCAAGGTTATAGATCAACACCACCACCAGGGTCAAGGTCTCTTGGGGCTATCGCTGCCCAGGTGTTGCAAGAAATTTACGAGAATCCAAAGCTAAACAATACATTATTAGCCAGTCGGATTTATGATGGATCGGTGTTCGAATGCATAGTCTATTCGAAAAGGAAGTTTCGATATCTGTTCTATATTCCGTAGTTATATAGAACCAAAACGACACCAAGAAGATCTTGCATTCTTGAACAGCCCTATTATTTGATTTAATCAGCAACAAATAGGAAAGGTGTTATATTAAGCCCTGGAAGTCAATTATGGAGTACGGAGTAGGATACGGAGTAGTTGGCATTGCAGTGAAGTCATGCAGGGAGCAAGGGTATAGTCCAGAACGGGCTGTGATTGGCGGAAGGCAATCCATGGGGTAATGGAGTCAGTGTCGTAGTTGGCCAGGTGACTTCGTTAGTCACAAGGCGGAGTCGTCGATCGTGGATAATCTTCCCTGCTATCTTGACGTCGAGATCTGATCTTGAATTTATATCCTCATACTTGGTTTCTTTGAACGGACTATTGGGATCAGGGATCCATACCCAGGGCCTCATTCTTAATACTTGCGTCATATTGGCTTGTGGCCCGGAAGTCTTGCCATTCAATCGTGGCCCCAGATCCTTTATCATGATCTGTGCCGCAAAGCGAAAAGTCCTGGATGGACTCAATAAAAGATACATCTACGGTCGCGTGGTACGTCTCATCTCATTCCGCCAGCACCCTCGCTGTCCCCCAACCTGTCAACGGGTCACCGTGTCCAGAGGCTAACCGTGTCGTCATCATTTCAACAGCCTCTATTGCACACGATCATATTTCTTATCGAGATGGCAGTAGCAGCACGCCTCGCCGCCAAATTTAATACCTACTATGCCGAAAAGCCAGGTAAGCCTCTTGCCGCCGCCTCCCGCGGGGTCCGCTGACCGGTCTCTCATATAGTGCTCACGACGATGGTCACCAACGCGGTAAGCCTCCCCCGAGATACAACCCGACACGCAGACAATTGACAACGGTGATATAGGTGCTTGGTGGTGTCGCCGATACTGTTGCGCAGCTGATTACGGCCTTCCAAACTCGCCGGACCCAAACAAGCGGTGACGACTTCCTCTCAATAGAGATCCCCGACCTCGACAAGGAGAAGCCGCCTACCGTGGGAGAATGGGGATACGGCAGGGGCCTACCGCCGGCCTTTGATTTCGAGCGCCTGACGCGGTTTATGGCGTACGGTTTCTTCATGGCGCCTATTCAGTTCCAGTGGTTCGGCTTCTTGTCACGAGCCTTCCCGCTCACTAAGATGCACCCGACTGCTCCGGCGTTTAAGCGCGTAGCATTCGATCAGTTCATCTTTGCACCATTTGGTATGGCCTTGAATGTTGTTCTGCATTCGGGTATGTTTGTGCTAACCCGGTGTGATAGGTCTCGCGTGCTTCTTCACCTACATGACGATCGCCGAGGGTGGTGGCAGAAGAGCCTTGACACAAAAGTTCCGAGATGTGTACTTGCCAACTCTCAAGGCCAATTTCGTGCTGTGGCCGGCAGTGCAGATCCTCAACTTCCGTGTCGTCCCTATTCAGTTCCAGATTGTATGTCGCTCGCCTTTGCTGAAACATGACCGACACTGACTCTCTAATCCAGCCCTTTGTTTCCACTATCGGTATCGCGTGGACCGCATACCTTTCTCTGACCAATTCCTCCGAGGAATCTTAATTCCATCGCCTCTTAAAAGCGAAGATCACGTTTACGACTTGGGCCATAAATTGCAGTCTTCCAGTTCTTGGGCGTTTCGGTCTGGTTTATGTGTATATTGTTTTGATATTTGCCCACGGGCCGGATTTGCATTTCAAAAGGTCGGATTTTGCACATTTGGGAAAGACCGATTTGCGTTTTGATGTTGCTAGTCACTATATTGTGTGATATGTCGCGAATGCTTCCAACTTTGCTTCTTTTTACACTTCACGTGTTCGGACTCGGAACGTCAGACTCATGGCGGCTATGTGCATTTCCTGTAGCAATGATTTCCCCAGAATCCCCCGAATCCGAGGCTAATGGGGAGCTCGATGCCCCGGCCTTCTCCGTATTTAACGGCATCTCTTACATCAGTCCCGCATCACCCCGATCGGTTCTCCGGGGGTAGTCGGGTACATTATACAAAGGTATTCGTTGAATGGGGCTACTTATACACATGGTCATTACATCATACTTTGGGAAGTACCTTGGGCGGACGAATACATCACCGGTAAGTACTCCAACATGCAACGGATGCGACCTCTTCACCGGCCTGCCCCACCATAGCCAACCCCTCCACTCTTTACTGATCGCGACTCACCGTGGCCTGATTAGTTCTCCCCTCTTCTTTCTTTCTCCTTTTCTCCTTTCATTGTCAAGTATTCCCTCAATTATACAACAATGTCTCTCTCCAACAAGCTCCCCGTCACTGACGTCGACCTCAACGGCAAGCGTGTCTTGATCCGTGTAAGTTCCCAATGGAGCTCGATTACCAATTCGCCGTCGCTGACAGGTACAGGTCGACTTCAACGTTCCCCTCGACGCTGAGAAGAACGTCACCAACCCCCAGCGCATCGTCGGTGCCCTCCCCACCATCAAGTATGCCATCGACAACGGCGCCAAGGCCGTTGTGCTCATGTCCCACCTCGGCCGCCCCGATGGCCAGGTCAACCCCAAGTACAGCCTGAAGCCCGTCGTGCCCGTGCTCGAGAAGCTTCTCGGAAAGAGCGTCACCTTCACTGATGACTGTGTTGGTGCTCAGACCGAGGAGACCGTCAACAAGGCCACCGGTGGCCAGGTTGTTCTGCTTGAGAACCTGCGCTTCCACGCCGAGGAAGAGGGCTCCTCCAAGGATGCTGAGGGCAAGAAGGTCAAGGCCGACAAGGCCGATGTCGAGAAGTTCCGCAAGGGCCTGACTGCCCTCGGTGACGTCTACGTCAGTATGTAACACCCCGTCACGTTTTCCTAACCAGCTCCGTATCTAACCATTCTTCCAGACGATGCTTTCGGCACTGCTCACCGTGCTCACAGCTCCATGGTCGGAGTTGACCTCCCCCAGAAGGCCGCCGGTTTCCTCGTGAAGAAGGAGCTGGAGTACTTCGCCAAGGCTCTTGAGAGCCCTGCTCGTCCCTTCCTCGCTATCCTCGGTGGTGCCAAGGTCTCCGACAAGATCCAGCTCATTGACAACCTCCTCCCCAAGGTTAACAGCCTGATCATCACCGGAGCCATGGCCTTCACCTTCAAGAAGACCCTCGAGAACGTCAAGATCGGTAACTCCCTCTTCGATGAGGCCGGCAGCAAGATTGTCGGCGAGATCGTCGAGAAGGCCAAGAAGCACAACGTCGAGATCGTCCTCCCCGTCGACTACGTCACTGCCGACAAGTTCGCCGCCGACGCCAAGGTCGGAGCTGCCACTGATGCCTCCGGTATCCCCGACGGCTACATGGGTCTGGATGTCGGCCCCGAGTCCGTCAAGCTCTACGAGGCCACCATTGCCAAGGCCAAGACCATCCTTTGGAACGGTCCCCCCGGTGTCTTCGAGCTCGAGCCCTTCGCCAACGCCACTAAGAAGACCCTCGACGCCGCTGTCAACGCCGCCCAGTCCGGCTCCATCGTCATCATCGGCGGTGGTGACACCGCTACCGTCGCTGCCAAGTACAAGGTCGAGGACAAGATCTCTCACGTCTCGACCGGTGGCGGTGCCTCGCTCGAGCTTCTCGAGGGCAAGGAGCTGCCTGGTGTCGCTGCTCTGTCCAGTAAGTAAATGATCAAAATTTAGAGGGGGAGGGGCCACCTTTCCCCGAAAGCATGTTTATGACACTGTAATGTACACAGCCAATGAATTTCCTTAATACATGACGTAAACTTGTCCTCCCTAGATTGAATCGGATAACTAAGAGATTATTTGTAGGCACGAGACCGAAGCTCTAGACGCAGGATCTGGTGGCACGGTGTACCTTGAAGCACATGACATCTACGGGCGCCAATAGCTGACGGGCAGATGGACAGACGGGAGGAATATCATGTTATTACGACTCCAAAAGTACAAACACCCACAACGCAATCATATATGCATTAGAATGTCTCGAAAGTAGTAGCAGATTCGAGACCACATCTCATTCCTTCAAGCTCCCGAATGCAAACTTGCCTGCGAACTGGGCTCAAGACAGGGCGGGTATAGTGTGCGAGGTGGAAATAGCCAGCCAGCTCGGATATGAAAACCCATCCAGAAACACAGTTGCTTTTCATTCATTTAGGTGGAGGCTTCGACCTTCTTCAATTCGTCCCTGGAGATGGGCTAGTCAGTACAGATACAGATCGTGTGGTGGGGAGTGTGGAGAATGGGCATGAACGCGGCATGTGTGCAAGGGAAGATTTGGAAAAGGCGCATATTAAGATCTCCCAGATCTTGCGAGCAAGTGTATATGAAGAACGTGGAATGGATGAAGCGGATGTGTGTCAAAGATGTGACGTGGGGAAAGGTACGCACTGGAGCTGCTTGGAGAAGTCCTCTGCGGCATCATCATCGTCCCAGCTCTCTTCCCAGAGATGCTCGCTTCCGCCGTTCGCTGCTGATCCGGTGGTCTGTTCGGCTTCTTCTTGGGGCCAGTCTGGGCGCGTGGTTAGCTTGGATGTCTGGATGGGCGTTGCAGATCGGCTTTGTACCTTCGATGGGGAAGTCTTCGAATTCGTCGTCTTCCTCAAGCACTTGGGGCTTGGGTTGAGGCTGCTCTGTGGGCTCTTTGTTTTGAGTTGAGTTCGACATGGTGGGATGTGGTTTGTTGGAGAGGTCAACGGTGAGCAGGTCGCAGGTTAGAGAGGTCGGAGCCCTGGAGGTCGGAGTGACTTAGTAAGATCGCGATAGGCTCAGATAACGATGATGTATAGCCGCCAGTCGCCAACTCACCTGGGCAGCCTTGGAGCTTGGAAATCAGTTTGCCCCAAATAAATGATAAAATGCGAGTTTGTTTGGGATAGTTCCTGGCGATTTCGTTTGTCGCAACTCGCCAGGAGTCAACGGAAATTGCCGGTGACTTTGTGTGGGCGAGTACCTCTCACCTAGCGGGCAGAGAACAGTAGCAAGTTTATGGCGCAATAAATTGCTCTGTTCACATTTCAATTGCGTTTTCAGAATCAATTTGTCCGGATCAGCGTGTGTTGCAGCTATCTGACCGCGGTGGTCAGCTGCTTTGGTAAATCCTCTACGTATCATACGCTACTCAGCATCTTCCCTTACCCAGACACGAGCAACTAGATCAGCAAGCCGTACTGCGATATTGACTCGAAGGGGCTCATCATCCTGACTAGAGTCCCGCTCTATGTGACATAAAAAGAGCCTGTTTGTTTTACCCGGGAAATAGCCAACCTCGGGGCTGCACGAGAAACTCGTCAACTTCCAAGCTTGGACTCATGCTGACATATTGAATCTCTGATTTGGATCTCCCAGCTCGCCCTCACGAGAAGCGATTCTTAAGGCGTGTACGAAGCCAAAGAAGTCCCCTGGATGGTCAAGGCGCTCACACTCTGGTTTACAGACCGGCGCAACGAGTAAGGGCATTTCGAAGGAAGTTCGTTCATTCAAGTGAGCGTATGCATGAAGGAGATTTTGAGAAAACTGTCGAAGTCCGCCGAAATCGAATACTGGGAAGTTCTCCGTCTCAATGCAATAGTTGTGATGGCAACCTGGGATGAGAGCGAGGTATACAGAGTGGAGAAGTGAATATAATCAAGAAGCATTTTTTAGTATCTGAACAAAACAATGGGCTGATACCTATCTATCTACACGATGTAGAGGCAGGACAACTGCCCATGCCATCCACAGTCTGGAATTGACCACATTGCCAATTCGACACATTCATCTCTAAATCATAAACTTCATGGAAGAGCTTTTGTGAACCCAAACCCTCCCAATCTCATGCAAACATAAAACTCCGTTGTGACAATGAACCATGCCCATCCCAATCAACCATTAAAATTTTGACAATTAAGGGAAGATGTGCGGGCAAAGATTCCCATCCGGTGCCACTCTGAGAAAGAATCCAGAGCGAAGCTAAGTTGCAAGGTGAAAACGATAGAGGCGTTGAATGATGATCGATGAATGGCAACAGGCCACAAAAATGAAAGAGCGTAATAGACCATGGATAGCAAGGGAGCACACGAGTCCACTACCTCCTAGCCAGGGTCACTGTTGCCATTTGGATCATCATCATCGCTATCATCGTCCGAGACACCGCTGCTGGCACCGGGACACGACCCGGCGCAGCAACGGGTTCCCTGGCCTCGAACCGCCGAGGCATTGCAAATGCCCGGGAACCCCATTAACCACACAATCTTCCTGCCGCCGCGGCGTCCGTTGCGCCGCTGCTCAGAGTCGCGGCCATCACGTTTGTGACGGCGACGACGATGTTCGTTGAAAATGCCCTTTTCAGTTCTCTTCCTCCAAGAAGTAGAAGTTGCCGGCCAACTTCTGTTCCTGGTCCATCTGACTGTTGTACTTGTTGATACGGGGACGGTAACTGTTGGGGTCACGACGGAAGGTGACGTCCAAGCTCTTCAGGAAGCGGTTGCAACCTCCGACCAGGGACTCGGGGGCCTGGGCGCGGGCATCAACGGAAGGCTGTCCGTCGAAGACAATGACACGGTCAGCCAGGTAGGTAGCCATGATGAAATCGTGCTCGACGATGAAGGCGGTCTTCTTGGTGTGCATGATGAAACGCTTGATGACACGGGCAGCAACGATACGCTGCTCAGAGTCCAGGTAGGCAGAGGGCTCGTCAATCAGGTAGATATCGGCGGGCATACCCAGGGCGAGCACAATGGCAACACGCTGCAACTCACCACCAGACAGGTTCTGGACTTCCTGGTCGATGAAATCGTCCATCTTCAAGGGCTTGTAGACATCGGTCTGGAACTGAGGAGACAAGAAAGCGGTCTTGATACGCTTGAAGAAGAGCTGACGAACGGTACCAGTGAACTTGGGAGTGATCTTCTGGGGCTTCATACTGATGCTCATCTTGGGAACGCTGACGGTGCCATCGGGCTTCAAAGCACCAGCAAGCATCTTACAGAAAGTAGTCTTTCCGGTACCGTTCTCACCCATCATGACGACAATCTCGGAATCGGTGAACTTTCCGGCCTCAACCTTGAGGTGGAAATTGCCCATGGTCTTCTCCATGGTGGGGTAGGCAAAGGCACGATCCTTGTCCGCAATGAACTCCTCACCAGCCTCGGCAAGACGGAAAGTCAATGATTCCTCACGGAATCGCAAGTTCTCGGTGGGAATGTGACCATCCAAGAAGATGTTGATACCTTCACGGACGGAGGAGGGCAGAGTCACAACACCGTAAACAGCGGGACGACCGTACAACACGCAAATGAAGTCAGAAAGGTAATCAAGCACAGACAAATCGTGCTCAACAACAATGACGTAGTCGTCGGGGCGGAGAAGGCTGCGGATGGTACGGGCAGCGGCCAGACGCTGCTTGACATCGAGATATGAGGAAGGCTCGTCGAACATGTAACTGTTGCAGGTCAGTAAATCTCAAATTCCACCGGAGTGCTTGCCCAAACTTACACGTCGGCCTTCTGCACACAAACGAGACCAATGGCGAAACGTTGAAGCTCACCACCGGAAAGATGACTGATTTCACGGTCCGCGACCTGTCTCAACTCTGCATGATCGTTAGCGGATAGAGCTTAGAAGGGAGATCGATATGACCCACCAAGAACATCCATGATCTCATCCTCGTTATCGAGCGCAACACGCGCCTTGATAAGGTCGTGCACCTGCTGGACGGGTCCCTTGACAGCGCGGGGAATCTGATCGACATACTGAGGCTTCACGACCGCCTTCAAGTTGTCCTCGAGGACCTTGGTGAAGTAGTCTATTGCAATTAGCAACCTTCGACAAATAGTAATGCGTTCATGCGTATGTGCTTACTCTGCAAGTCGGAACCACGGAAGTACTTCAGGATCTCCTCCCAGTCGGGAGGGTTTTCGTAGCGACCCAAGTTGGGCTTCAACTTTCCACTGAGAATCTTCAACGCGGTACTCTTTCCGATACCGTTAGTTCCAACAAGACCGAGCACCTGTCCGGGGCGGGGCATGGGAAGGCGATGAAGCTTGAAGCTGTTGGCCGAGTAACGGTGGGTGACTTGGGTCTCCAAGTTGGTGGGCAAGTTGATAATGTGAATGGCACCGAACGGGCACTTCTTGGGACAGATACCACAACCAATACACAATCGCTCGGAGATGAAGGCAATCTTGGAGGTAGGGTCAACTTCAATGCAAAGCTTTCCCGTGCGGACCACGGGACAAGCCTTCTTGCACTCTTGACGACATTTCTGTAACCCATCAGCTTTTATGTCTTCCATGCACAGTTATATCGAGTCGCATACCTTCGGTTTGCACTGTCGAGCCGGAAAAATCGGGTGTAAGCCAGGGTTTCGCGAGCCAGGAAAAATGTTGTTAGTGGGGTATTCCTCGACGAACCTTGTCACTGTTGATGATCGCGATACTATACAGAAGAAATCATGGTTATAAATAATCCAAGGCGACCAGAAGGACCAGAAACATACCGGGTGAGCTTGTCAGACATGGTGAAAGACTTGGTTCAAAGAAACCAGTGTGAAGCGGGTGATTTGAGAAAAAAACGAAGAATGAGCACAAAAGAGAATATGTGAAATTGGTCGATTCAGCACTGTCGCAGGTAAAAGGGCTGGGCGCAACAAAAGCACCGACTCTGCGCAGACTCGACTACCAACGTAGAAATGGGACAGAAAGACAACACTATCAATCGTGGAGGGGCGGTAGAAAATCCGTTGTGGGAGTGGCCTTACAATGGATTACGTCGACGCTGATTGGCCGAGCAAACAAAGAAAACGTGACCCATTACATAACCTGCCAAGACATTTTGTTGCTGCCTGAGGCCCGAAGGCTCAGAGGCAGCCAATTCGCTTGGCGCCTAAGTCCCATCTCTTGCTTCCTCAAGTCTCGTCTCTCCTCCTCCCCCAAGATTCCAGCGCCTCAGACTTCCCCACCATTCACTCTCCCACATTGATCTCCTGATCCCCCGCTGCCGGGGTCACCACGCTATGGAGTGTAAGTGATTTTATATTTTTCTCGAGTTTAAACGTGTCGCCAAAACCATTCGCCGCGGTACATCTCCGCGCTCTTCGACCCACTGTACGAATCCTTGAATCCCCTCATTTTGTTCAAATACGGTCAGATTGCCACTGCCGATGGCAAAGGAGCGCGTCGCTACTATCTCCAAGCCAGGTTGCGTGTATCAATCTGCCCATTGCCCTGTCCCCCAGCCTGGCCGCGTCCATCCCACCCGTCATCAAAAAACATACACTTTCATCAAAGTCAATATGCTGGCCTATTGAGCTGGGTTTATAGCTTTGTTTGAACGGATTCTGGATCGCGTGTCACTGGTTCACATACTCTTGCCTCTCTTACCCCTCTCCAAGCCCGACTTGAGCTTCAATGCTAACCTTTGTCCCTCGACCGCAGCCTCTGGCATGGTGATCCCATCTGCTCAGGAACCCTCCTCTACTTCCACGATGTCTAACGGCTACCCTTCTTCGACCGCATACGACGTCCACGTCGATGGTGACGCGGTATCTCAACGCGAACGCACCCCGTCCGAAACCATTGAGTCCCATCCCGTCTCCGAGTCCTCCCCCGAGCCCGATGCCGCGGACGACTCATATGACGCCGCATCTGCCGAATCAGATGTCGAAGAGGAAGACGCAGCGGCAGACAATAGTGATGATGATGCCAACTCTTACAGCCGTGAAAACTCTTCATCCCCTCACCCCGGTCGCGGTGCCCAGCGCAGATCGTCACCACAGAGCGAGACCGATCTGATAAGGCAAAATCCCGATTTGTATGGACTTCGCCGAAGTGGTCGTGCTCGTACTACACGCAATGTCGCCGACTCATCTGATTCTGATTCCGACGTCGTTGCGCCTCGTGCGAAGCGTCGGCGCAAGGAAACATCTCAACAACCCTCCAAGGCCTCACGATCCGCTACGGCCTCCTCGCTGTCTGAGTCGGACAGTGATGAGTATGGTGGCAAGAGCGCCCGTGCCAGTAAGGCTAGGAGACGCCGTCTCCAACAGACCGCCAGTTACGAACCGTCTTTGAATGAAGTCCGCTTCTCAACACGAACGGCTAACAAAGTTTCAAATTACAACGAGGATGACGAAGATGACGAGGCAATGTTTGAGGCAGACCCAGAAGATCTTCACCCGAGCTACTGGGCAGAGAGTTACGAGGAGGATAACCGCCCTGCCGTCGACGTAGTCCTCAATCATCGCCTCAAGGACGACGTCGACCCTAAATCGCATGATCTTGACCGTAACGACTTTGAGTTCTGCATTAAGTGGCAAGATAAATCACATTACCATGCCACTTGGGAACCCAATGAGGCCATGTCTAATTACCGTAGCACGCGACGTGTGGACAACTACGTCCGGAAAGTGCTCAACGAAGACATCCGACTACAGTATGATGAAGACGCCCCTCCAGAAGATCGTGAAAAATGGAACCTCGATCGCGAAAGAGACGTCGAAGCCATCGAAGATTATAAAATGGTTGAAAGAGTCATCGGTGTGCGCGATGGGGAGGATGGCACCACGGAATACCTCGTGAAGTGGAAACGTCTCTTTTACGATTCTTGTACTTGGGAACCCGAGGACCTGGTCAGTGAGATTGCACAACGCGAGGTCGACCGGTTCCTGGACCGCACCGCCCGTCAACCTTGGTCCGATAAGAATGAGACCACCGTCGCAACAAGAAAGCCATTCGAGCCTATCCACGGCGGTACTCCCAGTTTCTTGCAAAATGGAGAACTCAAGGATTTCCAGATCAAGGGTCTCAACTTCTTGGCTTTCAATTGGGTGAGAGGCCGCAACGTCGTCCTCGCCGATGAGATGGGCCTCGGAAAGACTGTGCAGACTGTTTCGTTCATCAACTGGATGCGTCACGTCCGACGGCAGCAGGGCCCCTTCATCGTCATCGTACCTTTGTCTACTATGCCAGCTTGGGCCGATACCTTTGATCATTGGACGCCCGACCTCAACTACGTGGTGTACAACGGTAGCGAAAAGGCCCGTTCAGTGTTGCGCGACTACGAACTCATGGTCGATGGAAATCCCAAACGTCCCAAGTTCCATGTTCTGCTGACCACTTATGAATATGCAATGAATGATTCACCTTTCCTTGGCCAATTCAAGTGGCAGTTTATGGCGGTCGATGAGGCGCATCGTCTCAAAAACCGCGATTCGCAACTTTACATCAAGCTATTCGAATGGAAGTGTCAAGCTCGCCTTTTGATTACCGGTACACCCATCCAAAATAACCTTGCAGAGCTCTCAGCTTTGATGGATTTCCTCAATCCAGGTCTCATTGATGTCGATGTCGACATGGATTTGAACTCCGAGGCAGCGTCACAAAAGCTGGCTGAGCTGACAGACGCTATCCAACCTTTCATGTTGCGACGTACAAAGTCTAAGGTCGAGTCTGACCTTCCTCCCAAGACTGAAAAGATCATTCGAGTGGAGCTTTCCGATGTCCAATTGGAATACTACAAGAATATTTTGACCAAAAACTATGCTGCGTTGAACGATGGAAACAAGGGAATGAAGCAGTCTCTTCTGAATATCATGATGGAGTTGAAAAAGGCTAGCAATCACCCGTTCATGTTCCCCAACGCAGAAGCCAAGCTTCTGGAAGGCAGCAGTCGCCGAGAAGACGTCCTTCGTGCCATGATCACCAGTAGTGGAAAAATGATGCTTCTTGACCAGCTCTTACGCAAGCTAAGCGTTGATGGCCACCGTGTCTTGATTTTCTGTCAAATGGTTGGCATGCTTAACATTCTGAGCGAGTACATGGAATACCGTGGCTACAAGTACCAAAGGCTCGATGGAACCATTCCGTCGGCCGCCCGTCGCTTGGCTATCGAGCACTACAACGCTCCCGGTAGTACTGACTTTGCATTCCTTCTCTCAACCCGTGCAGGTGGTCTCGGTATCAACTTGATGACCGCAGACACTGTTGTGCTATTTGATTCTGATTGGAACCCGCAAGCTGATCTGCAAGCCATGGCTCGAGCCCACCGAATCGGTCAGACTCGACCAGTCAGCGTCTACCGCCTTGTGTCCAAAGATACCATTGAAGAAGAAGTCATTGAAAGAGCTCGCAACAAACTTTTACTTGAATTCATCACCATTCAGCGTGGTGTCACCGACAAAGAAGCTACGGACATGCAGAACAAGATGGCCCGTGTTGTTGCCGAGCCTAACTCTACCGATGACATTTCTCGGATTCTCAAGCGCCGTGGTCAGAAGATGTTCGAACAAACGGACAACCAGAAGAAGCTTGAACAGCTTGATATTGACTCGGTTCTTGCCAATGCTGAACTGCACCAAACGGAAGAGGCCGAACAAATCCAAGCCGACGGTGGTGAGGAATTCTTGAAAGCCTTCGACTTCGTCGACATCAAAGTCGATGATCTCACCTGGGACGATATCATTCCCAAAGATCAGCTTGATGAAATCAAAGCAGAAGAAAAGCGCAAGGATGATGATGTCTACCTTGCCGAGGTCATTGAACAGAACCGACCCCGCAAGCGTCACGCACCCGCAGACACCCCGGACTCACGGGAGGAACGCAAGGCTAAGCGTCTTGCAAGGGCTCAAGTTCATATCGACGACGGCGAAGATGAGAACCCCACATTAGATCCTAAGCGCCCTCTTGGAGAGAAAGAATATCGTGCGCTCTCTCGAGCCTTCCTCCGCTTTGGAGACATGGATGACTCTGAAGATCTTATTCTTGAGGACGCGAGGTTGCAGACTCGGGATCGGGGCACCGTGCGTGCTGCCCTCCGTGAGATCACCGAAAAAGCCAATTCGCTTGTGCAAGACAGTCTAGACCAACTGGACGCTATGAAGCAAGCGGGCAAAAATCCCACCAAGAAGGAACAAAAAGCAGTCCTGTTTGATCACCACGGTGTAAAGCGACTCAATGCATGGACTATTGTGGAACGTCCGCCTGACATGCGCCTGATACGGAGTATTACCAACGCATTGCCCGATTTCAGGACTTTCCGACTTCCTGAGGCTACGAAATTGGCAGACTACAGCTGTATGTGGGGTGCACGTGAAGATGGAATGCTTCTTGTGGGTATCGCACGCCATGGATTTGGTGCATGGACCCAGATTCGCGATGACACCGAACTTGGCCTCGGTGACAAATTCTTCCTCGAAGAGCACCGAGTCGAGCGCAAAACACAGCGGTTGCAAGCTGAAGAAAAGGCAACCAAATCACCTGGTGCTGTGCACCTGGTGCGGCGAGCCGAGTATCTCATGTCCGTGTTGAGAAACAAGTACAACAATAACGCCACTGCTAGGAGAGCAGTTGACAACCACCACCGCAACAACAAGCGGAATGCGCGAGTCTCAGGCAGTGGTAGTGTCTCTGCCTCTCCAGCTCCTTCTAGCTCTCGCAGACCCGAGAATCCTCGAAAGGGTCACCGTGAAGCTGATCGGTCCCGGCAACGCTCACACACACATGGTGGCCGGGAAGGAAGTGACCGTCACCATACCCCGAGTTATGATCGCCCTCGATCTGGTCTTGACAACCGTCCTCGCCACCGTCTTTCTGATGCATCTAACGACGACCTTCGTCGGCGCAGAGCACACGAAAACGGGGGATCGAACAAAGAGGACATGGCCTTCATGTTCTTCAAGCCAGTTGTTGCCACTTTAAAGCAGGTGGCGATGATCACCGCCAAGAACTACCCTAACAAGAATGAGAGGGCTCAAAAGCTCCGCCTCACCCTTGTGAAGATTGGCGAGTTCATCCGCAACACATTAGACGGCCAACAGTCTATGCCTTCACTGGAGGTCCGCCTATGGTATGTTCTACTAAATGCACCCTCAAGTCCCACCTCACGATCTAACCTCGATTACAGGGATCATGTTTCGCTTAACTACTGGCCTAACAAGGATGCCAGTGGTGCCAAGCTCCAGCTCATGTTCAACAAGGTCATGGAAGCGAGCAAAGCCTCAAAGCCCGCAAATGGCACGTCGGCTTAAGCAATTGGGGTGCCTTCCATGATGGGCACAGGTGTTTCGGTTTACTTAAAGACTCACTTTAGCACGGTTTCATGACATGCATGTTCAGCGTTTCTGGTTACTATCTATCCTTGCTCTTTTGTGATGGATCATTGTCATACATCTCGTGATATCTTATTTGTTCTCTCTCAAATCTCCTTCACCTCATCATCTCGAACGACGATATTTTGCATTTTCTATCAGACTCCAGTTCTCCTCTCCTACAACCACCTACCCCTTCTATGCAGAATTCCTTGCTTTGTTCTCAATCGAGAACAGTCTTTGTTTGCTTTGTCTTCGAAAGTACATATGGATGCAACTCGTTGCACGGCATTGCGAATGGCGTCGAAGTTCTTCCCGCGAGCCCAAAAGCAAAAGGAGATTTCGGTTTGAAATGAGCATGACCTACGCTTCTTGGATGATCACTGCATGGCGTGTTTAGGGTCTTTTTTTTCTTGTCTTTTTTTTTTTTCTCCCTCTTCGTTCAATTTCGCCAAGGGGCCTGGCATTGGATGAGTTTCGGTCTTGTATCCTTCGGATTCGGGCCTGAACATCCCCAAGCTAGTGCCTAGAGTTTGTTCTCTTTTGTTCTCTTTTCTTGGCACATGTAACTTATGGAGTGGCTGCCACGGCGTCGAGTGATTTTTACCTGAGATGACTCGGTTGGAAGCGTGTTATTTGTCACATTTTTCATCTATTTTCTGGTTTAGAACCAATTGCAAGATCATCCACCAGAACTTTACCCTCATCGTAAATTATAAATATTGTTCATAACCTTGGAACCAGACCATGGACCAGCCTACTCCGTATAAGATTACAAATGTAAGTGTCAGTTAGGACCTTGGAAACTATCCAAGTCTGTTCATCATAGTTTGATACGCGAAACCGCATGTCATATACATGTGAAGCACTGGAGAGCCAGAAAACATCCCATCAGGAAAAAAATGAGTATTGACTATATCATGGAGGTGGCTGCCCATAGTAATGGGCCATTACTGGACGAGGCCAGGCTAACGGGGAAAGAAACTATTCATACATTCCATCGCAGGACGTCACTGCATCCTCTACTGAGGATGAGAACACAAGAAAACACATTCACCAACACCATGCACGCCGGGATATGAAGACAAAAGGACAGCAAAAGAACCGAAAGATAATGGCACCAGGCAGATTATACTAGAGAACCAGAGCCTAAGCACCCTCGGCATAAGGCACCTCAGTCGCCCGAGCAAGCTGCTCCTGTTGGCTGTGGAACTGTTGTTGCTGCTTTTGCAATTTCTCAAGGCTCGTAGTCAAATTAGCCGGAGGCACAGACCCAACCATAGCGCTCAAAAGTCCAACTTCAGCTTCAATCAGATCATCAAAGATAGACTCTTTCTCGCGCCACGCTGCCTCCCGCTTCGGCCGAATGCCCTCCCACTCGACTTGCAGTTGTGCTGTTTCCTTCGTGGCCCATGCGATTTGGCGTCGTAGCAGACGGTACAGGTCTCGCGGGGGCAAAGTGAGCTCGTGATCATCGAAATCGAGCTCGGGCCCAAATTCCGGCATTGAGTTCTCTTCCAAATCGTGCTCGGTTGGAATTGTAGGGACTGGGGGCGCTACTGGTGCTTCAACATGGGGCTCTGCTTCGGTTCCTGGTTCCCGAGGCTGAGTGAGCTTTAGTCGAATGCGCTGAAGCTTTGCGGCCGGCGTGCCGGTTGTGGAGCCAGTCTTGGCGATGGCGTCGTTGGGGCGCATGGTGTCTGTTTCATGGACGGAGCGCATGTGCTTTGTCAGGGCGTCGGAGCGGGTGAAGTTGCGATCACATTCTAGTTTGATGTTAGTGACTGGTAAACTTTGCTAGTATGAATGGAATCCTACCTGGTAGTGTGCAATAGAAAGGCTTTTCACGAGTGTGGCTCCTCATGTGTGCGCGGAGGGCATAGGCGCTGGCGTGCGTTTGGCCTTTGCGGGTACAGTCGGTCCACTCGCACGAGTACCGCTTCTGTCTGCTCCCGATGTGCTCATTGTGCAGGTGAGACACTAGTCCATCCATGTTCCCGAGGTCGCCGGCCACGCATCCATCCCATCGACAGATGGTGACTTGGTCGGTGCTTTGGCCGCTATAGTCGTCTTCCTGGTTGGTGCCCAGGAGAGCAAGGAGGCTTGGAGAGTTGGGGATGTCGGCGGAGCTGTCGGAGGAGATTGAGGCTGTTGGAGAAGGGGGAGGATGATTCTCGTCACAGACTGAAGACTGTGGTGTGTGTCGGTCTTTATTTATCAAGGGTGGACCGGTGCGACGCCGTTTCGAGGGCGGCATGTTTGACATCGAGGGCGAGTGCGCGCGGCTATCTTCATGGTCTGATCCGTCGATGGAGCCGACAGAGGACAGCGGTGAGCCGGGGGAGTCTCGTGAAGCCATTGTGAGTCGACTATTTGTCAAAAGCAGGCGTGACTATGAATGATTGATTCAGACCAATGCTAGATGGTCGCGATGCGAGACAATAGCACGACACGTGATCCTTAATAAGCATTCAGCTCCCCCAGACACACACTCCACCTTTTGGATTTCCCTCTTCTCTCCCCTCTTCTCTTCCCATGAGTCTTGATGCAGACCATACTTGAGTCTATGGCCAGCCTGTGGCCAGTTTCATAACAGCTGCCGACCCAAGCAGCATCTTTACACACATCTCCCTCCATGTCAACACTAACCGGTAAGCTCATCCTCACCACCTCACCACTGCGTACATGATGAACAAACCCCGAAGAATTCTGCAATGCTGACAATCTCCATGTTTGAAAGCATGTGAGATTGGATGTTGACTCTTCTACACTTGATCTGATTTCGCAACCCATTGGCATCGCAATTGTCAATTCTCTAGCTATATATGACCTAGCTAACCACTCGATCTCCAGGAACTCTAGTACCGAGCACCAGCCACAACGTTACTCTTCAAGATAGCATCAATTTCAGCCATTTCCTCGTCACTCAATACCTGTACACCTCCCATATTCTGGATGACCTTATCCTTTGTAGTGCCACCGGGGATCGGAATAATCGTAGGCATTCCGGGCTTGGCGCTGTGACTGCGCACCCAAGCCAGTGCAATCTGAGCAGGAGCAACACCCTTGCGAGCTGCCAGGTCATTGACCTCGTTGATAAGCTTGAGGTTCTGCTGGAAGTTCTCTTCCTTGAAACGGGCGATGTGACGTCTGATGTCACCTTCAGGGATGTCAGCGAGCGAGGTCACTGCTCCGGTCAAAACACCGCGGCCGAGAGGCGAGTAGGCCACAACAGGGATGTCAAGCTCGGCACAGGTTTTAGCAATATCGTTCTCTAGGATGTCGGTTGACCACAAGGACATCTCCACCTCAACGGCTGCAATTGGGTGCACCTTGTGGCTGGGAGGAAATTAGTCGAGCTTCAATGCATATATAAATGGAGACTTACGCTCGACGGATAGTCTCGGCATCAACTTCGCTCAGTCCAATACCTCCGATCTTGTCTTCCTTCACATAAGTGGCGAGGACCTCAATCGTGGACTCGACAGAGAACTTCGGGTCCTGTCGCGCACATTCAAAGATATCAATTGTCTTCTTGCCATCGAGCTGAAGCAAACACTCATCCACGCTGCGACGAATATTTGCTTCCGAGCTGTCAGGCACAAGCTCGCCCTTCTTAAGTCCACCCTTAATGCTGAGTACGACTTTCTCTGCGTTCTCTGGGTACTTGGTGAAATACTTGTTCAGCAAGTGCAAGGAGTTGTACTCTGGGGTGCCGTAAAGCTCGCCACCATTCCAGAAGTTAGCACCAAGCTCAAGGGCCGTGTTGAGTGTTTCGAAGCACACTTCCTGGGCTGGTGGCTGGGGTCTCCAGGTCATGCCTGCACGATCGTTAGCACAGTTCATTGACCGTAGCGAGGATGCTCATACCCATGGTGCCATAGCCGGTAGGGCCAATTTCTTTTCCAACAAGAGATGGCATTTTCTGGGTTTGGTATGTAGAAAGCAAGGTAGGTTTATGATTTTGTAGAGATGAAAGATTGAATTGACAGTTTGAAAAGGTGTGGGCCGCTCCCTCTTTATGGGGTTTGAGCCCCGCCAGACACACTACTATGAGTACTATGAGAGTGGAACGATCCGGACACTTGGAGAAGCATAACCCCGATCTTAGCCTAGCAATTGCTTAGAGACGTCGGTTTTGCCGGATTCCGAGCGATAAATGCGCTGTGTTGAGTCGGATTTTGCCCGGACAGCGGGCTCCGGAGTTAAGGGAGATAGGCCGTTCGCCGTTACATCATTGTCTTTGGGCCGAGTTTATATTAGACGTTCACCATTGCTCACTTGTACTTATATTCTAATTTCTCATTTGACAGAGCTTTAATCGCTTTGCCGAAATAGAATTTGTATGACGAAACGTTCAGCTGCATATTGTGGGAGTTGTGGAAAATGGGCAATTTGTAGCGCGATGAGAACAAATCATTTGAATCCAATTGCTTTTGCACCGACAGTGCTTGCTTGCTATTCTGTCCTATTTAAAAGAGCAACTAATAACATAATAAAACATCAGGTGCCACCAAACCGTGGAGAATTAACCAAAGCCGATTCCAACCCAGATATCAACCTAAGATCCATCAATCCATCGGAACGAGATCTTGAAACCATCAAAATAAAAATACAACAAGCCAAAGCATTTCACGTTCACATTCATTCAATCTGCTCAATTCTCAGAAGTTTTCCAAATCCGACATGAATCCATCCAGTCCAAGTTCATCTGAACTGTTGATGTCAGCTACTTGATGCTTCAATTCACGGTAGACAGCATCGAAAACAACAGGCAAGTCCTCAGCGGTGAGCTTGCGGTCTTTGTTCCATCCATGCATCAACTGGATGTTCATAGGCGAGTGGCTTTCGTGGTGTTTCACGGTTTCCGTGTAGCCTGCCCCGTTGCTACCGTGGGTTGGCGTGTAGCTTGTCGAGCTTTGGTATGTGATGTGCGTGGTAGGAGTTGGTCCTCTGTCTTCTGAGTAACTGCTTTGAGAGTAAATAGTCCCCGGAGAAGGCTGTGCTGGGGGATCCTGCTCCGTGCTGTCGTCGTCCGGGCGGCTTTGTTCGACTTGCTGGGTTGCCGAAGGGGTCGCAGTTGCAGTTGCAGTTGCAGTTGCCGTGGCTGTCGTTGTAGCAGTGGGTGAGAGACCACCTAGTCCGAGGCCTTGAAGGACATTATGGACGTAATTGGTTGTGTCCGGGATGAGACGCTGGCTTGGTTAGTCATGTTGACATGGGATGGTCTGGGTGGCGTACTGGTGATCTTGCTTCGATGATGTTTGCTTCGCTGTCCTTAATTGGGAGAGCATGCACAGTGGATAGGGCTAGGGCTACCACAAGTACTGAGGACCAAGGCCTTGAGATGAATTCAGACATGATGTACAAGTGTGTATTCTGGTGATTTGCAATGACGGGATGTCCGTTGTTGATAAAAGCAAGTCGATCTCAGGTATCAACAATCACAACAAGCTTAATGGATGCTGTACCTAGGTATCTGTTTTGGCAACCGAAATAACCGAAATACCTGCTCGCTCTGGAATGGAACCTTTCCATATCGGGTGAGACGTCAAATCTTGCATGTTACCTATATTGCGCTTTCAATCATGTACTTTCTAGCTATTCTCAACAATTAGCTCTTCCTTTTCCTATGTTGTTAGTCAACTATCTATCGCTTACTCTTAGAAAGCAATTGTGTAACTTGAAGCCGATGGTCCAGTTTTGCGAAACTAGGGGGTGTGTTGATCCACACTTGACAGGTATTCCAAGAAGTATCCTGCGAATCAAGGACCTCGCTTAAATCATAATGATCTAAATCCAGGGTTATTGGAATGAGAGGGTGACACAGTCCCATATTTGCATACTCTCATGTCGCAACTTTGTCACCTATGCAACTTAGTTCTTAATGGACTCTTTTTCCATAGAGCTTACAGCGTGATGAAAACAAAGGCAGTTTGAATGTTCTTACAGTTGAGATTAAAGCTACTCTAACAAGGTCTTGATTCAATGAATCTTGAACCCGGACTATACACCGTCATTGAAGCGATAGGAGTTCATCCATCGCTATACCGTCATTAGCTCGTGATTTCAACCGAGACTTGGTCTGCAAGGTCAACTTACCTTATCGTAAGGCTTAGACGAGTCGCAAAAGCGAAGGTCTGTCGCAAGGCGGATAACATTCTCAGGGTCGTGATTGATTGTGGAGGCATGGATCTGGATAATGAGCTTCGAATTCCATTGGCACAAAGAAGAAACTTACCATGTGTGGCTTGTGCAAGACAACATCGCCCGCTTCATACTCTGAAACCAACCATCGCTTCCCATGTTCCTTTGCAAATCCACTTGGGAACTCAGACAGGAGACCCGTCGACATCATATTCGTATTGAAAGCCGACTTCGCCTCTTCATCAGAAAGTCCAGCCTGCTTCGCTTTCCGGAAGAAAGCCTCCTCCGTCTCGATTCCGATATTGTCACCTGTATCAAAAGTCAACACACATATTTGGAAGAGCGCCTAAGAGTGACGATCATACCATCTTCCAGATAAATCAACCCTCCGCCATTGATCTTGACATCTCCGATAGGAACCCAAGCAGTAATACTCGTCGGATCCCCATATCTCAAGAAAATCTGATCATAATGCACACCAATAGGCTTTGAACCCGGAATGTTGTTTCTGAGCAGAGTACGCTTCAGATTAAGCGTGTTCTTCCCCCAATCCGCGAACCGTGCCACAAAGTCATACAACGCAGGATGGTTACAGAACTTGTCATACCATTCCTGGTAATGCGCATCGAGGGCAAGATCCACGAATGCAGCTGCCCGCTCACCACCAGGTCTACCATTTCCGTCAACGTGTCCGGCTCCAATGCCGGGATAGTCAAGATGACTCTTTGCCGGATCGAACACTCCTTCCACGGGTGCGGTGCCTGGCTTCAGGACTCCTGTCTCTTTCAATGAAGAGAAGTAGGCGTCTCGGGCGTCTAGAACGTCTTGCCTCGGTAGGACTTGCTTGAGGAATAGATAGCCGTCTGCATCGTAGCGCGCGCGGAGCTCGGAGAGAGGGAGGGATGGAGAGGAGGGGCGGAGGAGGGCAGCGTTCTCTGATGTTAGAGGGCCGTCGTTTACGGCGAGGTTCTCAGCTTGTAGACCGACCATTTTGGCGATTGCGAATTATTGGAAGTCAGAAAGACTCGAGTTCCAGCTGCCCTTTTATGTTCTGAAGAGCATGGCGGGGTATCCGTCACAAGCCGACCTTGTCATCCAACCAGGAATCGCATGATATACTGCTGACCCCAGTTCCCCGCGTGTTTATGATATCCAGATGATATGACTGCATGGTTAGAGTGGGTGTCACGACAAAGAAGTAATAATTTCCGCTGTGAGGGCGGAGTTCTTGACCGCATTAGGGTGAATGTGGGGAAGTATGGAGAAACCACCGCTGATCCGCGGGGAACTTTGCTGCTTTCGCATCGGCAGACACAGTGGTCATATATTGGCTCTGGTTTGTTGGAGCGAAAGAAATTAGCAGACACCGGATATGCCGAAGCATTAATATTGTGAAATCAGTACAAGGAGCCCTGAAGACGCACAGCAACACAGCAACACAGCAGCCAGAGGCAAACGACTGGCTTTCTGAGTATTCCTTTTCCAATGACTTGCTGAGAGAGCCGAAGAGTGGAAAAGCGTTAAGGTGTCGCACAACTGATGTTCCAAAATTCATAATCGGACAACCAGCGTTGTTGATTTGTTGGTGGCCTACAACGAATGAGATCGTTATAGATCTTCAAGTCGCGACCGAGGTATGATTGGGCTCATGAAGCCCAGGCTTTCCCGAGGCCTTGCAAGAGCATGCGTAACATATGAAGCAGAGCTCTCTTTGGAGAATATAAGCATCTGAAAGAAGTGAAATTGGACGAAACTTTGGTATTGAGAGAGATGAAGGAACAACAGTCATGCTTTGAGCGAAGTACGTATGTACAGTCAGCCCATTCTCAGATTTTTCTCGGTCTTGAAAAAAAAGACAGACACACTGCTCAGACGTGGTGTGCAGAGCTCAGGCCTCGTCCTTCCAGTCACTCAACTCCCACCCCTCGGCTCCATCATGGATATTCAACCTCAACGTCGTGAAAAGAATCTCCTCGTACATAACGGTAGCCGCAGCTCTAGCCTGCGCATGCCAAGGTCCCCGTCCACCAAGTCTAGCATCATTCCTCGAGCGCCAGATACCTAGTTCATCAGCCCACGTTACACCTTCGGGTCAGATTGGAAAGTACTCACAAGTCGCCAAGTTCCTCCTCTCTGCATTCTTCGACCCAAACCAATACTTTAATAGACCCCCCGAGGCAATTGCTTCACGGTGGGAATGCGCATCCAAAGCATAGAGTCGATCACCATCAGCGTCTGGTAAAAGGATCGAGCGGAATATCACGACGTAGTAAGATTGCGCTTTCCAGGGTCGGTTCTCGGCCTCGGAGAATGATTTCACGAGAGAGAATACCTCGTCCCAATTGAAAGACTCGGTATATGCAGCTGTCGCATAATCATTGCGTATTGGCTTGAGGTATGTGAGTGCCAGCGCGAAGATTCGATCTTGGTGATCTAGGGCTGAGATGTCGAGGAGATGGGACGGGTCATTGTATGGAGATGCAATGAGGTGGGTTGAGTCCTGTTCTGATTGGCTGTTCTGGAGCTTGAGCTGAGATTGGAGTTGCAGTGAGGCTGCTGCTTCAAACAAAAGAGGGTCGAATTCCTTTGTGATGCTGCTATGATGGTGGAGGCTGTTGAGATTGGTCGGGCCTGGCACGTCCGCGCCCAATGTGGTGGCTAGTTGGGATATTGTCAATGCCATGTTGAATGAAGAAGTGAGAGTAAGAGTGAGAGTAAGATTGAGGGAATTGATCTATGTCTAGGTGTAGGGTAGAGTCGTGAAATAGTGACTTAAAAAGTTCCCAGTCGCTCCTTGATTGCGCCATCCCGAAGGCAAACCTCATTATATAGATCCTGACCGCTACCGTGGAGCAAGTCTTGAGCCACATCTCACAATCATATAAAGAGAGCACGCAATATGAAACTCACTTCACTTTCACCAGAAAACGGGACGAACTGCTGCTCCGACATTCCTTGCCTTACTGTGCACGTGGCTACGGGGTGCCCTAGTTAATTGACTTGTAACAATCGTTCTACGCAGATCTCGGGGACGACCTTCCCCCGGATTTGATCTTGGCATGAGACCATTTACTAAAAGGAGTGAAGACCAAGTGAATAATATTTTTTAATTTTTTTTCTCATTGAAGAGTTTTCTTGCGCCTCTCGGCGACTTGGAAACTAACTGCGCATCGGTGGTATCACGTAAATCATTAAAGCTCAGACCTCCATGGGCCCTCCCCGGAACTCCGTTACAATGCGAAAGATCTGACGAAAGGGCAGAAATGATTTACTGAGGGGGGTTGCTTGGCCCCCTCACCGGTGTTGGCCCGCTTGTTTGGCAAGGCGGGCACCTTGAAGCCACCGGCGCCGCTGCTGCCCTCGCTGGGGGCCTGGGTGAAGACACCGTCGTTGAAGTAACGGTTTTCTTCGGCCTCGCGCTTGCGCTTGAGCTCGGCCTGAGCCTTGGGGTCCACGAGAGAGAGACCCTGCGCGGGCGCGAAGGTGACGGAACTGGCGGTACCGGCTGCGTCGGGTTGAGTTCCAAACCCGGAATCACGCAGACCACGAGCTTGGAGAACACTGGCGATTCCGCTGGCACCGGGAGTGAAGTCATCCAAGGATGCGTTGCGGTTGCCGCTGGCGGTAGCGTTCCAGCCCTTGTTGTTCTTGCTCAGCTTGGCAGCAGTACTCTTGTTGACCTGAGTGGTGCGAATGTTGCCCTGGTTCTCCTGTCCCAGCATACCCAGTCCGACAGTTCCAGGGCCAACGCCGTATCCGACTTCCGATTCCTGCTGGTTGAATGCGACGCGGTTCTGAGCCTTGCGCATATCGGTCATGGCGGTGGCCTCCTTGGCCTTGCGGGCACGCTCACCACCGCGCTTGGCGGAGGGCTTCTCGTCGGGAGCAGGGAGAGCCTTCTTGTTCTTTTTCTCCGGGGCTTGGTGCAGCTTCTGCAGCTTGTTGGTACATTCGTCATGCAATCCCTCGCCAAAAGAGCCATCGGGTCTCTCTTTAGCAAAGTCGACGCGGGCAGAGAGCGCGATCTTGGCGCAGACGATGCGAAGGCCCTGCTTCATAACGTCCTCCGGGACATTCTCAAAGATCGGCGAATCGTAGATGTATCCCTTTGCGCGGACACCGTGGTTGGTCGCAAACCCTGTTTCGCCCGCATGGTTGGCGCCAATTGCACTCAGATTGCCAGCTGGCTTCCTAATGAGCTCTTCAAGGCCTCCGGTTGCGTTCAGGAGCTGGGCAGCGGTATCCACTCCGACAAGAGCAGTCAGGTTTGGGGCGGTCTCAAACATGCGCGACTTGATCTGCTGGGTAATCTTAATGCGCTCGGCATCGATTTCCAAGATCTTTTGCGTGATACGGGTAACATTGTTCAACTCGGTCTCAGACAGATCCCGACCATGGGTAGTGGATCCCGTGACAGTGACCACCATCAGGTCTGCTCCACGCAGAACAGAACGCAATGTCACGCCAGTCATGTTGTCAGAAGAGTCTGTCAAACTCTTGATGTCGTGAAGGGGGTGACCCAACAGGATGCCGACGGTCTTAGCGTATTGCATGGGGTCTTTGACAAGGCCAGCCAATTCGGGGAAGCGAGGTGCGTAGTGATCTTTGAGAGACTTGTGGAGACCAACCAGCTTATCGGCGAGGGCAACAGTACGCTCGTACTCGGTCTGCTCACCGTTTTCATCGGTATCTTCGTCCATGTTGGAAGCATCATTTGCGATATCATCTGCGAGATCGTCTGCGAGATCGCCTTCCATATCGTCTTCCATATCGCCAGCGAAATCTTCTTCGAGATCACGAAGGTCGGCAAGGTGGGCTTCAGATGCGCCAGTAGGCAGGCCAGCGAACTGCGCCTGCAGACCAGCCATTGTGAGTTGTGAGTTTCTAGCTAGCTGTGAGGGGAAAATGTCAAAGACTGTGTGCACAAACGTATCGCAGATTAACTTACGCGACGGGGAAAATTTCTGTCCCCAGTAAGGATTTCAGCAAGTGCGAAAACCTCGGTGGTGAGGGGAAGGTATGGATTGGAAGGTGGCAGAGGCTCTCGAACGAGAGCTGGGTTAATTTCGGTCCACCTCATCTTGACCGCTCGGCAGAATAATCGCGACGATAAGAACACGTGATGATAACGGGTCGGATGAATAGTTACTCCGAACATTTCCCCCGCTGAAGTCTGCGAAGCCGTCGATGGGCGCTATCCCCGATTCCGTTAGCGTGGCTTTACATTTCCACCCAGTCAGGACCGAGCTCTAAGCTTTACGTAATGCCATACCCAATCGGGAAAAACGAAGCTCCCACCATATCTGACAAACCAACTACGGAGTATTTACTCAAGCTTCTTTGGAAATAAAGAACAAGGGACTATATTGCAGATCGTTCTGAATACTGTATATTGCTTGAATGACTGTACATCGTACCCATAAACCAGATATACCTATCCCATGCTACTAGAACCATGAAACTAATCCTCTCATTGGGCCGATGATTAATCCTTGACTGTCCACATCTTGCAAGCTTGTAGGCTTAAACCCCACTAGATCAAATCCTCTATAACACGACGTCCCTCTTTGCGAAATGGCAAACTGGCAAACTGGCAAACATCAAGTAAGAAGCTCTTCTTTTAAGGTGGGCAGAATAATATACTGGCAGCCAATGATGAGGCCCATTGGAAAGAGCGGTCTGCACACCTTGTCCGCAAACTCACATCTTCCCCAATTCCTACGCCGATACAACGAGCTGCTCTCGCCACAGAGTTAGGGACATACCTTGTTCCACGTTTCGGAAAAGGGATCGCCGTACTTTGATGCCATTGGATATCTCTTGAGAAATCCCCAAGGCTCTCCCATCTTGGACTTTTGACAATCTCTTCGTTCTGGGTGTCAGTCGACATCACCTCGCTTGCGGATCATCACCACGCGGAACAAATTCAACCACAACCGCCACAATGGAGGCGTCCCGCGGACCTCCCAGGGTCAAGAACAAGGCCGCCGCGCCCGTTCAGATCTCTGCGGAGCAGCTCCTCCGAGAAGCCGTTGACCGGCAAGAACTTGGCCTCGAAGCGCCGACGCAACGTTTTGCCGATTTGGAAGAATTGCACGAATACCAGGGCCGAAAGAGAAAGGATTTCGAAGACTATGTCCGGCGCAACCGCATTAACATGAACAACTGGATGCGCTATGCCGCCTGGGAATTAGAACAGAAGGAATTTCGCCGTGCGCGATCCGTCTTCGAGCGTGCCCTTGATGTGGACTCGACTTCCGTGGTGCTATGGATTCGCTACATTGAAGCTGAGATGAAGACACGAAATATCAACCACGCCCGCAACCTTCTCGACCGTGCCGTCACGATTCTGCCCCGCGTCGATAAGCTCTGGTACAAATATGTCTACATGGAGGAGACTCTGGGAAATGTCCCCGGTACCCGCCAGGTATTCGAGCGATGGATGTCATGGGAGCCGGAGGAGGGCGCCTGGAGCGCATACATCAAGCTGGAGAAGCGGTACAGCGAGTTTGAGCGCGCACGCGCGATCTTCGAGCGATTTACAGTCGTTCACCCGGAGCCCAGGAACTGGATCAAATGGGCGCGATTTGAGGAGGAGTACGGCACAAGCGACTTGGTTCGTGAGGTCTACGGAGCGGCCATCGAAACACTGGGAGAAGACTTTATGGACGAGAAGCTCTTTACCGCTTACGCCAGATTCGAGGCCAAGCTGAAGGAGTACGAGCGTGCTCGCGCCATCTACAAGTATGCTCTGGACCGCCTTCCACGATCCAAGTCTATGATTCTGCACAAAGCCTACACAACCTTCGAAAAGCAATATGGTGATCGCGAGGGTGTGGAGGACGTGGTTTTGGCCAAGCGCAGGGTTCAGTATGAGGAGCAACTCAAGGAGAACCCTCGCAACTACGATATTTGGATTGACTTGGCTCGTTTGGAGGAACTCTCAGGCGACGCAGAGCGGGTGCGTGATATTTACGAACGAGCCATCGCCCAGATACCCCCCTCACAAGACAAACGACACTGGCGTCGCTATATCTACCTCTGGATCTTCTACGCTATCTATGAGGAGATGGAAATGGAGGAGCCAGAGCGCGCCCGGCAGATCTACCAGGAGTGTTTGAAGATGATTCCCCACAAGACTTTCACATTTGCCAAGATCTGGCTTTTGAAGGCCCGATTCGAAGTGCGACAAATGGAGCTTCAAGCGGCACGGAAGACATTGGGCCAAGCCATTGGCATGTGTCCGAAGAACAAGCTGTTCCGCTCCTACATCGAGCTTGAACAACAATTGCTCGAGTTCACACGCTGTCGAACTCTGTTTGAGAAACAGCTGGAGTGGAACCCTGTCAGCGCTCAGGCTTGGTTAGGGTTCGCACAGCTGGAGCGGGATCTGGGCGACATGGATCGAGCGAGGGCCATTTACGAGCTCGGCATCGACCAACCCACAATCGACATGCCCGAGATTCTTTGGAGAGCATTCATCTCATTCGAAGAAGAAGAAGAAAACTATGCCGGCGTTCGAGTCCTATACGAGCGCCTTCTCGAGAAGACAGACAACCTCAAAGTCTGGATGGATTATGCCCACTTCGAAATGGGCCTCGAGTCCGAGCAAGCGGAAACATACAACGACGAAGAAAAGAAGCACTCAGAATCAGCCATCAAGGCACGTGCGATTTTCTCGCGTGCCCACGACTACTTCAAGGAGAGAAATCAAAACGAAATGGTATGTTCTCTCACCCCAACATTGAATATTCAGAGCAACTCTAACACCCCCACAGCGTGCCAGTGTTATCAAGCAATGGCTTTCCTTCGAAAAAGTGTACGGCCCCCGCGAGGAAGTCGTCAAAATCGCCAAGCAAGTTCCCCGCGCGATCAAGAAGCGTCGCAAGCTGGAAGACGACACGTACGAGGAGTACAGAGATTGGGTCTTCCCCGCAGACGACCAACAAGCAGCCAACCTCTCCAAGCTGCTTCAAAAGGCACACCAATGGAAGCAGGCCCAATCGTAGATGGTTTTCTACGATCGGGATCTGTCTCGCGACATTCTTGCAGTGCAGGTGGGACAGGCATTTTCATGTGTTATAGTAATCAGACCAAAATACCATTCATTGATGTCTACCAGCTGGTAGTCTGTGCTACAAGATCTTTTGAATTTCTAGGTGAAGCTGGGCAGTGTCACACCCAGTCTTCCCTAGGTCCAGGGTTGAAGCCCTGTCCATAATTCTGTGGTTTGCAACCTCCAGGGCTTGGGAAGTAGACGTCGTCTGCCCATCCATGGATGTGCATATGTTTCCATGGATGCTGTGCATTATTACAGGTCACACCGATGCTCGGCAATCTCCTCAATCCTGCTGTGTAACATGTATGGATTACATGCATGCTCCTGAGGTCGATTGTCCAGCGGCTAGCAAACAGATATAGTGGCTGTGTCGGCTGGGATGAAGATTGAAATTCCAACGGTCTGAATACGGTTGTTGCCCAGGTGCTGGTTCCATATTTACCTTTGTAGCCCTGTACCTAGGTAGATATCGAAATGTAAGCTGTGCCTAAAATTCTAACCCTGGAACATTGGAACGTTGTGGTATTTCGAAGGTTAATCCTGCATATATGGAGTATAGTACCGATATATATTTTTACATCTCACCAGATAGACTTTAAAAATTTCACCACCCGACCTGGGGGCTGATAGCTGACATGAATGAGAGAGATATGAAAACAGTTTGTATTGAAAATTAAAATTATCTCCCTGAGCTATACAATTGGACTAATAAATAAGGTCGAGTTGTCATTTTGCATGTACTTCGGCCATGGATGGATGTCAAGGGTATCCAGAACCTTGGAAAGGGCAAGATTCCCTGCTCAGGTGGAACCAACCCTCTTTGAGACCTTGAACTTAGTTGAATGGGCACTAGGGAGCATCTTGGCTCCAGTTCGAACATTCTTCTGCCGTTCTTCCCGAGATTAGAGCCAAAATGATCTCCAGGTAGATCAGACCTCGGGACTAACGTGAAGTATGTCTGGTTGTACAAATATTTACTCTTATGCCAATTGGTAGATATGGATCTGTACTATAAAACTATACGATCATATTTATTTTGAGATGTACGGAGTAGTTCGTATAGAAAAAAGTAAAAAGAAAGACGAAACCGCACGAGCCATGTGTGACATCAAGTACCATGGTTGAGAAGGTCTCAAACCATGGATAGTGAGAAAGGGGTTTATTTACTTTCTTCGCAGATACATCAGATGTATGTAGTATATGCACACAAGTGCTGCTTACCGTCCAAGGCTTCGATACTCCTTGCAGTGTCTCTCAAATACACTTTCAGCCTAGAAGGATTTCAACTCCTAACGGCCAGGGGTCCAGTGGGATGAGACTGGGTCCACTCGGTTTTGGGAGTGCCATTGGGTCCTCTACGTACTTGTCCTCTATTTGTTTACTCTGTAGTATTTCCATATCCCACACACTCCCACAAAGAACAGAATAGCAAATTAAAATGGTTCGATCGAGCACGAAGTAAATGAAGCGCAAATTAAAGAAAAAAGGCCAAGAAGAGACGAGTGACGAAATAATTCCCGTTAAGGGATGGCGTCCTTTTAGGCCTTCCGCTAACCTCCTCCGTTAGGGGGTTGACCTCTTCCTCCCTGTCTCACTCCCTCTTTTTCTCTGTCCCTCCGTGCTGTGCACTCGTTAGCCGGTTCTACTGCTGTCCTTTCGTTTTTCGCCAACCTCGTTCACTCCCTGCTTTTTTTTTTTTTTTTGTTTCCCTCTGATTTTTGGGGACCTCGTTCTTTTTCCCGTGTTTGGTGAACAATTTCAATTTCTTTCGTCCCGACTGGATCGCCCAGCCTCAGGCTGTTCTGTGATTACTGTTTTCATCCAACATACGCGTCTGTCGACTTTGTTTGTTGTGTTCATACACAAACCCGTGATTCTGACTCGCCGAGTCATCCGATAACGCGATCCGCACCCCGCCCGACATCCGGCAACATCTCGCAACAAAGTCGAAAATACCTTCCGATTGCCGCTTGTGCGGTCAATCTGTCCGGACCAACTGTAGTACAGTCGCCCCATTGTGCCGAATCGCCTCGGCCGACATGCAATAGTGCTCCGGCAGTCACCACAATCCACGACATAGGGTATTCGACTCCCTCGCTGGCTGGCCACCGCTAAACACTCGATACCTTGCAACATTCACCACTCAACATGACTAGTCCTAAACCCCCAATTGAGATCAAGGGAGATTGCTCCACGATCCATGACGACACACTCTACGTCTACTCGCCCGACGGTTCACCCAAGGGCTTCGCCTATATCCCACTCCGTGAAAATGGGACCTGGCACGAATTGCCCAATCCAGAATACGAAGTATCCGAGCCTGCCTGCGTCAAGGGTGGCATCTCGGGTAGCAAAGATGATGTATTTTACCTGGTCGGCGGGACCGGCCCCTCGGAGAACAGTGGCCTCCAACGGTTCTCATTCAGCAGTAAGAAGTGGGAGACCGTCCCCATGGATGCCCCGGAAATGGTGAATCGTACTGGACACGCTGCTGGGTACTTGTCTTCGACCTCGGATATCGTGGTCTACGGAGGAAGCACCGATGGCAACAAAGTCGGCTCCCAATCATCATATCTTATCCCGACATCCTCATACGTTGTGCAGTCCGGGGCTGCCATGGGTACACCCACATTGTACAATCCCATCATCTTGCCTTGGAGTGACTCCCAAGTCGCCATGTTTGGAGGATCTGCAACCAACACTGCGATCTATGTTTATAACTCTACGGGCTGGACTCTTTCGGAGGCAACCCTCCCTTCTGCACTTGACACCTCATCCCTATGTGCGCTCGTCTCGGATGGCGATGATATTGTCCTCGAAGAGTTCAAGATGGACTCTTCCCCGAACAGCGTAACAAGTTACGTCCTTCAATCAAAGGGGAAGTTGCAATCTCCTGCCACAACAATTGGCTCCGCGGAAAAGAGGAGTATCACCGACTCCTACAACAGCACTTTTGCGCCCAAGAACTCTTGGTCGGATTACGCACTCGCCCAAGGTGGCGGCATGGTTGTCCTCTCGAGTGGCCACACTAACGACTCCCTGGCTGTCTACAACTCCACCTCCAATGGCTGGGTCAACTCCACTTCGCTGTTCTACGGAAGCGGAGATCAGACCTCCCTCAAGCCATCTACCACCTCCTCTTTCACCTCAACATCTACACCAACATCCACTTCAACTACATCCACTTCTGCCTCAAGTACACCGACTCACACGTCGAGCGCAGCGTCACCTGCAGGCGGAGGCCTCAGCGATCACGGTAAAACCATCCTTGGTGCGACCCTCGGAAGTATCCTTGGCTTTGGAGCCATCCTTCTTATCATTCTAATTCTACTCCGCCGAAAGAAGGACAAGAAGGACATGGCCGCGCATGCCGGCGCCGGCAGTGACAGCAAAAGCCGCCTCAGCTTCCAGGATCAGGGCATAGAACCCCTGACCGAAGGCGCCTATCCCATGGCCAGGTCTCCTGTCCCTCTCGCCGCCTCTGCCTCGAACGACTCACTGGCTATTATGACCGGTAAATACAACGGAGAGAAGACTCTCAAGCCACCCGGTGCGACGGGCTATGGCCTCGCTGGTGGCAAGAGTAGTCCTCTCTCAACCATTCCCTCTAGCGGTGCCATGGGCGCCTCAAGCGTGTACACCGACGATACCGACCGGGCTGGTGAATCTCCCGGCCACGGCAACCAACCCGGAGACCGCACGACCGACGAGGGCTGGGGCAAGTACTTTGAAGAGAGTGGCAACATGCCATCAGATCGCTCGACCATGAGCTCCGTCTACACAAAGTCCGACTACCGTGGAAGCGGTTGGCCCATGGCGAACATGGCCCCACTAAATTTTGGATTCCTCGACCAGCCTAAGCCCCTCGGCCAAGTCAACAGTGGCAGCCCCACCACCGAAGTCAGTTCCTCGGAGATGGGCTCTCGGAGCCTGGTTATTCCCGAAGGCCAATCTGCACGCATTTCCAGCGTGGACTCGATCAGCGTCGCCTCAGACGACGACCGCGACGACCCGCATTGGCAAAACGCTGCCCACAGCAGCTGGCTGGGTCGTCCGTCGAGCAGTAACTACAGCAACAGTTTCTACAACTCCAGCTCCCGCGATCTGGCCGGGTTATCATCTAACACGGCCCTTGCGGACAAAGTACGCCAATCGCACCGGAGATCCAGTGTTGTTATCCCCGAACACATTGACGAAGATCCCGTGCCAGGACAGCAAAACAACCTCAACTCAGATATGAGCTGGCTCAATCTCAAAGCTGAGCGATGATCTACCCTGTCATTTGTTTTTGCCTGTCCACCTGTCCATCCATCTGTTTGTCTTTTCGTCTATTCCCCTTTTCATGTTGTCTGTTCTATTCCCGGCGTCGTGGCTATCTTGCAAAAGTTCCGCATCTGAACTGCGTTCCCGCGTTGCATACCTGAGTGTGTAGCGATTCATTAGCGTCCCACAGGTTTTTGGTTATTTGTCTCATACGCCCTTGGGCGTTGTACATATTCATCGGTACGAGTAACCTTTATTCGAAAGGCTCCAATGCCATTACATTCCAAATATTATTATTAGTCTATTATAAATCGCTCTCGTATCAGTAGAGCTTCGCCAAAAACGACGTCCTCTTCGACACCTTTCGAAACTCATTCACCATCGGACTCACCATCCCCCTTTCACCCCCTTCGCCCATAGGCTCAAGCCCTCCTCTCCTTTCAAGCAAAGGCTTCTCCTCCCCCTTCGTCCCAATATAATAGTGCTCATCATTCTCCTGCATCCCAATAAACCACCTCTCCTTCAACTGCTTCCCACAAGGCCCACACCCACAAGCCCCTTCCAACCGCGAACTCTGCGGACTATTCACCGCAAGCGCGAACAGATTCTGCGGCTCCGTGAAATCAGTCACTTGCCGTCCCCTAGCTTCAACAATCATAAATCCCAAACAAACAGCACTAGTCAAGAACGCGAATACCAATATCACAAAAAATATCCCCTGCCACTTCTCCGCTGCTCCAGACGCATAACTAACAGCCTGAACTGTTCCATTAAACCGCTGATAAACAGCCTCACCAAGAACATGCTCAGTATAATTCCAAAAGTGATAGAATGGCGCATCCTGCGAACTCAATATCAAAGTACACCCAGCCATAACAGCAAGCGCTTCTGCAATGCTAGGCATATTTGCGTCAAGCGCATAGCCCCCGTCATACCGAGGCACCATCTGCATCAACAGACGCGCATTGCTAGCGGCACCGTCTGAAATGCCAGCACCAAGACTTAGCGAATTAGCCCATTCCGACGCAACGTTCTTCCAGTCTGATTCCCAGACGCCGTCTATGAATCCAGGTTGTCGACGTGCGTACTCGAGGTCATTGGATGGGTCTTCGCATCTGGTATCTAGTGCTGCACCACTAGATCCCGCATTGTACTTCGTCGAGCAGTGACCAGTTTGCTTCGCGCGAAGAGCGCACATCACGTACTCCGGTTCGGTATCCGGTGGCGAAGCACCCAGTAGATAGATTGCGTTTGCAGGATATAGGCCCGTGGCGTTGAGGATTGTATTATATGGTTTTGGAAACTTGCCGAAGACTGGGGGCACTTGGCCGTGGGAGGGACCGAATTGGAAGATGTCGTCTACGACGGTTCGATTCAGATATCCGGTTTTGGGGATATCTTCTGGAGGACTGCCGGACCAGGTTGTTGTGTTGAATTTTGAGCCTCCGGGCCAGGATGTGTAGACTAGGGGTTGGAGTTCTTTTTCTGACATTCCGGCGCAGAGGACGTTGACGGCTGGGGAGGGAACTGAGGCTTCTATGTTGTATTTTCCTTCGCCGGAGGCGGAGTCTGCTTGGCTGTTTGGTTGCTTGATTTTGTTTTTGGGGTCCATTGCTGTGTTGGGGATTCCGCCGTGCGGCATTGCCATTGTTACGTTGTTGATCATTCGATTGTGCTTTTTGGAGAGGGTGGTCATATCTTGGACTTCGATCCAGCTGCCTGTTACGGTTGTGTTGTCCCATATCGAGCCTGTTGGCTTGGGCCTTTTGTGTAGATCGGAGGATGTCTCATTGTCGCTGTGAACCAGGTCCGCCCACTTGTTTAGCCATTGTTCGTAGTTGTGATAGGCTTTACCAGCGTGCTCGATTTGAAGACAGGTCGTATTGCGGTTGATTGGATCCATTTCGTTGGTCACAGGCGTTTGACACATTGGACCGACGTATTCTGGGTTGGCAAAGCTGGCGACGACCTTGCCTTGCAGTATTGTTGGTTTTACCGAGCCAAGCGAGAGCTTCGGAGCAACTGTCATAGGTTAGCAATTAGGATTTCCGTATGAGTTAAAGACATACCCAAAGCCTGTGCTGCAGTTGTGTAAAGCATAGCAACGAAAGTAGCAACCAAAGCGATGGCCCCAAGGAAGGTCAGAGCCGAGTATCGCAGAGTTTCCCAGTGCACAATCATCGAGCCTGGCTGCATGATCCACGCCCTCATATTCATATCCGAGATACTGATCCCGCGCGAATCGGTCATCAAAGCCCTGCGACTAAGCACTTGACCCAGAAACGCCACGCAGACAGTGACATAGGCGAGTTCTATCGTCTTCGCAAAGAATGCACTTAACAAGTTGGCTGTGGAGGGCGCCAGCGGCCCATCGCTTGATATTCTGCTCCATCGTGGCTTGCACAGTGCGATCGCAAGATAAATGCCCGAAAACACTGTCGCATAGACAGCGAGAACGAAAACCGTCAAGGGAACCCACGCGAGCCGTTTCTGGAGCACCGTCCCTCGATTGGCGCAGCGTACATGTGGAGACGGAGTCTGCGGGGTTTTGTGGGCTGGGGTTGTGGTCGCGTCGCTGTCAATTGAATCGCGCTTGGGAGTGTGACTTTCGCTCAGTGGGATGGCATCCCCGTGTGTATTGGAAATGCCTAGCCCTATGTCTCGTAGGGCATCTTCGGACCAGCTGTCGTGCGATGCTGGGTGGTAGAGGTAGGGTTCGGGGGAGGAGCGGCCGAGGGGGTTCCATGACCGTTGGGGCCGACTGTATAAAGATTGTTCGGACAGCAATGAGTGCTGAGAATCCGAAGAGGTCATTTTTTGTATTGAATATATTAAAAACAAACGACAAAGAGAGCTCTCTCTAACTTGAGGTCATTCCTGGTCACAAATAAGAATTTCCCAGTGATCGTCAGTCAGCGTTGGGGCTGAGAGCGTTGGAATTGGGGGCCAATTTATAAACTGCTGGGAATTGCAGTTCAGCCCGGCTTGTTATTTGGGTCTTATAACAGTATTTAGGCACAATAGGGCTGAGGTTTATCTGCTTGAGCCTCCAATTGTAGGTTTACCGCCGTTAGCTACGGAGAACCACCGTGGAAACAGTGGAAACAGTGCTCCGGATGAGGGGGCCGAGTTCCAAGATGTTCATGCAGCCCATAACCACGGTCTCTGCTTCTATTCGAGAGTGACAAGGACGGCAGATGAATCGGGAACATTGACCGTCAACGCGCCATGCTTGATCCCTGACCTCTCCCCGTCATGCAGCCGAACAGGTTTCCCCTCAGCAAGTGCATGGTCATACGAAATGCCCCCGAAAGTGATATTCCCCACCGCATCGCTGCCAGGACCAATGAGACGCTCAACCTTAGCGCTTTGATACCGTTCAGGCAGTGTGAATTCATACTTCCTGGACGGACGGGTGCGACTCGTCTGATTGAAGGCCCGCAGGTTGGTTACAACAAGCTTCGATAACCGCGCGCCGTTATAGATCGCATATGCGGACTCAGTATCTTCCGCGAGGGGAATGTTGACGATACGAGTGTCTCGGGAGTGTCCAATGGCGCTTGCGACCATGATTTGGCCGTAGTATGGCGGTCTTGTCGTTGGGGGCACGCCCTCGATCGCCATTGGCTGCCATGATGCATATCGATATTTCAGGCCTTGGTGGAAATGAAGGCGTTTCATACCCTGCTAGATGTAAGTTGCCAGACTGAGTAGGAGTGACGAGCGGGAGTGAGTGTGTTTGAGTCATACATGTTCAGCTGCCCATAGGGAGAAATCCACTAGCCACAGGGCGTCGCCAAATACATTGGTTTCTCCGTTTCGGCCCTGATTCGCAATTGAGTTCAGTTCGCCGAGGGTGTAGGGGAGACCGAGGTATGCCAGGTTCTGCGAACGCTGGATCTGCTGCTGGAGATTTTGAACGATGCTTGTGTGGTTCATCAGTGTACCTGTAGTATTAGTCAATATGGCATGATTTAGTTGGGAAAGGGGAGAAATTAATACGTTGGAGATCAAATTGCGCAGGAGGATCTGGGGATTCTTTCTTTCCCATGTAACTGTCGGATCCCAAAATTAGCATTGCGACCAGTTAGAGAGGACAACACGTACTTGTGGAAGCACAGCTCTCTAGTCAGATTATGCTTATCGTAACCCAGCGTGTACAATTCCTCAGCGGTCCAGGTAGTGTTGACAATTAAGTCGAGCAAGACAAGGCTAGGCGCCATGAACCCTGGGAAGGATCCTGGACAAGCTTTCTCCGCCGCAGCCTTCACAATATCTGCCTTGCTGTTCCATTCATTGGCATAATCAAGGAGCGAGTAGTTGGCAGCACGGTATTTCCCAGGAGCAAAGTTGAATTCGTTTCCTAACTCCAGGAGATGCAGTTGGGATCCGATAGCAGTGCAAGCATCCATAGTAGAAATCTCGAGTTGCTTAGTGGAGGTGTTCTGATTCATGTTTAGTCCATGCAAGTACTTTATCTCGCCCAGAGTGTGATAGGACTCAAAAAAGCCGGGTCCGTAGTTGATCTGGATCGGTTGATCATCGCCAGGGTTCTGATAGATGAGCTGAATGTTGTCTTCCTGCTCGGGGTAATAGGTTGAGTGATCCCTTGTAAGAAGCTTGTCAGTACCAGAAGAACAGAAGACCAGAAGGCCAGAAGGGGTTGCCCACTGTGAGGTTCCTCCAACTCGCACTTTCGGTGCAACTCCGGTGATGGACTTGAGATTGTGCAGCAAATTCTTGGAGAAATGATTTGGCCGAGACTTGTTGCCTGCATAGTCTGGAAAGAATGCAAACTCGATAGAGATTGACTGCAGGTCATTTGGTACATGACTGCTGTTCTTTGGTACAGGTGGGATCCTTAGAGGATGGTGTTGACAACTTCCAGAGTCGAGAAGAAGCGCTGCAGCCAAAAGGGAAGATTTGGTGAAGTGCATCATGTATTGATTGAATATACTGCCCAGGTGACTCCAGAAGCTCCTCTCTCAGTCAGTACCAGAAAAGCTGGTTTGATTCTGGGGTATTTATATTAATTCTCCCCCGGCTATACAAGGAAATCGGCATTTGAGTCCAGGATTAACATGGAGAAAGTTTGAGAGAAGCAAAGGATCTTCGTGTAGTCTATGCTCTCTATGCGGGAATTTCGAGATGCATCATGAACGAGTGATTGCACGCATTTGATCCGCTCCCTCCACTACGCTGTCCTTGTCAATTTCTCAATGCTCATCGCCTTCGACATTGTGAAATCGACTCATCAACTCTTCAATTTTGATAGCCTGGTTGCCGATGAGTCCTGTACTTGAGCAATCTGCAGGAAAATGCCGTCATCGAGGCGCTCAACAAGTATAACCCACCGCAGTCCCGGAATTCGGCCCACTTCCCCCACAAAATCTCCGCAACCTCCCCCATACAGGTAACGTTCATTGGGTGATGGCGAACGATCTTCCGGGGTTTTCTCACTAGACAAGCATTTTCATGGGGAAATGAGCAGGGGTGAATATAAAGCTGTGTTGTCAGAGATCTGCAAGTTCGACACGAAGTCCAGCGAGGCGACCAGGAAAGAACCCGCCGCTACTCCGTATAGGGGACCATATTCGCGGTGTGAACACAAACATCGTCAAAATAGACGGGGAGACCTGCTCATACGAATTTCATGCCAAAGGCATTAGAGAAGAGACTGGGTATGAGAAGCACCAACCATTGCATCTGCTTTACTGCAAAACAAGGTGAAGCTTGCACCGCTCTGGGTCAGTTTGCAACTCGATATCAGCTTTGACAACAATCCTAGAATTCACATGTGAGCCTCAAGACATAGAAAGGACCTGATTCAAACTGTTCAAGGTCAAATAAATCCCTATCACATCCATACATGCTGAGTTGGGAGGACTCGGCTGGATCCGAAGCAACGGAAGCATCCGAAAAAGAAGCATAAGATGAAAATCGAGACCCATGGTAGTGCATCAGGCAGAAGGAATATTGAAACGAAATTCCAAAGTTGTCATGGTGGAGTCTTCCAAGGTTATGCAGCAGGACCTGAAAGCACACTTGACCATTATTTAATGACTTCCAAAACAACACCCGAACCATGGGATATATCGATGTCTACGATATACGTAACCACTCGAGTGAAACCATGCTGCGCTGGCGCTACCTGATGAGATGGCTAGATAGCACCCCGAAGAGCTCGAGGGTGAGCTGAACATACTCAGATTGTTTCGGTGTGACCTCGCGGCTTGTATAGCTCAGCAAGCTATTCACAATATCTTCAACGACCCCTGCAAGAAGCTAGAGCCCGAGCGCAAGAAGTTGAGTCGGATATGGGCTCTGAGAAGCCGCGCGATCCGACAAGCATAATGTCAATGACAAACAAAGACAGTCATCGACAAGCCTCGCAGAGCCTGGTTGCTTCAAACATTCTCAGACGAGAGTATATGGGTTCGTGTGTTTGGCGGTCTTGGAAACGAGTGATAATGGAGTAGGAAAAGTATGGGAACTCGGAGTAAAGGTCCGAACGTCACTGGCTCGTTATCATAGCAAGAAGATTGCCATCGACCTAGGCGCAGTGTCATTGCTGCTGGCCTGTTTGTGATTTGTATCGAGCTTACGGCCGGGGACCGTACCTTGCTGCTCCCTGAATGGACGTGTTGTGAAGGAGGTAGATACGACGACGAAAGCCTAGGAAGCTCAATTAGATGGATGACCCAAAGAGATATCGCGGCGCTCTCAGTTCCACCTGACACTCGACAAAGGGCAAGACTATCTAGTCTTTGATGGGAATTTCCCAGAATCACGGGCAAAACGTACAGAGTGTGGCAAGAGATTCCAGGGTGTATCAGGGTATGTAGCACTGCCAGGTTGCTCCGAGTGTGCCCTGGATAGGGTCAAGATCGATTCCAGCAAGCGGCTTTCGACAGCTTATTGCGCAACAAGGCAGGACAAGAGTATTTGTTTCGAGGGATATTCTTTTGGATCAATAGTGCTCGCTGGAATGACTGAAGAGGAACTGAGGGAGGTAAGAGGTCTGGGTCTTGTTGCAAGAGTTTCCTAGAGATTCAATGCTCATGGCATGTCAGCTTATGGGCTGACCATCTCAATTCGCAGTACGATATCTTTATGACTGGATAGTGACTGGCTAATCTCGTGCTCGATTCTGAATAGTATTCAACAGCTATCGCAGCGGCAGTGACATCTACCTTGTCAGTTCGATATCGATATCACCAAAGAACAGGAAAGCCACAAATAGATTTCAATTTTGATTCAATTCACCTGGGCATGAGGTTCGGGTGACTTTGGTGGTAGGATTCTCTCCCCTTCACGCTCTCGTCAGTGTTCCATCCTCCAGCCATTCGTCCTTTCGCATCAATCCACACTGACATCTGCCATCTCCCAGCGGGGCGGCTCGAAAAAAAAAAACAAAGCAAAACAAATTAACAGGATAGACCCCAGTATCTGACCCCTCATCCAGGGCCTTCCAACTAACGTAACAACAACACGATAGCCGCCATCTACGAAGTCTCTCTCCACCACATATGCAGGGGTCAACCTATCAAGCCTCAAATTAATTCCCTTTTCACTTGGCAGCCTAGTATAAAGACCAAGATAGAATGGAGCACGATAGCCCATCCACCAACATGACGTCTCCGCTTACGCAGCCCGGATGGGTTTGACCACGCTAGTAAGCCCTTGAGGCTTGCCTGTTTGAGAATAATCGATGCAGGGCAGTCACCAAGGGAAACACAGAAGGTTTCGTTCTCGCCAAAAACGAAAAAAAGGTGCGTATTGAGATCATTGTTTATGCACGCTGGAGCCCATACATCACTGTATAGGTCTAAGCCACACACCATTAAAGTCCATGGGTACGAATGCACTCTCGTCAGCCATCCGCCACTTTTCGCTACTCCACTCCAGGACTCCCCACAACGCAGTCGAACCCTTTTTCAGTAAGTAAACGATAATGCTGAACTAGTAGTTGGATAATGGAGTTTATTCGTACGCTCCACGTCAGTCAATGAATGTTTATTTCGGTCCGGTTCCTAGGTTCAATCTAGTTTAAATTACGACGATCCACTCTCGGATACGAGTGCGATAACCATATCCTCAAGCGAAGTCGGCAAGATGAAGTTTGAATAATGGGGATCGTGGGTATCAGATCCACCAGTACGGAGTAATTGCTTAGATTTTGATTTTATGCTGAGGCATTGCATACATCAAGTGTTATGCAATGTGGTTGGGTTTACTTGAGAGGATTTGAAATCGGGATGCACCTTCCCGAGGGAAGATGAAGTTCACAATGTTGCAGCCTAGAATACTGGGCTTTGATTTTGGAAATTGGTAAGGCCTTACAACGTACATGTATGATATGTTTTGCAGGGGGTAAAAAAGGTTGAAAGATGGATGTGCTTGTAGTTGATCTGCCATCTTGCAAAGGGTACGGAGTACATTTTGCGGAATGAACGGATCTTACAGTCTACTTGACGCCACGGGTGACTATCCGGAGCTAGCTCATACCATTCTCAATACCAGTGTGAACATAGCATGTGAGCAGACAATCAGAGACAAACAAGACCTCGGGAATCTTGTCACAAGCAGTTCAACTTATGAGCATTATTACCCCACCAAAATTACAGCTTATTAAGAGGGGTGCACGCATTGTATGTATACAGCAATAAAGGCGTGCGATGGTGATCGGATAGAGCGTAGCGCATGCTAGCACTAACTATTGCTGTCTTATTAGTCCATGGGTGGCTTTGGTATCAACTCCGGATCCGAGGTCGCCAAAAGCGGCAAGCAAGGCTACTAGGAATATATCAAGGGTATGTACGGAGTATCTTGATGAGAGCCTGGATGCACCATGATCACATTAAAACTGCATACAGACAAGGCTCCGGCAGTTTTATGAAGCCAGAGAATGACTTGGTTCATTGTTTTCTGTCAGCTGGAATGAGTATGATGCATATTGGTTTGGAAATTTCGTCCCAGCGTTGCTTCTATTAACAAAACTGTTGACTGCATAGACAGATATCCGAGCAAACTGTGCCATCTGTCAATAGCCAATGTGAAGTCAATGCAAAGAAACCAAGACACTGAGGCCTCTAGACATCTAGGCGCATTGGGCGGTGAAGTGACAGAAAGACGGTGATTCGCGGCAGTTCCGCGGGACGCTACCGGAGGAGCTGGCCAAAACTCCGCTTTGTAAGCAGACACTAACCACGGAAACAGTGGATGTCAAGCATTTCAGTTTCGAGCAGGTCGTAATGGTAATTGCAAATGTACTAAGTTGTTACAAGATTATTCAGGGTTGAGTTCTGCATTATTGAATATAAGCGTTCCAAGGTTATTCTAAGGTTATATGCCCCTAGATAGAAGGCGCCCCGTTTCCTCGAAATAGATGAAAGATCAATAGCACGAAAGCCACCTGCAGCTTAGTGGCGTGGAGCAGGAAGACTGACCGAAGCGAAGTCTCCACCACCTATCAGCGCTCGGAGAAAAGCATGATGACCGCAGCCGGATCGGCTTATGGAGAAAGCATCAATGCGGAGGACCTGTTATGATTTGACTAGTGATGGGATATCCAGTTCTAAAAATCAGGCAGCAGTTTGATGTAAGTATACAAGTATAGATAAGTATGGGGCTGTGGCTGTGTGCTTGAGATGTGGTAAAAATACCAGCGTACGGAGTACGGAGACAATCATACCAAGTAGTTAATCTTGTGCGGGGACTGAGTGGGGAGAAACTGGTTTTTTTTTCTTTTCTTTTCCATCGGTGTCGGATATAAAAGTTCCGATCGGGGGGCCAGGGACAAAATTGGGGTCCAAAAGAAACGAATCAATGGCGGCTTTACATTTAGAGTCTCAGCGCCGCGCTCCAAATATGGTTATCTCAAGCCACGCAAATAACAAGGCCGCGTGGGCAAAAAAAAAAGGTGGCGGGTGCAGTAATAAATGGGGGTCTTGAGTGCCGCTAACCGAGATTGGGTAGTTAGGGCGAAGCTATACAAAGTCGACGTATGGACTAGTCTTATCTCAGTAAGCGGGAGGAGCCTGGCCACGAGTCCCTGCGTTCTAGGGTGTGAATTTACTGTGTCCGGAGAGTAAAGAAGGGTCCTTTCAGGCACGTAAGACGACGGGATCAGTCAAGCTTGTGGCGTAAGCTGGGAGAGTGGGACGACCGAGTCAAACACTATCCCGCTAGTCAAGTCAAGCACTGAAGGGTATTCGTCTCAAGCTGGACTAGACACCTCGGACTACCGTGGATATACGTAGGCTGCATACGTATGCCTCGTGCAGCTTCGATGACAGACAAATCACCGCTCGGCTGGAAAATCCCCAGACCTGCCGGTGCCCTGAGCCCACGAGCCACACCCCGTGAAGGTGCGTTCCAGATCGGAGAGTTGAAGCTTGGCCTGATCGACGTGTCTACCTGTACATGTACAACGTCTCTGTGCAGAAGATGGCATGTGCGTGATCAAGTAGAATAGGAAAGTCTCCGAAGTCGGTCTCTGACATCTTTGTATACTGAAGCTATGCAGTATGCAGTTCGCGACGGAATCAAGCTTTCCAAACTCCCGATCAGTTAGCTTTGAGTGTAAATTTCCATGTCAACGGCGTGAAGAAAGCTTCCATACGTCGCCATCTTACGTATGTACACTGAGCGGGAGGTTGTTCCAAGGAGCGGGGCGGGCGCTGGACGCGTACGAGTACGAAAGGCACGGGCCAGTCCCTTTACCCCCCTGAGCCCTAAATGTCATGTTGACGCAGCTTGAGAAGTGGTGACAGACGATCGTAGCAGATTAGGTTATCTTTTGAATAACTATATTGTACTCCGTACTTATCAATCGTCTTGGAGGTTGGAGTCCCTATAGCAAACGATGAAAATCCCAACTGACCCGAACCCGAACACTCGGCCTAGATTACCTTTATTGAGTGTGTGTGAACCGAGCTCCAAAAACCAAGAAATGATCGCAAATTGTCTGACTTCTCAGGGCCGGGCCTTCGGATCTTCCATATCTGAGTACACTTTTTTTTCTGTAAAAACAATAATAATAAATAAAATAAAAGTACTCCGTATTAACTACAATTTTCTCTTCGTTTTATCGTAGGGCGAGATAGGCTAAACCACAAAAGGCAACTAAGAACAGCGCTAACAAATCAAACACAGTCCAACCAGAGTAAGGAATCCATAAATGGAGATCCATCATTGAAGATCCAGAATTGAGAAATGAGAATACAAGAAAATCGGCGAGCCCTTGGAATACCCGAGCCGGAAGTTAGTTCCAAAACAGGCCAAGTCTCCAACATCATCACTTACGTATGTCGCATCTCTTTCGCATGCCTTTGCATTTATTTGGATTTCAGAGGTTTGGAACGTATGGGGAGATTTTCATCTTACTCCGTGCTGAACACTACCGGCGGTATGGTATACGAGGAATGCATGAAAAAACCAACAGGGCTAAAAACTTGTCCGTGCCGACCTCGGGAGCGGATTTTCCAGGGATCCCCTAGATTGAGAAAGATCTGTACCTTAGTTACAGGTTGCACTCTAATTATCCGAATGGTCAGGGTCCAATGGTCTTATGATTGTCCGTAGTTCTGCCGAAAAGGTGGATCGTTTCTGTTTTCGCTTCACCCAACCGAAGCCCTAGTCCGAATGGTAAGCACTCTCGGAGTTAAGACTTTGATTCCCCCCTCAGGTTTCTCAAGGGCTGAACAGAAATTCATAATGCAAGGGAAAATCAAAAAGAAAACAAAGGAAAATCGGAGATATTTTTGGAGTGTATGAAACCCGAAGTTCAAACAAGACTACGAAAAAGCTAGAGAACTGATCTTCTCAGGGTCGCGGGCCGGAAGAAACGGAGAAGGAAACGGGTCTGCACAGGGTGGATTAGGGGTCTGCGTATTAATGCGGTTTTTATAGATTACTATATTACAATTGCACCTTTTTCTTTTTTTTATTACATTTTAGATATCCTTTTTTTGATTTTCTCCTACTCCACTACGCTAACATAGCGTGTTCGGTATCGTGTCTTCTGGGGAGCCTCGACAGACCCTGGAGCTTGGCTTCTTTCGCCTTTTAGTATAATAAGTTTAGATGCGCCAGGCTTGGCTTGTCATCATTTCTCTCCTTCCTCCCTCCTTCAAACCTTCACTTCTTGATTTGTATTCTTATACCCTTTGATTGCTCTCCACCTTATCTTGTATCCCTCTCCGCCTCTCATACCTCCACGCCTATTTCATTATCTTCAAAGCGTAGAGCGCCTGAAGCTAAATACCCTCCCCCCTCCCCCCACCTGGGCAGAATATCTATCTGGAACAGCACCTGTCTTTTGAACGGGTAGACAACCGGTATTGAACTTCGACCTTCCTGCAACCTCCCCAGGCCGGTTTGCAACTGCCGTTAAGGATTGTGTTCCCCCACATCCAATTGCAAAATTGGAAAAGCAAAACCAAATTCGTCAGAAAGAATTTGGGTCTCGGAAGAAATCCTGCCGCTGCGAGCAGAGACGATTTGTCAGACCCCAGCTCGATCTCCGACAGCAGAGATCCAATCGTCCGGGATATAGTACTAGTACTCCTCGCCCCAGTCCCTTCGGTCACCTGAAAGCAACGCACGGAGTGCAGCACAGACTCGAGTCATCGGGCTTCTGTTGAGGCCTACAGGCGAAGTGCCGATTTAGGGTCTAATGTTGTCGACTTGTTACACGACGCAGAGGACAAACATCTTTCGAGAGCCGCTGGTGCGTTTGCCGTGTCCCCCAGGGTGGCAAGCAGGAAGCGAGATGTTCTCTCTTCTTCTTCCTTGTCCTCTCCACCCTCCTCCCCTCGTCTCAGTCCGGCGATATCTCGAGTTCTCACGAACATCCAGAGGCCCCGGCTGAGCCGGCTGCTAGTACATCCCAAACTAACGTGTATCTCTGCTTTTTAGTATAGCTTTCCAGCCCCGGTGACGAGACATCGGGGCATTGAGGAGATGTCCAGCTGCAGGACGAGTATTGTGTCCATTCTTAATAATGACGACAATCCATCCTTTGCGGTTCGCTCCGCACCCCGACTCACTCGGACCCAAACTTCGCCATCTTATCACCCACAGCAACCACAACTGCCCCCGCCCGAGTACACCCGGCCTCATGCTTCATCCGAGTCCCCAGCTGCATCACCCCGGGGCACCAGACACCCCTTCGACCCGGTGACTGAAGCCGTTCAACCCGTTTCCCCGGGCTCTTCCAATGGATCGGCCTACGATTATATCACCAGCCAACCGTCAGCTTACCACCCCTATGCCCGGCAGGAATCGCGACGGGAACCTTACCAGTTCCCAGCTCGCGGGCCCGCACCTCCCAGGACTCCCCCAGAGACCCGCTCAACCTCTGAAACCACTCAGTCTGGACCTCGGGCAACAGGGAGAAAGAACAAGTACCCATGTCCCTACGCCGCCAGCCACGGGTGCTCAGCGACCTTCACGACTTCCGGCCACGCAGCGCGTCACGGCAAAAAGCACACCGGTGAAAAGAGTGTGCATTGCCCCATCTGCAACAAGGCCTTTACGAGAAAGGATAACATGAAACAACATATTCGCACCCATCGCACTCACTCCGATGATATGCGCTCTACCTCCGAGACAGAGACTGAGGGTCGATGGAACGTGGCTCGTCCTGATTCTACTTATGCGTCGGCTTCGCATCAGCGCAATGTCAGTCAGCTTACGGAGCCCGGGGTACCACCTGTTCCTGGGTCGGCTTCGACGCCCCAATGAGCGAGTATTAATTCTCCCATGTTGAGTTTACGACTGTCCCCATTTTTTGGGGGTCATTTGAACTTCAGTCTCGCCACTGCTGTGCGGTGTACTTTGATTATGTCTTTCTATTCTGATGTTTGGGTTCATTTTTTATTTTTTATTGGTTTTTGGTTATCTTTGTGGTTATCCCTTTTTTTTTTTTTTGATCTTTTGTCATGGATCTACATGTTCCTCATACCTCAGCGATCATCTGCATGGCACGGGAGTTTCATATGCGAAACGTACCGTGTTTTATCTGTTTTAGTGGCTTACTGTTTTATATCCCTGCTGTACCATGTTCTGACGGAATCAGATCTGGAGGCTATCATAGTGTATGAAATGCAAAAATGTGTACGAACAGAATTATACCTTTGAAACATGAGATTAGTATAAAGCCAAGTAAATACGAAGTGTGGAAGACCAGTGGGAATTGCGGGGAAGACGAGCCGTGGAACCATTTGTTTACGTTTCTATCAAAGTCTCTCCTCTTCACCTCCCAGGGGTCTCCTGGTTACTTGTGGCCAACTCGGCGGTCAATATGTAGGGCTGGCCTGTCAGGGCTGTCACTCTTCCTTGATCCTCCCTGCAGGATGACGTCGGAGATAATTTATCGATACACGACAGTCTAGACGCTCATTCGACGGGGGTGGTATTTCCCACTCGATGGAGTCCGGCCACAACGTCATTAGGGTAAAAATTGAATCCGGTATATATAGCAAAGGAATTGGAACTTTTCAAAGCGAAGTTTCTTTTCCTGTACTTTTGAAGCCTGTATCAAATTCTCTCGAGCCACACTGCCAAGTCCCCCTCAGCCCCAAATCCCATCTGAACCCACATCGACGTCACGCCACCCCAGCCCCGCCATATACTCTCTCCTATTTTTCATCTCTCTCTCTCACACACACCATATCGTCCCAGTGAATGGTAGAAGTTCACCAATATCGACTTTTATCTTTCATTTTGATCCGAACCCCACCATGTCGTATTACGACGACCGTCGGTATCACTCACCCCGCGACCGCTATGCACGTCCAGTCAGCTACGCTGATCCGTACGATGACCCGCCTCGTTATGCAAGGCACGAGCGAGACTATGTACCCCGCAGAAGCAATGACTCGGTAGTCGAAGAAGTCCAGCGTGAATATCCACCAGGCTCGGACTACGGCTATGAGCGCAGGTACACTCGACGACCGACGCGACCGGTGCAGGAGACGGTGCGCCGATCTTCTTCGGTCAGCGGTTACGACCCCCACTACGATGCTGCATACAGACGCCCCCGTCCTCGTCGAACAGCACACCACGAGGACAGACGTGAGTAAGATATAATCGATCTGGTGAATTAATTCTAACGTTTCCCCAGGCTCTCGTCGCCCCAGATACGAATCTGATTCTTCTCCAAGTCGCTCCCCACCTCGCCACAGACGCCGAAAGTCATTCAGCGAGCAAGCTCTGGGCGCCCTAGGCCTCGGAGGTGCTGCAGCTGCGTCTGGTCATAGAGACCGTGGCCGCGACCGCTCCCGTCATCGCAACAGATCATACTCCCGTTCACCATCGGACTCACGCAGTCGCCATGGCCGTAACCATCGCAGCAGCGGACGTGATAAGAGTCAGCAACGTATGATACAAGCTGCTCGCGCCGCTTTGACAGCCGGTGCCGTCGAGGCATTCAAACAGCGCAAAGAGCCGGGTGAATGGGCCGGTAATAAGGGAAAACGCGTTCTCACCGCTGCAGTCACTGCTGGAGGTACCGATGGTCTTGTCGACAAGGATCCCAACAAGCACGGCACTCGCCATGTTGTCGAATCCACACTTGCTGGTCTCGCCGCTAGCCATTTCATCGGCGGCGGCTCACGCTCACAGTCTCGTGGTCGGAATTCAGCCGGTAGTGGTCTCAAGAACCTTGCTGCTACTGGCGCGATCACGGCCGCTGGGAAAGAAATCTTTGACCAGGTCGCGGGATCTCGATCTCGATCTCGGCCTCGTGGTCGCCATGATTCCCGTAGCGATGACGAGCGTGGATCCCACAAGCGAAGCAAGAGTGTCCAAGACTACATCACCAAGGGAATGGCTGCCCTAGGACTGGGAGAGCAAGAAGATCGGCGCCGCGATGACCGCAGCGGAGATAGCAGAGATTCTCGACGAGAGCGAGAGCGAGATTATCGAGAGCCTCGGGGACACCGAGAGAGAGACGATCGTGAGAGACGTCATCGTCGGGATAGATATGACGACTATTCTGGTTCAGATGCGGACAGTGATTACTACAGCAGGGATTCACGACGAGGCAGAGGCTCGAGAGATGTAGGTCGAACGCGTTCATTGAACGGCGGAAGAAACCCCCCCAATGCATTCGCGCGTAGTGCACCAACCAGTGCACCGCGTGATGACAAGCAATGCGACCACTCAAACTCCGAGAGTGATTCTGACTTAGGCGACAGTTCTGACGAGAAGAAGCAACGCAAGAAGTTGAAGCGTGATGTCCTGGTGACAAGCGGTTTGGCTAGTGTTGCTACTATCCATGCCGCTCATGGTCTGTATGGTAGCATGGAAAAGAGAAAACAGCGCATGCAGCAGTTGAAGGAGGGAGAGATCACACCTGAGGAGGCTCGCAAGCGTCGCATGAAAGCTAACACCATGGATGCCGTGAGTATTGGCCTTGCGGCGCTTGGTATCAAGGGTGCATATGGTGAATGGAAGGAGGTCAACGAGAAGCGCAAGGAAAACCACCATTTCCAGGAGGAGTGTGCTCATCGTGCCGTGAAACGAGAAATGCGACGGGCGAAGAGTCAGAGCACACCGTCGAGGAGTCGTTGGCCGGATGAGATTGAATATGCTCCGTCTTCGAATGACTCTTGGAAGGATCACACTCCGATTTATCGTGATGGAAACCCTTATGCCGCCCATGAAGCGCCGCAAATTTCTTACTAGGCTTTTATGAGTGTTACGAACTTTTATGCTTTTTCATGACTTATGAGACTATGACTTGACGTGGTTGCTCTGGTGGATTCCCTTTTTTGTGGATTTGGTTTTTTTTTTTTTTGAGCCTGATACGAATGAGTAAGACTTTTGAACTATGGCTATACAAGCGTAAATCAACTGGAGATGAGATTCTAAACCAGAAGTGCTAGAAACATCTATGAGAGAATAGATAAAATACATCTATAACAGATAAGTAGGCCTGATACAGCTTTTAGCAACAAAAGTTTAGAAAAACAGCAAAAAAAGGATCGGCCCGAGCCCGGGATTGAACCGGGGACCTCGCGCAATTGTGCTTTGGGTGAACCCTAAGCGCGAATCATACCACTAGACCACCCGGGCGATTGATGAATAAAATTTTGAAACTATGGCTACACAAGCGTGAAAAGCTAGAGATGAGATTCTAAACCAGAAGTTTTAATGAGGTTTATTAGGGAATATGTTAGATATTGTAATGGGGAAACTGCGCCACATCCCAGGCGCGCCACTGTGACTAGTTTTGGCAGCTTTTGCTTGCAATCTCATAGTTTTGCAATCCAAACATCCTACACCTCTCTGAAGAACAGCATCTATCTCCTATTCTGGTAGCTTATGGGGCCTCGCTGCCTCCCTGTTCCCGCCGAGCACTGAGCACCCCCGTCGTCTTGCCTGCGATGTCAGACCGCCAGCGCGCTCTTCCCACTATAATATCTTATGTTACAAACGGGTTAGCCTAACATAGTTTTTTTTTTTTTTTTTTTTTTATTCCCCTACGGAGTAAAAAAGAACACGTACAAAAACAGCAAAAGAAATCGGCCCGAGCCCGGGATTGAACCGGGGACCTCGCGCAATTGTGCTTTGGGTGAACCCTAAGCGCGAATCATACCACTAGACCACCCGGGCGATGGATGAATACATTTTTCAAAATATGGCTACACAAGCTAGCAAACTAAGTAGAGGCAGAGATTCGGTCGCAAGTGTTGGAGGGGTCCCGTCGGGCTCGCCCTATCTCTTCAGTCTTGAGCTCCCCAACCATCTCTCTTCTTCCTCTTTTGCGCATGCATTTAGATAGATTTCAATACTACGCAACTGGTCTCGTTTCCTCCAGGGCTCTATTTTATACCCTATCATGAATTATAAAGCCTGATAGGCTGACATAGTCATTCTAACCGGCGGTAACACCGACACATCCTGTCTGATTTCTGACTACTTCCGTCGTGGTCCCGAGGTCCACTAGCTGGCCTAACCCGTAGAGCCTCATCATCCCTAGATCTGACCTTAAGTCATTATTTTATCAATTTGATTGCTGGATCTGACAATTTAGCGTCATCATCATTATCTCGCTGAAATTTGCAATTTAGTTTCATCAGCATCACCTTACCTAAACCATGTCAACTAATCTCGCCAAATGAAGTGGTTTAGCACCTTAATAGAATGTCATACATTGACACTTCCGACATATCAAAACCATCATCTCTCGCTATCTTAACACTTTGCCTGATCCCGCAATCCAAGGCACTCATCACAGTCCCAAAACGACAAAATTACCTAAATGCTGTCACCAATGCAATTCCCAAATGTGTCAACAGATATACACCTCCGTACAAAACTCCCAGACCGAAGTGTACCATAACGTACCAAAGGTATACGCAATAGTACAGTACCTCCCAATTTTACCAACAACACCAATTGCGCACCTCCATATCTTGAATCTTCCCCTGACAATGCCAGCTTTACCCAGGCCTCCCTGTCTGGAACCCGCGAACCATGCTTGAGACTACCGACCAAGCCACAGTTGCCAATCACTAGCCTGTCCTCCGATCATAAAGGGTACTCGGGGTATCACCAAACATATATGGGTACCAATATCACTTTCTAAGGTTACCTAACCCAGATCTGGCACCTGGGTAGATCCCGTATTGCCGGCACATACTGTAGTTCACGCTCAGCTGCTAAATCTACCATACTTTCCAACGCAGACGTACAACGTTTTTTTGCCAAATGGTCTACAATCAACAGATCTCACTCGCTTGGAGCATTTCTCACCAGCACTACAGCACCTGCTTGCTACCCTACTTGCTCGCCTGCTTGCTCAATTACTTTCCCACATCACCTAAACAAGGCACCTGACCAGCTCAACTAGTCAAACTCGCCATTCCCCATCATGGATCAATTCTATCGTATTCACCAACAAACTCTGTTTTCCGATGTCAGTCTTCATGCTCAGAACCAGAGTATATCTCGCCATTCCATACATCTTTTCGTAAATCAAATCAGTTATTCAACTCTTAACGATTCTCATAGAACCAAAGTGTCCCTTCCACCATACAACTTACCTCGTATTTATATGGACACAAGCATTCCTATCTTATTCTGCTTGACTATTCAAGATATTCCTTTTGATGATCGGCTTCTTGGCTCATCTCTCTCGCCCTTATTATCCCAACAATTTCCACAATATTTCTACTTCGCCTAATTTCATAGTTGACGCCATCCATCCGGGGGACGACCCCTATATTATCCACCCGCGCTTATTTCTATATATAATGACAAATTCTGACTACTTTAGTCCACAACCCCTTCGTAAGTTTGTTGTTTTTGGTCATCTTTCTTGCTTTCTTACTACTGCGCCCCCAAAGTCTCGTTCATGGAGAATGCTAAAGAGATCTGTTGGGGTAGGAGGTAATGTGTTCCTTCCCCTTTTTCTCTCCAACAAACCTTGGAAGAGACATTGACCAGAGCCTGGGATCGGCGAGAACCTCGCGTAATTATGGTTTGAGTGACCCCCTACATAGTTGGTAAGTAAATTGGATGTTTTAGGAAGTCATGAAAGTGGGATGGATATAGTACTAAGCGTAAATCCCACCACTAGACTACCCAGGTCGTAATAAAAGCTCGCTACATTATGGTTTTACAGAGGAACAAAGGGATTCTAAAGGGAGCTTTATATGATGATGATGGAAACAAGGTTATCCATTGGTAACGAAGAAACTTAAATGGGCGAAGGAAAGAAGAAGAAGAAGAAGCAAGCATAAATAGCAAAGGGAAGCAATCAAACGATCAGATGGCGTGGGGTAGCAAGTAAGCAAGTAGGATGATGATGGATGACGAGAGGAAGCAAGCAAGCAAACAAACAAGCGTTTGCGAGAGAGAGAGAAAGAGATTATGTGATGCTTGCAGAGCATGAAACTTTATGTACCAGCTCCATAATGTTCTTTCTTCTTTCTCCACGGATCATCATGACCTCTCTAAATTCTATTCTGTCACGTGTTTCATCATATCTTGGTTCTCATTCATTGTCTTTGACCACATTATTTTTCATCTTAGATGAACCTGCACTAACACTCCCCAACTTCCCCGAGATAAAGCGTTACCGCTCATCATAATGGTTATTTACGCGGACCCCAAACCTTGTACCAACTGTGGGATGATGCAAGAGGGACACACAAGGAAAAACTGCCCGGAAATAGAGTGCTTTGGGTGTCATGAGCGCGGCCACATACTTCGTGACTGCCCGAATGCCGAGTGCAGATACTGCCATCGAACGGGTCATGCCATATCCCAGTGCTCTAAGGATAAGGAAAAATGTTGGCCAATAATCGCATGGAGCAAAGGAATTCCCTTCGCTCCCCTCTCTCGCAGACATACGAGCAACAACTTTACATCCGTGGCGCATAGAGCCCCAACCCCCCGCTTCTGTGGATGCTGCCCAGGATTCCTCTTTAGTTAGCCTTATGATATCCCCTGATATCCCACAGAGCCATTGGATACTAAATTTCGAACAGGAATCCTGGGAAATAGTTCCAATGGTTGTCTTCCCGAACCTTCACGGCACCATTTGTCAGTTGGCCTCACGATTAGCAACTGATCCCGATGTTTACTTGCAACGCCTTCCATACCATTCTGTGATCACAAATTGCGGGGGACCAAAGAAGATGGCTGACCTGCTCTTGGGATGGGTTGACCCTCACATTAAGACCCTTGAGGGTAGATTGATTCGAACAGAAGAGTATGTGGACGCCAAACCTGATAATTTTAGTCTTTAACATCTCCAAAGTCTTCTCATGGTTCAGGCCAATCAGAACGGGCACTGGTGCCCGCACGGAGGGTACTTAGACATTGTCACGGACTCAAGAAACCACGAATACTGGCGTGCCTACCCGGGCCAATCTACATCTCCTCCGGATCGTATTAGAATACACAATCGGGCAATCCTACGTGGATCTCAAAACACACTGCATTACTTCGTCATTGCCCAAGGACAAGGATATCGAGCAGCAAATTGGCTTAAGCTTTGGGAAATACCAGAGGAGACATCACCATCAAATACCTTGCGAGCAGTGGCTTTGAATGTTCTAGAGATGACGATGTGTCGTGCCTTTGAATCGCTTCCGGGGAAGACTTTAGAGAAATACTTCGGGCCAAGAGAGGATGGGAAGCCATACACAAATCTTGGGCTAAACATAATTCCTCCTGTTCTGCAGGGTCTTTCCTTGGTGCCTTCTGTACGGAAACTCTTTTCCCAAGACCTGGAGATATCTACGGACCCCGACATCAATAAATGGCCGAGATTTTGGTATGAATATGGAAAACAAGCGGACAGATCCAAAATTCATTTTCAGCGTCCGTTGATGAAATCCTCAGAGCTCCATGATCGCTTTCAAGATGCCGTTCAGCATCTTTCGTTGAAGAAGTCTTTCTGTGGCAGTGAGCCTCTACCACATCCAAGTTCCAGCAATGTTGAGCTTTTGCAACGGTTGAGAGAAGATTTGGGGTCAACCAGCCTTCCCTGGGCTCTTCCGAACGGAAATCTTGAAGCACTGGTGGGTTTTGTCCTTGATGATTTCTGGCAAGAAAAGCCGGACCACTTGAGTAACACAAAGATATCGATTGCGAGCCAGCTTCAAGATAGTGGATGGAATACCACAAATTCTTTAATTTGGGCTGCAAACCCTATCTTGCGAGACTTGACGAAAATGTCGCAGTCCTTCCGATCGGTCCAAGAGAGTGAAAAGAAGACTTTTATTCGGTTTAATCAATCGATTCTCCAGCATAGCGGATTACGCGTGGTTCTCATGTGTGGACATGCAGTGCAGAACTTTGTTGTGCCCATGAAACGGCAAGAGACATGCCTTAAGCTAGACGCTGGGGAGTTTCCTGTATTCCTTGATTGCGACCGCGAGACAATTCAGAGGGTCTACATTTTGATTCCTAATCCAGCGGATGCATTTATCTCTCATGAATGGCGCAAGACTCACAAGATATCGGAGATACTTCACTTCACATCAGCAATCACCAAAACTCACGCAATTCGCCCTTACGCCGGTGATAGCTCATGCGTTCTAACCAGCGCCATACGGAATATCATGGATGAGCGCACAGGAGCCCATGAAAGCCTGACACTCGAAAACCTTCATCCTATGACTCGACTGTGGCTTGCTCGTCGAGGATTTGTTAAAGACAAAGATATCACTCTCCTACAGGAACTAGGAGGTGGAAGTCTTAGAAATTCGGTTTTTGTCTTGCTGCATGTAGCCCCGAGTCATGTTCAAAATGCCCCTACGACAGCCTCTATGAGCTCGTTTCATCGATCAAGCGATCGCCATGTGCCAAATTTTCATATTGACAAAGCGCATCTCGAAGCCATCGGTGAACTCTGTGAACAGCTGAGTAAGAGGCTGCCAGTTGATCTTTACCACCCAGCCATTGATTCAATCCAGGAGGCTATATCCAGGGAATCGGCATTGGAATGCGACGTTGGGGAGGCTGAGGTTGCTGAAAGAGAAGATTTAGAGGCCTCTGGGGCTTATCTCGATGACGAAGGCGTCTGTACAATTGCCCCTGGGGATCCTTTCGTAGTACGGGAAAAGGAAGTTCGCCGTGCACATACTGATGACCGAGACTTCACCATTGGAGACAAAACTCGACAAGATCTCTTGAAGGGCCGCAAATACAAGGGCACTCGAAGGCAAAATCACTTGAATCTAACGATACATTCGAGCATTATGCTGACTATTCCCGTCAATAATGCTCCAGAAGAAGTGATTGTCAAATTTGAAATTAAGCCAATTGGCCAAAGCCATCCAAATGTTTGGGCACAAGAGACAGGCGCGACCGAAAATGGATCACGGTTGGCTTTTTGTGTGACCTACAAACGAACTGACGTTGAGGTATCACTTTATGCCACCTCTGATAAGCTCAGAGATGCCTACAAGGCTAACTCGTTTGTACATTGGATGGAAGGGGAAGGAGTGAAAGACATCATTCAAAGACCAAGGCAGCTTGTTGTTGTGGGCAAATTGCACCAAGTGCTCCCTGAGGGTATTCCAGAGTCCGGTTCTTTTTATACGGACAATCACGCTACCTTGTGCCGCGCCCAAAGATTTATACCGACAGAATATACACAGTCCGAACAACACACACACACACACTCAACAGTCCGGGGGCGATGCGTGCGATGTGACCTGATCGGGATTTTGGCGGAATGCCACTATTTATCTTCAACACTATGTTCATCGGGTCCTCTGGTCTTGCCTTTCTTTTACTCTTAGCTCAATCAATACATTCTCATACATGATTTTTTGATCAATTTTATCAATGCGTGTAAGTAGTACTACGTCAGAATTTGGGTAGCCAGAACAAACATTTCAATAAGGAAGATCTTCTTGAAGAGCTTTCTCCATGTTCGAGGGGCGACACACAGAGGGCAGTCCTCATCTAGCCTTGATACCCGATGTGATACAGAGCTTGAGAGTGTAACATCTATGTTTATACCTGAAGAAAGGTTTACCCCACCCTGTAGTTAACCCTCAATAGGAAATGCTGGTTTAAGCGCCAAAAAAAAGGGGTGGGGGCTTGAGGTAATGAAGGAGAGGTACCGAAAAAATTTATCTTACAGATACCTTTTAAATCAATAAGAAAACCCAGCTGGTTTAAATACGTATCAACTTAGAGAGTACCATTTGAACCATGGGAAGAGTTTGAGATTTTGCATAAATTACCTGTCCGGGGGCATTTTACATGAGTCAAGATAATACTGAATGGCTCTAATTGTCATCCATCGCCCGGGTGGTCTAGTGGTATGATTCGCGCTTAGGGTTCACCCAAAGCACAATTGCGCGAGGTCCCCGGTTCAATCCCGGGCTCGGGCCGATTCTTTTTTGTTGATCAAGAAACCCTTCAAGTTTCAATGTCTTTTGATTTCAGATATGGTGTCTCGATATAATGGTTGAGGAGCCTTCTAATATTTCACCGTGTTGGAGTATGGGAAAGGGGGGTCGGGTACGGGACAGCCACAACAGTGAGATGCCATCACTAGGCATAAGATGGGTGAAGATGAAAAACATAGTTTGGAACGAATGAAAAGCTTAATTCCCTGAACTCGCGGGAACTACATAGTAGATAGTTGAGTTCACTCGGCCAGCAATATTGTAACCAAACCTGGTGATAACAACCTTGGAAGGTTTGCCTGTGGATGTATACGTATGCATACTAGGCCCCTGCATCTCTTTGGGGCCACAGTCGAGCCTGTCTGGTGTACGGGGGCCTCGAGATTTGCATTTACACTCGATGCCTCCTATATAATTGAGAGGCATCCCAGGAATCGGAGAATTTTGGATGTATAGCCTCGGGGGGGGACGCTCATTTCATGTATCTAACTCTTCGGCTTGAACCACATGTTGTTCCTTGGGCATAAGTACCGTTGGATCATTCTAAACTGTGACAAACCTGGTCCCATATATAGCGAGCGCAGTTCCAAGTGCCAGTCTTGGAATCCCGGTCTTTTGCCCTAGCGCAGTGGAATAGGGCTTGGATTTTGCCCCAGACCTGCTCCGGACATAGACTCACTGCTTGATTACAGTGCAAGGGCCTCATGAATCGATCAACACCCTGGTGTAGATCTATACGACGCTTTAGTTGGCATCGCTCCTCGATACTTTCAAAGGACTTTGTCACAGGCAGGTCTATCGGGGCGCATTCCAAGCACCATCCATGGATTCCGCTGTGTCAGGGCAAGTTTTGAAAAGACCAGGGCCCCCAACTCACTCCTTGGAACTGCGTTCGCTATATGTAGATCCCCAAGTGCGTCATAAACTTAGACTAGTCCATATAAGTCCTGGCAGGCAACGCTATGATCGAAAGGCAGATCATTGAGACTTGATAGTTTGCAGCACTACAAAAGACAGTATTACCGATTCCATCTAATGGCTACAACCAGTTGGTCGTGCGTAATATGGGTTACCGAGAGGAGGCGGACACTGACTCCGTACCCACCAAAACCATGATGGACAACTTCCAAGGTTTGAAATTTGACCTTTGGTATTGCAAAAGGCTGAGCCCGAGCACAGAATCTCCAATTAGCCCGAGGATTTTTAGTTACGTCAAAGCTGCTGGCTTTCGTGTGCCTTGGACGAGCCAATGGACGTAGCAAAACACGTGTTCTTCTGGTGAAAGTAGATGTTAAAATAGGTTTAGAGGGTCGGTTCAATTGTAAGATGGTTGATAGGACCTGAATAGGAGAATAGATACTCGAGTTATATCGGCTAAACTACCCTCCCAAAAAGTCTTTACCCATCGCCTGTTTTACCACCAAAACTGACCATCTTGGAAACCGTGGACCCTCTGATCTACCCAAAATTATGTGGTAAATCTTCATACTATTCAGATCAAATATTTCAATACAGTTTTCTATTCAGACCTCGGGAGTGGCCAATTTTTAAATCTAATGGAAGCGACTTTGGTGGGAGTTAACTATGGGCGCCCATATATACAATTGACGTTCTGGCTACCCTTGGCACTTCAAACCCGTCGTTACTCAACATATATATATAATTAATCGTTGGGAAATAAGAATTTTGTTTATTTAGTAGTTACATTATAGTTAACTTTATAATATAGCCTGTTACAAAAGATACAGTAGTCAAAACTAGCCATTTTTGGTGGGAAAATAGGCAGTGGGTAACCTCTTTTTTGGGGGGGCTGTACTGTACTGGAAGATTAGCAAGAATGAAAAATGTTTGTATAGCCATAAAACGAGCACGTTCTTATCCATCGCCCGGGTGGTCTAGTGGTATGATTCGCGCTTAGGGTTCACCCAAAGCACAATTGCGCGAGGTCCCCGGTTCAATCCCGGGCTCGGGCCGATATCTTTTGCTGTTTTTGTACTTGTTCTTTTTTACTCCGTAATTTTTTTAAAAAAAGAAAACTATGTTAGGCTAACCCATTTATACGTAACATAAGATATTATAGTAGGAAGAGCGCGCTGGCAGTCTGACATTGCAGACAAGATGACAAGAGTGCTCAGTACTTGGCGAGGACCATGGGGAGCTAAGCAGGCCCCCTATGCAACCGCAATAAGGAAATAGATGAGAATGTTGTCATACACCGCCCGGGTGGTCTAGTGGTATGATTCGCGCTTAGGGTTCACCCAAAGCACAATTGCGCGAGGTCCCCGGTTCAATCCCGGGCTCGGGCCGATTTCTTTTTGCAGCCTTTCCAAAGTTTAATTAATTGATGTCTTGATATTTTTTGTGTCTAAATGCTGAATCTAGTGCCTGAAGATTGATGATACGACTAATCAAAGACTATATACATATGTGAAAGTCCTTTTCAAGGTCAACCAACAACTTCATTGTCTTGGTGGTACTAAAAAGGGTTCCAGGTTGGTGGTATACAAGGTGGTTCCGAGCATGTCAGAATGTTGGTTCCGGCATGTGGCCTTTTGGTCTAGTACAAAGTGTACGCCGTAAGTACCCTGTTGCAATCGGTATTCCCTCTCAAATTTAGACAAAACATTTATCACTAGCTGGTATGTGCTTCGAGAACTTTCTGGAGGGATTCCCATATCATCGATAAAACCAGGAAACATATCCAATAGAGGCTGCTAGAAGGGCCTGAATTTTCAGCTATATGAGTCAAATTTTCAAAATAGGAGTCTCAAAGCTAGAAAGCTTTATTAGTGAGAGGGTGAGAAATAGGAAGATGGCTCCTGCTTCTTCCCTGTTGTTAGATGGGAGCAGAGGAAGAGATCAATATGATGAGATTGATACTATGGAGATGTGTAGTAGCAAGTGTGTGAACAGAGAAGGAACAGAGAGGGCGAGGAAGCAGAAGATGTGGAGCGAGGCAAGAGAGAGTAGGGAAAGTATATGACCCCGCCACCCGCCATATTTTCTAATACTTATGTTCAAGAGATCTGCCCTTCCTTGCTTCCTATTTGGAGAGTACGGCTTCCCTCTATTTCCAAGGTTCTTACTCTTTTTGTCACTTTCTGTCTCTCTTTGCTGCGCATGTATAGGCTCCCATGGCTCAGTCACACACAATTATCACTACGCTTCTCTTCTGGTCCTTCTTTTTGCGTAGACCTGAGCCTTGTCTTACCTTCTGTGAGTATTGTTAATTGATTCATTGGTTCAAGATTGGGTAAAGCCCTAAAATCATTGCTGAGACTATCAATTGATCTGTATAACCATCTAAGTAAGCACTTGCCCATACACACTTCCATGGTATCAATGTCTAGGTACTGTATTGATCCTTCTTACTCTACTATTATTCTAAGCTGTAGATATTTGTCCGCCTTGATATATCTTCAGGAAGATATCTGCTTCCAAGGCTCTTAGGTACAGTAATTGGGAAACCGTGCCACATTTCATGTGCGCCACTGTGGCTAGTTCTGGCAGCTTTTACTCAAGATCTTATAGTTTAACAATTCAAGTATTCGATACGTCTCTGAAGAACATCATCTATTTCCTTATTCCGGTTGCATAGGGGGCCTGCTTAGCTCCCTCCCCATGGTCCTCGCCAAGTACTGAGCACCCTTGTCATCTTGTCTGCAATGTCAGACTGCCAGCGCGCTCTTCCTACTATAATATCTTATGTTACGTATAAATGGGTTAGCCTAACATAGTTTTCTTTTTTAAAAAAAATTACGGAGTAAAAAAGAACAAGTACAAAAACAGCAAAAAGATATCGGCCCGAGCCCGGGATTGAACCGGGGACCTCGCGCAATTGTGCTTTGGGTGAACCCTAAGCGCGAATCATACCACTAGACCACCCGGGCGGTGTATGACAACATTCTCATCTATTTCCTTATTGCGGTTGCATAGGGGGCCTGCTTAGCTCCCCATGGTCCTCGCCAAGTACTAAGTGTCATGCTCTGCAAGCATCACCTGACATCTCTCTCGCATGTGTTTGCTTGCATACTTCCCTGCGTCATCGCTTTGCTTCGTTTGCTTCGTTTGCTTCGTTTGCTTGCTTTGTTTGCTTTGCTAATTGTGACTAGTTCGATTGACAGAGAAACTTTGCTTCTTCGAAATTGTATGGACTCAAAACTCAATCACTACGACAATGTTTACGGAAACAGAAAAAGAAGGTCTCTGGCAAAGGACTCGCCGGCGCTACAATCAACTGAGAAACAAATCTCAACGTTCCTCAAGCTATACTCAAGATGGACAGTCACTTAGAAGAAAGTGTGTATTCAATCATGCATTTTAAATGCTGCTAATTTGGTGTTTAGTTTAGAACCAAATCTGAATTCGACGACTGATGGTTTGCTACTGAATGGAAGGGATGATATCGCCGAAGAGTCGACTGATACTGGGAACAATGAAGCCTCGGGCTCTCACACTCTTATGAGCCATGAACAACATGTGGCAGTCGACCAGTTGTCGATTAGCGCTAGCATAAGCAGCGTGCATCCGTCTTCGGACATTTGGAGTGCGGCATATCGAGAAGCAGTTGAGAGCCTTGGGGATGAAATAACTACTGCTTCAACTGGGAAGAATGCTGAGATGCTCTTCAAACTGCTCGAAGAGATTGAACAGGATGCTACTCACGAATCCGCTTTCTTGAGAGGTGTGCAGCGTTTGCGTTTCTTGAAAACACCCCTCGACAACTTCAAGCTAGCATTGGATTTGGCGAGTCCATTGGCAAACCTTGAACCAACCGCATCGTTGGTTTTTGGTGTTGTCAGAAGCGTGACAGCGGTAAGCCTAGCTCGTTAAAATAGAAATGCCAAGCTCAGTAGTGAACGTCACTTACACCCTCAAAACCTTTTACGCAGATCGCTATTACGTTTGCGAACGCTGATTTGGAATTTGCCAAACAAATCGCAGATATGTTGGAACGAATTTCTTACATTGACGAGTGTGATACATTGGGACGAAGAGTTGATCGAATTGATATTCACAAGGTAATCTACATGTTCCCTGTCTTCCACTTCTCCTGTCCCATAATCCAACGGCTCTAATCATATTCAGGCACTCGTCTCTGTGTACCAAAAAGTGCTAGAGTTCTACGACGCCGCCTTGAAAATATTGACTAGGAAAGGCGCAAAGTTGGTAATGAGAATGGTCTTGGAGAACGATCGCCTTCCTTCCATTGTCCAGGAATTCTTGACAAGCGCTGATAAACTTCAAATGGTCATACAAAAAGCGACCATGGAAATTTTGGGCGATATCCAAAAAGTGTTATATCGCGTCGATTGTGAGTGCACGTATCATCTATTTTAAGTATATTCTTTAACCGCCTCTAGTCGCTCGATGGCTCAAATCTGACAAGCTCACCTTGCAAAGTCAACTCTGCAATGAATGGCAGACACTCCGAGCTAACCAAGCCTGCGAATTCTTGCTGGAGAATCCTAAATTTAAAAGCTGGTATGAAGCTTCGGAGTCTCAGCAGCTGGTGATCTTTGGTGACATGGGCCATGGTAAATCCGTTGCAATGGCCTTCCTTGCAGAAACACTGAGTCATAGGAACAAATATCGTCTACCACGGCCCGTCCTATGCCAGTACTATTGTCGAGATCACGAAACAGGGAAGCCCACCTCTGTACTCTCTGCTTTGAGCTACTCTCTTCTATTTCAGCTGGAAGGTCTGCAGAAGCCATTTTATGAGCGTTACAAGCAAGCTCAAGAATTTGATTACGATCCGGCACTAAACACTGCCACGATGGAAAATTTCCTGCAAAGCATGCTGGAAACAATCGATCGGCCCGTCGTTTTTGTAATTGATGGCATGGATGAATGCGATTATGACTCTCGAAACAGACTTCTCAAATTTTTGAAGTGTGTATCAGAAACAACTTTGGCACTCAAGATCATTCTATCTTTTCGTCCCCAAGAAGAGATCATGGAACAGCTAGACGGTGTGCTCAAGATCGAGCTAGATTCTAGCCCCGGGAGAGATCGGATCATTGTTGAGAAAACACTTGAAATGCTGCCAAACTTATCTCCAGACGTCAAGGCGCTTATAAAAGAGAACCTCTCTCAACGAGCGCAAGGGAGTGCCATATGGACGAAGATGATAATCGAGCTTATCAAAGTGCGTCATCTCACGAAGAAGTCTTCGGTAGAAAGATTTTTGGAAGAAATACCCCTTCCTGAAAAGCTTTCGGACGTCTACACCTCAATACTTTCTCGTTCGACTTGTGAAGATCATGAAAACTGGCAACTTGCCATTACGGCTCTGAAAATTCTCGCTGCCAGCCGCAGAGTTTTGAGCATACTGGAACTAGCTTGGGCCGTTGAAATTAGCCTACATCAGGAAGTGAAGACTCTGGAAGCCCTTGCGAAGCGCACAGATCATCAAAGGGTCATGAGTCTTATTTATCCATTTATTGCTTCCCTCGACTACGATGAACTCAGAAAGCCTCAAGTTCGACTCACACATCAGTCTGTGAAAGAGTGGATATTCAATCAACCTGATCAGAAAGGCTCGGCCTCAAAGTTGCTCGATCAAACAAACCATGTCTCAGAAAATCCGGATTCACTCATGCTCGATATTTGCGCGAAGTATTTGCTCTTAGATGAAATTGGTCAGATTGACCTGTTCTCAGAAGAGCAAGCAGCATTTGTGGAACTGCCTCAGCTTTCTGGGTCATCCAGTGACGACGAAGAGTCGCTTGAGTATGACCCAAACTGCACGTGGGAGACCTGGGAAGACGATATGCCGCGGTACGACCCGGTTGATCGTGGATTTGGCGAATTCTTTGTCTATGCATCATGCCATTGGGTGGATCACTTCGGTTGCGTGCCGGCTGAATCTCTTTCAAGCCTAGCAAGTATCGAAACATTATGCCAAGCTGGATCCACTCGACTTCGCAACTGGATTCAACAGAACTCTCGTCCAAGTTGCACGATATCACCCAGGTTTGAATTCGACAGCAGTCTATACGATCCATTAGGCATCACTTCGATTTATGGCTCAGAATCCACTCTGCGTGACATGCTTGTGAGGTCGAACTTTGACGGCGGAAACTTTCTTCAAGAATCAGCTACCAGGGCTGCCGATCAGATTCTTCAGTGGGGAAAAGTTTCAAGACTCGAGATCCTGTTCTTTGATCACCGGACCAGTGCCCAGCTACAAAACTTTGACCTTTTCCGGCTTATCATCAAAAGGTGGGACAAAGCCCGATTTATCACCAAGCCATGGCACAAAGAAGAGCAGGACTGGGATCTTGTATTTGATCTCGTCGACAAAATGTCAGAGAAAATGACCGAGGAACACTGGGGAAACAAGCTCTTGTGCTTGGCTGCTGGTGCAGGCTGTAAGCCCATAGTACAGCGTTTGATGACTAGCGCACAGAATAAGGGAGAACTCAGGAAAGAATTGATTCATGAGACACAACTCAAAGAAAAGCACCCAACTTTGGATGACTCGACGCATCAATCGATCGGACATGCTGTATTGGGAAACCACATTGATATTGTGGAATATCTTCTAATGGAGAATGGCATTGAAACCCACCTTCGTTTTCGGAACTCCCGTGGTGAAAACGTTTTACATCTGGCATCACGACTCTGCAACCCAGATATGTTCCGAATCTTGATCCCTCATTTCCAAGAGGGTATCAATGAATTAGATGATCAAGGAGATGTCCCCTTGGTGCGAATCATCATGAGCCCTTTGGCCTCGCGGCATGAGGCCGCCAGATCATTGCTTTTGCAAAGTAGCACCAATTGGGACACCGACATTTCGTGTTGGCAAAGGGAATCCCTGCGTGCGGCTGTGTCACGACTTGATCTAGACATGTGTTGCATATTGATTTGGATTGGCAAAATCAATCCGGTTGCAGTCCTAGCTTGTGGTAACGAACGAGGCCACAGGAGAGAAGATAACTCGCTGGGTACTTTAGTTGATCTCTTTATCGCTGAACCAGAGGGCAATTACCTGCAACTGACTAACTCAGTGGAGGAAGCTTTCCGAATTATGGCCGAAAAGTATTACACCAGACGTTTTCGAGTTGGGGACCCAACGAAATCCTTCTAATCTTTCACAGAGATAAACACCTGGTCGTGCAAACTTTGCTGAATTACTCTCATTAAATTCGATGGAAACCTTCAGCCCAGCTTCACGTGGTTCATCGATTCATTTAGAGTGATGATTTGAATGAATGCTGATGACTTAGACTATTGCCTCAACATTACAGGAAGATGTCATATGATAGACCATTCGCCATTATGAGCATTTTATTAGCTAAAAATGGTGGGAACTGACATTTCCATCATTACCCTCCAAATGATAGATGGTGCTGCGATCGGGGCATTAGAGTTTTGCTTTCCTCTTTAACACATACCATCTCATTGGCTAACTTGTAAAGCAGTACTTATATTGGCTTCTGGCAAAATCTCGGGCAACGTGGCTAGCTGAAGTAGTGCTATACCGACTGGCTGGAAGACAATCAACCATCACATAATGTTTTGTAAGACGTCCAGAAATCTGCGTGTAATCACCGTTATCGTCGTCAAGCATATGGCATGAAGGAAACCACCGCATTTCCATTGAAGATATTATCAGTCTTAAGCAGTATGTAAAGCTTGTAAATTGTCACGATACGATGTATACCTATTGTAGTATAGCATATTTCATGCAAGTGCGGCCACCAAGACGGTGACTATGGCGGAACTGATTCCAAGCCAGACCAAGAACCACCAGAGCCATTCCAAAACATTGCCGCTCTCTCTCACAACTTTCTCGGCCATCTCACTTAGAGCCTTTCGCTCTTGTGCAGCGAGATATTTCTGGATTTCATCCAAGTGTCGAGAGACTTTTTTGAGCTTTTAAAGGGCTTTTGGCCTTTTCGAGTACCCTTTTTGCCCCCTGAAGATTTTTCATATGCTCCTTTTCTTCATCGGAAGGCCCCACCGTGCCTTTTTCGGCTTGCATCATCAGCCAGTGGGATGGATATGAACGACCGGACGAAGAAACGTGAATTTGACGTCTATCTTGATGCTGGCGCTTCATTCGGGGCCCAGGGCTTGCTGAATGTTGGACGGAAAGTATACCATGACAAAGAGGTAAGCTGGGCAAAGGAATATGCAATTTCGTCTGATTTTGTTTATGCCTATCGTGTCGCGAAGGTCTATTTCTCAGTTCGCCAAAACGCTCTGAAAACTAGAGGCATCAAAGGGGAGCTATTTGGCTTGAATGAAGACTTTGCGCAAGACCGTTTTGACAGAGACGGCGCGTATACGTGTGAAGCTAAGATGCAAGAGGATGATGAGTGGTTTCTAGCGGAGGGTTCGTTCTCTGAAATAGACGACGAAGATGGCGATAATCGACTTTTGATCCCGCTATGACGAAGCTATGTATGTATATGTGATGGTAAACTGGGTGATATGACAGGCTGCTCATATTGCAAACGAAAAGAATCAAATCTTACGATCTGAATGGTTAGGTAGTTTCATTGAGCCTGACCTCTTGCGGAGTTGGAGCCTTGGATTAAGGTGCGAATGAGATGATTGATCTGTGTTGAGGAATTTAGCTTTCTGTGCCCCGTTGGATATATACAACCCACTTGACCTAGTCTGGGTTTCAACTCGCAGAGCGATATGCAGACTACGTAGGTTGATAATCATTTCGATACTATTCAAAGGAATAAAAATACGACCTTGATAATTGCTGTTCGCAAGGAACTTACGTTTTGTTGTGTTCTCCAATTTTGCCTAATATGTGGTGGTATACGGTGTCATATATATCGGTCTTTCATGCTCTTCATTGAGAAACTCTCGAGCAGCAGCATTCAATGGTGTAGTGGTGGAATTAGATACATAGAAAAACGGATAAGCCATCAATCACGTGGCCGAATAATAGCGTGACTCTAATCTTTTGTCCTATGCTATCGATCTGTCTTCTATGCAAGACTGCCATTGAGCCATCCCTATCTCAATATCTATACATTGCATGAATCTGACCGACGGGGTACATAGTTCGCAGGGTCTATGCTTATTTCAAGGACAAGGGAAAAACCACGATTTTCATAAGTACCTAGATATGTATTATTACGATTAGTCGGATCTTCGGATCAGGTCTGTCGTGGGATGCTGGAAAGACTGAGACCACGGTTTTCCTGTTTCCCTGTTATCCCAAGCCAAGTCATTTCTCCAGACAAGCTATTTCCTGAGATAGACCACGATTTTTTTTGTTCCCCTGTTATCCTAGGTACCAGGAAAAATGCGCTGATTGGAGTGGAGACCGCTGTCTACCCAATGATTATCAAAAAACACCCTCCCTCTTTCTGTTATTTAAAAAGAAAATGAATTATTTAATTTCCTTTCAACCCTCACATTTCTACGACAACCAATTGTTTAATCAGCTGCAAGTTTGCTTGCCGTTAGCCGTCGGTTCTCACCACCATGAACCTTGTCCTTATTCAATTGAGCAACTTGCAGGTCAGACCACCCATACTGAAGCGGGTCGCAAGAGGAACCCCTCTGTGTTTCTTTTGTGCTGCATTCTGCGACACTGTTCACGGTGCAGCCAAAAGAACCTACACCCCTGCGATGACGTACACTCCGAGAAGCCATGCGGCTGAGACACCACCAAAACCACGCGGGTGGGGAAAGGATCGCTCCGTTCCCTCCCTCAGAAGAGTGCCGTAGGAGGGTTGCCATAAATGTTACAAGGTAGCTATGAGGAGTTCCGGTTATAGAATCGCCCCGATCCTTTCGTTGCTTTATGAAAAATGATTAATTGCGGTTGCCAGTTGGTACCCGCAAGTCTTGGGGCAAGTCTTGGGCGTCACGCGCATGTGGAGCGGACCTCCGCATATCTAGTCGTTTGCAAACTAGGACGAGGGCGTTACGCCAACGAGAGCTCGCGAGTCGAACACGCCAGGCTATTAGAAGTCTTTGTTCGATCGTGCACCTCTATTGTTTTCTGTTAGGCCTGGCTCAGTCTAACGAAGGTTCAAGCACCCATAAAGTGAATCCTAACGGTATCTACACATGGTGGACAGTGAGCCGCCGCTGAACCGTCCCCATCCTGGTCCGTGCTCAGGTGATGGTACTTCCTATCGGAGTGAGAAGCCAATGATCTTGGAAATTTACGAGATTCTTAGTCAGTCATCTTAGGCACCTGCCTCCTATTTAAGTACAACTGTAGTACCTTCCCTCCCCACTTTTGTCTCTTTTCTCCGTCGGTCTACCTCTCTTCTCCTACCACATAAAGTGTCGCTCAAACTAGACCAGTAAGCAAGGCTGATAACAATGATGGAAAATGATGGGGAGAGGATGGAGAGGGACCGAGTATCCCTCAAGCGAGGCAGTGCGCTCTCCTTTCCCTCTTAAGAGATGTGAGCCTTGCTAACATTGCTTTGACGACCAGGAATGGACTTCGAAGACGATGAGTCGACAGAAGATGACAGTCGATCGGATGAGGCCGAGGAGGAAGGATGGTGGAGCGCAAATGATAGCGAAGATGAGATCGAAGATTCGGATTATGAACAGGAAATTGAGGAGCACGAGTATGCCACCTCCGGTGACTCGGCACGAACGCTGAAGATTCGGCTCTTTTTGACAGATGAGGAAATGGGCGACTTTAAGTGGATGAAAAACTTTGTCGCCGAATGCACCTGCGATGGTGTCACTGTCGCCAACGCCCTAGCCCGGTATATTCATCGAGAGGGCATACGCTCTGAATTCTGGGAAAGAATGGAAGAGCCCAGCGAGGAAACGTGTGATGTGGCGTTCCATGTCTTTGATCGATATGGAACAGTCAAGACCAAGTACAAAGATCATCCAGTGCAAAGAGGAACTGGTGTATGGGGAAACGAGCTTGATTATGGCCCTCTTTTTCTAATCGAAAAGCTTCATGTTACAGCGTTTGAACTACGCCGAAAAGGGCTGGGACAAAAAGTGGTGTCTTTACTTTTGGAAAAGGCCCAACGTTTCTTCCAAGACGATAAGCCAGACGGCGAAAACGCAGATCTTATCTACGGTTCCAACGAGGCTTTCGAGCGAGCATGGACTCTACATACTCTAGTCAGTCCTGGATATCTAACAGCGGAAATCAAACCGCAGTTAGTGGGCAAATCCGCAGAAGAACGCTTGATGACACGGGATCAAAATCAATCCGGTGCTATTGACTTCTGGCGATCCTGCGGTTTTCGCCGAATCGGAGCCTCTCGCTGTTTCGCATTTTCATTTGATCTCCAGCACCAGTCTCGTACCATTGCGGCGGCTTCTGATTTCGACCCGCGCAGAAGCCATGTTGGAGACCTTGAGAACGAAAGACTCCAACTGATCTATGAGAATGATCAATTTACTGAGGTAGAGAAACTGAGAATGGAAAAGCTCCGTGACGCATTGCCGCTGCATCATGCAGCTCTCACTCTGACGGACGAAGAACTCAAGGTTTTTTTTATCACTCATACCGATGATAAGATTGGCTGGGATCGAGTGATGAACTCTGAAGCCACGCTTCTACATCTAACAGCTTGCGAGCTCAAGCCGCTAAGTATGCGGTGGCTACTTGAGAATATCCACCACGCCGACTCCTGGAAGGCTGCTCGTGACATTGACGGGTACACCCCGCTCGAAGCATTGCAGGAGAAGTTGGAGAGAATTCGAACACAGAAAGAATATGGCCTTTGCAGAATCTTAAACATATCAGATCACTTTGAAGGAAACTCCGACGCCGCAGTGTCCTGTCTTTCCTTACTGTTCGGACAAGATGCTTTCGGGCTTGATAAAGCATGCCTCCGATACGGTTGTACATGCGGGGGGTGCGTGGGAGGACTTCTATCCGCCCGAATGAGGAGCTCTTTGATCCTTCAGGGCGGGGTGATGTACGATCTTATGCAGGAAGGAATTGATGACGGCAGCTTTTGGGTAGAAGACAACGACTACATCATCGAGCACCTCGATCCCGATGTGCGAAAGAACCTCAAAACCAACAAGTCACTGCGAAGAGGTTTTGTGAATATGTTCCGAACTGCCGTGGAGTGTCTTGAGGCGAAAAGAGTTCCAAGCGCAGGAAATCTCGAGTGGTGTTGTAACAATCGGAGCGAATGGCCACCAGATTCCAAGAACTACCTGCGATGCGCTGGGACGCAGATGGGATGCCGGGCGGTGCTTCGGTATATGTTCAGCACTGCTAAGGAATGGGATGAGAAAGCCGGTAATGGAGAGTGTCAACTGACATTGAGCAAGGAATGGTCAGACCTTCCAACTTGTAGAAACGATCATGAGTTTGACTTTGTTGCCAGAGCTTGTGGTTACAGTGGGGATGATCTTATTTCGTTACCATGCTGGTACATGTAATCAAATATACTTATCGCCTTTGAAGAGCCATAGAAACAATCAATAAGGTACGTAGCTTGAAGCACTAGCGGTGATTTTACTACCTGCTCCAAGTAGTCCTCCAGACGGAAAAGGGCTCCGTAAGGAAGAAGACTACATATCAAAATCATCTTTGGACTGTCAATAGATATATTCTCCGTAGATTAGACTGTTGAGATCATGGTTGCATAAAATCCTTGACCGAGGACGGGAAAACTAATGTGCTTTTCTAGGGAAAGTTCCGCTTAGGTCTTATGACTTCACATAGTTTGTTACTACCAAAGATTAGTTTTGTCTATACAATTTCATGAAAGTCATTTGCTCGCGTGAAGAAAGGCACGAAAAGTAAATAGGTATATTGAGATGAGTAAAAGAGAAATGCAGCCGAGTTCATTATGACTCATCAATCAAAAGGTCGAAACGACTACGATGGAAATCTATTCCGGTAGCTCTAAATGATCGCAATGAATAAGGTATGCTTTGATAAAATAGTCACCAACTCAGCCATGGCCCTGCCTAATGTGTCCAAACAGAGAAACAAAAGAAAAAAAAAAAAAAGAAGGGCGCAATGGCCTCTAAAACCGGAAAAGTTGAATCTGACGCTACGCTTATGTTCGAAGGCCATGGGCCTCAGAAGCATGCCGCCGCAAGTGCATCTCGTGCAGGACGGACAAATCGCAAAAATTACATTTCCGGTCCTTCAAATGTGATGTCCTGAAATGTCTCCTCACTCCATTATAGTCAGAGTATGCCTTGGGGCATTGGAAACATGCGCATGTTATCTCTGCATTCGGGATAGTTTTCTCGCCAACGATGATTCCTTCCTCCCACGAGGTAGTCGGCGTCGTACCGGTCTTTCTCTTTCGAGCTGGCGGAGAGGGAACTGCATCGTCATCGTCGGACGGGGCAGAGCGCTTTCGTCGGCCCCGAAGGGGGCCACCCTCTTGAAAGCCGCAATATTGTATCCCAGCAGCAACAGCTTTGTTGCGCCGCGTCCACTCATCTTCTAATGAATCGGTGGTGGGCCATGTAAAGAATGTCTCCACAAGAAGAATCTGCTCTGATGGCATTTCGAACTCCTTCCGTAAGACCTCGCGTGCAGGCTCATCACTGACAGCCCCACCAGTCAACTGTCTTTCAATGTCAATCACCGCCTGTTTCCGACTGAAATCGCGGCGTGCTTCTTTCCGCCGTTTGTCTTGCAGACGCCGGCGCAGATTGTGGACTTGACGCTTCTGGTCCTCCAGCATCGCCCGCAATGCTGGGTTATGAGAGCGATCAGCGCACTGTGTCTCTAAATCGACTTGCCAGCGTATGGCTGATTGCATTTCTGGGTCTTTCTCCACTGATTCCCGATCAGCGTCGCTCAGGTATCGTGGTCGTCGCCGATCAATCCAACGGCTCATCCGGGTCACAGCCTTCGAGAACTCTTCGTCTGGCTTGAGGCCGCACATGATCTCTTGTAAGCCAGTATGCCGACGGGGACGATAGTGTTTGATAAACGTTCTGCTAGTGGCGTGGGCCATGATCACATTACGCTGTGCTTCACTGACGAAACCTAGATAAAAGACTTAGTCTGCCCATCTAGCGAAAACTTGGGGATGTATAGGCCACTCACCACTCTTGTCGAGTAAATCACCTCCTCCATATCGGAATTGGTGAGAGAAAAAATGATTAAGGAAGCCGTGTATCTCACTGGATGTCCTGAGCTGTGCGTCGAGTGTGCTACCATTCATGGGTGTCTCCCATAAAATGCGGGGCTGGCCACAGATCACCTCGACCTTCGGGAAGACATAGTAATTGTCCATCTCTTTCTTCAAGGGGAGTAGCATTTCCTGTCGACCACCCTCGACAAGCAGTCTCCGAAGGTCTTCCATCGATGTTAAGTGAGGCGCTTCAAAGGCGTGGACATAAAATAATATGATGAAGAGTAGGACATGCGGGCTGAAGACAAGTGATACGCCGTAGACAATTTCAGGGAGCGCGAACGTGTTGCTAAGTAATATCGATCAGCCAGTCCGATTGTAGCGAACAAGTGTGACTCGGGTGCCACCTACAGCTTCGACATGCCCAGGACGCTTTTAACAAACTGGGGCTCGAGTTCGATCATCGGCTTGGGAGGTCCTCCGTGCGGATCCTGCTGGAGCGATATTTGTAGATGCTTGAACTGAAGGTCAAGCATTGCCTGTTTCCGGTTAATGGTAAATAACCCAAGAGTATTGTATAGGCATAGGATGATCCGCTGAAACCCCAAGTGAAATCGCTTCTCCCGGGTTTGAAGGATAGTCTCATTGAATGGAATCATATCCTCGATATATACTGGGACATTTGCGCGCGGTTGTTTGTCCAGACCGCGCTTATCCACCAAGTATCTCATGCCCTGTTAATCTTCGTTAGCGCAAGCCTTCTGCAGACGATTGGGAGGGAGGTCGAAAACAAACCGTGCGAACGGCCTCGCCCATCTCTTTACTCATCTCGGTTTTGGTAACTCGCTGGTAGTAAATTCGGAAGTACTTCCAATCCGCTTCAAGGGCGCTGGCCTTTGTATAGCCTTTCTGGCGGCGACCATCGGGACTGTACTCCAGCTTCAGACACCAGTTCAGAAATCGATGCATCTCATTTGGAGACGCCTCACGCAGTGCATCCTCTGGATTCCCCCACTTTGGATAGGTGGACGGCTCTATTGCTTTCATTTGGCAGAACCTGAGATGAGGCATGATGGTCAGCTGATATTACTTCGCTGTAAGCTTTCAACAATATCCCGGTCACTTACCAAGCCCATCGCTCTTTCAGTCGAAGTTTCAACTTCTTTGTTTTGTTGGATCGGCCGTAGTCCTCCGGCACCTGGGCCAGGTCCTCATCCGTGTCATCGTCCGGGACTTGATATCGGGCTTGGTGGACACGTTCCACATTTGACAGGTCTGCTGGTAACGATTTTGTTCCAGGGCTTGGACTTGGCTTCTTCCGAGGAATCGTTCGACCAGCTGGCGGAGGGGAGCACTCCGGCTCGGTGAGATCAGTCTCGGTGGAATCGGGTTCGAACGCTCTATCATTGTCGGTGTCGATGGGAGACGTGCATGAAGATTCGCTTGTGATTTCCTGGTTGCTGGCAGTGGGCAACCTTCGACGACGCATGGCTATTATACCTCGTTGACCGTGCAGGGGCACTATCTCGGAGCTCGAGGTGTTTGAGGACACGACTGCTGGATAGAGGAAAGAACGACAGAAGGACAGAGGGGGAGCTTTGGAGGGGTGCTTGAGTCGAAATGAGGACTGTGTTGGACGGAGGATGGATGGTCGGTTGGGAAGAGGATATTTATAGCCATGGCGGTTGGGTACTGGCTGGAATGCAACTGGCATAGTGCTGAAGGAGCCATTTTCGGCGGCTCCCCTCCTCAGGTGGAGCGATTGATGAGCCCTCCTGGGAACCCAGGCCAGGATGTAAGCGCGCACGAAATGGCTGTGAGGCAGAAGGCGGTGGGCGGTGAGTGGTGCGTGGTCGGAGGGGGCGGGAGCGTGGCGGAGGGGGTTGCTGAAAGGCTGCCTTTTTCGGCGGCAGGTGACGCCGAAAATGGCTGCCTTTCAGCAAAACGAAATTGTTATAGAGTATAAAAGAATTTAAACTTATTTATAGATATAAATATAGTATTAATAGTATATATATACTTTTAGATATTATTAGTTTAGAAGTAATATTTATGAAGTTTAATCTATCTAGTTTTAAATATATTAAATATCTACTTCTTTTAAATAACTCGTTTTTTTTAAAGCTATCTTATTAATTTTTTAAAATAAATAAATAGTTTGTTATAAATCTTGAATATAAAATAAATAGTAATATTTTAAATCTTTAATAATTAAATTATATAATTAAAAAAAGATTTAGTAATATAAAGAAGATAGTTAATTTAATATTATTCTTGATTACTAAGAAGTATCTTTTTAATCTTATACTCTATATAAAATAAAGTAAAGATAGAATATAGTTATTTTATCTTATAAAATATTAGATATATTAAATTTTATTAAGTTTTTATATCTTAGAGTAAAATAATTTTAACCTTTATTATTTAAAGGTTATAAAATATTTCTTATTATTAAGGACTTTTATTAATATAGATAGTAAGATAGCAAATTTTATTTAAAATAAAGAAAATTTAATATAATTATTATTTTATATTTTAATAAGCAAATTTTAATTTGTTTTTAGTCTATTTTCTTTTAGTTAAATTATTTTTTAGATTTATTTTAAATTAAAAAAGGAGTTAATTTAGATTAAATTAAATAATATAAGTAAGATATAGGATTTAGATAATGATAGTGTCTTTAGATAATATTTATTAAAGTGAAGTTGCTAAGATCTTATTGTTTAATATATTGTCTATAATTAATTTAAATATTTAATTAGTAATATTATATTCTAAAAGAGTTTTAAGTAAAGTATTATTTAGATTTAAACTAGTATATAAACTAGATATTAGTTTAAATCTAAGAAATATTTCTCGATATATCTAGTTAGAGTTAATAAAATAACTAATAATTATTATAAAAACTTATGAAAATAGAGATATTTAATAATCAAGTATAATAGAAATTTTTATATTATTAGAGAGTATATAGAAAATATATTAATATTAGTCTTTAATAATAATACTAAGATAGCAATATATTATATTAGTAGATAGAAATAATAGAATAGCTAGAATAGAGTGAGCTTTATAAAATAGATATTTAAATAAGATATATTTAATAAGATTAAAAGAAAGTTAATTTAAAATAAGAAACTATAAGATATTCTTCTTTTATTTTTTAGATAAAAAAGATATATTTAATAAGTTTAATAACTAGAGTATAAAAAAAAAAAAAAAAAAAAAAAAAAAAAAAAAAAAAATCTTGATAATAGATATAATTTAAAATTTTAAAATTTTTTTTTTTTATTAAAATTTTTTTTATTTTTTTTTTATATTTTTAATATTACTTGT